GCTAAGTAGGTCAGTCACTGAGTGTTACTACGAAGTGAGCTCCCCTACTTATAGGTTAGGTTGTCTTAAAGGTAAACTGTAGAGTAGAGTACTAAAGGTAGTAACTAAGTAATAATATGCAATTAATCGCGAAGAACTAAATATATAATACTAAACGAGTGTCCTTATATATCTAGTCCTTCGTAATAGTATAGGTAGTAGATAGTAGAGTGGTAGATGAGTCTTAGCACGATCTACCCGTATACCAATCTACCCTTCTACCACTAGAGGTCACGTATAGTTTTACCATTTTACCCGCACTTAGATTACGTCCTAAGTGCCAGGTACTAGTAAAACTACACGTAACCTCCAGTGGTAGAAGGGTAGATTAGTATACGGGTAGATCGTACTAAGACTTATCTACTACTCTACTATCTACTACCTATACTATTACGAAGGACTGGATATATAAGGACACTTATTTAGCATTATGTATTTAGTTCTTCGCGATTAATTGCACATTATTACTTAGTTACTACCTTTAGTACTCTACTCTACAGTTTACCTTTAAGATAACCTAACCTATAAGTAGGGGAGCTCACTTCGTAGTAATACTCAGTGACTGACCTACTTAGCACACACCTCTGGCACGTTCTGCAAGATACTCAACAGGACCCGAACCCGACGTAAGGCTAAGTATAGTAACGGTACGGTTGCGAGATACTTTAGAATCCGGAGTTAGAACTAGGCAAGTACAACCCAGACGCTCTAACTCACAGTGACCAGTCGGCACTACGTAACAAGTATATCTTTAGAAGATATAGAAGGATTCATTTCGACCTTATTTAGCTTACTACGGCCTATAACGGCTACTACTAGATAACTTATATATATATTAAAGGTATCCGGCTATATACGATAGTTTCTTACGAAAGAAAGAACGGCTATTAATCGGCGATTATACACTTTATCGCTATACTAGAGATATAGCTAAAAATAACAATCTAGGTATTCAAAAGCGACTATAAAAGAGCGTCCGGAAAGATAGTAGACGATTTCTATCTAGATAGAGGTATAATCATCGAATATAGCGTTATTAGAACGCCGGAAACGAATAGCCACAGTAAACGATCTAGGGGGGTAATCATCGGAGTAGCTAGAGGGCTTCTTATAGAATTAGGCCTACCTAGAAACCTCTAGCCAGAAGTAGTTATAGCAGTAATTTATATTATTAATAGATCGCCTACTAGGCTACCTAACGGCGAATAGATTATTCTATACGTTAAAGCGATATACTAAGACTAGAATCGGCCAAAATTCCGCCTAAACCTATCGAACCTCCGTATATACGGTTATAGAGCGTACGTACGCCGCTAGGGCGTCCCGAGGACAGCTAAGATAGAAGATCGTACAGAGATTAGCTATCTCGTCGGTTATATAGCTTCTAATATATAGCGAATCTAGTTTCCGTACAGGGGAGCTATCAGGGAAGCGTACGACGTAGTATTTAATAAGAATATTAAATTTAATCCCCGAGAGCTTTAGGTTAGACTATCCGACGATATCATCGATACCCTACCTTAGAATATTAGCCTTAATAAAGAGGAAGATAGTTAGCTAAATATATATAGTAAAAGGCTTATAGAAGAAGCAACAGTCGCAGAATAAGACGCCTTACTAATATAAGATATCCCTCAGCCGAGTACGTTAACCGAAGAGACGATAGAAACTTAGAAGGACAGTCAGAAGGATAGACAGATAGTCTATCAGATACTATCCCCTATACCGTCGGTAACGTAGGAAGCGTCGTAGCTAACAGAGATCTCTATATCTCTAACACCGGATACACCGCTAGAGGCGAGCCCGCTAGGGGCATTTCTAACTAAATTTCATTAAAAGATCCCTAATAAATAGCTTTAGGATAAGCTCTAAGAATATATAACACTAAGAGCGCCTAGAGATATCGACGGGACGGTCTTATAGACTAATATCGTTACGGGTACGTACTAGAGAAGGGCTCCGTAGGGTTATAGCTATCTCGTAATAATATAGGACCCTAATAAAAATCACGACGGAGTATTAGCTATATATATAACTAGCTTAAACCCTCCCTAGCTATATTAACGGCTATACTAGGATAACTTACCTCCTATATCTATAAATTAGCTAGAGATAATAAAATACCTACACCGTAATATATTTATCGCCGTAGTATCGCTAGAAGTTAAAACGCTAGATAGAAAAGAGATATACTAAGAGATCGACTGCCTAATAGACCGAGGTATCTAGATCTTACTATTAAAATAGGTCTTTACGTATAAATTCGATAGTAATAGATTCCTAGTAAAGTATAAGACTAGAATCTACGTACGTAGAGACCTCTAAGCCGTTAGTAGTGACGAAAAATACTTAGTAACGTTAGTAGTACGGATAGCGAGGTCCGTCTTCGTACTAGTAGCTATATTCGACCTAGATACCTATTAGTACGACGCCGTTAACGTATTTCTAAATAGCCTACTAGATAAAAAGATCTATATAGAACTACCTCCTAGACTATTCCCTTAGGGGAAGAAGAAGAGAGTCTAGAGGCTTATAAAGGCCCTATATAGCCTATAGAAGTCTCCTAGGCTATAGTAGTATAAGGCCTCTCGGGTACTTACCTCCCTAGGTCTCCGTATCGTCTAGGAAGATCTTTATCTCTTTATCGGTAACGGAATTATTATATTCTTCTATATCGACGATATTATTACTATTAACTACCCTATAAAATAGATAACCGTAGATAACCTACGGAAGAAGCTCTATAAGGTATAGGAACTAAAGGAAATAGGTAAAGCGTAGTAGTTCTTAGGGATACGTATCCTTAGAGATCGCCGACAGAAAACGCTTTAGCTATATCAAGATTCCTATATCTCTTTAATAGCTAACCGATATTATCTTACCGAGAGCCGTAGGTACGATACCCCCCCTCCCCGAGACGACGATAAAGCTATATAATAGTATAGCTATACTAGAGTAGATTTATTAATACTAATAGAAGGTTAGGTCTACCTAATATACTACTATAATTAGTTAACTAGATATAGCTAAAGCTACTAGAGGTCTAGCTTAGTTTCTGATAAACCCTAGGCCTAAATACCTCTACGCTATCGATCGAGTTATCTCCTACCTCTACTAGACGAAATCTAGGGCTATTATATACCGTATACCCTCGTATCCGTCCGAACTATATAGAGAGATAGCGGAGGTATAGATCTTTAGTAATATATCCTTCGCTAATAACTATAACCGGAAGAGCTCGGAGGGATATATCTATATAATATATAGTAGACCGGTTAATTAGAAGGCTTCTAAATAGACGACCGTTACTACTAGCACTACCGAAGCTAAATTATTAGCGATCTTATCAGTAGGGAGATCGCTATATATATAGACTCGCTTATTTAAAGCGATTAATTACCTACTAAGTTAACCCGTCGCCTTAAGATACAATAACTAGTAGACTATCGGTCTATTAACTAAGGAAACACCTTAACTACGCACTAAGCTTCGTTACGTCGATATCTACTACTACTAGCTTCGTTAGGAAGTTTAGGCCGGTAGAATACTAGTATAGTAGGTGCTAATAGGCGATATAGTAGCCGATAGGCTTACTAAGCTACTACCTAGGTAAAAACACACTAAATTCGTTCGTTTAATAGGTCTAGAGGATATTAAACGGCTATTAGAAGCTTCGTATACCTAGGTAAGATAGGCTACGCGTAGATTAGGCGAAATTAGCCGCTTACTGAGGGGGTATGTCGAAATATATAGAGTAGTAACTTACTACTAAGAACGGGCTTATTCATCAAGCGCCTAGGTTTCTTATATTTTTATATGTAATACTGGCTTACAGAGAAACTCAGGCTTTATAACAGCCGAGTATCGGCCGCACGGACAGAAATACGTCCGTACAGCCAGGGGATAGCTATTCAACAGGCGATCCCCCTGATCTTCTATCATCATCAATCTGATCAATTATCTCTCGTCCCATTGGACATCTTTCATACTAGCCCATACAGAATCAGCCCATTCTGTCATATCACCCTAGTGCTGACCGCGTTTGACCACCCGCGCTTTTTCTGTAGCGTATTTTGTCCGAATATATCGTAGACCTTGCCCTCTTTTGACTAGTCTTATATTTAGATAGGCCCTTGCACTTATTAGGTCGTGTTTTTCGAGCGGCCTGATCGTTTATAATCGTATCTCTAGTACTGATTTATACCTATGTTAGCAATTGAGCTTAGTCTCCCGGAGGCTAGTTACGCGCGCCTTACGTTGATAACGGTGGTATCTAGTGTTGCGAAGCTTTAATCTTGTCTTGGTCTACTTGATTAAGATGGATTAGGCAGCGTCGAGGCGATTAGGGCTAATTTCTTTTAAACTATATAGATTTGCTAGTGTATTTCGGCGAAGGATTGCGTTGGTAGTGCGTTCAATGGCCTTCGTGGTGATTAAGATATAGCATTTATTAAGCGCCTATATCTATTAGATTAGCGTATCTCTCTACGACGTATCTAAACGATATTTAGTAGGCGAACGTCAGTGATGTATTTTACTACCCTCGAATACCTATTCGATGCGCTTGCGATCAACGCAATATTCCCTCTGAAGCGCTAACCAATTAGGCTTTTTTAGGCCATGGGACTCTTGATAAGCGGCAATAACGCGTTCCTCTGAATTTTGACGTGTTTCTAGCATGTTTTGGTAGCGGTAGTGGTTGAAATAACAGAAAAATGACGATTGAAGTGGGAATGACAATTAGGGTGGGGCCCATCCATACCGCAGGTGTGGGAGAGCGGCAGGTCACGGTTACAGACAAAGCGGTTAAACAGAATGTGATCCTTGCCGAAGTCGGCCCTCGGCCACGTCCACAGCTATATAATTCATACACACCCATCTCCGCGGCGCTGTTGGTGGTGTGGTGCCTACATTGTATGCAAATCCACTAGTTATCATAAAATGTTGATATTTTCCCTGATTCATCTATTGCCCACTTCGATCTCACTATACCCGGCCTCTTTCTGCTCCAACAAATCCGCATAACTATTCAAGCTACGCCCAATCAGATTAACCATCTCCCAAATATAGTCTGCCGTGAAAAGGCGCGCCCAAAGGCGGGCCACTGCTGCGCTGAGTCTGGTGTTGGTGGCCAGCAGCCACTCGCGTGAGACGCCATGCTGCACCTCCATCACCATCTCCAGCACAAAGTCCCGCAAGCGGGTCTCCTGTTCTGTCAGCCCGGGATCTGGATCCCGGCCCGTTACCGCCTCGAGCCATTTGGCCAAGACCACGGCGCATTCTAGCGAGCATAGGGCGTGCTGGTTAGACCACAGCGCCACTTGGGAGTGTGCGACGAATCCAATGCCCAGTTTGACAGGAGTGGAGAGGGCGTGGGCGCAGTGGAGCGCGGCGCGGGTAAGTCGGTCTCCACGTTGGACGTGGAGGTTGTCGTTGAGACTGGTCGCAATCTGTACAGGGTCCCACGTTTGGAGCTGCCTGGCTGATCCGCAGTCTGCGTTGAGCCGGATGTATGCGAGCCGGAGGAGCGCGGCCGATGTGAAAGAGATCGGGCCGTGCGGGCTCAGTGGGTCGATTGAGGACTCTTGGTTGCGCTCCCAGCACTGACACCACCGCTCAAGGGCTTGTTCAGTAGCAACCAGCTCCGGTGTGGATGCGATGGACGAGCCGAGACGGTTGCACCGCGAGAGGGCGAGTCGGCCTGCTTTGGTCATCAACCAGATGTCTTGCAGCAATGCGTGAATTAGTACATAGCCCCCCAGCGAGGAGAAGCGCTCCATGCCGCTGTTGGGAGTGAACAGTGCAGAAAGTGCCTCCTGGATATTCGGTTCCCCGGGGCTCTGACTGCGTGCGACTTGCCAGATATCGGCTCTAGGCGCTTGCCACTCCTTCTCGGTGCACGGCAGATCCAGGGAAAGCTCTTCGGTAAGAATAACCGGGGGAATGTCGAATACGATGGTGTGAATGTTGAAAAAACAGCAAACAATGAGTTTTGTACGCTTGACGCATTCCCGGTGGATCCAACTGGTCCAGGTCCCGTCGAACTCAGGGAGACGGTTGATGCCGTCTTTTCGAAGAAGCGTAGCCATCGAACTTCTGAATGACATTGCCTCGTGATATGGCGGATTGTTTATGAACCATGATGAAACAGCGAGCAGCATCAGCAGGGCTTGGAGTAGCTCCAGAGTGTCTTTGTCATTGGAGACATTCACGGAAGGCATTGTACCGGACATAAACACTCGCCGGAAGCATTCTAGCGTGACGAGTTTGGCAATCTGGTAGACGCGCATGCTCATGTCTGGTTCACGAGAATACCTGGCACCCAAGGCCGCCATGGAGAGCAAGAGCGGCAACGACATCGAGTCCACATCCAATGTTGGCTTATGCACGATCGGGTAGTGATCATGGAAGCCCATCAGATACCCAGTCAGACAGCGAGATAGGGCGTGTCGAGAAGGTAGCGATGGGTCAGGCACGACAGAAGTATAGTCTGCGAGCGAACGGAGGGCTTTATCTCGGCATTGTGCAGTGACTGGCACAAACCCTGTTGGCTGTCGTGCCTTCGGCGAAGATTGATATCCCTCGGGTTGAAGCGATGGTAGTTGAGCTCCATGGCGCGGGAGTACTGAGTTTGATGGAGTCGAAGCAGTTTCTGTCGCATGATCTCTCTCTGAAGGCTGTTCATAGTCTGTAGCAGGGGAGTACTGTAAGGGCGGGAAGAGAGGCAGGGGCTGGAATGCCGGCGAAAATGGATGACTAGGTAAAGGCACACTATCGAGAAAGGAGGTAAAATCGTTCCCCTCATAGGAGCCTGGGAGCCCACTCAGAGAGTATCCGAAGTCAGACGCGGGCAGGGGTGTTGGGGGTGCTGCTGATGGAGTCTCGGGATTTGGTAATTGCGCGACGACCACGGGCGTTCGATGTGCAGGTAGTCCGTCTGCGAAGTGCGGGCTGCGTCTCGATGGGGCACGGCGATTAGTGCGCGCATGATTTGTGACGACAGATGCCAGGGTATCTAGCCCATCCAAGATCGGATGGGCCGGGGAGGGTGTCTGTGTCTGATTGCTGCCGGGGCTGGCCTCTGGCTGATGGGCGAGCCGCTCATGGCGGACCAAAAGATCTCTGAATTAACTGGTCAGGATTTGCAGAAGCACAGGATCCGTGAATCGCGAGTGGGTGACGTACTTGCGGGTGAAGGCCTTGGGGCATTGAACGCACACATAGGGCTTCTCCTTGGTGTCTATTGGGGATTAGTGGCGAACCTGATATGCCGTGATGATCCAGTGGGGCGAAAGCTTCTTACGCGACCGATCATGACGCTGCAGGTGCTCCAGACGGGCAAAGCCCCGCGAGCATCGCTGGCATTGGTAGGGCTTGGAGCTCATGGCTCATGATGCGACCTTTTCTCGGGTCGTGGCAGCCGAAGAGAAGTCGGGGCGGGCGCTTTCAACTCCGCCGCTGGCATCATGCATGCGCCGGGCGTGTTCTACCGGCCCAGGGTCTCCGAGAGCATGTTGAGATGATTTCGAGGGGAAGATTTCTCGGTATTCTACTCGGCTAACTCTACATGCTCGTCCATTCGTAATTTCTAGTACATGATTGCTCCCAACTTAATTCGCTGTCGGCCATGCTTTGCAATTTGTTCGGACAGCCTCAGTCATCTTCTCCAAATTGGAGATCACCAAAGTGGGGAGATCTCCCCAACTCGGCCCGAAAAAGCTGACTAACGCGCATGTCGTCGGAAGGCGCATTGGCAATGGCTTTGTGAGCGATAGTTCGGCCAGAAGGCCGATTGCTTGCATTCCTGCGGATGAGAAAGCAGATGCGGGATTCACTGAATCGGGGACGATGGAACCCTTGTGGACAGAGGGTACAGATCCGATCTCTATTGCTTCATCAAGATTCATAGCTGGGTGGGGCCGCCACTACTCCTTATCACTAGGGCTTCTCCAATTCTTTTATTTTTTTTTTGCGGATGAGTCTGAGTCCAGGGCCCACATTGAAATGTCGGAGAAGCCCTGGCTTTAAAAGGCCGAAACGTCCCCAAAGTGAGGACCAGTCGCCAAGACAAGAGAGAGGTCATAGCTATCCCCAAGGACAGTACATAACTAAGTCCTACGTGGCCCTCGGCGCGACGGAGTTCTCCAAACCTGGGCCCTTTGTCACAATGGAAAAACGCGAGGCCAGCCCTGAGTCTCTGGTCGAGCCCCAGGAGATCGAACATCTGTATCTTGAACTCGAAACGCCGCTGCCGACGCCATGCATCACTCTGCCTCCTCGCCCCGGCCAGGCCGCGCCGCCAGAGGCACCCAGCTTAAAGAAATATACTTCGCCGTTTCTATGGCCGAAATGGCGCAAGTCGATGATGACCTACATTTCCTGTGCGGTGACGGCGTTAGCTGGTTATTCGGCAGGCGAAGTGAGCCCTGCATCGGAAGAGTTGTGCAAAGAGTGGGGAATTAGCTCGGTTGTGTATAACCTGAGCATCACCATCTTCTGCGTTGGCTTTGCCCTGGCACCCATGGTTCTGGCACCCTTTTCGGAAATCAATGGACGCAGGCCAATTTTCGTCGCAAGCGGTATTGTCTTTGTTGGTATGTTGGTCTCCTCGTTTAAGTTGGTTGGCACTCTACTAACCCACCTTGATAGCTATGCTTATTGCATGTGGAGGAACACACTCATTCGCTGGATTGTTAGTCGCTCGTTTCTTTCAGGGTGCTGCAGGTTGTATGTAACCCTCTATCCGATCAAAATATTGCAGTTGCATGGTTCTAATAATGTCGCAGCTACCTTCTCGACCATGGTTGGCGGCGTCATCAGTGACATCTACCACGCCCAAGATCGCAACACTCCGATGGCCCTCTTCTCTGGTGCCGCGCTCTTCGGTACCGGTTTGGCACCTATGCTCGCGGGTGTAATCGTGACCCACACTACCTGGCGATGGATATACTACTCGCATGCAATCGTCTCGGCTGCCTTCGTTGTAATCATCTTCGTGTTTTTCAAAGAGACCCGTGGCAGTGTTCTGCTCAGCCGGAAGGCTCAGAAGTTAAATATCTACTATGAGAAGCTTGAGGAGGCTGGCCACTACGGCGTGCTGATGCCCAGCGAGGATGCATCCGACGCAAAGACTGTTCGCCGGATTCGATGGAAGGTCAAGAGCGATGAGCAGCGGACGTCGCTCGCCAACATGATTCAGATCTCGGTGTACCGGCCTTTCCGTGAGTCTTTCTACAACCAGCTCGTGCTCACTCTTGTGCTAACTCGTCATCAATATAGACATGTTGTTCACCGAGCCGGTCGTTTTCTTTTTCTCCATCTGGGTGTCCTTCAGCTGGGCTACCCTCTACCTGCAGTTCAGCTCCGTCCCACTCGTCTTCCGCACGAATCACCATTTCAATCTCGAGCAGACGGGTGCTGTATTCACATGTATGCTACGGTGGCCCACTCTCTTAAGCTGTGAACTCTCATACTAATCCAATCTTAGCCATGTGTGTCGGCGTCCTTCTCATCACCATAATCAGTATCTCGCAAGAGAAGATTGCCGCTCGATTTGGTTGTGCCTCCTCATCTGCTGAAGGACGCCTATATTACGTCTGCGTCGAGTCTGTTCTCCTTCCTATCGGCCTGTTCTGGTTCGGTTGGACCTCTTACCCGTCGGTTCACTGGATTGTGCCCTCCATGGCTGTTGGGTGCGCGACTATGGGCATCTTTTCGATTTATCTGGCGACCTTCAACTATCTTGCCGACACATACCACCGATACGCCAGTTCGGCAATTGCGGCACAGTCTTGCTGTAAGTCATCAGCCCCAGTCGTAAAGAAGGCATGTTGGCCGTTTTGCTAACCACTCTGCAGGCCGTAATTTGCTCGGTGGCGTTTTCCCACTGGTGACAGCTGCCATGTTTACCAACCTAGGATACCCCGCAGCATCCAGTCTTCTAGGTGGAATTGTAAGCTGTCCCCGGCTTCAATCGCTGGACAAACCACTAACTGCTGAATGTAGGGCGCCCTGCTCACCCTTGTCCCCTGGGTGTTGGCCTTCTACGGGCCTAGGATCCGGGCGAAGAGTAAAATGGCTAGCGTAAGTGCACCTTTTCCTCAAGTGTCGCATATGTACTAATACAGTAATAGGAACTCGCACATTAAGCGATGATGAAAGTACTCATGACCTGATCATAGCATTTCCGTAATTATCAACTAGACATAGACTCATGTATATAAATGACCCTTGCATACGAATAGACAGAATATGAATTTGCCAACCTCCAACACCGTTACTAAATGTAAAAGCGAAAATTTCCAATTCTACGTTTCATCAATGGATGGATATGCATTGTTGATGCGATTGCAGTTGGTCTAGATGGCAGGAAGACTGCATGCAATATGACCCCAAAACCTTCGTTCCAGCAAACGTAAGCAAGGAACGATTGACTCTAGTAAGCCAAGAATCACCTTGGACGTCCCTGATGTCCTCTGAACTGTGTTTTGACATTGAGGCGGTGAGATGCATATCGAGCATCATCCTCGCTATCGCTTTCCATCTGGTCCAAAATGCGATCAATCTCATCTCCCGCGCGGGCTTCTAGTCCCAGGCTGAGATGGCCGTTCTTCAGATCCCCACTATTCTGCGAGTCGTTGCTTTGTGAGCCTTGGCTTTGTTGTGATCTGACTCCATCATGATGGGAATAGATCGATTCATTTAGGCTCCTCTGTGTAGCTGGAGGCTGTAACGGCCTTGGGCTAGAGCGGTAGCCCGAGTTTTCGGGGCTGGACATGAACAGAAGGGTTTCAATTGCATCCTGTTCCATCAAGGTATTCTGAGAATGGGTTCGTGACCCATAGATGCCTTCTTGGGAAGACGTAGGCGCACGGGACGATGGTGGGATAGATGGCGTCCCCGGCCCCACGACCGATGGTGAGCCACCCATTGAATGAGAAAACGAGGTTGCCTGAGTGGAATGGTGTCGTCGATGACGAGCATAAGGGCTGCCAAAAAGGGGCTTTGAGGTTGATTCGTTTGGATTCGGTCGTCGCCGCCGTGTATCTCCATTGGAAGTGACGATATCGACAGGCGGAGCTAGTTTTGGAATGGGAAGAAGTTTGCCAGGCGAAGAAATCGCTGATTGTGTGCGGTGATGAGATGGAAAGGGTCGAGGGATTGAGGTGTGTGAGTTGCGTTGAGGATGAGATGCCGGGTTTGAGGTAGATGGTGATGCAATGCCACTTGTAGTTTGTGAGTCTAGAGAAGATAGATTGTCCAGTCCATGCAGCGCAAGCTGGGGACTGCTTTGTGACTGTCGGGATTTTTCTATCTTAGCCGCCGCATAGGACAGTCGTGTGCGGATATGAACGGACAACTATATACGCATCAACGAATGCTCATTCGGAAGCCTGAAATGGAACTTACCTGTGCGATTCGGCTCCCGTGTGTTGGTGAGCCTGTGCTCTTCGAACGACGTCGCGAAAGCCGATTAACCTCGGAGAGTTGCGGTGCCAGAAGGTGCGACGAAATATCTTTAATGTCTCCGGTTGCTGTCCTCTTGTGTCCAGGAGCGAACTGCATGCCGAGTTCCGATTGTGAGGTGTGATGTTTTGGTGATCGAACTGGAGGTGAACAGCCATTGCTACTGTGTTCAGACTTCAGTAGATGAAGACCATGTACTCCATTTCCATTGACAGGCAAATTGTGCAACGATTCCTGGGAGTTCTCCAGCTTCGGCTCTGTTCGTGGCGATTGGGAGTTCTCGGCGAGGAAGCGAGGGTTGCCTAGCTCTGTATTTCGATGGCAGTCATTCACTAAAGAGGTAGGTAGGCTGGGCACGGAGTATGTGAAGGCGCTCGCGGAGTGTAGTTCTGGCTGTTGACCATCAACGGAGGTGTCGCTACCACGCTCGGAGGACTCAACGTAGACGCTGTGGTCTTTCTTGTCCTCGATCCCCGCATTCAATCCATTTACGTGTAGCGACGAAAGCTGAGGTGATCGTGGAACCTGAATGTGTTCCGCGCGAGCCGGTTCCCCTGGCGCTCGCACAGTCGATGTGTTCAAGGTCACGGACTCGGTGTTCGCGCTGTCCTCCACATAAGGAAACCCGCGACTCGACGGGACATGGTAACTGTCGTTCATGACGAAGGGAGGGTTGCGGGAGGACGAGGTAAAATCAGAGACAAGAATTGAAGACAAACGTACGCGACCGAGCTTCAATGGCCAAATGACGCGGCCGCGCCGGTGAGTCTAAACACGCAGGACGTAGCTGCTTGCGCCGAGTCACCGCATCGAGACGGCACCGGGAATGTCCGACGTGGAGTGACCAGGAAGCGTGCTAGACCAACGGTCGGGATCTTAATAACGACGAGGACCGGCGGGAGGGTGCAGTGGCACTTGTTGCGGGTGCCAGGAGCATCTGCCCGATCCAGTGGCGATCGACCAGCACGCGCAAGGTTGAGCACGAGCGGTAAAACGGTCAACTAGCAGCCTCCGAGGGTGGGGAACGCAGACACGCCGCAGTGCACAGCCGTGTGATTTACGACGAGAAGTAATTCGGGGACCTTGAAGAGTCAGGCAACATGAATATTATCTGAAGCAGATGACGAGTTCTGTGTAGGCCCAAAAGTTCTCGAGTGGGAGTCGATAGTGTCGTCGCCCTTCGGCTTCCCTTCCTGCGGCGACGCGTGCGAGACACGGTCACGTGGGACGGAGCTACTTGCGGAAGACAAAAATATAATGAGAAAGATTTTCAATTGATGAAATTGTGAAGGAGGTTGGAAGAGGTAGGAAGGGAAATATTAAAGATGTCTCGATTCTAAACGGTGCTGTTCAATAGTGACACTGCAGTGTCATCTGCATCGAAGAGAAGAAGAAAGTAGAAAGGCTCAAGCTCCCGCCAACCCAATTCCAAAAGGAATCGTCACGACTATCTTAAGGGCAGCCGCTAGAAGGATAATTGCAGCTGCTAGTCTCACCGCCACCAGTGATGGAAACATCCGTGAAGGTGAAGTCCGAGCAGCTGTCCGAACCGCAGAGGATGTAGTAGTCGTAGGCATCGTCGGTCGCTGTCCCCTTGACATTATCGAAAGTGACACCACTGATGGAGACGCCATTAGTTGGGTCGCCGGTAGCGCCACCATTAAGGTAGTCCTGTTGGACGTCGATGCCGTAGTCGGTGATTCCAGAGAGAGTAATATTCTGGTACACAATATTGCTCACCTGTATGCAGTGTCAGTCCTCTTAGCTGTCAAGAAAGAGGGCTCTAATTTGTGTAGTGTCAACTTACACTGCCAGTCGTGTCGGCATTGGACTTGATGCGGCAGCCGTTCTCGCTGTTCACCACCTGCGAGTTCTTGAAAGTGACTCCAGCAACGGTGTTGTTGCTCTTGCCACCAACCGATCCAATGCTGAGGCCGTGGCCTCCAGAGCAGTACAGGTTGTCCACCACAATCTCAGTCCCACTAGTAACGGCAACACAGTCATCCTGGTTGTAAACTTCAATGTTCTCTAGGGTAACGTAGTCGCTAGACGATATGTCGAAGCCGTCACTGTTGTGAGCGGCAGGATCATCACCACTAGCAGAATTCGGCTCGTCTCCGGCAGTGTTGTTCAGAACAAGACCAGAAATGGTCAACTGCTGGCTGCCAGTGATAGAAAAGCAGTGGACAGGCCAGTTCATGATATTCAAATTGGTGATCTTGGAATTGTAGGTCTTCTTGACGACGAAGAAGTGGTCGGGCCTGGGCACTCCAATTAGGGATGACGAGCAATGGTCATAGCACTGGTAACTGACTTATCCTGCCCACCGTTGGAGCCCTCTCCATCCCAATATGCAGCACCGTTGCCTTCGATGACGTGGCCATCGGCGCCGGTGATAGTGATACCGTGTCCGGAGACGACAATGGGATCAAAGTCATTATCATAGGTGTCTCCAAAGGTCTTTGTATGATCAGTAAGTTAAACGCCATATCTTGTGTAATTGCTTACCGTGGTACCCGCGAACGTCACAGTGGCGCCAGTCTGAAGGCTCTGCAGATCAATAGTGCTTGAGGGAGGGGCATAAAGGTTGGACAGCACGATATTGGTGCAAGATGCGACAGCAGAAGAGAGGGAGGCGTATTCCGACACAACGCAGGTATTTCCCTCTCCAGTAGAGGATGCGGCTACAGCACTGGAGACCCGAGTAGTTGTAGGCGCCTCAGTCGTGGTCAGGACGTCACTCGACGAGGTGGAGGAAACCGGACGGGTGGTCGTCACAAGGGTAGTCTTCGAGCTAAGGGGCGACTCGCTTGGAACGGCAGATACCGTGCTGGTAGTAATTGCGCTGGTCGTAACCGCACTGGCTGGTGCCACGCCAGGCTGATCTGTATTAGTTGTGCGCTTGTAGATGCGAATGAGAACTTACTCCTGACCCGGCAGTAGCCCAAGCCGTGTCGAGGCAGCTGCAGGCACTCGAGAGAGACCGGGTCTTGAAATCACAAGCAGAAGCAAAGCTTGGAAGGCCAGTAGTGGCAGTCACGGTGCTAGCAGTGAACGTAGCACAAAAAGCGGCAGCCGCAGAGCTGGATGCAGTATACGCCGAAGCACAGGCATGACTCGCGGGGTTATTACACCCCAGGACCATGGGAACAAGAGAGAGAAAAAGCGCACGGCGCATTTTGAACGAATTGAATGGGTAATGAACGAATAAGTGAATGACAGAAGGCAGAAAAGAACGATGAGAACGGAAGCCCTAGGACCACCTGGATTCGAGGGGGTTGAAACTTCTTATACATCCACATAGGCTGGACTCGATTCAAGCTTGTTCACTGCGTAGACACGCGAAGTCCACTGCAGGAACCAGGCCGCACTCTGGATGCCCTATAGCCTGTTCCATCCGGACAATCTCGCTTGGTCTGTTTTCCAAAATCCACCAATAGATTTCGCTAATACTTGGCAGTGTATCAGTTATATCTCCGTCAGATAGTACAAGCGGCGCCGATGACATAGCTAGGGCGTACGAGGGAATCCTTTCAAATTCAACTACAGGCATGATAAGCGACACGTTGGGTCCACTACCTCCAGGGGTACATATCCGGGCGGCACCAAACTATCGAACGGGCGTTTCATGTAGAGAGATTGACGAACGCGGTGGCGTATCGAGGAGTAGTGCTGACATAAAGCGAAGCAAACGTTGCTAGCGCCTTCAAGTCCTACTAGCTTGAGGCTAGTTACATTCGGTGAAACACGACAAATGAACTAGGAGGGAGACGAAAACTGCCCATCACAATCATCATGCTCTAATTAGCGTTTGCTTAGCTCGCTTGGAGGATGCATCGTCAGCGATTACCTACAATCAAACGACAGGGACTAAAAGTGTCTCATCCGATGCTCCCGCTTTCGAAAGTACGTGGTTCATCACTGCAAAGACTTGATTAAGAATTACATTTAGAGCTTTACTATTATTGTAACCTTGTAGTATACTGTTGGTCGCAGACAATTCATTTTCTTCGGGAAAAAGGGATGGAGAAAGGGAAGTGTGAAATCATATACAAGCGGTATATTTTTTTGTGCACGAACGCCATCTATGCAGAGTAAAGGATATCCATGCCCGTCCATGACATGTACAAAATATCATCTCGATCACCTGCGCTTCTTGCCGCCACCACCACCACCGGATTCATCATCATTCTTGCGCTTCTTGCCCTCGCGCCGCCAATAATCATCGCGCTCCCGTCTCTCACGAGCATTCTTCTTCTCCAGACTGTCAGCCACCTTGGCACGGTAGACCTTGCGGCGCTCCTCCTGCTTAGCAGCACGCTTGGCCTGCTTCTCGTTGCGCATGGTAGTCAGCTTCTGCATGAGATCGCGAGCCTTCTTCTCCTCGCCACCCAGAACAACAGCACGCTTCTGCATGTACGTCTTGTCCTTGTGCTTCTTCATCTTGGTGATCTGCGACTTGAAGGGGAGTTCGGCAGCCAGCTGCTTCGGAACACGAAGAGGGTTGAAGTGACGCTCTTGTCGCTCAATCTTGCGGTATGCCGAGTCCTTGTTCATGGGTGTGGGTATACCCTGGTCGCGGCGAACTTCACCGGTCAACCGCATTCCCTGCCAGCCACTGTCAGCTGTGGCACCCTCCTCTTGGTCGAGCAGGTTGGTGACTGGGTTGTAGAAGCGATGGGGCTTGATCGGGTACCATGCGCGCAGGAAGACGATGTCACTCATCAGGATCTTGTCCTCAAATGTCGCACGGTAGTAGCCTTCAGGTTTACTCAGCGCTCTCTTGATCTGACCACGGATACCCGAGACTGTTTTGATGGAAGCACCCTCGAACTTGGCAATCTCGAGAGAGGAGTTGAACATGTCTTTGATGAAGGCGGTGTTCTTGAAAATCTTGTAAGGAACACCAGTGAGCTTCAGCTTCTTAACAATCTCCGTGTGCTCGTCCACGCTCAAAACGACACCGGTCGCGGCAATGCGGAAGCCCGGGTTTTTGTTCGAGAAGGACTGGACACAGCAGAAACCGGTATTGGGAGCCACAAGTGGACCGTAGAAGACTCCGAAACAGTGCATATGCTCGGGTGTATACTTCAGCATACGGTTCCGGGTTCGACTGTCAGAGGTGCTGTAGATAGGCAACGACTGGAATCGACGCCAGCCCAACGAGAAGATCAAAGGATCATTGCTCTTCAAAATCTTTTTGTGCCAGCGGTGGCGCTTGATACGTATCTGCACGTAACCGAAGCGGTCCTCGGTGGGAGCCAGACCACCAACGATGACAGGGAAGCGAGGGTTGAACTTGGAGGCGAACTCGTAAGGCACATTTTCGAGAACAATCCGCGCATACGTTCCGGCTTTGTAACCTTCAGCTCGTGCACGCGAGCCCGGGTCGAGGTTGTCGAACTCGGCGCGGTTGATGTCAAGCTGCTTCTGCATCTTCGCCTTCTGCAAATCGTACCAGTCGTCTTCGCCGAATTCACCCTCGAGACCGTCCCGCTGGCCATCTTTGGCGTTTGCGAAACCCTCACGATCTTCTTCTTCGAAGCGGAGTTTGAGCTCTTCCTTCCTCTTGGCATTGCGCTCTCGCTCAGCCTCAATGTCAACAGGGCCTTCAGCTTCCTTCTCTTCGCCCTCATCCTCGTCACCTTCTCCGTCTTCGGCTTCGTCATCATCGAATCCATCGAAGACCTCGCCGGTCTCCAAATCTTCGAAAGCGCCATCGCCCTCGTCGTCTGAATCGAGGTCGTCGAGATCTCCCTCTTCAAGCTCATCATCCGAGCCACCACCGCCGAGCTTAGCGGTGACAAAACGGCGTCTCAAAGACTCAATAAGCTCCTCATCTCGCCACTTCCGCTCCAGCTCCTCATAGTCGTACTCAGGAACAGCTCGGTAGTCGGCTTGATCTTGCTTCTCATTGTCGGTCTTCTTGAAGAAATCATCGCCTTCTTCAGCTTCGATGTCAGACTCGTCTTCCTCGTCTCCGTCCCCGACACCACGCCACTGCTGTACAACGTCGACGGGAGTAATTGACTCGTCGTAGATCATGCGGGACAAGTCGTTGACCCGGAATGCTGGCCGCTTTCCATGGAGAGCCTTGGCTTTGGCCAACATATTATCCTTCCACCGGGCATTCCCCTCCTCATCCTCCTCGTCCTCATCATCTTCATCTTCTTCTTCTTCGTCGTCCTCATCGTCGCTGTCCAGGTCCTGGTCGTCGACCGATGAGATCGAGCCAAGGTCAGAATCGCTGTCGGCGAAAGCAACATCTTCTTCCTCGCGATGAGAGCTTCCATTTTGACGCTCCTTGAAGCTGGTTTCAAAGTCCGCCGGAGCGGATACGTCGACCTCATCTTCCTCCTCGCCGCTAAGGTCATCATCATCTTCACCCTGCTCGCCGTCAAGATCCTCCTCATCCTCATCACTTTCCTGGCCATCGTCGTCGTCGGATACGACCTCAGTGACACGCTCGCCGTCAGCAATGCGGGCATGGCGCTTGTGTTTCCGGCCAGTTTCATCACCCTCCTCTCCCTGTGCAATTGTTTCACCGCCACGGAAGAGACGGATGCCCTGATCGTCCTCACCAAGCAATCGTCGTTCACCCTGCAGGCCAACCACGAGTTTCTCCCCAAATCCACGGTTCTCGCCATCGGACTCCTCATCGGAGTCACGGTCAAAGGTGTTGGTCTTGATATCAATATAGACCGCATCCTTGTCAACCAGCACACCGCCAACATCAGACATAGGAGCAAACAGCAGTTTCTGCTTCTCGCCCAGCTTACGCCTGTGGGACTTTCCACTTGCTTTGGCGACCTGCTGGTCCATATAGGGAGTCGGACAGGGGTCGGGAAGCCCCTCGATACCGGAGACTGTAAGATCACCAACACCGGGAACGTGTACTCGTGCACCCTGAGCTGGGAAATTGGTACCTCGAAGGTAGCCATACAGCGCAACAGTACGGTCGCACTTGGGATTCTCTTCAATCTGAGTAGGAGGAGTGATATCCAAGAAGCGATCTGCGAGAGCATAAGGGTGGGAATTACGCCACACAAGCGGGCGCGGGTTCTTCATGACCGACAAGAACCGAGAAAGGTTGTGGACTTCGCGGTCGGGATAGCGGCCATTGATCACGCCCGAGAGATAGAAGAGCTTTGCGCCCTGGTAAAGCTCGCTCCAGAAACGGTGCTTCAGGCGCTTCTTGGTCATTCGCAGCGTGCTCTGCTTCTTGAAAAGATCGAGGTGGGTAAGGATACCGAATACATTGCCGGGCATACCACTTGTGGACAGAGCGTTCAAAAACTCCATAGTCTCCATCTCGAAACCGTAGTTTCCATCGATCATCAGCAGGACGATATCGGCGATCTTGGCCACATCGATCATGGCTGCAAGGGAATCGGAGGGACATTCCAAAAACGTGAGACGCTTGCGCTTGGTGGTCACGACGGTAAGCGGGCCTTGCGGCGAGCTCAGGGTCTGCTTGGTATAGCGGCGAATCAAGGACTTGAGGAGAGTTGTCTTGCCGACCTGTAGGCGCAGAGCAAAGAATGTTTGTCAGTATTGACTTGACCCTGGACTTGCGAATTGAGGTTGCAACTTACACCTGAAGGTCCGACGATTGCCACTACCGTCGGAGGAGCCTCCTCGGGCATGCGATCAACCTGAGGGACATGCAGCCTCTTTTCCCTCACCTAAAGCAGCAAATCGAGTCAGCGTCTGCGTACCAGCTTCGAATGACTCGAATAATTTGTAAACGTACATCTTGCGATCGGGCGGCCTGCTTGCTGAGTTTTCCGGGATTGGAATACGCAAAAGCTTTCGGGTTTGACCCTGTAGCGGTTATATTGTCAGCACGGTTTGCGTTTTTCAATCGGTGCGCAAAAGCGATCTCCGCAGATTTAATCCTGGAAGCGCTTTGGAGGCGTACCTTCAAACTTCTTCTTCTCCTTTGCTGGGCGATGCGCCCTATTTGATTGCTGCTCCATGGTGGAGTACAAGAGGTCCAGGACCTCACAACTTCTCTCCCGCTAAAATTCCAAAGAGAAAAGCACAGGCGTCGAGGCAACTGCAAGCTGCGTCTTCAACTGCCCGATCCAAAATTATTATTTCGGGGCGGGAAAATATGGCACCGGCCCAGAAAAAGTTGTCGCTTTGGGGTTTAGCGTGTAGGGGCTTTTGTTGTCGCCTGAGGCAGTCAGGCAGTCGGGTCACGCTCTTATCGCCCCGCGGGCCCGGATCCGAGGTGATAAGGGATGGCCCTTCCATCAGGGCGATGTATTCTAGTAAGGCATTCCCCGCCCTGCAAAGCCGTTGGGATAGGGTAAGTGAGCTGACAGGCCGGTTTGTCACTCATTTACCCAAGACTCCGTGTTTTCTCCCGTCTAATTAGTGCGATTTAGGCAACTTATGGCGATAGGCCGGTCAATCAACCTCTCGTAGCTAACTATGCGGGGCAAGCCTCAGCTATGGAGCCCAGATAACGGCAATGTCCCGACGACGTAGAAGTCCTTATATAATGGAGTGCTTTCCCAGGGCCTGGAGGGCTACTGGTGGCATCTTTCTGCACTCGAGGACGCTCTAATCGCGTTAAAATCCAGCAATCGTGTAACTAAATCCTCGAAGATGTCTGCCGCTCGTCGACCTCCGCCCGCTTATGATTCCGCCCCGGACTCGGGGATCCATGCGACATCGCAGCTTTACCAAACGATCTCCAAGACCGCATCCGATCCTGCCGCACGAGTCCCCAAAGACTCATTTACCATCCGACCATGTTCGGGACAGGCATGGGTTGTGCCTGCCGGTCACGTCTGCCGTCTGACCACGCCCAAGGGGCCGCAAGTCGGTGATCTGAATATCTGGAACGCGAACAATCCGCGGGAACGAATGTGGGCTGCGCGTACCCGACAGATCCACGCTTCTCACGTCTCCGTGGGTGACCGCCTCTGGTCCAATCTACCATATCTTCGTCCCCTGGTGAGCATCACAGGTGACTCGCTAGGTGGCGGGCAGTTGCATAATGTGCTGGGCCCAGATGGGAAGCGGAAATCAGAGGTGGTGTTTGGAACTACGCAATTTGGCGGCCGAGTACATGATTTGCTGGGTACTCGCTGCGACCCCTACGTGAATCTCCTGATGGGCGGCGAGACATTTGACTTCCATTGCCATTCCAATCTGACCCGATCGGTGGCTCCCTACGGATTGACCGAGCTTGATGTCCATGACGTGTTGAACGTGTTCCAGGTAACCGGGCTGGACGAGGAAGGAAGATACTTTATGGAGACCTCCCCCGCGAAGCCAGGAGAGTATTTTGAGTTCTTTGCCGAGGTAGATGTTCTTTGCGCGCTATCTGCGTGCCCTGGCGGTAGGTTCCACCCCCATCGGACTGCAGCGGAAAAGCTACTGACCACATTGGCAGGCGACCTTTCGAACTGGGGATGGGACGACAAGGAGGGTGGTATGGGCGCCACTTGCCGGCCACTGGGAGTCGAGGTGTATCAATTGGCGGACGAGAAGAAGATCCTGGATGGGTGGAGGGCCCCGGAGAGCCCAGCATACAAGGGGATGCACGGAATGAGCATGCCTCCACGCGATCAAGATGGCTATGTCGGACTGTAAAGAGTTTAGCCTTCGTCTGCAGTGGAGAATAAAATGAACATAAAAACGGAATAGTTTTTCCCGTGCGGGATGACTTGCAGTATCGCCACGTGACCTGCCCCGCGTTTGACTGGAGAACAGCGTCATCGGCGTTGCTGCCGCATTGTTACATCAACACTGGGTCGCAGATGGGATCCCAGCTCCTTTCATGGATGCGCTGACGACGGAGCTCCACGTATGCATTATAGTGCGCAAGTGGCGCATGAACCTCCCGTGCAGAGTTGACTCATCCCTCAGCATCAGGCATCAAGATTCGGGGGCATTGCAATGCCGAAAATCTGGTAGATAATCACGACATTCGAAACGTCAGACTGCGCGGAGACTAGGCCACTGTGGTGTAACATCTCCCCGAGTGTCGCAATGCGCAAAGTAGAATGCATGCAGGCTGCCAGGGCGCAGTCAGAAACAGTGGAAATGGTAGTAACAGGGCATGTTGAAGGTCCTTGCAGAGCTAAACAAATGGCGTAAGATCAAAGCAAACCCCTCGGGGCGCCTCGCGCCAGTCTCGCCCTCTTATCAGTGGACGGCGCGTGCCGTCAGTATAAAAGTATCGCCCCTCCCTCTCCCACTCTCCGCTCTTATCTCTCACCTCTCCTCAGCTCACTCCTCTCCCTGCTCCGCCACTCCACCACTCCTCTGCACCCCTTCACCACTTCAGCCACCACCTTACGCTACCAACTTGTTCACACACTAAGCTTCTTCAAACCGCTTTCCACCGGTTCACCAGCCAACCATGCCTCTTTACAACGTAAGTGAACGCTTCCTTGCGTTCCCTACGTCTCGTGCTAACATCGAGCCCAGGTCACTCTGAAGCCCGATGCCCCTGTTGAGCAACTAGACGCGTTGGTCTTCCTTCACCTAATCTGCACCGACAGTCTCCGCTAATCGAGTTTTATCTTACCAGTGCCAAGGACCAGGCGCGCGAGAAGGGCGGCACCATCAAGCACGAATACAGTCTCATTAAGGGCTTTGTGTACGCACCCCACTGGTCCCCCTCCCTCTCACCTCTCACTTTACCCCGCCTTCCCACCACGGGCGCTCTCTCATCTCAGGTCTGAGTACTGACACCCCCTCCAATATTAGCGTTGAGTTCCCTGACGACCACGTCGACACCCTCGAGTCCAATGACCACATCCACGTCGAGCAGGACACCGAGGTCAAGACTCAGTAATAGACTACATCCAAGTCTACATCGCTGAGATCAGACGAGTGACAGCACGGTTCGACAGACGGGCCAGCGGAGGGTCTTTTCTTAAAGTGCCGGGGTTTGATTCCGTCAGGAATCTACTCCGCTTTATTCATCCCTTTATGTATATATTATTCCCCAGCGAGCGTCTTTGACTGAAAGGGTCTTAAACCTCTTGCAGATCAAAATGAAGTAACGAATGCAGAATGGCCTTCTGCCACTTAATGGAAACAAACAAGAAATATATTGCGGGTCCTTCACGTCGACGTCATCGATAAATAAGTAATAAATTCAAGGCAGATTACCCCGTGAGACCAAAGAACCCAACTGGAAACTTCTCTCATACGTAGAATAGTAGATTCAAGTAACAACAACCATGCCCTGAATACTCAGTAAACATACGCCCATGGTTAACACGTTCGGGCGTGTCACAGCAGTACCTGCCTTGGGCCGAGGATATCCGACTCCAGACCGCAACATGCATGTTCTCCCGTCACCGCCCTCTTTTCTTCTTATCTCCGCTCACACCTCTCACTTTCCCCCTTCCCAAGCATACAATGGCGGTCGCAGTATTTCGGGCCCAACTTCAAAGGGGGAATACTAGGCTCCTGCGTACGAGGCCGCGGTTGATCCGTCAGGCTTCGACGTCGCAGACGGGTCGGGATTGGACTATTCATCCGGCCACTCGTGATGCTGCTAGAGACCAGGTTGCCCAGTTGGCTGCCAGTCCACGTCGCCCTCTGACACTGGCAGATCTGCTTAGGTGAGTATGTCTTGGGCATAGTCCAGAAGGAAGCGGGCTAATAGAGACTGATTCTACAGGCATGGGCGCCCACCATTATCCAAAGACGCACTGCTAGCGTCGGCGAACTTCACTCTCTCCTTACTCCCCGCACGACTTGCCTCCCGAATCCATGCTTTGCGGAACCTGCCTTTCATTGTCGTCTCCAACCCTAACGTCTCGAAGATCTACCACAATTACCTTCATTCGCTGTCAACGCTTCTTCCATTCCAAAAGAGGCAGATCACTACACTGGAAGAGGAGAACAAATTCGGCGAAGTGCTTGCGGACCTTGTGCAAACACATACCAACACAATTCCAGTGCTTGCGCGCGGGTTCCTAGAATGCCGAAAGTATGTCTGCCCGGCAGATGTCACGCGCTTCTTGGATACCCACCTGCGTGCGCGTATCGGTACTCGGTTAATCGCTGAGCAGCACTTGGCACTTCATTGCGCCTCACAACCAGTCCGTGACGGGCCGCCTTGCAGCTCTGATAGTACTGCTGTTCCATCGAAGTACATTGGCGTGATTGATACCGCGATACAGCCAGCGCGTATCATCCGGCTTTGCGAGGACTTCGTTGGGGAAATATGCGAACTAAAGTATGGGGTGCGCCCGCGTCTGGTGATTGGAGGCGAGCCTGACGCATCGTTCGCCCATGTTCCAGTGCACATGGAGTATATCATCACAGAATTGCTGAAGAATGCGTTTCGGGCGACTATCGAGTCCGGAAATGAGCGGGAGCCCATTGAGGTGACGATTGCTGCTGCCCCAGATGTCCCGGGGAAAGAGCCGCCTGTTCAAGGCGACACCGACATCGGGTTTCAGCTCGACGCGAACGATGATGCGTACCCGCGTGAAGCAATGGGGGCCTCGAATCCCTCGTTGCAGAGCATCACCATTCGTATTCGCGACCGGGGCGGTGGGATTCCTCCGGAAGTGCTTCCTCACATCTGGTCATATAGTTTTACCACGTTCTCGGAGATGGACTTGAATTCCGAGAACGGCAATTTGGATGCGTTGAACACAATATCTGGCAGCGGAGGTCATCTGAGCAGCATTGCGGGCCTTGGGTACGGATTGCCGCTGAGTCGAGCATACGCGGAGTATTTTGGGGGGAGCATTGCGGTCCAGAGTCTTTTTGGATGGGGCACAGACGTTTATCTAACTCTGAAAGGAGTTGGCAAGGTCGACTGAAGACAGAATGACCACTCTTTCCTCTGAATGCAGTGGTTTTGTGTTTCTTTTCTCCACACTTTCGAACGGCCTACAGGATGCACAAACAGATCCACAAAAGTCATGACTGGCAGATCGGGACTTTAAGCTGCCTCCACCCGTCTCTGTCTGAGAACATGCGCATCATTTTCGAGAATATGGCCTTCAGAACCGCATTCGTCCTGGGGGTTGGCACATTTCCAATGGGCTACTCAACCAAGATCTCTGAAAGACCGGTCCGTTCTTGAGGTGGATAGTATGCCCTGCTCCGAAGGTCAAATTCAAATAACTGTGAGTAAGAACGGGCGGAGCGAAATCATGACCCTGTCCCGGAGGGGCTCCAGAGTTGCGCTGGTCAACCACGGAGTTGTGTCCAAATTGTCAGCAGCTTCTGAGATACTGTCTCTCAAAGCCCGGATACCACAGGTTGGATAGAATGATTACGATCTGCCACACTGCGTACCATTGCCTTTTGTTGGCGATGAGGTGGTGCACAATTCCATCTGTTTCGGTGTTCCATGCCCTTCGACAATTCCTTCCTACAAAGCTGCGCAGCTGAAGGAGAGCTGCTCTACAGCGGATACCCCATATCTCTCCACAGGCTTCGTCTAGACGAGCACGCGTCGAATCATTCATCTACTCATGGCCGAGTAAATCGGGACGCCGTTTCTCAAATGTTCGGGCCCAGAATCCATACAATACCCGAGGACAAAGTTATTGGCGAACCAAGCTGATCCGCCCGAACATATAAAGCGAGTTGCACATCTCACCGAGCAGCGTTGCCTTTAGCCCGTTCCCTTTTTGGAATCGTGTTATTGCGCGCCCGGCAACGCTTGGTCGGTTGCCCATCCATCCAGACATGGGAATCCATGGCATGTTTGCTCCTCTGCGAGCCCCAGTAGCCCAGAAAAAATGAAAATTGATAATAATAAAAGAAGAAGAAGAAGAAGCTAGCTTAAGTTAAGACAACATGGTCGACCCCGTACGCGATGATTGCGAAGTGCATTTTGATAGCAGCCTTGTACCTCACGCGCTTTGATCGATGCACCAACAATGTCCGCATGGTAGAAGTGGCGGACCCGTATGGACGAGGCGTCTGGAAGTTGCGACGCACGACAACAAGTTTATAGCGGCCAGGATCGCTGCGATATTAGCTAATTTTCTACATTTTAAATCCGACGCAAACTGAACTGAACCCTTGGTATAGCAAGTGCCTATCAGATCGATGAGCCTCTGCTCTTATTGCCAAAATTCGAACTTGAAATTTTCGGCTTTGCTAGTCGGTATGGATCTGCACTTGCTAGGGATAGCAGCCGCAGCTCCTCAACCCGGATGAAGCAGGTGAGACTGAAACGCCTCGGATAACAATAGGAAAAAGAAAGCAGCATGGCTAATTGTCAGCATCCCTTCGCGGAAACGCAATGCGGGGGACCTCCGTGCAACAGCTAGTCGTGTGGCGATTGGGTGATGTGTGAATGGGGAGTAGGGGTGCAGATGCCCCCACGCCTCCTCATCTGCAGACCTCGGTGTTGTGTCCGAGGGGAAAGCCAATTCCGCACTATCCCCAGATTCCCTGCTTTATCTGCGACCCAGCCCCGCCTTTCCTCACTTCCTTATTCTCTGATGTTTCTTCAGCTTTCATGATCCTTGTCTTCCAATCTAGCGGGTTTTCATATTGAACGCGTTCATTAGAAAGGAGTGATGTACGTTCATGTGCTTAATCGATTACCATAGTCCCCAACTAATTGCAAGCTAGGGTCTATACTGCATCCTTTGCCTTCTTCGAGGCGCTCTGGGAGGTATGTGACACCTGGGAGTTTGTCAATGCGTGATGTGTAACTCTGACCATAGTCTAGGGTGGCGTCAGCCATGTCTTCGTTAATCTGGGTTCCGACCATCCCTCCATCCTCGAGGCAATGGTGAAAGGCCAGAAGGAGAAGAACGGCCAATTCCCACGAATCATTACCTGCCCAAATGAGGTACGTCAACCCAGCAATTGCATCATCTCATGACCCCATTCATACAAGCTTTTCATCCCCTCATTGGGTTAGCATCGGTCCTATATGAGACCTCCTGACACAGTCGATATAGATGGTCGCACTCTCAATGGCAGATGGCTACGCTCGTCTCACTGGCAAGCCGCAAGCTGTGATTGTACACGTCGATGTCGGAACCCAAGGGCTGGGGGCTGCAGTGCACAATGCCTCCTGTGGGCGTGCCCCAGTTTTGATTTTTGCCGGACTTTCGCCCTACACTATTGAGGGAGAGACTAGAGGCTCACGAACCGAATATATCCACTGGATACAAGATGTCCCAGACCAGAAGCAGATTGTTTCTCAATACTGCCGGTATGCGGGGGAGTTGAAGACTGGCAAGAATGTGAAGCAGATGGTCAACCGGGCGCTACAATTTGCAACGAGCGATCCTCAAGGCCCCGTTTATCTGGTTGGAGCTCGTGAGGTAATGGAGGAGGATATCGAGCCATATCAGCTTATCCAGAATAACTGGGGGCCTGTGGCACCGGCCGCATTGCCCCCATCGGGCGTTGAGCTGATCACATCTGAGCTTGTGGCCGCTAAGAACCCGCTGGTGATTGTTGGCTATACTGGCCGGAACGCCCAGTCAGTAACGGAGCTGGTGACCCTCGCCAACAACTTCAAGGGCGTCCGTGTCTTGGACACTGGGGGCAGTGATATGTGCTTCCCCGCCGACCATCCTGGATGGCTAGGCTTGCGGTACCCGGGACATGATATCGTGCAAACGGCCGATTTTATCCTGGTGATCGATTGCGACGTGCCTTGGGTGCCAACCCAGTTCAAACCCTCCGCTTCTGCTAAGATTGTTCATATCGATGTGGATCCGTTGAAGCAGCAAATGCCCGTGTCCTACATCCCATCCATGGCTACTTTCCGGGCCAATTCTACTACGGCTCTGAGGCAGCTCAACGAGCATGTTACCAGCAACAACTCGCTTCAACATTTCATCAGATCCACAGACAACATCGCTATGGGCCAGCACCGTGAGAAAGAGTACCTCCAGCGCCGGAAAGAAATTGCCGATCTGGCTGTTGTCCCAGCAGGCGGTGGCAGTTCCCCTCTCAATGTCTCCTATATGATGGCGCAGGTGCGGAAAAGTGTCCCGGTTGATACCATATGGGCAATTGAAGCCGTGACACTCACCCACCAGGTCGCAGATCAAGTTGGTGCTACACTACCCAACTCTTGGATCAACTGCGGTGGAGGTGGTCTGGGCTGGTCAGGGGGTGGTGCACTCGGCATCAAGCTTGCCTCCGATGTGCAACACGGTGGCCCGGGCAAGGGCAAGTTTGTCGTCCAGGTTGTAGGAGATGGAACCTTCCTCTTCTCTGTACCTGGATCTGTCTATTGGATTGCGCGCCGGTACGGGATCCCAGTTCTGACGATTGTACTGAACAATAAGGGATGGAATGCGCCGCGGCGCAGCATGTTACTCGTCCATCCGAACGGAGATGGATCGCGTGCTACCAATGAAGATTTGAATATCTCATTTGCCCCGACCCCAGATTACTCGGGCATTGCTAAAGCTGCAGCTGGGGGAGAGCTTTGGGCTGGCCGGGCTTCTACTGTCGCCGAACTTGCCCAGAAACTCCCTGAGGCTATTCAGAGCGTTTTGAGCGGAAAAGGCGCAGTCTTGGAGGCGCAACTAGATGGAACTGTGGGCAAGTATGTAGAGCGCTCTAACCTTTAATATTGCGGACTCTTTTCTGCCAGTATGAAATGAAAGCATCGAGTAGACAACAGCATGCAACACTGTATACTTCGAGTAGTCTGAGCGCATCAACATTATCGTGCCGATGCCGGCGATAGCCTTATCTAGGCGGGGCTCGGTGTTTTTGGATAACAGTATCGCACCCTGTACACCGCCCATTCGCGCCCCGTTCATAGCAATTTGCCGGTATCGTGCCGTATAGTACCCCTCCATCGCCTGCGCACCCTACGCCCTACACATGACAAGGTCGCCGCTGCAGGGCTTCTTTGTCCACCAGCAACAACCCTGCGCAGACAAAATTAGATAAGAGAAATCCACAGCGTAGATGGCTACTGGCTCCCCTGTATCAAGGTTCTCCAAAGTCTGGATATTTGGGCTGCATTGATGAGTCATGCGTCCCAATCGGATCCGCGCTGCCGGGTGGATATCACAGTTGTAAATTCCGCCGTCTGCTCCAGTTCGCCTCCACCACCACTTCAACGTTGGCGTCACTCTTCTCTTCTTCACGCAACTGTGTGCTTCTCATCTCAGCTCTGCGCTCCTCATAACACCCAGTTAGCCCTGCTGTATTCGCACCGAAACGACACCGCCTCGCGCATCCCACGCACACAGAAATATACCCCGGTGCCTACCTGTTCTACCCACACGTTCACGACATGAGCCCGCCTGCGCCGCTGGATGTTGACATGGTGGGGGTTACTGATACTTCGGCTGTGCCTATTCCAGACCCGTTGACGGTCAATGGCGTCCCGGCGTGGCGCGAAAAGATGGCAAAGATGCCCACCGGCATTGCGGCGGCATGCAGCAGTGATATGTTCAAGAGTCCGGTATGATACTTGCAGATTCAGAGGGCTGGAAAATGCGAGAAGGAAATGTGAGAATACAGTAGTGCTGATGAGGTTCTTTCTTGGGTGTTATAGGCTTGCTATACTAAGCCGAAGGCGAAGCGTTTTGATCGTATGTCTAAAATGCATTCTGCCATGATCGACACTTGTTGACCTATTGAGTATAGACTTCCTATCCACTGAGGCCAAGTCTCGGAAGGTGTGTGCTTCGGAACCTATGTTTTAACCTTTCAGGGCAAATGTTTATATTGATGCCATTAATAGGCTTCTACCCTGAAGTCTGCTGCTCAATACCTCAAGAACCCAGGTGCGATTACCTTTTATAAGAATTTTTGAGAGAATGCGTGTTACTGATATCAATTTGAAGGCATAATCTCTCTTGGTGGTGGCCTGCCCTCTCCTGAATACTTTCCCTTTGAACACATCGACATCAAGGTCCCTAATCCACCAGGGTTCTCTCCTGAAGCTACCCAAAAGTCCGGCTCGGTTGTACGCGCTGGAAAGAACGATATCAGGGAAGGCTCTAGTCTTTATGGTTCGTGGTTATTATTACGTTAGTCAATTGGCCTTTAGACGGCACTAACGACTCTGGTCTTCAGATCTCGAAATTGCGCTCAACTATGGCCAGGCTACTGGAGCTGCCCAACTACTCCGATTCATCACTGAGCACACCGAGGTATGTGGGGTGTAGCCTTGAACTTGCTAGATGATACTGACACTGGAAGATCATCCACAACCCCCATACTCCGACTGGCAATGCACCATGACTGCTGGTAGCACTTATGCTTGGGATACAGCACTCCGTTTACTAACTGAGCGTGGCGATCACATTCTTATGGAGGAATATACCTTTGCTAGTGCTGCCGAAACCGCTTTCCCGCTGGGGCTGAAGGCAGTCGGTATCCCCATCGACGAAGAAGGTCTCATCCCGGAGGCCATGGATGAAATCCTGAGCAACTGGGACGAGAAGGATCGCGGCGCGCGCAAGCCTTATGTATTGTACACAATCCCCACAGGACAGAACCCCACTGGTGCCACCCTGTCGGCCGAACGCCGTAAGGCCGTCTATAAGGTCGCACAGAAGCACGATATCTACATCGTCGAAGATGAGCCCTACTACTTCCTGCAGATGCAGCCTTATGTCGGCCAGGGTGCTGCCGCACCGCCCCCTCCCGCTAACCACGAGGAGTTCATCAAGTCTCTTGTTCCCTCTTTCCTGAGCCTGGACGTTGACGGCCGTGTGTGCCGATTGGAGTCCTTCTCGAAGGTCGTTGCCCCTGGTACTCGAGTTGGGTGGATCGTTGCATCCGAGCAGATGATTGAGCGTTTTATCCGCAACTTCGAGGTTTCCTCGCAGAACCCTAGCGGTATATCCCAAATTGTTTTGTTCAAGCTCTTGGACGAGCACTGGGGCCATTCCGGATATCTGGACTGGCTCATCAACCTGCGTTTGCAGTATACCGACCGCCGCGATGCGCTGCTTCACTCTTGTGAGAAGCATCTACCTACCGAGATTGCCCACTGGGTGCCTCCTGCGGCAGGCATGTTCGTAAGTTATAATTTTCGGCGTCTATCAGTATCCAGAATCTGACTAACTGTTTGCTAGCACTGGATCGAGATTGATTGGCACAAGCACCCTGGCGTTGCCGCCGGTAAGACCCGCGAGGCGATTGAAGAGGAGATCTTTTTGTCTGCTGTGGATCACCAGGTTCTCTTGTCACGCGGCAGCTGGTTCAAGGCCGACAGCTCGGCCGTTATGGAGAAGATGTTCTTCCGCGCGACCTATGCCGCAGCATCATCGGAGAAGATCGACGAAGCCATCGCCAGGTTTGCAAAGTGCCTGCGCGACCAGTTCGGTCTGTGAATACTGAAATTGACGGCTCATTATGCGCATTTATGGGGGTTTCTGGATAGATGTACCTAGCATTGGCCTTTATTAGACAGCAGGAAGTTGCCTTTGTGGATAGCGCTGTTCAAAGGGAATTTCGGCCCATTATAGCACTAATTGCATGTGTGATAGACGTTTTTGAGTTTTCATGTGGCTTTCTGTGCAATCTGGCAGACCACTCCTTCACACTTCGCATTCAACACGTAATTGGCATCAACTCTCGTTTCGAATGCGCAGTTGGTTCGCCGCCGACATGGAAAAAAGAAATCTACGGTGTGATAATGAAGCCTCAGCCGAGGTCTAGAGATAGACATTTGGCCACTAGCAGGATTTTCTGAGCCATGTATGGCCAGCACAGAACAGCATCTTACCTTCAGAGCCACATGGTGTGATGTAGACGACTAAAAGCGTGATAGCTCGTTGCAGGAGTACTTCTTGTGGCACCAAGATTAATGCCTCAGGCATAAAAGACATGCACAGTCACGTGCCAGTTACTGTGTTGCCTCCACCGCCAACAGCAATGAACACGACGTGATACGGCCAGGACATCGCGGGATGAGAGCAGATGAGCTTCGATCATCGGTCTTGAGTAGACTATATTGGGTTATTCTTGACTAAGCATTGAATGACTCCGGAATACCTGGGAAACTCGTGCAATAGTCATATCGCACCAATTGGCGCGGTTACGATCGATCTGCTCGTGTGAAGGTACTCCTTTGGTGCTGCTGGGTAAGCTGACTTTGGCTTCTCGTATAATGTTCGCTGAGACAACCCCCTACGCCCTCTCCCTCCTGTTACACCTTTTCCATTCCCACCCTTACCTTTTTCCCCTTCACTCTCACCATCTGCCAACTCCTTCACTTTGCGCGGGCGACGCTGAATGCAAATGTGTCTTTCAAACAAATGATGCAATGACTGATTCTCCCTCAGACCGGTCTCCGGCGGAGTCACTTCGTATTTCACCGAGCTCCAGAGCTAATTTGGTTCGATATCTCGACTCACCCGGCTCAGGCTCCTCAAGGCTGCCCAGCAGCCTGCGTCAACACGGATCAGGCCGCCGTCCATCTCTCAACTTTGAAACGAAGAAGCCTGGTCGTACGGCCTCTTCTTTTGCCTTACTTACGTCAGTATTGCCTGGCTGTTCCTGCAATTAATCACTCTCTGACCTCAACCAGGGACTCAGCTACCCGCTTCCAGCTACCGAAGATTGAGCCGTCGGATTGTGGACCCTATGAGACTATTCAACCTGACGAGGAGCCATCGCCCGAGGAAGTAGATACTGGCCTCCTACCAGACACTCCCAGTGACTCCAGCATCCTTCTATCAGATCTGCTTGACCATCTGCAAGAGGAAGCAGCCCTGTCTTCCAGGCCTGATTTCAAGCCGGCATTTGCGAGCTCATATAGCCCTTCAGACTATTACAGCAGTGCAGACGAGACAGACAGCTCTTTCAGAGAATCCAGTGAAATCCCCGGGACTCCTGAAAACCTCGCCTCGCCCCTGGATGTGAAAATTCCCGGACGCACACTCAGTCAGTCTTACAAGCAACTCGTTGAACATTTTCCACTGGATGTGAACTGTGAGACTGTGACCACTCGGCAAAATAGCATTGCTACGGAGTCAGAAAATAGCTCTGTGTTTCACACAGATATCAAGGCGAACCCACCAGCTACTCCAAGTCAAAGCCGACGAAAAGACCCAACTACTCCCCCCACGCTGCCACTCTCATTTCTTGGACCCTTCCCAACTCCTTTCTCTCACCGTCAATTCCTTGTGACGTCGTCCCCTGAGTATTCGTCACCCCCCATCTCTTCTTCATCGCCTCGCCTTCCTCCTTCACCCTCCCCTCTGCCTCGTCGCCGCCTGCAAAAGAAAATTGCTACAAGCACCTCCAAGCTACGCCTTCCTGATATCTTCAAGCAGCGACGGGCCACGAACAAGCTCTAGAGCAGCCTGATGAAGTGCTTGTCATCAATTTTCTTTTTATCTTCTCAAATTCTCCTTCCTAACGTTACTCGACCCCGCATTTAAAGAAGCGAACCAAAATGGAGTCTCGAGAATCTCGGTTTCTGGACCCATCGTCTGCCATGGCAGCGATCACCAGGCACAAGGCGGAAGCAATCAAATTGGCACGAGAGCAGGGAACAGCTGTGAAGGAGATGTGTCGTCGTGCAAAGACGGATGTGCCACCATATGAGTTTGAAGAACTGATTGGCAAGGGTGCCTATGGACGAGTTTACAAAGGCCGTGGGATACCTTCCGGTCGGCTCGTAGCCATCAAAGTTCTCGACATCGACTCGCTCGACTACAAGTCATTACGTGATTTCAGGGATGAGTCTATCAAGGACTTCATTCATGAAACCAAGGTGATGAAACAAGTAAAGGACGCAGGAGCGAAGAACATCAACGAGATCATTGAAGCCATTTCCATCCACTCCCAACTGTGGTTGGTTTGCGAATATTGTCCTGGAGGAAGCGTGCGGACACTGGTATGTTTCTTTCCTTTTCCCTCACTACAGATCACTCAATTCATGTGTTGTAGATGCGGGCAACAAGTGACAAACTTGATGAGAAATTCATCATTCCCATCGCACGCGAGCTGGCCGTCGGGTTACACGCGATTCACGAAGCTGGCATCATACATCGCGACGTCAAAGGTACGGTAGTCTTGAGCAATACCCTTGGGACATGGTGCTGACATATATTCTATAGCTGCAAACATTCTCATACATGAAGAAGGACGATTAGAGATTTGCGACTTCGGTGTAGCAGGTGTTCTTCAATCACAGCGGGACAAGCGATCCACCTGGATCGGAACACCTCACTGGATGCCACCAGAAATGTTTGCAACCCGTGGGGAGGCCCATAAATACGGTAGTGAAGTGAGCGAATACCTAGGTCATATCTCCTTGCTAGACTTACTGACTCGGCTAGATTGATGTGTGGGCGTATGGCTGCACACTGTTTGAATTCGCAACGGGAAACCCACCCAACTCTGGCCTTCGTGAACGTATGCAAATCGGACGACAGCTCAACCGAAATACTCCTAAACTTGATAGCAACAATTACAGCGAGGGGCTAAAGGAGCTGATTGCATTCGCGTTGGACTCCAATCCTGCCAGTCGCCCCACGATGGCTGACATATTGGCCCATCCCTACATTGCCGGAACTGACGAGGAATATCCCACATCATCTGTAGGCGAGCTTGTGAGGAATTACTACCAGTGGTCACAACGAGGAGGCCAGCGTATGTCTCTGTTTCACCCCGGGGGCGCTGCCGCCGCCGAACTTCCAGGTACCGACGAGTCGGACGATGATTGGAACTTCAGCACCACAGATGGCTTTGAGCGACGGTTTTCGGTCATTGATCTAGATCAAATCGCAGCTTCGCTGGCTGAGATGGAAGAAGCCATCAGCCCGACTACCCCGACTTCGGAACATGATTCCAACGAAGATGCTTCTGACACCGACCTGGACCAGGAGCAAAAAGCCAATTTCGACGAGCGGGTGCGACGAGGTGCGGCAGCAATGGAAGGCCTCTTTGATGAGGAGAAGCCGAGCTACAAATATGAGACGAAGAACGACTTTGTCCCTATCCAGCCTCCTCAGCCATCATCAGACCTACCTCTGCGCACCGAGACCGATCGCTCCTCTGTGACATCGACGTTCATAGACATCGACATCGGTTCGTTTGATTCATCGCACTATGCAGCTGGCGCACCATCCGCACAGCCATTCCAATTGGCCGATGCGGATACCATCCGTGCGAACCGATCGAGTTTACGACTTCATCGCAACTCGAATGAAACTAGTTCACAGTCATCTGGCAGCGAGGCGGAAGGTGGCGACAGTCAAGACGAGAGCTTCCAAGCCCCATCCGGCCCTCGGCCTCCTACTATGGATTGGAAGTTCCCGGTATTTTTGCCGGCAGAGGAGGAGGCAAAGGAGGAGGAAAAAGCAGCGCCTGAGGAGACACCAGCGCGAGAGCCAATCCAGGAAGAATCCTTCCAAGCCGAAAAGCGCGCCACGATGCAGTGGACATTCCCTGTCATGTCAGCACAGCCGGAGGAGACAAATACCAACAATGAGTCCGACCGTCATGATACCATCCGAGCGCCAGTCGCCCCTCTCCAGCGGCAGCCTACCGACGAGCCAGTCGACTCCCGCCCATCTACCTCTGCCTCCCATACCTCCACTATGTCAGATTCCGACTATGACCCGTTCCGTTTTGATCGCCCAACCACCCCGCAGGGCGTCTCGCCCCAACCAGCCTCCTTTGACTCGGACTTTCCGACGCTGACTGGATCAACTACGGATGAAGATTCAGAGTCAGCGGGGGTGCTCGATGGGCCTGGTCCTGATGAAGAAGAGGGCCACTCATTATGGAAGGGGCACGATGATGTGGAGTCTGAAGACGATGTACTTCCGCTTCCTACCGCCATTCCAGTACATGGAAGCCCCGGAGGTACGGCTCCCTCTGTCTCGGAGCCAGGCTCCCCTATCTACGAGGAGCCTTTGCAGACTGCCCGTCTAGATATTGTATCAGGGACCACTCTCGGGAAGTCTGAGCCGGGTGCCATTTCGTTTCCATTTGTCATTCCGCCCAACATGGAGAGCTTGATGGAGGGAGCTGACGATGCTACTATGACTGCAGAGCTGGATCGTCTGCTAGGTGACTTCCTAGGTGCCCTTTCTGCGACTGGAGAGGCACTTTCGAGAGCCAGTCCTGAACAGCAGGCGGACGAGGCTAACCACACTGCTGAGAGGGCCCAATAACTGTTTTTCCGGTTCTTGTTCTTATCTGGGAACAATCATGGAATTTTATTCACGTCAGCGTTCACATATTGGCATTTAGGAACAAAGAATATCATGAACTCAATAGTCTATAACGCTACAACCACCGTACGTCTTTTTCGCATCTGATTTGCAACGTATTTTGCTCACAGAGCACGCATCACGGGGAGTCCATCAAACGAGCCACCTGCCATTATGATGCGAACATGGCGATTCTCTTCAAGTTAAAAAATATGATTCTATTCGAGCTTATGAAGACAGTTGATACCGAGCCTTTCTCATCTTCGTGGGCTCTAATGTCTGGTGGAATGGCACAAGCAGACAGAAAGTATCCTACATTAAATGTAAGGTCATCTATCCCCTTGACGTGGCTTAGATGACGTGGTGTCCTTAATCTTCCGATTTAGGACCGTAAGCATTGTTGTCGTCTCTTGTGATGCTCCTCCAAGCGTGTCTAGACACGTCCACGCTCTTCGTGATCCAACATCCCCCCTCCTCAAGGTAACCTCCACACCCATTGGGCCTCGCCTCGTCGACCCAGACATCATCCTACCCACCCAAGTCTCTATTGCATTGCGCTCATCATGCTGGGCGGCTTTTCCACCCGAATCTCCGCGGCATCTTTTGCCTTTCCTTCCTCCCCTCCACCACCCAAGACCCCACAGGAGTGGAAGATGGCCTTGATGGAGGTCAAGCGTCTCTATCTCCAGCAGCAATACAAACAGTGTGCCGCTCACGCTGCCGATATCATGATGACGGCCAAAAGGACTGTCTGTGTCGTTTATCCCGGTGCCTTTCAGAAGACATGGAACTAAATTCGTTCTGTCCAGATTCACCCCATCTACAAAGCCTACCTGTCGTTCTACACGGCTATCTCCTACGAGTTGCTTGGCCAGGCGGCCCATCTCTACTCTGCCAATAAAGTCTCCACTCTCCACGCAGCCCTGGACTCGTTCCTGGATTGTGCCTCTACGCTTCCAGCTTCCATTCCTCTGCCAAAATCGTCCATGGCTTACCTGACCCCGCCCACGAGCCCTACCTCTGTGTCATTGTCAGCTTCGCCTCTGACACCTGGAAGCCTCCTTCTCGTATTTGATGGTCTTCAGCATCGCTCCCCTCTGCAAGACTCCCTCGCCCGGAGTTTATCGCGTATGATCGATGTTTCCCTCGCTTCCAATGAGGAGGACCCGTTCATCTCAGACCACGACAACGAATACCAAACTCCATTCATGCTGTCTCTGACCAAGCCAATGGCGGCTCCTAGGGCCACATTGAAAAACAACGTGCTTTTCCGCGTCATGCTAAGTCCTGACAAGATCACCGCCAAGGCAAAGTCTACAGACCCAATCAAGACGGAAGCTCTGATGCCGGCACCGCTTCGCATTCAGAAAGCATCGTGTAAATCAACCTCATGCGAGACCCCGACAATTATGAACCTGAACACTTCGAGAAAGAGTGCAGGCAGACCCCGCACTCCTCCACTCCCTTTGCAGGCTATCTCAGCAAGTCAACTGAACATCGACCGCAGCAAATCGAATATTCGCGCTACCGCCTCCAAGCCAGTCCTCTCTTCCTCTTCGGGTCACATCCACGTAACTCCTCCAAAGAAGAACAATAAAAGCAGCAACGAACACCCTACCGAGGCTGTCTCACCCGTTGTTGTGGCACAGATCATCAAATTCAACCGCGGTGTTGAGTTCCTCCGCTCACAGGTGACCACTAATGTCTCTGACATCCAGAGACACGCAGACCACGTCGCGGAGATCCAGCGAGCTCGCCGCGCCCGAAAGATTCAGCGAGCAGCCTCTTTTTGGAGCTTCTCACCCGTTACTACTGGAGAAGAGTCCGAAGCCCAGCAAGATCCAGAGCCCATCATGGACCACTTTGGCAACATCCTAATCAGGGAGACAAAAGAGCAGCGGATTGTCCGCTTGCGGGCTGAAGGATGGAACACGGTGGGACTGCGGTCTCCCCGGAGCACCTGGAAGGGGGCCCGGTACTACCAGGAGTTTTGCAACATGGTCCTGAATGAGCTGTATCTGGATCGGTGAGGCTATTGGATCTACGTTCTGTCTTAATAGATACGTTGATATGATCATGTGGAGCCTATTGCTGATAATCGGGGCATTTCACCTCGTGGGTCTGCTCCAGGAGTGTCTTTAAGGGCCGATGAAATGTGAATTCCTTAATTGAACGTGTACAATCAATTGGAATTCATGAATCGAATGTAGTTCCCCATAGGGACCAGTCCAACTATCGTCAGGAACTACTCTCCTGCTTCAAAGCCACTGGCTGTGGCTCCATCCCAGGCCACGCTTGCCAGGTTCACAGACCCTTGCTCAGCATAGAGCCCAAGCCGTCGCCCACGCCTCCCTTCCCAAATACTCCTCCCAGCTGATTGCCTAATTGATCTTGAATCTTGCTGAAGTTCTCGTCTTCAATGAGCTTTTTGCCAGTCAAGCTCTCTGTGTAACGTCCGCGATGTTAGTCCATTGCTATTCCTCCCACACGAGGGCTGTCCTGTTCGACTAGGATCCATCCGCATACTCTTTAATCCATAGGACACCTTGTTTTCTCCCATCGTTTCAAGTAGTATTTCTTGGAGTCTCTTCTGGTATGGGTCCAGGGTGCCTGTCACCCAGGCCCCGAACAGCACGACCTGCAAGAAGAGGTAGAGAAGAAAGTAAAACATTATTTTTTTTTGGTCAAGGGGCTTGCACAGTTGAGCAATCGTCAACTTGGTTCGTTGTGGGGTTTATATGCATTGCGGGCTGCAATGTACCAGCCGATGACGTGCAGGGCGTGGGATATGACGCTGCCGTGGAACACCTTGGCTGTGGGTGGAGGCGCCGGATTTACTGCACATCGGACAGGAGCCTTCACATTGCGCATGATCAAAACCAATCTCTACCGCACCTTGTCATGACGGTGTACGGAGTATGCGTTGTTGGCCTCGTTATATAATCGACTGTTTGGGGGGCGCAGCCCCGTTCTTCGAGCACAGCCCAGTACAGCATGTCTACGTTATTGATCCTACGAACTTTTTGCATGGGGGAATTTCGAGACCAGGGATGCGCACAATTCGTGCGTCTTCAACAGCAGAAACCAAGATAGGATGTTGCTCTCCCGAACCAGAGACGAGGGCGAGATTGAAAGTCCACATTTGACCTGGAATGTACTCAGTCCCTAGCGGTGTACCTGGGTAGGTACTCGATAGCAACCACCCTCGATAGAATGATCCGTCAAGGGTTTCCTCGCAGCCTAGATGCAGGGCGAGATCGCCGAGGGAAAGTTTCGGTTTATTGCTGGATTGAATTCTGGTCGATAGGTACATCAACCTCCTTCCAAGTTCCACGCCCGCTCTCTCATTGGTACTTTCCCGTGGTCTTGTCCTTGTCTCTTGGTCGCGTTTGACACATCGAGCGCACCCGTCGATATACACCGTATCAAGGGCGATGCGCCATCCAGCCTTGTCGCACAGGTCCAGTTGGGCGGAGAATATGCGTGGAGCTTGGCTGGGAGAGGGAAAGGTGGAACGGAACGACCGCGTTGCCCATTCCATTGGACCAACCCCCGCGGCTACCAGTGTTGCCAGTGCGACCAGCCCTCTCTATCCATGGCCAAGCAATCAGCCTTGGGAGCTTTCAGCTGTGGCGGTGCAGCAGCCGTTTGGAACACGCCAAGGGCCCACCTGCCCACTAAACCCTACGAGCAGCCCCAACTCGCCTTATCGCGCGTCTAGAACTCCTGAGCCATCCCTCCTTCCTCCATGTCCATTGCTCTCTGGGCTTCTCCCAGCTCCCTTCTTCCTCGACCACCTCTCTGGCTGTGGGCATCTTAAGGCCTCCAAGACGATATACTTGACCGGTACAGTTCCCCCCACCTCGCGCTCCGGGTCATGATGGGCGAGCCGTGAGCCCGCCCACTTGAACCCCGCCTGGTCGCTCGCGGCTGAGATCTGGTCTTTCCGACTGCTGACACCTCGATCCTGGCAGATTCCCCCTGAATCACCTCTTGGCCTGCCTCCAGTTAATTCAAATCAACTCCTCTCCTGCCTCTCTGCCGACCTCTCCGCTGCGGGGTTTCCCTAGCCCACTTTTGCTACCTAACGGGTCCTCCGTGCCCACTCGAGCCCATCGCATTCGAGTCCTGTTGCCTAGAGTGCATTCAGCCCTATTCCCACACCATGAGTTGTGAGTCAATTTCGTCTGCGGTGTTTTGAGTGGCCCTGCCTCCGGATTCTGCGGTATACGAGGACCTTGCGCTCGGCCGTGCTTTTTTTTTCCCAGCTTGTTTCAGCTTTGACCACATGGCACGACTGGCGGCAGTGGTCCTTGGGGATGTTGGCCTTCATCTGCACACCTGTCTTATCGGTCGCATACTGCATCGCGGACTTGGTTGTCGTTCTGTCTATGCTCTATTATGATGGTCTGGTCCTTCAATGCGTGTACCTTTCTCACATCGGCCTATACCCTCAGCCTTACCTCGCAATGATCATCGCTTCGTGTGCCTTGGCCATGGCTCGGCTTGCTGACCTATGGATCTTACAGTCGCAAACATGTTGAACAAGCTGTCTGGACAGCCAGAGAGCTATGAGAAAAAGTATGGCCCTTTCATGTGACCCGAACCCGGCATCTGTTCACACCGTTTTCTTTCTAGGTCACTCTACAAGTTCGGACGTACTCTTGGTGCAGGCACATACGGTATTGTCCGCGAGGCGGAAACCAACGATGGCAAGAAGGTTGCAGTCAAGATCATTCTGAAGAAAAATGTCCGCGGGAATGAGGGCATGGTTTACGATGAGCTGGAGATGCTTCAGAAGCTCACACACCCTCACATCGTCTCCTTTGTGGACTGGTTCGAGTCAAAGGTCAGTCTTTCTCCAAACGTCTTTCTAGGACACATTGGTTCTGATCGCAAACTAGGACAAATTCTACATCGTCACACAACTAGCCGTGGGCGGCGAGCTGTTTGATCGAATTTGCGATTACGGAAAGTTCACTGAAAAGGATGCCTCGCAAACTATTCGCCAGGTGCTTGATGCCGTCAACTACCTGCATAAGCGCAACATCGTCCACCGCGGTCGGCTTCCCTGATCACCTATTTTGGACCTTGCCTAACAGACTTGCAGACTTGAAACCGGAGAACCTGCTTTACCTCACACGCGCAGCCGATTCAGAGCTCGTGCTTGCCGACTTTGGTATCGCGAAGATGCTGGACAACCCGGCCGAAGTTCTCACTAGTATGGCGGGATCCTTCGGCTATGCGGCTCCCGAGGTCATGCTGAAGCAGGGCCATGGAAAGGCCGTTGACATGTGGTCGCTGGGCGTCATCACCTACACTCTCCTCTGTGGATACTCCCCCTTCCGTTCCGAGAACTTGACCGATCTGATTGAAGAGTGCCGCGCCGGCCGCATCATCTTCCACGAGCGATATTGGAAGGATGTCTCGCAGGACGCGAAAGACTTTATCCTCACCCTTCTTCAACCAGACCCCAGCAAGCGTGTGACCTCCGAGGAGGCTCTGGAGCACATGTGGCTGACCGGTGAATCTGCCAGTGACCGTGACCTGCTGCCCGAGATCCGTACCTACATTGCGCGCGCCCGTCTTCGTCGCGGTATTGAGATCGTCAAGCTGGCCAACCGCATCGAAGCCCTTAAGATGCACGAAGAAGATGAGGAGGACGATATCCCCAGCGCAGTTGACATGGGCGCCGCCGGAGCTGCTGCGTCTGCTGCGTCTGCTTCTGCTGCATCTGCTACGTCTGATGAAAATGGCGATTCTCCCGCCCCCACCACCAAGAAGCGCAGTCTTAGCAAGATTGCCCGTGGTGCTATCTTCCGAGAGGTGGTCTTGGCTAAGGTCCGCGAGGTCAAGGAGAACGAGGAACGCGAGAAGGTTGAACGGGAGGCCCGTGAGAAGTCATCGCATCATTAAGATGTTGCTCCTTTATGTTTTTGCCATTTTTCCTATGATGCTGGTTCATGCCCCTGTAATTTCCCTCATTCTGGATATAGTCGTGTGATTCCCCATCGTCAATACAATTTGCACATAATCAGTCAGATTTAGTGCCTTTAGGACTTCTCTGTTCAGTCTATCGAATTGGATTCTCCATGCCCTGTTTTTACTTTCCGAAAGGGCACCCCTATTCTACTCCTGATGTCGATGTTCGCACTTGATGGAGACTATCGAGCCACCGCCCGGGCGTAGGCGGCAGCGGACGATCACGTGCAAGTCAGTCTTATCTCCCCCGCAGGTTGCATCAGCTTCTGAACAATTTTGTACTACTTCATCTCATTGGGGTCCCGTCTTCCTGATAGCCCTCTTCCAAATCTCTTGGGCTGAGAGTGTACCGGCAGGCGGGGATCGGTTACGCGTCCTGGTTCATCCGCGTACTCCACTGGATCAACCCTGTCCACCTTCACCCCACCCGCGCTCTCGAAGCGCAACTCTCGGCTTTAAGCTAGAATCCATGGCAAATATGTTCGCCAACAAGCGTTTGAGCAAGGTGAGAACATCATCCGTTGGCTGAAAGTCATATCCGCCTGAGTATTCATTCTGAGAATATACTTACTGACGTCTCGATTCCCTCTATTGTAGGAGCTCTTGAAGGTACTACTATCCCTAATTGTGCTCATATCCGTTTCATCTGTCAGGTTTCACTAAGTAACCGTTTAACCTTTCGGCAATCTATACGCATCTGAAAAGCCACCACGGCTTAATGATCAAATCTAATGATTTATGCTTCACTCTAGTTGCAAGAGCATGTTCCACCGGGAGTATCGATCGCCAAGTCAGATAACCTGGAAGAGTGGCAGATGGACATCAAGGTGCTCGATGACAACCCGATCTACCAAGGCCAGACATATCGGCTCAAGTTCACCTTTTCGAATAAATACCCGATTGGTGATTTCCACCGCCCTTCTCTCTTATGCACGGGCTAATAGCAGCAGAACCGCCTGAGGTCCAGTTCATTGAGCTGCCCGCTACCTCCGACACACCTCGCCCGATTCCCATGCACCCCCACATCTACAGCAACGGTATTATATGTCTTGATCTTCTGAGCTCCTCCGGCTGGTCTCCAGTGCAGACGGTCGAAAGTGTGTGCATGAGCATCCAAAGCATGCTGACTGCGAACTCGCGCAATGAGCGTCCCCCGGGTGACAGCGACTTTGTTGCATATAATCGCCGTCGGATTCGGGACATTCCTTTCGTCTATGAAGACGATAACGTGTAATGTGGTGTGGCTTTTGAATGGCATGTGAACCACGTTTATACGTGGCAATCAGACAACAACGTGATGATTGTGATGCGAATGATCTCTTTTTTGACTGTTATCCTTTCTGCATAATCTCTGGCGCCGGTCTGTGGCTTCTTTGCTCATCCCAATCATACGGCGTTTTCATGGAGTTTGATATGTGTCGTTCAGCGATTTGGGACGTGTTTTGTCCAATGATTCAAGATTTAAATTCTCAAACTTTATAACAATAACGCGACAGATTTCATTTCTTTGGAGATTTTGGAACCCAACTGTGTTCCTCCGTGGACACAAATGACTTTGTTGAAACCTCCATTGTCTGATGGAGTGTGGTATGGGAGGGCACAAGACTGATGCGACTGTGGACTGAACGCGGTGCCCGGGATGATAACATCTCTGGAAGTTGCGTAACGCTTACAATGAGTAGGATGTCTGTGAATTTAGCGTTTCAAATAGATGTGAGTTCCTCTCCTAGCCTCTTCTGTGGGCCATGCTTGTTCCTCATTTTGACCAAAGATATGATTGGCCTAATCGCTTAAACTGCCAAACCCGAGTTAGGTGGGTCCATCAGCAATTAAACTACCGAACGTATAAAAGGGTCTCAAAATGCCCTTTTCGATATGAGATTGCTTATTTATTAGCCAGTCTACTATTTTGATTTCCCCCCATCATCATCATCATTATCATGGCCAATCTGCGCCCAATCGACCTCTTTCGAGGATGGCCTGCGCCAGACCTTATTCCAGTCCAGTCTTTCCAGGAAGCTGCCGCTAGAGCTCTATCAGACAAAATTACATCAGGCGCCGGCTTCGGCTACGGTCCAGACGAAGGATATTTTCCACTTAGACAGAATATTGCGCAATGGCTGACTGGGTTCTACGGCCCGCGGGAAGCCATTACTGCCAGCCGAATTTGTATCACGGGTGGCGCAAGTCAAAATTTGGCCAGCATTCTACAGGTCTTTACCGACCCTCTCCAAACACAGCTCATATGGCTGGTCGAACCTGCTTACCATTTGGTTTTTCGGTCTTTTGAAGATTCAGGATTCGACGGACGGATGAGAGCCGTACCGGAAGATGAGGAGGGAATGGATGTTCATGCTCTCGAGGCAGCTCTGGAAAGACATCACGCTGTCGGGTCCAATGAAAATTCATCAAACGGCTACGTATGTCTTCTTCCAATATACTCATTTCACGTCTTCGCTCACCAGTGATACCAGGTGACCAAACCGCACAGATCGCATAGGAAGATTTACAAGCATATCATTTACTGTGTGCCCAGTTTTTCCAATCCCTCGGGGACCGTTATGACGCGCCCACGGCGTGAGGCTCTCGTCAGGCTCGCTCGCAAATTCGATGCTTTGATCATCAGCGACGATGTCTATGACTTCCTTTCTTGGACTGGAAGCTCCAGGAAGCCAGTAGGCAGTCAGATACAGCGTCTGGTTGATATCGATCGCACTCTCGACGGTGGGCCGCTGGACCGCTTCGGAAATGTGGTGAGCAATGGCTCATTCAGCAAGCTCCTTGGTCCTGGGTGCCGAGTTGGATGGGCGGAAGGCACCGAAGGCCTTGTTTACGGGATTTCACAGGCGTCAGTTGCTCATTTCACCCCATTTGACATCATTTCCTTATCTAATACATCACCTCCTAGTGGCCAAACAAAATCTGGCGGTGCACCCTCGCAGTTGATCTCGACGTTTATCAATGAACTCTTGGAATCAGGAACATTGCAGCAACACATTAGTACAAAATTGGTTCCAGAAGGACATCGCCGATACTCGCTAATGGTTTCTGCCATCAAAGAGCGCTTGACTGGTCTTGGGGTCACCTTCTCACAGGGTCCTGAAGAGACTACTTTAGTTGGTGGCTATTACGTTTGGGTAAAATTACCTGACTCCATTGACGCCAATCAAGTGTGTCAAAAAGCTCTTGAGACGCAAAATCTCGATGTCGGCAATGGTGGCCTATTTGCAATTCCAGGAGGAGGTTCTGGATGCAAGGATTTGCACCGGAGGTTACGGTTATGCTTTATGTGGGAAGATGGAGAACATCTGGTCGAAGGCGTCAATAGACTTTCCTTGGTCATTCAAACATTACTAGGTGACATGCAAAGCCGCGTTACTGTTTGATGGTGTGTCCCATAGATAAATGCAACCCGAGGAAAACTAGACAATGCTAATCTCGTCTACAGATCAATTGATGCCCTGTGCTATATTCGTCGACCGGAGTGCTTAGGAGGTTCGATAACAGGAACGGATTGGAGCAACATAGACTTAGAACCATTATTTCGCTCTACCGGGCAATTCACGATGCGCTCTCGAGCCCTTGTGGCGACAATCTGCTCCAACGCAGGTTTCAGCTAGCGAAACAGAATTTTGATAAGTTGGAAGCATTGGGAGGTGAATACAAATGGGCTGCCTCGTGGACTAGGCCCCAGGGCGGTACAACTGTCTTAATCATCTTCGTCAAAGATGCACATCCAGTCAATGATGTACTTGTTTGCGGCGGGCGACAGCCATGCGGTAGGTCGGGAGATCGGTGGCCCGATTCGTGACGCGGGCAAACAACAAGCCAAACCCACGGTCATCGCCGTCTCCAAAGGCGCTGATGTCTGCCGAGAGAATGTGACTAGCGGACGAAGGAACACGTCGAGCTTGATTGATGCAAGTAAACAACCGCGTCATGTGATGCTGCGTAAACAAAGAAATCGTGAAGGCATCGTCTGGTGCAAACGGGGCATTCAACTTAAATAACCCCCTTCTCCCCGACCCTCCACTTTTTTTCTCTTCCCCATCGCAACAGCCTCAGATTTCTTACTATTCTACATCCGTCTTCATCACCTTCCTAAAAGCCAACCCATTAACAGCGAGCCCTTTCGCATTACCAACTTCCCCAACACCACCGTGGCGATGCCCAGCTGCGTGTCGCGTACGTCCATCGCGCAGGAGTGATCGCTCCTAAGGATGTATCGTGGGGGAAAGAGCATCTCTTTCCACCAGCATTCGTTCTTGTGCAGGTTGCAAACACGAATGCGGGTGGAAAGAGATGCTCCTTTCACCAGAGGTTGCCTGAATTCATCCTTTCGACCTATATCTGGTAGGAGGAGAGGGCCACGGTAGTCTCTATGTCTAGGTTCGAGGGGTCGAGGCTGTTGAGGGTCGACTGCAGGTCGGCAAGCTTGCTGACCGTCAAGGCCTTGCGATGGCGGTTTCTAGTGCGCGTACTGGAACCGAAGAAGATAACCAGTGTTAGTGTATCGTCAAAATGCCGGTCAATTTCGGTGATTCATATGTCCACGAGGCCATTCGGGACTAGGATCAACGAGGGGGTAAACGTACGGAAAGGGGTCCATGGGCTCCGAGGGTTGGTTGGCGATCCCCGAATGCCCTCGTATCCACATGGATCACCGCAATTGACCGGTATTTTTGATGCGCTAACCCTGAATCATCTTCTTCGGTTCCAGTACCCGCACTGGGGACCGCCATCGAAAGGCCCTAACGGTCAGCAAGTTTGTGCGTCAAAGGAGGGAGTCCTGGCGGAAACCTGTAACTGCTGCCATTGGTGAGCAGTTGTTCGAAATGCATGGAGTGATCTTCGCTTCAGGAAACGTCAGTGCTTTGGAGATGCACAGGACCTCACAGGATTTGTGCGTTGGCTATGTTCCTGAACACCCGCTCATGGTTGACAGTCTCAAGCCTCTCCGACAATCCATGCATGATGGATATGCGAGCTTTCTGGTCCAGGTTTGATCGAGTGCGAAGACAGCTGGTGAAGCCCAGTAGACCAGGTAGTGAAAAGCAGTTTCATTATCATGATGTATGCTATTCCGAGTCTAGAAGAGAACTAGCTCAAGGCCAAGGCGTGCGAGATAGAGGTCCCAAGGTAATGGACTGCCAGATGCCCAGAATTGACGTAACACTGCTCTGGCTCTCGTGAAATTCCCCATGCCCAGCTTCTGCATATTACCCATGCGCGTTTGGATCATCTCTCGCTCATCGTGCCTTTCAGTCTCACAGCCAGCACTGAATATTGGCCAGAGAATGAGGATATTCGTAAGGGAATGAGGTTCGATTTGGCTCACGGCATCGAGGATATTTTCAATGTCGGCTCTGACTTTGACGTGGCGCATAGGAAAGCTCTGCACGCGGCGGTGGAGATGAAGTAGCGCAGAGTGCACAAACGCAAGGTGGGTACTCTGCAGCTCCCAGGCAAGACTACCACCAGAAGACAGTACGTCCTCGCAGACAGGTCGGTCAACCAGAGAGTGTAGTTTGGTTTCGAGGATCTCCGCCTGCATCATTGTCTCCGGGCTTGGTGTATCGTCCATACCAATTTCGGCCGGTGCACGAAGGTCTTTATGGCACACTAGTTGTGCGATTTGTGCCAGGATAGGAACAAGATCCAACGAATAGCCACTTATGTCATCCACAGACCAGGTTGTGTGGTCTGAGAGGCTATCCAACGGACCATTCCCAGGGTCGTGGATGCATTCTCCATGGACTCCTGATAAGGCTGCCAGGATATCCATGGTCTTAAACCATTTGACTAAGCATTGAATGAACGGATCGTTCATATTGAATGATGCCCTTTGTTGTTCCAGAAGGGCAGTCAGGATTCGCAAGACTCCACGGAGATGGGTCCGCCATATGGTCATGTTTCCATTACAGACATCGTTGGTGCATAGCACCATGGCGGTTATGATAGTCGTCGGTTGGATCATCTGATTAGGGTCATAGAGGGCTGTTCTGAGGCCGGCTATGGCCCAATTCGTATATTTCAAGCAGGTCATCTTTCGTCTCGGGCTCGAGTCTTGGACGAGCCGACTGTGGTGACTGCAGGAACTTGCCAAGAGTGCGTAGAGAAGATGGGGTGTCTCCATGGCAGCACTGATAATCCTCTGAAGGAAGGAATCCCGGGCTGCTGGGAACAGCATTTGGGCTGTCTGTGTGGTGAAAGTGTGCATCCAAAACTTGGATTCTTCGGAGTCCAGCAAAGGTGAGTGATTGAGTAGAGGCTGATGCACCAGAGGCAACAGGTCCACCGTCACTTGGTTCCAATCTGCGCCAACGCCAACTACAGACGTCTGTTCAGGTCTGACTGATGCTCTTGGCCTTGCTGGTGCTTGAGTGATGATGCTCAAGTCGTACAAGCATCCTCGGGGATATCGCTTGCAACGTGCACATACTGGCTTCTGCATGTCACACTAAATTCGAGCGACTACGGGTTAGCTTCCGATCTAAGGCTTTCAGTGGGTCAGAGTTACTTTGATTTTCTTCCTCCGGCATTCCGTGCAACCGTCTCGCCGCCTACGGTGGCACGCAGAGCTATCGCGCCCCTCGGTAGGTCGGCTCCGAGGCGAAGCGGTCATGTTGGCCGATAACCCCCTTCAAGCGTGCCGCTCAAAGATGCTGCCACCAAGACATATCCAGTGTCTGCCTCCGTCGTGCAAGTCGTTTTCTTGGATGGAAGTGTAAGGCGTACGGAGTACTTGGTTCTTTCGGTTGGCCATTTCTCTGGCCGAAGGGATCCACCCCCTACCCCATACGGGCACAGATGCGATCCCTCCAATCATAGCGCGACTGGGATTCCTTCCTTGGCTGGAGGATTTGCGTCTCTTATTTGAGACGCTCGAACAGAAAGTTGGAAAGCCCAGGGCGATTTGGTAGTTTCCTATCACTCTTCTACACACACCAAGACTAAGGTAATTCCACGGTGTTTCTATACTACTAGCGCTTCCTACATTTATGGCTTTACGATCGCTACGATCGCAACCTATGTGAAGCTAAAAGAAAGTCTCAGAAGAATCAGATGATCACTATACACAGGGGCTTATGAGAGGTTAGGGGCAATATAGAAGGAAACAAAGGAGAAGGACAAGACATAATAGAACAACGCCATGAGAAGAAAGCATGGGAGAATTTGGTACACCTGGGTTAGAGTCGAGGGGTCCAAGGGTTATCACATAGAGTATGGGAGTATCCTCCTCTTTGGTTTTTGACCCCTATCATGGCACGGAAGCCGTCTAAAAAGGGGGCCATTTCGAAGTCTTCTTCCTTTTTTTGGGTTTATTGATATTGCGTTGGAGAGGTGCTTTTACCGGTCAACCTCACCGAACACCAAATCCATGGTACCTAGAGGAGCAAGAATTAGCAGGGTCTGAGTGAACATCAAACAAAGACACTTACCGATGATAGCGACGGCATCGGCCAAAAGGTGACCACGAGACACCTGGTCAAAGCCACCCAGGTGGGCAAAACCGGGGGCACGGATCTTGCAGCGGTAGGGACGCTCGCTACCGTCACTGACCAAGAAGACACCCATCTCACCCTTGGGAGCCTCAATAGCCGAGTAGGTCTCACCAGGAGGAACGGAGTAACCCTTAGTGAAGAGCAGGAAGTGGTGGATCAGAGCTTCCATGTTCTCCTTCATGGCAGCCCGAGGAGGTGGCGAAATCTTGTAGTCTTCAACGCGCACCGGGCCGGCAGGCATCTTATTCAGGCACTGTTGGATAATGCGGAGGGATTGGCGGAACTCCTCCATACGGCACAGATAACGGTCATAGCAGTCACCGTTGACACCAACGGGGACATCGAACTCGACCTGGTCATAGGCATCATAAGGCTGGGACTTACGGATATCCCACGGGACACCGGAGCCACGGAGCATGACACCAGTGAAACTCATGTTCAGAGCATCAGTAGCGTTGACGACTCCAACACCTTGGGTTCTGGCCTTCCAGATACGGTTATCCGTGAGCAGCTCCTCGGTCTCGTCGATACGGTCACCGAACTGGGTAGCCCACTGGTAGATGTCATCCAGAAGGCCGAGAGGGATATCCTGAGACACACCGCCGGGACGGACATAGGCAGCGTGGAGACGGGCACCGGAAACACGTTCGTAGAATTCCTATAGGACGATCAATGCATTAGAATGTTGGCTCTGGGTTTCCCAAGGCTATCCGGTCGATTTCCCGGTCACTTACCATGAGCTTCTCACGCTCCTCGAAACCCCACAGGAAAGGAGTCAGGGCACCAACGTCCATGGCGTGCGAGAGCACAGACATGAGGTGGTTCAAAACACGGGTGAGCTCGCCGAACAGGGTTCGAATCCACTTAGCACGCTCAGGGATCTCGACGTTCAGCAGCTTCTCAACAGCGAGGGAAAAGCACTGCTCGTTGGTCATCATGGAGACGTAATCCAATCGGTCGAAGTAAGGCAGGGCCTGCATGTAGGTCTTGTACTCGATCAACTTCTCGGTACCACGGTGAAGCAGACCGACGTGGGGATCGGCGCGAACGATCTCCTCGCCATTGAGTTCCAGAATCAATCGGAGCACACCGTGAGCAGCTGGGTGCTGGGGACCAAAGTTGACGGTGTAGTGACGGATCTTGCGGTCAATGCCTTCGGCCTCGGATTCGAGACCAGCAGCCTCTGGGTCCTCGGGAGACCCCTTGTTGGCGAAGTGGGTGAAGGTCGGGTCGGTCGGAACAAGTCTTGTGGCCTGGTAGCTAGACGCCTCAGCGTGACGGCGAGGAATCGTGGTCGCTATAGAGCGAGATCGGGGCACAGATGTGTTGAGCAAGGTGGAGGGGCGGAGGCAGAGCCTTTTGGGCGCATTGCCCGCGAGGCGGGCGAAGGAGGCAGCCATGAGGAACTTGAGAGGGGAGATTCGAGGGGGGGGAAAGAAAGACGGCTGGTCCTCAGTCCAGACGCATTCAATTGCTGGTTGGAGAGTGAGCTCGCTGCGGGATGGGAAGCCTGCAGATTGAAGGTGAAGATGAGGTCGCGCTCCATTTTGGCTAGTCACGTGAGAAAGCTGTCCGGTCATCAGGCGACTGCTGGTTGGTGGGTAGGGCCATTTATGATGTACCCACCCCGTATGGTATTTTGAGCATTTTCGGTTTAGCGTATCATTCTTCCACAGAGAATCCTTATCTAATCCATTACTAGCCTGTCACAGAATAGACAGCCCCTTTCTGCCTCAGGCTTCAAATAAAATATCTCGAGAAATTATTCTTATCGCCGATCATCGAACTTCACCTTTACCTTCACCCCCCACCAGTTTGCCCACCATGGCACCTCTTGTTCCATCGCAAGAGGAGCTGCAACGCCGTCGTGTAAGATAGGCTTCACCATCTATACCTTCCAAGGACTAACGTATGTCAGATCATCGGCATCAATGCGGAGACCGTCACCAATATCCCCTCCACTGACTTTCCTGGCCATTGGCCTGGAGAATCGCATGCCTGGGCACTTGACCAGTTCAAGGATGTATGTACTCGCTGTTCTTCAAGCTTTGATGCCCCTATCCCTCTTTCTCACTGCTCTCAATCGTCAGAATTTCAAAGTCGAATACCACCGCAACGACCCATACGAAGCCTCGTTCTCGCTGATCGGACTCGACGCCGCGGTCGCTAATGCCTTCCGCCGTATTCTCATGGCTGAAATCCCAACTCTGGCTATTGAATATGTCTTCATCCAAAACAACACCTCGGTTATCCAAGACGAGGTGCTCGCTTCTCGTCTGGGTCTGATCCCGCTCAAGGGCTCCGTCGAAGGAATCAATTGGATGCACTGGTTCCGGAAACCTTCCGAGGATGATGACGGACCTGCTCCGCCCGGCCCCAGTGATTTCAACACGGTTGTCATGCACCTTGTGGCTGAATGCACGAAGAACCCCGCTGCCGCTGCCGACGAGACCGACCCCCGCAAGTTGTATCACAATGCCCATGTCTATGCCAAGGATATCACGTTCTCCCCGGTTGGTCGCCAGGAGCAGTATTTCAGTGGTGAGGGTACTATTCAGCCCGTCAACCCGGATATCTTGATTGCCAAGATGCGCCCCGGTCAGAAAATTGACTTGGAAATGCACTGTATTAAAGGCATTGGAGCCGACCACGCCAAGTTTTCTCCCGTTGCGACCGCTAGCTACCGTCTCATGCCGGATATCAAGATTGAGCGCCCCATTATTGGCAATGATGCCAAGAAGTTTGCCAAGTGCTTCCCAAAGGGCGTCATTGCCCTAGAGCCGGTCACTGCCGAGGAGGCCGGACGCAAGGGAAGCGGATACGAGGGACACGCAGGCGAGCAGAAGGCCGTCGTGCGGGATGCGTTCAACGATACCGTCAGCCGGGAATGCTTGCGCCATGAGGAGTTCCAGGGCAAAGTCAAGCTCGGACGCATTCGGGATCACTTCATTTTCAACGTTGAAAGCACCGGCCAGTTTGAGAGCGATGTTCTTTTCCTGGAAGCCGTGAAGGTTCTGAAGCTGAAGTGCGCCCGGTGGAAGCGCGGTCTGACCGACCTGATGGCATAAAGCCGTGAGATGGGTCCCCTCCGCTGCTGTTCCTTATATAATGCATTTAATGGCGTTGGAAATTTTTGTTTGAGCTTCGTTCGCGATGTACATTTACGAAAAGTTCGGTCAAAAGTTAGGCTTTACGAGGCCGGAGTCCGGATATCACACTTATTGTTAGAGCACAGAAGGCCGGCGGCAGTCTTTGCATTCTAAGATTTACCTGAAGCTAAATATCGTTTGAATCGTGTCACTGTAGCCCCAATACCAGGAAAAACGGATATCTGGGTGTTCAGTTGAACACCAGTCTGTAGCGGAAGTCGATGGTGTAGGCTGGATCACTAACGGCGATTTCTTCACCGTCCTCCACTAGGTCACGCAGTCTGAGGCGTAGGTTGGGTCTCGTATGCTCCTCCAATTGAGGCGGGAAGCGTTGATACAACGTCTTCTCCTCTGTCCGCAGGCTAGGCTTCTTTAGCTGCGCTTCAGCCCTCTCGCCGAGACTTTCAATGAAGTCTCCCAGAGTCATGTTCGGATCCACATTCATCTTCCGAGCAAGGTTACCGCACACTGGACAGTCTGGCTTCTTTTCCGCCTCAAATGTGTACGTGTAAACACCCTCTTCGCCAGCATACATCATGTAGTTCTCCAGGTAAGGATTGCAGCCAGTGGCAATTTTCATCACCTCCGAAGTTGTGGAGGCAGCGATCACTGCGTTTGTTGATGCAATAGCCGGGATGATGTTCTTTACCACGCCCTGAGTCATCTGGAATGTCACTCCATGAATATGGAACTGCTGGGCTCGCTCCAGGGCAGCATGGTACACCCACGATATATGCTCCATATCATCGCTGTCGAAAGTGTCATCTTTACGCTTATCTTGCCATGCGATCTGATGAGCCCATTCAATGCAATGCTGGGGCTGACGCGGAATGGTGGCAATGGTACAGAGCGGTACTGCAGGGCGAGGAGCATGCATGTCAAGCTGGCACTCAATACATGACGAGAGTGTAGGCAAAATCACGCGAGCTTGGCCCTTGAATCCTATTTGATCATCTGATTCAGTACTCTTGCGTTCACAGGAGATCGATTCTTCCGTACCTTCAGTACCACCATCGATCAGAGGCTTGAGACTCTCTGGATCCTCCGGGTCAACCATTCCAATCAGTGTAGAGTTGATCCAGCGACGGGCCTCGATGCTGTCGAGGCCACAAACGATGATCTTGAACTGCATGTAGTAGTCTTCATCTTTATCCTGGATCTTGCCAACAAATGGTGTAATCTTGACTCCTTTGACTCGCTTCTCTACAAAGGCAGCAGCAACCTCTGCTTTAGGTTTGCCAATATCAGCTTGGCGGAAGAGAAACTGCCTATTCAGATTGGAGATATCGATGGTGTCTGTGATAGACCATTAGAGGTGGTGCTTGTATATAAGTCCGTGCAGCATAGCCTACCCATATCAATGACATGAATGTCTTTGAATCCAGACAAGGCGAGATTCTTCAGGATTTCGCAGCCCAGTCCACCGGCTCCGCTAATCTCACGTTAGTAATTTGTCTTCCATGGTAGTAACTACTGCTTATGGAACGAACATCACCCTAAGTACAATGTCAGTATCAGTCACAAAGTTGCGATGAGCTATCTTACAGGATCTTTGAAGACTCGAGGGTGTTGATCGTCTCTGACCCTGGAACCCAGTCTTCATCGCAGTAGGGACCGGGTTTGGATAGGACTTTATAAAGGTGCCGCCTGTGAAGTGTCAGGATATAACAATAAATCACAGAGCTGTGAAACATCAATCTCACCACCGGCTCTGTTCGCCTACATTGACGGTGTCCATTTTGATGGAAACACAGGCAGATCAAGCGCTGAGTTGCGATAAATGTCTGGAGTCGCCTGTAAATAGACCCACCTACTCGTTGAAGCAGATCCCCAGTATTAACTTGTAAGGCTGCAGTCAGAGCAAATTAGGGGTCTTATGACCGTGACTTATGGTCTGTTTGGTATTCTTAAATCATGTAAAAGTGCCAGTGACGCTGAGATGGTGAGCGGATGGCGGAGAGCACTGTGGCGTGGAATGGTGAGGCAGGACACATTCGCATCACGTGATGTGCCGCATACAAGCTCCGACGGTCCACCTCAGGCAAATCAACTTCTTTTTGAATATCACGACTCTCACGATGGACGGCCTTTTGACTGCGGTCAAGACCATCAAGCGGGATTCTGATTCCCCTTTGGTCGCGGTTGAATCTCGAAGTCACAATGACGCTTCTCTCAAGCCCGCCGCAGATCTTGGTCAACATATATCTTTTGAGCAGGTCATAGATGTGTTCAGGTCGCACCCTGATCAAGAAGAGCTTTCTGCAGTCCTTGCAGCTCTTGACCCGTTCAATGCATCGAGAAAGATACAGGATCTAGACATCCGAATTGCAGGCCCGAAAACTGCCCAGATTCTCCAGCTTTTAGTCAGCACTATCATCCCGGACCACTGGACACCTCTGAATGGCAAGGAAAGCAAGACGAAGGGTGCAAAATGCCGAGGAGCTCTGCTACGCTGTCTCAGCAGTATAGCAGGTCTTGGCTCTCTTGTAGCCCAACTCCGAACTTATATTTTGAACGTTCGGGCGACACCTCAAAAAGCTGAAGGCTCAAGCAGCCACCTCATCATCCGGGATCTCCTATCTGTCCTTGCTGCTTTGCTGGAACCAAATAATTTCCTTCGTCGTCTTTTCACAGATAATTCATCTTTTGACGATAACAGGACTCGGCAGCAAGTTGCACGGAGAGAACTCGCGTCGCTTGTTGCTGCTGGTAAAATCCTTTCCACAGCAGCAGAAGCACTCACCATTATCAATGTACCTGAGCCCGCGTCATCCATCTCTTGGATTGGTAATGGCCCTCGCTATGCAGCCTGGCTGGGAAGAAACATCGCCTATTTAGTCTCCGAACTCAATGCAGATAATGAAAATGATTGGACTTCAATCGGTTTCCTCACAGGGCGAGCATTGAGTCTAGGCTATTCGGGTAAGTCTTCCCCTTGGTCTCTGGCCCACGATAAGATTCTGATTCACTTTCTGCTGCAGATCAGCTAGTTCGAGAAATCTACTTGAGCCTGCTCTTTGAGCAGTCATCTTCTGGGCAATTTGGCTTGCTTATGGACCATCTCAAACTACCGGAGCAACTTGCTATGCTAGAAGCTATTTTTCGCGATGTGCAGAAAACCCATTTCTCATACGACCTCTCTGGGTCATTTGAACAGCCTGAAGCATTCGGCAGCATCGTCACAGGAGTCGCAGCACTGTGTAAAATTATCATAGCGGATCGACCATTCTTGAAAAACCAAATCACGGATTGGCTCTCAAAGAGTCAAGGTGGCTCAATCCAGACAGTTGGTCTACGCCGTGCTTTAATAGCGACTTACGATAACTCCACTGGTAAGTTTTATCACGACTCTGAAATAATTCTCGATCTAATGTAGCAGCCAGACACATTGAGATCTCTGCTTTCTCACAGTCTTGACCAGTTTGGCGACAAGTTTTGTATCAAAAACGTCCCGAACATCATCCAGAATGGTCCGTGCAAAGCTTTCCATCTCATTATCTGCCCCGAAGCTAACAAAATCCAGCCAATGCTCAAATCATTCTAATCACAGCAGGTCGGCTGAGCCGACTGGATCCGCTCCAGGTGCAAAACATTGGACGTACGAGTGTCTTTCTAAACGCAGTCTCCAATCGACTCGCAGCCTCATCAAACAGAGCACGGTTCTTGGGCATGATTGTAGGGACTGGGATTTCTGGGCTTATAGAAGAGCCAGGAAAGGCCCTGAAATTTGATCTTGAAGAAATGCATAGCGAGGAAGCACGCTGGTACCTGAGCTTCACCAAAGTCTACGATGAGGTTGGACCATTTGAATCCATCAACAAATTGCGGAACACAGATTTCAAAACATTGCAGCCTGTCAAAGATGTTCAGCCTCGTCGGAACCAAAAATCGAGTGCACGCCCAACCCGACATCAGACAAGCAAGATAGTTGCTATCGAAGAAATAGATGACAGTGGAGAAGAATCCGGTGAAGATGAAGATCTCATCCCATATGAGAAACCCGATGACGATTTGGAGGATGAGGATGAGGATCCTACATTGATCCAACGGAACAAGCCAAGTGCCCCGATGTAAGTCTTGTGTTGAAATCCAGGCTGTTCTCGGTCTCTAACAACATTTCAGCTACATCCGCGACCTGATTACATACCTCCGTGACCCTGAGAATGTTGATCGCTACCATCTTGCCATCACTACTGCCCCATCTCTAATCCGTCGTAAGACGGGATTCGGAACTGAACTCGCTGAGCAGATCGAAGAACTGGCCCTTACTCTTGTTGGTCTTCAAGATGAACACAAGCACCCATCCTTTCACGAATCACGCCTCCAAAGCATGATCGCTCTCATTGTCTCACAGCCTCTCAAAATGGGTCGCTGGTTCACTGCAATCTTTTTTGATGGAGACCTGTCCCAAGTTCAGAGATCTGCTGTGCTAACAGCCTTGGGTCTCGGCGCGCGTGAGATTGCAGGCAATGGCGAGGATGATGCTAAGGCACTGGGTCTTCCGACTCTGGGAGATACCTCATTCCCATCTAAGCGGCTGTCGCCTGCATTGGAAGCCATGTTTCTGGGCGCAAATGAGTCTCCCATTGCAACTCTCACCAGGGAAATGTCACGAACATCGCTGCAGCCACTGGCGGCCGATGCAGCAGACAAAATGACAGGCCCGAATGCCCTGAAGGTGCGCACCTTCTCGTCGCGTATGGAAGTTGAGAAGAAGCGCCAGCAGCGCGATGCCCAGAGACGGCAGAACACTGTAAAAGATGTTCATAAGGTGCTTGCCGAAGGCTTCTTCTACCCTCTCCAGGGCCGATTCGAGATTATGATGTTGCAATTCTCTTCGTATGTCTCATCTTTGCTATGACTCTCTTCGATAGCTTCACTAACTATCCTATAGGTCATCTGCCCCCTCTTACAACCCGTTCTTCGTACCGCACATCCTCACCCTCTTTCTCCAAACCCTTTCCCTTATCTTTTCTACTGCCGGCCCGCATGGCCCGTTTCTTCCAGGTCTTACACATGAAATGCTTTCTTTGCTCATATCTCTGCACACAGCCCCGATATCTAGCGAGCCTACTGTCACCGCGGCGCTACTTAACCTCTTCCTTGCAGTTGTGGACGTGAATATTGCATCTGGCTCAAGCGGCGAAGAACGCCTCGTCACCGAGTATGCCACGAGGGTAATTGAGTTACGCGAATGGGCTTCTGAGGTCTTTGATCGCATGCCCTCCGGAGCCAACAAAACAGACTCCAGTGCCTTCTCTGATCCACAGGAACAGGTGCGAACGCTGGCTGCTGGGGTCATGGTGCGGCTTGGAGAGGTTATAGAACGGTATCAGGGTCGGTTGATGGGCGTGAATGCCGGCTTCAAGTACTAAGCTATGGATGACCGTACGAATCATTGTAAAAAGCTCCGCTGCCTTCTGAGTTAAAGAAATGGTATCCTGAGAACTATTGACCGCAATGAACGCTAGATCTGATGAAATATGCTATTCCGTCTTTGCAAAACTGCCCTTCTCAACGGCTGCTTCCATCATGCGGTCGCCGCTGATGAGTCCTGTAGTGCAGATGATGATCTTGCGCCGCGGCGCCTCCTGGGCAGCGATGAAGCGCAGCGCGGCAATCTCGGTAAAGGTAATTCCACCCAAAAAGAAGACGTATACAGTCTTTGTGGTAGAGTTGCCGCTAAGCGTCTGACGAGCTCGAACGGCCTTGTCATCACCTTTCTGGACAATGCTGAAAGTCGAGCCGCGGGCGCTTTTCACCACATCCTCGAACCCGAGCCATCCAGGAGACGCCGTGCTGGCATTGCTTATTGATACAGCTGGCGACCCACCCTTAATCAAGGAGAGGATATACGGTTTTTGCAGCACGCATTGAACCAGGCGAACGCTGAGTGGGGCGAATCCACTGTAGACATAGGAGATATCGTTGGGGTCTTTCTCACTGACTTCCTCGATCACCAGTCGCAGGTTCTTCCGCAGGTACGCGTAATTGGTTTTCGAGCCGGCCTGCGCACCGGACGCAGGGAGGAGCATGGCCGTGGCCGAAGACCGGGGCTGCAGAAGCTCCATCTTCTCCAATGCCCAGAAAGTCAGGAGATGCTGGTGGCCGTAGGCCTGGACGATTTGTCTTTTCAAGTTCTCCAGGTCCCGGGGACGCAGTCCACCGGACATACACGACTCCAGACATAGTAGGCGTAACACACTCTTCAAGGGAACATCCCGCGAAATAAGCTCTTCAATAGTCTCATGTTGATAAGTTGGATCGGCACCTGCGGCAGTGTTCTGCTGCACTTCCAGTATCTTCCGGAATGTCTCAGATCGGGTGAGCCGCATGATTTCCTCCGCGAGATTCGTGTGGATCCGAAGGCTCTGGTGCTCCAGTTGGTAGGTCGGTAGCTTATTGACAAACTCGCGGAGCTCGTTTGTTGTCTTGGCCGTATGCCGGGTTTCATATTCGTTTTCCAGCCGGCGAGCCACCTTGTTGAGGAGGTCACCCACGATGGCAAAATTCGCATCTCGCAGTTGGCTGAAGAGCTGATCCGATGAATCAAGCTGGATTTTCCTCTTCAGTCCTTGCTTAGCCTGCTGGGGCGTTTTAGAAGATTCCTGCGGTTGTGGTGCAGAAGCTTGCCCCACAATGCTAGTATCAACATCGGCTTGGTTGTGCTTAATACCAACATATTCGTCAATTAAGCCTTCATAAGTTAGTTGGGTGAGAAGTGGTGTTCCAAAGTCCACGTCGCGATCAATGATTATCAGATTCTCGGTATCGGCGCTCGGGAGAAGTCCTCGTGTAGAGGGGTCGGCCAGCCCCGAGCTCTCTTCCGCATCCAACTCTTTGCGCATCCGCAGCAGAAGATCTGCCAGACGGCGCGCATTATCACCCTTTCCGACAATGCGAGGGAAATACCCATGTCGCTGCTGGATGCCCATGAGAGCTTTGGCAGCATGAAAGATGCAGCCAGGGTCCTTATGCTGATGTTATGTCAATATGGCTTCTGTCGCCACACGAGGGTATCTAAGACCTACCAGGTACAAGTCTTTGAAAGCCTCGTCAAGCTCCAATGATAAGATATCCTGCTCGAGTGGCAAGAAGTAGAGCGGAAACACGGCAATGTTGACATCACCGATAATGCCCGCCTCCTCCAGCACCGCATTGCTTACCAAGGTCCGCCGGGGAGCGAAGAAGATAGAAAACTCATGCTCCACGTTTCCATTATCTTGAAGGCGTTTGATTTGCTCTAGAGAGGATTGTTAGCCCATACTGATGGCACCCAATCGAAGTAGAACTATAACGGGACAGAATGCCAATGAATAAGCTCATTTAGATCTAGGGAACTCGAATGATTACGTAGAGTATGAAGCTCATCTGCGTAATATACTGGTCGTTTTCGCAGTTCCCAGGCGGGCTCGGGTAGCAAGAGCAATACCAACAAATGCAAACAAGATACAACGAAAAGTGCCTTACCTGCCACCGTGCGCACATGGTGAGCCTTCTCGCCGCGGATTAGGAACACGACATTGCGTTGCGAAGAGTCGATGTTTGCATTTTCCAGCAAAAATACACGGTCGACGCCATACTGTTGGAGTTCGGAGAACTTCACGAACAGGCCGACTGGACCCGCCAGCTCCTGGCTAATGACGAGATTCTTCTTGCCCCGAGCCTACACGCCATTAGAAGAGGCTCTGGGACGCAGACATGGTACTCACGCCTTCAAGCAGGGCCAGCAGATCCCTGCGGGCCTTGTCTCTGCAGTGGTCGGCGTCTCCCAGGGGCGCCATTGCTGAGGTGGCTGTGGCAGGCAGCACTCCCGCCAACACCCAAAAATAACGGAGAGGCGAAGCTGCTGCGGCCGCTTCGGGGCTAGCGCCTCGGGGCTGAGTCAGCGGTACTGTATGGTCAGATGTCCGCCACTACCACCCAGAAAGCCGATCATTGGCAGTCATTGGCAGTGTCACGTTGGTCACCGGGTTACAGCCATACCACCGCCGGTCTCGACTGCTAGGCTCCCCTGAAGCGCCTTCAATTCTTTGAAACACTTTTCTCCTCGTCCTTCCTGCGGAAAGTTTTAGCCGATCTGTTTTTTTTCTTAGACATCTTCTTCCGCTTCTATCTAATAAACTCTACGGTCAATCTTTCATTCGCAGCTCATCATGGGTCTGTTCAAAAAGTCCGGTGACGACGACGGCGACTCAAACCGCCGGGCCCTGTTCGGCTCTCGATCAAAGAATAAGAGCCCTTCGCCTGTCTCCAACCCCTACGCCCAACCGGCTCACATCGATCCGTACACCAAGGCCAAGATCCAGGCTGGTGTTATGCCGCCACCGGCCGATATCCAGGGCGGCAACGGTTCCCCCGCCCCCGCAGGAGGACCCCACGCCATTCCATCCGATAATAAGTTCGCGGGCTATACGCCAAACCGCTACGGTAACCAGGGAGGATATGGCAGTGATCGGTTTGGCAGTGGCAATGCTGGCGCCGGTGCCTCGCGCTACGGTACGGGTGGCTATGGAGGTCTAGGCAGTGCCGACCCCAATGACCCCGGCGCGGGGGACGCGGCTCGCAGCGAGCTGTTTGGCGGGGCCAAAAATCGTGTGCAACAGAATGAGGGCAATGCCCCGCCTCCCTATTCGCCAGGCCAAGGGGACGGAGAACAGAATAACTACGGTGGCGGTAGCAATGAGTACAGCATGGCCACCTACCAGGACCGGCAGCTTACCGCCGAAGAGGAGGAAGAAGAAAATGTCCAGGCCACCAAGCAAGAGATGCGGTTCGTGAAGCAGGGCGACGTGTCATCCACGCGCAATGCTCTCCGTGCTGCCGCAATGGCCGAGGAGACTGGACGTACGACACTCGCTCGCCTCGGTGCACAGGGCGAGATGATCCACGGTGCGGAGAAGAATCTTGACATGGCCGCGATTGAGGGCCGTTTTGCGCAGGAGAAGGCGCGCGAGTTGAAGACGCTCAACAAGAGCATGTTCGCGGTGCACGTTTCCAATCCATTTACCAGTGCCTCGCGCCGGCGCGAACGCGACGAGCGCACCCTTAACACCCACCGAGAAGAGCGCGACCTCCGCGACGGAACCCGCTCTGAAGCCTACCAAACTAATGCACGCATGGAAAAGGTGTTCCGCGACGTTGACCGAGAGGCAAGCAAACAGGGCAAGGGCAAGAAGGCAAGCGTTACGGAGCGTGCCAAGTACCAATTCGAGGCCGACAGTGAGGATGAGGCGATGGAAGACGAGATCGAGCAGAACTTGGATCTTCTTAGTGGTGCCGCTGGCCGGCTGAACGGTCTTGCCAAGGCCACCGGCCGCGAGCTGGATGAGCAGAACAGACATCTGGAGCGCATCACAGGCAAGGTCAGTACCGATTCTTGGAACTGCGTGTGGCTATACGCATGATGCTAACTTTTTCCACAGAGCGACTTTGTCGACGATCAAATTGCCATGAACCGGGCCAAGCTGGATCGTATTCACTAAGTCTTATTGTTACCGTCTGGAGCTGGAATGTGCCTGGTGCTGTGCAGCTCGTTAATCATTATTACCCTCTGAATTGGCCTGTCATCTATGGATAATCATCTCCCCGGCGTTTGGGCTTTCTGCTTTCTGCCTTCCGCATGTGCGCCTGCTGCGTCCCATACCGCAGCAGGATCTTGAAACTTGCAATTTAGACTACGGATTTAGTATCATAACTGCTACCCTTCTTTACCTTCTGCTGAGTATCTCAAATGTTCCCTTTAAGTGCTCTATAACTAAGACCCATATCGTACTATCAACCACTGTCGCAATGCCAATACGTCTCTTTTCAGTTCCAATGCCGATTAATGCGGTGCGACCTTGTGTTCGAAACACAACCAGTTTGCATGTCCGATCTAGCAGTAATGCAACGCAGGCTGCCTCATGGAGACATCTACCGAGTAAGCCTAATTTAATCGCACACTTTCAAACATGGAGGGTGGGATCCATATTGCTGCAGTAGATCGATCTCTCGAGATATACAGGCGGCATTACATTAATTGGACTGTACTTATAAGGGCCCTAGGTACACAAAGACATATACTCGGATTCACATGAGCGCTTATTTGTGGATTAGACATCTCTACTATAGCGACTGTAGTGTGAAGATCCACCAATAGGCCCCGGAATAACAGCGAAACCATCCAGTTTCACCGAAAGATGCAAAAAAAGCCAGAGAAAGGAACAAAAAAAAATGCTTTCGCACCAATGCCACGGGTATCACATCAACACCACGCCATCCCTGCCATCCTGCACAAACACGTGCTATCACAGACCCGGTGGAAACAAAGGGCGACCCTCATGACAAGACAAAAGCCTGTCCAAGGAGGGGTAGAAAGGAACCAGGCAGACAGGACAGAATAGGATAAAAATGGTAATGGTCCAAAGGGGGGCGAGATCGAAACCATGCAAGACCGATGCACGATATAGAGGATTAGAAGGTAAATGAACACACAAAAGACAACCTGCTGCAGCAAAAGACAAAAGGGGTTGGGGAGGACAAAAGGCCCAAGGCCGAAGGCAATAAAAACGCATTGAATCATCACAAGCCCATTGGTATCGAGAAAAGCACAGGTGACTCCCAGGTCTAGCGAAAGAAGAAGAAAGGAAAGGACAACACGAGAAAAAAAAAAAAAAAAGGAAAAAGGAAAAGGAAAGGAGGAAAAAAAAAAAGAAGAAACAAAAGGACAACCAGGAACGCAAAACCAGCCGGTACCTCTATGGTCATAACGGGGAGAAAATAAGGAAAACATCAAAAAAGGTCTGTCCCCTTCCCAGAGCCCTCGTCCCGTATCTGCGTGAACCCCCAAAATGAAACCGTCCCAGGGTATATAGTATATGAAGAAATCTCCCGACACCGGATCGGTGAGACGTATTCGGAATGTAGGAAATGATGATGGTGAGCGTGTAAAAAAGGGGTAGTCCATGCTGTTGTACAAGGAGTCAAGGCCGAAGCAGGTTCGCGCAGCCCAACACAGTTGGGACTGGGCCCGCTCGGCGGGATAGGATAGGATAGGATATCTGGTGCGTTCATGAACGCGCCAAAGCTGGGAACGGAGAAGGCGCTCGGGTGATGAGGCGCATCAAGTCGAGCAGAAGGGAAATAAGGTCAATGCGGCGTCCAGTTGTGGATTTACTCGTCGTCGTCGGGAGAGCCGCCTTCCTTCTCGCCCTTGTGCACCTTCTTGTGTCGGCGCAGGTTGGAGACCACTGAGAAGTGGCGCCCGCAGCCGTCAACGTCGCACGCGAACGCTATCATCAACGGGTCAGTACACCTGTTTTCGGACGCGAATTTCCTGGGTTCAGGATGTTCCACTTACGCTTCTCGCCAGTGTGGCTGTACATATGCGTCTGGAGCGAGGAAGGACGCGTGAACCGCTTGTCGCAGACCTTGCACTTGTGCTTCTTTTGCGTGTTGGAGGGCATCTTGGAGCTGAACTGGCTCATCATGGATTGGGGGCCGGGCGGGGCGCTGCCCGCCAGGAGGCTGGTCGGGCGGGGAAGCGTGCGAGACTCGTACGATTCCGATGTCGTCGAGCTGTAGTCGGTCACGGAGGAGTCGACGGAGCCCACGGAGGCGCTGTAGTAAGGGTAGTTGCTGCCGGAGGAAATGGAGGAGGCGGAGGAGTGCGTCGAGGGGAAACCGTAGGAATCCGCGGAGCCTCGCGCGCCGCGAGGACCGTAGATGTTACGGGGTGTCAGGTCCTGGCTGAGCGCCACCATCCCACGACTGGCGTCGAGCGCGTCCCCGAAGGTGGGAGTGGGCGCGGGTGCTTGGGAGGATCCCACACGGTCTCTGTACGGAATGTTGCGTCAGCCACCTGTATAAATTCGTGCGTTGCGGGCGCCATGAGCGAGGCGCGGAATCACTCACGAATGCGAAATGCGACGGATGTCCTGGGGCTGGGAGGGGTGAATCGGGGCGTAGGTGCCTGGCGCGTAGCTGGCCGGGGCGAAGCTGCTCATGGGCGGCGCGGTGGTGTACGTGGAGGTCTGCTCGAAGCCGGTGCGCGGAACCTCGTGTTGCATGCCCATCACCTCCGGGCCATAGCCGGTCGCGGCGTAATTGCTGCCCGGCACGAGTGAGGGTGCCGACACGGGGATGTTGGGGTAGGGCATGGACATGGCCGCGGAGCGGCCGACTTCCTCTGGCTTGACGGGGTTGATGGGGATGCTGGCGCTGTTGCCCATGGATGTCGCGTAAATGGGCGGGGTCGAGTGCGAGGAGGTATGCGCGGCCGCCCAGGGGTCTGTGAATTGTGGCTGCGTGTGGTGGTAGACATTGTCGAAACTCATGCCGCCATATGGGCGGTTCTGGTTTTCCATTACCATCGTCATGGAGGGTAGGGTCGCGACGAGCGAGCCGATCGCGCGCGAGAGGGCAATGGGTGCGAAGGTAAGAGATCGGGATGTGTCGTGCGGGATCGGGTATCTGCACGAGGATGGCCCAAGACGTCTCGGGGGTGGTTGGTGTTGAGGTGAGGGACGATCGTGTGTTGATCTGGGGCGTGTCCAGAGGGTTTGGAAAGGAAGAGTTGAAAAGAGAAAGTGATAAGCCGAAGATCAGGGATTAATTTAATTTTTATCGCGAGAGTGAGAGAAAGAGGTCTGGGGAAAGGGGATCGGCGAAGCTTAAGAAGGGCCTGCGCCTGTAAGTAGTGGGCGCATGAGTGAGGCACGATATTGCTCTCGCGGAGTGCCACTGACGACGTGCCGTCGGGGCTCGCAGATCGTCGAAACGCTAATACGCCCGCGGGTAATGTAATTTACGGTTCCCCATTTCCCTCTTGAGCCAAAAATCTCAAATAATTCGGGTTTCCACTTTCTGCTTTTCCTTATTTTCACTATTTCTTATTTCCTGATTCTCTCATGGATGGGTATTTAGTGGCCCCTCTCAACGGGAACCAGTTCCTCGGACCCTCCTTCACTTTGGCTGGCGAGCTTGGCCTGTGTTGTCTCGTTGGTCGCCATTGCATCCTAAATGTGATTAAACTCCAGATGACATCTGTATTCAATTCGGGACTTTGGGGGAGGGGAGGGGAGGGGAGGTATGCCCTCGACGACAAAGGCCTCCCAGCCCGTTCAACGCAAATCCCGCCAACCAATTAGGCTGAGGAATGGAAGATCGAGAGAATCCCACAATTAACCGCGGCAGCAAGAATGTGTGCACGCGCACTCTCGAGCATCTCTGTCTCTCTGCGGTCTCCATAGAATCGTGAATACCCTGGTTGCCATTTTCCCGGTGGAGAGGAGGAATGGACTCGAATAGGGGATGTCGGGATTGCAACTCCCCCCACGGGACCCAGTTCACAGATGACAAGGTTGAAAAGGGGAAATCATTGGACCCAAAAAACAGTCGGTAGCCTCAGATACCAAAGGGGGGGTGGGAGGGGGGACAGAGATGCGGTTGTTAGTTAGGTGGGAAGGGAAGTGGATTCAATTGGGGGAAAGGGACTGAGTATAGGAGAGACTATGGGGACTGGATGGGTGAGTATGGGACTATGGAGACAATTTCCGAAGGGAATGTCCAGCACAGACTAGGAGGGCTGCCGATGAGTGGCCCAGCTGTGCCGTGTCTAGGGGAAGCTAAACTTGGGGGGAGGGGAGGAAAGGGAAAAAAGTTAGAGGGGGTTAAAAAATAAAGAAAACCAAAAAGGGCGAAAAGAAAAAGAAAAGGGACGCCAAGAAATAGACTTACGATGCAGCGACCAAGGTTCGCCCTGAGAGAGTGTGTTTCAAAGTAGCGGGGAAGGTGGCAGATCCCAGTGATACGTCAAAGGGTATACCCGCGCCCGTGGGGGGATGGTTTTTCTGGAGCGGAATAACGCCGTAGAAGAAGTAGTGAATGGCTGAGGTCTGGCGATGCTCTCTGAGAAAAGACTCCCAGCCTCTCTCTCTCTCTCTGTTCCGTCCATTTTCCCATCTCCTGGGGAAGAGGGAAGCAGTTTGAACCCCTGCTCGGGTTAGGGTTGACCTCGCGGGCCATGGCTCTCAGGCAAACCCAAATGTGGGAGAGGCCCACGGGGACAGCTTTGGGTTCGCTTCCCTATTGGCCTGCTGCTGGACCCTCCCAGAGGCAAAAAAAAAAAAAAGCCCCCCAAAAATTGAAAAAATGAAAAAGGTGAAAAAGAAGGAAATCCTTAGAAAATTGTGACGATTCACAGGGCTTTCCGCCATGTATGTGGGATGAAGAGGGAGGGGGGGGAGGGGCCTTTGACACGGGCCATAGTTGGTCTAGCGTGGGGAGGATGGGAGGCGACCTTACTTCCCAACCCGAATTCAATTCAAATGCACCAATGGCAACCCCCAGGATGTCGCCCTCGCGGAACCCAATAAATAACAGCATACAGCATACAGCATACAGCATACAGCATTATCGAATCAATAGCGTGAGCATTATTGACGGCATTCTAGGACTTCGGTCGCTGCGCTCCATTCTCCTTCTGACGGGCTGGGGGAGGAATTTACGGGCACAAAAATGCGCATGATGACGACGTTGACCTCGGAGCACTGCTCTACACTCTGAGACTCGACCAGATGATACTCTCCCAGGATAGAGGTCGGGGACGGTCCCGTAGGGAGGACGGAGTACCAAGCATCACCTCCCCTCCTACAGCGTCAAGGATGTCCAGAGGTCGCCTCGACGTGTGGAGGATGACCGGTGCGCCCGCCACGATCGGACTTCTTCCGGTTGATGCAGCCCTCGTTGCGTCCTGGACTGCAACCTGACCCAACCGGCGCAGCCGCGTTACACAGTGTGCGCGAAAATCGCAGTGGGACAGCCAACTGGTGCGATGACGGAATGCCGGATTTTTCACGGGTCCAGCATGCCCATTTGCCGCGGGCCATGCGACCTGTATCGACCCCCAAAAAAAAGGTCCCAGGGAAAGAGAAACGGGAGGGGAGCCAAGCAGGCAAAACACTGGTACGAGCCATTCCGCAGCTCGTATCGCCAGGAATACGCATCGACCGCTCGACCGCTCAACCGCATCCCCGTGCTGCCTCGGAGCCCTGCAAGCCATGGCCGCCTCGTCCCATTCTACTCCTCACCACCACGGCGAGGCGAGGAGGTGGGGGGGAACCATCGCCGGACGACGTCAGAGGACAGACCAGCACATCCCGCCATGGGGGCATTAGCGCGGCTCCTACAATAGCGCGGCAGAGGCGACCGCGATCCAGAATCGGACACCTCACACCGAGACCGACGTGGAGACGGTTCTCTGTCGTGATCAGTTAACTCGTCCCGAGCGGTTCCTTTGCAGTGGAGCATCATCTCATTTCGCCTGTGGCAGATGGGTCCAGTCAGGGCAAGTTCGTGGGCCTGGTCCCCGATCCACGCACCACGTCCCCGAGCATGGCAGATGCATTCCCCTCTGATACCTCGAGAGAAAGCCCGACTGCTTCGTCTAGACGTCTCCGTCACCTTCAAGGGCGCGATCACAAGGATTGGTATAGCCCATGGAGGCTGAAGAAAGTCCCGGTTTCCCCTGTGAAGCATACTCCGATCTTATGCCCGTAATTCACCGTGGACGTGGTTCCCTAGCCGTGAGGTGCATCTTCCGAAAGAGTATATCCCGTACCATTTCCCTCTACCAGCCCCCAAAAAATAAATAATATAATATTTAAAAAAATATATGTAGATGTAGATGGGAAATGAAAATCAAGGAAGCAAGCTGCCACTACGGAGAGCTTGTCGGAAGGCACCCTAGATTCCGAAAGCACGCTTCACTCCTAACTTGCACCTTTGCAACTCTCCTTGCCCGCCGGATCACCACTGGCCTCTCCGCATTTCCTGCTCACCTAGGGCAACGCCACGGTTCCATGGTCACCGCGGTGTTCCAGAAGGAACAGAAGAAAAAAACTCCCCACCCCACCCACTGAACCACTCACACCGGACGGTGGAGAGGGGCTAGTGGGATAGTGGGATCTTGGTTCCAGCGTGCGAACCGGCGAATTCCCGCCGAATGCGGTAGGTCTGAGCGTTTCCACGGGTCCAGGAGGTTTGTGCCTCGCTGACCGTGGGTTTGGCATGCCCGTTGGAGTCATCCACCTTGGGGAACCGGAGATTCAATCCAAATCCCGCTGATCGTTTCGTGGCTTGGTTCTTTGCCCGTGCAGCTCAGCCGCGCGCGCGGACTCAAGTGGCATGCCGAGACGCAGCCCGTCTCCAATTATTGAACCACCATCTGAATGCTAAAGTCTAAAGTCTCCGGGACCGGGAAGGATGCCCATCCGCAGTGCCGGCGGCTGGAGGCGATGAATATCTTCGTTCCTGGACGGGGGCGTTCGTTCCTGATTCCGTCCTATCGGCCGGATTCACCCATCGTGTACTAGGGGCAAAAAGGGCAGCTCGGACGTGCTTCGGGAAAGACTTCATTGGCAGCGAGGCCAGGACATGGGCCTGATGGAGCCTTCCTGGGGTGTCGTCCAGGTTCTGGCCGAGGCCCCAGCAGCACGGAGGAGAACCCAGAACCCCGACTTCAAGGTTCTAGACGTACAAGTTGGTTTGGGCAGCAAGAACTTGGTCGTGCCAGCTAGTGCCGTGCAGCTAGCAACAGGGAACCCGCGTCGATGCTCCATGGCCGGAACTATGGACAGACTATGGACTCGACTACGAGCGATGGAGACCGGCTCATTTCCATGTGACCCGTTTGAGGGCCAAACGCGAACTGCTCCCCAAAAATGAAAAATAATAATCATGAACCGGCAGCAGGATGGAGGTGCACCGAGCGTCAGGTCCCCCTTTTTACCTATGCCGTGTCTGGCCCACTCGACGTCTCACCGGCAGCACCTCCTTTGCTGGATTACATCATCTTCTTTGGCATGTCTTCAAGGCGATGAGAGCGCGGATGCGATGGTTGGATTCGGTGCGGAGTGATAGAGCGATGAGGAGGGGAGAAATGGCTATTTGGCCCGTAAAGCAGACGAACGGAGTCCCGGTTTCAACTACATCGGCTCCTACCCTGAAACCAGCGACCAATGAATCTCCCAGGGAGGCCCCGAAGGCATGTTGATGTCTGCATCATAGGTCTGAAGGACCGGGTGCTTGGTGAGACTGAATGCCGGAGTTAGGGCACGCCCTCAGCGCCGACCGTTGGGGTCGTCGCGATGGGCAGACGGAGTGAGCCGGATGGGCAGGGTAGAGGCGATCGTGCCAATCTGCTCGGAGCTTCAGCGACCGGCTCCACAGCACGACAGGAGAGGCCCAGGCTGGTACACGGGAGGAGTGGAGACTGCAGAGGGACCCTCGATCGTTGATGTTGCCGCCACGGGAAGGGCAATCACCGGAACCCGCTGACCGCTTTTCTGCGCTTCACCGGGAAAGGCACAGCGTGCGATGGAGGCGATGTCTGGACGGATCGCACGGGAGGCAAACACGGGTTCTCTTCATGACGCGTCGCTAGCCAGCCTTGCTCCTTTCCCGTTTGGCCCTCTGGCCCCAAGTCCACTCTCAAGATCCCTCCTAAATAGGCAAGTTTGCCAGCCTCGGAAACTCGGCTGGCGGATTCGGCAATCCACCCGTCGACTTTCCCGAGAAATGCGCTGAAAAAAGCCCACTGGGCAAGGGGCGGTCAACAGGGCCAGCAGAGCCTGCCACACGAAGGTACGAAGCACACGAAGTACAGTACCATTGTGTACCGTACCCTGCGAGGTCCAAGTCCCATCATGTGCGCAGGCCCGATGCAGAAAACTCGGAGAAATATGCTCTGCACGATCTCGGGAACCCCTCGTAGATGGAGGGGAAAGGCATGATCCGATGGACGGACTCTGAACGCCAGCAAAATCACCCAGACAGAACAAACCTCTCCGTACTCCCCCATCGCATCGATGGCGCACACGCTGGACGACCGATAGAGTCGACCACCACGTGATGGCGATCCCCGACACGCCGATACCGCTTATCACGCCCATCATTCAGGAACCAGCCTATGCCAGCCCTAGAGGCCGTTCCCGCCCCCCCCCCCCCAACCCAGGCTCATCTGTCATCTGCACGGGGCTCCGATCTTGGCGGTGTCCACCACGGCAGATCGTCCGCGATTGCCCTCTTAATTTTACGGACTTGGGTCTCATGCTGCACATCACCGTTCGGACTTGCACCTCCAGTCCCGCGACCGACGTGGGGGCCATGGTCGACAATGTCATTCCCCCAGGCTGGCATTGTCAGCATTGTCAGCAGCAGCGGTTCCACCGCGGTGTGTTGCTATACATAGCCAACCGGCCATCGTCCGCGGGAGGCGCAAAGGAGAAGTGCCTGGTCCAGGAGGTCCAACACTAAGCTCCCACGGATCCACCCCGGCAAGACTGGAAGGCCCAAGGTTCAGGCCCAGTTCCTGGGTGATCGATATCCATGCGTATCCGGGTAAACTGGTTAAAGGGCCAGGATGGCGTCGAGAAGACCTGCCCCTCGTCCCAGGGAGCCATCTCCATCCGCATCCGCACACCACACCTCCACTGCGGTGTCCCGTCTGGACGGGAGAACCCCCCCCTCCCAAAATCCAAAATCCAATCATAAAAAGTCAAAAAACCCAAATGCAAAATCCAAAACCCCCCCCAAACCCTGGAATGACGGCACACTCGCAAAATGAAGCCGGATGCACAAGCGGTGATTGGCGGTCCCCAAATACCCAGTATACACTTCATACACACCCGATACCGGCGACCCACCAGCAGTCTCCCCCCATCCTCCCTTGTCCCGCCAGCCTCTCTGGGGTGTTTATCTGCCAGAGTGGAGGCGCTGGAGCACATCACGGCCCTCTCACTGGTCGCTCGGATCCACCACATTCCTTTTGCGTTTGTGAAGAGACGGCAGATAGTCGATAGCCGAGCTTGGCACCGTGGGATCGTCCAATAGATCCTCCGGCCCCACCCGGAGCTGACGCGTGCTGGTCCCGTGCAGTCGGAGTTCCACGGTGCGGGAGTTGGGGTCGTTGGTCGTGAAGGGGGAAAGGTGAGCAATGTTGGGGGTCGTTCCAAGCGAGCCACAGGAGATGCTAGGGTGTCATTCGGCGTGCTCAACCTCCCTGGATATCATTGGATTAGATGGCCGTCTATTTTTGGCCTGCTATCGTGTTTACCTCCCCCTCTTTCCGGCAGAGTCCCAGACAACCTCAAGACGGCGAATCCGCATGGCTGGCTGGGGCGTCAAACCCATGACGTGATGGCGCGCTAGTCTCCCTCGCCCGCCCCCTGCCCGGCCCTGGATCCCCGCAAATGCCCGTTGGCATGGTCCCTATGGCACTAACGCACTCACACACTCACGCACTAACAGCATTTGAGGAGGCCGCCTTAGGGGCAAGATCCCTGCGTGCGATCCTGGTACGGCCCACCCTGGCCGCCAAGAACACTGCCACCCTCAGGGTCAACGCTAAAGGCCAAGCTGAAACGTCCGGCGCATCTTGAAGGGTGGATCGGGTCCGGTCTGATTTCCTCCCCCCCCCCGACGAAGAACTGGGGCCGCCAGCCCATTTTCCTGCGCCGTGGGCTGGCCTGTCGCGTCCTGGGTAAAAGGACGCTTTTGTTTTCCCTCGCCCCCCCCCAACCGTTCGAGATCGAAATGGCCTTGCCCGGCGGTGCATTTGTCCCTTCCAGCCCACTCTTTTGCATCGCTCGTCCTCACTTCGGCGGGTGGGGTTTCCTTCACCCTATGGACTAGTTGACCTGACTTGACTGGGCTCACCTGAGAAACCACCGACACATCCAAGAGACCCATACTCCTTTCGGCAGGGCCAGTGCAATTAGCTATGTCATCGTATCCGGCTCTCGACGGCTTCGTAACGCGGAACCAGCCCGTTGACGAGCGGAGAAGGTCGGGATTGGGTGCGATGTCATGGTGCCGAGCTCTGCTGTATAGCTCCGGATGGTTTTTTCCTAGAACGATGACATGGCTTCCGGTGGCTGAGAGATGACCCCGCCACCAAAGTCTAGTACCATCCCCCGGTTCTTGTTGGAAGGTTTTTGGTGTTGGCCCACGCCTTTCTCCGCGGTCCAACAGAATGAACTTACGGTGTGCGCTGTACAACTGTTTAGCCTATCTCAACCTGCACGTACTCCATACTTCCGACGGAGTATTCCGACCTTTTTCTCCCCTTCCCATTCCCCCCGATCTCGAGCATCTTCTCGTCGTCTCACAATCCCAGGACGACCTTACCCGCACCGAGATCAAGCTTCCCTCTGACAAGAGCACACTTGCAGGGTGTGGAGTGTACTTGGCCTTGGCAGATGTCACTGCCCGACCATTTGGGGCTTAGTAGAGGTCCGCCCCGGAAGCTTGACGGAGGAGGGCAGTAAAGTTGGCATCTGCTGAACAGCAAACTAATGTAGTGGGAAGGAGGGCGATCCACTGGGGAGGCGCTCCATCCTCTAAATTGACGGAATTGAACTCGGACTGCACAGCGAAAGCTCCCTCCGACATGGTTGGTCGCTGCAGGGTGTCGGGCCCCCTTGCAATGGCGATGACCTCTGCCTGGATGTCGTGTCCACAGAGGTCGTCCAGAGTACGGAGTATCCGTACTCTGTCCTGCGCGCAGCGTTGTTGGCCGCCCAATCACCGCCATATGCAACCCTTCTCCGCCACTGTCCGGATCCCTGTTTTCGTGCGCAATTCCATCCTAGCTCGTTGCATGATTGGCTCTGCGCACGATGTACCGAGCTTCTCACATGAGCCCGCGGTATCTCGCATGCTTGACAGGTACACCCGTATCCGCGAACTTGATGGGTACGGTCACTACGATCATGTACAATGTACAGTATGCTCTGGACATTCAATCCGTTCCCAGCGGTCAGCGCGGTGACCACGCGATACTCATCCTGATCCTGATCCAAATCCCGCAGACTGCAGGCTGCACCACATCCGCGACGAATCTCAGCTGCCGATGCACCTATCACTACGCCATGTACGCCCCAGCAGGTAAATCCGAAGTCCACCCCAAAAAAAGAAAGGCATATCCCAAAAAGCACTGGCGTTCTTTCTCCGGGTGGAGTTTCGCTACCATCCATCTCGGCGTTCATTCCCTGCATGTGCCACCGACGCCTCCACGATCTCTGGGAGGATCTCTGTCTTTCAGCCTGGATCCATCGGACTCGGCCGTGCCACTGCCACTGCTCAGCCGTGTCCGCCACGGGCCCACGAACTCGAAGTATAAAGTCAAAAGAAATCACCAGCCAAAACTCTAAACCTTGATCCCCAGCGCACCCCTCAAATGGGACATTAGACCCTGAAAATTAATGCCAGGCAAGGGGGGGGGGGGGGGGGAAAGAAAAAAGAAAAGAAATAAAATAAGACAGGTAGACAGGTAGACACGAAGGGGTGGGTGGGAGGATTGGGCAACCATCCCAGTCACCACGTCGTTGTAATGCGCCCTATCTCGGGGTCTGCGTATACACGACGGAGTATACAATATACCGTAGGGAAGGCTCCGTCGAGGCTACTCCGTCCCTGCCGCTCCTCTCCATCTCCATTCCCCAGTCCAGCGAGAGCGCTGTGATTGGGGACGGTGAATTCAGGGGGAGGCTGTGTCGTGGACTCGACATGCTCTGATACCAGGAGTCAGGAACCGGAATCCCTTTCTTCGTCCATGTCGAGTGGATGGAACGGAGTACGGAGTACCCGCCGACGACACGACCTGCGGGACGGAGTGCTGCGGTTGGACATTCAGTACTACAGTACAATCAAGACGGGTGAAGGACCATGCATCAGATCACGACGGAGTACTCTGTACTCCGTACTGGTCGTAAGATTATGCAGGGCAAAAACGAAAAGAAAAGGGGAAAAAAAAAAAAAAAAAAAAAAAAAAGGGAAGTTCAAAAACGATAGAGACGACGCTCACGCCAACACCTATCTTCTAGAAACTATGTACAGTAAATCAAGACAATGACAAGACCAGCGAACAAAAGGGTCCCGCCTCAGACCCTCCAGCACGTTGTAACGGCGTATCCAGGGTAAAATTATTGCGCACCAGAATCCCCACAGCCAAAGCCTGATGTTCGATGGAGAGCTTACGCGGCCACATCCTGCGCCAAGCCCTGTTCACGGCAAGCTTAGGCATTTGGCGCCTCTTGGCACCGCGCGTGTGGGCAAATAGACTGGTCCCTCCTCCCTCCCTCTGCTTTGCACGGCGTCACTGCTTCGACCGGAGTTATGCAGTGGATAGCAACCTAGCGACCTAGCAACCTAGCGACCTAGCAACCTAGCAACCTAGCAACCTAGCAACCTAGAAACCTAGCAACTTAGAAACCTCCTCAAAAAAAACTAAGCTGCGAATGAAACATGCAAAAGACGGGGGGGTGCATGATGGGGTTTTCATTTCCTGATTGCCGAGAATCTATTTCCCAGGGAGCCTCCCCGAGTCAATCATGATGATTACGTGTTTAGTGTATTTTTCTTTTCGCGTGTCGGGCAAAAGAGAGGAGCAGGGGAAAATAGGAAATAGGAAATAGGAAATAGGAAATAGGAAATAGGAAATAGGAAATAGGGGGTGATGTGGTTGGACCCCGCGTGCCCATCTGATAATTGGGAAGGGGTTCGCGGAGTGCCGTTTTGCCGTTTTGTCGCTTAAGGCCAAGCGGGGACGAGAGGGTGAGTTGATATTAGACGATAGACGATCTCCGCCCTGGTTCTGCACAAGTCCAACCCCAGACTCGGCCCCGGATCGGAAGAAGATAATCGATAGTCATGGACGGTCAAGAGCGATCACTGCCCAATCGCCCCGGGCCCCTGCCACCGTCGCGGTTCCCAGGGGTCCGGCGGATCGGGGGCGTTCGATGTGGGCGTTCCTGGGACCTTGCCCGCTTTTGGGGGGGGGGGGGGAAATTGGACTCTGTAGATATATCTGTTCGATATATAGCTGCGACCGGGCCCCCGGGCTAATTAATGGAATCGGATAGTGCGATGCCTAGTGCGCCATTCCGATCAATTAATATATTTCGCACCACCACTATATGCGGGACGGGCCCACATCGTTTATTGACTACTGCTTGTCCTATTGATCCGATGCTCATAGCACCGCATGTGCTCACGTTGGTCACGGTGACCTGAAAGTCAGTCTGGGGGAGGGGATTGCTATGGTGTTCTGGCCGACCGGTCCATCGACCGGGCAGAGATCGGAAGCGGAATTTATGATTGGATTGAATTCAATTTCCCTAGTAGTGACTTTTGAATCCTGATATACAGTAACTGCGCCGAACGTCCGCTTGTCCCAGCAGCAAGAATGGAACGAAGAAAGAAAAAGAAAAAGGGAAACATCGCGGAAAACACCGGCTTGCAAAACAGAATAAATTACGGATGCAATGAAGAGAAAAGAAGCAGATCCAGGGTTCAAAGTTACAGCATCGTCCTCACACGATGATATTCAACTCCGGACGGTCCATGCCGTCGCCCTCCAAGCCCGGGTAGTAGGGAACCATTGCGTCGGCCCCTTGGACATAGGCATCATTGTACAGACGCCAGTACGGCGTGCGCACCTTGCGAGCGGGGTGAAACAGGCCGGCCCAGACGTAGTTCATGACTGTACCCGTGCCCACGGCCATCCGGATGGCGTCAATGGCTTCGATGATGCGATCGATGACATGCGGGCTGGTCTCAAACACGTTGGGGAACACGAGATTGAGAAGGTGAACCATCGCATCCTCGCAGCCGAGACCGACGACGCCGAGCGCAATGTGCTTGACCACGCTGGCCGCGGTCTGCCGGTGAACTTGGTCCCGGTCAATGAGGGCATCCTCGAGCAGAGGAGTGACGGCATAGACGTAGTCCTTGGCCATCTCACCAATGTACTCAAACAAGAACGACATGGCCTTGAGGACACCGTTCTGCACATTGAGCTCGGGAACGCGGTACTCGTTCATCAAGGCCGGGAGCACCGTGAATGGTGCGCAAGTTTCGGCGACAATACCGATGGCGACCGCCGTACACACACGAGACTGGCGCTCCTGCACACGCAGGTTGTTTAGAAGAGTGGCCAGGACATCCTGGGGACCGATCGCCTTGGCAATGAAACCAAAGGTGTTGTTGGCCGCGCGACGGATGCCCTTCTTGTGCGCCTTGAGCATATCCAGCAGCTCGAAGCAGATGCGCATCCATTCACGGGCATTGACCGACTCGGGGCCACGGTCGGCGATACGACCGACCAAGTCAATGGTGTTTTCCTGCACCTTCTCGTGACGGTTACGCAGGATGGGCGTAAGCCGGGGCAAAAGGTCCCGAATGGGCGGCTGCATCTGGTTGATTCCGACCACAGTCACAATGGACCGCAGAGCACCCAAGATCGAACCCAAAACCTCCGGGTATTCTTCACCCAAATATTCGTAAAGCACAATGCCGAGCTTGCCCATGAGAGCGTCCTCGCCACACTGCTTCATGACCATCGCAATGCGCGAAATGAGATCCGCCGCCTGCTGTCGAACGGTGGCAGATTTGTTGTTGAGGCGCCATAAGATGGTGGACACAATCTGGGGAAGGTAAGGCTTGCATCGAGTGCTGAGAGCGTTGACCACGGTGCCAAAGCCGTTGAGGATAACAATGTCCTCAATGCTTTGTTCCTGGAAAGCGAAGAGAACACCATCGATGAGCCGCTCCTCCTGCCGCTCCGAGATGTCCGCAGCTCCGAGGGCAGCAACCAGCTTCTCGATAGTCTCCACGGTCATTTTACGATAAGGCTCGCTCTCGTCCTTTAGGTTGGTGACGACCCGCTCGAGGATCTCGCCGACACCGACTTTTTGGCCGAGGTCAACCGTGGTATCGACCACCTGGCGGTAGTTTCGCCGATCGAGGGCCATACGCCGGACCCAGAAACTCTTGAAGAAATCGGTCAAGACATGTTCCTTGAGGTAGTTGGCAGTCACACCATCGGTGCTAGAGCACTGAGACACCACCTTCAGAACCACCTTTTTCATTTCCTCGTCCGGAGACGAGAATTCCCGGAGAAGAATCTCCATGATCTGGCTGGTGTAGTAGTTGGCATACTCCTCGTCCATAAGCGGAATAATGTAGCCAACAGCCTTCAGAAACGCGGCAAGACCTTTGCCACGCTGCTTGCGGGCACCGGTCCAGAGAGGATTCAGGATCTCGTCGAAGCTTTCAATACCGTAGGGATTGGCAGCTTCGGCCAAAGCAGCCACGGCCAACGCAGTGACTGTTCGGACCTTGGCCTGCTCATCGCTGAGGTTGTCTGCGATGCAATCGACAAGACCTTTGAGGTGGGGAAGAATGGCACAACCCATCAAGATGGGGATTTGCTGGACGATCTTGACACCGGTGTGTCGAGCTTGCCAGGACTTTTTGCTGCGACAGACAGCGCGAAGGAAGGGAAGAAGAGCTGGAATACCCAGGGCAGAGGCCACAACGGCGAACGCTCGGGCTGTGGTGTTTCGCACATACTCGTCGACGTGATCGATATCGGGACGCATGGTACTGATCATGGTGGCGAGACCAGCGGCCTTGGAGAGGTTGGAGATAATTTCTCGACCTTCAACACGGGCATAGTAGTCTTGATCAATGAGCAGAGGCTCAATAACCACCAAAATCTTGTGAACGTAAGGACGAACCAAGTCATCCAGCTTGTAGAGGACTCGATCGATGACCTTGACCAGCAAGTGACGTTCTTGGTCCTCCAAGGACTTCTCCATGAGCAAGGGCAGAATTTGATTGAAAAGAGCGCCGGCTCCAAAGTTCCGCGCGTTGTCCGTGAGCTGCCGCAACGCTGTCTTTCGCATGGGGGGTGTGCCGTTCTTAACCTTGAGCAGCAACCTCATGATCTTGCGCTCTTTCATTTCTTCAACAGTCATGGAACTTTCGTCCCCAGCCTCCATAAGCTTACCGAAGTACGCCATATCCTCTGGCTTGAAGAATTGTAAGTCACCGACGCCGGGAATATCGGTTGGAAGCTCCTTGCCCATAGACCTAGCACTCTCGGGTTCCTGCATCATGAATCCACCGTATCCAGCTGCGCCAGCCGCTGGCGCCGGCGTAGCCATCATTTTGCGTGCAGGGTTTCGAATTGGAGCATAACCTGGAGGAGGATCCAGAATCTTATACCCTTCAGAGGGCAGCATCATGTCGAGCTCCTCATCAGTCCAGTCGCCGGCTCGGCCAGCCACATCGGTTCCAAAGCCGGGTGCAGTCGACACTCCTTGAGACGGGTGCATAGGAGTGGCAAGTCCTTGATTGCCAACAGGGGTGGCCGCTGTGAGGGAAGGTGCTTGATCCCATCGAGACCGGCGCTTCGGCTCCTCGGACGCACCCGGGGCGGGTGTCTCATCCCATCGAGACCGCTTTGCCGTCGTTTCAGCAGGCTCGGCCTCTTCGGATGCCCCATTTGCCTCCGCGGACACATCCCAGCGCTTCTTTCGCTTCCTGCCGGCGACTTCTGCGGTGGAACCAGCATCGACATTCTCTTTGTCGCCTTCGGCCATCTTCAGTGTAGCTTGGTGCTCAGGAACGGCATCCTCTTCACCCTGTTCCCGCTTCTCAGCAATCAGCCTTTGAACACGCTCCTCTTCCTTCTCGAGATCACGAAGGGCCATGACCTCGCGGTAGGTCTGACCACCTCCATCCTCCACATTTGCGTGGGCGTTGGCAGCGAAGGGGTCGGCGCGCGTGGGCGTGAGAGGACCGCGGTCGAATCGACGCTTCTGATAGTCAGATTCCCGATCAGCAATGCGAGCAGCCTTCTCACGGCCAAGCATCATATCCTCTTCCTCCACTCCGTTTCCATGGGCCATCTCATCAATCTGATTTCTGGTTGCGGTATACTGGCCGACCAAGCGATGGCCGCCATTCGCATCCTCCATGTCTTCGTCATCATCGCCGTTCACAGCGATAGATGTATCGTAACCCGCGAATTTATCGGGTCCGTTCCGATCGTACAAAGTCGTGTCGAAGGATTCAGTAAGGGAGGCCTTGGTCGAGTTGTCAGTGCGCTGGCTAGACGAGTCAAAGGTCCTAGAACCTTTTTTGCCAGCGGCAGCAGCATTGCGCTCTGCTTGAAGCCGCCGGACAGCTTCAATATCGGCTGCAGCAGTGATCAGCATCAAGTTAGTGAGAGAAGTCGAAGAGCACTTACAGTCAGACATGCTGGCGGGTAGTCAGGTCCAGAATGACAGTATTATGGAAAAGAATAGGCAGCAGCAGCTACATTCGGATCTTTAAAGCACCGCTGGACCGGTAGCATCGATGAAGGGGAAGCTGACGCGCTGATAACGGGCGATCAGTGCAAAATGCACGACGCCAGCGAGGAGAGATGACTAATGATTTCCATCACGTGATAATATATAACTTTGTTCTTGACCCGACCGTCCAGCTCGATGAGTAAGCAGATTTCCGGACGTCCCACTAACTAGTTATTCCATATGCCCAAGATCAGTCTAGATTTATCTCACTTTTGCATGAAGTCCCTTTCCAGTGACGGGTAGGTGAGCTAATCACTTAATACTATTTGTGGGGGACATCCGACTACACATCTAGTCATGTTGGGGTGGGCGGTAACAGAAGGTGCCTCGCAGGAAGACTGGTGGCGCCCTGAGGGCGCTTAAGGTCATTTATCTCACGCACGAATTGCAACAGAGGTGCATACTTAAAAATTACTACGCTAATTACAACCAGTCTGCATTATCATCTAAACTTAGATCATGAATGTGACCTTGGAGCATGACCGTTGGTGTAATGCCCCGTTTACGTGTATAGTCTGGATAGCATCCACAAATCCCTGGAGACATGCTCTGAAAGTATCACGAAACTCGTAGGAGGCACACGGCATACATCTAGCTACTGAACTCTGATTAGTTGTTAATTGATCTCTAAAACTCCAGATATCAATGTTCTGGGTTGAACTTCTACATGTCACACCTTACCGGCGCCTAGTATGACCTTGGGGCGGGGGTGTAACATGGACCAGGCTTTGCAAAGTGGGTTACATCAACTAGCTTTTTGTGTTGGCTGCTGCTAATGGGCTAGTGAGTTTCTTCCCTAATCCCGTGAACTGAATTTCCTGGCAGGAGTACCCAACAAAGAAACTGGGCTTGGTAGCTATGCTTTGCTGACCGGAGGAAAACCGCTCTAATATGCAATTACAAACCATGCACTTGTACTTACAAACAGCTGTGGAAGTTTATCTGATATAAGGCAGTTCTAAGATTCCTAAGCCACGATCCATGGGAAGAATTGTTGGTTTGTGTTAGCTCAAAATGCGCCTTGCGACGTGGTTCCAAGGAGCCTACAGTATCCATCAAGGTGGACGTCCTTTGTCCTGAGTCCAAGCAACACCGATGGTTTCACTTATTAAATGAGCGGACCCCGTGCTGTTTCTGGTTCCCACACCCACACCGCAGTCTTTCACCTTCATTTAGACCAGTTTGCACCTCCTTATTGACCAAAGTCCCGTCGTTGAAGTACCATCCTCTCAACTCACGAAAGCCATAGTTCTTAAAATGCAAGTTATTTCAGCCTTGGTTCTCTTGCTGGCGATGGAGCTGGTCGGTGCCGCTCCAGTCCTTCCTGGCCTACTGAGATTCGCCGCCACGTTTTCCCGCATCTCCAACGAACTCGACCACATCAGCCTGGGAAATTGCTCTCTGTCAAACGCAGCCCTGCCGCTGAATGACACAAAAATTGAACTTCCCAATCCATCTTCTCACTTGAGTCTCAAGTACATTGCTTTGGGCCGAGGCACCCAAAATTACTCGTGCCCAACCTCTGCCCACTCTAACCACTCCCGTGAGGCTAGCACGCCTTTTGCAACCGGAGCAGTAGCTACTCTTTTCGATGCTTCGTGCATCGCATCGACGTCAATATCCCTTCTTCACGAGATGCCCGCTGTCATCGGCGGTGCTCCTCTTGGCTCTCTCACCCTCTTGGCGGAGTTGTTGAGTCAAACCACGAACAGTTCAGATCTCATCATCGGCGAACACTACTTCGATGCTGCCGGAGATCCTTTTTTCAATCTGGGGCTCAGTGGCTCCAATGACTGGATGATTGCCAAGAAGGATGCTTCCACGACAGCACCGAGGAGAGTCCATCATGTAGCCGGCGATGATGGAAGTAAAGATGTTGCCTGGCTGAAACTTGGCCTCAAGGATGGCCACGGTCTCAAGGTAAGTGAAGAGAACATTAAATGAAACGTTAGTGGAATACATCTCTTACTCTAAATTAGGAGGTCTATCGAGTAATGACATTCGAAGGCTCCGCACCATCAACTTGTGTTGGTCAGAGCGACACCATTCTGGTTGAGTATGCTGCAGAGTACTGGTTTTATGGATAAGGGATAGAAATGATTACTCGGACCAACTCCCTAGTCATTGAGCTCAAACTATCTCTATGCCGCAACGGCCTTTTGTATGACATGATTAATTATAGTTGCGTGAATGAAACAGCCTATCAAGACAAAAGTCCAAGAGCATCATAATGGCCCAGTCATTGGTTAGATCGTCAGAAAACAGATAGTTAGCGGTTCAGAGGATCAAACAATCTTCATTCCCTATTTCCCCGGATGAAGGAAAACTAGCTAGGATGAGAGAACTAACCCTGAATAAATCTATAACCTTAATTGCGCCTCTTCATTTTGGATGACCTGCGAACTATTCTTCGAATCGTATTCTATATGGATCCCTAAAATTTTCTATAAGTTGAAATGATGTCTGTTACCATGGCCAAAATTGGCAACCGTAGGGTGACACTAAAAGAAAAAGAAAATGGAAACTTCAAAAATCTTCTGAGAAATGACTTAATATCAGATGACTTTTGGTGTGGGCAGCCTTCCTTTGTGTCCCGCTTCTCTTTGTACCCTCTCATATCCCCTTACCGCTGTGCTAATATCTAAACAGATAATTTTTCTTGTCATAGCAGTCTTTTCAAGCACCTACAGGGAGTATGTGCAGTCGCCTGTGCAATTATTATACTATACCACACTCGATTTCCTACTATGCTATCAATTTTATTAATCCTCTTACTACAAGTTATAACTTTGTAGAAAAACATGGGTTCTAGGTTGGAAATCAATTCCCACAGAAGCCGCCGTGAATCCAAGGGAGTGATAAACTTCGAAGCACCATAGTACATGCGCCAAGTTCCATACACAATATCTCAACAACACAAACTTGATAGAAGATTTGACGATGTCCTGGAACCATCTTGATAATACCTAGCCTATCTGTAGTTGTTGAACACTTTGATGATATTTGATGTCCTGGATATATATATTTGTTGCCCACAGAGCGATATTTTTTTTGGGAATACTATTGATTCTGCATAGCTACAGTAGCATAACAATAACTAAATAAGACTAATAGGTATATGGTAATTGAGATATCAAGTTGTGAAATGAAATTTCACAATGACTATGGTGTTTTGTGTGCGCCATTTGCATGGGTTCCACGTTAGTTGACTAGGGTCTCAGGTGATTAGAAGTGGCGCAGACAATGAAAGCCTAGTGTGGCGCAGTGCATGCAGCTTCTTCCACTTTCCACATGGAAGCCAGCGTGTATTCAGCTATACCTGGTCAGTTAGTGTCAATTATGATTTAGTATACTAGGCCGTAACAGACTTAGTCTGTTGGGCGAACGCTACAGAGCAACAGCTAAGTCCGCTTAGGTGGTGCCGATCGGAGAATATCGTAGCTGTCAGTGGCGGCTACAAGGTCTCACACTAGCTCTCATACAAGAAATATAAGTTTCAGGATGGAGGACTGGAGCCCCTTGCTTTGCTGGCACCTACCAAAAAAATGACTCAGGTAGAGCCTAACTTTGCTTCGGAGTGCGCGCTCTTCCACTCGGAGTCCCCGATATACGTATTGCCCTGTCAAGATATGTACATACTGGGCCAAATTTACTTAGCGATGTATTCAATCCCAATAACCGAAGCTTATCATTGCCACTCAATACGAAGTGGGCAAGTGACGTCGGCGATGCTGCGGTCTGAAGTCATACTTTATGGAACAGTTGAACAGGTAGTTCTGGGTTCTGAGTGAATCGAGATTGCATGCCTCAGGTGTCAAGAAAAACCGTCACATAAGTCACGTGATGTAAATCATGGACAACGTGACGCTGCCTCGACGCGCGCGTCCTCACATCACCACTAGCAACGCCTCATCTTCAGTCCTATCCGACTTTCCGCCCGCGCATTTATCGCATGATGAACGCCAGCCTACAGTGATACTCAATTTCCCCTTCCCTTCTTTCAAAGTGAACCTCACTCCCTCTGCGCATCATCCAGCCTCATCACATACCTTCCACCTAAACCACAAGATGGCGACCGATTACAGCAAGAAGACCAACGCTGAGCTGGTCGAGATCCTGAAATCACGATCGCTTCCTCACACTGGCAAGAAGGCTGAACTGGTTGCCCGCATCCAGCAGGACGACGAGAAGACGTCCGCGGGAGCTCCAGCCGAGGCCGTTAAGCCCGACGCTGCCGCCGAAGATGTCATTGACTGGGATGACGATGTCCCCGCTGAGTCGGCCAAGCCGGCCACCGAGGCTGGTGCGCATGCCATTGCTGCTGGCGGCAAGGGTGCCGTGGCCAACCCGGTGGCTGTTCCGAACCAGAAACTCGACATCGATCCCGCTGCGACCAATGACCTGAAGGTGGAATCCACAGGCGGTGCTGACGCTGCGGTTGCAACCGAGGCTGAGAAGAAGCCGGCTGTGGATTATACTCAGGGCCTCCCGGCTACCGAACTGGAGGCCGAACTGGCGAAGCGCAAGAAGCGTGCCGAGAAGTTCGGCATCGTTGAGGACGAGGAGACTGCTCTGAAGGAGGCTGAGAAGCAGTTGGAACGGGCGAAGCGGTTCGGCACCGGAGGTGGAGCCGAGGCCAGCTCCAGTGTGGGTGTCAAGGGCCTTGACGAGGCCCTTCCCGACGAACGGTCCCGCAAACGGGCCCGCAACGACCAAGGGGGCCGTGGAGGCAAGCGACGCGATATTGGTCGCAACCGCAATCGCCGTGGAGATGGAAACCAGAACCGCAACGGCGGCGACAACAGTGGAAACAGGGGAACCAGCGGGCAGAGCACACAGCCGAAGAAGAGCTTGAACGAGCAGGACCGCCAGGCGATGGAAGCTCGCAAGAAGCGTTTTGCGGCTGCCGCTTGAATTTTGTAATCCTTTTGCTGCCACTATACTTCCCTGGCCGATACGGAGGTTTCTGATTGTTTACATATTCTGGTCTTGTAACGGGGCGTTTGTACCGAGATGATATTAGGGAACTCGAGGGTCAACCCAGTCAAATCAAATTTCAATTTTTTCATATTGTGATATACCGACGATATAATCATGAGCGTGATAGAACCGTGTCACAGTAGAGTTGAGATTTCCGGTCGTCGTGTTGCGCAATTGCATCATCTCGTCTCATCTCATTCCGAATACTTCAATCTGCTCTGAAACGTCTCCAGCCCATTCTTAAGATGTGCAAAGCACCGAGATGAGCAGCTCCTTGGTAAACTCTCCCCGCGTGCGCAGTCAGCTGAAATGTGCATTAGCCTCTCGTTCCTGCAGCGCCGGCGCTGGCCAGTCTGGTTTCAGACTGGGGCACCGATCTAGCCTGGCCCCTCCCGATCGGCACGTCGTGACGGGATCGACGAACGCACACGTCCTGCAAATTGCTTTCCCAGAGCCTGTACGGAGTACTGGACCCAACCACAGTCCCACGGCATTGCTCGTCGCACCGGAGAAGATGAGCCGTTCACAAGTGCGACTCCCAGACCCTAGTCTCGTTCACCAATGAGCCTGGCCATCACAGCGTTTACCGCCAGGCCCCACTCGGGTTGAGACCCTTCTGGCGAATCCACGGCCCCCGCTGCTGTTTTTAGAGCGTGGCTGCTTGGCCTCGCAGCAGCGAGAGCGGCAAGGACGTCAATGAGCGCAGCGAACGCCTCATTGCTGGGATGTTCGGTGGAGTATCAACTCACGGTCCCCTGCTGCAAGGGTCCCAAACGAGGGTCACCCATGAGTTTGGAGTTGCGGTTCGGGTCGTGCTAAATCTATGCCTCGATACCTCGAGGCCTGCTGCGATGGTTACTGGCTGGCCCATAGGCCCCTGTCCAACAGAAGACGCGTGTCGACTGTTCTAGGAAAGTGGCCCACCCCCCATGGCCTCGTTATGGGGGGTGATCGCCTTCGTCTGAGTCAGGTTGTCGGGGATTTTGGGTCACCCTGGTGCAAACTTGGTCCAACGCCCAAGGCTCGGGACGGCCCTTTGGTTGTACCAGACTCTGGATACAGGCGTTATGGATCTTATGGGCCTTTGCGCTGGGGCCGGTGGACGACGAACTACCTATGACCTCGAGGAGGACGCCGTACATTGCTCCGGTGGGAATGAGTATCATGTTGGCCTATGGCACGAGAGAAAAGGTTTCATACTATGCGACATCTCCTGCCTGCGCCGGCGGTCCATGGCCCCTCGGAGCGCACGTTGCTTAAATTCTCCGAGCCTTGAGGAGAAACGTGTCCCGCACGTTCAACAGAATTAACGTAGAAAACTGGAAAACCCGGAAAGCCTGAGTCGAAAAAGCAAAATCATATTTTTGGGGCGGATCGACGGTGCAGTCCGATCGGCTTCGGCGTCCCCGATCGATGAGTTGTCAACGAGGCGACGGAGACGCAAACGCGGTGAACATACGGTTCTTGACAGGATCCTTACGAGAAAGCAGCAGACAGCCTTGTACGCCTTCGGCTCAAATCCCAGCTGATCTCAGACTGGTTTCTTCCAGCAGACGTGCAAATCACGGGATCCGGCCCCTTCCAGGAAGTCGATGGGCGCATGGATGAGCCGCCCATTCCACGCCACGCAGAGACGGCAGCCTGTCATGTTGAGTGCACGCCCGGGCACTCCCCCAAGCCAACTCCCCAGCTAGCAAGCCAGTGACCGAGGTGGTTTAGCCTGCCTGGGCGAACGCCGCTGCTAGCCTTCCGATCCCCCGGGCTCTGACCAACGATAGCAGTTCCTAACCGGGGAAAGACAGTCTCGAGTGGACCCCCCTCCCAGCGGGCTTCCGTGCGCACAATCTGGTCCTCGCTGGGCTCGCGGGGCTCGCTGAGCTCCGTCCATAGAACGGCAGTTCCGTCGTGATCGGATTAACTTTGCACGCTTGTTGGGGCCGTTGCTTCACTGCACGATCCAGCGGGACGGCTAAGCCTGTTTACAGGCCCAGGCGCACACGCAGTCTCGACTCATCACAGCCGTAGTCACAATTACTGCACCCAATTATCGTCCGCTCGGCTTCTCTTGTCCAGTACCGGAACCGCCGTCCATCGCATAATCCTATGATGCCACTCTGTGCGTCTGGTATGGCCGGGGCAGACTAGAGGGCAGTTTCGTCGACGCCCCCCCCACTTTGAGGGAAAAATCCAAGTCAGCACATACAAAAAGTCCGCGTCGCAGTTCTACAGTAATTTCTGACTCTTCTCCGGACTCTTGCTGCACCTTTCGATGTCACCAGACTCTGACTCCGCTTTCTGTGTGCTCGATTATTTTAGGCTCATATGGATCTCCTACCTCTGACGTGGCCGAGGCTAGTGGAAAATCCTGAGATTCGGTGCCACACTACTCCAGGCTGTGGCGAAGCAGCTGCAGCTTCCGGCGTGGGCGCTGATCAGCCTGCTAAAGTCGGTGAATTTCTATCTTTTATCTAACTGACGGCTGCTGTTTTTCTCTTCTGTGTCTCATGCTTAATGACCCTTGCAGATAATGCTTATTGATCTTTATCTCTCAGTCATCTAGTTGTGCGTTACATGTGCTTTGAGATACCCTGGATTCTGAATTCTTCGACTTGATTGTCGCACCTTCGTTTTTTTCCACTTCGCATCTATTAATATTCTCGAAGCTCGCACATGTCGTGAAACCCTTTGGACAAGAGTCAGGAGTTGAACGCTGTACATCAAACGGGTTGGGAACCATTTACTACTCGGCTTATCGAAACTCATGAAACCGGGGGTTATCATCTTAGCGCCGTTCCTTTCCATATGTCGCCTACGCTCGTGATGATTACGATTCTGGAGTACATGTACCCATCGTTCGATTCATTGTCTCAGGATTGGAGCCGGAGACTCCTGCCAGCGTCGCACCATGTCGTCGTACAATATGGGCAGCCGTCGTATGCCGCCGAATGATCCTTTCCCGCCTGCAGATGCATCACATCTTGGATCAACCAATTCAAGTGCCGCCTTTGCCCCGCGGTATCCGCGGTCTCAACTGGCAAGGCCAACCAACTCTACAACACGAACAAGTCGGGCATCTTCACTATCAGCTGCTGAAGACACTCGTTCAATAACGGCTTTGCCATCGGTGTCCCATCAGCTTCCAAGCCGTGCGAATCGACTGTCATTGATACCACGTCCAAGCCCTGGCGGCGTTGGATCCTCACCATCTCCTGCATCGACCGTATCACCTCAAACACCGGCTTCATCAATTCCTTCGTCGCATTCTGCCTCTGATCTAACCATACCCTCCCCCTTTGCGCTAAGCTACCAAGCTTCACCCGCCAATCCTCCCAAACGACCACGCAATGTCCTTCGCAGAAAGGCACCGACAATAGGAAGGCATGTGGAGCAGACCCAATCGCAGAAGCTTAGCCTGGTTATTCCACAGCCCGCTCAGCCCGCCAATACGAAAGAGGAGCCTGAGCCTGGACTTCCCAATCTTCCAGATTCCTACTTCGCTGGACCTCCCGCATCCTCTCAAAGTACGTCAGATCGGATGGAGAAATATGCAATGGAGGCCGCAAAGAAGCAGGAACCGGTCGAATTGGCTAGCCTCCGTACCACGGTCAACACCCAAAATTTACCGCCACCTTCGGCTGCTTACTATCCGTCTGCGAGTACACCCTCAACCCGATACTCAGAGTCCCCTGGCATGTGGAGCCGGGGATCAACACCAACTTCATTATCTTCTTACTCTCCAGGCGTCATACACTCGACCAAGGTTGGACGTATGAGACAGCCAAGTCCGTCCCAGATCAGGCTTCCCGTTTTCTCGCCATCGGCAGTGCATACAAGCCCTCAAAGTGTCCGCATTGAACAAGCGGAGCCACATGTTCCAAAGTCAGCACGGCCAAAAAGAACCCCTGCACCTGGATCCGCTACGAACTCAGCCGGTCAAGGACAACCTAGTGTCAAATTGGTCCGCACAAATATTCCAGGCCCTCCCCACAGCCCCCCACCAAGGAAGTCATCTGTCAATTTCAGCCCACCCAGGGATACCCCATCTAAGAACCCTGATATAGATGTGGACAAGGCCAGGAAGGAAGTCGAAGAGGCAGAGCGAGAGCTCTTCAATTCCCAGAAAGCAATGGCCACACCAGTCTCGGCGACAAGTGTACCAAGTGTACCGAAAACACCCCCACGACCAAGCCGAGAAGGCACGCATCGCTTGTATTTGGAGACATCCCCGGTCATACAAAGCAATCTACCTTATCTCAAGTCGACAGGCCACAAAAGACGCGAGTCAGCAGAGAGGATTCGGATAGGTGGACAACCATATTCTGCTCAATCCCAGTCTGCTGCAGCCTCGACGGATTCACTGCGATCTAAGGATCTGTCTCGGGTCCCCTCGCGAGAGGCTGGTTCTTCAGTGCTAGCACGCAAATCGCCCAAGACCTTGATCAAGGAACCCCCTAAAGAGAAAGTTGATTCGAAGAAACCTGCGGCACAAAAGCGATTCGGGCTTTTCACCAAGAAGTCCAAGCCAGACCTCGATACTGCCGCTGGTGATGCTCGGCCGCCAAGGAAAGGACCCGCGGCAGGAACTGGTCATGAGGGATATGGAAAATATTCCCAGCGTGGTAGGAAATCAAGTGCCAGTAGTGCCAGTGGCGTCAGGGCCCGGTCGACAAGTACAACACGAAGCGCATCCCGTTCAATTTCAAGCAGCAAGGGAAGCATGTCATCTAGTCGCCCGGATCTAGACCTGGATGATTTCCTCTCGAGTCGGCTTGAACCTGTTATCATTAGCGGTGGAGGGATGGATGGCAACCCTCTTTCACGAACCCAGAGTGAGCAGAGCATCAGCAGCCTGAGTGTGACTTCTTCAACTGTGGCCCATCCAGCCCCGCTCACCTCTTCTACTGCCCCATCAACCGAGTCATTGGCGACTTCTACTGGTACTTTTGGCGGATCCGACCCTCCTATCGAGTCAACGACTAGCTTGGGACCGGTCAAAAGTCCAGCAAATAATCTGGCTCCTGCAAACCGCGAACAACCAAGATCTCGTATGCCAGTTCCCAAGGGCAAGAGACATGGGGCATATGCGGATCCAGAGGCTTCGACAACTAGCATATCACTCCCGAGTCATATTCCGAGCACTGTTCTCTCGCAAAGCTCGACAGGGGCTCCGACTATGGCTACTCAACAAAAGGAACCAGCAAAGCATGACCCACCACAGGCCAAGAAAGGAAAGGCATCTCGGTGGAATTTCTTTCAGAGAAACCGTGTCAACGAGCCAGAAGCTGCTGCACCACCTGCCATTGTTCCCCCTTCCCATACTGCCCAACTTCATGCTGCGATTTCTCCAGTGCTCAATAGTCGTCCCATTGCTCACTACGCTCTCATGGATACGGATTCAGATGAACTCGATGATATTCTCAAGAAAGTGGAAGACTCGCCCCCGACCGAAGAAGAGCAATACGTTGCGCCAGTTGAGGTGCCGGCGGGCTTGAACATTAAGAAACGACATCCCTCTATCTTACTGCCATCACCGCCGAAGATGCATGGTGAGTTTGAGCGAGACGGTCGACCATCGCCAAGAACCGCTATGGTCAATTGCAACATGATAGACCCAAGCCCAGGGAGTAGCCCTGAAGATCGTCGACCGAGACGACTGGCTTCCGTAGGTCGGATCCCGCAAGTGGTGTCGAGACGTGACAGGCAGCATAAACCGGCTATGCATTCTTTCTCTCGACCATTCAGTGCTGTTGAATCGCCGTCCATTATGGCACCCATGATGGAGGGCGCAAATGAGGACCCTGGGTTTGATGAACTACCGCCTGCCAATATTCCCTCTAGCCAGCCAGGCGATTGGGGCTACGGATTCAACCCCGCATTCAGTGCCCCGGAGGCAGCGAGCGCTTTGGAGTTTCTCGCTGGGCCTTATTCAGCAAACGAACTCATCCACTTCTCGCCATACAAGGATTCTCCTTCGTCAAACAGCTCCGGAGCTTTAGCGGCAGTGACAGCCGTGGTGCCCAAGCCTGGCACCGCACCAACCGAGGATGAAGTATGGAACGAGTATGATGATCTCATTGACCACGTTCTCTCCCCCGAAGAGCCAAAGCCCGATGTCTCTGGTAAGCCTGAAGAGGCTGATAGATTTGAGATGGCGACCATGGCCAGTAGAGCTTTGCAGCATGAGTTGAACGATGCCAACTCCCTTCAGCCACCACCCTTTTCGCCTGCTGCGATTTCTACTCGTGATAGCACCGACTCAGTTCGTCTTCGCCGCTCGATGATTGTCTCGGCTTTGCACTCGTCCATTGCGCCATCCACACAGCCATCGTATAGCAATCTCATTGCTAGTTATGGCGACCCGGAGGTGATGAACAGCCCCGCAAACCCGACACAGCCTTCCTTGGACCCGGTGCAGGAGCAACAGTCGACATTCCTCCAATCTCTTGCAGCTGCGCCTACCCCGAAACCCAAGTCTCCTGAAATCAGGGGCTTTCCAGGATGCTCAGAGCGTGATTGGGATGCTGTCACCCGCACTAACATGCGATCGGCGTCTCTCATGACTAGTCGATGGCTGTCGTTTGGGCGGGTCCTTTTCAGTCCCGCGCACAACCATGTCAAGTCCGGCACACATGGGAGAATTCTCGTCATTGATGGGTTGGGGAATGATGACTGGTCGTTCTACTGCTCTTTGACTTACCCTGACGCGGAGGTGTACAGTTTGAGTGGCCGGCCGGTCTCGACAACGATTCCTCACCCTGCAGCATGGCAGCCTCCTACCAACCACCACACGGTGTACCATGCTGGCCTTCAGAATCCTCTCCCATTTCCCAAGGACTACTTCACCGCTGCCGTCTTGCGTTTCCCCATAGCAAGCTCCGAGACTATTCAGAGCAATATAATCCAGGAATGCCGCCGCGTCCTCCGTTCTGGCGGTTACCTGGAAATGTGTCTTTTGGACCGAGATATGGTCAATATGGGCGTTCGCACTCGTAAAGCGGTCCGCCGACTGAAAGAAATGACATGTCTCACCAACTCAAGCATCAGTCTCAAGCCAACTAGCGACAGTGTTCAGCGTCTGATCGGAACCCAAGGGTTCGACAATCTCCGCCGTTGCATAGTGCGGATCCCTGTTGCAGGAATGATCGTCCGCTCCTCCGGATCAACCACATCCTCATCGAACAAGTCCCTCTCCGCAACAGCTACCACTACGTCCACTGCATTCTCGCTTCCTGCTGTCTCCGCCTCCACGGCGACACACGGTCAAAGCACCCAGACTGCATCCAAGTCATCGCCTTCCGACGACAACATCTCCCTAGGAGACCTCCTCTCCGACCCGACTCCATCAGCCGCAAATGACGAGTCGATTGCTAAGATCGTGGCTCGCGTCGGCCGCTGGTGGTATACCAAGTGTTACGAGGACCCAGCCCTCCCCGTCACCGGTGACAACGACCCAAGCATGTGGACTGACCGCAAAGTCCTCCGCGAGTGCCAGAAACGTGGCACCGGGTTCCGCATGCTGATCGCCCATGCGCAGAAGCCGAGTGAGAAGCGGCGTACTGCAAGTGTCTAAACGAAATTGAAACGATACCCCTGAGCGACATGAATTATTTCCTTGACGAGTCTCACGATGTGATCTGGATTTGGATGCCTAATTTACATGATCTTTTTATAAATACCCTCACAGCTCTTTGTTTTCTTTTTTTTTTTCTGGTTTGGTTGTCGTCAGATTTCTTCCTGGCGAGCATTTTGCAGAGAGGCAAGCTTTATTTTCAAGAATTGCATTGACCTCGCGGTCTCTTGTGAAAATTATGTTAAATATGACATTTTGAGGCGTCTGATTTGATAGCGTTGCATTCGTTCTTATATGATTTCCAATAACTGCGGTTTGATGATTTGCATCCCATGGGCTGGACTTTTGTGATGTCATTCGATTCTTGTTCTTCCATACTGAAAGTCGAGCTTAAAATATCATCAGGTATTTTTGTTAGACACTTTGTGTTGTATCAGTCGTGAGGTTGGTCTTTCGATCGCGTAAGAAGCGATATTCAAGGAAGTACTAACAACCACATCGGAAGATAACCCAGCGCGGCCATCGACGGGTGACTTGGTGATTTTCGTCTGTAGACAAGTCTATCTCGAGTTCAATGATTAGATTTACGTCGGAAAGCTCTCGTTGATCCTTAGATGTGATACGCGACTCGCCGCAGGCCATTTTGTACTCTAGACTTGCTCCTATTTTGGTCACAGGCAGCAGGATAAGCGCCGAGCAGAGGATAAATATTCACGAGCCACAGTCCCCTGTCCTCTTTTCCGAATTCAAGTGGCTACGAATCAAGGCTGAGCATTGGCACACGTCAACGCGCTTCTCGAACGCCCACCCACAAGGCTGTACAACCCCACCAACTACTGCGCCACACACCAAGCCGAGGGGAACCAGGGACCGGGTCATGCCCAGTGACTATTTAAAACCGATTGAGTTCCCCTGGTGCCATCCTCTTCCTGGTGCTCTTTCAAATAATCCTGAAATCATAATCACATAATGTCCTACCAATATCCCCCCAACCGTGAGTGACTCCGATGACCAGACCTTGATCCGCCGGAACGCGGGGGACTTCTGCTGACGCGCATCGACACTGCAGAGCAACCCTACGGTGCGCCGCCATATGGCCATCCTCAGGGCGCACCTGCACCAGGTCCTCCGCAGGGCTACTCACAACAGCCTCCTTACCCTCAACAACAGCCTTACGGCGCTCCGCCCGGCCCCCCACCGACCGGTCCCCCCCGCAGGGTCACTATCCACCCCAGCAGGGCTACGGCCAGCCTCCTCAGCAGCAGGGCGCATACTACGGCGCTCCTTCACCTCAACCTCCTGCCCCCTACGGCGCGCCACCGCACGGGTACCATGCGCCTCCCCAGCAGCCTCCATATGGTCAACCCCCGCACGGTCAGTCGCCCTACGGACAACCTCCACCTGGCCCCCCCTCCAGCTCACGGTGCTCCTGGATACGGTGCGCCTGGCCCATATGGTGCTCCCGGCGGTGCTCCTCTGATGGGGCCTCCGGCCCAACCATCCCTGGGCTATGTCCCCGGCCAACTGGCACCGGGCGACTTCCGGCAGCAAGCGGACGCCTTGCGCAAAGCGATGAAGGGATTCGGTACTGACGAGAAGGCACTGGTCCACGTGCTCTCGCGCCTCGACCCTCTCCAAATGGCCGCCGTGCGCGCCACATACTCGAAACACATCGGGCGTGATCTGTACAAGGATGTCAAGTCCGAGACGGGCGGTGACCTCGAACAGGGGCTGCTGGCCGTGATCGAGGGCCCCCTCATGCACGACGTGGCTTGTGTCCGTGAAGCCATCCAAGGCGCCGGCACAAAGGAGTGGCTCCTGAACGACGTCCTCCTCGGCCGGTCAAACGCCGATCTGAACGCCATCAAGGCCGCCTACGAGCGTACCTACCACCGCCAGCTGGCCAAGGACGTCGAAGACGATCTCTCCTTCAAGACGGCCGATCTTTTCAAGATCGTGCTCCATGCCACCCGCCACGAAGAATCGACCCCGATCAACCCGCAAGCCATCGAATCCGAAGTGCGCACCCTGCACAACTCCACCGCCGCACGAATGGTCAACAACGTGACTGAGGTCTGCGGGATCTTTGCGCGGTCGTCGGATAACGAGCTGCGCGCGATCGATCAGGCTTTCCACGGCCGGTACCATGCCTCGCTTGAGAAGCACGTCGAGAAGGAGTTCTCGGGCCACATGGAAGACGCACTGCTGCACATGCTGCGCACGGCGACGGATCCTGCCATGCGCGATGCCATCCTGCTTGAGGAGTGTATGGCCGGTATGGGGACGAAGGAGGAGCGGTTGATTGTGCGCGTGGTCCGGTTGCACTGGAACCGGAGTCATAAGGAACAAGTTAAACGTGCTTATCGGCATCGGTTCCAGAAGGATCTGATTGAACGCGTGCGCGCGGAGACGTCGGGTGATCTTGAGCGGTTGCTGGTTGCGCTGCTCGAGTAAGCGACTTTGTGATCTCTTTGGCGGGTGGACTACTTACGCACCCATCGTCGGCCTATTTGCCTTGTATTCTATTTTATTTCTGATTCTTGGATACCAGTACTTAGTGAACGTTTCAAGTATGAGATTATGATCGGCATGGAATGAGAAGTCAATGTTTATCATGTCAATGCTTCAATTATTGGTTGAGTAGGTGGGTTGTTTGAGATACGACATGTTATGGCCTATCGAGCTTGATAGGACTCTGTGTCCAGCCTAAACGTACATGCATTCAGAGGTCTGTCGTAATCATCATGATATTCATGCAAAGACGTAACGGTAATGGATGGTTCGCGTTAACAAAGATCTGCAATTGCAGAGACGAAGATTATTGGATCTCCCCTATCACCTCGACACGCTTCCCAAAGAACAATCCCTTACGGCCAGCATAGCAGCCCCAGTACCAGTCGTCGTTGATGATGTCAACCTCCTTGATATCGGCGCCACTTGGGAAGAACAGCTCGTCTTCAACCCCCTCTTCTGGGTAAAAGAACCACCTGGCACGAACGATGAAGCCGACGCCTCCATCCGGTGGGAAACGGCGGAAGGGAGGGGTATGTTGCGAGGTAGGTGTGCCCGTGCTTTGGCTGGGCTCAGAAGACGGGGCGTTGGAGCTGCTACTGTTGGGAAGAGTGGAAGGGCCACGGAGACGAGCAATCTTCTTGCGGCGTTCTTGTCCTTCTTTCCAGCTCCAGTGGCCAGTTCCCAACTCGGGAGATGCAGCAGGGACACCGCTGGCTGGAGAGGACGAGGGAGAAGGTCCAACATGTTCATCTTGGAGGGCATGACCACCGACCAAGTCTCGCACGATGACTCGTCGTTGGCCGTCATCGTGATCTTCGAAGCCAACAACAATCATGCGATGGCCAGAGATGCAGCGTCGCCAGCCATTATGCCCATTCTCCTTGCTGATTTTGGAAGTTGCCACTAGCTTGAGGTAGCAATTGGTGCAGACATCGTAATCACCGTCGTTACATTGCAGGCAATGGAAACGCGTCACCGAAGCAGGGATTGGGTAGGTGCAGATATCGCACTTGGTGGAGAAGGAGAGAATTTTGAAGCTTTCTGAGCCAGACGGTCCGGATAAGCTATTCGCATCCGCTGGTGTACTTGTCGCCGATGCAGTTGGGTGGCTTGTCATACGTCGAATCGGCAACAGTGGATGGGTGCAGCATCTTCCCTGGTTGACACAGCGGTTACAAAAGCCCCAGTCACCTTCGTTACATTGGCTGCATTTCCAGAAGCATTCGTTAGCCGGATTTTGGCAAATGTCGCAGAAAAGCCCTGATTTCAGACGACGCGCTGGATTGTCATTCGTCAATTTTCTTTCGCCGTTTGTGATCAATTGCGCGGTCTCTGGAGGTCGTCCATATTTGTAAGAGCCCAGCACATGACCAGTTTCGCGTACTTGCACAGAGCGATGATTAGAAGATGCAAGTATCCGTTTATACGTTTCCTCGGCAGATGAGCCGAAGCCAGTCCATTGGAGGCAGCCTAGGCCTGTACGATAGCACCGTAGACAGAGGTGATAGTCCCCGTCCTTGCACTTCGGACATTTTTTGTGCAAATCGTATTGGATGTTCGCTTTTCCACAACGATCACATGAAATGGAGGGCTCAACGTATTGGGCATTGGAAGGCGCTGGGACGTTTGATCGCGACGATCTGGGTCGCCTGTCTGATCTGGCTGGGACAAGAGGCGAAGATGATGCCGGGGCTGAGTGATCTGTCGGTGTTGAGATGGGCGGGCCGAGTTGTGGTGAAGAAACCGAGGTTGGAGAATCTGTTATAGACTGGCTGGTGACGTTACGGGAGGAGCTCCTTTCTCTTCCTCCGCCCATCCATACATCAGATATGCCCTCGTCCGACTCAGTGGCTCGTCGCGGACGGGTTGAAGATGACTCTACTCTTGACCGCGCATTTTGAGAGCTACGCGTGCGCTCTGCAGTCATATCACTCGAGGATCGAACAGCTGGCCGCAGTGTATCTTCTGAATTTGATGCTTGGTTTACCCGGGTAGGTGAGGGTCCTCGGCGCTCACCGAGTTGTTCCGAGTTCCTTCGGTGATGACTTGGAGTCGGGCGTTGCGTGGTTGGATCAAGCAAGTGCGGCCTGGATGCTGGTGGCCGTCTGTTATTTTGATCGCGGCTGGTCGTGGATGTGGTTGTTTCGTCCGGTCTTTGAGCTGACTGTGACCGCGAATGAGTTCGACTGGCGTCTTCGGGGGACTGTCTGCGTCGTTGCCCTTGGCTATCGCGCGGTTGTTGCATATGTCTCCGGCGATAGGCATCTGCAATGCGCTCACTAAGCTCTTCTTCTTGTGTGGAGCTTAGGTTCTCGAAGTCGACGTCATCCAGCAACCCCTCCTCAATGATCTGTCGCAGAATTTCCTCTTCCATCGTCTCTGCCTCAGACGACAGGCTGAGCAGCGACCGCAAACTTGACTGATGCTCAACACGCCGGGCACGTTCTGCATCCCCATGGGTCCGTGAGGTGCGCTGCGGTCGCTCAGGATTGCTGCTCCTCTCCCGCGTCCTGTCTGAGTGTCCGCCCCGTCGGGCCTCCCGCCGCGCCTGAGCCCGACTCTCGCGGAGACTCAGCTCCTGAATTTCCTCCAATATTCTCCGATCATCTTCATCCTCCTCGCTCTCATTGTCGTCCTGTGGAGGAGGAAAGACGGAGTCTCCAGGGTGGTATTTCTCTGCGATTTCTTCCTTCTCGGGAGCAGATCTAGCACGGTCGGGCTGCGATACCAACACCATATCTAGTAAGGTGGTAACGGTGGCATTTGGGCGAGTGCCACGAACTTCAGCACGACAGGATGGGCAGGTGAATCGGGGAGAAGTGCCGGAGGGCCGGCGGCGCGAGCCTTGTGCTGTAAACCATTCCTTCAAGCAGGATCCGCAAAACGTGTGCAGGCAGTCAAGGAGAGTGAGGGGCTGGTAGAGCAGCTCCGTACAGATCTATGCACGAGAATCTGTGTTAGTGAGGCTCCAAAGTAAGGGGCATGGGCGCAGGAATGGAAGGGTTCTGGAAGAGGATGATCATCAGATCGTGTACATACCGAGCATCCCAGCTCTTTTTCAAGGTCGGCCAGCCCGAGGCCCTGCTGCACTTGAGACATGAGCAGAATGAGAGTTGTTTGTGTAGCGATATTGGAGTGTAGGGAAACCCAACATCAGGTCCAGGGAACGAGCGGGAGGCGGGGGAGCGGCGAACCAGGGAAATCAGCGGAGGTTGGAGAAAGTGGGAGAAATTGGCTCCACCGAGCTTATCGCGATCCCGCTTTCATCATCGCATCACGCCTAGTTAATCTCTACTACTTAGTAGTTTTTACAGCACTTAGGTTAGTAAATATAGCACCAATCGCGCGGACACCCGCTGGGATGTTTTACGGGTTTGCTGCTACTCCAGGAAGTTTCTGACCTGCGACTCAGTACCCAGCAAGGTTGGGTTGCTGTTTCATCGTCCCACTAGGCGTCGCCATTTAACTGGCTTGAAACGCAAGTTCACCACCATGCCATGTGAGAGTTGTCAAAAACCATCCTAGATCTGATCTAGAAATATCAGTTGACAGAGATCCCGACTCTGACCGTGAAGCTGCCTTTTTATTATCGAGATTACTATGCTAGTAAATTTGCCACTGCCGCGAAGATGTCTCGGGGTATCAAGCTAGTTGCAGATGATCGCACATCCATGCAACGGTTGATAGTAGCCCCCGATCAGCAAACCTCTTCCTGGTCAAAGCAGTTTAACAGGTCTCTGCAGTCGCCAGTTCCTCCTCCCAGTCCTTGATCTACGCTATAGTCTTGCTGATCTACCCGAAACGGCCTCAAAATCTCAGTACATCATCGGAATAAGTTATAACTCCGACCAGCGTAAATGCTGAGCACTTGTATATTAAGTGGCAAGTATAGATTCATGTCTATACAAAATTTGTTGTCTACAACTAGGGGTGTGTTAAAAAGGGCCACGAATGCGAACGCCTCTACAAGATTCTCAATCCTGCCATTACGAGCTATAAGCCGCATCAGTTGGCTAAGGAAGTATGGTTAGCGCTTCTATGCGAGGGTGCTTCTTTGTGTTGAGAACTGTGAAATGAAGCTCTAAATATTGACTTTAATCACTGATTCTAAATCTTCTTCCCCCCAGCCTGCCCTTCGTAGAATCTTGCAAAGGGTCTCTGTCTTCGCCTCTACATATTGGCCAATATGTTCGACTTCCATCTCGGCCAGCTTACTCTTAACCCGCCCCTACTCTTCGCGCAGCTCTTGATCTTCCAACAATACTCTCTTTACATCGAGATGGTTTCTCAAAGCTAGACACCCACCAATCATGACATAGGTGTTGCATCGTAACACCTCGTTTGTACCCGGACCATGGGCCGCATCAAGCTTTCCGTATCCTGGTTGTCGGAACGCAAATCGTCCAGGAATATTCATTTCACCACAATCAGTATATCCTGCGTTGGAGAGTGCTCTTCGTGCGGCCTCAAGCGAAGGGCCATGGATGATAATATCGATGTCAAGAACAGGTTTGGCCTTCATCGACGGAATGGAGGTACTTCCTACATGTTCAATCGACAGAATTTCCACATCCTTGAGAATAAGCCGTAGTCGCTCTTGTATTGCGCAGAATTTGAGTGGCCACTCAGGATTGTAAGGCTCAATAGTGACCTTCATCGCGATCACAACTCGAACTCCCAAAAGCTTCCTCATTGTGAGCATGTCGCCAGTGATATTGAGTTCAGAGAACGCACCTGACAGAACAAAGAACAAGCTAGAGTAGAAACTGAATCTAAGAGGCTAATAGCCTGTGCGCGTCGCAACTCAAACCGCCAGGTGAGAAATGAGAGCCCAACAAAAGGAGGTTGTGATTGTAGATGAGTTAGCGTGCCTGATTATTAAGCTTGCCCAACGACCGGGCTATTTATTTTTAAGTCGTGAACACTGCTCTATTATCACATAGATATGGCATAACTGGGCAAATAATAGGTAGCAATGGACATGCTGCCCTTTCTTATTTATAGTGAAGAATCCCACCATTCAATGCGAACCCTAAGGAGCTGGCCATGCATCTGTCGTCACCCTTTGAAGCCCCTACTTTCCATCGGTCTCTTTGAATCCGTACTTCTAACCAAACCCAGTTGTGAATTCTGCTCAGACACAGAGCTTATCGATGCTTTTGAGCTTTTGTAGATGTACTGTTAGCTCGCCGACGTGATCTCTAGCCGTGCTTTTGTCCAGATAGGCCGAACGCCAAAAGTCTGATTGGGATCTCGAAGAGAGTTCAGAAGCAGCTCTTCCTCCTAATCAAGAATCCATGGAGCACCTAGTAACAAGGGGGCTGTGCTGCTATATCTTCGAATTGACGGAACAGTCGTTCGTGAGAGAGCGTCCCGAGAAAGCTAGCATTCTTTCAACTTTGTCAGTCATCACACATATCCGAATGGACTCGTCAATGCTGGCACTTCGCACTGCCCAGCTATCTGAGTCAGAAATTTGAGCCTCTTCGTAAATATGCCCTGAAGTTAGAGTGCGGAGCCTTAAGTCAGATGTAAAGCAACTGAAGGAGTTATACTGGGATGTGAGGCGTGTCAGTATCGTAGTCCATATGCTAGCACATTTACCCAACCGTAAAGAGCCGAACGCCAGCAGATGTGAGGAGGACACTAGGCCCTTAATTGAGACCCACGAAATGGTCTGCAAGCAAAGGCCACATCTGGAGACTGCCCTCACTTCTGTCTGTTCCAACCCCTGGCTCGACTTTGTCAACCTGACCGTGTGTCCTTTACGTTGTCTCACCAATTCCCAAGCAGGCGATACAACTAGCCGACAAAGGTAGAGGATATGGTCACCTATTCGGCACGGCGAACCTGGCAAGTACGACTGTGAAAAAATTAGACGAATCCGGTGTGGCGGTTTTGGTAGGGACTTATGATCTGGCGAAATTTTCTCGGAGCATGTTCATCTCGCTATTGCATGGATCGTGATATTGCCGGTTATTGGATCTCAACTGTTATATTCATCGGCTGTGGTAGATTTAGTGATATTCGCTATGTGCATGATGCCCAGAGTGGATAGGCTAGACATATTACTCTCGGTGAAGTAGAAAGCTTACAGGAAAGAGTGGACTCAGAGACATATGGCGAGAAATCATAGATGGAGAGAAAATAATATTCCGACCAGCAACAGCAATTGCAATGGATAGCAGCAAAACCCATTCTAGTTCCAGATTCAACTAGAGTACATCCATGGTGGTGGCAATGCAACACCCGCCCCAGACGTCCTGCGTTGCACCGAGACGCCCCCGCTCCCATTGGAGACAGGAGATATACCTCCTAGTGACTACAAAATTACAAAGCCCCGAGCACACAAGTCGCTGCTCCGTATTGGACCGGACCATTTTGGCTCGCCACACTAGGGGGAAGAGGGGGCGGGATCCAACCGCAAAGTTTTGCTTAGTGCTGTTGGGCTTTGCAAACTTTCTTTTCAGACGTCGTCTACGGCGCTGTGGCGGCGTGGCTGCGCCAACTCATTCAACAAATTGAAGACCTGAGCCATGCGGTGAGAAGGCGGTTGGGGCATGTGCACGATTGAGTTTCTGATTGCCACTGTTTACGGGGCGTACCATGAGAACGAGGGCGGTTGTGGCTCTGGAAGAGGGTTGTGCTCGCCGGAGTACCGGAACTCTCGTTTGCGTAGTAGATTGTGCCGAGGCGCCAGGAGCTCTTTCTGCGTTACAGACATATCCCGGGGGCTCTGTTGATAGGCATGCAAAAGGTCTTTCATCACGGATCTGCCCGCGCGATATGCACGCGTGAAACGGCCGTCAGCTGTGTAGGCTGGAGTACCTAGCGCCGTGCTCTATAGACATGGGGAAGGCCAGTCGTGCTGCATCGAGTATCTGGGGTCCGAACTCACTGAGCCGGTTGTGGCTGGGAGGTCCGCGCAGAGCATTGTGGAGAGCTTGAGGTCGGACGAGGGGTACGGAAAGAGCGGAGAACCGAAATCGAGGCCTTCGAGAGCAAATACGACTAGTCCTAGTGTGCACTCTCCTCGCTCGATTACGCTGCCAACCCCGATCGCGGCAGGGCGATGCATGGGCCGTTGGGGACAGTGCGGACACTTTCAAACCACGCCATCGCGGGGTACCTCCTATCCGCGGCATAGCCTCGAGAACAGGCCAGGATGATAACGAAGTGAAGTGTGAGGTGTGAAGTGGCAGGCAGCAGGTGGGCTGCACCCCGCAATCCCCAGGGGTGCAGGGCGCATGCGTGTCGCCTGGTCTCCGCGGGGGGAGGGATTTGGGAGGAGCTTCCACTTGATAGCAGTGCACTGATCATCTGCAATAAGGAAGTTCACATAGTTCACCTACAGAGCCCACAACTATTGTGGGCCGCTAGGATTCTGGGTATCCTCGATGTGCCGTTTGCCGGTGTGCGTGTCATTCCACCATGCGGGACAGCGCAACATCCACACCACCAACGCTCCCAGGCCCTCTGGGCCCCAGTACTCCCCAAATCCAGACCTCCCCCGGACCTCCCCAGACCTCCACTCGGGAAGGTTGATCTACGTCCGTGTAGCTGTGCGGGTAGCAGATCAGGACCTTAACTGGCCCATCGATGACTTAGCTGCAACAGTTCATGAGGGCCTTGTCCCTCCCTAAGTTATCTGTATCCTAGTAGTGTCGACGGGAGATTGACAATCACAGTAGCAAGCGCGGTCTAGTCTGATCAGGAAAAGAAAATAAAAATGGAGTCAACAGGAATAATACACCCGACTAGCCGGGTCTAACTGCCATTACGCAGCCCTGTACCTTTGTTGGCATATTTCATCCATTGACGAGCAGCTTAGCCCCAACGACAGTAGAGAATCGATAGCCCCACTACACTTAGTGCGCCGTGGCACCGCCGCCACATAACAGCAAGGCCCGGACATGATTCGTCGGGAGCTTGTTATCAGAATTACACGGGCGACGCCGGTGCCCAGCACTGCTTCTGAGTGGATGCTAGCGGAACAATGGCGTGGCGGCGACAAGCGCCTCTCCCGCCATGGTGGTTTCGAGGCGTGGAACAATCACGAAACCATTCTGTTGAGGTGGCTTGAACGGCAGCACGCAATTTTGCCTCCTGACAGCTTGCAGCATCCCAAGTATACCCAGCTGACTGAACCCCTCAAGGTGGCACATTGCCAATGCTTTCTGCAGTATTACCTCCATTGCCTGGCAGAGTACGGAGTACCGTGCGCTGAAGAACTCACTGGCGCCGCAAGCTATGATCGACGTAAGCCTGAGCGGGAGCTACTTTGGTCCCGCTCCTAGGGTCCGAGGGTCGGCACAACGACCTATACGAAGGGGTGGAACTTTAGTTGAGTGTTTCGTGAGCTGTACTCCGTACTCCATACGGGGTGTGCTATCCAAATATTGAAAGCGCCATTGTTGACGCTGGCCATGAGTAGCACCGTGGGGACTAACCGTGGCGTACAGGCCCCGCTATTTCGGGGTACACTTGCAAAGTGGAACACAGTACTCCGCGACCCGGAGCTAAGACAAGTGCATAAGAGCATGGAGCCCCTGAGATAACCCCATCCGGGATCCTCAGCCCGAGCCAGATGATGCCCTGCACTGACCTCCCACGCATGCAGCGCAAATTGTCAGTTCGCCGCACTAACGCACTAACGCACCGCCATATGTACAGAGCGCGGTCCACCAGGCTATTCGCAGCCGAGCGCCCCACTGGCCCCGACCAACCACCGAGTCGCATGCTCCGGATCGCGGTGCACTGACTACCGCGCGACAAGTCTAGGCTGTGGTCGACCTATGCCAGGCGGGGCGGTCGGGGCGTTAGCGGGCGCCGCTGGACTGTTGTCTTGCATGCCATGCATTAGCGCGGTGAGTCGAAGTATATGTTTCTATTTCATCGCCGTACGCGGAGAACACTAGTGGGCATCGTACATGTACGGAGAATAGGACTGGAATGGGGAGGACATATCTGGGGGCACGGACTGGCGTTGTGGTCCCTGATCGCCTGAGCGCGTCGTATGGTTGAGGGGAACTATACACATCCCTAAGGTACACAGCACACAAATGATGGGCCCCATCACTGTTTTCGACCCCTGCAATCAACAACTACCGTGGAGACGTGGCAGCGTCCCTGCGGGATAAGAAAAGGAGGTCATGTGCCTCCGCGCAATGCAAATAGAGTGCAAGGGCTTGCTTGAGATACTGCATAGGGAGTCAGGCCAGCCATTTTACGAGGGAATGAGGGCTCTAGAGCTTTCGGGCTTATGCTAGTCAATCAATCAACTCTGTGTAGACTTCCTAGATTCCCAGAACTGTTACACAGGGAGTCGAAATTGACCGCCTCGGCCACAATTGGTCAATGGGAGAAGGGTTCTTCGAACGGTCAATTGACGGCGATTGACGGCGAGTCACACCGACATTTGGTTGAGAACCCAAAATGCGGGGGAGATAAGGCTGGATGGACGGCGAATGAGTGGTATCGACCTCATGGGCGATCGGTCTTGCTATTGCAACAACCCGTAGACCCCGCAATATGAACAGGGAGCCGCACGCAGGGAGTTCGACACCAGCTCAGATCCCTCCACGGCTGGATCCGCGCATCCGTGCACGAGTACTGCGGTGCACATTGTGAGGGCAATGGCGCTGACATGGTGATACTCGCGGGGAAGCTTCCCCGAGGTCTCCAGCAAAGAACGGAAAGGTCCATTTCGTCGTCATTGATTACGTTCACCCAACAACTCTCCAGTGTTGGAGAGCGGTGGCGGGGGCCTAGACGGTCGGCGTCTAGGGGAAACAAAAGGCACGACCAGTGTGAAGCCAAACCAAAACATCAGCACTCGTCTCAAACGCCCCGGTCAGAGGTGAACGGTCTGTATGGCCGAGTGCTCGGCACGCCTGGTGCCGAAGCACACTCTCAATTCAAGGTTCAGCCACAATAACGCCCACACAGGCGGGGGACCGTGTCGGATGCCGCAGAGCATTGGTACCGGTGAGTCAAAGAGGATGGAAATGTGCCTGGGAGGGGAGAAGCAGCCCGATCGCGAGCGGTCTAGGTCGCTTGTTCGTCCAGACAAAAGTGAAGGTTGATATCCCAGCAATCAGACCCAGAAACCTTGTTGATCATCGTGAAGAGTGGACCGCGAGTAAGTATAGGAGAGTAAGCGCTCAGGCGTGTCAGAAACTAAGATCTAGGGCTGAACTCTCTCGCGCCCCAGCTGCCAATCCAACGTCCAACCCCCCCGTTAGAATATTCCGGTCGCTGCGCTCGGGCACTTCGTCCACACCACTGAGGAGGTTTCACGACGGCCGTTCGGGATGGCACACGACGTGATTCGATGGTGGCATGGGCCGATCATCGTCAGTGCGAGACCGATGCACCCAGACAATCATCTAGACTTACAGAGCTCACGTTAGCGCAAGTTGCGATCTCGGTGGCCTGGACAAGATGCAGTGCCCACCCAGCCGAAGAAAATATTGCGAACCACCCCCCTTGGTCGACATTGGACGAAAAGCGCACGGGAAGCTTCCAAGTTTTTGTGACTTCGTGGTTGAGAAGGGAGGCCGGCCAGCCAACGGGCGTTATCGCCGTGCCGTGGCTACAGACATAGTTAGAAACCTTCTGCGACCGTGCGGGCCACCGCAGCAGTCCAGGTCACATACAGCCCTTATCAGTGAGATACATCGAGAAGAGGTGCATGGAGCACAAGACCCTGTCCAACACCGTCGGGCCATCTGGACATTTCCAGCCTGAAGCTCCGCGGGCGCATGGGTCCATCCCGCAACACTAATTGCGGGAGACAGCCCCTCCAGGGAGGTGGAGATGGAGGTGGGGGTGTTGGTGCGAGGGTCAAAACAAAACTTGCGATCAACATCCCGAACAGCCTTGGCTATGCAGAGGGGGCTGATCGCAGGGTTGGAGCTGGCGGAGTGTCATGATGAACGCGCTCGCGAGAGTCTAGCGACTAGTGAGGCTAGGGCAGAGCTAGCTAGCACCGAACTAGTATCCGGTCTCGACCTTCACGATGGGGGCCTGGCCGAGCTCCATTCAGGGCCGGCTTCGCCAAACGGGCTAGTGTGCCCAGGCGGTAATCAAAATTGATCCAAGATACAGCCAGCGCCGAGCGATAACTACCACTGACGGATCAAAATGGTACCTAATCATATTACTGACAATGGTTGGGGGTGGCGAGGAAAGGGAAAACTCTGCGCCGCTAAATCAGAATCAGCATCAACAAAGGGGGTGGTTTGTGGCCCGGGCGCTTGGTCAAGCTTGATATCTAACGAGTACGGAAATTTTTCCCGGACTGCTCAGTGAGACATGCGCCTCCCGGCGAGGCGGTAGTAGTCTCAACGTTTTTTGGGGCGCTGGTGTATCGTGAAACACGGAATAGAGTTGTCCGAAAGGCAGTGGTGATACGGAGTACAGAGCACCGATCCATTATACCCCATGTCCACAGGGGTGACACTCCGGTGCAGTAGCAACGCCCCTTTCGTGATGGGCTTCAAGTATAGTATTTATCGAGTGCCTACGTTGGCTCTAGAGGAGCTACTACGCCATCGTGTTTACGAAGTTCCAGAAACAAGGTATCGGCATCGGCAGCGGCGGGTCGCATAGGAGTTGGAACGTCCAGCAATTGCGTACCGTGGAACTGGATTAAAAGATTAGATAGCTGCGGCTGATCGCATCCTAGATAGCAGCCTTGCCCGGGGCCATAAACCTCAGAGCACGGAGTAGTGCGACTCGATGGACCCGATCGTCGCACACGGTACCAGGGCAAATACTCGCTGGCTGCACGAGCGACTGGGGGGCCCAGACCCTCGCCAAGAAAAGTAAACCAAGGAAGTTCTCAACTCTCGAGCCTGTCCAATGCATCCTGACGTCATACACTGGTCCGGCCGGCGCGTGGAATTACCACTGCCCCGGCTCAGTATATATCAGCGAGCGGTTCTCTGGTCGCTTCACCCCTGGGTGCCAATTGATGAGAGATTGAGTCCTGATAAGAATTGTTGAATCTGTTTGGTAGATGATATATCTGTCCCTTGTTTCTCGTGCAGACCCTACTTTATAGCAGCTGTTCGCGGAAGGAGAGCCAAAAGAAGAGGACGTGCTTCGGTCGGTCGGCCCTAACCCTCCCAACTCCGGGTTTTGCAGCACGGGCCGTGGAGACTGGAGACTAGAGACTACGGAGTGCAGCTTGTCGATCCACCTCCAAGCGTTAGCAAGATATCCAAATGCATGCTGCATGTCACAGAGAAATGACATGCTGGGGGCTATGGCCCTGCGGGCCCCCCATCTTTCGCGACCGCCCACTTTCCGTGTAAGCGCTGGTGTAGCCTGGAGAATCCCAATGGGGAATCAAGTCGAAGAAAAAGATGGAGAGCAATTGATCCCTACGGTCGCGTCCCACTGCCAATACCACCATCCAGGCCAACTGAACACCTCCTTGCATTCGCTTCCCATACACTCGAACTATAACGGAAAGATAAGGATAAAACGTCCCACACCAATTGGTGGAACAGTCGAAGAGTTTGGTTCGGGACAGTCGCAATGCGAAGCTGTCCTTGGATGCGAAGCGTTCGTATTGGCGCCTTTCCATGGTCGGATGGGCAACAAGACCACCTCTGGGCAAGATCGCCAAGGGCCATTCTACACGTAGAGCAACAGGAAAAGACTTGCGCGTTGTGTCCCGTGAGTCCCATGGCCCGTGGTCGGTGCCAATGCCAAAGGGGCTCGGCCAGCGATCGCAGGAAGGAGGGGGTTTATGCTTCAACACTTGCGCATATGCGCCGCTTCATGCATGGGGCATCTCCAGAGGCTGGTGGGGAGCGAGTCATGCACTTTGGTCCGTGGGGGAGGGTTTCGGTTTTCTTGTCGCAAGTTTCGGGTCCAATGACGGCTGGCGGAGTTGGGGACTCGGGCCCTCGCCGCTAACAGATCGTTGATAAGAGAATGGAAGGATCTGTATGCAACGGGCACGGTGTACCGCGCTCGCTCTCACCGATGGTCTTCCATCGCAATTATAGTTTCTTGCAGAAGAAGAAAAGGACAAAAAGGCCAAATCAACATCCCGGTCGCAACTCCCGGTGATCGCACCACAGGGGTATTCTGTTTGGGGAGTGGATGTGGTGATACTATTGGAGTACGTCAGTGGTCGCAAAAAACAGGAAACACAGGTCGAAGCAACGGGTGGACGGGTGGACGGGTGGGCTGGGGATTAGCGCTCTAAGTGGGCTGAGAAGTATGGAGTAATATCTCCGTACATACCTATGCCTATCATCCTTAAGAGGGATACCATCTTGTGCAGGAATTTTAGTGTCCTGTAAACTGCACTCCGTACTGCGCCTAGGATAGCCTAGGGTAGCGAGATAGTCAAATTAGTCTGTAGTAAGCCCAGAAGCAGGTAACCCGGGAGGTTTAGTTGGTGGTAGTGTCCGGGCGAGCAATCGCGATTCAAACGCCAATGGAGATCCCCCAACGTCCTCGTGCACGGGGGCCACATGTTGCGGAAAATTCGGAGAGCCGCTCTCACTTCGGCCCCAGTGGTACCTGTGGATGTACACCCGGTACATGCCGGATGGACTAGAAGCATAGGGACACAATTCAGTAGTGTCCGATATAAACGCCAACGATACGCCTTCGTAATGGTATACTCTATTATCATCTTATTTTATGATGATTATAATATCATCATTCTCATTATAATCTGACTGTCGAGTATCGGAGGGACCCTATGTCTCCACACTACGAGCCGACGTAGTCCAGACCCAGACCCAGACCCCCAGCGATACCGGACCCACTCGGCGTGTCCCTAACCAGGCCATAGCGACTTCTATACGGGACGCACTGACGGTAGCATCGGCCTTGCAAAGACTTGGTAATTTTTGAATTTTTCCAGGCGCTTGCGATGTCGTCTTTATTTATCTTGTTCCACTTTTTTTGCCCCTACGCATTTTTTTTATGATATTAAATTCGAATGATACTTCCCGGTTCCCGTCTGGGTTTCCCAACCGGAGGGAAGCTATCGGATTCCCTATAACACCCAGCTTCGATCGCCCTTCCTGCTCTCCCTAATTCTCTCCCTCCTCTTCCCTCCTCCCCCATCCTTCCACTGGCACTTTTGCCTCCATAGCCTGGAACCCTGGAACCCGTGGGACCCCCCCCTGGTCTTATCGCTGCATTCGCGACACTGATTCAACGGCCCAAGCGGGAGATGGCTTGTTAATTCGCCTCCCCACATCACGACTTCCCGGGTACTTCAGAGGTACAGTGAGGTGATCATTGATCAGAATCATCCCATCCTCACCGCGGCTGCGCCGGACCTCGACTTTCATTGATTATTCACTATACACTCTGGGTTCTTTTGCAACTTGTAATTGTTCTGTTTTTCTGTTTCGCATTTGCATTTCCCGTTTCTCTGTTATTTCCATTGGCGATCGTGCCTTTGCGATCGGCCCACCTTGATAGCAGCGCCATCTCGCCATATCGCCACACCCCCCACCCGCGACTGCTGGATGTACTTCAAACGGTAGGCTTGATAAGCTCTCATTTCCTCTTCACTGCCCTCCCACCTTCAATTTCACACTTCACCACTCGCCATTCACCCTCGATCATTCTGTCTCCTGTCCACTTCCCCTCCCCCCCAGCCCATTGTCTTCTCGACTAGCCTCTTCGCTGCCTCCGGTGTCACTCGTGCTGTGATACATTTGACCATTGCACCCACTGGTCCGCGCCTTCCTCTTGCCATCCATCTGGTACCACCATCTGCATCTATCCTGCGACAGAACCAGAAACGAGTTCTACCTCTCCCCCCCCTGGTCATCGTGATTCTGGCTAATGTCTGGTGATGCCGTCTCCGCCTGTCTGCCTGTTGGTTTCTCACACAACCCTCCGTGTCTATATCGCAACAGTACCTACAATCAAAGGGATCGAGAACTGACGGGACTCTCTCTAGGACCTGATTGTGCCTGCACTGAACTCTTGAGCACTTCGTTGCCTGTTCTTTGCTCACTTTCCATCCCCACTCCTTCTTGGGTTGAGACATATAAGTCGGCCGGATGCCATACACTGCGCCGCTGAAGTCGTTGCTCGCCGCGCAGCACATTGAATACACCAATCTTCCCTCCAACACCAACCCTGAACGGCCTGGCCTGGCTCGGTCGGCATCGTACCGATTGCAAAACTCCCGATCTTACTCCTCGACTTCATACGTCCGCCGGCACCGGAGGAGTCCGTCCATCTCTAAATCGACCGTGCTTTCCTCCTCAGACCCACCATCTCGCACCTCTCCCATCATCGACCCACATGCCAGTCTCCGCCAGTCTCCGCCTCCAGTAAGCAATGCAGCAATTCCTCCGGGGGCGGTAATCTCGCCCCCAGAATCAGCCCCCAACTCCAGTGATGAGGAGTCGCCATATCAGAAGAAAGGTATCGAGCTTGAGGAACTGGAGGCTGCCGTGCGGTCGATTGAACAGCGAAAGGACAGCTCACCAGAGAGAGAGAGAATGGGCCCAGCCGATGTGCAGGGAACAGAGGCTCAATCCTCGTCGAGCCTACGATCATCTACCCCCCTGCCCAAGCCTAATTACTTGCGGCTGTCTAAAGAATCTCGCAAGATTGCCCACTCGCGGTCATCTACTGAAACAGCAATTGATTTGAAGGAGGAGGCATTGACTAGCTCGCCGGATGACAGCGATTCCGAGCCCACGCCCAAGCCCTCGATGGTGAGAAAGAAGTCTGGTGAATTAGTTCGACCAGCCCTCCGACCCGCCACAGCTCGCCGGCGACCATCGAGCATGCCAGGTACTCCGGTTTACGCCAAGGCAGTCCATTTTGACTCTCAACTGGAACACATCCGGCATTTCTTGCAGCTCGACCGACCCTTGGCCGTGAGTGCCGAAACATCTCCTGTCGACAACCATGATGCCGATGGCGAGTTTCCGTTCGGTTACGACGCAGACAAAAACATATCGTCATGGGAGTGGGAACTGCGGCTCTCGAACTTCCCCAAGGAGGCGCCACATCATGCCACTCATGCAGTTCGCCTAGAACGGTTGTTCCTATCAGCTGACAAAAAGAACTTGATTGGTTCCGTGGCTGTCGCCAACCTGGCGTACCACAAGCAAGTGACTGCCCGCTTCACGTTGGATAATTGGAGGACGGTATCCGAAGTGGGCGCCGTGTTTTGTCACGATGTGCGTCGCAAGCATGCTCACGATGGCCACGATCGATTCACCTTCGACATCAAGCTCGATGATCAGGCCAACCTAGAAAGCAAGACCATGTTTGTCTGCATTCGATACAACGTTGGCAGCCAAGAGTACTGGGACAACAATAACGGCATGAATTACCAGGTCGATTTCATCAAGGCCTCCAAGTCAACCTCGAACAAGCCCTCTGGCGGCAACCGCCCGGCTCTTCCTCGCAGTCGAACCTTCACCGGCTCGCACTCCGGCAATCGCCCACTCTCCATGCCTCCCTCATTCGACGACTTCCCAGACGTGAGCGAGAAGAAGAAGGTGCCATTTTCGAACCCTTTCACAGCGGCCTCCGGACCGCCGTTGAGCCGGACCTCATCGAATGATATCGACACGGTTGGCCCACCAAAGCGCCGCGAGAAGCCACATCCGCAGGCATTCAGTAATCGGTATGACTTCGGGGCATCGCTGACTGCGGCTATGCGCACCAAGCCTCCGGTCGATCGGACCACCATGACTGCGCACGCTCGGTCTGACCACGCCCCGGTGGCATCAAAGGCCAAGCCGGGGGAGAAAGACTTGGAGAACAAACCGGGTCGGACTTCTCCGGTGAGAGATGTTGCTCGACCAGAGGATCCGAAACCTTCCTCACTGGTGGCTAGCAAACCATGTCACGAGTCCTCGTCGTACCAAGAGCTGGTGGATAAATACTGTTTTGTGAGTTATCCGCCTGTCTCTGATCGAGGACGCCCCACTAACCCATACTCACAGTACGGCTCTCCCACCACAAGTTCGAACCAAAAGCAGCCGAACTTTACGTTAAACCTGAACGGCGAGGGGGCGTCGAAGTACTTCAACACCGCTGCTCCTTCCCCACCCCTTTCCCCCCGCTCCCCAGCCCCTCGTGATCCCGTTACGATGGAGTCCTCTCGTTCAGAATCTCGTCCTGCATCATTGTCGCCGGCTTCCCTGAGTCCGCGTACCTCCCCGCGCGCATCGCCTTCGATGGCGTTTCGCTATCACCAACATCAAACACTGCAGAACGGATTCTTGAAAGACCCTCATTCGTCGCCGGTTATCCGAGGGTGAGTCACCAAAGCTTGATAACCACCCGGGAGTCCTGCTGCAGCCCTGATTGCCACATCCCAAGCTTGCATTTTGTTGACGGATTTCGTTGAAGCGGATATGATTTTTCTTTTCCGGAGATGGTCGACTCGTTTTCAATTCCGCCTGTTGCCACTTATGCATATGCGCCCTGGGTGGGCGCTCAGTGATTTTTGCCCCCTGCGTGGGTTGAATTTCCTCTTTTCCACACTCGATGACCGATAAAGGCTGCCTCAGACCGCAGCGGACGACGGGGATTTGGTTCTTGCGATGTATTATAAACCGCGGAGCCATTCGCCTGCTCGTCAGCTGCGTCGGTCGCCATGACTCGCGTCGGGAGAAATTATCGACGTGGGTTTTCTTTTCTAACCAATGCGGTCATCCTCACGTCTCCTCCCAGCCCGACTTACTATCTGGTTCTGTTACCAGCTTTTCCACACCCTATTTGTTTTTTATGCATGATGACGATACGATATTCTGCCTGTTTTCCCCTTTACCGCGACTCCCAACCAACCCAAATCAAACCACCTTGAGGCATTTTCGATTCTTTATCCTGCCTCTTGGCGGACCTACTATTTTCCCCAAAAAGTCTACTTTTTAGTTCGCTGGGCTCGCCTCCGCTCTTGCATGCATTTATGCTCATTGGCTTTATTCTTGGTTTCCTTGCCTGCATGGTGTTCCGGCGTTGTTTCGCTTTTTTCGTCTGTGGTGTTTTCTTTGATTTTTCTCTCGAGTTCTGTTCCCAAGAAATCATCTGGAGATGATGCAAGTTGTGATGGATTGGCATGAGAAATAAGATGTTCGCGGTCGAGATTCGTTCGCTGTGATGCGGTGACGGAGACTTGACAATAAGGATCACGAATGAATGCGATATTAAGCCATGGCACTGTTTCCTCTGTTCTTGTAGAAATGATCATTCCTACGTAGGCCGTACGGGGTAGGTGTGCTCTAGGGTACCTGTAAGTGTAACTCCTGGAGAATGATCCAACGAGAGTAAATTCCACAGAAACTCGGCGGATGGAAGGAAGCTTTGCGATGCAGAGGATACCCATCCTCGTGAAATGATCTATCTACCCGGCGTAGAATGTATAACTCATAGATCCCATTCCTGGCGGTGGCAAAACCACCCCTCCCGCTATCAGCGCTATCATCACGTGACCTGACCCGCACCGCTCTAATCCGCCCGCGTGGAAAATGCGGGCAGCCCCCAGCCCAACAAGACACGCTCGAAACCTGCCCTTCATAACGCCCTTTTTCCTCCCTCGCCGCCTGCCAATCACCGCCGCATTGCAGAATGTAAAACCACTGGCTTACCTAACCACCCACCCAAACCCGCTCCCCCCGAAAATCACGCGTAGTCAGCTGGTGGCACGTATTTAAGTCCTCCCCCCGCCCGGCCGCTGACTGGTTTACTCGCTTCCCTCTTTTTTTTTCTCTTCCTTCATCGCCCACATCTCCTGACGCGTCTCGACCGCCTTGATTCAAGCGGCTGTCCACCACACTTCTTTTCCATCGATCTCCTATCTAATTTATCTAATTTATCAACCCTCCCGTTAAACTCATCATGTCTGGACGTGAGTATATACTTTATTTATTTGTTTTGATGCGGTGATGCATATTGGCATCGCGGGCGCTGTGATGAGATTAGAGGTGGTGATGCCCCTGGCGGCACGTGATCTGGTCGCTCTGCCGTCTGTCCCAGGCACCAAGGCATCAATCCGTATCTCGCCTTACCCAACTGGGAGAGGGCCTCACCACCTTAACCTCTCCACAGCACCTCGCTGTCGCTATTCTTCCTCTATCTCACCAGCCTGCATCTATATGTACTCCACCGGAATACATTACTAACCCTCTTAATAGGTGGCAAGGGCGGCAAGGGTCTCGGCAAGGGCGGCGCCAAGCGTCACCGCAAGATTTTGCGTGACAACATCCAGGGTATCACCAAGCCCGCTATCCGCCGTCTTGCTCGCCGTGGCGGTGTCAAGCGTATCTCCGCCATGATCTACGAGGAGACCCGCGGTGTCCTCAAGTCTTTCCTCGAGTCCGTCATCCGTGACGCCGTCACCTACACTGAGCACGCTAAGCGTAAGACCGTCACCTCGCTCGACGTCGTCTACGCACTCAAGCGCCAGGGCCGCACCCTGTACGGTTTCGGCGGCTAAATGCGTCGTTTCTACGATGTGCTTGCTCTGCGGTGATTACGCTGGCGGCTCTCCTGCCACATCCCCCTCTGCTGAGATCTCATTTAACGCGCTACGGTGTGATGGTTTCATTTTTCTTTTTGCGTCTTTTTACACTTGATTTGGTTGGCTTTGATGGGGATTTTACCCATTATGCCGGTGGGGTTCGGAGGATATGGGGTTTGAAGGCTTTTTATGCGAATATCGGAATAGGTCCTTCATTGGGAGTTTCTCTTTTAGGTAGCTGCTGACTAGGCTTTACATTGGCCCTGTCGGGGTCTCAATGGAATGATTGCTGTCAGTCGACCACAAGTGCCTTGTAATTGTGTAAATTGTTAGCGTGGAGCGTGGAGTCACTATGGGGCAATTGTGGCACCACCTGCGTATCTAATCCACCCATCCCTACGCAGACCACATGATCGGCATGATGTAATCGATCTCCGCAGGCCGTGAACCTCGGCCATGGAGTGGTGCTCTTCACGTTCAGATAAGCCCAACATCCTGTTTTCTCTCGAACGTCGACAGGCCCCCTTTTCATACACCTCTCTCATCGATGGTGATGTGAGATACCGCGTATCAGATCTTCTGGCTGATGTATAGCCCACCGAGAAGACCGCCTTGGTAACACACTTGACATTGTACCTCACCCCACGAGTCTCATTTGTGCCAGGGCAGGACGGAGTGCATCTCTTATCCACCTTCATCATGGCTGAATTCAAATTATCCTATGAGTCACAGCTAGTAAGTGAAGCCAATGCAATGCCCTTCAACCCATCCGTCTTAACACGAACCCTGTACCGTCAGGATGCCTTCCACCCCTCTTTCCGCTGGGAAAGCCGCGACCCCAGAGACGACTGGAAGACCGCTGCTCTCCGCGGTCCAGCCTTGCCAGTACTTGGAAACGCCGTGGCCGGCGCCGTTGGCTCAGCCATCTCCAACGTCATCGTCTACCCGCTGAACGTGATCGTCGCCCGCCTCCAGACGCAGGCAAAGAAGGATAAATCAAAAGAGGGATCCGACGATGAATCCGACGATGAATCCGAGTACACCGACATTCTCGACGCAGCCCGAAAAATCTACGAGCAGCAAGGCCTCGTGGGCTTCTACCCCGGCCTGGCGCAAGACACCTGGAAGTCGGTCGCTGACTCGTTCCTTTTCTTCCTCGCATACAACACCATCCGACAGCGGCGAATAGTCGCACGAGTTGGGCCCGCCAAGGCGAAAAGCAAAAACATCGTCCTTCCGATATGGGACGAGCTCGCGGTCGGCATGGTAGCCGGTGCCTTCTCAAAGCTGTTCACCACGCCGCTATCCAACATCGTCGCCCGCAAGCAGACTGCAGCGCGGAAAGGTGCGCAGGGGGGCAAGGACGCGTCGACAGCAGACATTGCGAGCCAAATTCGGGCTGAGAAGGGTCTCGGAGGCTTTTGGTCTGGATACTCGGCGTCCTTGATCTTGACCCTGAACCCGTCGATCACCTTCTTCCTGAATGAGGTGCTGAAATACGCCCTTCTCCCGCGCGCGAGGCGCGCGGCCCTCACCTGCGGTGACGTTTTTCTTGGCGGCTCTGAGCAAATCAACGGCGTCATCCATCACGTATCCGTTCTCCCTGGCAAAGACCCGGGCACAGGTACTCGGGGACGCCAAAAAACCGGCCGCCCAAGGCTCGGGGTCAAATGCAGTTCTGGCTGCCCTAACGCCGAAGATTTTCTCTGCTGTAGCTACAATCTATCGGACTGAAGGTGTCCCGGCTTTGTATGCCGGTTTACCGGGGAAGCCTTGAAGGGATTCTTCTCGCATGGGTTTACTATGCTGGCGAAGGATGCTGTCTATGCAACTATCGTCAAGGCTTACTACCTTCTTCTGATAGTGATGCGCCGGTATCCTTCCCCTGATGAGCTTCTTGCGCGCGCCCGTGAGCAGGCGGAAGAGTATAGTGAAATTGCGCGCGAGGGTGCCCGTGACTTAGTTGAGCGGGCGCGCGAAGCGGCCGATGACGCGCTGAAGAATCACTCTGGCGGTGTCGCTGTTGATATGACTTCGAGTGCTGTGGCTGCCGGTGCGGCTGCCACGAAGAGTGGGAGTGCAGGGCATGGTATTGATGCTTCTTCTGGATTGAAAGTCCCGCATGCTCATGATGAGATCAACGAGACTGCTGAATTGGTCGGAGATTATGTTGAGGAGGAGGCTGCTGAGTGGAAAAGCTTTTACCATTGGTTCTGGGACAAGGAACGTATGAAGGGATAAGTATAAGTTGCATGAGGTGATAATACCAGACTGCTTTATTTTCTTTGCTTCCAGCGTGTGTGTACAGTATATTATAGCATTGCCTTCGTCCATTTCAATTACCCAACCTTAATTGTTATGAACAGGGTTGATCCTGGCTCAACCAGCACCATATTATGTGACGAAGTGTCTTGTGTATCACCCGCGCAGCAGACATCCCGAATCTTCATCCTCGAGTCGGGCGCAGTAAATCTTCCAACCCAGTGGAATCCAAGTATCGCCAGCTCTTCCCAGCTCTCTGTGCATTTGTACAATATCTTTCCTCCAACATTATCTTTCAACTCCCAAACTCGACCTTCATTTCTTCTTCTGCTCCGCACCCTGCAGCTCCTGGCTGACAAAAGCAGCCTGCAGCTCCTTACCAGCCTCCCACAACACCCACAGCGGGATGAACACCCAAAGAGTGTTGAAGAAGAACAGGTACAGCCACAAATACACAGGATCCTCAGTAGCCAGCTGCGCGCTACCAGTCAACCATTCCGGCGCAAAGGTCATGAAGCCACCATAGAGCTCCGCGGTCGCCAGCGCAGTCGCAACAAACCACAGCGTCGCCTTCGCGCCACCACGCACCTTAGCGTTCAGACGCTCATCCGACGACCGGCACAGTAGATAGCACACGTAAATCGCTGCCGGGCCGCCCACGAACACGGTCAACAGTTCCAGCGAGACGACCGTCAAGTCCGCGCCCGCCCAGCGGTGGTCAGCCTTCGCGTATTCCTGCCACAGGCGCGCGCTGGGGCCGGACCCGTACGCGGGGCCGTAGATGCGATCCGCGCGGTTGAGGAAGTGCGGGCCTGCGTTCGCGATGCCGGTTGGAATAGACGCGTAACTGAAGAAGCACTCGTAGAGGAAGGAGCCCTCGATGAAGAGGTGGGTCAGGGCGTCATATGCGTGCCAGAAGAAGAGGACGCGATTGCGGGTGTGGGTGGAGGGGATCAGGGCTTTGCTGAGGAGGTAGGCGATTGGCATAAACGAGAGCGAGAATGCGAGGCAGAGGACCGTGGAGAGGTCGAGGGTGAAGGAGGCGGGGGGGGCCATTGTGACGGGTGGGTATAGCTGGTATGGTCAATGGATGTAAATGTCGCGCTCGGAGGAGCGGATTCGGAGGCGTTGGGCGCTTATATAGAGTGGTTGTGTGAGAGGGCCGAATTGGAAGCTCAGGAGATACTTCTTTAGGGGGTCCATCTGGCGGCCTCAGGCGTCAGTGGTGGGCCCCGATCGCCCTGAAGAATCAAAAGGAGACGGAGGTATGCTCTATGTTTTACTAGACCGTCGGTTTGAAGCTTTCGAGTGTCATACTCGGGTCACTCTAATTGACGACAGTGCGGGCTTTATCTCGAGGCCATCCGATCGTAATCATTTCTTCTAAGACCAAAATGTGAAGGGGTGCTGGTACTTGGGCGGCCGTCGGGTCCCCACATCCAACCAGAATATCACGTCAACAACAACATCGGATTATCTGTTCGACTCCGGTTACACAATTGAGCTTGGCGAGACATACAGTAAGAAGATCTAAATTTGCCCTTCCATGGGCGGGAAGCGAAGATGAATCTGGAAATTTCTACTATATAGGTTCATCTTTTTTAAAGTATCCCTAACTAGAACGTTGCCTCTTTGACTTCTCTTCCTCTCCACAATGTCCTCCAACATCAGCATCTTAGATACCCCCACCGTGGCCAAGGCAACGTAGGAGCTCTACAACCAATGCCATCTCGTCGCAAAGCTGGAATATATCACAGGCGAAATACTTGACCGCAAAAACATCATTTCCGATTCTTGAATTCTCTTGGTTTTTTCATCCAGAACTCCGTAGTTCTGGATTTGGCGTCTTCAATGCCTATGTGCGAGCTCCCGTCCGAGATGTCCGTCCCGACTCCCTCATATGACCCGCCTGGGCAACCTTGCCATTTGATAGCTGTACTCCGGCACTTGTACGCTTTATACCTGACAGCGCCATTGCTAGCCTTTCGTTCCTCTTCCTTCTCTTTCAGCCACGGTTTTATCCTCTCCCTCAGTATCCGATATATCTTAGTGTAGAAATGCACCTCGAACACTTCCAAGTCCTTGTTCTCTTCAATCATGGCTTCTAATCCCTCGAGCCACGCATTCTGAAACAAAAACAGCTGGTTTTTCTCATCCTGTGTATCACCAGAAATACCTCTCGGCGTGTCTTTTATCGGCGCCAGGTACGCTGAGTCGATGAATATGCGGATATGAGTTAACGCGGTGTATTTGGACCGTAGCGCACTCCACAGCAAATTGTATTTTGCTTTGTTTTGCAAAGATGTATGTGGCTGGATATCATTTCCTAGCGTCCACCAGAGAGTAAGCCTGCGGATACTGGAAATGCCTGGAGCGGTAACCTGATTTGGGAATGTGGTACAGAGCTCTCTTCGCTTCGAAAATCGGAACTCGTTGCCGTAGAGAATCGGTAAGCTCTCTATATATCTATTTTTGTTGTTATTATTTTTTCAAATCCGAAAGGTGGTGTTCTGTAACTCACGCTCTCCAACAGGAGTACAGAAGGGTCACATCCAAAAACATCCCCCAATTTTTTGCCACATTAGGGGCCCCCCTCTGATGGCCGGCACAGTGATCCCAATCCACTCTTTCAGATGATGCAAAGCACACATAGGCATAAACAACCCATTTCTTTCTCTTCTCGTCGACCCAGTCACGCTCGTAGTGTATGGACCGGTCTCCAAAAAGAATTCGGTAGATGATGATCCGAATTTCGAAAGGAAGAGCGAATAATGGACTTTGCAGTTGGGGGTTGATTGACGGTGGAGGGACCAAGGATTTCTTGTGATTGGGATTGGATATGAGTGCTTCTGCTTTTTAGTACTAAGAATTTTGCCATGCTATCCCGTATATGGGGAATGACTTACTATGCTCCCGGCACCATTTAACGAACTTGGAGAATGGCATTTTTTGGTATTGGGATATGGTTGAGACTACGTTAGACAAGTTGCGGACGCCTGGTTATATATTGCCCCGGACTAGCTTCGTAGTTCGTGGCCCCGCCCCCCTAGTTTTGCCCACTAGCCCGCCGGGCCTCGGGCTCTGCCTTTTCTCCCTCCCCTCTCCTCATCAATTCTCAGTCTGTTTCTGTCGCACACTTTCTCACCACAGCCATAACCCCTGAACTTGCATCGAATATCAAATTCCTTGAACATGACAAGCCGTGAGGCTTTTCCTGACTATTAAATTTTAAGGACTAACGAAAGTCCAAGTTCAAACACACGTAGACTCTTCTTAGGGATAGAGTCAAGAGTTCAATTTGAGGTAAGTTTGACATAAATAATGGGCACCTTTAAAAAGACAAGACAGAAACCTGCTCAAAATCTGATTTCCAACCTGTTCAGGTGGAGAAACTGATCCACGTAAAATGGGCTATTCATGTAGAAACTCGCCTTAAGCACGCCTAGCCAGGTAAAACCCTACGCCACCACAGTTTCGCGCTGGTGAACGCTTCAAAGTCTACCCTATATCTCTCTAGATAGTTCTGCTTAACTGCTGATACCAAATATAACAAGCCCCTAAACCCAGAAAAGTAGTCGCTCCACCTCCAAGGCTAGTAGCCATCTCTGAGGGCAATATTCCTTCCAGATAACACCACAGCACACTCTCATGACCGTCCACTGGGCTTCCGGTTATTAAGTATCAAGGCCTGTAGAGTTGCCTTTTCAATCAAGAACCAAGATACCGCCGGGAGTGGGTATTGTTCAGAGGCGAGCCTTACTCGCTTGAATTATTGGTGTTAAGGCTTGAAGGGTGAGAACAATATTTTCGGGGGGGTCGAACTCTGAGTACTACTATACTTTTTTATCTCAATCCAAATGGACGAGTCAGGCAATTTGTGTTCTCTTATTGTTCAAATCTCAAATAATACGGCGTAGATGCACAGTCTAGCAAAAGATATAAAGCAGATCATCATCATAGCGGCGCAGATGCCACATTCAGGTTGGGCAACAGGTTCTAGTTCGGAATAGCAGGTGGGCGCAGCCCTTCCTCTGCGGCCTTAATCTGTAAAGCGACATACTTTGAATAAATACGGCAAATTGCAAGATTGCCACCCATGAACCAAAAGTTAGGGTGGCCACTTGGTCGCCACATCTGTATGAGGCATCAAAATTAGCGTCACACGGTCTAAAGAGTTCAAAAAGTGATGAGACTTACCGCGTTAAGCTCTCCTTCCTCGTCCAGATCCCACACATCGTTGCAGCGATCTGCAATTTTACTACCCATCACTTTCTGCACAGTTGTCTTCATGTTGTCATACCCTGTAGCCATGACGACAATATCTGCTTTAAGGCTGGTTCCATCCTTTAGCACCACAGAATCAGATTTGAAGCCCGAGATGCCACCCGGGCTTTGATGGATCTTGATTTTGCCATCAATAATGAGCTGGCTGCATCCGACGTCGACGTAGTAGCCACCTCCACGAGTGTAGTAGAGTCTGGCAATTCCAGAATTATCAATTCCCCACTCGATCTTGAATCCCGCACGCTGAAGCCCTTCAATGGTTTCTTTCTCTTCCTCCGCAATGCGCTTGGTCATATCGATGTTCAGAGCAAACTGTACCGGAAATGGCAGGCTCTCACCAACGATGTCGCTTTGTTCTGTAGGTGGACTATGAGTTTGTTAGTGACAACTAGTTCAGCGTGACGCGGCGAAATGGAGGGAGTGCTTGAATAAGGCTTTAGGCACCCGCTGACCGTCAAGAAAATTAGCTCACTCACCCGTTCTCGCAATGCATGCCTTCATGTAAGATAAACACGCCTTTGTCCAGAGTCAGGACATATGTTCCACTTCGCTGAAGCATCGTAACTTCGGCCCCATTATGGTAGAAGTTCTCTGCAATATCGTGCCCACTGTTGCCAGTCCCGACGACAAGGACCTTCTTGCCCTTGACATCGTAATTCGACGCGTCTTCATGTTGACTTCCATGATAAACGGTACCCTGATAGTCGTGTTGCCCTGGGAAATGAGGGATCAATGGCTCTCCAGCGTGGCCAGTACAAAAGACAACATGATGAGGACGAATTGTCCTTTGTTTTCCGTCACGCACCAGTTCCACCATCCATTCGCCCTTGCTATCTTCATAGCTAGCAGTCGACACGGTAGTTTTGGTCCAAACATTCAGTTCCATAAGCGATGCATATGCCTCGAACCAGTCGCCTAATTTGTCTTTCGGTGTGAACTGAGGCCAGTTCTTAGGGAAGGGAAGATAAGCCATGTGAGTGAACTCAGCGGGATCGTGCGTCACCAGGGTCTAGACAAGAATAAGTCAGAAGCCATCGGAGTCAAGACGTCTGGCATCTTACCCTGTAACGCTTCCGCCAATTATCACCAACCCTGTCGTTCTTATCGATGATCAACGTCGAAACACCCAGTGATTGCAAGCGTGCACCGAGGTTCAGCCCGGACTGACCTAATAAAAGTTAGCTTCACATTTCACTTCTCGCTTGATTTCGCATCCATACCAGCTCCAATGATAAGCACCTGCGGGTGTTCCTCCACAAAGTCCAATTGTCGCTGTCGCCGCTCGAGCCAATTTCCCTTTGCAACGCCGCCAGGCATAGAGTCCAATGTGCCATATGTGCGCTTTGTACCCAGCGGTTCCTCAAAGCCCTTCAGCTCTTGAAGAGTTGTATACACGGAAAATGCTTTCCAAGATCCTGGTTCTTCCTGAATCAGTCGGAGAACACCTGATCCCCGGCCAATTGGAGTCTCAAAGTGGAAAAGCGACGAAATCCAAGCAAAGCCAGTGTCTTTTTTCACAATCTCAAACTTTGGCTGAAAGTGCCCAGTCTCCTGAAGCCTGAAAGATGACAGAGGTCCATGCCGCCGATTTTGATGCAGGAACTCCTCAATGCGCTTTCTGCCGTGGAGGGTGCGAAAGTCCCATTGGAGCGCAATGATATCGCGCCACCACGAATCCTCGCTGAAGATCTCATCAAGACGCGAGAATTCCCCGGTCGTGAAAATGTTCTCTAATTTATTCAACCATTCTTGTGCGATTTGCTGCGATTGTGGGGTCGGGTTGACTGGAGCTGTCTGGGGAAGTTGGATAACATGATCGTATCGTTGAGGCGACATCTCGAGTAATGTATTGTTGTTGAAGGCAGAAAGAGGATAGAGGAGAAAGTCAGGGTCGCACAAAGATCGAAAGGTATGCTAGAAAGACAACATCCATCAATTGGGGGGGCAATCCAGTTCAAATAAAAGGGTGCAGCAGGGCCACACACTCCATCGCTGCCCCTCCTCTCGCTGTTTGCATCACTGGACAATCTCCTCATCGGGTCGCTTATCTCACGCATGAGCATTCACATTATTTCCAGGCTGGATTCAAAGGCAAGGAATCCCCACGCCAATCAAAGAGCACTGAACGGGCCATGTCCGCGCCGCATCTGACGCAATACAGCCGCGCGTGGAGATGTGGGGGTTTGTGACCCCGGATTGACTGAACCATAAGAGTGGGGGCGACGCGGGGAAATTTCTCCGAGAACCCCCTTCTGCCTGATTTCCAGTTCATTCCCTAGTTTATCATGTGGTGGATCACGGATCTAAAACAACCGAGGGCTTCTTGGAGGGATTCGTTTCGTGCTAAGCGAAAGACGCAAGCCCGGCTTTCTCTCCGAGCGATTCGAACTCAACCCCGGGGATAGTTGAGTCTCTCTATCTCCACTCTCACAATGTCCGTTCGACAAAATGCTGCGTGAGTCCCAGGTTGAATCATAGCCTCAGTATAGAGCTGATTGTAGCCAAGGTGCACGACCTGTCGAAGCCGCAAGATTGCGTGCGACCGGCGGAAGCCGACTTGCGACTTCTGCATCAAGAACCATTTCGACTGCGAGTATGCGGCAGCCAGACGGCCCGGCTTGCGGGCGGGCTACATCGCTAAGTTAGATCGGCGTTTAAGTCTGTCCGACAGTCTTGAGAAAGTGATGTTCCTCATGCTAACCCTAGCCAAGTCGAGCTCGAACAACGAGTGTGGATGTTGGAGGGTCATTCCAAGGGTATGACTCCTTCAGTGACATGACAAGCTTGAAAGCTAATCCTTCCTAGAGTCCGCTGGGAACGATCAGGAAGTATCCACTCCTGGAGTTAGCCATCCTGACGCTTCCATCAACGCTGTCTACTCTGGGGAGAAAGACTTACCAATGCCAAACGCACCCAGTCAAACCGCGCTTACAACGCCAAACGCTAGCTCAGATGATAACACACTCGCCAGACACTCGTTTCAATTTGATCCGTTCTCATATCCTGTACTCTCTGAATTGTGTTCCATATGGTTCAAAAGATATCATCCATGGTTTCCGATTCTTCACCAACCATCCCTCATGGACTCTTTACAACACTTGAAAGGATCGGAGACGCTGAGCCAACGCCTAGCTGTCAAGGCAATTTGTGCAGTGACCCTGACTCACTATGAGTCGCCATTGGTGAGTGCAGATGAACGGGAGCATTGGTCAGACAGGCTGCGGGAGAGTGTTTACTTCCAGGCTTTGCAACAAGCCTGTCTTCAATCTGTTCAAGCCTTACTCATAATCTCCAATATTGAATATGGATCTGGTCGGTTTGAAAAATTCTGGAATGTGATTGCGCTTTGTAAACGGTGTGTATCCTCACTTTGGTTGGTTTCGGGACTTGAATATTAACACGCAGCAGAATGTCCTCCCAATTAGGCTACGGCACACTGGTCAAAAAACATGCCGACCATATCAACTCTTCTGCTTCAGTACCTCCACGGCTTCATCCATTATCGACTACTATAATAGATCGAGAAGAGCGAATTCGTGCATACTGGATGTCTGAGATGCTAGATAGTATGTCCACTGTGGGTGTTGATTGGGATACAGGAGCATCCCTTCCTATGTCTAATGGAATCTTACCCTGCAGTGACTCACTGTGGGCGTTTCCGGAACATATCATCAATATTTGGTCTTTCGGACAATTTCGCTATTCATCGGCTTTCTCGGTATGCATCATCTTTGCCACTAGTGAACTATTGTTGGTACATGGTTTCTTACAAAAATCATGGAACTTGAGCGACCACAACGATCGGATACAGTGGCAGACGGAGGCCCAGAAGATTGACGAGCGCTTGACTGCGTGGCGTGAGGAGTTTGTTGCAGCCGTCTACCGCCTCATCAACGCTGAATATGCAGAAGAAGAACGCGCAGAAATGGACCCCAACATTGTCTTGACTAATTGTGTGCTCGATATGTAAGCTTTGTCTCCACCATATAGGTCTTTTCTAACAGATCCAGAGCCGTGGTTCTTCTTTTCCAGAGAATGTCAACCATCCCTCGCGAGATAGATCCGTCCACGGAGCCGGTATGTGCCTCTGTCTTAAATAGTTCTTCAAACATACAGCTTACAATCCCAGTGGCAATATGCGACCAATCGCTGTATCTATGCCTGTGATAATATGGTCTTCAAGGTCGGCCAAATGACGGATGAGGAGCTCAGCGTCAGCAACCCACACCTCGTATTTTGTTTCTTCACGGTCGCAAGGTTCTATATCGGTGGGTCCACTAATCATGTTCTTGTTCCTTCAAGTTTCCAGCTAATTGAGACCAGTTTATGCTAAGACAGTGAACGCCGATGTACCAGCCGGGGTTCGTTCTATGGCTTATGCACTTCTTTGTTCCGGGAAAAGATGGCACCAAGCTCTACGATATGAAAACATAATACGTACTGCGATTTCAGAGCATCGGTCTTTGATCTCTGAATCATCGCTCCCCGCTCGATTCTATGATCTACGTTACTCCACATTGAACATTGAGGACGACTTGCGCACTTGGTGTGAAAATGGACTTCACATCACCCCAGAGATGGTAGTATTAGAACACTAGGTAGATAAAGCAATCACTTCCACCTTACTCACCAACAGTCAAAAATCCGAAAGAGCTCTCTATATAATTCCTCGCTTACATCTGCCCTTCGCGTACTGAGCAGCGGGCCATGTCAAGCCCGGTGCGGGGTAAAGTGTGAGCCGTGCAACAGACGGCCCGTCTGCGGACAGTTGAGTCTTGGCTGAACCTGAATGTAGCTAGAGTTAGTTTGCGGGGAACCAATCCCGGATAATCTGGGGATCTATACAAAACCTGGGGAAGTGATGTATGATATGGCCTCGGCGATCTCGGCCGAGGACTTTATATGTCCTCGCTGGGCCGCTTCACCGACACGCGAGCCCAAGACGTTCTTGGATTTCTTGCAACTTAAGATCACCCATCTTTTCTGCACCATGTTAGACGGCTATGGCCTTGAGGTCGTGTTGACTGCGGCAAACTCCGCTGCTCAGGCGTGGTATGGGTACGACCAGGTTTGTTTCCCCCCCAGTCCTAGACGGAATGATGCCGTCTAAGTCTCGCATTAACCACCCTAATGATTTTCTGTAGGGTGTTGTCAGCGGTATTCTCATTAGCTCGGATTTCATCAACGTATTTCCAGAGACCAAGGTTTCATCAATTCAGGGTATCACGGCAAGCTGCTTCTCGGTACGTTCTGGGAGCCACCATGGTGGGCATAGATACAGTACTGATATTTCCAAAGCTTGGAAATCTGGTGGGATGTTTGGCGGCAGCTTGTTATGGCAATAGGTTGGGACGAAAAAATACATTGAGAACTGGTACTCTCATCAGCGCTATCGGCGCCGTATTACAGTTCTCTGCTTATTCATTCCCACAACTTATCGTCGGTCGTGTGATCAATGGCGTTGGTAATGGTACGTTTTCCGCCACAAGATCTGCTTGCTCATTGACTTAATATATCAAAAGGGATGACCAGTTCCACGTGTGGAATTTTCCAAGCCGAATCTTGTCCCAGCGACCGCCGTGGAAAACTGTCCGTGATCGTCGTTCTCCATAATGTGGTGTTCTACTGCGCTGCGACATGGTTAACGTTGGCTTGTTCTTTTCTTCCTGGGGGTTATCAGTGGCGATTGCCCTTGGCGTTACAGGTAATTTTTGCATGTCTTTTGAAGCTCCAGAAACATTTTGGCTAACTAAACGTTTTACCTCCTAGCTCATCCCGGCTATGTTTCTGATTGGCTTGCTCTCCTTTGTTCCCGATAGCCCCCGATGGCTCTTGATGCGGGGCAAAACCGAAGCAGGACTTGAAGCTATTCGCCGTTACTCTGGCAAGGGTCTTTTGACCGATGATCCCCGTGTTCAGAGCGAGTATCATTCGATTATTGGCGCTCTTCGGATTGAAAGAGAATCCAAGATCTCATTTATCCATATCCTAGCTCGACGGGACCGGTCTAGCCATCTAAAGCGGCTTCTTCTTGGCTGTGGTGGACAGTTTATGCAGGTAAATCGGAGTACTGTTCTTCTCATGATCACTTCCTTAATGGCCTTCATAGCAATTTGGCGGCATTAACGCTCTCAACTATTATTTCACTATTATCTTGATGAACAACCTTGGCATGAACGAGCTCATGGCACGAATCCTCACAGGCTGCAATGCTACATCATACATGATTTCTTCAGCCTTGTGCTTTGGATTGATTGAGCGATGTGGGCGTCGAGTATTGATGCTAAGTGGGCTATCTTTTCAGTGTTTCGCGTACGTAATGGTCGCAATATCCATTGCCTTGCTCGATAAAGCCCCCTACGAGGTAAGTCTGTCTCTTCCTAGTTTGATGCAGGGCTAACAAAGCTTTAGTGGGGCATTGTGGCTGTATCTTTCTTGTTTTTTTACTATGCAGCCTTTGGCTGCACATGGGGTATGGTTCCCTGGGTATATCAAGCAGAAATTAACTCCCTGGCCATGAGGACAGTGGGCGCCGCTGCTGCAACAGCCACGAATTGGGTATGGCTCTCTACCATTAACTCTACAGCAGTTTAGCTCAGCGGCTAAAATAACATTATCTGTAGCTTGCTGGGTTTATCTGCACACAATTTACTCCCACTGGAATCGAGGAAATCGGGTACAAGTTTTACATAAGTACGTTACAGCTTCTTCTACTCACATGTGCTGCCAAATCCTCCGGCTAACTACCCATATCAGTTTTTGCCGTCTTCAATTTGACGTTCATTCTGGTTGTGTATTTTCTATATCCAGAGACAGCATACCGGACCCTGGAGGATGTGGATGTTTACTTCGACCGAGACTCAAACCATCGCACCATCATACCCATTCATGATAAAACTGCCAAACAGACAATGCGGCCTTTGGAAGCAATTGAAGCGGAGGCAGCAAGAGTTGCTATTACGGAGGCAGCCGATGCCAAAGGGTCATCATTTCAGCAGATTGATGATATTGATCGAGTCGTATAAATTCTCCTGATGCTACCGGTTATACCAACCAATTACGGGCTCGGTGTACCCACATGGTACGAGGATGGCTCTTACCCTATTTTGCACTGGTTTGCAAGTCAATTCTAGTTTCATTATCAGTATCTTACTTCCCTTCCGTTTTGATGATCGTGGATATCCATCGTATTCGATTGAACACATCCTCTTTTCTAGTATTTCTTTACTTGATATCTGAAACCTTACTCAGACTCGAAATGGACTGGTTGAACTTCAATATTGACTTTTAAACGCCACGGCTAAATTGAAAGTGAGCTAAGCAGCGGTCACTGCTTGCGTAGCATAGGAAAGGATACGACAGTCAAGGCTTGCTGACCTTGGGATCCGTCGGCTGCCACATGTCCATGAAAAACACCCCCTGCATTTCAGACGCAGTAAAGACTTGCCCGTTTATTCTGACCGTACCAACCATCTTCTCGTCGACTTGTTCGAAGGTGACATAAGCGCCCTGCTCTAAAAGTTGCGAGACAGATATGAGAGACGTTCTAATATTTGGAACGAAGAGAGTATTTTCCAATTCCAAATAGACCTTCTTGCCTCCGGTATTGCATGACACCTGAGCCGTGCCTACTCCTGTAGCATTCAGAAAGAAGTCTCCGACCCCGGTGACCCTAAATCCTTTGCTTGGTGCAAAGCTTGTGTACCATTCCCGCTGGAAGGTTACGTGGCGGGAAGCACCTGAATCCAAGACCGCTGAATATTCAAACAGCCGATTTAGTTCGGGGTGCTGGCTACCCGTTGGAGGCGTTTCGTAAACAATGGCACCTGCCGCAGGCTGGGTTGTGTGATTCTGCGAACGGCCTGTCTTTTGGGAAGCAGGAGACGGGACTTCCAGGCTTCTGGGGAGTGCCATGCGCTTGTCATCTCGAGCTATGGCTTGTGCTGGGGCCAAGGGTTTTCCTGGCAGGACTCGAATGGAAACATCGGAACTTGTGAGCATTTTCTCGATTGTGGAGGTAAGGTCGTCCATTTTCGCGACGTGAGATGTTTGGCAAGCGATTGGAGTAGGCGTTTTGGTGGTAACACGTCAAGGTATGAAAAACTGGACCACCAGTGTTGAGGAGCCCATGCTTGTTAAAACCACTCGTGTGTGTGAGAGTGGGAGAACTGTTGGGAGAATGTTCCGCGTCGGTGCTAAGATGACTTGATCGGTCAGAGCGAGAAAAAAGAGCGTAGAGACAGCTTAAACGTGCATGTGCCAGCCATTACAGGCAACAAGCAGACTAAAACTTTCTCACATGAAAGCCTTGGTAGGCTTAAGCACTCGGATATGTCTCTGCTGTGCCGTTGGAGAGCACCCACAAAGGCTAAATTAAACCCGATTATGACGAGGGCTTTTGAAAGGTATTCACGAGCATGCCAACCACCGACCTCTTCCGAGTGGTTTCTTCAAGATGTAGTTTTCAGCTGCTTTCCCAAATCATAACAAGTTGATAGGCGAGTTTAGTGTGACTACGGTGCGCAGGGGTTGTGAGAAGGCAGGGTGTCGCGCACTACCTATTTACAAAATTGGGCTAAAGAACTGCACAGAGGGCTCTTGTAATGAGCTGATCAATGATTGATGTATTTTCGCTTCACACTTTAATTAATCAAGATGCGAGGTTAGAGTTTCGAGTTCAATTGCTTTTGGTGTGAGAGCCAGGCAGCGCAAGGATGCCTGGGAGGGAGAGAGGGTTAGTTTGCTTCGCCTACCTATTCAGTCACTGAAACCTCAATACTATACGTGAAATGGTGTTTGAAAAAAAAAAGAATTAAACATAGATAAGAAGAAGCCGAATAGTATCGATCGGCTCCCAAAAAGGCGAAACCAAAAAAGAAACTCTCCCTCGGGGAATCGAACCCCGGTCTCCCGCGCTTATCGGTATTAATGACAAGCGGAAATCATGACCACTAGACCAAGGAAGATGACATGACCGAGTTACTGCTCGACCACTTGGTGCTGGTTGATATTCGAATCTCAAAATTTTAAATCATATCCCCGGTATCTCCCTCGGGGCTGTACCTTTTTCGCGCGGGTGACTGTCAGACGAAACCCGTTTGCTGTTGCCTCCAGGATCAACATGCTCTTTAAGTGTCGACATGAAAATTAATAGAATCTAATATTATTGCACTATTGAGGGCCGTCGCTCAGCCCGCTGGCGCCCCATGTCACCGGATTGGGCGTAGTCTCAGCCCAGTGCTCACCCAGGTCCCTTGACCACATCACCCTCGGAGGTCATGTCTTAGAACCGGTTTAGTGCTCCCGTCCTTTGCATGAATATGGACTTCAATAGGGGTTGAGGTGTAATTTCCTACCTGTGTGTAAAATTCATGATTTGAGCATGATACCGGCTTCAAAGCTTACAATTGGTGGCTTTGAGCCCACTTTCTGAACCATATATATTTCATTATCCCATCCCCACAAAATATACAGTAACCAGTGTCTCTCCACTCCATCCCACTCCAACCTGTTCTCAGGTCCATGCTTACAGGTCATATTAGAATACCAAGTGATTATTTCGTCACCCGGGGCGCCTTTAGGGCACTCTGACCTGGCACGTGTAAGCCTCATAAAGGTGTCAGCCACAAGCATTCGATTTATAATGCGGAGACCTGTCAGGCACAGCATATAATCAGGACCCATCTCTATTTAAGTTATCGCTATCTGCACAGCTTAAACGAATACTCCTCCAGCCCCTAGTTTTTCATGATGGCGGTGGGGTAAACCTGGTTTTCACAGATCTTGAACCCCGGCCTATCTGCTCTACTGCTCTTCCACAGAAACGTCCACCATGTCGCCATCCATACGGCACCACAGAAGACACCACTCCTGGCCTCACTGTGGCTCGGAGCTGTGCATGCGTGACCCTCGCATCCCGGAGCTGCGTATCTCAAAATCTGGGGCTGGACCCCCAGGCCATACGTGGCAATTTCAACAAGCCAAAGTAGTTCCGCTTATAGTAGAGGAACTGCCCGACGACGATGCCGCCATGGCGGGCATTGTTCGGTCGCGGTCATCACGGAGCCATCGCCTTTGGTCTCGCCCTTTCCTGAAGGATAAAAGTCAAGCCATCCCACTTTCAGCCACCGTGGTCGAGGCTCGGAAGCATGTCCATCGCAGTGTGCTCCGCCGACTCATCCGCCGACCGCCACTGGATAAGACACGATCGCTCTTCGTCGTGCCGACTACTATGACAGCTGCAGACCAGACGATAGTCCCTTGGATACCACCTCGACTTTCATCACGACCACTGACAGTAACGGACAGGACTCGAACAGCCTTGTCTGTCGCTGATGCGGAGAAATTCGTCGCTGAACGACGCCACCGACGATGTCATTCCTAGCAGCCTCGATCGTGGAGAGAACCTAGCGCTAGCATTTGGCCTCTACAGGAGGAATCTTAAAGGCGAAATACTTTTATTTTTGTTTCAAGGCGTGCTTTATCTGTCGCTCATGCAGAGGAAGAATATGTGATAGTGAACTGAAAAAAATCGGAATATTGCTTTATGCTATCTACGATAAAGAATAATTCTGTTCACAACATAGAAACGAGATTTTCTTGATTAGAGTGGCAAACTCCAGAGTCATCCCACGCATGTGCTACATTTGCATAGTACGCTTCCCACTTCTCACAGGCAGGTTGAAACTTCAAAGCAACGGGCTGTTCTAGGCGACCGGGTCCTCGGCATGTCGAGTCTGAAGACATTAAAAGTCCGCATTTTCTCACGTATCATAGAATAACAGGACAGTATCCAGCTGATTTCGGTTGTTCCGAAAGCATCACAGGCATTTGAGTCCGGTGCGGGCCTCGGTTTATTCTCATGCTCATATCAGGGAACCTGGGTATGTTGTAGATCTGATCGTGTAGCGGGTTATGTTTGGGCCTGTGGGGGGCCCGGTGTTTCTACCATCGAAGTATTGATTTGACACTTTCAGTAGGGACCTTCCCGCTTGGATGCAGCAGACGTGGCGGAGTCAGATGACAAAGTCCATAATTCGGGGATTACAATGAGGACAACAAGGTCTTCGAGCTATGGAACGGTAAATCAGAGGCTCATTAGATATGCTTGTCCGGCGCAGAAGCTGAGATTTATCCTTCAGAGGGTATTCTCTATTTGACCTTGAAGGTGTGCAGAGCCGAACGCGAAGGAAGAACACCCGCATTCTCAAAGGATCGATAGGTTTCAATCCAAGTATCCAATGTCCGGTCACTCCGCTGCCAGCCAAACTTTCTCGCCTTGTGCACAGACGAGATTGTGATCCACGATCGGCCCGCAGCCCAGTTGAAAAAGCCCCAGGTTCCCCAATCGAAGGCATCAGCCCTGCCGCCATACTTGCTGACAATTCGTTCCCAATGAGGACGCTTGTCTTTCGCCCATTCCACCATGTCAATTTCACACGCCAGGTGATCTGTCCGACCAGGGGCCTTCTCGAAAGTTGGATCTGGGCTCTATATTGTGTTGATTAGGACATAATCAATGATACTGAATGCGAGTTCACCATACCTCAACACCCAGATAGGCGGCAAAGTCTTGCCATATATACTTCCAGATAAAGACGTCCCCATTGGTGTGATTGAAATCCTCGTCCTTACATTGATCCTGAGAGGCGACATAGACGGTTAGATCCGCTAGACTGGGAGCGTATGAGTTGTCGTCAACAGTGTTCCAAAAATACTCATTGCCTGGGAAGTTGGCTGGTTGGCCCAGCTCGCGACAGATCAACATGTAGAGAGCCAAGGTGAAAACCTCCGACATTCCGTTCGCTAAGATGGCTTCGTTAAATTGAATCCAATCCATGAGCTGGTGATTCCAAGGTTGCTACTTACCATGAGGCGTGTAGCCATTGATAGCATTGGGGCGAATTATGTTCCATGACCAAGTTTTGCTACGAGCAGAGAGCTCCTTGAGATAGTCCTCCTGTGGATAGTAGAAGTTGTATCCCTGATCGTCATAGCGAGGGAACGACTCTTCGAGGGGGGCTTTGACGGGTCCGAGGTGAACACCATAATACTGAAATTCCATCAGCATGGAAGAAGGGACCGGCGATGATTCTTGACTCACCTTTCCGCCGGTCTGCAAAGTGACTCGCTGCAGCCTAGCACACGTCTCATCTACGGCATCAAGGAAGTTGCGGAACAAAGGAACGTTCTGCACAGGAAGTTCCTTAAAGTCATCGCTGTGCACGTACGATGTAAAGAAGGCGTGCGTAACGTCCGCACAGATTTCCTTCAATTTGGCAACAATGTTCTCGACTGGATCCAGGAAATCAACTGCAACAAACTCAACTCGAGGGTCGATCCAAGCAACAGGAGGGGGTCGCCTCGATGTGACGATGATTTTGATCCTGTTTTTTACTGGTCAGTGCTTGTTCTCCCAGGAAATGTTGAAGGGTCAGGGTCCGCTCATACCACTCGTCCTTTGGCGTCCGAATCAGATGTTCAACGATTGAAAACCCACTGATGCCATTAGCGCCCGTGACAAAGGCCACCTTCTCTGATAGAGGCATGGTGAACATCAACTTTGCAGTCTGAGTCCGAGATTTGAATTTCTTAATTGCAGCCCGACCAGCTCTGTTCCGCTTATAGCCCTCGAATTATCCCGCCGTCCGTGAAGTTGACTGAGCTCTGTTGTTTTGATTACCCCGCAAGTCGGAGAGAACGGAGAGAACGGAAAATGAATTCTGCGGAGCGAGACTAAGAACATAGTATTCTGGGAGCTGGCACCATCTTGATAATCTACGAGGTTCTAGCGGAACCCCAAATCCCAGCTGAAGATGGATAGCTTTCAATACAGTAGTAGATCAGGAATTGGGGATAGGCTATTACTTTGATCTGACCGTGGATAGTGCGGTCGTAAAGATTGGCAATGCATTATGTGGCCAAGGTTTTTTAACCACCCGATGGCACGGTCGGTTTGAAACGGTTTGTGATTGTTGGATTCATTTCAATGCCAGGAAAAGTATTCTGGGGAAGGATTGTGAGTCCATGGTGGGTCTCTCAGCCCGGAGAAAACCAGAAAACCCATCCATTCGGCAATTTTTGAGAGCAATTCTTCACAAAATAAGTGGCTCCACGAGGGAATTAGTATCCGCACTGGGTCATGTAAATTGAGCAACGATTGATGGGAAAAGGTAAGTCCGCGAGGTATACGCTTGTGTGATGGTGACGTTAGTATTTCAGAGCAACCGGGTCAGATACCGTCCCAGCAGGGCTGAAGCAGACAAGGTGGATTTCCCGGAGTTGGTAAACACCGCGGCTAGGCAGTATTGTAGGTATGCAGACGAGCCATGGGACGGGAGTCCCCGATTGGATCGATATCCACAAAGAATGCAACAGTGATTGGTATTCTCGGCGCCTTCCAACAGTCCGCTCCTCGGTCGCAACAGGCGTTGTAGTTGAGGTTAGTTCTGGTGGTTCTCATGACAGCAGAATCTTTGGAAGGCAATGCGCTCGAGTGGTGCCCGCGTCACCCAAGAACTTCTCATAAAATCGTTGACCCTACGGACACCACATTCCTCGGAGTGACCGTGCCGCGTGCATGAAGCCAGCCGTGTTTTCTTGGCTGATGTGCCCTTGCGTGGGGGCCAAACCGGGCAATCTGGAGACACGTGCCCCATTTCTCGGTTACAATGGCCATTCTCGAAGGCCGCTAGAAGGGATGCTGTCTCAGCAGATCAACCGTGATTGGTGATGGGGGCTGGAGGGAAAGTAAGCAGTGGGTTAGTGGATGCGATAACAGTCTTCGGACTTTTGCAGACTTCTGCCAAGGAGCAGTCATGCTGGCATACGAGCGAAGGGATGCATTCGTAATTGGGGCAGATAACATGGCCCAGCAGAGCCTCGAGGGTACATTGGCCAACCCGTCGGCAGCCTGCCCCACCTGTGACGAACAACGGGCACGATCAACATAATCAACAGACGGCCTGGGTAACCTGGTTGCCTAACTCCGCGCGGAGGCAGCCCTATGGGTAGGGGAGATAGGATGACAGGACGGCTCAGCTGGACAGACGGTGTACGAGCGAGGGCCAGAATCACGAGCGTGAAAGAAGACCTACAGGAGACAGCGTAGATGCGTCGGGTGGTATCTCTGTGGGACGTGTCCGTGATGATGCAACGAGCGGTGAAGCGGGGTTGCACGATAACAACACGACTGGAGAGGAAGAGTGATTGGACGCGAATGGAAGGCAGAGGAGGCTCCAAGGCAGAAAGAAACTGGGATTGGCGGGGGAAAAGCAGGACCGACCTCACCGACACAGACTCCCGCTAAACCTTACCGGTGGGACCGGCAGGTGGTCGCTGCTGGCCCCCGGTTGGCTCGCGGCAGGCCCGATCCGCTGTTGGTGGGGCCATTCGTGAGTGTGATTGGCTGTGTGTGTCTTCCGGCGTTTGCTCGACGGGCTCGAGTGCAAACTGGAAGCGGCCTGCGTTTTGGTTGGTTGCCCTACGAGGGTTGACGATCCCCCATGGGAGGAGGGAAGATACGAGACGTGAGAAGCATAAATAACTTAAGAATTCCCGGCCTCGGCCTCAGTCCTCATTTCTCCCCTCCCCTCTATAACCCGTCTATACTTCTCGCCCGATGCACTCTCAATCTGACCGCGACTCCTATCCAAACCGATCTCTGTCTCAAACCTCTGCAACCACCTGCTCCTCTCGCAGCACTCAAAGCTCCGACGAGAAGAAATACAGCCGCAAGCTGTCCAACCCACTGGCCTCCAAGCTGTTCCGACCACGCAACAAGTCTCCCAGCCCCATCGACATCCCCAAATCCCACTGCCCGTCCTCGGCAAGTGACTCCCATCCTCGAGACATTTCCCGCAGTGCCCCCGGGCCCTCCTACTTCGGCCAGCTCCGCCGCTCCCACAGCCCTGACCAGATGTCTCCCATGGCCACCAGCCCCCAGTCTCCCAAGCAGGAGTACCCTAGCAAGCGGGCCTCCACCCCGACCGGCAAGAACAGCGACAACTACCGTCGCTACAGCGGCACCATCAACCACTACGGGCGGCACTCAAATGACTGGCTGTTTGGCGGATTCAGCGTGCGCGAGACCGTCCGCGATGGGATTGATAAGCTCCGCAGCAATGACAATGACAAGGAGAGCTGAATCTCTTCTCCGCGCCACTTTCTTTTCCAATCCCGACTGTCCTTGGTGGCATTGCCTCGCTGAAATGCACTGATTGTGATGGGTTGTCCTACAAGATGAAAGCATGTCATCCTCCCCGTGGACGATCGACCCCGCTCTTGGCTCGACTCGACTATGGATGCATCTCCGAAGAAACCATGTTTCCCTTTCGCCGTTGATATCTTCTCCAGTACAGTTCCCCACAGAATGTACATGCGCCCAGGAAACGAATGATGCCTTGATCAATGTACTGTGATTGCTACATTGTGCGATACTATGAAACCATACTGGTCCCGCATCTTGCACCCCGTTCACTTGATGTGCTGGTCAGGGGTTTTGTCGTTCGACAGTCATTCGACGGTTGTTCGACAATCATCCGTTTCATTGATGAGCTGATGAACATCGATGTTCTTGTCTCCTTGAAGGGGCAGCCGATTTTCGGCCGCTGTTTCCCATATTTGTATCTATCATTTGTACCCGATAGCTTTCATAATGAACAGTATCGGCCTTGCGGAATATCTCCGAAACTCGCAATTTCTTTTCTCACTCCTTTTTTCGCGTAAGCTACCCTTGTTTCCCGTACCAACAATCCTCCAGGCGAGCGCTCCATCCCCGCCTCGGACTGCTCCGCATCTCCGTATCTCCTCCGAACATCGGCACTTCTGCGAGGCCATCCCATGCAGCAATAAGATAGAAATCTCGGCACTATCGCCTCCATCCCATCCCAATATACAGTCGAATATGTATAAGGTCCTCTTAATTTCGTCTTGCTAGTGAATTTTTGCCTTCGCCTCCTAAGCCCATTTCCAATCTCCGTCCCGCCCACCGTCGCCCCCGTCAGCTAGCACCTGCATTCCGCTCCACACGAATCTACCGCGCCAAGGCCAGACGACAAAATCCTTTTCTCATATGGACTCCACCACGCCCGTCGTGGCGGTGTTGTACCAAGCTCTCCCGCCGCCAAGGTATGGTGGCGTGAGTAAGCCGCCCAAGCCCGGTGGTAAGGCAGGCGCGACAGGAACATGGACAGTTCAGCTTGGACCACATGCGCTAACGCTGCACAGGGTACCGGGACTCTGGCGCTGATGTGGCGTATACTTTGTCCCGCTCGGGAATCACGGTGCTCACACCGGAGCCCGAGCCAGACCCCACAAATCAGGACCAGTGGTGTTTCCCTGATACCGAGGAGGGCATTCTGGCCGCGGTGAAGGCGGGGGCGACGCATCTGTGGGCGAATACGGTGCTTTTTGCAGAGCATCCGCTGCAAGTGTCGTCGCGGTTGACGCCGCATCAGGAGCGGGTGAGGGTTGTCGGACAGCCGCCACTGTGTGCGGATCAATTTGATGACAAGTCGTTTGTCAATGACTGCTTGCGTCGGCACGGTGGACTTACGCTGCCGAGATCGTGGGTGATAGATGATCCCCGGTCTGGAATGGACGACTCTGTTGCTGTTCAGAGGACCTCGGGTCATGTCTTGGATGTGATCCACGCCAGCGATTTTCCAATTGTTGCGAAACCTGTGCGCGGGCGGGGCAGCCACGGCGTGAAGGTTTGTCACAATGCCGCGGAGCTGTCGGCGCATGTGGCTCGTTTGTTTGAGGAGTCGCCTCGGGTTCTATTAGAGGAGTACTTGAATGGGGAGGAAGGTACGATCACCGTCATGCCTCCGTCTCAACACGCAATCCCGGGAGAAGAGCCTTCAGATCGCTTCACTCGACACTGGGCGCTGCCGCCTGTCACTCGCTTCAACCATGTGGATGGCGTCGCACCGTACAGTGGGAAGGTAGCGGTGACCGTGAACTCTCGCGCCGTGACCACTGAGGAGGTAGACGCCGATCCCGCATACACGACCATCATGAGGGAGTGCGAGACTGTTGCTGGATTACTACAGACAAGAGCACCTCTGCGGATAGACATTCGGCGATTTGGACCTAGGTCGCGATTTGCTCTGTTTGATATCAATATGAAGCCGGTACCTATATCTGATTTGCCCTATGGAATGATCGCCGGTAGACTGACTATTCGGTTTAGAACATCACCGGTCCAGGACGCCCGGGTCGCGATGACCAAACCAGTCTTATGGGTCTTGCAGCTGAGAGTATGGGCTGGGGCTATCCCACGTTCCTGCAGTATGTGCTTGGGTCAGCACCGCATCTGGGAGAGCTTCGCAACTACAGTCCTTTGATCGGATGATCATCGTCCCCACCACGACGGCCCTAGGAAACCGTTTTATCTCATAGGATCAAAGAAACAAAGGAAATTCCCAAACAACTAGCGGGTATACGCGGCTGATCTGAATGCCCTTTTTATATTTTTTTTTATCTTTATTTTTTTCTGGACGCAAGAACTTGACTTGTAAACCGGACATAGAAAGGGCCTTCCCACTGTCACTTCATCGCTTCATCCCAATCGAGTCGATGGGACTAGCAGTATTTAGACGGATTGTTTACAACAACTCGACCAATGAAAACCACAACACAAAATATCAGGGAGTTTGTTCTATTACTCGGCCCTTGCTAATAGTACTGTCTTGGTAGGTAGAGCCGTGCCACAACAATGGAAACGCCCCTGAGACCTAAACCCCCTTCAGAAAGGAAGCGGCAAAACCAGGAAAGAAACGATCTAAGTAAAAAAAAAAAAAAAAAAAAAAAAAAAGAGCTGCGCGCAACAAGATAAGGAAAACAAACTCCAGGGAACTCCGCAGCAATATCCAAGACCCAATCGCAGAAGTTCCATTGCAGCTCTCAATCACGCACTCTGCCACGCCACGATGTCCCTCGCCGAGATGTCCAAATTTTCAGCCGTCAGCCGCTGCAGCTTTGCCACCGTAGTGGGAGCTAAAGTTTTTAATTGATCAGCAAGCGTCCAGAAACGGTAGTCTGAGGGGCAACCATGTTGGGGGCAAGACCCAATGCCATACCATCTGGTCACCGACACGGTGAACTAGTCCATCGGGAATAGGGAAAATGACCAAGGGGACGGTGAGATATGATTGGATTGGCAGGGTCATTAGAAGGGGGAAAACGAGACAGAGAGGGGGACCCACTTGGCCGTTGGGCCGCCGGCGCAGCGGCGTGCACATGGATGATTGCCGAGTCGACGCATTCCTTGGTCATCACACCGTTGACGGACGAGGTGCTGAGCATCACCCGGATTCGATACTTGCCTGGTCGGGAGATCGTGAGCCCGCTGAACTTGGCGTAGCCGCTCATCGAGGGTTCGCACCGGCTCCGCACCATTGCGGTGAGGTTGCCGCTGAGCCCAATGGCGGGGCTAGTGCCGGCTTCGTCGCGCAGGCTGGCGCTGGCAACGAGTTGTACTGTCCGCGAGGGTGTGCCAACGGGGCGCACTACGACTATGACGGGGACCGTGAAAGGGAGGCCGGGGCGGGCTGCTGCCGGCGGGGCGGCTTCGAATGCCAGGCTGAATTCGCGCGGAGTAGCCATGGCTTTGTGGGATGAAACAGTTGGAGTTGTTTCGGGGGTGGTATGGCGAATATAAACTCAAGCTTGAAGGATCTGCCCTAAACCAATCGGGGAGCAGTGGGCTAGAGAGAATCGGTGAAGTATAAATGAATTGGATCTGACAATAGAGTTTGGAGAAGCGAGGAAGGCGATTATAAGAGACGTGAGATGGATCGGGCGTAAAGATGGTATAAGGGAAGAGCAAGTTGCACTCTTCGATTAAGATTGGGATGTTGGATGAAGGATGTCTGGTAGGAACTATGCTCGAGCTAGGTGCTTCAAGCGGTCTTCATATACCTCCCCGCGACAGCCGAGACCCATTCCCTGCCAAACATGTTCAGGCTTCATGTTCCAGGTCAGTCGTTGGAGAATGATGGAACTAGTAGATATCGCCACCGGCAAAAGTACCACGCGATGCGAGCGCATTAATGAATCGGTCACCGCGTTTTTGGGATTGAGCCAAGGCAACCGTAATGCTGTGCGGATCACAAATTGAAAACCCGGAGTACTAGGAAAGTAAAATTTGAATTCCAAATTAAAAAAATTAAAAAATCAATGAAAAAGCACGCCAATCCCCATAGAGCAGTAAACGGCCAAGAGACCGTCCAGTGGATTGGGTGTTCCTTCGGCATCTGCGAGATCCTTGCAGCAACACGTTCCGGGAAAATCGAACACGAACAGTGGAGACCAGGAATTTTTACTTTCTTGGTTTTGCTGTGGTTTGATCGACGGGTACGTAATGGACGGACGGGGAAAGAAGGGAGGAAGAGAGGGGGGGGAGGGGGGTGGACCTCGAGGGGTGCAGAACAAAGCAGGTACTACGGAGTAGATCTGAGAGATCCAAGATGCGCAGGACAGATCGGATGCTAGCGTGCGGATCGACTGGGGAGCACCATTACTGGACCTTTTCAGGTGCTTTGGGGGGGGGGGTCCACTCGGCAGCTGCGCGTCTGATTCGGTGGTTTCGCGCCCAGCTACCGATTTTCCCGGCAATCAGCACGGTGAAAATAATCGGATACGCGCCTTTGACATGCACGATCAACGTTCATGTGCAGGGGCAAACGGAGAGTCCCTCGATCCAGGGCGGAGGTGGTGGTCTACTTGAGAACCGGCTTTTTCTGGAGATGTCAATAGTTGCGTGCACGGACTGTACCGTCTCCACCCCCTGCTCAACATCTCGACCTCGCCAGTTGTAAGGGTGGCATGAAGAGGATTGTTTGGATTTTGGATCCGGGGTTTGCTTTTCTGTTTTGCACTCAACTGCCCGGCCCGTCGCAGCTGTCATCATCACTTCTCAGTCACAGTGGTGGCGTTGAGACTATCATGCAGTCACCTCAACTTGGGCAGGCGTTGCGGTCAGCGACAGTGTGGTCTGTGCCCCAAAGGCCGCTGCATCCGGGAAGCGAGAAGGAGCATGATTATGACGACCTTCGGGACGCATTGGACCGATCAAGGGAGGAAGTCCTTGGAGGACAGACCGCACTGTTCGATTGCAGGGGAGTCGAGCCCCTCCCATCGTTGGTGCTGCAAGCCACAACGGTGAGCTGTGGCGCGTGAAGCCTTGTGGCGCGGGAATTTGGTAACCATGTCCATGTCATCGGGCACGCCGAACCCTCCAGCGCGGTTTCCCTTGGCCTCGAACCGAGGCTTCTTTGGCGCTCACATTTTCATTTCCCCCCCGCCTTCCTCCGCCCTGCTTGAGTCTTTCATCGTATGGCGAACCCGCCTCAGAAATGATGTTGCCTAGGTAAAGACGAAAACTAAGGAGGCGATAGCTCCATCGATCACCAGCCACAGCACCGCACTTCGGTATCCGCGGATCATCAGCCTCACCCCTTGGCACTCCAGGGTCGAGACTCCGTGGATCTCCGTGTCTCCGCACGGGAACGCTCCGTGTGACCAGAGCGGATATGATCACCGGCACCATGTGTGTGCCGGGATATGAGCAGGGGTTGAGGAAGTCCGAGAAGCGGGTTCCACGAGGAAGGAAGCTTTCACCAGGACCGCGCACTGTCCTACTCTTGGCACGTGCCACGATGAAGGTGCTAGGGTTTAATGATCGCCTCGCCGATCTGGCACAGGCCAGTCAATAGTTCATATCATCTAGGGGCCCCCGCCCACTGCAGCGGTAACTCCCGGTGATAGGTGCCTTTGTAGAACGGGATCGGGTCTAGAGTTCCCGACGCAGGATTTGGGAAAAACTCGGTGACACAACCGAGATTTTCCCGTCGATTAGTTGATCGAAACGTTCGAGGTCAGCGCGAACTGCAGCCCGTGAGATATGAGCGCTGTGCCAGGATAGATCAGTAAGAGAGCTCCGAAGGATGATGCAATCACAAACGCAATGGAGCCTGACTCCGAGAGGAGAGGGGGGAGAGGAGAGCAGTGATACAATCCTGCGGCATAGCAGTGAAAGACAACTAACCCTCCACCAATGAAAGCAGGATCGACCATGTGTGGGAGACATCAAGGACGTTTTCCCGATGGACGGGTGACGTCTCCATCAACGTAGAAGCCAAAACCAGAGATACGCCTAACATGCAAAGGGAGGTACGAACCAACCTTGTTTTTTTGTTATGCAATGTCGATCGTGTTGCAGGGGGGTCAGTTGGGCTCGGTCCCGGCCCTTGGAGTTAATAGTCGCACCGCCACACATCAGCCGCAGTGGCTAATGATGTGGCTAAAGCAAGGAGTGGCTGGTATGGTGTGGCGGTGGACCAGTGGGTTGCCCAATTAGGAAGGTCTCCAGTCGATAAGTCCAACTCAGGTGGAACCCGAGCTCCCCGATTCCTTTGTGTCCGTGTTTTGCTTCCCTTTTGCTGGTCGTTCTCTTCCGTTGCTCCGGGTGAACATGGATCATCCCTTCACCCCAAGGCTGGAATACATAATCTCAAACGTTGGGCTCTTTCATGTGAACGTCCATGTGCTTCGAGAGCAGCTGGAGCAGCACCTGCTACATTCTTGCTGCCTGTTTAGGATGTTAGAGTTGAGAATACAGTGCGAGTGATCTGACCTGTCTTTTGGATCTCATTTACTGGAGAATGTGATCGTAGGGTGGATCAGTGATGAGAAAGCCGGTGAGCCGGTGAGGTAAGGTGTCACATTCTTGCCTTACCTGTCTGAGGGAGGCAATGATGAGAGTTGATAATAATGTATAGCTGATTAATATCTAATTCTAAGGCTAACGAGCAGACAGTGCGGAGAGCACAACAAACACGGCTCCCAGGATAACGAGGAAGTTCATCTCAACATCAATATTGCAGTTTGAATAAAAAGTAATAACCATATATCAAAGCCCACATCAGTGGATATTTAGCACGCTGAAGGGGGCTTTTGTCATAAAAGGTCAACCTACGCAAAGCAACCTTCTCAATAACAGATCCAAGCGAGCCACCACTGAAAAACAACCAGTTCATCATATCACTCGTCAGGGTCGATGTCTCCTTGGCTCGCACGAAGAGGTCATCCTCATATGCCTTGATCTCAGTTGGAAGGGTAACTTGAGGGTTTGGTGAGTTTGCACCCTTGATGATTGCTCGAGACAACTTTAGCGCGTCTTGCATCCCCAAGTTGACACCCTCGCCAGCAAAAGGTGTCATGACATGTGCTGCATCGCCAATCAAAGTTACGCCAGGGCGATTCTCCCATGACCAGCCAACGGGGAGCATATAAAGCGGTCGGAACTCTGGGTCTTGGGCATTGCGCACAAACTGCAACAATTCAGGAGACCAATCGTGGCATTCTTCCAGAATGGCCTTTCTAGTCGCGTCGAGGTCATTGATATCGAAAGTAGGGTTCTCTGCCCACTGCTTGGGCCATATAGCATAGACGGCGACTTTCAGGCGGCCGTCTCCGATACATTGACTCATGATAGATCGGCCATCGGAGTACGAAAACAGAGACCCGTGGTTGGAGAGCTGGTAGCACTCTGGTGCTGTCTCTTTGGCATTGGGAATCTCGAAGGTGAATGCAGAAATGCCAGCATAATCTGGCGCTTGCTCTGATACCAGCTTGCGGGTCTTGCTCCAGGCACCTTCGGCGCCGACGATCAAATCGAATCCCATTTCGATTCCATGATCAAAGATCAGATTATGATTTTCATCAATGGTGCGCAGGTGATGGCCCCATCGGATCATATCGGGAGGAATAGAGTCAAGAAGCATCTCACGGAGGGATTTTCGGTCGATCTCTGGTCTCCCGTGAGAGGACTTTTCGTCCGAGCCAGCCAGCTCAACATATTTGGTCAAATGCTTGTCGCAAATAGTCAACGCCTCCCCTTCGAAGCGAGCTCTCTTCAAAAATTCGTCGTATAAGCCGGCTTCCTTCAAGGCGGCAATACCGGTCGTGGGATGCAGGTCGAGACTGCCGCCTTGCCCACGAGCATTTTGGGAATTCTCTGACTCGAAGACAACCACCTCAATCTTAGGTTTGTTGAGAAGAAGTCGAGCGAGCGTGAGACCCACGGGGCCTCCGCCAACAATGGCGATTCGGGTTAGAGACATATTCCGGTATGGGATGAGCTTGAGTATGTGGTTGAAATAGTGGAAGAATTATTAGAAATCTGGGGGGCTTTTTTATAGATGTTCAGGAGTGTGAATGACGGCAGTGATATTTAGAGGAGCCTTGTTCTGGTGGGCTTGTAGGCTAAGGGCCGACTGGGCCTGAGGACGTCATTAATAGTCGAAAGCAGTGGTAATATTGTGCCCGATCGAGCACTCATGATGCCACATGGTATCACGCGGCTCTTCCATTCAGCGACCGATTTGCCAGGCGCGACCACGCAAAATCCAGCACGCCACGTAAGCCTATTAGGGAATGCTTGATGTTCGTCCCATCAAGTAATACTCTGCATGTATCGACGCACCAATCGGCAACTGAAAAGACCCCGCAAATTACTGCATTTGGTAGATTTCCGAAGCCCTTCTATCTGGTCCCTCTGCACAGCCATGTCATCCAAGCAGCCACGACTCCGAAAAGTCGGCCCCCATTCCCAAGTCCGAACACCTAGCGCGGAATCCCGCTAGATTTCTGTTGCTAGGGTGATTAGCAAGGCTTTGCAGATGAGAGCTTGATCATTACCAGCTGCTTCTCCCACAGCTGGTCTGCCTTGTGGAACCCCCAATTCCGCGAGCTTCCGTCGACGGTCATGTCCAAGTTCTACAGGACCTTGGACATGTTCAGTCGTATTTCGGCGTTTGCCACACTGGACACAGCCACCATCAGCGGGCGATTTACCACTTTCGAAAACGAAGGGAGTAGGTATTTTACACTTGCGCAATGCATCTACGTGGCCCAGCGCCAGAAGGCTGCATCCCTGCCAAACCATCTGTTCACAAACCCTGGACCTTGACGCGTAGCTATCTCTCAGGGTAATGGGACTTCGACTCAACGAAGTAAGAGTCGGTATGGAAAGCCGATGATGTAGCGACCGACACGGCCATATGGCGATTGTTCTTATGAGCAAGCCCCTCAGCATTACGTGAACTACTCTATAACATACTCCTTTTGAGACAGAATTCGCCGTCAATCGTGGCACCACCTTTGGGTATATACGGCCAAACAAGCCTGGAGTAGGTGGAACCAGCCGCAGAGCCTCACTGACCCAAGGCCCGAGATAGGGAATCTCGCGACCGTATGAAGAGGGATTCCACGAATCTCACATTTTAGCTTACCATTACCCTCCGGACGCTGAAGTATGGATGCTGTCCATCCAGTTATTACCGTGGCAGGTATCATAGCACGTGCTTTAAAAGGGCTGGGGTAAAATCTTCACCTCTCCTTGTCAACTCGGATGACCTAAATACTGTAAAACACTAAAGGATGTTTAATGAACTGATGAAGATCTCTTCCTAGTGGTATCGTCCATGCTGGATGCTGCACAAATTATGCATCGGCCGGCGCATGTTGTCGGGCTGTGCCATATCAAGGACAGGGTATCGAAAGCACGACAGGTCATATTGCTGACTTGGGCTTTATTGAATCCATATCGCATACGAAACACGTCAAATATTAGCCCTCCACGGCGATTACGGATGGAAGTAAACAGTATTGTCGTTAGGGCAAGATGAGGCAATCTCGCGCCGCGCGACTTCCCCGGCGAAGCCGCCAAGCTCCAACTTCATGACCCTTCAAACTCACCCACCCACCCATCACTTACCGGGAAGATCTACTGAAGAGTCTCAGGTCGCACCCGGCAGATGGCGCCGCTGCAGACTGGACAGAACCACTCTTTGGCCCCTTCGCCGCGGGATTATGGTAAAGAATCCCCAGCCAAACCGGTCCCAGTGGAAACCTCTATCGACCCCAGGGTATTCGGCGAGCTGCTCACAGGCACAGTGGGAATATTCGTGTTTGCCGTCCTATTCTGGAAGCTCGGCAAGTTTATTCGATCGTTAAACAGACACAAAGTACTGCAGGAGGGCAAATTGACGACGACTCGCTATGCCCGGACTTGGTATGGCTGGGTTTCTGTGGAGACACATGAGAGAAACAAATCCCTCCTCCGAACACTCTTCAAGCACATTCGCGAGTGGGTGTCATGGGAGTCAACCGAGACCGATTACCAATGGGTGTGGTGGGATCCTGGCTTGGAGGCAATGGAAGAACGCCGGGTCAACCGAAGACGACTGAAGCTGCTACCAGAATGCCTGAAGAGCTACGAGGCGATGCCAGATATCCAGGTTCCGTACCCTCGATCGTCTATAGAATGTCGCGGGGCTTTGATTGTCAGCCAAGAATCTGCGTCTTCTCGACCGATCGGATCCGCAACTAGAGGCGCTGAGAACCTCCGTCCATTACCGAGAATTCATTTCAATAAGCACCACTTTGGCGGCAGCACAGCTTCTTCAGCATCGCAGCAAATGTTCACGCCACCTTCACGGACACGCTCCAGATCTTCCGAGGACCAGACTGAGGGTAGTCAACGGTTAGATGGAAGGATATGCAAGCATGTGTTGACGTTGCCGACTCAGATTCAGTCCCTGCAAATCTCAACAAACAGTCAATCCTTTCTCCGGAACGGGGCCTCATGGGCAGATCGTCATACCGATCGAATGCGACGCCCCTCACACCCACGCTCAATACGTAACAGCTTCCATGTAGCTGAGCCCAGTTCCTGCTCGAATGTGTACCAAAGTCTTCGAAGAGCGCGGGAGACCCCGAGACCCGCACTTCGGGGTGTTCATTCACGAAAATATAGATTGTGGTCGGCGCAGATGCAAATGAAATCGACTGGACTAGCACAGCAAGATCTCCGGGAATCCTCTGGACCCCCGGGAACCCCTGCTACGGCGCTTCTGGCCAGTCTTTTGTCCGAGCAAAGTTCCTGTGAGATTGCTCCAGAAACACGCAAAAAGAGTCTTATAGGTGCGACGACGACCTTGGAGAAAATCTCCGTGATTCCTGACCAACCTTTCCAAGGGAAGCAAGCAGCCTGTGCGATTCCTCTCGATACTGATATGAAATACGCCAAGTTCAACACTGCACCCGCACGATTTCGGCCATTGAAGAAGTCAGGAGTACTGAATACACTCTCGTCGAACCAGCTATGGCATTCGTGGCGAGATACCAGGGCAGCTGGGCGCCCTAGAAACAGCTTCCAGGAACTTTGGACTCACCCAGGCACTATCAAAGCCCGGACCAAGTATGCACCCCTCCCGAGCTGCCTGGATGGGGTCTTCGAGGCGGAACAAATCTCTTTTGATAAGCTGAGTGACTGGGAGGTGCGACTAATTGACCGATTGGATCGCAAACTGTTATGGATATTCAACGAGATGACCCCCGGACTGAAGCCGTATCATTTCACATTGCTTGCCAACCACTGGCTGAACAGAGAGACTTGGCTCGTGATTGACCCTCCATCGCGAGTTCCAATACACAATCGACGGCAGTGGGGAGACCCGCGATTCAACGACCCCTACCCGGAGGCGGATCGGAAATCAAGGCCCAAATACCCAGCCATGGCACGGAAACGAGCTCAGGTTCCGCGCATAGTTTCATGGCGGGCAGCTGTCAACAGACAGAGGAGGATTTCCGGAATTCGGGATGCCATCCGAACTATTGAACTATATGAAGACTCGGCCGAGGAGCCACCGGATGGAAAAATCGACCCAGCTTGTTGGATCTTGCCAAAGCCGCCTCAGGGGTTTGAGATGTCGACACAGCAAAAGAACGCCTGGTACGAAGGAGGCACTGGGTGGCAGGAAAAGCTGGAAGACTGGCAGCAAGTTCGGCGGGGATACCGTCTGCGTAAAATTGTCCATGAGGGTCGCGTGAACCGGAATCGCGTGAAGGAAGTCGCATTCCAGGTTAACAGATGCTGCCGTACTGCGTCGCTCAAGTTGCTTCCTAGGGGGATCGCACACACAGCACCACAGCCTCAACCCGTGGTTTAAGGCCCTTCGAGGCCACCACTCTGCTATTTTTGCAGCAGTGCCGTAAACCACGCTCGTTCATTCCCTGCGATACCCCTGATATATCGATCACCTGCCATGCTATATCCTTACCTACATTGGTCCCTTTGCTTCCCCATTCTTAAACCACTCTTGAACCTGAACCACCGAATAGAGTTGATTCTTGAAATGAAATTGAATTGTGTGACAGAGTCTAAACGCTGGGTAATGGAACAATGTAAGCCGGGGCCACGCGGCCGCGGGCAGTTTTCTCAATTGCCAAAAACTCCGGGAATCCTTCCTATGTTATTTGTGCCCAGACCAGCCATCTGATCGAGAAGTGGCAAATTCGAGGCTCGAGTGTATAATACAAATGTCGACCGACAGTCGGAGTGGGTATGTATCGGCCAGTCGCAGGGGGGTTTGGGTGATGTGACGGCCGAGCTCGTTAGAAACCAGGGGGGTTCACGCGCTGGCTGACACGAGTCCACTTGGGGAGCTCTAGCAATAGGAACAAGTCATTAGTATCCTGGCTTCAGCATCTGATCAAACTTCGATGGTATCGACATACTGTGAATGCTCTTTCGGTAAGTCTTCTCCTTCTTGTCGAAGATGGTGTATTTGTCCTTGGGGAGCATCTCCTCCTCACGCGGCATCTCCGCGTACCAGCGCTCAACGGCCTTGGTGCTCTGGCCATTCCGGGCGAGGGCGGCACTGAGGGTATCGACGACTCGGTCCACGGCGCGCAGGCGCTTGCGTTGCCGGGCTTTCTGGGGTGCAGAGAGACGCCATGGGGTCTTCCTGTGAGTCGGAAAGGGAGGCGGTTAGCTCTGCGGGCTCAAAACTTTGTCATTGAAAATCTCCGGAGAGACCTCTTACCATAGAAGACCCGAGAACAGGGCCGATGTAGGCTTGAACATGGCTGCGGCTTGCGGAGGGGAAGTTGACGGCGCGGATAGGAAAATCGTGCTCGAAGTCGGGACTGCAATTGGCCCGTGCGCGCCGTCCTTTCTATACACTCGGGAGGAGGGGATGAAAGTTTGGCAGCAGAACAGGATGATTCCGGGCACTGGATCGGAAATGATATACAGGATGACGCGAAGGCCAAATATATGGAGGATACAAGTTGGCAAATCATAGAAAGTCATGGGACCCGAGTGTTGGTTCATTATTTACCGCGGGCTCGGTCACATGATCCCGAAAGATTAATTGTGTTCGCCGAGCAGTCGCCGCGTTTCTCCTGCGCAACAACTTCTCTGCTTGGCCAAAAAGGGCGCCTTGATTATTCCAGGCCACTCGCTGCGTGCCCGAGAGTCTGCTCCCGTCTATGGATTTTCTATAGATTCTCGTCCCTCACACGCAGCACTATGGACTCCGGCGCAACAGCAGATTCCCCGTCCCTTCCATGGCGGGCCATGTCCAACATGACCATGTGGGGGGTGGCTGGGCTGTGTCGAGCGTTCTTGTCGGCCTTGAACAGTGCAGAGGTTCATGGCGGCGAAGCTTTTACGGCGCTGCTGGACTCGCGGCAGGATCCGTCGCAAAGGTCGAAGGGCTTGATTACAGGTATTTCTCCCAGGTTGTTTGTACATGCAATTGAAGACCGCTTGCTGATAGGTTTGCCCCATGGCAGTGTCAAATCATATCAGCGTGTACGTGTGTACGAATGACTTCAAATCAAAGAGGCTGTCTTGCAAACAACCCTCGAAACTGACATTGTGTCGCGACAACTAGTATGGACGATCCGTTAGTATGGGGACTACTTCCTATGCGATTCTGGAACAAGAGATGGTCATTCGGCAGTCATGATATTTGTTTCCAGACCAGGTACGTTCAACCTTGGAAGAAAGTGGTGGTGGCGTGGTGTTTTCTTTTGTTGACACAGCACATCTCCTGCAGGCCCCTGTCGCTTTTCTTTGCCATGGGACAAGTGCTTCCGACGCATCGCCTCGCGCATTCCCAGTTTGGTGGACTGGGTCAGCCTGCGGTCACGCAGGCGATTCGCCTATTGTCCCAGGGTCCCTTCCCGGTCGATCACCACCGGGCTACCCCCGAACGCCAGCACTTTAGCCTCCAAAACGTCTGCATCGATCCCTTCTCCGACCTTTCTATCGCATATACTACCAACGGCGAGGACGCGCATCTGGCACCCTCTGCATACTCGAGCAACGCCTTCTCGTGGGTTCACATTTTCCCCGAGGGCAAGATCCACCAGGCACCGCGCAAGACTATGCGCTACTTCAAATGGGGCATTGCGCGACTCATTCTCGAGGCAAAGGAGTGTCCGGATGTAGTTCCCATGTGGATTCAGGGCTTCGATGACATTATGCACGAAAGCCGCGAGTTCCCACGATTTCTTCCTCGCGTTGGCAAAAAGGTCAGCGTCACGTTCGGCTCCAAGGTCGACTCCGAGGAGGTATTTGGTGATATGAGATCGCGCTGGCAGAAGCTGAAGGACAGGGTCGCACAGGCCGACCCTCAATCCCGAGATCTGCCTGTCGGTGTCTTGAGTGACGAGCTCTTGAACAACAAAGAAGCTGTTGAGTTGCGGAAAGAAGTTACTATGAAGATCAGGAATCTTGTACTTGACGTACGACGGTCTCGCGGTCTTCCCGACGAGGATCCTAAAGAAGGACTTGTCGAGACGTGGCTTGAAGAAGGACCCAAGCGTGAGGGTCATATGAAGGATGATTCCTGGGTTCGAGATATCTGAGCCCGAGTGTATAATTATGTGTAAATAGCGTGTATAGATTCCATGATAGAGTTACAACATTGTTATGCAACTTGACTCATACCCTCCCGCCGGTGGGGGTGGGCGGCGATAGCTAACGATAAGGGAGCACCTCCGCGGAGTGCAGATTTGCCTCTTACCACCTTCACGTCCTCGCCGACACCTTGACCGCTCATGCCCAAAAAGCAGAAGAGATCCTTTGTCTTCAAACTCGCTGATACTCCACATCACACGCTCACTTCTGGACCGGCCCAAAATGATCAAACTCGAAGACCTGCAGGTTCCGCCACTTCAGAGGCGCCTTCTGTCAATGATCTGATCAGCCATCTCCGTCGCACACAAGCGACCAGTTCCCCGGAGCACAACCCTTCGAGCTCTCCACGATCTTTCACATCTCAGCGCTCCGTTCACCCATCTCTCCGCAACCTCCTCGAAGTTCCAGAAACCCCGCCACCCCGACCTCGCCCTGGTTCTCGTCGCACGGCAATCGGCGGGCGCCCGGTGCGTTTGACCCCAGGGCCCCCACCACCGGACAGCTGGCTCTCACATAACCGTGAAGGGTCCTTCGAAGAAGCCGCGCTGGCGACTACTGGTTATGACAGAGTCACTTTATATCGTCTCGACAGACTCCCTGGGGCGAAGTTCCCGGACAAGTCCAGCCTCGTCCATGCAGTCCTAAAGTCCATGGCCCTGAACTTGGCCTGGCATCTGGATTACGATGGAGCATTCCTGGCTCAGATTCCCTCGCACTTGAAGCAGCTTTTGCTGAGCTATATCGCGGTTTACCCGGTTTACGCGGGGAGTCAGTCCCTGAAAGGGCGCATGAGGGGACTAAAGCCGTTGTTTCTCACCGAGGCTGACACTGTGGCGACTGGTGGGGACGAAGCAGAGGCCGATCTCAATGTCGCCACCGATATCGATGCAGGTATCTCCCGCTTAGATTTGGGCTGGGCCTTAGGCTACTGGATAACGTTCAAACAACTTTCCGGCGAGTTATTCGTCTCCGCCAAGTCCGCACCTGCTACCTCCCAGGCCGAGCCCGAGGAGAGCGTTCCTGGGTCTTGGGACGAGGAGTCCAATAACGGATATGAAGAAGATTCCACTCCGTCTGCCGCTACGATCGGTGCCATTCCTAAGTCTATCAGCCACAGTCTTCGATTCAATAACCTCCGCTACCTCTCCCTCGCGCATCCGGCCCCTGCTGCTGCAAGCTGGAACTCTCTCCTCCACCTGCTTTCACGTCTTTCAATTATTACTCATCTGTCCCTGGCCCACTGGCCCCCTCCCACTCGCACTCCTCGTTCCGCTCCCGCACGCATGCGCCCACCGAACCACCGTGGTCCCACATTGGTCCATGGCGGTACAGACGTGTACTCTGGAATGGAGAACAACTGGGCAGAAGCAGCAGGGATCCTTCGACAGCTTTCTCGTTATACCTACTGCCTGAAATGGCTGGATCTCGAAGGCTGCTCTGAATGGCTTGCCGCGTTGACCTGGACAGGCAATGACCCAGATGGCAGGCCCTCCCACCCCGGCACCTCTGGTCCGGAGTGGAATGGGTCGTGGAGAGATATTGAATGGATTGGACTAGGTCCCGGTTTCGAGTACCCCTCGGACAAGGATCTTCTTCGTCCAATCGAAAGACCCATCTCGGCAATCCAGAGCATGCCCCCTGCGACACAGTTCCCGTCTTCGTCGTTGGCTGCTTCGATGCATGCGCCGGTTGATGCTTCCCAGAATTTCCCGACCCAAAATCAATCAGCTCACAATGACCCTCCTCGGTCTCCTCCTCCATCCGATCTCCCCTGGAATGTGGAGGAGGAGCGCTGGTTGTATCGTCGCGACAGGGAACGTCAGGCTTGGTGTGATGCAATCAGCAAGGCCCGTGAGGTGCGCATTGAAATCCAAGCTATCAGGAGGCAGGTTCGTGGAAAATGGATCCATGCGTTTACTGGAGGAGAAGAAGGCTCCCACGACGGCCGTCAGAAACATAAGGTTTCTTGAATCTTGTTTGTCTGTTCTGGCCAATCTCCTGGTGATTTGCTGCTGGGTGCCTTACATACATAGTCGGGTTCGCAGGATAAGGTACGGCCGGGGCCACTGGGGTTACCAGGTAGACATCTTCATATAAGAAAAAAACAAATGATAATCGCGAGCTTTAAAATTCCTTTTTTGTTCCATCTGACTGTACAATGGTATCATAGCATGTTTCTAGCACTCCTCCACAACTACTTTACTTGCGGCCCCGATTAAACGTCTTCAGAGGATCGACCTTTCCGGAAGTCTTTTTGCCCTTCGCACGACCACGGTTGCGCTCACGGGCCTTGCGAATGCGGTTCACATTTGTCTTCGTGAAACCGACATATCCCACCTCTTCCTTGGAGATACCTTTTCGCCCCTTGGCTGGCATCAGATACTCTGGCACATGCTTCAGATGCGGCTGGACGCGGGCAGCGCGCAATTCGCCATCATGGCGCAGTTGGCGCAGCTCGTCAGGGTTCTCTTCAAAATGGCGCTTCAGCTTCTCGCTTTTGATCAGCTCCTGACGGATCTCACGAGCACGAGCCTCTTGCACAGCGAGGCGAGTGACTGCGCGCAGGGCGTCAGTCATACGGTAGCGGAAGGCGTCGACCTGCGCCATCTCGAAATGGTACGGTTTGACCTCATTGCCAAGCTTGGCTTGACGCTTGATGATCTTGGCGACGACTGCCTCGTCCTTCTTGGAGGTGGTGGTCGAAGTAGGCTTGTGCTTGCCGTATTGGTCGGCCGGGATGACGAATGAGAGTGCCATGCCGGCCTTGCCAGCGCGCCCGGTACGCCCAATGCGGTGGGTATAGGATTTCGAGGTTGTGGGGAGGTCGAAGTTAAGGACGCAGGCGACATTCTGGAAGTCGATTCCACGCGAGATACCATAGTCCTTTTCCTTGTTGGTCATCTTGCGGCGCTTGGACTTTTGCTTGCCGCTCGACTCCTCGGGTTCTTCCTCGTCTTCGCTGCTGCCAATTTCCTCCTTCTCTTCGGCATCTGCGTCGGCTTCACGGGCCTTCTTGGATGGTTTGGGCGTCCCCATAACCTCCTGGTCATCCGCGGCGATGATGATATCGTAGACGCCCTTATTGAATTCTTGGACAACATGGAGTCGTGAATTGATTGGCAACTCAGAGTTGAGAACGCAGCACTTGATACCAAATTGTTCCAGGAAGAGCTTCACGCGGTAGCACCGGTCCACGTCGCCAACAAAGATAATAACCTTTCCCTTGACCAGCTGTAGCTTGAAAATGACATATGTAAGCAGGAACTTCTCATCTTCCGCACATCTGTAGTTTATGTATTAGCAGATGTAGACAGTAAATGTTGGACCATATTGTCCAAGATTCCAGTACGAACCTAACAACGAACTGGCTGACTTCAGCACCCTTCTCTTCCTTGTCCTCCAGCTTGAGAATCACCGGGCTGCGGCAAAACAGGCTCTTCAAAGTATCAACCTCGGAGGTGAGAGTGGCACTCATGAGGAAGGTCTGCACCCCACGGGGTATGGCCTTCGACAGAGCATTAATATCCTCGTCGTATCCGTAAGAAAGAACCAAGTCGGCCTCATCAATCACAAGGTGAGTAAGCTTCTCGAGCGACAGAGCGGAATTGTTGACATTGGCTAGGACTCGAGTGGGTGTGGAAACGATCAAATCTGGGAAATCGGCAAGCATGGTCTGCTGCACGGCATCGGACACCTTCTGGGTGAGGTTGATGGATCGGACATCCTTGCCGCAGAAGGCTGTGAAAGAGATGATGACTTTTTGGACCTGCTCAGCAAGCTCGCGAGTCGGGACAAGAATGAGGCCGGTGGTGGCTTTCAATGAGGGGTCGGCCTATTTCAATTATTCGATCAGCGACTGCTCTTTCCCGTTATCATAAGATCCGATAAGACTCACAGATTTTTGTTGGAGGATGGATTGGAGGACGGGGAGGACATAGGCAGCGGTCTTTCCAGAGCCAGTTTTCGCACGAGCTGATTCCGTTAGCATATACAGACCATGTCAGACGTAGACGACGGGAGGACTCACCCAGAATGTCCTTTCCTTCAAGTGCCAGCGGAATCGCCTTCGCCTGGATGAGAGTCGGCTTGCTGAAATTTTCCTTAATCAGGGCCTGGCGTAGACGCGGATCGAGGTTCAAGGCCTCAAAGTCGAATTCCTGCTCATCCGTCCCCGCAAGCTCGGGGGACGGCACGTCGTTTGCATCCAGTTTGCGCTTCATGTCTGCTATGCTGTCTTGTTCAATCTCAGGAAGGCGAACAGAACGATTTGGGAAATTTCAGCGGGCGGTGAGATTTTCCAAGGCGGTGAGCAGCAGGTCTCCGCTGCTGACATCATCACATAGTTCCCCAATGCGGAAAAGGCTAAACACGAAAGTAAAAATTTATTATCTTGACATTTTTATTGTTTCGATGCGGCTAGCCTATGGTACCTTTTATTGCAATGCCGCCCCAGGATTTGCATTCATACCATGTGCCTGATTTCGGCGAAGCCTCCTGCGATGAATAGCCTTTTTCTCCAGATAAATATCCTTCCACTCCTGATTATGGGGTATCAATCCCCAAAAGTTGAGATGACTGTCTTCTTCTGCTGTTAGATCTAGCCAAGCGTACAGATCCTGGCGCCGCTCGGGAATGTTCTTCAGAACGTCTGGCTTTGAGAGAGAAGATTCTAAGTCGACCTTGTTTCTTCGGCCCCACCTTCCTCCTCCTTTCACTTCGTGTGGTTCCTGCACACTAGGAAGTTTGCGGTCCTCTTCGGTGTCACTCCAATTGACGTATGAGACTGGGTATGTGGCGAGTGTGGCTTTCAAGCTCGAGCTCACCCAGCAACTATATTCCAGGTCTTCGTCGACGTCCTTCCTCCATTTGCTCCTGAAGCGGCTCCATATCCTTGAATCCTCGCAGCCAACCTTGTGGGCTGTAAATACCGTCGCAACAAGAATAACCACTACCGTGCAGATCTGGGTGTACAGACCCGCCATCCCAATGCTGATGACATGTACTGCGAAGCCGGCCCAGCCAATCCATTGACATGCCGTGTAGAGGAGCTGGTTTGGACTTTGTGGATGGGCCGTAAATATGTGCTTGATCAGATATCTTGGCACAGCGATCGTGACGGCTTTGGAATCTTCTGTTATCACGATCACCTTGGCGATTGTGTATGGATCTTTGGGTTCTGTGGGCAATTTCGCGTCCTCGCTGACTAAACTCTGTTGACGGCGTTCTTCGAGTCGTGCCATTGATGATTTATAATCTTCGAATTTTTGTGGATAATTGTATTTGCGAGCCTCCTGTTGAGCCTCTCTGATATTTGCGTCAATCCCGGCTTGATTTTGTGCGACTTGAATACGTCGGACAATCACAGAGACGATCATGGCCATAACATTAGCAAATCCCCACCAATCAGCCGACAATACTGTCAGCGCGATCAGTATTCCATGAGAGGGCAAACTGATCAAAAGGAAGCCGACGAGGAACGATGTCCATCGGTGAGGTCGCTCCCCAACCTCCCACTTGACCACACTGCGAACCCGATGAAGTTCTTGTCCTTGAAGCCATCTCGAGAACCACCCAGCCAGCTCGCTGGTCATGATTCCTTCCGAGATGTTGTACAACGCAAAGCCAGGCTTCTTTTCAGTAAACTGGTTTCCAGCCACAACGAACGCGCCGAGCAGAGGTAGATAGTCGAGGTACAGGCTTGGGACGAGTCTCCCGATGCTGCGGTTCATCTCCTCCGCTCCGAGGAGCGTGACGAGGCCGAGGGCATCGATGTGAAGTCCCGTACCCTCAGCCCAGGAGCCGAGAGTAGCATTCCAGGGGTACATGTGGGAACAATGAGGATGGATAGGTCTTTCAGATCAGGACCAGGAGCACGGGTTGATATTTGTTTAGCCGCATGCCCACGCGCGTGGCTCCTGTAAATTAGCACCGGAATTGTTTCAATGCCGTCTGCAGGCGACACGAAGCACCCCCGTTTGTTCCTCTTTGGTGGAACCCGAGCAGGCGCCTCAAAATGGGCTAAGTGCTGACTGCAGGGACACGCGTTGGCCGTGCGGCTGATGAAGCGGGTCATGCGCACAAGTCAGCACTCGACGATGCTTGAAAACAAAAGAGTGGGCTACATGGGCCGGATTGGCCCCACGGATGATCCATAATAGCGGGAAAATTGGTGTATTTGACAAGCCGCAGGAGGGTCATAACTGCGGCCCGAGATTTTCGTCCATGCAGCGGAAGCGTTGAAGCATCCCATATGGACTTGTATTTCAATCAGTGAGCATTCGAATAGGGGGTAAAAAGTCCGTGAATCCCATACAAAAAATTTCTGTTCGCTACCGTAAGCTCTGAAATTATGAGACCCCTTAAGTCTCGGGCATCTCATCGATCCTGAGTATTCGATTAACTTGGCGGACTTTGGTCGTTCGGGGCTAAGCCGTTGTCACACCCGCGTGGCGCTGGCCCGTCCGCGAACTAAAGTGAAAGCCCAATGTCAGCGATGCTGGCCTGGTCATGGCCAATCATAACGTCGAGACGAATACGAAGGCTTGCTTGGCTTCGTTTTCTGGCGCCGATGGGTGGATGATGTCCGACCGGTCCAGTTTGGCCCCCAGACCGTTTGCCGAAAACAAACTACTTGGGCCACTGGCGACGTGTTGCGGCTTTTGCACATTTCACATCCGGTCATCGCAATCTTCTGCGCTGATCCTTTTCTGTTTTCGACCTCTGGCTGAAAATACAACATATGAACATCCCGCAGCCATGCATGATCTACCACGGCTCCCTTCCCTGTGTCAGAAAAATACCATGCCCGCGTTGTGTAAGCCGAACTTTAATATGGTTTTCACTGCTTTATACTCAGCTTACCCATTATGGCTTAAGCCACCATGCCCCTGAAATGTTTCCACTATAATGAGTCAAGAGAAGCCAACTATATGGGGGCCAAACTGCGCACCCCTACTTGAACGCGCATCGCACCGTCTGTGTTGAGTATACCATCTACACGCATAACGAAGTCCTGCACCATCTACAGCGGCACCTGTGCTTCCGGCGCGCTGTCGCAACCATCAGAATGGGGGCCGCTCTGTCTTCACACCGCGACGACAAGCAAGACCAGATCAGGAAAGCCCAGAAACACCTGAAGGACCAATATGATGGCGAATGGCACTGGTCGGTCGAGGGAAGGACCCGTCGGCCTGCTATCACTCCACACCACTTGAAAGATCGCATGCTGGAATTGCAGGATGCCAAGCAAGTCTACCGCAAGCGACGCTATCTGAACCCTTGGAGAGCCAACGAGCATGAAAAGTTTCCCGACGTGGACGCCTATTACAGTACAAATAAGGAGTATCCCCGTCGACTGGTTGTACAAGCGTCCTCAGGTGCCCTGGACGACGCCGGTCCTCGTCACTGGAGTCGCCGCAAGATCAGGGGCAATGTGCCCCTCATCATCTCACTGGCAGAGCTCTGCTTGAACCCATTGGGACTCGAGCAATTCGAAAGTGGCTATGATGACGAAGATGAAAGCGAAAGACACGGGAAGCAGCGCAAGGAGAATCCATTGACGGTCTTAAAACGCATCCTGCATGTGATAGCGGCAGCATTGAGCACCTTGGGGCTGGCGTGGATCATTCAGCTATTGCTTTCCATTCAGGTTGTTACCGCTCCATGGAGTGATGATGGCACCGCTGAGCCTTACGATGAGTATGAGAATGTGCAGTGGTATTGGCCCAAACACGCCGTCAATGTGCTCGATCAGTCGCCTGAAAACAAGAAGCCCCAATCGCAGCTCACCAATCTCACCATTCCTCGTCGCTTGGTAGTAAGAGACCCTCAGACGAAGCAGTGGGTGGCTAAAGAGACGACAGAGCTGCGCGACGAGAAGACAGGCATGCTGCGTCCCTATATTTTCCTCAGTTTCTCTCGAGCAAACTATCCCGGCAAGGAGGACCACGAGTTGCGACCATTCCTCTATCATATTGCAGAGGCCATGCTGAAGCATGAGAATCGCAAACGAGACATAGATGAACCCCCGATCGAGGCGTTTTGGATCGACGTGGATTGTGTATCCCCCGCCGATGCGAACGATAAGACGGAAGAGGCGAAGGCCGAATCCAAACGCACTAAAGATGTCAACTCAATCTGTGACGCAGTTCGTTGTGCCAAGCGAGTCTATGTCGTCCTACCTAGTAACGATCCAAACGAGAAGGCAATCTGGGGACAGCGCATCTGGACACTACCAGAGGTCCTTCTCGCCGCTGGCAAAACGCGATACTGTTTCTCGCACCCAGATGCAATCGATAAAAGCAACCTTGAACTGCCACACTTCGATCTTACTTTGACCGATATGTATGGCAGCTTCTGGCCGGGACCCACGTCTCGATTCCGATCAAGCCATGAGGAACGAACCGATGAGCAACCACATGAGGACGTGATTGGCCACCTGGTCAACCACTATACCAGCACCACCACGCTGAGCGAATTGCAATTGTTCACCTGTGCCATCCAAGCCATGGCGAAACTATCCACTGGCAAGAACAGACAAGGCTACACAACAACCGACATGGCCTATGCTGCCATGGGACTGCTATCCTACAGAATCAGCCCCAATCCATCGGACAGCGCTTTCCAGGCGATTGCACGACTATCCCTTGTGAACGATAGCAACCTGCTCCTCGAGCGTCTGGTTTGCCTGTGGCCCTTTGAAAACACACAGAAGCAGCTCCAGGCCCAATTGGACGTCAAGGACAATGTGGCAGGCAGCGCGACCATTTTGGGCAATATTGCTGACCGGGATCAATTCTCGATTCACCTCTGGGATATCAAGCCTCTTTGCAGTGTGGTCGGCATTGGCGACGACGAATACACGCCCACAGTTATCTTGGACCGGTGCCGCGGTATTCCCATTCGTTGGAAGGATTTCCCAAGGGTCAGATACATCAAAGACCTGAATGGATTCCGCGCAACAATGGCGCAAAAGGCCGTGTATGCTGGGGCCTGGTTCTTGCTGACTGGCTTTGGCCTTTTTTCGTCCGCCATATCTCTCCAATTCTCGCTCGCCTCAGGCCAGAGTGACATTGATGTGTCCATGTACCTAGTTGGTGTTGCGTTGTTCGTTGGCTGCGCCTGGATCATCTCTTGGTTCAGTCCATGGGCGGTCCGACAACTTTGCAACAGCGGGGCCACTGGTGTCTCCTGCCATCTTGTTGGATTCGAAGGTACGATGCCGCTCAAGGACATCGAGAAAATCATCTATGGGAACTTCAATCACCGCCTGACCTATGCGCCTTCGTCAACTGTCTTCTCCAGAAACCTGCGCAACAAAAAGACCCGAGAGGGCATTGAGCCTGAGGATTCGACGTGGTGGCAACAGGAAGCCAAGAGGTTGAATGTTCCTCAGGGACATCGCCTGTTTACCATCGTGGACACGGGAAGTATGACCGTGTCCGTGATCGCTGCCGAGCGACCGCCAGTGGTGGCATTGGTCTGCGGCCGTGAAGGCGGCATGGTGCGTGCTCTCTTATGCAGCTGGCGATTTGAACAGAACTGCCTCTACCGGGAGTGTGTTATGCGGATGCGCAGCTCTGTGGAGTATCTGGCAACACCCAACGACTGGCTGAAAGTTAGTCTGGCCAGCCAAGGCGATGTTAGCCGTACCCGGCTGGAGCATCTTCGAAGAATGAGGAAACAGGCGAAAGCACCTCCCACTCCGCCTCCAAAGGATGAACCATCAACGGTGTCCGCAGTAAAAGTTGGGCCTCACATTGCCTCCCAGGCTGTGGGATCAACGCAAACATCATCTTTGGCCAGCGAGAGAGTTGCCACTTCTTGATTGGCGGATTGAAAGACTCCGATGGCAATTTCGCTCAATTTTATATCATGTCCCCACGAAGATCTCAGAAATGGATGAACATTCCGATAGCCTTGTTTGTAACTTATATTCTAATGCAGTTGATGGAAAAAAGAATACGTTTCCCGAACCTCCCTATTTGTTAGTAGGAACGCGTGTAATGATCAAGGACCTGGTAAATAGAACAATAGAACGCAAGACAACGTGATCGATTAGCTCCGGTTAAGAACCCTCGGTATGAAAGAACGCCGACTCTTTATCAGTGTGTATGAGTTGCAGCAATTGCGATACGCTTCAGGTTTCATCCAGTCAAAGCAGTCACGTCATCTGGTACTTCAACGTGTCCCAATATGGATGGGTCTTCGCGGAATTCGTCACTCTCAACGTGTCGTTTGAGAACTCCCAGCACGCTTCGTTCGACGAGAATAGCCGAAGGATCTGCACGAGCCTTGACGCTCATGACGCGAGAGAGGTATTCGAACACAGCGGTCAATTCCTTTTGTGTTTTGATAAGACTGAGCAAAGCGGGAGTGTAGGTCGGTTGAATGGCAGGCTCGCCCACGGAGCCGTCAACATTAAGAGCATACACAAGGGCGTTCTTGGCCTCCGGCTCGAGGGAGGCCAGCGAAGCCTCATACAGATCGGCGGTTTCTTTGGTGGTGACGTTGCCCATGCACAGTAGCTGCATAAGCGCACGCTCGTACTGGTCTTCTTCCACGTTCAACAGGCGGAAGCCTTTGCTTTGGATGAATTCTGCGCGTCGAATGAGGACAAGGTCATACCCTTGTCGAGAACTGAACCTGCCGTCAATGACACCCTCGCATGCATCATACACATTCCGATACGATTCGAAAATGGGCTGATTGAGTTTCTTTGCGCAGGTCCAGTCCATATGTCCCGCAGCACCCGCAATGTCCAACAGCTGCTCCATAAAGCGCAGTTGGAAGCTACGTTGTCGACCTTCCATCCGAAGCAGACCTGACAGGGCGGCAGGAGCGTTCTCTGCTTGGCCCATCTGACCAAAGTTGAAAAAGGCCCCAAGCTCGATCGCAAGGACCATATCATCTTTCTCCTGGGCAGAATGGCGTTCGAGCGCTGGGACCAGCCCAGCCCCATACGCTTTGAGGAGAATGTGATCGTGGTTGAGATTCGAGATGTCTTCCCCGGTCAACTTTTGGTGATCCAACGCCAGCTCAGGATCCTTGCCGAGGTCATTGATGATAATCGAGGTAATCAAGGCGTAGAGGGTTTTGGCATCTGGAATGGCCTGGACATAATAACTCCGGATCCAGTCAAACGATTCCTTGGTCAAGCGGAGCTCGGGGGACTGCGACCCGACGAAGACCTCATACTGCGCGTTATGAATCCAACGCAAGGCAAGAAATCCTACAAGCGTCCGGTTGACTTCGTCGTAGTTCTCCTGGTAAAGAATGTACGAAGGCGATGGGGTGCTCGGAGGGGTCCATTCAGGGTCGCGAATGGAGTAAGCCCGCCGGAGACGATCGATTTCGCTGGGAAACTCCTTGTACACCAGATGCACCAGGGCCTGTTCGGATAGTGCGAACAAGCTATCCGGCCTAATGCAGGCTTCTCGCAGGGATTGGGGTGGCTCCATATTTGAAGGCGGGGAGTTGCGATTGCGTGGCTGCGAGCATTCCACAGGATGGCCCGGTCGAGGACGGATTTTTTGCACCTCTGGTAGAGTCCACGTAGTCTGAGAGAAAACTCCAGCCTTGTTTATTGCGGGACCACATCCACATCAGCGGAACGTCTAACGTGATTTCCCAATCCTCGTCTGCACCCAGCCGCACCTCAGCCACAACAAACAACTGCCTTGGGAATCGGTTAGTTAAGCGGGGAATGGCTGGCCCCCATATTCAGGCCGCAATCATGAACAGATCAACGCCTGTCTGCGCCTAAAGTAAGCTCAAACAAAGCCCTTGAGCTTAGTGAAAATTCCTTCACCCGGGTTTATATCTAGCGAATAAGGAGGTAGATACAGTAAACCAACTTGAATCCGATATTAATATATAATTACGCAGTCCGTTCGGAGATGGTGGAAGGATGCATTATCTATGACTAGGACGGACTTCGGCTGCGGGTATCCTTAATCTATGTCAAGGTTGCCATGTATCCCATGGAATAATTTCCGCACCTTCTTTGCGGAGCTTCTCTTCAACCTCTCGCTCAATCTCCTCTGCCTTCCTACTTCCCATATCATAAGTCGAATGGGCTCCCTGCAGCAACACAACTTTGAAGCCAGCAGCTAATGCCCCCTCACAGGTTGATTGAACGCAACATTCACTCTGAATTCCAATAGCCACAATCTCTTCAATCCCTTCGGCTTTTAGCTGATCTGCGAGTTGCTGGTTAGACTCGAACGTGTCCCCTATATAAGTACAGTAAGTGGCCCGGACACCATTTTCTATTGTAAAACAAGAGATCGTGATTGTATTGAAGCAATCGGTCAAGTTTTAACTCACTGGTAGTCTTCTCTACAATCCTCTCCGTTTCATTACGTGGTTTGAAAACTAACTCCCACGGCTTGCTGCCTCTAACCAAAGAGCCATTTTCAGGGGTTTCGTGGTGTTGGACGATGATTATGCTAAGATTGGCACCTAGGCCGCGACCAAGTTCATTGTCGATGGCTATTCGTGCCTTTGAAAGAACGGCGGCCCCAACATCTCGGATTCGAGCGGCGTAAGGAATTTCAGTTCGAGGATTCTGGGCTAGATCGGCCTGAATATCGATCACAAATAGGGCGGTGCGAGCCATGGCTGCGAAAGGCAGGATGGCAGGACAAAATGATGAATAGGTCAGCGAAGCGAAGGATAGTCTGCTTGTTGGTGAAGAAGGTCAATGCCAGATTGCATAGGAAAAAGGCAGCGGGAGGAAAGTGAGTCATAGGTCAGTGTCAGGGCAGATAACGACAATATCTACTACCGGTGGCGCTGACCACCCCACCCCTCCCGGATTAGGGTTGTCCAATTTCCAATGAAAAACGGTTCCCAACGATAAAATCCTCCATATTACCCATCGATTTACCCCCATTATGAGAGCAATAAGAGAGTAGCAGACACCAAGGAACCATGCTATAGAGCATGTCCAATCCTCCTTCCCAAAAACCACTGACACGAGACGGAAGAAGAGCAGGCGATACGGGGCTTCGAGTGTGAAGGGTTCCCACGAAATCTCTTGGGTGTAAGTCAGAACTGGTAGTTCTCTTGCCGCCGACCTTTAGGTTCGGGTAGGGACTCTTGGAGAGCATCGCGTGCGGTCAAAGTTGATATGTTCGCCATGTTTGTGATTGACTTAAGGCGGCTCGAGGTGAGTTATAAGCTGAGAGGTGTGATTAGCGAAAAGTTGTGAGGAGAGAACGTGCGCGAGTAGGATATTATTCAAAGTGTGACGAGCAGCTTGTAATGATCACATGATATGGAAGGTTCCGGCGGCGCGTAGAGTAAATCGAGAGCTCATCTCTGTTGCATTTGGCAAATCATCAAGGAGTAGAGTCTTGGTAGCGTATGCTAGCCTGATAAGTGGTAAAGAAGATGATATTGCTATCTTAAGCCAGAAGCTGCTAAACTAAGGGGCTGTCACGGGATGGTGATATAAGCAAGATAGTGGTAACAAGTCCATTCAACGAAAATATCGAATCTGAGGAAGGAAAAGAAAGAAGAAAGAGAGATGAGCCCTCTGCTTCACCACTACTGCAAACGCTGGAACAAACGCCTGAACCTTCCATATCATGCGGTCATTACAATATCTCTGTCTCTTTCTCTTCTTTTCCTTTAACCTTTAGTGGATCCTTGCTCATTCTCGGCTTAGAGATATTGATCGTCGGGTGGCAACCACGCATGAACATGACAGCATGCTTGCTGCGGTCCACTCCACCTTTAGCAACTCCCGGACCACGGTAGGTGGCGACGGCACTGGCCAATATGAGGAACTCAGCATATTGGTGACGGAAGCGTGAGGTTAAATGCGCCAACAACATTCATTTCGCTCCTTGATTACACTCTATATTATCTCTTGATCGTGGCCCTTGGGATAGCCATTGCTAAGGGGTGAGCCTCTCGGGCTCAACATGGTCTCATGAACCCGGCATTTTGATATCGCTGCATCACAAAGCCCTTTATCTCAGTCGATCTCACAGTTTCAATGGTAAGCTGTGAGGGCTATGAACGAACTCTGCCAACCGGGAAGAATGTCTGAGGGTCGCCTTGTCGCTTGTACCCGGATTGAATATTGAATGAAGATTATTATGTAGCCTGGTGGTTTGGGGAGCCAGTGATGCTGCACCTACGGGGATCCCAGGCCTCATGCTCGCCCGAGGGTCCGAGGGTCACGCATGAGGGCTCCCGCGTTACTCGCTGCGCGGCTGAGCTAACTATCTCATCAGGAAAAGGGGTGCAACTCGCCATCTCTGTGCCATGAGTCCGTTGGACTGTCCCAGGTACAAGGTCTCATCGCTGGCTTCGAGAGCTATCCCGGTAGACGGGAACCAGCGCTGGCTTCGAGAGAGCTATCCCGGTAGACGGGAACCAGCTTGGATGGCGGATGGTCGAGGCTAGGCTCCGCAGGTTCTCTGATAGAGGTATTGGGCTGGATGCGTCACTCCGCGTGGCTGCGGTGGCACCACTGCCATCAGAGATGCTTGCACGAGTGGGTCGGTGACTGCCTGAAGCTCGCGTTTCATCGTCTGGGGTCTTGGCCGCGCCCCAATCTCCAGAAGTGCTGACTAGGGTACTAGCTACTGCAACACCTCTAGGAGCGGTAGTTCCCACTATATGGGGATTTGGCCGATGTTTGTCGCCCGTCTCTGGGACTCGGTGCCGAGGATTCCTAGGCCAATTTCTGGCGTGAGCACCCTTCGCAGGATACCCATAGGGAGGATATAATCTCTGCGGCCAATGCTGCCGAGGCTAGCTGCATAGTCAGCTCCAACAGCCAATGAGACGGGATGTCCGTATGGGTCTCACCCGGGTGCGCGCAGGCAGCACCTGGAAGAGTGGTCTGCCGCCGTGTAACACTAGACAGAAACAATAGCCATTTCTTCAGGCCAATGAAGCTCGTCGATTCCGGAATTATGCAGGTGTCACCGGACCGCTGGGTCCCATTTCGAAGCAGGACTCGCCTCTCAGACCGTTAGCACATGCACTCAACCACACCGCAAAGCAAATTCTCCTACCGGAGAACTTGTAAAATGGAACGAAACGGGCGACGGTTGGGCAGAAAAAGCTCTCGTATCTGGACTAAGTGAGCGGGCCCCGAGCGAATCATGAGAATCGGGCCGCGGAGAGAGTCTCGTTTCATAGTCCATACACCCTGCGGCTCGGACAGTCCCTCGTCCCTCATCCTGTCTATTCCACGGGTTCCAAAGCTCCCATAGCTGTTGGAGAGCGGTCCATAGAAGTTGCGGAGATGCCTAGGGCGTATGCAGAGGCTGCGAAGCTGAGTTGGCCGCCGTTTGCTCGCGTGGTCTGCACCACATGATGCTGGAGGCCGGGATTGTAGAGGTGAAACTCAGGTAAAATTGCGAAACCATCCAACAACGAGCGACCACCGAAGCGCAGGCGCCAAAGGCCCTGGCAGCGACCGAGAATGGGGAGTGACGGACCATGCTTGGGCCGCTTCACCAGTCGGGCGCTGCAGAGGTGATCTGGCCGAAACGCCACCGCGAGGCATGAGAGGTGGGTAGGTGCAAATCGCTCGTCGCACCAAGCCCTGCGTCCAACGAGATCGACGGGATCCGTCGAAGGCACGGCCCCAAGTCACGGGCGCACTTGGTGAGGAGAAGATACCCAGCATGATTGATTACCTTGCTGTGTCCGCTCCTCTGTGCTCCGCCCCCGCTGCGTGCTCACCAACTCCTGCGCTCCTTATGGTTATGGCATGAGCCCCAGTGTCGAGTACCGCGAAATGCGTTCGGGACGCTGTTGGATCCCTAATTATGGCATCTTGGCCGGGAACCCTCACGACCCGTCTGTCGCTGGTAAGTAAATCTGGATCGCTCCAGAACAAGCATAGTCGTTGATTGCCGCGTTCAATCACACAGGCGCCGTTCGGGGTTAGGGGGTCCGACACTAGAAGCGAGGTCTACGCCAGGAATTCGAATCCGAATCCGAATCCTACCTTGGGGGATAGCTCGCCAGTTCAGTGGGGCCCGCGGTGGAGCAACGATGACCGGGTCCTGAGCTCCACGGCCTCGGGCACTCTACAGCCAGTATCTCCCCATCTGTCAGGAGCCTCGCCACCCCGCACAACGTTCACGGCCCCAATTTTTGGAATCAACGAAGCAGAAGATGGTGGGCCGAGCGGAAACTTCGGGAATGACTCCAAGGCACGGAACATAGAGAACCAGCGAAATCAATCTCTACCGTCATCCCAACACTCCTACCCCTTGGAGAATGGACCGCCCGCATGCGACAACAGTGTCAAGCTCACAGAACTTCTCAAGGAAGTTGTCACCCTGCAGGAAGAAGTAGCTTTCACGCGCGTCCGAGCTCGAGATTTCCGGCGTGCTCTTAGACACAAACGGGAGGAGGAGGATGATCTGCGACTCGCGCTCCGCAACAGGCTCAATTTGATAGCTCCGGACGCCATGCATGAGGAGCTAACCACAATCCACATCGCAATCCAGGAATTGCAGGCTGTGACGGAAGCTTACCAGGTTCTCGAAAGCGACTATCACAAGTTCGAAGACGAGCTTGGACAACGTGAATCCAGCCTAGACAAGCGCATGACAAGACTGAACCACATTTTGCGCAAACACGCCTCCTTGATTACCCAACAGCCCGATGCCATTGATTCAGACTCCGATGTGCTCCCGGACTCTTTGTCTACCGGGAATGTGAACCAACTTTCCCCAAAGGTTGCAGAGTACCTCTCTCTCGTTGGCGAGGTGCGCATGCTTCGCGATCGGCGCTCCGAGCTGGAATCCGAGTACCTCAATCTCATCGACCAACGGGAGCTCCGTGAGCGGATTGGGATATCTCTTGATCACGAGGCACTTGCCTTCCTGGCGGGCTACAACGAGGAAAGGGCGAAGACGGAAGCCGAACTGGACATGGCACTCCGTCGAGCCAAAGCGCATCCCGAACACAATAACCATGACGAGGCGGCCGGGCTGGATGAGCAATGGAAGCTAGTGGTGAAGGATTTCCTGCCCACGTCTCCGGAGGATCAACCGCTGCAGGATCCATTGCGCATGACCGAGTTCGAGGACCGCTCGCCGTTCTTTGAAGAGCGTCGTGCTGTCCCGCTGAACAAGACAACGTTCGTGAACCGATGGCTTCTTCACCGGTTGCGCCACTCCAGCTTCGAGATGTTGCGATACAAGTCGGATCCTGAGCTATTGGATCTGATGGGTCAGGGTTGGGATGGGGATAGCATTAGTCAGATGGCGTTGATGCTGTGGTTCCGTGATGAGACAGCCAGGATGGTGGGAGTGAGAAGCACCTCTGCTGGTTAGAGCTGCGTGATTATTATTTTTTTATCAGACTTCTGTGACCCTTTCCAGAACATAGCCCCCTTTTTACCTGGGCGCAGGCGGTCTCTGGAGCACATGGGAAATAGGTAGGAGAGCTCGTTGGGGATCTCTAGATCTTGAAGTTTTCCACATTGCTGTGTTTGTGGTGGGCTAGACGTTGTCGGCATCGAGTTTGGGATCAATGGTCCAATAGTCTAAATATGGAAGCCCCAATCCAGATCCAAGTCGTGTGGATCCAGATACCATGTGTATGTTCCGGCATATTCCCCCCGGGAGAGCGTGTCCTCGAGTGGGCCGATCCTGTCGTGTTCCGATACCCGGACTAGCGGACATGTGGACGGATGAACCCACGGATGAACCCACGGAGTATCTTATCTTTGATTTGAAGTCGCTGACTCTAAGCACTTTCTCTCTGACCCGCTTCATCCCTATCGATCATACTCGATCCGACTCCCCGAAGGCACCTCGTATCACCCAACCTGCCACGCCACCCCGCACCCCGCAATGACCCTCCAGGAAGAGCTCGATATGCTGGCGTATAACCACTCAGCTTGTGATGTGAGTACCGTGCCCCTGTATATCGAGAACCATCCCACAGCGCATCGTTCTAAGAGCATGTTGGCGATATTAACATACTCCGTCAATCCAGGTATCTGATGCCCTCCTCAAGCTCCAACAAGTCCCAGAAGGTGGCACAGCACGAGCTGGCTTTCTAGCTGATCTCAGTAAGCACCCAGTAGATGGAAGGGAGGATGGCGCAAAGCACGTCCGAAGCAGAATCTAGCATTTGCATGAAGCATCCCCCAGAAGACCAACCGCTGATGGTCGAGGCTAGCCCCCTTCTCCCCGGTAATCGGCCGAAACGACATAGCCCGTAAAATCGCGGCCCCAGCAACAACATTCAAGTTTCTCAACAAGAATGACAGTCCGCCCACACTCGCAACCGAGAACCCCGAGAAACACGGCTTTCCGCCGGGAAAACACTGGGTGGACTACGCCGGCGACTTTGCCGCGGCGGACCCATCCAATGCCGGCTTGATTATGGTGATCGATCAGCCCGAGGATCAGTACTGTGCGGTGACGGGTGGGATCATGGCGGCGCGGATGAAAATGCTGGGAATCCGTGCGGCTGTTGTGAATGGGCGGGTGCGCGATGTAAGAGAGTTACACGAGACGGATCTTCCAGTATGTTACCTCCCTGCTTGAGCGTGAAGGGTCAATGGGGGCTCATATCGGGGTATAGGTCTGGGCGCGGGGAACGTCGACTGTGGGCACAGGTGCCGAAGCAAAGGCTGCGGTGCGCGATGTGCCGATCTCGATTCAAGGGGTGACTGTCTCTCCGGGGGACATCATTTTCTGCGATCCCATGGAGGGCGTAGTCGCTATTCCACGCGACTTGCTTGGTCCCATTCTAGATCTCATGCCCAGGATGGTTCGCATGGATGATCAAGCGAGGGCCGCCGTCATCGACGGCATGACGGTAACAGAGGCCTTCAAGACCTTTCGAGCATAAATTATACGTATCTACGTAGGCATGGCGTGTGCAAAGTGCAAAGTTGAAGGAGAATAGATCCACTCTTTTGTATATGGAGCCAATTTTTAACCTCGAAGTCCTGATCCTGGAAAATATACATGAAACATCTCAATCTCTCGTGGTATCCTTCACATCAAGGAGCCCGTGGATGAAGAAATCAAAAGAAAAAAAAATCCAAAGTCGCTGTGCAATGTACAATGAAAGAAGAGATCGCGTTTACTCGGCAACCCACACGGCAGCCATACCCATACCGGTACCAACGCACATGCTGGTGACACCAATCTTCTTGTTGGTGCGGTGAAGCTCAGTCAGCAAGGTGCTGACCTGGCGCGAGCCAGTGCAGCCGAGAGGGTGACCGAAGGCAATAGCACCACCCTTGGGGTTCACCTTCTCGGCGGGCAGGCCAAGCTCGTTAACACACCACACGCACTGGGAGGCGAAGGCCTCGTTGATCTCGAAGATGTCGACATCATCCTTGGTGATGCCGGCCTTCTCCAGGGCAATGGGGATGGCAGCCCAGGGGCCGATACCCATGAGGAGGGGCTTGACACCGACAACGCTGGCAGCGACGTACTTGCCAATGACCTTCTGGCCCAAGCGCTCGGCAGTGGAACGCTTCATGAGCAGAACGGCGGCAGCACCGTCGGAAATCTGGGAGGCGTTACCGGCGTGGATGGAGCCATCCTTGGCAAAGGCAGGGCGGATCTTGCCGAGGGACTCGGCAGTAATCCCCTCACGAATGCCGTCGTCGGCCTTGACGGTGATGGTCTTCTCCTCGCCGGATTTGGGGTCGGTCCACTTGACCTCGAGAGGAGCGATCTCCTCGTTGAAGAGACCGGCCTTCTGGGCCTTGAGGGCCTTCTGGTAAGAATCAGCGGCGAAAGCATCCTGGGAGGCACGGCTGATGCCGCGGTCCTTGGCCATGTCCTCAGACAGGACGCCCATGGGGACCTTGCAGTTGGCGGACTCGGGGTGGTTCTCGAGGAGCTCGGAGAATTCGGTCACGGCGCCGGGGCTAAAGGAAGAACTCATCAGTACATAAATTCCAGACGAACAATCCACTCGAACAAGTACTACTTACCCGTACTGGGAGCTCATGCTCTCAACACCGGCACCAATGCCGACCTCGATCATGCCGGACTTGATGGCGTTGGCAACGTCAACAACGGCCTGGAGACCGCTAGAGCACTGGCGGTTCAAGCTCTTGACAGCAGTGGTCTCGGGGAAGCCAGCAACCAGGGCAGCAGCACGGAACTCAGTAGCACCACCACCGGGGGGCAGGACAGAGCCGACAGCAACATCCTCGACGGCCTTGGGGTCAATACCGCTCTTCTGGATAACAGCCTTGAAGACACCAGCCAGAAGGTCAGCGGCTGCGGTATCCTTGAAGCCACCTTTGCCACCCTTGGTCAGGGCAGTGCGCAGAGCACATGTCACGACAATATCATCGGGGTGCTTCTGGGTGAGGGCGGCGGCTCCCTTCTGGCCGGTAAGGCCGAAGTGGGAAGAGACTTGAGAAAGACGCTGCTGAGCTGAACATGACAGTTAGTCTAACCATCGTCTTCTAGGGGGTCTTTCTTTTCAGACATGTAGCATGTGCCAAATTCTGGCATGCTGATGGAGAAGTACTCACCTGAAGACATGACGTCAATGGGGGATGAAGTTTGGGGATAGTATGGGGTAGTATGGGGAAGGGAGGAAAAGCAACACAAGACAAAGTTGAAGAAGACGTTCACGTTCACGGGCGAAGTCTCTCTTATAAATCACGGCCGTAGATCCGGTGGTATTTCCTGTCGCAGTGTCGTCCGTTGCTGGCGTGCAACGAGAGTGCCGAGGTCCCCGCATCATTGTTCTTCCGAGTCCCCCATTCCAGTCACGGGATCCCCACTGCTATGCGGCATGTGAACATGTGAAACACTGAGAAATCCATGTGAACCGGGGGTCGCATGCCCTTCTCACGTCATATTCGTGCGCTTTCCGCCGGGGTACGGAGTACAGCCCCGACTCATGAGGGTCTTCTCGGCTTCTAGAGCGCCGTATTACTCCCTGTAGATGATTCGACACCGCAATCCCCTCCCCCGCCCAACCCTCTTCGGGAGCCCCCTAATCTGTGGGGACGCCCTCGGGGTTCGGTACCGCTTTCAAGCTCCACAGATGCCTTGTCACAAGCCATATTTGCTCAGTTTACCCTTACGTGTATATGATCAGTTTCGATACTTCGACATACATAATTCTCGCTTTATCACTACACCTCTATTTTTCCAGAAAAAAGAGCTGATAATCCATCGTGCAGTCAAGGGCGCCTACCTGAAACCTAGAGTGTTCTTCAGCGCTACAGGATCAGTTGAGTGCAGCGCATTAGAACTAAAATTAGTCGCAGAAGAACCGTCTTGAAACCAATCCACCAAGAGAGATTTGATCGATAATGATAGATTATGCAATTCTAAAAAACGCGGCGCCTATCCTTGACGCCTTCCTGTTCTGTCCTCGCCGCTCTTCTATTATTATCGTGTAGGCAATGGATACAAAAACAGCGTCCACTTCCCCCGCGTCGTTATTCTAGGCTTTATACATTTTGTTGAATTTCTTTCCCCAAAGTCATGTCGGGCTCAGTTGGTGTACAGGTAGATGTGAGCAGCTTGTCGCTGGCGGGCTTAAATACCTTCTCGACTATCCTTGATGCCCTCTCGGCAGATGATGTCCAACCGATAGCTATGCTGCAGCTTGAAAAGCTGGGTGCAGTATTCCCGATCAGTGGACCTCTGAGGACCATAATTCCCGATCATCTTCAACGATGCAAAAATACACGCCTGGAACGTCTTGGCTTGTGTATAGGCTGGAAAAAAGGCGATGCTGCCTCGTTGATGTCCCAGTCAGCGGGTGGGCAAGCTGTTGCACTATTAGCAACCTGTCTTGAGAATATCTACGGCAACGACGCGACAGCGAACATTTTCTACAAACTCTCCAAAAGCCTTCTGCCGAACTCTGTTCGGCTCAGCAGTCCCAAGCAATTGTCTCAAGCTACGGGTATCCTGTCCCGTAAGGCTGGTACCATAGGCTTTGGAACTCTGCTCGCAAAACATGTATGCCGAATCCACGATGTCTATGGGCAGTTGGGGCGTCTAGCACCGACAAGCCTGCTAGCATCGTTAAGCCAGGAAGGTATGGATAATATTCTTTCCAAATTTTCACAGGCATTACGAGAGGAGAAGTGTCTTGTTCGAGTGCGAGGATGTGCCAGCATGGGATACATTTTTGCTCTCGCCGTGTCCTTGTTTTCAGATGATTGCATGGTCACCGTTGAGAACCTTATCATCCACAAAGGGTGTCGGTCTTCTGCTATCACTGTCGAGATAACCGAGTCTTCGGGAAACAGGTCTCTCCAAGTCCAATTGATGGGAATAATTGAATCGGTATCCGAAATTCCAGTCCGACTATCGCAGCTGTCACCTTCCATGAAATTTGCCTACAAAGGCCACTTTGCTGAATACACCAGACTCCGTCTACAGGAAATGGGCTTGATGTGTGTGCCTGATGCACTAGTAGCCATGGGTACTTGCATCCTTTCCCTGTCTGATTTGATCTATGTTTCCGTGGATGATGTCCCCCACACAAACGAAAAAGGGACTGTGAACCTGTTCAGCCAAGTTTTTGGCGAGAGTCCTCGAGCAGCCCTTCATCAACGTTGCCAAGAGGCTTTCGAAGTGACATTGCCTCTCAAATGGCCCTCCTTAAAGGAATCACTGGCTCAGCTAGAACACATTCTGGCACGGTCAAACCAAGCAGAAACCTTCTCACAGCTTTCCAATCATTCCGGCTTATACGCGGATCCATCGGACCTTCTACTTCGCATAATCGACGCCGGGGCCGCATCTCTGCTTGTGACTTCTCGTGAACAGGACGGGGTCTGGCAAGAGCGCTCCAATCACAGGACATGGCGTCCATGTGAAATCATTCTCGGGCGAGGGTCCAAGCATGTCATTGTTACTCCTTCAAAGTTGTTGCGACAGCTGCTCTCTTGGGACGATACGAGACTCATAGCCAAGTCAGAAGGAGGCACGACTCTGTTTCCTGCTGGTATTCTCTATCTTGGCCGTGAAATTTGCCATTACCGAGGCCTTGAGATAATGGATGGGCTTATATTCCACAAGAATGTTTATCACGACAAAGTCATCTCCGGTGTTGATGCCGATGGCGTGAGACCCAATGCATTCGCCCCCAGAACTAAGACTATCTACCCCACAGCCGAGGGTCCCTTCGGAGGTATCGCTCACCATAGCAGAAGATGTCCACGGACTAGTGTTAGAATGCACGGTAATCTATTCTGGTCTACGGCAGTCAATCAATCTTCGGGAACGCGTTGATCAGTTATTCGGGCTCCTTGATACTTATGCTTGTAATCATTCAAGGAAGACTCCGTTAAATCGGGAATACGTGAGCAAGGTACAAATCAACTCAGTGCTTACGCCCGATGGAAGATCTGGAGAGCAGATTTCTATTGTACAGACGTACGGCAATCCCACCGCACAGTTCGTTGCTTTGACGAAATGGGAACCCGCAATCCTTTGCCGCAGATGCTGCCTGAACTGCGCCTACGAGCAGGCCCGAAAGAAGGAGATCTACAAGATAATAGTGGCTTGAAGTTCACAGTAGTTTCATTTTCTCACATTTGGTTATAATGCATCTACTTTCCTTGGTTTACAGCTATTCGGCTCCATATTCGAGCAAAGTTTCCACCACATCCCGGTTCCCTCTCTGAATCGCAATCGACAGTATCGTTTGCCGCTTCTCATATTTGTGGCCGTCTTCCGCCTTTCTCACATAGGAGAATTCCACATTTGGATCCGCGCCGAACTCGAGTAACATTCTCACCAACGTCGCATTTTGTTTCCCAATCGCTATGACCAGTGGCCGTCGTTGATTGGCAATATGGAGAGCTCCAACCATATTCAAACTCGACAAGACCTTCATCACCAATCGTTCATTCCCAAGTCGTAGGACCCTTATCAGCAAGGAACCGTCCCAAAAATAGTAGTTTGCGTCCGCTCCACAGTCCAATAGGAGCTCGGCAATTCCAGGGAACCCCCGAACTAGGGCAAGCGAAAGCAACCTGGTTGGTTTCCTGTCGTGTCTGTACCGATCGGTCTGAGAATTAGTCCCAGCTCCACGTTTCAGTAGTTTCTCGACGAATTCCTCTTCGCCATGGTAAACCGCCCACCATAACGGGCTGTTTTGTGGACGGCCAAAGTGAATCCGCTGCTCCGTTGCTCGCCAACCCGCCCATATCACCCGCTCAATCCCCTGCCGACTCTTGTCATACATAGGTTCATCAGCGGGGCAGTGACCGAAAAACGAGCCAAGGTCGTTTATCGAGGTGATGCACTGGTCCAGAATAAAAGTGGACATTGCAAGAAATTGGTGCTGCATGGCATGAAGGAAAGGTCGTACTGACAGCTGATTTCCTTGGTTGGGATCGTGGCTTGATTCCATCAGTGCTTGGATTTCAGGGATGCCAACCCACCTAGCAGGCCCGGCACGGTACGCAGCTAGAGCCCATCGTCGCCATGGAGTTGTGCTTGGTTCCGGAAGCTGAGCTCCGTGTTCGATGAGAAGCTTCACCGCATCTGTTGCTCCAGCGCGAATGGCCCAAAGAAGAGGAGTTGAGTGATCGGGAGTCTGAGTTGCATGTTTTGCTCCTCGATGCAGCAATACTTTCATAATTTCGCAACATCCCTCTCGCGATGCGATCGCAAGCGGTGTGAGCCCTACCGGGTTCCTGATCTCGATATCAGCACCGTGGTCGAGCAGAATCTCAACAATATCCCGGTATCCTCGGCGAGCTGCTAGCCACAGTGGGGACTGACCGTGTTGGTTCGTGGCACGCGTATCGCCGCCGCTGGCGAGAGATAACTTGGCCGTCTTGGGATTGTTTGTAACGGCCGCCCAGAGGAGCGCCGAGCTCTCGCCTCTGTCGACATCATAGCGATATAACTTCCAACACAAGTTACCATATATTACCCGACAGGTTCGAGATAATGCATAGATGCTTTTCAATGTCTGGGCTGGATGCAGTCGACCATCACGGCCATCTGTAACGGCGCTTGCTATCAGCAGCAGCAGTTCGAAGGGCAGACTTGTAAGAGACATGGCGGTAGTAAATGAGATCAAGGTGCATGAACAGCATCAGACGACTGCTTAAACTCGGGACTGTGCCGACTTTATAAAAATGCCCCATCTTGGCCCCAGTTCTTGGCCCCCGAACGAGGTATCGCGTCACTTCATCGATGAGTCAGTTCAAAGGCCTAACCTGGCCCTGTAGGTTGGCGATCATCGAATTCCCGGGGATGCAGAGCTACTAGGCAAATAGGTAAAATAGACATTTTTGATATATGGAGTTAATCCAGCTATCGTGTTTGAGAAGGTACATCGGCCCTGCTGTTTGTCTGCAGGAAGAATGAGGAGTTGGTTGGGTCGATGCGGAGCACATGCGGAGAGCGGCAGATCAAATTATTCCTAGACCGCGCGACTTCATCATCCGAACGCCTCTCGCCCCAGCTACACCCAGCATACATAGCTCGACACCCCCTCTACCATACACACAGAGGTCTACACACAGAACTTTACATGATCCGACAATTATTTACCGCCGCCTCCCCGGCGCGCATCGTGTGTCCGATCTCGACCGCAACCCTCAAAGCCCAAGTCGCCAGACAACCAACATGGCGTCTCGCTGTACGACAACCCCTGCAAAGTCCCATGCCCCCAGGGATCAAAGATCTAACCTATGCGATCTAGAACACCTCACCACTCTCCCTCCGCACGACCCGCTCCTTCTCCAGCACCCTCCCAGCGCCCTTCACATCGACCGCGCTCCAATACTCCTCGCCCTTCCGCCTTTCCTCCGACAAGCATGAGTCCTCCCACTCGCCCAATCCCAATGACGAGTACTACAGCCCTTACAAACCGAAGCGTCAATGGCCGCCGGACATGTCGAAGCTCTCGCCGAAGCATCAGTTCCGGCTGGAACGCAAGTACCGCCGACGCGCGGCGCTAAAGTACGCCCGGCCGAAGTTCATTAAAGCTGTTACCCTGGCGCAATGGATGATCATTGGATGTGAGTGGCCTACAGACACAACCTTGGCTGAAATTATGTACGTTGAAATTGCCAGATGGATAAGGTTGCTGATGAGTGTTGGTTCCTTCCAGTTGTCGTGATCTATGCAGTTCTCTTCATGCAGTGGGATACCAAGGATACACCATTTGACGGCGTAAGTTCTTCTCCTTTCTCTGTGGCTATTATGGTATAATGTACTGATCTCTCTGCGTGTAGATCCGAGAGAGCGTCTTTGCCGGAGTCAAGGCTGTGTTCTCCAGCCCGCCGTCTCCTGGCCCGGTGAAAAGAGCAGGCGAGAATACTGGGAGCGAATCTCAGAACTAGATTTGACAAGTGGATTATCTCCTATCCTCTGTATATGGGTAATCCTATGTGACTGTACAATATTCATTGGAATAAATGCTTATTTTAAACGGCACATTACCTATGACCTTCCCTTACTTTCGTCCCATATCAGGGGCTACGAAGTTCTTCCACCACTAGCTACTCACAAGTATCTACAAGCTTCCTCAGTGAAAATTCATTCAATTCTCATATCTGTCATCTGTCATTTGTCATGAGCAAATCCAGTCGGAACAGCAGGCGTCTCTAATCCGCGAAGAGGGCGACATTCACAGAACAGGATGCGTCCATACATCCATCCAATACCGCGGGACGGCACCTTGTCTCTCCATGCCATCCTCCTCGGCCACCTGCGCCGGAACTTGACTTCATTACATCATGTCTGCCAGGAACTCACTGGACAATGAAATATGCAACTCCCAACAACGCCAGATATGCCAACGCCGTGGAAGACAAAACCCAAAAGGGGAGAACCCCGACAGGGACATGCAAGACATCCAACATACCACCGAGGTGTGTTAGCGCAAGCCCTGCGAAAGATATGGACCGTAACGCCGAGTCATGAAACGTGCAACGGAAAAGGGACAATAGAAAAATCGTAAGAAAAACACAAGATAGAAGAAAAGGTACCAAACCGGTGTGGGATCCGGTGGCTGGCATTCAAAGCCAGCGAGGCATGTCGCTGGATGGGGTCATCGGGCCTTGAGCGATAGCAGAAGGGCGATTGTCGGAGAAGTCAAGGGCGAGATTAAGCTGAGGTGGCTTCTCATCAAGGAGGCCCTTCTTCGGGCTACCTGGCGCAGACTTCTTGGGGGACTTGGTGGGTGACCCGGACTCACCACGAGGGGGTCCTTCGCGCACCAAAAGGTAGGGCCAACCATCCTCAACAGCGGCAGCAACCCAGGTGCGGAGACACTCGTGGACCGCGGAGTAGAACTTCTCCTTGCAAGTGCGCAGGCTGCCTCCCATGACCTTCTCAAAGCCCGAGGCACGCAACTCAGATCGGAGCTTGTTGCGGTCATCAACCGTCGGCAAGGAAGCGATGAGACCATTCATGAGATCCAGGTGTGCGGCAAGATAGTTTGTTGCATCCCACTCAACGCCGCCAACGTACGGGGCAGCAGGCACTGGAGGGCGAGGTGGAGGGAAGTGCCGCTGGCTATAGGTACGGGAGTTCACTGGGCGTTTTTCCGTGAACGCGTCGTCCGACTGAGGACCTGTCTTGGGGAGCGGAATCACATTCAGGTGGTGCAGGAAGATCCAAAACACCTCTTTGGTTACGTTTGTAACCTCCTTGCACCAGACTCGGTAGGGCCTTGCCTGGTATATATTGGCAATAAAGGAGACTGGCTGGCTCTCGTCTTCTGGAGAGGGATCTCGCAGATAGGCGAGAATTCGCTCAGCACGCTTGGCCGGCATCTCGTCGGGGTATGTCACGGACAGCTGGGTGAACAAGAGGTTAATGATAATACCTCGGGTGGTAAACTCGCTGGGGCCTTTCTTCTCCTCGTCGAACAGCATCTTCAGCAAAGCAGGGAAGAGCTCGCCCTCGATCCTGGTGAGATGTGCCAACGCGATAGACGTGGTACAAAGAGCTTTCAAGCAGAGCAATGCCTCGTGGAGAAGGGTGTCCTCATGGTCCTCCCTATGAGAGGTGTTAGCAAATGACTCCAGAAAAACAAACTAGAATGGTGCTACATACCGCCACTCCATCTTCATGATGCGGTAGATGAGCTGAACGATCTCATCCATACCTCCCTCGGCAATAAAACCATCCACCCAGCTCACCGTCTCATTCCGCAGCAGAAGACGCAGCTTGTGCAACTTGCCCACCTCAACCATCTCCGGCTTCTGGATCTCTCTCAGGTAGTGCACAAAGTCAGATGGGTCCGCGGCAGTGTCCACAGCAGCGGCTTCAGAAATGGATGCGGTGGAACCAGCAGCGCTGAGAGTGGTATAGACTCCTACTGGCTGAGAAAGGTCCACCGACTTGGGACGATGGAAAGTCCCACTCTCTGGCCGGGCTTTCTTGCTTGGAGACGAAGAGCCCCGGCCAAATGTGAAACCACGGCTCCTGGATCGCGATCGTGAGCCTTTACGATCCTGAGAATCCTTGGACTCTTTGCCACGTCCACGGCGACTATCACCGGTCCCAGCGCTGAGAGGTGTGCCATTCTCCGTTCGATCTTTCTGGATGAAGTCGGCCTTGATGTTGGTATCAAGAGACCGCATCTTATCCCTCATGTTGTGGGGGATGTTCCTCGCATCCTGGCGCAATGTTAGTTTGACAGACACTAGGATATCTGTTTCGAAGTGAACCAACCAGAAGCTTCTCGAATTCACTTTCAAGATCCATGGAGTTGAGATGCTTGTGCACATCAGCATCATGATCCTTTGCGTTGAACGCCGAGATGGCAGCTTGGACACGAGAAAGTCTCCTCGAATTCGGCTGGTCCTTCAATGAGGGGGCATGCAGCGCGGGGGCGGACATCTTTCTAGCCCTGTCAAGCCCTTGTCCTTTGGATGAAGCACTATCAAATCGATTACTTGCATTGCCGTCACCAGATGGTGCACGTTGCATGGTTCCCAGAATGTCCTTCATCTTTCTGTTGCCGGCAAGGCAGTCCGACTTGGGACGGGGCTTTGCTTCCCCCTGTCTGGTGAGCGATGGTTGATGGTAGTCGTGAAAGTTTCGTTGCTGGGCTGGGCTGTACTCCTTCGGCGTATAGAGGGATACTTCCTCGGCGACACTTCGCTGTCTATCTGCGGTTGAATTCTGTCGCGATCGAGTGCTGGGAGCTTGGTAGATGGAGCCCTCTTGGGGCCAAACTGGGGATGGCATGTTGTCGACGAGGTCAACGGGACTCCGGTTCTCTTTTTCACGGCTCTGCTTCGAGCCGCCGGCTTTGCGCCCCCGCTGAGACCGCTTGAGGATGGCTGACAAACTATTGGTGGACTTGGTCTTCTTGGGCTTCAATTCGTCGGCATTTTCGATTTGGGGTTCTTCCGACTTGGTATCCTTCCGCTCCATATAACTGCGCAGCGACTTCAGAGAAACAGCACTTTTGGTCTTCTTATGCAGAGCACCTTTATTCTCTTTATTGCCTGCCTTCGCTGCGGGAACGGTGTTCTCTCCCCGCATCGCGGTTCGGAACTATCTCTCCAAGAGGGAGGTGACCGGGGCCAGAAGCAGGCTTGCCGGCCCATGGGAAGGGCATAGTCCCCGATGCCTTGTTCCTCAACTGGGGAGGCGTGGCGTCGTCCGCCGACTGGTTTCGCTTATGCGGCTTGGACATGATGGCTCGGAAGACCGATGATCTGGCGGGGGCACGGTGGGCGTCGTCGAAGATCTGAGGACCGGTGGTACTGGGAGCCATGGCTTATCCACTTTGGCCAGCAACTGCACGTGTGTTAGCAGGTCGGCCAGCTTGATAACGCGGAAGGTGCCAGGTCTTCTTTACGGGATCTGTGAATGCAAACAAAGCAGCAGGGAAACAAGAAGCAAGAGCGAAAAGAGCCAGCGGCAGCCCAAGAAGTAGAAGAGGCGAAGAAGAATCAACGAACAAAACAATAACCAAAGCAGAAAACAAATGCAATGCGGGATAGATGGTTGAAGAGAACTTGGAAGAGAGGAAAACAAAGCCGGGCAGCCGAGGGAATATGAGCTGTGGTGTCTTGCTGCTAACGGCAACACCAAGGATCAGAACTCCACTTCACCTTCGACCAGGACAACAGCTAGTGTCGAGGGGTGATCGCATGGGATCCTTGGGGTTGGCTGGATCGCGCGGGTGGAGGAGTAAACAACGTGCGGGCGAGGGGGTTGCGAGGGGCAACGCGGCGGCGCGACGGAGCTGGCGGTGAACATGTCCGCAATGAGGAGATGAGGACACACTAGTTCTGACATCCTGCACCTCGGGGCCTTTCTGTTCTTGGGGGCCTGCATAAACTCATTTAGTATTTAGGTTAACTCATCTCTTCGGGCTATCCTTATAGGTGTCGTGTGCCAACGGTTCTGCAATGGTGGGGTTCGGTTCTAGAATCAACCACCTCATTGTATACCTCCCCTCAACCCTCAATATATACCTACTTCCATGCAAGTGCGAGATGAACCAGTTACTGTGGGCACCAGATGCACATCTCTAGAGAGTAGCAACTACCTCAAAAAGTCTTCGGGAAATCCTGCATGCCATAGGTAATACCCCCAGCCAGCCTGGTGAAGTATAGACTGCACTGTTGCGACCGAGGTTGATCTGGTACTTATACTTCACTAGAGACGCTGGCCGGTATCCACCTTTTTAGCATGACACCGACAATCCCCCAAGCCCTCCAAGTCCAAGTGACTTCAAGTGACTACTTCGAATGTTATAGCATACTGACCGTATATCCGTCTCGTCCACTCTTCCGGCCAGCAGTCCCCATACCTGGATGACCCTGTGTAGCCCTCGTGTATGCGGGGATGACGAGGGCCCTCTCGCTGCTGCCGCGACCTGCAGGAAACTGTGACCCGCGATCGGGAACTGCACCTTCCCTTTTCGAGATCTTTCGAGGCACGCCGTCTCTTTGATTCAGATCTCTAGAAATGAACCTCATGGCTGCTGCCAGTTTGTGCCGATCGTGGTGTGTGAAGGTTCTGGTTCTGGTTCTGGTTCTGGTGGAACTGGGCCGCGATCGACCGCCGTTTGCGACACCCCTCCCTAGCAAGGCGGGCGATGATCCAACCCGTTAATCAATTCATCACTGGGCCGCCCTGCAGTCAACAATTGAGACATGCACTGGCTGCATGAAGCCTTCTAAGGATTCCCTTACGTACCGGTGTGCGAACAATTCGACAGTTCAAGCCAGACCCGCCGGCCAGAAGGTTATTGGGTCCAGACACCCGCCGCCGCGAAGCCGCGCAAGTCGGACAGAATCGGACACGGCTCCAGCCCGCAGGGTCCTTAGCCCTCATTGTCGCTCCGATACCTCAATCGGCGATTCATGCCCGACGCTGCAAGGACTTTATTAACCTGCATTGCCCTCCAGTGACTGAGATAGAACCTTACTGCCGCCGCCATGAATTGCCCCTCCCGGAACGACGACACCCTCGACCATCCCAGCTGGAATCAGAGTCCGCCACCGTTCAGTCCGGATACCACCACCCGCAACGACTTCAACGGCATCGCGAACGCTAGAGTGCACCGCAAGCATGCCTCCAATACTGGGAGCGCCGCCGGCGACGATAGCATGGCCATCGACCCGCGACCGCACAGTGTGGAAGACCAGGACCCTGCAATAGGGAAGCAGCCGGGCGGCGAAGTGATCGCTGCGGCCTCGGGGTGCGAACCACCCTCGAGGACCCGCGGATCATCTCGCCGTCCCTTCCAGAACTTCTCTTTCTCATCTTCTGCTCGACACTGTGCCCGCAGCCTGGCCAAGTTCAGCCGTTTCATCGGCCCTGGATTCCTCATCGCGGTCGCCTATATCGACCCGGGGAACTACGCCACGGACGTCGGCGCCGGCGCACAGTTCAAATTTGCTTTGCTCTTCGTCATTCTCATGTCCAACCTCTTTGCAGTTCTTCTCCAGTCCCTGTGCATCAAGCTGGGGACGGTGACGGGCCTCAACCTGGCGGAGAATTGCCGCGAGCATCTCCCCCGATGGCTCGTCATTGTACTCTATATCATGGCCGAATCGGCAATTATCGCCACTGATATTGCAGAGGTATGTGCCCCCCTAGCTTTAAGCTCTCTCCAGGTCTGTGTGTACTGACAGCGGAATAGGTGGTTGGTTCTGCAATTGCGCTGAATTTACTCCTTCACATCCCCTTGATTGCGGGATGTGCCATCACTCTAGTGGACGTCTTTTTTTTACTGCTTTTCTGGCGCCCCAACGGGTCCATGATGGGGCTACGCCTGTTTGAATTCTTCGTGATGGCGCTTGTGCTAGGTGTCGTGATTTGCTTCTGCATCCAGCTTGCTCTTATCAAGAATCAACCCATTGGTGAAGTGTTCAGGGGCTACCTCCCGTCCTCTGCCGTTGTGCAATCCGAAGGGTGAGTGGCATCACGGCTTTACGAGCCTAAGGGTTTTACGGTGGTAAATCACTAACACAAATTCTCTAGTCTCTACCAAAGTTGTGGTATCCTTGGCGCCACCGTCATGCCGCATTCCCTCTTCTTGGGCAGTGGCGTGGTACAGTCTAGACTTAAGGATTTTGATGTCACTGCGGGATATGTCGAATCCACCGTACCGCTAGGGAGTAATGGCGGTCGAGTGGAGTACCGACCAACCCTCCACGCTATCCGCGGGTGCATGAAATATTCGATCATCGAGCTGGCGTTGTCCCTCTTCACTTTTGCCCTCTTCGTCAACAGCGCTATCCTCATCGTCGCGGGTTCCTCTCTCTACAATGTCCCCGGCGGAACCGATGCCGACCTGTTCGGTATCCATGACCTACTCTCCTCGTCCGTCTCTCCTGCCGCCGGTACCATCTTTGCCTTGGCCCTCCTTCTTTCTGGCATTTCTGCCGGCATCGTCTGCACCATGGCCGGCCAAATGGTCAGTGAGGGCATGCTGAACTGGAGCATCCAGCCCTGGCTGCGACGACTCATTACGCGGGCCATTAGCATCATCCCCAGCATCATCATCGCGGCAGCCGTTGGCAAGGATGGTCTCGACAGGACCTTGACGGCCAGCCAGGTCTGCCTGAGCGTCATCCTGCCATTCGTCTCTGCTCCACTCATTTGGTTCACTTGTTTTAGCAAGTACATGTCCGTCCCTATGCAGCAAAGCACCGAAGGCGAAGGCGAAGGCGACGTGGCGGTGGAACAAGTGAGCATGCGGAATCACTGGTTTACCTCCTTGATCGCGGGGCTGGTATGGTTACTCATTGTCGTGATGAACGTGGCTCTGTTGGCGTTGGTAGGTATGGGCAAAGCCTAAACCCGTGGGGTTGGGTATTTCCCCATTATCCATGGCATCCCAGGCGCTGTTGCATGAGATGGTCGGTGAACGAATCCCTTCATTATTACCACTTCTATGTTGTATATATCATCCCATTGCATGTCCAGATAGTCAATAAACGCAGCGCTTGCATATGATATTTCTTGTCTCATGAAATGAACAGTTTCGTCGTAACTGACATGGTCCTCGTATCACCTGAAAAAACCAACCCGTGGCACAACGCCGGCAAGGCAACCCCACAACTCTCCGGTATGTCTAACGGGAAAGGGATCTCCTCATTAGCCAACCCCCCCGGCCGCCTCTTTCACCTTGCCCGGCTCGGGCGGCTCATCAATAAACTGCGGCGGCGCAACCTCGTCCTGCAAGAAACTCGGCATCGCATCCGCGCCCATCTCCGTCTCGAACATGGACTCCTCTCCCAGCGCCTCCAGCTCCGCATCCAAATCCGCCTCATCCACCTCCTCTGGCAGATCATACGCCCGCGAGATGCTCTCCTGGATCTCATTGCCGACCTCCATCAGATCAGCCATTTCATCCTGCATCTGCTCGATCTTGTCGATGTCGACCTTGCCGTACTGCTTCTTCAGCTCCTTGGTGGTCGTCTTCATGGCATCCACCGTGGTCATCACATTCTTCAGGTTATCCTGCATCATGCCGGCCTGCTCCATGTTCCATGATTGCTGGGAGAGCTGGTCGCGCTGGGCCTCGTACTGTTTGCGACGCTGGAGGACCTTGAGAGCTTTCTGGCGCAGGGCGTTCTTGCCGGGGCCGTCGCGCATTTTGGCCAGTTTCGCTTGGTAGGTGGAGAGTTCGGAGTTGAGGGCGGTGAGCTTGACGTCGATGCTAGAGACGCGCTCGTCCACCTGGCGGGGGGGGTTAGAATTGGTTTGTGAGAAGAGGCTGGAGTGGTATGTTACCCTGGAGATTGCACCGTCCAGAGTGGGCTTGGGAGCCGCACTCTTGGTGCCGAAGAGGCGGTTCATGGTGACTGATTGATTGATTGATTGTATGCGCAGCGAGGGGTAAGAGAATACTGATGATGGCGGCGGTTCACACCGTTTCGCGGCCTAGAAGAAGGCCGGTGTGACCGTGATCACAGAAGGGCTAATGAGCTGACTTGAGGGCTTGTGCACAGTTGCCAGCGTGCAGCAGCAGTCGGGTCCAGGAGATCAACTGTATTCCTTCCACTGGCACCGATCATGCGGAGGCGACGTCAGTATCGCCTCAGGCCGCAGTATATGTGACACGTGATGCAGACCGAGGCGCGAAATCACGTGGCCTGATGGAGAATACATACGACGGATCTCCCGATCTCCTCGTCATAACTGGGTCCTGGCCCTCAGTACATGAGTGACCAAACGGCCGTCCTTTGCTCTATCATCTATGTGTGTCCCATGCGATCATGCACCCCACAGGGGCCATGAGCAACCAGTCCACTGAGAGCATCCGACCTTGTCAGCGGAGAGATCGAGAGCTCGAGAGATCTGGGCTTTGGGCAGGCAGGGTTGGGCAGTGGGACAGATGGGAGGAGTGGGAGGAGTGGGAGTAGCGGCTACGTCGCCACCCCACCAGCATCACGCTTGTGTCCAGGATCGGTTGTGGATAGGTCCCTAATCAGCCCTGGGTCCCCGCCCATCGTGGTTTTCGCCCGGGGCGTTTGAGTGCAGGGAATGCTGCGTCTCGTAGGATTTGATGCCCATCATCTGAGGCCGAGCCGCCGGGGCGCAACCGCATCGCCGGGATCTGGTCCGCGGCGGTACCTCGCTAGATCGCTGAATCGTAGTAAGAGCAGCTCCGAGTTCGTAGGAAGGGATTGATCGTGTAGAGGCAAGAGATGGGGAAGATGCGATCGTGAAGAATGCCTTTGTCGTCTCATGGTGTGCTGATCGAGCGCTGGTCGGGACTGCGATCCCCGCGCCAGTTGGGTCGAGAACAGCGAGTGGATGACTGAGTGATTACATGAACCAGCCTGATCTTCTGCTGTTTCGCTGTCCGGCTGTCCAGCTGTTCCACTCTCGTGGTCCCCCTTCTTCAGCGGCTTCAACTCCCCATCTCTACTTGTCGTCTCCTTGATGGACCGGCGTTAGCTCGTCCAGCATTCCCGCCCGCATTTCGCCTCGCTCCCATTTCTTCTTCCCCTTCCACCATCACCTCATCCACCCACGGGAGGTGTCATTTCCACCCCTCTCTTTCTCCATCCACTCTCCTTCTCGAAGGTACGTCGCGATCAATCAGGCGCTCCACCCCTCTACCGGATCCCGCCACCAGCAGGTCTTGTCTCGAACTTATCCCCGTGAAGATCGAGCCTCCGTTAGGTGCACACACCATCAGCTCCCCGTGATTGATGCCACCCTTGTTCCCTCGATCGCTGACCACCAACTTCAGCGCCAGATTCGCTTCGGCCTATATCGATATCCCCCTTGAATTCTCCTCGGCAGCGCGGCGATCGAGATCCCTCTCTCGGACCCCGCTGGACCTTGCCGCGACATCTCTGTGTGTGTGCACACGGTGCATCGCTCTGCCGGCGAAACCCCCCTCGCCCCTCCATTTTCAACGCCCACCCCCTCCCCTCCCCAACCCCCAACCCCCGGCGTACAATAGGCCGCTTTGTTACGACTTCTCTCGGAGACTGACGAACCCAACAATCCCATGAATCGTGCTTTCCGGCTATATACTTCATCATGTTCTGGCGTTTTGGGGGATATGCAAGTATCTCCACCATCGATACCCTTCTCGACAAGCCCGATGTCACCCTCGAGGACCTGCTGGATGAGCCGGAGATCATCCAGGAACTGAAACAGCATAATACGAAACTCACGGAATACCTGCGCGAGGATCATGTCTTGAAACGGCTTATGGACTATGTCACCGCACCGAGCTTGGTCAATGATGACGAAGAAAATGATGACGATGATGCCAACGAAAAGGATACCGCCCAGGATACAGGCGCCACTGCTGCGCCAACAGAGCAGGCGGACAGCGACGACAAGGACGAGAGGGAAGAGAAGGAAACCGACCTACTGAAGGATGTTCTAAACCCGGATGACCTGGACAAGGTCGAGAAGACTCGTTTGAAGCATGCCTACGTTGCGTGTGAGATTCTTTCTTCGGAGACATGGTCGATCTTGGAATCCATGATGGCCAACCCTTCCAACCTGCGCGACTTCTGGGGTTTCCTTCGACGGCCCCCTCCCCTAGACTCACTGCAGGCCAGCTACTTTACCAAAGTGAATGAGACCCTACTGGACAAAAAGACGGAGGAAATGCTGGATTTCCTGAAGTCGCTGGACGGGATTGTGGCGGCACTGCTGCAGCACGTGGATAATCCCATGGTAATGGATCTCCTGCTGAAGATAATTAGCTTGGAGAAGGCGGATGGGGGCCAAGGCACGGTGGACTGGCTGCAGTCGCAGGACTTGATCCCGACCCTCCTCTCATTCCTGTCTCCCGAGCATCCAGGCTCTGTGCAAACGTCCGCCGGCGACTTCTTAAAGGCGATTATTACCATCTCCGCCAATGCGACTCCAAATGACCAGTCCTGCATTGGTCCTAACAGCCTGACCCGCCAGCTCGTTTCGCCCGAGCATGTGCAGCTGCTCATCACTGCGATGCTGAAGGGTGGCAACCCGCTGACTGTGGGTGTGGGCATCGTCATCGAGGTCATCCGCAAGAATAACTCCGACTATGATCCAGAGCAGTTGAGTGGCCCGGATTCCATGCCTACGCCGTACGACCCGATCTATCTCGGACACCTGCTTCGCCTGTTTGCTCAGCATATTCCCGATTTCATGGCCCTCATTCAAAGCTCCAAGCATGCGGTTCACGACGGTACTCAGTTGAAGTCTGTCGACCGGGGTCGCTTGAACTCCGCCTGGGGCGCCACAATCGAGCCGCTTGGTTTTGACCGTTTCAAGACATGCGAGTTGATGGCGGAGCTGCTGCACTGCAGTAACATGGGTCTTCTCAACGAGCCCGGCAGTGACGATTATGTTCGGCATCGCAACGAGGAGCGCGAGCGGTTGATTCGCGAAGGCGTTTTCAACCCTCACCGGGATGAGGAATCCGGTATAGATTACAATGATACAACTGCGGACTTCACCAATGCTTCGGTCATGGATACTGGATCACCGGAGGCTCTCAAGGCTCGGGTTGTTGAAGATGAGGGCTTCGAGGATGTCGGCGCCTCTGGCGTTCTGGTCGGTGAGAAGGATGAGGAGAAGGAAGCCACCCAGCAAACGGACACCGAAGAGACCTCTCAGCCAACCACCGATGTATCGGTGGAAACGGGGAAGACAGACGCAGACGCTGCGTCCTCGCCTCACACCCCTGCTACTCCGACTACTGGTCTAACTGACCAAGTCGGTGGCATTGAGCTTGGAGCCGAATCGCAAAAGGAGCAGCCAGCATCCACACAGAATGGAAAAGAGGAGGTGCCCGTGACTGCTCAGCCTGAAGATGTGCCGCCTCCACTCTTTGCGTCAAAGGAACAACAGCCAGAGGCTGCTGCCCAAGCGGAAGGCTCTGCGGGGTCGGTTCAGGAAACAGAACTAATTAACGACGGGGGCGCTGAGGATCCCGCTGAGCAGTACATTCAGTATGACACCGACGGCCGTCCTGTGGTGGGAGACTATCTGAAGATCATGTTCGTCGAGAACAAGGTGGTGCCAACCATCTTGGTGAGTATATTCCAAGCCTTAACATCTTTGTAACCATTGACATTTCTAACGTTCATCTCAGGGATTTTTCTTCCGATTTCCCTGGAACAATTTTCTTCATAACGTTGTGTACGACGTGATCCAGCAGGTGTTCAATGGCCCTATGGAGCGCGGATACAACCGAGCACTAGCCATCAACGTTTTCGAGGTTGGTCAAATTACGAGCGCCATTGTCGAAGGTCAAAAACGCAGCGATGAGACCCAGCGCACCAAGCAGATCCGCCTCGGTTACATGGGCCACCTGACCCTGGTTGCGGAGGAGGTTGTCAAATTCAGCGAGCGCCACCCACCAGAGCTGCTGTCACGATTTGTCATGGAGTCCGTTCTGAATCCTGAATGGATCGACTATGTTGAGCAGACCCTTTCCGAAACCCGGGAACGCGACAACGCCATCTTAGGTGGCGTACGGCCGGATATGGCTGTCGGTCCTCGACAGACTATGATCAACAACTCTAGCTCCGGCCAAGGCTTCAGCAACTCCTCGGCTTTGGCCGAGGCAGGACTGAACGGTGGCATTGGCGGCTCGACTTTCCAGGGCTTTGACATCAACCAGGGCAGTGTTTCTGGTGGAGCATTTGGCGGCGGCGGTACTTCGCTTCTGAGTGGCTTTGGTAGCTCGAGTGATGATGAGGACGAGGAAATGGAGGACCAGGATGACCAAGACGCTAGCGGTGCCGACCACGGCGATGCCGAGAATGTGGGTACCATCCTCTCGATACACGATACATGACCGACGCACGTGTGCGCAATACCTCGAATGTTGTATATCCCCTTGCCTTTGATGACTGCCTTTGTATCGGTGACAAGGTTGGCTTGAGATGGGGGATGTGGTTTTTATCAGCAGCAAAACGCTGTGCACTCCTGAAATGATGGGATTCGCACTCGCTTTGCTACATGTGATGATTCTTCTGCGTCCCTTTCCACTTGGCCTCCTCTGTTTGGAGCATGATTCTCACCTCTTGTCAATGGAGTCTGGCCGATTCGCAATGCCCTCGAGGCCGTGTTCACCCACGATACTTTCCATATCCTCCATCTGGACGCCGGTTATATTCCTTTTTCCTGGTTGCCCACTGTTTTGTGTACTGCTGGCTTTATGCGTCGAGTCAGTGCTCGTTCCATGTTCCCACCGTCATACTTCACAACTTTGCATCATTCCTCCCATTAAAACGCCATTTGTATGTGCTGACTCAACTCCTGCAGGTTTCCGAAAATTCTACTAGCCAGCCTATTCCCATTCTACCCCCACCTCCCGCGCCCCTCAGTCTGGGTCCCTCCAGAGCTCGGCGTCAGCTGGCAGCACGACTTGCTGCCCAGAAGCAGCAAGCGACTGAGAATTCAGATGCTGGAGAGGAAGAAACTGCCGAGGGTGAAGGTCGGGAGTGGTCCACCAACCCCTTTGTGATTGCAGGAATTGACGATGACGCCGAAGGTGGCAACTCGGCGTTCCCCAACGCCGACTTCGGATCGAATGCGGATCACACCTTCTCCCCCATGTTCCCTGAATCTGGATTCAGCCCTCCCGACTCGTTGTCCACCAACTCCTCAGACGAGGAGGGCGACGGCCGCGCGGAAGCAGTGCGACGACGCGTCCGTGTCCCTCTCGAAGTCGAAGAGGACGATGACGAGATGGGTGAGATGGTCGCACCCACTGCCAGTGGTATGGTCGATTCGGACGATGAAGATGAAGCAATCATCAACGAGTCTCTGGGCTACTCCAACATCCCTGGTCAGACCCGATACGGCGGCTTCCAGCGGCCGCGGGCTGTGAGTTCCCACTTCGATGATGACCAGAACGATAGCAGCGACGGCGAGGACGACGGGCTGGTGGAGATACTTGTTCCTGGCCGCAAATCCTCCACGTCTAACTAGGCCAGGCTTTCAATTTCTGATCTGATTCCCCTTTTGCGCCCTCTTTATTTGCATTTTGCACCTGTTATTTCTTTCGCGCATACACTAGCAATGATGCCCTTGCAAAGTGCCCGACCATCAGAAAGCAACATTTTTTTCCAGTGGGCGAGGATTTCTCATCCACTTCTATCTCATGCTTTGGTTGCTCTTTTTCGCTAGTTGGGGATGTTTACATCCATGCGTGCCACGCGCAGCATGGCGTTTGTATATATGTTTCCATCTTCTGGTCAATTTGGGGAAAGGCTGCATTACGATGACCCTTTCTGCTTTCTGTTTTCCTGTTTTCTTCGCAAGTTCGCATGGGTTAAGAGCTTGTTTCGCGTCTTTTGAACTGTCGCGTGCATCGCGGGGTGGTGAGAGTCTGATGAATCTATGGGTTTTTGATCACTCGGAGGTGGATGATGATGCCATTGTACGATAGCTGAGTTAGAGAGGTGAATCGATGCTTTATTATGAGCTTTGTGGTCGCTTTAGTGGTAGTTACTACACCAATTTAGTGCCATAGATGGGTATATCGCCGGGCAGATACCTCGCGGCGCCGGCCTAGGGATCTTCACTGATATATCATACTATATACTCATCGGGATGGTCTAGCTGCAGTACCTGTTTATGCTCACGGGATACTGGAAAATTTCATCATCAAGATAGTCTGGTCCCTACGTTGATTCCATGCGGTAGCGATGTGGCAGGCACTGTCGAGGGGTGTTATCGGGAAAATAAAAGTGGGCCGGATCGCCCACCAACGCGCCGAATCTTTTCGACGAGCAATGATATCACCGCACTTCGTCCCGCGCCTGTGATTATTTTCCAATTGTGATTAAAACACGTCGGGACATTTTATCGGTATCCAGAAGGCATACCCTGGACCATGGAATCGTCTACAGAGTAAGTCATTCAATTTTAAGCATTCCCCTGCCGAGACTTTTGCCATATATATTCCTGGCTTGCAACACTACGATATTGACCACGGACAATAGGCAAGGCAGTGGCCACTCTCTACACGCTCACACCGAACTTGTAGAATGGATTACGAGGCATGGTGGCTCGCTTGATGACAGTGTTCGCGTCGCGCAGGATGCCTCGCGCGGGGTACACATTCAAGTCAAGGGCGACTGGTCCCAACCCATCAGCAAAGAGACTCGAGTGCTCCGCACGCCTCTGGGCGTGACAATGTCCTACTTCAATGCCATTGGCTACGAATCTTCGCAAGGGTCCTTCTCAAAGCATGGTGTGGAGCTGCCCCAGGCATTCATTGAAGCCGTCGCCGTCGAGGAGACGTGCACCTTCTTCCTTATGGGCCAATTCCTGCGCGGCCAGGAGGGCTTTTGGTACCCGTATCTGCGAACTTTGCCACAGCCCGGAGAGTTGAATACGCCGCTTTTCTTTGGAGAGGAAGATGTGGATTGGATTCAGGGGACCGGAATTCCTGAGGCTTCGGTGCAGAGATACGAGGTTTGGGATCAGAGGTATGAAGAGTGTATATCGAAGCTGGAGGAGGTTGGGTTTGAGGGGTTTGAGGAGTATACATGGTAAGTTATAACTTGAACCTATGCTGTTATGCCTAGGTATGCGGTCCTGACTTGTTAGGGATCTGTACTTGTGGGCTTCCACCATTATCTCCTCTCGTGCATTTTCACCGAAGGTTCTCTCCGGTGTTATTGAGGCCTCAAAACTGGCAGAGGACAGTGGTGTATCAGTACTTTTGCCGCTTATTGATCTCCCCAATCACCGTCCGCTGGCCAAGGTTGAGTGGCGGGCAGGATCTTCAGACATCAGCATGGTCGTTTTGGAGGAGGTCAGTCCCGGCGAGGAAATTTCAAACAATTATGGACCCCGAAACAACGAACAACGTGCGCTGCTGTCCTCCTTTAAAAGCAACCGGTCCCTGCAGAGTGCTAATATGGAACAGTATTGATGAACTACGGCTTCTGTCTTCCAAACAACCCAACCGACTACCGCATTGTCAAGCTGGGCGTGAAGCCGGATAGCCCGCTCAGCAAGGCGAAGGACCGTCAAATAGAAATGTTCCCCCAGGTAGCCAACAACAGCGACGATCACTACTACATCTTCAATGTCTTCTACCCGCTCCTTGCGCCCGACACTGCTATGGAGCACTCAATGTTTTCGCCTGCTCTTTTCAACTCCCTGACCGTCATGCACGCCAACGAGCGCGAACGCAGACATATTGAAATCACCGAGACATCCATCTCTATCCCCACAGCGTACGGGAATGGCCACAGCACTCTGGCAGCCTTATCACAAATCAGTTTCGAGCTGATTGCGCATATCATGATGCTGGAAGCCACTGGGCAGAACCGTCAGCTACAACCTGCGAACTTGAAGCAAACCTATGCGCAGATATACCGCAACGGCCAACTTACGCTGGACAAGGCTGCACTGGTAGTTGCTACGTGGACCCTCGCGCGGGCCCGGGAGCACAACCGCGGAGAGAGTTGGGAAGATATCAAAATTCTACTGAACGAGCACATGGCACAGATCCCGGAGGGCCACTTCTCGGCGGAGACGCTGTCTCGGATCCGGGTCCGTATCTTGGAGCGGGAGTCGCTGCTCAAGAAGAACGGAGAATTGTTCCGACTGGGCGAGCTGTTCAGTCTACTGCCAGCGAATATGCAGGAGGCCAGTCGGAACTGCTTCAACCATGTTCTTGCAAAAGCTGGCCAGTTGGTCCCTGCGCTGCAGACTGATCCCCAGGCCATGTTTTCTCTCGTGGTTTGCCTGCTGGTTGCAACGGGACAGTCTCCCCAAGCAAGACCACAGCTGTCTCCAAGGTTGACTCGATGGGTAGACTTCCTTGTCGAGCAGTACCCTCCATTAGGTTTCCCATTGGGGACCTCTGAGACTATGGTTCAATTAAATCAACTTGTTCAGGGCGAGCAGGCCCAAGCATGGGCAGTCCAGGATGGGATGTACTGGCTATCTGAGGGTAGTGGATGGCTGGACTCCAAGTTGTTGGCATGGGCATTTAATGTGGTGGAGGCGGAGATGGTGTTGACCCCCCATGAGCCGCTACAGGTGCTGGTGACTGAGAACCCGGGGTTGCCCAGACTGGGTTGTTTGTATGTGCCGCAGGAGTAAGAAGAAGATTTTTTATTGTTTCATAAAAAAAGGGAGTACGATCAATGAAAGTTAAATGAAACAGCCAATTCAAAAGTAGAATAGAAGATGCGACTATCAACAACACCACATGAGACCGGAGGAGGACGCTGCGTCATGACCGGATCGGACAGAGATTGACTCAGCAATATCCGATGATGCCACGTGACCCACTGGGCCCAATCAGCGCCCATGTAAAGACGGATCGTTCAGCAAGCGCAGGAATTGCCGTGAGCTCCCCCTTCCCTTCTCTCCAGAGCACCGCTTGACCCTCCGCACGCCTTGCCCCAATCCGCCACCATGATATCTCGAGCGGCGGCTCCCTCCACATCCGCCCTTTCCTCCCTCTCGAGCCGCTCCCTCCGTGCCCAGGCGGCCGCCCGCTCGTTCGCGACGGTGCAGGAGGCTCCTCCCGTCAAGCACCATGGCGGGCTCCGGGACCAGGACCGCATCTTCACCAACCTCTATGGACACCGCAGCCCCGATTTGAAGTCGTCGATGAAGTATGGCGGCGATTGGCACCGGACGAAGGATATCGTGCTGAAGGGCGACGACTGGGTGCGTTTTGTGTTGCTCGTTCCGGGTGTCGGGTACACTCGATGAGGGGGCGTTGATTTGCTAACATTGTGTGTTGCTTGATACAGCTTATCTCTGAAATCAAGGCGTCTGGCCTGCGTGGCCGAGGTGGTGCTGGTTTCCCCTCGGGATTGAAATACGTAAGTGGGATGGAGTGACCTGACCCAATTGGGTGATGATGGTGGGTGGGCAGGACGTGTTTCTAATCAGATGATTTCTTGCCGGCATCTAGTCTTTCATGAACTTCAAGGACTGGGACAAGGACCCCCGTCCCCGTTACCTGGTCGTCAATGCCGACGAGGGCGAGCCCGGTACCTGCAAGGACCGTGAGATTATGCGCAAGGACCCCCACAAGCTGATCGAGGGCTGCTTGGTTGTTGGCCGCGCTATGAACGCCAACGCCGCCTACATCTATATTCGAGGCGAGTTCTACCAGGAGGCGACCATCCTGCAGCAGGCTATCAACGAGGCCTATGCCGCCGGCTACATCGGCAAGAACGCGTGCGGCACCGGCTACGACTTCGACGTCTACATCCACCGTGGAATGGGTGCCTACATTTGCGGCGAGGAGACCTCGCTCATTGAGTCGATTGAGGGCAAGGCAGGCAAGCCCCGCCTGAAGCCTCCATTCCCCGCTGCTGTCGGTCTGTTCGGCTGCCCTAGCACCGTCACCAACGTCGAGACCGTCGCCGTCGTCCCGACCATCGTGCGACGCGGCGCCAACTGGTTCTCGTCTTTTGGCCGTGAGCGCAATGCCGGTACCAAGCTGTTCTGTATCTCCGGCCACGTCAACAACCCCGTCACCGTCGAGGAGGAGATGTCCATCTCGCTGCGCGAGCTGATCGAGAAGCACTGCGGCGGTGTCCGCGGCGGCTGGGACAACCTGTACGCCGTCATTCCCGGCGGTTCCTCCACCCCCGTGATCCCTAAGTCCGTCGCCGACAACCAGCTGATGGACTTCGATGCCCTGAAGGACTCGCAGACCGGTCTGGGTACTGCGGCCGTCATTGTTATGGACAAGTCCACCGACATCGTCCGCGCCATCTCCCGTCTGTCCACCTTCTACAAACACGAGTCCTGTGGCCAGTGCACCCCTTGCCGTGAGGGCAGCAAGTGGACCATGCAGATGATGCAGCGCATGGAGACCGGCAACGCTCGCGAGCGCGAGATCGACATGCTCCAGGAGCTCACCAAGCAGGTGGAGGGCCACACCATCTGTGCTCTTGGTGAGGCCTTCGCTTGGCCCATCCAGGGTCTGATCCGTCACTTCCGCCCGGAGCTGGAGGCCCGCATCCGCCAGTATGAGAAGGAGATTGGCGGGGCTCCCTTCGCCGGTGGCTGGAAGCCCGAAGCCCGTGCCGAGGGCAAGCTGATCTCCCCTGGCATGTAAACTTGAAAAAACCATCCTCTTCCTCCTCTGCCTCCTCACACCCTCAACCACCCTTGTCTCTCAAAATCGATAAAGGAATGGATCCGGTTTTCTTTCCCACTAGATCTCTTATTGACCTCGCCATCACTCACTAGCTGGCAATGGCCTTGTTCCCCCAGGGCCCGGCTGGTGAGCTTCGCAGAGAGGTTGTCTCAATTGTTTTCCTATATTCTCTCCTGTTCGATCCCCTTCCTGTCGCGTCTAGGTTCCTTTCCTTCCATGTACAGTCGGTAGCAAATTGATGCAATTTACGTCTTCCCCTCTTCCAACCCTCTAATTTCTGAAGCAGAAGTTGGAACAAGCTTCGATGCACGCTGTGGATGCTGGGACTTTGCGCACTCGTTCACGATGCGCTTCCGCTTGCCGTCATCATCGTCGTCATCATCGAGTAGACTGATATTACATCGGCGACATCCGCCATCACTGTTTTGGCGGCTTGCTGCCCATACAAAGAGCCATCGAGAAGACTTTGCACCAGCCGGGAAACTAGGCGCTAGACCTTGGCGAATAGTAGATGTGGTGCTAGTCAGATTAACTAGCGCCGTGGTGAGATCGCTTTTCACCAGTGTAGGCATGATGTACCGAGCAGGGGCGCAGCTTCAATCGTTCCTTCTACGAATCTGTTGCTGCGCAGGCGAATAGGTGAACGAGTGAATAGGGCATGATCGGGCGCATGATTGACGTTTATAGCAATTGCTTCATACAACATCTACACTTTCCAGCCAATCTGTGGAGTGCCGGTCCCAGGCTCAGGGCCTGAACTGGAATATCTCCACCTGAGGCGGCTATGCTCTTTCTACAGTACACATGGACGTTTGAGGTTTACAAGAGGGCAGCCATATCGCTAAGCAAGCCACTTGATTGATAACATACGATACAGTCATATCGGGCTCAGATCACACAAAGGAGAAAATAGTAAGAAAACAGAAGTCGCGGAAAAAGCTAAACGATTGCTGAGCCAGAAATCATGGGAGCATGCAATCAATGGACATCCACATTACATAGCCAGGCATCGTTTGACAAAGATCAAGGGTTTGACCACAACCGTGGACCAAGAGATCACCAAGGGTCGCCAAGGCTCCCTAGTAGCCGCCCGCCATGATAATGCCGTAGTAGCGGCGGCTCATCTCCACCGTCTGTAGGACGCGCGCATCGCCGTTCAGGGGGAGACCGAGAACAGCAGAGGATTCGACGGACTGCAAGCGATAGTTAGTAACGGTATTGATAGGGGGAGGTTGGTTGAGGGGAGACCAACCTGAACGTCCTCGTGGGTAATCCATCCAGCCACAGCGCGGCTCATCTCCTTGAATGCCACGCTCTCCTCCAGTCCACTCATGCTCTTTACATTGCGAGTACGCTCGCCCATGTCTACGAGGGCATTGACCAGGCGGCTCAAACGAGTTGGGTCGCGCCGGCCTCGGGGCGCGGTAGCCAGGCGCAGAAAGTCTTCGTAGATACCACCGCCAGCAGCCCAGCCGCGCATCTTGCGCTCGGGACCGTCACCGAAGCCGGACACCAGCCGCTCGAGGGTTTGGTAGTCGCGGGAAATAACGGCAGTAGGGCCGACGACGCTACAGAATGTAGAATGGGCGTCATTCCAGTGCTTGCCGCGGATGAGACAGTCGACTTCGCGAGTGGGGTCGCCGTTGTCGCGAGCGTGCAGAGCCTTGGCCACCCAGATCCAGGCCTCGGGGAGCTGGAGTTCGGTGGTCAGGTCCAGCCAGGCGGGGTCGGCAGTCGATCCATCATCGGTAGTAGGGTTGGGGAGGACGGCGCCGAAGCGGCCGAGGGCATCTTGGACGGCGCGCTTACGGCTTTCGGTCGGCGAGAGGTGGAGGAGGACGAAGAGTGCCGGAGCAAGCTCTCCGCTGGCGAGCAACTCAGAAGCATAGTCCCAAACCAGGTGATCGGTCTGAGTCTGGTCGATCTTGATAGCCTCGGTCTGACCGATGACAGCGGCAAGGACATGGTGAAGCTGGAAGGAAAGGCGGTTTGTCAGGCGGTCGCCAGAGACCGATTCTGGCAGTAGCGCAGCAGGGAGCTGGACGGGCGGAACATTGTCGTGACCGCTGGCCGCCGAGTAGGCCTTCAGAAGTACCCATAGGGGAGACTCGCGGCCCAGGGTATCGGAGCCAGGTTGCAGGGTTGCACGAGTACTAGCGCTGTGCGAAGGAGCAGGGAAAGCAGGTTCAAAACCGGTAGCGAGGTCATCTAGGAACTTGGAAACAGCATCCTCAATCGGAGCATCCTCAGTAATGCCATACCAGAGGCGAAGGCCGAACGCCTGGAACCAATCAAGCTCGAAGCGCTCAGTGAAAACGAAGCTAGAGGCCCGGTCCTCAAGCGCACCGCCAGACCTTCCCTCGCTGCGAAGAGCATTGCCAGCGACCAACTCATAGAGAGCCCGAACAGACTCGGTCATTTCGGACAGAACATTGTTCTGGCGCCAGACGTCGATCTGACTCGCAATGTCAGCCCGCGAGGTAGCATCGCGGCCAATCTGTGCGACTACAGTGGCCAAGTGCAAGTTCTGGCTGTCGACCAATGTCTTGCACGCTTCCTCGACGCGGTGAGAACAGAGGAGGTGGATGGCACGCTCTTCGGGAGAGCGAATAGAATCGAGGGTGTGGGCGTGTCGTTCGCGGATGATAGACTCCCAGAGGCGAGTCAACCGGTCCTTCTTGATTCGGTGGGAAAACTTTGGCCGCAGCTGTGGTGGTACTCCAGCAGAGATGTCGTCCTCGATATCATCATTGAACAGAATGTTGGCCAGCTGCCACACCAATCGCTCTTCATCCTTGGCGGGAGAAAGGGCAAACTGACGGAGGTCAGTCTTGGCCAAACGGACCAGAGGAGTTCCGTCAACACGCTGGACGGTGGACTGATGCTTTTGCACATCGAGCATATCTGTGGACTACGTGGTGGTCAGTTTTGGCTGCGTTGTTGGAGGTGATTATTACATACGATACTAGTTTGGCTGTACCGCAACACGGCAACATCTCTCCCTTCGCTGAAAACAGAGAAGCGCTCCTTCCAGCGCTGGCTGCTCTCAGACAAAGGCTCGGTCATGTTGTTCTTGGCGCAAACGATAGAGTCCATAGGACCCCAGCGAGGCTTGAAGGAATCGTGGAAGGCAGCATCGGTCTTGTCCATTTGCGCAGAATCACCGGCGAACGTCTTCGGTTGTTTGTTGTAGGGCCACTGTACACAAGAAGAGGAAGTTTTAGCGTAGAGTTTCTCAAATTGAATAATTAACTATTTGCGGGGGTTTAGTGCTAGATACATGATAAACGGGGATACAGGCTAGATTGTGCAGGAATGCAAGAGAAGCACGATGCATTTTGTGCGAGTGACAAGTTCATGACAAGGGGGAAAAGCAGATCAAGTGTAAAGCAGGGGGGAAGTTCGAACCTCAAAGCCCTTGGGCTGCGACTTGGGCGCCTTTAGCGGTGAAGGTGCATTCTGCTTCCGCGGATGCTGCTGGAAGAGAGAATTCATCAGGTCGATGCTGTTCGAGAAACCTTTCTGGGGAGACGTCGTGGGTTTCTCGTTCGGGGATACGTCATGTAGGAGAGATCGGTCGGTGAAAGCATTGGCCTGGATCTCACGAAGTGCATCCCGGTTCTGCTTCCGGGGGCTGATAGTTCGCTGGAGCTGCTCAGCCCAGTCGCCGCTTAGGTCGAGACGGGGCTTGCCAGGGGTGCCTAAGGGCTTCGAGATGGGGTGGGTGGTATCCAGATCACTGTCGGTGTCATCCTGCTCCACGGTGTGATGAAGATTGGGAAAGGAACCCGCCATGTCCATTGCCTGATCCTCATCAGATCCAACTATCGAGTCGCCAGATCGCTGGCTCTCAGTGACGTCATCGTCATGCTCAATAGTTGAACCCGCGGAGCCTTCCTCTAAAAAAGACTCAGCCTCGCCTTCAGACCCCATTTCCTCATCTTCCGCTTCCATAGCCCGGCTGCCGAAGGAGCCGGGTACGATTTTGCGCTTCTTAAAGTCGAAGGTATCATCGTCGACACCGGCCATGGAGCCAACGAAGGATTCGTCAATGGAAAAGGCAGCAGATTGCTCAAAGCTCGCGGGGTGTTCGTGATGAGCCTTAGGAGTGCGGTTGTCATCAGGGCCTGCACCAAGGGTGCTTTGTTCAACGCTCTCACCTTCATCCTCATCATAGTCAAGTCCATAAGTGGTGAAGTGAGGGACCTTGAAGACCCAAGTGCCAGTCTCGGTTTCGTAGGTGACGAACTCGGTGTCGGTCACCTTGCGCAGACGGTCGATGTGCTTGTCGAACAGGGGACCGCTGGTAATGGGCAACGGGTTCTTGCGGTCGCGGCCGCGGGGCCAGGAGTTCTGGATGCGCAGGGTAGAGGGCACGTTCAGGCCCTTGCCCATAGGAGGCTTCAGGCTCTCCTCGGGGTAGACGGTGATCTTGCGAACACCAATGTCAACAATTCCACCGAAGATGTTGTCAAGATCAACGGTAGTAAGGTCAACGGGACCATTAAAAGTGACCTCTCCACAGTTCTGCCGGCCAACAGTGAAGTCCACGACGTGTTTCAGCTGGTCGCGACTGAGCTTGGCAAGTTCGGCATGCGAGGGCGACATCCAGTAGTCGCCGGGTTTGGGGTCGGTGCCGGGAACAAAAGTAAGGCGCTTGATGGAAGAGCCATTAGGGGCCTCGTCATTCTCGGGGACAACGGCCAGATCGCGACGGACAGATTCCGTTTCAGGACGCTCAGGTCCATCGATGCCATTGAGGCTGCCACTCTTGCGGGTTGAACGAAGGAAGCCGAGCTCCTCAGGCGTAGGCTCGGGGCTCTTCTCTTCAACACGGACGATGGCACTACCGGGACCAGAGGGAGTGGAATCAAAGCTAACCTTCTTCTTAAGCTTGTCAACTGACTGATACTCATCCCCATTGGAGATGGGAGCAGGCGAGGTGCTAGCCGGGCGGGAAAAGAGATCATTCCGCAAGCTGCGGTCAATGGTGAGGCGCTTGAGACTACCGCCATTGCTGCGAGCACTGCTAGGCTGTAGAGCACCAGGGGACAAGACACTATCCTCATCAGGAACGAAAGACTTGCGCAAGTTGCTGGTGGAGTAGCTCTTGCTGAAGCTGCGGCCCAGACTGCCACTGACACTGCCACGGAGGCTGCCAGGGCCGGCGCCGGCACCCAAAAGGCTGTTACTCAGGCCAGAACCAGGGGTGCTGGTAGTGCTGGATGGCGAGCCGTAGGTTGAGTATGAGAACCCGTAGCCCTGGCGCTTGGGTGGGGTAATGAGACGATTGGCGGCATTGGGGGTGATCTTGTAGACAGGCAGGGGAGTCCGCTGCTTTTGCTTCATGCTGGAGGACAGCGGCGTAGCCAGGGGGCCGGGAGAAGACACATTTGGGGTCGGAAGGCCCGAGAAGATTGACTGGCTACCATAGGGGTTTCCCTCAAGCAGCGAGGCCTGGAAGCTGCCGGGGACGGGCTGCTGCTGTTGCTGTTGCGTACCCTGCGAGCCACCGAAGAGGCTGTTTCCGGCAGGCTGTTGCTGCTGGCTCTGATTGCCACCGAAGAGTGAGGAGCCCCCAGTCTGGTTAGCAGTGTTCTGACCACCAAACAGACCGCCGCCAACGGCACCAGCGGATCCTCCGAAAAGACCAGGCTTTTGCTGTTGATTCTGCGCGCCGGCGAACAAGCCACCTCCAGTCTGCTGAGTCTGGGTATTACCAAAGCCGCTACCAAAGGCGCTTCCGGTGTTGGCGGTGTTGCCAGCGCCGAAAAGCGAGCTACCGGCGGGCTTTGGCTGTTGGTTCTGTGTGCTACCAAAGAGGCCGCCGCCAGCTGCTGGTTGTTGGGCCTGGTTGCCTCCAAATAATGAAGACGTGCCTTGCTGTTGCTGTTGGGGTTGACCACCAAAGAGCGAAGACCCAGTGGTCGCCTGACCAGCAGGAGGGTTGCTGCCAAACAAGCCTCCGCCGGTCTGTTGCTGTGGGTTGTTCGTACCGAAGGCACTCGTGCCGCTACCACCAAACAAACCACCGGCGGGCTTGTTTTGAGCCTGGTTCTGGGTGTTCCCAAAGCCGCCGCCGAAAGCGGATGCACCGGTCTGTTGCTGCTGACCAGTACCAAAAGGCGAAGCGGTGGCAGGGGTGCCGCCGAAGGGGTTGGCAGCGGTGGTAGTTTGAGTGTTACCGAATCCACCACCAAAACCAGTATTGGTAGTTCCAGTACCGAAACCCGGCTTGTTCTGCTGCTGATTGCTGCCGAAGAGCGAGCCACCAGTGTTGGCGCCGAACGCACCGCCGGTTGCATTGGGGGTGGTACCAAATCCACCAGCGGCGTTGGTTGTATTGCCGCCACCGAAAAGGGAGGTCTGTCCGGTATTCTGGGTTCCGCCTCCGAACATTGACGTCGCTGGCTTGTTCCCACCAAACAGAGGATTTGTTGCGGCATTATTGCCCCCAAAGGCACCAGCAGTCGGAGTAGTGCCAAAGCCGGTTGGAGCAGACGTAGCAGCAGCACCGCCGCCGAATGGAGTGGAGCTCGTGCCAAAGCCCGAAGTGCCCTGTTGAGCACCGAATCCACCAGTAGATGAACCGAAGGCAGGAGCACCGAAGCCACCAGCCTGACCACTTGCGTTGCCGAACCGACGTCCTTGCTGGTAATCGGCAAGTCTTAGTTCCTCAAAAGAAAACTTGCTGTAAGGTTGCATAAAACTGATGCTCTGGTAGTGGTTGGTCGCGGTCGAGTTGGCATCCTTTTCAGTGAACGGGTTGAAGGGAGTGCCACCGGTGCCTTCGCAGGCAGGAGGTGCGCCTTGGAAAGCAGTGCCTGAGCCACCGAAAGCAGTGTTGGTAGCGCTTGCTCCAGTTCCAAAGCCGCTACCAGTCGAGCCAAAGCCGCCAGTACCTGTGTTAGAGGTGCCAAAACCGCCGCCAGGTTTGCTGCCGAACAGGCCACCACCAGTGTTGGCACTGCTGCCAAAGCCACCAGCGGTGGCGCCAGCTGAAGATCCAAATCCACCACCACTACCGAACGCAGAGGGTCCAGCAGTGTTTGGGGTAGTGCTTCCGAAGAGACTTCCGCCAGGGGTATTGCTGGTTCCGAATCCCGCAGCGCGATTTTGAGTTCCGCCGAAGAGAGAGCCGCTCTGATTTTGTGTGTTGGCTCCGAATCCTGTGGCAGATAATAGACATGTTAGTAATGTGTTCAGCACATCAATCCAGGCGAAAGTAATAATAATAAGCAAGCAGTAGCTCAATGGAAGAATGGGCTCCATGGGCGCAAAGTGTCAAGCTCCAGGGAAATCCATCGGAATTCAGGTTTCGCGTAGACAGCCGACATTGACAGCGCGCGCAGCAACAAAGCAGCTGGTGCCAGAACAACGTTCATGATTGCGATCCCATTAAAAAAAAGCGGGTCGCGAGCGACAAAAGGTCGATTCGGCGCGATGCAAGAACCGAGGCCCCCCCAAGCGCAAGAGCGAAAGCAAGAATCGCAAAGCTCGGTCGTTTTGAGCACGTACCTCCGCCAGTGCCGGCGCCGAAGCCACTGGACGAGTTGCCACCGAACAGGCTACCGCCAGTGTTTCCAGTATTTCCGCTACCAAATGCGGAGGGGGTCGAACCAAAGCCTAGATGACGGGGTGGGATCGCGTGTCAGAGAAATGATTCTTCAAGGCGGCCCTTGCATCCCTTCTCTTGTCGCAGTGTCGCTGAGCATCCGGATAAGTCCGCGGGAGATTCCGTGGGCACGAGCAAAAAGGCCAGGTTGAAGAAGTCGTTGGCTATGCGCATGTCATCGCCGTCGCGGGTCGTCCGACGTCAGGAGCACCCCAGGGGCTTTTGTGGGTTTGCCGAACCCGAGACAGAGAACACGCAGGGGAAGGAGGGGGAAAGAAGCCCGGGGAAAATTCCGAGTAAACGTGCAGAACGCAAGAACGAGATGCTTCAAGAGCAGTGCGCAAGAGAGAGAGACCTACCTCCGCCAGTGTTGGAGCTTCCGAACGCACCAGAGCCGGTACCGAAGCCGGAGCTCTGGTTGTTCTGCTGCCCAAAGCCGGTTCCTCCTCCTCCAAAGCCGAAAGACATGGTGTCGGTTGGAGTCGAGGATTTCAAGCTTTCATAGAGGAGACGAGCACGGGTGGCGAGAGGGTGAAGGATGAATGGGAGTCGCGGCGAAGGGCGAATGGATGGCGCGTGGAGTAAGAATAGAGGGAAGAGACGCGCCAGAAAAGTAAAGTCAAGTCAAGTTTGCCAGCTCAGGCAGGCATGCTTACCTCAGCACGGGCAACTGTGGTCCGTCACGTGAATCATGGCAGCCTGGGAGTGTCGGGGATTCGGCCAATCAAAGACGTCATTATTCTTGTATGCGAGGCCGATGCATGGGCCACGCAGGCATGCAAGAATCTGCCAGACCGTGTAGCTGCTTTCGATTCCCATGATGACACATGTCCATTGTTGCAGCATGATCCCGTGCAAGGGAAAATGAGAGAGATTATTCGTCTATGAGCTCCCTGGATCTACCCGAGGTTGCACCAAAGCGGGTGTTTACTTTATCATGTATGATCTCTGTCGACATCATACTACACACCACACATCACACCACCATACAAATCATATAACAACACGACAGTTGAGTCCAGAAGAAGCAAAATAGTATTCACACCGCAGCTGGATAGACAGACCAGGGAATCTCAAATACACGCAGAACCAAGAAAATAGATCAATTTCGTACATCTAGGCCCGAACAGTCCCAGACGCAACAGGGGAGGAAAGAATTATGCCAAGCAGCACACCCAAGAAGGTTCAAAGAAAAGGGCAAACTCTTCTGAAGCATCATTATCATCAATTCATGGACCTGACTTTTACTTGCCGCGGGCAGCGTGGACAGTGGAAATGATCTTGTCCACAACAGCGGGCTCGGACAGCTGTGAAGCAGGGTTAGCTTTCATCCACACGTCATGTCGCACGAAAGGGAAAGGGAGCTCCTACTGTCGAGATGTCACCAAGGCTGTCCTCTTCGCCGCTGAGAATCTTGCGCAGAATACGGCGCATGATCTTGCCGCTGCGGGTCTTGGGGAGATCGTCGACCACGAACACGGCCTTGGGGGCCGCGAAGGGACCAATCGATTTGCGAACCTGCGCGACCAGATCCTTGCGCACCTGATCGGTGGTCTCCTTACCGTCCTTCAGGGAGACGAAGGCGTTGACAGCCTGGCCAGTCAGCTCGTCGGTGATACCAACGACGGCGGCTTCGGCGACCATGGCTGGGGGGAGGAGGGCAGAGTTAGTTCCAGGTTTTTGTATATTCCAACGCTATTCCAGAAAAAATCCACTTACGGTGCTCGATAAGGGCGGCCTCAATCTCGGCGGTGGAGAGACGGTGACCAGAGACGTTGACGACATCGTCGACACGACCGCGGATCCAGTAGTAGCCCTCGTGATCGCGGCCAGCGCCATCTCCGGTGAACTGAATGATGATTAGTGGCGAGTCTCATAAAATGGCGACCGACAGGTGTCTTACGTAGTATCCCTTGTAGACGTTCAGGTAAGTATCCATGTACCGCTTGTGCGCACCCCAAACGGTGCGGGCCATGCTGGGCCAGGGCTGCTTGAAGGCGAGGACACCCTCAACGTCGTTCCCAGTGATCTCTTCACCGGAAACGGGATCAATAATCGCGGGCTCAATGCCAAAGAAGGGGAGGGAGGCACTGCCGGGCTTAGTGGGGGTGACACCGCCCAGAGGAGTGATCACGTTACAACCCGTCTCGGTTTGCCAGTAGGTCTGGTGGACCCAAGTGTTAGCCACATAGTGCGTCAGAATAGGTAGAAAGTGGGGATGGAACGAACATCGCAAATGTGAGCCTCCTCCTTGCCAACCGACTCAAAGTACCACTTCCAAACCTCGGCGGCAATGGGCTCACCAACAGAGCCCAGGATCCGGAGCGACTTCATCTTGTGGTGGATGTGCTCGTTCCCCGCGCGCTTCAGCAGACGCAGGGCGGTGGGGGCAACGTAGAACTGGGTCACGTCGTACTTGTCGATGACATCCCAGTACCGGGAGAAGTTGGGGTAGGCCGGGGTACTCTCGAAAACGACAGTCGCACAGCCGAGGAGCAGCGGAGCGTAGACCACGTAGGTGTGACCGGTGATCCAGCCAACATCACCACCGCAGAAGTAACGGTCATCATCGTGGATATCAAACACGTATTTGCCGGTCATAGCCGCGCCGAGCAGGTACCCGGCAGTGGTGTGCATGACTCCCTTCGGCTTGCCAGTCGACCCGGAGGTGTAGAGCAAGAACAACGGGTCCTCGGAGTTCATCGACTCCGGGGCCAGGTAGTTGGGGTACTTTTCGACCTCCTCGTGCCACCACAGATCACGGCCCGCGGTCCAGGGAACCTCCGCACCAGTGCGCTTGTAGACCAGGCACGTGGTGACATCAGGGCACTGCTTGAGGGCCTCGTCGACAATGCGCTTGGTGCCAATGACCTTGCCACCGCGCTTGCCCTCATCCGTGGTGATGACCACCTTGGACTGGGCGTCAATCACTCGATCCCGGAGAGAATCGGAGGAGAAGCCAGCGAAGACGACGGAGTGCACGGCACCGATGCGCGAGCAGGCGAGGAAGGCGATGACGGCCTCGGGAATCATGGGCAGGTAGATGGCGACGGTGTCGCCCTTCTTGACACCGCTCTGCTTAAGCACCCAGGCGACGCGGGAGACCTCACGCAGCAGCTCGCCGTATGTGATGGTGCGGCCCTCATTGGGCTCATCGGCCTCGTAGATGATGGCGACCTTGTCGGGGTTCTTGAGGGCGTGGCGGTCCACACAGTTGTAGGAGGCGTTCAGGCGACCCTCAACGAACCAGGCGTTGTCGCCGTTTTCGAAGGAGCCGAAGTGGGTGGTCTCAAAGTCGCGATCGAAGGTGAGGAGCTCGCGGGCCATGCGAGCCCAGAAGGTGTCGGGGTTCTTGATGGACTCATCGTAGAGCTTGTTGTACTCGTCGATGTCCTTGATGTGGGTGCCGGTCGGGTGCTTGTCGTGGAATGCCTTGGGGACATGGTAGGTGTCGACCTCGTGGGCCTCGAGCACCTAATGAGGGCTGGAGTTAGCCGTGGTCCACTGGCCCCCAGCTTGCATAGCCTGCCGTCATTGAAAAAAAGGGGGGGGGGAAAGGATTGGAAATGGAAGTAGATCTTGCGAGAGGGAATGGCGGGCGCAAACATTCCCTGTGCGACGACCACACTTACCACAGAGGGCTTGCGATCGTCCGTCATGGTTGGAAGTTCCTCAACGCAGAGAACTCAATCTTGGGAGGAAAGCAAAACTGTCAGCGCACACCTCTCTCTGCGGGGGAGGGGGAAAAGGCCCGTCAGCACCGGGCGGACGAGGGGTGGGATCAATAAGCTCTCGCCGGCGGGAGAGGGGCCGGGGTGGGAAGAAGGTGGGGAGGGAGGTGACGATCACACTTACGGAGTCCGAGGGGGGAGGGGGTTAGACAAGGTGAGGAGAGGAGAGGAAGAGCAAAGAAGCGTCAGGGCCAGACCAAAGAGAGCTGGGGCAGGGCCGGGCGAGGTGAGCATTAAATAATTCAAGAAATCGAGGGTTCCAAAGTATGTACGGGGTGGACGAGGGTTCCCGGGCTTGAGGGAGGGTGGAGCCTGTTCTGCTGCAGCGCCCTCCGTCGTTAGCGGGCAGCGACAGTACAGTCTAGTGGTATAGTCTGGTATGGCAGGTGGGGAGATGCCCACTCTTTCCGTCCGAAACCACCGGCCTCTGAAGACGCACTAACTAGCCTCCGTCCTCCGTACTCCATACGGACTGTATGGACTAATTGCAGCCGACTCGGGTCAAAGGCACATACACTACTGCCCGATGCGGCGTGGCCGTTGCATCTGGAATGCGACCGGTTCCCTCCAGCGACGTCCTCGGGCCTGCAGACAGCCAGGGACACATCTGCTCCAGAGCTACAGAGCTACAGTTGTGGAGGAACTGAGCATAGGGAGATATAAGGTCATAGCTTACGGTCTATGGGGGACAACATCTCGTGGGAGTGCCTCATTACACAATCCGTAAGGAGGGGCTGTGGAGGGGCCATGCGGGGGACAGCCCTTCCGTTCCTCCGGGGAAAGCTGGCCAGCTTCCACCCCAAGTATTTCTCCCCCATATACTTGCTGCCCCCCGCCTTACCAACTACACCTTCCGAACCATTCGTCCGATGCCGGCCCCGGTTCTAGTCTGCCGCTTGGCGTTTCGGGCGGACTGGGGGAAGTGGCCTTTACCTAGGTTAGGATATACCTAGGCTAGGACCACTCTTTGCCGTCATCACCAGCGAGGACTTGTTTTCCTCTCCTCGCCACTCTCGATGTCATTGATCGATGTCATTGACCCGAGCAGGTCTTTCGGTCGCAAGTCAAGAATCACGAACCATGAACCACGAACCACGAACTACCTACAACCTACCTACAACCTACCTACAACGCATGACCCGCGAACCAGCAGCTGGCCCAAGGCCGGCCTCGTCTCCCCGGATAGCCGGTCATGCACCGAGCCTGACTCAGCGCCGGGTTAGGGCTGATTGGCGAGGGGCGCTAGACTGGCTCGCCTGCATCACGGGTTGGAAGTTTATTTTGCGAGATGGATTTGTAGACAAAGGGCTTTTATATCAGGCTTCTATATCTGCTCGTGTCAGGGCAACGTATCGTCGGAGCCGATGCCGGCTCCATCGGCGGGCGGCACGTTGTTCAGTGCAGTCGTAGGCCCGGACAACGTCGGTATCGTACTACCTCACGGCAGTCGAACGGCAGTATGCGTGGTGGGCGGATTGTGGGGGTGGGAAGCATCTGTGGGACGGGCAGTGGTGCCTGGCGCCCCTCGTTTGGGCCCCCTTTCATGCAAATTACGGACGGTATCACAGTTCACAGAGCCAATTGTGTGCTAATCATACACCACAGTCCAGTAGCTCCTCCGTCCCGATTGTACACCGAAGGCGTGGCGTGGGATGGGGTATGGGATCTACCGCCCGATCCTCGCCATCGGCATTGTGGATGGACTACTCCGTATTGTATACAGTCGAGGCTACCGGATCGGCCGCTCCTCCATGCGACCGTAACATGTGAGCCACTCAGCGAAGATCAGTGCGGGAAAAGAGGACGCAGTAGCGCGACCCAAAACAATTCCCTCCCGCACCCACAGTCTAGTCAAATGCCAAGCTAAAATACTGCAATACGGACTTTGCAGTGTCACGCTTTCAACATGCAACACTGCCTCTGGTCTGGGTATTTAGCTCCACCCATCCCACTTTGCGGTCCCAACAGAAAATTTCTCGATGCAGCCTCGTGGAGCTAACCTGCCCTGGACATAATCACGGTTGATTGTTTTGATTTTCTTTCTTGTTACGCGGTACGCCGGTCGTATTGAGTGGGCCAATGTGCCCATCCTCATCCATGCTGACACCCCCACGAGCGAGCTATTTAAACGTGGGTGATGACCCGGTACTAGAACCCCTGTCCGCTGGCCCGTTCGCAAAAATAGGCTATTGACAACGCGTCAGCCAATGGCACCACGTGAACCAGGCCTCTCTCACAAGACAGCCCAAGCAAGTTGACCTTGCAGAGCGGCAAAGCTGACTATGAATGTGGGAATTGTGGAACACCTCCCACCCACTAAGATGAGGTCCCCATACGAGCCGGCGGTTCCTCGCTGCCTGCAGCAAAAATGGGAGACGCAATAACACCCCCAGCCCGAGAAAAGACCGTACTATCTCCAGACCCCGCCCGTCGAGAAATGTTGAACGCCATTCTCTGGAACCAACGCCCTGGAAATATCATCACAACCCCAATTGCCGTCGGCGGGGGCCATCATTGGTCAATGATGCGCTCCAGCGCTTCTCTGACACGCTGGGGTTGGACAAGTTCCGCGTCAGTCCGGTCCAGCGCGGCCCATTGACCTCTAGCGTCATCGGGGCGCTGCCTTGGATTTGGCAGCGCAGCGCTTGTCGCCGCGAAATCCCAAACGGCGGGCGCGGAAGGCGTGTTCATTGGAGGTGCTTTCACGATAAGGAGCAGCATGCAGCTGGAGACTGGGGGCGCAGCCGATTCGGGACCCTTGGCCAGAGGTGACAATGGATCCGATCACGGCCGACAGCAAGGCCGGTGCTAACAAAAATACCAACACCCGACCAAATTGCTGCCGACCTATTGCTCATCACCGACTGCAGCTTGGTCGCAGCGCAGTTTTCGGCGGCCTTGAGCACGGCAATCCCAGGACCAGCCTCGTCTGTCAGAGGAATGACAGGCATTCGCTCATCGCTGACTGCGATGATCTGCGTGATATAGTCATCCACCAGATGGAAGGTGGTCAGGAACCGCTGACTATGGAACGGAGCGGCATTGCAATGAGATGAAATCTTCCTGGCTCGACATCCACTCGTTCTGCAGATCGGAATCGGAGGTACCAAAATAGCCTCCGTAAGGACATATATATGAATGCGATCGCGTTTGTTCCGTCTCAAATTGCAAGCCAGAAGAATCAGCTCAAGAGCTCCAGAGAAATTCTGTTGTATATACAATCACACCGACCAAGTTTCTTTAAAATAACGTGGCGTCGAATTCGCCTCAGAACAGCACAGCTCCACACAACAAGATAGTCGAAGAGGAAGACGGAAAGAGCCTAAAGGCCAAAGTCCGGGCGATTCTGCCTCTAAATGACTCAATCTGATAGCGATTCCGTGGGGACTGGACAGGAAGATGTTCTCGAATAACATGATGTCAGTCCTCTGACCGATCCTCAGTGAGCAATACTCAAGGGGCATGTTCTCTTCTTCTCGGGGAATCAGGAAACTGTGCCGACTCCATACAACGGTAATCCTGTGTCTAGAATAGCCCCCTTCAGAGATATTAATGGTTCCCAGGCGATCAGTGTTTGGGCAGCTGCTGCCGTCATTTCCTGATGATTCCTTTAATGGTTCCGCTTGAGCTTCGGGGCTTATGCCACATAGCTATCTATCTTGAGCCACCAAAACTATACTTATTTTTTTTGTCCGGGATACTCCGGTCCGCGGATGCCCGACAGGTGAATGTATATGAATAGTGATGCTGGTCATGATACTGTGTATACCAGCAAGCACTGCCCGTCAGCCATAATTTTTGTACCTTGCCGGGACGGGGTGAGCTACCATCCAACAGAGTACTACACTCCAAAGGACAGGTACGTAACCCTAGTCGAACTACATCTCTCATGTGCCCGCTGACATGTATAGTGCTCTTGAAGCTCAAGCTTTGCTGGAAGCTGTCGTGCACTATGACCAAACGCGCAAATGAGATGAGGGACACTTAGATAGCGTTGCTACGGCTGGATTGCGGGGTTGTATTCTTGAATAGTAATTAGCAGATGTATCTTGTTCGGGCTCTAAAACGCATTACCCGCATACACTTTCAAGTTTGAAATCAGACTTCCGGCCCGTGTAGAAACTCGACCATGCCCGACTGCCGAGGTTAATGATCTTCGAAAGCTTGATTCATAGATTGATGGTTAAACGAGCGCGAGGTAAGCTCAGTCACTGAAGATAAGCGGAGTAATTTTCTGAACGTCGATAATCGTGTCAGTTCTGTAGATGTTCCAACAAGAGCTCCACTCACTCCGCTGAAGATGTTGTCGGAAGGCGCAGCAGATTGTCTTCGGAAGGCCCAGTGTTGCCGCCACTTGGAACATCAGAAAAAGGAGCCAATATGTATAACAGACCACTGATCGCCAACTAGCAGGCTATAAACTAATCTGGTCTCGCGATATCCGTGGAGTCTTCTAACAATGGTTGCAAGGCGACCAATTTATACCAACCCTGCCGCTTCGGCTGAGCGGTGCGACGCTGCTCAAGCGGGCGCCGTCGCGAGATTCCATCAGTCACTTCCCAACTATGCTCCAACCCCGCTAGTTTCGCTGCCAGAGCTTGCGACCGAATTTGGAGTTCGGGCTGTCTTTGTCAAGGACGAAAGTAATCGGTTCGGTCTGCCCTCTTTCAAGGTTCTCGGGGCATCTTGGGGATGTTTCCGTGCCATTGCACAGCATCTTGGATTGCCGCCAACGGCTACTCTTGACGAGGTTTCCACTGTCGCAAAAGCTAGCGCAATTATTCTGACTGCTGCCACTGAGGGAAACCATGGAAGAGCCGTGGCCTTCATGGCCCGGCTATTAGGAATTCATGCTCATATTTTCGTTCCCCGGTCAATGGACGAATGCACACGCGGTTTGATCGCGGGGGAAAATGCCTCGGTGCATGTTGTTCAGGGGTCCTATGATATGGCAGTCCAAGAAGCTTCAGACCGCGCGAACAAATTTGAACGTGCACTTTTAATCCAGGACACTGCATTCGAAGATTACGAGAGTGTTCCTGCATGGATTGTGGAGGGGTATTCGACGATGCTGAGTGAGGCCGAGGAACAGATCGCTCAACTCGGCTTATCGGCCAGCGCGATGGTGACTCCTGTTGGCGTTGGTAGCCTTGCACATGCAGTGGTCAGGCATTGCAAGTCCAGGAAGGTCCCGGTATCTGTTATTGCTGTCGAACCGGACTCAGCTCCTTGTCTGTTCAAGAGCCTTCGAGCCGGAAAGTCGACCATTGTGGAGACTTCATCTACCATTATGGATGGCATGAATTGCGGCACTGTCTCATCGACTGCATGGCCGGACCTTCAGCGCCTTGTTGATGTCTGTGTCACGGTGTCATCTCATGAGAGCCATAGCGCTGTCCAATACCTCACCTCTAAATCAGTGGCAGCTGGTCCATGTGGCGGTGCATCTCTGGCTGCACTGCGGCGACTAGCTACAGAGGCCGACAGGCCCCCCACTCTTCACAAGGATGCGGTTGTGGTTCTTCTTAGCACCGAGGGTGCACGGGAATATCCAACCCCACGGGATGTTTCTGTGGAAGATGCAGTGGGCTTGACCCGGATACTCACCCAAATCAACTCCTCCAACCCCACATTGTCGGTCAGCGATGGGGCTGGGGAGAGTGAGATTGTGGATTATCTTTCTGCTTGGTTTGCCCACCGCGATATCGAATTTCACCGCATTGAAACCGTCGCTGGACGGCCGTCCATCCTGGGCATTATTCGCGGGAGTGGAGGCGGCAAATCCCTCATGTTCAACGGACATATTGACACCGTCAGCCTTTCTAGCTATGAGGGGGAACCTCTTTCCGGATCCTTAGCTATGAAAGAAGGGGAAGAGGTTGTGCTTGGAAGAGGCAGCTTGGATATGAAAGGTGGCGTGGCAGCAGCATTGGCAGCACTGTCATCTATCAAGGCCAGCGGCCAAATCCCTCGTGGCGATATTATTGTCGCTGCTGTATCCGATGAAGAGGATGCCTCTCAGGGAACTCAAGACCTTTTGGCTGCTGGCTGGAGAGCGGACGCCGCAATTGTGGCGGAACCAACGATGCAGACGATCGCCACTGCACACAAAGGCTTTGTGTGGGTCGAAATCGATATTCTGGGAGTTGCTGCCCACGGATCCGATCCTTCAGCAGGAGTAGATGCGATTCTTCATGCCGGGTGGTTCTTGCGGGCTCTCGACCAGTATCAAGCCCAACTTCCTATAGATGATCTTCTCGGCCGGGCAACACTGCATTGCGGGTTGATTCGAGGTGGTGAAGAGCCGTCTTCCTATCCTGGAAAATGCACCGTGACTGTTGAGTTTCGAACCGTCCCAGCTCTGACAGAAGAATCTATTCTGGGCGACTTGTCTGCGATGCTTTGGACCATCACGCAGGACAACCCTGGCTTCCGATACGCTGATCCTCGCATAACCATATCCCGCCCAACACACAAGCTTGCCACAGACCATTCCTTAGTTGAGAAGGCCGTTGAGTGTGGATCTGCTGTCTTTGGTAGTAAGCCTTCTGTTCAGAGTATGCCATTCTGGTGCGAAGCGGCCCTGTTGGGTCAGGCTGGCATTCCATCCATCGTGTTTGGTCCTGCTGGTGCAGGGTTGCATAGTAAAGAGGAATGGGTCAAGGTCACCACCTTGCAGCAGATGGAGAAAGTCTATACTATCTTGGCGCGGGATTTCTGTTATTGAATCTATCATTCCGTTAGGCTAGTTTTGAAACCATCGTCGCATTGGATATTCAATATTCCTTGGCAGCCAGCACTCTGTAACAACCCTTGCAATTGTACCCTCTAATTGCGCTGCAATACAGCAGTCTAGTACTCGAAGCTGGTGCTTGCAAGCCTCGTGGGCATGCAAGAAACCAGATATCCTCTCCTAGGTAACGCATCAAGTGCATAGGGCCATGACCGAAAAAGCCCTCAAATGTCCCATCTAGCGTGCCACCTGTTCCAGTACAAGTGAAAAGTGATTCGATTTTGGCAAATTCATATTGGTCGACGTAATTTGTCTCCATCAGTCCTGGAGATTTTCTGTGCATTCCTCTTGACAAGGGGCATCAGTAATGGCATCAATGGCATCTTCGGGTTTCACGTATATTAGATGGCCTTTAAATATCCAGAAGCCCAGCATAATGACAAGTAGGTGGAAAGGGTGATTGGGTAACAGCCCAGCACAAAATAGGCAGAGGTATGAGAATTCGACGTCAGCGGCAGAAGTCACAGATTATCAATCGAAACTCTATACGAATCAACTGTTAGCTGGAAATAATCGGAAGTCCGGTCGAGCGGTGGCATAGGGGCCGCTGAAAAAGTGATAATCTTTTTGTGGCTACGATTCTACAGCCTAGGACTTGGATCTACGAAAAAGGGTTATGGCCTTCATCCCGCTTAGACATTACATGAGTGAAACCCCAACACAGGAGTCTGCTATTTTCAGCATAGGGCCGACAATCTGTCTTACCCGGATTTGACCACTCTGGTCAATCTAAACGGCCTTGAGATCCCACGGAAGTAACCGGATATAAGCGTCCCATAATACGTGAGCGGTCGCACAGGCCACATGGTCCAGCTGTCCAATGATCTATAGCCATATTCGATCCATGTTCCTGACCCAACGGCAGAGGCTGTAGCTGAATGGTCATACCAATATTCCCCTCAAACACCGTATTAGACGCCTCAGCACCAAAACATACTCAGCTGACGGCTGTGCTCATCTATGATAGGGCCACTGTTGGAACTCTGTTGGCGAATGATCAACTCCAGCAACTATCCGGGGGGCTATCCGAAGAGGCCACGGGGCCTATGGATTGCCTAATATCCCGCCTATCTATCCACGCCACCTAGGGGAACCGGGCTGTAAGCGCTACAACTAGTAGTTCGCGACATGTTGCGTGGTCGATGGGGCCGCGCTTCCGAAATTATCCTGGCCATAGCTCTTATTAAGATCACACTTTCCTCAGCCACCCCGTAGATCAGCATTCGACCAATCCCTCGCTAGTCAACACGGCCCCCAATCCTGTTTCCTCGATGAAATGAGGCCCGATATATGTCTTGTAGGATTAGATCAGCAGTTGAAACACATGCGGTATATCGCGGCGCCTGAATCTGTCTCTATTTAGACATCTAAGAATTGTTTGAGGGAGTCGACTATATAATGTTTACTGTAGCTCCCTCTTGGGTAAACACAATTTCACAACGATCTCTTTCCACCGCTGACAATAAAAATCTTCAACATCAAAACAGAAAAGCTATTCATAGTTCAACTTCACTCACAAAATGCTTATTGGTGCTTCTCATATGGTCCTGCTCGGTACGAACGACACCTCTGGAAACTCCACTGGAAATTCAACGACAAAGCCTGCGTCTGAGTCCAAGCCTCAGACTAGCACCAGCACCACCGTCAAATCTGGGCCAACTAAAGGCTCGCCTCCTGTCCAAAGCGGAAAGTAGTAGCTTTCTCTTCTTGTCGCTCTGGGTGTCACAAATATCACTTATAGCCGATATGGGGGTCCGACTTTCTCTTGGGGCGAACAACTGCGATGATGCTACTTTGGAAGCTGATCTGTCTCTCGCCTGTGGCATGTCACCATGTCACGCAAGCCTTCTATGGGCACTGCTATATTTGGGGTATCATTGACCGGTTATTTAGGTAATTCTTCCACTGCTGGCTCTTTTCTTGGTCACCCAGCTGATTACTTACAGTTGTTGAACAAAGAAAGGGCGGTTAAATGCAAATATTCAGCGCACATCTACCCCTGCACCATGAGCGAGCGCCTTGAGATTAATTTTCTTCCTGTTTTCCTATGTCTGTCTCGTTTGTTTTCCTCTTTTTACGTTCTTTTCAGTTCTTGACCTTTCGTCGTCGCAATCTTGGTCACACATAACTCTTCTTGACGTTTGAATATCCATTTGTGCCCTTCATGATTTCGGATTTGTAGTTGTTAGCAGCCATTTCGTGCACGAATGACCCCACATCATTCCCTTTCCAATCCTCAAACGGTGTCCATTTCAGCGTACCCATTTATTTAATCACGTGGAGCCAATCCAAGCACAGTTCAAACATAACTAAAGCATGTCACTGGAAGGCGGCGGGAGGTAACTGCTGCTAGCCGTCTTTGGTTAGGGACGATGAGTCAGTGATGTCTGATTCATAACTGTAGAGAACTAGCGATACCACAGAGGTTGAAGATTGTCAACCAAACCCCGACCGAAGATCCTTGTTCTCCAACCAGAGCGTGGACATGCTACTCTAGTACCCGGCATCCGAAGTGTTGAGAGTCCTTGCAGCATGGATAGGCAGCCGCCGTTTGACTCTTCGTCACCGCGGCAATTGCCGGAGTCGCTCCCAGACTCGGCTTTGCAGAACATAGTAGATAACGATGTTCCTGGGGGCTGGCTACCTGATGATCCCATTGTTGACTGGAATACCATGGCTGATTTCTATTTTTGTGCATCGGGACCCACCAATCTGGAAAGGCCCCAATGTACAGGCCTCGACTCATCTCAAGGTCTCTCGTCACCATCGGAAGGAAACAATACGAACCCGGACACGTGGTATTCAAGCGAATCAGTTCAGCTTCCACAGGTCGGAAGTTTCAGATCAGCAATTCCCTCTCCGAATCTTGGAAATATTTCACAGTGGCTTGATGGAGCTTATCGCCCGTCAACTCCTTGCAGTCATTGTCGCAGACATCGGCTCCAGTGTTTGATTATTCGCACCACTTCCGCAAATCCGAATCCCATCGCGTCATGCTCTAGCTGTGTGGCTCTTTTCCGAGAATGCAGCCTTGCCAAAGGAGAAAAACGCGTCGCATCTGGCTTTGAGACCTTCACTCCAGTTTTAGGCCATCTACATGGCCTACCTGAGGATGCAGAAACTGGCGTATGTCCTCGCATATAGTGGACCACGAACCCAAGCTAACTATCCGAGCAAGCGTGGTGATATTCCTTCCATTGTGGAGACCGGGGAGGCACGAAAAGAGTCTAAGCAATTCGTCAGAAAGGGGGCCCGGGTCTTGCGTGAATGGTTCTATCAGCACCAAGAATTCCCATATCCAGACGACGACGAAAAGCGCCAGCTATCTAGTGAAACTGGATTCTCTCTAAAACGCATATCAACATGGTTTGCCAATGCCCGCCGACGACAAAAGCAGAAGATTCAGTCAGCCAATCTCTTATCCGCCACCCGCTCCCGCGTCGGTTCGCCCCTAGTTACGAGCACTTTGAGCTCGTTGACTCCTATGGAGCGATGGCAAGCATCCCCCCCAGAAGATGAATCTGTTTCAGAGTCCGTGATTCAAGACGCCATCACTTCCGGTACCGTCGAATCCGATCATCCGATAGATCCATTCCAACTCGATGAATCTACTATGGACCTATTCCACTTCGATGAGGCATCCTCTCATCTTGCATCCTCCATCTCCAGTTTCGGAAGCAGAGCCTCAGAGACATCTGACAGTATCTCATCAGCATGGAGCCATCAATCAGGCCGAGAGGGAGGAATGCCTTTCCCGCTGCTCTCGCAGACAAAGAAACCCCGCCACCGAGGCCATTCGCGACGACAATCAAACGTAGAAGAGCACCAATATCAGTGCACTTTCTGCACGCACTCGTTCAAGAAACGAAATGATTGGTCACGCCATGAAAAGAGTGTTCATCTTCAACTCGACTCCTGGGTCTGTACACCCAACCTCATCGAACTGGAGCAACAATGGAGCGCTCATCTGGCCGAGTGCTGCTTTTGCGATACCCCATTGCCACTCGCTGCTCACTTGGAAGAGCATGAATTCCATATCTGTGCTCAAAAGCCTGAATCTGAGCGTTCGTTCAGCCGAAAGGATTATCTTTGGCAGCACTTGCGCAAGTTTCACGCCTGCACCAAACCTCCCATTCCTAGTCTCGGTGCCTGGTGTGGTACAGGTGCAAATGCGCAAAGCCGGTGCGGATTCTGCGACATTACTCTGCCCACCTGGGCTGTTCGAGCCCAACACTTAGGGGAACATTTCAAGAATGGAGCACGCATGGATCAATGGGAAGGTGACTGGGGGCTGGACCCGACGACCATGGGTGTTTTGCGGAATGCAGTTCTGCCGTCCCAGCGGGCTGTGGCCGGTCGCTCTTCTTGAACACAAGACTAAGTTCATTGCAAATAGAAAACAGATTTTACACGCTAATATCGCGTAAGCTCAAGTATTCATTTCCGGCTTTCGTAAAGGTTCAACTGCAACCGAGAGATCTAGTAGGCAACAGCCTGCCACTCGCGAGTGCACCAGGCACCCAGGCCCAGTGCAAATAGCACGAGACTTCCATCTCGAATGATGTCCCTGAAAAGCTGGATTACCATCCCAACACCCCCTTGTTTTCCACCAAGTAACATTCTTCCTCCAGTGAGAACCATCTCGCCGGTAACAAAGATCAGAAACGGGTTTTGCGCGGTGGCAGGCTTCGGTGGTGGGCTACCGAACATCGCAACCGATGTTCCAATGATGAACAGCAGGTAAATAGCTACACCGAGCGCGAAAATGACATGTAGCCCCTTCCACATTCGGAGAGACTTTTGCTCCTTTGCGGTTAGCGGTTGAGTCGCTCCTCCTATCATGTTCGCAATGAATGGTGGCAGGCCGAGAGCAGATGCAATGACACCCGGTGAGAATCCAGGCTGCGACTGTCCGGGCAGAGCATCTGGGGCACCTGGGATACCTGGTGGAGGTGTGTTCGGGTCGCCTGGCATGGCCCCCAAGAGATTGCTCAGAAGTTTCAGTGTCGGGTCCTCCACATCGCTTGACTGTTGGCCTTGTCCTTGCTCCGGGGCCACCTGCCGTAGCATGGCACGGAAAGCTTCCTGCTGGGCTTGAAGGTCGTCTGCGGGCGACATTTCAGGTCGGGGTGAAGGCAAGGGCCGGATCTCTGGTACGGGAGACGGGGATGGCGAGACTGCAGTTTTAGGAGATGGTGAGGCTTCTTCTTCGGGCACTACTGGGGTCGGAGTTAGCACCCACGGCCACAGATTGAGTCAAGAACCAGCCAAGGGTTTGAGCTGGAACACCATAATGACAGGAATGGAACTTTCATATCATACCTGGTTGCGGTGTGCGGCCGCTGAGACTTGTGATCTTGTCCAGGCGCGCCGAACCTCCCTCTTTGATTTTAGCCTCACGGCGCTCACGCCGCAGGCGTGCGGCGCGCTGGGCCGGTGACTCCTCGGGTGTAGACATCGATCAAAGTAATAGTATGGTAGAAGGTAGGAGGAGCGTAAGCGATGCTCAAAGCCCGGAGATGGGCAATGGAAAGATGCTTGGACCGGTTTACGACCGCAGGAGATGGGGTGAGGTGTCGAGTGGGCCGAGATGAGCGGATTGGAGGTCCCGTGGCGATAAGAATCAACCAACTGCGGCAACAGAAACCACGGAGTATCTGTTTATTCCAACTCTTCAATTTCATTTACGACCATTTCGAACCATATTTTTCTTTTCTCCCCCTCTTACTTTGGACTCTCCATTCGTATGTTTAGGTGGTATCTCTCAGGCTTTAAGTAGCTGCTTTTGGTGTGACCGAATCCCATAGTTGGATCAACATATGTAGTTCCGATCAAACCAAAAGCGTTTCCAGGCACAAGAGCGCAAGTATTGCACAGTCATCCCATAATACTGTAGGCGTGCAGCGTTTCCTGATTTACACACGCTCTCGAACCTTTGTCATCATTCATTCTCTTAATAGCCCATAATCCAGGATAATACAATTACGACTTGCACGACATCCGATCAGCACTGGGCAGCATGATGATTGGCTTTGGGATTAGCGACAGCTGCCCAGCTAGTCTACTAAGTCGGTGAGTGAGATCTATTCTGGGCATGATCTGATCGCTAGCTGCGCAGATCAGTAGCTGGGGTATCGGCAGTCTTTGACACATACTGTGCCCGTACAACACAACCCGCAGCTGCGAGCCTGCGAGAGGGTATCAGAGTTGGACGCTCCGGGAATGTGCGGTTTGTACTCGTCCATGGTTACGCTAAATGGTGCTTAATGCCTTGTAGATATTAGTATTACATCATGGCTGAGGAGGTCATCCCTTAAGGCGGATCATTTAATCGCGAATACAGAATCCGTTGCCACGCTAATTAGTGACCCAATGGTGTTTCCTGAGCAACATCAATTGCATCTTGTCAATTTCTATCATGACCAGATCCATTTGCTCTCGACGACTTCGTGACTCTCAATCTATGAACCCTCGATCTGTATGCGCTCACAATGCCAAGTCTAGAATCACGCTACGCTGGATGGAGAGGGAAATAGCTCAGCAATGGGGCAGTGGATCTGGGGAGAAGAGTCGATCTCGATTGCCTCGAAGTTGCACATAAACGATGATCCCGCGAATCGTAAATCGCAGGGCAATTGGTATCGTCATAGCATTTCCCGGGTTTGGTCCACCGATGACGTAGTTCTGGGGAGAGCTCCGCTGAGCTGTCCGCCCGGCCTGATGGGCGGATATCTTCTCTCCGCGTGTATATCTATCTTTTTTTTTAAAAAAAAAATTGGCTTCAAATCCTTGATTGAACATCTCCTACAATAACCTGCCGTTGAAGTGGGGGTTGTTGTAAAGGAGAACTGTCTGACAACATACACTTGCACCATACCTCTGTGTCCATCTCTCTACCGAAGCTTATACGCGCGTCTTGAAACTACCATCCGTGACCACAATGGCGTCGACTACCCAGGAAGCCGGAGAGCCTCAGCGGCATCGTGTTGGCGAACACTGGAGTGGAAACAATCCCGTTCCAACCGTGCAGAAGTTCATCGCAAACCTCGACAAAGACAAGAGTCAGCGGGACCACAAAATCGATGAGGAGAACAAGGCCAAGCGGCAAAGGGCGGCTATGAAACAAAAAGAGCAATCCAAGTCTGGGAGAGCAAATGAAGGATCACAGAGCGATGTGATGGCCCATGAGGCCCGCAAGGTTGCCCAAGAAAATGTCCGCATGGTGACCGATCCGACGACCGGCAGAGAGATCGGAGTCGAGGACCAAGATGCTTCCGCAATGGAGGCTGTCAAGAATCCGAAGGTCTGTTAAACATTTGCGAGGGCCTGTGCATGAACGGTCGCTAACTGAAACATAGCTGACCGTCCCCAATGCGAACCTGGGCCGACCGACCGTACGTGCTTCTGCCGCTTGTATTATCTTGGAGATGACTATACTGACGAGATCTCCAGGAGCACCAAACTCGCCATGATCAAGATCTCTCCGAGTACAAGGAGAAGCAAGACATCACCGCGCCTCCAGATCCCATTGCCGAAGGTACAACATCTGACGTTCCCATTCGCGGCGAGAAGACAAACGTTCTCTTCCATCCTACCCCAACAGTCTCATATAAGCCTATGTTCGATAACTTGGAGAAGCGCGCCACCGCATTATGTGTCGGGATTCCCTTCGCTATCATTGTACTTGGGCGGACCTTTGGGGGGTCCCTATGGGGCCTCATCCCGCTGGCGGCTTGCATCGCAAGTGGTGTGTGGCTATGGGTGCAAGAGGTCATCAGAAGTGGCAAAGAGATGGAATGGGCTAGTGAGCAGATGCGCGGCCAAATGGTAAAGCCTTCTATATTCGACCACTCAACGGTTCTCAATGCTAACAAACGAATCCAAGGCCACTGTGAATCTTCTTCCGGAATCTGTCGAATGGATGAACTCTTTCCTCGCCGTAGCATGGGGCCTCATGAACCCGGAGATGTTCATCCCTGTGGCCGATACAATCGAAGATATCATGCAAGCGTCGGCTCCTAAGGTCGTCGAGAACGTCCGAATTGCCGAGATAGATCAGGGAAACAACCCATTGCGCATTCTCAGCATGCGTGCTCTACCAGATGAGCATGTTCAACATCTCAAGGATAATATCCACGAGGAGAACATTAAGAACAAGGACCCACAAGAAGCCGCTGCCGCTGAGGAGGGTGGTAGCTACTACAATATGGAGGCTGCTTTCGCTTATCACGCAAAACCAAGCAGTGGGTCGACCTCATCCAAGGCCCGCAACATGCATATGCACCTGATTTTCTACTTGGGAATTCGTGGCCTATTCGGAGTCCCATTTCCGGTTTTCGTGGAGTTGATCGAGTTGGTTGGTACAGTCCGTTTGCGCTTCCAGATGATGCCCGAGCCACCATTCATGAAAGAAGTCACCTTCAGCTTGGTCGGTACTCCGCATGTACGGGCGGGCTGTATGCCCATGATCCGTCACGGTGTGAACGTTCTCAACCTGCCCCTGATCTCGAACTTCGTCAACTATGCAATTGGCGCCGCCTGCTCCATGTTCGCGGCCCCGAAATCCATGACTATGGATCTTAGCATGATGCTGAAGGGTGACGATATCCAAAAGGAAACACAGGCGCTTGGTGTTATGTGGATTCGGATTCACCGTGCGGTTGGCCTGAGCAAGCAGGATCGCCGCGGCAGCGAGGGTGGTGGCAGCGACCCTTACATTAACCTTTCCTTCTCCAAGTATGGAAAGCCCATGTACTGCACCCGCGTTATCACCGACGACCTGAATCCGATCTGGGAAGAGACTGCCGCACTCCTCGTCACCCCCGAATTGATCAAGGCTAACGAGAACCTGAGTGTTGAACTCTGGGACTCGGATCGGAACACAGCAGATGACATTGTCGGCAAGGTCGAGCTGCCCATTCGCGAAATGCTCCAACACCCCGGCCGCATGTATCCGCAAGTCTCCAAATTGCAGGGCCTTGACGAAGGTAGCGAGATGCCGGGCCAACTGCACTGGGAAGTCGGATACTTTGGCAAGCCCAAGCTGCGCCCTGAGCTGCGCACTGATGGCAAAAAGAAGGACCTCCCGGAGAACCTTAAGGGAGATCCGACCTTCGAAGATGAGAAGGGCATTATTACCAATGAAGAAGAAGATGCTGTTGTGCATACGCCACCCGATCCCATCTGGCCTAGCGGTATTTTGAATATTGTTGTCCATCAGATCGTCAATCTCCAGCTTGCCAATATTAAGGGCAGTGAGGGCAATCGCAAGGGTAAGGAATATGAGCCTGCGAAGCCGTCCGGTGAGAATACCGAAGAAGAGGGCGGCCAATTGCCCACCAGCTATTGCAAGATCATGCTCAATGATCAATTGGTATGATTTCATGCACATCCATTGTCTGTTTCTCCGCATACTAATTGGGTGCGTTTCTGTAGGTCTACCGCACTCGCCCGAAGGCCGTCAGCTCTAAGCCTATCTTCAATGCTGGCACAGAGCGCTTTGTCCGCGATTGGCGATCTGCTGTCGTCACTGTGACTGTGCGAGACCAGCGTTATCGTGAACACGACCCCATTCTGGGCGTTGTTCCCATTAAGCTGTCCGATATCTTCCAAACAAGCTCACAGGTAACCCGCTGGTACCCTCTGGACGGCGGCGTCGGCTTTGGACGCATCCGTATTTCGCTTCTCTTCCGCCATGTTGAGACCAAGCTGCCACCAAACATGCTCGGCTGGGACGTTGGCACTTTTGAATTTGCTAGTGACAAGGTCGTCGCAAAGGGATATGGCCGGCTCTCCAAGATCAAGCTGCGCACCGGCGGCAGCACGGGCAAGATCAACCGTCACGTTGGCAAGCTAGAGGGCCAAGATGTAACCTACGACACCTCTGACGAGCACTTCCGGGATAGTCTGCGCATGCCTGTGAAACACAGATACCGCGCGCCAATCGTCTTCGAGTTCCACACTCCAGGCAAGCGAGGCGCGGCCGCTTATTCCGTTCTCTGGCTCCAGCATCTAGTAGACAACGAAGAAACCGACATCGACCTCCCAATATGGACAACCAAGAACGGTGCCCGCCTCACACAGAACTACATTACCGAACAGAACTGGAAAGCCAAAGAGGTGCCCGGGCTGGAAGACCTGACCGAAGTAGGCCGCCTGCAATTCAAATGCATGTTCTCCCCGGGTATCGACGAGTCTCACGAGAGATTTGTCGTTGACAACGACTCTCGCGAGACGTTTGAGACTTGGGAAGCCTGCATTGCACAGGGAGTCCGCTCGCGCAGCGTCTCGGTCGAAGTCCCCGCCGAAGTCCAAGAGAAGCACGAGCAGTCGCTCATCGACGGCCGTGACGTTCTCAAGCAAGCTGACCCCACTGAGCGCCGCCGCTGGATCGACCGAGAGGGTCATGATTGGAGCGGCGCTTTCGGGCATGACCCACGCGCATACACAGACTCTGACGGCCACAAGGTCGCCGAGCCCGGGCGCGATAAGCCTCCTCATGACCCCGTGACGCCGCCGCCGCTGAAGGGCCAGCCAGCACGCCAGTCAGGCTCACAGGATGGGGACCAGGCGCTGAAGGAGGGCACTAACGATATCACTAGCGAGTCGGAGGCGTCGGAGACTGAATCGCTGTCACAAGGCCCGTCGACGATTAGTCCTACTGCTACGACAGGATATTCACAAGCGAGCAGTAGCTCGCTGAGCAAGAGCGATATAGGGAAGGCGAATCGGCGGAGTGAGCAGCGCCAGCAGCGTGGAATGATGCAGTGGCGACCCGCCCGTAATGCGGCATTTGCAAAGGACGAGGCGAAGTTTGCGCTGAGGAAGCTAAAGAAGAAGATCGGGACGGGGGATTTGACCGGTAGAGAGCCGGATGTGGAGACTGAGACTTGAACTTCAGGTGGTTGTTGGAATGTTGAATGTCGGGCAATGCCTTGGAAGTGAAGTATATTCAAGTCTCGGGATGAGTGTAAAAGGTGTCCGCTGAGATATCTGTGATATATTACGATACTTATGTCCCAATGAACACGAATACTTGTACGCACAGTTCGCCAATCACCGTGACATCGTCTTGGAAATATTACCTATGATATTTGCATATGGCCCCCGAAGAAGAGGATAGATGGAAGAATTAACATGTCAGACTAGTTGGTTCCATCATCGCCTTCAATTTCCCCATGAATAATTGCCTGCAGAATTTGAACGGTGATGTGCAACGTCGGGGTCAGGTCCCATATATTCCCTCTGACAGGTGGAAGTATATAATAATTTTGCTATTGGTGAGTGGAGAGTGTAGATTGAAAAATGAAACAATGGCATGGAAGGCTCAGCATTATGACCAGAACACGCTATTTGCATCTGACAATCTTACTGAAAGCAGATTCACAATATATGTAACCAGCTCAAACGTCATATCATGGAAGATAGAATCATGTGAAAGTAAATCATGTGAAATAAAATCAAGATGAAATCAAGCCTGCCGCCGGTCATCATCTTGTCCTACGAAGGCAATTGGGGTAATTAGATTAGGGCTTCTCTGCACGAAAGAGGCTACTTCAATAAATTGAGCTCTGTTAAGGCTAATTAATTAGGAACGTAAATAGTCGGGAATCTAAATCGTTAGATAGCTAGATAGAAAGCTTGATCGCTAAAGCTCGAAGTGCTCGGATCTGATTATTGTCCGACCGCATCCTTCCTCGCGGCTCGCCCTATCCATTGCGACGCTCAGCTTGGCGCACGGATAGTATCAAGAGTAACAGCCAGGTACCCAATAGCTAGCCAGCCATTTTCATTTCCCTGAATCTCGATTGAGCTCCTCGATTCTTCAATCGATCAGCTACTGAAGCCGAGCCCGGTTGAGACCCGCAGCGGGCGGACCCGGTGACGCCGATCGTGGACCGATGAATGGACAGGTTGGGTAGCACTAGCAGCCTCTTGATGACATGGCCCTGGGCGGTGGCGGCCTGCACCTTCTGTCACCTGCCAAGCCCGCTTGTACGTCGCCTGCATCTCTCCACCACGATGGCCCGTCATTGCGTGACGCCGTGGCTGTCGGAAGATGCAGCCACAGCGCTTGGGCGCCATTTCGCCGAGCCAATACTCGCCGGCTGATCGACACCGAACGCCATTGGCTTGTACATACTCTGGTCTTGGTACGAATCATGCACGGTACAAGCATGCGAAAAAGCACGGAGTTAGAGAAATTAAATTATATGTTAGGAAGAGGGGGTAATAGAATAGTAGTAGAGTATGCCCGCGTCCACGGACAGGCACATGAAAATGTCAGAAAAGCGGCCAACCCAGAAAGCCCCCAGCGCCTCTATTATGTGATGAAGAACATGATTCGTCAAAAGCAGAGTATATGTATCACCATTATGCATGCTGTCAGAAGAAATGTGTAGAATGGAAGATCGTGGCCATGTAGTCATGGATGAAATGGTGGGTCTGGCGGCGGATCATCCAGTTCAGACGGTGGTATTCGCACGGAGGTCTCGGGGTGCACGTCGTCGGCGGTGGCACCTGCCGGGCCCAGCGTCCACTTCCACTCCCGCCGCCGCTTGACCCGGCCTTGCCGTGGAGTCTGGGGTGTTGATGAGGCGTCCGGATCGGATTCGAACCCATCGAGCAGTGCCACGGCCCGCACCTGTCGCTCGGTACGCATGGTGCGCCGCTTCTTGCGCTCGGTCTTGGAGAGCGGCGTCCTGGTAGCGCGCTCATCCAGGCTCACCTCATCGCTCGACGCACTGCTCATCTCGGACAGGGAAAGCTGGCTGGCGGAGTCTGAGTCGTCCTCCGCCAAGTCAGCTGGTGGCGCGTCCGCCGGGTCTGCCTCGTCGCGCACCGCCTCGTCGGCCTCCTCTTCTTGGATCAGATCCAGATGCTGTGCGGTGTAGTGCTCGGTGCGGATCTCCTCCTCGAGAGGGTTCCGATAGCTGACTTGCTTCTTGGCGGGGAAGAAGACCCGCCGTGCGCCTGCACTGCCAGGTCCACTGGCGCCTGCGGAGATGGATCCCGAGCGGCGCCGCGAGGTTGTTTCGATCGGGGAGTTGCGTAGGATGCTACGCACCCCGAGCGGAAGTTGGTAGGGGTGCGGTAGCTGAAGGTGTTGGGATTGTTGTTTGGGTGGTAGACGTAAGGGGAGATGGGTTTGCTGCTGTTGAATCGGTGGCTGGGGGCCTTGGAGGGAGGCGAGGTCGCGGAGGCGGGGGAGGTGACATCGTAGGCGTTTTTGAAGGTATTGCGGACGGTCGGCGAAGCAGTCGAGCTGGCTGCGAAGGAGAGAGAGAGACTGGTGGTCGAACTGCCAAACGTCCGCGGGAGCGAGGAGGTCTGGAGGGTGAGTTTGGGTCTGGTTGTGATGGCTCGGGGGTCACCGGGGGGTGACGAGAGACAGGACATGGTCGTAGGACATAAAGAATGAAGAGGGAGGGCGTCAAGCAAAGCAGAGTAGAAGTGTGTCGCGGGGCACACGGCGGGGGAGATCAACGAGAGTGAGTTGAGACGCGAAGTGTCGAGTGGTGGGGCCTGCGCTAAGAATAGTCGGCGCTTGCACACTGTGCACTGTGACGAGAGGGCTTGTTGGAGAGGCCCATCAACCACCAGCACCAAGTCGCGGAGCGAAGAGAACAACAAGACCTCACGATGAATCTGGGACCAACTTCCACTATTATTTTATCATTTTACATGGGTGAACCGGAGCGCAGAGTTTTCTTTGGCGTGGGCGTGTGGACAGGCAACTATCGACGCCACATCCAGCCCGGTCGGAGAGGGGGATGGGCCTCGACCGTGTTGTCGTGCCCGTTCTAAAATAATGTTAAACGGAAAAAGCGTGTGGGGATCGACGACCAATCCGCTTTAGCCAGGCGAAGAGGGAGGGAGGGGCTAGGCAGAAGAGAGCAGCTCAGCAGGAGGGGGAGTATACAGCGGACCGGAGGATGTGCTATAAAAAGAACCCGACACGATAAGTGGGGCGATCATCGGCTCAGCCCAGGATGATTCGGAACGCGTATGAGCGCCTCTCTCTCTGTCTCTCTTTTTTATGAGACGTGGTTGATTGTGGTCAACTGGGGAACTCGGAACTCCCCGCGCATTGCAGTTGGTTTGTCAAGCGTGCAGCCTCTCGTATACTCTGGGCTTTCCCCCCAATTCTCCGAGGCTTCGGAGCCGCCTGCCGGTCTAATCTGCGGTTCAGCGGCATTTCCAGCACAACATACTTTCGGCTTGCTTTTCCGTCGCTTCCTTCCACCCCAACTCCCAACTGCTCAACTGCACCGTCTGGACGGTATTCCTCGTCCCATCCTACTCTAATCCACACCCCCAACCCAGACCCGTGGCTCCATCTCCATGGCCCACAGATGCATCAACGGCGCCTGCCCTTGTTTCGCTGCCAGATAGAGCGATGCCCGTTCACGCTGCAAGTCGTTGTCACCTCGTCCACATTCGCCACATATTCCACCAACATGGACGCAACCACTAGCCTGAGTTCGACTACCCGAGGGGGTATTCGACCGTTCGTCCGGTCTCTGGTTGGGATCCACTCTGTGGTCCAGAAGCCCGAACGGTCGGACACGGCCTCGTGCAGAGTGGGTTCGGTACGACACGTGCACGACCCCGCGCGATGATGTACCACGGGGCACTCTTGGGCTACCGATTTGGCAAACTCCTGCACCAAAACTCCGAACGCAATTACACTTACCGGTTCACCTTGTAGTGTAAAATATTCGCTGGGACATACTGTTCCCAAGAATTACCGCTGCTTAGAATGTTAGCCGCGCAAAAATCGCTCCTCGGGCAGAAGTGTTATGACCCTGGTTATACTGGTGGATACGGGCTCAAGGTTCACAGATCAGAGCATATGGGGACTAAACACTGCCGAAATACGAATATTGCTGCCGTTGTTATCTAACTAGACGTTTTGACTGCTGCATTAAAGCGTTCAATCGCTTCCTTGCTAGGATATCGTGATCAACACGGTCACCATTTTCATCCTAAATAGCCAAATCAGAAATGCTCCACCAAGGCCAGCAGGCTTTTGAACTTGTTCGTTGGTCGATTTGGGTTCATGTTAATGGTCAGTAGGATGCTGATTTTTTTGCCGTGATATGCACCCGCTTAGGGTAAATTGAATGCCTTCGAATCTTAGACTTCTCAGCCCAGAAGTGCATTACACGGCATTGAAACCGGTAAATTATCAACCACTTTTGACCCTCACACAAAGTTCCTTGGCCGGCGATTTCGGTACATCTAGCGTGCTTGCGATTAGCGCATTGATAAGTCTCGGTTTTATGGTTCCCTTAGAAAATGATGCTTTGTTCTGAAAACGTCGCGTTTTACAACTGATTGGATTTTCGCTCGCTACTCAGCCATTATTACATACCGCAAGTCTCCCAAGAAAGCTCAAAGAGGGAGATCGGGACAGATCTGGCGATCTAGTCTGTTCTATGCCGCGATCTCTAAAACCTCAAGAGCTCGAACCATGGAAACAGCTCTCACAAAATACTCTTAACCACGGGATCTTCTCAACCCTTATCCTTATTCCCCACTTCCTTGGTAGATTCCACATTCCTGAACAACACTCTTCTTCACCGTTTTCAGCGCTGTCCAGAATTGAATCCGCGTCGCATGGCTCGAAGTCTTCTTCATTCAAATAAATTTTTATGTTTGCGATAGGATCTAAAGATAAGAAAAAAAAAACCAAGCCGAAGGTCAATGTCCCACTACTGCGGTTACTGTGGCCATTTGCTCGATTAGACTGTTCATATCCACCTAGCTAAGATAATTGTCTTACACAATCCCCATCATCACCAGTATACGTGTATCTGAATGAATAAGAGTATTCAGCCAGTGGCCCGGCAAGTGCCGCTTTACGAACGATTCCTCTGCCATCCATAATGCTGTGCGTGGTGAATGGCGGCGAAGAGTGGCACTGCACTGACAAATAAAGTTCTCTACTGCAAAGCATACATCCAGTTACAGTTTATTTTCTGAGCTCAAGTTTGGTTGATCTTCTGCCCGTCGATTCAACTGAAATCTTTTTGGTTGTTGGCTCTGGGACTTTTGAGGTATAAGGAATGCACGTGATCCGACCAATGTGCAAGTAGCTCATTCCCTATCTGAAACAGCAGCTCAAGGTATTGACCTTTGCTAGGATGGTGCTGTAGTATCAAGAAAGTGTTATAGCGACCCACGGAAACCTTCAGTTCTAGGCTCAAACCTGTCTGCGGCTCTAAGAGAGGTCACACATGTTCTGGACCGCAACGATACAAACTCTTAAGGGCGTGTGGCTACACTGCCAAGGTATTGCCAAGACTTCCGCGCGGGATCTGATGATGAGTAGAGAAATGTCAATCACGTTGATGGAAAGCACAGCAGTTCTTATCCAAGGGTCATGGTCGGGCGTGAACTCCGATACGATCTTTGCCTTCAGTGCATCAGCACCCAGCTAACAGTGGATGGGGTCGACCCTTTCAGATTAAATTAGACCAATGATATTGTTCAAGCTACGGAATGGCTTCTGATGTAGCCATGGCTTGACGGATGGAGAACCCCAGCATTGTCTTCACACTCGTGACGTCACATGGAAGCTCTATCAATAATATTCTCTATGTAAACTAGCAACGAAAAGGATTTAAGACAGAAAAATTCCCCCAGATTAGAAACGTTCTAGTTCTCATACTTGCCTCACCAAATCGAACCCCAGATACTTCTCGAAAATGCGTCCGACTATTCTTCTGGCTCTTGCTGCGCTGGCTGGAGTGGCTGCCTCTTCTCCTATTGACGACCTCGAGGAACGCGATCTCGAGGGACGGGCAATTGCCGTTACATGTTGGTGTTGCCAATATGCATTTCCAGTCAACATATTTGGCGTGACACAGGTCGGGAGCAATTGCAAGCCCAAACCAGTTACAGGTATGTCATCTATTGATCCTTTATTCTTAGAAGAATTATCTATCTAACAAACGTAAGGCTGCTCTGGCACACAACCTAAGTCGGTCTGTTGCAAAGCCGTACCGGTAAGATGAAACCCAGTCATGATTCCTCAACGTTGTTCCGAGGTATATATACTGACTTTCATCCAGAGTGGAAAAAACATTGCGTGCTTTGGGAATTAATCCAATTTAAAACTACCCAAAAATCTTGAGCTCAGTTAATGTTTGTGATCTTGTTAAATTATTAACCGTCTGGTTTTCTTGTCTTGGGGAAGAGAGACCTGAAGGACATATGGAATGGCAGAGGATTTCATTCATCGCATGGGGCCTCGCCAACTTGAAAAGTTTGGTTAATTTGAAAAGTTTGGTTTATTGAAAAGTTTTATTTGAAAAGTTTTGTTGTTAAGAGAGTAATCTGAACGGGCTTTCCGAAAAGGGACAAAGATAAACAAGAAGAGCTCAAAGCTAGAAAGGGAGAACTGAAAGCTAAGATAAAGTTCAAACTACAGAGTCACCAGGAGTTCGTTCCACGGAAAGGGACCCATCTCCTTTGGGGCAGATATTAGGTTCCGAGCACATGATCGTGGAAATACCCCGTTGTCTCCGCGGAATAGGGTTAGGGATGTGGGGGTGGCAAATATCAATGTCGAACCCAAATAATCGCAGTTTCCTACGGACGCTTATCACACGTTCGCTGCATTCAGCTTCTTCCCAAAATTTACGACGAAGTTAATGACTACTCCTCGTGGCAAATCAACACCAAGAACGCAAGGGTGGAGGGCGGAGGGTCTTGGTACCACATTCCGCGCCGATGACACTAGCAAACTTCCAGAAATTGGTGCTATAGAGGATGGATGACTGCGCATAAGGAGGGGTCCTATGATGGGCGTGAAGGGGAACCGTGGTAGGGCCTGTCGGTATAGGAGTGTCACCGTAACATATTGTACTGCAAATTTATGCGATCGTTTTAGAATTAGCCGCACCATGAAGCTTGATCGAATCGATTGGTTAACAAAAACTGGAACCGGTATTTTTTGATTTTGAGTATGGAATGATAGGATCCCTTTCAGCCGAAATATTCCTCCCCGGAGAACTTAAAGATCTTCCTCTGGACACGCCCGATCAAGTCCTCTACGTCAGGATACTGAGGATGATCGAACTCGACCATTTCACTTAGGTCATCCCGGAAGTCGTGGTACTGAAGTAAGTCATCGTGTGCGAGAAATCCATGCTCCTTCATTTCGCCGGTAAGGGCTTCTTCAAACTGTCGTTTCACATCCCCCGGCCTGCGGTACTGATCGCGTAGTTCCTCGTTCAATAGATTTCTTGTCAGTACCATCGCGTCCACGCGACATTGTTTTGCGTCAAGAATAGCCTTCATCTCAGCCGGGGTATTTTGATGGCATTTGATCAGGATGCTATCCTGATAAAACCCGAGGCCTGATCGGTGGATGTTTGAAATATGTATCTTCAATTTTTTCAAGGTGGGGGGGTCTTAAGGATTCACAACCGGGATAGGGACATTCAATGCCGCGACTGTCCGAATAAAGTGCGTAGGTCTCTAGTTTCAGCCAATTTATAGCATGCATTTCGAGCCATGAGATCTGACGAAGTTGAATGCTAGCCATCAGGTGATTCAGTAGACCGCGCGGGACATTCTTTGGGGGAAGCATGACTCGCATCGGTGTCCAGCAGTCGTCGACGAGGCTCCAGCAACGATCTTTGACCCGCCACACGCTGTAGTATAAAGCGCGGCGTCAAAGTTGTCACTACCGGTGTAGTGGAATGCAACTAAAGCTGTGATATTTGGCGGTGCCGACGTTACCAGTTCGGAGAATTCAAAGCACCTGCTCTCACCTTCAATCTCCGTCGGATACCTTGGCTGGTCGTCACTCAAGACCACATTACACGCGGAAGGGAAGAGTTCTTGTACCTTATCCCAGAATGACTGTCTCTTATGCGCCTGCTGAGTGAGGTCGGAGAATGAAAGACTTAGCTCCACCTGCGTAATGCGCGAGGCAAATTCGGGGCAATGGGAGAAAGGAGAACGTTTGGAATGAACCAAGCCCCATAAACGTTCCGGTCGATACCAGGTGTTGCGCTCCGGCTTCCAAAACAATTCCACGCATTCGTGTCTGGTATAAGAGGAAGCGTGCGTGAGATGAAAAAGCGTTGGCGTATTGCAGCATTGAAAGATCATCCGGTGGAGTTCCGGCGGCAAGTCCATGAAACGATGGAACAGCTTGGGACCGGGAAATGGAAGCCCTTCCGGCGCAACAAAGTAATGAAAGGGAGTAATTGGCAATGAGCCGTGTTGCATACATAATTTGAAATCCGTCATGGCCGGCGGTAACAGATGATACTGTGCGCAGTCTCTTGGAGACCGGGGGAGTGGCATAGCAGGTAGAGATGGTAGTGATGATGGGGATGGTGATGGAGCTGCTGATCTGAGTGATGATAGTGGCAGTGATGAAGATGAAGGGGAAGATGATGGCGATGGTGATGGTGATCGTGGTACAGCTAACAGTTCCTCACGAGGAGGAATAGGCGGTGCTGGGACCTGACCTTCAAGCACCGGTTGAGACCCCAGGCCACGCGAACCTGGTGTCGGGTGCGACGAGAGCTCATTTCCAGACGCGGACTGAAAATCCAGGGGAAGTGACATGGCAGATAAGGCCAGTTATAACACCGAGGTGCCGACCCTCAGGGGAGTAGTTGTGACAGCGTTTCGATAAGCTGTCCTGAATCGTGCTGAGACTATGCTGGGGGCCGAGAGGTGAGACGGTAAGGAGGGGATGTTCCAGGATCCAATCGAGATCCTCTGGATGTTTGACAAGTTTTGGTCAGGCATGAGCGAGTTGGCGACTAGGCCTGGCTAACATGGCGTACTGATATTTCACAATTCAAAAAGGCTAAGTCAATCCACAGCTTTCACCTCACGAAGCATAGTAGACTCCCGCGTAACTAGGAGTGGCCCGCAGATACACCAGCCACACTTTGAGCCCCACCAGCCACGTGCCGAGCCCGCCGATCATGGAGAGCTTGCTTTTACGGTGTATTCCCTACATGAATTGCCCCCGGGCGGCTGGTAAGACTTGTCGCTACGAACGAACGACCCGGCATTGATCCACTCATGGAGAAGCCTGCGTGGGCACCGAGTCGATGGCTGCAACACCGACACGCAACGACCGTCGAGTCATTCTCCACCTGGTAGAGCACGCTCCCCGTTGCCCTCACCCAGCTTCCCACCGCTAATGCACTGATCCCAGGATTATGATTGCTTCTATGCCTCTGTCTTTGAGGTAGAGCAGCCGGCGCTGAAGTCGTTGCCCCTAGCAGTCCAGCAGAAACAGATTGTGGTGACGTGCAACTATGAGGCCCGGCGGCGGGGCCTGCACAAGCTCCAGCTCATCAAAGATGCAAAACGGATTTGCCCTGACGTGGTCGTGGTCCTGGGCGAGGACCTAACCAGGTTCCGCAATGCTTCGAAGGATCTCTACTTGTTCGTGCGTAGCTTCATCTGGGGCGGGCGGGTCGAGAAGCTGGGCTTCGATGAACTCTCGCTGGATGTAACGGAGATGATCGATTACAATGTCCAGCTATTAAATGCGATTGACTTGACCACGGCATTTTTCCATTTGGACCCAAAGGACCCGACCGTGGGATTTGCCTACGATGCAACTCACTATCTGGGTGCTACCTATCCGCCTACGAAGGATGAGCCTGCAAGTCCACCAGAGACATCATCGCTTGAAATGAAGCTGCTGGTGGCCTCCCATCTCCTGGGGTATCTGCGAAGCCAGATGGAACATGAGAAAGGCTTCACGGCTACGGGCGGTGTTTCGACGTCGAAGCTGCTGGCCAAGTTAGTCGGGAGCGTCCATAAACCCAACAACCAAACTACGCTACTTCCGCCATATGAGACCCCTGAGGATGCCATCGCCCAAGAGAGCAATGTCACCCGGTTCATGGATGCCCACGAAATCCGAAAAATCCCCGGGATTGGCTCTCGAATCGCCCACAAGCTAAGGATCAAGGTGACGGGGCAGAATACCGAGGAGGAAAAGCTGACGGTCCGCGACGTTCGCCTGTTCCCTGGGATGGGTCCGCCAGCCTTGGAGAAAGCACTCGGCGGACCGGGCGCCCCCAAAGGGGATTGGGATAAAAGTCTGGAGCATCCTGCATGGGGTAGACAACACCGATGTGCTCGAAGCACGCGACCTGCCCACCCAGATTAGTATCGAGGACTCGTATGGTCGTGGTCACCTAGACAACATCGACACGGTACGGCGCGAGTTAGAGGCACTGGCGAGGAGTTTGATCCGGCGAATGAGAACTGATCTGCTTGACAAGAGTGACAAGAGTGACAAGTCTGACAGCGCTGCGCCTCAGCCCCAGTGGCTGGCACACCCGCGCACCTTGCGATTATCGACCCGCCCACGGAACCTGCCAGAGAGCGACGGGTTGCGGACATACAATGCCAATCGCATTTCACGGTCGGCGCCACTGCCCAGCTTTATTTTCCATCTGGACGAGCATATCGATGCGATTGCCGAGCGACTAGTGCGAGACCACGCGATGGCAATGTTCCGCAAACTGCACCCTGAAAGGTCGGGGTGGGACTTGGGGCTGATGAATATCGCGGTGACCAATCTGGTGGAGAGCGCGGGAGACCTGAAGCAGAGCAGCGGGCGAGACATCAGCAAGATGTTCCGTCAGCAAGAGGCGGTGCTGCGGGACTGGACGGCACGCGAGCCAAACAATCCGGACCAGGGAGACCAGTCGTGCGGAGGGAGAATGCAGCAGCCTAGCGCTTCTGCAGCCGAGTCGGATGGGGCGGATGGGGAGTGGCAGGAAGAAGATGAAGCCGACGACGATGCGTGGCTGGGCGCGAGTCTGGCAAGTGTCGAGGGTGTCGAGTGTCGCCTCTGCGGAGCCGCCATCCCGTACTTTGCGCAGCTGGCGCATCAAACGTTCCATGCGGCAGAGAAGGACGAGGTTGGAGAAATTTAAGGGTTTGGATGCATACTATGGGGGCGTACAAGTGCTATGTACTGGGAACGCGAGCTGTGCACGATAAGAATAGTAACAGGGCATAAATCATAACCGTTTTAATCTCACTAATCGAATGCCCTGAAATGTGATGTTTCAGCTTGCCAAGGCCAAGCCTCGTTGACCATTGGATTGTTTGTGCTTGGCGATGGATTCTGCTGGCTCCGCCTCGTCACTGGCGCTTGGCCGTCAGATCATTCGCGTCAACTCTCGCCTTGTTCCCTCTTATCTCTTCTCACCAACTTATAATCCCTCTATCGTTTCCGATTGTCTGCCAGCACTGTGGTGTTGGTGATGGTATTGTGATTACTTCCGCCGATCCCGAGCTCTCCGAGTGGACCCTGCGATCCCTGAATCTTGTTCCCCATGGTTGCGTGTCTGGACCCTGGAAACCCTACCCACCGACCCTGAGCGCCGCCCGAGGGTTTCTTCCTCCCCCAACCATCATTGCCCGACAATGAGGTTTCCACGGAGCGTCCTGCCCATCGTCGGTGCAGTGTCGGCTCTTTTCACACACGTCCAAGGTGCGTTGTCCCATGCTCCGCTGTCGTAACGCTACTCACTGATCTTGTCCCAGCGCGATCCCAGGCTACAGAAGCCATCCGCCAGCTTACGCCGGTCGACAATGCGATCATTCGTACACCGGAACACCAAATAGACCATCTTTCACATTTTGATCTCACCTTCGAACTACACCGCGACGGAAAACGCATAAAGCTGGAACTCGAGCCGAATCATGATATTCTTGCAGACGATGCGTACGTGCAATACATTGGCGCTGACGGATCGTGGGAGGGTGAACCCATCCACCGACACGAACATAAAGTCTTTCGCGGTCGCGCCCTGGTCGGCTCGGGCAAGGGACGATGGACTCCAAGCGGCTGGGCTCGAGTTACTGTGAAACAGGACGGACCCGAGCCGCTGTTTGAGGGTGCGTTCAGCGTCGACGGCAATAAACACCACATCGAGCTGCAGTCTACCTACCTGGCGAAGAAGCGCCCGATCGATACCGATATCGAGCACCGAAGCGGCGACTACATGATTGTCTACCGGGACACTGACATGCTCCGATATCACACCGAGCTCAAGCGGTCACTGGCCGACCACACAGGCTGCTCTGCGGATCAGCTCGACTTCAATGCCGACTTGACCAACTCGATCTTTCCCTTTGGACTCGACCAGTCGGATAGCCAATGGGGGGTCACGCCACTGAATTCATTGTTTGGTCTCAGCAAGCGCCAATCAAGTGATATTGGCGGTGTTTCAGGTAACACGGCCGGGGTGAACCTGAAGAACACGGTGGGCGACACATCGGGATGTCCCAAGACGAAGAAAGTCGCGTTGATCGGCGTTGCCACGGATTGTGAAATGACCAACTACTTTAAGTCTAACTCTACCCCTAAGGACGCGGCCAAGGAGTGGGTCATCAACCTAGTCAATACTGCATCCAGTCTTTACGAAGACTCTTTCAACGTATCGATTGGTCTGCGCAATCTCACGGTGAATGACCAATCTTGTCCCACCACCGCCACATCGACCCTGCCATGGAATATTGGCTGCGATGGCGGCAATATCACCTGGAGACTGAATGAATTCTCCAAGTGGCGCTCGGAAAACGCAGACAACAACGCCTACTGGACCCTGATGACCGGCTGCCCGACAGGCCAGGAGGTTGGTGTTTCCTGGATGGGCCGCCTATGCACCTCCGATCTCGTCAGCTCTGAAGGTAATTCCGTGACGGGCGCGAATGTCGTGGTCGGCAACCAAGGCTCTACTTGGCAGATCTTTGCCCATGAGTCAGGCCACACTTTTGGAGCAGTGCATGACTGTGACTCGCAAACATGTGCCGAAAATCTGGAAGACTCGTCCCAGTGCTGCCCGCTGACCTCATCAACCTGCGATGCCGATGCAAAATACATCATGAACCCGTACGCTGCAGCGAGCATGACTACCTTCTCCCAATGTACCGTCGGTAATATCTGTTCTGCCATTGGCCGCAACAGCATCAAATCGACCTGTCTCTCCGACAATCGTGGGGTTGTCACCATCAGCGGCAGCACCTGCGGCAACGGAATCGTCGAGTCCGGCGAAGATTGTGACTGCGGCGGCGAGCAGGGTTGCGGTGACAACTCTTGCTGCGATGCGACAACATGCAAGTACAAGAACAACGCTGTCTGCGATGACTCCAACGACAGCTGCTGCAGCCAATGCCAGTACACCTCCGCAGGCACCGTGTGCCGCTCAAGCACCAGCGTTTGCGACATCGCTGAAACGTGCACCGGCAACTCCAGTGCCTGCCCAACTGACCAGTACAAAGATGACGGCTCCTCCTGTGGCGACTCCGGCGCAGGTCTCCAATGCGCCAGCGGCCAATGCACGAGCCGCAACTACCAATGCCGCTCGGTGATGGGCACCCTGCTCAACAGCAACAACACCTGGGCTTGTGACAACACGCAAGCTCCGTCCTGCAGCCTGGTCTGCGGCGCACCCCCGGGCGTCACCGAGTATCCTGCCGGCACCTGTATCGAAATGAACCAGAATTATCTGGACGGCACGCCGTGCGATGCGGGCGGCAAATGCTACGGCGGCCAGTGCAAGGGCTCTTCTGCCGCTGGCTGGATTCGCGACCACAAGAACCTCGTGATTGGCCTGTGTGTCGGCGTGGGCAGTCTCATTGTTCTCAGTCTGCTCTACTGCCTCGTCAGCCGCTGCCGAATGGCACTGGCTAGGCGCCGCATAGCCAAGAACCGCCGTCCCCCACCTCCGATGGGTCGGTACCCTGGCCCGATGCCTGGCCCGATGCCTGGGCGAGGACCCCCTCGCGGACCACCACCTGGTCCGCCCATGAACCAGTGGTATGGCTATCCCAACGATGGATACCACAATGTACCGCCGCCGCCGCCTCGGTACAGCTAGTGATGACCTCTCTCCTTTCCGAATATTTCCTTTATTGATGCTAGTATACAGGGCATTCTGCCGCCTTTTTTTGTCTTCCTTTTTGCATCGCGTCATGTCTAGTTCAGGGGCTGGCTGCTTTGGTTCTGGGCCGGAGGACGGCCTACGCAAACTTCCATTTTTTTTTTCATTCTGGCGTCGCTATTGAGTGGTTTGTCGGATTTCAAATGTGCCTCCCGGGATATACGGGGGTAATTGGATCTTATGGACTTTTCTTTCCTTCTTGTAAATGTGTGTAATGCTTGTCTACATGTTTGATTTTACTTTAGAGAGGGGTAGACTCCCACTCGTGACCTTTGATACTGCCGCATAATTCGCTCCAGGTTTGAAAGTTTAGGCGTTCACCGGGACAATCGGAGTCAGGAACCAGTAGTCCATTCACAGGGAGAGGTAAACTTGAAGACATGGCAAATTCAATGGCATGGGACTGAACAAAATACCCAAACGGTAAAACACATGAAACAAGCAGAAAATAGAAACCCAACACCAGAAAACCCCCATGCAAGGCACATCACAGTAAGCCCCTTTCTGTCCAGGAGGCACGTTCACTGCCAACAAATCCCCACAAACGCCTCCCTCGTGACACCCCCAACGCCCTCAAGGTCAAACTCCTCAATCATAGCCCTAAGCTCCTCCTCCTCGAGCCCTGTCTCCCCAAGCTCCCTCGCAACACGCCGCAAATCCTCCAGGTCAATGAAGCCCTTGCCGCCTTCGTCAAACAGCTCGAACGCGCGCAGAATCTCGTCTCGTGGGTCCCGTTCCAGGATCTTCAGCGCCGTCACAGCTTGGAAGGAGGACAGCGGCATGAGCAGATTGGATGGGTGTTGCGGGTTGGCACCGGCGTTGCCCTTGGGCGCTTGTTGGGGGTTGCCTTGTTGTTGCTGGACTTGCGGACGCGGGACGCCGTACGTTGTGAGGAGGGAGATGAGTTCTTGCTTTGCGAGGGTGAACCCGAGTGCGCGGAAGGCGACACGGAGCTCGTGGTAGTCGAGGTGGCGGTCGCGGTCCAGGTCAAAGAGGGTGAACTGTTGGTGGTGCTGGTTAGCTTTTTGATTTCGAGGGGCCTGGTCGGACCATGTGTTCGCGTGCACTCTTGCTCGAGGGGACAAAGATAGAGCGAGAGCGATTGAAGCGCGATTGAAGACGGGAAGAATAGATCGTTTCTTACTGCTTCGTTAATCTCCTCCCTCTGCTCTTCAGTCAACCGACTCAACGGATTGGCATCCTGCCCCGGGCCATGCGACTGTGTCGCCGCCTGCGCGGATGTAGGCTGCTGCGCCTGCTTGGGGCCGTCGGCGCCACCAAAGTCGGCAGAGGCTGTGGCTCCGAGGCCACGATGCCTCGAGAAGGATGAGGCGCTGAAGGGCAAGGCATTTGCGTTGACAGACCGTTCCGGCAGCTTCGTGCCCGCGTAGGAGCGCGACGCGAAGGGTTGGCCGGAGGCCATGGCGGACTCGTGTGGATGTAGTGATGCGTGCGTCGGTGTGGACTCTATTGGATTCCCAGTTGGAGTATGTCAATTGATGTGGGTTGGAAGGGATTGAGGCTCGTGGCCCGATGTTGTGTGGAGGTGGACTAGCCTGGCGGTGTTGGCGGTGGAGAGGATTCTTGACACGCGCCGACGCGGGCGGAATCAGCCGCCGTTTGGGCATCCCGCAGACTATGGAGTATTTCCTTTTCTTTTGCTTCTCTTTAGTTTTGCAGCTATGTTTCGACAACAAAAATAATTTGCAGCTTGATTCTCTATTCCATTTCGAATGAGCGCCAGGGGTATTTTAGCTATTAAGAATAACGAGAAGAGAGAAAAGGGCGATAAGTATCTATCTAGCCCCAACCGAAGTAAACAAAAAGCGCCACCCGGAACAATGCTGCACGACTCTACTGTGTCCCAGTCTCCAAACTGTACGGATTTCAAACAAATTTCTGACGGAGAAGCGCTGTATGGGTATGTTCACCGCGACACCGGAAGATAGATAGAAGCAAGCTCGTTGCTAGTGAGCTGGAACAGGTGAATGACATGGGAGACCCAACCTCATGACGTTAGACGCGCCCCTGTGTCCGTTCCGACAAAAGGGTAGCTGGGATTATTGTATGCCCCGTCAATGGAGTCCATGCCATTTCGCCAAGTATCGAAACTAAACGGGTCGAAATAATCTTCAAGCTCGGGGTCCACAGACGGCAGGTCTTGATTCGACACCGTCTCCACAGTTAGGCTGTCGGTCAGGGTTGGATTGTCGGACAGGCTGGCCTGCACGAAAGTTAGAGTCTTGATTGGAGAAGGAGTAGATAAGGCTGGGTAGGAGCAGAGACAAGTTGAGCGGGAGAAGAAATGGGCTGAGCAGGAGCAGAAAGAGGCTCACTGATGCGTCGAATGCATTTTCGGCGTTTCGAGGCACAAGGAGGACATGGGGTACCAGGTGCGCACTTCTTCTTGCTCCGGTAACACCTTATACATGCACCGCCGCTTTCTTTCAAGATTCGAATGCCTTCCTTCTGGCTCTCAAGCTCCTCTTTGGTCCGTACTCGCTTTTCACGGTGCTTCTGTGGATTTGTTGGGTCTTCAATGATGAACGGGAACTGCGCATCTGGAGACGACGACCTCTGCTCGGGAGCTGATCGATCGAGCAACGCAGGGTATCCATTCAAAATGCGGTCGCCAGCACTTGAGGCATAGCCAGTTGCTGCCGAAGGACCTGACCATGAGTGCTGAGAGGTAGCGTGCCAAGCAAATGAATGAGATATCGAGGCTGAAGAACCCTGCGAACAGGGTATGATTGTTGGAGGGGCCCATCTGGTGAAGGAAGCAAAGCCTGGATTTTGAGTAGAACTCAAGCTGTTGTTCGGACCTTGTGGTTGCGGCTGTGGCCCATCATACATCACGAAGTAATCATCGCTGAATACTGCTCCCGGACGGGGATACATGATATTTTGGCGCTCGCGGATGCGGCACACGTGGTTTGTTAAAAAGAATGTGGGAGATGGAGTGAGGAAGAGCAGCCTAAAAACGGCCTCGTAGGTAAATGACCTTGGATTGGAACTGTAATATCGAGAGTGCAGGAACAGCCCTAGTTCTCCGCTTAGGTAACAGAGAGGGGAGTACGTTCCTGGGGCCGCTGCTCGAAAAAGGAAAGCGTCACTCCAGATGAGCTTAGTTTCTTGAGGCAGTGACGGCAGCTTGCTGGGTGTCCATGGGGCGAGAAGAAGAACGGTGACGACATGCCGTTATCTCGAATTGGCAGGAGTGCGGGTTGTGGGATGAGATGTGATGCCACATATCCATTTCCTTCATAATCCTGCGACTGCATTTCCGACCAATTCTGAAACGATAGAACAAGTATTCTTGATTTGACCCCAAAAGTACAAGCACAATATGCGCGTAGTTGAAATGTGTTCACGCCGAAGCTAGACACGTAGATCACTGGGGCCCCGGTCTGGTGCTGTAGATCCGCTGCACAGGCCTGCGTGATGGTTGTGGTGTCGCAGAGACTGGTTGGTGCAGAGAGTGGCTTATATGTGATGATTTCACAATGCTAGATCGGCTTGCAATTCTGGGATGGTGCAGCTAGAAAGATCACGTCCAACTTCATTTTGCACTGAACCAATCAGGATCTCGCTGTGTTCCCAAGTCCAAATCCTCCAGAAACGTGCGTCCCATAAGCGTCTCAGGCAGATAGTCTTGTTGCACTTGACCATGGAGATAGTTCGGATTGTACTTGTACTCCTTGCCATACCCGAGCTCTTTCATCAACTTCGTTGGAGCATTCCGCAGATGAATTGGAATTGGTAACCCCGCGACACCTGGTTCATTCAACGCGGCAAAGGCATTATTTAACCCCCGGTAGGCCCGTGTGCTCTTCTTCGATAGAGCCATTGCCACCGTTGCATGTGCTAGGTTGATCCGTGCCTCTGGCAGACCGACCTTTTCCACGGCGGAGTGAGTGGAGATTGCAAGTGTTAACATGGTGTTATCCGCCAGGCCAATATCCTCGGAGGCGACGACGATCAATCGCCGAGCAATGTATAGAGGGTCTTCGCCAGATTGGATCATACGAGAAAGATAGTAAAGGGCGGCATCCGGGTCACTGCCCCTGATCGACTTGTGGAATGCTGATATCGTGTCATAGTGTTGGTCGCCGGCACGGTCATAGACTAGGGTTTTCGTCAGGGCCTGCTTGATGTCTTCTCTTGTAATGCCCCGTCGTTTGGATAGGTCCATAGCTAGTTCAAGGAGGTTCAGTGAGGTTCGGGCATCGCCGTCAGCGAATCGAGCCAGATATTGAATCAATTCATCATCGACTAATTCAGACGGAGAATAATTTGGGCCTTCAACTCGGAGTGCTCGTTGTAGGATTGATATGATGTCTTCGTCTGTAAGCTTCGCCAAGGTAAATGTCCGACACCGAGAAAGCAGAGCATTCTGGACCTTGAATGACGGATTCTCTGTAGTTGCACCAATAAGAGTAACCTGTCCACTCTCCACCGGTCCTAGAAACACATCCTGTTGCGATTTAGAGAATCTATGGATCTCGTCACAGAAAATGATCGTTTTTCTCCCGGTGAGACCAAGTTCACTGCGGGCTTCAGAGAATATCTTCTTGCACTCTGCGACCCCTGAGCTGGTACTGTTGATCTCCACAAAGCGGCTGCCAACCATTGACGATATCACTCGTGCAATAGTAGTCTTTCCTGTTCCAGCACCTCCCCACAAAATCATGCTCGGGACCCGGTCTTGCTCAATGAGGCCTCGAAGAACGCCAGTCTCGCCGACCAGCTCCTGGCCACACACTTCATCCAGTGTCTTTGGACGCATACGCTCTGCAAGCGGGGCAGCCTTTTGCAATGCGTTCGCCTTTGGCCGCTTGGGCTGCGGTTCCGCCGCCTCCCCATTCGGTTGTGTCACTCCATCGTGTTCACGGGACGGCAGCGTATCATGTACGAAGGATCTCTTGCCGTTGAGCGGCCGCGAGGTTGCGTTAATTGAACGTGAAGGTGATTCTTTGGAAAGACTGGTTTGGCCTTGAACTTTTCTTGCAGATGGCGGTTGGAAGATGCTGGCAATCGGTCCTTTCTGCGATGACGGTTGGTCGCCCGGAGAAGAGGACGGCTCTTCGACGAAGCTCTGGCAACCAGAGTCGATGTGGTCATTGATTTTGAGCTGTGGTACGGATTTTTCACAAATAGGACAGGACACCATGCTGACGAAATGCCCCCAAAAAAGCGTAGTCACCACCAAAGAAGCAGTCATGCAGATGCAGCTGTTTAATTGCGGAGACGCGTCGAGCGCGACCGCTGCTTACTAACCAGCAATCGGAGAGAGCTCCGGGCCCGCGGGGCCTTGCTGCCTTGCAAACTACGTATCGCCGGCTTTGTATAGCGCAATGGGAGGGGGAAATATAGGAAACAAAAATATTGTCCTACTAGAGGCTGGTCACAAATTTCGAAATTAAAGTCATACAACTATGCAGTATCTTAAGTGTTGTGCAACTATGCAACCATTTCTGTTGTACTCGCTCGATGGAGAATGTTGCTCCCACGGTTTCCCGAACTCGGAAACGGCGAAGCACGCCATCCGCGAGCCCTGGATGTTCATTTGACTCCGCACTTCCCCCTCACTGTCCCTCCTCACTTCCTGCCTCATGGTTGTTGGTCGCTCCTCTCTCCTGTCCACGCTCGCCCAATTCAAGCCGTACGCTTCCACACTGCCCGCGGCTCCCATCTCCTCGGCCCTACCCCGCGTTCCTAGTCTCGGCGCAAGAGCAATGTCCGTGACCGCTTCGCGGCCCGACCCTTTTCGGCCAGCAAAGAGAGTTGCTGGTCAGCGACAGGATGTCTGGTACGGCGCATATCTATACCTCGCTATATAGGATGCTAGGAAGGGGCTCTGATTGAGATGTTAGGTCCATTGTCAACGAAGCTGCTGCTGCTTCGCCTGTGCAGCCAATCGTGAACATGGGTCAAGGGTTCTTGTGAGTCGCTGCGGTCTACGAGTAGTTTTTTTGCATCCAATGGGCAACTGCTGACCTTCCTTGTCATTTTCACAGTGGCTATAACCCCCCGAAGTTTGCGATTGATGCTGCGAAGGACGCCCTAGACCGCGTGGAATGCAACCAATACTCCCCAACAAAGGTAGAAGCTACCGAATGAACCAGGCGCGCTTGAAACGTAGCTCATAGTACACAGGGTCGCCCTCGCCTCAGGAAGGCAATTGCGGACGCATACTCGCCCTCCTTCGGCCGAACCTTAAACCCCGACACTGAGGTCTCAATTACCACTGGCGCAAATGAAGGTGAGTGGTCCACAGCGGATGGTCATTGGAGGGAAAGACTGATCGAAGGTATTATGGAAAGGCATGCTTAGTGCCTTCATGGCTTTCATTGAGCCCGGTGATGAAGTCATCATCTTCGAGCCGTTCTTTGACCAGTAAGATTACAATCCCTAGCTGGCTCAATCCGAGGGCCTTCGTGTGCTGACTGCTTGAAATAGGTACATCAGCAACATCGAGATGCCCGGGGGCACCATCCGATATGTGCCCCTGCACCCCCCCAAGGACGGTGCAACCAGAACCTCCCCCGCTTCGGAGTGGACGGTTGATTTCCAAGAGCTTGAGAACACTATTAACTCCAAGACCAGGATGATTGTAAGTGCTTCTGACACAGCTTATCGCAAAGAGCCCACTCCTAACTTGAATTTCCAGGTTTTGAACTCTCCGTAAGCCAGAATTCTAATTCTTTTCCTCTCCCATTTCTCCATACTGAACATTCTTCATAGCCACAACCCCGTTGGCAAGGTCTTCTCCAAGGAGGAGCTGCAGCGGATTGGTGACCTCTGTGTCAAGCACAACCTTATTATCCTGTCCGATGAAGTTTATGACCGCCTTTTCTATGTTCCCTTTACCCGAATTGCCACCTTGTCTCCCGAGCTGTACGAGCGCACCCTCACTGTGGGCTCGGCTGGCAAAGCCTTCTACGCCACCGGCTGGCGTGTGGGCTACCTGATTGGACCTGAGCATTTGATCAAATACGTTGCTGGTGCGCACACGCGCATTTGCTATAGCAGTGTTTCTCCTCTCCAAGAGGCTGCTGCCGTTGCGTTTGAGCAGGCAGACAAGGTTGGCTTCTGGGACGAGAGCCGGAACGAGATGCAGCAGAAGATGAAGCTCTTCTGCGAGATTTTTGACGAGCTTGGTATCCCAGTATGTACAGCCTTTCACACGTCTTTGTGATGGTTTCCTCTCTAACAAGACCACTCAGTACTCTGAGCCTGAGGGTGGATATTTCGTGCTGGCCAACATGGCTTCTGTCAAGCTGCCGGCCGACTATCCCTTCCCGCCGCATGTAGCCAACCGTCCTCGTGACTTCAAGCTTTCTTGGTTCCTTATCCATGAAGTTGGTGTGGCTGCCATTCCTCCTACGGAGTTTTATACCGATGCCAATGCTCATATCGCTGAGAACTATCTCCGCTTTGCCGTATGCAAGAACGATGATGTTTTGGAGACCGCCAAGGAGAGACTGCGGGGCCTGAAGAAGTACATTACGCAGTGAACAGTTCCCCAGCCCTTGTACTCATTTATAGATTCACCGAATACAAAGAGATCGCACAGGCGCTTATGCTAGAGACATTGAGAGTCCTCAGTCAAAACCAACTTGAGACTATTTGCTGTCTACACATGGCAAGTCATTAACCTTAAGTCGATACTTCTCACCTGCGACTACGGGATGTTCGACTCCGGCAGGAGGTGATCGTACATTTTAATAAGGTAAGTTTACGGAGGTTTGAAAACTAAGAATCGAGCGCCTGGGAAGAGAAATTCTATCCTCTGCCATTATTTGAGTATGTTCTAAGCCGCTTACCGCAGCGTAGCGGTGAGAGGACCCCAATATTCATACAAACAACGGGATCCGAGTCCTAGGACTTCCGTACGCAACAGCTGAAACAGCTGCTTGCAGAACAACCTTGGCCCCTCGGCCCCGGACCTGACAAAACATGAAGACAAAAGGTGGGGAGAGGAGCGCGCCCCTTTCCCGCCCACTACATGCAAGATAATCCAAAAGGAGGGCCGCGCGGTGATGGAAATCTGCGTGGTAGGACCGAAGTATTCGCTCGACTCAAACTCCTGTGGCAAGAATCGGAGCCAGGGAGATGATATGATGGCTTGAACCCCTAGGCCGGAGAAAGCCACCACCACACGCTGTCGACCACCTCACCATGTCATCGCCAGTGCTAAGGCACAGCTTGGCACTCTTCTAAACATTCGATCTCCATGGGACCTGTCCCCGCCCCATCCCAGCCCTCGCCACGCCGGAAGAGCCGTCTTTCTTCTTCGAGGACGTCCTCGAATCCCTCTCCACGCGTCCGGGCGTACACGCTGCTGACGGTAGGATGGGTAGTTCGATTCGCTCGAAGAATCCAATGGTTGCATTCTTCGATGTAGACCAAGCGATCGAACGCTGGCGCCCATCCCAGACCCCCCAGGAGGCGTCGTCGCTCGGAGACGCAGGTTGGGTCTCGGCAATGGCGGGGGTCTTGACCGTTCCATTCGGTCTTACATGCATGCCGCTGACCCGCGATGTTCGGTTCGATGATGACACTCAGCTCCAAGGAGAGCTGGTGCCGAACTTGCGCGTCCAGTTGAGGCGTCCACAGGTTCGTCAAGCGCAATTTGTCCCGTAGCAGACGGTACATATACTCAACCAGTGGCTGGACCTCAACAGACTTCAACAAACACACAGCAAGGATCCGTCGGAAATGGTCCTTCTCTTCCGGATCGGCAAAACGCACGGTCCGAAGCACACGAGGCGAGCAACGCACCTCCCAAGCACCCGGCGTGAACCCGGCGGCAATGCTGTCGTCCCAATCGGCGAAGATGAAGTAGTCGCCTTCCTGGCGCGCCGTGCTGAACCACATTGCTTGTCGGTGTCGCTCGGGGCTATCCCAGCCGTTCTTGCATGGAATTGCGGGAGGTCCGACTCGAATGTCCGGGGTCACCGAAGTCTCCACGCTGGGTTCCTTCAGTGGTGACTGTCCACAATACAGCCAGTGGGTGCTGACATCCTCCCGCATGTGTTCCTTGCTGCACCATATGAAATGCGAGAAAGGTCCACAATACGGGCAGATGACAGATTGGCAATCCCCCAGGCAGCACCGCTTCTCACACCCCTCCAGTGCGCACTCGAACAAGTGGTATGTCAAGTCCCAGAAGAACTTGCCGGATTCTGGCTCCAACCTCATGTATGCCACGTTGTCCTCGCACACGCCGGTAGGGCCCGGAGTCATCAAAGTCGGACACGTTGGGTATGCACCTCCGCCGAGTGCCTGGGAGGGAATACCCCTGAAATAGTAAGGACTTGTTGCGGGATCCCCTGGTGTACCCCAGAGCACTGCGGCGGGTGTGGACGCCTGGTGCCTTTGAGAAGGACTTAGTTGATGGGCGCCATGCCTAAATGCCACGGTGGGGGATGGAGCAGAGCCCCCATGGGTATGCCCCGCTGATGCCGCGGTCATGTCACCGGGGGTCATGGCAGGGTGAGCCCCAGAGACAAATTCACTTCCCCGATGATGCCCAACTGGTGCTGCAGTGTTGTGACTGCGCATCATGGTCGGGTGAGCATGAGTCAGTGAGGCACCTCTGCGCGCACGTCCTGTTCGTACCACGACTGGTGATGGAGAGCCGGGCGTCCTGGCAGCTGGTGCAGTCGCGGTAGGCGCCCCTCGTCGGATCTGACGCCCCACTGTTACCTCAGTTCTGGGCGATGAACTGGGCGTCATGGTTGGGGTAGCCGCCGATGAAGATTCATCTCGATATGGGTGGCTTGCCGATACGGAAGCAGTCGACGATAGCTGTACTCCAGCGGAGCCCGGAAGAGCCGCCAGCAGCTGGCGGAGAGTTGGTCGCGGAGTCTCTGAGCCTAAGTCGCTTGACGGGCCCTCTGCAGATGCAGCGGACGGGTAGTTGACATCAAGCGACTGGAATGTCTCTGCAAGCACCGTGATATCGCCGGCTCGTTGGCCCTGGTCCTTCGCGGGGCGGCTGGACGAGGGCTCAACGCGAGGGTGCAGGAGCTGGCCAGTGACGCCAGACACGACCTGCGCGGAAACCTCTTGCTGGCGATTATCCTTTCCCCCGGTTTCATCCCTGCTCTTTGACTTCTTGTTGCGCTTGTTTCGGACTGGCTTCTTCCGCTTGCCAATTGCGGCTTGCGTCTCGGTAGGTACTTGGCCAGTGGCTTCGGAACTGCCACTGGTGGTGGCAAAGCTACCTACCGGACCAGTCTGCCCAGAAGTCGCTACCAGTGGCGGGTGTGTCCCGGAAATCTGACGAGGAGATCCGCGGTCTGGACGCGTCGAAATCTCCTCAGGACGCGGGATGATGCTTCGTGCGGGGGTCGCTGGGAGCTGTTAGGGATTATCAAAGGCAGGAAACTATACAGGCCATCATTGCTTACCTGTACCAGGCGACCGCCACTCACCAGAATCTGCCATAGCGCCATACTTGGTCTTCAGAGCTTTCAGTTCTGCGATGACTATTAGCACGCTATTCAGAAATATGTGAAGGAACCCGTGATGGTAGGTGAACATGTGGTGATGGAGATTACTCGCCTGGTTGACTGGGCTCTGCAGATTTCCCGGAAGATGCTACCTCAGAGTCTCTCGCTTCGACTCTGGTGTCTTCGGCATCTAAATATTCATATTAGCTCGTTTTCCCAAGCCATTCTGAAGGCAGCAGCAAATCTGGGATATATGGAAATTAATAGTCTCTTACCTGGAATGCCCTTCTCGTCAATCTGCCCAGCGGAGCAGCTGCTCAACTCAGGTGAGCTCGACGGCTCCAGGGCCGTCAAAGAATTGTGATGGATGATAAGAGGAGTGTGGAAGTCGAGAGAGGTTGTAGAATGCATAGATGGAGACAGTGGCGATGGAGAGATCGGGGCAGTGAAGAACGAGGAAGTAGGAGATGATGGGGGCTGCAGGATGTTGAAATTCGTCAAGGCAATGCCATCTTGACCAGTCGCACCACTGACTGCATTCCTTGACTGTTCTTTATCTTGTCCCTCCTCTTGCGGTTGTTCATCTGCGTGCGCTGTCGTTGCACTCTCTGCCTGGCGGGCTTTCCGCGTCAGCCTTTGTCGTTGTTTCTTTGCCGCTCTACGCTTTCTCTCCCTCTCCAGCTTCTCCTGGTCCGCTATCAAATCCCCCTTTGTCTGACTCTTCTGCTCGAGAGGCGTGTTTGCGCTCTCCTCTTCTGTATTTTCTCCTCCACTGGGGGTCTTCACCGGGGTGCTTCCAGAGTGGACGATCTTCTCCGGGCTCTGAGTGTTCAGGTCTGTCTGCTCCACGCCTTTCGAGCCGCCTTTACTCAGTTCAAAGGGTGGCCCTCCGTCATTTCCCCCGTCGTCAGCCCTCTTCGTGGCCTGCTGGACCGCGTCTTCGATGAGCCTCTTAAGCTCTCCAGAAATCCCACATGACGAATCCTCGGTGGAATGCTGAGCTGTATCACGCAGAGCTTCAGCAAGGATTGCGTCAATTTCAGTTTGCCGCTCTTGCTTGGTCTTCTGGTAATTCTGGCACAGGTACTGAATACACGTCCAAACTCGGACAGGCAAAGTCATTATTTCCATAAACTTTCGCTATGAAAGGTTAGCTTCAACTCTTCCAAGATGTTAGCGGGCCTTCCACTTACAGGGTGGTCTTGCACTGCAGCACGGTACTCTTCGGCTTTCTCGTCCACCATAAGAATGGCTGACTCGCCATTGTCCGCAATGAACTTGAAAAAGATGTTGGTGGCATTCTCGGACCGCCGCAGCCAGCTTACCCTGCAGCCATAGGAGTTCACGTAAGGGCTCCACTGGCGGTACTTCTGGCGAGATTTCTTCACACCCAATAGGAACTTCTCAATCACCTCCTTCCCAATGTGCGTGGCGTTGATGCCAAAGGGGTATGTCCCATCTATTAGATGTCTGATCCTGTGGAGGAGCTCAACGCGGCCTCCTGCATAATCAGCCGATAGTTTGAAGTGGAAGTGCAATGTATCGGTTGACCAGTCAAGATTGTCCTCAAATTCCACCTTAGATGTTGGTGGACCAATTCTCAAAACCAGGGTTGGAGATGTTTCCCGCCACTGGAGGACCTGCAGATCCAATGGGTTCTCCGCGGACTCACAGTCGACCTTATCATCTCCAGCAAAATAATGGAGCCCTTTGTTAGAGTCCAGGATCAGCGCATACTGGCTTACCAGCTGACTCGCCCCATCTTCCACTCGACTCTCTTGGCCTCCCATAGTTGGCAGGGTTGGGAGGTACTTGACCTGCGCCAGAAATCATATTAGCTTGCGGTACCCTCATCCCGGTTTATCAAAACGAATAGCAATTTCTACTCCGCTGGAGTGTTTTTCCGTGCGCTTTTATTCCGGTACTTACTTAAATTATCTATTGCTCGTGACTAGCCACTGAGTTAACCGGGAGGAATCACTGCAGAAGTCGCGGCACAGCCAGAAGGCTGGTGATGTTAGCGAGGGGCACTTTGTTCGATATTGTAATGCCAATCAGAGTAATTGGCCAGATGCTAATTCCTCGCCGGGATTTTCTGTTCTTGGTGGCTGGTGAGCCTCGAGACCAAACAAGTGGAGACAACACCAGAGTATCAAAAGACTCCCGAAACTAAAAATGTGACCTTGCGAGCCCTTCGCTATCAGATATCCTTGCACTCACGGGATTGTGAATATTCAGCTGTCTGATTGCGGTCTATTCAGCGGCCTGATGGCCCTTCTTGGTTCAGCAGAGACGGGTACAGCAGGTTGGCCTGCGATAGATTCAGATAAACTGGAAATCGTCTTTTAATAATCACAACTCACGAAACTGGAGATGCTCTCAACAGGGTAGTGGGCTGTGGGTGCTCTGGAAGCACGAGCACCGCAGGTATCAAACCAAGCTGCTATAAGGATGTATCAGCTTCAACTCCTTTCCTTTGAGACACCTTCAATACGCTGATACTCAAAAAGGTTGTTTGCACCTACTGCACTGGTACACCGGGAGGATCCAGGAGCGACGCTCAAAATCAACTTTGTCGCGACTTGGGGAGATGTTCCGTCAGCATGGTAACCCTGGTTATCTGAATCTTTTGTCTTCCTTTAGCTTACCAGAGGTATGTTTGCAAGGGTATTGTGAACCGCGGGGCTCAGTGGGGTGTTGACTGGGTGGAAGACGCGTTGTGTTCAAGCAAAGAAAGGTGGCAGAAGATGGCGGGAAATGACGGCAAGGTGCGGACAAAGACCAGAATGGTCCCGTGAAGTTCATGGAGCAAGACGATGCGAACTGAGATATCAGAATGCTTCTCATAACATCGATGAAGAACGGTGGTGGGCTGATGGAGACTGGAGGGTGCGAGATCAAGGGATCAGGGGTGGTGCGGGACGACAAGGGAAATTGCGAGAAGAAACCATGAGGCCGAATACAGAAGTCGAAGTCTAGGTCAAAACAAGGTTGAAGCTGGTGCCTTCAGGGTAGTGACGGCTGATACTGAAGCTTCCACCCCACAGCAAGGCGGTAACAACAGGGCAAGATTGACGACGCTTAGCCAGGTATGCATTACTTCGAGTGAATGTTATCTCTAACTATGAATGGGAATTATCACGGCGATGAATCATCGACGACTACGTGGCAAATGACGAGTCGTATGAAAATGATCGGGGCGTTGCAGCTATATAGTTTATATTTTATACGTGTCCAGTGTGCAGACCTATCCGTCCGATCGGCCACTCGACGACAAAGCATGAGGAAAGCGACGGGACGCACTAGGGATTCTCATCGAGCTGCTTTCAAAGCTTCACGGCCTTGACGTGATAACCATGGACATAACGACTAGAGGTTGAGACCTAAAGAAATGCAAATCATTTGAGGAACTGATCACGCTATGAGGTCTAGAATCCGCCTGTCAAGTTACCCTTATCCTACGTATGTTGGGCCATGCCATGAGTTGACACAGGCTAACGTCAATGGACACAACAGTCCAGATGAGACATGAGTATCACATCTCAGTCTCTCGTCAACCTTGAACTATGACTTGGGATCTAAAATTGCCGCCAAGGTCCACGGTTGTCATTGAAACCACAATTCAAAAGCTATTGCCGTTGCGGCCTAGTCACTGACCACAGACTCGTCATATATACCGAATGTCAAGACAAAATAGGGCCAAATCTTAGGCAAAATAACCACTAGACTAAAAATGCACTAAAAGCAACATTCTTAGTCTATACTGTCATTTATTGCTCTGACACCTTTGTATTTCCATAGCTATACAGGACAGTCCTGTTACTATTAAAACAATTCACCGTCCAGCCTGCCTCATGCAAAGACTTAGATAATACTGTCAAGTTCATCGATATCGCTATCGGATGGAGCGTCCATGCTGTGTCCCTCTTGTCGGCACTCAAGGCTTTCGGTGTCTGTAATACTGCTCAGTCAGGACTGCTTCCCGGCCATGAGACAGAAAAGGCAACGGGATGCCGGTGTGGAGAATGACTCACAATGCGTTGACTTGTCTTCTGCAGGGACAACCGCGGGATATTCCCACTGTACAGCCTTGGAATCCTCCTTTATATAATAGACACGCTGAAAGTGACTATCCAATTTTTGTTTCCATCCTGGAGGGAGCGATGGGGGAGGATTGGCAGGACGAAGAGGGAAAACTGACGGCATGGTATCGCAAAGATGACCAGGTGCCACCCGGCGTGTATCGTTCGAGTGCAGGCAGGAAGAGATTGGAGCTGAGCACTCATTCACATGAGGCGGGAGTATATTCCAAGGCAACGCTCTTCGGGATATGACGTTTTATTCTTACTGTAAGCCAAAGCACCACTACACGAGTCCGACACCGGTAAGAGCCCTAGAACCAGTCTAAGTGGCTGCGGCTTTTAGGTATCATCTGTCCTATCCATCCTCCGAGAAATGTGGAAACGATGCCGAGCGAGGGAATCCTTCATTTCCTCCTTTCCGACTAGACTGCGCCCCACAATATGACCGAAATTATTGCCAAGCTACTGCCAAGCTACTCTCAAGCTCCCGGCGGAGGACTGTCCCCAGGACTGGGCAGCGCTGAATGAGATTTAACTCATTTCCCCTGCCACCCCTCGTCTAACCGTCACCACCAACCGGAAATGGCTTCGGAAAACAAAAACAACATGCCCCGTCCGTGGGGCGTTGACAATTCCGGAGATAATCCAGCAGCCATCCGAGGCGAAAGAGTCCCGGCTGTCATGGGAGCTTTGGCCCGCCTGTGTGTGGTACGAGGGATCCGGCACCATGAAGGCTTCGCCCAAGAGTTGTACGGCAACCTGGAGTTCCCGGAGATTAGGCGGGCGCTCAATGCGCGGGCCATCATGAGCAACCGGATACCGGAGATGAACGGGCCAGGAGACTTTCCATACTGCTTCTGGCACCCCGAGGTGCCTGGCGAGCAAACTCTGCGGCGCCTCCTTGAGAAATACCCCGATAACAAATTGCTACGGTACCAAGTCGGTCGCGCATGCGCTGCAGGGGGTCATACAACCTTGTATCATGAACTAGGTCTTCTTCCAGATGTCGCCATCGCCGAGGAAGCACGCGATAACGCTACGTCCGGGGGGGCTATTTTCGAGGCCATCGTCCGTGAACCGATCCGATATGCCTATATGGATGACTACCTACGTTGTTTACGGGAAGCCCCGATCCCTGGTGCGTATCTCAACGGGGACGCATGCGTCCGCTCGATGCTAGATAAGACGCTGTTTGTGGGAGGGCCGATTTACAATCCTCACGAGCAGCCTATCTTCGATATTACCGAGGATTGGTGTATGGATGTTGAGGGAGTCAGGCCTGGTGCACGGCCTGTTGACCCCGAAACCGTACGGCTCTTGTATAATCCTCTCCCGCGCGACTTGCCTACGGTGGATAAGGATCTCCTGATTCTGATGGCCGCATGGTCGGGCAACATCGACCGCTATACACGCCTTCGACGCCCGAAACTGCTTTCGTATGAACTCCCCTATGTGATTAGAGGGATCTATCATTACCCGCTCTTTAGCAAGTGGTGGTCGATGCAGATGCAGCCCGATAACGGTCCCGTTGCTATCCACTAAGCAATCAACGCCCGCAGCGTCATGAATAATGACCTGACCTGGCTGCACGATACGACCCTAGACTGTCATTTGCCCGTCTTGGTTTGGCATCCACAGCACGCGGAGAAAGAAACGTACGCGGAACTCGCACGTCGCCGGCCCTCAATGAAGCCACAGATTGCACGTGCTTGTATGCATGCAGACTACCAGGTTCTGTTCGATGAGCTGAATCCCACCCCCGATGTATGGCTATGGCTCGAAGCAGAACGCTGCGAGAATACCTGTTATCTTGGAAGAATCGAGCATGCGGCATCTGAATTGGGAATTGACTTAGATGCACTCTGTGTCACACCCACCCCGCACCCGGATGTCACAGAGAAGGAGTGTTGGCCCATGCGCATCCTACAACAAGAGATGAGACCGCAGGACGGATCACAGTCTCATACACTGTAGCGGGTGATAACACTCGATCACACCGGGCTTGGAGCGGAAAACGCAGGGGCCATTGCATCGATTATGGGCAATGTTCTACTTTACGCATGCGTGGCTGATCCGTCCGCGATACCACACCCTCCCCACGACTCACTAGATCTGTGTGAATTATATCGAGGTGCCCGGCATGTTGAATCAGAGGAAGATCGAAAGCTGGTTGAACTGGAACCAAACCCCAGCCGGCCTCGCGGAGGGTATCGAGGAAGGGGAAGAGGAAGACCTGCGCCAAAGTCTTACTAATACCCTAGATCATTCCATCCATATCCACTTACCCTTTTATCCTATCGATTGATTTTTCCTTTCTCCTTGCTATACAGCGTAAAATAGCACGGTAGATAATTTAAGCATAAAGAGACGACCAAGTTTGTAGGTCGCTGTTGCTGCGACGCATTTAGGGTAGACACGCGCACGTGAGCTCTGGCGGCGATCTTAACCCCGTCACATACCGCCTTCTGAATATGTACTGGCGATGTTCCTGCCTGAGGCGCTAACAACAGCACCTGCCGTCTGCAGCTACTGTTGGAGGTTTTGTAGGGAGTAGCTACTACCCTCTATATCTGTTTAGTTTCAAAGTGCTTATGGGTGTTGAAATTTATGATGATGTTCTGGGGAAGCATCGAAAATTCTTTACTCAGAAAAAGTCCAGAGGCCCACGTTCATTGTTTGGATCTCGGGTTATGCGGGACCGCACCGAGACACCACATTAAGCGACACAGGAACAAAGAGGGCCTTTCGGGAGCGACTCCCAAACAAAGACTTGCTAGCAAGGCTGGGCAAACAATGTCAGAAACACTAGCGCATTCTGTGAAGACTCTCGCGTTCGAGTTGCACATCCTGATCGTCAGGCGATTGGCTCACGGTCAGCGGGCGCTAAGCGCCCACTGGCTTGACTGGGGCTATATTTGACTGCTCCCGCGCTGTTCGCAACCATACGAGCCACTTACGCGCTTTGCTGCAGCATGAAACAACCCACAGCTACGATCACTTGTCGGCAGGCTTTATTTTTATGCCTTCTTTGTTTTGACATGGACCCTGGCTCACTCTGAGTGGCTGTTTCAACGTCACCGGGGTCGCTAACTGCTTCAGGCGGGGCTCTTTATAAAAAGATCAGGCTTCTTGTAGGCGTGGTTGGCGCTACAATGCCGGACTTGAGCATTCAGGCGTCTGCCTGGGAGTATATTTGATCTTCCATTCATCACTTTTTCGGTGGTTACCTTGACTCTTATTGTTCGCCTGCTAGGCTACCTCCCTCTGTTGACATCCGCGCACTGCCTACTGCCCCCTCTATACACCATGGTCCTGTAATAGACCCTACACGCGCGCTCTCTTGCTATATCTACATCTGCCAAATACCCCCTTCCTCTCCTACGTTATCCTACACGGTGGGATTGACACTAATCGCCGGTTCCTGTTTCTCGCTGGACGTTGAAACTTTCCCCATTCCGCAACTACACAATGATCTTCTCACGGTCCGGGCGACCGGCATTTCCTTTGCTCCCGCCATACGGAGCTCAGGATCCTTCCAACGGGCGAATTATCCCATTGCATCCGGACGGCCTCACACCGTACCTTGGCCTGCGTGCTCGGCTATCACAAGTATGGATCAATCGCTGGACAGTTCTGTTGATTCTGGTGCTTGTCAGAGTCCTGATTGCCATTGGAGATGTTCGGAGCGACATGGCTACTGCAAAGCGTGAGGCACTTTCTGCCTGTACCTCCGTGGAGTCCATGGGCAGTGCCATGGCTTCGATGCCGCACTATCTGTCCTCGGGAGTCAATGAGCTCGCAGCGTCGGGTATTGAGAATGCCGTCCGCGGGTTGAAGTCTATGCTTCTGCTTACTATCACGGGTGTGGAGGAAATCATTCTCTTTATCATCAAGATCATGTATCAGACTTATCTCTGTCTCATCACGATGGCTGTGCGAGGCAGCGTCCATGTTGCTACAGCGCTGATCGAGGACGTGGCCGGCTTCTTGAACAGCACCATCAAGTCAGCTGCCAAGGACATTCAGAACACTGTGAGCACATTTGAGCATGCACTTAATGATTTTGCCGATCTCGTCAACACAGCGGCTAGCGGTCTAGGCGCTTCTCTCCCAACCCTGAGCCTGAACGATTCGCTCAGCGCACTGGACGATATCTCACTCCCGTCCTCAATCAACACAACCCTTGACAAGCTGAACGATAATCTCCCGTCATTTACCGAAGTTCAGAATTTTACCGAGAACATTATCAGATTGCCGTTTGAGGAAGTCAAGAAACTGGTGAACAACTCGCTGGGAACTTACACGTTCGACCGCTCTGCTTTGCCTGTTCCAGCAAAGACGCAGCTGACATTCTGCAACGACAATGACGGCATCAACAGCTTCTTCAAAGGAGTGACCGACATCGCTGTGACGGCACGGAAGATCTTTATCGTAGTCATCTTGGTTGCAGCTGTCCTGGCCTGTATTCCTGTCGCTTGGCAAGAGATCCGACGATGGCGCCAAATGAAGGAACGCGCCCAGCTGGTGCGTAAGGAGGCCCACGACCCGATGGACGTCGTCTATATTGTCTCTCGGCCATACACCGCAGCGGCGGGAATCAAGGCCGCAAGCCGCTTTAGCAACAGCCGTCGACAGATCCTAGTACGTTGGGCAATTGCGTATGCAACTTCCTTCCCGGCACTCTTTGTTCTCGCCATTGCCATCGCGGCCCTCCTCTCCTGCCTATGCCAGTACATTCTACTCAAGAGCATCGAGAAGGCTGTTCCGGAGCTGAGCACTGAGGTTGGGGCTTACGCCGACAAAGTAGTTGGCTCATTACAAAACGCCTCCGCGCAATGGGCAACCGACGCGAACAAAGTGATCTTCGATATGGACGCTGATCTCAACAAGAACATCTTCGGCTGGGTGAACACTAGCACGCGCGCTGTTAATGACACACTCAACACGTTCGTCGACAAAACAGAAGGCGTCTTGAATGAAACTTTCGGCGGCACTATTCTCTACAAGCCCATTCAGGAGCTCTTTGATTGTCTTGTCGGCCTGAAGATTGACAGCGTACAAAAAGGGCTCACATGGGTCTCAGACAACGCCCACATTGAATTCCCTACCCTGCCAAACGACACCTTCTCCCGGGGTGCACAAGATAGTATCTCAAACGATACTAACCCTTCCGATAGCTTTCTCGCTGATGCAGGCGACAGCACATCCAACAAGATCACGGAGGTGGTCCAACAAGTCATCAACAAGCTCAAAGATGGCCTGCGCACAGAGACCCTCATCGCAATAGCTATCCTCTTGCTGTGGGTTCTTATCGCCTTGGTTGGTATCGCCCGTGCTATGGTTCTCTGGTGGGGCCATGACCGAAATCGGGGCGATGGGGGTGGCCATGTCATGGACCCTGTGTCGAACAATCCCGGGCCCGCGCCGGACTCGAGAGAGTTCTCGGATGTGCCCCTGACTGTTTTGCCAAAGAATGAGCTTGGGTCCATCCAGGCTGTACCGCAGTATGAGACACCTATGGCGAGCTCCGCACAGGCGAGGACTGAGCCATCATTCAGCGACGAAAAGCTTGGCTTTGCGGGCCAGAGGAACTATGAGGCTGCCCTGCAGGTTGATACAGCGCCAGCAATGAGGAAAAGTAATTATGTGGAGTATGATGTGAAGAGAGTTTGAAGCATTAAGCTGGCGCCTGGCTTTCTTTTGTTCATCTGTATTATCTGGTGCATGTCAAGGTGCTAGCGGCTTGGATCTACGAAAGTTTACTTCTAGGAATAAATCAACTGCATTTCTTGAAAACCTACACTCACCAAAAGCCAGAACAAGCCGTACATGCTCTATACGATAACAGAAAGCCACAGCACGAGACTTCCTTGTAGTATAAAACTCAATGAGTGCGGATGATTCATACAATCTGATCAAAGAAAGCCCTAATGAGGTGGTTGTCGTACATGCCGTGAGTCGTATATAACATAACCCTTCCACTAAATAGCAACAAAGAAGCTCTTCTCGCCTTCCTTGGGATGAACCCGCGCCCGCTCAACGATCGGATCAGCGCAGCTGATGCGGATACGCTCAGGTGTAGCAGGGCTGACCAAGCTCAGCACCTCCTCAACACCCCACTGTTTCCGTGCAGCCTTCAGTGCATCACGGATAGCGAAAAACACAGCGCTACCCATGAACAGGGGCGGCTCACCGACACCGCGGGAACGCTGGATAGTTCGCAAATTCTCCCACTCGACGTCCTTGAGCAGACTAACATTGAAGACCTGAGGGATATCGCGGAAGCCGGGAATCTTGTAGTTACCAGGCCCACGGGTGAAGATCTGGCCCGAGGCGCGGTGCCACAGACTCTCTTCAGTGGTGAAGAGGCCCTGGCCCTGGACGTAGGCACCTTCGATCTGACCATAGTCAATGGAAGGGTTGATTGTACGGCCAACGTCCATCTTGATATCAGTGCGAAGAGGAGTCCAGTCACCCGTCAAGGTGTCGATCTGGACCTCAGAAGCGGTGACACCCTGCGTGAAGTAGAAGAACATTTGACCCGAATTCTCACCCCACACGTAGCCGATATCGGGAGTGCGGTAGTAACCCTGCGCCGATAGGTTGACACGAGCGAAGTACGCCGTGTGCGCAAGCTCCTTCATAGTCGCGTTGGGCATCTTCTCACGGAATGGACGGAGTCGCTCGTTGAGCTGCTCGCAGGCATTGAAAATGGCGTAGCCATTCAGATCAGAACTGGCCGACGCTGCCGTCGAGGAAGTATTTGCCACGGTGTTGGTGGCGGTCTCGGCAATGAAAACGTTCTCTTGCGGCACCTGAAGAGCCTCGGCGGCGATCATGATCATCTTTGTATGGAGACCTTGGCCCATTTCAACACCGCCGTGCGCGACGAGGACACTACCATCGTGATAGATGTGCACTAATGCACCGGCCTGATTCAGGAACAGAGCCGTGAAAGAGATACCGAACTTTGTTGGCACGATAGCCAAACCGCGCTTGGACCATTTATGCTCCTTGTTATACAGCTCAACAGCCTTGCGGCGTTCCGCATAATTGCTCTCCTCCATGACCTGATTGTACATCAGCGGCACATACCAATCCTTGAGTTCCTGGTTGAAATGTGTGGTTTCGCCAGGCTTGTACATGTTAATGGCCCGCATATGTTCAGGCGAGATGTTGAGATGATCCGCAACCTCGGAGATATAGCACTCGGCGAAGAACAGACCCTGCGGTCCACCAAAGCCGCGGAATGCAGTGTTGGATACAGTGTTTGTCTTGCAAATCCGGCCACGCACATGGATATTAGGGATCTTATAGACACCATCAATGTGAGACAAGCTTCGCTCGACCACTGCGCCAGACAAGTCTTGGGTATGGCCACCGTTGGCAAAGACATCGGCATCGAGAGCAAGGATTTTCCCTTCCTTGGTAACGCCAACTTTCCACCGGCACATAAACGGGTGGCGCTGACCAGATGTCAGGATATCCTCGTCGCGATTGAGCATGCATCGAACTGGTCGGTTGAGCTTCTTCGCAGCAGTCGCGCAGATTCCAGCCAGCTGGATTGAGCGCGTTTCCTTGCCACCGAAGCCACCACCAAGTCTCTTGACACGAGAGACAACCTTGTTCGCGGCAACCCCACATACTTGCGCAATGTAGGTTTGGCTGAACAATTTGTTAGCGAAATTCGAAAGATGCCAAATAATTTCGAATAGAACTTACGTTTCGGTCGGGTTTTGCGTGCCACTCCAGATCTCCATCTCCCCGTCTTCAGGCTTAGGAATGGCAACACAGGCTTGAGTCTCCAGGTAAAAGTGTTCTTGGCCACCCATGCGAGAAACACCGGTGAAGATGTGGTCAGCCTGCTTGAAGCCCGCATCAACGTCGCCATTCTTGATGAAGCGATAGTGACCGAAATAGGACTCTGCCTCAATGGCCTCTTCCATGCTCAAAATGACAGGTAGGTCCTCATATTCAACCTTGACAGCTCTCATGCCTTCCTCGGCAATCTTGGCACTTTGCGCTACAATGACGCCAATGGGCTGGCCAGCGGTGTTCACCTCGTCCACGGCGAAAAAAAGCTCATCGGAGACGGGTGCTCCCCACCGGTTGGCCTCCGGGTTAGGTAGATCTTTGTGGTCCACGTAATCAACAACTCCAGGTATTTCCAGTGCTGCCGAGGCATCAACACTCAGAATCTTAGCATGCGCCTTGGTTGAAAGAACCATGCAAGCAAACAGCTCATTCTGTTGCACGGGAATATCATCAGTATACTGAGCCTGGCCAGTGGCTTGTTTGAGGGCGGCAACATGTGGGGTAGCCTTGCCCAGAATCTTCTGCTGATAAGCAACAGAGGCCTCGTGGTCCTTCGCTCCGGATGAGATGGATCGTTCAATCTCATCGACAACATCTGGATCTAGGTCTGCTGCCTTGACCTCGATTCCTGAGAGAGCATCGTGATAAAATCGGTAGAAGAAGCCCATTGCCAAAGACTTTCGATAAGTTGCCATGCCACCGGGAACACCAAACGGCAGGCTGAAGTCCTTCTCCAATGCAGCCATCACTCCCTCCAGCGTGTCGGGGTTGGTGAACTTTTTGCCGATCAGAAAGTCCTGGGCGTTCTTCGCAGAAACGGTCATAGGCGCCATACCACCAAATACGAGGTTGCAGCTGGTAACGTCGTTGGTGTCGGACAGCGACACGCGAAGCGCAGCGTTGACAATGGCAATATCATCATCCTTCCGCTTAGCCTGCTTATAAGCGCGCATATGCTCGCCCTTCTCCTGTGCAACGGGGATCCGGAGGCTGGCAATGATTGCATCTGGGGCCAATGCTGTTTTGCGGTATCCCTGGAAGAATTCGGTCATGGGGATCTCCTTATCTCCTTCCAGAGACTTGGCGATGAGGATGGTGTTTGTCGCCACAAAGACCGGGTTCAGGTCGGAAATTGGAGAGGCGGTAGCTAGGTTACCAGCAGGCGACGCGACATTTCGGATCTGTCGTCCAGCAAAGTAAAGAAGCTGTTTCTTGATTGCCTTGAAGGGCTGGCTGCGAGTTGGTCCATAGCGCTCTACTGCTTGGTCGCAGATATGCTCCAAATCTGTCAATGATACGTTGGCGCCAATCTCCAGGTAGTCATCATGGAAACTGAATTGCCGCAGCTCAGGGATATCGCCCACGTAGACGGAGGCGGAATAGCGCATTGCCTTAAATTTGATCTCGATTTGAGTCTCCGTGCTTCCGCCGATTAGCTTCGCCTCGGGGTGGATATGCTTGATCTGCAGCAGTTGTTCCACAGTCACAGGCCGGTACCACTTCTTCCTCTTGTTGCCAAAAACCAGAGGCTGGAATTCATGTTTTCTTAGGGCGGCGGGGAAAATTAGCTCTGTGTCGGGGCTGTACTTCTTGAATTCAGGCGCTGGAAATTTGGGCTCTACAGCCTCATTCTCCTCGGTGGTTGGAGAGGACTCCTTGCAACAGCCACCACCACCGTTCTTTTCCATGCAGCAGCCAGATCCACCCTTGGCTTTAGACATGCCACAGTTATTGCGGGAGTTAAAGCTCTGGGCGGCATCGAGAATGGGTCGGTATCCCGTACAGCGACACAGGTTGCCATCGAACGCCTCCTCTATCGCGTGTTCCGAAGGAGTCGATTCGTTGCGTAATAATGCATATAGACTCTATTTTAGAAGATTAGCTCCCAGTCAATTTTTCTGGTCCTCCGGAGATCCACCATCAGTTCCGAGGACGCACCATAACAATTCCAGGCGTGCAGAATCCACATTGACTGCCGTTGCCCACCGCGATCCGCTGCTGGACCGCGTGCGGTTTCTTCACATCGCCAATTCCTTCCACTGTGATGACATGTTTCCCATCGATCGAAGCGAGGGGGGCAATGCAAGCGTTGACGGAGGCATGGTAGACTTTCTTCGTGGTTTGATTGAGGTGTGAAACCACCTACATATTTGTGCGAGCGTCAGTGGAATGCTATCTATGCCCGTTCAGGCCATCTCTGCGAGGAAACCCACCACTGTGCAAGCGCCACAGCCTCCTTCAGCACACCCAAGCTTGGTTCCCGTCAACCCAACACCTCTCAAGTATTCTAACAGTGTCACTTCCGGGTTGACAGTGTCCACGGCGACTTTCGTGCCGTTGAGATAGAAGCGAATAGTATCGTCCCACTTCTCGGTGAGTTGAGCGAGCGAAGTCACCTTCTCGATCTCCTTGTCGAGCTCGCTTACCGAGTCTGAGTCGGTACTGCTAGCGGACGCCATTGTAGTGTGTGTAGTGTAGGAGGAGCGGCAAGGCGCGCTAGGTGGACGGCGTTCACGAGCAACTCTCAATGTTCATGCTGGGCAAAGGGCTATTAGTATATTTCGGGGAGATCGCAAAGACCTTCCTAATGCTATCACGAGACACACACTTCAACGGAGGTCACCAGAGTGCGATTCAGGCCCGAGGTGAAGAGGGGAAAGTCCAGCAGAGATGAGATCAGATCGCGGGCGACTACGGACGAGATAGACCAACCCGCCCGCAACCCCACCCCACTCCACCGTGGAACCGCAGCATTATCCTGCGGGGATCGCCACACCCCGGGCGGATGCCTATCAGAGTCCGCGGCATTACTAACAGGCGGCCCCAGGGCTGGACACCAGCGCGTTACACAGTTTCATAGCATGTAAGGAGTAGTGAAGGCAGCATTCATTCTATCAAATCCTGAATTACGCCGGAAATGCTGGGGTAACAAAAAAAATACATATACCAGAAGAAGTCAAGAAGGGGAAATAGCAAGGAACAGCTCTCGCGCTTATGCCGAGGAGCCAGCAAAAGCTTTCTCCTCCTCCTCCCACTGCTTGCGCTCGACGACACTTCGGGCCCTATCACATTCACTTCATTAGCAAAGACTGATAGACTACCTACTCCCGCGTAGAGAGTAGAGAAATGACTGGATAGAAACTCACCGATAAGCTTTCACGAATCGCCACACCTCAGCATCCGCCAGGTTCCAGGCTTCAGCAACATCCTTGATGTTGATCTGGTTGGTGTCTTTGCTCTTGATGATCTCGCGAGCCTTTTGGATCAGCTCGTACTCCTTGCCCACGCCCTGCTGGCTGGGGTTCTTGTTCTGGACGCTCTCCTTATCACCTGCGGTATTCGGATCGATGGCGCCACTGCGTGGGATTTTGAATCCGAATTGCCACTCGAATTCATCCAAAAGATCTCCCGGAAGACTTTGGCCGGCCTCTGCGGGGAGGGACTCGACAGTCATCCACAACGAGTTGGCAACGGCCTGCTCACCGGCAACGACCTGCTTAAACACTGCACCCCGGGATGATGCGCCAAGGTCCTCCCCAAGGTGATCCTTTGTCACGTCGGCAAGCCATGGATCACGCTCAGTCTCACGGCGGATTTGGCGCGTAGTCACCTCATCGGAGCTCCTTTGCAAGCTGACAAGAGTATATGGATGAGGCAGAGTCCCGATAGTGAATAGGAATGAAGTGTTTTTGAAGCTGGAGGGTTGACTAATCCGCATGGGGGACTTTGCAGAGCCACAGGGACGGCATTCGGGAATGTTGGGCGGGCAGGAGTTCGGCACTGGAGATTCCGGGCACTGGATGAGGGCTTTAGCCAAGCGCAGTGCAGGCTCCACCAGAGCCGTAGTATACTGAGGGAAGGGCTTCAGGACTGCCAGGCCCGCCGGGAAAGCGTTCTGAAAAGTGTTGTGAAGGTGTGCATTGATCAGCTCCACCAGCTGTAGTCGACCAGCCGCGGGGTTTTGGCTGATCTTTTCGTGCACAGCCGGGTAGTGTGAGTTAATGTTGGAAGACCTATAGTACGCCAGGGCAGTCGGCTGCTCCACCTTGAACAATTCAGGATCAACCAGGTCCGAGAATGAGGTAGATTTGTCGTCCAGCTTATCGACGGCACTTTGAATTGCCTTGTCAATGACTTGCTTTTCTGCCGAATAGAGCCCGCCCTTGAAATTGTCAAAACGTGTAATGAACTCGGGTGTCATGCCCCGCCGGAGAGCCGTCAGGAGATAGTCGTCGTATCGCGCCATAGGAAAGCACTCAAAGTCAGCCAGTAGACCGGTTCCCATGTGGCCCCAGGCCAACCAACGGAACACCTCGTTTTCCAGATCAGGGCCGAGGTTCAACTTCTGCACCACCTCATACTGTGGGTTCTTCATAGCATCTCCTGGAGTGAGGATCACTGGCCGGAACCCCTGCGCGAACCAAGCTCGTCGCCAGGTGAACAGGAGTTGGTCATCGGAAGTGTGGTCATCCTTCAAGTCCTTGCCATGGTGCTTCTTGGGATTGTATTCGGGATTATAATAGGTGTAGATTCGACGGCGTTCCTGCAGCGGAGGAAGGACGGAGCGGCTCTCATCCAGGGTAATGGCCGACGAGAACGGGTTCTTCCATTCCCATGTGGTAAACCACTTCGACTCGCCGCTCGTGCTGTTTGATTGCTCGACTGGAGGCTCGTGCGATGGAGGACGGAAGGACGGCAGGTGGAAATTGCTCAGCGATGGGAGTTTCGGTAAAGGCACATGATATTTAGCTGGCTCTGATCCCTCCTCTCCTTCCACTGTTGGCTCAGGGATGGGAGAGGACGAAAAGATAAACAGGAGGAGCGCAACAAAGACAATGATAGCCAACAGCCCCGTGCTTCGATGGGGAATCATCTTCACACCGCACAAAAAGGGCCGATTGAAGTGTGAACACGGGACGGAGACGGCGCAAGCTCGGCCGCGATGCAGTTCTCCTGGGGATGTCGCCTAGAGTACACCGGATTCGGCGATTCGGTCCAGCTACAGTCTTGGTGGGAGGTGAGGCAGGGTTCGAAGAGCCGGGGATTAGTCCATCGGAAGAGACAATGCGACGAAATTGCAGCCACGCCGATGCCTCCAATGATGTCAGACAAAATGTACAACTCGCTTCTGAAGAAGCACGGCTGGCGCTGAGGCACTCAGGAGCTTCGTGGACGGCCTGGGGCATCAGAATACGGGATGACTCATCATATTACATCACCGCCTAGGGTCTAGTTAACTACTGTCTACACGGTGGGCTGCGGCCTCAAGGCGGTGAAGCTTTTGATTATGTGTGGGGGCGCTTCGAGGTCAATGGCCGCCAATGACCGCGGGGCGGCCACGGCGAAATCGGGCTTTTTTTTGTGCCCCTCCGCAGAACGGCTTGACTCATCCTTGCCTTCTCCATCTTCCAAAAAGACATCGCGAAGCAATTGCACAGCTGCAACTATGGCTGTGGGATCCGCTTCGCTGCAGGGCCGCCTGGAGAGGTGGGCACAGCGCCTTAACAACCTTACCGTTTCGCCATTGACCCGAGACTACCCCGACACACAAAAGCACGAAGGCAAGCGGGCCATTGAGGCCTTTGAGACTCTGAACCTCCCCAATGAGATCCAGGTGGCCCTGAAGAAGCTTTCTGGATCTTCATCCTCCGATTTCACAGTCTTTCTGACTGCGTTCGTGGTTTTGGTTGCTCGTTTGACTGGCGACGAAGAGTGAGTGAATGCTTCGTCTTTCAATATCGGTGGAAGCTAACAACTACTTCATTAAAGCATTTCGGTTGCGACAAACTTGGCCGAGGACTCTCGCCCATTCGTGCTTCGAATTTCTTACGATGCCTCTGAAACCTTCTCTCAGCTCTATGCTAAGGTTAACAAGGTGCGTTATCTCTCCAGATCCTACCCGTTGAGCCTAATATTAATCTCTCGATAGACGTTCAATGAGGGTGCCTCTGATATTGTGCCCTTGGGCAGCCTCCGCTCGTATATCCAAGACAAATCCAAGTCTGAACGTACCCCTATCCTCTTCCGATTCGCTGCCTACGATGCCCCTGCCGCCTCACAAGAATACCCCGCGAACACTTTTGACAGCACCGATCTAGTGATCAATGTGTCATCTGAGCTGGGCGCATACTACAACCAACGTCTGTTCTCGAGCGCACGAATTGCTACGATTCTTAATCAACTGGTTCAAATTGTTAGCAATGCTGCCGCCAATCCAGAGGAAGCTGTGGGCCGGATCGATATGATGACCCCGGACCAGGTCGCACTTTTACCCGACCCCACGGCTGACTTGAACTGGTCCAAGTTCCGTGGTCCTATTCATGAAATCTTCGCTGAAAATGCGCAGAAGCACCCTGAGAAGCTTTGTGTCGTGGAGACCAAGTCGAGTAACTCCCCCCACCGGGAGTTCACCTATAAACAGATCAACGAGGCTTCCAACATTCTCGGACACCACTTGGTGCAGTCCGGCATCCAAAGAGGGGATGTTGTTATGGTTTATGCCTACCGGGGCGTGGATCTTGTCGTTGCAGTGATGGGTATTTTGAAGGCCGGTGCTACGTTCTCCGTTATCGACCCTGCCTACCCACCCGAGCGCCAAAATATTTATCTCGATGTTGCCCGCCCGCGTGCTTTGATCAAGATTGCCAAAGCCACCAGAGATGCTGGCGAAGTCTCGGACATTGTCCGGTCATTCATCAGTGATAACCTGGAGCTCCACACCGAGATTCCGGCTCTCGCCCTCCATGACGATGGAACTCTTACTGGTGGTTCTGTCGCAAGCAATGGCCAGGACGTGTTTGCTGAGCAGGTTGCACTGAAGTCGCAGCCTGTTGGTGTGGTTGTGGGCCCCGATTCCACCCCGACCCTGTCTTTCACATCTGGTTCGGAGGGCCGACCTAAAGGCGTCCGTGGCCGTCACTTCTCCCTGGCCTATTATTTCCCGTGGATGTCTGAAACATTTAAGCTCACTCCTGATGAGAAGTTTACTATGCTGAGTGGTATTGCTCACGACCCTATCCAAAGAGATATCTTTACCCCGCTGTTTTTGGGTGCTCAGCTTTTGGTGCCGGCCAAGGAGGATATCCAGAATGAGAAGTTGGCTGAGTGGATGCAGAATTATGGTGCTACTGTCACCCATCTCACCCCCGCCATGGGTCAGATTCTAGTCGGCGGCGCCTCTGCGCAGTTCCCTGCTCTCCACCACGCTTTCTTCGTGGGCGACGTTTTAATCAAGCGTGACTGCCGGTCTCTACAGCAACTGGCGAGAAATTGCTATATTACGAATATGTACGGCACAACAGAGGTGGGTTTTCTTTGGTCTATGGTCTATAATTTTGCGTCGTCCACGAGCTAACAAGAAGCAGACTCAACGTGCTGTCAGTTATTACGAGATTCCTAGCTACTCGAGCCAGGAAGGCTTCTTGGACACCATGAAGGACGTTATTCCTGCTGGTCGTGGTATGCTGGATGTGCAGATGCTGGTTGTCAACCGCTTCGATCCTTCCCGTATCTGCGCTATTGGCGAGGTTGGCGAAATCTACGTCCGCGCTGCCGGCTTAGCCGAGGGGTACCTTGGATCCCCTGAGCTGAATGCCCAGAAGTTCCTGACCAACTGGTTCGTGAAGCCTGAGGTTTGGACTGAAAAGGAGAGGGGCGGCAATGAACCTTGGCGGGAGTTCTACGTTGGCCCTAGAGACCGCCTATACCGCAGTGGCGACCTTGGTCGCTATACTCCCTCTGGAGACGTGGAGTGCTCCGGGCGCGCAGATTCTCAGGTCAAGATCCGTGGATTCAGAATTGAACTTGGCGAAATCGATACTCACCTGTCTCGCCATCCTCTGGTTCGTGAGAATGTGACTCTCGTTCGGCGTGACAAGTTTGAGGAGCCTACTCTTGTCAGCTACTTCGTGCCTGATATGAGTAAGTGGTCCGAATGGCTTGAGAGTAAGGGCCTTAAGGATGATGATTCGGGTGAGGGTATGGTCGGGATGCTGCGTCGCTTCCTTCCTCTGCGTAATGACGCTCGTGAGCACCTGCGCAGCAAGCTCCCTGCTTACGCTGTGCCGACGGTGATCATTCCGCTGAAGCGCATGCCTCTCAATCCCAACGGCAAGATTGATAAGCCTGCCTTGCCCTTCCCTGACACTGCGGAACTCAGTGCAGCTGCTCCTCGTCGCCGATCTTCGGCGATCCAGGCGCTCTCTGAGACCGAGCAAGCTCTCTGCCAAATTTGGGCCAAGCTTATTCCCAACGTGACCGCCCGCATGATTGGACCTGAAGACTCCTTCTTCGACCTCGGTGGGCACAGTATCCTAGCCCAGCAGATGTTCTTCGAGTTGCGCCGCAAGTGGCGCACTGTTGACATTAGCATGAGTGCCATCTTCCGCAGCCCAACTCTCAAGGGCTTCGCAGGCGAGATTGACCGTCTGCTTGATGTGGAGGCGTTTGCGACTAGCGACAAGGCCGCCACACAGGGCGCTACTGAGCCAGACGATGGCTACTCGAAGGACGCTCGCCAGTTGGTCAATGAGCTGCCCGAGACCTTCCCTACCAGGACAGAGGATCTGCTTACTCAACCGACTGTCTTCCTTACCGGCGCTACTGGCTTCCTGGGTGCCCACATTCTTCGCGACCTTCTCACTCGCAAGTCCCCTTCCACCAAGGTCGTTGCTCTAATTCGGGCCAAGAGCGACGAACAGGCTCTTGAGCGTCTTCGCTCTACTTGCCGCGCCTATGGCTTCTGGGACGACGAGTGGGTCAACAGGCTGGAAACCCGAAGTGGTGACCTTGGCAAGCCTCTGTTCGGCCTGTCCCAGTCCGCCTGGGACGACCTTAGCAAGCGTGTTGATGTAGTCATCCATAACGGTGCCCTTGTTCACTGGGTCTACCCCTACTCTACTCTCAGGGGTCCTAACGTCTTGGGCACCATCGATGCCTTGAAGTTGTGCGCTACCGGCAAGGCTAAACAGTTTGCCTTCGTCAGCTCTACTAGTGCACTGGATAACGACCACTACGTGCAAGAGTCTGAGCGTAGCCTTGCCGCTGGTGGTAATGGCGTAAGCGAAGAGGACGACATGGAGGGCAGTGCCGTTGGCCTTGGTACTGGTTATGGCCAGAGTAAGTGGGCTAGTGAACATTTGGTACGTGCTGCACGGGCACGCGGCCTAAAGGCCGGTATCATCCGATCTGGATACATCTTGGGTGATTCGACATCTGGTGTCTGCGTGACGGATGACTTCCTGACACGGTTCTGGAAGGGTTGTGTCCAGTTGGGCAGTCGCCCTCAAATTAACAACACGATCAACGCCGTGCCATCTGACTACGTCGTGAGGGTTGTCATTGCGACTGCTTTCCATCCCCCTAGCAATTCTACTGGCGTTGTCCATGTCACCGGACAGCCGCGCCTACGCTTCAATGAGTTCCTTGGAGCCCTAGAGAGCTACGGTTACCCTGTCAAGCAGATTGATTACATCCCATGGGCGGCGTCTCTTGAGCATTATGTCAATGATGGTCAGCACAACGACAAAGACTCTCAGCATGCCCTGTAAGTGACCCCATACCCGCCCTTGTACAATTTAGGCAATTACTAACCGTTGACTAGCATGCCACTGTACCATTTCGTTGTTTCTGACCTTCCCTCCAACAGCAAGGCACCGGAACTGGATAACGCATTCGCATCCGCCGCCTTGAGGGCCGATGCTGCCTGGTCTGGCGTTGATGCCTCCGCCGGTGCCGGGATTACGGTTGAGTTGATCGGGCTGTACGTGTCCTATCTGGTGGCAATTGGCTTCCTGCCCACGCCATCTGTCGCAGGATCCCGGCCTCTGCCGGCTGTGTCCATTACTGAGGAGCAAAAGAAGATGATCCTGAACGTCGGTGGTCGTGGCGGTGCCTCTTAAGTGATGGTGCGGCGGTTTAATCCGTATTATCATGTGCCGTGTCTTTAGGCGGCATGATTGTGGTTATACATAAAAGTACAAGCAATGCAGATCAGAATGAGCGAACTCCTTCTAGAAATTCATAATACTCGCGTAGAAGCCCCCGGTGTGTGGTTCTGTAATTGCTATTGCTGTATAGATTGTTCCGGTCAACCGAAAGCGCAAGGGGCCGATCCCGCCATCCCGACATTTCCCCTCGGAAGATTCGCCCCTCCAAACCATCAACACCCTGCCCGCCCAGGCACAGACCTTCCCGCCTGTTCCTCTTTCTAATACTTAATCACCTTTGTCAACAAGGAACACCTCTCCTTCTTCCTTTCCCTCATCTCCACCTTTCGCAACAAGACGGTATATAGCCATGTCTGAAGGTACGTACGGGCGCGCCCGGTCAACCTTTCTGCTCGGTCTTGGCGGGATTTCCCTTCTTACCCCATTCTTTCCCCAACATCTCATTCTTCCCACTTTGTCGTCGGATACTCGTGGCGCACACTCTGCAGTTGAGTCCAGGGCAAGTCGACCGCCGGGGTCGTGATAATTCCTGCTTCGTACTGCTCCTCATTCAACCCGGTGCCCGGTGTTTCAACCCCTTCCTTCTTATTGGCCTTGCCCCGAACACCAGTTCCCCCCACCGTTCGTCATGAGCGCGGCCGGACTCGCTATACGATCCCGCTTTCTCGCGCGCCCCAGTGAGGCCGCGCATCGGATCGCGGGTCAGCCTTTGCTTCTTGCCTCCTGTCCTGTTGTGATCCCGGCGCATCGTGTCTCTCCTTTCTCGACCTCCGCCCCTTCCTACTGCGCGAACCACAAACCCTCGGGCGCCACACAGACTAACAGCACCGCCTCGTCCACCACAGACAAGTACGCCGCTGGCCTGCGCAAGAACAAGGACTGGGCCGCCCAGACCGCGCGTGAGCACCCCGAACTCTTCCCAACCCTCGCAACCGGCCAGCAACCCCAGATCCTGTGGCTCGGCTGCTCTGACTCACGATGCGCCGAGACCTCCATGCTCGGCCTGCTGCCCGGCGACGTCTTCGTGCACCGCAACATCGCCAACATCCTGCATCCCGGTGACCTGAGCTCGGGCGCTGTCATCGAGTACGCCGTGAAGCACCTGCGCGTCAAGCACATCGTGGTCTGCGGCCACACTTCCTGCGGCGGCGTCGCTGCCGCCATGGGCAACAAGCAGCTTGGCATTTTGGACCCCTGGTTGCTGCCCTTGCGCCAGGTGCGCGAGCGTAACCTTGCTGTTTTGCAGAAGCTGTCACCTGTTGAGGCTGCGGAGAAGCTGGCTGAGCTGAACGTCCGCGAGAGCCTGAACGTTGTCACCCAGAAGGATGTCGTCCTGAGCGCTATCCAGGAACGTGGCCTCCAGGTCCACGGACTGATCTACGAGGTTGGCTCTGGTGTTCTCCGTGAGCTGGATACCTCGGACTCGGATGAGGCGATCAAGGCACGGTTGGTGGCCTTCAAGACCGATGCTTAAGTCTTTGATAATTCTTTACCGAGCGTATGTAGCACAGTGGGGGTGTACTGGGGCATAGAATTTTTCTTTCCGGTGGCGTACAGCTCGAACATGATGAATGACGACAAGGTGAATCCTATTTCAACTCTTGGAAATCGTAGAGGGTCATTAGGTTTCAGTAAATGAGGCCTCCCCATTCCTTTTTGGCAAGGAGTGAGTGACGGCAGACTGTTGTACATTGAAATCACCCTCCGTTTGCCTCTTTAAAACAGCGTTGAGGCCCTTTTGTGCAGACCCCATCATTCTCTGGTTCGGCTGTGCCTAGGCAGTCTTTGCCCTTCCCCCCCCCATGGCTAGCAATAGATTTGCAGCCGGACGCTAGCTTCGACACTGGCCTCTGGCGTATCTTTGTGGACCCAAATAATTTTCCGACGCCACAAGGACCTACCACAACTTAATCCCGAAGAAGCATAGTATGCCACCTCCAATGAAACTGAAGCAACCACCGCTCCAAAAAAAAGCCCTAGTGAGGCTAATGACCGGGGACTCGATTGGGCCAGCCTATTCCTGGCCGACCGCCAAGTGATAGGTAGCATGCTCTGACTCAACGCTGTCATCAAGGCTTTGGGGCTGACGGAGTGGGGCGAGCTGCAGATCCTCCAGAAATAAACCAGTGAGATAATGGCACATCAGACGTGTGTTGCAGGCGATACTGTGCTTGTACAGTGACTTTAGGCAGCTACGGTCGTCGGTGACTTCTGCCTTGGCCCAGGAGCAAAGTATAAAAGACTGAGAGTCTTTCTCCATCATCGACTGACTTGGATCATCTTGCGTAGGCTATCTTCCTTGCCGGGTTTTATATACTTGAGATATTCTCACAGAGCATTCGCCTGGGCGCATCTTCTATCCTTGGCCACGCTCATACCCGGGTTATCTTTTCAGTGTTCTCGGCTCACTTCTGCTTCAAATTCACAGCTAGATTATCTACACTTTACAAGCACAATTTAGTACATCTTGCCTCACTACCATGGCGCAGGACACCAACGGAATTCTGGCTGGAGGCGGCGCCAGCAACTCCACCACAAACGGCACTGGTAAGTGAGCACGATAGACATATACAACATCGTCAGGTTTCCCTACTAACACATATTAGAGAATGAGACCGCACAGGAAGAAGAAACCAAGTACGCCCCGCACGGATCCATCTGCGGCGCTCGGAACCTCTACCAGACCAAGCCCGATGAGAATGGTGAAACATCGTGGACCAAGGACCTGCCCGAGACCTTGGTCGCGCCCGCCGAGGACGAGGATTCTGCACAATACGCAATGCTTGTACGGCACACAAAATGTTACGATGGGCGGAAGAGCCTGTCAATCCACTCAGTGGTTGTTCAAAGTGAGGCACTCAAGACGTTCCTGGGCAAGGTTCTCGACGGATACCCCGGCGTCACTACCACTTTGGAGCGCCTAGAATTTACTCAGCCATTCAAGCCGTTGGTCCACCGATGGGAGGACCTTGTGATGGCTCGTGAAGACGAAGTACTGGACGCGGTTACGAAAGAGCACGTTGACCTCTTCTATAAGATTCTCGAAGCGGAGCTGCGTGACACCCTCGCACGCAAGAAGGATCTCATTCGCAATGGGGTTATCACGCACCCGCTCATTTGGACGCTTTTTGAGCCCGATGATGCGGTCATCAGCAACACTAGCATCCCTCGGGGCTTCCTGTTTTCTGACTGCAGCATCAACTGCCGGACAAAAGCATGGGTCCTCACTTGCAGACACATCGACTTCGACGGTGAAGATTTCGGATACAAGGATGAGGATTTTGCCGCAAACCCGTTCATTGGAACTACACCCATTACTTCTTTGCCAGTCTTCCCACTGAAGTATCATCCCGAGAAGGAAGCCATCCGCGAAAAGCTCATTGCCCAAGGAAAGCGCTGGGAGGAGCACAAAGGCTACCACTACAGGCAATACGAAGGCGTGGCCGTTGGTTTCTCGGAAGACGACGAGACCAAGCGGTACCACGTCAAAAGCAGGATCATCATCGACGCTGAAGCATTTAATGTCTTCCACCCGTACAAGTCTATCCACGTGTGGGGGTACAGCGACATACCCCAGGAGCTGAACGACGATCTGCTTATGATTACTTCCCACATGGTGTACGGTTATTCCCTGAAGGACAAGGAGTGGCTGCAATTCTCTCTTTATTGTACATCAGATATTGAATGGGACTCCCACGCCTTCGAGTCTCTCGTCCTTCCCCAGGAACAGCAAGACTTAAAAGAGCTGATTCTAGCCTTTGCAAAAGCCCAATCCAAGCAGCTAGACAGCTTTGACGATGTCGTTCACGGCAAGGGCCGGGGAATCATTATGCAACTCAGCGGGCCCCCGGGAGTGGGCAAGACTTTGACGGCGGAGAGCGTGGCTGAGGTGATGCAGGTTCCACTGTATGCAATGAGCGCGGGCGATCTGGGGACCAGTGCAGATGCAGTTGAAAGAAGTCTGAAGGACATCCTCCGCATGGTCCCCAAGTGGGGTGCTGTCCTTCTCCTAGACGAGGCCGATGTCTTTATGGAAGCCCGTTCCTCGACTGACCTGCAGCGCAACGAGCTTGTGTCGATTTTTCTGCGGATGCTGGAGTACTACGAGGGTATTCTCTTCCTCACCACTAATCGTGCTGAGCATATCGATCCGGCCTTTGAATCTCGGATTCACGTGTCGCTGGCTTATAAGGAACTTGAGGCCCCCTCGAGGCGGCATATTTGGAGCCAGTTCTTGGGCCGCTCTGCCAATGCGGCTACTTTCTCAGACGAGCAGCTGGAAAAGCTGGCCGCAGTGCAGCTGAATGGCCGGCAGATTAAGAATATGATGAAAACTGCTAGCCTGCTGGCCTGGTCTCAGCAGAAGCAGCTGGGATATCAGCATATCGAGACGGTGCTCAATCTCCGTACGAGCAATGCGCTAAAGCTAACCTGAGATACGATAGGGGCTTATAGTATACTTGTGGCTACACGACGGAAGTGACGTTGGAATGTTTCTTACAAATACACTATAATAGGTGATAAGAATAGCAAGCCTTCAACCTCTAACCTTCGACGTGGAGAACTCGTTTCACAACGATCTTTCTATCATTCACTTCATGTGGGATTTATGTGCCTTGTTCTCTTTTTGGCTACGTAGATATGTTATATGATTTATTCCCGATTCTTCACCCTTTCTGCGGCCATTATCTCGAGGGAAATAGATACGGCGCTTCCACTTGCCTTAGATAGCGAGTCACCATGGGGTTCCCACACCTTCCTGCTCGAGGAGACTACCGTGTCCAAATTCCATACCCCAAGCAAAATGAGTTCGAGAGACGAATATCCACTCCCCGCGAACACCGACATTTCATCAACGAAACGAATGATATTACCGATGATTACTGAGTTTATGACTCCCAATCGCACAAGATCCAACCCTGGTCCGATCATTGCGTATAATGATTTTATTCCCGCAATGGCTCAATCGTCTCCAGCGCAGAGGGGTGATAAGTTGCCTCTTGGGGATCTCCTAACGTGATCTAGCATGTAGGACTCCCTTCTCTTCTCCTCTTTGGCTGCAAATACTCATTCCCGGGCCTTGGCAGGGATATGTCTCTCAGATACTGGCAGTATATTTGACCATTTCCTTGGGGCAAGCAATCTCGAACGATGTCGTACCACTACCTAAACCACTTCACCCAGTGCGAATGAAGAGGCGCTCTATGTAGTTTTTGTCTGCATACGCAAGACCGGCTGCTGGTCTGAGACCCTGGTTCTGAAATACACGTTATTATCGACAGAATCCACTGTGTGATGAAATCCACCAGCTTGGCTGCGGCGCCGGCGTTGTCAGCGGCTTCACGCCGCTGAATGCTGTCGACCACCACCAACAACAACCAAAAGATTAGAACCGAGAACAGCGATGAAAGAACTAGTGAAGCTCGCCAGAAAATCTGCGCAATCATCTTAGCCGAAGATTCCCGTTCTCCATAGCATGAGAGAAGAAGGGGCATCTGCCTCGAGACAGCGTTAGCATCATTCTCAATATTTAAGATACCGAGTTTATTCAAACTGATCGCCGCAATATGCAGAAGGCTATGAAGGAACCGGCTACGTAAAAATCCACGGCCACTGATTGGACGGCGCGATACTACCGGCGAGAAAGATGTCTCACTCGGGCACGGTCAGTTCCCAGTTCGTCTCTCCACTCCACCTAACTACCCCGCTTTTATTTAGCTTTTGATCAGATTGTACAGTCTAATACTCTTCCGCAATTCTATGCGGATTGACCAATGCGATATTGTGCTGTCCATCTGCGTCCCAAGGGCGAAGAATCATGACTAAGCTTATAGAGAATCACATGACTCGGCTATTGTTTGGCCCGTTCGCCACCCCCTGAGATCGCGCACTAAGATTTGATGGCCAGTGGTGGTTGGACGGAGGCAAAAATGTCATTGTCTGAACTTATCTCGGATTTCGGCTGAGGGGTATTAGCGATACATCTGGCTTCTTGCCCGGGATTGGACCTCGAAACCCGAATAAGTGGCTCGGCATTCGATGGATCCATCTATGGAAGGAATCTAGGCGTTCACGAATGCTCTTTTCACTCCGAGGGTTGTGAATACGGAGAACACGTGTCTGGACTGACAGGCTCTTGATCTTCCATTCACAATGTGTTGTCGAGTGAGACCATCGGGGTGCCAGTCGCCGGGGGGTATCTGGATCCTTAGAAAATCCCGTAGCTCCGTCATCGCCAATGACATCCCAAAAAGCGCTTCAACGGGAATCCAGGCACGGAGCTGCATCACCGGGGCCAACTACAATGCTTGTTGCGGCCCCTATTGGACCCACTGGGGTCCGCCCTCCAGCCGGGCCGCCCTCCAATCTCGATTCTCCGCCCTCTCACCTGCCCTCCCTGTCGTTTCGCGACCCGGGCCTATTTTTGACCTTTCCGCCTCTCCTTCATGGCCGATTTTGCTTAACGTCCCTCTTTTCTGAACCGCCATGTTTTGGACCGGCCTGTTGCTGCTGTTCTTGCAACATGTGGTTGCCTGGCACTCCGACGATGACTTGATGTCCTTTGTGACGGTAAGCCGACGCGGGTTGGACGGTGTATGGAGGTCTGGACTGGATTGGCTAACCGGTCTATCCTCAGCTTCCCGACGTGAGGGCCGTGAAATTCGATATCACGTACCAGGATCGCGAACGTGTCGCGCCGGGATACTGGTTTGTCTCGCCGTATTTGCACATCGAGCCCGATGAGCCTACCAGCCTGTACGAACAGTACCAGGTCGGCCCACATATCTATGATCAGGATGGGGTATGTTCTCGCGTTGTACCAACCTTCCTATCAAGCGAGGGCTGACTCGATTCTCCATCTGATAGCATCTCGTCTGGACCGGGTCGCCCATGTTCGACAACCGCAATGTCTTCGACTTCAAGGTCATCAACAGCTTCGGCAATGAACCTCACATTTCGCTGATTTTGCAGTACGCAAACGACGACAGCGAACGTGGATTTGGAATGATCTTGGATAAGAACTACGAGGTTTCCCGGAAGATTCCTTTACGGCCCGATCTCGGCGCCTTTGATATCCACGAATTCAATGTTCTCAAGGACGGAAAGACTGCCGTCGCAACCGTCTATCTCACCGAGGAGATTTCCCTGGCGGAATTCGGTCGTCCGGAGGAACAGACATGGTTGGAGACCGGTGGCTTTGCGGAGATCGATCTGAACACCGCCGAGGTGACTTACGAGTGGAGATCATACAACCAGATTCCTTTGCAAGAGACCGTTCATTACCTCCCCGACTCGGTGCCAGAAGGACCGCCAGGCTGGGATTACGTGCATATCAACTCGGTTGACAAGAACGACAACGGAGATTATCTGATTTCGATGCGCTTCACCAATACTCTTTATCTAATATCCGGCGTGGATGGCCACATCATCTGGCGACTTGGTGGCCAACAAAATGGCGACTTTGCCCAGGATTTCATCTTTTCCAAACAACACGATGCTAAATTCCTCGAATCTTCGGGAACGCGCCATGTCATTTCCTTCCTCAACAATGCATCTGACGAGGAGAATGCCGAGGAGGAGGTCTCTTCAGCCTTGATCATCGAGGTGGAATCAGGCACAGTACCAATGACCGCCAGAGTTCTCCACCGTTACAATCGTCCCGATGGCAGCCTCACTCGACTCCGTGGCAACGCTCAGGTACTCCCGAACCAGAACATGTTTGTGTGCTGGAGCCAAGGTGGCTATATCTCGGAGTTCTCATCCGAGGGTGATACACTAATGAGTGCCCAATTCACCTCTCCTCGCTACTCAAACTACCGAGCCTACAAATTTGAATTCACCGGGCGTCCTCATACTCCTCCCGATGTCGTCTCGTCTGTATTTGGCACTGACGAAACGAATCTCGTTACCACATTCTGGGTCAGCTGGAATGGCGCTACCGACATCGCTTCCTGGAATTTCTATGCCCAGGCCTCGCAATTTGATAAGCCTGTCTTTGTCGGCAACACCTCGAAGGTCGATTTTGAAACAATGTTTATCGCGAAGGGATATCTCGACTGGATCACCGTTGAGGCCGTCGATCGAGATGGCAATGCCTTTGGCATTTCTGCCGTGCATCGAACCACCTTCCCCAGCTGGGAGGCCTCGGGATGGACGGGTTACTCGTCAACCCCACGACCTCTTAACCCCGCAACGATTTACCAGGGAGATGGTAGCATTCTCGCGACTGAGAAGGCTAGCGAGGACGGCTTCTTTTCGGTCGCGGATGGCACAGCGGATGCTCAGCTCAAAAAGGCTACCGTAACCCTGATGAACACATACGAGACCATTCGCAGCATTGGCGGTCTCTTCGCTCTCATCCTGCTCCTGGCCGTGATGAGCGGTATCTTGGCGAGCTATATGCTGCTTCGCGGCTGGCGGGTCCGGCTATACCAGCGAGCTCCCCTGGAGGAGGGGCTCCCTGAAGAAGAGGCTCAGCTCCGACCGGGTATGGACGATTGATTATCGTCAGGTGAAACATCGCCTTGAATTACTATCTTGTATGCATGGGCTGCGGGGGATTATTGTACATTAGTGTTTTTACACTGGCATGGCATGTTGTTTTTTTGTTGTAAATAGCCTCCAATCTGTTCATCTTCACTAATTTAACTGATCAATACAGCCACTCGGTTGAATCTTCGCATAACAAAAGATTGATATCGGTTTTTATTTATTTATTGGGAATGAGCGGAACGCGCATTGCGACATCGAAGTCTACTTGACCTTCTCCACTCACCAACCGCGAAGCATGTATCAATCAAGGATTACATGCTCCTCGACGTAGCACTGACTGTTCATTCCAAACTTTCCGTTAAATTGCAGCTGCAGGACTACACAGGAAGGTGTCAACGCAACCGCCGGATTTCCGGTAACCCACCCGTTTTGGCGGGATCCTCAGCCCTCGGCGAATCCTAGAGCTGCTAACACGCATGCTGGGTCAGCAGGCCCAGGTATAGTTAACTATCGGGTTGAAGAATGCATCTCCGCGTTCTGGCCCACTGATTACATGAGAATCACCTGGCGAGGGTCGCAAGGGATTCCCGAAGCGCGGTTCTCGGGAATAATGGGAGCGCCATTCCCAAGGTATCATTCCCGAAGTATTATTCCCGTCCTTATCGCTCTTTTTTTTATTCCCGTACCTTCTATTTAGGTCCTTGGGTCACTCAAATCGCCACAAAGCGATTTTTGTTGCAAACACCAGTCACATCTCGTCCTCAGGACCGTATCTCCAGTTCTCCATTCACTGTCACAAACCTGGGTAACTGACAGCACACAATGCCGTCTACCAGTCTCTGCCAAGACGAGGCATGCCCTCCATACAGCCTCATGGACGATTATAGCGAGGGAGCTCACCCACAAATTCTGGAAGCTCTTCTTCGAACCAATTCAACGCAGCAAGTCTCCTACGGGAATGACGACTACTGCAATAATGCCAGACAGTTGATCCGCCAAAGGATTAATTGCACTGAGGATGAGGCAGATATCTTCTTCGTCCCCAGCGGGACATCAGCCAACCTCATTTCAATCGCCAGTTGCCTCCGTCCATACGAGGCTGTGATTACTCTGGAATCTGGCCATATTGCATGCAAAGAAGCTGGTGCTATCGAAGCAACTGGGCACAAGCTCATCCTTGTCCCCGCCGTCGACGGAAAGATGACAGCGACGAATCTCCGAAAAGCTTTCCAGCAAAATCAATTCTTCCCGCATATGGCTAAGCCGCGGTTGCTGTATATCTCCAATGCCTCAGAGACTGGGACAGTATACACGAAGAGCGAAATGAGCACTCTTTCTGCACTGTGCAAAGAATTGAATCTTTTGCTTCTCGTGGATGGTGCCCGAATCGGCACTGCCATGTGCTCGAAGAAAAACGACATGACTTTACGCGATATTTTCGATTTTTCTGACATCTTCTGGATTGGCGGAACCAAGGCCGGCGCGCTACTGGGTGAAGCCATTGTCGTCAAGAAGGCTCTCGCGGAAGGATTTGTCTTCCACCTCAAACAGCACGGCGCTTTGCTGGCGAAGGGCCGTATTCTGGGTGTTCAGTTTATGGAGCTCTTCCGGAATGATCTTTTTTTCACCTTAGCTACTCATGCCAACTCTATGGCTGAGAAGATCTCGGCGAGCTTCGAGACGTTGGGATATAAATTAGCTGCAGAGACAGCGACGAATCAGGTGTTTGTCACTCTTCCACAGCGGTTGATTCGGACACTGCAGGAAAGGTTCCGATTCTACACCTGGGAGCAGCTGGATGACGGGCAGGTGATTGTGAGGATTGTGACGTCTTGGGCTACAGACGAGTTGCAGGTTGACAAGTTCAATGCGTCGGTGCAACAGTGGACTGTGGCAAACAGGGACGTCACCACCATTTAGGAGCGTTGCATATAGATACCAGAGCATACTTGATAGAGCATAGTTCAGAAGCAACTTTAATACACTTACCAATTAGCAACTAACGTCACCGTGGTACCTTACATTAACTTACTTGTGTGTCGAATAGTAAATTAAGTCACATGACTAGGATTATCTGGATCAAGTAATTTAGACACCTGGAATATCAGGGAACCTCCGATGCTTCTCTCCTTCCTGCTGGCCCCTCCCGGAGAATAGAATGGGTTTTATCTGAACGCACCTCCTGTCCATTCTAACCTTTCTGTTTCATGGAAATAGAACTTCCTTATGAATTGTGTATGACGACCATCCCATCTTCCTCTCATAACCGACTCTAGCCAGTCCAATGAGGCTATCAATATCATGTGATGCGTGTCGGTATGTCTGTATTAACTTATTCAGCAGAACAAATAAGTTCTTGCGCTGACTTCAATACACAGTCGAGCCAAAGTCAAATGCATTCATGAAGGAAGTCCTCCTTGCCGGCGCTGTCAGAGAACCGAGACCGAGGGCTGTGCTTTGACAGACCCTCGGGAATCACGGGCACGGAGACGCAGTAGCACGGCCGGATCGGGGCCTTCGCGAAAGCGAAAAGCCACCGCAAATCCATCTCCCGCTATTGAAGGCCGCCAACACCTAAGCAGACGCAGCTCTGGAACTGTTACAGATGCTCACTGGAATCCCATCTCGTCCTTGTCCGCGTCGACCGTCATCAGCGCGATTGAGACGTACCGGAAAAAATTTCCGATCGCGAATTTTCTGCATTATCCTTCACTGATATCAGATATCTCATCTAATTTTGAGTCTGTGGATGCAGTGTTCATTGCATCGCTTCTATCGCTATGTGTTCGCTTTATGGGCGATGATGGGTTGGATGGCGAGGAGACGTATGCCAATTACGCTCAAAAGCATCTCGCACACCGAGCGATGGAAGCCCCCTCCCTATATCTTGCTCAGTCTCTGGTGATGATCTCATTCTACGAATGGGGTACTGGCAGACCTTACCAGGCATGGATGTATAGTGGTATGTTTGTTCGGAGGGCATGAGAGGTGCAATCCCGCACGGAGCATACGCTGACCTCTCTAGGAATGGCCACATATATGATTCAGTCTCTACTCAAGATGGCGGATGACAGTATGGAACACAGTCCACAAGAGTTTCATGCATCTCAAACACAGTATGAGCAACTTGTCCGTACCTATTGGTGCTGCTTTGCGCAAGACTGCGAGCTGAGTTCTGGTGCTCGGCAACATTTTGCTCTATCATTCTCTCAGATCTCGGTCCCACTTCCCATCAGCGACCGAGACTTCACATTCAATCACCTGCCGGAGAGGAGGTTAATGCCGGCCGACATGAACAAGCAATGCCCACAGGCAAATAATTTGACAATCGAGAACGGTCTGACAATAGTCACTCGGGGATTCGATATTTTTGTGCGAATTCTTAGATTCGCCAACGAACATCGCCGCTCCCTGGCATCCTTCAGTGCAGATGATTCACCCATGTCGCCTCTTCATAAGACATGGCAAAGGCTGAAAGGCGAGCTGGATGAATGGCGCTCACTCCAAGACAGAACAGTCAAATATCCTAATACCAGTGCACAGGCGCATGTTGCCCTGGGATATGGAGAACTGTTTGCATATATAAACTTGCTCTACTTTATGAGGTATGGCCTGACGCGAGATTTTCCACCCAAGAAGAAGCTAGCTCACTATGAACTTTAGCATCGTTTTCCTGCATCGTGATCGCTTTCTCTCTAATCTAAAACCCCATTCCGACGTTTTTCATGACATGAGCGACAATGACCAATACCAGCCCGACACAATTCGGCAACTTTTCCAGGCTGTACAACATATCTCCAGCGTTTTAACGGCACTAGAATCTTCTGAGGCATCTGTGATGACCCCTTACTCCGGATTCAGTGTGTTTGTCGCAGCACACATCAACATGTATGGTACTCTTATTCCACAACAATATCCGGGAGGACTCGATCGAGCAGAGAATGAAAAGAGTCAAAATATGATGTATCTCGAACGGCTAAGTAAATTGTGGCCAGTTGGTCGAAGCTGGGTAAGTGTCTATTACTCGTGTAAACCCCTGTCTTTGTTTGCAGACCACCTAATACTCCACAGTGGCGAACTGTCCAGGACGCCAACCGATTCTACGAAACAGTGAAGAGTACGCAGACACACCCAGACTCTGCCATGCACAGCCCAAGGCGTTTAGCATTGGCAGGGACTTTGGACGAATATGGTGACATCCGTTCACGTCCAAATCGTGATCTGCATGCGACAAGATCGGTGACCGCGGAGGCTCGCCATATGCAAAGCACACCCCAACCGCATGGACCCACGGTTTCTTTGCCTGCCAATGAAGGCGAAGCCGCATTCATTTCACGGGATCAGAGTGGCCCCGGGAGTCATCATGATCTTGAAACTGATATGTTTCAATGGCCCTTCATTGACGCTTCTTGGTCTGCTGGGTTTGATGCTGGGCTGGATGGACTGTGGCACCACTCTGGATTGTTTGAACCGAATGCTCCCTGGAGATAGCGACCCGATCAATGACTTGCTAATGAATGGATAAAACTGCCTAAAATAGTGAAATCATGGTATCTAAGTTAGTCTGGGCTCTATAATACATTCGTGAGTTGTGTCAACGACTCTGGCTATCTGTACTTTCCACGGTCTGTTCCACTGCGATCGTCTTTCTAATCCCGTCATCATTATAAATCGAGTCGCTTGCGTCTGGAGCGCCTGCAAAGGAAATGAGATGGCTTTGGTCATTCTGATCACCGAAATTCGGTGTCTTGCCAAATCGGCCGGCGGAGTGAGAATTGTTCCCTGATTTGCGATCCCCTAGTTGAACATCGGAGCTTTGGTTATAGTATTTCTGGGACGAATATGCTCTCCGGTAGTGGGCGTAAAGGACGTTTAAAACAGGAAGACAGGCGCAGATCAATCCGATACCACCTTCGGCATTGCTGAAGACAGTTAGGGCGTGAATATCAGAGACGATGAGGTGGAATGACTTACCCCGACATGATAACACACATGAAAACGATACTCTGATCCGTTGAATTGCCATCTTTCAACACCAGCACCAGTCGGTACACACTGAACCCTGTGGCAAGACCTCCAGCACCGAGAATTCCAATCACACGAAGCTTTCGACTGCGCTCCATTTGTAGCGACCATGTCAATGGCAGTGGCAGAACAAGGATGATGAGATCGCTAACCACGCTAATCACCGAGTCGGCTATAAGAGCGGCAGCCTGGTCAAGACATGAGCCCCCGCCGTTTGGAAGCTCTCCGAGCCAGTATAGCGGAATCGGATCACACATTCGGATCTTGACTATAAGGGCGATGGTGTAGTAGGTGCACAGACAGCCGAGGAGAATGTAGATAAACCACACCTTGCCACGGTAGGGTGCAAAAATGCGGGTTAGGATGGATAGAAGGGCGATTTTGACGAACAGTGCCATTGGGCAATAGAGAATGGTGGCGATGTAGCAGAATTTCTTGTATTGGACCTTGGTCTCCTCACGTAGGTCATCGAAGTGGTATCCTCCGCCATGGTTTCCGACTGAAAGGCATAAGTGACATGTCGCAACCATCCCCGGTCCGTCGTGAAGACTCACCGACAATACTAATCCCGCAGTATCCCATGAACAGACCCTATGGAGTCAGCAAGCTTCCCACGCAAGTCAGTTAACGGGAACCATACCCAAGCCACGGCGCATGCATCTACGGCGATAAGGTCAGCGAAGGTCCCTGCAAGGTATTCTCAATCAAATACAAAACTTACAGTCTTCAATCCCGAGGCTCTGCTTAAATCGCCATCGGGTGTAGAAGCGCAGCGCCACAAAGATCGATACGATCGGAATGCAGAGACATTGCGTCACAAGATTGACTGTGTGGTAAAGGTCATGTGGCTTGCTGGCAGTCATGTTGACAGCGACGCCAGAATTCCACAGACCGTCTCTTCCTTAGAAGAGAAATTCTGGGAGCGTTTGACACATAAAGGAATTGATAGCCCGCGAGCTTCGGCGTTCTTCCGCGGTTCCATGAGAAGTCCGCGACCAAGGAAAGTGAAGATAGGCGCCGAAGAATATCAAGTGGAGACGGACCGCTATTGACCATACACCCCAATAGTCCATGACGCTCTAGGCGACCGACGATGAGCCGATAAACTTTGAGCATGTGCGAAAGTCGGAGTTAATTTCGCGGGCGGCGTCCGATGGGGATGGGTCTTCGCGGGTTCTCTGTGAGTAACGAGACTCCACCTGCACACACCACGGACTGCATCAGGCAAAGTCTAGTGGGCCGCCGAGCTCGTATTCAGACGCGATGCATGTCCAAGAAACTGGGCCTGCACCGTTGTTTTACTTGTCTTATTAGGCGGCACATGTGGATTCCATGGCAAACCCTAACTAACATCTCTTAGCCGAGTCGACGGGATGGACAGCCTTGCCCGCAGTCTTCGATTATTATATCACCCTTTCTCCTTGAACGTTATATTCCTCCGCATAAACATAATCAAAACAAAGCCATTATGACTATCCACATTCTGAGCCGCGAAAAATCTGGTCTTTTCCGGCCCCTGACCATTGGCAATGGAGGCATTACCCTCCGCCACCGCATCATTCATGCGCCCCTAACCCGCAATCGCGGAGAACCTGCAAACCCTATCAGCACCGCAGAAAATCCTAATCGAATCTGGGTGCCTGGTGATCTTATGATCAATTACTATTTCCAGCGTGCCAGCGAGGGCGGACTGATCATCTCCGAGGGTATCCCTCCTTCTCTCGAGGTAAATGAAGCCAAGTTGCGCCCCGTCATGTATACCCCCTGATGGTGCCATTCGAAGGGGTTGAAGCTGCCCCATTGCTACTCAGTGCTAAGTTCCTGATTGTCCACAGAGCAATGGCATGCCGGGAGTGCCTGGGATTTTCACCCCCGAGCAAGCCAATGGCTGGAAAAAGGTTGTCGATGCCGTCCACGCCCAGGGTGGCTACATTTATTGCCAACTGTGGCACGCTGGCCGTGCCACCATCCCCCAGATGACTGGTTCGCCTGCTGTGTGCCCCTCGCCCAGTGCGTGGGACTCTCCCACGGAATGCTATTCGCACCCGCCCGTAGGCTCCACCGAGCCCGTCCCATACGCGTATCATCCGCCGATCGAGCTGTCCGTGGCGCATATCAAGCAAACTATTCAGGACTATTGTCGCGCCGCCCGAACTGCCATGGAAATTGGCTTTGATGGCGTCGAAATCCACTGTGGCAACGGTTACCTCCCGGAGCAGTTTCTGAGTTCCAATATTAACAAGCGAACGGACGAATATGGCGGTACTCCTGAGAAGCGGTGCCAGTTTGTCTTTGAGCTGATGGACGAGGTCGCGAAAACTATCGGCGCACAGAACCTTGCTATTCGTCTCTCGCCATTCGGTCTGTTCAACCAGGCCCGCAGTGAGCAGCGGGTTGAGACCTGGACGTATCTTTGCCAAGGCTTGAAACAGGCTCACCCGACCCTCTCATACGTCAGCTTCATTGAGCCGGTATGAGTTGTTTTTCCGTCGGCCAATATTGGTTCTTGCTAACTGGTCCTAGCGTTATGAACAAATCTTTAGCTACGAGGAGAAAGATTCCTTCCTCAAGAACTGGGGCTTGCTTGATGTCACCCTTGACAGGTTCCGGGAGATTTTCGGCTCCACCCCCTTCTTCTCTGCAGGCGGCTGGGACGACCAGAATTCATGGGGCGTGGTCGAGTCAGGCAAATACGATGCCCTTCTCTACGGTCGCTACTTCATTAGCAACCCCGATCTAGTAGACAGGCTGAAGAAGGGCCTCCCGCTAGCGCCATACGATCGCACCCGTTTCTACGGACCTTTCGAGGACAATGCTTTCCACTACACTGACTATCCCACTGCGGGTAATCAGTGATACGATAGAATCCGACACGACTTGATGATCGATAGATTAGATTCACCGAGTGGCATTATTAGACCCTGCGCTTCTCCATTTTCTCTGAAAAACTGATCATCCAGTATTTAGTACCAGGGCCCGAGTGCCGCAGCACAACTGAAAGTCCCCGCTGGCCCATACTTTCCCAGGGTTACTACAGTAGTCACATCGAATGAACGACACCACTCTCCGGTGTAGCCAGTTCCCGAATACCGGTCAGGATTTGTTGCGCAGAATCCGGGGTCATTAGCGTTAACTTGCCATCCTTACCGTAAAGCACAGCGAGCTGGGCCATAATTATATAGAGTACAGCCTTGCTGCTTCGATAAACCGGGAACTGGAAGGCTGCACATTGGCATCTTGGTTCAGGCGATCGGTAATTAACCCAAGTCTACTAGACTTGAAGATGACCCACGGATTGCCGGAGTTTTCCTGCAAGACTTTTTTCGAGTTTCGGGGATAGCATGATTAGGACCAAGTGATCTTTTCTTGATGGTGTGGCAACCCAGCCTCGGAGTTCAAACTGGACTGCCGAAGCTAAGATGCGGCAAGAACATAAAGATACTATGAAAGAGGCCGAAGAGTGAAGAGTAGGTATCTCTAATAGCCAGGTGTATCATATTTCATAATATCAGATTCGTAAAAGGGTGAAGAAAGAATCATATATTGCTCACCAGTGAACTCCTCCTGCTGTCCACTCTAATCCAATATCACCACGCAAGAAGCTACCTGAGCAAAAGTCGAAGACAACAAATTCTTTAGCCCCAAACATCTTCCTGCCACTTGTTCTTCCTTTTCACGGCCTTGCTCCAGTTATTCACCTCATCATCTGACCAGCCCTTTGCTGTCTTCATCGCAGCACCAACGGCCTTCCATACCTCACGGGCCATCCCTGCCCTTCCACAAACATAGAAACTGCCGCCCTCATCAATAAGCTGGACGATATCATCACCAAGCTCTGCAATACGATCTTGCACATATCTGCGTGGTGTACCCTTCTCTCGAGAGAATGCCGTCACCAGGCGCAACTTCTCGCCGAGAACACTCTGCATCTCCTCCAGCTCCTGCCGGTATATGAAATCCTCATTGAATTGACGGCATCCAAAGAACAGGATCATCTGACCAACCTCCTTTCCAATTTTCTGGACTTGGCATCGCTCTGACAGGAATGCGCGGAAGGGAGCTAGGCCGGTACCGGCGCCCACCATGATCAAGGGCGTTTTACTCGTGATGGGCAATTTGAACTTGCTGCGGCGAATGTGGGCAAATACTTTGCCGCCCGCGAGGGCCTCACTGGGGCCATTGAGATGATATGTAATTCCGTAGGGGTGAGGCTGAGAGCGCGACTGTTGGGAAATGGCAAGAAGGTAGTTGGACGTGACGCCGTGCACGAGCTCGTCGGGGTTATCTGGGAGAGGAGCTGTTGAGACAATGGCGGTGATGGAGGGTTTCCGAGGTGAGACAACGCTGCTGGATGAGATTGAATAATAGCGGGGACGCATGTGAGGCATCGTCTCTACGAGGTATGCAAGTGGGAGGTCAGACCACGCCTGGTTGGGGCATGCAAGCTGCAATAGGCGGCCAAGAGTGAGATGTGTGCGATTGATGAAGTCGGCGTAGACATCCCGATCCTGTCCCAGGTTGGTCAGATTGGCCTTTGCGTCCGGTGTGGGCGCAAATTGAGCGAGGTCCCGCACGTTGTCGCGGTTGACCGGAGCACAGATCTCAAGGTAATAGCGGAAGAGAGCATGGACACTCGTCGGAGTCGGAATAGTAATCTTGGTGGAAGCGTCAACAGACTTGATGATAATAGGAACATCGCGTGGCGACGAGATGCCGAGCACTTGAAGCAGAAGCTCAACCTCGGCGTCGGGGTTTCCGGGCCAGATAGCAAGGTGATCACCAGTCTTATAAGTCAACTCTGGCTGACTAGTCAAGTCCAAGTCCATGTGCAGACAGTTTCGATCTGATGCAGTAAAGAGTTCTCTGGAGCTGGAGATGCTCAATGTCCGAACAGGTGAAGACTGAGCCGCTATCTTGGGCGCATCGACATGGGAGTTGGGCTCTCCATGGTGTAGATCGATGGGCTCCAATGACGTGTCTTCCTCAATCTTTAAGCTTGGAATGTATTTAGCTTCAACTTCTTGGAACCCCAACTGTTCCCGGAAAAGAGTGAACAGGCGGTCCTTCCAGGCCATGAAATCTTCCTCAGTGGCGCCCTCTGCATCATTTGCTTTGCCGATCGGCATCAGAGACATAGCTCCAGATTTCTCCAGACCCTCGACAATGACATCGATAACGCGGTTGTAAAATTTGTAGTTGGAGTTGCCCAGACCCAACGCCGCATATCGGAGATTGGACAGTGAAACGCCGTCGGTCTTAGTGATCCAATTCCAGAAATCAGCGGTGTTATCACTGGGGTCGCCCTCGCCGTAGGTCGAGACGATCCAGATAGCCAACTTCGAGTCGGGGATCTCCGAGATGGTAGCAGGGTCATAGTCTGAAAGATCTGCCGTCATGGTCTCCTGGCCCCAGCGAATAAAGATCTCCCTGGCTAGTCGATGGGCAAACCGTTCGGCTGTACCGGACTGCGACCCCCAAAAGACGACGATGTTCTTCCCAGTCTCCTCCATTCTCTGCGCGATATTCCTGGTTTCCTTGTTGGCATTCGCTCCAACCAGGCCGCCATCCTTTAGTTGAGGTTTTTCGAAGGCGAGATGGTGGTACGGGTCGGGCTTATCCCACAGGAGCCCTCGCGAGAGGCAGGTCGCTCCTGTCCCGAGAAGGATAGCCAAGGCCGTATAGTCGGCGATCCCGGTTGGTGTGGCATATTTTGAGATCGCCTGAAGGAGCTCAGGTGGAATGTTCCATGGAGATAACTGTGAGAGGGACATGATGCTTGGAGATGGCGAATATCTAGTTACGTCCCTATGTAGAGATCACTTCGTGGATGGGCGAAGATGAATCGTGAAGGAGAATGAGGGGAGAAGAAGCTTGAGACGAAGTTGGCCCTTCAACTAGAGATTTAGTATTCAGGCAGGGAAAAATCGGGGGCCCCGCGGACATTAAGAGACGGTCCCCATGCCTCTACAAAGTCTAGTTGACGGTTTGGAAGGATTCCCCGATGGGTCTTGGATCGCCAAGAGAACATTAAGCTGTTGAAGCCTCCAGCACACCAGTTCGCGGGGGGAATTACCCATCGTGGAAAAGCAAGTCTGAGCTCTGCGTAGAACGGGTTACAACGATCAGCTACCAAAGATCCGTCCAGCCAACCAGGTGAATTAAATTTCTGGGGTCGGGTCCCGTGGGGTGGTATGGCTTGGAGAGGAAGAAATCTCCCCTCTTGACGTAAATGGCAATAAGAGGGTGAGCTATTCGGATGCTGACGCTGGGTTTCCCCATACAGATCGATGAGTTCTTGTTGCCAGGGGATCCAACGGGTTCAATTAAGTGTGGGGGTGGGAACGATGCAGCAGAGCTGGGTTATCAGATATCCCAAAAAGTCCAAATTCACCGAAACGTGGTCCGCCGGACAAGTACAGTGAGTGCGAATGCGTTGGTGATTCGCGTAGAGATGTGACCGGGAGGTCGCGCGGGGCAACTGCCCCGACAGGCGGGAACTATAGCTCTAGATGAAGTTCGCATAGTATCCTCGTATATCGCTATTTTGATCGATAAGGCCAGAAGTAAGAGGCCTATCTATGAGAGAGAAAGGCCTTGTGCGATGATACACTTCTATTATCCTTCCATGGCATTTTGAAAGTGATTCTGCGATATGGATGCGGCGCCGGGGGAGCGGGGAAAGTTTCCCTTGCGGAACTAGAGTAGCAAGATGACGGTGGGGTCGTGGGGGTAGTATGTCCGACAGCAAATCGCTTGGTTACCACTTCAATCACTCACACCTACCAGCCAGATCTGCTTCGTCGTTGAAGCACATCGACCGATTTTCGCCATTCGCCAACCATTCTTGGAATTTGCATAGGGCCTGATAGCGATGGGACAACTTGTTCTTGTTGGTTTTAGCCGTCGGGGTAACTCTATTGACCCTCTTTTCTAGACGCCTTACCTTCTTGTCATGCGCCATCTCCGCAAGGGTTTCTCCTTGGTGCTCGAAAATTGGTTCCCAACCTATTTAGATGTGAGTTTGATGTCCTCTGCTTTCTTTTTCCGTGGCACCTACCAAACACGGGCGGCCCTCTGGCGGCAACAATCGTGCCCTGAAAAATATTTAGTACCAAATATCAGTTTGAACCACCACAGTTCTCTGGCTCGTACTTGGAGTCTTCCTTGGAAAATCAACGGTTCCGTTGTAGGCCCTAAAGAAAAAGCAAAGGTGCAGACGGCGTCTGCACTCTTATCTTTGTACGGAACCAGAAGATTGTTCAATCCGTCATTTCCAAGTAATTCGAGAAAATATTTACTGGAGATTGAGAAGACAGATTAGTATGATATCTGTCTCTCGATGTCGAATGGCGTACATGTACGGCCCAGGAAGTCCATTCATGGCATGAAACTCCAATGCCGAGTCTTCCACAATCACCGGTCCATTGACCTGCCCCACAAGCCATGTCAGTGATACTCGAATAAAAATCGATACAATGAGTATTTTATCACAATTCTAGCTGCTCGTCTGCACTTATCTCGTGCAATCTCTTCCAGCCCCCCTGGATCTCTGGAATGTCCAATGCGAGGGGCTTGATGGGTATCGAGTCGCCTAGAATGGCGTTGACTTCGATGACCTTGTTCGGATTGCCTGTCACGAATGTGCATGTTCTCATGATGTTTGTTTATTATTAGACTCTGAAGAAGATCGAATCATCGGGCAAAACTGGCCTGATCCAATGCAATGGCTGCGCTATACTATATTGAGACTAGTGTTTATAGCATTATTGCCGTAATTGGCAACGGTGTGACGGCAGATGGATGGTTTTGTGCCGGATCAATTTCTATTTCTCTGGCTTCGCCCACCCCTCCAGCAGTGGCCTGTCCTGGTCAAGGCAAATCCGCATTCGAGATTATATGGGTTACAGAGTAAGACCTTACTCCGAGGTAAAATCAAGATGACTCATACTCGCACGGCAAGGTCAACTTATTGAGTTTTGACACTGATGGATGATGGGCATGGATTGTTCAAAGAATACGAATGAGCAGTTAGGGTTCACAGAAGCGGTTTGTTTGTGCATGCTTTGCGTATATTTAACATCGGGTCCAATTCATCCCTTATCATATACTTCCGTCCCGCCGGCTCTTATAGTGGAAAGGTTCCTTCTGAAATAGGTGCTCGCCCGTCGACTTGTGTACATGACGCGCACAAACTAGACCATGTCCGGGAGTCTCGAACATAGCAACGACAACGTCGCTAAAGCAAGCACACTGTGGTATATAGACAGTAGTAAAAGCAGCTTTCTGCTTCCAGTTCCAGCTGCTATTTCTTCGAACTTGGCCATTCGGTGACGAACCGGTTTTCATTGCGATGCCCCACATCATGTACCGTTTACCGCGGGACCGAGAGAAGGCAGGCCACCCTGTGATGGACCAGGCGACCGCCTATCAAGAACATTATGCCTAGCAAAGTCACCGGCCAGTACGTGTTGCCAGGGAGCACCAAAAGCTGTCCCATTTTTTAAACAAACGAGCCTATTGAACTCATTCCGTTCTGGCGAATCAACGGCTACACATCCTGCGGGCCACCAGCCAATGCAACCAGTACATACTCCTCCCTACCCTAGATCTTCACATCCGAACGATGGGCCGACCAGAGTGGCCATTGGGCTGTGAGTGGGCGCTAGTAAAGCTTGCCGGGTAGCTGTCGGCTAAGTGATGTTCGCTTGTTGGTTTCGGCATATCGACGGCCTCACCGCGGAAGCTAGATTATTAATGCCCCTTCAGCCCACAAGGTTATCGGTGCGCATTCCCGAACTTATACTTATCCTGCTCCATATTCTTCTCCTACCTACACTTGCAACGAGTCGTTTATGATCCAAGTCCCTCCTTTGTGAAGGTGTGTTATCTCCAAGTCCCTTCAATCGCGATTTGACGTCATGTACGACTATAAGCCAACAGAGGCCGAATGTAATGGACTTGACGCAATTGAAACTAACCACGTCCGTTTGGAAGCAGTTCCTTTTATCGATCCGATCACATCCACCATGTCTAGTAACGAGATGGAATACACCCGGTAACATCCCGCACCCCGCAGCAGATAAAGTATTCTATTTTCGACAGGCTACTGACAGCCGTGCCACAGCCTTGGCAACTCGGGCCTGAAAATCTCCAAAATCATCCTGGGTACCATGTCCTATGGCAGCAAGCAATGGCAGGACTGGGTCTTAGATGAGGAAGAGTCAGTGAAGCTGATTGAGCACGCTTACAAGCGTGGTATCAACACCTGGGATACGGTAAGTAGATGCCTCATTCTATGCAAATCAAAGAATCTGAGTCTGATTTGCACTACGATTAGGCGGATGTTTACTCCCACGGTCGCTCCGAGGAAGTCGTCGGCAAGGCCTTGAAGCAGCTCAACGTCCCACGCAACCGCGTCGTCATCTTGACGAAGTGCTTCTTTGGCGTCGATGACCAGGGCCAGTTCCCGCCCATCTGGGCGTCGACGCGGAATGACGGTGACTTCGTCAACCGTGTTGGCCTGTCTCGCAAGCACATCTTCGATGCTGTTGATGCTAGCGTCCAGCGCCTGGGCACATACATTGATGTGCTCCAGATCCATCGTCTGGACCGTGAAACTCCTCGCGAGGAGATAATGAAGGCTCTGAACGACGTCATTGAGAGTGGCAAGGTGCGCTACATTGGCGCTAGCTCGGTAAGTCCGAACATTTTCATGATTATCACAAAGTAAACACAAGCGCCAATAATATTGCCAACTTCCTAGATGGCGGCCTGGGAGTTCCAGACTCTCCAGAACATCGCCTCGCGCAATGGCTGGCACCAGTTCATCAGCATGCAGAACTACCACAACCTGATCGCGCGCGAGGAGGAGCGCGAGATGATCCCTTATTGTCTCGACAGTGGGGTCGGACTCATCCCTTGGTCCCCGATGGCCCGTGGCGTACTGGCGCGACCGTGGGACTCTCGCTCCACCGTACGCGAGAACACCGATGGGGCCATCAAGATGCTTGTTCGCAACCGAGAGACCGAAGCGGACAAAGCCATTGTGGACCGCGTGGAGGAGCTGGCTGGCAAGAAGGGGGTGAGCATGGCGCAGATCGCCTTAGCCTGGTCCCTGAGTCACCAGAATGAGTGCCCCATCGTCGGCCTGAACAGCGCTACGCGTATTGACGAGGCGGTTGCCAGTCTGAAGGTTAAGTTGAGCCCCGAGGAGATCCAGTATCTGGAGGAGCCGTATATCCCCAAGACCATCGCTGCAATTGAACGGTAATAGGGTCCAATCAGCGGGACGTGAAGAGGGGCTGGCTGGTTGGCCGGGTGAATTGAATATGGATCTACATACAAAAACAAATTGATAACTCAGTTATACTAAGTAGTTAGCCTAAACTTCAAGCTTTTGTGTGGCCTCCCCGATGCTAGTGGTGATTTCGCCATGCATTTTTCCTTCACTATGCCGATATGCCAGGTTGTAGAGCTAATCTCGACAGCGCGTCACGTCTCCACCCAGCACTTTCTTAGCCCAATGTCTAAATCTCTAGCGAGGCTCCCTAAAGTGTGTTTCAATACTCTTTTGTTTGGGTGGCGCGCGGGTCTTGCCGCCTGACAGGCGCCTGCCATTCCTGAAGGTCTACGTGTAAACTCCCTTCTTAATATACATAAGGATCTAATTTAAACGTTTATTCACGACCGGTCGGTCTCGTGAACCATAGTAATGATTCATGGATGCAATGATACCTATGAACTCGTGTTTTTATGGTGTGACCGGCAGTGATATATATGGATATACGCCCAACCGCACTTTAGAAAGAAGTACAAGAACTAGTATATGGTCGTGTGCCCCCGCGGTCAACAAACTACCCAATACGTATGGAAACAGCCCGCATGCCAACTTTTTGCGGCAAGGCCCAAGTGCAATCCGAAATACAGTCGGGTGAAATTCAATGGAATGAAAAGGAAAGAAGATGTAATATTTTCAGGAATGGGGATGGTCGGGAGAGCTGGATTCTCTACCAAAACGAATCTCAATGCCGCAGAAGAAGAAGTAAAAGAAGAGGAGGAGGAGGAGGAGGAGGAAGAAGAAGTAGAAAAGGGGGGGGGAACGCCCAAGTCAAATGCAATAGAATGATGGGGAAATGCTGATAGGGAATACAGAGACAGGTCGCTGGAAGATGCAAGGGTATACATGTGTAAAGGTACGTGAACGTGACGAAGAGGTGGGGAGAGAAATCAGTGAGCCCCATGCTTTCGGTGGAAGATCGTGAAAAGAGAGCCCAGACGGTGTCGTCGTTTGCCCTTCTCGGCGTCGGAGTCCTTGGATGGCACATCAGAGGTGCTGCCCAAGCTGTATTCTGGACCATAATCAGGTTGTATACTGAGCTTGGGGATGTCGGCGACCGGGTGAGCATTGATTTTGTTTTTGGGTCGTTCGGGGCGCTGGGGCGAGACTTCAGGTTCAATAGAGTTCTGTCGCAGAGAAGAAGGGCGAGAAACGACGATGTCGCGGCCATTCTCGCCCGTGCTGGTGAAAATGCTGTGTCGATTGAGTCGATTGTTAACCCCCGACGCGCCCCGTCGCTGAGCTCGTTCCATGAAGGCGGCCCCGGTAGAATTGGACCGTTTCGAAATACTTCCAGACCCTTGACCTCCTTCGGCGGGTGCCATTGAATTGGCGCGTTTCATGCTGGAAAGGGACAGGCAGCGCTTGCCGTCCGCAAACTCCTTCGCCGGTTCCAGCTCGTCGCGATCAACTGAGCGCCCATTCTCGCTCTTGGTGGGGGTGAGCAAGCCGGACTTTGTGGACGAGGTTGGAGAGAGAAGGGCCTTGCCATTTGGGGTGGGGACAAGGTCTTCATAGCTAAAGTTGCGGGACCAGCCCTCTCGAAAAGCAACCCAGATGCCAGTAACAATGATTAAGGTGCGTAGCCCATCGTCAAGTGTAATCGCATCATGGATATCCACAGGCGTCTCCGTATCCGACATGTCGCTGACCACAGACATAGCGGAACTCGGTGTGGTGTGACCAGTAGTCGATCGCGTCACGGTGGAATATTCATCATATACTTCGAGCTGGTTCTTGGTCATAGAGGCGAGCACTGGGTGCCGACGGGTATTCGGGTCGATGACGCTGAAGGTAAACCGCTTGGTGTCGTCGGGTGCCTGGGTTCCCGGAGGCGCCGAAAGTCGACGATTCTTCCCTCCACGCAGGGCCCATCGCATGACCCGGAGACCGTCATCTGTGCGGGCAACAAATTCATAAGAGCCACTGGGAAGCGGGGTGGCCTCCCAGACAGGCCCAAAGTTCAAGCAGATTTCAGCCTTCCGCTTCAAACGAGCTTCCTCCTGTAGCATCTGGCAGACGGTAGCCACCACTTCGCGCTGATCCTCATCATCGTCGTCGGAGCCTGCACGCTTCTCCGGGGTGGCGTCCACTGTGCGCGCATACAGTTCACTCATCACAATGATCACGTCGAAGGGACATAGTCCATTTTTCTGCCGAAACAGGGTCGGGAATTTTCGAGCTAACCGAGGGAGATACATGGTGGATGGAAGGACGTCTATAATAGGCAAGGGTCGAGGAGTTTGCGACACTTGCTGCACCTGCAGCAGGAGCTTCGGCCGCAACCGCAGCCGCTTGTGGCGGGCATGTGTAGCAGGGTAGGCGAACTGGTACGCGGTCTTCGGTCGCGAAGGCTTCTTGTTGGTATACGAACGGTTGGTTTGAGGCCTGGCGAGTGCGGGCGGCGCGGACGGTGCTGCGGTGGAGGACTGGCCCTCCGGCGTCGACGCAACTGGGCTCATCGCCACGGCGGAAATAGATCCTGCGGGCGCGGCAGGAGCATCGAGCTTCATGCGGTTATAAAGCGTGCCCAGGAATGGCAGCGCATACAGGGAGAACGCAGATGTGTAGGCTGAGGCAGACTCTGGCTGGGCGCAGGGTTCGTTTGGATGAGCTGCTGCGGCATCCGCTGCGAGACCAAGGTTCAGCAGCATTCTTGGACTCTAGCGAAGCCACATCGGTCTCCTACCAACAAACCCGCGCTCACAAGGAGTTTGTAGGGTTCCGGGGAATCCACGTACGCATCCAAGATCGTCCACGCGTCTGTTGCGGGGAAGAACCGCCCGGGGGCAGTTTGGCTAGAGTAGAGTGGGGATATGCGCGTGCACGGAGCTGAGATCACTGGAAACCAGTGAAGCGGGAAAGAATGGAAGGCACGGAAACGAGCAGAGTATGTGAGCGCAGAGAGTGTGTAGTATAGTTGGGACCCGGGGATGTCAAATTCACCAGGAAGGGGAAATGCAAGGGGCGAAGGAGTGGAAGGGGGAGGGGGATCGTGGATGTTTTCGTTGATTACATGGAAAGGACCATCAGGACACACAAATGGGCGGTCAGCCTTATACTCTTTCTCGTACTCCAGTCCAGTGCCGGTGGGCTCCACTTGCGCAGACAACCTCGCTGATTTGACGGGATCGGCCCTTACGACCTCCGGCGCATCCGAGCGGATGTCGGGAAGACCATTTGTGAGGCTCCGAGGCCGAGGATTCAAGGGACGTCATGGTGAAAGCGTCACCATCGGGCGAGGCTTGGCGAGTCCAGCGGCGCTTACTATTGGCCTCCGCCCCTCTGCTCGAGCTGGACTGTCGACCTCTTATCGACACTCATTGGCCGTGGTGCGGATGGGAAAGTCCTCATAGTGCTAGCTTCTTCAGCTTTCAGCCACGGCGCACAGGTACCATTGTACCTCTGTACATAAGGTTCATAAACCTGATCCCGGTATTATGGGGTCGCCCGTCCAACAGCAACGTGGCGGGTCACGTTGGCCAGCAGACTTTTCTTTCTCTTCTGCCGGGAGGCCTAGACGAGCAAAGCTTGTTTATTTGGACCTCATCGAGATCAGGCCGCAGCCCATGGTGGAGAGCACGCGGGACCCAGCCCGGAGAAGGTCCCAAGGCCCTCCTCTACCGAGGTCGGCACGCGCAAACACCAAAAGCCCGAGTGCCGCCCACGGCTGGAATCGGACAGACTAATGCGCCGGTCCATGCGCCGGTCCATAACCCCACTGGCCTAAGACCAGAACTTTATTCTCGTGTTTTCGTGTCGCTCGAAACGCGGCGGCTCGGCGTCTGACTACAGTACGCAGTATACGAGCAGGTGGTGGTCGGGGCGGTCCAAACAACCTATCTGGGCCAAGCTGACAGACAAATTAGTTTTTACTATTACAATTTGTTAAAAAAAAATTATGGCTGTTTCTAATCTAATATGAGACTAGCAAATTCACCTGTGCATCACAATCCCGGCTCCTTGCGGAATTGGGGCGGAGGAGCAGAGCCGTGGGGGGCCCAATAGGGCTGAGGGGAATGATCCCACGGTTTGCAATCCCGTCCCGAGTGGGTTTGATCGGTTTCTTTGTTCCAGAAAAATCCAAAACTTCGCGTCAGGTTGCTGCCGCCGAGGAGTCTTTCCTGTGTTTCACTTCATGACCGTTTGCCACTGTAGATAGATGAATTCTGGACAAAAGAAGGAGGGGTTCCATGGAAGATAGATATAGTCGCAGAAACAGAAGTGGCTCTATCGAACCGCTCGGTGCATAATTGATAATCACGGAGAGTGTGAAACACGTGGACGACTTGCCCATGGATCTCCGTCGGCGAGCTACCCGATAAAGCACAGCTCTGATTGATTCTTCGTGCAGGTTTAGGGTCGATCCCCGAGCGGGGACCACCTGACTTTCAAAGTTGTGCATCGGCATTGGTCCACCCGCAGCCGTGTCCGCTGACTAAATATGCACCTGTTATGCTGTGGTGACCAAGTTATGCACCCGACGGCTTCCCGTCCACAAAGCTCGTCAAGTCAACTTTACCTACGGGGTAGCTGCTGTGCCTCGGTTGATCAGGCAAGCCGATCCACGAATCCTCCCGGCAGTGACCCGCCAGCCGAGAGCCTACCCATTGGAACTCTTCTCCGTCACGGCGCACCTCGGGGACGCGCTACCGAGATGGCTGCAATGGCCCGCGAGTCCCTCTCAGCGAAGCTCCTCCGGCTGGACAACCCGATAGCTAGCTTGACCCTCAGTTTCTGGCTATGGAAAGCCTTGCTGTTTATAGCCGTTGCAGCCTGTCCAGGGCCGGGTTATGACACTTCCACGAGCTTGATTCCTCGCGAGGGAGCTAGTCCGTTTGCAAGCATCCACGACTCTCTTCCGCTGCCACTGAAGTTTGCCCGGTGGGATGCGATTTATTTTCTGCATATCGCCGAGGAGGGGTATGTGTTTGAGCAGGAATGGGCATTTAGCTATCCCCGAATCTTGGGCTTCTTTGTTTCTGGTTAGAATGTCCCAGCAGCTTCGCTTGAGAGATCAATGAACTAACCTGTGTTCTCAGGCATTCGCTGGTCTGGAGGATTAGGCGGCCCGGCCAACACGGCCTTGGTGGGCATGGTCCTGTCCCACGTTGCCCACTATCTCTCCGTGCTGGCGCTGTACCGCTTGTCGGCCAACATCTTTGGTCATGCGACCCCCACTCAGAAGCTGATCTGCGTCTTGTCGGCCGCCCTGCATATCATCTCGCCTGCCGGAGCGTTCCTGTCGGCGCCGTATGGGGAACCGATCTTCTCCTTCCTCAATATCTCCGGATACTACCTCTACACGTCCTCTCTAATTGCAGAGCATAATCGTGCTGTATTTCTCCGAGATCTCCGGGTGCTGACCGCTGCGGTATTCTTTGCCATTGCGAGCGTGGTGCGCAGTAATGGCATCCTGAGTGGATTCTTGTTCGCCTACGATGCCGCGATGCTGGCCTGGGCAACCTTGACACAGGGTCCCTCCTCCTATAATGCCCGCCGCCTCGCCGTGCTCGTCGTGGGTGGGTGCATTACTGCAATGGGGATGGTTGTGCCGCAGATTCTGGCCTACCGCATATACTGCACGGGAGAAGGACATCTTCGACCGTGGTGCAGCTGGCCTCTTCCAAGTATCTATAGCTGGGTCCAAAGCTACTATTGGTAAGAAAAGTTTCTTCTCGGCTGTCTTGTGTAGGGTGTTTCCTAACCTATGCTAGGAATGTTGGTTTCCTTCGATACTGGACCGTCTCCAACATACCTCTCTTCTTGCTGGCAGCACCGATGCTGGTAATTTTGTGTAAGTCATCGCTGTGGGCTTTAAAGGCCCCATCGACCCTGTGTTCGGAGTCTGGGGGCCAATCCTCCTCGCCCGTGAGCCCTGGGTCTATGCTCTTCCGCCTGGCAGTGCCCCAGGGCCTGCTAGCCGTGATGGCGTTGACGAGCTACCACGTCCAGATTCTCAACCGAATCTCATCAGGGTACCCCATATGGTACTGGTGGCTCGTATCCACAGCCATGAGCAGTTTCCAAGACCCTCACAAGAGCCGCCGAGGGCTCTCGGTCGCTGCGCAAGCCATGGTGGCCTATGCACTCATCCAGGGCGTTCTTTTTGGTTCTTTCTTACCCCCAGCATGAAGGTTCAAGTGCTAGAGAAGGTCTGATAGTTAGCCACAACCGAACTGTTTGGTAGAATATAGTCCTTGGTGACTAATTTTCTCCGCGTGGTAACTAGTCAGTTATCCGGTACCGCTTGCGTAAGAGGTTGTCTGCCTAAGTTGGGGCTGGGTAAGACACTTTTGCGGTGCTTCCCGGGGTCCCTTATAAATCCATGTCATGGAAGATAGTGAGAAATTCCACGTTTACGCCCTAGAACCTTTTGAAAGGAACCATCACTAGTACAAGGGTGAGTTTGAATCCATTTTGGTGGGCTTTCTACCCGGGTTCGCAGCAGAGGCGGCCGCAATTGTTACGTGAAATTATGTCATCCAATTTCCATCCCCATTGAGCCGCGAGCATTGAGCTGGCGGCGTTGAGCACACTCCCTTTGACATCTCAGCCTTGGCCATTTGAGAGTTGTCCAACCCCTCTTGACCAAGCCCTATAGGTGATTCGCGCCGATTCTGACCGTCGGGCCCCATTCTGCTTCAGTCCAGCCCACACCCAGAGCAGCTCCTCCACCCGCCTATCCGCAGTCCTGACCTCATCCGAACCCGCCCGTGCTGCACCGCATCGTCCGGCCCCAATATCCGCCCCGTAGGAGTGGAATAGTAAGTTGTGTGGTGAAGGTATAGCTCTCCTTCCCTCTTGACGCCAGCGTGGAGGCACGGTGAAGGTCGTGGAACCCTGCGGTTGCTGACGTATCGACCGGCAGAGCCCATCTGACGTCCATCCACGGCAACTCCTCCCTCCTCTCATCTCCACCTCGTGTCGCCCCCAACCTTCCCCTCTCGCTCGTCTCGCATGCGAGTATGGACGCCTCAGCCCCCAAGGCGATTCTCACATCCGATAACTTTCCCCATGCACAAGAGATCTCACGCGCCACCTCACCAGGTGGTGAACCCGCAGCAATGAACGGCGACGGCGAGCCCAAAGCTCGGGTTCGACCGCGCACCTATCCATACTTCAAATACCTGCCTTACCAGCTCGAAGATGAGACAGAGCGGGATCGAACTCTACGGGAAATCTTAAATCAGCTGTACATCTCGGTGGAGGCGGGTGACTTCAGCTCCGGAGCTGTGCACTGGACACGCGAGCTGCGAGGATGGCTGTCACTGAAGTTCGATCCAACCCGAAAGGAGCGGATCAATCTGGTGAAGCTTTATTATGAGCTTTCGCTAGCTCCGGGCATTGACCCTGGTACCTCGGAGCGGTTCGCCAGCATGTTCATGCTTCTCACCAAGTGAGCTTTATCTGTGAGCCGGTACGCCGGCATGGTGTGGGGATGCTAACTTTGATACAGGCGCAAGCACTACCTCCGACCCGTGAAAGATCTCGTTCTCGACTGGAAACCCTTGTACAAGGAGCTGAAGGCCTTCGTGCTCCCAACCGAGTCCGGCCTGGTTCACTCGACGAACCTGAAGCGCAACGTGAAGACGTTGACAAAGCTGTGTGCGTTTTCCCAGCTATTCATCGATCCCTGCGAAGTGCCCGCGATGCTCGAAGAGTTCCTCCCTCATTATACCACCTCATTTTCCGAAGGCGCTTTCGTGGTGGCAGGATTGATCAATCTGCTGCTCCCGACTTCACCTCCGCCCGCCGAACGAGAAGATCTCCTTCCACAAACCCATCTGCCGACTCATTTCCATCTGTGGTCGCTGATCGGTCGCTCCAAAACCTTCGATACGACATATCTGGACTACTTATCCAGACTAGCTCGTGATTCCCTGCCAGCAGCACACATACCATTCTCTGAGCATGGCATTTTCACCAAGGAGCAATCTTCCCTTATATTCACTGCAATCCTACGACTACTGGAGATTCCGGTTGGGCAATCTACATCACCATACAGCGCGTTGGTGGACATCTCATCTGGATTGGGCATCATGCTTGATCGCGATACGCGCAAGCATCCCGTTGCCCACCATATTGCCCGCTGGATAGTGTTGTCGCTCTCACCAGCTTGTCTGGAATCGGAAGATTCGATTCTGACGCAGCTCGAGGGGTTGATCCAGGCTGTTGAGACATTCTTCCACCCTTCAAACTCTGGTAGCTGGACCAAGACTCTATCGCAGTTAGTTTACTATTTGACCGATTTCTTCGTAATGCGTTGGAATCGTGAGCAAAGTGGAGAGATGGAAATTCCGCCCGAGCGGCGACTCAATGAGCCCTTGAAGCGTCGCTTCGTGTTGTGCTTGAGGGATGTAATCTTTATGGGCATCTACGCCAAAAGCAGCACCGCCATGACCTTCTCCTTGTCTACCCTGCAAGGTCTCGCCTACCTGGAGCCTCATCTCATTCTCCCCGGCGCCTTGCAGAGAATCTATCCTTCTCTTCAGGGTCTGGTTGAAGTGCACCGAACGACATCTTCCCTTCGTGCCATGCAAGTGCTATCCCGCGTCATTACTCGGACTAAGGGCTATCGCTGCCACTTGACCACCCTCCTTGGTCTTGCCTTACCCGGTATTGACGCCAACGATCTTGAAAAGTCCCTCCACGCACTGTCCTTCATTCAATCGGCATGCTATAACATCCCGATGGTCGATTTGACTCAGGGAAGAGAGGATATCAATTGCAACATGCTTGCACTGCAGTGGATCACTGGCGAGATGGAAAGGATGGAAGAGCAAGGAGCCGATGTGCAGCTGAACTATGACACCGAGCTTGATGATGAAACAGAAGAGATGATTCTTCGCTCATCGACTTGCGGCTTTGGCGATTTCACCATCTCATTCCTTGGCCGTGTCTTTACCCTCCTGGAGAATTTGCCTGATGTCACCAGAGTGCGCAATGGATCCCCTGAAGAAAACATTGTGAACACACTCCCCGCCACATTCATGCCGCTGCTTGCTTCGCTGTCTCCTGAGTACTACGATATCGCGCTGTCGAAGATTGTAGATTTTGTCTCCAACCACGTTATTCACCAAGCACGAGATGCAATGGCGTTTATCTGCAATGCCTTGTGCAAGGTCAATCCTGAGAAGGCCCTGAAGCGCTTTATCCCAGTTCTTACTCAAGCTATTCGTACAGAGATTGAGGAGAACGGTGCAGGCTCCACCAGAACTACAGGCACGGACGTCCTTCCACGCGACCGTGGCTTGGTCTGGAACGTCAGTATGCTGAGCATGTGCGTGGTTCACGTTGGCGACGCCGTGCTTGCCCATCGACAGGAACTGTTTGACATCGCAGTCTACATGCAGCAGAAATGCAGGGGGATTCCGACCGTGCACATCTCAAACTTCATCCACCATCTCTTGCTCAATCTTACGGGAACGTATACCAGTGATTACTCTCTTTATGAAAAGAGAGACATTGCTGATGGCATTGAGCCGAAGCACTGGAGCTACAGCGCTGATGTACGGAACCTTGATATTAACTGGCATGTTCCTAAGCGTGAGGAGTTGGAGTTTGCTGTCGAAGTCTTCAAGAATCAGGCTGAGTCGGCTCTGAAGCATCTCTCAGGTCTGACAAACGAGACATCAAGCATTAAGCGCGATGGAAGCGGTAAGGACTGGTCCGATGAAGTTACTCGGAACCTCGTTCTGCTTCGATTGCTTCTGTCTGGTATTTCTGTCCTTTTCGATTCCAAGGCTTCCTCGAAGACTTCCGAAGCCTCCAACGGCGTGTCGGTGACATCAAGCGAGTTTGAAATGGTGGATGACTCGTCCACGTCTAATGGCGTGGGCGACGAGGATCCCGATGCCTCGCTTGACAGCTCAGATGAATCAGCGATCAAAGAAAGCTTCCCTTATCCTACTGGATACCCTCTGGAGGAAGGAGATTCTCTCTATACGACCATCCACGAAATCCGTGAACGCGCAGGATTGGTCTTACACGAGGTCCACCGGTTCCTGAGTGATAAGCAGGAGGACGACGTGCCTTGCTTTGGTGCGCTCTACTCGGCCTTCCGCTCTTGGTTCGTCGATGTTGGCATCGAACGATCCGCCCACGTATTGGACCGAGTCACCCGCCTATTGGCAGCAGATATTCACCCATACAAGATGAGCGGTATCCGGAAGGACTACCCTCGAGCACTGCTCGTGCGCAGGGCCAACGTCTACCATCTACAACGTCTGCGACACAATGCCGCACCGCGACCTCGGTCCAAACTGGACGAGATACTTTTGTTTGATCTAGCCGAGTCTTGTGTCTCCCTCTATACTGAAACTCGCAGGAATGCCCAGAACGCCGGTGAATCGGCTCTCAAGTCCGTCTGGGGCGCCCGGACTCTCATCATTCCCCCCCTTCTCAAAGCTCTGCAGAGGGGTGTCAAGGAGAACGATCATGCCCGTATCAAAGGAGCTCTGTTTTCCTTGCTCCTAAGCAGCGTTGCTAAGACTGTCGGGCGGAACTGGAAGTACACCCCAGCGCTGATCCGAGCTTTCATCGATGCCAGCGCTGTTGACAAACCCTCTGTGCAAAAGATCTGCTCTAGTGCTGTATTCCAAATCATGGACTATGGCCGTGCCATGGAGCGCATGGCCATTTTGGACCAGGAGATCATCGAGGCGATTGCGCCCAGCGTTGACGTCCAGGGCCAGATCGAACAGAAGCGCAAGATCATCAACAAGAAGCGCGCTATGATTGAGAAGAAGAAGGCCGATCTGGCTGAAGAGCTGGTGAATCTGGCGCGAGTTTCTCACTGGAAGATTGCTAGTCGCGCCGCAACAATTGTTATTACGATGGGTCTGCGCTTCGACTACGTCGCAAGTGACAACTTGATCGAGCTGGTCACTCTTGGCTCGATTGATGATCACCCAGGCCTTCGCGGCATGTACTCCCAGGCACTCATTGCGCTCTTCACTATGATCGATGTGCGGGCTATCTGCAGTCACGAGTACAAGAATTACATCCTGGGCCACCAGCGATTCCCCTCGAAGATCAAGGTGGCCACGCGGCCCTATGAGAAGGACTGGACCCAGGAGTACTTGGCCAGCTTTGCCAAGCCCGAGGCTGAATACTACGTTGACCACGACTTCCCAGGTTGGCTTGTATGGGGCAACACGATGCCTGCGTACAAGTCCAACATAGAACGCGATATTGAATATGATGAAGTGGAATGGAACGTGCGTACCCAGATGGGCAAGCTGTTTACTCGCGAGTGGTTCTCCAAGTTTTTCATGTATCTGAAGCAAGAGCCGAGGGATCCATCTGCGGACAAGTTCCGCATGTCTTGTGCCATGATGCTCCTGTACGCTTTCGAGCTTATGCTGCGGGATGGGCTCACAGGTGCCTCCTTCAAGGATATCCAGCAGGAGATCCAGGCCGTCTTTGAAGATGGTAGTGACAAGCACCAGCATCGTGCCACCGCTGAGATTTTGGGTGCCTTGATCAGCTCCGTGACAGATAGTAGTGTGGAAAAGCGTGCTCTCGTTTGGGAGTATGCATTCCCCATTGTGCGGAAGATCTTCACGGATGGTCTTACGCCTGAGAACTCAGGGTACTGGACTACATTCCTCCACATGATCTTGCAATGTCGCGATCCTCGACGCGCGTGGCCCTTGGTTGACTGGCTTGCCAGCTTCCGTCTGGACATGTCGACGAATGCGGCCTTCAAGGAAAGCTCGAAGATCAACCTGCTGCACCAGTGCATCATTGATGCCGGGTGGCACTTCCAGCTTGAGAAGCCTATTGTGGAAGACTTCCTTGCACACTTGGATCACCCTTACAAGGGAGTGCGTGAAGCAATGGGTCAGACTCTTGCGACAATCTACCGCACAAGATATCACGAGTCATACCCCGACCTCCGACATTTGTTGGACGATCAGAAGGCTGCTTCGTCTGTTGGCACGTACCCCTACCGGCCCTCTGATGATTTCTCCAAGATGCTTCGTGGGGTTTTTAGCCAAATCGAACAATGGCGGCAAGCCAGAAGTCCAGGTCAACAGACCCCTTCGTCCTATACCTCGGGCAGTAAGACGGTTCTGCTGTGGCTGGACTCGACTCTGTCCTCCCACGAGTGCACTCAGCTCGTCCCTTTCTTCCCTGATGTTTTCACCGCACAGCTTCTACACATGATGGATGTCAAGGAAGACCCGGAGCTGCAGTCGCTCGCATACCATGTTTTCCGCCACCTCCCGAACATCCCCTACCCTGCGGAGAAGAACTCCGACTTCATCCAGTCCCTCATTCGCATCGGACAGACCTCTCCCTCATGGCACCAACGCCTGCGTGTCATGATCAACATCCAGATCATCTACTTCCGCCGACTATTCCTACTAGATCCAGCCGATCGTGACAAGCTCTTCGAGTGCATTGCCTCCATGCTCGAAGATCCCCAGCACGAAGTCCGGGCTGGCGCATCGGCCACCCTGTCCGGCATGGTCCGTTGCTCGCCGATCTTCCTGCGTGACAAGATGGTTCACCGATTCCAGGAGCGCTTCAACCGGGTCTTGGCGGACAATCCGCTGCCGAAGAAACCCAAGAACTTCCGATCGGGCATCTCCTCCGCGGCATCTTCGGGCACGGGCACTCCTACCCCTGAGCACAATCGACTGATCATTGTGCGCCATGGTGCAGTTCTGGGACTGGGCGCTCTGATTCAAGCGTTCCCGTATAACAGTCCTCCGCCCCGCTGGATGCCGGAGGCTTTGACTACGTTGAGCATCCGCGCCGCTAATGACCCAGGCGTAGTGGGCTCCAGCGTGAAGTCGATTATCAGCGAGTTCAAGAAGACTCGACAGGATACCTGGCACATTGATGCGAAGGTGGGTCATCTACCAACATCCAACCTCTCTTACATTGGACTCCCGCAAAGTACTAATTATTGCCCTCTAGGCCTTCACGCCGGATCAGTTGGAGGATCTGTCCGGTGTTCTATGGAAGAGCTACTTTGCCTAAAAGCAAGAACCGTCTCTACAGCAGTCAGTCTCTACCATAGTACAATAGTCGACGGACCGTACGGTAGATCAAATGGTATTTCTCGTCTTGGGTACAAATTGAGACCTAATCAAGGAGAATCCTGGAAGCGCGGTGTCACTACCACTTCATAGCCTTGCTCAGTTGGAGTCCGGAGAGTCCGAGCTCGGCTTTCGTGTTTGCCCCGTCTTTTGCGTCCATGTTTTGTGTTGTACATACCTGGGTCCGCTCCAACCATCTACTTTTTTCACTGTCGGAATTGTAGCCGCTTTCATTCCCATAATCATCGTGATGCTAGCCAAGGTCCGCGAGGGGTCGGCCCAATTCTACTTCTTTCGCTGGTCGCCAAAGCACGTGATCACAACGCCACATTCTTCGCCCAGATCCAGCAGACGGACAAGAATAAATTTCAATCTATCCCCGTGCCAGCCTATTCCTTCCGGTGGCATTCCGCTCTCCGTGCTTACCAACTGACGGCTGAGGTGCGGGCGCATGTCTCACCGGGGAGATTGGTGTAGGTTTGTATACAAGCCATCAGGCCAATTAGCCGCGGCTTCCACGGACCGTCTACTGTACAAATAGCAAAAGGATCTTTGCTGAGAGAAACTCGCCCGCCCTGTCTCACATAAGGTGATACGACGCTATAATATATAGAAAGATAAAGAGGAATTGAAGAGGAATCGAACCAGCAACACTTAAAGGACTTTGCTGAAAAGAATATTTCCGCCGAAATGAGCCGCGGCTTCCCGTCTACTTTGAATGCAAGATATCATGCGGCCCAATGCGGCCAATATTATACGGCCCAATGCAACCAATATTATACAGCTGAATGCGGCCAGTATCATACAACTGAATGCGACCCGTATCATACGTTTGAATGCGACGAATATTATGCGGCTGAATGCGACCGATATTATGCGGCCAAATGACTGTCGATGTAGTCAGGGCCGCGTAGTTATGACATCGCAGTCGCGGCTGTCGGACTGCGACCCTGCCTATCTATTCGCGTCTGCCCGTCGCATAGCTGATTAGGGGAAGAGCGCACGATATCTCTCGTTCCTCCTACTGCAGTACCATTCCTTGGTGCTTGCCCAGTGATTTTTGCTCCGTTTCCTTACCCTGCACCTTCCTCTTACGCCATCCTCATCCAAGCCAGCCCAACACTATACCTTGGGCACACAGAGAATGCACCTGCCCTGCAACGTACCACCGCACGGTTATCCACCATGGACCAGATCTTGACGATACGAAGCAAGAGCCCCGTCGGGTTTTGGCCCAGGACGTCGCTTAGGTCTCGTTGCTCCATGTCGCTGCGTTGGCTTGGCTGTGTGGTTTGTCTGCTGACCGTCTTCGAGACCTTCACGTATCTCGTCAACCGCCCGGAGATATCTCTTCTCGGTGAATGGAGCCCTCTGTTCCGTCCGGCGGTTCTGCGACCGGGCCAGTATCGGGAGACGGTAGGCCATTCCTCCATCGGGGAAGGCCCAGGCCAGGACGTGGAAGTTGATGAAATGGGCCTGTGGCATGACCAGAGGTTCGTGATGCTCGACATCAGCGCTCGTGTTTCATGCGTTATGGTCAAAATCTCTAACTTTTGCTTACCCTAGAGATGAGAGATTCTACCTGGGTGGCACCCGAACCCTAACCAGCGCTCCATCTCTCGGAGCTGCACACCCTGATCCCGTTATCTACGATCCTTATCCTACATACAACAGTAGAGCATGGAGAAAGAAATACCATGGCCGGTTTGAGCCATGCTTGGGGCCGCGCGGTCGCGATTTAGACCGTACCCGCTTCGAAGATATGGTTCTGGTGTATAAAGGAAAGCAGATTGCATTTCCAGAGTCCCGATTCGGCTCACACGAGGCAATCGGCCTGGACGGGGATATCTGCACCGATCGCTACTCTCGTTTCGGGGCCTACGGGTATGACGATGACAGCGAAGAAGATGTTCCTGGTTTCACTCGGCCGCCGATGGTGCACTGGAACGAGGTTGACTGGAGAGGCCTGCAGTCCCTCTGCCTCGAGAGGAATGCCAATCGGTTTAAACCAAACAGTGCGATGAACCAGTCTCAACCGCCCCCGCTTTCCTTTGAGCTCAGAGAGCCCCCGCGAAAAGTCTATGAATCCGAACCGACTACTGCCGGCGTGAAACAATATCATTCGCGATCCGCCGTCCTCATCCGATCATGGCAGAATATGCTATGGACACCGAATCATCGGGAGTATCTTCGGGCGTTGATCATGGAGCTTGCCTTGCACTCTGGAGGCGAGTATGAGGTGTTCCTCTTGGTTCACGTCAAGGATGATGACCTGCCCATCTTCTCGGATGCGGAGACCATGAGTGAGCTGCGGGAGTCTATCCCACCTGAGTTTCGAAACATTGCTTTGTTCTTCAACACCAAGCTGTTGGAGGCGTGGTATCCCAGAATCCCAGAACATAGGTAAGGCCAACATACTCAAAATACAAGCTCAGGATCCATTGGCAGGTTTGCATCGCTAACATATTCTCAAGCCCTATACTACAACATCACCAACCATTGCAGATCTTTTCCCAATTGTACCCACACTTCGATTACTACTGGCAATTCGAGATGGACGGCCGGCACACTGGTAATATCTATCACTTTTTGGATAAAGCCATCTCCTTCGCTAGACAGCAGCCTCGCAAATACTTATGGGAGCGCAACGCCTACTTCTACACCCCCGGTGCACACGGTACCTGGGCAGAATTCATGGAAATGACTAACTCTAGTCTCACCGAGATGTCCGCCAACACGATATGGGGCCCCGTTCGTGGCACGGGAATCCGCCCCATGGGCCCAGAGCCGCCAGATAGCCCCCCTGAGAGCGACAACTTCAGCTGGGGTGTCGGCGAAGAGGCGGACCTCATCACTTTCCTGCCAATATTTAATCCGAAAGACACTGCGTGGACATTCCCGGACGAAATCTGGAATTTCAAATACGACCGTGAAACGCCGCGCCGCGCTGGGGTCATCACGATGGGCCGGTACTCACGGCGCTTGCTCGATCTCGCTCACCACGCACAGGCAACGCGCGGGCTCGGTCTCGCATCTGAGATGACAGGCTCTTCATGGTCGCTTCATCATGGGCTGAAAGCCGTCTATGTCCCGCATCCAATTTACGCAGACGGGCAGTGGACACCGCAGGAGCTTGCGCGGATCTACAATCGCGGATCGCCCGACAATATCAATGGTGGGCCAGATAGTATCTGGAACTTTGACCATCTGTACGACCATATCATGTACCGACTTTCCTACATGTTCACGACACATACCGCGGAGGACTTGTACAGGCGATGGCTTGGGTACAGAACTGCGGAGAATGAGGGTGGAAAGAAGGTATGTTGATTCTTCCGTGCTGGTTAAAACATTTGTCTCTGGGGAGGCGGACTGACGCTTTTCTTGTCGCGTGGCAGTCAACGGAAACTCGCTTCGGTCGACATTGTTTCCCGTCAATGTTTCTTCATACCATTAAGAACACTGAGAGTAGGTTTGGACCTGACAAAGCTGTACCATGAAATCTAAAATGGAATTTAATGCTGAAATTTTTGATTTTTATTCTTTTTTTTTCAATTTACTGGTGTCTCACGACATGTTTGATATTGTGACTATGGAAGAGAGAGGGTTACTGAATGAACCCATGGCCGTGGGCGTGTATCAAGTCACGGCAGCTAGAGATCAAGTAATACTTAAATTAACATTCGCTTTGTATATGAAACGAACAAGCCAAAGAACAACCCACGCGCAAGATGTGCAGCAAAATGTATGTACTCGAAACTAAAGGAAAAGCCAGGCAAGCGCGTCGAATCCTTCCAAAGGTAATAAAATTAACAATAAAAAAGAAGTCAAAAGCGAGCGCCTGTTTCATTCATTCGCCCTCATCATTTTGTTCATCCCTTCTCACTAATGCAGCTCAATTTCATGACATCATTACAAAAGTCTGGCGAAACGCCTATCCTCGATTATACTTCTCATTGAAGGCATTAACCGCTAGAGCAAAAAAAGGTTAGCACCTTGGATCATTCTCAAAACACAATTTGGCACGTACCAACAGCAATTTGTCTATACAGCCAGTTCCTGGAACTCTCATCCTGGACTGGAATGAAAGGTCCATTTGCACCCCCTTTGAGCGTGATGCTCATACCCGTACGCTCCTTGGAGATGGTTTGGATGTCTGTCAGACGGATGTCCCACTCGGTGTTGAGCTTCTTGGTGCGCACAAGCATGATACGCGCGTACGTCAACATGACCAGCATGTCTCTCCCAGGGAGCTCCAGATGCGCAATGTAATCTTCGTTGAAGTACTTGCCGTCGTCGGTTGTCTTGAGCCAGAATTGGCCGAGGGCTTCGCGCTGTGAGTACGGGCGGACAATGCCGTCAGTCCCGATGAAACGAGTCAACCGGACACGGTCGAGACCGTCAGCATCGAATACGGTGGTTGTGTTGCGGACGCCTTCTGCAAGGTTGGAGGCAAGATCAAAGGCACCAATTGCGGGCTTGGTTGCCAGACCCAGGAAACCCTTGCCCACACCCTTGATGAATCCTGCCACGCCTTCTTTCTCCGCACCTTGCAGGGGATGGCGAGCCAAGCCACCGATTCCGCTAGCCAAGCTGTTTGCAAATGCATTGCCTCCAGCTGTAATGCCGTACAATGCATGTTTCGGGCGGTTGCGTGACTTGGACATCCGGCGCTGATCCTGGAACTCCTTGTCAAGAGTAGCGGCAGCAAGACCCTTGGACATACTTCCAGTAAACTTTGCCATGCTGTCCGAGAATCCGAACACAGACTTTTTGAAGAAGCTCCCGGCACCCTTTGCAATACCATAGCCCAGTTCTTGAGGGCGGTCTGTCATGACGAAACCCTGGTATGGCTCGTAGAAAATGTCTGCCACGCCAGAGCTGATAGTGTTGAATAGACCGACGGGATTTCCAATGAAGTCAGCGGAACCAAGGATAATATGGACTTGTCGCAGGAACTCCTGGGTGTAATGGGCTTGGACATTGCTGACCAGTCTCCCAAAGGAAACACGGGCGTTCTCCAGCATCAAAGCGTTGAGCCGGATTGGTGCATCATTGACATTGCCCATGGACATGGTCATGACATTGACAACGAACATCAGAGGATTAGACGGCTGCATGGCATCCTCCACGTTGATGCGTTCAGTTCGCATGAAGGAAATATCCAACTGCATGGGCTGCAAATGAAGAAGCTCAAAGTAGACATCCTGGCCGGCTTCATTCTGCTGCGGCTCCGGTATATTGAAATCCTCGTCGCACAGCACACCCTCTTGAGGCTCAGACCACGATGCACCAGGAACCTTGGCGAAATCCAGCAGAGCAAAGACAAAGTCCTCGTCCAATTCAAGTGTCATCTGCTGCAAAAGTAGGGTTGCATACTTGATGTACAAAACACCATAGGAGTCATCTTTCACCCGAGTGACCATTGCATGGAAAATAGGGTGTGCTTCCATCTCCTTTCCGGTCTTGGGAACCACACTGGGGTACAGAAGCATTGGAAAGATGCCACCGTACAACTGATTGTCGATTTGGATCCACTTGATGGAAGTATTGAGAGTCTGATAGATTCTTGATTCCCGGTATTTGATCTCAATCTCGCGGAATGTCATGTAGAGAAGCTCCTTCAAGTTTTGATTGATCAGAGAGATACCGATACCACCCAGGCGAAGTTGGGCTTTGAAGTTGACATCCGAATTCATCTCCTTGATTTCGAAACCAGCGCTTATGCTGTTCTGAGAAGACTGGCCCTTCTGCTGCTTGTACATACTCTTCGATGGCTTGAAGTTGGACAAGACAAGAGTCTGAGTGGGACCGTCGGCAACGATGTTGATATCGATAATCTTCTGGTACTCGCCAGGCTTGGTAGGGGCTATCCGCATTGGAATCAAGTTACCGATTTCAGCAAGCTTTATGTGCCGTTCTTTACCCTGGCAGGTCAGCACCAGTGATTTGTTCTTGGTTGCCGGGTAATCCCATGCATAAGGCATGATGCTCCGCGGCGGTAGACGATAGCGAATCGGCCGCCAGCCACTTGACCGGTCATCCTCATCATCTTCGACATTGGGGTTGGCTTGGTAAAAGATGAACTCTATATCAGCCTCGTTGCGCATCGAGAATGGCCAGTTGCGACTCTCGAAGCTGAAGTGAAGGAAGATAGTAGCATTCTCAAGAATAACATCGACCTTGATCAGCTTCTGGCGCTGATTCGCCTTCGCCAACTTCACGTGTACAGTTCCGACATCCGCGATATTGAACGGGGAAGACCACTGGTTATTCACACCAGGGAAGCATAGACAGAGCTGTTTCTCCGCAACTTGACGAAGGAAGTGCAACGGAACAAGTTCTCCGCTCTTGATCTGCAGAACATTGGATGAGCCCGGCTCCCGCACTAACAAATCCTCGTTGAGCTTGCTCTTCAAAATGAATCTCGGTGCGATGGTGACGACCTTGGTCATCTTGTACTTGCCCTCGCCTTCGGCAACAGATACACCAGAATGGAACTCGGATCGACCCTCTCTGTCAGGGAAAATGACCTCGAAGGTACTACCAATAGCCTCAAAACTCTGCGGCTTGCTCCATGCAGAATCGCCGACTTTCAAAATAGATCGGTTCTTCTGATCTTCGGCATTGTAGGAGTACATGTAGGGTATTGCGCGACCACCATCCCTCGTATCAACTCTGAGTCCTTGGCCAGCGGCATTTCGAGCAGACTGGAGGAAGGCCTTGCTTTGGATATCCATGGGCAACCCAGTCCTGTTCAGAATGAGGTACGGGCTGTACACAGAGACCTTGAAGGCACCGCCACTGTTGGGGATGTTGAAGTAATGAAGCTTCAATTTCAACTGGAGACCCCGTTCGTCCTTCAGAGACAAGTTATGTTCTCTGCGGTAATCTTGAGCGTTTCCATTGATAATGGCAAACTCGCTCTGCCGAAAGACCGTATCCTCCAGGTCAATGCTAAGCAGGAGTAGGTGAGAAAGCTCCACGACGTGAACAGGACTCACGCCACCCTTTCTCAAGAAGTTCGTCCAGTCCTTCTTTGTGTTCTTGTCATATATGCGGTACTTGAAGTCGAAAGGCAGCAGGTTTTGAATCTCCACGGGAGCGAAGATTCGGACCCTCATATACGGATACACGCTGGTAAGTGAGTCTTTTCTGTCGAAAGTGGCATTGGCCTGGAAGTAGAACGGAGGAGACTGCTGGCCGCCCTCGCTGACACACTTGATGGTCCGTGTGGGTCTCTTCAAGAGATCTTTCCAGAATAGTCGCTCATTCGACCAGTCGTAACCAAAGCCTTGATCAGGACGGATGACAACTGAATGAAGGAAGGCTGATCCAACAGGTGCAGGCCGAGCATCGCCAGGCAGGATCTTCTCGATCTTCAAAAGATGACCGTCGTCAGGGCTGAATACACCCAGTTCAACTGGAATCTGGGTATTGTTTTCCACAAGAAGAGGTGAGCGGAAAGTGATGTACTTGACGTTGTCATCGCCAAGCTTGACCTCCACAAGAAGCCGATGAAGAACGTTATCGCGCTTCGGCTTCAGACTATACACAACCTCGCCCTCTCGCACAACAGGGATTCGGTTGATACTATCAAACCCGCTTCCCTCCAGCTTGACGCCGACAATACCGCCATGACCTTCCGGAGTCAGGGTCTCACGGACTGCTGTGGAATCTTCAAATCGCCACGGATACTCCTCTCCATCACTGAGCTTAGCCGCAGGTCCTTCTTCTCCTGCACTGACATCGGCCCACACTCTAAGATCAAACCCAGTGTAATTGCGAATTCTGTAGGGGGCATCAGCGCCTCTTGGTTTGGAGAGAACGTCCTCACTAGCACTGAGGAACTGGAAGGACTTGGATGCAAGCGCGATCGTAGCCGATGTCAGCGTAAGCTCCATCGTCTTGTGGGAATAAGCATCAATCGAGAAGACATCCGGGTTCACTTCCTTGGCCATGTGGAAACCTAGCTGCCAAGGCTCGATCAATGGCTCCCATGCCGACTTTGAGAAATTGTAGACGTTGACAAAGGTATCGAAGCTGGTATCAACGTTCAGTGTAGATGACCAATCGCGCACATCGAAATTGAATTTTTTCACGCTCCAGTCGAGCAATGGCAGGTCGTGCAAGTCTCCAATAAGAATGACTCTGATACCATCAATTTTCGCGGACAACTCCTCGCGCTTGAGAACGGCCGAGCTCTGGTGGACAACATTTCTGTCAAGCGTGTCCACAGTCTGGCTCAAACGACGCCGAGTTCGATTGGCAACTGTTGAGGATGTCTTGCTGGCAGACCGACCTCGTGTTTTGCCATCAGTGATCCTCTTCGCCTCTCCGCCTTCAAGTTGCTGAGCATGCGAAGCTCTCATCTCGGAGGCCTTATTGACAATCTGGATAGCCATCAGGATATCACGCAGAGACAAGCGAAGAACCAAGGGTTCACAATGCATCTCAATCGAGGTCAGAGCAGAACCCTTTTCTTGAGCTCGGCTGTCAACCGAAATTTCAACTGTGAAGTCATCCAGAATACGGAGCCGGCTAGTCTCGAACTTATCCATGCGGCACAAATACATGCCCACTTTCTGGATTTGGAGAGTGGAGACATTTTGATGAGAGATGAGGATCTCTTTGGTGCCAAGCACGATAGCCTCAGAGTGGGGGATGGCAGGATTTGCAACCATGATAACCTGGGCATCCACCAAGTTGATCCGGAATGAAATGGTGGTGGTGCCGGCTGGAGATGCTCCAGCCGAGCCTTCAGTGATAGCTTTGTCAGTGGACGTAGCAGCATCAGAGTCCAGTTCTGATTCCTCTGGAGAGTCACTCTCCTCTTCCACAATTTCTGCAGGGGCTTCCGAGGCGAAAGCAGAATTGCTAAAAGACTGCAAGGCGGATAGATAGTCTAACGCGAACATAATCCGCGGGCTGTCGATTGTCAACATGGCGATGAGATGCTTATCCGGTCCAGGAGACATGGAGACGCTAGCCATGAACTGCTGTTGAACATCATTGTTGATCAAGGACAGAATATGACGGAACTTGTTTTTGTCCTGCTGACGGCTGTCACGGATTGAGAATGAATGTATCAGAAGCTCCGACTCCAGAGAACCATCAGTTAGCATGCGGAGCTTGACTCTGGTGTCGTTGAGAGAGAACTTTGACAGGCTGGAGTCCTCTAAGCGACCAACAGGTTGGTTGTCGCTGGCCAGGATAAGCTCCAGACCAACACTGTCAACCTTGAAGATCATGTCAAGTCGTACCCAAGTTTCTTTGCCTGCGTCGTCATCGGTAGCCGTACCCTCCTGGTCCTTCTGGGTTTGGGCAGCCTTCGAAGTTGCTTCTCTAGTAGGTTCAGTCACGGAGGATGGTAAAGACTCCATAGCTTCAAGTTCTTGCTGCTCGGCATCTGTGACAAAAGCGCCGGGGATCGATTTCGACAAGGCCAACAAAAACTTGAGCTGACTCTGCGAGATTCGAAGGTTGATAGGAGACAAAGAGCCCTCTATCTCCATATCCGGGCGGGGATTGTTGGTCTGGTGCTCGAGATGGCAGATGCTAAAGTCTAGGTTCACCTTCTGTATCATCTCGAGCTCTTCCACCACGCCATCGTCAAAGTGGAATTTGGACGTTAAGCGGATGTTGCGGACACCAGTGGAAATCACATTGACAGCGGGGCTATCCTTTGTGTCATCCATGGGAACAAATTCGTTCTTGGCATAGATCTCTCCAAGATAAGCAGTGATATTGTCCCTGGATTGATCATCGGCCATCACCCGTGGGAATACCAAGATGGGAGTCTTGACCACAATATCGAGACGCATACGAGACTGGTTCTCTTGGAGCTGGGTTGCCTGGTTTGCGGCTGCCTGGCGAGCTGCATTAAAGATTGCTTGCATTTTACCGAACTTAACAAGGAAGTTGATGATTTTCCGGTAGGGCTCTTCCAGGAAATTAATCTTCATGGAGCCAGACCGCAGGTAGACCTCGGAGTCGTAGCCAGGGTATGTGTCGCTATCGGAATTGAAAGTCTCATATTTAAAGTCTGCAAAGTTGTCACCTTCAATCGTCAAGAGGCGCCGGACATCTGATTCTTCTGAGGCGCCCAAGTTGACATCGTCGACCAAGGTCAAACTGCCAATGCGGGATTGAATGGTCATGGCACGGCCGACAAGGAAGATGCCAACATCAGCAGTGTTAAGGCTAAGAGTTGCCAATCTGACGCCATCGTTGTTGAGAATCAAGGCAATACTCTTCAAGTTGGACTTGATACGAAGCTTGCCAGCTTGTTCGGGTTGTTGCTCCGTATTAACTGTCTCTGGCAAAGCCTTGTCTGACTGTTGATTGTGATCATCAGGCTGCTGCGGGCTGGTGAATGTAAGCAGGATGAAATCCAGGAGCGTGAGCAGAGTCTTTCTGGTCACGACGAGATTGATAGTGGAGACAGATATGTCGAGGTTCATGGCAACACCCTCATAGGTTGACTCGAATTCTGGAGACTCAGGCTTCACCCGAACCATCTTCAAGTGGAAAAGATCCTTGTCCTCATCCGCATTAAATCCTTTGGACGAAACGATGCGCTTGAATTCTGGTACAGGGTTTTCTTCAATGTAGTCATCCACACTCAGAGACTTTAAAATGACTTCTGCAACCATGTCATAAGGGCGCATATAGAAATCGAGCCCGAAACCTTCAGCGACCAGTTCCACTAGCAATTTATCCTTTTGCGGATCTTGTGAGTCCGCCCGGAATAGCGAACCACGGAGACGGCCAACGTTGAATTTGAACTCAAAGTCTCGGCGGTGGATATCGTTGGTGGAGTCCAGGCTTTTTCTTGTCTGATCGCTTTCGGATTCGGCGTCTGCGTCTTCATCTTCGTCGACGACAGGGAGGTCTCGCTGTGCCGGGGGGTGGAACGACGCCGACCTCGCTCTTGTGGCGATTGCAGCCTCTTCGGCAGCTGCTGTGGCTTTCGCCACATCGTCAGAAGCTTCCTTGCCTGCATCGAAGTGCGGAATCGCAATATCGATGAGCTTCATCAGGCCCTTATACTTCGTGTCGGACATCGATGCATGCAGTTCTGGCAGGTTTCCTGAAATGCGTGTCCGGGTGAGTTGCGTCACCTTTGGAACAATGCACATCTCCAATACAAAATCGACATTGATACGGTCGATAATATGGAAATTCTTGGACTCAACGCCGGAAGTGAGTTGCGCCTTGGTCGCTTCCACTCCCGGTCCAATAAGAACTTGAGTAGAGTCCAGTTTGATGAGGAATCGATCATACAGCAGATGTTCAAGCTGCTTGTAGTCGTCTTCCTCATACTGCCGCTTGTGCTTGTTTTGCAAATCCTTCATAGCCTGTCGATCGACCAGCTCGCTGTTGACACTAGCATGACCAGCATCAATAATCAGACACAAAGAGCTTTCTTGCGTAATGCTTTCAGGGACGATGATGAGGGGGGCATGGATGTCGAACTGCGCATCAACCTTTTTATGCTCTTGCAGGGCAAACTCCAAGCCTGCTCGGGTTTGCTGCCGCAGACCTTCCACGGTGGCTCCTGCGGTGTCCAAAAGCGCTCCGATAGACTCCATGTGTCTTTCAGGCGGTTCGAAGAATTTGACGATTCCCACAAGGAATCGGGGGTTGTATATAACCTCGATACTCTTCAACTTGACCTTGACTGCGGAGTCGGCGTCGCTTTCCAATGGATTCTTCTCCAGTTGCAGATGGAACAGGCTATCGTCATCTACCAGGTCATCGGCGCTAGCTTCCGAGGCGAGTTCATCGTCATCTGTATCCATTCCCTGATCCCTGGCAGGCTCGGGAAGGGAGTCTTTGACCTTCACAATCTGGCGATAGAGAGTTCCAGCCGTAGTACCGTCGTACATCTTCAACCCACCCAGGTCCAGGTCCAGCAGATATGAATCTGGGCGCTGCAGGGCCTTTGCCCGAAAATTGTCAAACACCAGTTTCATGACCTCGTTCGCTGCGCCGTGGGGGTCTTGCTTCAATGTAAAGCTACCAGCCCGCAGACTCCAGTTGACTTGAAGCTTGACCCATTCTCGAGGAACATCCACACTTTCAGCAAGTGCTTTCTTTTCATCCCAGTCAATTGCGTTATAAAGCTCCTGGCGCTGCTCTTCGGTCATAGCGGATTCCTCGGACTCGGCCGGTTTGCTGCCCCAGAGCCATTGCGACCATGACTGTTGTTGTGCAGTCTTCTGAAGACCGATATTTTCTTTGCGTAGCTGGTTGCGCGCGAGAGATCGCCAGAATCGAATATCCTCGTAGCTGAGCTTCTGCTCAATCCGGTTTATCTCCTGCGTTTCCTCCGGTGTGAGCACTTCTTCTCTCTTCCTTTTCTTAAACAGGTTGATGTATGCAATTCGGTCGTCTCTCCGCTCCTTGATATAATCCCAAGTCCATCGTCTGTTCCGGTCGTGAATTTTACTGAGGACTGCGTCTCCGGCAAATTTCATCCATGCGCGAGGGTCCTCTTTCACTGAACATTTAGGCTGGAAGCGCTTATACTCCTGGTGGCGAATAAAGTAGTGGAACAGGTCGACCAGCATGAGGGCGTCGCGATACTGGTTGTCGTCCAAAACAAAGCCGAGTTCATCAAACAGCAGCCGAGCTTTCATAGCGGGGCGATCGTATTTGCCCGATTTATCCATCTCCAACCCTGCACGACCACTAACGGGGCGAAGCATGAACTGGTTACCATCGCCATTATCGATCGCATCGCGTAACTTGGACATCAAGTCATCGTGACTGATTCCTTGGGCTTCGGCGCCGATATCAGAACCTCGGCCGGTACCGAGAAGTGTCGCATCTGTGTTCCAATATATTGAGAGAGCGCCAAGAATTGCCAATTTGTGTGTGGTATCGGAAGTGGATTGGATAAAGGTAGGGTTCCATTCGGAGTCGGTGCTGACAGCACTAAGCTCTTTCAATGTCAATCCCACAGCGAACGGATGGCCGGGCGATGCAATCGAGTCCTCGTAGCGGAAATGCACGTTCTTGATGGAGATCTGCAGGTTATCCACGACTGCCGTGATCATGCTCTGGGTGAAGCTCTGGTTCCGGCGCTGCTCCTCCTGGCTCATCCCTTCCGCATTGCGTTCGCGGATAATCTCCGCACTCTCTATCTTGTCCATCTTCAATGCATGCGCGCGTTTTTCTTCCTCTTTCGGATCATAGTCCGCATCTTCTTTGGGCGCCGCAAGCAAGAAGACATCTTCGATATCGACCTTGACTGGCTTTCCTCTCAAATTCGACCAGGGAATCGATAATGTGAGTTCGCCCAAGTGACCCTCCACAACGTTCAGGGGCAGGCGCAGCTGGTCGAGCGCTTCCCGACGCAGCTCGAGATTTCTCAATTTGACATCGCCCGACCAGATTCCGATGTTGAGCTGTTTCGCATCGAAGTTCTTAACGTAGATGCCCAGGAAGCGGTTGAGCAGATTGGCAACCAAGCTCTCCAGCATTGTTGCGGTCGGTGGCCGTAGACCGGGCCTGGTGGCAGAGGTCTATGTATGTTCCTTGAATGATGTCGCTGAACCGTGCGGGTGGTCGTCAAGGATCAGTCGACCTAGCTCTGGGAAACGGGCAAGTCAGAGGCTATTCGCAGGTAAATGAGGGAAAGAGGAACCGGCCAGTTCTCACACGACAGCATAAACCCTCACAGTCGGGGTTTCATCCAAGCCATTCAAGCTAAGCGGGTAGGCTGCACGCGATACCGAGGCGGAACTCACCACCTCCGAGATAAGCGGGAGCCAGGGTCTTGGAAGTAGGAGGGGTGGATGTTCGATGATAGGATACAAGTTTGGGAGGAGGTGTTGAGGAAGGGAGGAAGCGACAAAAGATCGCGGCCGAACAAGGTTGGGTATCCAAGCAAGCCAATGGCCCTGATTGCGTGGATCAAGAAAAGAGGACCGTTGGCCGCTACATTTCCGACCGGTTACGCAAACTGGCTGGTGCTGGCCAAGGTACGCGGTACTGTCGGGGTACAAGCTCGGCAGCTAGGGGTTGTCTGTCATTTCCCCGACCCCATCGACTACCCCATACTAAATTGATCGTTGATGGTCACCCTGAATGCTTGTACCTTGCTCTTAATCGTCAATATTGGTCAATCTATCATATATCGCGCGTAGGATTTCGCGTGTCTTCATTTCCGCACGGGCCGATGATGTACCCCACAGCGTACTGTACTGGAGAGTACGCTTGTTTACGCTACACGCTGCCGCCGCCCATGCAGAGTGACGTCGGTTCCGTGCTGGCCGGCCCCAAAGTGGCTAGCCATTCTAGGGCTTCGCCCCTGCAGTCACGTGATAATCACGGGATCCCGGGGCTTTATCTAGCTCTTGATGCCTGGGGCGTCAAGTGCCGTTCGGGTCGCTACGGTTCGCCCGACGACCACACCTCACCACTCGGTCACTTCATTTCTGGATATTCTTATTTGCTCTCTCCCGGAAACCCACGGCCTCCCCGACTTCGATCTTGAGATCTTCTCCGGGTGAATACCCTCATCTCCACTCTCCAATCTCCCTTCCAGCTGTTCTACAGACCAATTGGGTGGGTAGTCCCCGGCGTCGTCGCCATACCATACCCGAGGTCTTTTCGTTGCCCGCGCCGACTGCTAACCCGACCTGCTCATGAAAGCTGTATCTCCCCGTTGTTCCCCGCCATGCTGTACCGCACCACCGCCGCCCGCTCTGTCCTCCGGGCTGTCTCGAGCTCCAATGCCTCTGTGGCTCGCTCGGTCCTGGGTAACCCCATCTTCAAGGCCCAGCTGACATCGTCCGCCCGCGCAATCCGCCCGTCCGTTTCGCCGAGCTTCGCGCTCGCCGCTCACAAGCCCGTCACCACTGCCCTGGTGCGCTACGCATCCTCCTCGGCTAAGGTAAGAAGATACTTTGGCGAGAATATGGGGGAGACCTCCGATGGCTAATGCTTTTTGCGCGATAGGATAGTGACGATGTCGACATGATGGCCGGTATGAAGTCTGAGGCGGTATGTATTTCCGATATCTGTCGATCAATTGTCTGTGGCGGACCACAGCTAATCCAACCCGCGCAATCTAGAAAGTCATCCAGGACACCTTCAGTCTGAAGGAGGTCCCCAAGGAGGCTCTTGCTCTCGGTATGGCCGGTGTCATCCCCTACCTGGCCACCTCTCTCCAGACCGTCTACCTCGCCTACGAGATGAACCGCGCCGCCGCCCTTGGTGACGGTCTGATCTTCTCTGGCCAGAGCGCCGAGCTGATGCTGCACATGCTGGAGCCCATCCAGGTTGGCTACGGTGCTGTCGTAAGTGCCCAAACTTGAAACTTCATATCCGTTTTTGATATCATCCTGCTCATCACGTCTTGGCACTCCTCTAGATCCTGTCCTTCCTTGGTGCCATCCACTGGGGTCTTGAGTGGGCTGGCTACGGTGGCAAGTACGGCTACCGCCGCTACGCCGCCGGTGTCATTGCCCCGGCCGTGGCCTGGCCTACCCTGCTGCTCCCCGTGGAGTACGCCCTGATCAGCCAGTTCCTGGCCTTCACCTTCCTGTACTACAACGACGCGCGCGCTGCCGCCGCCGGCCGTGCCCCTCACTGGTACGGCATGTACCGCTTCGTGCTGACCTTCGTCGTCGGTGCCAGCATCGTCGCCACCCTGATTGGTCGTGAGCAGATCCAGCAGACCATCACCTCCGAGCACACGATCAAGGACAAGATCAACGCCCTGATCTTCCTCCAGAAGAAGGAGAAGGAGGAGGCCAAGGCTCGTCTGGCCGCCGAGCGTGGTGAGGATGAGGAGTAGATTCCATTTTTCTCTTTTTTTTTGATATGGTTCTATTGAACCCAAGGAAAAAAAAGACTTACCAACTGTATGGGGGGAGGAGGGAGGTGGATACCTGATAACCCCCGTGTTTTCTCTTGTTTGCATTCCCCGCGATTTCCTGTAGAATATACGCAGAACGCACTAGGGCCGAAGCTTCTATTGATTTTCCTTTGTTTTTTGAATTGGAGAGTTACACCAAAGAAAAGAAAGGAAACGAAACGTGAAGATAAGGCGAGAGGTCCGCAGGTCATGGGATATATATCCAGCCAAGACAGGAGCTACATAACTAGTAGATAGTAGTCGATCTCCTTAAACCCAGTTGCCAGCCCACGTGCACGTGCACAGGTAATCCTAGCTAACCCGAATTAAGCGCCGTAAAAGCCCATTGGGGAAAAAAGCTCAAGAACAAGGAAGCGGCCCAAAATGGAGGATTTGGATTCGATAATCACGTAACGAATGATTCGGCGGCGACAGCAGCCACCAAGGCGCAATGCGGGTTCCCGACCGGCCCCGGTGACGAGGAGCGGGCCTCGAAAATGGCCGAATTTCCCTGGTTGCACGCAAGGAGAGGCCCGCTTAAGACCTGTAGTCGATCCCGACGGCGATGAAGAGCCGAGTTTAGTTTCTTTGGGACCAGTGATGCTATTTGATTTTTGAAGTGACCCAATCAAATCCACCGTCGATGAAAAAGAAATCAATCTATAGAATCCGAAATTCCTCGGCGTCGCCATCCGAAACCTGGCAGGGATTGGAATCCTAGCTATAGTCTAAATTCAACAGGGATTGAATGTTCAGGGTGGCCCGGCGTCCACGCTATTTGGGGTAGTGCTGGGAGGGGAAGGTAAAGCGAGGGCGCATACCGCCCCGATTGGCAGGTTGGGCCATCCCCCTTCCTCCCCCGGCGCCGCGAGAGAGAACATGCGGGTAGCGTTCCCGCAGGATCGTCCCTTTTCTTCGTCTCGCGTGATCTACTGACGCGCACGTCCCCGTCCCTGGCAGGTTGGGCATCCGATCCGTCGGCTTCCCCGCGAGACAGTATGGCCAAGATAGGCTACGACAAGTGGGAGGAGAAGGGGCCGCGGAAGGGTGCCTTCAGTTAGGGTTGTTCTCCAGGTCTCGCTGGCTATTGATAGTACACACACAGTTGTGTGGACGAGACATGGATCCAAGACGTCACCACCCGAGCGCGACGGCGAGATGATTGGGCTACCAAGGGCGTGGGTTGACTGTTCGTATCATTACCTAGAAGATGCCCAGAACGATGATCGCAGAACTATATACAGCCGTTGGAGCGTGATTGAACATCCGGACGGACTATAGGCATATAACGGAGTACATCTGTACATCCCGTATCCATAGTAGACACTAGGGTCTATGGGGGCAAGTGGATCGTGGAACTTTCGGGTCCAGGTCCCCGTCCCAGTGGCAAGCAAGTAGTCCGTCAACGCCCAGCCAAGGGACCCGGTTTCGTGGAATTGTTCTTGGCTGCGGCTACGGTCCGGTCTCCAGGAAGGTGGAAGTCAGTATGGAGTATGGAGTATGGAGTACGGAGTACGGAGTACGGAGGGGTAGACGGTGATGGTGGTAATCGCTAGCGGTAGATTATCCACATAGAAACATATTTCTTCCGGTGAGATTTCTCCATGAATCGGAGCCAATTGCTCAGCCAGCACCCTCCAGAAAGGGAGCGAGAAAAGAAAAAAAAAAAGGGGTCTAGAACGTGCAGGGGACCGCTAACGGACAAAACGGAGCGTGTCATGTGCCTCGATCGCCGGGGCTCTGACGCTAAATTGACTAGAGGGGGGGCTATCTATAGATCGTGGACAGGGGAAGATGCTGGACTATCATGTTCCGTGATAGGTCCACCCCTCAAGTGCTGCACAGAATCAGACAGCATAGAGGCGTTGAAATCAGGATGAAGCTTGACAATAAGCATTGAACATGTCACCGGACCTGGACTATATCGAGAGTATATAGGAGAGGAGTATGGCGTGGGAGGGTGGAAGGATGAAAGGACGGGAGGGCGGGAGGACGGGAGGATGGAAGGATGGAAAGAAGAATGGAAGAATCATCAGGCTGCAAGGGCCAGTCCAGTATGGATCTCTGCACAGGGCGTGTAAAAGGGCTGCGTGCAGAGTGCAGAGTGCAGAGTGCAGAGTGCAGAGAGCAGAGAGCAGAGAGCAGAGTGGGGGAGGTGACGAGGTCTTCTGATCAGAAAAAAAACCCCGAACCGGATTTGGGCTCCTCCACCCACTCTCCAGCACCTCAGCAGAGGCCCAGCAGAGGCCCGTCCAGCCCGTGCAGGGCCGCTGCTGGGCCTCTGCTGGGCGCCCGCTGAACTAGGGGCTAATTGGGCTGCCAGGACGAGCACACCCTCGAGCGCGCCTGGCCCACCCGTTTGGATAAGAAGCCGCTCGTCTTCCCTGGCACGCGAACCTGCGACGAGCAATGTTCCTTCGCCTTTCGAATCGCCCCTCGTACGTCACGCCCCACTTTTCTTCCCTCGCCGTGCTGGAGCTCCCCCGGCCAGTCGCCAACACCGCCACGAGAGAGAGCCGAGAGCCCGCCGAGCCAAACCAGACAAAACCAGTCGGCCTATCGTCATACTTTCCGTCCGGCCTGCTTGCTGGTTGCTGCGTTTCCTAGGCACGGGCGTAATCGCTCCCCCACACTTTCTTAACTTGCACGCCACTTCCCCCCCCCTCTCGCCAACTCCTCCACTTCTCCTCCCAACTTACACCTCTCCTCTCTCCTCCAATCTCACTCACATACCCACCACGGAAGATGCGAAACCCATTTGAGCTCGACGAGAACAGTGTGGACGGGGACTCGGAACCTCCAACGGACCTGGAATTTGAGGTCGATGTGCGACCGCACCAGAGCGACGACGGGGACCGTGCCATATTGCAGGACGAGGAGCATCATCCCTCCGATCTAAAAGAGCGCTTCATCGGCACCATTGATCAGGGTACCACCAGCACTCGCTTTATTATCTTTGACTGCACAGGCGTCCCCATCGCCAAATACCAAACGGAATTCCGCCAAATTCACGAACATCCAGGGTAAGAACATGCTTGAGAACCCCGTCTCCCCCACCTTTTCCCCTCTTCCCACTACCACTACCATTACCATCACCACTCCTCCCCTCCGAAATCAACGCTCTCGATTAACCATGTCCCCCTCTCCGTATGCAGATGGCACGAACAAGACCCTTACGAATTGGTGGAGTCGGTCTACATCTGCATTGAGGAGGCCATGAAATCGTTCCTGGCCCTGGGCCACTCCCGATCCGACATTGAAGCCGTCGGTATCACCAGTCAACGAGAAACCGCCCTGGTGTGGGACTGGGAGACGGGCGAGCCCCTGCACAATGCCATCACCTGGACCGACACCCGCACCATGAACCTGGTGCGCGAGCTGAAGGAGAAGCCGGGCGCAGAGGATCTGGTCAACATCTGCGGTCTACCCCTCTCTACATACCCCTCCTCGGTCACGTTGCGCTGGATGCTGGACAACCTGCCCGACGTCCGATCCGCGTACGATGATGGCCGGGCCGCCTTCGGTACCGTCGACTCGTGGCTCATCTATAACCTGAACGGCGGTCCCCAGAACAAGCGCCTGGTCACGGATGTGACCAACGCGTCGCGCACCATGTTCATGAATCTCGAGACCCTGCAGTACGACGATCGACTACTCAAGTTCTTCGACATCGACCGCACCAAGATCCGTCTGCCCGAGATTCTCCCCTCGTCGGACCGCGAGGGCTTTGGCGAGATCTATGAGGGCCCCTTGGAGGGCACCCCCATTACCAGCTGTCTGGGTGACCAGGCGGCCGCGCTAGTCGGTCACTGCGCCTTCACGCCCGGATCCGCCAAGAATACCTATGGAACCGGCTGTTTCCTTCTATACAATGTGGGTGAAAAGCCCGTCATTTCCAAGCACGGCTTGCTCGGCACCGTCGGTTTTCAGCTGGGCCGGGATCGGAAACCCGTGTACGCCCTGGAGGGCAGTGTGGCCGTGGCCGGTAGTGGTGTTTCTTTCCTGATGAACAACATGGGCTTTTTCCGCGACTCGCGGAAGGTCAGTGATCTGGCGGCGACGGTGCCAGACAGCGGAGGCTGCGTGTTCGTGACTGCGTTCAGTGGTCTTTTTGCACCGTACTGGATTGATGATGCGCAGGGAACCATCTGTAAGTCTTGTTTTCGTCGGATCCCACCGCAACCCCGCACTAACGATGTCGTAGGGGGTATCACCCAACACACACAGCGAGGACACATTGCCCGTGCAACCATGGAGGCAGCCTGTTTCCAGACCAAAGCCATCCTGGATGCCATGGAGATGGACAGCGGCAAGAAGCTAACGGAATTGGCCGTGGACGGCGGCATGAGCAATTCCGACATTTGCATGCAGGTATGATTTCTGATGCCCCGGGTGTTCTTCTCTCCCTCTCCTCCCTGACTTTCAATAACTAACTATTGCTTGTTCCCCGCAGACCCAAGCCGACGTCATCCAGATCCCTGTCGAGCGCCCTGCCATGCACGAGACCACTGCCCTCGGCGCCGCCATCGCCGCGGCCTTCGCGATCGACATTTGGAAGGACTTCTCCGACCTCAAGCACATGAATCGTGCCAACCGCGCCACCTTCGAACCCCAAATCTCGCTCAAGGACAGCACCCGCATGTACAAACGATGGTCCAAAGCCGTGGAGATGTCCCGTGGCTGGATGGAGACCAAGGAGGAGGCGGGCGACGAATAAATACAACCCCGCACCAACCCGACTATTCCGCACTGCTCCATACCACTATTGTGTCTTCTTTTGTCTGTCAAGCATGACTGCGAGTCAGTCTGCTTGCTGTTCACGGCCGGGAGATCCGATCGGTGTGTTCCCACGCACGCTTTCCAGAGAGAATACGCCCTAAACCAAATAACCCACAACCGCGCCCCCTCTTCCTACCTACCCCCTTCGTCTCTCGTGGATTGGATATCCCTGCTGTGGTTTCTCCCCGGGTCTATGGGACACGCAACCCATACATACTCACATTCCACTATACATACTTAAGAGGCCCTTTCTCCTTAGATAGCCCTGTTTCTAATTGGCGAGCCGATCGGCCTCCGCGCCGCCTGTCTTCCTTCATGACCGTGATGAATGGTTGTGTTTTTTTTCCAGCTATGATTTTGTCGGGAAAGAGCTGGTCTTGATTTCTTTTCCTTTTTCTCATCCTTTCCTTCATTTTCAGCTCCCCCGCCCACCCTTTTGGTTCGTATTTGTCTTGGCCGACGCGTTTTAAGTTCGTCGAGTCACGGTTGCATCTGATGTACGTACATAGCAGCGGGAATCGTGTGAAATCAATAAATAAATAAAAATTCCAAAGCCAAAAAGTTCTTATTCTCTGTCTAACACTACCATCTAAGACTGTTACTTGCCATCTAGGTAGATGTCGGTATAAAACAAAGCAGCCCATCCACTGAAGCTGAACCATCCCTGCCACGACTATGGCATCAGGCACAACATACATCTAACTACAATCCCACGTTAACACAACCCCACCCCCTCCAAACAATGTTGTCATACCTGACGAACCTTCCCCATGCACCGAAATAGAACCCAAGAACTCCCCGAGATACTGAGTGCCCTATCTTGGTTCTGATGGCGTCAAGCGCGCCGCGAACCAGGCACCGGCCCCATGATCGCCGTTGACCTGGCGGGTCCGGCTTATGACATCATGCCCGTTGTGGAGAATAGGCTCCGGCGGCCGGGCGGGCGAGATACCTGCCAATGAGATGATGGGGTAAGATGGTACGGGAATGATGCAAAAATTGTCCGCAGGGACGAGCATTGACCATAGTGGGGACGATATATGGATTCAGATCTGCAGGGCGGTGGGCTTGTTTTTGGGTGGTGGGGATTTAGCCTGGTTTGGAGTCCATGGTCAATTGATTGGATGATCTGTACGCATATCCGGGTTGATGTCGGATCTACAGTATATCGTATTTGGTAGATGTGGAACTTGCAATGTTCAATCCATCACTATTTCCCCATGCGACTTGTGCGCTTTGCGCTTCGCGGTAGTAGGCATACAGATACAGGGTTGTATGTACAAGACAATACGGCGGCTGGGACTTTGTCCTCGCCGAACGAGGGGCATCAAGGGTGAAGAGCGATGATGTGAATCAGAAGATAAGAGAAAAAGCGAAAAAGCGAAAAGAGAAGCATGGTATTTTCAGTATCGACGCCCGAACGATCCGGGAATGCACAATGGAGAGAGAGGAAATTTGACGGCCAGGCACAAATCAAATATAAAGTGACAAGACAAAGAAGAAATGAAAAAGGGGAAAATCGAACAGCCGAGGAACATGCACGCCGTACGGTGAAGCTTACTCTGCCGCCGTGCCTGGACCCTCCGCTGCCGCCGTCGGGTTTAGGTTAGCTGCCTGCAGGGCCTCGGGCAGCTTGATGGGCGCGCTGGGCGACAAGGAGATCTTGTCGAGCTTCTCGCCGCGGAGCACCTGCTCCATTTCATCCTTGGTCAGGGTCTCGTACTCGATCAGGGCCCTGGTCAGGATTTCCAGCTCGTTGCGCTTCTCGGTGAGGATTTTTGTTGCGCGGGCGCGGGCCTCCTCGACGAGGCGGCGCACTTCGGCTTCGATCTCTTGCTTCGTCTCTGAGGAGAGGCGGTTGTAGTTGGTCGACAGGTCGACGTTACCCAGCTTCTTGGAGTAGCCGAATTGGGTGATCAGGGTGAAGGCGGTTTCCGTTGCTTGTTGGATGTCCTGGAGAGGTTTAGGTTTAGTACATAGCTGTGTGCGTCTTTATGGTGTATAGAACTTACCGCTGAGATACCACTTGTAACGTTGTCCGGGCCGAAGATCATCTCCTCGGCGACCTTGCCGCCCATGGCGACGTCGATGTCAGACAGATACTCAGTGTAGTTGCGCGAGACGGTGTCCATCTCCGGCAGGAAGTGAGTAACACCCAATGCCATGCCACGAGGAACAATGGTAATCTTGTACAGCGGGGTAGCAGATTGCGAGAAGTACGCAACCAGGGCGTGTCCGGCCTCGTGATAAGCAGTGAGGAGCTTATCCTTGTCCTGAATAATACGGCTGCGAGCCTCGGCACCCATCATGATCTTATCTTTAGCCCAGTCAAAGTCCAGGGGGCCAACCTTGAGCTTGCGGTCGCGGCTGGCATGAATTGCGGCTTGGTTCACCAGATTCTCCAGGTCAGCACCGGAGAAGCCAGGAGTACCACGGGCAATGACGCCCACATCAACATCCGTGCTGATCTGGACTTCCTTCATGTGATGACGTAGAATATCCATGCGGCCACGGACGTCGGGCAAGCCGACGATGACCTTACGGTCGAATCGACCGGGTCGGGTCAGTGCCTTGTCCAATAACTGGGGGTAGTTAGTAGCACCAATGATAATCACACCAGTGGTCTGCGAGAAGCCATCGAGTTCGGTCAGAAGCTGATTCAGGGTCTGCTTGACGTAGGCAGCATCACGTTCATTTCGCTTCGCACCTATCGCATCCAGTTCGTCAATGAAGATGATTGCTGGAGACTTGGCACGGGCTTGGCTGAAGAGGTCACGAACACGCTTGGCACCCACGCCCACATAGACTTCATCGAACTCGGAACCGGACATGTAGAAGAACGGGACACCCGCTTCTCCAGCAACGGCCCGAGCCAACAGAGTCTTACCAGTTCCGGGAGGACCAACTAGAAGCAGACCCTTGGGTAGCTTTCCACCAAGGGAAGAGAAACGCTCGGGGTTCAGAAGAAATTCGACCAGCTCCTGCAGCTCATCCTTCGCCTCGTCGCAGCCATGAACGTCGCTGAAACGTACAGTCTGCTTCTCAGGCTGAGCTTCGTTGTTCTGCTGGCCGCGGATGTTCTTCAACACACCGGTTGTTTCAACCAGAATGGTAATCAGAACGAGAGACAGATAAGTGAAGAAACCAAAGATGAGCAAGAACTTGACCCAGCGGAAGACAGTGTTGCCGAGAGATTCCTCAACCACAACGTAGAGAGGAGCCTCCTTGCCACCAGTACCATTGGGCTTATTTGACATTCCGATTTGGCCACCATGAGACCGTGCAGCAACAGCTTGGCCGATGGCCTGAAGCTGATCCGGGTTGAGATTCTGATTCTGGCTTGCAATAGCGCCGGACTCGGCACCACCAACACGTTCCAGAGCCTTCGCATAAATTGCCTCGGATGCCGCATTGCTCGCAAATTGAGCGCTACGGTATCTTTCCACGACAATGGCCGGCATGTTGGCGCGGAGAAGCGCCTGGTAGAATGTGTTCTGGGCATTCGGACTATTCGGATTGTTGTTCGCTGTCTTTTCCTTCTGAGCCAACAGATTCTGCGATGGGCCGCCAAACAGGAATCTTTGCTGCTGAAGTCTCGAGAGTCCGCTGAGTTTCGGGGTGGAGCGAAGGGTATTGAGGTGGAAGGGGGTCAAGGTCGAAAAGGATCGAGCTACTGGGGATGCGAAGCCGCGAGCTGGCGAAATCGTCGATGAGGTCCAGAGAGCGTTATCTGTTGTGAAACATCACAGATTAGATATGGAACAGTGAAGAAGATCTCAGAGATGTTGCTTACTTCCACTCAACAGCGGCGACAATCTGTGCGGCGCGGGCCGGTTGAGAATACCAGATCTCAATGCCTCCAGGGAGACAGTGTCCAGGCACTCCGGCAAAGACACACGCTGAAATGTCTGCCTGAGTCAATACATGATATCACTGCAATCCATACGATGAAGACATACCGCCGCATTCTGTTCCGGGGTGAGATCTTGTTGACGAATATCGCGAACCTCGGCCGCCGAACCTCGGCCGGCCTGCTTGAAGGGAGCGGCCAGAACGCTCGACATCGCAGGCCATAGGTCCGAAGTCACCGCGGCGACATTCTAGATGCAAGGAGCAAGTGTCAACGATGAGATCTGAATGCAGGAAGGTAACATGGCGGAACATACCGGCCGGGGAATCGGAAACTGGAAGGCCATAGTTGTCCGATATGAATCGGCGCTCGGCCGCGTGGAAGGGGAGAATGTGCTCTCGATGACGGGGTTCGTTGGAATCTGCGACCAAGAGAAAGCAGACAAAATTCAGTTTCGGTTTGGGGCAACTGCCATGACCGACAGTGAGAGCGGAGGCGATGGAGAGGACGGTGACGATGGCTTTTGCTCCGGCGGCGGGCCTGCGGCGACTGTTAGTTGCCACTCGGGCCCGTGTGCTTACCTGGACGATCACGTGATTTACAGTGGTCCTGAGGCATCCACTACTCTCATGCTCTTCGAGGTCTAATTAGTCTGCGATTTCGAGTGGAGCATAGAATAATTATCTGGAGAGCATCTAGCTGATAACTCTTGAATGTATTTGAATGAACCTACTTGTCCTAAATGAGGTATGTGGTTCCAGGAAAGCGTGAGCTGGTTAGCGATATAGACGTAGATGCCTGCCGTCCACCGTCGGCATCCCATGGTTCGGGCCTGTCCGAGTTTCTGTGGTGACCACCGTTTTATCAAGTCCAACCCTTAACAACATCTGTCACCTATGCACCTCTAAGACTACAATGCAGACACCAAGAACAACTGTTCACATATAGCCTCCCTCACATGGGACTTTGATGCCAGCGTCTGTATCTTCGATGATTGATCTTATGCAGATCCCTTACCCAACCACCTGCATTCACGAGCATGGGACTACGGAGTACATGCTGGCTTAAATAGCCTCACTCACGCGGGGAAACAAGCCCGGGCTACAGCTACAAAAAGCTTGTAGCTCGGCATCTATGGTTATGTCCCCAAACACGATCTTTTTGATGGGTGCTCCATTGCCTGGCAGTTTAGACTGGGAGAAGGATGAGCTTCTCAACAGCGCCATCCAACCATTCCAAGGAACAGACACCATTGATGAGCACCAGTCATTTCTTGTCCAAAGCAGAGTTTCTGCCAAATGGAGAGCTCTTCAACCTCTTTGCACTGAGCTACCGACAGACTACCATGCCTTCTATCACGGCCCAGAAAACCCAAACTTCCTGTCCACACATCAGCTGGTGACGGCTGATAACGAGTCAATGGACGAGGACTCAGTCCTCTCAGAGTTCTACAACCATTCATTTGTCGTGCACGAAACATCAGAGATGTTTGCTTCGGGATCACGAGAGGAAGAATCTACACAGGAGAGCGGACCACAGCCAGAGACTTTGGAAGCACCCACCACTTGCTCATCCGCAGAAGAACTTGTCCACGGATTGCCTCCTTCACTCCGAATTCCTGGCCCTCTCAGCGATCTGCAGGACCTTCCCACCGCAAGACATCTGCAGTCCATCACACCACAGACAGTGACAGTTAACTTGGTCGTCGGAGTCATTGCTGTCCACCCACCACGTCGTATAGTGACCCGACAATGGAAGACTGAGCTTGATATAATTGAACTGATCGTCGGCGATGAGACAAGGACTGGCTTTGCGGTCAACTTCTGGGTTCCTCCCGAAAAGCCCACTGCTGCCAAGACTCCTCAGGCTGATCACCTCAGTCGATCGCTGGCCATGCTCCGCCCTCAAGACATTATCTTGCTTCGCACCGTAGGGCTCAGTTCATTCCGGAATCGGGTTTACGGACAGAGTTTGCGGGGAGGCATGACCAGAGTCGATCTGCTGCACCGACGACCAGGAGACACGACGGATGCGGCTGGATTCTACAAGAGCGGGTTCGAACTGAATAGCCTCCACGATTTGCATGACGATCTGCCGCGGCAGAAGGCTCGCAGAGTGCGGGAATGGGTCCTGCAGTTTGTGGGTGCGACGGATGGAGCAGGCGGTAGCCTGTCAGGAATGTCTCAGGCACAACGTGGCCATCGGCAGCTGCCCCCGGACACACAATGAGAGGGGGAGAGGAGCGAGACCAAGTATTCGGGATGCGTCGATGGGTCCGCAATTTGGGAATTGTCCCAGGCAGATGAAGGAGGGATGAGTGGGGCGACGGATGGGGAGACCTGCTTCGGACCTCTCTCCACGCGTCCTGCGCCGACCGCAACCAACCATCTACCTAATACTACAGCAAATACCAGGATAGACACGGAGTGCTACCGTCAGGGGTGAGATCGTCTGACCCGCGATGGGAGTGAAGCACACCGGTCTAAGTTCGCGGGGAAGCCATCTTGGTGGCCCCGATCCAGTCAAAGGCGGCATTGGATGCATTGGCCGGGATGGGCTGGGCTAGCCAGGCCCAGCACGACCCAGTGCGAGACCAATGCCCACCACCCGGGGGGATGAGCAGCAGCTCGAGAGGGAGAAACCAGGGAAGAAAACCATCGCAACATTGAGACAACAGTGACCATGGATCCATTAGCAGACCTGAACCGGAATTGTAGTCTGGACAAGTACAAAGTCCGGAGGGACAGGTACGGAGCGTGAAGGGAAGGGCCGCCCCCTTTTCCTCGCTGCAAACGTGCCCCTCGCCGCCAATCACGGTGCCACTCACGTGCCCCACCCTCTTCCCTCCTGATAAAAATAAATCCATCAACGGCCAGGTGTTCCCTAAATCATGCTATTTCACTCTCTGAACCTCCCTCACGTCGCGTAGTCGCGATCATTGATCTCTTTCTCCATTGCTTTTTGCTGGTGTCTCTCATCCCATCCTCTCCACCCCCACAATGAAGGGTATGTTAACCCCTCCTCCCTGCAACCCACCCCTCCTCCCCGTCCATACTGACTGACCGCCGCAGCTCTCATTCTCGTCGGAGGGTTCGGGACCCGTCTGCGTCCTCTGGTAAGTCGCTGCCGACCTCTTATTTATTCATTGAGCTATCCAATGCTTCCATGCTTGGCCTTACGGGGAAATTGCTTTTTCCTTTTCTTTTGGCACACAATGGCTGACGGTTGACTGTCTAGACTCTTACTCTCCCTAAGCCGCTGGTGGAGTTCGGCAACCGCCCTATGATCCTGCACCAGGTCGAAAGCTTGGCTGCCGCGGGTGTCACTGATATTGTGTTGGCTGTCAACTACCGCCCTGATGTGATGGTCGCCGCCCTCAAGAAATACGAGGAGCAATATGGCGTGAACATTGAATTCTCGGTGGAGTCGGAACCGCTGGGCACGGCTGGCCCGTTGAAGCTGGCGGAGAAGATCCTGGGCAAGGACGACTCGCCCTTCTTCGTTTTGAACTCGGATGTCATTTGCGACTACCCCTTCAAGGAGCTGGCCGAGTTCCACAGGGCTCACGGCCAGGAGGGTACCATCGTTGTCACCAAGGTTGACGAGCCCTCCAAGTACGGTGTCGTCGTTCACAAGCCTAACCACCCCTCCCGCATTGACCGCTTTGTCGAGAAGCCTGTCGAGTTCGTTGGCAACCGTATCAACGCTGGTATCTACATCATGAACCCTAGCGTCCTCAAGCGCATCGAATTGCGCCCCACCTCCATCGAACAGGAGACCTTCCCCGCCATTTGCAAGGACGGTCAGCTCCACTCTTTTGACCTCGAGGGCTTCTGGATGGACGTTGGTCAGCCCAAGGACTTCCTCACTGGTACTTGCCTGTACCTCACCTCCCTCGCCAAGCGCAACTCCAAGAAGCTGGCCTGCAATTCCGAACCCTATGTGCATGGCGGTAACGTCATGGTTGACCCCTCGGCGAAGATTGGCAACAACTGCCGTATTGGTCCCAATGTTGTCATCGGCCCTAACGTCGTGATTGGGGACGGTGTCCGTCTCCAGCGCTGCGTCGTGATGGAGAACAGCAAGATCAAGGACCACGCTTGGATCAAGTCTACCATCGTTGGATGGAACAGCTCCGTCGGTCGCTGGGCTCGTCTGGAGAACGTCACTGTCCTGGGTGATGATGTGACCATCGCCGACGAGGTATACGTCAACGGTGGTTCCATCTTGCCGCACAAGAGCATCAAGCAGAACATTGATGGTAAGCATAACCTCCGCCATTAGCGTCTGATCCATGAAAGCTAATAGCCGTATAGTTCCTGCAATTATCATGTAATCCCTCCCCTCGTCCTTCACGTCGCTACGTCCCTCTACACTTATCCCTTTCTCGCCGTCCGATACCTTCCTTCCTCCCCGTCTTGATGCATGGCACCGGAGCCGTTTTCTGCATGATCTTCTCCCGCTATTGCGCTCACACTTTTTATCCCTTCTCGTCGTATCTCCCCGATAATCGATATCATCCCGAAACCTAGATGGTGGAGATGCGCGATTATTTCCGCTATTTGCGACATCTACCTCCTTTTAGTCTTTTCTTCCTTGCGTCAGAGCTCGACTTTTCATCTATCTACCACTGTTGCAGTCGTCCAAGCTCTGCTTCTATCTATCTACATCCCCGCTCCCTCTGCGTTTTTTTATTGTCTTATGCGGGTCTTGTTTCCCTGGCAAATGGCGGGCAACGAAACCATGCTCTACCTGTTTTAATGATATCATGGGCGCGGGGCGGGTTTTGTTGGTGTAAATAATTGAGAGGCGGTATTCAGAAGATGCGAATCCGATTCAAAAGATAATAAGGTATCATGGATTAACAAATCTTTACGTACATTATGAGTAGATTACAAGTGGTTCTAGTGAGCTCGTCCCCTCAGATTTAACGGAGCGAAGGCTGGCAACGCTCAGGCCCCGTTCCTTCTTGCCCATTCCTTCCTCACTGGGCATTTGCAGCTGCAGCCTTGTTCTGTTCCGCTTGGTCTAGAATGGCATCCCACTTGATTCGCAGCTCCTCCATCTGCTTCCAACATCCGCGACCAAGCTCCTCGAACTTTTCCTTCTCCTCGCGTGTCAAATCCTTTGCGCCGCGCCTCCGGGGTCGATTTCGATCGGCTTCAACAACAGGCGTTCCGACGACGCCGCCATGCCCCCAGCCCTCGATCTCAGTGCTGCTCAGACTTCCGACACCGAAGCGGTTCGCGGAAGAGCCCCATTTCACTCGGCCACCGCCCGCATGACGGTAGGGGGATTCGGTCGCATCGAGCGCACCTTGCGAGGATAGCGCGAGGAAAACTGAAGACCACGCGCCGAGGTAGGTAGATAATGGGTGCCAGGGCGAGCCAAGCATGCGCGCCAACCAGAACGTAGCCACCATCGCCCAGACAAGGGGGAGCGGGAGCGGGATGATGGATGTCGCGCAGATGCCTGGGTGAGAAACATACATGGTTGGGGCCTCGTCCGCCTTGGTTCCGCTATTGGAGTGCATAAAGCTATCCACCGCCCACGGTGCGGTGCTGGGTAGGTCCGACGTCAGAGCCAGAATATCGGTCAGGGCCTTAGAGGACTCATAAGGGGTCTTCGTTTGCAAACCCTGGATGTCATTGATGTCGAAGCACTTGATGGTAGCCTCGATACTTGACACCCAGATAACACGGCCCGGACCATTGGGAGTCTCGGCCTTCTTCAATAGCGGTGCCACGTTGTGCGCCAGCATGTAATGCCCGAAGACATTGGCGCAGAAGACAGATCCCAAGGCTGGCTCCTCCTTCTCAGGAGTCTGCTTGGCTGTCAAGACACCCACAGGCGCGATCTTGTAAGAAGGCCAAGTCACTTGATGGACAAGATCGGTGAGGACGCCCCAAATGGCTTCCGGCCAGTTGATTCCCGACCAACCACCAACTCCAGCATTCAGAATTACAGCATCGAGTTTAGGGATGGTCTGCAGGAGTTTGCGAGAGAGCTCACGAACAGAGAGAAGATCACCTAAGTCGACGCTCTCGGAAACGAATTTCACCCGCGCGGTGTCGGATGAGGAGGCAGTGGAAGATCGGAGGTGCGCTTCCAAGCGGCGGCGGGTTTCCTGAGCCTTGTGCTCACTCCGGGTTGTAAAGATGATAGTCAAGGAGTCATCATAGTGATGCGACGAAAGAAATTCATCGGCGAGGCGACAGCATATCGAAAAGCCAAGACCGCTGCATAGAGCAATTAGTTTTAGGGTCTCCTTTTTGTTTCCTATAGAGCCCCGCGGCGGGGGTCTGGCAATTGGCTGTATCGTACCTGTTGGCACCAGTGACCAATATGTAGAGTTCTTGTGGCTCCCGGGGAGCCTTGCAGTTGTCCATGACTCTTACCCCCTATCAAAAGTAAAGATGGAACGAACCCGTTGTTTTTTTTTTTCTTCGGGTCCGGGGAACAGCGATCATGTGATGCTCCGGCGCCTGAATGGTAGTGGATCTACAACACCAAGCTGCATCGAACTGAGTTTTTGAGTCGCGCTGCATTGGGAGGGGTTTTGACCAAGGATAACAAAAGGCTATCAAATAAACCAGATCTCTTTATGCCGCACTTCCATGCTGGCAGCCGACGTGATCATAAAGTACACATTAAACACGTGACCGCATATCCACTCAGACATGCGCAACCAGCTTGGCCCGTCAACGTAACCAGCTAATCCGATCACCAAATGCTGTGCAGTTCGCACAGCATGCGCGGACAGTTATGGCCGCGAGACTCGATCGCTTCCTCAACTCGAGCTTCTTTTCCCTCCTAGCCCTCATCTGCTTCTGCCTCGTCCTCCTTACTCCGGCCGATGCCATCTACCAATGCTATCAAACCCACCGATTGACGAACATCTTCTTCATCACCGGTGCCTACGTCATTACCTTTCTCCTCGCCATTCTCATTTATGCGACCCGCATCTACACGAATCGCACCACCTTGGCCGGTATCCCAAAGGCGTGGATCCCCGTTGAACAGGAAGATGTGAGCAAGAGCGTCAGGCGCCTGGTGATGGAGGGACTTGCCCGCAGCGCAGTCATCTCGTATCAGGCTCGCCCGCGCGACATCTCAGATGAATTGGACAGCTTCCAGAGCTACAAAGATCTCCTCGTCGACCCCGACCGCCCGCCATGGGGGCACATCGAACACCCAGGCTGGTCATCACCGGCGTCGCCCGATCTGCCCGATCTCCCCTACCGCACCGTCATTCAAGAACTACCGAATTTAATTGAAGCGAAAGCCGTTTCACTGGCTCCTGCAGATGATTTCTCATCAGCTGCTCCGGATGCCTTCCCCGATACGCGTGTAGTGGAAGTACTACAGAGGCCGGCATCGATGGGCCTGCGGCAGTATATTCGGCATCTCACCACACTGGGTGTCGTTAACCCTCCAGAACTTGGCTCCGAATTCTTAGCACTCTACGAGCGTGCGCGTTTCTCGTCACACCAGCTCCACGAGACGGAATTTCGAGAGCTGATGCACCTATTTGCCGAGATACTGAGGGGGATGACATCGCTTGCGCCGCCAGTACTAGACGTGATTCGCGATAGCGCGAGTTACCATCGCGCTGATAGCGAGTCAGTCATTGGGCCTTCGGACGAAGAGGGTGAAACAGATACCGTTGACCACTTCGGATACGATGGTACGTTCACGCCAATGCGGAGTAACAGTCTTCGACCGTCCAATGCGTCTACATGGGAAACCCAGTCCGGTTACGATACAGCCCCCGCAGGGCCGAGCCCCATCTCCAGATTTTCAGCTGCTAGCGGCACTTACAACGGGCGGGGTCCGTTGCGCACACCGTCAACTCGATCATTCCAGCGTGTCCCATCGGGCCAGTCTGGTAGCTCCGGAGGCAGTGTGATCCGCCTGGCACAGACGCAGAGTCCGGGGGATCTGCCGTACACCATTCACTACGCAGGCCGTAGAGAATAAAATGCCCACGTTTGCATCCCACCCCATCAGACCGTGTACATTAGTTATAGACCCAATACCATGAATAGCACCTTATCGAACCGACCCCCGGGGGCGCTTAGTCATGCGGAAAGAGTTCCGAGACTTGGCATAAATGCAAATGATTGATAAGATTATTTCTCGAGTGTTACGCGTCATAGCGAGAGAAAACGGCGCACAGTCGGGTGCCGTGGCCAATTTTACCTTTATTATTTCCCAAGATTATCGCTGCAGACACCGCAGAGCTCGCTCACTTGTCCTTACAATGCACCTCTTCCGCCGGGGCACGTCCTCGCTCTTCAGCTCCTCCAATGTTTCCCTCGTTTCCTCCAGGACCGACACCGACACCGACGCCGTGGGCGACAATGCGCTTGCCCAGGAGGGATTCCGGTCCGTCTCTGAATCTGATCAGCTATTCACAAAGCCAGATCCGGCTGTGGATGGCGAGGAATGCCTGCACGACTGTGCAACATGTACTGTGAAATACCCCGCCAAATTCGACATTGACCATGAAGACGAGTTATATGGACAGGTCAAGGGGTGGGCGACACATTTGCTGGTGGCTACGGGGAAGTCAGACTGGGTGCGCGACGTGGCCGACGAGGTGGGCAGTGTGATGGAGGCGATCGAGAAAGGAGGAGTAGAACCGAGCAATGGGGTAAGCCGAATCGACCAGTGTATCTCCCCTGTCGTCTGAAAGACCACTCATACCTCGCCATCCAGAGACTCAAGCTGTCCGCATCCAACATGCCCGTCCCAGACGAATACCACATGCACGAGGCGGGCAAGCAGCCCACAGACGTGCTTCTGCTGCCCAGTTTCACGGTCGTCGAGCATGTCACCCCGCAATTGGCGCCGGACTTGATCGAGCACTTTGTCAACAAGTCTCTGACAACAACCACACCACTGGGCGCCTCACCAGCAAGCCAAGCAGGCCGGGATGGGAAGGAATCCCCACAGCCACCAAACACATCCCTCTCAACCCCGCTCCGCTCACATCCCTGCCCCCATGCCGCCGTCATCCTCCTCTGCTCCCAGCGCACCCGCGACGCCCGCTGCGGCCAGTCCGCGCCTCTTCTGCGCCGCGAGTTCGAGCGCCATCTGCGCCCGCTGGGCCTGTATCGCGACATGGACGACACGCGGCCCGGCGGCGTGGGCATCTACTTTATCAGCCATGTCGGCGGCCACAAGTACTCGGCGAACGTGATCGTGTACCGGCGGCGCGACTTTGACTGGTACAAGCGGGAAGGCGCCGACGCCAGCGAGAATGACGAGGGCGCGGCGCAGGGCATCTGGCTGGCGCGCGTGCGGCCGGAGGAGTGCGAGAATATCATTCGGTATACAGTGCTTCAGGGCAAGGTGCTCAAGCCCGGGAAGCAGTTGCGGGGTGGCTTTGATCGGGCACGGGGGGTGACGAGCTGGTAGACTGAGGAGTGAGTTTCCTTTGTCTTCAGGGATATGGATATGGACATGGATAGGGATAGGGATATGGATATGGATATGATAAGAGCATGGGTATAGATTATGGACTTGTATATAGCACAATATAGCACAATATAGCATGGATTTGGACCAACCGCAGGCAGTCCAGATGCCGGCGCCTTTGCATGGAGACGGCTTGCCGTCTAACCGTCTCATCAACCCCAAATGCCGTCGAGAGCTGCCGGCTGATGTGCCAATGTGTGCATTGCAGCGAATGGCCGAACTCTTCTGAATAGGAAACCGAGCAGATTAGAGTCGCATTGTCGCGCCACCACGATTGTATTTCCCCCTTCCCATCACAGCGAGCAGCCTTACGTCTCCGTCGACCGGGCAAGCCTAGCTCCTTTGAGCGAGACCAATGGCCCCTCAGGACGGCGTCGTTCGATGCCGAAAACGGGGCCTCGCCCCGGAGCGCCGCAGACGAGCCCAGGCCCGGCCTGAATGCCATCAAGGAGGCTATTAATGGCATATGCAATAGAGACCAGGCAAGACCAAACTCAAGCCGGCCCACGGGTCTGCAACGAGGAAGTCCAATTGGACGGCGTGGTCCAATGCTGGTCTGTTGGACTCTTAGCAGCGGCCGAATATCGACCAGGCTTCACCAGCCGTCACCCAAGTACTGGCTACCTGCACTGCCGCGCAGGGTGACATTCTCCAGCCCGTCTCCGATTGACCACTGGTTGCCCTGGTCGTCTCTCGTAGTATCTCCTGTTCCCGTGCTGGCACGAAGGCAAGAGGCAAAGCAAAGGGATTCCGTCCAACCCCTGTCGACAATAGTACCCTCCGCCTCTCCCCTGTGCCAGGCACATCGCGCATCCTGCATCCCACACCCCTCCACCCTCCACCCTCCACCCTCCACCCTCCACTGTCCACCGTTTCCCCTCAGGCTACAGCCCACCTTCCCCATCCACATGACAATGCGTGCATGCGTACCCGAGTGCCGAGCCGGCAGTGCAGCTGGTCGCGACTGGAGAGGTAAGCCTGTGAAGCCACAAGCCCCGACGACGTCACTGTGCATGGGGTTCTTTTGCCCATTTGCCCATTTGCCATCTGCATCGGAGACAACCGATCAGATGACTGGCGGGGGACGGAGGAATGACTACTCGATCCCGTCGAGATCTCTGGCCCGACTCCGCTCCTCCAGGAGGTATCGGGTATACTTCAGGTACCTGCTCAGGTACCTCCTCGCAGTACAGTCCGCCATCACGCTCAGCCTCAGCTCGCCCTCCTCTTTGAATGATTAATTGCAGTCATCTTGACCGAGACAAGTCAACAGGCAGAGGAAGGGGGATTTGCCTGGGGACATCCTTCCACATCGGACAGAGAATTGTTGGAATTGGGCCAGGTACCCACCATCACGTCACGGACAGATGATCTTGATCATGATCGGAATAGGTGGATACCCTCGTTTCGCAGTCGATGAAGCCCGGAGGGGTTCATAGTTCGGAAGATTAATCCCGCTGTCTTAGCAGGGCGACTTGCAACCCCCTTGTGGACTCTCGTTTGCTTCAAAATGTCCCCGGCGACAATCGACTGAGCCTCGGTCGGCCGCATCAGTAGGAGGGGAGACCGGACATGTCGACTGTTACGGCAACACCATCGCCATCAGTAAGGAGGTGAGCATATCAGTTCACGGTGGCGTCGCCACTGTGAACTGGACCGCGGGGCAACGAAACTCGCCAAATAGACAAATGTAGCAATTCATGAGCGGGCAGCCAGGCCCTCCCCTTTTTTTGCGTTCTGTCTCGATTGGTTTTGGTTTTACATTGGTTCTGTTCGTGGGTTTTTTTCTTCTTATTCTGAGGGATGGGGATGAAGGTACTCCGTACATCCCACAAGTGGCTACCCTAAACCATAAGCATCAGGAGGGGGAAGGAAAGACGGTGGCTTACCTACAGCCCCAAACCAGGATTCCGTCCCACGATCATCCGCGTGAGAAATCTGGAGAGTTTCCGGATCACACTAGCAGCTCAGTCTCGACGTGCCTCTTGACCGACACTCTGACGAAAGACCAGGAAAAGTGGGCGAGACAGACGCAAGCACCGGGTGGAGAGGCAAGGAGTCGCCAGCATCTTGCAGATGATCGGCCATTCTACGTGTGAGCGACCAGTGACATAAAAGCTCTTCCAAATCGTGCAGCACGAGGCGGATCAAACACATCTGGCAATCTATGTAGGCTACATATGATCCCACCAACCAATGAGCTAGGAAGCGCGAAAGTCGTCCAATCTGACGGCAACCAGCGCTCGCATTAGATGAGTAGAGACATGTGGTTGGGCCGACGGGGAAATGCTGGCGGACAATTGTCCCGACTCGTTACCATCCTGGCCCGTTGTTTCGGGCAGTCCTTGATAAGTAGGGAGGAGTAGGGAGGAGTAGGAAGGTAGCAGACTAGCTTTCCATCTGGGATGAGGATGATTCCTGAATAGTAGATAGCCGGCAGAGCCCAAGAAGTATCACTTGCGTCATCTCGATGACAAATTCCATTTAAGATTCAACAGGGATATCACAGCCTGCGCCTCTACAGTAAGTGCCTTCAAAGATCTGGAGCGCCGTCAGTAATTGAGTATTCCCTGTTGCCCACATAAGACGCTAGAGATGATCAAGAGCTGATATTGAGAGCTATCTGCTCCCCATCGCCTTCTAACTGGTGGGCTGGGAAGTCAGTATCCATGATCCATGTTCACTAGGCTTCGGGTTGATCCGGGAAAGATGCAAGGTGATAGATGGAAGGTGCAAAGGCGCGGAAATGGAGCATGCCATCTGCGTAGAGAACGGGAACGCGTCAGCATGAGACCGTTGCCGGGGGGCATTTATGCGTAGCTATCAAGCCAAATCCAATATGTCCGTGACAATCCAACAATCAAAATAGACCCGATCAATCATCTAGCTCTTACATCCTCACGTCCCGTCCCTCTGTTGGGGATATCAGCCGCGTTATCAGCATGCAGGGATTGACATTGATTACGTGTGTCTGGGATCTCAGCAAGTTCCCCATCGAAAGGGCATTCCTTAGCCGAGGGTATCGCCAGCTGCAACCCGCAGCGCCGATGTCCCTCCGGTCACCGCATTTTAATGAGCCGGTCTCGGAACCCAACGACTTTGATACTGCAAAAGATGCAAGGGGCCAGGTGAAGGACATGGCTCCTGGACTTGACACCTAGAGGGGTTATTTGGGAAAACAAGAGCACTCCGAGAGGCGAGCGTCACCGATGTTGGTATCTTGGGACCGCTTTTCTCCTCCCACCTACAGATTGCTGAGCGGGGTTACGGGTTTGTGTTATCACTTTCTATGAAATATGTAGAGGAAGATTGGAGTGACCACGCAGACCATCTACAGCAGCAAAGAATCAAATGACAAATCCTTTCAAACCTTGTATCATGTCGATGTTTAGGATTATCTCCAACTCATAAGGGCTGGTCTCGATCGTGCGATGGCAACTACTCGCAAGAAATGGCTTCCCGCTTCTGAGACAAAGGCATGTCCTGATATTTTGCTGAATCTCTCTTCCTTCCTTTCCCATTCTGCCACCATACAAACACTAGAGTTTCCTCTTTTCGATAGTTGAATATACACTAAATGGCCTCGGACGAAATTCATTGTTGGTCATCTATGTGCCGCCAGCGAACGAGCGCTGCGTGTTTATACCCTAATCAGGGGGCCCTTGATCTTGTATATAATATCGTAATCAGTCTTCCCCCAGACCCATCAATCATCATTCCGCCATATCAGTCAGCGTATGCACGGGACACCTGACAGAGTCGGCGATATTCTTGGCTTCACATGGCACACTGTCGGGAATAAGTTAAACATTTGCGGGTATGAGCACGGTCGTCGGGGGCACAACCTTGGTCTCCACCGTCCCCGAACCAGATGACCGACCCATCTTGACCCAACCCCACGCCGAGAGAAGCCGGTCAGTTCGTGTCCGCATCCCCATGAGAAAGGCTGAGCCGTCAAGGGGGTGTATTGCATCATTTTGTCCCCTTCTAAAATGCGGGGTAGCCGGCCCGAGGGCAGTCGGGACTCACGGAGGCATGGGAGATGCGATGGGCACGTCTATGTCAGCGGCGAAGCGTGTGAACCGTCTGAGCCAAGTGAACGGAGCTGAGCCCACACTAACTCTGTCGTCAACCCCCGGACTTCTCATGCACCCTCATCACAATCTCCTTCTTCCCGCTTTCGCGTGATAGGGACAATGCCATCCACCACGTCGGTACGAGACTGCAGAGGGGGGGGAGAAAGCAAACACATGTGGGTTCGAGAATGCTCGGAATCCTCATCCAGTCGATTTCATTCCCCCCAGCCCTGCCCGGATATTGGTCCCGCCAAAGAAAAAAAAACGAACGTCGACTGGATCAATCCGATGACCAGGTTCGTGGGAAAAAGGAAAGGGATTCATACGGTTTTCTTTCGGGTTCTTTGTTTCGTCCGCTCGAGCCGCCCTCCCTTTGTTGACCAGCCCTGTCGCAGGTACTGCACGATTTTCCCGTGGACTTGGGCCATAAGCCATAAGCCCTAAGCCCATGGGCCCTGCTGGCGAGGTCGATCCAATGCCCCTACTAGCATCCATAGCATCCATAGCATCCATAGCATCCATCGCATCCATCGCATCCATCGCATCCCCTTTGGACCAGTATAAAAATAAATCCTCGATAGCCGCTCCGAATATCCTTCTTGAGACGGGGGCCCACTCCACGCGGTCCGCCACCATCCTCTTTGAACGGATATTCGGTCCGGGGGCGTTTGAGACGCCACAGAAGTTTGGGTCCCACTGTGTTATCTTCTAGGAAGCTAATCCCGGAGCGGCGTCCAGGATGATAACCTGGGGTCCAGTGGGGGATAGCGCCAGTATGGGATCCACTCGGTATTCTCGGCGCTGTACGGACTAGGTTGATTTGTTTGATTGATTGCATCCAGCGCCGTACGGAGTACGCCGTGGTGATGTCCCTTGTTTCTTCATGGGTGCAGGAGGAGGCGCCAGACTATGCTCTGCCATGCTTTGCCATGCCCTGCCATGCGCCCCCCCCCCCCCCCCCCCAAACGCCGAATTACGCCAATGGCGGACGACGATTGTTTCCCATTGAGGCGGGATCAGTTGCAGGGGGCGCATTCCCTGACTGATGCCAGACCGATGCTTTCCATCGCGTGTTTCCCACCAGTAGGCATGCAATTTTTTGTTTGCGAGATACCGTCATTGGAGCGTGGGGCCCCGATCGGGCTTCCCTCTTACAGGCCATGAGGCCCCCATCGGCATGCACCACGGTCTGTGGAGGCGAAACAAAACCCGAAGGCTTGCCGATCTCGAACCCGGCAGGGTCTCAGCAGGACGCTTTTTGTGGTTAGTTCGCCCTGCTGTTGACTTAGCTTCACCGGATCATGGATTCCCACATTCCTTGTGGCGCACTGCTCATCTCTCATCCTTCAATACCATGCGGCCTGTCTCATGGTTGGGATAATAAGGTTGAAGGATCCGATGAGATCTTCGGCGGTTAAGATTACCAGAGTGGATTTCCACGTTCAGCAGCAGATGCCACCGTGCCGCCGCTGCCTCCGCTGCCTAATGATCTACTGTATGGACCCAGGGTCTCTCTTGGCAGGTCCCTGATCCGTGGTGGGCATGGCTGTCCCATCGACGGGGCGCCGATCAAAGCTTTTCCCCCGACTGTTGACGGGGCCCAGAGATCGAGGGCCAACGGTGATTGGCATCGCGCACCCGAGGCCAACCGCCATGCTCGTGAGGGGCAGCCCAGCATCGCGCTGTCGACCTTCCACTTCCATCATCGCCACCGTCATTTTCACCATTCATCGGGGGGAGAAAGTCCCATGCAGAAACCTTTTTGCCTAACCCTGGTAAACTTAGCGTGCCGCGGCAAAGGGAAAAACAGCTGTTTGACGTCTACAGTACTTCCCAGGATCGACCGGCGTCTTCCACACCAGGAAATGCGAAACGAAATCCAAGGATCTTGGAATGGGTATGGCTGTGAGATGGTCACCGAGGAAGAGGGCCCTTAATTAGCTCCATACATTCATTTGCGCGGTACTCCGTCGAGGGTAACCGCTATGATGCAGTAGCCCCCAGGGGGGGGGGGTGGTCAGTACTCTTGTTTTCTCCCTTCTACAGCGCGCCCAAATCAGGCGGGTGCTGCCTCATTCACAAAGTCTATCCGACACTAAAATCCATTCCTCTCCTGGTAGTGCCGGGAACTAAGGTCTCAATCGGAGAGGACTTTGCTTCGGGGGGAATGGTATGCGAGATTCCCTTGTTTTTGGCGGACTACAGTACTGTAGGAGGGCAAATGCTTTCGATCGTTTGTACAGTATGTTTCTCGTACAGAATCAGAATACCAATTACTAAACCATACGGTCCGGTGGTAAGATGAGGGTTAGCCGAGTGGAGTCGTTCCATGCCTCTAGATCGCCCAGGGAACAGCCCCAACCTTAAGGAAATGACCCGGTCGACTGGATGTCAATCTATACGGGACTTGGCAATGAAACTGCTCAGCTGGGAAACCACGAGGGGGGAAACCCTTTGCGAGAGAAAAGCGACTCCGTGGAAAGCCCCGACTCCGCGTTCCCGAAGCAGCTGTTCCCGCGTAAGTTGCGAGGGCCAGAAAGCCGCGTCATGGACAGCATCCCTTGCGGCGAGAATATCCCGCACCAGTCGTGATATTACGATATCTCCTCCTGCTGCCTTATTGGACTGGGGTCTCTTGCTTCTCTGATCCGGGAGTATTAACGGGGACTATGGGCTTTTGGAATCTGAACGGCTGAATGCCGGGCCCTCATTGGCTCTCCGAAGGAGGGGGACGCAGCGTGTCAAGTAGCCTCTCTGCACACTAGCCTCCGAGAGCTTGCTCTTTTGCTGGGACAATCGTCTGTGAATGTACAGAGTTAGCGTGGGCCTTTCGTCTACTCTGTACTTTCTCTTCTCGAGGGCCCCCACCGTCGAGGGACCGAATGGGGCCAGAGTCCGGCTAGGCATGGACGGTGGACCCAGCAGTGGCTTGGCTCTGGCTGTTGGATGTGCTTTCGCCGAGGTTCTTGAGTGGCTGAATTCCCAACTGTCATGAGAGAGTGCTCGGCGATGATATCATAGCGAGCATCGTCCGGAGTATGCTGCAGGTTGGACTATTGTGGATTGTAGCACTACAGGACGAGGTACATGTACCCCAGATGTATCCTCTGATCCCTGGGGGCGAACCGGGGGCGAACTGGGGAACTCTGTCTTTGTCTGTCTTCTCGTCTTTACTTTTTGTTTTCTTTTTCCCCCTTTTACTTTTGTTTTGACTTTGGACTGTTTACATTTTGTCGTTTTTTGGGCTCCTTACCCCCTTCCAAAGCTAGGCCAGATAGATTCCAAAGAGGCCAGAATCCAGACCCTGTGAGCGCACCGAGCCGGCACCGCGTGAAGTCCGGCATATGGCCCAGATTGGCTATCGGAGGGATCCAGAAGGGCGGGATAGCGAATCGTCGTAGTCGGGGCGTGTCGGATCCCCTAGGCTCATTAGCTTTATTCTTCTGGTCATCTAGGAACGCGGACTTTGACCAACAGCTTACGCACTGGGAGGTCATCCATGCTCCTGAATTAAAAATTGAACATGGTACCGTAGTCTGTCCCTGTAACATACGGATCCGCTGGACTCAGTACCCACCTCGTATATCCCCACGCACCTTGCCCGGTCCAGCCTAGCGAGGGTCTGTCAACTAGGTTGGCCTAGTCAGTGGTGGGTCGGGAGGCCTGGAACCAGGTTCCAAATGGCCCCCCCCCTCCTCTCTCCCACGACCTAGAGGAACGGTAGGTCCGTACCGCCAACGTTGACTGGGTCTAGTGGCCTGGTCGACCTGGATGAATGGACGGTAATGTGGGGGTCGGCCTTGGGAGATGTCTAGGCAATCGCAATTCCGTCGGACGAGGTTTAATTGCCAACCTAACCCTTCGCGCTTATCCTATCAGCAACGCTCAGTTGAAAAAGAATACGGAGTAATAAGGAGAATTATACTAAATATAACCGCTCCCCCCCCTCTCTCTCTCTCTTCTCTTCTAGTCCCCGAGGGAAGAAGATATGGTATGGATGGTATTGGTGGTATTGGTGGTATCTCTCGACTCGTCTCTATTTCCTAGGAGCGCGAGGATGATTCGATTTTATCCATAGGTGGCCTTCTGGATTAGCAATCAGATGTACCTTGATTACACATTTGTCGAGGTGCCCCCTTATCCGTGGAAATTCCAATGAGAAAGCCGAATCCTTGACAGGCGGGGCCCAGTGTAATGCTCCCGTACGGTGAATACCTGGGCGCTCGTCGTACCTCGTTTTACTGCTTTATCTTACCCCTTAGATACCTCTCCAGGTACCAACGGTACCGAGTACGAGGGTACCGGTACCTAGCTAATTAACTCGAGTGGCTCACCCCCAGAATGATATGCGTGGCCGCTGGTAATCATAATTTCGCAAGTCCTTGTTCGCGGCGACGGGACTGGAGAAGGGTACCCGGTACACAGCTAAAATTAAATATTCATCCTAATCCATAATTACTGGAATTATCGTGGTTTATTATGCCCTCGACCTGGATTACCTGATTCCCGATTCCCTACCTTCCCCCTTCTAAATCCGAAATTCGAATAATCAAATAATTAAATTCAGAATAATCCGAATTAAATCGTAGCAGACTCCCCTTTTGAAACTCTGGATTAATAAAATAATTCGCATAAAGTGTCACCTCCTGTACGGTCCCATTCGCGCCGTTATTTCCCTTCCCAGCTCTCTCTAGCAAGTCCCAACGCTGCTCTCATCGCTCGTTCTCGCTCTTCGCTGCTCCTCTGCTCTTGAATATCATTTGAGGCCCCCCCCCCTCCCCTCCTCCTTCCCTCTCATCTTCCCCCCTCTTTTCTATCGTCAATCATCCTCTTCTTCCCTTCCTTTTCCTTCTTTCCTCCTCTACTTCCTCCCCTCCCTCTCCCCCTCCCCCTCTCCTCCCTCATTCTCTGGTCGCCCTTATATGAACTGTCTATTATGCACCGGGCTCGTCTAAACATCCCGGCTGCTATTCTTCCGGCCTGACCAGGACCATCCCGGATCCTTACATCCAATACGTCTTTTATTTGTCGCATGCGCTGACGCTCCCCGTCGGCCCTTTCTGCTGTCCCCCCTCCCATTCTTCCGGTCTTATCTCCACGTCGCCGCGCGCTCTGCTCCGCAACCCGCTTCCCCCGCAACCTGATCACGTCCTCTGTGGAGGTTCTCCCCAACCTCGCAAATCATGGCTCCTGGCAGCGGGCGCGATTTCAACTGCTCTTGGGAGCATTGTGGCAAGGTATGTTTCCGCACGCGTCGTCGCGATCTTCCCCCTCCTAGCGCCCCTCCTAATTCGGTACTAATTTGGTACCTCTGCTCTAGTCGTTCAATCGCAAGTCAGACCTTTGCCGTCATTATCGGATACACACCAATGAGCGACCCTACCATTGCACGGTGAAGGACTGCAACAAGAGCTTCATTCAGCGCAGCGCTCTGACCGTCCATTCGCGGACCCACACCGGCGAGAAGCCCCATGTTTGCGACCATGAGGGCTGCCAGAAAGCTTTCTCAGATGTGAGCATCTCGAAAACCCAACCCGACCCCCGTTCTTGTGTGAAACGTATCCGCTAACAGGAGAATCCGACAGTCCTCCAGTCTAGCTCGTCACCGACGAATCCACACGGGCAAGCGACCATACATCTGTCAGGAACCCACCTGCGAACGAAGGTAAGGCCAATCCCAAACACCCATCCGCACCAGGGGGCCATCCGCTCACCTCGCGTGTGAACTGTAGCTTCTGTCGCAAAACCACCCTCACGAAACACCAGCATCGCTCTCATCCTCCCGGGTCCTTGACTCGGCCATCCTCGGAGGACGCGACCTCGGAGCACTCCTATCACCACCACACGCCGGTGACCGTATCGATCCCCAACGGGAACGACCAGTACCTCCTTGCGCAGCAGCCATACTACCCGCACTCCGCGACGCCCAACCACGAGTTTTATTCGCCACAGAGCGTCCCCATGAACTCGGTCCCCGGGCATGAAGGCGCGCCCCCGATTGTGACGCAGAACGTGCCCGTCACCTCGGCCATGAACATGCCACATGCGCCGCAACACGCGCCGCACCACCCGCAGCAACATCCGCAGCAGCAGCAACAGTATATGCAGATGATGCAGCAGCGCTACGATACGACACCGCGGACGAATTATCTGCCTCCGGAATATCACCAACCACCATTTCCCGGCCACCAGCTGCCGGAGGGACAGCCCATGATGGTGGGCTACCATCCCAATTTTCAGTACAAACCCCCAACCCGCATCTTGAACCAACCGGAGGGGACTGACTGGGGATTCCTGGGAGTAGGTTAAGAGCGGATCTCGCTTAGATGCTCCGGAGGTCTGGCCCAACTGATGAATGCCCGTCACGACTCTTTGCTCTTTTGCTTTCGCCCCGATTCCCCCACCATCTATTTTTCGAGAGCACCGGGGTTTTTTGCATACTACGTTTGTATTGGTTCATCTTTTCTATCTGTTTGTGTTCTTGTCCCTGGTTGCCGGGCGCTGCGTTTGGATTCCCCTCTTACCAGTTTCTTGGGTCTCTTTCTTTTCATCTCTGATTTTCTCATTTCTCATTTAAAAGGAGAGGACCGGCGTTTTCTCTTTTTCGTCCTTTTCGTCTTTTTCCTTTTTTTTTTTTTTTTTTTTTTTCTCTCATCTCTTCCTCTCGCTCTTTTTCTCTCTCTCTCCGCTTTTGGGATCCTCTTTCTTGAATTCTGCGCTGTTCCCCTTGATACCTGGCCTGAGATGATACTCACTTTCCTTGGGGGCTGTTCTATGGGCCCGCCTGATGTCTACGAGGAACGAAGAAATCCCCTTATTCGCGCGTCAAATTTTTCGCATGAGAAATGCAACACTGGACACCCTTTGAAACCATAATTCTGTTCTGTCCCGTATGGAGTATCCGAAGCCACCCGTCATTGTAGAAGGCCTTACAGGAAACTGTAAATGAGCATTTCATCTTCTATCATCTTGCACCGCACGATAAGAGGCAAAGGCCCCCCTCGGGTCTGCTGCAAGCTCACTCGTCCGTCTGGCTCGTTTCGGAATGTCCTGGGGTGAACGGGGCCCTGATTGGCCGCCACGCCCAGTGGGTCTCTGTCCCCAACTAAACCCCCGAACTAACCCCCAACGCTCCATCCCATGTAAGTTAGTTACTGGACGGCGTAGTCAGCGATTAGCAAGCAATATCTTCATTTCGCGCGAAGAGCTAGACGACCAAATTAGCGACATCGCCCCAGCAAGGGGGGAGGGCGGGCCCTATCGGGAAAGAGCAATAGGGCTGTATGAGCTGTGCTGTATGAGCGATCCGAAGAATGGAAGAATGCGACTGCGTGGCGTGCATGACTCGTGGCGGCCCCCTCCCTCTGACACTATTTTTTCCCTCTTGAAAGAGAGCGACTCTCGGAAAGCTGGGAAGCTAGAAAACCCAAGCAGCCAAGTGGGCCCCACACAATCCCTTCCTGCCCCCCTCCCCAAAGTACCACAATCAGCACCAACCTGCGGCTGGCTAGCTCGACAAACAATCGAATGGGCAACTCGCCTGGCTTAACCAACCAAAATTAACGGAGACGCTCATTCGTGCTCGTGATCGTTTACTTTTTGGCTGGCTGCTTCATGACTGGGCAGGCGAGAAACGAGAGGTATGATGAGACCAGCTAAGTTATCAGTCCATATCTCGGCGTGTCGCCCCTTTCTGCCTCAGCCGGTGGGTCGCGCTGGGTGCGAGGGGGAAAAGCCAACGTACTCCGTAAGCGAGCCCTTGGTTGGCAAGCCTGTCAACAAGACCAAAGGACTAAAAGAATGTTGTAGGCGTCCGGTCCAGTTTCCATGCCGACACCGGCATCCGGGTTTATGTCCATTGTGCTCGATGCCTATCGAAATCGCAGATGCAGATGCAGATGCAGATCAGACGCGGACGAACGTCCAGGCACGGCCACGCAGGCGAGAAATCAGCAATCAGCTAGACGCGACGGTCTGGCTGGATCGCCACGTCTGCGCGCGTGAGATTGCCCGATCGACGCTACCGTAGTGCCGTTACGGGGCCTTTTCGACGTCTTCTGGACGTCCATTGATCGATCGATGAAGGCGGACACGGAAACGCGGGGGCCGCCATACCAACACCACTCACTCATCCTTCATCCTCTCTCCGAGCATTCCACGACTCGTCCAATCGTCCAATCGTCGAGTAGTCGGCGAGTCATGCCAACATGGCCAACATGGCCAACACGGCCAACACCACGAACACGTACCGCCATGGACCTGGCCACGGACGCCGCTCACGCAACCTTGTAAGACACGGCCTGCGCCATCCCGTACTGGCATCGGTGCAATTCTCCATATGGAGTATGCCCTTCGGGATAGAGGATAGAGGGGGTCTGGCAGTATGACATCACAGCGAGTCAGACAGAGCGACAGCCGTGCCTCGCGCGGGACACACTAAACGCCGATTACCGAGCACGAGAGGAGGGCACTGGCCCTCGGAAGGCAGCTCTGCGCCAAGGACCACCTTAAGCCTCCAGGAGTAAGCTGGCTGACCAGTAAGGGGGAGACGAGGGGTTGAGGTGGTTGGCCGCCGCCATCTGCAGGTCCGCCACGGCGGATTGTTCGATTACGGTGCCATTCGACGAGGGGGGTGCCAGAACCGGTGCCTGCGTATTGGGTCGCTACGATGGGAGAAACGGCCTCCGAGAACACTGTCTCAGTTGACATTCGCGTGCGCACCGTGCTTAGGATGGACGAGATGTAGTAGGATGGATTGTGGAGCATGCAGGGCTGAGAGGGGCGGATCTCCAGGACTGGGGGTCGCGCTCGATGGTCCTAGGGCCTAGGGGCTTTTTGGATTTCTGTTTATGGTCTTGTCCGGCTTACTTTTAACTTTCTTGGGATTCTGTGTTCGCGACCTGGGTCACCGGCGCGAAAATAGGGTTTGTTTTTCGCCCCAATGTCCACATGTGCTTTGCATGCGAGGAAGGGGTCCAACGATATGGGCGATCAAGTGAGCACAGCCGCGTTCTGGTGGTTATTCTGGACGAAGCGGGTCGACACGCCGAGAACTGCACGAATGGCGAATGGCGGAGCCACTGGTCGCACCGCCGATCTGAACCGGGGGATCTGAACTGGGGTTCATTCGGTTCGTGCCTCGAACTCTGCCTGGGACTCGCTACCTCTCTACGGAGGGCGGCGGACGGAGGATGGCATACGGCATACGGACTACCCCGTTACCTGCGTACTCTTCAAAACCGTGATCTCCTGTCATAGATGGATGACAGGAAGGGGTTGTCTTGGCGGAATGATCATCGGGGCGGGGGCCGGGCAAAAAAACCAGGTAGAACGGACACAGAACTTCCCGGGCGAGACTGGACTGTTCGCGTGGGTGCGGACATAGGATTGGCTGCGCAGCGCATTCGCTTCGGATGACACGGCTCGATAGTTTGCCTCGTCGGGTCTGCAAGGTCCGTCGGACTCGAGCTGGCAGAGAACCGACATGGGGGGTTCGCGTCGTCGTCAGTGTGGGTCGTTAGCGCCGGCCAGGATACAAGGCATGCGGACGGCAGCGCATACAACTGCACAGGCGAGAAAGGAGCCCGTTCTTTTTTCCAAATCGGGAGACATACTGGGGAAGGATGCGTGGCAGGTAACGTGATGGCGGTTATTCTCCTGCGCGCTGGGTGTTTGGGGGGGATGGATGGATTTGAGGCTGAAGGGGGTTTCCCCACACTCGCGTTTATGGAGGAGGTCCGGGTGTCCGGGTGTGGATCATGAGCCATGGATGGCAGACGGAGCACGGAGCATGTTTTTGACACTTTGCACGTTAGTCGATATCCACCCGCAACCGAGCCCCAGGCCAGGTTGGCGGGGTGCGAGGGAGCCGATGTGATCATTCGGTCCTGTTTCACATTCCACCCCGTGCGTGGAAGAGGGCAATGCATCTGGGGCAGCCCTGGAAAGCAACAGACGCCAAGAGTGGTAGCAAATGGCATCCTCGATCCGTGCGACTGCCATGGTCGGAGCAGCGTCGGGGCTTCCCTCTGGATCCTCTCGATTGACTATCCTTCTCTTGAACACACGAGACCGTGTGAATCTTGACATTGTGCGGGATTGATGAAATCGACGAACGCCCCCAGGAGACCCCCGACGCCACAGGCGGTCTTGTCGAGCACCGAGCCAAGCTGAGGCCCTGAGGCCCTGAGGTCATCGACGCGTGCCATCGGCCCCCGCGATTCAAATGGCACATGCGGATGCGCCCGACAGGCGCGGCCAGGATGCCTAGCCGGGCGCGCTCCTGCTGGCCATCAGAGTGGTTCTGATCCGGAGTGGATCGATGTCGGAAACTGGGGGCGGTCTCCAGTGCCTCGAATCAAGTATGGCTGCCCGCACGGTGGGATGACTGCACGACCACCGTCGGTGGCTATGCGGTGGATCCAGTTCACGATTGGGAACTCGCGAAGTAAGCTAGCAAGCACTTAGCAGCAGACTGCATCGTGCGCCGGTCGAATCCGACGGGCAACTCGAGCACGACCTTCCCTCTCGTCCCATTCACGATCACACTGGCTGCGCAAAAGAACCTGCGATGCACCCTTCTGGATGCAATACGTCGAAACAGCATCCACCCGCCCCATCCACAGGTCCTGTAACGCAGGCCTACGCCACCCGATCGCCGTTTCTGCACTAGCGATCCTCGCGCGGGTGCACATTGTGGGGATCAATCACCGCTAGACCCATCGCCTACGTCGACTGCGACTTGCTAAATGAAGAAGAATCATCGGGTGCGATGCACCCATCGACCTAGAGCCCGAGGCTAGTCACTCAAGATCTCGGGCGATTGGAAATGTCGCAGCGACCGAGGCTGATTTGCCGGACCCCCACCACAACGAGCCAAGCCGCTGGTGACGCCGAGGCGAAGAGAGTGCCAATCAAGATACTGCCTCTCATGTAGGGTGTTCTGGGCGCTGGGCGAGATTCCAGCTACGCGGTGCCGTCCATGAATTGCTAGTGCAGTGGACAGGAAGAAGTGCACACCCGGTACGGTGCCTCGCGGATACTCCCAATCACATACTCCGCACTCCATACATGAGATGGAATGGGTCGTGCAGGATGAAGAGGTGGCCTTCGGGATTAGAAGGATAATACTTCAGAGCCTTGTTGCATTCTCTAGCTGCATGTTGCCGGTTTGTCGGGAGGAGGGAGTGTTTGCATCGACAGGATTGCATGAGGCGTTGTTCGCTCTGGATCCTGGGGATCGCGGAAGAGAATGACGATGGGCGTGCATAGTGCCTGTGGACCTGGTCTCCACGGTCTAAGTGTAGTCTGTCTTTCATTCTAATGCCTCGACTGGGTAGGTGTAGCAGTTCCATCACGGCCCAATCTGCAACTAACTTGGAACCGAACCCCTTCCGCCAAGCGAGACGGACTTGCGCGGAGGGCAGCGCGGAGATTGTGAGTGGCTTCGCCTTTTAGTTCCCTGCCGGGGCATGGATGGTGGATGGCAGGCCCAAAAGGGGCGCCCCATTTGGCCTGGCCCAGCCACAGGGATCTTCCCTGCGACTTGGTCCGTGGGCGCCGATGAAACATGGGCGTGTCCGGTGCGTTCTAGGCGCCGAGCTACCCCCGTCGCTTGTTGTTGGCGCGCTGCGGGGCAGTGGGGGCGAGACTGTTGTGTCTGCCGTCTTGTCGGCATGGCCGGGGACTTTCCGATTTCCCATCAGAGATGAGGACCTCGCTAAGGCTGGGCAGACGGGTGTGGCTCCTTACCGCTGCCCGCACCCCCTGAAGGAGGGTAAGTCCCGGGGGGTTCATGAGTGGAGGTCGAGCGGGATGGTCGAGTTTGCTTGTCTCGTCCAGTGTCCACGGAAATCAACGTCACACGACAGCCCGTCCGCAAGCTTGGAATTGGTACCGATATGCAGCACGCATGGCACTCGGTCCAGAAAACTTCCGAATTCCCGGGCTCTGGTCTGCGGAGAGGAAGAGGGATTTCATGCAGGACGTAAGGGGCGCCCGAGAACGCGAAAGAGGGGGAAGGGAACGATAGCCCTGTAAGACAACCCGGGGGCAGGTGATCTATCAATTGATCGACCAGCAGAAAAAACACGCTAACCCTGGTGAAGCTCCATCAGACCAAACTGCCCCTCTAATCCCAAGCTTGTGATTCGCAAGTGAAAAGAAGCTTGGGCCCCAGAGACGTTGGGATGGGAAGGAATAGAGATGGGAGCTCGGCGCACAGTGTGGTGGGAGCGTCCCTGTACTTTTCCGCTTGCTTGGTCTTCGACTCTGCCGTAAGAGCAAGACTGGGACAGAACGTGTTTCTGTGACTGTAAGAAACTGACTGTAAGAAAGCGTAATTGTAATATAGACGTAATACCATTGCGGAGTGCGCTACTCAACCGTTCCCGGGGCGGGTCCGCTAGTTTGACGGGGAGAGCCTGAGATCCCGGTACCTGGAACGATGGGGGCCTGTATGGCCTTGTATTGGTCGTCCTTCATCCCATTCTGCGTGTGGGTGAATGTCATTGTCCCTGAACCGCAGTCCAGGGGACCCACGGCCAATTAGGCCTTCCAGCGGTATGTCACAGGCACCCTCTGATTGGGTAAGATGGGGCCACGCGGGGGGTGGATCCAGTCAATCCAGTCTACCCAAAGAAGGAGTATAGATGCGAGGGCCTGGATGGAAGGTTGTGGCTTGTAGGGTCTTGTCTCGATCGATAGCTGGTCAGCATTTTGCATAGTTAAATGCATACCTCGCACGGCGAACGCTTGTCTCGGGCACGCCCTAGAAATGGAGCATGAAACCCGCATGGAATCCCGGTGTATCTGTGCCGGATTGGGGACGTGGAGGGACCTTATGAAGAAGCAAAGGAAAGGATTATTCATTTTCCAGGGGACAGCGAACGTCCTGCAAGATGGGGAAATTGAAGGAGAGTGTCCATCCACCCGCTTCGTTGGCCAAGGTAACGGACAAACTTCCGCTGGGATCCACAACCTAACGCCTCTCCCATGATGATCCGCTGGATCGCATTGCCTGTCGGTCTAGGCAGCTACTAGTTCGAGGCTAGGCAGATCGCAGGGACTGCGCACACACCAAGGCCACCAGAAGAAACAAGCTTTTGTGGGATGGGGCCGGTAATTGGGGCAATGACCAGTGGGTTCCAGCCAGATAACCAGAATAACAAAAACCGGCTGTCATGACGGACGAGCGTCACATCGTTGCCGCATGAGGCAGGCCAGACTTGGCGGAGACGCAGTGACTGATTGAATACGAGCGATCGACCCCGATTGGTGCCGAGCCGACGGGGAGTTGCGGCGGTCGCGCGCGGTGTCTCGCGGCTCAGGCCGAACCCCAATTCTCTCGGCAACGCTATTGGTGTAGGATTCAAAAATCAAGGGTCTAGGGGCGGGGTAGAGAGCTGGGAATCAACTGTACTAGCGGTGATTGAAAGGAGGGTGGCTCGAGGTTGGTGAAGAGAAAATGGAATGGATGATGGACAGCAGAAGGTTAGAGTGAGAAAAGGGTTTGTGGTGAGGCTCTCCCCACATGGCACTCGATCACGGGGAGTTCAACTTCCCACCAGTCGAAACCAAGCCAATACATCCCTTGCGTGTCGCAAATGCGAGACGTTTCATTCGCCATGCTGCTGCCGGAGATGCTGGAACTACTCGACTTGCTCCAAGATACAGTAGCTGCACTCTGCCTGGCCCTCGTACACCCGATCCTGCTCAGTCTCCTACTTGAACTACATAAAATAGCCGACGAGCAAGGAAAAGAAGCCATTGGAGGGAGAAGGGGCGGTTTGTACCGCCCGCTAATATTCCAATTATGATTATTATTATTATTATTATTTTTCTCTTTTCTCTATCGGTCGTCGCACCCCCGGCGTGGGGGGATCGCAGCGTGGCCGCACCCTCCAAGTCATCGACCAACCACCGCCAGGGCAGCAGGGTGAGGCAAGACCCTGACGTTGGGGCAAAGCGTGCTTTCAGATCGATCGCCCGTCGGCAAAAGGTTTTACTTCACATGTAGTGTATAGTTATTCTCAAGCAAATCCCTTCTACTGTGTGACCATGGATTGCTTTACTATGGATATTGTACCCGACGTTCAACCAGGAATATGATGATACTCGGACCACACTAACGCCCATCTAGGTAAGGATAGGGTACCTAGAAGTGCCTGTCTGGGCTAGACTAGTGATTTAGTCTGCTGAGATAGAGCTACGACGAGACGGAGGTTGCAACGGAGCCTTAGCTTCTCCTTCAGGGACGAGGTCAGTACTACGTGGGTACCTAGTGCCTGGGTCCACGGGTGAATTTCCTCGCGTACCGTCGCCAACCCACTTGGTTAACACCCGGGGAAAGCTAAACCTTTTCAAGTAAAAGTAAACGAAATTCCGTCTCTGGGACTCGTAATTGGTCCTGATAAAGCTCGCTGTTGCGCGTTAGCTGCAAATCTCCCGAGGGTTTGGGTGCATTGTGGCGGGTGCTGCAAATGGACTGAGAAGTCCTCAGTCGTATACAATACCTAGCAGATACCTGGTACGGCCCCGTAAGGGACGTATTTCGCGTCTTGTGTATAACGCCGGTATGGCTGCGACACGTAGAGTGCTAGGATCGAAGAAGAGGTAGACTACTGGAGGAACGGAGATTGTTGCGCTGCAATCCCCGAGGGAAGCGCAACAATCTCCGGGGAAGTACTTGACACAGTTAATTGGGCTGCGGCAAAGTAGGACCTCCAAACCCTCGGCTGATGAGACAGACACAGGTTTTGTCAGCATCAGAGGACGGAGTAAGAAGGAAGCATAGAGAGGACACCTTACGTATACGTCATCCTACCACTTTTGTTATCCTGCGGTGGTATTGCTACTCATTCTCAATCGCTGTGTTCAGCTTCCCATGACCGCTGCGACTCATTCATCTTGAATCACTGTCAGAACGGGTTTGGGTATATCATATCGCCAAGTGTTGCGATATTTGAACATCTTCCTTTCACAAGGGATAGGTGATATCGAAGATCTGCCCCGGTTCACCTCTGGTTTACAAGAAAAGGTTACGAAGACACTCATCGGAAGCTCCATATCTATTCCTATGATGAACTGAGACCATCGGTCGATCATCCAAGGCTTTGAAAAAGTCATCAAAATGTCTGTCTATTACGTGCCGCTTGCTAAGTTCTTCGTCCGGCGCAGCCAGACGATTTTAGTCGAATTCAAGCGCTCTACTATAAGCCCCAGCAGCCGCTACAAGACTACCTGTGTCTCGATGCGAAAAGAAAAAAACTGAAAAGAGCCGCCGATCTCACAAAACCATGCCTACCGTCTATTCATCCTGAATAGCAACCTCATCCTCCCACTCCGCGTGGACCGTCTCGCGCGCACGCTTGATCACGCGCTCGATACCGTCGAGACCCATCTTCAGCACCTCCATCTTGGGTCCATAGCTGAGACGCACAAAGTGGTGGCAAGGGCTGTCGAACAAGTCCCGACGCTTGGCCGGGTTCAAGTCGAAGAAGATTCCGGGCACAACGATGACTTTCTCGGACAGGAGGGCGTTGAAGAAATTCAGCCCGTCGGAGATATTGGCCTCGGCCGGCAGTGGCGGATCCAGCGAGGTCAGGTCCAGCCAGATGTAGAAGGTGGCCTGCGGCACGTCCTGGATGCGGAAGCCGATGTCATACAGGCGCTTCAAGACGTAGTCACGCTTCTCACGGAAGTGTGCCTGCAAAGCCTTCATCTCGGTGCGCACGAGCGAAGGCTCGAGCATGGGAATGGCGGCCTCTTGGAAGGGCACATTGGCACCGCCGTCGAGGTAGGAACCGGCAGAGCCGAGGGCGTCGACAAATTCCTTGGGTCCGACAATCCACGCGATGCGCCAGCCCGGGAGACGGAAACGCTTGGTCAACCCATCGATCAGCAGCACATCTGGAGCGTTGCGAAGTTAGCAGATAAGCGCTAAAGGATGGGCAGGATGCCCAGGCAAGAAACGAACCATCTTGATTGACATCGACCACATGCTCGGCACCACTGATCGTGCTACCGTCGCAGTCGGTGGTGTAGTTGTAGCCGCCATAGAACTCGTCGAGGATCAGAGTCGCGCGGTCACGGCAGATGTCCTGGATTTCGGCCAGCTCATCATGCGACACGAAGTGCCCAGTGGGGTTACGAGGGTTCGAGGTCAACAACACCTGGGTGCCACGCGCAATCTCCTCGGCGATTTTGTTGGGATGGATGTGATAGTGGTCATCCTGAGACAGCGGGATGGGGATGGGGGCAATCTACGGTCAAATTACTGTCAGCACTCTTCTACCATATACCGCTTCCACTCAAATGACACAAACTGAGTACTCACGTTCTTGAACAGCGACAGCATCTCCGAGTACGCGGAGTAATCGGGGATGGGGAAGGAAAGATACGAATTGCCCAGAATGGCCGCAATTCGGATCAACCCCGCGCGTCCACCAGGCACAATGCAGACATTCTCCCAGGTATACTGGCTCTCTTTTCCTTGGCGGTAGTGCTCATTGTAAAGCCGTGCAACGGCCGCACGCAGCGGCTTGATACCGGCGGTCGGACCATATTCTCGAGCAGCAGAGGTGATAGGGATCGTCGTCGGGCGGGGAAAGCTTCCCTCGATCCCGTCATCGGCCTCTGGGGCACCCTGGCCTAGGTTGGCCCAGCCAGAGGGATCCTCGGCGTATCCGTGCTCAGTGGCTCTCTCTGTGCACCAGACAACACCGGTGGAGGCACGGGAAGCGTCAAGGCCTGCGTGGGGACGGTGTCCCTCATGGGCGGTTCGGAACTGGCGATGAGTCTCGGACCGTTGCTCTAGGAAGATGGTGCCGTTAGTCCGGAGGGACTCGCACGTTCAGGGCGTGTAGAGTTGACGAACCGTTCTCGGAAAGCCCCTTGCTTTGCGAGAAACGCCGGTTGGAGGGGCGCAGGATACTGACGCGGCGGCCGGAGAACGACATTCTTTGGCTGCGCTTAGCTTGGGTGGCTGATTATGGAGCAGGGTGATAGCTTGAATGATATCAAGTTGACGTAAGATCGAGACAGATCACTGAAATGAGATCCCAGATAACTGAGACGCAAAGTTCGTAGTGAACGAAGGAGAGAGGGGCAATGTTTTCCCCACGTGGTTGAACTTACGGTCACCTCCCCGCTATAAAAGAGCCGGTGATGTGGCCTTGCTCCTACGGCGGCGGGCGGCGATTCGACAAAACCCCCGAAACACTCTGCGCCCAACTTCCCGCCTTTCACAGTCGCGCTGGACGGGGCAACCAGCCAGGCATGGCTTGTGTCGTCGGGCGCCTGCTTTCCGTTGACAACTTTTTGGAAATGCCGCATGTGCCGTCGCAGGTGCCTGAAGAAGGCTCGTTCGTTGCGCGATATTTCGTCCAGGATGCGCCCGAGAGTTTCGACGCGACCCCTGAAGCTCCTGCCGCTCCGGTAATTCCATAGTTTGAAAGGGACCCACTAGCCACGAATCACCCAAGGTCGAACCGGCATCATATAGAAAGTCTGGTTGACTCCATACTTCAGCCCTGCCAAGGTGGGCGGCGACCCGAAACTCCCGAGAAGAGCGGCAACCCGATCGGCAGACGACGCCGCATGATCTAGTCCAGGAGAGCATTTTAACGAGGCTGAAGAGGTTGAAGATATACGGAAGAACAGAAATAAGGAAATAAAGAAGCTAGGGACAATAAATATAAAATTCCAATGCGCCGGAACCCTGTCCGCATGCAGGCTTCCACAGAATACAGAATCCAAACAAGAAAGTATGCATACATCATGTAAGGTGCTTCATACGTTCGTGGACATTCGAGGCACATGGTCAATAGATAGCAGTCATCATTCGCTCCACCGCGGAGGATTAATCCGAGGGAACAGGTCGTGAAAATGAGAGACGAGAAAAGGGGAGATTCCTGGGTACTTCACACCGCCGCTCGACACCGTCATGCCGCAATCAAATTCATGATGCAGATACCCTCACACAGCCGCCACGACCCAACCACATGACAGCCATAGCGCGGCTGAATGAATGGGTAATCGGATATGGGGGAATGGGAAGCGGGGAACATGTCTCCGAGAGTGGCTGTTCAACAGACCCAAGCCAATCCAGTTGGGAAGAAAACGCGGAGAGGGGAAAGGAGGGGAACACGCGCCAGGGCAATGCAGAGAATTTGACGGCAGGAACTAATCGGATCAGTTGGGGGCGCCTCCACCAGATGTAATAGACAGTAGACATCATTCACGAGGGGAGATTAAGACACCATGGATCAAGAAGATTGAGTCCATTTAGTCAACCACCTGGCAATACAGCTGGATCTCGCCCACCATGCCCTTGGCAAGCATGTCACGGTGCTGCTCACGCCATTCTATGAAGGCAAGCTGAACAGCCTCATCGCTGTCAATCGTGACATAATCTCCATCTTCGTCACGGTAACGCAAACGAACAGTCTTGTTGCCGATGGATCGATTGGTGAATCGGGCCAGCTTGGCATCCACACGGTCTGTAAGCGAGCGGAACAAGATGTTGGTTGCGATCACCAACGTGACATAATTGTCGTCGAAATTCACCTTTGCCTTGAGCTGAGTTGGCATATACGAGTCTCCATCGGGCTCTTGGCTTAAGGGAGATGTCGCCTGGTCGGAGACCTGCCCCGAGGCACGAGATTCGTTGTACTCCGGCTCGGTGAAATGGGTCGTGTGAGCATGATGAGCTGTAGGGCGGATAGGGAGCTGGCTATTGGTAGGGGAATTGTTCTGGCTTCGGTTGACCGGCGCCTTCATGTTGGCCATATGTGCAGGAATTGGCGGCACCGGAACATTGTCCACTGTTTGCATAGTGTGCACTCCCATATACCGCCGAGAATCCGGAGGGGCGTTGTTGTGATGGTGAATGTCGGGACTGCTGGCTGAACGCATCCGTTGGGCAGTTCCATTCGAAGATGCCTGTGGTCCCGAGAGGGGGGGCAACGACGGGCGTTGAGCACTCCTTCCATTAGTCTGAGGAGGGAAGTACCCTGTTGGGGTTGTTCCATCTCTTGAGGCTCCACGAGACAAAGCAGGGGCAGTGTAGCGATTAGAATCTTCATTCCACACACTTGATGCAGTTGTCGAGTTGGTATTTTGGCGTCCGAACGAAAACCCAGTAGATTGGGAGCTGGATCGTGTGGAAGGGGTTTCCGCGGGCGAGAAATACGAGTTCATATTCCGATCACTTGGGGACATGTTGCCAGCACCAGGGAATTGGGTATGCACAGAAAGCGCTGGATCCCCAGCATAGCGCGGCCTGCCATTGGAGTGGGGTACAGAACCAGTACTGCCTCCGGTAGCGGATCGAGTCCTCAAACTGGTACTGGATGCATTTCGACTCATGGGGAACTCGGAGTAGTAATTACCATCCTTAGGAGTATCTTCGACGTCATACTCTTGCTGGTATGGATTAGGCATATGGGCCATGCCCTCCATGTAGGTGAACTCGCTGTCTGAAGTGCCGGTGTTGCGAAGTGTCCGGCGCTCCGATTGGATTGTACGTTGGGTATCGATTTCCTTATACCAATTCCGCATGGCGTCTTCATTCACGTAACGAATGATGAAGTTATCGACGACACCGGGGTCACCTTTCCAGAAGATTTGGATACGGTAGAGGCCTGTTCATCGACTCGTCAGAACTCCGATCCCTGTATTGTGTCCTGCTTAGATGTTGTCACTTACCAGGCTTCTGAAGACAAACGATATCCGTGACATTCGCCATATAGATTCGACCCTTCAATTGAAGCCGAGCCTTGCCCTTCGCTGTGAGGGAGGGCTTGTCTTTGTTCATCATGAGCTTGGTTTTCTGCTTGTTCGGGTTGATGTCTTTGCAGCACAGGAGAATGCGTTCGAACAGGTAGATGTGATACTAAGCACCCATAATGTTAGCTAAATGAAACTTCAAACTCTCGCATGGTGGTCATGAGTGTATATGAATGAGACAAGGGCGCAAAAAGCCGCTGGTGCATACCTCTCGCTCGCTGTCCTTGCCACTGTCTCCTTTAACCACTGCGAACGTGCCAAAACGAAGGAGGTCTCCAAAGGAGTCCATCTTCAATGACTTCCAATCATCTACGCGCTCTGACAGGTCCACAACCGCTGCAGCCAGTTGTTCCTTGTGGATCGCATCGTTTGCTGAGTCCAGCGTATTTTGAATGGCGTCAATAGCGTGGGTGATGTCGGCGTGGAGTTGGGGGTCTTCCATTTGTTTGCGCAATTCCTATGCAGAGGTCGCATGTTAGACAAGGATGTAACCCAATGTTTAGATCTACCTACCGACAACATAAGCGGATATCTGGTCAACCGCTGGAAGGGCTTGACGAAGAATCCATTCAGGGTTTTGGGTTGCGCAACCATCTGCATGAGATCTGGATGACGTGGTGATGTCCGGATCTTATCCCACTCCTGTATGCAAACTTCATCACACCGCATTTGGTTGGCGATGAATGGTTCGTACTGCCGAAAGGCTTCTTCATCTGAATAAAAGAGATGGCCCCAGTTCTGCATTTCTTCTGGCAGGGCATAGTGTTGCTCCATTCGAATCAGGAATCGCTGGGCAAAATCCAGGAGATTGTTAAGGTTCAGGAAGATTTGATGGCTAGCATCACCTGTAAGAGCACCTGTCTCCTCCAATTCCTTCTTAAGTGCTTGGAGATTCTGCAGGTGATGGACGTAATCGCGCTCAGTCTCCAACAGTTCCTTGAGAATGTGCTCACGCTTGGTAAGCTTCACAACTCCCTGTGCGCCCACTGGAGCATCTGTCACTTCCGGCCGCTTCAGTTGGCCCTGCATTTCAAGGATGTCCACCACGCGATTCACCATCTTAATCACCTTAATAAAACCCGTTGTGCTTTCGCCATAGAGGTCGGTGATCAGGAAGCAGTCTTGCTGGGGGAAGGCGAGATCCTGCAAGCAGGCCTGCAAAAATTTGAAAGTTGCGGCCTTGGGACGCTTCGCCTCGGGCACCTTGGCAGGGTCGACTACCAACTCCTCATCCGGTCCAGACGCATTATAGATACTCAACAATGGGTAGCCATTTCGAAGACAGTTCCACAACGAAGATACTGGATCTGTGTTTCCCCGCGATTCATCTTCCGCGGCCATCTCCAAGAGATAAGGCTCGAAACTAGGGACTTCCGATAGCCGGCGCTTAAGGTTCACACAGCTTTGGTAGATTGATTCTCCACCACGCCGGTTGATGATGTTGTCCTCGGCGACCGGGATTCCGCTCATTGCTGCGGAGTCGATCATTTTGTATTGCCTCGGCCGATTATGTGAGTCAGGCCAGCCAGGCTCGGTTTCAAATCTGCACAGCAGACCCGGGGTATATGTAATCGGAGAGCGACAAGCGTCGGGACAACGGGAAGCCGACCATGGATTTTCCGCGATACGGTCGACTGGTCAAAAGGCGGGCTACACGGCGCAGAGACAAAGTCCGGTCGGATTTCGAAAACCCAAGGGCCCTCGATATCACCTCTATCCTGGTCGTAGGGATTTGCTGTTCGGTGAAGAATCCCGGAAGGTAAGAATCGGCTCGCGATGGCAGGGTAATGAAGAGACAATATATCAACAGGGACGAATAGTATAAAAGCGCCGCCACTTTCCTCTGAGGGAAGTCAGGAGGGTCGGTGTATCTTGTCCGACTCCGGCAGCCAACTAACCCAATCGATGAGAGGTAAGTGATGGGTTGGAGACGACGCTGCGGCCTGGCAGACGTGCCGAATCACAGAAAAAAAGCGCTGGTCGAACCCCTTTAGGTGTCGGTGTCGTAAGGACTGGGCCCGTCACTAGGACTGGGGGGAGCGACAGACAAAGGGGGCGCGGGAAGAGTCAACTTCCGAGAAGGGAGAGACGAGCTTACACCCGTAAAGGATGATGGTCGAAGGCGCAGAGGAACAGGCGTGGAGGGAGGGATGGAGGCTGAGGAAGAAAGGAGAGGGTGAGCCGAAGGGGAGGGCTGTTCAGTTTCCCCTTCGGGTTTAGCGCCTGTTCCGTCGGGCGGTGGGATGTGGGGAGGGGCACGAGTCTCCATCTACCTGAGACGCGGGTCCAGAGTCGAGTCTGCGACGAGGCTACGACCAGTCTAGATAGGGTGAATGGGATGACGGGGTAATAAGTCTCGACACTGCCGAGCATGATGACGTCGGGATGAGTATATACGTTTGGAAAGAGAGAGAGAGTAAGAAGACAGGTCAAATACCAGCAAACATTACGAGTATCTACCGTTTGAGGAATTAGTCGGGTTAACCCCTTTGGCTGGTTTTTAGAGCCCGGTGGAGATCATAGTAGTGCATGGTCCTTCTTATATATTTTAATTCTCTACATAAATACTGTTTAGCCCCATCTGAATGAATTTATACCTCGTGGCAGGATGAACCCTAGCTAGTCCCTCGGCACTTATATATTGCTTGCAGGAATAACCTGCGGCTAAGATCAGACCAGGACAAAAGAAAGAAAAGGACGAGGAGGCCATAGCTCCCAATCAAAAGAAAAAGGTCCCTAAAACACCATGTCCCCAGCATAGGTTATCATCGAAATATCTTTCATGTAAGAAGTCCTTCAGCCCATCTCTTGTTGACTACCACATACTTCTCGTTCACACGGTCACGTGAACGTAGGCTCCGACAGCCATTCCAGAACCCTACATTAGTCTTCTCGCATTTTCTGGCATGTTTATTATGTTTCTCATATGATTGATGGCCAACTCTGGATTTGGACTTCGTCACTCCTCCCCCTCCCAAGCTGAAGCTTCTAGACCTATCCATCTGATATGTGTGTTGACGATTTGACTTCTCCGCCCGACTGATCACTTCTGGGTGGATCCTGCCGCCGCCAAACCGGCGGACGTGACGTGACTTGCAGCCCTGAGCCCAAGGACCCCGTCATCCGTCCTACCTCTCTTCTGCGCAAGAGGGATTATTCCCTTTCAACTCTACAGTTGGACGGAGAGAGGTCTCCAGTGAATGCGACGAGTGTTCTGCGACGACTCCGTAGGCTCTCTGCAAAGCCACCGCATTCGCCTTCACTTTCCCCCTCAAAAATCCATCAGCGCGCGCACCGCAACCGTGACTCCCGCATCCTCAGCACTGATGGAGGGAGACACTGGCTCCAACTCGCCATCTCGCCCCGCTTTCCGGCTGCAGGCGACCGCTTTATCTGGTTATACTACCTCATCTTTATCGCCTTCCTTCAAATTGGATGAAGGTTACTCGGATGACACTCGAAGTCAGTCGGACAAAGATCTGGTCGCCGACAATGTGACGATGCTCCCTGAATGGGTCCTCGCCCAAAGTGAGGCTGACAGAGCTGGTAAATGTTTCTTCCTGCATGTTTCTATTACCCCCTTGAGGTTCCCAACCTCCCAACCTCCTTTGTCTTCGACGCCCCGTGCTCACCAATGGAACTCAACTACAGAACTTGCGTATAGCTTGCTTCGTTCTCTCTCGACGTCGACACTTGCTGGCCTCGTTGACCGTCTAAATCCGCTTCTCCATATGGACCCAGTCGTGAAATTACCGCCCGAACTCACCTTCCAGATCTTCTCGTACCTCGATCCACGCACCCTCTTGACTGCGACGCTCGCGTCTCGTTCGTGGCGCAATCGAATATTGGACTCCGGCCTCTGGCGCGTGTTATACATTAACGAGGGCTGGCGAGTAGATACTCGCGCTATTCGCAATTTCGAACAAGAGCATTCCGAAGCGACGTCCCCTCAGACCCGCCGTTCTCGACCCCGACACTCAGAACCAGACTTGGGTGAACCCAAACATAAGAAGCGCTTACCTCCCTCATGGTATGACACGCGTGGTGCGGAGGGTCAAGGCTCCTCAGATGTTAAGGTTGAACCTGACGACGAGGGAGACCACCACATGGCTGATGCGGGTGACCGAGGGACACACGCATCAATTGAGAAACCCGGGCTCGCGCCGCCCAGTCTCATTCAGAAACCACCCTCACTCCTCCAACCTCCTTTGAAATCGTCACTGCTCATGCACTCGCCGAACGGGGCTGTCAGAATTAATTGGGTACATCTCTATAAACAACGCAGACGTCTCGAAGCGAATTGGCATCATGGTCGGTTTACCAACTTCCAACTGCCTCATCCGTCTTATCCAGAGGAGGCGCACAGAGAGTGCGTTTATGCGATCCAGTTCCAAGGAAAATGGCTGGTCAGCGGAAGCCGGGACAGAACTGTACGAGTCTGGGATTTGGAGACCAAACGACTCTGGCACCGCCCATTAGTCGGACATGGCAAATCAGTCCTGTGTCTACAATTCGACCCGAGTCCCGAAGAGGATGTAGTCATCTCCGGCAGCAGCGACAAGACTGTAATCCTATGGAAATTCTCGACGGGCCAGAAGCTTCATCAAATTACCAATGCGCATGCTGACTCCGTGCTGAATCTCAAATTCGATCACCGGTACCTGGTAACCTGTTCGAAAGACCGAACTGTGAAGGTGTGGAATCGTCACGACCTCATGCCCAATGATGAGGACTACCCCCGAGTCTGCAAAGGTGGTGGTGCCAGCTATCCGTCATATATCATTGACCTCAACGACGTCGCCCCCAATGTGCTTGAGGCCAGCATCGCAAACGGACATGTCAAAGCCTTGAAAGCTTACTCGCTGCTCATGACTGTAGAGGGCCATGGAGCTGCCGTCAATGCAATGCAACTCCACGGTGATGAGATAGTCACTGCATCCGGGGACCGCATGATCAAGGTCTGGAATATACGTAATGGTACTTGTATGAAGACTTTGATGGGTCATGAAAAGGGTATTGCATGTGTTCAATTTGACAGCCGCCGCATCATCAGCGGCAGCAACGACAACACAGTGCGCATCTACGATCATATCTCTGGAGCCGAGGTGGCCTGTTTGCGAGGACACAACAATCTGGTACGCACAGTGCAGGCGGGATTCGGTGATCCACCAGGTGCGGATGAAGCTTTGCGATTGGAGGCATTGGAGGTTGAGAATGCTTTTTGGAAAGCTCAGCAAGAGGGTGCACCTGTCGACCTTGGCCCAAGAGCCCTGCGTCGCGCGGGCCACTATTCAAACACTGCTGGCTCTCGTGACCCCCGCGATATCCGAGCTCTTGGAGCAAAGATTCCTCCAGGTGGTGGAGGTAGTGCTTGGGGTCGTATTGTGTCCGGTTCCTACGACGAGTCGATCTTGATTTGGCACAAAGACCGCGATGGTGCATGGTCGATTGGACACCGTTTGCGTCAAGCTGATGCCGCCGCCAACGCAGCTCGCGGAACATTGAGTGAAGCAGCACGAGCTGCTGTCCAAGCACAGGCCCAGCAGTTGGCAGCACTACAGGCCCCTGCGCCCGCGACTGCAGCTCAATCCGCGACAGTTCAAGACGCCGACCAATCGGCAGATCAAGATGTTGTTGAAGATACACCCACACCACCTGCTACGAACAACAACCTTCCAACCGTGCCAGCACTACCAGACGGGACTGCCGCTGCCGCAGCAGCAGCCTCCAACCTGCCTCCTCCCCCAGCACACGCGGCGGCGCCTGCTCCGAACCACCCTCCTCCAGCAGTAAACCCACATCAGCTGGCCGCTGGGCATCATCACCACCACCTCCATCGACACAATCGGCAATTGCCACCCACACCTCCCACGTCAAGGGTGTTCAAAGTCCAATTCGACTCACGCAAGATCGTCTGCGCCAGCGTGGACCCACGCATCGTGGGCTGGGACTTTGCCTGCGGTGACGAGGAGATACTGGAGGCATGTTCGTTCTTCCAGGGCCTCTGACCCTCCTATATATTTGCCTTGACCCGCTTCTATCCTCCCATTCTTCACTCCCATCCGAGCACGAAAACGGAATTATTATCTCGTATGGGCATCTAGTCTCGATCTCCTCTGCGCAGAGCGCAAATTACTCCACGCTTTCCACGAACCGGTGCAGCAGCCTGCCCCGACGATCTCCTCGACCTGCATACGCCCCTCCATATTGCCTCTGCTCTCCACCTCATGTCCTCTGCCCACCCCGTATGTGCGTATCACCGCCTTAGCCTCAACATAGTTTCTTGGTTACTACCCTCCCATTCGGCTTAGCTCCTTGCATTGGTGTTGGCCGGGGGCGCGGTGGTCCATACCTGCTCCGTACCCGCATTTTTGGGTTCCTTTACCGTTTTCCTGCCTTTCTCTGTCCTGTGCTATTATCCCACGGACCTTGCATGGCGAATTTGGCTTTGTTGCCTCTGGTTTACACGAGCATTGCGGGCATAGTCACTAGATGAATACTATAGTTTCGAATAAACTTTGACAAGTTCCACGGTCATTGAATGGATGGAAGTGCGTTGTTTTCCATCTAGTGATGTCGACAATACTGCCTTCTATGGAAGAGAATCATCCGCGCGCCAGCAATCTAGGCTGAATACATGAATCAGTTGTAATAAGGATAAGTAGCATCCAATAGAAACTAGCACTGAGGGAATTAGTGGACACAAGGTATTTCACGAAACAACGACAGGTACACGTTCATCCATTTGACTGAACAGAAATCGACGCTCGAGAAGATGTATAAGGCGGACGCCGTCCCAAAGTATCAGCAACCCAGTTTGGAAACTCCATCTGTCCGAAACGCCGCACCTCCTCTCGCACCTCTGTAGGCTGGGGCGCAGAATTCGAGGGCCGACTCCGTGCAGTCACGTACGTATCGCGGGACGGGGTAGTTTCGAGTGCTTCCATATCACTATCGGTTTGCGAAAGAGGACAGACGCGCAGTAAGCAGCAGAGGTACATCTGCACGGGCAACCAGGAGAGAATGCCGAAGGCCGAATATGGCCCCTCGAGAAGTACCTCCTCGTCGGAGTCGTTGGTTTGGACGGGTCGAAGTCGAGAGTGGTCCGGAGGAGCGTGGTTTCCTACAGCCCCTATGCCCTGGCGGTTGGTAGGTGGTGCCCCACTGGACCTATCCGAACGGCTGGAAGGACCTAGGGATACCCCGAAGAAAGAATGGGCCCTGTCTGATATTCCAAGTTGCGATGTAGCAGTAGATTCCGGTGTAGACGACAAATGTCCGCCTGCAAACGGCCATAATTGCTGCATGGAAGGAGGCACGTAGCCCCAAGCACCTCTTTGAGAGCGAACATTGGCGTCCTTTGTACTCGCAGCTTCTGTTCCAGCTTCATCCCCGGTTTCCGCGAGAGGGAGATCATTCTGATAGAAGGGGTGATCATGTATTTGCCGAGCCATGGTCGAGTTGTGCCCGCTTTGTCGATAAGGGAATCGGCCGTAGACTATAGCCGTGCCATCAACTCGTCCAATTCTGCCATCTGATTGAGTGTGTATTCTTGTATCCAATGAAGACGGCAGGCCAAAGAGCCTGCGAAAGGCGTCACTGTACGAAGTGGAGCGCTGTTCGGTTCCAGGCACATCCCGCTGCGCATAAAAGCGTTCGGCGTTCTGACCGGTAAGGAACTGGGCTGAGAAATATACTGCCTCGGGCGTGTTAAAAGATGGCAACCCTGGGGGCGTGGGGATCCTTTCCGGCGGAGGATATTGTGGCTGGTTGAGCATGACTGCTGGCCCTGGTTTTCCCGGCCAGTTGGATGTATGTCCGCTGCTATCAACGGTGTCGAGCGAGACGGCCCTTCGGTGACTTTGAGTAGTTTCCGCGGTGGACGTTGTCTCGCTCAAAGGTCTTGACGGCAAATGTCGCGGACGATTCGAGGACGGGTCCGATAGCACCTGGTTGCGCCACCATGCGGAGTCTACCTTCTTGCATTCCCGTCTCTTGTTGCAACAATGCGCCGTCAATGCTGGACTGCTACCGCAGCTGCCTGTCGGAATGAACATCGCGATGTTGGCTGCTAGCCCTTCTTCCATGAGGGGGCCCATTTGGAACATGGTTTCGTAGCCCCGGGAATCTCCGCTTGGCGTTGGCACTACGATGGCGTCGGAAATTTCTTTTTCGTCGCTGTAGACGTATTCGGAGGATAGACGAGGAGAATTAGGGCTATCGTGGTGGTGATCGATGTGCTTCGGTTCGAAAAGCGACCTGCGCCGAGATAACGGAAGCTGTGGTGGAACATCACCAGCTGACCGATCACGGTGCTCAGCCATAATGAGAGGAGAGACATTCATATGAACGAGTGAGTGTGCGCATAGAGAGAGAGAAAGAGAGAGAGAGATCGGAAAAGTGTCATTCATCGATTGTGAGGTTTGGTTGGTAGGCAGGGCAACAACATCATCGCGCTTGCCGTGGGGAGCGCTCATGCAATTATAATACAGCGAGAGGAAGGCTTGGAAGTCTATATGTACAAGTCCTGATCGAATGCAATCAAATCCGAGAACCAAACACAATGTCATCATCATAAGGGCGTGCTGACCGGGCTGGGCATCGGTTTGCCAGTCACCTGGGCGTGCTCCTTTCTGAGGGCTCGCAGCAGCCCTTCGATTCGTCGCCGCTCTTCTTGTTCCGCCTGTCATCACCTCGTTAGTTTGGCTAAGCATAGGAAGCAACTCGGTCACCGAGATGGGACGAACCTTCAAGATCTTCATGTTTTCATTGCGCGTGTCGCGCATCATTTTCTTGAACTCGTTCTTGAGCACCATCGTCGACGTTGTCTCGGACGTTCCGTCGCGGCCTACCGAGCCCGGGCTGTTGAGGTTCATCCAGTTGATCCGCTCCTCGCTGAGCTGCTGCTCCAGCTGCTCACAGCGATCCCGCATGCTGTCAATGACACCCTCGAACCGCTCGCGCTCCTTCTCAAATTCGATGCTGGCCTTGGTCATGGCCTCGTAGTCATCAAGAGTCTCCCGGAGCTCCTTCTCCAGCGTATCGGCTCGCTGCTGAAGATCGCCGCCGCCCTGCTGGCCCTTGAACGTAGCGAGCTCCTCGGTCAGCTCGATGTTTCGCGTCCTCAGGCTGTCGATCTCCTTCTGGATCTCGGGGTTGGCAGCCACCTCGGCAGCGCGCTGGGCGCGGGTGCCGTAGGCGCCGTCGAGCTCGGCTTTGACCATGGTGAGCTCGGTGGTGATACGCACGACCTCGCCTTCCAGCTCGGTCATCTCGTTCTGTAGGCGGGTGGATTCCTCCTCGGCTTGTGCGCGCTGGTCGAACGCCTCCTTCAGGCGGGCGTCAGCATCGGTGCGAATCTGCTGGATTTCGGCTTCAAGCTGGGCGACTTCTCGCCCCGCACGGTCATGGGCTTCTCTGACCGCCTCGGCATGGTCGTGAGCTTCTCTCACTTCTTCGGTTCGTGCATCAGCCTCGGCATGCAGCGATTCCACGACGCTCTGCAAGCGGGCAATCTCGCCCTCGGCCTGCACTAGCGCGGCCTGGACCTCATCCTGGGAGGAGCCGTTGTGGCGCTGAGCCTCAAGCTGCTGCATGACCACATCCAGCTCATCCCGATTGGCCTTGCTCTCGCGCTCAGAAATCTCGTGATCCTTGCGGACTTGAGTCAGCTGTTCGGTCAAGTCAGCGATGTGCGCGTCTCGTTCCGCATCTGACTTGGAGTTGAGTTCACGCTGCTGCTGGATTTGGGTGGTCAGGATGCTCTTCTGCTCCAGCACTCCATCCACTCGGCTCGCGAGGCCATCAAGGCCCGTTTGAAGATATGAGAGCTGCTCCTCAAGCCCTTCGCCATCTGACGCGGCCGGCGGTGGGGGCAGAGTTGGCGAACGGGTTAAGCCGAAGCGGTCCACAATGCTTTGGACCCGGCTGTTGATATCCGTGAGCTGTTCCTTCCATGCGCCTTCAGCTTCCGGGGCCGCACCACCGCCTGTATCCATTGCCGGAGCGCCTCTGAGCGAACCGAGAGAGTTTAGTCCGTTCTCCAGGTATGCGATGTGCGCGTCGACCACGGACGAAGGCCCACCTGGGTGCGGTGGAGGGTCAACGAATTCGTCCGGGTTGGCCTGGATCAACATATTGCACATGCGCTGGCTGAGTTCCTCCAACCTTGTCTGAGATTCGGGATCCAGTGCCGCAACAGCCGAGGCAGTCGTCTCTATCCTTCCGTTCATTCCATAATTATCCAAATGCTCCGTCGTCCGGTAGAGGCTGCGGTCGTCAAAGTCGTGGTCGTCGTACAGGCCATCTGACCCTTCCCGGTTCTTGGGCGCCTTCCTCAACCCCTTGTGGGTCATCTGCAAAACACCCGCTGTATGCTCGAGCAAGCGCTGGTTGATCTGCTGAGACTTGCGCTCCAGCTTCCACAATTCCTGCGCCAGTTCTTCGCATTTCCGCTGGCTCATTGCCAACTCGGAATCGCTCTTATCTCGGACTTCGTCCGCACCGCTCCGTCCAAATATACTGCGGCTCCTCCGGTGGGACTTGGAAGTGCCGTTGGCGCCGTATTCGCTGCTGTTCCGGGGACTCGGGGGACTGTAGAGTCGGCCGATGGATTGAGCGGCATCGCGCAGCTTGGTCTCCAGGGCCAGTCGCCGCTTGGTGCTCTCGACGCGACTGGCCAGGAGGGTGCGCTCCTTCTTGAGTTCCTCTACTTCCTCGAACGAGAGGATCTCGTAGTTGGTGCTATCGCCCATGGCGGTCTCGGTCAGGAGGTACATCGTGACGGGATCGTTCGTATTCAGGAGGGCTGAGCTTCGCGGGTGACTCGGATTGAGCTGTATACCTCACAATATCTGGTTAGCAAGGCCCATGGACCCATGGTTCGCGGGGGGTGAACGTGAGCCCCGGGGCGGTTGGTTCCCCTTACCGGATTGTACCGCGACCGGTCCTCATGTTGGGGGTCCACGGCATCGCGATACCCGTCGACAAGGGATTTGGCATGCGGGATATGGATATCGGAGACAGTGGCAGTGGACAGATAGCGAGGGTCTCCGTATGAAGACTGACTGGATCGGAGGCTGATGTTCATGCTGGGCGTTCAGGGCGGAATGCCGGAGGGGACGGTTTGGATCGGAGGGGGAATTCAGGAACGGCCGTCACACATCATGACAGGCCGGCCGTTCAGTTTGGAAATTGCAAGTTCTCGCACCGCAGGTTCTGCGCAAGAAAAAAGACGGGGCTGACGAGAATTGAAGATGGCGGGGGGAGGAAAAGAAGGAGGATCAGCGGAGGCTGAGGCCTCAGCCACACATCTCGGGCGGTCGGCTTTGGCCATTGTGATTGTGATGTGTACAGAAGTGCTCTGCCGGTTCTTTTTCCTCAGCAGCAGGCCATCTATGCAGCCATAGGGTTCCGATGTGGATCCAACCGATCATTGATTCTCATCTCTCCGTATTTGCCGGGACAGGATGTATCACTCCCATGCAACCACGGAGTGCTCCTCCAACAGCTCGAACTAAATCCCAGCTCTCCCCTGAGAGGCCCCGACGCCACGGCGTGCATGCGCGGCCCCGACTTGGCTGTAAGCGAAGGTGGGCGCTGGCACATGGCTTTCCCCCCTTCTTTCTCACTTCTTCTCACTGCTTCTTATTAGCCGGACGTAGGACATCCTCTGGCGGTACCTACCGACCCGGAGAAATGGGCGGGGTCGCAAGTACCGGGAACGTAGGCGCATGCAGAACCTCGGATGTCTGGTTACATCCCGGTGGAGGAGCGTACAATCCGCCCGTGCTGCGTCATTCATTGACCTGAACTGCCTTGTCCCCGCTGGTTTGGCACGGAAACGAACTGTGGTCCGACGAGGCAGTTCGGTGGCCGTATATGAACGCACGGAGTCTTTCTCCTCGTGTCTTACATCTTATCTCCCACTGCCCCATGCCTGCCCCATACCCCATACAGAAGTAGTCTCTTCACGCGGCGCTACTTAATCCTCCTATCTCCCAGAAGCCCCCTCGCTGCCTTGAGGATGCTTCCTCATCTGGCCGCCTTCCCCGAACAGGTCGAACAGGTCGAACCGGTCGAAGTCGAACATGTCGACTGCCAAGGTTGACATCGAGGCGCCTGTCACGCGACCTGTCTACAAGGTCTACAAGCGCCGCTTCTGGGGACTGGCCCAATTGGTGCTGCTGAACGTCGTTGTGAGCTGGGATGTATGCACGATCCATCTCAAAGCAGTGGCCGGCTATCGCTAACTATATGCATTCTCGGCATAGTGGCTGACCTTCTCGTCCATCTCCACCACGGCCGCTGAGTATTTCGATGTGTCCGAGAGCGCCATTAATTGGCTGAGCACGGGCTATCTCTTCGCTTTCTGCGTTGCCAGTCCGTAAGTAAACCCCCCCCCCCCCCACTTGGACACAAAGCAATTGCGGGAGCTGGAGGTGCTCTTGTTTCGTGTCCGTGTCGCTGTCGGCCTCGCTGACCCCGCGCTGCTTCTCCGCATCAGCGTCGTCATCTGGGTCCTCAACAAAGGCGGACCCAAGCCAGCCATCGTAATCACTGCCACATTGCTGCTCGTGGGGAACTGGCTGCGCTATGCCGGCACCCGGGCCAACGGTGGTATCTTCGGGCTCGCCATGTTCGGCCAGTTCGTCATCGGTCTGGCTCAGCCCTTCTGCCTGTGCGCGCCCACGCGGTACAGCGATCTGTGGTTCTCCGACAAAGGACGTACCAGCGCGACGGCACTCGCAAGTCTGGCGAACCCGCTGGGCGCGGCAATAGGGCAACTGGTGGACTCGATATGGGCGACTGAACCGTCTGATATCCCAAATATGGTTCTGTATATCGCCGTGATCGTGAGTGGTGCCACCACCCCCGGGCCTGCGCCTAGAGGCGGAAAGTGAGTAAACTTCGATACTGACAATAGAATGCTGCGGACAGGCGACCGTCGCATCCATTCCTTCCTTCTTCATCCCCGCTGCACCCCCAACGCCCCCAAGCGCCTCGTCAGCAATCCCCCGCACGCCACTGATCCCCGCAACGCGACAGCTCTTCGGCACTCTCGAGTTCTGGCTGATCCTGGCCCCCTTCTCGGTGTATGTCGGCTTCTTCAACAGCGTCTCCTCGCTGCTGAACCAGATCCTCAGCCCGTACGGGTTCTCCGAGACAGACGCCGGCATCGCAGGCGCCATCCTGATCGTCGTCGGCCTGGTATCGGCGGCCGTAATGTCGCCCATCACAGACCGGTGGAAGCACTACCTCGGCTCGATCCGCGTCCTCGTGCCCATCATCGTGGCCTCGTATATCGGACTGATATTCGCGCCGTCCAGCTCCGCCGGCATTGCGCCCATGTACGTCGTCATGGCGCTGATGGGCGCGTCCTCATTCGCGCTGCTGCCCATCGTGCTCGAGTACCTCGTCGAGATCACGTACCCTTTCTCGCCCGAGGTCGGGAGCACCATCTGCTGGACGGGTGGGCAGTTGTTGGGCGCGTGTTTCATTCTTATTCAGGATGCGCTCAAGGCGGGCGACAGCGCCAGCCCGCCCTCGAATATGCGCAAGGGTCTGATTTTCGCTTGTGTCCTGACGGTGATCGTGGCTCCGTTGCCCATGTCTATCGGTTGGTTTGGTAGGACTGTCAGGCGCCGTCGGTGGGATGTTGACCGTGGCGTCGAATTGGATGCGCCGGAGACCACCACCCCGCCGCAGGCTACCGGCGATGCACCAAACGAGAATATTTCCCATGTTGACTCGGGGAGCGTGAAGGACGCATCCTGCAAGGAAGTCCGAGTCAATACATGAGTATGGATGACCATGACTTCACGCCTTCTTCTCTGCAATGTTCAAGTTGCACCGTAGCTGTCGATATTTACTTCTTCTTCCTCGAATGTCTGCGCTCATTTAGTGGTCTGCCATCCTGACCACATTTTCAATCAAGTGCCAGTTGGACGCAGGTTTCCCCGGTCCATTTTAGTTTATACCCCCGGATTCGTGCCACGCCCCCGATATTTTGGATTTTCGTGATGTACATGGACCTTTTTGTGGCCCATTTAGTAGGCATGGTGGACATTCTAGTCAACGGAATCGATATTTTGATATTAATGGCGGACGGCACGGAAGAATCATGTTGATTTGTATTGTAAGGGCCGGACTAGTTGCTGCCTAGACGGAGTAGGCTTTTCTGACCAGTCGCATCGCGAATTTGGAGCCGGAGATCAAGAGCAACCATCCGTTAGATCAGGAGAAAAATGCCTACTCCCCACCACAGTCTACTTGCACTTGAAGTATGTAACCAAGCCTCTGCGGGGTTCCTTTTCTGCATGCCCTGCCTGGTCCAGACGTCGGCGGAACAAGTGCGATATACGTGTGAGTCAACCCCTCCAACCTCACAAGACCCTATGGTGTTTTCGTATTAAAGAGCGATGCAGGCAAGTCGAGGGATCTACGCACAAACTACCAATAGACCAGCAATGCCAAAGTCACGGGAACAGCGCGTTTCACATGAAACCCTTCCGTTTTAACAGATGAGATTCGTCTTAAAACACAGTAAATAAAACACAAGCACAGTTCGAACAGGCGGATGACCAGCTATCTGTACATGCAAGGCAGAGAGAAGGCGGTCTATTAGTCTTGCCTCTCCTTTGCTTCCTCCCTCCCTGCCTCGAAAACACCATATGCACACAGGAAAGGACCGAGAAAGTGGTCAAAACACCCCTCGGCGACCCGTGTTTCCAAATCAAGGACATAGACGGCAGACTGTCAGGTATTGTGGGTAACAGTCATCAGAGAAACGGATGTGCGTTTCTTTCAGAGGCTAGGTCTTAGTTATGCTCGTATCGGAATAGCCGAAGTGTGTGGGGTCGAGTCGATGCGAGAATACCAAGACGTCGCGCTGAAAGAGGATCCCGTATGATCCGTTTACTTGAGCTCGCGCCAGAGCTTGGGGGCGGCGCAGGCGGTGGCGCAATGAGTGAGGTGGAAGACTGAGTGTGATGTTAGTGGGTGGCGCTTTGGTTGATTCATCAACCACAAAGAGGATACTTGAGTCCAAGTAGCGGCCCAGTCTGGGGGATGACTTACACTCCTCAACGCAGTCCTCCTTGGGACCCTTGTAGTCCTCATCCTCCTCCTGGCGGGTAACACGCTCGACGCACTCGTCGAAGTGGTGCTTATAGGGGGCACACTGAGCGGAGTGAGCGCACTCTGGAAAGGGTTGAGTCAGTCACGCATGATTTATCGGGTATAGAGATGACCCGATGAAATTTTGCGATTCAATTGGGGGACCTCCACAACATGAGTGTTAATCCGGGGTGCCACCTGCGGGAAGATGCGAAACATCCGCCCGCCCGATGGCACTTTTGGATATCACAGACGAGGCAATGGAGATGCCAATGGTACAATCATAGCAAGGTGAGAGTCACTCACCCTCCTCGAGCTTGGGCTTGATGTCCTCAGGCTCCTCCTCTTCCTCCTCTTCCTCCTCCTCCTCCTCCTCCTCCTCCTCAGCCTCAGCCTCCTCCTCTTCGGGAGCCTCCTCGGAGGACTCCTCGGGGGTGTCTTCAGCAGGCTCAGAGTCAGTGCTCTCTTCGGTGGCCTCCTCGGTCTTCTCAGCGGGCTCGGCGTCTTGGGGAGTGGAAGTCTCGACGTCGGCGGCGGGAGCCTCAGCCTGAGCCTCGGTGAAGCCCAGGGAGGAGACGACGTCAGTGAAAAAGTCGGCGAGACCCATTGCGACTGTCAATTGGAGGCAATGACCGGGGGGTCGTGGGAGATTGTGGGCGGTGGGTTTGGGGATTGAAGGTAGGGGTTGCGGTTGAATCGAGGATGTGGTTTTCCAAGCTTGGACTGGAAAATCGGGACGCCCCGGCCGCTGAGAGCATAATTGTGCCGGATGTGATTGGTCAGCCCGTCGGGGCCACCGCGCCGTCGTCCTAACGGCATGGATCTGGGGTTTTCGTTTCTATACCAATTTCGAAAAGGTAATGGATGGTGACAAGCAGCCCTTTTGATCAACTCTATCACCAGCGGATGGGCGTTGGGTGCGCCGGCGCACTCAAATCTGTTCCGATCGCTCTCTATGGGAACTGCCGTGGTAACCGCTTTGGGTAACTAACAAATGGGAGAATCATAATGTACAAAAGATTTAGCATCCTGGCATCCCAGTCCCAAGCCAGGGTCATATTCAAAAACACATGATTTCCCAAGCAGCCTTCCAGTCCATTACTTCCTGTGGGCTAATCGGTCAACTGGCCCGCCGTAACCTCTCCTCCAACTCGTCGGCTACACTTTGCGACTGCACCTCCTCATAACGAGGCGGTGGCTCCACCGGTTCAGGCCCTCTCTCCGACACTTGCCGGTTGTGTGGTGGTGCTACCGGAGCATCGCTCACAACCGTCCTAGGACCTGCATTTCCGGGGCCATCATATGCAGGCAGCTCCTCTAGATGCACCGCCGAGAGGTCCACGCCTCGCACTCCTTGTGCCCCGTCACTTATGTTCTCCACGGCCTGCTCTAAGCGCTCCCTTATTCGCTCAAAATTGGTGTGGAAGTCGAAGGCACCGCCTTCTTTGAAGGTCACCTTGATTTGGATCGCGGGTAAGGACGGCGAGATGCCACCGCCGGCGACGGGCTGCACGAGGGCGGACCAGACATTGGGGCCGAAGAATGGGGCGGAGACATGAGAGTCGCGGACGCTGAGTAAGGGTGAAGAAAAGGATTGAAATCCATCGGATCTCTGAGCCGGGAGATAGACCACCTACGAGGCTGTTAGCTATGAAGCCGTGGAGCGCAAGGGAACCAGACCCCAGGCATACTCTTTGGTTGGTGAGGTGGATACCGCCTGCGCTGCTCTGCAGCGACAAGGTCTCTTTGCCCTTGTAGGCCGGTGGCGGCGTCAGCGCCAGGCTAGTGCGGGGAGGCGAGGAATAGATCAGACGCTCGTTGGGGAGGCGAACAAAACCCTCATGATCATGGAGCATCACCCAGCTGTGGAGACCGATGAGTAATTTGATACTGTGACCTGAACTCCCATACAGGGTCTCCGGGTGGGAAGGGCGTACTTGATAGACATGGTGATATCCGCCAGTCATGCAACAGCAAGGATGGGGAATATTAGGCGAAATCGAGGGAGGGTGAGGATCCCGAGGATGGTTCCGGACAAGACGTGCAAAGGTTCCAATCAGGGGTCCTTCAGGGGTCCAGGGTTTCAAAGATCTAATTTCAGTCCGATTCTTGCAGAGTCTGGACCTCCACGAGTCCGCCTCAACAGAGAGCGGAAGGGAGGAAAAAGGGTTGCGGGGCAGGCGGGGAAGAACTGCAGGGGGAGTCTACTTCCTTGGGCGGATCCCTAGGAGAGCAGCCCAGGCGGAACCGAGGGGTATAAAGTACTACTCTCATTAATGGAACATATTTGTTTGATTCACATAGAATACATAAAAGAAAAGAGCTAGAGAGTCCAAGAGTCGAAGACCGAGAACTACCCGCTTCCATCTCGACCAGGCCAACTCAACGACAACTCCCTAATTCGCGCCCTAAGCAGGTCCCTGCAGCTTGACAGATGCTTCCGGGTCTAAAACAGAAAAGGGCGATCTCCCCAACAGAGGGAGGAGCTTGGGATGCGGTGCGCATGTTGGGCGTGCGGAAGGAGCTGGTTACGGCGGGAAATGCGGAAATGATGAAATTAAAGGCTGCTTTTAACCAGGAGAAAATAGATCGTAAGTATACCGCATATCGATCGTATCGTATGTTGTGAGGCCCTCAAAAACGCGAAGAATGTTGTTGGGAGAGCTCCCCCTCGTCGCGCACGGAGCTCGCCCATTGAGGATATTCTTCTTAGATAACCAACAGCAGCAGCGAATGAGCGAAGATAATTAAATCGCGATAGTCTCACATAGCTGGGCGTGTGGCTGTAGAATTCGAGAATTTTGGGAATTCTAGAAACGTCCGTATTCAGGCGACTGAAAGCGCGCTAGAGCGGTCCCCAAACTTTCCGGATTTGGCCCTCGCCCCTCCTGCGATCCTGTTTTAGCCTCGTGACTGAACTTTGCAAGCTCTTTCCAGACCTGAAGCTATTCTGTTGGAACAGACTCACCGAACCGAAACCTCCTGTCGGAGGGGAAGACGAAGAAAAGCAAGCTGGGACTTTACATTACAAGCGGGTCAAAGCTCGCGCGGCTAATATTTTAACGGTCCGCAACGCTTCATGTCAACTTTGCGACCCTAACTGCTGCTCCACCGATCGCGCCCACGGAGCTTCTGTGAGCATCACTCGGGGCAACGACGGCATCATGGGGAAGAACCAGCCGTATATCCCGCCCCTCATCGGGTGGCTGTACGATCTGGTCCTGTGGTCGTTCTCCGTGCTCATCGACCTCTTCTTCCGCGAGGTGCACCCGCGCGGATCATGGAAGATCCCTCGTCGAGGACCCATTATTATTGTCGCAGCTCCTCATGCGAACCAGGTATGCTCGTTCCGGTCTACCGTGACCCCCAATAGCGCTAATCCGGCCCTTTCCGCAGTTCGTCGACTCGCTCGTGCTGATGCGCGTGATTCGCAGCGAGGCTCACCGTCGGATCTCATGGCTAATCGCGGAGAAGTCGTTCCGGCGCAAGTTTATCGGTCTGCTAGCAAGGGGTATTGGCACTTTGCCCGTGGCGCGCGCCATGGATAACTTGAAGCCTGGAACCGGCACCGTCTATCTCCCCGACCCCGTGAACGAACCCACCCTCCTACGCGGCATTGGCACCAATTTCGAAAGCCCTGGGTTCGAGCCGGAGGGAACAATTGCGTTGCCGACCATCAATGGAACGTCGCATAGCACGGCCATTGCGGAAATTCGGGGCCCCGAGGAGCTGGTTCTCAAGAAGCCCTTCAAACACCGAGACGCCTTGTTCCAGTTGACGGGCCGGAAGGATATTGATGATGATGGCAAGTTTACCGGTGATGCGGCCGACCAAAATCAGGAGTTCCAGGGCACCAAGTTCAAGGTGGCGCCGCATGTAGATCAGACTGCAGTCTACGAGGCAGTGTTCGCCAGATTGAATGCAGGAGGTTGTGTGGGCATCTTTCCCGAAGGTGGTAGTCACGACCGCCCGTCTCTGCTTCCTCTTAAAGGTAAGCTGCCTGGACTGCCTTTCTATCTTGCTGGACATGAGTGCTGACCCTTCGCTAGCTGGTGTGGCTCTGATGGCTCTCGGCACCTTGGCTGATAACCCGGACTGTGGTCTGAAGATTGTGCCTTGTGGCATGAATTACTTCCATGCCCACAAGTTCCGGTCCCGTGCTGTTATTGAGTTTGGTAATCCTATTGAAGTCCCCAGGGAGTTGGTGGAGCAATTCAAGCAGGGCGAACGGCGCGAGTCTGTTGGTGCCCTGCTGGATATTATTTACCAAAGTCTTGTTGCGGTCACTGTGACCAGCCCTGACTACGAAACTCTGATGGTAGGACTACCCACATGCTTTCAATTCTATACATCGTCCCCGGGGGTTCTCTCTCTCTCTCTCTTTCTTATCTGGCAAACGACGTGCTAACAAAATCATAGGTCATACAAGCTGCTCGCCGCCTGTACAACACCAAGGGAAAGAAGCTCCCACTTCCGATGGTTGTGGAGCTCAACCGTCGTCTCGTGAAAGGATACGCACACTTCAAGGATGATCCGCGAATCGTGCACCTCCGGAAGTCGATTGTAAACTACAACAAACAGCTTCGCATCCTCGGCATCCGAGACCACCAAGTGGCCTATGCCAAATTCTCCATCTTGCAGGTTATTGCTACCCTCATTTATCGCTTGGGCAAGCTGGCTCTCCTCACTATTGGTACCCTGCCTGGCCTGCTCCTCTTCACCCCCGTCTTCATCGCGACCAAGTATCTGTCCAGGAAGAAGTCCCAGGAAGCGTTGGCCGCTTCCACCGTTAAGTTGCAGGGCCGTGACGTGATGGCTACGTGGAAGCTGCTCATTGCCCTTGCTTTTGCCCCTGCCGTCTATGCATTTTACACTGCTATGTTTACCTATTGGACTTACCGGAACCGCATACAGGGTTTGATGCCGGAATGGGTGCCTCTTTGGTTGATCGTGATAATTGGCATGGTGGGCTTCCCTACCATCACCTTTGCTGCCCTCCGCATTGGCGAAGTGGGCATGGACATTGTCAAATCTCTGAGGCCGTTGGTTCTGTCTCTGAACCCATCCTCGGCGAACACGCTGGTCAAGCTGCGCGAGAAACGCGCCACGCTTGCCCAGCAGGTCACCGACGCCATCAACACGATGGGACCAGAGCTCTTCCCCGACTTCGATGCAGCCCGAATTGTCACTGGTCCCTTCCGTGAGGTCACTCACCAAGAAGCGGCGGCCGCGGGCGAAGTGCCGGTGCTCACGCGGAGTCGTCACGCTGATATGAGCGAGGAATGGCCTTCGGCTGAGCCTCTGCCTCGCAACGAATCGTTCCACAACTTGGCCAACATTGGCTTCTTCTCCACCCGGCCGCCCAGTCGTAATGGTAGCCGCAGCAGCTCTGCTGGACCCCGGCCAGGTTCGCGGCATGGAATGAAAGCGCTGAGTCCGCTTACCACCCAAAAAGATCCCCTCGAGGACGTTAGCTCGCGGATCCGGGATGCCATGAGAGAGCGCGGCGAGCGACGTCGGCGACGAAGTGAGGACGGCAGCTGGGACATGGCCAGCTCGGGGCCAGGGACGCCGTCCAGCGGGGATGAGTCGCGAAAGGATCTTTGATGACCTGCTCTGATGGTCATGTTTGACGTCGTCAAACGACCTTGTAGTTATTTGAACTATTTGCTGCGTTTATATCACAATTCGAGATATCCCTTGTGTTTTGTTGAAAATGTTACCCATGGATGTTCCTATCCCTCCTTCAAGGCGCCAGGCCTCCAACCTGCATTTAGTGTGTATACATATGTAAGCCAAAGTAGTTATTTTCGGTCGACACGGCATACGCCGAGGGGCGGTAGTGGTGGTACTGAACGTGAAACCGAAGCGATGCAGCTACCCACCTCAAAATCGCACTGCTTCTGTGCGCGTCTTGTCTGTGCAGGCAGGGTCGCCAGCCAATTGTTGAGGTGGTTGCGCCGTTGAGCCAGGACCGTGGTCTCGCCACTGCCGGGGCTGCTGCACGCCGAGAGTCCCAATGAAAAGGGAGCTGCATAAGCAGAATAGTGTAGCCTGGCCGCATCGCCTCGATTATTCCTTGGAGCCTTCATACTCTTATACGATTTCATTATTATACTAGTTTTGTTCTTCATTTTAGGGCCGTTACGAAGGCAGCAGTCTGACATTGGCCGCATTTATCTGACCACGTCGCCCGCAACCGCTTCCCGAGCCCTCGGCTTTAACGAAACGACCTCCAGCCTTCCGCCTCAACCTTTTCCCTCCTTGTCCGTTCTTATCCTGCCTTTTACCCCCACCCAAAACGACCCGTTGGTCTTTTCTTTTTCTTTGGCTTGAGCTTCGTGCTGTGCGTGTCTCCCACCATGGCCAGCTCAATGCACCTGTCGCGCCTCCGGAAATGGATCCTCGCCTCGCCACCGATCGAGTATGCCATTACTCACCTCAAGGAGCTACTGGTGGGCGCACTCCGCCAGGGCCCCATCCCGCAGCATGTCGCCTTCGTGATGGATGGGAATCGTCGCTTTGCAAGAACACATGGGATTGAGACCGTGGAGGGTCATAATCTGGGCTTTGAGGCGCTGGCTAGAGTATGTCCTTTCTTTCGGGTCGACTGACCGGCGAGCTAGGTGTGTCCTGCTTGGTACTGATTGTAACATTTCATCAAGATCCTAGAAGTCTGTTATAAAAGCGGCGTCAAGGTCGTCACCATCTACGCGTTCAGCATTGAGAATTTCAAGCGCTCCAAATTCGAGGTAGACGCGCTCATGGACATGGCCAAGGTGAAACTGTCTCAGATGGCGCAGCATGGAGACTTGTTGGATAGATATGGGGCCAAAGTGCGCGTTCTTGGTCGCCTCGACCTGCTCAAGCCGGACGTTCTCGCGGCCGTCAACAAGGCTGTCGACCTGACCAGTCGCAACGGTGACCGCGTGTTGAACATCTGCTTTCCCTACACCTCCCGTGACGAGATAACGACTGCAATCCGCGATACCGTGGAAGATTACAGTGAACCCCTTCGACCTGCTCCTTCTCCGAACGGCCCTGCTCGCACGCCCTTCTCCGAATCCCATATCGTGCATAACATTCGAGCCCAGACGCTTGGATCATCGAAGATTCAAGATACACATAGTGACTCCGAGTCTACGTCAGCAGAGTCTTCTGCGCAGGATGATGATTCCTTCTTGCAGAATGATCCTGCCAGCCGGGTCTATGAGTCTGGTTCATCCTTCTCGTCATCTACAACTCTCCACCTCGGCCAGCAAGATGGACACCCGCACAAGGGTGTGGCACAGACGAATACATCCGATGGAGACAGCCCGGTCTACATTTCCCCCGAAACCATCTCGCGCCAAACCCTGTCCGATCACATGTTGACCAAAGGCACTCCGCCTTTGGATATGCTGGTGCGGACCTCCGGCGTCGAGCGGTTAAGTGACTTCATGCTCTGGCAGTGTCACGAAAACACAGAAATTGTTTTCCTGGATGTCCTGTGGCCAGAGTTTGACCTCTGGCACTTCCTGCCCGTCCTGCTTGGCTGGCAACGACGCATTTCCAAGTCACGCCAGAACCCCGATGCCGAAGGGAACTTTGCCGGCGATAGTCCGGACACCAGTGAGGAGGACGTGGAAAAAGTGGTCTTGCGACAGAGCAAGGTCAAGTCTGTATAGGCATTTCAATTCCTCCCTGTATTCTGTCCTATCATTATCTCTCTATTTTTCTTTTCTCAGCATCCAGCGGAGTTCCTGGAGTTTGCGGCAACCCCGACCTTCCATCGTGTTTTCTACATATACCAGCAGCATTAGCAGCATTCTCTACTGACGTGCATACATGTTTATGCTCTACATCTTCCAAATCCTATCCTCGGTTCTTCTATCCTTCCATGCTTCTATACTTCTAGTCCAATGACATTGCGAAGCTTCCCGACCGCTTAGATAAACCCCGCGCCGATAGTTACCGGCCACGTGACGAAGGTGACTCAACGCACACGGGGAAGTGGGCGAGGGCACTCGTCCGCCTCATCCCCATTCATACAAAACAATCGAGTTCACAATGGTCAAGTCAATTGCTGGTTCCAAGGTCCTTCTGTTGGGCTCGGGCTTCGGTACGTTCCCCCCCAGGCCTATGGGATAGTCACAGGGCATGGCTGCCCCGCAATGCCCGCTCCAAAAAAAGTATAAGACGCTGACGCTCTGCTTTTCCTCTAGTCACCAAGCCCACCGTCGAGGTTCTGAGCAAGGCCGATGTCCAGGTCACTGTCGGTATGTGCCATTGGCCCTGAGTAGCCGCCCCAACACCTCCCCAGCTTCCCACCGGATTACCCCGCCCCATCCCACCAAGGGTCCTTGGGGTGGGATGATGACCAGGAATATGCGCCACACCAGTTTGTGTGTTGTACAATTGGGTGCGATGAACGTTTCTGATAGTGTGTTTGTGTGATAAACAGCCTGCCGTACCCTGCAGAGTGCCCAGGCGCTGTGCGGGAGCTTCAAGAACACCAAGGCCATCTCCTTGGATGTCAACGATGATGCCGCTCTGGACAAGGCCATGGAGCAGGTCGATCTGGTCATCTCGTTGATCCCTTACACTTTCCACGCCACTGTCATCAAGTCGGCTATCCGCACCAAGAAGCATGTCGTTACCACCTCCTACGTTTCGCCCGCCATGGAGGAGCTCGACGAGGAATGCAAGAAGGCCGGCATCACCGTCATGAACGAGATTGGCCTGGGTATGTCTGTTTCCTTTAGAAGCTCTGTCCGTCCCACAACTAATACGACTTGGCTTCCCTTTAGATCCCGGTATTGATCACCTCTGTAAGTATTCCAGCAGGATTTGACCCGAATCTTCCAATACTGATATTTTTTCAGACGCCGTCAAGACCATCACTGAGGTCCACGCCGCCGGCGGCAAGGTCACTGGCTTCATCTCCTTCTGCGGTGGCCTCCCCGCCCCCGAGGCTTCCAACAACCCTCTGGGCTACAAGTTCTCGTGGTCCAGCCGCGGTGTGCTGCTTGCCCTGCGCAACGCCGCCAAGATCTACCAGGACGGCAAGGTCGTCAGCATCGACGGCCCCGATTTGATGGCCAACGCCAAGCCGTACTTTATCTACCCCGGCTTCGCCTTCGTCGGCTACCCCAACCGTGACTCGACTCCCTTCCGTGAGCGCTACGAGATTCCTGAGGCCCAGACCGTCATCCGCGGCACCCTGCGCTACCAGGGCTTCCCCGAGATGATCAAGGTCCTCGTGGACACCGGCTTCCTGAAGGACGAGCCCAACGCCGTCTTCGACAGCGCCATTCCCTGGAAGGAGGCCACCCGCCAGCTGCTGGGCGCGACCTCCTCGTCCGAGAAGGACCTCGCCTGGGCCGTGCAGAGCAAGACCGCCTTCCCCAGCAACGAGGAGCGCGACCGCCTCCTGGCCGGTCTGCGCTGGATCGGCCTCTTCTCTGACGAAGCGATCAACCCCCGCGGCAACGCGCTCGACACCCTCTGCGCTACCCTCGAGAAGAAGATGCAGTACGAGGCCGGCGAGCGCGACATGGTCATGCTCCAGCACAAGTTCGAGATCGAGAACAAGGACGGCTCCAAGGAGACCCGCACCTCCACTCTGTGCGAGTACGGTAACCCTTCCGGCTATTCTGCTATGGCTAAGCTGGTCGGTGTGCCCTGCGGTGTTGCTGTCAAGCAGGTTCTCGAGGGCACCATCTCCCAGAAGGGCGTTCTTGCCCCCATGACCATGGAGATCTGTGCGCCGCTCCTGAAGACTCTGAAGGAGGAGTATGGTATTGAGATGGAGGAGCGCACTCTGTAAGAGTCCTGCTCTGGTAAAAAGCTAGGCCTAGCAAAACGTACAAAAGAATGACATAGATTATGATTGTGATGGATGCATGGGTTCCCTTCCTATGGATGTAAACGTGTAGTAGAAATCATTTCCTCTCGAGCAAGGTTGTTCTAGATGTTTTATAAGAAACAGCTCAGACAGACTATTTCTTACTTCGGTAGGTAGGTAATAACATCAATACATTCTTTCTTGACTTCATTATCATAGACATATCACGATCCTCTATCGTAGCATCATTGCAAACCCGGCCCAGGGCTAGACAAGGGTCATACATAGAGCCTAGCAGACACAAAGTCAAAAGCTGAAGCTAACAGAAGACAGACAGGCAGGAAACACTGGCAAAGGGGGGACGGTAGCGGCTTGACTACTCGGCGTCGTCTTTGGCTGGAAACCCATGTAGACCGCCAACCTCTCCCTCCCTCCCTCCCTCTCTCTCTCCCCCCTCTATGATCAATCCGAGAAAACCAACAACGGCGTGCTCGATTTATGTACTCTTGTTCTTCTGCTGTGCTGCAAGGCAAAAAAAAAGACTCGGCGGATACGAACTTTTGTTCTTTGAGCGGGTGTGTATCGTATCATGCGGCCAATGAGAAGGTATGAAGTCGATCAGAGAATAGTGCCAAACCTATACCAAGCAGAAGAACAAGCAAAAACGTCAGTAACGGAGTCCAAAGCAAATGCAGTGAAGTATTGGATCTAGATCTGGAACGGAAAGACCCGCATTGGTCAAAGTGCAAGAACGAGAAGCCATGGGGCGCCACATACCCGAAAGTCTGCTTGATGCTGCGCACGTAGTACAGCTCCCAATTCTGCTTGGTGACGTCCTCCTGTCCGATGGGCACGCCGGACCATTCGACGCGCATCTGGGTGACGCCATCGACGTCGTTCTGGTCGAAGTTGATCTCGAGAGTGCTGAAGTGGCCCTCGGGCCACTGGGCGAGGCGCCACTTCTGGACCAGCTGTTTGGGGGCATCGAGCTTGACGTACTCGCCGGTGACGTTGCCGTCGAAGATGGCGAACTTGCCACCGACCTGGGCGCCGTCGAACTGGCGGGGCGCGCCGCGGGTGAAGGCGGCAATGCGCTGGGGATCCGTAAAGGTGTTGTACAACTCCTCGGCGGTAGTGCGGAACTCATCCGATGCGGTCACGGTGGTGGTATTAACGGCGACCTTGCCCGTAGTCGAGGTGACGGGTGCAGCGGCGGGGGCAGCCTCCTTGCTGGCCTGGGGGTGGACGACGGCAGGGGGGAAGCCGGCGGACGGATCGACACCAGGAGCGTGCTGCAGATCCTTGGCGTGCTCGGTGATGAGGGCACCGGTGAGGGTGGCCAGGGTCTGGCGGAGCTGTGGGAGGATCTTGGAACGGACGAGGTCCTTTACGGGCTGCTTGGAGGAGGCATCGGAGTAGATTTCAATCTCGAACTGGAGTGGCACGGCTCCGCGTTAGTGGAGAGCTTCTATCCAGGCATTGCGCTCGACAGCACAGCCAGACGGGGAGAGAAAGTTTTAAAAGGGAACGTACGACGTACTCATCTTCCTCGGTGTCGTGGGCTACCTCGGGGATGGTGATGGAACCGGAGACCTCCTCGCCGTCCTTGGTCTTACCTATTGAACAGTCTCAGCTGCCATCCCGGAAACGAGTTTTCGGTGGAGAAATAGTCTACAAACCTGAATACTCTAGCGACAGCTTGACATCGTACAGGGTGATGACCTTGCCCTTGCGCTGGCTGACGTCTACGTCGCCATTCATGGACAGCACCTTGTCTACTTTGGCGGACACGCCCCCTTCTTCGGCACTGATGGCGCTCACTTTCTGCTGCAAGTACTCCTGGGCCCAGCCAGAAGCATCCTTGTTCACCCAGTGCCAGTTGTTGGGGTTGTGGAGGACCATGATGGCGGTAGGACTATGAAAATGAAATTTCTGATTGTGGGGAGATTGCGAGAGGGCCGAATGGTAAATCTTCCTTCTTCAATTCTCTTGAGTTCAGCTCCGGAAATCGCGGCACGGCCGGGGTTTTCTTTTGCTTTGCTTGTTTTTCTTTTTCCAACCAAATCTAAAGTTCTTCATTTGAGACATGTTAGCGACGAGGTCTCAAAATGGTGAGTGGCGGGGTGATGGGAGAAAAATTGCACGAAGCAAAGAGTCACAAATATCAGGACCGGCTGCGTATAGCCGGACGTAAAGCTGTTCAGCAAGCGAAAGACAGACGTATCCATCTTCCCTCTGACTGGTGCCAGCTGCATCTCATCATTTGGACGAATGGTGGCGCCTCGGACGGAGATCCGTCGTAGGAGGGCCTGGGAGAGGGATGTTTCCCAATGGAAGGGTGGAGAGGAGATATGAGGTGGTGCACACTTACAGTTCCAAGAAATAGTCCGAGGGTTCACTGGACCGGAGAATGAGAAGGGATTGGAAGGGGAAAGAGTGGACGAGGGAGAAGACTCGATATTTGAGTGAACCTGGACGGAAGACTCTAGAAGGGAGATCACGTGAGGTGGTGGGTTATGGTGGAGACCCCGACATACATGGACGCGGTTCAGGAGGTACACTCTCTTGAATTGACATTATGAGCCTGATCCCCAAGCTTATCGATCCCAAAAACCAGACAGATTCAGAAGGACCAGGCCGATTGGTATCTTCTGATTCGCGAGATGACTTGACAACGTCGATTGTGCTTGGGCCTTCGTGCAAAATTAATCCATTCGGTGTCGTCCAGGAGAACCAGCGAATGAAATCAATCGCTGTGATGAAGGGTTGGAATTCTTTTCGTTTAGAGGACTAAATATTTGGTAGAGAGTAAAAGGCCCAAGAGGGATTGAAGAAGATATATGCTGTGCAAGCCCGGTCGAGAGCGAACGAATGGGGATATCACAAGTCATCAAGAAACAAAACACAAATATAAACTTTCCAACGAGCCATGATTAGTATGTTCTATTCTTGCTCCAGTTGCTCCAAATCTTCCCATCCACCTTCAATCACGAGTTGATCTTTGACTCGTTCCCGAACTTCTTGAATCTGGCTCCCCAGAGCCTCGGCCCACTGGCCTTCGACCGTTGCAACCTTGTCCTTGAGGTCGGTGGTGAGTGTGAGCTCCTCATCTGCTCGGGCCTCCTGCATCTCCCGATGCACTGTATCCTCCGACTCGCCCTGCCATATCCTCTCTGCCTCGGCGAGATTGCGGCTGGCTCGCATCACGGCAGATCGGACTTCATGGAGCAGGCAGAGAAGGTTGGTCTGGGATTCGATGTATTGGTAGCTTGATTTCTCAGCGTGCGAGAGCAGTGAATAAAGGTACTGCAGCGGATGTGCATGGTAACTCGGGTTCTCTTCGTACTCGTTCGAGGGTATCTGCACCTGGAAGCCGTGTAGGCTCTCAGGGACTTGCTGCACTAGAGCGAGGAGTGACGGAGCGATATCCCAGAATGCAGATAGCTGCACTTCGACGCCTCGCACGACATTCTGCTCTATGACATCCAGGAAGGACTCGAGACGAGTAAGCGCGGTTGTCTCATATTGTACGCGTCTGTCCAAGGCATCCTTCGAAAAGAAGGCCTGGGTTTCGCGGAGCTTGTCATTGTTTTTGCTTTGCTGATACGGTAACAATGCAATCGATTTGTATTTTTGATCCCGGTCGCTAACCAGGTCGAAAGTCTCCCGGTGAAGTTGCTCCCGCGCTTCGAAGAGCCATTTCAATTGTGTCAACTTCTCCAAGAGCTCAGGCTTCTCATCGCCTTCTTCTTGCGTCTGGTCTGGCGTCTCACGCTGGGCATCGTCAAACAATCTGCTGCTCAGTTCGTCAATGCAGGTCGTTGCCCTGCTGATCCTGTCTGCGAGAATGGCATGCATAGGCTTCAGCACGGCCTCTTGGTAACTATCAAGCTGCCGCTTTGCCAGTTCCCGTTCACGTTTATTTTCTTCGACTAGCATTGCCGCCTCAGCCTCGGCAGCCTCAGCAAATGTTAGGCTTCCCTCCTGGATCTGGCTCTGAATGTTAGCCTTGAATTGCCGACGGTCGTCTTTGACCTGATGTTGGTACTCCTGAGACATTCGTTCCATATCGGCTTTGTACCTCTCTCTCGTAGCCTTTATTTCTGACAGATCCGTGATTGATCGGACAGTGGTTCGATAAGACACGAGATCCGGATGGCTGTTATTCACAGCTGGGTAGTGGCGCGGATACGGCGGAGGCAGAGTAACCAGGCGCGAAATGTCCAGCCTCTGGCTAGCCATCACCTGTGCAAATCTGTTTCCATTCCCAGCAACGGGATAATCGGTCGGTTTTTCATACCAGCCAGCTTTCTCCGGGGGGTACTCGTTTGGGCCGTATGGCACCTGTTGACCGGTAAAATTCGCATCAGCATCGTCGAGTTTGGACGGCGTCCGCTCTTGGTCCCACTGCATAGCCTCGCGGGGCAATCCCATGTATTTGGACTCTCGCTTAGATCGCTGGATCCTTCTCTCAACACCCTCGCTGCTTGAGCCAGTCTTGGATTCCCACCAGCGACTGGGTGCCCGGCCCCTGGAGCTCATCTCATCATTACTCATACTGAGACTAGCAATCGGTGACAGACAAGGCTGATAATTGTTCCACCATGCGGAATCAGGTCGACTGGGTCGACTTGGGGGTATTTCCAACGTGGGCGCAGGCCTCACAGCCTTGTGGGATGATCCGGTAGGTTGGCTCTGAGGAATTTCGAAAAGCTTGCTACGCACATCCTCAATTCGAGGAGATCCAGAGTCAAAAACCTTGGCATATCGCTGACGCCGTATTTGAGACTCTGCTATGATGAACTCATTGAAAAGTCTCAGGCCTTCGGCCTCGTCCATGGCAGCGGCTTCTTCTTCGATAAATATCTTGTGCCTCTGTAGGGCATTCTGGATGAATTCTTTGTCCTCTTTGATAAGCGAATCCAGGGAAATCTGATGGGCTGTTTCCTGAGTGGGCAGCCGGCGCGGTGACAGCGGCTTAATCGTAGATATGCCATCATTGGGAAGATGCAGTATATGAGAAATCGGACGGGCTTCTGCTCCCCGGGACGGAGCCCGTGAACGTGACAGGGGGTCCTTGGCAGAATTCAGGGGTGGTGTTGGTAGGGCCTTGGGTGGTATCGCTTGAGCGGCTGCTGCCTTATGGTATCGAGAGGAGGAGTCTCCATTAGGGGAGAACGGAGGCGTATTCGCAAGCGCAGCCGAGGGTACGACAGGACTTTGTTCTGGCTTGGGAGTCGAGTAAGACGATGATCTATCAGAAAAAAGACCTCCAGAGGACGCCCGTGATCGGGAGGTAGTATGTTGCCCGTCTGAGCCAATACTCCTAGTACTTTGCGGCGTAAATTTTGAGGAGGTCTGGCGAGTATGATCGGGGCTACTCTTCGGCTCGGGGAGAACGAGGTTCGATGGCACGATATTCTCCAAAGCGTCAGCCCAGGGATTCCCACTGGTAGACGATACCGCGCTCATATCCTCGAAAACTTGGCTTTGCCGATTCCGACGTTCGATCCGCCTTTCACGAATACCTTTTGCACTGGGGTCTCGGATTGCCGGGCTGCGAAAAAGGCCGCTACCCCCACTGCCGGGGGTTTTTTGAGACAGTTGCAATTGGTCGTTTGAGTCCAGATTATCCACAAGATCTGGTGTTCTCATCGCCCTGTTAGTGTCGATGTATAGAGGCTCCTTGTCCCTGCCTGTCTCATGATTTATGTACTCTTCGTCTACCCAATCAGCCGGTGTTGGCGGGATGCTACCCAAACCAGTGCCCATTAGAGGTGGCGGGCGAGCTCTAGTCCGACCTGGACCTTGAGTTGTTCTTGCAGAAGATGACTCAGATGAGCCACTCACACTCACTGACCTCCCAGCGGGAGGCGGCCCTGGAGGCGGCGGTGGAAGGGGCATACCGGGCTCCCAACCGCTCGACGGTGACGGACCTCGCGATAAACTCGAAGGCCTCGAAGAGCTTGCACTACTCACAACGGCACCAGCAGAGGCAGCTCGCCGGGAGGCAGGCGGTCTCGTCGGCGCTTCCAATTGGCCTACATATGGTCCAGCGGTTGCATCGCTTCGCAAAGCCGGCGAGGGTAGGGGCTGCTCATAGGAGGACATTGAGATCCGAGACTGAGAATGGGAGGAAGCCGAGTTGAAAGGAGAGCCTTGGTACGGATTCAACCGATTTTGAGAATTGGACCTGGATCCCGAATTTCCTTGAGGAGGGGGCGGAGGGGGTAATGACTGTCGGTGTAGCTCTGCCTCACTGCCGTAAAGCATAGAAACAGGCCGAGGACGAGGGAGGGACCGTCGATGATAATCAGCGGTATTATCAAACTCGCTTGTTCTGTAGGACTGATGTGACTGCGCCGGCATTACGTTGGGAGTAATTGCAAGATTAGAGCTGGCTTGACCGTAGGAGTCCTGCGGTAACCGATTCTGGTTGTGTGGAGGTGAGTAGGGAGGAGGAGGTGGTGATATAGGCTCCTCTATGGCCATCTTGTTAATCTGGGAGAATTTCTTTCATTCTATCAAAGTAAAGGTACTAACCTGGAGGACCCCGCCGCTGCGGCGCAGTGCGATGCACATTATTTGGCTGAGAGTACGCAGTCTGGGCAGGAGCACCGCCAACGGGCCCCCAGTCCTGCGGGTTATACGGGACACTGTATTGTCTCGACGCCATCGAGGAGGAGGACGATGCCGATCTGCCGTTTGCAGGAGACGAGACAGCAGGAGACTGGCCCTGCGTGAATGGACTGGAAAGCGATGTGGACGACAAAGGGGTCGACGCGTGCTGAAAGTGCGAGCTGTTCAACGCGGTCGTTAACAGAGGCGGCTGCACTGCATGCTCTCGACGGTTCGGCGAAGGCTGATTCCTGAGGTTCGCAGTCGACGACCAACCGGAGTACTGGGAGTTCAACGGCTGCTCGTCGGCGGCATGACTGGCAGATAACCAGCTAGAAACAAAGGACGATTAGCACCGCGCGAATGCTCTAAAAGCGGCGTTGACAAGGGAGGAGAAAGAAAATACGGGGCTCAAGCGGAGCATCGTACCTATTCATACTGGCTTTAGCACCCGTCAAGAGACAGCCCGGACCGAAGCCATGGTCTCCACGCGTAGGCTCGAGGGATGAATCACAAACCCAACGCGATAAAAAGCTGATCCTCCGGTGTGATAGCAGCAAAGAATACGGAGTAGAAATCAGCCCCTCGCCTTGTTGCGCGGAGAACAGGGACAAAAAGCAAGCAACCCTAAGCCGCAGGGCCAATTAGTGTAGACCCAGACGACCGCACGATATCCACCGCATGGAAGAGGACTATATTTGGAACAGCAAAAGACCTTCGAAAGGGCCATGGCCGACGAGGGAAAGGACCCGCCGAAGCGGGGAAGGAATATGCAGCTTGGAGCGTGCCCATCACACGCGGACCCGTGCTCAGCGCTTATCGCCGCCGCTGAGAGGCCAGTGCTGCAGTCTCCGCATCCACGGGCCTTGCCAGGAGCGAACCAGCGTCGCGATCACGAAGTCTTGGGCACGCACCGCCTGATGGATACTGGCCCTGCAGGGATGGGTTGAAAATGTCCGCAAGGATTGGACCACCTATGTGGCATATGGGAGCCTCCACTTGGGCTACGAGTGAACAACGGTGAGGGACAGGGGGAGTTCTCGATAATAGCTCGTTGTATTTCAATGATTTGACTCCTAGCTACTGCAGACTAAATTGAAGACTGGAAAGCTTTTGCGACGCGACACGGCTCGGCCGAGGCACCGAGGTCTGGAGCGACAGCCGCTTATGGAAGACTCTGTTGCGAGGTCCAGTGGCTGGTCGATGTTAGTGTGATCCTAACAATGCAAAGCGACCAACGAAAACATTCTTTAAACGAAGGGGATCAGATTCAAGGCCCTGTCACAGGCGGTGGTCATCAATTTAAATTCCTTATGTTGACCGTCGTGATAAAAATTGTAAAAATCATCATGATAAAAAAGATCGCAGGGGGCAAACTCAACAAGAAAAAATAAACTCATCGAGACTCACCGGATGCAAAAGTGGGCTGCCAGCAGCATCTCCAGGGTTGGTGGAGCTGTACTGGCAAGGGTTCCTGTTCTTCAAGATCCATCAGCATCGAGGACTGACTGGACATGGCAGGAATAGACGAGGTTCAAGCGACTGATCAGTCATGACTTGTGTCGTCTTCGCCAGCGAGAAGCCAGCTTGGACATATGCTTGTCTTTGTTTGTGTCGTTTCATCACGAAAGAGTGCACAGGAGGGGAACAAGGTGTGGTGTGACATACACCTACGGTCAAACAAGGGCCGAAGCCAAGGACATTGTGGCCCACCAAGATCACTGCTCGCATGAATGTTAGCGACTGTTGTCAAATATTGACGATGCACGTATTCCACAAGAAACAGTGTCAGAAAGGCATGAATGGTATATAAAAGAATGTTGTCTGCATCGATAACTCGAATAAGACTCGTCATCTAGGGAATCATCACGAAAGATAGGGCAAGCAGAGGAAGAAACAGCAGACAGCATACCTGTGGTGGTACTATGTTTGCTACGAAATCGGTGGGAGCGCGTTACTGCTTGAGATGATTAGCGACTCGTTGCGGAAAGCATCGGTGAGTCGACGAATATCATCAGATGTGTCTCAGTGGGCGAGGTTTTCTAGGCCTGCCGCAAAAAGGGCATATCCATCAAGACCGGCCGTATTTATTACGACCGTCGGAGCCCAGTGCCATATCATCTTCGTGACGGGAAGGGGCTTGGTGAGATCAAGGACGGGCAACGGCTTACCATTCGGAGGGCCCAAAGCAGTACACCTAGTCTTTCCAACAGTTAGCTTATGATCCAGAAAGACAGTCTAGAGCAAAGAGGCAGAGTTGTGGTATGAATCAGTCAAGCCATTAATTGTCGTCAGTGATCCGAAGACCTTGGACGGTAATTTCCAGCGTATATAATACACAATGATCATCATAAAAAGGGCAGTCAAGGTGAAAATGAAAAAAACAAAGTGACTTACCATTTACAGATGGCATCTTGCACGTTGCAATTGTGTTCAAGTTAGTTCTAAATGAGGCAACATTAGCTCTCAGTCCACTCTTCACGACTTGGTGTGATCAATTCGAGCGAGCGACAAGGTATCAGCCTGACGTGCAATAACAGAAGTTTCATTCCCTTTGTGGGTCAAAGACTCTAGTTTGAATTTGGTTATGTGTATCATCATGTTGGGGGGTGGGCAGGTGGTGTGTGCAGAAAATCAACCGAGTAAATCACTTACCAAATTTTCCTGGCTCTATTAGGCGAGGGAGGTTAGTAGCCAAAGCAACGAAGCAGTAAACTGCCATTGCCATTCCATCTGAGAGATGGCAAGCTGAATCATCCTGGGCAAACCCATTTATTGCCATGAAGGAGATGGGCTGCACTTAGGGAAGAAAGAGAAAGAGCAAAAATAAAATCGATCTTTTTCAAGCTCAGTAGCGACGGAACTACGTTCCCCCGAGCCTAGCCGCCCTAGGTCTAGCCTGATAATGTGCCTCCGGAGCGGTCCACCCGGGCAGTAAACTGATTATGTCAGACTGTCATTACCCTTTTGGGCAGCAAGCCGTCACCTTACGGCTCGAAATCCCTCCCATCAAGAGCCTGAGCTTGAGGAATAGGGGTGAAGTAAGAGGTCTAGATTGGAGATTTCACCGCTCGGTCCTGGGCTCATGAACATTTAGATGGCAGAAGTAACTTCGACGTGGCTACTCCGAGAGGGTGGCTCTGACAACTAGCCATTTCTGATCAATTGATAAAATTACCCCCTTTGTCATAAAAATACTGGGGGGTTGCATAAGCCAAAGGGCGTCTGAGTGGGCAATAGTTTATATAATTGGCCCAAGGTATCTGTCTCCCTGTACGTGTATGGTCTCATCACGTTCAGGGAAGGAGGACGCAACAATTGACATAGCCTAACCCGATAGTTTTTCTATACAAGGTAAGTCTTGACTAGATAGTGTATGCTAGTTTGGGAACCGGTCAAAACATGAAGAACATCTTCTTCTCCACAGCCGGTGCATGATGTGCCATCTATTACAGACGAAGTGGTCCAGACTGACCGAGGCCGTGAGGAATGAGACGTGAAAAAGCATTCCTATGTATTGATAACTCTGCTAGAAATAATACATACAGGAGTCTCTTCCGGAGCCCAGGTCAATGCCATTGGCCCGACTTCAGCTTCTGCATTCTTCTCTGTCGCCATTTAATTCCATATCTTGTCATAAGCCACAGAATCGGCGACGAGGCGACCGAGATCAATGCCAACGTTGTGTATGCCCAGCCCCAGCCCATAGCAAGTCGCATAGGATTAATGGCAGCGGATGCGGCCGCTCCTAGCTCGCAGCGCATCAAATTATTAGCCGCAGTTGCCGCAGCTGACTGTCCTGGCCAGATATCAACCATCAACGCATTCAAGACCTGGGATGTGGCATTCAGTGACCATCCGCTGATGAACAAGAGGATAATTGGGGCCGCCAAATTGACTTTCCGGCCCATAACCCAGCCAAGGGAGACCATGACTACCGCGCTCAAGTAATACATGGGTATAGCAATCTCAAGCCTGGCTTTTTCGATGTTGAAGTTGCTAAGGTCTTGTCGCCTCTTCTTTACGACCGGCATCCCGGCACGCTTAGCGTGCCGGCGATAGTTCCAGTCGACGATTCGGCCGGTTACGAAGGCGGAAACAACTCCACCTGCACCCAGTGGGAGGTACATGAGTGCAGTCTGAATGTTGTTGAAGTGATAGACCTCGTGAAAGGTTGTAGTAGCTCCGGTCATGACAGCATAAAACCCGGCGTACATCAACCCTGTCGTAAGGAGAATTGCCCCCGTCTCTAAATCGGTCGCGACTTTCAGAGTTGGAATTGGAGAGGGGAAGCAGAAAGCAAAATTTTTTCGGGTCTCGGCGATTTCCTCCGGAGATACAGTCTCGCCCTTTTTCTCGCGCTTGCGATGACGAATTATATCGGAGATTGAAGTATGTGTCGATGGCGGCGGGATTGATCCATCTCCCACAACTTTTCGGCAGGTCTCAGGGAGAAAAAGCATAATGAGCAGAAAGAAAATGCCCGAAAAGATAAGTAGGAACCAGAAGATCCAGTGCCAGTCTAGAAACTGACTGATCAATCCACCAATCACAGGCGATAGGGAAGGACCTAGCATACTGCCAAGAGAAGCGAATGCAATATAAGACCCTCGCTCGGAAGACGTGATCATATCGCCTACTAACCCATTTGCGAGTGCCACTGTTCCACTGCTTCCAGCACTTTGGAGACACCGCAAGACCAGAAGGGCGGCATAGCTGTTTTGAAGACCAAGGCCGAGATTCGCAGCAAGGTAGATCGTAAAGCAGATCATGTATGCTGGACGCCTGCCTGCAGTATCGGAGAAGCCTGCAATCAGCATTGGCGCAATGCCCTGTAAAATCTAGAGATCCCGATTACATGGATTAGTGAGATTTTCGGCTAAACGACACCGGGTAACCTACTAAATATGTTGTGACTGTGAGATTCACTTTCGATATCGAAACACCCAGGGCATGTGCAATAGTATCAAGTGCGGGAAAGTAAATGCTCGATGACAAAGGTGAAAAGAAAGCCGCCAAAGAGCCAGTGGCGACAATTGCTCTTTTCTGGCTTACTGTGAAGACCGAAAAGTCGCGGGTATCGGTACCCGTTCCCTGGTCAAACTCGCTGCGCTCGTGAGCGAGTCTGCCATTCTGAGTAGTTGCAGGGTCCTCCTTACTCATAGTTCAAATCAAAAAAGAAACCAGTGATCAGAGAACGCTTTTCGAGCGAATGTGGGCTGGTGGACTTCTCGCAGGCGCGGAACCTTAAGCCATTTTAGGAAGCCGGCACCGGGATCCCGTCCCAGGATAGAGTAGGAGAAGGAGGTATGCGTTTTCGCTCTGATGCACAGACCCAAGCAATCTAGCTAGTATAATTAGCATGCCGGCAACGGAATAAAATCTCAGCCAGCATCATTAACCCCTACAATTTAGCCCACGCCGCTTTTGTAAGTGTTAAGAGATACGCCGAGCATCACTTTTGACATGCGACTGATATAATCGTGGTGTTCTCGTATCGTCGTCTGAATATACCACATCCTCTGCAAACATATTAAATCTACATTTCAGCACGCTGGTTGTGTTGTCAGGTGGTATATTTTTCCTGTTTTCCTTAACCTATACTGCAGTCTATATGAGATGCGATACTTCCTAGCGGGTCGGCCGTTAGCGGCATGTAAATCAGCCTCCGGGACCGGGATCGCATGGAGCAAACGGGGTAGGGGTCAAGGCAGCCTAGATCATGGTCAAAAACAAGCCACCCGGACGATGTTTCGATGAATGAATACTTACGACGACAAGAGAAAAAATAACTGTGACCGATTTGGTCCCGCAAATAGCCCATAACCTATTGACACAGCTTCGCTGAATCGGACGGTAAACAAAGACTATTTTAGTCTTGACTAGGACTGTAGCCCGGGAAAAGAAGCACCTAATTGTGGACAAGGTCAAGACAGTGATTGAGGATCAATATGTCAAGTACCAGGAGGCTTGACGGAATTCATTCTGAAACTAAGTAATAAGTAATCGTGGAGAAACTCGTCTGGATTGCTCTCGCAAAGCAGACCCGAGAGCAATCCAGATCATTCGTCGATCAGCCTTTTCCCTTTCCGCAAAATGGAAGATTCTCTCCAACCTGCTGAACTTCGGCGGGACCTTTGTGAATCAAGGAAGGGCCGAGGGTGACCCCTATATGGTCCAAATCCACCACCATTGTCCATAGCGCCCAAGCCTTCCAAGTCATCCCCAGGATAAAAAAGACGGACTGGTCTGTCTCGTAGGCGTCCATAATCTCCGCTTTCATGCTTGTCGGCAAGTCTTTAATTAGGCTTTTGAAGGCCTCAGTAACTTCGCGACCCTCACCATGAAGGGTTAGTCTCACTAAGAGATCTTTTGCGCTAAGATGTGGAGAAACGCGAGCTGGGATCCGGGAGGAAGAGAAAGTTGCGGAGCTGGCAGTATCCTGGAAAACGAGATTGATAGGCATAGTACCACCAAGAGTTCTAAGCACAGAACGTGGGGCATTTCGTGGCTTAAGTCGTTCGATCTCCTCGTACCAGTCCGCGGTTGTTATAGAAGGTTGGCCTTTGAGAGTCTGGACCGCATGGTACATTCGCTGAGTGAATGAGATTGTTTTTCTGGCTCGAGCTGTGTTATTGGAGTCACATGCAGCCAAAATCTGGGTCGTCTTTGAGATTCGCTGCCTTGTCGCCTCACCTGCAAAGCAGCAATCAAGAATCGCAAGGGTATCGACGCGCTGTACTACCTCCTCATACTCATCGAAGAGAGAATCGGAAACAAAACACCATTTAACGCGTTTTCCGCCGGAGGAGAAGAATAGCTTTCCGTCATGCATAGTACTATTTCCAGCGTAGTAGAACACGAACATGGTGTTTAGGGTCGCGTCGTGGCACTGGATTAGCATATCGCGGACCTTTTGAGAGAGAGACCATCCAGGGGAGGCATCTGTAAGGATATAGACCGTGCATTTAATACCAAATTGTTCCAATATGGTAATCATCGTTTGAGTGTTATCCTTAGCACCTGTGTTCTCATTCTCCCAGTAAACAAGGAGCGCTACTTTCTGTATGTAGACGTTTCCTCGAGCTATGGCTACCTTCTCGAGTTCTGCCTTTAAGGCTGGCAGTTTGCGAACTGGACCCAAGGGGAGCAAGATTGGGGCTAAGAGGGAGGGCGAGGTTGGAGACTGTGAAGAGGTCATTGCGCTGTAAAATGTTAGAATAAGTTAGATTAATATTATATGCGAAGTACTCACACAGGGAGTTGTAAGTAAGAGAGATGAGAGTTGACTATGAAGGTAAAGAGATAAGAGTTAAGATCCCTTTGAAGAGTAGAGTAAAGCGAAGAGGAAGTGAAAAGTAAAGCGAAAAGACTTAGGTTGCAAGGTATTGAACTAAGCCTAAGTCGGATAAAGGAGGAGTCTATTTCAAGTAAGGTAGGCTAAAAAAGTTTCAAATAAAGTTGGGTGATAGGAAGTAGAGTGGAGGAGAGTAGGAAGTTAGTAAAGGAAAAATAGATGTAGCTGGCTAAGGGTATTCATGTCTATCAGGGTAAAGCGCTGAGACACCCTTATTCCTAAAGAGGATGTTTTGGTATCTCTGCCTTGATTTAGTGCCTAATGTGTATTTACTACATGATCCTCTAATTATTCTATGTTTATTCTATATAGGCTGAGTCAATTTGGAAAATATTTGTCACATTTGGTCATAAAAGTTAAGCGACAACTCCTGATTCTGACTTGGTTCATGTATCATTGAGGATGTCTATGGTCCGTAACGTCAGTTAGGCTGGTGCTTAGTCCATAAATGTGTAAATTGGTTGATTAACCTTACCGATCCGTGCTAATGATCGTATCTTCTCTCTTCTCCAGCCCGCAGCAAGGTCCCCACTTTTCCTCCCAGAATGATTTGAATTTTCCCTTCAACCACCAATACGTATTCCCACACGTCCAATCCTTCCATATCCCATCCACTATGGCTATTATCACTCTCTCCAGGTAGATCATCACCTCTAATGAGCTCTGAATACATCACTGATTTCTGGAATAGCGTGGATGATTGCATCGCAGCCCTCCACGTTGTGGGTCTGAGGGTGTTCCGGTTCACACCCTGGTCTATGGATATCCCGGAGGGGCTCACTGCATTAAGCGAGAAATACCCAGACATCAAGTTCTACACATTCAGCACTGAGGACTTGACGGATGAAGAGGACGCTAATATTTTCTATGACTGCTTCGGATTCGGGGACGTTCCCAACGTCACAATCTGTAAAAGCGGCAAATGCGTCGAGATTATTGCAGGCGAAATGGAGAATATGGATGACTTGATCGAGACAACTGAAAGGATGATCCAAATTCATCACTAAATCCGCTGTTTGGGTATGAGTTTTTGGTCTGGTTTTGATTTAGATGTATCGGTGTTTCATAAACGGGCGTTTGCTTTCATCATGAACCTCATCCATGAACTGCCGATCGCCTTCTTTGGAAGTGTGTAGATCTACGTGGCGTGCGTACAGCAGGAGTAGGAGATACAAAGGGTCCCTCCTTCGATATGACGGAGAGGATTGCCGAGCTGGTGGTGACCCCGTGGAGGGGCTCATTCCACGCCTCTTATCCGGGGGTTCCCTGTCCGCCGTGGGATCTAATTCTAGGCAGGTCGATCACCCGAGCTAGTGGGTTTTTAGACAGCCATTGCATTCACGTCGGGGTAGATTCATTCTCTCGTCGTTTGCCTCGCATCAGGGAGCGCCAGCATCTCCCGCGACCCGGTTCGCCCAATTGCGTGTCCACGTGAAGAGAGCCAAATCGCACCGATGGACAATGGCTCATACCGCGTCCGCGATGCCACGGAAGGCACCTCTGATCGTATCGCACCGATCTACAGGGGGCCCGGCACCTGTCGCATATCCTTCGCTCGCAGCTCGCCTATCAACCGGGGCCCTTGGGATGACAATTCGACCTATTGTGTGCCGCGGTCTGGGCCCACCGTAGATCAAATCTCTACTCTGGGATTGGGTCTGCTCTGGCGATACGGGACTTCTCGACCACGCGCCATGCTGAAGCTCAGGTTCCCCAACCATTCCGGACCGAGAATTGGCCAATTGGTGGGGTTGGAGAAATGTCTCGCTTCCGAAATCTTCCTTCAAAAGTGGTGGTAGTCCCCATGAGATCGCGAGATACGTGAGACAAAGCGGAATCGATAGACCGGAGTCCCGAGTGCGACGCACACGAGGCCACAGTGGAGGGGTTTGTTTCTTCCGGGCCCCATGTTGTCCCGAAAGGGCCGAAGTATCGGCAGAAGAAGGGATCGGAGGGGTCGGGCATCTAGGCCAGCAGTATACAGGTCCCGGAAAGCGTCGAACACATGGCCAGCTTCAATTGCGATCGAAGGCGAACCTAAATAATCGGGACCAGGGCGATTGCAACGATGCAAGACGTCCACTCTGGTCGGCGAGCTCCATAGACATTCGGCCAGCCATGCTCCGTCGGCTTGTTGATGGACGGGCATTCTCGGCCCAGCCCAGCGTGAAGGAGAAAACCGGAGCGGGTCCCAGTCACGCGGGGAAGAAATGACGAAAACGGGCCCGCGGAGGTGAAGTCACTCGTTTCCCCCCGCGGCCGAAGGCGACTTGCGTCAGGGTACAAAATCTCCCCCTCTGCCCGGTTTACCTGCCCTCTCCCTGACGTTACTCGGTCCACCTCTCCATACTTGCCTTGCTCGAGCTTGCCACCGTTCGAGCCATTCGGCCCCCACCCACCTTATTTAACGCTTGACCCCCTCCAATTGAAGCCGAGGCTGTTCTTTGCTCTATCCTTCCGCGCCCGAGCCCGATCCCAAACCCTAAATACTGCCCCTCTTGCCCTCTCAAACCATCCCACCTACACCCGTTCCTCCCCCAAAGACAGAACAGAATCAGATTCAAAATGGCAGCAAACGGAAACGCACCTCCTGTCGGTCAGGAGAACATCAACACCGACATTGTCACCCTCTCCCGATTCTTCACCGAGGAGCAGACCAAGTACCCTGATGCTTCGGGTGACTTCACGCTCCTGTGCCACGCCCTCCAGTTCTCCTTCAAGTCAATCGCCTACTACATCCGTCGTGCCTCGCTGATCAACCTGACCGGTCTGGCCGGTTCCTCCAACACCACGGGCGACGACCAGAAGAAGCTAGACGTGATCGGCAATGACATCTTCATCTCCGCCATGCGCGGCTCCGGCAAGTGCCGCATCGTCGTGTCCGAAGAAGAGGAGGACGTGATCAGATTCGACGAGCACCCAGACGCCCGCTACGCTGTGGTCTGCGACCCCATCGATGGCTCCTCCAACCTGGACGCCGGTGTCTCCGTCGGCACCATCTTCGGCATCTTCCAGCTGCCCGACGAGGTCCTCGGCGCCGGCAAGACCGTCGGCCCCGAGCATCTGCTGCACCCGGGCACCTCGCTCGTGGCCTCCGGCTTCACCATGTACGGCGCCTCCGCCCAGCTGGTCATCACTATGCGCGGCGGCGGCGTCAACGGCTTCACCCTCGAGAACTCGCTGGGCGAGTTCATTTTGACCCACCCCAACATGAGACTTCCCGAGACTCGCGCCATCTACTCCGTCAACGAGGGCAACAGCATGTACTGGGACGACTGGTGCAACGCCTACTTCCACAGCCTCAAGTACCCCGGCGAGGGCCAGAAGCCCTACAGCGCCCGCTACATCGGCAGCATGGTCGCTGACGCCTACCGAACCCTGCTCTACGGCGGCATCTTCGCCTACCCGGCTGACAAGAAGAGCCCCAAGGGTAAGCTGCGCATCCTGTACGAGTGCGCGCCCATGGCCATGGTATTTGAGAATGCCGGCGGTCTCGCCGTCAACTCGCGCATGGAGCGCCTGATGGAGGTTCGCCCCGAGCACATCCACGACCGCAGCGGTGTCTTCCTCGGCTCCAAGGGCGAGGTCCAGAAGGTCATCGACATGTACAACAAGCACCACAACTAAACGCACCTCCTTGTTTTTCGTGTGCCCGTTTGATTCCTCAACACGTGGACCTGATTTGATATCCCTCCCCCCGGCGACGTGGGTGCCACTTCATGCAGCTCAGCCTCATACTTCTGAACCGCTTTATTTCATGATTCCACGCCCTTCTCCATTTTCACCCCCGTGCTGAGCTGGCAGTCCTTGTGTTATGGTTTCACGAGTGATGACCCGTCAGCGTTTTCCGATGCTCTCCCATGCCAGAATCGGTATGAAGTGAAAATAGTTGTGAAGTTAATTAAAAAAAAATTATTAAAATACCTCCTTTCCCTCGTAGAATGGATGGCGGCATTTCTTACTATTAGGTCGAAGATCACCCCCCCCCCCCCAATTTCATCTTCTGAACGCCCATCCTGATATCCGATCGTATCAGAGGTACCACCGAGCTACGTGCTACCGTGGATTTAAAAGGGTTGAGAATATATGTATTCTAGGCCGGCGTACAGTACATGAGACAAAGGAAGAAAAACCCTGAATGAAGGATAAATCCCGTAGGGATGCTAGTAGAGCAGATGTGGCGAAGAGAATGAAAGCTAGAAATGCAAGACCAACCGTTCCAAGTCTAGTCCACAGGATCTTCCTCCAGGAGGGTCTTGAAGCTGAACGGCAAGAAGGGAATACCCTCGCCCATGAAATGCTTGCTCATCGCCTCCACCCAGTGTAGACGAAGCGAGTGAAGCACTTTATCCTCATTAGCATGCATCCCAAGCGATTGGAAGGGGGTTGTGAAAAAGGGGACTACTTACTGGCTGATACTCCTTCCATAGTCACGAGCACCGCAACGCTCAAAACCAGGAACATATAGGTACAGATCACAATCATAATCACACGGACGATGTGGTTCTCCTGTCCGAAGGCGGTACCGATTGTCATATCCCAAAGGACGATGGAAAGCTGCTGGTGAGCCAGAGACAGCGCCCAAAGACGGAGGTAGGAAGCGGTGTGCGAGATACAGTTCAAGCAGAACTCGATGGTGTGGATGATTTGATGGATCATGACATCGCTGAAGTCGAACTCCTCGTGCTCCTCACCCTCGTTGATGTCCTGAGCAAGCATGGCGACGCCCTCGCCATCACTGGCCATGCTGTCGCGAGCACCCAACCCGCCGTTCAGGTCCCCGTCATCCTCCAAAGCACTGACACGGGACTGCTCGCCTAGGCCCCGGTAACCCAGGGCGCGGGCACGGTTGTGCTCATAACGCAGCCAGAAGGGCTTGAGGAAGAGCATGATGGGGACCTGGGTGACCGCGATGAGGAGCAGCAGGACCTGAACAGTGCCCTGGTGGGAGTATAGTTTCTCCTGGATGTTGCCCGGGCTCAAGAACATGAAAATAAGCATGTTCAGCAGACTTGGAGGGTCCTCACCGCGGGCCGGCCAGTTCACGATCCACTTATACAAAATAGTGAGGGCCAGATAGCCGAAGATAGACTGGAAGAACAGCATTCCGGGGATGAAGTTGCCAAAGATGTCGACCTTGGACTTGAAGTGCCGTGCGTTAACGAGCTGGTGGACCAGTGCGTAAGTCATGTGGGACCAGCCGAGCAGGATACTCATCTTCATCTTCATACTGTTGGAGAAGAGCAAGGAGTTCTCCGCCTCGTGCCAATTCCAATCCAATCCAATGGGGAAACGATAGCCGTCTTTCAGTGTGGCCTCGACAGACTGGCCAGCCTTGATGTCTTCGGGCCACTGCCATTGACTGGGGAAGATGGTGAAAGCTTTGGAGAAAATATCGTTGTAGATGATACCAGTGTAGATGGAGAAGAGACCCATCAGAAGCATGATGTAACGGCCATAGAAAGCCATGTATGTCAGCTCGTCAAGCTTAGTGCGATGCAGCTTCTTTTCCCAGAAGATCATTGCAGATGCCGCCATAGCCATAATGGAACCGTGACCAACATCGCCGAACATGACAGCGAACAAGAAGGGGAAGGTGACGATTGTGTACAAGCCAGGGTTGACCTCCATATACTTCGGAATACCATAGGAATTGATGATAGTCTGGAACGCTTCCGTGAACTTGTTAGTCCGAACGTAGGTGGGTGGGGTTTTATTGGTCCGGATCTGGTTGACGATAGTAGGCACAGAGAGACCGGCTCGATCGTTGACATCCTGCAAGGTCGATTTGATGAGAGAGAGGGAATTCGTGGGGCACCACGCCTCCGCGATCAACGTCTTGCGTGCCTGGTCATAAGAGAACCTGTTCAGCGTATCGTAAACAGCCTTCTCTTTCTTGACAATGATCATCCAGGCCGCGAGAGAACGGGCGATCTGCGAGAGTTCCGCATCCAGAGTATTCTTGGTATTGCGCAGCACATTGCCCACATCACCCAATCGTGTGTTGACCTCGTGGATCTGATCCCGTCTCAGCTCGCTGTTCTCGTCCACTCCGTACAAGGAAGCACCCAGCGACTCCGAGATCTTGCGAATCTTGGCGAGAATGTTCTTGCCGTGCGCGAAAATCACAAACACGTTCTTGTGGATTTCCTCGTTGTTGGTAGGGTCGATGATAACCTCGGGGATCTCCGATTGATTCATGTAGAGATTGCCGCGCAGCGTTCGCCAGAGGATGCGTTCAAAGGCTCCGATGCGGTCCCGGGGAATGACACCGGCAACAAAGCCAATGTTCATCTCCGAGAAGCTTTGCTGGCCCTGAGTGTCCCCAGTTGTGCCGGCGGGGGCATGCTGCTCGACGTCGCGAAGAAGGGGCGCCTCGTCATTATCGAAGGATTGACGGATGTCTTCGGTGTGGGTGTGAGCCTTTGTTTTTGTAATCAGTTTTTATTCTTCCAAATTTGTTCATCAGGTTCCATACTGACCCGATCGAAGAATCCGCCCGCCTCTCGAAGAACCCAGCGCCACTCGCTAAGCTCAACCTCACGCTTCTTCAAAGTCTCATAACTGTCATTGAGAGAGGCAATCCGCTGTTCGAGGCTCTCGCTGCGCTCGGCCAGCTCATCAATTTCCGAAGCCAGAGGAGCAGCCAGAGTGTCCGAGAATTCAGAAGATGATCTCATGGGGATGGAAGCCTTCTCCATCTGCGAGTGGAAGTAGCCTAACATCGAGAAAATATAGATTAGCATTCCATCATTTATGTTATCATGGTCTGTGGAAAGCGAAGTTCTATGGACATACGGAGCTGTCTTTCGACATTATCGAGGCGGCGAATCTCCTTAGTGAACGTCCGTTGGAAAGCGTTGGTCTCGGGGTTAAGCTAGAAGCAAACACGGATCAGCCGGGGTTCATCACTACCACATTTTGGGATTTCAGTGCTAGCACCTATTTGCAACGTACATCTCTGAACTGGACCTGGCCAATCTCACCCAGGGCACTCACGACCTCTCTTCCGATTTCATTTGCAATGTAGAGCTGGGTCAGGCTCATCTCCGACGAGCGGAAGAAGGTGTCCTGCGGAGCCATGGTGGTCAGGAGGCTGCGTGGAGCCGGGCCTTTCCACCAGGGATGTTGCAGTAAAAGAGAAAGGGGAGGAAAAAGGACCTGTGGGGGGTAAAGGAGGGACACAGATGATGGCGTGGACGTTCCGAGTTCCCCAGCGGCAGCTCCTCCCGTCAGGGCGAGCTGGCCGTGTTGCACGTGATATCACGTGGAGTTGGCTCCACGCATCGAGAACGGGTCTTGCTTGGACAACAATCAAGGTATTTGGTTGCATAATCAGGACATCTTGTGATTATGGCTATAAAGTTCTCCTTTGTGCTATCTGGCCAACACTATCATTGAATCGACACTTCGAATTTACTGTATCTGCACTAGTATGAATATTGTCTGCCATACTGATGCCTGAAGATGATATATATGTTGACGAAGAGAGGGTTGGTACTCAAGGTAAAGAACCTGGCTGCGGATGACGCTTCACTACGATCGGGAAGAAGAGGGCAGAGGGCATACATACCTTTCCGTTAACGGCACGCCCGCCATGGTAGCTCAGAAAGAAGCAACCTTATTATTATAACCCATGACATGATCTCGCTCATCTCTTGAAAAATCGCAGATAGTGAGCAACTTTTTATGAACATTATGACTAGTTTCTCCGTTTAGGAAAGGAAGAGTGGCACGCCAAGATGTTCTGCCTATTGCTGGGTCGCTTGTTCCTTCCCGCCTCGCAGATAATTAAAGCAATACGTTGTCCCTTGTGTCTCGATCGCTCTCCAGTGATAACGTTGCCCACGAGCGAGCATGGGCTTGAACGCTGGCCCCGCTCCAGATCACCGACATCAAATTCTTGCGTATAAACCCATAGCCATAGCATGCCGGGAATGGGCCTGGGCGTGATTGTAATATTCCTTTATCACTTCCTGTGTCTGTTGTTCCCAGTTGAACAGGAGGTATTTCTTTCTGTCGTGTTATATAGGCGTTCTTCCGCGGGAGATAGAACATAGGGATATGTGCAAGAGCACGCAGTTTTTCACCAAGATGGTGGAGAATAGGTTTTCGGCAGTGATGGCGGTTCTCTTCATGTTAAGGCTTTCGACGTGGGGGCGCTCTGTGAGAAATTCTGAAGAGGCTTGCCTCAGTGGTGTAGATACCGCCGAAAGTGCAACGTTGGGGTGTAGATGTAGAAGCAATGAGAGAGTTCAGTCAGGGTCGGAGGGGGTTTATCGCCCCGACTGCGGAGAGATGTACAGCATTGTGATTGCAGTGGATCTCGATGTCTAAGAGTCCTGTGGTTCTTCTAACCCAAATAATGCCACCACATCCCCTTCCATGGGAGTCTCCTTGAGGATCTTGAACCCGTTCCTCTGCAATACCTTTATACTTCCAATGTTCGCCTTATTGCAGGCAGCGAACAACGTCTCTGTTTCTCTTAAATCCTCAAATTTTTTCCTCTCGAGCTTCCACCATGCATCTACCACCCCGCCTACCGCCTCGCTGACGTATCCTCTGCCCCAAAATTCCGGATGAATGCCATATCCAATGGATGGGGCCGGGACAAGGGCATTAATGCCGATCACGCCAATCACCTTCTGTGCTGGGTCGACCGCACTGATGATAGCGAAGTAGAACTGCCGTCCAAGAGCACCTGATGCGTCGGGGGTTTGGAAAACTTTGCCGGCAACTATGGCCTCTGTTTCTCGGACGTGTTTATGGGGGATCTTGGGCCATCTGGGTTTTATGAAATTAGCATGCGATGGCCTCTCTGTCTAGTGTATTCTGTGTATCCTGCCATGCTCTGATAGAGTGGATCTTACAACCAGTCAGCCACATCCTGCCGTCGTCGAAATTCAAACATTTCCGTAGCATCCTTCAGCTCCAGACTGCGGAGGTAAAGATTTTTGGTCCGTATAGGCTCCACCGTAGCAGGGATAACCACTCTAGTGGTTTGCTCGGGATAGAACGAGGCTTTGGTGGCCTGAAGATCTGCTGTCATTGTGGTGATTTCGGCCTGCTAATCGATCTCCCCCGGGACTATCGGTCTATATATGCTCGGTTGGTCGCTAGGGCTTATCGAGAGCCCATATCCTTTGAACGTACACCAGATATCAGTTGAGTCACGCTATTGGCGAGATGGGTTCATCTCAGCCTCGTGGCTTGGTCAGCCTTGCATAGGGTCGCATCGGGTGGCCGGACGGTTGACTCACGCCTTGGTAGATGCCCCGCTTTGTCCAACCAGATAGGAAAGCCCCTGCACGTAACTATAATCTCGTAATGAGCATACATAAATCCATAATTTCCCTCATCGAATATTTACCATCCATACCCACTAGAGCTACCCGAATCATCCATCTCAGTGGACAAATGCATCCATTTTGGTAAACTCCAATGACCAGGACTGACTCCGAGAGAATTACATACCCTCAACTCCGCACGACCTCAAGCGTCCCTTGACAAGTAATACTGACAAATATGACAGACCCTACAATAACAGGGTTTGATCTGGAACTCTGCTCGGGCTTCTGGCGGTTGGTCAAAACTTGGTCAAATAAGACCATCCAGCAAAAATCTAGAGAGTCCAATCTCAACATGGGGATTGAATGCTTCCCCTTTGAATCAAATATGCAATGAGTGTGTACCGCCTTGTCTAGATAGATCAATCTGAATGCGATTGAAAGATGGTCCTCAAGTGACGGGTTGATGCCCATTAGGGACCCAAGTGTCCAAATTTCTTTTGTCGCTCTCGATCCATGAGATCTACTACTCCATAATGAGCTTTAAATTCCGTCTGCGTATTATGAGACCTGTCGAATCTGTTCCTCACAGAACTCGAGGTCTCATAGGCACAGAATATCATCCTTGGAAGCCTTGGTCTCAAGGCGATCTTTCCCTGTATTTTCGCCCTCTGCGCTATCATCTTGCACGTATGGGTCTCCAAGCGTAGAATTGTGAAGACAATCGACCCGACTCTCTGCCTAACGTCGATGCGTATCTCGCTCTATCTCTGCGGCCTTTTCGTCACTATCGAAAACATCCATCGACTTATCGAATGCCAGAGTGGAGAATCTGGATGCTTCCAAGATCATCAATGGCCCTCTGACGTCCTGGAGGTCGTTCTCATGGCTATTTTAGTGATGATCACCCGCTTGATAGTATTTTGCCAACTCAAAGCTAGACCCACGGGTTCTTATTCTTGAGCCTTCGCTATGAAAAGGCTCAATCATCTTTGCCATGCTCAGATGAAATACAGGAATATCATCCATATACGGGACGCGGGCATTGCTCTACCTAGCGCCTTGCATCCTCGTGGGTTTCTTCTTTGTTTGTTGCCGGAAATTCAATATAGATCAGCTCGGGATTTCATTAATTTTTCAACGTTATGCCTTCAAGTGGTGGCATTTTAGCATTTTGCGCCGTGGAGCCTCCTATTTGTACATGATTATAGTTTCACTTAGACAATATAGCTAGATTCCCGGGGTCAACCGTCCGGCGGGAATCTTCCCATAGGAATCAAACGCGAGGAGTCAACCCTCAGACGAGAAAACTTGATGTAAAATCAGGTGTAAAGTTGGTTCCCGAACCATTATCACACAAGACCACACGTCGACAGTCGCGTCTTACATCAACGGTAAGAGAGGAGAAGCGGATGAGAGCAAGATCGCCGCAGAAGAAAAGCCCAAGGATTCCACCCAGAATTCATGGAATCCGACCAGTTTACGCGCCGCCTTCCCTCTTCGCATACTCCTCCTCCATGCGCTCCTCATATAGACGATCCGCCTCCTCTTTGCTCAGCTGCCGATCGCTCCCGGCATTTTGTGAAGCCGAGGCGCCGCCGGAGCTGGCTTCACGGTGAGGGGCACGGCCGTCCAAGGCAGCGAAGGAATCGAGAGAGGTTGTGCCGGCAGAGCCTGTGGTGACAGCGTTGGTGGACTGGGATTCCTTGTCCTGAAAATCGGCGGTCGGGATAGGCATAGTTGTGGTAGGTGTGGAGGGGGAGGCAGTGGGGTATTGTGAAGGTTAACGAATCATGGGAGAAGTCGAGGACGTTGCGTCGAGGGCGTGAAGCGGGTTAAGTATTGTTGTTGTTGGTGGCTGGAGTCGCTGTGCTTGGAGCTGCGGCGTTGCCGCCACGGCTGTGGCGAGAGCTTGCGGCAGACGTCATGGCCAACTCAGGCGACATTGCGGGTCGCCATGCCTCAACAGAAGTTTATTTGGGGATGTTTTGATCTGCTAATAATAGTAGGGATTGTAATATTTAGATCAAGGAAAATGGATGGTCTTTTGACATCATGTCTTGACCTAGGAATATTGAATATTGGAAAGGCTTGTTGAACCACTAATGACGTCGCTACAGCAATAGCTAATGTACCTAATATGATACGGCGGTCTAAAGAGCCATATCAATCAGTCAATCGCTCCCCTCCCGCTAAAAGCTATATGTTCAATGAATTCTAAAAGGTGAAAAACGCGGAGCAAAAAGAAGGAAAAGTAAAGGAAAAGAGCGTGCCATTCATGATAGGTCCCCGGGTCTAGGATTATTCTATGTACTACCTACTCTGCACTGAGAGCAAGGCATGCGTCGACGGCAAGTCCGACTCTGTAGAATTATGTTAGTATATAGTGCTGGAAACACAGACAGGGTAACTCTTGACAGGGACAACTAACCTCCCCTCCTTCTGCTTGACCACGTCATCGATAAGATCGCGGTCCAGATTCGGGAACATGTTCGAAAGTGTTTCGACGACGTTATTATGCTCAGCATGCTGGATACGCTGTGCCTCTGCTTCTTCAGCGCTAGCCTGGCGGGCAGCTGCGTCCTGGGCATCGAGCACGCGGCTCAGCTTCTTCTGTGCTCCGCCGGTCTTTTCTCGTGGTGGGACCGGGCGCTCGTCGCCGGAACGGCGCCCCTCACTACTTGCGCGAGGAGGCTGGTAGACGTCTGGCGTGAGGCGGGGGGGCACAATACCTGGTTGTGGTGTTGCGGCGGGCTGGAGCGGACGGTCTTGCGGGACAACAGGGCTCAAGTCGGTGTCGTCAGAGAAAATGCGACCGATGGTGGAGAGAGGTTTTTGGATTGTGCGCAGGAGGCCGGCTACGGGTGCAGGGGTGTCGTCGTCGCTGGTTTGGGAGGCATCCCTCCGACTCGGTCCGGTCTGTGATTGGGCCGGGCCACCGGGGGTAGTGGGACGATGCAGAGGCTTCTCAGCTAGAGATTCAGATTCGCGGTTTTGTTCAGCGATGGCGGAGACGGCCGCCTCCACATTGCGCTCGAAATCTTGGTCGCTAACCGTGAGACTAGTGCGGTCCAGGGTCTCGATGAATTGGATGGCTCCGGTCTGGCTGAGGGTTAGCAGGCTGAGGAGGAATATTGGATTGAGAATGAAACATACTAATGAAGATAGGTAGTAGCCTGCTTCGCCCCCGAGCTTTTCTTGGTTGCGGAAACGCAGGATATATTGAATGTTAGAAACGAGGTGATCCGGGTTTGCATGCAGTACCACGTAGATCAGCAGTGGGATGAATGCATCGGCGGAAGTATCGGCTTTTCTGCTGTTCCTCAGAAGACCAAAGATCACTTTGCAGCAATTCAAGATGCAGATGACCTTATCTCGAGGAGCCCGGTAGCCATTAATCTTCAACAACTCTGGACTTTAAGTTAGCATTTGGCGTAGGTATATAATAAGATGCAAAGATATACCTTGCTGCGCCAAACTCAAAAACCGTCGCCCGCCACCACTAACAGGGGCAATATCTAAATGCTCCTCACTGACCCAGCTGTAAATGCGAATCTTTTGCGCCAAAATATCATCACGCTCAATATCCTCTTGATGCTGGCCACGTCGCCATGGCCCATGAAGCCTTTCGATCTCTCTCCTTCGGCTGCGGCTTACACTTCTCGGAATTGTCGGGGGCGCCGGGATCGCAGGCGAAAAGGTTTGGGAATAAAGGCGGTTCATAACCAGCTTCTCCATCCCTTCCTTCGCATTATCAAACTCGGCGTCTGACACGTCACGCCACACCTCACACATCGCCATTTTATTTGTGATAAAAGCCAAGAAATCGCTAATGATCTTGACTTGCTCGTGGGCCATCCATTGCTTCTTTGCAAACTCCGTGAGGAACGAGCGGAGGAACTTCGCCACTGGATCGGCAGTTCGGTGACGCAGCTGCTCTAAAAACCTGTGGAAATCGAACGGCTGATTGGGTTCAGGTTCAGGTGGGGGTGGGACTGTTGAGGCTGATGATTGTCGGGTCAGGGTAGGCTCTTCGGGGACGGCGGAGGGTCTGCGAGCTGGCACAGCTGGGCCAACATGCGATGCGGCACTTGATGGACCAGAAATGGGGGGTTGTACTGGATCGAGGCTCGACCGGCGAGGCGGAAAGTAGTGTTGCGCACTGCGGAACTGCTCAGCCAGCTCTAGTCGAGGTGACATTATCTCCTGTTGGCCAGTGGTTCGCGCAGGGTCCTGAAACTGGCCCATGATATTCTGTATCTCCGGCTGGGAATCATTGTCGTCTCGAGAACCTCCATTATCTCGAATAGCTTGCTTCGTTTCTGGGTCGCTATCGCCGGGAACGTCTGGCAGTTCCTTCTCGGAGCCTGGTCCGGAGTTAGGCGCGCTAGCTTGCTGGAGGGCGGTGGCAGGGATAGTCGAGTTCGAGTTAAGGTATGAATCGTCTTTCTCGGGCGGCGGGGGTGGAGGAAGGGTATTGGTTGTGGAGGACAGTCCAGATTCAGGCACTTTCACTGACAGGGACAGCGCTTCGACCTGTCCCGCTAGCAGGTCCGGTTGAGACGGGGCAGCTACTAGATGTTGAGAGGCTTCCGCTGTGTCGGTCTGAACATCGGTCGATTCTGCGGATGGCTGCGACCCCGCCTGTGCTTCGGTGCTCATCACGGTTTGTTGGGAGCCCACGTCCGAGGGATCCTGCTGCGTTTTGGAGAGGTTGGTTGGGGGCCTTGGGCTCTCGGGCTCCTCAAGCGTGGGCTGGTCACCCCCTTTCCCGGGAGCCACAAAGGGCGAGGATTCGGTGGCCGACATGAGCTATATCAGCATGCAGGCCACGGAGAATAGGCTCAGGGTAATCACGACGAGGGATGTAGGGAGTCTTGAGGCTCGCATGTTGATAGGCGGATCATTGGTTCAGCCGAGGCCGCCGAAGCACGAGGTTATTTCCATTATTTTACAGCGGCAGCTGGGAGGTATAGAAGACTCAGTTCAATAAAAATTGATATGATAAAATGTAGTAATCTTAAAATATTAGCAGGATCATAGTTCCCAGCCTAGTATTTACGCAGCTCAACTGTTTCTACCTACTAGCACCTCTTGGGAACTGCGGGCTGCCCCGCGGAACCAATGGAGATGACTAATATTGGAGCCTCAGGCCATAATCATTGGCATGAAAACACCCAAATCGAATCGCAACCCCAGACACGCCTCCATTGCTCTCGTCCCCCCTATCATGTGTGGGATTTTTTTTCCTTGTCAACAAGGCCCATATCACCAACCTCAGAAACAAGTACTCTGCTGCAGAATCGCGGCCCAGATAGCTGCCAGACGCACGTGGTCCAGAGGGAGGACCAGGCAAAAGATGGAGTGTCTGTGCCCCTAATCCAGCATCTCACATTCATATCGACAGTGCTATCACTGCGTGGTAACCATGTTTACCGGCAGCCACTTGTAGATCCGGCGACCCAGTCTGTGCTCTGCTGGAATGGGGAGGCCTGGAAGATTGCTAATGAGCTGGTGTCTGGCAATGATACAGAGCATGTCTTTGATTTATTCCTGAGCTCTGCGAACAGCAATGCCCACCAGGCCATTGGACGAATGGCTGGTGCTGTTGCAAGCATCTCTGGCCCATTCGCATTTGTCTTCTATGACGCGGTGCATGCACGACTGTTCTATTCCAGAGATTGCCTGGGCCGGAGGTCGCTCCTACAAGGCGTGGATGAAGATGGAAGTCTGAAGATCTGCAGTTTGTGTGATGGCTCCTCTTCCACACACTTTCAGGAAGTTGGCTGTGAAGGCGTTTACATGATTGATCTCAAGGCACAGCGAGGTCCATCTGTTGACTCTACAGAAGCATATAAGATAACCATTTTGCCTTGGAGTTCTGACCCTCTACCCAAAGCAGGCCATATTGTGAGTCTGCAATCATGCCAATACAAATGCAAGATATTGTTGGCTGACCCATATTTAAAGAAGAACCCAATTCCACCAATGAACATGTCAGTCCCGCAGGAACAGCCTCCTCTGCTCGGACTAGAGACACCCTTTGTCCAGGAGCTCCAATCTAGACTCCATCAATCTCTCGCCCTCAGAATCAAGAATGTGCCTGAACCACCGGGCTACATCCAAGGCCAAAGCGCCAAAATCGCAGTTCTCTTCTCCGGCGGCCTGGACTGCAGTCTCCTCGCCCGCCTCTCCCACGACATCCTCCCCGTCAATGAACCCATCGACCTCCTCAACGTCGCATTTGAAAACCCCCGAGTCGCAGCCGCAGCAGTAGCAAACCTCAAACAACGAAACTCATCCTCGACCCCTCCTTCCCTACCCGAACCTACCTCTATCTACGAAGCATGCCCTGACCGCATCACCGGCCGCTCCGCGCACGCCGAGCTCCAAAGAAGGTGTCCAGGCCGGACATGGCGCTTCGTCGCCATCGACGTCCCCTACACCGAAACGCTCGCACATCGTGACTCCGTTAAGCGCCTCATGAGACCACACAACACGGAGATGGACCTCTCTATCGCATGCGCACTGTACTTCGCGTCCCGCGGCCAAGGCACCATCTCTGCCTCCTCCTATATCACCACGGCCCGCGTCCTTCTCTCCGGCCTCGGTGCAGACGAGCTTTTCGCCGGCTACGGCCGCCACGGGGTGGCCTTTGCCCGTGCCGGGTTCCCGGGCCTCGTCTCCGAGATCCATCTAGATGTGAGCCGGCTTGGGCAGCGCAACCTCGGCCGCGACGACCGCGTGCTGTCGCACTGGGGTCGGGAGACGCGGTTCCCATACCTGGACGAGGATTTCGTCGGGTGGGTGTTGCGCGCGCCGGTGTGGGAGAAGTGCGGGTTCGGGCTTGCGGTGCCGGAGAGCGAGGCTGAAGCGCAGACTCTTGCGGGCGTTGATGCGGAGAAGATGGCGCTTCGGCTTGTTGCGCTTCGGCTGGGGTTAGGGTCTATCGCACGCGAGAAGAAGAGGGCTATCCAGTTCGGGGCGCGGACGGCGAAGATGGAGAAGGGGAAGACGAAGGGGACTGATGCGTTGAGTTGATTTGCTCTCCTTTATCTTTCCATTACCTACATCGATATTTTTCCTCCCTTTCCCACGGCACTACTACCTCCCTTCTCTCCGCCGAATACGCACTTCTCGGGCCACGCAATCCAGCGATGATGACACAACATGGATTCAGATACTTCCGAAACCACACCCCACCCCTGGCCCTCTTCTACTCCCTACTACTTTTGTCCCTGGGGGCCCTCCACCCGCGCCGTTCAACCCAGGCAAGTCGCTCCCCTGCTCTCTCATGCCCTCCACACTTCTTCAGCAACCGCAGTCCTCGACGGCGTGTAGCTCGCAGATGTGATGGGGGTATGGGATGCAATTGGTGCTGACCTTCCTGGCGAGGCGCCACGGATAGAAATATGTGGAGGGGGAGAATGGCGGCTGGTGGAGGGATGTGGTTGATGAGGCGCATAAAAGGCAAGTCTGAGCTGGATACTAACTGCGTGTGCCTCCATTCACACGTACACATGCCAAAGTAGAAATAGCAGCGGGTGCCAATCGGCAGTCAGCCTCCGTAGGTGGGAGATGGACATCAAACAAGGTTTACTTGAGATCAAAGAAACTACAGACTATCGCCATGGAGAATGCAGGTACTTGCCCCACGCACCAAACCCGCTCATCCTAGGAATGATCTTCTTGATTGGGAACCTATTTGGGGTAACTTTGGGTATGTTTGTGGTTAGCATATAGACTCCTTATGTTACCTCGCTGTAAAGAATAGTGAGGGCTCTATAAACACAATGAACACCATATCAGGAAACACCATATCAGGAAGAAAGTTATTAGACTGCTCAACCAGACCGTGACCTCGAAGCTATCACTCGTAGCGAGGGGAGTTAGGTGCGCACTTCGCCGTAGCAGCAACCGACGTCAACGTAGAGAAGCTCAAACAAACTCAAGACGTAAGGGCCAATCCCCAGAACAGCAGGGGCCAAGCTACTTTCTACGAGGTCCAATAATTGGGTTGCGATAGCGTAAAATTCAATTATTAAAAGGACAAAGCCTAAGACAAAAAAAAGCAAGAGCCACGAGTCAATCCCACAGAGGGAGACAATCAGAACCGGCTGTAGAGAATCCGAATAAGACCCTCCAAAGAACAAACAAGAACAGAAAAGTGACAAGATATGCAAGACGTCAAAGTCATGTCAAAACTTTTGAGAGAAGGCAGAGATAAGCTCCACGCATCTCGGTGAGACGTCAGGGTTAGATGGCTTGACCCATCACCCGCGCCCACCACAGCAGAACCAGTTTCACAAATACCACGCAATTAGGGTAGAAACAGAAATACCAAAAATCATGTCAAGTCGATTCAAAAACCAAGAAAAGATCAGAGCAAGATCCTTCAAGCGAACTGCTTGTGCGCCTCAAGCTGAGCCTGCAGGTGAGCGATCAGCTCATCACGCTCGGCGAGCTGACGCTGCAGATCAGCGATGCGCGTTTCCGCATTAGTCTGACGCTCAAGCTTCTTGGCACGCGACTTGCGAGCGGCCTCAGTGTTGCGTGCACGCTTGGCAGCGATAGGGTCACTGGGATCGAACGCAATGGGGGAGAGCTCCTTGCGCTGGCGAGAGATGCCGGAGACGCTGGAGTGCCTGGTGGTGCCGGTGGCCGAGATGGGCGAGGAGATGGACTTGGCGGCAGCCATGCGCTTGGGCGTCATGGAAACGGCAGCCTGCGCGATGTCCTGCTTCTCAGGCTCGCCCAGAGCGGCAGCCAGGTCGAAATTGTCGAAGACATTCGTGGCAGAAGCATCGTGGAAGAGAGGGGCCACTCCTCCTGCTGATTCAGCAGGTCTATGTCGGTGAAGAGCGGGGACGTGTTCTGGCTGAAGGCTGCGGGAGAATCGAAGGGAGGAGTGCTCAGATCAGTGAAGGTGCCCGATGGCGGCACGGAACTGCCGTCGAACATGAGGTCCTTCGGCGAGACGGTGCCCTGGGGCGCGACAGGTGAGAAAATATCGGCATCGGAGTCCAGCGGAAGCTGGCCGAGGCCGAGGGGCGAACCCATGCCGGCGGTGAGACCGGCCGAGGGCAGGCCAAAGAGCTCAGCGTCGTGATCTGGAGCAAATGTGTGAGTGGGGGGTGGAAAGGAAATGGCGGGAGCGTGGAAGGATTACCTTGGAAGTTGGGAGTCGACATATTGCGGCGGGAAGCCTGTATATTTTGGCTCTTGTGCGTGGAAGGAAACTGGGGAACAGGTGGACGGTTGTGAGGTGACAGTGAAGGCACGGACGCGGCGTGAGGTCGCGGGGAGTGCGTGGTTGAATTGGGATGAGACCAGTAGGAAGGAGACCGGGCAAGCTTGGTCACTCTGGGGTCTGGGACAGGAGAGCCAGAGAACTGCTGCTGAAGGTGGCGTTGCAACTGCAGGCTGAAGGATTGTCTTCGAGGGTGATTCTGCGCCAAGAAGGGCTGGAGAGCCGATGGTTTAAGGGCAGTACTCGAGGGTACTAGCGCACGCGAGTCTCTGGATCGAGGCTGCGGACGGGGAGCTGGCGGGGCGGGATAGAGTACAAAGTCCTCTTGCGCACTGTTGTTGTTGTTGCTGTTGTTGCTGTTGATCGAACTGGAAGCCAAGGGCTGTGTGGGCGGGGGCGTGGGAAGCCATGGTTGCTGGAATTGATCCGTAGTGAACGACGAAATGTCGATCGGGGAGATGGTAATGTGGGGAGAACTTGAGCTACGCGATGCGATGCTGAAGTTCAGAGATCCTGGGATAGGAGACTCTGAAGAAGGGTGTTGAGGGGAGAAATAAGACGGGGTTCCGTGAGGAGTAATGGTGTCGTTCTCAGTGGAGAAAGACGAGAGCGTCCGAGACGGGGAGCTTAAAAGGCTTCCATTTTGGAGCAGTGAAGATTCAAAAGGCTGTTCAAGTAGAGGCAAAATGGTGATGAAGTGGTTAAATGTGGATGTGGGTTGAGTGAAAAAACACGGTATGGAGAGAAGAAGAAAGAAAAACAGGCATCGATGGGGGACTCAGGCACTTCTTAAGCGGTGATTTAGGCGGCCTTTGGTTGTGTGGAAGTATGGGGCCTTTTTTCGTTCAACAGCCAATCGCGCTCGTTGGCCGCACGGGGCTTAGTCGAGGCGGTGGATCACGGGGTGTGAGTCACACTCGACTCACGGCATCCGATTGGCTGCTGTTCCCGGACACTCCTTTCGGATGGTCTTTATGGGTACTTCGACTGTACTTCTATGCCTCTTTGGTCCTCTGCTTATCAGAACGTTGGTCCCGCCTCGCTGTCCATACTAACGCGTGTGCTGAGCTCACCATCAGCCTCATAGGAAGGTACCCCGGAAGTACCCTGACTCCCGCCCAGGTCACCCATTCCCCGTTGCCTCCCCAATTGGCCAATCACCTCCCTCTGGCTCTTGCGGTATGTTCCAGGCATCCGCACTATCCGCTTCACTTGCAGACGGCGGTTTCGCCCCGGCGCGCCCCCCCCTCCCTCCTTCTCCTGCCCCTTAGCCAGGCCCCGGTCCAAACAAGATCCAAAGAAGGCAGGGCAAGCGACAACTAACTAGGCATGTTTCGAACAACCCAGCCACAACCCCATCATCAGACCAAGAAGGCTCGTATACTCGGGGCATCGCACCTTTCCAGTCCGGCTAAAGGCCGTGGGCATTATTAATCCACCCCTCAACTAAGTTAACTTAGGTTACTCTCACTGTGGGCAGCTTAGGGCAACGCCTCGTGTTCCACGGCCGGAGATATAGTCCTGAGAGGCCGTCCCCTCGGAGCCAGCCTTCGACCCACCGATCTTTTCCCAATTGCCTCCCCGCGGTGGGCTGTGCTGGACAACCGTGCTGGTCCGTGGGGCCCCTTCTCTGCCTCCTTTCATCCTAGTCTTGCCGAAGGGCGTGAAATTTGACTTCGCGGAGCCCACTCACACCCACTGCCTGTGATCGTTCATCGAAAAAGCGGGCAACGGAAACTCTCTGTTCATGACTTCATATGCACTGCCACTGCACGATGCAGATACTACTGTAGTGAATCCGATATACGACTGTTGCGACAGGCGAGATGGAAAGGGAGACACAAAGAGAATGGAAACTTGGCTAGTGTAAGGTAGGGCACGGAATCACGTGTCGAGGCATTCATTCTTGCGACGCGTAACACGTTGGAAGCTAGAGATATTAACAAAATGTACCCAAAAAAATATGCTAAGCCAGAAATCTCTAGGGTAGGCACGGCGAAGAAAGTCTGGTAGAGGATATTAAAAACAATACGTCACTAGTGGGCTTTAGGTCGCCCCTAGCAGGTTGACCGCGACGCTGCGAGTTCTACCTACAGTATATTGTAAAGTCGAGACCAATTGAGCGAAGACGCAGGAAGTTCAAACGAAACGAACATTCGGATCCAAACAACTACTGTACGTCGGATCAAAAGAAGTAGTTCGCATAACTTCAAAAGCATCCGATTTCGACGTCCAATTCACCGTCCCGAAACAGCAAAGACCAGACCTGGTGGCCCGTGGTCCAAGCGCACGATCTAATCCCATTCCAAGGTACGGAAAACCCGACTAAGCGACGCAAATCAACTAGGCAGGTAAAAATTCAATTGTGCGAAACAGAATTAGACGAGTGGCCGATGGGCTGCTACGCTTGAAGATGACCTAGATCTAGCCTACTATAGCTAGGCAGGCTCTCGGTCTCGGCTGTATTGTTGAAGCGTGAGGAACGTGATGCCGGCGAGTTCTGGGTGCAGGAGGGGCTCGGCGTTGTGTGCGCCTGGCCGTGATCTGCATTGGATAGTGGACAACGCCCGCACCCCGTGATCTCAGTACCTGTCAGCTCGGCCAACTTGGAACGTAACGGTGCAGAATTCTCCGACGTAGACATTATGTGTCTGAGCGTGTTGTCTGGAATCATCCTTATATAGGCCCTAGCATAGTGGCCAACGCCAGATTTTGTCGGCGGTTCCTCCATCTTGAGAGCCTCACTCGGCGACCAACGCACCTCGATGGAGTCCTGGATGGCTTGCATAATGAGGTGCAGCGGGGGTTTCCACCAACGCACATCAGACCCATCTATAACCCACCAGAACTATGAGATCACGGGAAAGACTCTGACTACTCCTGATCATGTACAGAGTGGTCCTATCAGCTACATTTACCAGGGCAGACTCAAATATAAAAGCAAAACTGAGAAGATTCTATTAAGTATTACCTATCGCAGCATGTGCCACATCCGCGGAGCTTCGGAAAAGGAAAACCCGCGCAAGACGGGAACAACGGTAGACAACAGCAAGAGGGGCCAACACACGACAGAGCAGGAAACGCAGCGGCAATCTGGATTGCAGGGGGGAAAAAAGACAAAACAGTCAACACTTCCCACCTCCCATCAATGCAAATGCACCCTTCCTCCCCACAGGGTATCGAAGCGAGAAAGCCAAAGCGCACGAAAGCAGAGTGGTATCAATCTAGCAAGGCGACACACCACGTAACGCATTAAGCACGTCGCGAATCGAATCTCGGTTGCGGGACGCAAGGTCGTAATAAGGAGTGTAACGGCCACCGGGACCAACCCAATGGCACCGAGAATAATTATTGGGGGATTGTTTTTAGAGTGTTGAGGACAAAGAAATCAAAAAGCAGCGACGGCGGGTATCTCATTGGCACCCATTCAGATCACAAAGCCCAGGCAAGTTAGACAATGTAAAACCAGAAGAGCGACAGTGGCGAGGCAAAAAAAAAAAAAAAAAACACTGCAAGCGAAAACTGCAAGCGAAATGGTATCAATTCCATATTTGCATCCATCAGGCACTCAGACTATTCCGCAGGACAGAACGACTGAGCCCATCCGGGAGATCATGGGTGGACGACGAGTAGGACGGATCCCACCATCGTTCAAACTCCACGCGTCGCAGAGACGCCCTTCAAGCCGCAGCCTGGACAGGGGTGGAGGTGGCGACGTTGACGGTCTTGGCCTCCTCGGTGGTGGTCTCAGCGGGCTGAGTGACCTCCTCGGTGGCAGCAGGCAAGGTCTCGGTAGCGGTCTCCTTGGTCTCCTCAGCCTCCTCGGGCTTGGCGTCGGTCTCAGCGGTAGCGACCTCCTCCTTGTCGAGCTTCACAGCCTTGCTGGGCTTGCGGAACAAACCGCCGAGCTTGGAGGACTTGGCCTTGGTCTCCTTGTTCTCGCCATCAGTGACCTCGTTGTCGGAGGTGTCGGCCTTCTTCTCCTTCTTCACACCGAAGTTGCCGAAGAACGAGGTGCGGCGCTTGTCCTTGGGAGTGGAGGCCTCAGCGGCAGGGGACTCCTTAACCTCCTCGGTAGCCTTGGCGGCCTCACCCTCAACGGCAGGTGCAGTCACAACCTCAGGCTCAATAGGGTTGACATCGGCCTCCTCAACGGGGTTCTCGAGCTGGGGAGCGGTGCTGGAGACGGGGTTCTCCTCAGCGGGGGCGGTGGCCTCCTTCTCAGACTTCTCCTGAGAGGGGCTGGTGACCTTCTGGAAGAAGTTGCCGAAGATGGAGGCGCGCTTGGTCTTCTTCTCCTCCTTCTTCTCTTCGGCCTCAGCAGCGGTCTCCGCAGGCGCGGCAGCAGCAGCTAGATTAAATGTCAGCACATAGTCACCATAGAGGTTGTTTATCTTTCGACATACCATCAGTGGTCTCGACGGCAGCGGCCTCAGCGGCGGGCTCGGCCGCAGACTCGGTAGTGGGTTCGACGGCCTCGGCGGGCTTAGCCTCCTCCGCGGTCTCCTTCTTCTCCTCAGCCTCCTCCTTCTTGCCGAGGAGGGAGCCGAAAATGCTAGAGCGCTTGCGAGACTGGGAACGAGACTTGGCGGACTCCTTCTTCTCCTCCTTGGGGGTGGCTTCTTCAGCGTTGTCCTCCTTGGGAGCAGCGGTCTCCTCCTTCTTGTCCTCGGGCTTCTTAGCCACAACAGCGGCAACAATGGGCTTGGTCAGCTTCTCGAGCTCGGCCTTGTAGCCCTCGCCGGAAGTGATGGTCTCCTTCTCAGCCTTGGCCTCGGCGGACTTAGCCTCGATGGCGACAACCCAGCTGTCGCGCTCGGCGGCGCTAGGGGCCTGGAAGGTGTGCTTCTGGCCAGCAATCTTGAACTGGAACTCATTGGAGCCCTCCTTGGTCACATCGGAGACATCGGCCTTTACCCAGTACTATTAGCGTCGCGTCCGGATCATTCCCACACCATGCGCAACTTACCAGGTTGATAATCCAGCCGGGTTGGGCCTTGTCCTCAGCACGCTTGGTGAAGAACAGCAGACCCTTGCCGGTCTGGCTAGCCCACGCGGCGATGGGGTTGGCGACGGCAGCCTTTTCGTTCTGGTGGAAGCTGGTGAGGTCCTTGGCCTCGACAGCCTCGTCGTTGAAGTAGAAGAAACGCTTGGCGAAGCGCAGGCCCCTGAAAGAGAAGATTTCATATTAGCTGCTAGCTCCGACTGTCGGAAAACCGCATCGCTGTCACTACTCACTTGACCAAACCGGGGGCCTTGTAGCCAAGGGTGCCCTCGCTGGCGGGCTTGACCTCCTCCTTCACAGCCTCAGCAGTCTCAACGACCTCGGGAGTGGCAGTAGTCTCGTCAGCCGCAGTCTCCGGCACGGCCTCCTCCTTGGGGGCCTCAACAGCCGGGGTCTCGGTGGCAGCAGGAGCCTCAGCAACAGGCTCAGTAGCGGGAACGACCGCGGGGGTCTCCTCAACAGGCTTCTGAACGTCAGACATGATTAAAAAGTTATTAGACCGGATCGGTTTGGGGGTATCGATTAAGAAGCAGAGCTTCGAAGAGAAAAGCGGTTTGGGGGTATCCTGGGTATCTTGAAAGCAAAGAAATAAGAGCTGCAGAAAAGAGCTCGGGTATCACGAACGAAGTAGGAAAGGGAGGGGGTATTTTGCTTTGAGAGAAGGAGGGGAAAGAAGAAAAGGAGAAAAAAAGGGAGGGAAGGGCGAAAAAAAAGAGCGCGGCATTGGGGGGGGGGGAGTGGCCTGCGCTTGTTGATGGCGCTCTCGGCCACTTTGGGAAAAGAACTGCAGGGAGCCCAGACGCTGGGTGGGACCAGGACGCTTAGGTAATTTACCTCTTCAGGGGGAGTACGGTAGACACTTGACTTATAGAGTAGTGACCTAGTATACCATGCTCCGGACATTCTCATTATTGACGGCTGAAACTAAGCGTGAAGAATGGACCAGAAAGGATTACTACCTAGGTTCGCTCATAGGCAGTGCCATCGGTTCCTCCAGCATCCGCGTCGGATTGAGACCGTCAACCAACTCATCACTCCCACCCCTGATCCGTACTATGACCCGATGGTCTCATGGACCCCCTCCACCCCCCCCCCGACAGATCGTCCATGCAGCTGGCCAACAGCCCTCGAGAGCAGCCTGCCCCTAAGCCCCCTAATTGACCCGCAGGTCGGGCCCGCCTCCCACGTAATTGATCCAATCTTGACTAATTTACTTGTATAGTACCCATTAGATCACTCGTAACTACCGTCGTTAACTTACTCCGTGAACGGTGCAGACGCAACTGGTATCTCAAATGAGAGCTTTTGTTACTTGCACACACGGACCGGCTTGCTGCTTCTGCGTGGCTGCCCCAGGTGGACATCTAATATGTGGTCAATAACTAGTTACTCCGTACGAAGGTAAAGATTGTTCCCAGCAGTTCCTTTCGTCAGTCGGATCAGCGATAATTGAGGTGCGGACCGCCCGTTGGTCCGGCCTGTTACACCTTTCTAGGGGGTCTATCCAGGTCTACTCCGTATACAATCCAAACTCCAGTCTCCTTCGTACGGTCGGTACTAACCCGCGTACCCTGATGAGAGCCAAACAGGTTCGGATCAAGTGATGCCTGGAGGAGTTTGTGCCTGTATGACTCGGGAAGGTCAAAACCCCCTCCTTCTTTGGCTGGAAGCAGGAGCTAGAGGGCTAGAAGGGGTATACTCTGTAAAGAGCAAATAAAAGAACAGAGGGCAGGATCTGGCCTGTCCTCCAACCAACCAAACCCTAGTTCAGCTTGAAACCAAGAAAGCATGAAACTGCCACTCTCTCTCTCTCCCTGCATCGTGATCGTGATTCAGAGTTGGCGGCCGCTCAGATTCGCATGGCGTCGATCCCAGCAGCAGCAGGGTGTGGACGGGCATTCTAGTGGCCGATATTGGCGTGTTCAGTGCCATCCCATGACCGGCAGCGTCAGTTATGTTAGTTGAGTGGCGTGCGAACCCTCGTGGCCAACCAGTGCCCATCCCACAACCCCCTCTCATTCCGTCATTCTCGGCCTGCGCCCTATCGCTGGCGTATCACCTTGCAGGGCGGTCGCGACCACTGGCAACCGGCAAGCACGATAGGGCGGGCAGGGATCATGAGGGATCCCATGATCCGGCCCCCAAAAGTCAATATACGACCAGATAGACTGCTGGTTCTCTCTTCACTCCCCGGGATCACTCATGTTTTACGCTTTCGGTGATACGTGTATCACCTCCCGCTCTTCTTACCTCCGCGCTCCAGCCCGACATCGTACGGAGGTATATCCAAGGACAGTCAGTGCGGACAGGCTCCACTTACGGCCAAAATGGCCCCTAATTAAGCCCCCTTTCTCCCTGTTTGCTCGCTGGTTTCTGTCCTGTGCCAGAGCCAGTCTAAGTGGCACTACGGAGAACAGCGGACGACTAACTCCTCCCTCCTAACTACTCCCAGCTACGCGCCCCACTTGGTGGTCCCGTGTCTTAAGCCAAATCTCGCGGTGGCTGGCCAGCCCTAACCCACCCCCCTATACGTTCCCAAGCCAACAGTGTCTGCATCATCGCGACCAGTTTCTGGTGCTTTCCTTTCAAGGTTCTTCACCCTCCTGGCCATCGGAGATTTTGAAACAGCGGGATTCTAGACCCGCCCTCCGGGGCCCTCGAAGATGATCAGGCGAGTCCCGACCATGCCAGAATACGACCATCGGAGCATTTCCAGTAATGATAGCCCACTCGGCCGATCCACTTGCAAGCTACCCGGCCAATGGCATCGCCAACATGCCCCTTTTCTACCCGTCGGGGGCCAAGCATCCTATCTGTCCATCCGCCGTGCAAATCTTCCGCTCGCCTCTTTCTTTCCTTTTTTTGTTTTTTTTCTCGCTGGCTGTTTTCTGGGCCTAGCGAATGTCCGTCGATCGCTTGGCGGGAGCTCAACATCCTGCAGCTGCCATACGCAAGAGAGCCTGTTCAATGTCTTCTTTTGAGTCCTTCCCACTCTGCTCTGTACCTCCCTAGTCCGTCCCTACCTTCATATACTCAGGGTAGAGATCCAGTGCAGGATATACCGCAGATAGATCGGAACGCGCTAAATATCACCAATCCCCGAACAACCAAATCATCGCCAAGCGCAACCAGACCAGATGGAGACCAGGCCAAGTCCCGGAAACGCCGCCGGTTGCTGGGTGATGCGGTGTGAGGGCGGCCCGACAACCAGCCACTAGAAGCGCCTGGCGAAACTCTACCCTCCCTCGTCCGTCCATCTAAGCTCTGCACCGAACAGGGCCGGTCGATTCTAGCGTCCACTAACCCGGCCATCGAGCCCTCATTAACCACGGCTCCCTTTGATGAGGATGTGCGCTCGTTCGCTCTATGTGAGTGGCGGTGAATTCATCCGGCCACAATCTCGTTGTTTGGGAAAGATTGCAGAGTTTGCAGGAAAAAGCAAGAAAAGCAGGACCTGGAGCTGCCCTACGGAGCTCGCCCGAGCGGTATATATCGTCCGTAGACCGCAGAAAAACTTTTAGACAATTTACAGGGAGTAAAACCAGAGTCGGACCCGAACTACAGTAGTTAGTTAAAGCCTGTGTGAAACCAAGGCCGTACAGTCTGGATTTGCTGTCGGTGGGAATAGGGGAGGGATCCACACAAGCTCGTTCCCTGGAGTCAATCCACCTTTTATCTCGTCCTTTTTTTTTTTTTTTTTTTTTTTTTGGGTCGCGGTCCTGGTACACAAGGAGCTCAATTATTTGACATCCTTGAGGTCCTCCGGCCCAATCTTCATCCAGGTGGGACGGCGATCGACGGAGTTATAGATTCTAGAATGCAAGGTACACCTCGTACACAAGCAGAGGTGACAGCTCCCACCCCCTGAGGGCCAGACGTGACGAATCACATGTAAGATCACGTGTTGTTGTGTCTGAGTCATCGGTCAGGTGACGCGATTTGCGTCTCGCTTACCACTAGCGTAGTTGCTCTCCACTATAAATACCAAGCTCCCCGGCCGCCCTTTGCCTCTTTTTCTTTTCTTCTTCATACTTACCTTGTTTGGGTGGCTGCGATCATGAAGGCGGTCCACCACAGATTGGTCCCTGCATTGCACAGCGCGGCGGAACAGTTTGTTCAACGGCCTTCGGGTCATTGACAGGCGTATTCTTTGGCACCTTCCACCACGTGGATCTTACTTTTCATCAATGCCTGAGTCAGTGACTCGGGCTTGGAGAAGAGAAGTTGTAACTTGTAATTGTAGAGAGCTTGAACTTTGAGAGATGGGGAACGTACCATGGGGCTCAGATATGCCTCGCTTCGCCGTATTCTGTGATGCGAGTTCCTGGATGTCACGTCTGAAGTCTGCTCCTTGACACGGTGACTGTCAATATGGATGTCACCCACTCTGCCTCAGTGCGGCCACTGTAAGACCGCAGTCAAGAGGTAATCACTGCTTAATGATGTCACGAAGCTCGAATTTATCTTTGACCTTCTTCCATATATTGCCCGAATCCATACCCGACGGATATCGTTGTCTACCGTTTTTATGTAGGAATGGGGGCCATCGACCTAGAAATATATATCTCACAGCTACATGCGCCAAGCTTCACGGACTGCATATTTTTTCCCTCGTCCCAACTGACATCAACTACAATCCGACTGACTAGAACCAGCCCCTTCCGCAGCTTTTCAGCACCCTCTGACAACGGATCACTTCCAGGTGAAACCTCTCAGATGTGCCGTGGCATTCTTCCTTGTGCGCAATCCAATGCCGCGGCGGGTTCACTTCCGCTCTGGAGCAGACACTATCTGCACCTCAATATGGAGATTGGGCCCTTCACGGCCGCCGCCACATTACAGTGCGTGAGGATCTCACAACCTGGATCATCCCGGCTTCCATTGTAACCCATGCTTGACTATCTTTGTCATTGTACTCGAAGCTCGACCTCGGTGGTGACCTTTTGAAGACAACTATTCCCATCGAGCCGATAAAGGTAAGCTCGAGATATAATAGCATCGCCCCGTGGTGAGAACTCTGCTAGACATGGCCTACTCATACATTCTGGAAGGGATTCTTTATCTCTTTTCTCGTTGCTAGCACAAGTAACAGTTTCTGAGACTAGCATAGTGCCGAGCTCGGGGACTGTGGCCGATTAAGCTCATCCGCGCACGTGAGCGGCTCCCACCCGACTGCCGACCTCGTGCGGGTTATCATTCAATCTCGTTCCACGGCAGCTGTCTGGATGGCCAATCGCGGCCTGGCATGGCGTAGATTGTCTGGGAACGACTGGGTTGAGTCATCCCGAAAATGGAAACCTCACCCATTGCCCCGGATGCTTCATGGGTCCGAGCTCGGACAGGCCGCCGCGCTAGTTGGGAACCCTTCAGTATGATGCTTCGTAGCAGCATCCATGACCTTGATCTTTTCAAAAGAAATACCCAATCTTTTTTCCCGTGGAGGCTTGTAATGAACAAGAGGTAGGAAAGGGTAGATAAGAGATCAATGGCACGTAGAGCTCCCGCTAAACCCCATTCCGGCACGAGGACCCTGTATCCGTTGCCGGTATACTCGTCCCCGACCACCGCCCGAGCCGATGCGGGGCCTGGACAGGCTGCCCTCCAGCAGAAAGCCCATCTTATATCCATCTTGATAAACCACCTGCGGGGAGAAGCTCCCCTCCCCCGCAGGAGGGGGAGATTTCCCGTCTAGCTTCCAATCCACCAGCCTACATAAAGCAAGAGCGCCCACAGCTCCGTGCAGCGAGTCAATCGCCCTCACCATCATGTCCCCCACACAGCGTGTTGTTATCATCGGTGCCGGGATTGTCGGCACCAATCTCGCAGACGAGCTGGTCTCGCGCGGGTGGACGGATATCACCGTCGTCGAGCAAGGCCCGTTGCACATGCCTGGTGGCTCGACGTCGCACGCCCCGGGCCTCGTGTTCCAGACGACCCCTTCGAAGACGATGACTAGTTTCGCGACATATACCATTGAGAAACTCCTGTCGATTGAAAAGGATGGCCATAATTGCTTTAATCAGGTCGGTGGGCTGGAGGTCGCGACAACGCCTGCGCGGTTGGAGGAGCTCAAGCGCAAGCATGGGTATACCTCGTCGTGGGGGATTGATGCTCGCCTCGTGAGCGCGGAGGAGTGTCTGCAGATCTACCCTCATCTCAACAAGGATATGGTGCTGGGGGGTCTGCACATTCCTAGCGACGGTCTCGCGCTTGCTGCTCGGGCAACTCAGCTGCTTATTGAACGCACTCGCAATGCTGGGGTCAAATACCTTCAATCGACACCAGTCACGGGGATCGGGCGGGCAGCTGGTCGAGTGACTGGGGTGACAATTCCCGGTGGCACTATCCCGGCCGACATTATCGTTTCCTGTGCTGGATTCTGGGGCGTGGAGCTCGGCGCAATGGTTGGCCTCTCCATTCCGCTCCTGCCGCTCGCCCATCAATATGCCAAAACAACAGCCGTGCCCTCCCTCGTGGGTAGGGATCTAAATGATCAAATAAATGGAAAGAACGCAGCACTCCCTATCCTGCGACACCAGGACCAGGACCTGTACTATCGCGAACACGGTGACCAATACGGCATTGGATACTATGGCCATCGACCGATGCCTATTAAGGCCTCATCATTAGGTCTTACTTCCAAAAACGTTGATGAGATGAACATGCCTTCTCGCCTCGAATTCACAGCAGAGGACTTTGATCCGGCATGGAGGGAAACCAAACAGCTCTTGCCTATGCTGCGAGACACCGAGATCGCGGACGGCTTCAATGGCATCTTTTCTTTCACTCCGGATGGTGGACCTATCGTCGGGCAAGCGCCCAATCTGGACGGGTTCTGGGTTGCCGAGGCAGTGTGGGTTACACACTCAGCAGGCGTTGCGCGCGCCGTCGCCGAGGTCCTTACCACAGGTCGCTCGCAGATCGATATCTCGGAGTGCGAATTGTCTCGCTTTGAGGAGGTCCAGCTGAGCCGGCCTTACATCGAAGAGACCTCGGCCCAAAACTTCGTCGAGATCTATGATATCTTGCATCCTCTTCAGCCGAGGGAGTCACCGCGACAGCTTCGAACCAGCCCATTTTATGCTCGTGAGAAAGAGCTGGGGGCCTTCTTCCTCGAACTTGGCGGCTGGGAGCGACCGTTCTGGTATGAGGCGAATAAAGAACTTCTCAACTACCTGCCAGCGAACTGGAAGCCCGTTGCGCGAGATGGATGGTCAGCTCACTACTATTCTCCGATCGTCGCGGCCGAAGCATGGAAGACTCGCAATGCCGTGGCCATGTTCGATATGACCTCTTTTCACAGATTCGAGGTTTCCGGGCCCGGCGCACTGGGCCTGCTGCAGCTCCTCAGCACCGCCGATGTCAACACGACGCCTGGCACCATCACCTATGCTCTCCTTTTGAACGACCAAGGCGGCATTCGCAGCGATGTCTTCATCTCAAGACTTGAGGAGAATCTCTTCCAGGTTGGAGCTAACACCGCCACCGACCTGGCCTACCTCACCCGCGAAGCCCGCCGCCAAAACCAGAAGCAATTCGTCCAGGTCCGCGAGATCACCGGTAGCACTTGCTGCATCGGGCTCTGGGGTCCTCGCGCCCGAGATGTCATCAACGAGATCACCACAGACGATTTCTCCAACAAGGGCCTCCCGTACTTCGGCGTGAAGCAAGCCCTAATTAACGGCATTCCCGTGACGGCATTCCGCAAGTCTTACGTTGGCGAGCTCGGCTGGGAGATCCAGACAACGGCAGAGTACGGCCTCCGTTTGTGGGACACCATCTTCCAAGCCGGCAGAATCCACGGCCTGATCGCCGCGGGACGCGCTGCCTTCAATGCTCTGCGATTGGAGAAGGGGTACCGCATCTACGGCACCGACATGAACACGGAGCACAACCCGTACGAGGCCGGCGTGGCCCACGGCATCAGAGCGAGCAAATGGGACGATTATGTCGGCAAAGCTGCCCTTGAGCGCATCTCCGCTTCCGAGCAGAAGCCCGCTCGGCGGCTGCGGTGTCTCGCTGTCATCGATGGCCGCTCCATGGTCCTCGGCAAGGAGCCGGTGTTTTATAATGGCAAGGCGGTTGGATATGTGACTAGCGCTGCATTTGGCTTCACTATTCGCAAGCCGATCGCGTATGCCTGGCTCCCTGGCAGCCTCGGCGAGGGCGCTGGTGTTGAGATCGAGTACTTCGGCCGCCGGATCAAGGCTACTGTTGTGGCCGAGCCGGTGTATGACCCGGATAACAAGCGGCTGCTTGCTGATGGGTTATCTATGGATTCCGAGCTTCACTCGCCTATCAAGTCTCGTCTGTGAGACCGCGGTCAAACCTGCATCAGGAATTACGAGGACCATGCAAGAAATGACATGTTGATGTTGGATTGAATTTTTTACGAGCACTAGCGAACTTGACGAGTGATGATATTCTAATGGTTGTTGTTTTCATTTTTTTCATTTTTTTTTTTTTGGTACAGTAGCTCTAGGCTTAGCGATATAGAAAGACGTGCGAAATTGTGTTCTTGAAGTGATAATCTCAACGCTAGATAACGGTAAATCTGTTGCCTCAAACGGCTTCTCTGACGCCATTGAACTAGATCAGTACGTACGTATTTACCGCTATTGATGTTGAGGCGTATCTGGTTTTCAATAGTCTGCTTTAACTAGCAGAGCTGGCTTAAAGAGTACATGGGGCATATATACCCTCACTGATTGAAATGCTATGTTAAATGGATCGCTGTAGCGGTCATGACATATAAGGTAGCAGATGGTTATGTAAGGCTATGTGTTACATAGTGATACAATGAACATAAAGACCAAAGCAGAGAAGAATGCAAAAGTATGTTTTCGCTCAAATTGCCGCCCAGGTTGGATGCCAAAATAACAGCAAAGAAAGGATATAAAACACACACGAATCAACCCAAATCAAGCAGCCATCGTAAGCACGTATCTGTACCACAAGTTAGTATAAAGCCAGTAGCAAGAGCAAGTAGTCAAGGCAACTCACGAGGTGATACTGTCCATCCGCTCCGATGTCAACTTCAAGCTAACGGTGAGTAATTCCCTCGCGATCCGCGGCTCATCCTCCTGTAGCGCTTTCCACCGCTCATCGCCCAGACACCATGCGACGCAATCATGCTCCGCCTTGACGGTCGCCGTGCGGCGCGTATCACTGAAGAACGGCAACTCACCGCACGGCCGGCCGGCGACGACTAGCTCGAAGTACCGGCCCTGCGGGAGGTCGTACTCTGCGCGCAGCATGCCGGACTCGAGAAGGTAGAAGGCGCGTGGACGGTCGCCCTCGTGGTACAGGACCGTACCCGCGGCATACGATTCGCACAAGAAGTACGCGCAGGCGGGGAACCAGAAATCTTCGTTCTGCGTAGACAGACCCTGGAAGGTTTGTAGAAGGAGTGGGAGTGGTTGACGCATAGAGGACCACGCGGGAGCCGGGGTTAATGCTGTTTCCTGCTCGTGCTCGCGGATGGTAGTCGTTGCGACGCGCTGGAGATACTGGCCACGCGGGGAACCGACGATGTGATCGGAGAGACTGGCATTGGCAGCCTGCGGGACAGGTAGAGGGACCTGGAGGTTATTGTTGGTGTTGGGGGCAGGTGATTCAATTGGCTTGCGCAGGAGGGCTTCCTGGCGGTTGTAGAAGATTTTGAGGTAATCATTTTCGCAGAATTCCAATGCTGAGTTGAGATCTTCGAATATTGGAACGCCCGACTCGGGGTCGAACAGGCCGACGTTTTGAAGGGATTTGCCCACGTCGCCTTCGACGTTTAGACCGGAGATTGTGGTCTGAACGTTGCGCTTGCGAAGGATACGATTGATTCGCGTGAAAGCTTCGGCGGCTGAGAAATCGAGGCCGTAGACCCGAGAGAAATCTAGGATCAGGAATCGAATGGGTTGTCGATTGAAAGCTTCCTCTTCGATCAGCCCTCGCATGGTGTTCTCGACGTTCACGATGGTCCCGAAGAAGAGATAGCCACCGAGCTTCATGATAAGAGTTTGCTGCCCGGCCTCATGCAGGAACTGTTGCTGGATCGGTGGACGGCGCACTGTTGACCCTGAAATCTCCCCCGAGAAGGTCGCACGAATGGCGGACTTGCGGGATGTTTGTACTACAAAGTTCACGCAGGCCAGGATGATTCCAACGAGGATTCCCGTCACAAAGTCCCAAGCACCCATGGTGGCCACGATAATAACAACCTGAAACGATTAGGGTTTGTTAAGAGATGAAAGGACGCTCGTTACTTGACATACCGTCAGATACTCAAGCCGCGTGAGCTTGCCCCAAGTATCCACCAATGCTTCCTGCAACAGTTCAATGCCTAGCAAGAAGATCAGGGCACCAACAACCATGATTGGTATGAAGCCGATGATGACTGGGCCGATAACTAGAATACCGGCCGTTGCTGCAGCGAGCATAAGACCAGCCAGTCGAGATGTCCCACCGCTTGCGATGAAGAGAAGACTGTTTGTGTAAACAAGATAGTTCTGTATGCTACCCGCGAATCCTGACAGGGCATTGGTTACACCATGGGCGACGAGCTCTCTGTCCACGTTGAGATTGTCCTCTCCGGTCGAGATACCCAGGGCCGGTACGTTGATGGGCACATGAAGCACACCGAAGAAGGTCAAAGCGAACATGGCTGGGATGGTGTCGGCGAAGGCAGTCCAGTTAACCTCAGAAATATCTAAAGATTCCTATTAGCCGGACAAATACTAAGATAATACCAGGAGCACCAGCGACTTACCGTAGAGGGAGTAGAAATGATACCACGGATTGTTCGAAGACGGAGCATCAAACACCCACCCCTTCTGATGCAGTGCATCCATCGATATCCGAGCACTCAGAATAACAACATAGAACATCACCGCCACAGCGATGAAATAAGCACCGACAAGGAAATTCGATCGAATGAAACGCTTCAAAACAAGAAGACCGATAGCAAGGAAAAGGGGTATCATCCAAAGAGGGAAAGTGTCGACATGGAAGAGCTTTTGCAGCGTGGCGACGTTGTATTCAAGAGAGCCGGGGAGTCGGGCAGAGACCTCAACTCCGGTCTGGAGAAGGAAGTAGCCCACGCCACCGATGCAGCCAATAAGAATGTGGCGGGGGAAGAACCCGATCAACGAGCCCAGTCCACATACGCCCATCAGAAAGAAAACCAAACCGGTCAGAACGGAGCTGACTGAGAAAGCGAGAATGGTGGTTGCAATGACTGATTGCGGGTTGTCTTTGCCCACTCGGTTCATGATGGTGAACGCCATCTGGTGGAAGAACGGGACCACTTCAATCATTTCACTGCCGATGCCTCCCTTGAAAATGGAGCCGCCACAGGAGAATACCACCTGGGAGATGATGGTGCTGACATAGAACATCGAGATACCGTCTCCACCGAGGTCGGCGAAGAGAGGTTCTCCTAGAGGGAACAGGATCATTCCGTAGGACAGGGCATCGAGGATGTTGAGGAGAAGACCAAGGAATACAGCAGGAAGCAGGCTGGCAGGATAGACTACACCTTCCTGCCAGATGGCACGCCTGTCCCACGCTTTGGGGTTGGACAGGAGGCGACTCCATTTGCCCACCGCTGAAATGCCGTTCGTGAAGGCATTGGATGCCGGACGGGCAGCTTCTCCTTGGTTCTCGATATCTTCTGCTGATCCATAGTGACGCGGTGACTTGGACCTGGCCTTGGATAGCAAGGAGGTGCGCTCTGTATCTCGAGGCTCGAGTTCATCTTGGATGGTTGGCAGCGGCGGGAAATGGGTATCTTCAATTGGCTTGGCATCGTCGTCGGCCAGGTCGGTAGCCGGCTGGCGGATCATGTCTGTTAAGGCCGATGAGGTGGAGGCGGAGGCGTGGTTGTGAAAAATATCATTTGAGTCTAGCAAGTCCTCCCCCCCCGTGACATGGGAGCTAGCAGTACCATCATGCGAGATCGTCGGAGAGTGCTGCGTCTGGCTGGGGAAAATATCCAGACCAGGAGGCAAGCTGGTCCGCCCCCGCGAAGACTTTCTATTTAGCGACAGGCCGTAGGTTGCCAACTCGGCAGTTTGTTCGCGGAGCCCGTCAGTTGCATAATGTGCTGGGTCTATGGCGCACGGCGAGTGGTCAGTAAATCGCTCTGCCGCAGATGTATATTTTCTTTTTGGGTTCGAGGCGTTTTAGCCTAGTTTTTCGTATCAGTACCCACCGGCAGTTGTATTGAAGGATCGATGGTAAAAGGACCGACTGGGGGTCCTCAAGCTCGAGCCATTATAGCTCGACGCCTCCATGCCGGCACCCGGCGAGCTGCCTGCGTTGGCGCTGGCCTGCTCCACCAACGACTCCGAGGCGTGGGCGACATCGAGCTCGCGGTCGAAACCCCAATCCCGGCGTGACAGTGCCGAGGCGCGCGAGTCGCAGCGGCCACGAGGTTTTAGTACACCCATAATCAGCGCGGGGCCGTCGCAACGTGACGGTCGCGCAACGGTAAGAGTTGGCGAGTACCCAAGAACTTCGGAAGATCACCGGGCCACTAGCGCATGCAGCGGCGTTGCGGGAAACGGTGGATGACGCAACGGGGCGAATGAGGCATCGGGACCGAGCAGAGGTGAGGATGTTGCAAGGATATTGAAAGATGGCACCAGAGACCAGAGACGGATATAACGAGAGGATGAACGGGGCTTATCAAGTGCCAGGGTATTAGCAACAGGAATTGAATCATCTGGACCGTTGGGGGGCTCTGGTTGACTAACCCGTCCGGTCGTATCTTATCGGGGCTGATCCGCTTGCGGACGATAAATGAACCCGCTTTGACAGGCACCTGCTCGCTAGGTGCGTTCCCGGTACGTTCCCGGTGCGTTCCCGGTTGAAACAATGGGATTACGGCAGACGGGTTTCCCGACCCTACTGCACTACTGCACCACTGCCGTCTACTAGGATCGTACCGGGGATCACAAGAGGACACAGCGTAAAGCCGCAGTCTCGATTCCGCCCCATAAGTACCTATGAGCTCCGACGACGGACGCACGATCGGCGCTAACGAGAGCCCAGCCAGCGTCTGGCCAGCGCCTGGCCAGCAACGAGCGCATAGACGTTTCCTGTTTTAATCCTGGCCGATGCAGGCCATCCCCGCTCGTGCAGCCACCAGAGTTTATACTAGCTTGGCCTCGCCGCTTCAAAACTCAATTTTTACACAACCGCCTTACTCAATGTCACCATTATCGACGATTCACTACGGTCGGATGCACCGTATGAGGTTGATCCACACGGTCTAGTGCTGCCAGCTTTGCTAGTCCTGTGAGCGAGGTTTGTCAAGCATCAGAGCAGGCAGGATCCACGAAGGCGGATGCCGAGGATCTCAGGCGTGATTGCCAGAAATGGGAAAGTCGATCTCGGGTAATTTTAGTGGGAGAACATTACTAAGCCATGTAGTGTGGGCTTGGTGGGCGAGGAGGGACGATCATCTCCGCGTATTTTACGAGGGGATTCCTTCGTTTCCTACACGTCTTGTGAAACACTTTCCTTTAGGTTCATTAAACACAATGCAATATTCACATGTGCCATCACATTCATGGCGGGGTATCTCAAAATGCAGAACTCCTCACATAGTCGTATGAGTTATCGTCAGCTTAATCGCTCGAGGAAGCCCTGGGCAATCAGCCGCTCGACATCCCCTTGTCGGACATAAAGCTGGCTGTTTTTGGTCAAAGTGATCACACTGCCATTACAGAATAGATTAGCTCCTGCCCTCTGCCTCGTACAAGGTCCCCCAAGCACAAAACACCAAAGCCAATAAGTCCACTTACCCGTACTCCGTCTGAATCTCCCCCGCATCCTTCAGTACCCGCACGTCAATAAACAGATCTTTTGGCGGCTCCAAGGTCCCCGTTAAATCGATATCCGTCCACTGCCCCTTGTACGCCGCCAGCATGTCGCCATACTGCCGGAAGTACTCCTCCTCTTCAGGACTCAGCGAGCTGTGCCCGCCCTGCGACGGCCCCCGCTCCTCGGACTCGCTCGGCTGCTGCTGCTCAAGGACGTCTACGCCCGTCCAGCAGAGTTCTTCTAGCTTCTCCGTGCGCACGCGGTGGTACGCCATCAGGCAGCGCTTGTTGCGCCGCATGCACAGATGATCCACCAGCAAGGCACAGGCGGTCGCCGGGTCGGCGGAGGGGTTGAACGAGCCTTCGAAGGGGTCGAGCAGGCGGGCGACATCGCGGTCGAGGTCGCGGACCTCGCGCGTCACGGCTCGCACAATCTCCGTCTGGTATGGTGGCAGATGGGCGAGCGCTTGCGTGCGCTTCGCGTGCTGGACCTGTGTTCGAATGGCTGGGTTAGCGGGTGCTCGTAGTAAGCTAAGAAGGTATGTCCGGGCTCGCGAGACCACCGGAGCTATGGCGAGAGATCGCCACGTACCAGTTTATTGCCGAGTTCGCCGTACATGGTGGCCACGCGATCGGGATCCGGGTGCGGTGGAGGGACGCGCCTGGCCTGGTTGTCCATTGCGCGCCAAGAAACGAATCTTAGTCAGTCGGTGGAGTGGGACCGGCGCTAGCAGTATGGACTCGGGGACGGTGCTCCTTGGAAATCGTCAACGTAGGACAATGAGCAATACACTAGAATGAGCGAGCCAAGAAGAGTAAGAGTAGCCTAAAGAACGAGGGAAGTCTGAAGCCGAAGGCTGATCGGGCAGTGTGGGGGATGAGTAACAGGCAGTTTACGAAGAACAGAAACGGATCCAATTGGGGATCTGGATGAGCACATCAATTATGGCTATGTCGTATTTCCGCCACGATAGATATCGTTTACTACATCTCAGTACTGCATAGCAGCCCGCATCTGATTATATCCAGCTTGCGTGATCGGCTCGTACTTGGCAGGCTCACTAGGCCCAGTACAAGATGGTATGCATTCGATCACCGAGTCAGGGTCGGGAGCCAAGAAGTACGGAATAGAAAACCGTCTACGAGTTATGCGCCCCTCTCCTTCAATTCTATCTGCTAATGGAGGCAGAGTTACCCGATGGCTGGTTGATCTCAATTGGTCTATACTCATTAGTTGTAGGAGCAAGTATCAACGGGGGCCTGAACGTACCATTGCTCCATCTCTGGAGAAGATCTCCCACATTCATCACGATGGCATTCTTGATAGGAGTCGCCGGGACAAATTGGCCTGGGTTATTAACATCCTCTACCTCTAGCCCGCCGCAGTCGTCCTGAAAAAGCAAAGTGATCGAGCTCCAGTCAGTATGTGCCGGACAGCGTGCTACCCGTTGTTGCTCTAGTGCATCGGCTGGGACGGGCGGATAGTACAGCAGCCGAAGTTGATTGTTGTGCCCAGAGTGTTTCTGCAGCAGATGATTCTCATCCTCTAGCCCCAGACCAGCCGCGAGAGCTTGCAGGATCTCGCCTCCCACACGGAAACCTTCCCAATAGAACCGATTCATGAAAGCACGAAACCCGGGCAGCGTTTCCTCGGGGATCCATTGATTTGGCTGCATCGGGTTCTCCTCGCTGCCAATGTCATAGCTTTCCTGCTGATGGTCAACAGAGGGCACCGGACTACAAGCGTGGAGAAGCCGATGACAATGTACTGAGCAGCAGCCCTGCTCACCTTGATGTCGGGAACCTCCCTCAGCTGTGTAGCCCGCTCCTCGTCGTTATCTGCGCTCACGGCCTGCGAGACCTTCTCCAGCCCCGGCCAAGAATAACCTCGGTGGACCGCCCACCCGTCCGGATGAGGGGCCAGCAGCTTCTCTCCTACCGGCAGCTCAAAGAAGAGCCGAGACCAGTGGAATGCCTCCTCTAGGAGGGTGTCGGGGAGAGAGTGGTTGACGATATAAACGAACCCCACTTTCTTGCAAGCGGCGACGATAGCTTGCGCTACACGCTGGCGACCGGGTCCGTCCGAGTTCCACCCAGCGAAGTCCACAACAGGGATTTGCGTTTGCGAAGTAGGAGGGTTCATAGTGGAAAATCACACCGAAAGGCTAAATTCCCCACGGTGCCCAGGTTGGTAACGTCTCAGCGTTGCTATGTTTTGTCCGCAGGAGTTGATCAGAGGGCAAAGTTCAGCTGCTGACAATCATTTCGATCTGCAGCTGTGAGACCCCTCGCCTTGGACGCCGCCGAGGGGCCCAATGAGGGCGATTCCGGTGAACATCGCGAGACTGTACGGAGAAAATGAGGTTCGGTGAAAACAATTCACTTGTGTCATATTTCATTTCAGGCTGCCATGGCCTCGGAAATGGACCGTGAGGCGGTGGAAGCTGGTTGGGCATCGTGCCACTCGTTGCTGTGGCAGGGATACCGGGTGGAGATTGGCGCGGCCGGTCTACATCATCCATCCCCAACTCAACCCCCCCAAACCCTGATTGCTCCTGCCACAAAGATTTCCAAGGCGCTGAAACTTTGCCCAGTATGTTCTCACCCAGAGGAAAAAGTCATCCATGGCCTTCGTCTTCCCGTGCTGTGCGCCTTTGCTGACGCTAATCTTACTGCTTTGAGTAGTTTGTTGACATCCGGTACAAGCCCGGATAAGCCGCTCCCAGCGACAGCCAACGATGAGAGATTGAACACCATTGACACGCGACAAGACCAGCCTGCTCGATCTATCAAACAGAAATTCCTCGGTCGCATCCGCTACACCTGTTCCCCAGGCCACAAGAATGCGGGCTTCGTGGTGGATTGGAGTTTGGGCTACATTCCTGCCCTCCACAGTGCTATCGATAGAGACGGCGCCCTTTTCTGCGCCGCAGGCCGTCGAGTCCCGCAAGCGAGCCTTTGAAGTCCTCCAGATCCTCAAACGAGCCAACAACTGTCCCTCCGGATACAACCCATGCACTAGCTTGGGCAACTCGGACGCCTGCTGCATTCAAGGGACAAACTGCTCGCGCGATGCCGCCAACAACATCGCCTGCTGCCCGACCGGCGCAAGCTGCACCGGCAGTCTGACCGGGGCATCGACGAGCACTACCAGGCAGACCGGAACCAGCTTCATGTTTCCTCAGGGCACGACCGCAACTACAACAGCCACCGACTCTGCCGCCGCTTCGGTCACCGGCTCCACGCTCTCGGGGGCCTACCCGTTTATTTACGTACCGACGACCTTCGCTAATGCCGCCACCTGCTCTTCATACTACTCGCTCTGCCAATATGAATATACACAGTGCACTGGACAGCTACTCGGCCGCTACGCGGTGACGGTCGGAGGAGCGGGTGGGGCAGGCGTGACGGTGGAAGCTGTGACGGCGACGTCGCAGGCCACGTCCATCTGCTCTAGTCTGAGCGCCGAGGCTTGTCACGGCCTCCAGTTGAGCTACTGCGCAACGGCGGCGACCGGCACTGCGCAGAATGCCAGTGGAAATGGGGCGCTGCCGGTACGGACAACGAGTCTCCATGACTTGGTGCTGGGCCTGATGGTGGGAATTGCGGGCATGTTTATCTGATGCGATATGAAATTATGTTCGGGCTTGGACATTGCTGTTTTCGTTTTACGCTGTATATTTCTTCTCATGTGAATTTTTGATTCTAATGACCCTCGTGGAGTTTGGGCTAGCCCATCGTTGATAGGAATGACTCAATCCGTGTCTCCGTCCTTCGTACACCGCATTCTGTGAATGCCTGATCCGCAATAAATGCAGCCGTCGGTCAATGCGGCCGACGAGTCTGCAAGCCCACAATTCCACAAGTTTCAGACCCTCAGGGCTGCAGGCAGATTGGGCCATTGGCTGTTGGGCTGCCTTTGGTGGCAGCAGGGCGCGCCCATGGTTGTTGTCGAGTTATAGAACAATCAAATCCATCTGTCGACAGGGTAGTACAATATCTATCCTGTGAAATGATCATGATCATTCCGTGAAAGGTTGCGGAGTACCAAATGTCAATTCCTTCTAATGCTAAACTCTTTGTCTCGGACTGCCGTGCTTGACTGGTCGGGGATCCGACCGCATGGTGATCGCTGCCACGAGGTGGGGAAGCTAGCGTAGCTGACAGCGCGCATTCTTCGTACATAAGAACCGTCAATGGGCCTCTTAGGGAAAAGAGATCAAACAGAATCAAGAATAAGGGTCAAGCCCTCTAGTCTGAAACCCAGCCTTTCGAAAATTAGGCCGTGGCTAAGTTCAGGATGGCTTGTAGATCATGCGGGAAATCGGGTGGTTGGGTATATAGTGGGAGGCTGGGGATGTACTCAACTCGACTAGCAACGCCTTTTCCCCTCTCTCTTGCTCTCTCCCTTTCATTCTTCCCTTCTCTCCTGTCCTTCGTTGCATTCCATCGATTCCCCAACATCTCGAACATTTTCGACTGTTGCTCTGCCGCCTCGAACTGGTGATCGACTCGCTGTAGATCGCTGACACAGTATACAACCATCCCACCCCCCACCGCAGAGCAGCATTGGAGGCCGAGCATCGCCGGACCACAACGAACAGTTCGACCCCAAACGTTCAAGAAAATCCTCCGAGAAAGCCTCAACTAAACCACGCTGCGAGCGGTGCAACGCTGTTCCTGAGCGATGCGGTCGTTTTGCGTCGCCCCGGTGTTGTCAACACTGGTAATCTTACTCCACCTGATCCCGGTCGCGATCGCCTCTCCGTTCACCGTCGACGCAAATCTGCTTGAGAAGCGATGCTCAAACTCCTGTGGCTGGAAGGGCCAGGTGTGCTGTGGCGCCGACCAAGCCTGCAGCACGAACGCTGCCAATGAAGCAGTTTGCGTTGACGGTTCGGGAAGCGGTTCGTGGACGTACTACACAACAACCATCGTGGTGACCGAGGTTGATAAGTCGACCATCACTTCCGTTTGGAGCAGCCACATCGCGACAGCGACGGCCACGGCTACTGGAACCTGTCGGATCGATCTGGGCGAGTCAACATGCGGAAGTACCTGCTGCAACGCCGCACAGGAGTGCCAAGATGGCGTGTGTGTTGCTGAGAGTTCTTCTGCAGCAGTCACTGGCACAGAGGCTACGCCCGGTGTACGAGGAACAAGCAGTGGTGCGAGCACTGTGACGGAGACATCAGCTCCCACCACGACAGAATCATTCATCGCAGCCGTTGGAACCGACGGCGCAGATTTGATCGGCGCCAAAGCCAGCAGTAACGGAGGCGGACTGAGCGGCGGCGCAATTGCAGGCATTGTAATCGGTGTGCTCGCCGGTGTGATTCTGCTCTTGCTGCTTTGTGGTTGTCTCTGCTTCAAGGGAGCCGTGGACGGCCTACTTGCAGCACTGGGCATCCGCAAGCGCCGCAGACGCGAGACGACCTATGTCGAAGAGCGCCATTCTCACCATTCGCATGGCAGTCGGCCCCCCCCGGCTAGGCGTACCTGGTTCGGCGCGAGACCGGCGGCAGCAGGGACGGAAAGCGATGTTAGCGAGAAGAAGTCCAAGTGGAGCGGCTGGGCTACCGTCGCAATTATCCTGGGTGCGCTGGCTCTGTGTTTGGGATTGAAGAGGCGCAGAGACGAGCATGAGGACGACGACAAGACGAGTTACACGTACCCGAGTTCGTACTATTATTCGGACTACACACGGAGTAAGTTGAGCACTGAATAGAGTGAATTTGACAATCAGAGCCATACTAACTATTCTAACAGGTAGCGAAAGCTCCGGCGGTCGAACGCGAGACACACGGCGGTCGCGACGATCTCGCAGGAGTTCACAACGCTGATGATGGCGATGACAGAGACAGCAGATAGCCAAAGACGTGTTCAACACCGCTGCGTTCTGCTCTTTTCTCATCTTCCCGGAACTTCAATGATTTATGCATGAAAAGGCGCAACGTTGTTATGTTAATATGATTCATGTACCATTACGACCACTCTATGTTTTTTTGTTTTTGCGTGTGATGCTATTGCTTTTTTTAACGTGAATATGAGCTTTGACTTTGGACATGGAGGTCACGTCGCCTGGCATATTCATGGACACGATGTGATGTACATATGAGATACGGGAACTCCAGACATAAAGGAGAATTGAATGGTTTATGAAGACCTTGCAGATGTTGAGATGCCGGGGGCGGCAGGTGACGTTGACTCATACCTTTTTGTAACTGCTCTTCTGACCTTAAGAATGCATACTAGAGAATCCAGTTAGCGCATTTTTGCTCATCAGTTTCTGGGCATGTGTTAGATAAATATCGATAATAGTGAGCCCACGACATGCTTTGACTTGGCTTTTCACTAGATCGCGAATAGGCCCACCTTTTACGGAGGACTGACTGTCACTCTGCCCGACAGAATCCATCTAGTAATTACCATCTAGGAGTCCTAAGCTGCCTATAGAAGGTTAATATGGTAGTTACGGGCTGTTGCACAAAGCAGAAAGCCGCGATTGGGGCTAGCCTTGCAGGTACAATGTGCTCAGCTCGCAAGGATGACCCCCCCCTCCCCCGGCGCCATCTGCACGATCGATGCAGAAGGGTAGTCATTTCCAAATCCCCAGTCTAGCTCATGGCAGTCAGCTGAAGGAAATATAGTGTAGCTGTGAAAGCCAGAATGTGATTGTGCAGAGGTGGTGTTCCCCAGATGTTCAGCTATGCAGCACATCTGAAGAGGACCGAGTGCGACGGGCGCACGCACAAAGGCTTAGTGGACACTGGCCGGGCATTTCTCCCCGCCTTCCCGACCCGAACTTCTCTTCTTCTCCCTCCCTTCAGGCAACGCTCACTTTTCCCCCCACGGGTCTCCAGCGCCAATTCATCAATGACCCTTGTCTTGAGTCAAGTCTGCTGACCCCTTTGTCTTCACCATTTTTCCTATCCGGAACTGCCTTTCTATAGCCGTGGTCCTCCACGAACCCCGACCCTTCGGAGTATTACGAGATCCCGGAACCCGACTCACCATCGCTCGCCATGCTCCAAGCGCAGAGCCAACACGTCTTCTCGCACCAGCATCAGTACCCTCAAGCTGATCCTTCGTGGCTGCAGCATCAACAGCAGCAACAGCAGCAGCAGCACCACCACCAGGCCCAGCCACACCCCCAGCAGCAGCAGCAGCAGCAGCAGCAGCGGCAGCAGCATGCCTCCCTGGTCGCCCAGCAGCATGCTCAGGTCCAGGCCGCCGCGGCCGCCGCACAGCAGCAACATTATGGTCGCCTTGCCATGAGTGGCAACGGGGCAGTGAACCCTGCGCAGAGTGCTGGTGCTGTCGGTGGGATGGGCGGCGAGGGCCTTGCGAATGCGGTCTCCGTCATGGACGGCGGAATCAGCGAGGAGAATCGCAAGGTCTTCATCTGGGTGGCAGAACTTCTGGACCCAGCTCGTCGTGAGACGGCGCTGATGGAGCTTAGCAAAAAGCGGGAGCAGGTCCCCGAGCTGGCTTTGGTTATTTGGCATTCGTTCGGTATGATCCCCATCACATCGTGGGGGCGACCCTTCCCGACCGAGACTGACCCATCGGCAAACTTGCAGGTGTCATGACTGCCCTTCTCCAGGAAATCATCTCGGTCTACCCCCTCCTGAACCCTTCTCAGTTAACTGCCGCCGCATCAAATCGAGTCTGCAATGCGCTGGCGCTCTTGCAGTGTGTCGCATCCCACAATGAGACTCGCACTCTCTTCCTGAATGGTAAATTGACAGCCACCACCGCCCAGTCTCTCGAGTAACGAAACTAATCCCTGCTTTCCTTGTGTCGTACAGCTCATATCCCCCTGTTTCTCTATCCTTTTCTGAACACGACCTCGAAATCTCGACCGTTCGAGTACCTCCGTCTCACATCTTTGGGCGTCATCGGAGCCTTGGTGAAGAATGACTCATCAGACGTTATTAACTTCCTTCTCACCACCGAGATCATTCCCCTCTGTCTTCGCATCATGGAGACTGGGTCGGAACTCAGCAAGACTGTTGCCATCTTCATTGTCCAGAAGATCCTTCTCGATGACATTGGCTTGGCATACATTTGTGCGACATATGAGCGGTTCTATGCCGTTGGCACCGTCCTCAGTAATATGGTCACTCAGCTGGTTGAGCAGCAGACGGTTCGGCTTCTCAAGCACGTCGTCCGCTGCTTCCTTCGGTAGGCCCTATTTTCTCTATTCCCGACTGGATCCAAACCCCTCTTCTAACAGCAGATATAGTCTCAGCGACAACAGCCGGGCCCGCGAGGCTTTGCGGCAATGTCTGCCCGAACCACTCCGTGACGCGACCTTCTCCTCCGTCCTCCGCGACGATGCAGCCACTAAGCGCTGCCTGGCCCAGCTCCTAATCAACCTGTCGGACAACGTTTCTGACGGAGCCTCGGCGGCCATGTAACATATGAAAACGCATTTTCTTTCTTCGCAGGATATCCCTTTTTTTTACACATTACGATATGCATGGGGCAGGTTTCAGGCGAGTATCGGTCACAAAGGCGCAAAAGTTGTGGGGAAGCACTTACTGGACCTGAAACGACCATTGCCGCCATTTTTTTTGACGACAATTGGGTCTATCAGCTGCTTCCTCTTTGTTCTTGGTTTTACTGCAGTATTTCTTCTGGGATTCTTTCCGAGCTTCGGTGATTTTCGTGTCGATGGGAGGGGACTCATGTATTCCTATGTCCTTGTTGCCTTTTCTTCTTGCATCTTGCTTTTTCTTTTCGGACATGCTTGCCTTTTTGCCTTCCTCTTGTCCTCCTTTTCGTGGCGCTTGTAGTCGGGTGGTGTGGGTTTCTGGTCGGCGCTGTCGTTTGCATTATTCTCCTTGTCCTTGACGGTTCCCCTATTGCTCTATGAGATAGACCTTGAGCCAGAGATACCACTGTCCAGTCGTTGATTTGATGTGTTCTGTTTCTGTTTGTGTCTGGGGTTCTATCTTCATGTACATGTGTGCGAAAGAATGTATTTTGACTATATTGTACCGGCTATGAGGCGCAGTTCATCGTAGGCTGGCCCTCTCTTTCTGTGTAGGCAGTGACTAGTTAATCACCTATCCATTGGGCCACAGCCCTGATCACAACAATTGGAAAATCGACCTCACACTTTTAGTTCTCGAAAGAAACCAATTCAAATCCCTGGAGCACATGCAGCCCTTCCATACTTCACTCTTTCCACTCCATTTCGCCTGCCCGTCGCAAACGCGACACTCACGTGACGCGCCCGTCTCGACGCGCCTCTGGCTGAGCCCATCGTCGCCTCTTGACACGAGAAAAAAAGACAGACCGTCCCCCCTTCGTCTTTCGAGTCACTTCCTTTTTGGATACTATTTTTCACAGATCCACACCGGTGTGACTGTGATCCTCCCGCGCATTGCCCACCCTCTCCTACTGAATCCCCTTTGCCAACCCCCGGCCCTCACGGCCTTGTCCCGCCGCCGCGATGGGACCGCGAAAGCGCAGCCGCTCCGAGGCGATCGCTGCCCCCGAGGTGCAGCCCGTGGAGGAGCCTGGACTGCTCCAGCGCATCCGAAACAGCTGGGAATTTGCCAACGTTATGCAGTACATCCATATCTTTGGACAGATCATGAAAATTGAAGAGGAGTTTGGAATCGAGGTATGTTCGCTCAGTTATCATCCCGTGGGGCTTCGGCGCATCCCATCGCACCGATGGGTGAGATGGAAATCCGCGTGCTGCCCTGCTCTGGCCGATTTTAGGCTAACTTTGATTCATCTAAATCCAGGACCTAGAGGATGAATGCCTCAAGCCCGAGCCTTCGCACAAATTACTTGAGATCGGACTTTGCATGCTGAAGTGGATTTCGTCGCATCGCGGCTTAACGTACGTTGGATAACGCGATTCTTGTTGGTAACACAGGGGTGGGCTGACGGTGCAATGCAGGTTCGAGAACTTTGATGAGTACACCCGACGCCAGTACAATGCAAAGGCTCCCCACCTCCCCAATCCGTTCGGATACGAGGAGGAGCCACTTCGGTTCCTCGATTTTGATGTATTTTTGAAACTGGGCGTCCTCCACCAGCTGTCGGTATGGACCTTCTGGAACCCGGATCGCATCCGCGAGAAGATGCCCGAGAAGAAGGACTCCGAGCAGTTACAGTGGGCAAGTTGCATTCTCTCCATTCGCTACGATGACCATGTTGTCTGACTTCACTAGCGCATCGAAGAATTTGGATATGACCGCGATGGTCGATCCTATTACGTACTAGACGACAACCGTCTCTACCGCCGCACCGACCCTCCCATTCCCGCGTCTCAACGACCTAAGAAGAAACCCAAGAGCAGGTCCTCTCGGGGATCCCGGGCGTCAAGGAGAGTCTCTGGTATCGCCGCGGAAGAAGCATCCGATGGGGAGAACAAAAACGAGGACGAGACCAACGTCTTTCCTAATTTCAAATGGGAGTGTGTCGCTGTCACCCTCCCAGAGTACAATGAGTTCCTGGACACAATTCGGAAGAGCAAGGATGCCGACGACAAATATCTGCGTAGCCAGATCGAGGAGCACATTTTGCCCTTGTTGGAAAAGGCCGAAGAGGCGCAACAGCGCAAGCGTATCAAGCGCGAGAAGGAGCTTGTCCAGATGCAGATGCTTGCCGGAGCCAAACGGTCTAGTCGACTTGCTGCCAAAGAAGAGAAGGAGCGGGCTGATCGCGATGCTGCCGATGCTGCTCGGAAGCGGGAGGCGGATTTAGCTGAAGCTCGCAAGGAGCAGGCACGACAACAACAAATGGAGCATGAGCGTAAATCCCGCATGTTGACCCGCGAGCAGCGCATCAAGGATCGCGAGCACAAGCGTATCCTACACGAAGCTGAGCTTGAACGCATTGCTGCCGAGCAAGAGAGGCTGGAACGCGGCGAGGGAAGAGTCTCTGCGCGGAATCTCAAGGCTGAGATGGAAAAATCACAGAAGAACTTGGCGGATCTTACTCAGGAGGACCAATGGATTTTCGACTGTTCTGGCTGTGGTGTACACGGGGAGAATTTGGTAAGCAAAACTTTCCTTTGCTGAGCACTCTGAGCACTCGAAGCAATTCAGATCTAACGATCTTCCAGGATGATGGAAGTCATAGCGTTGCATGCGAGAAGTGCAATGTTTGGCAGCATAGCAGCTGTCTTGGTATCAAAAAGGCAGATGCCGAGAAGGATGATTTCCACTTCGTCTGCGCTGACTGCAAGCGGAAGGAGGAGGAAGCCAAACGTCCCAAAATCCCACCATTGAAGTTCCGAGTCAGCGCATCCGCATCACCATCCGCAGCTCCAGCTGGTCATAAGGCCAAACATGAAGGTCATGAGCGGGTTCCGCCTTCTCCGGTGAAGCACACTCACAATGCTCTGTTTAATATTCAAGACGGGCCTGTTCCTGCGAAGCCCAGCAACCCGTCTATGCTTCCTTCACTCACTTCGCACCACCAGCAATTTGCCCAAGGGCAAAGCCAATTCTACGTTCCTCTATCGCCTCAGCGTCTTCCTCACCCTGCAAACCATTCTCCTCTTCCGTCCTCGAGCCCTCCTCGCCCACCATTCTCACCTTCAAAGGGCTCAAATGGCCCGACTCAGCCGGCCACAAATCTCCAACACAGATTTGGACCGGGTCCTGGTCAGCACATCTTGCCCCCTATGCAGCCTGGGCCTCATCTCCCGCCGATTGGATCTTTCCATTCCGCGCGACCTTCTTCCTCTCACTCTGGATATGGCCCAACCCAGAACCAGCCCTCTATGTCACCTACGCAGGGCAACCCTGACGTCGGGCCCCTAGCCGGATTCCCGTCTGGGGCCTCGACCAACGGACCAGGCCCGTGGACGTCATTTGATAGCTACGCCACCCCGCGTCCTCAATCTGGTCATGGAGGCACACCTGCCATGTCCAGCAACTATCCATCTTTCAACTCTACTGCAAACTCGAATGGTTACCATTCGTCCCCGCCTCACAGCTCGCACGGCATGAGCATGTCTGGAATTAGCCCGACCAAGCAGTCCCCTCGTCCCATCACCGCAGGTGGCATGGCTGGTGCTCCGGTGCTTCCTCCTATTCGCAGACTGGAGCCAAGTCCCAAGCTGATGGGCCGAAGCTCGCCTGATGCACCGATCCCGGCGCCGATGAAGTGCATGACTCCCGAGCAAGAAGAACGTCGCCAGCGGGAGAACGCGTCTCTGCTCCAGCATGGTCAGTCCTTCTCGGCCAATGGCCAGTCGGCTCTGATGTCATCTCCATCCATGAACCGTATTCCTCCGCTGGGCCCGGCTGCTCATGCCCAGCACCCCGAGCCCGTTCCATCACCTCAGCACGGTGGACACGTGCCCAGACAATGAGTCCGGGCAAGAACGCCAAAAGTGATTTTTCGTCCACGAACCACTCCAGATCAGATTCCCAAACCCAATGAAAGAGCAAGTGGGGTTGACAGGTGCCTCGACGTTGGTTTTGAGGTTGGGGCTAGTGTTCGTCACTCTGCTATGGACGCGAATGGTAGGTATCCGGAGTTATTATCCCCAGATCACCCAAACGACAACCCCTTTCCCGACATGGGGTCGAGAACAGTTGAAGATGCACAAAGAATTTTGACTCGTTTCGCATTTCACATTGACGGGTTCTATCCCTTTTGGGAAGATACTTTCGTTCCACGCTGTGAATCGCAGCGTCGCTCCTTCCAATCTGCTGGAGAATACATTTGTACTAAAAAACCTTTTTGTCTTCGTTCTGCTTTGGAGATTGAGCAGAATCCTCCAGAACTACGGTCTTAATGGCGTTGAGTTTTTTGTTTCCTTTCTGATTTGAACGAGCATTAAGATGGTCGGACACTTGGGCGTTTTCAGATGGCCATTGGGGTGGTGTTTCTCTTTCCTTCCCGAACGGTGGGCTGGGATCATGTGTACTGTAATAGAAGAGTTCTATTTTGATTTTTGACGGTGCGATTTAAAAACACTAGTGAATCATACAATGACCAATGGATTTTGCACGTCTCTTGCTTCATAGTAGCCACCGGTCTAATTGTAAACCTCGGGGAGGTCGACATCTTCTCGCCCCGATCTATACCTGCATGAACTTCCTTTTTCGGGCTGACAGCTGGTTCTGCGGACGCTGTGCCCCTCCCCAAACAAAACTATTATCACGCAGTTGCTATTCCAATCGATTGATCAAGACGCACTTATAGCTCAGTTGGCAATGCATACCGGAATCTCCATGCCGCTGCAATTGCGGCAGTGACACCTGTACCCCGATCGCATCATCCGGCCATCACGGACGGCTCAGTGCGCCGCAAAAGTACGAAATGCTTGGAATATCCAACTCCGACAGTGGTTCCCGGCACTAGTAACGCATAGGACCCCGAAAACGAAACTAATACAGTAGATAGGTACAGACCAGAACAAATACAGTCAACCTCATCCACAAAATAATCAAACCCAAGGCCGTGTGCTTTCCCTCCATCACACACTAAGCATCCACTAACCTATCTAGCTAGAAGTTTGGTTCACGACACGGCCCCTCGTAGGCGGTGGCACTAACAGACGCGCGCGATCTACATCGTGCAGTTGGCCCGAGCGGAAGCCCCCTAGATTTATTTCCTCGCACAGTTCCCCGTGCATGTGCTCGCGGGGGGGGGGGGGGGCATACCCCTCCGTTGCCGAAGATACTCGGTAGTCCTCCCCCCCCTGGTTGACCTATCACCTCTTCACCCCTTCAGGCTGATATGCACAGTCTATGCATGACAGTTGATCTATCGCAGGCTTCTGATTCTCCCACCAGCACCCGGCACAAACAAACACGGACAGAATAAGGATGGCGCTGCGACGAACGCCTTGACCGTGCGTGGCAACCTAGCGGCCCCGGAGCTGCCGATCCTTCTGAACTATGTCGGGGACCCGTGCATCCATGGGGTTTCGCCGAGACAGAGTTACGTCCTCTCTGTACTTCGTGCTTCGTATATGCTATACGGTCCTGGACAGAAGAGAGCAGGATGCCGAACCCCGGAATATCCCGATCCTGCCTGCGCAACATCGAGTCCCCGCTAGATCGTGTTCGCCTGAGTGTTCGCCTAGTCTTTGCAACTGGAGTTAGCCTGGCCCGGATGGATCGATCCGTACAGAAAAAGGTCTCTAGCCTCCTGTCTCCTGTCTCCCTGGCCATCCATTCTCCTCCCCCATCCCGCGTTCCCCGGGTTGGATGCAGCCTTACCGGAAGCAGACACGCCGGCAGACTGCATTAGTACGGTCGCCAGGCGTTGGTGAAGGCCCGTTGCGCTTTGCAGTTATTGTGAGCTGGGGATTCTCAGCCCGGTCTGCCACCGGCGTGATTGAAGGGGGTTCAATTTGCGACGGCTACTATCATATCCTGAAATTGAGAGTCGCGTCTCCAGCCTGGCGTCTGGCGTGTGAAGGTGTGAAGGTGTGAAGGGCGGGGCCATGACAGAACATTACTACCCACATTTCTTTAGTTCAAGGTGTCTCGACAGACATGCCTCTCCCCGAGTCAGCGCTGCATAATGGTAGTGAGTTCATTGGGCTAGCTTGACTCGCGCAAAGGGGGTCAAAGTCATCAAGGTCAGCAAGCCTATAACGGACTTAACTATAGTAACACCGGACGCGGTGAGTGGCAGTTGGCGATCTTTCCAATCTATGTACTTTCGCATACTCTCGCTCTCCTGCGTTTCCCCTTTTCTCTCTAGGGGCCCCCTGCTCCTCCGCCGGGGCTGCATCCCGCATTCAGACCTTGTAGAGTTGTGAAAACCGTTTAGTAGGACGATCTCGATCATAGCTATTTCCACCGCTCCACTTCTCCCGCCGGCACATCCACTCATGCAGCTCTTTCCGGGGACCGTGGCCCCCGCCTAGTGTTGGTCCGTCTACGGCGGAGGAGTGCCGGGCGCGATCCGGACGCTCGAGCGCCGGATTTTGTCAGGAGGCCGGTCGGAGGGACCGACGATAATGGCAGGGAAGCATTTTCCCCTCTTTGCGCACCAATAAGCATCTCGGCTGCGAGGGGTATGACCTTGACTATCGCGGACGATTCGTATCTGCCGTGTCCAAGTATGGAGAAGGCATGGCCCGGTACTGACTAGTCCGGAAGGCAAAGAAAGGAAGACTCAGGGATTCAGGGATTCATGGATTCAGGGATTCTGGGTGAGGTAATTTTCATTTGACAGTCTGCTGCCGTTAGCTCTTGGAATTAGTCTTGTTTAGAGACGTCTGTACCCAGGGCCTGTCGTTTTACTGCTTTTGCGCTACTGCAGGGAACTGGTCTGACAGAGAGCATGACGGCTGAGGAGACAGTCATCTTGTGATACCGTTTTTATGTAGCTCTATATCTATCCTTCTCCTCCCATACCTGCGTTGTCTGGTAGCCGTTCTAAACCGATGCCAAATTCCTTCGAATGCCTTTGCGAGATATAGAGCTCAAACTCTGTATCCCGGGTCGAGGCCCATCTCGACGGTCCCGCACGAGGTAGACCGGCACGGCCGGCGCGTAAAGTACGGCGCTCCGCTCATCTGCCAGGGCACACAGGGCGAAATGGATTCAATGGCCTAGTGGACCACAGGAGGCCGCTAGCATCTGGCGCCGTCCGGCTGAGCTCGGGGTGCGGGAGGGCGGGAGAGCGACGCGTATAGAGTGGCTCAGAGGGAGATGTGACGAGATGGACCATCGCCGTCACATTGCCATCCGGATCTCCATCGGTCAGCATCATCCTACTTTTTTTATCGATCGTGCACTCCGTGAATGCTGAGTGATGCTGAGTGATGCCCTAGTTTGCAACCCCCGCAAATGTCGAACCAGGGGATATGCCGCCCCAAAGTTGACCGAAGACGAGAGGTGGTTCGGAGCTGCAACCTCAACGGTGACGCGTTCGTGAATTGCTGACGACTCGGGGCAATGATCTAGCGGCTCGGTGACTTTCTGCTTTTCGGCTTAGGAGCCTAGTACGCGCACACATGACTGAACGGTCATGCTAGCAGCCGTCACCGGCCCCGCTAAAAAGTGATAGGGGCCAAGCTGTTGGGGGGGGGGGAAGGCGGGGCGAGGACTGTCGTGCCTTCTCTAGCGGCATCGAACACGATCTGGTGTGTTTATGACGAAGGCACCTTCTGTCTTTACCTAGTCAGGAGGAGAGTCCGGCGGAAAAAGGATGTCCGGCCCCGGTTCAGGCCTCGAGATGAAGATGATGCTTGTAGGCCATGGGTGATTGGACACGAGCTCGAAGGGCAGTTGGGGGGGGGGTTTCCGAGTTGGTTCCTTCTAGTGGCCACGATGACAGCGCCATGCAAAATGCTCTGGTGACCTGATTGAGATCGTCGTGCATCTCCCTCCTGCAGCATTCCGCTGCTTCCACTGTTCGTATGGGGGACATCATAGATGTGCTCTGTGGACGCAGCCTCGCTCTATTTAGACGGCATCAGCCAACACACGCACTGATGCCCCAAACAAGCCATGTGCATGGCGTAGACACAATAGATAACCATAACCACGTGGCGATGCATAATACTTAGGCGTTGCATCGGGGACTCGGGGAATCGTAGCACGTAGCAAAAAGCCGGAGTGAAGCCGCCATGGTCGCGCCCCGACCCCTTCCTGCGCCGCTATGCCCCCTTCCACCAAGATCGTAGCTCCACCAAAGGTGATGGACGGACGGGAAGAAAGCTCACTCGCCGTTCGGACAGTCGATTGCCGCACGGGAAACGAGTTCATTCGTCCATGAGATGTCGGCACCCCCTGGCGAGATGGGCCGGAGCGAAAACCGAAGTTAATAACGGTGAACCAGGCCAGACGGGGAAAGGTCGATGGCTGAAGGCGATGAACCGGCGGAAAGCGGCCGAAACTCGGTCAATCAGCGAGGATGGTCGATACGCGCTAACCGCATTGTGCAACCGACACTAGGTGCGCTTGCCGCCGCGCCAATGGCGAGAGCCACTTGGTGTTGGTGATAACATTTCTCGTTCGTGCATTGGGGTGGAAAGTTGGCAGTTGCCTCTTGAGAGTGCACAGACACGCACGAGTCATGTCCGCCAGAAAAGGCTTTTCTCACAGCCTGACATCCTGGTATAGTTCGGTCGACCCCGGCGTCGTTCAGCCCTCCTGTCACTTGAACTGCCGAGGACGGGCGCTGCTCGTCAGAGGAGCGGTCAGAAGGAAGGGGTTCGATCGCGATGGCGTTGACAGACCGTTCCACCTTCCTTTCAAGGCGCTGCTCACGTCGATGCGTGAGACGATGGCTTGGAAGCATCTCTTCTCGCGCTCGTTTCTTTCCCCGGGGCGATAAAGAACAATCCAGACTTTTTCTGTTTTCGTATGCTCCGGACAGGGTGAAGTGTCCTAACGCCGACACCGTCATGGAGAGTCATGCTTCATATGACGGCAGACGTGGTGGAAGCTAAGCCCCACTCGAACCACAGCATCAATCCAAGTTCTCGGCGATGGCACCCCGTGGGGGCAGGTAAACGAGGTCAATCCGTCGACCTGCGCAGAACATCAGCGTCGACACGGTACTTTGGGCTATTTGGCTCCTCTGAATGGTCAGCAACAAATGGTGGACAGTCGTTGTTTTCTATCTGACCAACTGGTGGCGGATTCGACCACGCGGGGAGATAGGGGATGTCCGGGGTTGCTGTGGATTCAGCTTCAGCGAGCAGCACGATACGCCCAACCCCATCTACGCAACCTATCACCCTCTACGCCCATAGTTTTGGCTGCTCCCATATCAGCAGCCGTTCTCCCAGGCTCTTTCAAAGCGGCGCAGCGGACAGGAATAACAACATCTGAAGCACGCTGAAACATAGGTTGGGATGGACATGGGATCTCGGCCGGATCTGGCGATCAGGAGGTATTGCTGAAACGCGCGTCTGGCAGGGAAGAGCATGAGACTATGAGACCGCGGGAAACCTGGGGGTTCCATAGATACTCACCGCAGTGCCGCCAGACCACGAGGGTATTTGGAATCAGAGAGGTTGGCGTTGATTTTCTTTTTCTGATCGGCTTGGCACCCGGCTGACCCTTCTAGAAGGCATTGATAGGGTTCTTCTAGTGGAGAAACCTTGCAGATGAGCCAGTTCCCTGCCTTGCCAACCACGATCCAAATTTGGACAACGCCCTGCAAGGTTTGGCAGGCCACATGGGTCTGACGGTCTGAGCCCCTCCGAAGAGTCTCCCCGATGGCATCTGACTGGCCCTACCGGCATTTAGAAGGCTGAGGGGGTTCAGAGCTCGAGTCTATACAGTGGGGCACCACGTTCCAAACTCCGGCTCGCTTTCAGGAAGAGGAGGCGGATGCGCCATGTTTCGAGAACACGGCCCCTGGTGAACAGGGTAGAGTGCTGACAGCACCGTCGCTTGCAGGCGGAAGATAAGCTCTAGCCAGCCGCCCACAGGACTCTTTTTGCGTTGACCGGGCATCCACGCGACGCATGCACGACTCAGCCCTCAACCGTGTCTAATCTGTGAACTATATCGCCAGAGACCCCCTTTTCTAACCATGGTTCTAACGCCCCAACGACCGAGCGCCCGTCGAGCGTAATGCCGCATTTAGACGGCTATCAAAGAAATGATCCCTGCCCTAGGCGGCACGAGGTGGGACAAGGGTCGACAAAAACGTGGCCGGGCGTTCCTGCGTGACTGCTTCGGGGAGCAAGAGAATCTCGCGCGAACATGATCGTCCAGCCTCGCAGGAGTTCATGGCAGGGACCCGACACGGCCCTTTGACATCCTCCCCGCCGCCCAAAAGAATTATGTGGTCTGTGATGATCCTAGACTCATCCCGGGACAGGGCGCAGAGGATACCTGGTCGAGTCCCCTGTCACTTGTCGCTTGTCACTCATATCTTGTATCCTTCGAGCCAGTCGGCCCATCAGCCCGTCAGCCCACCCTGGCCGCTCCGCGTCTGATCCTGTTGCCCCCTCGAGGGGTTTGCGCTGCATCTCCACTTCAAACCATAGGCATTGGTCATCTCTGGTCCGGCCGGTTGGCATCTGTAGCGCCATCTGTGATCAGTCTATTGAACTCTCGAAATCATTCTAGAGGATTAGCGATGATGGGAGGGCGTCGGTTTTTGGCGCGTCAATCCACCCCGGCCCACGTGACTGGGGGCGCCACAGGGCGAGGATCGCCTTGGGGATGCTGCGCATCCAATCTCAACGACCAGGTTGCACGCCTGCTGGTAGGGGTGAAAGTGGACATCATCCCCCAAATAGGCCTACACTTATCATGCTAGACCGTTCCTGGCATGTTCAGTTCATCGTCCAGTCCAGACCGGCCGGATCTAGCACCCAAACGCCAATTACACCAATCAACGTGATGGTCGGGGATGGTGGCGGCTTGGGGGGGATGCCCGGACGGAACGCACTCCACATCTGCCTGTCAAATTCTTTGGTCCAACCCGCGTCGATCAGGAGGATCGTTCTCCACCCGTGCCATGAGTAGCCGAGCCTGTCCTGGCCGGCCGGAACCCCGTAGGGTTGACCCATCGTAGCCCTCCCCGAAATCAACCTCGAGCCTGACGGGTTTTAGGGTGTCGTTCTTGCCAACCGTGCGAACAGCCGAACGGGCCTTGAAAATCAGCGAGACTTACATTTCCTCCTTGGATCTTTCGAGCCCAGGTCCTCTAAACCGCGGTCGCCTCTACCGCAAGCCGTTGGATGTCACCCGGCTGGCCTAGAGTCTGGCTTGCCCTAGGCGCTATGCTTCTGAACAGAATGCAGAGGCGCTCAGGGCACTGACCTTGCTCGCAAACGATGGTTCGAGGACGGTGTGGCGTGGATTTAGTATGTTTGTCGACGGCGGAAGAACGCACCTCGCAAATCAGAATAGCCCACGGGGCTAGGGTGTTCACGAGTTAGTGTAATTTAATTCATGTTTTCACAGATCTCGTCACTCCATCGGGTTTGACACCCGTTACGAAGTGTTTGCGGGCTTAGCTCAGGCTATTGGGCGCTAGTCGTTTATGTGCAAATTCCTCGGCTTTCGGTGTGCCCAACATCCAACAGCCTCCCCCCCCCCAAATCCAACAGACTAGGGGTCTTGCTGCGGAGTGTACCGAGTCGACGAAGTACGGAGAGGATTGGTGGTGATGCTGCTGGCGTTATGGACGCTATATTTACTTTCTGTCTGCGTTCCAGAATCAAGGGCCCCGGTCCTTGCCTCAAAGAATTCTATCCTATGTCACTATGTTTGGCACAGAAGTGTAGCAGAAAACTGGGGCATAAAGCGCCGCTCTCATCCTCTAGATGGGGGCGCAGAAGATGTGATGCAGATTTGAAAGCCTAAAATAGTCGTCAAAGAACAAAATAAAAATACAGGGCCGCCGACCAACTGTGAGCGACAGAGGGGGGCCGTTTAGCAACAAAGACACCAATCGACAAGAGCGCCCCTCCAGTAGAGGGGCAGAAGCATAAGAAATAATACTGGGACGAAAAATGGTCCAAAAGCCGAGAGTGAGAATAAAAATTAAAATTAAAATTAAAATCAAAATCAAAATCAAACTCAAAATCAAAATAAAAGTAAATAATAAGAATAAATGCAGAAGAAAAGGCGGCACTAACGGCGACGTAGTGGACTACGCCATCTGTGCCGTACTCCATACCCATCTTCTTGAGCCAGTTTCAGCCTCTGGTTCGTCTGTTCTGGACGGGTATTTGCAAGTGGAAAGCGATCTGCCGTCTCCCTCTTCCATACTCCCGCACCCTCTTCTCGCCCTGCTAGCGTTCACCTTCCCTGTCAGCCCTCTGCCTCTGTGGACCTCACTGCAGACCACATCTTGGGATTTTTCTTATTTATTCAAGTGGCCCGCCGGGTGGGACTCCTGGTGGACACCTCCTTCGATCATCAATCAACCATCTATACCTAAGCTCTTTCTGCTTGTTTGTCCCCCCCCTTCTACACACCTCCAGCTCTTATTCACTCCCTTCTCCCGGACAAAACCCGCTCTTCTCGCCGGCAACCCAATTGTGGTCGTCTGTGCCTGCTTGTCTCACCCCCCGTTTATCTGTACGGTGTAGGTGTCTAAGACCGGCTTCTTTCAGGAGGCTCTCAAATGAAAAACTGCCCTCCGCAGAGCCGGACAACAGCCACGCTACCGTCTTTCTACCTTCTTCTTCTCTTCCTTCCTTCCTTTAACTTTCTGGAAGGAAACATCATCTAGAACCCCCAATCAACCGCTGGTTTAGCGTGGCGATTATCCTTCCAGGGTCACTTGCGAACCGGCCTGCTCGTCAAGGTTACCGGTTCTTTTCCCAATTTTGGAGGAACGGTCTTCTCAGAGATCATCTACTGCCAGCATAACAATGAACACTGCTGTGTACAGCGGTGGCTTTCCACTCTCTCCTCCCCAGACGTCAGAGGAGGAGAGGACACCGGAACGACGTATGGAAGCCTCTATGGAACCCTACCCTCAGGTGCCAGGATATGGCGTCTCGAACCCTGGCCTGGAGGGGGTAGAATTGCACGATTGTGATACCAACCAGCACTTTCATCCTCAGCAAATGGTCAGTATTTACTGCGCTATCCTCGTTGAAATATTGTATCCAAAAGCTAATGATTTACAGATGTATGCACCTACATCTTTCTATGCCCCAACAAGCGACTATCCCAATTCCTCTTCGATGGTAAGCCTTGCCCCTGCGATGGAAAGTAGTCGAATTTGACTGATGGTAGCCAACCTCAAATAGCTTCCTATTAGTACGCCCCCGGCAGATCGGGTGCCTTCATCTTCGCCATCATGGTCTCCACCCGCTCGCAGCCAAAATCCAGCCTCCAAATCAAAGGTCACCAAGCCACGCAGCCAGAAGTCTCGTGGCAAAAGTAACGCGGCAGGAAATAGCCCACCTCTGAATCTGAGTGTGCCCCTGAGCGAAATGACTCAAAACATGGAAATTCCGGTCAAGGACATCGATGCCTACGTGAATCGATCAGTCGAGAAGCGACAAGAGGAGGCGAAAGAGAAAAACGACATCCCCCGGCCGATGAACTCTTTCATGCTTTACCGATCCGCCTATATCGCGCGCATCAAGAGTCTCCTGGGCGGGAACTGCAACCAGAATGTCTCCAAAGTGGCCGGGACAAGCTGGAAGATGGAGACCAAGCAGGTCCGTGACCAGTTTGAGGACTGGGCCAACACCGAGCGCCGGAACCACGCCACGTCGCACCCACATTACAAGTTCAAGCCACACAAGGGGCCGGCGACGACGACAAGGAGGAGCACTGAGCTCACTCCCCCACGGTCATCTGCGACTCCGGGATCGGTGGACCCGGGGAGCTCGACCGACTGGGGCGACTGCGACTACCCTCTGAAATCTATGACCCCCGGTATGATGCACGGCTACTCCCAAAGCTTCGATACCGAGTACATGAGCACCAGCCGAGGCTCGTCTCCCTTTGGCAGCCCTGAACCTATGCTGGCAGCCAATGGCTACATGCCCCCCAATTGGAACACAAGCTACCCGGCTTCTGGGCTCCCAACCATTCAGCCTAGTGCCTTGCACGGAATCGGATCTCACGTGGAGGAAATACACTTCCCTCGTGCTAGCCCGCTGCCGCAGGAAGCCCCATACAGCTCTTCCAACGGGTTGGCTGGCCTCCCCGGTGGCTCGCACCATGAACTGCTCCAGCCTCAATTCACCCAGTCACTGTCTGGCCACATGGACCCCCAGCTGCTCAGCTACTCCGGCGATGCTAGTACCCTCCCCACCACCACCGGATCTGCCCCAGTCCTCTCCGCCAACGGTTACACCATCTGGAACGAGGATCTCGGCGGCGGGTGTTACCTGCCTGCAGCACACTCTCGGGCCCCGAGCCCAGTCCCATTCCCACATACTGCTTGCTACGGCCCGACCATGCAACGCAACTCCTCGTGGGACGCCAAGTACTCTGACCCCACCCTCATGGACGGCTCGGCCGCGGGTGAAGTGGACTTGTGGTTTGATCACCCGCATCCATACTGAGACCGTGAATGAGGAGAAATGACTGATGCTTACGACCGAAGATGAGCGATGATGCGTGCGAAGCGCAATGTCTCCGGATGAATACCCCAATTCACAAACTGGCTGGTCCATGTCCTGGCACCTGAGTTCCCGGTTGAACCTGGGGTTCGAGACCGATGATGACTTGTAGGCTTTGTGGGGCAAAGCATGGAGGCGTACTGGAACGGAGTCGATTTTGCAAGGCGTCTCAAGGACGCCGTGGGAGTTCGGGCTGGGTTGGAGTTGCACGTCTCCTTCTGTCCTGTCTTCTTGTCCCCTGTTTTCTTTATCGAGATTGAGTGCCTCTTCTCTCCCTTGTTTATTGGGGTTCTGTCTATTTGGGGTGGGAGGATATCTGCTATTTCTGTTCTGGGTCTTGGTGTTGAGCTATCTACTTTACCGAGAATTCTCCAGGTAAAAGCTCTGCTTAGTCTTGATGGTGTTCCATGATGAGCGTGGGCTTGATGGGTCTATCATGAACTCTGTATTTGTTGGGTTATAAGCCCGAATAGAAACAACAGCCAATAAGACATTGCTACCAGTGGAGAGTCGAGTCACAAAAGCGAGTACGTATACGTATCCCGGGAGGTCTTATAAGCCCGTTGTTCTGTACAACAGTCATAACAAAATCTTTACTGGCTACTTTCCCTATGGCTTTTTCCGAATGTAGCGGGCCAATGCTCCATGAGACCCTGCCCCTTCCTTTCTCTTCGAAACTGTTGTAAACAATACGTGACCTAGCTAGAATTAATCGAGTCGTCTTCAGCCCTTCATAGGTGGATTTAGATCGGGCACCCCCACACACCCGGCTTACGGAAGATGTCAATCTGATCCTAAGTCAAATTCATTAACCCAGTGATCGTGGATAGTGGAGTTGACACGGTTGATCGGCCACTCCACGCTCGCCGTCAAGGCCACGAGAAGCGCCTCTGTGTGAGCGCGTCGGTCTGGTAGGCATCCAAGCAGAGCCACGGCCACCATGTCCTGGCCCCGAAGGTACTCCGCCCCGCGCGTCATCTCGAGCAATGGGGATACTCCGGTCGAGTGTTTATTCTCCGGAACCTGTCCATAGGATGTTCTGTGCTAGTCCTTCTTGTAGGGCCTCTTGCACTCAGGCCCGGATAAAGTCTGCCTGGTCATCGTGGCCGTCTGCAGTGTCTGCTCTACCGCGCTGTTACCGCTAGTTTAGGTCATGTCGAAAAGTGGCTCTCGGCAGCCGTGGGAGAGAACCGCTGCCAGCTGACGGCGCGGTCTGCAATGCGGCGTCGTGCCTGGGCCTGGGCGTGGGCCAACTAGACGGGCTGCCGCCCTGTGTGAACTTCTTCTATTCACGTTCATTGCTCCACCCAATATACGACCAGAGGAATCGCGTGTGAGAGGCACCTAAGATACTGTAAGCAAATCAACCCTCCCCAGAGGAAGTCCGGTCTGCCATAATGAGAGCTAGCCAGCCAGTCTGTCATTTGAGTAGTAATCCGAAAGCCACCCTACTGCAATTTGCAGGCCATCGCTGGAGGGGCAGAAAGACAGCTGTCGCTAAGCCGTGGAAAAGTGACTAATAGCTGAAGTTGGGACGGGGGGAAGAGAGATATAATTCTATTGGATGGATAAAATATTACCAGATTTGGAATAGAGTGTACGCCATGCCACGTCGGGCAGCTCGTGCCAATCGATGAGATAAAAGGAGAGACATGCCCCTCCTCTCGTCTGTTCTTCTGTAAAAGTTTTGGACATCAAAATGTCTTCGTTAGTTTCTCAGACCTCGCGAACGACTCCGTCGTCGTCGCCCCGTACGGGACAACGCACTTTGAAGTTTTCAACCGGTACTGAAGCCCGGCTTCATCGGCGATGGATCTTTTTGACCTACTCGCAGTGTTCACTTAACTCAAAGGATGAGTTCCAGGCTGGCTTCAGTGACATGTTGCAGGGAAATAAGTTGGAGGATACGACATTTTATGGATGTCGCGAGCATGACGATGGTAAAGGAACTAACTACTATGTGTTGGTCAATCTTGGGAAACAAGTGAACTGGCATTTCAGGTTTGCGCGGAGCCGCTTCCTTGTAGACGGCAACGAGTGTAAGTCCATTGACATAACCACTCCTCGCCCAAAGCAGAGCGTACAACAATTTATTGAGGACCGTGTCCTGGACTGTGAAAACGCGAAAGGTGGTGATTGTTTTGGGCAACGGCCAAAGTGCCCGTCTGAGAAACTGGAGCGGAAGCGCAGGTGTGAGGAGATTAATGAGCAGCCGATGGCACCGGTCAAGCTGTCCAAGCTGAAAACAGCGCAACCATCGAGAGCACTATCCACTACCTCTCAGGTAGATAAGAGTAGCTCAGAGATGATTGGACAAGGTGAGGCGCATTGTCAGGTGATGGCACTGGCTGGGCTTTTGGGTGGTGAAGCTACTGGCTCTGCTGTGGAAACCCCGGTCATGTTTGACCGGCGTCGACTTGACGCTATTCTTGCAAAGTGGGTCAACTGGGAAAGCGAAGTGGACGCTCTCCGGAATCGGGTTGGAGGATTCGCTCGAAATGAGCAGGAGTTCTATTCTAAAATAGTAAGTCAATCCTTATGCGATGCATCCTGTAGGGGATTTTGCAATAACTGAAACTGGTTTATTCGTATATACTGACAGCGTGCAGGTCGCGGCGAGGAAGAAGGTTCAGTACCTGGTCGAAGATTACTACACAGGATTTGAGAGAGATTAGTGTCCAATCTGCGAAGCGCATCGCCTTGTGGACTGCCACTTGGAGTTCCAAAGGATGTTAGATTCAAAGTTGGGGGTCAGCATGACCTCATGTCGGTATCACGATCGTCAGTGCGTGAAGATTGAGCAGAAAAGGTCAGTATCAGTTTTGTGCTCTTGCTGTACTAGATCAATAGGAGTGAAGCCGGATACAGGAGTGCTTGAATGATCTATTGTCAGGGAAATGGACATTTGCATTGTTTATTGACTCGTGGAGTATCACTGTGGCTAGCTGAGATCTGCGGCTCCTAAATGCCCCCCTCTTTGATTTGCATTCATTTTGCTAAACCTGGACTTCTCGGGCTTGAAGACGGGCTTATAGAATAAGCGACCAATAGTTGGACGCCTGCACGACAATTTTCTAGAGTAATGCCACGCGCTCATTCTTCCACTTCTGCCAATTGCGTTTTGTAGGACGGTCAACATGTTTCTATATGCATGTTATGTAATGGTCTGCACGCCAACACTGAATCTCATGGTGGATCATCTTATGCCTCCCCAGATGTTAAGCCAAGTATGCGGTGGGCGGCTCTTTGAAGTGGGTCACAGTACCCCTATAATCTTAGATACAGCTTGATGAATCAGAACAAGGGCACGCTGCTTAAAATCGAAGTGACATATGCCGGCAAGCATCGCCAGGCCTCGAGGCAGGCTTTGAATGGCTACTGGGCGGGCAGAGGAAGTCTGATACGGAACTGCAGAGCTTCGAGACCAGATGGAACATACTGAACTCTGGCAAAGCAAGCATCAAGATTGGTCATCATCCGAGCGAGAACCATGACACCGCTTGGTCATGACAGTATCCCCAAACTCGATAGCACCGCGAATACCATCACGTTGTTGCCTTGGGCTTATTGCCGGTTTGCCGTTATTGCTCCCTTGTCGGTTATAATTGGCGGAGGTGGTATATAGGTCTGCAAATGGACCTATAGCAATTAATGAAGGATGGAAAACCCAGTTAATTCAATGCTCAATGCTCCTCTCCGGTGGCCAGAACTGATTCTGCAGAGAAACACTTGTATCCAGCAACGCATCTACTGCATCTATTCAGGCCAACCGGCTTCACCGCCTTGGGATTGATAGCCCACCGCCCGTACGCAGCAGACTCACGAAAGCACTCGAGACTCCATCACCAACGGTAAACTACTCCAACACTACTGGCTGCCAAAACCTCACTTTGAGCCGAGCTCGAACACTGCTTAGGACTTGTCGATTGGCGACCCCGTCACAAAGCAAACCCCTCAATCTCCCCGCCCGACAAGCTACCCCTCCTCCCCCTCAACAAAGCCTAGGTTTCGCATAAAGCACCTCACCTTGCCTAACATGTCGATTCCCAACGAGGCCCTGCAGAAGGTGAGGAAAAGTGATCCCATGAAGGAGCTTCAGTATCATAGCTAGCACCCGAAGCCCCGGCATGCGGCCGCCCCGTGCGACAGATGCTAACAATCAGCTACCCCAGATTCTGCAAGAGATCGAAACCCGTGCAATTGCCTCGCAGCAGCAGATCGGAGTCACCAAGGCCCAGATCACCACCAAGCAGCGTGATATTCGCATGTTGCAGCTGACATCGAAGGAGCTGTCCGAGCTGCCGTCTGACACGCCGGTGTATGAGGGTGTGGGGAAGATGTGCGTTTTCTCTCCCTGACAGTCATCCTTGCATTGAACCCCTTCTTTCTTCTTATCCATTCTCACCGGTGTCATTCTGTCTTTCTCTCACGGACGCCAGCTGATCGCTTTTGGTATAGGTTCGTGAACGTCCCCATCGACACTGTGAACAAGCGTCTTACCCGCGAGAGCTCGGAGGCATCTTCGGAGATCACGAACCTCGAAAAGAAGCTCCATTACCACGAGACTACGTTCAAGAACAGCCGAGAGAACCTGGAGCAGATTTTGAGGTCTGGAGGCCGTGCGTGAGGCGTGGGATGAAAATGTGAACGCGATCATGGCGTTTAAAGGACACCGGTATGGAGAGAATACCTGCTCGGTTGATGGATATATTCAGCAAGGTCACTCTGAGCAAAAGCGACCTGTGCCATTGGTCTTCTATCCCTGCACTGTCAGACAGTAACACAGTTGGGCGAGTGCTTCTCAAGTGCAGGAGGTCATCGGGCTGGATCAGAAGCGGTGGGGAATTGGAGACTTCCCCTGAGGATGAATGGCTATATTTACGGGCTACTAGGCCCTAACCATGTCATTAAGCTGAATCTTGCTTTGAAAGAGCATTCTTTGTGGGCAATTCGGATACCCTGGAGTTTTATGTGCCACAGTGGCTGCACACGGCATGGACAGGGCCGCAACACGGGCCATTGTCCATATCCAAAAAGAAAGAGAAAATAGTCTATGACCATCATTATGATTCAAAAAGAAAACCTATCCTTCTACTCAAAATATGCTTCAAGGTGGCGCGGAAGGGGTACTGATCTTTACTTCCATCCCCCAGCCCTGCAGGAATTACGTGGTCCGATAGGAGCTTATGGGTGACATGGCCCAGTAGGACTGCTGCGGCACTTTGACAGCCACGAGGAATGTGCTAGGAACAGCCGTGGTCCCTATTAAGTCATGAACTGGTTACCGGAATGGGGTCCCAATGGCCAGGATAGCTTTTGGGTTATGCCAATCGAGCATCCACCCACAGCCCTGCAAAAGGCGAATCCAATCGACTGCAGAGAAAACATGTCGAGGTCGCTATTCTTCAAGCCAATGTACGAATAAACTACAATTTAGTACTGCAGCCTTATCTTCTTTAGAACAAAATCCGGCCACATCGCAACCTTAGCTGAGATACAGTTATTACTGGTGATCACCTCAGCCCGACCCTTCCCTACCGCCCGAAAACGACGCCCACAAACAGGGGGTGTGGCACCGTTACCACTCTAAGACATGTTTGCCGCCATCGTCGTCATCGCGGCGCTCTGGTTTCTACAGAGTCTGCGCCTAATGGGGAGGCAGGCCTAGCCCCGGCCGAATGTAAATGAAAGATGACGTGTGAGCACATCCCGCTAAGAGACACTTTTAAGATCAGCCGGGTAGATCCCTGTTCCGCACCGCCAATTGAGCGTACGGTATCTGGATGTTCCGAGGGACTGGGTGTGCTGGAGTGGCCTGGTTTTGAAATGGGAGGTCCCTACGGCTGGACTTTGACGGAGGGAATTGGGGGGGGGGGCCGGGGATCTATATCTCTCCCTTGAGAGGGGATGTCATCTGGGTAGCTCGTTGGTTTGCTACCGATCCACCGCAGGTCTGTGTCGTTCCTTAGAAACATCGACCTGTCCTTGGATGGATGGCAGGAGCTCTGTCGTGTTCAACATGTCCTATGGGAGACTACCGAGTGGCCCGAAAAGGATATGGACGCTATAACGCTATAATCAACTACGCTCCCATTCACGGCACCCGTCTCGCCCTCGTTTGTCCCGCTAGTTCTGGCCTGGTAGTATAGTATGCAATTGGGCGTCCTAACAAGAAACTCCATGACGAGCTGTAGAACCGCACACACCGGTACCCTGAGGTCTGGGGCCGGCGGCATCCACCTCTGTAAAGACACACCAGGTCAAAGGGGCGACCGCGATCTGAATTGTGCGTTGCAACCAGGGCTAGTGTGATCTCCTGCATTTCACGGCACGGCCGAGGACGAGGACGGGAACATGCGACCAAGTCGCGTGGTCCTTGGGTCACCTGCGGGAACACCCGACCGCGTCCCTTGGTTAGCGGAAGATAGTGTGTTAAAGAGATATTGGGGATATATTTGGGTCAGGGGCATCTCCTGCCCAAGTCCATCTGTTGGAACGCTGACGCTGCCCAATCACTCCTCTGCTTCATCAAATCACCCCCAGTACCCAATGACCCTCGCACCCACATTCCAGAACTAGGCCAACTAGGCCCATCAGCGTTCCCGCCACACTCAAATCAAGACCACCGAAGGAACAGAGAGCATGACAGGAGCATGACAGGAGCGAGAGCGCAGCCGAGATCGACCTTCGACTCGGTTTTAGGAGGCGCTGGCCCCGCTAGTCTACCGTTGAAGCGCCTAGGGGCGCTCTCGCGGGCGTGAAAATGCAGCCGCATCGGCGACCGTCGTGGGGACCTGCGCCAATCCGATCCTGAGAGGACTCGCAGACGCTGTCCGGTCGAGATAATGGAGGCGGAAAGAAGACATCTGGGCGGGAGTGGGGCAGGTCTGTTACACTAGTCTGGCTAGTTCACGCTGGGCTCCCAAAGTGGGGGGGGCCGCCCTCGGTGGCTGGAGGCGATGATGCTATCCCGCCCAAAACCTTGGAAGAGCGGGAACACAGAGGGTCTGGTGGAGGGTTTGGTGGAGGGGTTGGTAGCGGTTCGGGGGTGGTAGATAGTATATCAATGTGGCCGAGGATCGAGTATAGAAAGGAGGAAGGTCGGATAGAGGTTCAATCGACGTATCGCGCGGTTGGGACGAGGCGTCCAACAGCCTTATAGAAACGCCCAACGGAGTATACTCAGCAGGATCGGACCAGGCGCATGGCGATGATCGTGAGGCTGAAAGGCCTAGAAAGCCACTTCGTTCGCAAAATCCTACGTTTCTCAAATGCCAGCAGAGAGGCCTTTTGAATAAATAGCCGCCGGGCCTTTCCCTTCCCTTCTCCCATCCAGCCCCTCCCCCCGCCGTTCAGCTGACGATTGGCTTCACGCTCGTATTCTTCTTCGTCGTCTAGCCCATGCTTATCCTTACCCTAAATTTCCGCAACTAACTGGATTTGCCGCTTCTGCTGTGATCGAACCGTCTTCTCTGGAATCTTCCTCTTCTTCCCTTTCCCCTTCTTTCCCCTCCGCACCCCTCCTGTTATACCACTCTTTCCAACCCCCCCGCCACCCACCCCAAGTGCCATCGAGTGCTCAGGCCCTTCCCCCTCCATCAGGGTCGAAACTCGACTTTCCGCTTGAAAATTATTACTACCACCACCACACGTTCGTCTGATTTCGTCTGAAATCCCCGCGATCGCCCACCATGCCTCAGGAGATCTTCTTTGAGTCCGATGACTCGGAATTCTCCGAGACGGACCTGTCCGTCCACGGACGCAAAGGCCGCACCTCGTTTCGCCGGCGATCGATCTCCCGCCACCGCCGCCCCGAGGTGAGAGAGACGCTGATGGTGCCGGTCCAGCAATCCACCCGAGTGCACCGGTCGGCCTCGACAGGCGGGCGTCGGCCCCGCGACCGCGAGATCCCCGCCGTCATGATTGTGAATGAGCAGGCCCAGCGCAGCGACAACACCAACAGCAACAAGCCCCGCCGCGTCCAGCAAAAGGTCGTCGAACCCGACTGGGATGAGGAAGTGGTCCAGACCCGTCGCCGTGCGGCGAGCGGCATCTCTCGTGAACCCTCCCCGTACCACCGCGACACCGAACTCGCTATCAATCAGAAGCTCCTGGAGAAAAGCGACCTCCGTCAAGATCTAGAGATCTTCAAGCAGCAGCAGGAGATCGAACGCCTAGAGCGCGAGCTGGAGAAGCACCGCGAGCGGACTGAGCGGGCTGAGCCACGCGATAACCGGGAGTCCCGGGCGCTGCGCGAGGAAGAGGAGTGGTATGAGGATGAGATTAGTGACCGGCTGCGCCGCCTGGAGCGGTTCGAGCGCAAGAACCGCACCGAGGAGGAGCGGCGTAACGCGGAGAAGGCCTGGCGCTTGAAGCGGCTCGAGGATGCGGAGAAAGAGGCCGCCGAGCGGGAAGAGCTGAAGCAGAAAATCCGCGACGAGAAGTTGAAGGAGATTGTGAGGCAGAAGGAGGAAGAGGAGGAGCGCGACAAGCTCAAGCGCGAGATTCTCGAAGAGGAACGGCGCAAGGCGGTCGAGGCCGAAGAGAAGAGAAAAAAAGGAGCTCGCGATGAAGGCGGCTGCTGTGGAGGAGTGGAAGCTCGAGCAGGAACGCATCAAGCAGAAGCAGAAGGATGAGGCCCTCAAGAGGGACAAGGAGTTCCGGGAGCGCCTGCGCCTCGATCTCGGGTACACCGAGGAAGAAATCGAGCAGATGCTCACCAAGAAGAAGAAGGCGGAGGAAAAGAAGAAGGACGAGGAGGAGCATCATCACCACGAGACCACCGAGAAGACCACTTGGATCAAGGTATGGCCGCACCGCATCTGATCCGATTAGGGCTGCCATGATACTTACTCTCCCCAGGTTCACCGCAAGCACCTACTTCCCGAGACCCTTCTCGCCTACAATCTGCCTTGGGACTGGGACGAGGTAAGCATCCTATCTCTGCCTTGGCCGAGAATCACTGAACCATAGACTTTCACTGCTAACACCCTCCTTCTCTCCAGCGCGACACCAACTACATCATCATCAAGCGCTGGGTTACCGAAGACTTCCAAGAAGAGCTGTTCGCCCATACCCGCCGTCTGCGCGAGGGCAAGCTCGTGGCCCAGACGTCCAGCTCGACGACCGAACTCAGGATCAACGACCGCAACAAGGACAAGATGTTCCTGGTGCGGAAGAAGAGTCCCAGCCGGCGGCTGCGCATCTTCGCATAAGCATTTCGTCCCGCCCTGTCCACCCATACCCCCAACCAGAATCAGTTGGACAAGCTTTTGGATTCTGTGCTGCTTTCGATAATTTGCCCTTTATGTTCTCCATTCCGGCACCTGCGTCTTTTTTTTTTTTTTTTTTCTCGATATTCCTGCGCTTTTTGCTACGAGATACTGGACCACGCCTTGAAATTGTTTCCATCTTGAGATGAGATTGTACCATTTCTTGGAGCTGGTTGTCACTGTGAGAGCGGTGCAGTAACGAGACACGATTTGGACGACTTCCCCCCCGCATTTCATGAACGTCTGTTTTTCTGCCATGTCGATCGCTTCGTTTCCACGCTCTGTTCTCTTGTATCCAACCATGTCCCTGAATGTATGTTTCTGATAAAATGCATGCGCTGTAGCGGTCGGTGCCTGAGACTCCGTCGGGAGAGAGACCAGGTGAACGCCAGATCTGCCCACCTCCACATCTGCGAGGTCGGAGATTTAAGGTAGCCGGGCAGCTGCATCTTGCAGCTGTCACCTCTTAGTGTATAATGCACGGTAGCCGTGGTGGTGCATCTGCAGGATAGACTGGCAGGTGAAGATTCAGAGAGATAAGCTATTAATTACAGGAAGTGGAAAGTCTTGTTTCTCTTGTCGGAGCTGAGGTCACGCAAAGATCCTCTCTATAAGCCCATATGGTGATTCGCCGCCCATCGCTTCTCGGCGCGAAGAATAAGTTCCTCGTAGACCGTCCAGGCCAGCGCAGAACTCAACGCTTTCCGTGCCATGCGGAGGCCCAGACCGCCAAAGAGACTGCGCATGCCATCCTCGTGGATCATCAGGCGCACCGCCCGGACCATATTGCCGTATTTGGCGGGCATGAGTTGCAGCCGTGTTTTGACGGCATCAAAGGGGTTGGTGATGGCGGTGGCTAAGCCCGCTGCCGAGGCGCCAGAGACGAAGTTGATGGAGGACGAGGACACGCCCGCCCCAGGGGTCCCGTCGTGGTTGGTTGACCCGGTGGTCATGGAGGCGAGGCGGCGCTTCAGTTGCTCATACAGGAGCACGTAGAGGCCGGCGTAAGGCGCATCTCGGGCGGCCGTGGCGCCGAACCCGGCGAAGAGACCGCGAAGACCCTCTGTGCGTACGATATCGCGGCCGGCGCCGTACAAACTGCGGTAGGCGTAGTAGTCGGACTCGTAGCGCACCTTGAGCACAGTGACGGGCATCATCACGAATCCTGCGGCGACGCGGGCGACGGCGCCGGTGGCCAAGTTGGCCGTATTGGAGAGTTTGGGAAGAGCGGAGGAGGACTGCGCGGTTGTGGATGTTGTATTAGATAGGACGATGGGAGGGTTGGCCTGGGCGATCGTCTGCCGCAAGGCGTTCAGGCTGGTGAAGTAGAGGGCCGACCCGAAGCCCGTGCGAAGGGCAGAGGGTAGTGTCCCACGCCATAGTCCGCGGATGGGGTTCGGAGAGGAGAGGATTGCTTTGAGAGTTGGGAGGAGGGCGCCAGCCTGGCCGGACTGCTGGACACGAGTTTTGAGAAGATCGGCCGGTTGGAGGAGGATGGAGGAGGTGAGGCCGGAGCAGAGGCCTGCGGCGAAGTGGAAAACCGTTTTAGATGCTATCAGGCCACACCCGGTGTTAGTCTTGGACGCACTATCGGGGTTGTCTGGGCTTGCAGGGGGAGGCGCCTACAGGTGGAGGTGTTGGTCTTCTTTACCGGCGGCACGGCGTACGCGCCGTTGTTCGACATGGCTCCGGCGCCGCGCCAAGTCTTCCGCAGGATCAATCAGCGCACGAGGAGTGTCGGAGAATTGGGTATGATATGGAGCTATTCAATACCAGATTGAATGGGTAGCAAGAGACCGGAGTAGAAGATTTTTGCCTTGAGAGACAGCGGGCGAAAGCTGAGACAAAATCGCCCGTACCGGGACGGTCACGTTGGGAATTGGAATGAAGCTGTCGGCATTCCAGATTGAACACCACCAAATTCACAAATTGACCGTGGGGATTGGGGTGAAGGATTTGACGTCGAGTCGGTGGCAGGGCTATGAAGTCATCAATAAGCGGTCATCGGCCGTCTTGGTTAGGGCCTCGGTAGGAGCAGGACGTATCGATAAGGCGGCGTTGGAGATCTGCTTGGATACGGCTGTAATTGGTAATCGGGTTACAGTCTGGGGATGACGGCCCACAACAGCCGCGTAGCATACTGTAGATCTGCATCAGAACTATCCGGGTAAGCACGAAGGAGTAGAAACATGCCAGCTGTCGCAATACTGAGTGAGACATGCCAAACACATTTTTTTCAGTTACCTCCAATTACCTCCACCCCAACTCATGCTTTCCCCATTCCAAACTATCCTCAACTGTACCGCCAAAACACTCACAAGCAGCCCGGCATCTCACGGAGCCACACAGGGACCAATCAGTGGGGCCCAATTGAGGTGCGTGTGTAATCGACGTCACCTGTGGGCTTTTGGGGCGTCTGCTGCTGCTGCCCTTCTTCTCTTCTTCACTCCTCTCCAACAATGCGGTGGTCTCTGCCCCATTTCCCATATCCGCCTTCCAAGGCAGGGTTCTGGAGCCCCGTCACGTCGACACTGAACTGGTGCGAAGAGGTATGTAGTGGTTTTAGTTTCTTTTGATCGACGATTGCCTCACGACATGAAGTCTGGCGGGCAGGCAGTAGCTCGGACGCAACACGTTCAACCGTAAGATTTTAACTGACGGGCTTGCGTTTCTAGGACTACTATGCGACCGTGTACTCTGCTGAGATTGTCAATACCCTGACGAATCTCCTGTTTATGTGGCTGGGTATCAAGGGCATCATCAGCTGCCGCCGCAATGGGCACGACCAGATCTTCTTGGTCGCCCTCCTGGGCTACCTGGTGGTTGGCACAGGCAGTTTCCTGTTCCATTCTACCCTGAAATGTAAGTTGAAAATCCCTCGAACTCGACCCTGAAGATCCGCCGCGGTGCCGAACAATCTCCATAGTCTGCATGATGACTATGACGATCTTTACTATATTTTCAAGCATATGCTAACCGTTGGACGCACGCACAGACCCCATGCAGCTTGTTGATGAGCTCTCCATGATATACACAACCTGCCTGATGGCCTACGCCTCCTTCTCATACTCGCGTCCAACCGGCGTGCGTCTGGTCCTCGCCATCTCTCTCCTCAGCTTAGCCGTCTTCATCACCCTCTATTACCACTACCTCCAAGACCCGGTGTTCCACCAAAATGCCTACGCGCTACTAACCACGGTCGTGGTGCTGCGCAGCATGCATACCATGGAGACAACGCTGCGGCCCAAGTGGCGCCACTCGCGCGAGGAGGACCGCTTGGAGCGTCAGAAGAAGGGCCTCTCCGTGCCTTCCAAGGAGCGCCAGCGTTTTGAGAACGAGCGCGACATGAAGACCCTGAAGACGATGTGGTTCATGGTCCTTTATGGGCTAAGCATGTTCTTGGGTGGATTCTTTATCTGGAATCTGGACAACCAGTTCTGTTCGCAGATTCGCGTGATGCGCCGGAGGGTAGGTTTGCCGTGGGGCATTTTCTTGGAGGGACATGGTTGGTGGTACGTATGCCATGAAAACCTTCGATTTGGCTTTTCATTCCTTTTTTCTAAATTACCTTATTCGCTAACTTTGACTCTTTAGGCATATCATGACCGGCATCGGTGCATACTTATACATCATCTGGGGCATCTGGCTGCGGCACTGCCTGAACGGCCGCCAGGACGACTATCATCTTCGCTGGAAGCATTTCTGGCATATTCCTGAGATTGTTCGTACTACACCGTTGTCTGAGAACGGGGTTGCTCGAGCCAAGAAGTCAACCTAAACCGCCACCCCAACTTTATCGTTTGTCTCGGCTGCCGTCGGCACCTTGCGACTGGTGATCGTGCCGACCGTGAATTGTGAATCCCGTCCTGCCCTGTATCTCCCCTTTCCCCAATGTTGTCTGTTGATTTGTGCTCTCCGCCGGCCCGGGGTGCATTGGGCTGGTAACCCCTCCGGAGCATCCTCCTCCATTCGTACGGTGACAGATTACTGGCTGGCCATAGATATACCCTCCCTCCGCTGCCGGCATGGTACATACATACCTGAGTCTGCCCACTCCTGCCGGCGTGCAAGAGGAAAATATGGCGCAAGGCCGTTGCTATAGACAGGAGCCGGGCTCTTTCATTATGGCTGCTAGCTTTCTTTCCCACTTTTGGTGTTGCTTTCCCAGCTCCCCCCGTTTCCAGAGTACCCCCATCGTTAGGATACGACATGCGATAGAAAGAATCAATGCTGTAAAAAATGTGTTGACCTATGTCCGGTCTTAATGATCTTGTATTTCCCAAGTATCATCCTCCCTCCAATACCGAGATGAACAGGGTGTAGGTTTAATGTATAAGGTCGTCCAAAAATCGCCAAAGGAGAAACAGGGGAGTGCTAGTTTATATACGAAATTATGACCGCGTACTACTCACAACTTCGACCCGTTACCATTTTGCTCGTTCTTCGGCCGACGGGGCGGCGCGGGGACATTCTCTATCCATTGCGCATCGACCGTCATCTTCTCCACCTTGGACTTCTTGTTCCACGCCGACCAAAAGCTCGCCTCCTCATCGCGCCAGCGCCGCAGCTCCGGCGTCAACCAGCACACCGCCGCATCGGCACATTCATTCACAGCTTCTTGGGCGAGCAAGTGGCCAAAGTCCTTGAGATAGACGTCTCGCACCCGGCCATTCGCAACTCCACCACTTCCACCAAGCCCTGTGCCGGTGTTCGCGAGCTTGTCGGCCATCATATCCGGCAGGCACATATCTGACTTGCCGGCGAAGATGTAAAGCACGCTAGGGCGCAGATGTGGGAGTTGGGAGAAGATCCGCGCCGGCTCCGGGCGGTAGAACGGGTGCGAGTCTGGGTGATCTGCGTCTAGATCTGGGTGCGTCACGCGGTTGACGGGCTTGCCGCTGCCGGGGATGTGGTTGTAGTTTGGACGCGAGAAGGTGAAGACTTCCTGGTGGAGCGGGGTGCGCAATGTGACCGGGGGGTTGTTCTTGTCCACGACGGTTTTGGGATCAAGCGGGTGGATAGCTGTGGGGAGGTCACATAGGCCATACTTCACCCAGCGGTCCAGCACGCGCGGATCCCAGGTTTGATAGAAGGGGTTGCGCTTGAAACCCTCTGCGGCAGCTTGGCGGGAGGGCCACAGGTCGCGTCGGTACGTAGAAAGCTGGGTAGTTTTCGCGATACTACGCCTGCGCTCGAGCATGGCGAGGCTGTCGAGTTGGGTGGTCTGCCACTGGATCACAGGGTCCAATAGTACCAGTGTATGTAACAGTCGGGGGTGCATCAAGCTGAGCTGTGTGCTACGGGTTCCAGTTAGTGCGACGGCGAATAAATTGTGGGTGCAACGGTCTCGGGTACTGACAGGTGTGCACCGCCCATGCTGTGGCCGACGCCAATGATGGGCCGGGGCATCTCAGCGCGCTTGACATTGACCAGGTGGAGGAGGTCCCGGGGGTGGTCGAACCAGCTGGCTGTGGCATTGTGAGTAATGTAATCCATCGCATCAGCACTCGGAAAGAAAGCCGCGTACGGTCATTGCCCAGGGAATCTTCATTGATCACGCTGCTCTCGCCCTCGTGCGCTACGTCGGCCATCCAAATGCTTCGAATTCGGAACCCGTTGGCTTGAGATCGGGCGTGGATTTCCTCCCAGAGAGGCTCGTAGAGCTCCTATTCCGTTGATTAGCCTAGTACTATGTACTGCCTGCGCCTGCGCAATAGTGGCCGCTAGAAGCGTCGCGCGCAGGGCAGAGATCACAAGCGATCGGCCCTGCTGTAATGCCGAGACGACACTTGTCATACCTTGGGGAAGCCATTGGCGTGTGCAGCGAGGATGGTCACATCGCCCGGTTGCGGATTCGGGTTGTCGAGCGGGATGTACTGTTTCACGGCGAGGTGTAAGGGCTGCTCCTGGTCTGTGGCCGTGGCGGCAGGATACTCGCGGAGGTGCTGGCATGGCACGATATGCTCGACGATACGAAAGGGGGACGACATGGTTGACCGGTACCTGAACTATTCCCCGTAAACAAAGATGGGGGAAAACGACCAGCGTCCTCCGGGATATTAAATGGGGGAACATGCCGGGGAACGATTAGGCCGAGGCCCATCTGGCCGCGCCGAGGGGCATTCTCCGCGCTCGCAACTGCCGGCTCCACCCCCGTGATTACCTTGGTTTCGGATCATGTGGCGGATACTCCGGACCCTCTCATTCCGTCCGATGCTTGCTTACCTTTCCCCAGATTTATATAGATCGTTAGGGCTACCTGTGATGACTGTATTGCTATCTTTGAGCCAAATCGTGATTAACCAGCCCGTCAGAAACACAACCATGCAGCCGGCACCCTTATCCTGTCAGTATAAATATATTACGCATAATCTTTGGGTTCTTTTAGATTACTACAGTATGTCTTCTTTCTCTAATGGAGAAGATGATGAGACGAGCTATCATCGTACATGAAAATCAGAATTTCGGTATGGTCGACCGCTTGCATTGATTGTATCGAAAAAGATATCAATCGCAGCTTCAAATGAAGCTTGGTCAGAAACCAGGAAATGAAAAATCAAGGAAACGCAAGTCACAACAACCCACTTACTTGTTCTTCATCTTGCTCATATGCGGCATCATCTTCAAATTCCCCAGATCTCTACTCTCCGCCCTATCTTCCCTCTCCCGTCATTCTGCGCGCCGCAATTCGATCTCATCCGGCCAGACTCTTTTGCACTGGAAACATCCACAACCTGACATAGAAAAATTTAGGTTAACATAAGAAGTCCAAAGCGTTTTACGCAGCTGCTCGACTTCTTCGCCCCAACCCATATCTTGCATATCCCATACGTTCTGTGAGTGGATCTTTGCCATCCTCGCCTCCATCTCCACTGCTTCGGCATCAGGTTCAAAATAGTCCAGGCCTTTGGTCGTGAGTCTACCAATAGCCCGCCCAAGGTAGTCCATAATCTCCTCTGTCTCAAGGCTAATTTCCGGGCTGTCTCGGATCTGCTTTATGACGCCCAGCAGCTCTTTCTTGATAAGATCACACTTGATAGGAAAGCAAGCGCCAGTCTTGTCGGTAGCTAGGGCCTTGAAATGATCAAAGTCATCTGCCATGTACTCGAGGACTTCAGCCATCTCTGCAGTGGTCTGACTTGGGAGGCCACCGCTCCATGCCAGGAGTTTAACTACAAAGTCGGAGCGAATCGCGTAGAACTCCTTGAGAGTCATCGGAAAAAGTGAGGGTAGGTTACCTTTGTCATCAATATTTTCGACCTTTTGGTTTGGATCCACGTCAAGAGGGCCTACTTCGCTGCGCACCTCATCATTGTCGCCCCACTCAAGTGCATCGAGCCACTCACCTAGCCCTTTGCTATCGTCCATGTTGACAAGGTGAGGGAAGTCAGATGAATTTTTTTGAAAGGCCTGAAGTGAACCGATTCGAATCCTTTCGAATAATTGATTAGGCGACCATGGAGGAGGGTTCCTGCTTTTATATTCGAGAGCTCATTGGGCATTGCTTCTGGCTTTGATTGTATCGTCTCGATACGTCTTTTGTACCTGCTTGTTGCCATTTAACTTTAGATTGTCTCTTTGTTCTACCCTAGAGGGGACGTGGCAAAACAAAGTAAGGGACTTTCTTTGTTTTTCCAATTTTCTGAATATAACTAAAGAATACCCTTGCACTGTTAGAATCGCAAGCCTCGGAATATACATTCCTTGGAAAGTCGAGGAGATTATCCACATAAGACAGAGATGCTAGAATTGAGCACACCAATAAGCATGGCCTTATGATCTAAAGTGTTAGCAAAAGTAGAACCAAATCGACCACTGGAAATGTCAAGTCTAACTGTCTATAGAAGGGAATCACCCTATCGTGTCGGCACGTGACCGGGCGTCGGCGTTCACGCGCGGCGCGTCCTCGATTACTTTGTCCCCCACAACCGCAACGAGAGCAGCCCAGTGTCGTCACCATGGCGGACGAGGAGCCCAAACTCTTCGACCAGTGTCGCATCTGCATAGTGTGCTCAAATGATCTTCCCCTGGAGACCGCAGAGCAGGTGTGTATTTCTCCGATGGATGGCGCAAATCAACAGCGACGAGACTCACAAATCGCCCGAATTCCAGCTTGCAGCAGTGATCGGAGAATACGGTGGCGAGCCCTCCATACACGAAACAAGCCCCGAGAAAGATGACACTATTGAGAGCACCCATATTGTCGCAAACAGCATTAACTTCCTCACTTATGATCTCGCTACCAAGGCTCTTGTCCCGGTGGTAAAGCCGTCATGGGTGCATAACTCATTGGCGAAACGGAAACTAGCCAATCCACGCCAACACAGCCCTGATCCGCGCCTTTTCCTCAGCGATGTGGTCGTGGCCTGCGGCGATATTCCGGAGGGCGACAAGGACGCGATTATTGGTGGGGTGCTGGCCAAAGGTGGATTGTACAGCCCTCGGCTTACTGGCATGGTCACCCACCTGGTGGATTTGACAGTGGAATCGGATAAGGCGCGACTGGTACAAACCAAGAAATTGCGCGTGAAGATTGTGCTGCCACATTGGTAAGTCTCGCCTATGATATAGAAGCGCCACACTGGTTGACGCGATATAGGTTCGATGACTGTCTGAAACTCGGTCAACGCATCGATGAACGCCCATACACACTTCCAGACCCTGAGGTATTGCGAGCAGGTCCCGAAGTTCCCATCCGTTCAAATGAGAACAAGGGGTTGGCGGGCGCATCCACCCCTGAGCCCTCCATAATGCTCACACCCGCCAGTATTTCGCATCCCACGGACAAGTCGAGTGTTTTTGCAGGCAAATCTGTCATGCTCTCACCAGATTTGGGCATTGGTTCACATCTCCTAGAATCTATTGAAGCCGTGCTCAACCGAGGTGGTGCCACAGTCACATCCAAGGTTGATGATGCAGACTGGTTGGTCTGCCGATTCCGCGAGGGTTTTGTGTATAGGACCGCGTCGCGCTTGGACAAGGTCGTCGGAAACCTCGCCTGGCTTTACCATCTAATAACCTTTAACACTTGGACTCGGCCTTTGAATAGACTACTGCACTATCCAGTTTCGCGCACGCCGATTCCTGGCTTTGAGGGGCTGAAAATCAGTCTTTCCAACTATGTCGGCGAAGCGAGAATTTACCTTGAGAACCTGATTACAGCAGCGGGTGCTGAATGCACCAAAACGTTGAAGCAAGAGAATACGCACCTGATCACCGCCCATGGAACCAGTGAAAAATGCAGCGCGGCGCGAGAATGGGGCCTCCAGGTCGTAAACCATTTGTGGTTGGAAGACAGCTACGCGGCATGGAAGCTGCGGCCGGTCTCTGATCCCCGCTACAACCACTTTCCGCCTCGGACGAACCTGGGCGATGTTGCTGGCCAGAAGATGCTGGATCATGACGTCCTCGAGCAAAACTTCTTCTCCCCTGAAGACATGGAGCCTCCAAGCCCTCCCTGTGCCATGCGAGTGAAAGACCAAAACACAGCTTCAATGCAGCCTCCCGCCGAGAAGCCCCCCAAGGAGAGCGACAAGGTCTGTGAAACCGCTCACGGCACCCCCCAACCGAAAGGGAAGACCTCCCGCCAACCGTCCGATCACAAGAAGGCGCAAACCCCTGTGCGGTCCCGCCTGATTCCCGATGACAAGGAAAATGAGACACCCTCCTCGACTAGCAGCCGCAAGTCTAAGGATGCAGCAGCCGCACGGCTCCATGAAATCGCCCCAGACATCGCTCTATACGAAAAGGAGATGAAGCGCGTTGGGGGTGTCATCTACGGGGGACGACGAAAGTCTGACGAGGACCGTGTTCCTGAGAACCCCAAAAAGCGCCGTTCAGCCGAGCCACAGGAGGAGAGCGACAGCGAGCAAGCGACTGATGCAAAGCGGCAGAAGAAGTCTCGACCGCCAATTTCGATGCACTTGCTGATTACTGGCTACCAAAAGTGGGTTGGAAAGGGGAATGAGAAGAAAGAGGATGCAGACAAGGTCAGTCAACGCCGTTTATGTACCATTGAAACATGAGATGCTAATATTTCGCACAGCGCCATCTCCGAGATCTCGGCATTATGGTGGTCCAAGATGCCCGCCGATGCACCCACCTGGCTGCGCCTTCCATTCTGCGTACCACCAAGTTCGTTAATGCATTGGCCTATGCGCCAGTGATTATGAGCACCGATTTTGTCGCCAACTGCCTAAAGAAGGATGAGTTGCTCAACCCCAAGGACTTCCCGCTGGTGGACAAGGCCGCGGAGTCGAAGTTCCACTTTTCTCTCGCCAAGTCCTCAGAGAGGGCGAAGAAAAACAAGAACAGGCTTTTGCGCGGCTTCCGCATCTACTGCGTGGAAGATATTCGCGGCGGCTTCGACGCGTTCAAGTCGATTGTAGAGGCCAATGGCGGAGAGTGTATGCTTTTCCGGGGCCGCCTTGGCCTGGCTAACAATTCTCGACGCGAAGAGAGCGACGACGACGATGACATGCAAGATTACGAGGGCGGGCGCCACGAGGCCTTCCTTCTCAGCAGTGCTGAGCGCAAGCATGCCCGACTCTGGCCTCGGTTCTGCCAGGTAGCTGGCGACATTAAGCGGACCCCCCGCATTGTGCGCGTCGACTGGCTGCTCGACATGGCCATGTCGCAGGAGCTGCGATCGGCGGATGAGTACGAGCTGAATGAGGGCATGATCGAGGATGCGGACGAGTAGGACTCGTCTGAACATTCCTTTAGGCGGTGGAGCCAGGCAGGGCTATTGTAAATGTTGGGGAGTATCGGCAGCCACAATTGGCTCACACCCCCGTCGTGGGACCTTTGAGCGTTGGTTTGTAACGAATAGCCATGATTCATCACATAGGATACAACAAGCCAGAATCAGTTTCTAGCTTAGAAGAACTTGACTCCCTCTCCCCCGTCATTGCCAAAGACCTGTGCCTTGCCTCGCTTGACAAGGACATTGAGCGTCTTCATCATGACCTCGACGTCCATGCCATGGAACTCTATCAAACAATCAGTAGAGCCCAATTTGTCGAGCCGAATGGAGGGGTGGGAGCTCACCTTGCGACACCGTCGCCTCCCCCTGCACAAGCTCGAACACCGTCAACACAACCCCCCGCTGTCCAGTGGCATCGATCCAGTCCGTGAGCACATCAGCCCACTCCTCTGGTCTGCGCCACCAAATCCACGCAACGCTGTTCGGTGCGGCATTCCCGCCGGCAGCAGCACCCACAATCCACTCCGCACGCTGCCCGCCGCCACCTTGCTCCTCGCTCTTGGTCATCCAGTCCACGATGGCGCGAGCTTCGCCGAGATCGAGCCGCTTGCGCAGGACCGCGTTGTGGAAAAGGGGAGTGTCAACCGCGTCCACAAGCGAGAGGCGATAGGTGCGGTGGTGTCGACACCAGGCTTGGATCAGCGAGGACCATTTCTGCAGCTGCGAATGGCGGGTGGTATTATTCGGTTGCGGGGTGAAGAAAGGCGGAAAGTTGTAGGTGGAGGGGAAAGGGAAGGGCGCGGCGGTGGACGCTGCGGTGGCCATTTTCCAGGATACGTGCCTGTAGATCGTAGACACAGAGCTCCAAGATATGCTGTATAACGAATGAACTAGTGGAAGCAGTCGGGACAGTCGAAGGTGGCGGAGGTGAACGGGGGAGAAGATGGAGTAAAGAGCAATGGCCGATAAGCACAGCTCGGGCGGAGTGGAGTGGGGGTCTGCGCAAATTATTTCTCCAAAGACCTCCGACTTGTCGAGGTCTGGACCTCTCCTCTCCCACGCAACGCAGGCTTGTATCCCAAAAGTCAATCAACACAATGGAAACACCAGTACCGGGAAAGCGCCAAGCGCGTGAAGAATACCGCCGTAAAATCAAGGAGCAAACTGAGGGCGATGGCGACTCCTCCGCGGTCAAGTTGCCCAGGAAGAGATTCTTCCGGCAGCGCGCGCATGCGAACCCCTTCTCGGACCACCGTCTGGACTAGTAGGTGCATTCCATTCTCCTCGGTGCATCTTGCAGGCTGTGTTGCGAACGCATTGGCTTCTCACACAATCTGTTCGGGGTACTCGGGGCCGCAATGGACGAGAGCTAACTGGTATGAACTACAGCCCCGTGAGCCCCGCGCATATGGATTGGGCATCGCATTACCCTGCCTTTGTCGACCCCGATCCATCCAAAACAAATCTCAGCGGTGCACGGAAATTGACCAGAGAGGTTGAGGTCGTGGACATTGGATGTGGATTCGGCGGTTTGCTGGTCGGGCTGGCACCTTTACTACCAGACACCTTGATGGTTGGTACGTTCAGAGTGGCTTTCGGGATGGACCCCCGACTGCAATTGAACCATACTAACTCCTCTCCAGGCATGGAAATTCGCGTATCAGTCCTCGATTACGTGCGCTCTCGCATCTCCGCTCTCCGCCTGCAACAACAGAACCTGAAGGCCATCGCCGCCGGAAACAGCACAGGCCAACCCTCAGATACACCCGCAATGCCCGATGTGGAAGACGATGAGATCGGCAGCACGACGACTATTGTCCCCGGCAACTACGAGAACATCACCGGCATCCGCGCCAACACCATGAAATTCCTGCCCAACTTCTTCGCCCACCACCAGCTCTCAAAGATCTTCGTGTGTTTCCCGGACCCGCACTTCAAGGCACGCAAGCACAAGGCGCGGATTATTTCAGAGTCGCTGAATGCTGAGTATGCGTACGTGCTGAGGCCCGGCGGGCTGTTGTACACGATTACTGATGTGGAGGAGTACTACCACTGGGTGCTGCGACATTTCAAGTATGAGAATGAAGATGGCGAGAATGGCGAGAATGGCGCTGAGCAGACCGATGCTCCTACCGGTGGCATCAGAGACCTGTGGGAACTTGTCTCTGATGAGGAGCTCGAGGCCGATCCCTGTGTGCAGGTGATGAAGTTCGAAACCGAGGAGTCGAAAAAGGTTACCCGAAACAAGGGGAACAAGTACGTGGCTGTATTTCGGCGCAAGGCGGACCCCGAGTGGCCTTCTTAAAGGAGAGGTGCAGGAATGCGTTGTTTGGTCTTTCTATGGCCCGAAAAAAGCATGTGTGGTGAGGCGTTTTCTCTGCAGGTCCAAGTCGAAGTCTCTATCATGCATGCATTGCTAGTACCGCGAACATGAAACGTCTCCTCGTATAAACAAATATGCGCTTGCTAAGTCAAACTCGAAACTCCCGCCAAAGGGCAAACTGGAACCGAAATCCAAAGAAGACAAGATAGAACACAAGTATAGAATCGAAAAATGCTATCTCATCGCCCGAAACAAATGCCGAATCAATCAGTAACTCATCATGCGGTAAATTCATTAGATAACATCCACTGGTCTCCAGTCCGAAAGGGGCTGGCGAGATGTGTGGGATTCTCCTCAACACATTCCAGGCGCCTTCAGACGGATACCCTCGCACCGTTCACAGATAGCCAGCTGCACCGGCCCGCCAATGATACGACCCTTGGCCGTACGCTTCGGCTCGCCCTCACGGACAAAGAATCGACCCTCGGCCCCGAATCCGTCGCCACACTCGTGGCAGACAAAGCAGCGCTCGTGCCATTGCCCGCCGATGGCAGTAATGACCATGTCATCCAGAACGTGCTGCTTGCATCCAAGACAACGGGGCGCGGTGCGCCGGGAGTGGCATTGGAGGCACCATGCGAAGCCGTCCTTCTCAACGAAGGGAGTGGTCGAGCTGAAGGGCTAGAAGGACAAGAACGTTAAGCAAAATGAACTGATATGGGATCTTGGGAAATGGAAATAACTCACATCACCGCACTCGGCGCAGAAAAAGTGGCCGACGTGCCATTCTGCGCCGCAGGCAACAACCACTTCGCCCTCAATGGGTGTCTTGCAGCTCTTGCAGCGGGGGCTGTAGAGCTCATGGAAATCCAGGTGGCAGTAGAAGCGGGGTATGCGTGCCTCTTCATCCGGGTTGTGCGCAAGCCTCTCGGCCCGACTAGCTTCGGGCTCTTCATAGAAAGCCACACACTCCAGCGCCGTGTGGCAATGAAAGCAGATGAAGCACTCTGGGTGGAATCGGGATCCTCCAGCAGTAACAATCTTACCGGAAATAGACAGAGAGCAGGACTCGCAGCGTGCAGTTGGGACGCCAGACCGAGAGTACGGGGTGTACCAACGGTCCTGTAGCTCCGACGGCTGTCTTCTCGTAGCCATCGGTTGGGTCCGGTTGCTTTGGGGCTGCGGCATCTGCCTGGCAAGCATGCTTTGCGGATGGGGAGGCTCATTCATTTCCGAAATAGTCGGCTCCTTGATGTCGGGGACATTGATCACCGGGATGGAAGGAGGATCTGGCTTGGAGACCTCAACACTAGGAGCCACCGTGATACTAGGCACTGGAGGACTCGCCACTGACGGCTGGGGATGAGGCTGGGACTGAGGCTTGGGTTGGTCGCTCGGTTGCCATTTCGGGTCGAAGCTCACGATGGGTCGCCCCATGCGGTTGCTGACAGCCGAAGGCATGGGCAGGTTCTCGCTGCGGTCCTTGAGTTTCTTGCTCGTGGCATGACGGATATCGTCGCCGCGAATCTCCTTGCCATCCTTCATGGGGACGGGTCCTTCATCTTTGCTAGGAGGAGGTGGTGGTGGAAGTGGCTCATTCTTCGTATAACCTGGGTTGCGGGACTGGCTAGGCGGGTACTTGTGGATATCGAACTGAGAGATCTTGTCGCGCACGGAACCATTAGTGCTTCGATCCTGCAGCCAGGGAAGCGGTTTGCCAAGGCGCGGGAGGGCGTTGCGCGGCTTGTTGCGCAGGCCCGAACAGTCGAGTTTGGGGAAGTCGGATTGGGGCTCGGCTGCCTCGGGCTCTTCGTAGATATGGTCTTCAGGGTTCCTAAAGACTCCTTTGGAGGAATCGCCGCTAACTGTCCGAGGCTTGGGCGTAGGCTTCTCTTCATCAGGCAGTGCGAAGTTGACTTTGAGGTTCTTCTTCAGCTTTCCAGCGAGGGAGGACCGTCTGCGCGCAGATGAATTCAACGTGACATCTGCGAACTCGGGACTTGAGGGGCCACTCGAGGAAGCACTCGAGGTACTTGAATGGCGGTGTTTGATTGACGAAGAGCCAGATTCAGAGCTCTTCCTGGGTTGACTTCGAATTGAGGGGTCCGTATCACCGCAATCCGGGTTATGATAAGGCGCATAGGGGTTCTTATAAGCCATGCCGGGGTTCTGATGCATCCACACCAACTCTGTGGCCTCATCCTGAGCTGCCTGGTGAAGTCGAACATCATCCTCCACGTCCAGTCCCTGCAGTGCGTCGCGCAGTTCCCGTGCCTCCTCCTTCTCCTGGTGACGATGTTTATCTTCCCGATAAGACCGATAAGAGGGAGCCGGCGACGCGGCGACGGGGCGTGAAAAGACCTGCGAGGGAAACACGTTTTTACGCACTGAGACTGACCGCGGCTCCTGGGCTAGCGGGCGGCCGGTCGGGCCACCTTCGGGGGCATGGGAGATTGTGCGACGGTGGGACATGGCGCTTCCACAGCGAGGCTCATCTTGGGGAGGACTGCCAGAGGTTCGATACATGGAGAAGGCAGAGGCTGAGCGGGGAGGAAGGCCCTCCTCGAGATCGGGCGACGACGCTGCTGCTTTGCCGGGGAAGGGCCGTGACCCCGTTGGACGAGCAGGACGGTTTGTTCGGAGGTCTTTCAAGTAACTTGCTGTCGCAAGGGCGCGTTAGCCTCATTCAAGCACGAATGTTTGTCTCTGAAGCTTCAGCCGGGGCCAGAAAGTCCCAATTCGAAGGGGGCAGATTACCCATCTGGTCGTTGTTCATATAGCTTGGGCGTGGCGGCGAGACCTTGCGCTGGCCGATGGGTTTGGTATGTTTGTGCATCATGGTTGCTACTCTAGTCCGACAGCTGCCCAGCAATGCTGCAATCCAAGGACGTCAGGATCAGCCGAGTCATCCGCGGTATGAGACTAGGAGACTCAGGAACTAAGGAACGGGGCCGTAGTCGCGATCTTGTCCCGATTGCGGAGCCCAAACAAACAAGCCCCGGGCAACGCCGTCATACGCTTGCCGCTTCGGGACAGGGCTTAGGGCTTGCTCCACGTGGAATGAATCAAGTAAGTCAGCGATCAGGTGCCGTCATGTGCAGGGGACATGCAGAACGGGTCTCGATTTGGATGTTCTGTCTACTTATACTCCTACAGATACTCTGGCAGACTTGGGTCAACATGACACGCAATACTTGATACCCAACAGCCAACAACCAACTCATACAAACAGATCGCCCATGAGTCAGACTTCTGCCAGCGGATGCATCCCAGCTTTTCTCCGCAACTGGGTCTTCGGCCTGGCGGAGACCCCACTTTACGCCCGGCCATTGCTCCTCCTACTCCAATCCTCTCCAATGCCTGCCGTGGACTCCGACAAGCTGCCGAACATCTTATTCTTCCTGCAATCCAACCGGCGCCACGATCCCCCGCTATTGGTCTGCGGCCACCGACCAGCTGCGACAGGGGCCATCTAAGAAACCCACGGATGTCGCTCCAGCGTCTAGTATAGACCCAAACCCCGTAGAGATAAAAGTCGGCCCCAAGTCCGACATAAACCCTCTCCGTACAGGGACTAGCCTAAGCTAGTCCCCTAGCCTTGTTTTTTGTCTGGACTCTTCCTATTTTATAATCATTCCTTCACTGACATGGACCTCTTACCTGTCGGCCCCCATGTCGTGACGGAAACGGCAACTTGCTTCGGGTCCCAGGTTCGAGCATCGCCACTGGCAAGACGGTAACACCGACGCAAGTTTCGGAGTCTTTCTTGTGCATAGCGCATCGACATGGCCGACAATGCGCCAGTCGATGTCATTCGTTCCCATCAAGATGATGACCGGGACTCGGTGACGAGGTCAAAGTCCAAGCATCAAAACCCGCAATTGCAGCCGGAACCTGACATCGACCCCGGCGATAAATACAAGCACGATGTCCCTCCAGATGGTGGATATGGCTGGGTCTGCGTCGCCTGTGTCTTCTGGATCAACGCCCACACCTGGGGAATCAATAGTGTCAGTACACAACTGGCCCGGAAGCATCGAACGTTATGCTCGAGCTCGATCGCTAACATACCCCACTCTGCAGAGCTACGGCGTATTCCTCAGCTACTATCTCTCCCATGATGTCTTCCCTAACACGTCGGCCCTCTTCTACGCCTTCACTGGTGGTCTCAGCATTTCATGTGCATTGCTTGTGGCTCCACTCGCCACATATTTCATCCAAGCCTTCGGCACTCGGCTCGTGGTCAATCTCGGCGTCTTCTTCGAGACGCTCTCGCTGATCGGCTCATCCTTCGCCACGCAGAAATGGCACATCTTCCTGAGTCAAGGTGTCTGTTTCGGGTGGGGAATGGGCTTCCTCTTTGTTGGTAGTGTTGGCATCGCCCCGCAGTGGTTCCTGAAGCGCCGCAGCTTTGCGATGAGCATCACCGCCGCCGGTTCCGGTCTCGGGGGCCTGATCTACTCGCTTGCAGTGGGAGCGATCATTCCCCGCTTTGGCCTTGGGTGGGCGTTCCGAATCTTGGGCATCATTTCATGCGTCGTGAACCTGGTGTGTGGGAATCTGCTCCGCGACCGCAACAAGCTCGTTGGCAGCCGTCTGACAGCTTTCCACTTCCCGTTGCTGCGGCGGCCGGAGTTCCTCCTCTTTCTGGGCTGGGGCATCTTCAGTATGCTGGGCTACGTGGCGCTGCTGTTCAGTGTGGCCAACTTCGCCCTTTCGGTCGGCCTGACTTCGCACCAAGGGAGTATTGTCTCCGCACTGCTGAACCTCGGGCAGGGTCTCGGCCGTCCTTTTGTCGGCATGTTCAGTGACCGGCTTGGTCGTATCAACATTGCCACGTTCCTCACGTTCATGTGTGGTCTGTTTTGTCTGCTCATCTGGATTTTTGCAGATAGCATGGGCGTTGTCTGCTTCTTCGCTGTGCTGGTTGGGACAGTCGCAGGAACCTACTGGGCCACTGTCTCCCCAGTGCTGGCGGAGATTATCGGGCTCAGAGACCTCCCCTCCGGCCTCAGCATTACCTGGCTCGCTCTTGTCCCGCCGTGCACTGTCTCTGAAGCGATTGCCCTTCAGCTGCGCACCAACAAGCTAGGTGGGGGTGTATCTTACCTGAATGTCCAGCTTTTCACCGGATTTGTATATATCGGTGCTTCTCTATGCCTTTGGCTTGTCCGTGGTTGGAAGGTGGGAGAGTTGGAGCGGGCCCAGCATCGGCACGAATCGGGTGCTCGCGAAGACCCTCTCACAAACAAGGATATCCCCGGTGGAGTTAGAAAGGATCACCCTGCAACCGTCTCATCTACCGCGCCATCTGATGGCACAGTTGATGCACAGATTTGGGCGCCCTTCAGTCTAATGCCAAGAATGATTGCCATCAAGCGGGTGTGAACAGACGAACAAAGATTAAGCTGTACAGCTTGGAAAATAATACAGATTTGCATATATGTGATTTACAATTCAACATATAATCTCATTAATGGAATGCCATTCTTTTTCTCTATACCTCCATGACTATTTTGTCTGATTAACCAGTAATCAAGATGCGTACTCTGCGCTTGCCAGCGCCGCGGCCCTCCTCCTTGACTGAGCTGACATTCACCTTGACCTTTTGGAAAAGCTCAACGTTCACACCACGTTCCTTCTCAGAGTGGCCCTTCTCTTCCACGCGGAGCGTGTACTCTTCGCTGTCGAACTCAGTAGTCCGGTGAACCGCCAGCTCTCGCCGCTCCCCAACAGAGTAGACACCGGATTCGCCGGGCAGAACAAAGTCCTCCAGGCGGACAACACCTTCGATACCGAAACGGGGAACGAAAACGACAACGCCGTTCTCGAACACACGCATCACGTAGCCCTCCTCTTCAATGCCAGTGTCAGTACCGCCTCCTGCCATCTTCTCACCGCGAGCCTTGAGTGCCTGACCGACGTAATATTCGATACTGGCACGGCCCGCAAACTGGGCGTTGCGATGACGGTAGTTGATGTTGCGGCAAATATCCTCCAGCTTACCGCGTGTGCTGACACCCTCAATGACGGCGTGGCCATCCTCACCTTCGTAGCCGATAGCAGAGGCCAGCTGTCGGTGGACGAGAAGATCGGCATATCGTCGAATGGGCGAGGTGAAGTGTGTGTAGATAGGCGAGGCAAGACCGTAGTGGCGGAACTCAGACTCGGCATGTGCGCCAGCACAGAAGTACTCGGCGGAGGTCATGCAGCGGGTCGCCAAGATACGGACCAGGGTGTTGAAGAAGGGATTCTTCGGGTCCACGCAGCGGTCAAGGGAGCTGGCAAGAGCAGCGGAGCTGGAGACATCCAGCTCCATGTTTCGCTTCTTTGACAGTTGGTTGATGAGATCTTCGAAGTTTTGGGGTGGCGGGGTGGCGTGACGACGAAGAAGAGCAGTTTGCGAGAAAGATTCGTAGATCTTTGTGGCAACAGTGATGTTGGCGAGAAGCATGAACTCTTCGACCAGGCTGTTAGTCTCGAGCATGGCTTTTGTCTTGACGTCCGTGAGAGGGTCGCCGGCCTCGTCGCCGGCCTCAATGCGAACTTCAGGGGAGGCAAGGTTTAGGGCACCGGCATCGTAACGCTTCTGTCGAAGAACTTTAGAGAAACGCAGCAGGTTCCGCATGCTTTCCGTCAGTTCGTCATTTTGCGAGGCATCATCGATACGTAGTTGAGCCTGTTCGTAGCTGAACGCCTCGCGTGAGCGAATGACGGACTTGGTAAAGTCTGACGAGACGATCTCTGCATTGGGAGTGACTTCCCAGATGACCGAGAAGGCATAGCGTTCCACATATGGCTTGAGCGAGCAAAGATCTGTTCCAAGAAGATGCGGAAGCATATCAATACGCTTATCAACCAAATATACGGTTGTACCGCGGACGCTTGCTTCAAGGTCCATTGCGTTGTTCGGCTTGACAAAATGTGACACATCCGCAATGTGAACACCGACCTCGAAGTTGCCGTTAGGAAGAGCGCGCGCATGCAGCGCATCGTCGATATCCTGGCAGCCTGGGGGATCGATACTGCAAATGAGTAGATCGCGAAGATCTCGTCGACCATTCCATCCCTTGTGCTCTTTGGAGGTAGGGACTCTCCAATCGTGTCCCTCTGCTGGGAGACAATCCAGAACAGACTTGGGAAATGGCTTGTATTGTACGTCATATTCCAGGAGAAGAGCCTCGGTCTCAGCACCCTTTGTCTCCAGCTCACCCAGAGATCGAATGTAGTGGCCGGTGGGATACCGAGAGTCCCGGTCCCAAGAATCAATAGTGACAAGGATACGCTGACCGAGCAAATGACCAGCTTGTCTGGTGTGGACTCTGATCTTTGGCACTCTCTTCTCCATGGGAAGCACAAAGACGGTCTGCTGTCGCCGACCCGATGCAGCTTGTGACGCGGTTGAATTTGAATCCACATGTCCCACATATTGACGCCAGTTGCGCTTGATCACACCGACAACCTTGGCGGTTGGTTGCGGCTTGCCTTCTGAGTGCTTGCCATGGGCCTGCTTGACCTCTTCCTGCAGGGCCTTGCGCTCTCTGTCCGTGACAATAGCTTCAGTTTCGTCAGTATCAGGATTGTCATTCTTGGTCACGGCCTCCTCGTCGACTATTTTCGTTGAGGGCGATTTCCACTGGTCTTTGGGGAGTACTTCAATGGCAACAACATCACCTGTAATTGCACGGTTGCTGTTATCACGACCTAGAATAAGAAGCGGCTTGTCAAAGGCCGGAACCTTTACGGAGCCTTCCAAGTAGTTGTATGGAGAAACATTGAACACCCCTTGGTGCAAATTTCCCGCTCGTAACCCAGTCATGAGTTTTGACATGGAGTAGTACTCGGGGTAGAACAGCTCCCCACGAGCAGAACCCTTTGAATCCCGCGCTTCTCTGGCCTCGCTGATCATGTCCAGCAGCTTCTCCGAGTCCTCAAGACCGGCGACATAGTCTGACAGAGATACGGCCGTAACATTTTCTGCCTTGGCCTTGCGAATGCTGTCTTTATCGTCGGTAATGACGACCATCGCAGGAACGGACTTTTCCTTCTTGCCCTTCTTGGCTGAAGCTCGGAGATGCTCCTCGTACCAGCCGGCCACCGTACGGACGGCGCGGTCGTTTCGATCATTGATCGACTCCTCCGGACCTCTCCGCACATGTGTTTCCAGGCGAAACTCATTGAAGAAGAGGTAAAAGCGCTTCTCATCAGTCTTGATCAGGGAAAGAAGGCGGTTGTAGAGAGGCAGGGACTGGTTTCGGAGCTCTTCAAGGACGGTTTGAAGGATGATCACATCGTAGAAAGCACCAGTGTGTTCAAAAAGATCCATGCCATTCAGGAGCGCATTTGTATCAGGGACGAGGTAGTGACCATGGGGGAATGCCTTGGTGCCCGCCGGGCGATCGGACAGGACGAATGGCGCAACTGTTTTGCATTAGCTAGAAGCACAGGCTCACTACCATTAAAAAAAGCTCATACTTTTTCCACTGGCGTCTGCCGGAGCGACCGAAGGGCATATCGAGCAGAGCTTTGAAGAGCAAGGAATGTCTTGCCTCAAATAGAGCTCACGAACAATCTTTTGCACCTTCCCACTTTTCGTAGACCTCACAAAGACTTTGCTGGTGACATTGGCGGCTTGCGGATTGGAAGAAACATCTCGCCTTAAACTTTTCATTGCGACGATTGTAATCTTGCCGCCGGCAGTTGTTGATCACTTGCAAACCAGACGTTTGGTGGAAGGACTGGTGAGAATTGAATATTTGCGGGCAAAGGTTATCGCATCGCGATAGCTGAGTAATCACCAGATAACATGGTTCCCGCTTACGTCGGATACCCGCTTACGCCAGATGCTCCATCAAAATCGCGTCTCTTGTACCTACACATCATCTTCCACTACGCGCAACGACACGAACAAACGCTCAAAACGCGTCAAAAACGCAGGATCAGGAGAATATTTTTTTTTACAAGCTATAAGGTATATAAAAATGGCTAATTTGCCTCTCTTCAAGCAGCAGCTATATATTATAATATACCTATCTCTATAGCTCACGATCGCGTCAACGGAACACTCTCTACTACGTCCAAACGTCACTATCGCATAAAGCTACCAACTACTAAAGAAGAATCGCTAATACGATAGATATTTGATACTAACATACGAGGTCTAGCGCCTAGACCTTCTACCATTCGAGATATAGCCAATATTATCCTCGCGGCTCACGGCACAGCGCCCCCCCTTCCTATAGTTAGCAAAACTTGGCTATTAGAATTCATATATCGCTAGCTAGAGCTTCAGACGCGTTGGTCTAGGAAATATAACTATTACCGTGCTCTAAATCATAGCCCACAGTCTATTTAGTAGTGGTTTAACACCCTTCGATGTGTTATCGATAATAACCATATCTAGCTAGAGGATATTTACAACTCTGACGAGATAGGCTTCGCGATAGGCCTAATATTATCATATTAGGTTGTTCATCATTAAATCAAGCACGAATCGAGCGCATGTCCGAGCCTGATACGGGCATGAATCCGAGCATGAATACGAGCATGACTCGAGCAGTCTGAGCACGATCCGACCACGACTCCAAGAACTAATCAGAGCGCGAATCGAGCATAGATCGAGCACGACTTTGACCATAAGTCCAAGCACGAATCAAGTACGAATCCGAACACGAATCCGAGCATGAGTCAAGCACGAGTCTGAGCACGAATATGAGCACGAAGCTGTCAATCTGAACATGACTCCGAGCATCAAGCCGAGCACGAATCTCAGCCTGAATCGGGCACGAGTTTGACGATGAATCCGGGCACGAAACCAAGCTTTAATGTGAGTACGAATCGAGCACCGGTCTGCGTACCAGTTGGCGCACGAATCTGAGCACGAATCGAGCACGAGTTTGACCATGGACACGAGCACGCAACGATTACGATTGCCAGCACGAATCAGAGCAAGAATGGAGCATGAGTCTGAGCACGAGTCTGAGCACGAGTCTGAGCACGAATCTGAGCACGAGTCTGAGCATGAGTCTGAGAACGAGTCTGAACACGAATCTAATCTAAATCGTGCACGAATCTGAACATGAATCGAGCCCGAATCCGAGCATGAATGCAAGCACAAATCGGTCACGAATTTGGCTTCTAAGTAACAAGTCCGATTATGGATCGAACCTTGAATCGGCCATCAATCGAGCACGAATCTCCACATGAATCTAGCATCAGTCCGAGCACCTATCGAGCACGAGTGTAACCAATCGACTCGAAGAATGGGGTTTGTCACGAGTGATTGACATTGGCTGCCGGGAATGGTCACAAGGCTGTCATGAAGCTGCTGCTTGAGAGGAGTCGATGTCGAGTCCAGGGATGAGGATGGGGCCGGACTCCACCGTCATGGGCTGCTGAGAACGGTCACTAGGCTTTCATAAAGCTGCTTACTTGAGAAAAAAGCCGACCTCAAGTCAAAAGATAAGCATAGCCTGACTCCGGTGTCATATGCGGCAGGGAATGGGCCGGCGTAGATTAACCCCTGGATGGTTGGGGAGTGCGGAAATGAAGCGACGTATTTAAATACCCCCAGTCCGCTTCTGATGATGACGAGAAGAGCCATGGAGCAGCAAGACGAATCAAGGGCCTCAAATGTGGGAGGCATGCACAGATTATACCAAGGTTAATCTCAAAACAACTGTTAGGCCGTCAGTATATAGTTATCTAGAGAGCCAGGGAGTGCAGATAAAGAAGTTCTAATAAGTACTTTAGCGCTAAAAATTTTACCCGAATCCATGAAGCATCACGGTCGGTTAATTGCACCAGTTGGACCACAAACCGAGCAATACTGGCAATGCAAACCCTGTCTATATATCAGTAAGTCAGCTTTCACTAGAAAATACCTGCAACGTACATTGAGCCAAGTGAAAGAGTCAATATCACTCCAATTTTCATCTTTCTGTTCACTCGCATGGGCCAGAGCAGCGGAATTGGTAGAAAAAGCATTATAACATCAGTAAGTGCATTGATACCAGATATTGTTATACAAACTGAAAGGGCCCCTGAACAGGCCCCGTCTGAGATTGTTAAGTTCCGATGCTCTTCGGTAGAATTGTAGACAAATGAAAATTCGATGACTGAAATAATGCAGTACACGGTAAAGGTCGCAGCAACCCCGTATATCAGGAGCCTGAAGGGGCGACGAGAGGGTGAAAGTCGAAGGTAAAAAATAAGAATTGAAATCTTGATACAGAATGTGCAAGCGGCGAAAATGGCGGAGTCAGTGATAGACAGCTAGTTGTAAATCTCTCAGATTCGCCTTCCGCTGGGCTTGGGACAACTTACGCGGGAGAAAAGGGGAGTGCAGTTATGCGAAGATCCCAGAAATGAATTCCTATCCCATATTTTGTCCCTGATGGCTTCAGTTTATGTTCGAAAATATACCAAGATATTCTTACAGGTAATAAGTATAGCTGAATAGGTAAAGGATAGGACCTGATTCTGTATAAGCACCTTTCTATTGAGCAAGTTTCGGAAGTAGTATACCCATCCAACCAAGAGAAAATCTGTCTTAATTGATTAGCCAAGTGTCCAACGGTAACTGTCATATACTTACAATCATCAGCACCTATGAAATGGAGAATAGCGTGTCGAGTGTACAATCGTAGGGAAATGAATAAGGTTGCTAAGCACCAACATGTTATAGCAGCCGCTATATCACGGTATCCGATCCAGTCAGGATGTTCAAAATTTGGCTGAACACCTGACGGAGGAGGAACCACCCCTGGGACCTCATTTTGTCCTGCCATAAGCATGAAATATTAGACATCGTGGTCTCAAGTGCGGACTTATGCTCAGGAGATTGGACTGCTAGCGAAGACCATAATACTATTACGGTTAAAATAGACATTCATATACGCGTCACAATGACATCATAGTTTGACCGAGAAGAATGCGCGAATTATTGATAAAGTTGCTGGAAGTAATGTGGATTCATCAATAGGCACCCCGTGACACACTTTCCCGGAGTGCTTCCCATCAGCGCCCACGCACTTCCGCTAATCACCACTGACTTTTGGGCGGCTTAGTCAGTAGTAATATAATCCACTCCCAAACTGCACATTCCAGAGCCGAAAATCGGGCATACGACTGGAGAATTAAGAGAACTGCTCCATTCATAAATGTGTTGTCCTGTTCCAAGTGTCTGTGACTGTGAGCTAGCTAAGGCCGCCAGTGAAGCGACACTGCGCACCGGGTATGCAAGCTTACGGTAAACAAACTGGCTGATAAGCGAATACGGAAATCGACCTACTGTCAAAGGACAGCTAAAAAAAGAAAAGTGAAAGCCGTGGAGTCTTCACACATTTGAAGAAACACATATAAAACGATGTAGCCTAACTCATCACCCCCTCCCTAGTTTATGGGGAATTAGAGAGAAGCCACCTTCGCTCATGTGACTACCCCACGACATCAATCCACCATAGGCAGTCTCCTCATCGCTTGCCACATCACATTCTTCTGCAAACAACCTCGAATATTCTTTTCTCGAGGTTGGATAGAGCTGCTTGAAATTGCAACACATCATGGTTTCTGTCGTTAGTTTATTGTTCATTGAGCCCGGTCTCATAACACTGACCATCTTCTCTCCGAGATAGGCTGTGGGGCAGCTCTGCGCGACAGCGAGCATAGCCTCTAATCTGGTGCAATGCCAGACATTGATTCGAAAGGCTGCGGCCGCAGGAGCCAAGGTAGAGCAATATTTTACCATGCTTACCATGCTTTCTGCGTAACTCAGCTGGTATAAGCAGCTAATACTATCACAGGTCCTGTTTTTGCCGGAGGCCTCAGACTATCTTGCGTCTTCGGCAGAGGAGTCTTTTGCACTCGCCCAATCCACAGATTGTGGTAACTTCATTGCAGCTCTACAGAAGGCAGCCCAAGTGGAGAAGATGCATATAAATGTTGGCATCCACGAAGTAGCTTCTGAACATAGGCTCAAGAACTCCTTGGTCTGGATTGATGATAAAGGAGCCATCACGCAAAGGTACCAGAAAATACATCTATTTGACGTTGACATCAAGGATGGTCCTATTTTGAAAGAGAGCAAGTAAGTAACTGCATCTAGTGTGTAGGTTGTGGGTCAATAGCTGACATACTAGTAATGGTGTAGGAATGTCGAGCCAGGACGGAGTATTCTTCCACCATTTGAGACACCAGTTGGACGCGTCGGTTTGGCCATTTGTTTTGACGTAAGTGCCGGTACCTGCAGGCCTGGCAGATGCTTCTTCCACCGATGTTGCGTCACCTAGCCGGACTATTATTCTCTTTTGCTTACTCGTTCTGGCAATTTTAGCTACGTTTCCCGGAAATAAGCCTGGCATTGCGACGCCAGAACGCGGAAGTCATTACCTATCCGTCCGCATTCACAGTTCCTACAGGCAAAGCGCATTGGGAATCTCTACTCAAAGCCAGAGCAATTGAGACTCAGTCCTATGTAATAGCAGCTGCACAGGGAGGCTTGCATAATGAGAAAAGACGCAGCTATGGTCATTCTATGATTGTGAACCCGTGGGGAGAGGTGGTAGCTGAATTGGGTGAAGAATATCAAGAACCACAGATTGCGACGGCGGATATTGACCTCGGGCTTGTGTCGAAGATTAGGAGGGAGATGCCTTTGCTTAGAAGGACTGACATCTACCCGGAGATTTAAGCTTGAATATGAGTGCGCACAGAAGGAAGGATCAACATGTCCCGCTAGTTGTCCAGACTTAGTGCCCTTCGACAATCCCCTAGGAGCCGAAGGCTCCTCCTGGTGTGCATGAAATGACATCAACCCGTACCACTTGGTTATAAGCCACCTTTATTGATGCGATGAGAAGCAGTTCAAACGGAATATAAAGTAGTACAACAGGTAGGTGGACGAAAAGAAATGGAAAGACATGTGAAAACCCCATCTAACCAAAGGATCGGAACATTCATATCTGCCATCGCAGGTGGTACAGGCATCAGCCGAAAGAATCCTTTTCCGATCTCTCTATGTACAGTGTACAGATTAGGCGCAAAAACCGATCCGTTTATTTGTTGACCTTCTCGGGGTCCTCCAAGATACCCTCAGCTTCCAGTCTCCGACGAGCCTCCTCGAGAGCCCAGGTTTGTATCCTGTTTGAAGATGTTAGCACCGATTGATCCCACTCATCCCTAACGCACGATTGCCAGACAAGCTAGTCGTTCAAGCACACATGCAGACCGCGTAAGCCCAAGGAGAGGTATATGGGCGATACGTACGAGGTATCAGGCTTGAAAACATATGCAACACCGGCAACTACCAGGCTGCCAATGAATCCGTAGTACCAGACGCCCTCCCAGCCTTCCTTCACGTACTTCTGACCGGGCTTGACGCCGAACAGCCAGCCGGTCGGGGGGTCATAGTGATCGCCATGGTCAGCGGCACGAAGGTTGCTTCGGGTTGAGAAGGCCTGGGTGTTCTGAGGTCTGCGCAGCAGGCAGCGCGAGCGAAGGAGATGCGACAATGGCCGGGCAACCATGTTGAAGACGGGGGTGCGACGGTTGGGGAAGATTGAAAGGGGCCTGACGGTCGTAGGGATCGCGGGATCAAGAACAAGGCCAACGAGGAGTCGCCTTGCCAACGTGGCAACAGCAAGCGCAATTGGTAGGGCACCGCTTGGTGGAATGGACAGGAGAGGGGTTGATTCGGCGGGTTGATGTTGAAGCCGCAAAAGGCCGATGGGGAGCTGACCAGTCACCACGCTAATCCCTTTTGGGTGATTTTCCCTTGCCGCCTTTTGTGCCTTATTCACAAGGCAAAATTTAAGCGCCTACCAAATACGGCAACAACGCTCGACACGCGACGCGTTCTTATCGCATCCCCATGATTCTTAGGTTGTCAACAGAGCGCTGACTTCAAACTACATTCGACCCTCCATGTATCCTGGGCGCGTATATCGCTGAGTACATACTTTCTTTCCCGTGGTATGGCTTATTATACTGCATTGAGTACCTGCGCGTTTCCTTGCTAACACTGCGTGCGGAAGGTCGAGAATGTATCATTACCCACTTTGACGAGAAAGTTCTGGGACGAAATTAGATCAAGATCATGGCAACCAACAACAGCAACGACAGATCGTACCCCGTCTCCTCGAACTCCCGCAGAAAGTTGAACGCATTTCGTTACAAGGAAGAAGAGGTGGCTTCCGATAACACGAGCTCGAAGGATGGAAGGAAAGCCGTGCATGGCAATAAAGAGAACCAAAGTTCATGGCTGAATGGAGTAGTGGAACCAATGCAGAAATACTCCGACAAAGCTGACCCTCCACCTCAATCAGTACCATTGAGTGAGGAGCCCAAGCTGGTCAAAGAATGCCCCCAAACACCCGGAAACCGTATACCTCTCGCGGACTTGATTAGCAACGCCGAAGATGGCTTTGATCCCGCGCCAGGTCCGGAGGTAACTCCAGTCGATCATGTTATCTGGCAGCATGTACCAGTCAGCTCAAACCCCGATACTTCGTCGCAGACGCCTGCAGGTTGTCGAAGGAAGCGGCGTCACAGCTCCTCGTCTGCCGGCTCGCCCACCAATGGGAATTCCAAAAAAGCTCAGAAAGAGCCACTCGACTTGCAGGCAATCCAGGCTCTATTCAAAACACCCCAACACGACCTGGCAGCTGAGCTGTGGAGTAACTACATGGACAAGAATATGGTCGATGGATCTGAGGATCTTCCCCCACCTCGCCTAGCAAATCTACTCTCCTCGTCGCCACAAACCCCGGTTTCGGGAAGAACAAGCCGAGATTCATCTGGCTTGAGACGATCGATTAGCTGCGCTGCCGAATGGCCCACATCTCGAACAAAGCGGAGACGAATCAACCGCCAGGATCCAGGGTCTGAACGAGGCATCTTTTCACGCACCAAGAGTAATATCCTGGATTCAGGGAAGCATAAGTCATCCAGAATCAATTTGCTCCTCGACAAGATTGAGAAGAGCCTGCAGTCAGCCCCCCAAGCCGAAATGGGTCCTCCCAATTCTTCTCCCCTGCGGCAACGTATGGACGCGCAAAGGTGCCGTTCATCGTCCCCTACAATGGACCGGAAAGGCCTAGGAGATGCTGAATGTGCCAGAGAAGGTCTTCGAGTTCCATCTGCCGATAACACCAGCAACACGAGACAGGCAATGCTTCAAGATTCTTCATCTGAATTTGGAGATGACGACTTGGACCAAGACTTTATGGACCTGGCTGATGCCTCAGCGGATCCTTTCGTTGCTCACGCGGCTGGTCGCAACGAGTTCGAGTCTCTACACTCATCGGCTTGGTCAACCCTAGCCGCAGAGAAGCTAAAATCCAGCCATCCGAAATTGCAATACACGGCCGGCAATAAACCACCGGCCGTGCAAAATTCCATGAAAAACGAAACCAAACCTGACGACTATGACGATTTTGAAGACGACTATGGAGAGTTTGACGACAATTTCGAGGATGTTCTTGCAGAATGCGACGCAATGCCAGACAATATCAATTTACCGAAACAGCCCAGTGCAGAGTTGCCGGTTATGAGGAACATGGACCCGAGCCCTGTCAACTCGGCTGCCCAAGTCCCTGCCAATATACCACATATTTCAGCCCATGATACTGCTGCGTTGTCTGAGGATGAGTTTGATGATGATTTTGATCTGGATGCCATCGAACAGACCATGAAGCAGACGGGTGAAGATGCAGCTTACGTTGGTCACTCTTAGTGGGGTTCTACCTAGGTATATGCTAAAACAAATGAAACAAAATAGAATCTCAAAGGTCGGAAAGCTATTAAGCGTTACCAGATCGAGGACACCGCAGATCGCTTGTATGTCAACTCAAAAGGACGTACTCAATCTGAGCAAGTATGCAATCTCTCACGACTTGCCGAATTTCACCCCGTCGCTGACACGTATGCAGGTGCTATCCGTCAAGGAAGAGAATACGGAAGCCCGCAAGGTCATCATATTGCGTGAGTCGTGGTTCGACACTCCTTGCAGTAAAGATTCATTTATTCACCTGGTTGGGGAGTTCAAATCATCTGGCCAATGCGTCGTGGACAACACCAACCATATGATCATTCTTCACCCTGACCACTTGATATCTGCTACTGTTGTAGCGGACTCGGTTGACTGTCAACGCCGTGCTGTACTCCAAGATCGTATCAAGGTTATCAGCCAGGTTAAAAGGCCTCAAGCATTCGGAACCATCTTTCACGAAATTTTTCAGGAGGCATTGAAGGCTAACCGATGGGATTCGGGTTCGTTGAGACTGCTGGTCGAAAGTGTTCTTGAAAACCATGTCGAGGAGCTGTATACTATTAACATGAATATGATCGAGGCTGTCGAGACCATCATGGGCAAGATCCCCGCTGTTCAGGCTTGGGCAGATGTCTTTCTTCATGCCAAGCCGAAGGTACGGGCCTCGAACATAATTCTTGAAATGCGTTTCTAACTACCCCGCCAGGCTAATTCTTTAGTTGAGGACCGCAACGGTGCGAAACTCAATCTAAGTATCAATAAGTTGCTTGAGGTTGAAGAGCATATCTGGTCTCCAATGTATGGATTAAAAGGCAACATTGATGCCACTGTCCAAGTGGCGTGTCATGACAAAGATGGACTGAAGAACCTTGTTGTACCACTTGAACTGAAGACCGGGAGACGGGACACGAATCAGGCGCATAGAGCTCAAACAGCCCTTTACACCCTTTTACTTTCGGATCGCTACGGTGGGTCTCTGAGGCGGATGTCAGGTAGCCTGTCCTCTGACTAACCTCGAAGCAGACGTCGATGTAACTTTTGGTCTACTTTATTATCTTGAGCTGTCGAAGACTCTCAGCATTCGTGGCATTCGTCATGAGCTTGTTCAGATGATCCAAGTGCGAAATCGCTTAGCGGGTTATATCCGCGAGAGACTGCAGCTTCCACCGATGCTCAAGAAGGCACAAATGTGCAACAAATGCTATGCGAAAACACCGTGTCTTATCTACCACAAGCTGGCAGAGGATGGCGATGGTGAGACGAGCGCACTCGGTGACGACTTTGAAGTCTTCACTCAACACCTGAACCAAGGTGACTCCGACTTCTTTCGCAAATGGGATGAGCTCTTGACCAAAGAGGAAGCAAATTTGGTCAGGTTTAAACGTGAGCTATGGACGTTACTTAGTGATCAGCGTGAATCCTATGGTCGATGCTTCGGAGATGTTGTGGTCGATCCACGAACCGCACACGAGGACGAAAACGGGACTAGAATCAACCGCTTCAGATACACATTTCACAAGCGGAAAGCACCTCCCAATTTCTCCTTTGCAGAGTCACAGATCGCGGTTGGTGAGCCTATTGTGGTTTCTGACGAAAAGGGTCATTTTGCCCTTGCCAACGGCTATGTAACTCATGTGAGCACATCGCACATCACGGTTGCCGTTGATCGCCGGTTACACAACGCGAGAGCGAAGACCGTTGGCTTTAACGCAATTTCAAACCAGTCGTTCAAAGGCATTATGGAAATCGAAAACGGTGGGGTTGCTGCACTGGAAGACCTTGACGAGCAGATGGTCTACCGAATTGACAAGGACGAGTTTAGCAACGGCATGGCCATCGTTCGAAACAATCTTATTTGCATGATGGACAAAGAGCTTTTCCAATCGAGGCATTTGAGGCGACTTATCATTGAGGGTCAGCCACCTGTCTTCAGAGCAGCATCCTCTGCATACACCATCTCCGATCCAGACAGCCTCAATATCGACCAAAAGCAAGCCATTGATAAGGTCATGAGTGCCCAAGACTACGCCCTGGTTCTTGGAATGCCTGGCACTGGTAAAACTACAACCATCGCACACATCATTCGAGCACTAGTTGCACAAGGGAAGAGCGTTCTATTGACTTCCTACACGCACACTGCTGTGGATAATATCCTGTTGAAAATTCGCAATGATGGCATTCGCGTGCTGCGGATTGGTGCGACCACCAAGATTCATCCAGAGGTGCATCAGTTTGCAGATCTGGCGGCAATTCCCAAAAAGACCATCGAAGAACTCAAAGAATCGTACGAGAAACCACAAGTTGTGGCAACAACATGTCTGGGTGTGAACCATAACATTTTCAACCAGCGGATCTTCGACTATTGTATTGTTGATGAAGCTTCCCAAATTACTCTCCCCGTCTGTCTTGGCCCGATTCGGATGGCAAGGACCTTCATTCTTGTCGGGGATCACTATCAGCTCCCCCCACTGGTGCAAAACAAGGCTGCCCAAGAAGGAGGTCTTGACATCAGCTTGTTCAAATTGCTTTCAGACGCGCAGCCGGACTCGGTTGTCAATTTGGAACATCAATATCGCATGTGCGAGGAGATTATGCTTCTCTCAAACACACTCATTTACTCTGGTCGCTTGAAATGTGGTACGCCACAGGTGGCAGCTCGCTGCCTGGAGATTCCAGAAATGCATGCTCTCAACCAATTCCACACAGATAGCTTCCACCCCTCCGAGCATAGGCAAGGAGTCTGTCTTGGGACAGGCCACGGGCGCTGCTGGCTTAATGACCTCCTGGTCCCCTCTGCTAAAACTCTCCTTGTCAACACTGACACGCTGGGAGCGCCAGCCCTCGAAATAGCACAAGGCCAACGCATTGTGAATCACATGGAGGCTATCTTGTGTACTCAGCTCGTGGAGGCGTTGATAGCATGCGGCATTCCTGCCAGGGAGATAGGCGTCATCACCTTCTACCGCAGCCAACTCTCCCTTCTCCGCCAGAATCTTCGTCGCTATACTCCGGAACTTGAGATGCACACGACCGACAAGTTTCAAGGCCGTGACAAAGAAATTGTTATCCTTAGCTGTGTTCGCAGTAACTCTGATAACCATGTTGGAGAGCTTCTTCGTGATTGGCGACGAGTCAACGTAGCCTTTACTCGTGCCCGAACCAAGCTTCTTGTCCTTGGCAGCAAATCAACACTGCGCGACGGCAATGAGCTTCTCGGCAAGTATGTTCGCCTGGTCGAAGGCAAGGGGTGGGTCTACAATCTACCCGCTGGCGCAGCCGAGAGCCATTCTTTCCAAGCCGCTCCTCTTGACTCTACTCAAATGCCCTTCCAGTCTCCCCATGCAACCCGGAATCCCGGTTCTGCGAAGAAAAACTCGAGTCCCACCGTCAAGAAGAAGTCCCCATCACGCGAACCTCTTAGTCCCCTGGGCTCTCGGCAACCCCCTTCTGGTTTCAAGGAACCTGCGAAAAGAGGCACGAGGTTGTTCAACGGCAAATCTGTGGTCGGTAATAGGCCCATTCTCCAGGACCTGGTGAATGATATTGCTGGTGGTTATGAGTCTCTGAACTAGGCTTTACTTTTGATTACTGTTTTGGATCAATTTGGTTCCTCTTTCTGCATAGCAAGGATGGCGAGTGGACATGGATAGTGTGATGCATATGACCGGATAATGTCTGGCAATTCATGGCTTCCCCTTTCTGTTTTAGCTCACCCGCTGAATAGAGTTGAGCACGCCCCTGAGCGGTCTGAGTTCCTCAGGGAGTGTAGTGATTGAACCGACCCGCTCACTGAGCCTGTTCTGAAGGAAGGGATAAGCGGCCTGAGTAAGCGAAGCTCAATAAAACATAATGCGCTTGCCCTATTCACGTATAATATTGCCACTCTCGCTGGGACCTATCGCACTATCAACAAAGGGCTAGTGTCATTAATGTGACCACCGATCTTAGCCAGCTGGCTCCAATGCGGTAAATGCGTAGTGGGGCTTATTAAGTAGACCATTCAAGTCCAACTTCAGGCTAATTGCTCCTAGGACACTTGGTTTACTCGCCGTATAATCTCATAGCTAGAGTGCTACAGAGGAGAGTGTATTCTTCTATGTTTTAAAGGGTTTACGTGATGCTCCCTGAGCCCCCTACCCAAACACAGAGATAAAAATTCCAGTCAACAAAACGTAGTCCAGAACTCAAGATCCGGGGAACTCGAATATAACCAAGGCCCCTTACAGCTACTGCCCGAGGTTGATGATCTTCGCAGAATCGACAAGACATTGTCATCTATCCAGACTAGACAGATGCACTGTTCACCGCCAAGAGACAGAGCCTACCTTCTGACTCAACTGCGGACGAGTCATTGCTGGCTCTCAACATACGCCAAGATATTTCGCTTCCGTGACGATAACAAGCGTGAGTGCGGCGCATAGGAAACAGTGGTTTATGTCCTGGTAGACTGCCCAAGGTTGAGAGTGCTCAGACAGGAGCTGCGAAGGTAGGAGACGCGTTCAGCAGCGTGTCAAAGCTACTAGGGAGAAAATGAAGAAGACGGTGTGGAGGTAAGTAGCACGCTACCCCCTGAGCCAGCAGGGTCGGCAGGCCTTGACGGGGCTCTAAATTCGCTCTTTAGAAGTGGTGCATAGATGGACGTACAAGGACGGTACATGGTGGTGGTAGCCGGGAGACTAGAATTGCCAGAATGCGGGGAATTCTCGGTCTCCACCGCAAATTCAATAATCCCTCAAGCAGGGGCGCTTACTTCATTTTTGGATTTCTCCAAATATAGCAACCTATTAAACAAGAGAAAAGGCAATGGTTTTCAGGGTCACTTGACCTATTGCGTGATATTACCTAACATCTCGGTTTGCCTCGGGCGTGTCCTTACCCGATCCAGCCGTGCCTTCCGTTTATGACCAAATCCGAGTCTGGAACCCCAAAACTGTTACGTGATCTCACAAGGAATGGGGTTGCCCAACATTTTGATGCCATACTTGCGGCGCATGACTGGTTCTAATAGCGTCATAATGATCTACCTCCCCCGCAAAATCTTTATAAGACGAGATGTTCCCCAGCCTGAAGTGCCGAGCACAGTTCCAGACTCTTCCTCTATGAATTAGTGCCTCGGGTACCTTATTTCGCTCAACTCCAATCCGATGTAAGTAGTGAATATGTCTCCCCATGCTGGGCAGTCACTCATACATTACCTCAGTCAATGTTCGCGAGTCAATCCGCACCCGTCATGACCACCCAACCTCTAGAGCGCTCATCACAAGGCTGGAAATGCCAACAATGCGGGCTCCCCGGAGTTCGCTTATCCACAGGCCGAGAAGGCTCTACTGGAGCTACTAGTCGGGCATACTACAAATGCGTCCCATGCGATCGCTTCCTGGGCTTTTGCCCTTGCACCACGCCAGGAGCCAGGACGACCTCGACGTGCCCGTGTGGCGAACACAGTGGTGCAGAATCACCGGGCCTAGAGGACCAGGTGCCTCGCGGTGTCTCCATGTTTTCTACGGGGAAGCAAACCTTCAACCCACACAACCCGAACTCAGGTTTTGATGAGGATTGGGAAGCAAATTGCAGTCCAGGCTTTATGGTTTCAAGGTTCAAGGCTGTGGGCATGGAGTTGCTCCCCCTGGGCGTGAAGGAAAGGGTGCATTTTGATTTTATTTTATTTTTTAACTAGCATGCCTTGGTTTGATTCATCAAGAGCTCATATGCGATTGTTGCCTGTCGAGGCGACACTGCGATCATCGAATAAATAATATACGTGAATAATAAGAACCATGCTCTTGGGACCACCACGCAATGACTGGTAGCACATCGTGGTCAGCAGCGGATGCAATTCTTCATAGTAATGATATAATTGGATGCTCCCCCCAAAGAAGCAAGTAATTCTGCAAAAACGACACTCTTGATACACCTCATCCGGTCTTGCATCCTGTCAGACTTGAGAAAAGTCACTCATTGAGTAACCACTTACCACCAAGGGCAACGCTATATATAACATGCCTTCCAGGGAATTATTTGGCTTACCGTTTAGCTTCTGCGTATACCAAGTAACCCAAGAACAGCACTGCAAGGCTCCCAGACCATTCGCTCCCTGCCGAGTAGCCGTTTGTGGTCCGGGTTCATCCATGGAAAGCGCTCATCTCACACATCCAGCACGACCTGCTGCACGCGGTTCTGCCCCATGAATCTGAAGATCTGATCAATCTCATTACGTTTGTTCCTCAGGTGTCGCGCTTTGGGTGGTGGGGAGAAAGCCATAACGAAGCGGCACCAGTAGTGCTTTCTTTGCTCGAATGGAATATGTTTTTTTAGAGAGAAGTGGAAGCAGCGGACATTTCAACAATGTTAATTCTCCTGTCTTATTGGACTTTGGGCTCGACGTGAGGGGGTAACAGGCTCTGGTATCAAAGATTCTAGTACTAAGTGATTCGTCTGGGAACATTCACGCTATGCGATTAGCACCGCCATCAGCTCCCAGCTCTCCGCTCTGGAACACTCCTCCCACTGTCTAGAAATGAAGCTGGCCCGCTATGGATCATTCTGCAGAATGTAACCAAAAATTCGGTCGATAGCATCATCGTCCCGCTGGACGTTAAGCTTGCCCGAAGCAAGTCCGGACTGATTGAAGGGAATCAAGTTCGTGGAAGTCAGCACAGGGCCATGGTGATACTTGAAAAACTTCATATCCCCCATGTCAAATATAATGACCCAGCATCCTCGGTGCTCCGGAACAACCGTTTGCAACATGCGAAGCAGCTCCACTGTCCAGACTTCGCTTTCCACGTTGTTGAGAATCAACACCATGGCGTAATGCTCAAGCTCTGTTACGCTTTGAAGAGAACGGCCCATTCGGCGAATGTAGAAGTAGGGAGGGAATACGCGATAGCGGTCCTGGCTGAACGCCACGAGAAAGCCACCTGAAATGGGAAAGTAGTAGTTGAGAATCCCTGACAGCATTGCTTGTGCTTTGTCGAAGCGGGCGCCTTGGGCAGCGGCACGTATGACAAGAGCGTTAATGATCGGAACTGAGGTATAAGGTGGTAACGGCATGACAACGGTACTTCGGTTTGTCTAGAGGATGATTGGTAGACGGTAGTGAGCTCGGTTTTGCACATGGCGCGGGAATGAGGATATCGCCGAGGAGGTGAGTGGAATGGGTGAAGTGGATGGAGTAAAATGAATTGAAGGGGTGATGGGAATCCTGTACACCTCTTTCACAAACAAAAACGTGGTCAGCAAGAAGAGTTCAGGTTCCAGCTTCAAGGTCTCGATTGACATCACTAACACTGGCCCTCGATCTGGCGTGGATATTTGCCAGGTTTCTATTGAACCCCGGGGGAAAATTCAGGCTCGATATACCCTGATTTTCACTTTGCTGTTTGGACTTTGAATGGGTTCGAAGATGTGCAGGTCTCGCTGGGTGTCACAGAGACTCCTAGATCTCTTATCTCCGAGCGACAGCGCAGTTTCTGGCGTCAAAGTGATCGGAGTTGGGCTTTGGCTGGTGGTAAGTGTGCTGTATGTGTTGGTACTGATGCGGAGGAAAGGTATTAGAAATTAATGAGGCTTAGATGCCTGATGCAGGGTCAACTACATAAGCCTCGGAGAAAGGTCTGATGGACCATTTGAGTGATATGGAGAAGTATAACTGATTTATGTTGTATTATACCAAATTCGGGCCATAGGCTACTATGTATGAAAGCTCCGTACCACCATATGTATACATGGCTTGCTTGATATCGCCGTTATAGCTACTGATCCTGGACACCACGGAAAGGTGCAAGTTTTGCCCGGAGATGCCGTAGACAAGTCCCGTACGGAAGGAAATAAAGAAGGAAAAGGGAAAGATGGAAGAAAAGGGGGAGAAGAAAACAGAAGAAAAAAGGCTCCCCTTTACATTCGGCCAAAGGGTGGGAATTACTGCACCGACATCCACATGATTTTAGGCATTTACTAATCATTCAATGGGATAAGAATACAGTGGAGGTCGAACGACACAGATTCGAACTGAACTAAAGGACATTAAAAGACAATAAAGATATGCGCTATCAACACCATGTCATGCTCATGCCTGTTCTCAGGCGGCGGTGATACAAAAGCAGGGGAAATAAAATCCGGTTCACGGTCAACTTGCACATAATTTCGTCAACTTTGGTGCATTCAAGTAGCGTCGTTTGCCACTGCTGTCGAATTCCCAGCGGCCGTGATTGTTAGGGTTCGCGATGAAATTGCTAGGCATTTCAGGCTCAATGAATTCGAATGCTCGCTTCTTGGATGTAGCGGGAATGGAAGCGGGAGGCGGTGGAGCTGGATGAGGCATTGGATATGTTGGGTGGATTGGATGCATCCAATACCCCATAGGCGGATAGAACATGAAAGGCGGACCATACCCCACTGGATGCTGTATATGTGCATGTCCAGGATAATGCATCCGGCTATACATCGGGTCTTCCGAAGAATACTCGGTCGCAGAATGCATCGTATTCAGCACAGGAGTTGCGAACGCAGGAGTTGCAAGGTTCCCCGTGTACTCGTCGGTAAGCCGCGGACGCGCGATCTGAATCAGGACAGGGGCATTTAGAGCCTGGGAATCGTGGTGTTTATCCCACAGGTCAATATCACCATCGTCAGCAGCTGAGGATGTGGCAGGAGCCGGTGCGAGTGTCGGCATAGAAATGATAGGAGTTGATGGTGTGGGAGGACTCTTAGGGGTCGACTGTTGTCTCACTGAGACTGAATCATTTTCGACAGATTCGGTACTGGTCCTGTCGGGAGAGTAGTCAATCGAAAGGAGTGTTGCAAGTGGTGCAACAGTTGCTGGCTCTTCGGTGATGTTGTTGTTATACAAGCCAGAGTCTAGCCCAAGTATGTCCAAGTCCTCGGTTATGGAAACAGTGAAGAGAGCAGTTGATTCATCATCATCGGCTTCGAATGCCATGTCAAAGACTGTATCAAGAATATTCGGGTTCTCCAGTATCGGAAAGAATGGACGCATCACATCCAGTTCCTCAACGGATGCTGTCGAAAGAGTGTGTTCCATGCTGCTCTCGTTTTAGGCCAACGTGGCTACCGAGAGAGCAAGGAGGATCTAAATGACAGGATCCCAGCCAGATGATGAATGAAATATGAAGCGAGCGATATGAAGAGCAAGAGTGCAAAAAGAAGGCTGATGTTTTTGATTGTCGAGAGAGCGTGGGATGAAAGGAAGAAGAAGAAACGAGTGGGATGCGAGGGCAACTACATGGACCACTTATGATGTAAAGATGCGATAGTCCTTTCTTCAGCACAATTCAGCGTCGGCGCCCTTTTTGCATAGCGGGCAGTAAGAATTCCGTGGTTGGAAAGGCAGCATAGCCCTTTGGTGTGCATCATTTCTCAATAGCAGTTGCTCCAACAAATTCCCAGCATATAGCATAGCGATTGTTGGACTCGGATGCCTCCCGATCATTTGCCCTGGATGCCACCGACGAGTATATGTTTGGAGCAGCCGCGATCGTGAATCCGTCCCTCCCTTCTACGGCCTGTTTTCCCAGCGCAGAAGTGGAAAGAACAAACCAGGCCGATGAAGGGCTAGACTTGAAGTTGGAGGTATGGGATCTGGGGCCGCCGCCCGGTCAGGGCAAGGTTAATCGCGAAATCCACGGTTTTCATAGGTATGGAACAGGGGACTCACAGTAGACACAAAAATAACTGCATGATCCACTTTGCGGAGATCAGACCATGCCATTTCAGGCTGATCAGATCCATAGTACTTGCTGCATCAGCACCTGGTACACGGTAGCGACTCAGGTACGGGTCGACGTCATCGTCTGCAGACACACGGGGTGATCCAAGTTGGACCATAGCAATCCATTCAGAAAGGGAACCGCAGCTCTCTTGCATATCTTCCTCGGACATATCATTTGACACCAGTCCATGCAGAGGGGGCGTGTGGATTCGGTCCAGCTTGCTTTTGAGTACGTCAGAATCAATCATCTGCGGACAATGTTTCGTGATCGGCTTGGTTGCTACTTTCCCTATTAGCGTTTGTCCGCTTTCCATCATGAGTCAGAGGAACAACGGACCTTGGTTTCCTATTGTGAGTTCCAAGTCGCAAAAGAGCCAAGCGAGGGACTGGTTCAGTACATTTTTGAAGGCCCACACAATCCGGTCAAAGCCTTTCTTGCCATGCAACATTGACGGCAGGCGTAAATTTAGCTCAATCACTATCCGGATAGTTAGCTTCCAACCGTTTAGTATATCTTCCAGGGCCTTTCGCGCATACAAAATCTGTCCTTCTGGTGCTTTCTTCCACCGCTACGGATGGGTTTCCCGGTGAGTCCTGTGCGCTCAAATATTTCTCTTCCGAGTTCTATCTTGAGGATTCCTAGTCGGCATGAAAAGTTAGTTTTGATCCTCATAATAGGCCACGCCAGGCTTCGAAATCATGCGGAATACTGACCATCGTGCAGCGTAAACACATTGTCAGACCCAGCCCGGCCCTCAGAAATCATAAGAATATTTCCTGTAAAGCCAATCAGCAGCTGGCCCCGAAGGAATTGAGCAGGAGAAAATACCAGACTTTATGTACGCGTTGAAAAACTCGTGTTCCAGCAGATCACTGGGACACATGAACACTCTTGCGGATTGAGGCTTATTCAGCTCGTCGTCTAATGACGCCTGAATGCTTGTGTAAACATTTTCAGGAAGAATGACTTCAGCCTACCGGAAATGTCAGCTTCTCTTGCAATTCATCTGCTGGAGTAAGAGAGCTTACTGTATGCGCAAAGGGCTGGTTGAGGATGGCAGAAAAGGGAGATTTCTTGCTCGGAACCTGCTTCGGGTCAATGAAACCGGGTAGTTGGGCGATTGTCATGAAGCACTTTTCGTGTCCAGACGCTTCGTCTGTGAAGTCAAACATGACAATGCCCTCCTCAGTTACCGGAACAGAAGATTTTGAGGTGTTTGTTGGGACTTAGATGGTCCTTTTGGAGACGAGGGATTTCACGGCAAGAATTTTGTGGAGCACAGGGCGAAGCGGAGACTGGCGCGGCGCGTCTTGATTAAACTCCCCTTATCGATAGGCAGCAATGACCTCAGTATCACACCCACAATGAGAGCTTTGGGTTCAGCGGACAATGGCATGGACAGGGGAGGTGACTGCACGTTGAATTCAAGTGTTCCAGACACAGCTTAAAATTTCGTAATCCTAGTTCGGTGGGGTGCGCCCTTGGAAAGCCTCTTTGGGTGTCGTGCAGACAGACTCATGTATACTTCAAGCTTTGGGAGCATTTCTTCACCAAGTACTGAATCACCTTGCAGGACTCAGTGTCAGACCCACCCTAATTTGATTGAACAGAGGCAAGATACTATGAACCGTCTAATTAGATTATACTCTCCAGTCATTAATGGTGCCGTCGTCTGGGCCGCGGAGGAAGAGCAGGTATCAGTCTAAGTGTGTACTAGGTCCCATGTTCAGATCTTTAACGCGCTCCCAGCGAGTAAACTCAAGTTTGATGGGCGAGAGGGAAGCATTATCAGTTTAGAAAATAATTGTGAGCAGTCTTTGGTGCCTCGATTATGTTCTATCTCACTTCATGTAAGCAAGAACCTTCCTGTTAACAATGTTATGGTAGTTAGAACAAATAGCTACCACAGGATTTTGCTACCTGTGAGGAGCACTTTAAAGGACGGGCGAAAGGAACTCTGCCAATCAACACTTGCCCCGCGAATCGCCTGCTACTGTATATTGAGAGCAGGTTGGGCGACGATCCACTCTCGGAGTCATTTTGGTACGTAAAAAGCATGTAATCATACAGTTTCCGTCCATGATGAGGTCATCTTAAATGAGCATGTCTGGATCCTTCATCCTCCAATTGGACTTTCATCATAGAGCTGTGGTGTCGGCGCGTTTCTAATCCTCAAAGAATGAGACAAATCATGCCTGAGGCAGCGATTTACTCTCCGCCCAAGAGCAACGGCGCGGAAGCGCCTGCGGGTCCTTCAAGCGTCATGAGCTAAAGCCCGCAGCACTCTCAATCACCTCAATCCAAACTAACTGTCGTTGCTGATGCAGGTGGGCCTGAAACAAGGTGCCAATTGCTAGAGCAGCCGCAGCAGCAGCCAGGGCTAGAGGAGCTGCCAGTGATGGCGCCAGCGCCCCGCCGAGATCTCCTCCCAAAGGAACATTTCGCGTTTGTCTTTGGAGGTGTCAAGACTCAGAATTACCATGACCCAGCTGCGAAGGGGCCAGGGTCTCATACGTGAGCTCTTTTTTATCCATATCGGTGGCATCACTGACAGCGCTTTCAAACAGCATCCGGACACTGGCATGGAACCCTACCGGTCAACTAATCGCGACTGGCTCTGCTGACCGTACACTACGAATCTGGAACCCCGAGCGCCCTGCTGTTCGATACTCAACGGAGCTTCGCGGACACTCCGCCGGCATTGAGAAGGTTCTCTTCAACCCCGTTCGAGATGCGGAATTGGCAAGCTGTTCGACAGATGGAACGGTGCGCTTTTGGGATGTCCGTTCCAAGACATGCGTGAGCCGTCTAGATGTCGGCGGCGAGGCCTTTACACTCTCCTGGTCGGCCGACGGGAGTACAATGGTAGTTGGTAGGAAGGTAAGCATCAGGGGGGACCCCCGTGAGCTCTGAATGCGAGCATTATTAACTCTCTGTCCCCTGCCAGGATGACACATTAATCCCAATCTCTGTCCAATCTCTGTCTACTCCTACCATCCTGTCAAATGGAGGCGCCAGCAATGACATTTCTTCATCCGGCGCCTCCAAATCTGGCGCGTCAATATACTCAGCCCTTACACCACACCCGCAACCGATTCAAACTAATGCCACCACCTTCTCCAACCACATCGCCACGCCTTCCTCTCCAGACCTACACCTACTCGCAACAACCGGCGAGGGGACCGTGAAGATCATGTCCTATCCCTCATTCGATATCCTCCACACCCTTCACGCACACACCTCCTCCTGCATGGCTATCTCTCTTGCGCCTACGGGCCGTTACCTAGCCGTCGGCGGGAGCGATGCACTTATCTCTCTATGGGACACGACAGATTGGATCTGCCGCCGCACTTTATCCAGTGAGAACGGTGGTTCTATTCGTGGAGTCAGCTGGAGCTTTGACGGCCGCTTTATTTGCGGCGCTTGTGATGAGCCCTTCTGTGGTGGAAATGGTCTGGAAATCTTCCATGCGGAGACGGGCGAGAGTGTTTACACAGTACCGACGGCCGGCGTCAATGTTGGTATTCCGGCCGTTGCGTGGCACCCCTCTAGATATTGGTTGGCGTACTCGACGACCCATGACGGGCCGGGAAGTGGTTCGGGCGGCTTGAAGATTGTTGGCGCCGCTGGTGGCGGTCTTTAAGCTTGGATGTAATATCCGGCCTTTCCAAGTTTGCACAGCCGTGATAGATTGTTGCCAGGAGCTGATGGCCCTGGGGTTGCTGTTCATTTTACGATTCCCAAATAAACACAATGAGAAATAGTTATGAGTTATCACATTTAGCGTTTATTATTGTAGAGACTAGCCCTATCAAGGTGATTTCCTTCCTAGTAGGAGATGGCCAAAGATCAAATCTGAGAGGAGAGGAATAACATAAAAGAGTATTTGTTCATCATCATTAGGTCGTTGCAAAAGAGACCGAATGCGCCTAGTATAAGTCCACCGTCTTGAATCATGGCTTGGCAGCCATACACGGCACTGGGAGGAGATCTGGCTGGAAATGGGGGTCGTGCTGAGGAAACGTAGTTCTCTTGATACCCCGGGGGGCGCGTCCAGGGGGAGGCCTTGCATGAGAGGAAGTGCAACGCTTCTGGGCCATTATTCCTTCGCAAAACTGACATCGGTAGCCCAGATTGGAGAAGGATTCGTTGCACTTGTAGGGAAATTTCTACAGCTCGGGTTGGTTGGGTTCAAACTGGGACGTAGGAGACTGCAGTCGCCACATGAACGTCTACCCCGCTATCAGGATGTTGTGCCAACGAAACCCATCCACGTCAATTCTCACGATGGTCGCCAATTCTCCCAGCCCGAACCATTCCCGTTGTTCAGGATCTGAGCCCATTGGGCGTCACTGAAAGACTCCACATTGACGGCTCCAAAGTCAACATTACTCAAGCCCTGACTCGGGGTAGGTACGTCCCAGTCAGCAGGCATAGTGAATGCATTGGCAGCACCCGTACTCCCCATAGGACTCGTGGTACTGGTCCCGTAAACCTGACTGGGTATGGAGTTCAGATCGAGGACCTGAGGAGATTCTGTGGTAGCGGGAGAAATATGAACGGAGTGGACTTTTTCAAAAGATGTGGTGGAGCTTGAGGATGGGTAACTCGAGGCAGTCTTTTGCTGCTTCCTCCCCGGAGAGGGGTTGTCGGCCCCAGATACGGAATAAGATGTGTTGGAGGATGAGTTCAAGGTTGAGGGCGTAGGGTGATCGGATGGCGGGTTTCTATCGCCGAGGCCAAAATCGGGCGAGAAATCCATGTCTACGTCAATGAGGCCCTGGCCATTTGCCTCACTATTTCCGTCCACCTTTCGTATATGGTGGGGGTAGAAGTGCTGCGATTCACTGCCTGGGAGTCCCCGTTCGGGGTCGACGATTGGTAAATCCCTGTGCCGGCTAGGGAGAGATGCAGTCATGCCAGTTGCCGGAACACGACCAGAGCTTCTCAAATTCGACTTGTCTTGCGAGGACTCATTTTGCCCTCCACCGCCTTGTGGTTGGGAAATGGAGTACATATTAGAGCAATCGACAGTCTCGGAACAATAGGTTTGCTAGGTCAAAATCAGTATCACGCGTAGTTTCCAAGGGGGTCATGGGTTGGACCAGACTAACCATCACTTGCACAGCACGGCTGATTCCGGAGCCGGATTTTGTATTATCTACCGCCCGAATTCCAGTTCCTTCAAGATCAACGTCCAGTTGCACGAGGAAGGACTCGGTGAGAGGATTCTTGGATTTCATCGCATTGAGAGCTGAGACGACAAATTGCAGCGAGGAGTAGACTGTTGAGTCATCGGGGCGAGATTTAAGATACTGCACGAATACTCGCGCTGAGATGTATAGGCAGAACGACATGAAGGGGTTCAACTACCACTGGTTAACTGGGTCCTGCAGAGTCAAATAGGGGCAGACTTACGCTCGATAAATCAATGTGGCTGACCATTTTCATGATGCTTGAAATCTGGCTCGCTGCCACAAGACACCTGCGTTTACTTTCGAGTATAATCTGATTTGGCATCTTGTTCTTCTCGGCCTTGAAGATTGCTGCTTGGTGAAGACAAATGGTGGACGTATGGATGCTCATATTGGCAAAGATAACATTGACATCATCCATACCACTCGGAAGCCGAAGGTGCTCGGGCAATGAAAGTGCGATGTGAAGAAGGATATTGTCATGGCTCCGATGACGCTTCCAAAACTCGCCATTGAGGTCATGGTCATTGTCGTGTGGCTGAGGTCGATGAATGTGGACGAGATTCCGACCAAATAGATTCGCCAAAACACACACACAAGCAAGCGGACCTAGTGTAGATACACCCTCACCGGCAATGATGTCGGATAGCCGAAGGGTGCGCTGTGGCTTGCTCTTCAGGAATGACTCTTCAGAGGCAGGAAGATTTGTCATGATCTATTTCAGTCAGCCACCGACATTCACAACAACCCGAACTGTGGCGACAAGGGGCTTACATCGTCTTCATCAATGACCATAGGCCAGCCAGTTCCGATGCTGGCATATCGGTCAGTACAGAAAGCCATCCAAAACGTTCTCCGGCGTTCTTCGCGTTCCGTCCAATCTTTGGGTGGAATTATGGACTGCTTGACATCGAGCCCATTACCATCCAGCCGGTTGAGGCCCATCATCAATGCCAGCCGCGTCGCTTTACCGACACTGAGCCATGCTCGGGGGAAATATATCATTCGGAACTCATAGCTTCCAATCAGAATCCAAGTTTGGCAATGCGCCAAGCTGATGATATGCTCTCCGAATCCTTTCATCTCATCTGCTTCAGCATACTTGCGAGAGCGCTGGTAGAAATGGTTATGCAAAGAGTAGTATTTGTCGCTTACGGATGCTGCGTGACACCACATCATGTACCGTAGGCAAATGGGAGGCCGCATATGAGGGGCGAGGTTCAGGCTAGCATAGTATCGAGGACGGTGGATGATAGGCAGCATCGGATAGACTTTCTCGAAGAAAATGTTGTCCCTAGACGTATGCATACTGAGCATGAGGTTCAATGTACCACAAGGGACTCACTCACAGTTCGTCAACAACTTCCTGGGTCGGGAGAGGCTCCTCCAGCCCGAGGCTAATCAGGTCCCACTGCGGATCGTTTAGGGTCACAGTAGGTCCTTGGAACAGCATTTGGCTCGGCTGCGATGTACCGAGCCCATTTGCAGACGGTGGCATTGGGATACCGATGTCGTTCCCAAGACCCGAGATGTCTGGCAGACCGAGTATGGAATCATCGTTGACAGGCGCGGTAAACGAATGCTCGTGCGGTTGAGGCGGGGAGGGTCGCGGCGCAGGATCGGACTCTTGCCCTTTGAGAAGGGTCTCGACTTGAGCTGAAAGAGAGAGCATATTTAGCGACATTGTTCCGGGGCTTGTCGTCGCGCCTTCTGCGACAGCGATCAATGAGGCAACGTACCCAGGCGTGCCTCCAGCTGCTTCACGTACCCCCGCTTTGGGCCACTCTTCTTGCGCACTTCGTCGTAGGAGCAATCATGGCCTAAGCGCGAGCACGTTCCACAGCTCGGTCGTTTTCCATCACATCTCAACTTTCGTCGTCGGCAGACGACGCATGCGATGCGCTTGGGACGGGGGACGTAGTTGCTGTCTCCATCGGGAGCGCCGTCCGCCAGATTGCTAATGTCTGCGATCGAGGGGTCTTGGAAAGAGGGTTCAGGTGCAGTGGCATACTGCGAAGCGCCCTGCGCGAATGCGGAGGGCGGGAGGTTCTCCATAGCAGGCCGAATCGCCGGCGGGCAGGGCGAGCGAAGGTGGGATTTGGACCGATGACGAAGCTGACAGCCCACCGATTATTAAGGCGAGCGCGAGCGACTCCTGTAGAGCGACGGGGAGGGATAAGGCATGAATCGACCACGAAATCAAATGCAAGCGGGTCTCATTATCCGATTGTCTGGTGGTCGGTGGGGATAAGCAGAAACAAAAGTTCTTATGGATGACGGCGGCCCTCTTTCGTGTCAGAGGGAAGGCTGTGTCTTGGGTTCCGGCCCCAACTTTACGTCTTCGATCAGAACTCCCAGATACCCCTTTTCCGTGGTTCGACCACCTTCGAATTCGATCGATCTGTGGAGATGTCATTTAATTTCGGCGGCCCATGGAAGTCCTGACACCTGGCGATCAGCGGTTAGTGCTTCTGGGGGGAATACGCACCACGGCGCTGCCTGGCGGGCTTGGCAGATCAATGGGGCTCATAGCGTCGATCTGAACACGAAGGGTCATTTGATAAGCCATCTAGGCCTCCTCGATTGAACAATATACGCTATACGAGGTACTTATGACACTTTTCAACATAAATCTCTTTTTCCTGAATACATTTTGGATTTTGTGCGAATGGCCGGGGGCCGTCATACTATACACTCCCCCGCTACTCAAGCCTGAGCTCCCACTGATGATAGAAACAAGATTCCCAGTGATATTGCACGGCGGGATGAAAAAGGGATGAAAAAGACACGGAAGGTCTAAGAAAACAAGAAGAAAAATATCGTACAGCCATCCCTTGTGCAGTTGGGATGAGGTATAAGATGGGAAACGGCTCTTGTCTCAAAGAGCGGTGGAGCGATGCAGGAAGGATGGGGCAAATCCAATCTCTGCCAAATACAAATAAGCGATAACATGTGCTCTAGTTGTATCCGCGGCGGCGTTGGCCCTGGTTGCGAGGTCTCGGGTGCACGACAGCCTTGTTGATCTTCCACTTGGGACGAGTCTTATAGCCCGACTTGGTCTACAGAGAAAAACATCGCATATCAGCAAATCGGACAGGAAAGGACGATTGGTTGGGAAAGAAAGCTTACCGGAATACCCCAGGGACTCTTCGGGTCGACGTTACCCTTGGACTTACCACGACCACCACCGTGGGGGTGGTCCATGGCGTTCATGGCCAAACCACGGACAGTGGGGCGGATGTTGAGCCAGCGGGAGCGACCAGCCTTGCCTAGCTGAGTGTAGTGGTAGTTGGGGTTGCTGGCAATACCAATGGTAGCACAGCAGTCCTTGTGGAGGAGGCGGGTCTCGCCGCTGGACAAGCGAACAGTAATGTGCTGAGCCAGACGCTCCTGTTTCTGTTTTTCACGCAGAGTCAAAGGCTTCTTCTCCTCCTCCTCAGGCTGGTCAGACTCAATCTCCTGCTGCCGAGAGTCGCTACCCTTGGCGACCACAGTTGCATGGGTTCCGGCACTCCGGCACAGCTGAGCCCCCTTCCCGGCGCGCAGTCCTACGTTGAAGATGAGAGTCCCGACTGGGATCATGTGCAGAGGCAGGCAGTTTCCGCGCCAGGCAGTTCGTGCGGCCAGAACACCAGGGTCGACAGTCCCGCCCATACTTTTCCACAGGTCCTCGGGGATTCCAGACATGTAGCTCTGCACGACGTCACCAGCCCGCATGCCATCTGCCGCGAGAATATAGCTCAACTTGGTGGTCTCTTTGCTTCGAACCAGCGCAATGTGTGCGCTCCGGCCTGGGTCATACTCAATGCGCTCCACCAGATGAGGTCCGGCGTCCGTCCGCATGAAATCCACCGTCCGTATCCGACGCTTGTGGCCACCTCCGTGATGACGGACTGTGACACGGCCGCTATTGTTACGACCACCCTTCGCGTGACCACGCTTGGGGAAAGTCAATCGATGCACCGGGCGACCCTTCCACAGGTGGTCGTTAACTGGCCGCCGCAAGTGTCGTACACCGGGTGTGCGAGGAGTATATGTGCGAAGCTGAACCCCGGAGTCGCGAGTCGGCGGAGGGGCAAAGGAGGCGCTGAAGTCGGATGCAGGAGTCGACACCTTGTCGGAAGTTGTCTCTAGCTCGTTGATGACTGTCGCAAATCGGCGAGTCGGCACAGTAGGAACCGTAGGTAAACACCTGAAGGGCAGCCGAATGCCCCGGAGGGCAATTCGTGGTTGAAACATAGTTGGTTGGGGACTTTCCGATGAAAGGCAGGGCAGTCGAGGTGAAGCAATGGGGTTCCCGAAAGAAGATCCAGTTCCAGGGCCCAATGCAAGCAGGCCTGTCGGTGCTCTCGCCGCTCGTCGTACGTGGACCTGCAACGGCCAGGGCAAAAAGTTCTGGGATACGGATCATGTGACTCTCAACTTCACCGCCCACCGCCTCACCTGGCTTGACACCGCCACAACTGGCTGGCAGATATTGTGGCGCAGCATGCAGTAACACCAGACCCCGTGACCCGTCACCCTTTCCGTTGCCGGGCAACAGTGTTGTTGTCTCCCACTCGCGCCTCACGTTTCGTCCGCGCCCTCGCGTATCCACCGTTACCGTCACTACCAACCTCAATACCGCCCCTGCCGACCTCCCACCTCTCCCCTTCATTTCTGGATCTACCTCTCTCTCTCGCGTCTTTACTCCTCAAAAAAGAATTCCTGTTTCCTGTTCGGTGCTCTCTTCCGTCAATCCTCTTCCATCCGCATTTCTATCTCGTCTTATTACTAGGAAAGGTGGGAAGAGACCCGTCGCGACTCGCTGTGTGGGGCCTCACTCAGGTTTGACCGGTTTTCCACGCTAGCACAATAGGGCCAAACATCGCTTGGCCCTCTCGACTTCTTCCCTTTTCCTCATCATCATTCCATTTCGAGATACCCATCCTCCCCTCCCAACACCCTCTATTCTTGGGTTTAAATCCTCCCTGACGGATTCCACGTGTGATCCAAATACCTCGGGACCGTCCAATCCACCATTTTCACGCGTCATTCGACCTTTGCCCGCAGAGACTTCGCGAGTGTTCTTGATACCAACATCGTGTTGGACGCATCGTGACTCGCGACTCATCCCATCTCAACCTGTCTGAGCAACTACCTGCGCCTTCTTGCAACTGCAATTTCCTCGGGGTAACTGCATTTTCACGCGTGGTACGTGCACTTCAACCTCGACCCTCTGGTATTTGGGTTCCCCACTGAGGTAATGCCGGACGGAATGCTGACCTGATTGCCCCAGCTAGGACGAGGAGAACTATCTAGCTCTCACTTTCCTTTTCTTTCATCGTGCTCCCTTCCGTTTCCCTCTCTCTTGAGTCTACCACGATGCCTATGGTAAGTAATCCCGGACCTTGACAGCTCGAGTGTACCATTGAGGGACATATCTCGATCTTACATCAAGGAATTCGACGCGTTGAAAGCTTTGTTTGGGGTAGAGACACTAATCCTTTCACAGGCCCGTAGCCTCCGCTCCCGTGGCACCATGAATGAGAACGACGAGAATGGGCCTTCGACGCGTGTGACGCGGGCCAAGTCCGCGCTCAACACCGACGGCCCTGCCGATGCCGTCAAGAAGCCTCTGCAGACCAAGCGTGCTCCGACCACGGGTTCTCAGCGTCCCCGTGCCGCTCTCGGCGACGTCAGCAATGTCAACAAGGCCGATGCCGCGGAGATTAAGGGTGCGAAGAAGGCTGTGGCTGGCAAGGCTGGTCTGACCTCGAAGGCGACCCGCCAGGCTGGGGGTGTTCAGAAGCTCAGCCACACCAACTCATCACGGACTACTGCTTTGGGGCCTCGTGATCCTAACGCCAAGAAGCCCCCCAACAAGCGCTCCTCGAACTCGAAGGGGGACAATGGGGAGCAGCAGGAGCCTCCTCGCAAGAAGGAGAAGGTCGAGCCCGAGGTCCTGACAAAGGGGAAGATCATTGAAGTCGCTGGGCCGGATGTCGGCTTGGGTCCCGACGTGCAGGACCTGGATACCGAGGATTTGGACGACCCCTTGATGGCTGCCGAATATGTGGTGGAGATCTTCGATTACCTGCACGAGCTGGAGATGGTTACACTTCCCAACCCTCAATACATCGAGCACCAACCCGACTTGGAGTGGAAGATGCGTGGCATCCTGGTCGACTGGTTGATCGAGGTCCACACCCGATTCCGCCTGCTCCCCGAGACTCTGTTCCTTGCCGTCAACATCATTGATCGTTTCCTATCCGCCGAGGTTGTCGCTCTGGACCGTCTTCAGCTCGTTGGCGTCACTGCCATGTTCATTGCCTCCAAGTACGAGGAGGTCCTTTCCCCCCACGTTGCCAATTTCAGCCACGTCGCCGACGAGACATTCTCCGACAAGGAGATCCTCGATGCCGAACGCCACGTCCTCGCCACCCTCGAATACAACATGAGCTTCCCCAACCCTATGAACTTCCTGCGTCGCATCTCCAAGGCGGATAACTACGACATCCAGACCCGTACCCTGGGCAAGTATCTCATGGAGATTAGCCTGCTTGACCATCGGTTTATGAGCTACCCTCAAAGTCACATTGCTGCCGCCGCCATGTATCTGGCGCGCCTCATCCTGGAGCGTGGGCCCTGGGACGCCACTCTTGCCCATTATGCCGGATACACCGAGAAGGAGATCGACCCGGTCTTCCGCTTGATGATTGACTATCTCCACCGCCCCGTCTCCCACGAAGCTTTCTTCAAGAAGTATGCCAGCAAGAAGTTCTTGAAGGGTATTTATTTCATCCATTCCGACGTTTCTCAACCATACTAACTCATGTATGCAGCTTCCATCTTGACCCGCCAGTGGGCCAAGAAGTATCATCACATGTACATCGACAGCTCCCTTTCCGAGCCGTACACTTACATCAAGGACAGCGAACAGTAATGATGCCATTTACGATGTTATGCTAGCCCTGTGTCGGCACTGTCGTTGTCCTTCATGACGATCCCAAGGCCCTCGTGACACTGCGACCAGGGAACTTCGAATTCCTCCATATGTTGGCATTTCATTGTGCTGGTATCGACTACCTTTTGCATATTCTTAACGATGACTTGATTGATTTGTGCGCTTCGGCATTTGTCTTCTGTGACGGTGGGTGTTCGGCGCTCAGCCCTGCGGTTCTGTTTCGGCTTCGGCTTGTGCGGTTTTCCTTCTGCTTCTTCATTTTCTTTGTGCATGGGGTGCATGGGGTGCCTCGTCTCTCGCCTGCCCTGATACCTTTCCATTCTCCATTATTCGCGTTCGTGTGACCGGCGTCAGACTTTACCTTTATTTTTTCTTTTTTTCTCTTCTCTTTTTCAGATCGGAATTTTACCTTTATTGCAGCCGCAGATTTATCTTCGTTTCGTTGGGGTTTCTCGTCCCACTGCGGGTGGCCTGGTGGTCCTACCCGTTTCCGTGGGCTCTTGGTGGGAACAAAAAGGCTTGTTCTTTGGAGGATTTCTATCTTTGTCGGTCGGAAGGCTCAGATTGGCGGGGACGAAGGAGTCTTCCCCGGATGTTAGATGGCTTGGTCTGGAAAGGGTAATCAGCGTCAAGGTGGTTCTGGCTTGGGTTTTTGTTAGAATAATTTGGTTCATGCCCTGGGTACTTGGTGTGGTTGTTGGATGCAATTCTGATCTTCTATTTCAATTCTCGCGTTTTCTTAATTTTGGTGGAGGTGTACATAGGCGTTTCTTTTCTGGATCGGATGCGCAGAATAACCATTCAGTTCGAAGTCACCGTCCGTCGTGTTGGCCGGCGCCCACTTTCAAGTAGCCGAGGTTGGATCCTCCCGCTGACGACCACGTTCGAACGACTCTACCGCTCTGTGCGCTAGGGGTTCGCGGTTACTGTCACAACCAATAGCTCGCGTTTCATGCCAGTTACATCGCCTTTCCAACGCGTCCTAGCGCTCAGCTGTCTGTAAAACTCGAACTGTTTAACTATTTTCTTCCAAGGGGCTTGCAGGTCGGGGTTAACACTGGACAAACCGTGCAGAAGCATCCTATTCCACCTTCGATATATGCGCTATCAGACAAGAACGGCCATCATTACTTCACCTCATTCCCCAACCACTTTCACCTATAGCAGCCCCTTTACATCCTCTCATGTCTTCTCATGACCCATCATGTCCTTTCTGCAACATTGCTGCAACAAACCCACCCGCCCCGTTCAATGAGCCCGAGCCCGTTTCAAGTCCTGAAGAGTCGGCACCAATCGGGACGGCGCATCTGATTTTGTCAACGGAGCATGTGCTTGCTTTCTTGGATATCATGCCCTTGACCCGCGGGCATGTCCTTTTAGCGTCACGGGCGCATTATGAGAAGCTTGGTGACATGGGGGTTGCGGCTGGACAGGAGGTATGTGCCTACTTTTTACCCTCCGTTTCAATTGGGTCTGTCTATATTCAAAAGATCGCATGTCGCATGCACCGGAGACAGACGGTGGAAATCTCTTTCGAAAAATACGGACCGTTGTGCTGATTCACTGGTAGATGGGGAAATGGCTGCCTATCATCTCGAGGGTCGTGACGAAAACCATCTTCGGCGATGATCCGGATAGACATTGGAATGTTGTCCAGAATAATGGTACGTAGGACTCATTTCCCATGGCATCTACCCAGTATACTTGCAAACATGACTGGGATAATTGCTATTTTTCTTGTTGCATTCATGGAACACGACTGTCTAGCAGTCTCGATGCATTTGGGTTATCTGCTAATCTACACAAAAATAGGTGCCCGAGCTGCACAGCAAGTCCCCCATGTGCATTTCCACATTATTCCTCGCCCATCAGATTTCGCTCACAAGCCAAGCTTTGCCATGTTCGGTCGCGGACAGCGACATGAACTTGACGATGATGAGGCTGTGGATTTGGCTCGTGCTATGAGGTTTGCGCTGGCACAAGAGGTGAGGCGTATCCACAGAGAGGAGGGTGTGGATCTCAGCCAGGCAGCGGAGAAAGGCAAATTGTGAAAACCGCCTCGTCTACCTCTACCTTTCCTTTTTCTCAATAGTTGTGAGAAGTGCTGAATATTTCGTTGTTTAAAGTGGGGGATAAATTCCCTTTGTCCCCTGCAGACTGCACACGCTAGCAATGCAGTTCTCCCTCTTGGCTTTCATTCATGTTCAGGGGTATCCCCCTTGTTTTGTGTGGCTTTCTCCTGCTCCGCTCGGAGGATATTTCTGGTATTATACTGTAACAGAAGGATTAGATATGCATTTTAATCGTCGACGGGCGATGTACTGTACTTACTTTGACCCGGAACGCATTCAGGTCGTCAGCAGAAACACCCTCGCCGTCGGCCTTGATTCTTCCAAGTGTGACATCGGATGTCTGTCCTTCCGGCAGACGACGGTAAATCATCAATCGGCGAGACCCTGCGGAACATCGGTCAATTCCACTGGTGCTTTGCATTGAAGAGCAGGGTTGTACTCACAGTTGCTGAACGGCTGAACACAAACGCTGACTACTTCTAGATTTGGGTGCATGGGCACGGGGAACTCCACAGCCTCGTCACTCGCGGTAGGCATCCACATGGCTAGCCGTCCATGGGGGACGAGAGTGCGGACTGCAAAGTCGAGGACATCTCTCTGCAAGGCTTCGAAACCGTACGGTCGCTTGGGGGGGATGAAACCCTCTCGGCTGTGGGGCAAGATTAGCGAACCATCGTGTCAGAGCTGCCAATGGAAGGGCAAGACGTACTAGTGGGCAAGGACTCCGTCGATGATAACCGGTGGGATGGGATTTCCATCCCGCGTTCCCAGGACCCGAAGACCTTCGCGAACACCGTAAGGAGGATCACAGATGATACCATCCAGAAACGCAGTCTCTCGCAGGGGTGTGTTTGTGAGATCTGACGTGAATGCGTCCAAGAACTTGCTCGTCAGATTGTACTGCTGGAAATTCTGCATCATCGCTATTCCATTCTGGCGCTCGTGTTCTTTACCACGGAAGGCTCGTGGGTCGATATCCGAGCCCATCGTCAACGCACCGAAGTGCGAGGCGGCCACTAGAAAGCTCCCAGCGCCCACGAAAGGGTCATAGAACACCTTTCCTGGGGCTGCAAGGGCCATATTCGCCGTCACTAAAGACAACTCTGCATCCATGGACGTAGTGCTAATGTACTTGCGTTTCTTGAGATTGTGGGTGTCGACGACATCCCGCGAGCCTTTCGCAATCCAGCGTCCCAGGTATATCCTGCGTGGCTCTGATGACTTCTTGGTCTTGATGGCACACGCTTCCACGTCTGTGACGTATTCCTCCGCCACCCGGAATTGCTCGTCCGGATTCTTTAGGCGGACCGGGCCTTTAAGCTGCAGGTAGGTAAACGATTCGAAGATTTCCCTTTTCTTGGCCGTACTTCGCTTGCCCGAGAAGCAGTCGACACTAAGTGAATACGCCACATGGCGGTAGTCGGCCCACCGGTGCTGCGTTCGCCGATGGACGTCGGCGTGTAATTCTTCATAGGTGGCGCCCTGGCCCCAAAGCTCCAGGATGTCTTTGGCCAGGATACTCCGCGAGATCAACGCGCGGGCCGCTGTATCATCTTTCAGCCTCACGATACAGTGCGGTGTCTGGCGGGCTTCGGTTAGCGAGGTTCGAGTGATGCAAGGGTAACAAGGAACGTGGTTGGAAATAGATAGAATTCCATTTCAGTGCTGCAGGAACAACCCGATCAGCCGAACGTGACATACCCATTCGTTGTAGGCAATAATTTCGAGGTCGATGCCGTGCAGCGTAGCGAGGGCCTGGAGCTCCGCTTGTCGAAATGTCTCATGACATTGGGCAAGCACAACCAAATACTCCATAGCGAAGAAGCGGAAGTAGTCCCTTTGGTTGTTCCTTTCCTATTCGTCAAATATTTGTTGGGGGCTGATTCATTGAATGCATGTGCTGATCTTCGATTGTGAGGTGGTGTGGGGGTTCACCGCGGGAGTTGATTTTTTTTCTCTCGTATCTTCGGGTCACCAATCTAAGCATTGGACGCAGCCATACAACCACCTAGCACTGCATGAAGTCGGCCATAATTGAACTGTCGTCTACATTGTTTCAATTCATGATCTCCGCGTCTAACCAATGCTTGATGATTGTCATGATTTGGTCACATTGTATCATAGCACCAGCCAATACCGAGCAGAGATATATGTATGGCGGAGAATCCACCACCGACTTACAACTACATACCTACAGAAGTTCTGGGCGGAGGTACCATGTCAAACCCCCCTCCTCAATAGCACGAAAAAGAACGCCGCTAGGTAAACGATGGGCCCGAATGAATTATCAAAATAAAATGTATGCAGAGAATGCCTTGGACCAGGAATCAAAAGTAAGTGCCGAAAAGCAACTCATTCAGTCATAAGGATGAACCCAAAGAGACGCCGTCCCTCGCATAGAAATCATTCCCAAAACTCCGCTGCTATGCGCCAACCACCTTAAACAAATATCGTGACTGGTGTCCCTCTAAGCGAATAATCTCTACTTTCTCATCTGCCGGTATCATGTGGTGCTGCAAATTCCAGCCGACCCGGCGGCAAAGCTCTGAAACTACCACGTCGCAATCTCCCAGCAGATCAATGTCGAAGCCCGTGTGGGACACCGGCTATATGGAGAGTTAGCATAGATCATGAGAAAACCGGTCGATCAGACGTACTGTACGGGAGATATAGATCTGGGGGACATGGCGCGGCAGAATTCCCGGCACTTCGGCAACGGGGGCTACCTTGAGCGAGGTCCCAATGACAATGACTAGGTCCGCCAGTTCTCGATCATGATGAATCAGGCGCTGGCCAAACTCATCAGGAAGATCCTCGCCAAAGAAAGTGATATCGGGCTGGGGGGAAGAATTTAGCATAGGCCAACTAACGGCGAAGTCTTTCCAAAAGCACGAACCTTCATCACACCGGGAGTGGGAATCTCATAGTCGTCTTCATCCGAGCTATCTTCATACTCCTTGCGATCTTTCTGCTGTCCATTCGAGCTGCGTTTCCGCTTCAGCCCTTGCGGTCTCAGCGCTTCTTGGGCGATCGCCTCGTGACAAGCAGTGCACTCCGGAATATTGCCTTCTTTGATATCACTGAAGATCGCATCGCCAGGGACCTTGATATTGCACTTGACACAGGTGGCAGTGGCGAAAGATCCGTGGCATTGCACAATATTCTCCGGCAGGACCCCGGCGTTCGCCTCGATATTGTCAATGTTCTGGGTATAGTTAGTCAACAACTTTCCCTTGTCCTGCAAGAGTTTGATGAATCCATGAGTAGGGGAGAATTTCTTCTCCGTCGGGAGGATATCCTTAGCAATGGAGAAGAAAATGCTAGGGTCCTCTCGGAAGACGTGGATGTCAAAAACCTCCTGAGGGTCGCTCAAGCCCAGATGCTCCAATTTCGAGTAGAGTCCGGTGTCTTTTGAACGGAAGTCGGGAATGCCAAGGCTCGTCGAAATCTAAGCGGGATATTTCAGTTAGTTTTGTGTTTAGAGCCTAGATGTAAATCAGGGATAGACCTACACCTGCGCCCGTCAACACGATGATATTCTTGGACTCCCGTAACAGCTTTACGGCGTCGTCGATGGAGTTGTACTGAGGAAGCTTCGGTCGCCGAGAGAACTCTCGTGATAACGCGACTGCCAGTAGCGGATGGAAGGCCTTGTCCGGCGCACCCTCCAGGAAGGCTGGTGGCATGATTCCAAATGCCGTACATAGCTTCTTCGCCGTCACAGTCTCCCGCACGATGGTCTCGTCCACGAATGCCGCTTTGCCAATATCATGAAGGCGCTGCCGGTATGCGACGGCTTCTTCCAGGGTACAGGCGCCGGGGACTTCATTGCGCGAACGTGTTAGCCAAGCATGTTGTGGTAGGGGGCTCAATCGCGGGGAAGTCTGGGGTAAGGGGAAGGTAAAAAATGTCAGGCAAGGAACATACCAAGCCCATCGCGGAGCTGCTCATCGCGCAAAAACTGGATTGTGTCCTCGCCATGAGACAGAGTGTCCCAGTCCTCTGAATCATCGCTGTCGGTTTCAAACTCGGACGATGCCTCCTCCAGCGAGACCGTCTCCGCGTCGACCTGCTCCACGATGTCGACGGCCTCCACTTCGACCACAGGCGACTTCACCGGGGTCTCCCCGCTCGGTGCTGGTACCAAGTCCATCCTGCAGGAGTTTGGACAGCCTCAGCGACTCTTCGCGCAGTGGACGCGCCAACTAAAATTCGGTATCTGCAGCGCCCGGACGGGGTTAATCCGAAGCCGAGGCCGTTCAGTGGCGAGGAGTACGAGGAGTGGAACACTGTATGTCTATAGGACGTTTTATTTCGTGGTATCAACAAAGAATAAGAATGCTCTACATGCGTAGATATCGCCGCTTTTGCGTCTATGAGTCGGCCATTTCGTGATCTTCGTCATCAGAGTCCGCCTCAATCTCCTCATCCCAGTCTTCGCCTTCACCCTCGGCCTCACTATCATCCATGTCTTCCCCGATTTCGTCAACCATCCCTTGGATCAGCTCCAGAGCGTGGGTTTGGAGACGCTCATCTTCGTACTCCAGAAGATCGTAAAGCTTCAAGCTCTGCTTGAGCCACTCTCGACTGGCAAGCAAAGATGCGTGCCGCGGCGATTCAGCGGCTTCATCAGCGGCAATGTCCTTCGGCGCTTGTTGCTTCTCCGCCAGCAGATAGAGACACCAACCGCCGAGGTACCACGCCTCCACACTTTGATCATCCTCGAGAATCAGACGCTCGAGGACTTCCAGAGCCTCAAACTCTAGTGTCACCTCCATCAGAAGACGGGCAAGACTAATGCGCACCGCGAAGTCTGGCACTTTAGGGTCCTCGGGAGCCAAATCCTTCCACAGGCCAATACTTTGTCTGAGTGCTTCCTGAGCTTCCTCGGTTTTCAGTTGTGATATCCGAATGGATGCGAAAGTCTGCAGGACCTCCGGTGCGTTAGGTGTGGCAGCCAGGGCCTCCGTAATAAGCGCTTCACATCGTGACTCTGCATCTTCTTCCCAGCTGTGAACAGTGTTGTCAGTAAAGAGCCTTGGCGGTCGCGGCGGGCAAGGAGACTCACGAAAGATCGGTCATATAGATCTCCGCAACGGCGCAGAGCGCATTAGACAACTTGGCTTTCTTCTCCTCGGCAGTGGCAATATCCTCCGTCCCAGCCTTTCCTTCAAGGGCTTGAAGAGTCTGCCTGAGAGACGAAACGCCCTTCTCGTACCACTGGACACTGTCCACCCCACCTTGCTCGCTCAATTGAGCGAGCCACAAGAACTTCTCAGCACCACCGCCCTCGGATTCCGGTATTGACCCAGTGGGATCCTGCTCGACGGCATGGAGGAAGTATTCCCGTGCAGTATCGATATCACCCAACTCGACGTTGATTTCTCCGAGGAGGTTCACTGCTTGAAGTTGTGCGGACGCATTTCCGGCGGCCAAGTCTAGCGCCTGCTGTGCTGTTGGCAGTGCCTCATCTGCTCGACCCGTCTGGAGGAGGATCGTGGCTTGGTCGAGTAATGTAGAGGGGTCTTGGGACATTTTGGGTTTCGAGATCGAGCCACCAGGGCCGAGGACGGATTTCGTGCGGGACTTAGATGACTTCTTCTTTTGCGGTCTGGGCTTCCCCATGACAGGTCTATTGTGAAACAAAAAGAGAGGACAATGAATGCGTTTTGTTCAGAACAAAGAGAGTAACTAGTATTGGTTGTTGGAGGTTCGAAGTAAAAAAGTGAAGCTTCGGCCCAAAATTTGGAGCTGTTTGACCGGTTTGCATGCGGGACCGCAAGATTGACAATCACCACAGTCAAGAGAATGCGATAGATTAATGTGAAAGAGCTATTGTTGTTCATACGAAACCCCTCCAAGAGCCTTGGCTGCTCATTCTGAACTCTTCGTACAATCACCCTTCTTGACGCAAACCATTTCCCTTTACCTCAATCCGGTCCTCCCCCTCAGCACCCCTCCAATCCGCGGGCGGATCAGACGCAATGGGTCGCGAAGATCAAATTGAGGAGCGCGAGGTCCTCGACTCGATTTTCCCCGATGAGATTACGGGTAAAGCCATACTTCTTTGAATAATAGCAGGTATTATGGCAAGGAAATACATAGTCGCTAACGCTGCTCGCCACCAGACATATCCGAAACCTCATACAAGATCTCGATAACTCTCGATCCCCCGGAGAATGGCCCTGAGCCAACAGAGCAGCCTGTGATCTTCCTTGAAGTCGCATACCCAGAAGAGTACCCAGATGTCGCCCCGGAGCTCAAAATCACACCCGCACCCAATGCGCCGAAGCACCCTCTTATCGAATTTCCACGAGACGACGACGTCCTCATTAATGCTCTGGACAATGCAATCGAAGAGAACTTGGGAATGGCAATGGTCTTCTCGCTTGTCAGCGCGCTGAAGGAAGCTGCAGAGCTTCTGATGGCTGAGCGCGTACAGGCAGTCGAGAATGAGAAGGCACGAGTGGCCCAGAAAGCAGAAGATGAAGAGAACAGCAAATTCCGGGGCACAGCAGTCAACCGAGAGACATTCGAGGCCTGGCTTTCCGCGTTCAAGAAGGAGGCGGAGGAAGAGGAGCAACGGCAGCGGGAGGAGAAGGAGGCCGAAGACAAGAAGAGGAAGACCACCAAGGAAGAGAAGAAGCTCACGGGGCGAGAGCTATGGGAGCGTGGTCTCGCTGGCAAGGCAGATTATGATGAAGATGATGAGGATGCCATGCCTGCCGTCGAGAAGCTCAAGGTTACTGCATGAGGTGATTTATGACGTCTTTTGCGTGGGCGCTGTATCTGATAGTACCATTTTCTACGGTCTACTTGTCTCTGGAGGTTTATGCAGCGAATAGCACAGAACGAGTCCACGATGACATGAACAATCCGATTATCACATTCCAAGGAGAAACCAAGTCAATCCATTTTCATGTGCTCAGCTCTTGATACTTAATGGGGACATGTCCAAAATCTGTATAATTGATAGAATCGGGGTATCATGAGAAATGTCTAGTATACAAATTGGGGTATCTGCCAGTACAAAGATGTGGAAGGCTCAAGCCCTTTGGAGAGAACAAGCCCCCAGAGCCATTTGCACAGTCGGACTATGTGCATTGGCTCGCAACAGATCAACACCGCGCGTGTGAATAGGTCAATCAGTCTTGTCCTGCAAGGCCAATTGCTCAAACTGCCTCTGCTCTTGCTCTTTCTTGGCCAATTCTCGTTCCTCAAGCACAACGTTCCACATCTTCTCGGCCAGCTCACGGTTTTCCCTGTCGGTCTCTCGGATCTTCTCATAAACGTTATCCAGAGCAAGCTTGACCTCTTCGGACCACTTGCTTTGCTCAGTAGCGTTGGTCAGGCGATCCCAAGCATCCTCGTCCTTGGCAAAGAGAAGCTCCACATGCAACCGGTCTCGGGTCACAATACGGTTCCAGCGCTTCTCGAGCTTAGTTCGTATGACGCCACTAAGGTTCCTTGGCTGGGGCTTTTTGATGCGCAAAAACGGGACTCCGCGTGCATTTACCAGCACCGGCACTTTTCGTTCCCCACTTAAGGATGACCGTGGACGAGCTAGAATTGATAGAGCATCGGGATGTTTACGGGAGGTTTCTTGCTCGAATCGCATAGTCTGTTCCTTTCGAGCCTGCTTCGGAGATACCGGTTTCGGCAGTTTCAGCTCGGTCATCCTCCTTTGCTTAGCAGCATATTGCTCTTTGAAAGTTTTTGTATGGGCAAGTATTGCGGTGAGCTTGCCGGAGTCCTGTTGGCTGCCTTCGGATGCGCGGTCAAGCAAGTCAAGGGCCTATTTCCAAGCCATTGCACATCAGCACTTTTGAGCTGCGAGTATAGCTTAATCCATGCACACCTCATAGCCTGACTTCAAAGCGTTTGCAACCTGAGATGGGCTTTGCAGATTCTTGTATCTTCGAAATCTTTGTTTGATGAGAGATTCGGTCTCGCCGCGCCATAACGCATCACCGGCAGCGATCGGAGAACATTGTCGAAGAAGGGCCCGATAAAGTGCCAGGCCTGGGAAACCCGTAAAGTTAGATAAACAACAGATAAATATAGGAAGTTCATCTTACAAGCAAAGCGATGGATCCCAGAGCGACTTGGTACCACCACCTTATGCATTCCGTGATCTCAAGGACGACCTCGAGAGATTGCGGAAGCTCTCGTCCCATGTGACCAAATGAAGAACTCCATCACGTGATCGACATACAGACACAAGACCAACCCTTCCAGGGGAAAAGTGAGCAGAATAAATAAACATCAGATGAATAGGCCTAGTTCAATGGCCGCCACTTCGTGGCGATGGGAGCCTTTGCTGGTGTGAAGGCACATACAGGTGGGGTTGCATTAGGGTTACCCCCGGAGCAGTTGGATGCGGACCCCAGTCCCTTAATTAGTCCATCTCTACCTTGTCCAGGTCTCGATTCGAGCACGAATTTGAGTGGAGACGAAAGGAATACATGGAAAATGCTTGCCATGAAAGGTTCTGATTACAAGACCAATGCTTGCAACCACTACTGGATAACTGCCCTCAAGAGCTCGATTGCACACTTCTTATGAAGTAAATTTGGGCTTCCAGAGAAACCGCGCCGAGGCTGTAATGCAGAGACTATACACGCTCTAAGAGAATCATCACAGAATGAAAAGACAAAAGCAAAGAGACCTTTAACAAAGACCATGGTACTCCGGCTTCCTTCGGAACCTTATGGATGGAAATGCAGGTTTCAGAAAGTTGAGCCCTCTGGAGGCTGAGGAATCTTTTTATGCTGGGGAAGAGCCATATATCTGGAGCCGAGGAGTCAGTACCGTGCAAGCCGGGATTTTAAATAGGGCTGGGGATCTGACCTCCGCAGCTCAATCAGGACAGTCTCCATCGTATAGTCTCGCTTCCACTGAGCCAGACACGGAACCTTCGTTGGGTCAACCTAAATCACACTGACTAAGCCACTTCTCTTCTTTTATTCAGTATCGTTTTGCTTGTTTGACTCGTACCTTTCCTGTCCGCTGGTCGACGCAAGGAATGTTGACGCGGGAGACGAACTGAATGGTAGGAGGATTGTCGGGATAGTCGGGTCCGCAATGAATGTTCACACTGTATATCCGGTTCTCGTGGACGCTCTAAATCACCGTCTGTTAGCCAAGTACATGAGGACACACGACACTCGGCGTGCGGGATGTAGGAAGACACACGTGAGGGGGTCCCAAGATAGTTCCATTCCAGTTGCTCATCATCATATCCTCTCCATCAGCAAGACCATAAGAGCATGCCTCTGCAATTGGGGAGGGTAATATGTTAGTGGTCTAGTAAGTATCATCGGGGAATCACGGTGACGGCACCTGCGCCCAAACCCTTTTCGCCCTTCTCCAGCTCCTCCAGGAGTCGGAAGTTTCGCGGAACCTTGGCAGACATTCTGATTACAGGTAATGTGAGCGTGACCTGTTTGAATCGAGCGAGGGCGCAAAGGTGGTGGGGTAGTTCGTCAGGACTGCAGGGAGGGGCACTTGCCTACGGCCCGCCGCTGGTGAAGCAATGGCCGGTCACGTGCGATATGGACCTTATCGGAAGGCTTGGCACTGGAGATGCCACGCCGGGGGTTGTTGACTGCTTCAACTGATTTGCTGAACTCCGAGGACAAACACAGCACTCACTATTGTCGCATTGGCATAAAACTTGGCCTCAAGCTTCCCCGACCCTGACTTATCACGGAGTCTGCCAGCTCATTTACTCGCGATCAAAAGCTCACTGATTATTGACATCCCGGACCTTCGGCCTCTGGGATAGCGGCATCGGCCATGCGTTGAATGTAGCCGCTTTGTGTTGGAAATGTCCTCCCAATTCTTGCAGACCGAGCTCGCAAGTCTCATTCAAGAGTCTCGACGAAAGAACTCCGATCTACGAAATGTTGGTTCATCTCTTGCCGGACATTGCCCGATTCAGACCCTGACTAGAACACCCAGGCAGCCGAACAGTCGCTCAATGAGCTAAAGGCTTTACCCTCCACTTCTGAAGCCCAGATATCAGCAGGTATGTTTTTCATCGTGATGATAGAGCTACACGATGACTAAGAAACAAAATAGACCTTGTTCGTAAACCAACATTCATCGAGCCGTTCATCATTGCGTGCCATACGCGGCACGCGAAGTTGGCGGGAATCGGTGTGATTTGCTTGCAAAGGTTGATCGCATCTCGGTCATTGCCATCCCATCGCCTGAAGGATGTTCTCGCTGGCTTGAAGGAGACGACGGGCTTGAGTATGTCGTAGTCGGCTGAACTGACTGATGATCAGAGTTGACTAACATTGCATAGGTCTTGATATTCAACTGAAGATTCTGCAATCGTTACCTTCACTTTTGCAGTTTTATTCCAATGATCTAAGTGGAGAACTCCTGGCAAATACTTTGGAGATATGTGCAACTTTGCAAGCAAGCAAGACAATGGCAGTCAGCAGCACCGCAGCTGCTACCCTCCAGCAACTGGTTGTCTCGACTTTTGAAAGAGTATCAAATGAAGACAGTGAGTCGTGAAATGGTTAAACAGTTTGTAATATGCCGTGACTAACTCGATCAAAGAGCTGCCGAATGATGCCAAATTATTCACAACCGTCACGGTCGACGGCCACCCAGTGGAGGTGGCAAAATTTGCTTATGATGCTTTACAGGTCAGTTTCTCTCCATATGATTAGTGGTCATTGAAGCTGACTTTTCTTCCCAGGTTCTGGATGATCTCTGTCGTCTCATCGATGGCGAGCAATTACAATTCCTGCGCACGAGGATTTTGTCCCCGACGTTCGTTTTGGAACTAATTGAAAGTATTCTCCTAAACAGTGGCCGCCTATTTGTGGGACATCCAGAGCTGTCGCAAGTCCTGCGAGTTCGTCTGCTCCCTTTAACGGTACGATATCTGTCTGAAAGGCATTCCTTCTCTCAGACCGTTCGTGTTGCTCGCATTCTAATTGTGCTGCTGAAACGCCATATGTCTCTTTTGACCGCTGAGTGCGAGATGGCATTCGGTCTGTTGACTCATCTGCTTGAGCCGGATGGAAATGCACCCTGGAAACGGGTGTTGTGTATGGAAGTTTTCCGGGGCCTCTACGCCGAGCCTGGAGTGGTCCGACTGATCTACTCGCTGTACGATGCAGACGAACGCCGGAAGAATGTCCTAAGAGATCATATGGCATCTCTTGTCCGCTTGGCCTCAGAAAAGCCCACTTTGATCGGAGTCAGCAACCAGTCAACAATACCGCTGCGAGCGGAACATACAAGATCTGCAACAGAAGACCAGATTGCTCTCGAGACTGGTGGTGTGGCTGGCGTTATTGGATCTACTGGCCCTCCGGCTGAGACCAGAGTACCCGGCATCAGCAGCCAGTGGAGTGTGGTGCGGACGCCCTACATAGAGCTCCTCGATAAAACCGATCCACCGCTTCCACCAGAAACTTATATCTATAGCCTTGTTCTAAACTGTATCAGCAGTTTCGCGGAGGGCCTTGCCAAGTTCATCCTGCCTCTCACCGTTCCGGATTTGAAATCAAAGAAAAAGAATCGCCTTATAAGTCCAGACCAAGGACCTGATTCTGCCCGATCCTCTCAGGATTTCCAATCTCCCGACATTTGGTCGGCACAGTCCTCATCTCAGTCTCAGAAGCCTTCCGTCCCGATCAACCCTCTTGATCTGCAAGCTCACGGTCAGTATTCGGCAATCAAAACATGTGCTGGAATCATTGATGACTGCTGGCCGGCTGTTCTCGCGGCTTGCTCTACATTCCTGCATGCTTCTTTGGACGACGAATACTACCACAATCTCGTTCGAGCATTTCAGAAGTTGGCCCACGTAGCGGGTCTTCTGAGGCTGTCAGTGCCTCGTGATGCGTTTCTCACCACCCTCGGAAAAGCTGCCATGCCCGCGAGTACAGGTGGCACCAAGATGCAAACCCTTGCTACGCCATCTGGAGGTGGCCCGCAGTTCAACGATAGCACTCAGAAGAATCGCAAGAGTACAGATCTGGCTCGGTCAAATTTGCTTTCTGGGGAGTCCGCTGGCTCATCAGCAGCGGAGGCCACTCCATTGTCTTTGAGCACAAGAAACCTCTTGTGTCTGCGAGCTTTGCTCAACCTTGGAATCGCATTGGGGCCAACTTTGGATCAGCCGGCCTGGTCCATCCTGCTTGAGACACTACAATACAATGGACTGGTGATCGGGATATCCTCCAGCACAATGGTGAAATCAGCTAGTGGTTCAGGGGAAACTACAATGATTTCTGGCAATGATATCCCGACCGCAAACCTCGGAACGGAGGTGATTGCAGTGCAGACGGCTTCCGCGAAGATGTTCGAAAGCACCAGCGACTATCCCAGTGCCTCTTTCCAAGAAATTTTGCTTGCTCTGTTGAACCTTTCTGCCTTCACTCAGCAGGACAACCAACGGGAACCAGCCCAAGAGGTATCTGAAATGCCCCGCTCCCCACAGTCCTCGCGAAAATCTGGGCGTATGCATCAAAATGCTCGACGTGTGTCGCACACCGTCGGTAAATCAAGAATGCAAGACGAAGAGCTCAAGTTCGTACTGGAAAAGGGGAACGAGCTAGCTAGGGCGAATATTGAGAGACTTTCATCACTGGTCGAAGAAAACCTTGTGGGATGGCAGGTTCTGACCAGAAGCCTTATTTCCACATCTGCGAACCCTGCAGTCAGTCCCAACCTCCGACTGCAAGCTAGTGGATTCCTCAATTCATTGGTCTTTCTGACGATGAAGCCAAGGGAAGGCGATGATGATGAGACTCGGAACAAGTTGCAGTCAAGAAACCTGCAGACGCTCAAGGATCAGGTGGCGACGCTCTATTCATCTGATCTGGTGACAGCAAACTCGCTTCCGATCACTGTGATCGAGATTCATGAGCAGAGCCTGGAGATTCTCCAAAACATTCTCGAGCAATATGCGGAGACATTTGTGGACGGATGGAGCCTCATATTCGACCTGATATCCGGGGCATTCCAAGGTCTAGCCAAGCCAGAAACCTGTGATCAGCCTGCCACCCCGACTGAACGCAGGAGGTCTGCTCTTCCAGGTGGTCCACGTCTAGTCCGCGCTGCCTACAAGTCTTTGCACCTTGTTGCCTCTGACTTCCTCTCTTTGCTCCCGGCTCCCTGTCTGCTTGGCCTGGTGAACTCATTTTCTAGTTTTGCCTCCCAAACACAGGACTTCAATATCTCACTTTCAACCACATCCTTCTTCTGGAACGTGTCCGATTTCCTTCAAGGACAGATCGAGGAGTTCTCAATTGAGAGCCATGTTGATGCTTCTGTCAGCGAGGAGGATTTGGGCAGACTTACATGCGATGAAAATCGGTCTGTCTCGAGAAATTCTCTCTGGCTTCTGCTGCTCCTCCGTATAGTCGGAATCACCACGGACATCAGGCCTGAAATTCGGAATAGTGCGATTCACACTCTCCTGAGAATCTTCGACGCCTATGGACAGCAGCTTTCTCCGAAGGCGTGGCGACTTTGCTTGAATAGGGTCTTGTTCGTGATGGTAGAAGATATTGAACGCACCTTGCATCAAGCCAAGAAGCAACAATCTACTCAAAATGACTTCAAGTCCTGGGTGGATACAACAGTGGTGATGATCAAGGGTGTTTCAAGTCTGATCACGAATTTCTTTGCAGCTATCGTGAGCGATGAGAAGTTCGACCAATCCTGGACCCGCCTTCTCAAGTACCTTCAGGCGTTGGTTGATATGCGTCTTTTGGAGTTTAGCGAGGCAACATTTGCTAGCCTTTCGTCCATTCTGGTTCGAGTGCAATCTCCAAACGGTCTTAGTAAAAAGGCGCGAGAATGCGCATGGGACCTTTGGGCAAACGGTCATCCTGCAAATGATGAAAGTACTCTTGACCTCGACCAACCAAATCAAGCTGCTGCCCTGGCCTACATGCAAAGCTTCGAGCAGGTCTACCGCCTATACAAAGACCACTTGAGCGCGGAAAATATTGAGAAGGTGCTTCAGCACCTGCGTCTGCTTGTGTGGAACTCGGTATCTCCACCGTACTCTCCAGATATCGACCGTCCTTCCCCCCTTCAAGCTCTGGTTATTGATCATTTCAAAACCCTTTGTGTGGAGAAAGAAGCATCTCAGGCTGCAATTCTCTCGTGCCTCGCGGATCTGTCCGATTCAGCTTTATCTAAGTGGAGCCCTGGCCACGACTCCAGGAGACCAGCATTTGTCGCCTTCTCGAAAAACACCATTGAGCTGATCAGCTGGTACATTGCCGACTTCGGTATCAAGCAGGATATCTTCACGAGTGGTGCTCTAGCCTCCGTCCTTGATCGGTTCGGAGCGTTGATCACGCAAAAATACACATGGCAAGGAAAAGATCGTGAACCTTATCTGTGGCAGAAAGCCTCCACTGCGTCCTTAAATGTTCTCCAAGTCGCAGTCCCCTACGTCGAAAAACAATATCATGACGCCAACGAGTCTGAGATCGAACGCTTTTGGCAGTGCGTGGTTGTTATTACTCACGGCATCGTCTCTGCTAGCGGGTTCCAGACCCAGCAGCTACCCAACGCTCGGATCGTGGCCGACGAGGCTTTCGACATTGCATCATTTACCCGTCTCAAGACACTTGTCCTTCCCTCGCTTGGTGCATCTGCCATCCCAGATTCTGTCCGCCGGGACTTTGGCGTTGCTCTCTTCCACTCCTCGTTCATTTACCCGCCACAGCGCTTTGACCTGCCCCCCAGTTCGATCGAGAAGGCTCCTCTACAGGACTTCTATAAAATACGCTCCGGACGAACCTTCGACCCACCGCCAACACTGCGCCCGAAGATAGCGTATGCTCTCATGGATACTCTCTTCGAGCTTGCGGAATGCCCAGGATCCGATGAGTCGAAGCAATGCCCTCGGACGCTCCTGGCTCGCTCGATCTCTCCCTACCTACTTCTCCGCTGTGCTCTCTCGCTCAAGGCTTATATTGCGGATCAGCCTCTCCGCGGTCTGATGCCCCAGCCTACGCCTGCGCGCAAGGCTCTGCTTCATCTTCTCCTACACATGGTGCAGCTGCGGAGCGAGCCGGCTGCAGTACCGGACCCGCCGTCCATCCAGACAGTCTGGTCCTCAGGTGATGATTCCTCTGCGCATCACCCACGCAAGCATCTCGAATGGCTGTACCCGCTCGTCGTCAAGGCAATCCAAGTCGCTGGCAAAGAGCGAGATGACGGACAGGTCCTACAGGCGCTCGGCAAGGTTCTACAGGAAATCGGTCAATATGAATGATTTGAGGCCCTGGCCCTTGCATGAGGATCTTAAGCCTAAGACATGTATTTTTTCCCATGTATCTAATTTCTTCCCGATAGACAGGCGTCACGGAGAAGGCCGTTTTTTTTTGCAAGAATTGAAGTGTTTTGAACGGACTGCTTGTCCCATTGAGAATGCGAAGATGATAGAACGAGAATGGTAGACTACAGAGTGATATCGTGACATGACTGTGAGAGGAGCCAATGAGTAGGCACACGAAGATAGAAGCGTAAGGGGGTAGAGAGGCAGTAGCAAGGGAGTACGTGAAAAGAAGACTGATGTGGGTATAGAAGAGGGAAACAAGCTCAAGATCCCCTTCACGTCGCGGCTCCCGGAAACACAGGTTGCAGTGGCATCAACCTCAACAGAAAGATCATGCGGTCGGCATCGAGGCGGCCGCAGGCGTGCCACGGCCCGGACCAGCCGTCGCGGATCCAGGGGGCAGAATCGCCTGCTGCTGCTGGAGGAGGACCTGTTGCTGGATTTGCTGCTGCTGGGCGATCTGCGGCGTCGCGGCAATCTCGGGCGCTTGTCGGAAGAGCGCAATCTCGGATTGCTTAAAGTAACGGCGCGCATCTAATCCAAAAGCAAAGCGTCAGTGGAAAGATTCCATGAAGTAAGTTTCACACAAAACAGTAGTGTCGCTCTGCTCTAGTGGGGGCGCGAATTGCCCAGACCGGTTTAGCGTGGGGGTGGGCGAGACGGCACAGTCGGGAACTGCGCAAAACGCGTGGGATTTCCAGCCGAACCGGCCGGCTCGTATCAATTGCCGACGGGTATTGGTAAGATTGATATCACCCAGCTTGGCTTTCCATGTTCCCAACGGGCCGTATCATTGACATGTGCCTTGGCAATCGAGTGGCTAATCTTCTCCGTCGAACAGAGGCAGGGAAGGACGGGGCATTGGCGATGAGAGTCACAACACACCTTCGTCAATCAGCACCAGGCTGAGGTAGTATCTTGTCGAGTATTTCTTGTTCACATCGCGGAATGTGGGAGTCAAGTCGAAACCGCCCAGGAAGAGACGAATGGGGATGGTTTCACCTGTCACTAGTTAGCATCTTGATGGCTACAGTTGTTTCCAACCCCATTGGGAAATCGTATCCACGATCATGATGGGGAACGTTGGACGATAAGGCAGACAGGAGCCACTGACCTCTCGAAGGTGATCCATCCATGATCTAGAAAGTTTGGTCAGCCCATTTCCCATGACCTAAAATCCACCAAATCCTTCTCCCAACAGGAGAGCCGAATGGGCCTAATCACATACCTCAAAGCGTACCAACGTTTCGCTCTCATTATATTGGTTTGGAGGTGACCCAGTCGTCTCCCGCCGAATGATCGACAGCTCCATGTGCTTGATCTTGAGCCGCACGAGCAAGAAGTAGATCCGACCGACAATCACATCCTTGAGGTGGTACTTGGATTTGGAGTATTCGAACTCGATATGCAGGCAGTCCTCGATTCCGACGTCCATCTTGATCGGGCTGTTGGTCTCTGGCGGCATACGATACGAGTACACCCACAGGTCCTTCTCGCGGACGACGTCGGGCATGCGTCGCGAGACGGTGGCGCGCACAAAGTAGCGCAGCTTCACATTGATTCCATTGTATGACTCGTATTGCTTCTCGACGTTCTTGAAGTTGAAGGGGAAGGTCTGCGGGTGCAACAGGTCGCCCGGAGCGGCCAGCTCTTGAACCAGCGATAGGAACTCGTAGTGATTGCCTCGGTCGTAGAACATCTCTAGACGTCCAGCTCCGTTAGTCTCGGTGCACTACCCTCTGGGCCCCCGAGGAGCTGCCCACGTACCAATCGTGCCGATAAATTGCACCTTGATGCCTGTGTGCTCCAATCGCTTGCCATCCTTGGGTCGAATCGTCACGGCGCCCTTGACCGACTCGCCGTCCATGTACACGGGGACGCGCTCGCGGTGGCCCTTGTCGAGCTTGACATCGACAGTCTGGCGCTCATCGGGGTCCTCAAGGACGACGTCGATATCGACCGGGGCGGAGAAGAAGAGGGAAGCCATCGTGTGTAGCGCGAGAGGTGCTCGGAATGGAGCTCACTCGGTGATCCCGAACGTGGCCTTGCTGCTTATGTAACCATCCCCCCGCAGGCAGCTGTCCGCCAGCGAAAAAGGACGCAACAAGACGTCAGTCAACAGGTTCACGATTTGAAAGTGACGGAGGGGCTCCCTTTGTGCCACGGACCGCAGTGTGTGGATCTTACAAGCATCGCCGCCACTCTCTTGATCTTCCTGGAGGTTCACTTCAGCTATTAGGCAGCTACGACAACAATATCAGGACGCTAATCGGTCTTTCACAAACATATGATCGTTACTAAATTAAACAGCTAGGCATTAGATCCAATGGGAACCCAGCGCATTTCACTTCCACACAGTCCGAAGGTGGACTGCCTTCGGACCGTCTTTCTGCAAGGTGAAGCCTATCGGGGCACCGGGTTCTGCTTCCGCAGCCCGTCAGGCCAGCGGCGAGGACAACTTCCCCCTGGTGAGATAACCGCCCCTGCCGGCAGGTTCCCCGGGTTTCCGCCGCCAAATGGGATATCAGCCTGGTGAACGATCACTTGACATGGGTTGGCCTCGCGGGAAATCGATCACGCGCGAACCAGGCACCGCCGGGCCCGAACCCGAGTCGGTGTGATTGGAGTGCAGTTCTCCCTGTTGCAGTGTCCAGTCGGATTACCCGCAGCCAGTTCGTTTCCCAACTAACTCGTATTCTGTTAAGGATGGCAGCCGCAGGGGAGCACATCTCCCGGCTATGTCCATACACGGGGAGAGACGTGTAGGATGCAGCCGGGGAAGTATACCACCGGTTCCGGTCGGGTCAGCCTTGTCTCTTGGGAAAGGTCTGGGAATGGGTTCTGTCCATCTGTCCATCACCTGGTGGACCTTTTGCCGTATTGCTGAAGTCATTATGCAGCACGTCCAAGTGACCAGCAGTCTGGCGTCTACTGAAATGGAGCCGCCATGTTCTTCGCACCTAAAGCAGCGGCGTTCCACTAGCGTGGGGGTTGCGTACTGGCCATTACACGCCTCTTACGCTCCCCCAGTGACATCATGCCGGACACTCCGAACACCGGACACAGCCGAGTCGCCGCCAGCCAGGGCTGCGAGATCCCCCTGAGCCAGCTCGAAAAAGTTGATCTCCAAGAACAGACCGGTGTGGGATCGTGGCCGGCGCTGGTCGATCAATCGCCCGACAGGCTGGAGACTTCATCCCACACTGCGCATTCCCACTCCTCCACTCGGGTAATGAGGGCCCTGCAGCACAGCCAATGAACGGACTCACCCGCCGGCCCGCCTGCAGTCCCCCACTCGGCTTCTGGTTTCTTCTTCTTCCCCCGACCCACCGTCATAGTTAAAACCGCAGGCCATTCTCGCCGGCTGTCGCGCGACTTCATTTTTTCCTCCCTGGCCCTCGCGCGCAATCCAGGCTCGTCAAAGAAAGACCGCTCGTCGGACTCGTCTCGGGCTTATTGAGGACCTCTTCTATAGAACCAATCTCTCCGGAATCAGCGCCCACCCCATTCCGCGTATCACCGCGTCATATCGTCATCCTGCCCCGGCCAATTTCCCCGGAACGGCAAATTCCCCGTTGACTTAGCTACGCGAAAGCCATATCGCATTCTTGGTGCCTTCAGCATCATGCTCTCCGCCGGGGAACGGCCTCAGCCTCTGCACACATCTGCCGTAGATCCGCCGTCCGTGTCTGTGAGCACGGCCCACATCATGCCTGATCTCGAGTCCAATCCCGGCTCCTCCTCGAACCCGTCCACCCTGGTCCATGAGAAGCGCCCCAAACCGGCGCACGTCCAGCATATTTGGGTCGTCACAGGCCCCGCCGGTAGTGGAAAGAGCACCGTGGGCAATGGACTGCGCAAGGAGCTGGGGTTACCCTTTCTAGAAGGCGATGATGTATGTTGACCACCCTGGACGAAAACAACCCCGCAGAACCCGAGACCCAAACCCACCGAACTAACGCGCCAATCGGTACAGTACCACTCCGCATCCAACAAAGCCAAAATGGGCAACGGCATTCCCCTCACCGACGAAGACCGCTGGGACTGGCTCATCTCCCTGCGAAAAGCCGCCATCGACGCCCTCTCCCCCTCCGAGGCCAACGATTTCCGCCCGCCTGCCGGTGTCGTCGTCGCCTGCTCTGCCCTGAAGCAGAAGTACCGCGACGTCATGCGCGTGGCCACCTACGGCTCGCCCTCCGTCCAGATCCACTTCGTCTACCTGAAGCTCAGCGAGGAGGTGCTGATGCAGCGCGTCACCCAGCGTCAGGCCCACTACATGAAGAGCGAAATGGTCCGCTCCCAGCTCCAGGCGCTGGAAGAGCCAAAGGGCGAGTGGGATGTCATTACCATCAATGTCGAAGGCTCACACGAGCAAGTGCAGCAGGAGGTGATTGATGCGGTGACGAAGAAGCTCTCGGAATATCTGTGAAGGAATTCCGATCGCGCAGATAGACTCGTGAGTTTTGCATACGAGGCAGTACGTCTTCTTTATCTGGCGTCCTTGGCGTTTGGTGATCTCTGGAATAGGCCCGCCCAGAGGGACTGGAACGGTTGATTTACAATTTTGGGGCTATGCTTTTGTGCGATTGGCGTTTTCTCTCTCTTCTTTTCATCTGGCTCGCATTGGGTCTGTGGCGTGATCGTACCACCCTGGGTGGGCGCTTGTGCTTGTCTCTTGATACCACCAATACCACCAGGGCACATCCATAGCAACGGTCTATGTGTCCAATAGACTTGATTTCATTCTCAAACATGCATTTGACGGGAGCTCTGGTCCTGAAACACTGATTTGGTATACTACTTTGAACGTGACGTCGACTTCCAGTTCCCGGGGAGGCTCGAGAGTAATCCGAACCCTATTCCGCGGGAGGAAACCCTATGTAATCTTCCATGACGGCCAAAGCGGCCGTGTTTATGACGAGACTGATGGGATGGCTTTGGCATCCGATGTCTCTTTGATACTTCTCCTTCTCTCTATAGACTCTATTCACCTCAAGTTCAGAAGCATCAACTCAGGCGCCTCAATCAACTCGCGGACTCGGTTCCCCATGCGTGCCATCGTAGCTCCATCTATAACCCGATGATCCGCACTCCAGCTAAAGTTCACCATCTCCCCACGAGCAACCTGACCCGCCTCATCGAAGATGGGGACCGTCCTGGCCCGCCCAATGCCCAGAATAGCTACCTCTGTCGGCACAATCACCGGCGCCACGTACGTGCCCCCAATGTTCCCGATGTTCGAGACGGTGATGGTCGTTCCGCTGAGATCGGCGGGGCCCAGCTTGCCGTCCTTGCCGAGGGCGCTGAGCCGCGAGATCTCGGCGGCAATGTCGAGGATGGACCGGCTGGCCACATCTTTGATGTTGGGGACGATGAGGCCCTTCGGCGTATCCATGGCGATGCCAATGTTGTGCTTTTCACGCATGATGAGGGTCGGTTTGCTGGGGTCACTGGTGTCGACGCGCGCGTTGAGGATGGGGTATTGGTCGAGGGCGAGGGACACAGCTTTGATAACGAAAGGCAGGAAGGTGATCTTCTTCGGATCACGAGTGTCGTTGACAAGTTTCTTCCGGATGGCGGTGATATCGTTGACTTTCAATTCGTCGGCGTAGAGTAAGTGGGGGGTATTGAGGGATTTGGTCATGGTCTTGAACATGGCGGATTGGACGGGGGTGAGATTCACCACGGACTCTGCCTGCCGAGTGTCGAGAGTGATAGGTGATACATCAGGAGCCAAAATGGATGCTACGGGAGAGCCTCTGGTCTCCACGAACTTGAGGACGTCTTCTTTAAGGACTCGTCCTTCCTTGCCGGTGCCGCTGACCTCGTAAATATTCACATTATGAGTCTTGAGCAGCCCTCGTACGGCGGGGGTTGCAAGGGATGCATGTTTCGACGTGGGTATCTCGATGGATTCTTCTGGTACCGAAGGCTCAATTTGAGATGATTCGGCGGCTTGAACTGCAGCTACGACCTCAGACCCTGGGGCTGTCGCAGCCAGGTCTGGCTCGGGCGTTGGCTCGTGGGGAGAGTTGTCGTCTGGGTATTTCCCGTCATCGACTTCGATATCACAGAGAGCCTAGGAGGCATAGTCAGCAGTGCATAGCAAAAGACCAAGGCAATAGAAGATTATGGTGACTTACTCTCCCCGTAGGGACCGTGTCATCTGCCTCAAAGTGTAGCTTCTTAATAACACCTTCGTATCGGGATGTGATCTGAGCCCGTGTCAGCATTTTCATACCCAGAAGACCAGCCAAGGGCACTAGGAGAGACCAACATCGTCAACCGCTTTATCAGATTGATACTGGCAGAGCGGCTTCCACTCCTCAATATGTGCCCCTTCCTCCACATACCATTGTATAATTTGGACTTCGGTGATACCTGCCCATCATGAGCAACCAATTCACCTCACAGAATCGAAGAAAAGCCACAATCGAGATCCGGAAACTTACCTTCACCAACATCCTTCAGAATCTGCGACTTAATCCCCCACAGCGAAGGCCCGGGGTGAAAGGCGCGGCTCGCAACGGGCGGTATGGGGAAGCCAGTGCGGAGAAGACGCTGGGGTCGGCAGGGCCGCAGGCTGCGGGGAATGCTACCCCCAGCACGCAAGATGCTCATGCTGAAATACCTCACGGGAATAGTGAGAGGAAAGGAGATGACCTGGGAGTCGCATTCGAGGGGTATCGCAGTAGATAAATGCGTGGGGTTTATCTATGGGGTCTCTCCGCGCCGACGGTAACCGCTGATAGCCACGTGATCTCCCCGCAATCTGCAGATGCGATCATAGCGGGGAAAATATATGAGTTGGTGGTGATTATTTTCATTGGTGTCTTAGTAAGATAAGAGACAAACAACTAGTTGAATGCCAAGAGAGGATTGTGGAATTATGATTGACTCATATAAGTTGTACGCCCAGAATTCTGGTGCCACTCATGGTTCAGATTAAGCAGTGCTACCAGTTTCCCAACAGGTTGCATTATACAATTCATAACAAGGCAAGTGTCTCGAAATTACTTCCATCACATAATGACCACAATGCCTAAAAATAACCAATAGTCCAAACAATCTGTGAAAACAGAGAAAGTCCAAGCACGGTCAAGCACGGTCAAGCACGTCCAGCACGTACTGCACCCAAGTATTCAGTCTCGGACACATTGACATGCCTGGCTTCCATTTGACCAGACAGGCACATCAAAAGGATCTCAATGAGCGGGGCTAAGTATAGGTCTCACAACCATCTGATTGTTCCTATTCACGGAGCTTCTCTGCCAATATACCTTTTTTTTCATTTTTTTTTTTCAAAAAAGTGTTCTACTTTCAAGCCCCGCCGCCTCACGATGTTGCCTATCACAATCACTGGCCGCGACATAAGAAAAGATCAACGATACCCAGGGCTCGCGTAATTGAGCAAAGCGTCGTATTTTGCGTTGCTACGGGCCAAGCCGGTGTCACACCACTGCAAAAGTATCAAAGCTTCAAATTTCAATTATTGCTTCAGAATTTTCGTAGCTGCTATCTACTGTCCCAGAATATCCGCCAGAGACTTGCTGTTTGACTCTGCCTCACCCTGGGCATCGGTGGGGAGCTTCTGCGAGGCAAATGCCAGGAAGACAGCCTCCCAGTGTCCGTCATCGAATTTGAACAGCAGCGCGCCATCCTCGTAAATGCCATTGTCAAAACTGGGCAGACTGCCCTGGTTCATGTGAATGTCGTGGATACCCGAGCCATAGGAGGATCCGAAGATATAAGCGGTCGCCTTCTGGTTGATGGCATCGGTCAGAATGGGGTCGAGTCTGTCCAGGATGTCATTGTTGGGGCCGGGAATATCGTGCGGGAGGACCTGTCCGGATTCGATATCGACCAGATCCTGCGTACGGATAAAGTCCAGACCCTGCAGGGTAGAATCCTCTCGACGAATCTGACGGTGACGGCTGTGATGCTGGCTCTGGCTCTGAGCGTCAGCGTCACTCTCACGGGTTGAGCTGCCCGAGTTGTTAGATTGGGCAAGGTGGAAGCCTTGCTCGAGCGTCGACAGCTCCTCGGTGATCGGGTGGCTGAAGTTGCGGTCTAGCCAAAAGACCAGACGGGTATCCTTGTCCGTTGACTTGACATTGACGGCAGCCGAGAGATTTTTGCTGGAGGAGGAGTCATCGGTGAAGTAGAGGGTGATATGTGGGGACTTGGGATCCTGCTTCGCCGTCTGGGCGGTATAGCGGGTGGGCTGGCAGGCCCAGACACCGTAGTGCGGGATGGTCATTCTGAAGATTCGGTAGGTAGGATGAAGTGGTCTGAAAGTGAGAAAGTCAAGTCCAGCGAGAAGCTGGGGTAATTCAGCTCTGATTTAAGCCCGCGAGCATTGGGCTGGCTGTATACGAGCTGATCTGGCCAGATCTGGCCATGTCGGCAAGACATGCCATCTTCCGCCACTCGCAAAGCAGAGCGCATGAATTGTACACGTGCCTAGTTAGTCCCGATGATGGAGATGCTAAAGCAAGAATATGACGGAGATTGTGCGGCAGCTAACCACCACGGAATGCTTAGCGCCCAGATGATCGTCCACTTATCGTCACTTGGAAGACCTGGACTGGACGGGCTGGTCGTCAGTGATAAGTGTCTCACTCGCTGACGCGTGCAGGGCCCCATAGTCTCGCATTTCCTCAGCCCATCCTGGTTTCGGCAAGATTATCACCTAGGCAATGGGCTGGTGAACTGATCGACCTCATAGTCGCCGAGGCTGTTGATCGGTTGGTGGGGTGAAAGTGGGGCGGCGATGCCTGCTTCAAGTTGATAACGCAGACTAACCAGCTTTACCAAAGCGGAGATCTCTCGAACTATCAAGAAATAATCCGCCGGTATCGAACAGCAGCCTCCCCCGCGAAGGTGTTCTCCCAAGAAACAGAATGACCGCATTCCGAAGCGCCTCCGGAGTATTTACCCCCTTGGCTGTTTAGCTTCTTGGCCGACCTCTTCAGCAGCGCCCTTGAGCGTGCGAAGTAGCAGGGGCTAGAGATGGCTCCACTCCCCGCGACTCCCGGATGCCGACACTCGGAAATGGCTTGACTGAGTGGACACGGCTCAACCCGAACCCGTCAATCATGCGCTCCTCCGGCCTGGGAAGACGAGCCATAGCCGCCTTCAAAGGTGTAAATGGCGAAACCTGCCCCACGACGGCGGCGCGGCACTTGGATGATGATGAGCTATTGGCTAGTCTGTAGGGGCAACTCTCCAGGAATTGTTGCCGGGCACGCGGCCGCTTCTGGAGCAATACCGAGCGGGCAGAGGGTTCACGCTTGGGCACACGCTACAAGATCTTGTAACCCCGTAAATACGGTCGCGGCGGTTGCACTAAAGACACGTAGCTAAGGGTCGTCCACGCCCCGATTGCGAGAACGCCCTGGTATAGCACAACCCAGCAATTCGCACGCGAAAGGAAGTTCGAGCAAGTCCATATAGGATTCTAGATCCACTTAGAAGAGCTACATATTGTCAGACCACAAATAAACGTTGACAGTGAGAAGGATCACGTACGTGGAGTTCCCGAGCTCCATGCGCTTGTCAGCACAAACATTGATGATGCGAGGGACTCAACGAAGATAGCGTAAAAACGGAAAATGACTGCGTCATAGATCTTGCTCCAGGACGTATATGAGCAGGTCACATACTATCAAACAAAGCGAGCAATGACCCTTTTAGCTGCCCTGGAATGTTTCTTTTGAGGGGCGTATGTCTCCGCAGCGGCCATGGAGTAGTTTCAGTCGACTGCGTTGGAGAAAATTGGCCAGCACCATAGAGCGGGCTAATGACCCTGGAACACCAAGATCCTGGACAAAGGGGCCCGGGTCATGCCAATATTCAAACCCCATGGATTCATGGTTTAAGACACCCGCGGCTGTGTTTATGAGGCCCTAGAAAATATTAACACAGTGCAGCATGGGAAGGTCAAATCGAAGTTGATATGTACGATTATATTCACACCCACAAGTCAACCGATCTCCAGAATTGTCAGATTTCCATTTCACCGTAGATACGGACGAGACGTTGGGTGCGAAAAGAACAGCGCTGGAAACTGTCACCCAGATGGCATCGTTCACCGTAATCCCAAACTGCATAATAACTGAGACAGCAGAAATCTCTGCTGGAAGTGAAATCAAGTACTGGTATGTGATGTTCCTTGCACGCTGCAGGTCGAATAACACCTCCACTGAGAGGAACGAGCGGGCCCAATTTCCCAGCAAGTGCAATTATTTGAATGCGTCGCTGCTCCAAGCCGTTTCTAGTTGGGAAAACATGAGTGAGGCCACGAGGAGACCTCTAGGGTTTCCGACAAACCTCAAAACTTCCACCTCCGCGCGCTCAGATGCCCCTGTTCCATCTAGTTCTTTCCCCCTTTAACATTGTGTTCCTCGTCGTGAGGACCGTTCCGTCCTGGCGTGGCAACGATATCACTCACAGGGAGCTTCGCCCTCATGAATAAATTATGATTTGAGGTGGTATACCGACAGGAAGGTTGGCGAATGGCCCCTTATGTAATCTCCCCATCCCGATGCAAGATAAGATGAGAGTTAATCGGCGGTGTGGGAGCGCTGTCCCAGTCTCCCGCATAATGCGTCGGGGCACTACCACGCACCAATAAGCTTGTTGGGTCCAGCCATCATACTGTTATTTCTCCGCCCTCGCATAGAGGGGTATTTGAGTGGTTTCCCGATGTAGACCATGTCAGTGGCTGATTGGAAGGCGCGCCCTCATCTCATCCAACATCTATGGTGCGGGGAAGGGGCTTGCGCTCACCGCTGGTTAGGTATGAGCTTTCAAGAACTCTCTGACTACGGGAGGGGGGAAGGAGAGATAGAGAGAGAGCACTGCAGTCAGCCTTTGCTACAGCAAGCAACTGCGGCCTGTACAAGATTATCATTTATGCGGGTCCAGTGGCACCCCGAAAGTTTGGAGCAAATGACCTGGAACTCTCCAGGATTTGACTGTCTCTTTGGGAATATCTTTCAGAATATCTTTTTGCCCAAATTATTAGTATTTTAGCCAGCCCCAAAGACAATATCCAAAATCTCCCATTGAAAAGCTTTGGGGGCTTCAAACTTTGAGATGCCAGATTGTTCGGATTACATAGCTTGACGTTCTCGTGGACATGGAGATTGGTCAGTGTCCCATAATGTGGACCCGAGAGCTATGCATCGGGTCCCTGACTTTTGAACTCTGGTGCCAAGTCGGCTCTGCTCTATGAAACGAAGGTTATTATTCAACACCAACTTGAGGGGCCGTTCTTCATCCCGAAGCCAGCGTTTCCACCAACCCCTCCCTAGGGCGTTTCTTCCAGATGGCCACGTCAGCTAATAATCTGGCATAAAGGAAACAACCTAAATGATTGGCCATCTTCGAATGTGGCTGAAAGTTGAATAGCATACGGACTGCATACGGTATTCTGCACCTCAGAGGCGAGATGGTGACAAGTGAGTGGAATTGCTTCGTCACACAGACTACTGGAGTCTATACTCTGTTTAGCCTAGTTTGTAGCAGCTATCGGTTATGAATTGTACGGAGAAGGCTTGTGAGGTGGAGGAAGGAGGGTGGGCAGTCAATCCTAGTGTCGTAGCAACTCGGCTCCACGCCTCCACATCCCCCCACCATCTCGCCCAGCTGCGGCGGACCCTCAGAATGCCAAGTTCTAGACTTTATATGACGGAAGTCATCACATCAGTTGTTTGACGCTCCAAGGTGGCAGTCGCTCCAAAGCACAACGGCCCTTTTTGCGTCTCGACTCTCCACGCTTCCACGGGGTCAAAATAAACGAAAATGGCCGAGTCATCGGCGAAAACAGCGGCGATTGTGGAGGAAGGAACTGCCGCTCACCATGAGCACTTCTACGATGCAGAACATTATCATACATTAGGACACGTCCGGCTTCGTGATGCCAACACGAATGAGATCATTCTCATTCCCTCACCGTCCCTGGACCCCAATGACCCGCTGAAATGGTATGTTCGCATTGACAGGGCGGAGGCCCCCGGAATCTACTTGCTGACCGTGGGGCAATTGTTAGGAGCAAATGGTACAAGATCTCAATCGCTGTCCTTGTCGCCTTTGCCATGATTATGTGCAATTTCATGGCTGCAGGTCCCACGGTAGCCATGTTGAGTGTGGCCCAGTCGTTCAATACAACCCCGGCGCGCGCTGCCTTTTTCTTTAATAACAGTGCTCTGGCGCAGGGTGTTGGTAACCTCTTCTGGGTTCCGGTCATGTTGAAGTACGGGCGTCGGCCGGTATACATTGCAAGCTTTTTGATCTATTTCTTCATGATCATTGGCTCTGGCCTGTCTAAAACCTACGGAGCGGAGATTGTAACACGACTTTTCCTAGGCTTCGCCGGAGGCGCCGGTGAATGTCTTGCACCACTGACCATTACCGATATCTTTTACCTTCACGAGCGTGGGTTGTTTATGGCCGCTTATAACGCTGCTCTGTCCGCTGGTGTGGCATTTGGATCTGTGATTTCTGGTCTGATTGTTATCAACTACACCTGGCGAACAATTTATTGGGTTGGCGCTGCATTAGTTGGGGCCACTCTTCTGGTCGTCATATTTTCTTTTCCCGAGACCGCATATGAGAGGTACAACAATCCTCTCGTTGTCAGACCCGACGAGGCAGCAAAGACTACTGGCGGTCAAACAGAGCATAATGAGATCCATATGCCCCCTATTCCGCCAAAACGATCTTACTTGCAAGATCTGAAGCCGTGGAATGGACGCAAATATACTGAGGAGCCTTTGTGGAGGATGATGGTCCGCCCGCTTGGTCTGATCATCTTGCCTCCCGTCTTCTGGGCAACCATTGTCATGTCCGTCACCATTGGCTTCTTAGTAGCCATTTCCTCCAACATTGGCAGCTCCTTTAATGCAACCTATGGCATGGAGCCGTGGCAAATTGGGCTGTGCTTTATTGGGAATCTCCTCGGATGTGCCTTTGGAATTGTGCTCGGTGGCCCATTCTCTGATTGGGTTGCCGACTATTTTACCAAGCGAAATGGCGGTATTCGTGAGCCAGAGATGCGTCTTCCCGCTATCGTGCTCACCATTATAGCATCACCTCTATCTCTTGTTCTCTACGGTGTTGGCATTCAGAACAAACTGCACTGGATAGTTCCAACCCTGGGATTGTTCTTCAGTCAGTCTTCCCCGAGGCCCTCATTCATCATAAACTCACTAACTGGGGGCAATCTAGATGCCTTTGCTGTCGTCCAGGGAACTAATGTCTCTTTCACCTATTGCATCGATGCTTACCGCCCCATTGCGGGTGAGGTTACTGTTACCCAGCTTGCCTTCAAATGTAAGTCGGCGATCGATAGGTTTAATCACCTCGGCAGCTAAATGTTAACACTTGAATAATAGCTTGCTTTGGTTACCTGCTCTCCTTCTATACCAATGTCTGGGTCGAAAGAGGCTATGCACTGGCTTATGGTGAGATGGCTGCCATTTCGGGTGGGTGCCTTCTGTTTTCGATTCCTATGTACATTTGGGGTAAGCAAATGAGGGTTGCTTCAATGAAGTGGAAGGTGGTACAGTTCATCAACTGGGATGACGATCGTGAGGTCGGCGAGTAGAAACCCAATATTATGATAGTAGTCGTCCATCTGCCACAACACCATCGTCATCCATCCTGCTGCCAGTACATCAGAACCTGTGCGTAATTATTGGTCGCACTGGATGATTTTCGAAAGACTTTATCTCCATCTCTAGCATAATTCATGTCCTACATACCGTCCATTACTTGACCACCAGACTATCACCACCATATTCTTTTTCGACGACTTCAAAGCCTCATAGTGCTGAGTTTAGTTTTAGTTACGGAAATAAATCTTGACATTATACAATTTGTACTTGCTCCGTTGGGTCAGCCAATCCAATATGGTGTTCGGTTTACCAGAGAAACGTAGCTATTGCTTACAATAATAGGAAATAAATAATAATCCCCTTGCATCGCGATACATCTTCTGGAGTGTCCTTTGCATTTAGCTTAGACAACCTTCTCATCCATGGACCAGGCGATACTCATAAAGTAATACATTGATATGGGATGAACTTGACTTATACCTCATTAACAAGCATCTAATGATAATAGTCTACTACTTCCTCGAGACGACCAGAATATGCCAATCCACCGACCTCGGGCGTGCAGCTGGAAGTAATTTTGGATGTCAGGTAATATGGTATGTAAACGTCAAACTCAAACATCTTGCTTGTTTTTATCAAAAGTCTTGCCTTCCAAAGCGACTTGATTAAACCCTGCTTGAATGGCTTGGGCCAATCATGCTTATACATATACGTTAGATCTGAGGTTGCGCTGCGATTGTTGAAAGGGGGTTTGTCCGAATGTGGGGGGATGATGCCGAAACGCGTGTTAGGCTAGCCCGAGGTGGACCGGCTTCCTGAAAAATCTTGTCCTTCATCATCAATGTCAGCGGGTCCCCGAGTATGTTTAGTCTTTCCGATCATATATCATACTTGATTTTATACAAGAGAATAATGATAAACAGAGTACTTGGTCATGAATCAACAACCCCAGAACCCACACCATCCGGCTCCACCGATACTATGTGGTCGCTCTCATCTTGGAGCTAAGGAAATAGATTGGGTTGAACTGGGAAATGACGGTATAGACTGAGAATACCGTTGAAATCAGCCGACTGGGTTGAGGCGTACCGGGTGTGGGGTACACCTATATTCTTCTACATACTTGCTAAAAGATATGGGTGTATCCCGAGCAAGATATGCTTGCGCGTAAGCAAACTAATGGGAAAGTCCCAGTTGAACCTAGCTGAGCTCAGGGTTTCGGTGTCTTCTTAGAGTTAAAGACTGCCAGATCAGGAATGATTAGCCAGATTGGCCCTCCAAAGATTGCTAACCATTAAGAATAGAAATCGAGTAACCGCCTCAGGGTGAAGGCCCACATATTCGAATTCGACAATCACTGACTTTCCAACTTTCCTTTTCATTTTGGACCTGTGCTAATTAGGACTTGTTCGGCCATCCTGGGGGTTTTCCGAGGGTCGGTGTCGAGCGGATTTACCATTGGTTGAGATCAAACCTCTGCGTGGGTCAATGTGAGATTCACCTTTGGCAGTTCACGAGCTCTCTCCAAGACTTCATCAACTCTCATCCTCCTTAATGCTCCTGTCTATTCCATGAAGGAGTAGTACTGCACATTTCCTCAGCTATGCCTCCACCGACAAAGGAAACAAAACGAAAATATGTCACTACCGCCTGTGATGCATGCCGGGAAAGCAAAGTGAAGGTCGGAAACCAATTTCCGTTACACTACCAATGATTCTCTCCACAAAAATATCGCTAGGAGCCTCAACTGATGCCTCTGAAACAGTGCGATGGAGCGCAGCCATCTTGCTCAAGCTGTCAAAACAAAATGAAGGAATGTAAATACCGAGTTGAATCAGACAAACGAAAGTCAGTTTCCTTGCAATGTCTGTTTCATTATATCGCTTGTCTAAGCGCCGAGCAATACAACATACCCTCGCTCGAAACATGGAATCAACTGGTTGCTAAGCCTGGACTAGAATTTCCCTTCGATTTGTCGTCGACCTCCTCGTGGACCGACTTGATGAGCTATTTCAATACCTCATTGACCAGGGACTGTCTCCACCACCCATGTTTAATGAGAATGAAGTCGCATTAAAAAAGGCTTTAGACACTCTCGGGCTTGGTCATATCAAAATGGCCTTGGATAAAATTGAGACAAAAGACAGGCACTTATCGCACTCGTCCCTTTCGGGGAATACGCAACTCCTGCTCAAGGAAACCGAAGGCGTGGGCCCTGAAATCGACATCAGCGAGTTGAGCTCAAACATGGATTTGCTGGCGCAACCTCCGATGTTTGATGGCTATGGGGAACTCCACACAATAGCCCCCCAGGCAGCCCTGTCTCTTCCTGCACTTCCTGACAATCCTTTGCCGCCTCTGTACGAAAAGGAAATTGTTGATCTTGAACGCCTCCCGGAATTTCACCAAGAATTGGTTTCAAATGACCCTTCTTCAGACGATTTACCTGATCTCGGCCAGCCGATTATACATCACCAACGACAGTCAAGTGCCACATCCAATCCAGAATCTTCTGTTCGCGAGTCTGAAACAAGTGACGGTGTGCAAAGTAGGGATGACCTGAAGGAAGATTCTAATGGCAGCGAGGACATGGAAGATATTGTGCATCGGCTGTCAGACAGAATGGGGAATCTACAAATCGGGTCCGATGGACAAGTGCGATATTATGGCCCAACATCTCACTTTAATTTGCTGCGGATGCCCACTCCTGACAACCTAACCATCCATCGCAACGTGCGAAAAGATGGACAGGACTACCTATATCGTATGGGTATTGGTAAAAGTATTCCAGATGACCTAGAGGAGCATCTGGTCAGCTTGTACTTCACCTGGCATAACCCATCCTTCGATGTGGTCGAGAGGACGATGTACGAGATGGCAAAGCAACAGTGGCAAGAGCACATGGAAGAAACCCCTTATTATTCCGAGGCCTTGACAAATGCAATGTTAGTCTGCCCAATAAATGTCAATCTACTTTATGTCTGATGTCGACGTGCTAATTGCTTACCTGTGCAGGTGCTGTCTCGTTGCTGCATTTGAGCCTCGCTATCACCCTAATTTCGTCACTTATCCTAGATCCGTGTCGGATTTCTTCGCAGATCGGGCAAAGATACTACTTGACATTGAGCTTGACTCACCATGCTTGGCAACCGTTCAAGCCATGGTAGTTTTGAGTGGACATGACATAGGTTGTAAGCGCGACGCTAGAGGCTGGCTTTATAGTGGTGAGACGTACACTTACCATCACCATAGATGATCAACAGCGCTAATAAATTACTATTAGGAATGGCTATGCGGCTGGCTTTTGATCTCGGACTACATCTTGACATGTCTTCCTGCGTAGCGGACGGATCAATCAGCGCAGCTGAGGCTGAACTGCGGCGCATGGTCTTTTGGGGAGCTTATACGTTAGATCAGTTCGTGAAACAGAATTCCAAGTCGCCGATAACTTACTGACAGTGGAGATTCACTAGGCACTGGGGATATTTACTTGGGCGACCATTTCGAATCAATATGGAAGATGTCACCATCGACAAGCCTGGTCGAGATTCCACCTGGGACCAAGCTCAACGATGGACCCCTTACGGGCTCCCATACCCCGTTTCCTATCTCTCTGACACGCCCATTGTCAATCCAGTCGCAGCTTTGAGTCGGTATCGCATATTACTCTGCGAAATAATGACGCCGCTGGGTCATGTACTGTAGGTATACTTGCAGGTGATCCAGGTACTACTGCTAATCACGACTTGCAGATACGGGTCCTCCAAGATCTCCAAACACGAACTCCAACAGCTCAACGCGGAAACTACCGAGAGACTTCTTGGTTGGAAGGCCAATCTTCCCGCGCCTCTTCAGGTTGACCTTGACAATTCAACGACCCCCTATTTGCCTCATATCCTATTATTGCAGTACGATACCTGTCCTGTTGCCTTTTCGATCCAAACTAACATGTGTAATCTAGCATGCACTACTATCAAGTTATCATCCATGCACATCGGCCCTGGATGTCCAAACGTTCGATTCAACCTCAGCCCGCTCAAGGCCCCGGCCATACCCATGCTCGCAAAATGTGCGTTGAGTCTGCCACCGCAATTGCCAAGCTGCTCCATCTCTATGAATTGCGGTACACTTTTCGTCGCGTGAACATCCAAGCAGTTGCGATTACCTGTTCTGCGGCACTGATGCTTATTTTTGCGAATGTTCTCGATCGCCGCTTCAACCATGAACACAAAATAGTTGCTCATCTCAACGTATGCTTTCGAGCGCTGGAAGAATTTGGATTCTCATGGGAGAGCGCAAAGCGAGCACAGACCTTTTTGCTCCACATGCAGAGGGTGTGGGATAGCAGAGTCCGTCCCTACCGCTCAACAAAACGAGCTGTGTCAGAAGCCCACATCAGGACTCAAGCACGTTCCCCCAAACCTAAGAGATCTCGCACTGCGCTTGGATCTGGCTCCATGGAAGCCAATACATCTGCCGAAGGGGACGATGCGCAAAGATTGCACGAAAATAATAATGATCAAATTGATTCTGACTCTGAGGATTTTGACTGGCTGTTGGCTGCTAGCATGGGCGCTGTTCCTCCTTCAGGATGAAAAGGATTAAGTCTTTGGACGTTTATTGCAGCGATTACCTGAGCTTCTCAGTTATGAATGCCCAAAGACGGCGCTAAACAGAGCAAACGAGATCGCACAATGACAGCCCAATCACTTTCCCGAAGAGATATGTCATACAATACTTCGAGATAGAATGGCATTTTATTCCGTCTAAAAACGGGGCTGACAAAATATCTTGAAGATGTAGTAGAGGGAGGCCCTAGTCAACAAAATGTGTAAGTAGTCTTGTGGAGTAAAACAAATTACTTGTTTCTATCATCAACTACTTCTAGTGATTGAAGATATGTCATTTTTCGGGATTGTAAGTCTTTCATAAATTGTCTTTTTAGAATGCCTAGCCCCAGGTGGGATCAGTGGGCAGTTCCCATCTCCGCTCAAATCCTCTGCATCCACCATCTAAAGCTTCGACTCATTAGAATCGAGTTCTGTTTTGAGTTTCCTCCGTGAATCCATACCCCGGGTAGCGGCGTCTTCTGGTTGGCTGGTCTTGTCGCGCATTCGTCGATCAAAAATCTCCAAGGACACCCAGCCAGTATAGCCTTTTTCGACAATCCATGCTCTCGCCACTTCAGCAACTGGCATATATGCACCCAGATGAGCCTCGAAAGGAAATGGGCGTGCATGCTTGGACCAGGTAAATTGCGGTGCTTCGCCTTCCACATACCATGGGTGGTCCGTTGAGAAAGGAGGATCAAACCTCTCGCCGTCGGACAATTGAATAAAAAAGATTTTGTCGAGCGGACAGTCACGCACGAACCGACGTACCGAGTCATCCAGAATCTTGTCCGCGTCTGGATACTTGCCCGATAGGGCAAAGGGGTCGGCCCACACTTTCGTGATCAAGTGAAAAGTATCGAGGCACAACCCGAAGTTTGGCCGGTCGACTGCATGAACTAGCTCCAACGAAGATTCCCATGTTGAATGATGGGTTGACCAAGACATGGGCTCATATGCAATCGAGACAAGGGGTTGCTTGGCGCTCCCCAGACTGGATAGTTGTCGCAATTCGGATATAATCACACTTTCATCGCCCACGGCATCGGTACCGTAATGGGCAGGAACTTGCAAATAAGGCGCATGTAGCATTCTAGCGACTTCGATCCATCGCATAGCCTTCTGCAGCCTGTCAACCAACGGTGACCGGTCTCCCTCGTAATTTTCGAAGGGAGCTAACGAAAGAATGGCCAGGTCACGTTCGTCACATATCGCTTTTATTGCCTGAGCACCTGCCAAGACAGATAGTTTATTTGACTGAGAGTATCTCTCCAAGTCGGAAAAGACTATCTCGATCCCAGCATATCCGTGTTGGGCTGCAACGTGGATTTTATGATCCAGTGAATGAGAAGGGTGTTGGCCTAGGGACAAACTGCCAATGGCCAGCTTGTTGGTGATCATCGCGTCACGAAGATAGAGAAGCGAGTCTGATTTGAAGGAAGATAGACGAGTTAGTAAATCTCACGTTTCTATTTTCATAGCTAAATAGAGTTGCCGGGAATCGACTTGCGGGTGGGCATGGATTTCGGTTTCCGTTCTCCACACTCGGCAAGATCGCCATAATCTATCGGTGCCAACCCCAGTGTCCAAGTTCATGAATTCTTCATAGTTTCAATCCCTTCTTGGCGCCAAATCTGGACCACCAGACTCATCTTTGAAAGTATCTTTGCCCATTGTCTTGCATCACTTGCCTTGTCTCTCATATCACGATCCATGCAGAGCAACTCTGCGCTTCCTCCGAAGTAAACTTCGTCATGATTTCCAACGCAGACGAATACCACGTAATGCATGGAGCCCCTGTTCTGCAAAATGGTAAAACTTGCTTGGTCAAGAAGCCATCCTCTCCGTGCTTCCGAGATATTGCTAAGTTTATCCAGGCTGAGAAGATCTCGAAAGGGAGGCTAACCAGGATGTAGAGCTGCCCAATACAGATAACAACCCGTCCATGCCAATCTGCTGACGAAGACCGAACCCAACCCACGGGTTTGGGCGATGCCTACTCTCATTTGAGCGTCTGGCTGACGCTTACACCATCTTGAAGAGAACATGAAGAAACACAAGAACAAGCGCGAGCAACGGCGCCCATTCTTGTGGCAACCGGCGAACTGTGCGACGCAGCATACTGAGCACGTTTCCCGGTCTGGATTTGGTGGCCATGGCCATCGTGTGCCTCTCTTCAACTGGGGCCGCGCTCAACCGGCCCTGCAGAGCCTCCTTGACCATGGCCATCACGAACGGTTGGGGAGACGTGGTGAACATGTAGCAGCGACTGGTATAGCGCAACTCTTCAATGATCGTAGGGTCTCCGGCCAGATAACCGCCCGGCAGGCCGAAGGCCCGATAGAATGATCCGCTGACCAGAATCCGGGCGGAGAGGATCTGAGAGAAGCGGACGAGGTCGACGGCGGACGCAATTCCCAGCTGGGATGGCCCCAGACGCCCTAGTCCGTTGGTGTCATTGAGGAGGACCGTCATGCCTTGGATCACGCCTCTCTTAGCCGCCAGTTGCGTAGCGAGAGCCATCAGATTCATGTAGCCGCCGCCGACCACCGGGTCCAGGTAGAGTGTGAGATAAGTCGCGCTGCGCCATGACAGCGCCTCAAACAGCGGGACCAGGGCATCCCGATCGGCGTATGTCAGGCAGACGGTTCCCGAGTTCTTTGAGGCCACCCGAAAGCCTTCCTCAGCTGTCGACGGCAGGCTCGCGGGAACCAGGAAATAGTGTCGTCGGCAAGCCATCACCGGACGGCACAGGCCGGCAATGGTCGACATGAGGCCCAAGTCGGAATCCGGGTAGGTCAGCGCGGCCGGCTGCCGGGTCAATTGTGCTGTGAAGTCTTCGACCTCGAGGTGTGGTGGGAAAGTGCCCAGAATCCACCGAGCACTGCCTGACCCGAGACCGTACACCTGGCGGGCAGCATGGCCAGCGGCAATCTCCGCCGCGGAGATGCCAGCATGCTGCGTCGCCACCAACTGCTCGATCTGCTGCTGCAGCGCGCGGCTGAGGTCCGCGTGCACTTCTTGAGCCTCCCTCTTCAGCTCCCGCTCGTCCACCGGGCTCGTCGCGCATCTGTACATTTGGCGCGGAACATTGGTTGGTCTGCTGAGTCCGATGCGTTGACTCGCGGTGATAATGGCGTCGATCAAGGCGTTCACGTCCTCATCACTGTACGATGCCGACAAGGTGACGCGCACTCGACTTTCCCAGATCTCGACCGCAGGAGCACTGACCGGAGAGGCCACCAGCCCCTGCTGACGGAGAACGTGGGATAATTCCGCCGCCTTGCTGGGCCGGCCACCATACACGGGCAGCATGGGCACGTAAACATCGCCATAAATGTGAACCCCTTGGCGGGCCAGTTCTTCATGACAGAAGCGAGACAGATCGAGCAAGCGATGCAAATGGCTCACCAACCGGCGCGGCTGGCGCAACAGCGACAACGTCTGCAGCATGGTGGAGGTTGTGAGTGACTCGCCTCGCTTCGCCAGCTCCTCTGCCCGCCGGCGGAGGCCTTCCTGGAACGGAGCAGTGGCGCACACGAATCCGCCTATTCCGCCGACTGCCTTGGACAGAACAGCGCTGCGAACGTCAATCACGTCTTCAGGGATAAGAGCTTCGGGGTGTTGGTCGTTCCACATCTCCAGACAACCTCCTCCGGTTTTCCCGATCGAGCCGAACGAGTGTGCTTCATCCACGTATAAGGTGAAGTTGAATTTCTTCTTGAGGACATACAGACAATCCAGCGGTGGGATGGTCCCATCCATACTAAACACAGGGGAGATGGTATTAGTGGTTACTCGAGACAGATTTGCACCACAGTTGCACCACAGGCGGGAAGGAAGGTAGCTCACCTGTAAAGACCCTCCACGACCACGATAATATCAAAGTGGTCCCCCTGAGTTGACTCCAGGATGGACTGCAGGTGTGCCATGTCATTATGCCGGAACTTTTTGCGGGCTCTGGCGCGGGACATGTACGAGGCCGTGAAAATCGAGTTGTGGCATTTCTCGTCCATCACGATGAGCGAATTGTCTCGAGCAATGGCCGGTAGCCCGAGGACGTTTGATTGGTAGCCGGTCGTCGTCGTGTAGCAACAGTCGGCGTTGAAGAACCTCGCCAGACCGTCGACCATCAGTTGGTTGAGCAGCGGGACAGCCTCAGCATCCGCGAGAGGCAGATTGTCCAGGCACTTCCGCTGCAGCTGTTCATCCTGTGGCGACAGTTCATACAGCCCGGCGTAGTTGTGACTCCCGCCGTTCAACACCGAGCGGTTCTCTCCCTGCATGCTCACTCGCCCGAGGGATTGCGAGGCAACGATCCGGTCGTTTCGCCCATGCCAACGGAATAAGGGATCCACAATGTAATGGTTGAAGCGGCCAATTTTCGTCAAGGGGTTGTAAGGCTTCTTGCCCTCTTTGAGCCGCACCTGGAGGTAGCTGGAGGCAAACGCGAGGCTTTCTTGCAGCATGGCCAAACTGAAGCCGCGAGAAGGGCTTGAGTGACTTCTCTTGGATACTGAGGGAGAAGCTGCCTGCGGAAGACGGACGGCTGTGCTGTCTGCGACCTTCATCCTATCGGCTTCAGTCGTTTCTGGGCCATTCGGCAACTCGACTGCCTTCGAGACCCGGCAGATGGCTTCTGTCTGGCTCATCTTCAATATACGGGAGGGTCCCTTCTCCATTGATTACCTGAGTTGATGTGCCCTGGCTTCCTTTATCCTTTCGAATTTGCTTTTTTTCCCACGCAGGATCTGTTTCCAATCAGAAGAAGTTCCTTTTCTGTCTCGCCAGAGCTAGTCTTGTTGGGGTTGCTGTGGTAGAATCCAAGTGCCACAACAATTTCTCACACCTTCGCGACTGTGCCGTTATATAGACTGAACTTCCCTTCAGGGGCAAACGCTGTCTCAGTCCCATCTGTTTGCGCGATTTTCTTGCATCGTGGCTGACATGTCTCCGAGCTCTGTTGATTAGGTGGTCTGTGTGATGCTGTACATACTATGAGATTCCGGCCTTAGCCAAGCTACAGTAGCCTGCGGGATAATTCAAGACATCGGCCCATAGCCTGCCAGCCCACAGGTTCTTCGTGGTCGCATCTCGTCCAATTGATATGCAGTAGACATCCGGCGTCGCGCCGGGAGGTGGATGGACCCATGTCGCTTAGTACTGGAGGACGCGTGGTGCCTAAAATTTGGGTACCTCCTGAATATCGAAAGCGCCAGTGGGAGGCTTCTATTCGGTTGGAATTGCGGGATGTGTGCGGAATTGCAAGCCAGTGAGTGATATATAAAACCAATTAGAAGCATAGGCCTCCTTAGTCTGAGAAGCCAAGGACGGACCCGACGATCGGCCCTAAGAAGCAGTTAGACACGTGGATAACTTCAGATCAAGCAATTGACCCTTTCATTGGCGCGCTTCATTCAAGTGTGACTGTGTGTGGCTGCTGCTGGAGACGGTGAATATATTCACCAATGAAGGACCCTGGTTGAAAAACCAAGACCACGAGCTTAGTTTTGCTAGTGCGTAGTTAAATGACTCACCGGGATAACGGTACCGTATCAGGTAACTGTGTTTATACTCTATCATCATCGGCCCCTGTATCCTAACTAAAATACCTCTAAACATGCCTAAGTAACTCCCTAATGTACTCGACCCGTATCCCGAATACGACATCGTCTGCCAAAGAGCACAGGGGTCTCACAGAGAGGCCACCGAGCTGAGCGATTGGAAGAAACTGGGCCGAGTATTGACGTCGTGGGCAAACAGCGGCTCCGGTAGCGGCGCATCGAGAGTGAGGTCGAGATTAAGCTGGATTAATCTCCTGCCTCAAAAAGAAGCTAGGCGGCCCCTGGGAAATCCTTGGGTTAAGTCGCTTCGACCTTACCTGATGCGGAAGGTAGTGGGTTTATCCATCCATTTCGATTGTGCAACCTCTCGATCCACTAGTTCGCAGCTTACGCAACTGCCTCGTTCTGTACGTCAGTATAAATCCCTCAGGACGCGGATGCCGCGGGAAATGATTCGAATTCCGAAATAAAAGCCTCACCGAATTATGTGACTCCATGCCCTAACCCAATCTGAACCAACGATGCCGTTTAATTTCCCGGGACACTCTTCTTGTCGGGGTTATACTTCTTTTTGCCCATTTTCCTAAATAAATTGTTCAAAGGTGTCAGGAACTATTGACCTGGTCTGCAGTAACAGTCTCTGCTAGACTGAGCTGTACAGCCCCAATCTGGTCATCCAAATCAAAAGAGAGAAGATCAATTCGCCTTGGTTCTTTCTTTCATTCTTTCTTTCCCCCATTCAATACCCGACAAAATGATCCAAGATTTGGCTCCTCATCTAACGCCTAAACGGGCTGCTTTCGGCCTCTTGGGCGTACTAGTCCTTTATTATTGGATGCAAAAGTTCCTAATATCCAGAAAGATCGCTGCTCTAGGTCCCAGGGCACCTATGATTCGAACGTATCTCCCATTTGGTGAGTTGACCTTCTGCTATAACTGACTTCTACTCTCCCATTCAACCCATATGCCAACCCTGCCCTTCACCCTTTCATAGAATAGTGCAAAAACGCGCTTTTCTCACACAATCCCATCTCGATACCAAACACAATGAAACACATGATTACTGACTTGCAAACCAGCAATTGACTTTGTATACGGGTACATACAAACAAGTAAAACAGGGCATGATCTTGACTTCTGGGATACTGCTATGCGAACTGCCCGAGGAGCATCCAAATTTGAAACATCTCCAGCAACAGTGGAGCTCAACTCGGGCTTGTCTCGCAACCTCTTCACAGCGGATCCAGAGAACATTAAGGCTATCATAAGCAGCCAGTTCGCAGACTATGGCAAGGGTAAGCGATTCTACGAAGACTGGAAAGAATTGCTGGGCAATAGTGTTTTCAGCACGGATGGTCAACTATGGGCGCATTCACGACAGCGTCTTCGGCCAATGTTCACGAAAGAGCGCATCACAAACTTGGAGGGGTTTGAAACATATGCCCAAAAACTCATTACTCTCCTCCATGGAAGTGATTCGCCAAACAGGGTAGTCGATATTGTGCCACTTTTCTTCCGCTATACCTTGGATACTGCCACGCACTACCTACTTGGAAAAGCCGCCGATAGTCTGGAAGATCCGGGGACAAGGATCGTGGAGGCTATCGCATATATCATGGCCCGCCAGGAAGAGTTCTTTAAAATGGAGTAAGTATACTTGAACCCCCTGGAGACAGAGGCATTTAATTATACTGACCTCTCTCCAGTGACTTTGCCTGCCTTCTCTCACGCGCAAAGTTCCGCCAAGAACTCAAGGTGATCGATAATTTCCTCCAGCCATATATTGAAAAGGTCCTCTCTCGCTCAGCAGAAGAGTTGGATCCAGCCTACTCGAAAACAGACACGTTCCTTGATGCTCTGGCCCGGTCCACTCGAGACGGCCGTGACATCTGCGATCAATTGTTGGGTATCCTCATTGCTGGACGGGATACTACGGCCGTCACGCTCTCCTTCGCTCTCTTTGAATTATCCCGAAACCCAGACATACTGGCCAAGGTCCGTGCAGAGATAGCCGCTAAGTTTGGTGTTGGACCCAAAAGCTGCAAGCCCACCTACAATGATTTGAGGGACATGACGTGTCTCCAAGCCGTTCTGAACGAAACCATGCGTCTATATCCCGTCGTTCCCTTGAATTATCGCCATGCCCTCCACGATACCACCCTTCCACGCGGCGGTGGTCCGGATGGACTCTCCCCGATTGGTGTTCTCGGAGACACTCGTATTATCTTCTCAATTGGTCTCATGATGCAGCGTGAGGAGTTGTACCCTCCCGTTGGCTCCGACAACTATTTTGACCCTAAAACATGGTTGCCGCAGCGCTGGTGGTCAGGCTGGCAGCCGAAGCCCTGGGAGTTCCTCCCATTCCATCGTGGTCAAAGGACCTGCATCGGGCAGGAATTTGCATTCGTTGAGATGCAATACACGGTCATCAGAATTTTGCAGGTGTATAAGGAGATTGTGGCTTTCCCGGCATGCGGGAAGGAGAAGGTGGAAGACCCCACCATCAGATTCGAGGTCACACTCAGACCTGCGTGCGAATTCAATTGTTTATTTGTAAAGGAAGGGGAAGAAAATGAGGAGGTACTGATCTGATCACATACGATTTTCCCATGCATACTCTGTTTTACAGCGTTTAAGCAAAAGAAATATTTGTCAAACAACCCACGATACAAAAGAGACAATCTTAACATCTCCTTACGTCTTATCTACATAAACCTCACCGGAACAATGTATAATCCTTGAGAAATCATAGCCTGTCTGTTGATGACAACCGTTAGATATCATTCAATAAATGGGCACCTGTAAATCGACCCACCTGGTGCCCGGAAATATCTGCGCCGCGAATTTTCCATCAATGTCGTAAAATTAAAGAATTACTAATAATCTTAAATATCGATATTAGTATCGGGATAGTAGTAGTTAATGATTAGCTTCCCTAGGATAGTATTTAGCTAGTATGACTATTGCCGAATTAGATATATATTCTAAGTATTCGTATATAAGTACATATAAGCTGAGGGGATAGATATATAGATAGGTAGTAAGAAGCGATACCTACTCTAGAAGAGACTACTTTAAGAAGATCCTATCGCGCTATAGTATACACTTTAGCTTGGTCTGACAATAATTGACTAAAAGGGGTCCAGTTGTACTGTATACCATATACGTAATACGAAGACTGGCACATGTTCACATGCAATTTGCGGGTTTTGATTACCATTAGCGCCTAATATTTAGTGGGAAATACTTTCCACGCCACCCTCGAGGTGTTCCCCCTGACTCCCTCGCCATTCTATTCCCTCCCATAGATACCTTGGACTTTTACTCCATTCGTTCATGCTCAGATGGCAGGGAACAGCTGCTCACCCCGAATGAGATTATCAATGGACGTCCCTAGCACTGTGGTCGAATGTACGTGCAGCTGGCTAGGCAAAACGGCAGTTTTTCAGGTCGCCGCGCAAAGCACTCTAGACGACCTTAACAGATACCTCGAAACTGGATGGGAGCATTTTCTTCAGCAACAAGAAGGCATCACCAATTCTCCACCACCCAGCCTGTGGGATGCAGAACATACGCCATATTGGTCCAAAATAAAACAAATGTTCTGCATGCAAACACACTGCATTTACAGTCCCAACTATACGACATCGTGGTATCCTAGCCATTGATACAGTGCCCTGGTAGCAGCGATTCGAGCCCAATCTGTGGAGAAAGTGGATCTTCTGCTGAAATTAGAAGCAAACCCAGGTGGATACCTAATCTCATCATTTGAGGCCTGGCAGGCGTTGTTTCTTCGTTCCCGAACGGAGATTGACCTCAATAACTTAGAGGGTGATTACGCAAGATCTGACATTTTGGCCGGCATCCCAACTCCACAGACAGTTCATATTACTGAGTTGGAGGTAGAGACGCGACTGTTGGTAGAATTCTGGGCAGGAGCAACAGCAGCGCAAGGCCTTTGCGACGAGTATCCGAACTTTGGGCACTCCCTGGTCATTGCAGCTGGGTCGGGACTAGTCGCAATGATGGACCGGCTTCTGGCTACAGATGCGGATCGCTCGTTCTGGATAGCTTTCCCTGCTCTGGGGGATATCCCAGAACCACCGACACCCTCGTCTCTCGCCCTTTCCTCCCCAATTCATGAGGCCATCTCAGGCGCCAATCAGAGCATAGAGATGCTTCGTCATTTACTAAAGGCTGGCTTCAATCCCAACGTTCCTCCGCTAGGGGACGTACGTAACAGCATTACTCCTCTTATGTCAACTTTCCTTCAATGTGAACCGTGGAATGAAGCGGCGTACAATACCCTCGCAAATGATCCACGGATTGACTTTAGCATCCGCACTCCATACCTCCTCACCCACATATTACACGTGGCGACAGCACATTCACTACAGGCTCTAAAACGGGTCGAAGGGTCGAACGGGATATTCCCCTCGAATTCGCTGGTGCAACGGCCATGGGGCATACACTCCTTCATATCGCCTGTATGTCGTCCATGATCCAGAATCACGCATCCAAGACGCGTGAATCCATCCATAATCTCCGAGGCAAGCCCAAGGAAGCATCATCAATAGAAGTGTGCGAGTTAGAGTTTCCGGCCCAAATGGAGTTGCTGGAATATCTCCTGTCATCGGGGTTTGAGCAGTGCGTGGCAGCACAGGACACGGACCTCAATACTCCACTGCATTATCTCGCTGGGGCACGTGTAATCAACGAGAATGCAATCATTCTGCTTCGTGAGCAGTCGGATGGTGAGACGGCGTGGCGAGAGGTGCAAAATTGGTACAGGTATACTGCCGAGGAGATCTGGGAACAGAATCATCGCGTCAGAATGCGAAAGGATAAATGGTTTGGAGGCACGACACACAAGGTGGCAAAGATGCCAACACTGCGTATGTGAATGTTCAGTATGTGTAGATTAATAATTAATACCTGGCAAGCACATTTCAAGGCTTGCATGGTTGGGCTCACGAATCCTCAGTGAATGGGAAAGAAGTCAACAAGGTATTGCCTGTAACGGGCCAGTGCCCGCCTGCACCTTCTTTACACTACGACTCCACCCCGAATCTCTTCCTTTTCTCTAAGTGTTTGGTAGATTGCATCTGGCCTAGTTAAAACTGAATCAATTCTTGCTTTAGCCCTTCACACTAGAGGCTTTGTGCGATCACCTGCTCGAAAAACGCACCTTGTACCTCCACAGAAGTTTCGAAGAATTCTATAATTTTAGGAAAATGTGGGCTGAGGAATGTAATGCATGTCATTCTGCTAAACCCGGCGACCATGCATGTGCGCATGCGCACAATGAAGGTTACTGGCTTTTGGTCCCAAAGACGTAGTTACACTTCTTCGATAGAGGGATGCCTGAGCCTAAGCGCCCTCATAAAAGCGGCGGCAGCCCAGACAGGAAAGCCCTACCCGGCGGACATTATCCTGTGTATATAGGTGCATATAGCTCATTGATCCTAACCTCCTTCAATTCAGATTCTAGGTTTACATTTTCGGCTAACCTCCGTGACCCGAAAGCAGGTCCTTTTGGAACAGAGATGTTAGCTGAGTCGAAGGACTTCTCATGACGGAACTTCTTTCTTCCTATTTATACCTGCTCCTACCACCGCAACGAAAATAAATAAAGCCGAAGTTGGAAGTACATTGTCTAAACAAGGTAAACACATCTTCGAAGGGTATGATTCGCTTGTTATTTGCTATATTACATACGTGCTCAAATGTCTGGCTGCCTACCCTGAAAATAAAATCGGATTAGGCCGATTCGGAAAAGACAGAACCTATCAACGCCCTGTAGAACGAGCTACAGCATCTCTGAACGGAACAAGATCCGCATCTGGTATTGGAGATTTCTGTCTTTCGTCACCGATATATTCCAGCCCCTACTCCGAGCCAAAGGTGAGATCCCCCGCTACCCCACGCCAGGTGGTGAGCCCCCCAAATGCATCATAATGCTCCGCGCTGGGTCCCGGGCATGCACAACACATGGTCGGCTGCCCCGTCGCCCTACGGGCTTAACGAATCAAGTTCGCGGGTGCCTTGCACGGGACGATGGGGAACGTGGGAACTCGGCGTTGGCGAGTCTTGTGAGCTTCGAATCAGCTTCCACTGCCAAGAGAGGAGCTCCACGATAGGCGATCGCCCGCAGAGCGCCGATAGAGGGGGTAAACCCTCTTGTTCAGCTTACAGTCTCGCCGTCCTTCTTGAGCTTCACATCCTAGTTGAGACCCAATTAACCCGGCACGGAGCTTCCGCAAGCTTTGCAGCACTTTGTTTCCCCCCCCCGCCATCCACCATGGTAGCCGAGCTTCTCACCATCCGCAACAACACCAGCACTCCGATCATTCTCAAGCGGATTGAACGGTTTGAGGCTCCCAAGGCGAACAGGGGAGATGATATCGCCTCGCTGGCGTTGAACTTTACGCGCGTGCTCACAAACACCACTCGCATCAATGAGCCCGTGAGGGCCATTCTCCCCGACACTCGTCCCTTCGACGAGCAGCAGGGCGTCGACATCCGCGTCGAGCCTTTCACCACTGTGAAGACCGAGCGAAAGGCGTTCATTCACTCCGACAAGGAGCGCATGCGTCTGACATTCGAGGTCGATGGTGAGCGTCACTCGATTCAAACCCCTGTGCCAACTGCAGAGTCGGCCACCATGAGGTGCGAGTCTGAACACCCGAAGTACCGCTTGACGGGCGTGTATGTGACTCCCGAATCACACCTGGCTATCTTCTCGTCGGCCAACTTGAACGCATGGATGGGCGAGCTCCGTGACGATACGCTGCTCTCCGCACTTTCCATCCCTGGCACCCACAACTCGCCCACCTGCCACATCGCGCCCCCCTCGGTGCGCTGCCAGGCCGTCAGCCCGCGCGAGCAGCTGAAGAACGGCGTCCGCTTCTTCGACATCCGTGTCCAGCCCCAGTACCCCGATGACCCCGCGAAGGACGAGTTGGTCCTCGTCCACAGCGTCTTCCCGATCTCGCTGACCGGCAACAAGTACTTCCGCGACCTGATGAAGGAGGTCAACGATTTCCTCCAGCAGAACCCGTCTGAAACGCTGATTATCTCCCTCAAGCGTGAGGGGCCCGGTAATGCGAAGGATGAACAGCTCGCCCACATCCTATCCCGCCACTATGCGCTCCCCGATAGCCGCTGGTGGGTGCGGCCCAAGATCCCGACTCTCGGTGAATCTCGGGGCAAGGTCGTCCTTATTCGCCGCTTCAATCTTCCAGACGATCTCAAGCAGGAGCATGGGGGCAATGGCTGGGGGATTGATGCCGCCGCGTGGGAAGACAATACTCCCAACGCCACATGCCCTAGCGGTCAGCTCTGTATCCAGGACTTCTACGAGGTCCAGGAGAGCACCAACATCGAGAAGAAGATCCAATTCGTCAAGGAGCAAATTGACCGTGCTAGCAAGTGCTGCTACCCATTCGGTGTGCTGCCGGGTCCAGTGGAGGCCCGCCAGTATCCCTTCTACATCAACTTTCTCAGTGCGAGTAACTTCTGGAAGACTAATACCTGGCCCGAGAAGATTGCGGCCAAGGTGAATCCCGCAACGGTGGACTATATTTGCCGTCGTCAAAGCGATGACCACGGTGATTGCTCGACTGGTATCCTGGTGACGGACTGGGTGGGTCTGGATGGCGACTGGGATCTTGTGCGCTGCATTGTGGGCATGAATGCCAAGTTGCGCTTGAGAGAGCACTAGAAGGGGCTCTTTGGTGAACAGGAAGAAGCTTTCTTATGTTTGAGGCGATTTCTACATAATCAACATGATATCCCGATCTCAAGTTCAGGTAGAAACAATTTCACCATGGTGTATTTGTTGTGCAGTATACAGTCGTCCTAGACAAAGAAAAAGAAAACAAAAGCTAATATCCTCTAGGATGCAAAACCAACAGTATGACCTATTATACAAGAATGGTTTGGTATGGCCCCAGCCAAACTAGGACGATTCGCTCTTCTCGCCCTCGGGCTGCTGCTCCTGCTCCAAAACGCTTCTCCGGCTCTCCATGGTGAGATACAAGCTCTTGCCAGCACCCTCCAGAGTGCTGGTGACACTGGATCCCATGCTCTGCAAGGCCATGATGAGCTGAGAGCGCAGGCCGTCCATGCCGCCCTCGATTCCGGCGATCCACTTGGTCTCGGTGGTATCAAATACCTTGCCATCCACACGCGCGGCGAGGAGGTTAATCTTCTGCAGACCGTTCTGGACGATAGGGTCGTGGTAATCCGGGTTGCCTTTGCGGGTGGGCGCAGGGAATCCAGCTTCCTTGGGCGTCAGAATCGACAGGGCGGCCTTCATATGTTCGGGTGAGACGGCGGGGATGGAGAGAATCGCCACGGGGCCGACCAGAATGTCGGCAAGCTCATGTCGGCCCTTCAAGTGCTTCACTGCAGCGTGGGCAGCGCGAGACAAATCGTGGGTCAAAGAAGGGTCATCCTTGGAGCCGGAGATAGCCGGCAACTCGGCGGATGTTTGTGTGACAGGGTTGACAGCGCTTGGGGGCTGTCCGGCAGCCAGCGAGGCCTCATTGGGTCGGAAGTACTCGACAATGCGGATCGCGACCTCGAAAATGCTGGTCTGGATGGTCTGCAGCTTGATGTAAGGCGCCAGTTCCGGGGCTGTCCGGCCCTCGGCAGCAATCTTCTCATCCACCTTTTGGAGCGCTTTGGTAAGCTCTCGTCGGATTGAGGCCCATTCCATAGACTTCAGGTTGTTGTGTTGGAAGATGACCATGAGAGGAGATGTGCGGAGAAGGGAGGTGTATTGTCGCAGGAGTTGTGACCGGCGGTATTCGGGGTTGCGGTGCGATGGCAGCTGAGCGGGAGGAGCCTTCGAGATCGGAGCTTTTGACCGTGTCATTTGCTCAATGGGCGCAGCTGGTGTAATTGCTGGAGCAGCAGCGGTGCTGGCGCTCCTGCACACGATTCGGAGTTCTTGGGGGCATCGCAGAGCCTGTCGTCGAAGCGACGTGATGCGTACCCGCGGAGGCATTTGCAATAATGTGTATAAGGTGTGCGGTAACACCAATTGTTCGAGGTTGAAGTGGATCAAAAGAGGCCCCGGGGGACGGAAGGGCAGTTCGACAGGCGATATTTTTTGATTCCAGAATGGGGATAGCGCCATCTTGGGCGGTGCATAATTCTGCCGGACATGGATCTGCGCCATGAGGGGCTTTGACTCACGACTGGGTCATTTCTTTTGCTGTTTAGAACACCAATTGACACTCGGAAGTCTGAGGTAATTCTCAGATCCTTTTGATCTATACCGCAATGGCTTCTCCCAACTACGAAAAGCCGGAGTCGGTCTCAATTTCACCTCTCCTCCAACGCCTCGCCTACCCCGCGACTGCGGATATTCGGGTCAGTGCAGAGGACATTGCTTCTGCCTTTGCTCTCATCTTCGAAGACCGATTGTCAGACATTCAGACTGCAGCTCTTCTGACCCTACTGCACTCCACGGGGAAGGATCGGCAGGCTGACGTGATTGCGAAATGCTCTCACCGTATGAGAGAAGCTGCTTGCCAGATCGAGAAGGCTGAGCTGAAGAAGGTTGTTAAAGCTCGTGGGAGACGCGAGGGAAACTACCAGGGTGGCTTGGTAAGAATACTTAACTATCCTGGTGGCAATATGGGACTGATATTGATCCATTCAAGTGTGATATCGTCGGAACTGGCGGAGATTCACACTCAACCTTCAACGTCTCTACCACCTCCTCGATTATCGCGTCGCCGCTCTTGATGACAGCTAAGCATGGCAACCGTGCTCAGACTTCTTTCTCTGGGTCTGCCGACGTCTTGAATGCAATCCAGCCTATCCCTCCCAATATCTCTGCTGTGAACGCAACCAATGTGGCCAAGATCTACGAAAAGACCAACTATGCTTTCCTCTTTGCGCCCAACTTCCACCCCGGTATGATGTACGCCAACCCCGTCCGACGCGGTTTAGGTCTCAGGACCATCTTCAACCTAATGGGACCTCTGGCGAACCCCGTCGAGTGGGCAATTGAGGCGCGGCTAGTCGGCGTGGCTTACCAGAGCCTGGGGCCGGTCTTTGTTGAAGCTCTCAGACAAGCTGGTGCCAAGAAGGCTTTGGTGGTTTGCGGCGAGGAGGACATGGATGAAATAAGCTGTGCTGGTCCAACAAACTGTTGGAGACTGTCCGAGTACCCTAACCCGCTCTACAAGAAATTGTCCGAGGGGGAAGATGACGACTCAAGTGATGATAACGAAGAGAATCCTAAGACCCTGGTCAAGCTCGACATCTTCCAGCTGCACCCGTCCGACTTCGGCCTTCCCACCCATTCTCTCACTGAAGTCTACGGCCGCAAGATGCCGAAGGACAACGCCGCTAAGCTGATGAGCATTCTTCGGAACGAGCTTCCTCGAGATGATCCCATTCTGGAGTTCGTGCTTATGAACGTTGCCGCTTTGTTGGTCACCGCTGGTGTCTGTGAGGCCGATACCAGCAACATGGGTCCTGGCGACGACGGCAAGGTTGTCACCGAGCGTGGACCCGGTGGAGGGCGCTGGAAGGAGGGTTTGCGCCGGGCACGCTGGGCGATTGAGAGCGGCGAGGCTCTCAAGTGTCTGGATCAATTCATTGCGGCCACAAATGAACTCTAATGAGCTTGTCCAGTATGAGCCGTTTGTAGGATTCAAATGTTGATACAAGTTGTCCGGTTGTGTTCGCATCTCTTTCGTTCGTATTGTGTTACTAGGCCGGTATTGACCAAGGCACATTCTGTATTCAGGGTACCAATATTTCACATAAGGATCTTGACTTAATATTCATTCAATACGATTGTGGTGGAGGTTAGGTACTGGAGCCAGACTTCCAAATGAACGTAAAAAAAACCAGAGTGGATAAAACCCCGGTATCAAATTTATTCGCCGTAGCTGAATTGATCCAGCCACAGATCATAGTCTCATGTATTCCATGAAAGCTAGTTGTGGATTTCAACTCCAAAGCGCCGATCAATGCATCAAGAATCGAAAAAAGAAGAATCGTAGATAACGCGATCCCGGTTGCCTCAAACTCCGCAGCGTCCGAGACCTGAAAGATCCAAGACGAGTATTTATTTCCATCGACCCCATTTTAACGGGCCTCGAACTGGACCATGCTGTGAGGCGAATGAAATCCAGTCAGTTCGTGCCCTAGAAAATGGGAGGAAGGCCCCAGAATGAGGCTGGAGAAGACTTACCGCTTCGTCCGCTCCTTGTACAGCACACGGTGGCCGCAGTCCTTGCAGCGGATCTGGTCACCACGCTTCAGAGGCACGCGAGCCGAGCACTCGCCGCAGAGATAGACAACCGAGGGGCTGTCAACAGCCATGCTGCTGAACCCGCCCTCATTTCCGAAGCCGCTCTGGCCACCCATGGAGGGGACTTGGTAAGCTTCGCGAGACATGTTGTGGTGGTGATAGGTTGCCGTGTTAGGTGGGCAGGTGTGTTGTTGAAAGAGCGACGAGGGTCTAGGGGGGTGCGATCAAGAGTAGTAGTCACTGGAGCCGGCGAGATTCTTTTTCTTTCGAGGCACCATTTTAGATGATTATCTAATCATAGTAATCCATTGATGAGTCAGCATATCATCTCCGGCGTCAGAGTTGGGTCCACCGCGATTGGGGTGGGGCCCGGGCCGTCCAAGTACAGTTGTAGATGCTCATTCCACCTTCAATTTTATCTTGCCCTTCACATCACACTCCGTCGTATCACTTCGCCCCGTTGTCATCACCTATGTGTCAGTTTTGTCAAGGACCTATGGGCTAAGCCATCGAAGTCGGCAAAATTCTTCACCCTGAGCTACCCAGGGCCAAGCTATTCTACTACCGAAACTTGACATGTCAAACTTTACAAGTACACTCAATTGATATGGTCGTATTGACTAGCTATTTTTGAATTCTTCAGAGGGTTTCAAATTGAAAACATGGTTTGCCGTGGTGGTAATATTACTTAAAAAGCTACGTTATTGTGTTAATGGGCTTAATAATGGGCCAGTCCTTTTCGAACAAATTGTACCCTGTGGATATAACTAGTTACAGCCTATTTCTTGGGGATTTGATTTGAAATGATTTGAATTGAGCGGGAAAAAGGTGGCAAATAATCTATGCACCTAAACTCAAAAGTACCTGGTTCTTTTCGCACCGAAACATGCCATGACTCGTAGACTATGAAAAGCCAAATGAAGGTCTGGTATATCCCAATACGACATGCAAATATGATAGAAAAGGATCCGACGCCATGCAACCAATCATGATTTATAATGCCATAAAGTAAACTGCGTTTACCACCCCCCACCAATCTTCCCAGCAAGCTCGACGACTTTGTTTGTGTCGTTAACTGCCGTCTGGTCTTTGCCGACATCGCTTTCCACTTTGCGATAAGTCGTATATACCAGTTTGGAAAGCGGTATATCCATATACTGCGACCAGCGGAGTAAGCTTTCATGGATTTGAGCCTCTCTGTCCACTATAGAAAACCGCTGGTTATCTGGTTCGGGCTCTGAGTCGGATTCCATGGAGTAGTATGCTTCATCCACTCGGGCAAGCCAGGCGCGCTGCTCTTGGGGCGATGGCTTAGATGCAGTGCCATCATCCGCTTCTGCAACTGCCGGAGCAGATCCAGTAGCCTCCCTTGCATCCTCCACACGAATCTGTCCGCCACCATTGGTGCAGCCACCAGGGCAAGCCATCACTTCCACATAGGCATAGTCAACGCCTGCCCCGCCCGGTGTGGCATTACGGGACATTGGTTGACGTCGACCGGCCACCATGGGCTTCGCGCCTGGCATTCGAGATGCCCGTGCGGGCTTCAACTTCCGGACGAGGTTTTGGATGTTTCGGAAGCCGTAATAACGAGCCGCTTTCAAGATAGGCTCTCTATCTTGAGATACAAGTGCATACTCGACCACATCAGCGTTGCGACCACGGTTGATCACAAGTTCGCTACCGGGATTCCGAGCTTGGAAAGTCTTGAGAACATGATACAAGTAACCCCCAGAAGTGCCGGTTCCGAGAGACTGCTCAGCCAAAAGGCGCTTGGACGAGATGAAAGAATCGAGAACCTTGTCTGGAAATGATGGGGTAAAATTGTGAGTGAGTGGCTGAAGGGGCAGGCTCGGCAAGGAGATGCCCCGAGATGAAGCCAAGGAGAGGAGTTCGCGACTCGTTATTACACAATCCACATCACGAACAGGCTGGTGCGGCTCAGGGCCGTCTTGGGCATCGATGGGTAGCCAAGATACATCTGTGAGCTCTTCACGACTAGCCTCCAGCTTCTTATCGAAGCATGGCATGACCGCCAGATGCCAGATGCGCGCCGGTGATACTCCGAGAGACTTGCTCAGGATACTCTTAAGGAAAGTACCTGACAAAGCCTGCGGAGACTTCAATCGAGACAAGTGAGGCAAGACAAACGGATGTGTCTTTTCAGCGTAGCATATCCACCCGGGGCAAGCGGACGACAAGATGGGTCGTTTAGGAAGAGCAGGCTCCGACTGGTCTGCAGAGGAAGCCTCTTTGGTAATCGACTCTGAAACTTCATCTGCAGTAAGAACCAAGACGGCCTCCCGCATGACGTTTGTATCCACAACCCATGTAAAACCACTGGTCTGCTTCCCACCACTGCGCAATCCCTGCGGGCCACGCAGAAACTGGTCGATCATGTACCCTGCCTCCCTCTCCGAGATGCCATAGGTGGCTGCCAAGCTGGCCCTGACCTGCGGGCTCACACTGGCAACAAAAATTCTGCCTTCACTAGTATTTCCATCATCTGCAATCACGGTTCCATGCGGCTCCTGCGCCAAGGGAATTTCCGGGTGGGCATCAAGGGTGTTGAGGACCTCCGCATGCGACTGCAAAGAGATCAAGACTGCCTCCGCCGACGTAACACAGCCTGAGCAGGCGAGACAGTCTGTCAAAGAAATCTGGGCCGGAGGTAGGTCCTCGGGTTGAACTTTGTCTTCTGTGGTGACTTCGTAAGGGTTCTAGGATTAGAAATCAGCATACAGGTCCATTGAAACCGTCCTAGTGTTAGGGAATTCATCACCGACCTCTGTATCTTTTACACTTTTCTGCGGAAGTGTTTCAACGGGCTTGATACACGCGACCCCGGGCGAAATGAAATCGTTCAAATCGTCCGCCGACAGGATCGCGCTCATGTTGGCGGGGCGCCGCTTCAGGCGAGAACAACCCCGCGCAGGGAGGGGAAATCAAGGTAACTTTAGGGCAGATTACGCCTTGTCTCGAGCAGAACAGGGCGCGCCTCTAGATTCAAACAAGCAGGGGTTGAAAAGAAAAGGTCCAGCAGAAAATAAGTAGCCAAAGAAAAGTGAACCAACGAGCGTGGCGGGCTTTGTCATCTGTGGCGACATCGGCACCGATAAGCTGCCCGGGCTCACCGCCTACGGATGCGTGCTATGCGCGTCGTCATTGGTTGCCTACGAACTACAGAAAGAGGCCGAAAAATAAAGAAAACCCCTCACGAATCTGAAATTCTCCAACCCTAAACGTCCTCAGAAAGAAACCATTTTAAAACAAATAGAACCCTTAGAATAAAGAAAATCCCTATAACTCGGCTACGGTAGTCATCTCCTCTCAATCCTGGTATTCATGGCAGCCCGAGGTATCGAAACGTAGGAGATGCTCGCAAATACCGAAGTTTTTACCACAAGCTAGCGCTTGTTTGGCACCCATTAAGCGCTTAGAGAATTATTCCTTGCTCTAACTAGCTCTTATTTACCTTCGCGCATCCTGACCAAACAACCGGGCGCTTGGAGGGGGGCCGGGGACGGCGGGGCCTTTGGGGCCCGCGTTCCAACGCAGGTCCAGCTCGCCAGTCGACGCCGCAGACACGGCAGCCTCGCTTCCACCACCCGACACCCCGTCCGCCAGAGCCGACGCCAGCTCCCGTCCACCAACGTCCCCCAGCGTCCGACTCATACTTAAGGCCTGATGAACTAGCTACTGGCCTCAGGGCTCTAGTACAGGTTAGCAGGAGTCGCTTCCAAAGAAGCGCTGCTAGCGTACCTTGTTTGATTTCAGCATAACCGGAACGAGGGGCTTGACGTGGGGCTGGGGTGGCGCCTGGAGGGGCGGCCGCTGATCCCGCTTGCTTAGTCTTGCGAATAAGGTTGGTGAACCAGACTAAGCGCTTAATTAGCACTTCTAAAGCGCTTCCGGGGTAGTTAATAATAACTTACGGCGAGCCTCATCTTTATCCGCAGTTCCTAGATTTCCAGTTTGGCCTTTGGCAGTCTCAATCGGTGTATCCTTCCGACCATGACTCTTAATATGGGTCCGTAGATTGCGCGTTGCTTTCTTGTGCTAAACAATAAATTAGTAAGTAAGCGCTTTGCAAGCGCTCAGACTGAGCCGAAAATCGGTTAATTTACCTTAGCCCGGTCGCAATCTTTCATCCGGCAGAAGGCTTCACCAGGATGCACGATAATCTTGCCCTCGGCATCCTGATTCACTTTAAGCGTTTACCAAGCCGAGAGCTTCAAGTGTCACTTACCTTCTCGTACTCAGGGAGAATCAACGCCCCGGCCTCTCCCAAGCGTAGGTATTCGATGTAATCCTTATTCTCTGCCAGCCAGACCGGCGGAGCGAACCCATCAGCCATCTTGATGGCAAATCTGATGCGTATATCAGTAGCAGGACAGCCAGGAGTGCTTATAGAGCACCTCTCATGCACTTATCCCTATCCTGAGGGACCGGAGAGGCGGTGAGAGTTGTGAAGGAAGGATGATTGTGTAAGAAATTGCAGAAAGGTTGATTTCCCAAAGCCGAGTCTTATCCGATCTGGGAAGCGGGCCGCTTGTGTCTTCTCTCTTCCTCTCCCTCCCTCTCTCTCTCTCTGTCTCTCTCTCTCTTCCTTCCTCTCTCTCCGTCTCTTCTTCTCTCTCCACAATTCAATCCCCGATCTTTCGCGGTTCATTGATCAAAGTCTATCCCCAAACTAACCCGAGTTGTTTTGACTCGACTAGAAAAGGAAGGTCCTTCCAGGCAGAATGTTGACTGAAAATCAAGCTGATCAGCTTGCCATCCGTTCGAAAGTACCAAGCTCTATGGCGGGCGTTGGCAGGAAGGAACAGCCTCAATCTAGTCCAGACATTACCGCTCTTGATTTACGGACAGACAATCATCATGCAACGGCTATTGAATCCGGTGAGGATGTGACTACCCAGTCACGGTCAGAATCAAGAGAAGAGACCATAACGGCACGAGTGTCCAGAGGCAGAGGACGGAGGCCGAACTACCGGGAAGGGAGCCGCCAAAAGGCAGAAGCAGCGGTGCGGCTGCAGGTTTCGAAGGATACACTCAAAGCACTCCCGGCTATATTGGATGCCGCCAAAGACAGAAGCCTCCGACAGTCGGACAAATTCAAGCACGAGGATTTTTCTGCGCTTCAAACTGACCGTTCCAGCTATCCGGACTTTCTAAACACTCAAGTCAAGGTCGTCAACAAAGACACCCTGGATACCGCACTCGCTCTTGATACTGCGGGTGATATCATGGAAACTAAAGATCGCGGGCCGGTCTGCGTGTTGAACTTCGCAAATGCTTTCACGCGTGGAGGAGGATGGCTCAAAGGCAGCAGAGCCCAAGAAGAGCAGATTTGCTACCGGAGTAGCTTGATCGAAAGTCTCCACGCTCGGTTCTACCCAATGCAGCCCAAAGAGTTTATTTACTCTTCTGAGGTCATCATCTTCCGTGAGAACGAGGCGAAGGGGTACTCGTGGATGTGGACGGAGAAGCCCGACATTCTTCCGATTGTCAGTGTCATCAGCTTGGCAGCAAAGCAAGACCCACCACTGGACGAAACCGAAAAGAAGTACGAGAACCCGAGTCAGCGCATCATCATGGAATCCCACATGCGCACTATTCTCCGTGTCGCAGCGGAAAATTTGCACCGAAGACTTGTTCTTGGAGCCCTGGGGTGTGGAGCATTCCATCACCCCCCGGCGAAGTTGCAAACTGCTGGGCCAGGGTACTCCGGGAGAAGGAGTTCAAGGGATGGTTTGAGACGATTGTATTCGCAGTCCTGGATTGGCCCAAAGGTGTGAATTTCCCAACCTTCAGGGATGCCCTGCACAACCTCCAGATCTGAGCTTGTGTGATTTGTCTCCTTATCAGGTTCTTTTTGTGCACCTGCGTGGGCTCTGAATAATTCCAAGTCACCAGATGATTTATTCTCAAATTCAATCCTAGAAGACAGGTTTAAAGGTAGTACACATGCAATGTCTTCAAGCCACAAATATCTTATTTCCTTGATCGCGTAGAGCGACGCCTGCCGACAGATGAATCTATTGGCTTCTCTTCTTCTTTCTTCTCCTCCTCCTTCACGGTTGAATTCTTCTTTTTCTTTGGCTCGCGGCTGTTTGGCTCGGGCTTGTCTTCGGCGTCGGAGTCAATTTCCTGTTTCACAGCACGCTTTCGTTTGGAGCTTGCTGGAGTGCCACCCCCATTTCGATCAATCTCTTTAGCCACAGCACCGGTCTTTTTCTGGACTGCTGGCACAACGGCACTTGTTCGGCCACCGACAGTGAGGAAGGTGATCTTATCTCCATTTGGCAGAGCGGCTGGTTGGTTCTTCTTCCCTTTGCCCCATCGATGCTTAAAAAGCCAGTGCTCAGGGAATTTCTCCGAGTCTGCTAAGACATCGAGGGCTGTGGAACAGACGTAGTGGATTGAGGAATTGAGTTCCTTGATTTGGTCATCGTGCAAGGTATTGCTGTACTGTTCCGGGTGGATCTTGGCATGGTACAAGATTTCGTCACTAGAATAGGAATTAGTACTCCGTACGTGGCTTGCGTTAGATCAATGAATGAGATCTTACCCCATCCAGTTCCCAATTCCACTGATATTTGCCTGGTCAAGCAGAAGAGCCTTGATGGGTACCTTCTTACTCTTCAGCTTCGCCATCAGCCATGTTTCTGTCACGATGTCTTTATCCACAACGGGGTCTGGCCCGTTCTCCTTCAGAGGTGTGTGCTTGCGAATCTCATCAGCAGGGCAATCCACTAGGCGGATACGACCGAGTCTGCGGGCGTCCACAAACGCTGCCTCTGTCTTCTCGTCGTCACTTGTCTCCAGCACAAATTTCGCGTACTTTGGTGGCCATTCCTTATCGGCAGGTTTGTCTGAGCGGTAGTAATATGTGTCTGCATCCTTGATTTTCAACCAGCCAGCCATTCCAAAATGCATCACAACATGCGGCGGTGATGACATTGTGATCCAGAAGTATTTTCCTTGTTGCCCAGCACCGACAATCTGCTTTCCTTGCATGGCCTTCTGGAATTCGGCTGCGCTGGTCCCAACTTTGCCGTAAACAATATCATCGTGTTGCGCCTGCACTTTGGAGAGTGTCTTTCCAACCAGGTGCTGCCGAATGAAATGCACAATGCGTGCCACTTCCGCAAGCTCAGGCATATTGACTTTGAGGAATATAAATGGATCAGGGGTACAAGCTTATAGACAATCAGATCAAGGTATATGCATCTGTCAAGGCCAAAGGCCGTCAGCTTGACACGAGAATCTCGGCGCGCGACACGAGATCACATGATCCAGTTTAATGGGCATTATTCAGCCCAAACTGCACTAGTCTGAATGTGGACGAGCATTCGCTCATCTGCGGCGAAGCTGGAGAATATCGCCTTCCTCACTGATCTTTCGAAATCTTCAAGGCCTGGCATATTTTTGGTTGTGTTGTATAAAATTTGTCTTGTGTATCACCGGACAACCTCCCTTCTCAGCCTGCCGTTCTAATTCTATTTCCCCACCGTTGGCACTACTCGACAGAGTATCCACCCAAGCTGGAGTGGTTCTGGGCTAGCAAGACGACTCGTGGTTCTGGGGAGGCAACCAGCAACAAGATGGCACCGGCCTCGTCTACGGAGGCTCCGGCGCTGACTCCTCAGTTCTGTTTCAACGAGAGGTTGCTCCGAGGTGCGTGGATCAGCCGTACTATGACAGCCCCTTCAGCTAATCCGAAAATCGACTCAGACTTCCTTCGCCTCTCCCGCTCTACTATTGATGACTCGATTACGCAGAATTTAAATGCACTAGTAACTCCCGCCCGTGGGGGATTCGACCCAGCTTCTACTGCCGTCCGACAAACCGACTCTCAAGCGCGAACAACGATCGATTCTACCGCCTGTCGGGGCTTCAAAAATAATGTGCTTTTCCCATCATGGCAGACTCGATCAGATGTATTGAATTACTGTGCCGGTGTTGCGACTAGCCCAGATCCTGAAGATCCGGATTTGATCCTGCGCGAGACTGAGTCCGCTCGGGATCGCGAGCGGGTTGTCAATGAGCGATTGGATCCATATTCGGCCCGTTTCTTCCCTCGAGAAGCACGAACCGAATCCCTGGCAACCCTGGTTCGGAACCAGCGCGCCGTGGAGGAGATCATCCGGGCGCGGACATGGGGCATGGTGACCGAGAGATGCGGTGGCTCTTTTTCTTCATGGGAGGATGCTCTCAATAGCTGGCGCAATACTCATCAACGATGAGGGTATCTTCGGGGAGGACAGCCCATAGCGGGTATGCGCGTATGCGCATGCATGCAAGGACTGGTTGCCAATCTGGCTCTTTCGGCCCTCGACTCTCCATCAACCCCCCCCCCTGAAGATTTTCAACCCCCAACTGTATATTACGGCATATATAAAGCGTTGTTTAATGACCATGATCACTTGGGAGGTGATACGTAATTTTTAGTTTCCGAATATAAGCCTTCAAATGTTTGTGCTATATGGGAGTGCGAATATATATTAGTGGCCATACCGGCGAAAGAGGATTTGGAGAGCCTCTTAAGGTTCCACAGAATGCCTTGTTCTGGGCAGTTTCACTGATTCCCTGGCATCCCAAACCATACCTGTGCATCAAAAGCCACTGGCATAGTTGAGAGGAAAGTGGAATATTTCCCACCGTTCCGCGTTGACGTCGGCGTCGGCGGGACTGTAGCGTCAGGGCTATCTTATCGGCCCAGTTGTTCTGCCAAGTTCGGACTCGGAGAAGTCGCTCCCCGCACACATCGATTCCTCCCTCGCACAAGTCAATCCTCCCCCCAGCAGCATCGCCCACCATGCCGCAACCATTGAACTCCAAGGACCAGGCCTTGTTCCGTCAGGTGGTTCGCAACTTTGAGCTGAAGCAATACAAGAAAGGTCCGCCCACTTGCCCCCTCCATGGCTCCGGCGTAAGCTAAATCGTTTTCATCGCAACAGGCATCAAAACGGCAGACCAGGTTCTTCGCAAGAACCCCAACCATGGCGATACACAGGCGATGAAGGCTCTGATCATGAGCCATCTGGGTCAGTTGGAGGAGGCTTTTGTGTTGGCCAAGGAGGCCCTGCGCAACGACATGAAATCGCACATCTGCTGGCACGTGTACGGGTTACTATATCGGCAGGAAAAGAACTATGAGGAGGCAATCAAGGCCTACCGCTTCGCCCTGCGACTTGAGCCCGAGTCTCAACCCATCCAACGTGATCTCGCTCTTCTCCAAGCGCAGATGCGGGATTTCCAGGGCTACATCCAGAGCCGCAGTGCCATGCTGCAGGCGCGTCCTGGCTTCCGCCAAAACTGGACTGCGCTGGCGATTGCCCACCACTTGTCGGGAGATCTGGAGGAGGCGGAGAAGGTTTTGACGACATATGAGGACACTCTGAAGGGTACACCAGCCGTCGCGGATATGGAACATTCTGAGGCCTGCTTGTACAAGAACATGATCATTGCCGAGACAGGGAACTTGGAAAGAGCTCTTGAGCACTTGGAAAAGGTCGGTTATCGTTGTACCGATGTGCTTGCCGTCATGGAAATGAAGGCGGACTATCTACTCCGACTTGGTCGCAAGTCCGAGGCGGAAGAGGCTTATGCCGCCCTTCTGGATCGCAATCCGGAGAACTCGGTCTATTACAATGGCTTGATCCAGGCCAAGGGGATCCCGGAGGGTGACCACAAGGCGTTGAAGGCCCTGTACGATGATTGGGTGGAGAAGAACCCGCGCGGCGATGCGGCACGTCGTATTCCTCTCGATTTCCTGGAGGGAGATGACTTCAAGCAGGCCGCCGATGCTTACTTGCAGCGCATGCTCAAGAAGGGTGTTCCTTCTCTGTTCGCGAATATTAAGCTTTTGTATAGCAACCCCACCAAGCGGGACGCAGTACAGACACTGGTGGAAGGATACGTCTCTGGCAAGTCGGGTTCGCAGCAAAACGGTTCTGCCGAGGGCAAGGATGAATTCCTGGCTTCATCGTACTACTTCTTGGCCCAACACTACAACTACCATCTCAGCCGCAACCTCCCCAAGGCCATGGAGAATGTTGACAAGGCCATTGAACTGTCACCCAAGACAGTTGAATACCAGATGACCAAGGCCCGTGTGTGGAAGCATTACGGTAACTCTGTGAAGGCAGCGGAAGAGATGGAGAAGGCACGCCTACTGGATGAGAAGGATCGGTACATCAACTCCAAAGCCGCCAAGTACCAGCTCCGCAACAACGAGAACGACAAGGCACTGGAGAACATGAGCAAGTTCACTCGCAACGAGACTGTGGGAGGTGCCATGGGCGACCTTCACGAGATGCAGTGCACATGGTATCTGACTGAAGATGGTGAGGCATATCTGCGACAGAAAAAGCTGGGCCTTGCACTCAAGCGCTTTCACGGGGTCTACAACATCTTTGATACATGGCAAGAGGATCAGTTCGACTTTCATAGCTTCTCCCTTAGGAAAGGTATGATTCGGGCATACGTCGACATGGTCCGCTGGGAAGACCGCCTGCGCGAGCACCCCTTCTATACCCGGGTGGCTCTCTCCGCAATTAAAGCCTACCTGCTCCTTAACGACCAGCCGGATCTGGCCCACGGCCCCACTGGCCTCGGGGTCAATGGTGACGCTCAAGATGATGCCGAGCGCAAGAAGGCCCTCAAGAAGGCCAAGAAGGAGCAGCAGCGCCTGGAGAAGATCGAGGCCGATAAGCGCGAAGCCCGAAAAGCGGCTGCTGCAAATGCTAAGACTGTTGATGGAGAGGTCAAGAAGGAGGATACTGACCCCCTTGGCAATGATCTGGTCCAGACCAAGGATCCTTTGAATGATGCGATGAAGTTTTTGACCCCGCTGCTTGCCCTCAATTCACAGAATGTCGAGGCTCAGTGCCTTGGCTTTGAGGTCTACATTAGGCGAAGTAAGTTTTTTGTTAAGGGACTTGTAAATCATTCTCACTGACTTGGAATCCCGCGACAGACAAGCACCTGCTGGCCCTGAAATGTCTTTCCGCCGCATATGCCATTGACCCCTCCAACCCCACCCTCCACCTCCAGCTCCTTCGATTCCGCAAGACCCTCGACAATCTTCCCGAGCCTCTTCCCGCTCCGTCTGCCGAAGTTGTCAAAGCAGAATTTGAGAAGCTGCTCCCCAAGTCTCAGAAGCTTGAGGAGTGGAACGAGTCCTTCCATACTACCAACAAGGACAGTGTTGCCCATGTGCAAGCCGCTCTTTCTGCTCGTCAGCTCCTGAACCCCGACTCCAAGTCTCAGTGCGAGAAGGACCTCCTTGCCACTCTCGACTCGCCCCAGATCACCATGGATGAGGCCGCCATTGCCATCGATCTGCTGAACAAGTGGGGCAGCGATAACACCGCCTACCTGCAGAAGGCAAACCAGAAGTGGCCAGAGTCTTCCGTGTTCCAGCTGAACTAAGGGGATAGAATAATTGAAGAAACTTCTTCTTGCTACCAAGTCCCCAACCGGTGATCAGAATTGAAAGCCCGGCAGTCTCAACGCCTCGGCTGCTTTTGCTGCCCATGACTACCAACTCATGGAAATTCACCGGATTTTCGGCAGAGACCATGTGGGAGAAAAGAAAATAGAGACAGTCCGGGGAAGAATTATACCGTTTGACGTCTGCTGTCAGCCAATCTTTAACTCCAAAAATATACAGATCAGATTACATCCAATGTACAAGTACTCATTTCAAAATTTCTTAGTACCTAAGCACTCAAGCGTAGGCAAACATTGAAATTATCACCTTCTATACACTTATTTGTTATTCTGCGCTAGCCAAACTGTAGGAGTTGTTGAGATTGAAGTGTCGCCATATACATTCCATTAAAAAAAACACAGGTAGCGCCTCTAACACTAATATACAAGCCGAGGAGGGAGGTCGATATGCAGATTGGGCAAACATGATAGGCCCCACGCCTGGGGAATAAAACACACAACCTTCTATGATATGACAGTTGCTTTTGGTACGGAATGCAGTGCCTTACGCACCATCCTCGCCATCTATATTGCCAAGGATAGGCTTCTTCTTCAGAGTCTCCTCGTCCTCACCGTATCCGTGACGGATCCACATGCGCTTCCAGAAAGCAACGGGATGCGGCCGCTCTTGGCCGAGGATATACTCCTCTTGCGAAGCAATACGCTGGACGCGGGCCTCGTCTTCTGGAGAGAGGATAGCACGCTGCATACGCGAGGCAATGCGGGGATCAAGCACGGTGTCGTCCAACCACTCGCGTTCCTTGTTATCTTCCTCGTCGCGCGTACGCACAGACTTGTGCCACGACTTCTCTTCGACTTCGAGAGCAGTTTGCTGCTCAAAGTTACCGCGTGCAAGGTCGGCGAAGGAGCTGTCAGGCGACGGCGTTGAGTCGACGCTTGCGCCGCTCAATTCGGAATCGGAGCTGAAGGACTCGTCGTGGTACGGTCTGGAGTTGGCGGCAAGGACAAGTCCTGCGACTTCGCGGCCGATGTTCTCGGCAAGGTGCCGTTGATTGAGATAGCGGTAGAGGCGGATCGGGGTGTTCAGGAAGCCGAGAATGTGAGGGAATTCGATAGGCACGGAGTTGTCGAAGGACTGAGGCAGAGAGGAGAGGGAGGCTGGCGGAGGGATATTCGGTGGGAAATATGTAGGCATTGGCTGGACCGGCTGGCTTCGAAGGCTGCTCCTCCTTCTTCTCATCCTTCTTCTCCTCCTTCTCCTCCTTCTCGCTGCCCGTCGTCTGCTCAGAGCTAACCTGACTGCCGTCCGCGCCGGAGGGCTGGGGTTGGGGCTGGTCGCCGTCTGCGGTATCCTTCATTGTCTCCTCCACAGGTAGGACATCCGCAGGGGGCGGAGATGGAGGATCCAATGGTCCAAGCCAGCCCTCATGCAAGCCTCGAACGTACTCCTTCCAGGTATGCCGGCCGATCACCAGGTCACCCTTGGGACCGGGCTCGTCTTGAATACCGATGCGCTGTCGCATCTCCAAAACAGCTGACTCAACACTAGGCTCTTCGACGACGGAAGACTGCTCACCAGCCTTTCGCCTCGACTTCCGGATGATCTCCGCCGTGCTAGCCCGCACGTCACCTTCACGTCGCCCTTCAACCACCGTGTAGTCCAACGCCGCGGCGGTCAGGATGGGCTTGACATATTCCTTGAAATGCTCCCTTGCCACGCGAAGACCATCGCCAGGCGGCGCAGCCAGGTAGACGGTCAATTTGCGGCGCATTTGCTCCACAGCCAGTGGCTCGTTTGCGATATGAGCCACGAGCTCACACCATTTCTGTTGGGAGCGGCGCTTCTCCCGGCGGTCGTAGATTATGGCACCAGCGAAGGATCCGGTAATGGTGAAGAAGATTAACCAGTTACGAGACGGCAGCTTGAAGCGGAGATTCGGCAGACCTGGTGCATTGCATCGCATTAGTATATCTGAGGGTTGTGCCAATCACGGAGATGGGGGTCAGAGAGGCATACCCATCATTTTGAACACCGGGTTGGGTGGCTTCGGGGCCTTGGGCTGGCCAGTGCCAGCGGCGGTGCCAGTACTGGGTGATTCCGCCATTTGACTTGAGATGGCAGCAGCAAGCAGCGCGGTTATCGGCGTGAATCTCGTGAATCTGGAAAAAAGTCGCCCGAGCACCGGCGCCAGGATGATCCGCGTCACGTGCTTGGGAGTATAACTCGGCGTTTGCTTTGCGGACGATTTCGTCTGGACTTTATAGCATTGGGAAGATTGGAGAGAGTATATCTGATATATTCCTGGCGAGTCTCCTTTCTGATGTGATAGACCGTATACATCTGGATACTTTGAGGACCGAGAGCGCCCGACATTTGTGCCCAGCTCCTCTGCTTGGGGCAGAGCAGGCGCCTCATGGGAAATGCGGCGAAGCCCTGGGAGTTTTGTTGCGCTAAAATTCTTGTTGAACCCAAACTGGAATGCGCTCCCCGAAGACCGGCAACTGCCATACCCCTCCCCCTGGCTTTCACGATCGCAGAGGGACGAGGGAGGTGTGCAATGGTTTCGGACCAGTCGAGATCCACGGCCTGAGATATCACACATTGTCCACCATTACAGAAGAGCGGCCGCCCTACCCTCCTTTGAATATAGCCCGCAGAATAGTTTCGTGAAATCTAGTAGCACGAACAATGCGAACAGGTAACTGTCATCCCTTGTACTTCCGTCCAGTAAATAGGCCTGAAACCGATAGACGCCCCTAGGGCATTCGGGGGAGTGGATTGCCTCCTGAGAGCCACCGCTCCTTTCAACCACCTCCCCGCCTTCTCCTTTCCCATCCACTTCTTTCCTCCCCACCACCACCCCCCCCCCCTTTCGTTTGAATCCTCCTCGTTCATCAGGGAGCCGGGGCCGTCAAGATGGATCCCAACAGCAACAACAACAACAACCGCATGAACATGAATTACGGGTACAATGACCGCAACTACAACGCGGCCAACAACCGCGCCTATCCCACCACCCCCTCCGCTTTTCCTCAGCCGATCTATCAGACCCAGGGAGCTCAGGACTACGTTGACCCCTCCAACCCGGCCTATGCCCCTGGGTATTTCGTGGCCAGCCCCTACGCCCCGCAGGCCCAGTATGCCCAGCAGCAGCAGCAACAGCAATACGCACAGCAGCAGGCCCTGCAATCGCCTCAGCCCGCCTACCAGACCCGCATGGGCTATGCCAACGATGGCACCACCGGCCTGATCCAGCAGTTCTCCAATCAAGACCTCAACGCCAACCGCGGGGGCTTCTTCAACCGGGCGCCATCCCCCGCTTCTCGCCCTCGCACTGCTGGTGGTGCTCCCGCTCAGGGCCAGTCGCAGGCCGCGCACTTGGCCCCTCCGGTCCCTCGCAGCCCTCGCCCGCCGGCGGAGAATGAGGAGTTGCAACGAATCCCTGATCGTTACTCGGAGAATGTGCACAAGCGGGGTAAGGCCGCAAAGGAGTTGGTGACGGTCTTCTTTCATGAGAACATTGAACGGGCCCGGGATCGCAACATGCGGTAAGTGCTGCCTCTTCACACAACCGACATATATTTGAGCCGTATCTAATCCTGGTGTTTCTCGATCTGGCAGTTCCGTGGATCTCGACAAGACCCTACAAGACTCGAATGTCCCTGCCACCAAGAAGCGCCACGAGGCTGAAGGCATCTCGAAGAGTGAATCAGACTTCCTTCGGTTCCTCCGCACCAAGGAGACCCCGCAGAACTTCCAGACCATCAAGATTATTGGCAAGGGTGCTTTCGGTGAAGTGAAACTGGTGCAGCGCAAGACGGACGGCAAGATCTATGCCCTCAAGTCGCTAATCAAGACCGAGATGTTCAAGAAGGACCAGCTGGCACACGTCCGTGCCGAGCGTGATATTCTGGCGGACTCGAAGGACAACCCATGGCTGGTGAAGCTGCACGCCTCGTTCCAGGATTCGGCGTACCTTTATTTGCTCATGGAGTTCTTGCCTGGTGGTGATCTGATGACTATGCTCATTAAGTATGAAATTTTCTCTGAAGACATTACTCGGTTCTATATGGCTGAGGTGGTGATGGCTATTGAGGCGGTCCACAAACTTGGCTTCCTTCATCGGTAAGTGACTTCTATCCCCGGACAACTTCTGTCACCATGTGATGCATCACATGAAATCAATATTAACGTATACCGACAGTGACATCAAACCGGACAACATTCTCCTTGATCGTGGCGGTCACGTTAAGCTTACTGATTTCGGTCTCTCAACCGGTGGTAAGAAGACCCACGACAACGCGTATTACCAGAACCTCCTCAAGAACTCCACGTCAAAGGACCGGAACCGTAATTCCGGCTACTTCAACGATGCCATCAACTTGACGGTCTCCAACCGTGGCCAGATCAACACCTGGCGAAAGTCTCGTCGTGCCATGGCGTACTCTACAGTCGGAACCCCAGACTATATCGCGCCTGAGATCTTTAATGGCCAAGGTTACACCTACCTGTGCGATTGGTGGTCGGTGGGTGCCATTATGTTCGAGTGTCTCGTTGGCTGGCCTCCATTCTGTGCCGAGGATACCACCGATACTTACCGTAAGATCGTGAATTGGCGCGAGTGCCTTTACTTCCCCGATGAGCTGGTTCTCTCTCGTGAATCTGAGTCATTGATCCGAAGGTAAGACCATTTTCCTCTTGATGACGTACAATGTTGACTCAGTATACAGCTTCCTGTGTGACCCCGAGCACCGAATTGGTAGTGAAGGTGGCCAACATGGTGGTGCAACCCAGATCAAGAACCACCCATTCTTCCGGGGCGTTGTGTGGGAGCAGCTGCGCAGCATTCGTGCACCGTTCGAGCCCAGACTTAGCTCGAACATTGACGTGTCGTACTTCCCGATCGATGAGATTCCTCAAGAGGATACTTCCGCCATTCATCGTGCTCAGGCTCGGGCCATGCCAGAGTCCCAGGAAGCCGAGATGAGCTTGCCCTTCATCGGCTACACCTACAAGGCCTTCAACGCTTTCCAGAGCAATTAAATGCGGCCGTAATTCTTCGAGAATTTCTAGCCGGGTGGTGCTCTACATGGATAGACCGAGAAGCAGCAGGGCTTGCACTCATGTTTTTCCCTAAAAAAGCCCTGGCCTGGCTGAGGCCTGGAATGTTCTCATTTCGCCACGAATCGTCATTCAGCATATCAGCGCGATGTTTTTCGAATCATGACCACCGAGCGCCGTCTTTTAGTTTCAGTTATCGATATCTCAAGCGTACTGGGCTACATTTGTTGTGATGCACACTCATGTTGTCATAAGGAATGAGGAATGGGGCTGGCCGAGGACCTGATATTTCTTGCATTTCAGGTCGTGATTTGCATCTTGATAGTTTCAGAACGGAAAAAAAAGATCCTCCTTGACGATATCCGTGGACATAGATAATGATGATCCCTATGGATTTGACCAAAGATTGCATCCTTCTAAACGACTTGCATGAAAACTCGAAGAATCACTGATACTATTGAACAGACATAACCGGCGATCAATTTCAATACAAATATACTGACAAAGGTAAACGTAGTTGTGGTGTAAAGCCAAGAAGGTCTCAATTCTATGAGAAAATACCAACGCTTGAGATTTGCAAGAAGAAAAAAATATGAACCAAGCCCCGAACGCCGAGCTCCAATCCCACCGTAGACCTCACCCTCTTTTGTCGCAGAATAAAACGGAAGCCGAATATCAGACAGCAAATGAAGGAGATCATGTCTGCATGGGTGCTAAGCCGGGCACACCACTGAATCGCTCCTCACGCTCAGTCTTGAACATGATCTGGACCCAGAACTCTTTACTATCCTCGTCAAACCATGTCCAATATCTCCCATCGCGGCGATCGACCTCCTTAGCCTGGAGCTTGAAGCTGCAAGTTTGATACGGCTCCGCCGCAACAACCAGGTACTGGAAGTTCTTATCCGGATCCTCAACCTTTTGTTCAAATGCTGACATAAACCGCACGCGCGGAACCACACCGGGCGTGATCTCCTGATACTGCAGTTGGAAGAGCAAGCCCATTTGTCGCGTCAACGGGTCCCGGATCTTGGTGATCTTGTATCCAGGGCGGCCGATCTTAATCGTCTGCTTCTTGACCTGCACGCCCATAGCACCTGGGAGCGAAGATGGGTCTTGGTTTTTGCCTTCGCGCTGTTCGCGGGCCGCGCGACGGGCGAGGTTCGTCTGGTGCTTTTTGCCCTGGGTGTGGGCCAGGTAGGAGCCGTCATTTTGGTGAACTGTGAGGCAAAGACGGCACTCAAAGCTGCCGACGTGGTTCTTGAAGAAATAAGGGTCTTTGTCGAGGTCGATCGATTCGAGCGCGAGCTTGCGCAGACGCTCGCGACGGTCAGCGTTGGTTGCGGAGTGGGAGGCGACGCCTCCACCGCCGAACTTGGACCCTGCGCGGTTCTAGGGTATGTTAGCATTGATCAGGATAGGAGAGATCTGGCCCTATTAGCAGAAATTAGGGCGCAGACGTACCTGATAATCCATCTTGTCGCTGTCGCTGAAGAGGTGGTAGAAGGCAAATCTGCGTGGCTGAGATAGACAGGGTTATGTAAGCATCGCGGGAGTCGCTGATTCCTGAGGTACACAGTCGATGTGGGAAATATCACCACGCCAAGTGTGAGCTGGACATTAGAAAATTAGCTCGCACGATGAGCGCCTCTCTAGTAGGCCAGCGCCGGTCTTATGGCGGCCAGCTATGCACCATTCGCTATGTGGGAACCGTCGATGGCACCTCGGGTGATTGGCTTGGTGTTGAATGGGATGACCCGACCAAAGGCAAGCATTCAGGAGAGCATAAGGGAGTCCGGTATTTCACATGTATGTTTAGCTCGAGTCTGATCTTTTTATAGTGGCAGCCACTGATGCAGTTCACAGGCAAAAGCAACCACCCCACGGCGGGGTCTTTCGTCCGCCCCTCCAGGCCAGCAGATCCGCCGCTCAGCTTCGTAGAAGCTTTGCGTGAGAAGTACGCATCTGAGTATGAGTCGGAGCTTGTGTGGACGTCCAAGACGACTGGAGCGGTTGCCCATCAGGTTATTGAGATCGGCGGCAAGGTCGTCGAGGAGGTGGGCTTCGACAAGATTCGCAAGCAACTTGCAAAGTTACAGGAGCTACGAATTGTCTTGCTCGATGGACTACGCATTGCTGGTGTGCTATCTTCTTATGAGCAGCCTGAAGCGCAAGTTCGCGAGGCTGCCTCCGAAATCGCAACGACTTGCCCACAGATTATTGAGCTGGATCTCAGCCGCAGTCTCGTAAACAGCTGGAGCCATGTTTGGGAGATTTGCAACCAGCTTCCCCTGCTGAAGAAGCTCAAAGTCAAGTAAGTCTGACGGCCATTCCTTGCCGCTATTTAGCGATATGACTAGGGATGGGATTGACTTGCGATGTAGTGGGAACCGATTCCGACCCCTGGAAGAAGGCTTGACCTTTGAAGGGGTCACGGAGCTACATCTAGAAGAAACCTTGCTGAGCTGGGACGAGGTACGTCCAACTACTGCGATATCAACCTGGTCTTGCTTAGTGCTGACGATTCATATAGATTGCCGAGGTGGCAGCTTGTTTCCCAACCCTAACCTCGCTCACAGCATCTGGCAACCAGCTCAGGACGATATCACGCCCCCTGTCTGGGGTCATCACGACGTTGATCCTTGAGAGTAATGAATTCACGTCCTTATCCGCTTTACGCCCGTTAGCAGAGATGCGGACCCTCGAACACCTCTCTGTACGGTGGAACAATGTCGCCGCCATCTCCGATAACCCGAAGAATACAACTCTCGACTTCCAATTCCCAACTACGCTCCGTTCTGTTGACCTCTCACGTAACGACATCTCATCATGGACATTCCTCAACCACCTGCCTACCCTCTTTCCAAGTTTGACGACCCTTCGCATTTCCGGAAACCCACTCTATGACCAGCCTCCCCTGCCGCCAGCCATAGCAGCTGCTACTGGGACGATGAGCGCCTCCAAGCCCATGACAGTGGATGAATCTTTCATGCTCACACTATCTCGCTTCCCTCCTTCCCTCCGAACCCTTAATTTCAGCACCATCTCGCTACAGGACCGTTCCAATGCAGAGATGTACTACCTTTCCCTCATCGGCAAGACACTCTCTGCCACCTCTGAAGCCGAAGAACCCGCAATTCTTGCCGAACACCCTCGCTATAGCGAGCTATGTGAGCTTTATGGAGAACCAACCGTGACAAGAGCGGTCGAGGGTGACGGCTCTGGCAGGAGAGGAATCCACCCCCGGTCCGTAGCAGCACGACTGGTCAAGATGGCATTTCGTCTGTCCCAATCGCAAGTCTGCGTCAAAGAAATCCCAGCCTCTTTCGATTCATATCAAGTGAAAGCCCTCGTTTCCCGGCTCTTTGATCTTCCTCCATACAAGTTCAAGCTAGTCTGGGAAACAGATGAATGGGATCCGGTAGAACAGCAGGCTGGGGATGATGGGGCACCGGATTGGGATGAAGACAGCGATGACGAAATGCAGGCTCCGGCGCCTGCACCTTCAGCGGATACAAGCCGGTTCATGCGGCGAGAGATTGAGCTGGTCGATTCGACGCGGGATATAGGGTTCTTGTTCCAGGGTGAGACGGGTGAGATGAAGATTCGGGTGGAAGTACCTCATGTATAGTCCTGAGTGGTTTCACCCCATGTCTACGATATCTACGTGCATTGCATCAAACGGCTACTTGTACAATTCCTATCGAAGCTTGTGTAATGTTCTTGTTTTCGAATATTGACTGATCAACGTAACCTTATCCAACTACTAGTTGGATTTCGCAGGGTATGAAACTCCCGTAGGAAGAATAAGCGAGTTATGCACAGAAAAGAAATCATTCGGGGGGAAGAAAAGGCCAGAAAACGCCGATGTGCTTTACTCGCTCGCTGCCCAGTCCCCTGAAACCCGATGGAAAAAGAAAATGAGAAACATGAGGTCAATACATCCGAAAAATCGCAACGCCGAGCCATGATGCTTTTTCGAAACACACAATCGCTGTGCATTCGCAAACATGAGAGTAAAAATAACCGCCTTGATCAGGGCAGGTCAGTGAAAAGAGACGAGACAGAAGGATATGAAGCATCGTCCAAAGCATTGAGGGAGGCTGGTTACCCACGGGCAACCCACCACGAGCGAACTGCCATGCAGCAAACCCGCTTGTAAATTTGCGTGGTGCCCTTGCCCTCGGCTTCTTCTTCGATGAACTTCTGCGCGACGAACAGCTTGGTGCCGGACTCTTTCTCCGCGGTGTATCCAACCTTAGGCAGGCTGTTGGGGAAGTCGGCCCAACGCTGCCCAAGGTGCCGCGCAATGGCGATGGAGTAGATGATGTCGCGGTTTTCATAGGTATCCAGCAAATGGCGACACCGCCCCAGGGTATCGTCAATCTGCTTGGCCGAGCTAGCTTCATTATCGTGAAGCGTCAGGAACTCGCCAAGTTCGCTCCAGAAATCTAATTGCCGCTGCATGAACTGATCTGGCTGGTTGGGTGGGGTTGCCGCGTCCATTCCTAGCGCTCGTGACAAGGAGTTCTGATCAAGGTGGGTCCAGGTGAGAAGGGCCTCCATCGCGTTGAGACGAGTGTTTGCTACAAGCAGGTTCCAGTCTTGTCCATATTGCCCGTTCTCTGCGTTCGGTACTTGGCGACAAAGAGTCATGCTTCTCCAAATTATCGAAGCCTCGAAACTCTCCAGACGGGCAACTGTGTTACCGTCATTAAGGTTCCAATCGTTGAACGCATTAATCAACGCCGAGTAGTCCGCCATGAGCTGCGCATCCGCCATGAGAGTCGAGAGCGCCTTCTCCGAATACCACCGAACCTCTAACAGCTTATCAATTGCAGGGGCGTACGTGGCCAGGAACACCGCTTGAATCTCTTCGAGGCGACCAGGGGGAAGGGAGGCGATGGGATGAGGAGCTGGTGGAGCGATGCCTCGCAAAGCGATCAGGTCATTGACATGGAGGTTCTTGGCTGCTGTTCGGAGAATCATTATCAGCGCCTGTTCTGAACTGGGATCCTAGAAGGGAAAGGGGAGAAGGGATAGACGAAGTGAGGCAAGACGGTTCCACGCACCTTTGTATATCGGCTCCGAGCTCTGGGGCCGTACTTCGTTAGCAGTCTGCATGATTGGAGTATTCGGTGCGTTGGTGGTTCCGAGAGAATGATCAAGACTCGCTCCGTTGTCTGGGTGGTCGGTTGAGTTGCTGGGAGACTCAGAGTGGAGAGACGGCGCGAAAGGTTGCGAGGAAGCGGGCATATACCCAGGGGGCGCAGAAGGATAAGAAGGCACCGATGACGCAGGAGGGCCTTGGGGGTTGACGACGAGGGACGGAGGAGGATTCGGAGCTGGCTGGATGGCCGACGGAGTGGATGCTTGAGGTCGAAACACCGGGTCGTAGCCTAAACACTCACGCTTGCTCTTCACACAATTTCTGCAGACCGGGTGTCCTTCGTCGCACTGCGCAAATTAGTGCATTGCCCAAGAACAAGAAGCGCAAAAAATGGGTGAGGTCGTGGGTTAAGCGGGAGATAAAATAAACGATGGCGGGGTCTGCGGCAACAAGCGAGGCCCGCGCCCCGCGAAGCGCAACGTGCAAAACTCAACGCAAGGATCAACGTACCTTGATTCGTCGCTTGCGACATGTTAAACACCCAGTTTTTGTGCGTCGCTTAACTTCTTTCTTGTGTCGTCCACCTGAAAGGATCTTATTTGGGTCTCCGGGAAGTGGGTACCGCATCTGCTGATTCGAATTCATGCCCGAGGGCGAAACACTGGACGGATAGCCGGTCATGTACTGCCCCATAGACGCCATAGAAGGCATGTTAGACGGCATAGGGGACCCAATCGGCGCTTGGGGCATTTGTCCGGACTGTCCTGGGCCGTTGTTGCTGGGGTTTGCGTTCACACTCGAGAAGCCTCCGCCTGTGTTGTGGTACATGTCGGAGGTCTGCTGCTGGTAGTTCTGCTGCGGCTGAGACTGGAACTGATGTTGAGACGGAGCTGATGGCGGCTGTTGTCCATCAAGCTGTTGCGTGGGAACAGAGTTCTGAGTGTAGTGGTAGCTGCCATTAGACGGGGTCTGGTAATGAGTCGAGCCATTCACAGAGCCCTGGTGAATCGCATCGTGACCTGCACCTATCGTGTGCTCAGACCCCTCGTGCGGATCGTGGTGTCCGAAATGGCTATCGTCACCAAAGTGGTCCATGGTAGGAATATCAGTCCCGATCGCTGGGAGTGATGAGTCCAGTGAGGGTAGGGTTGTGTCAATTGCTGGGAGCGAAAGATCGGGCGCCGCAGAAGATCCCACAGAACGCAGGGCAGTGTCAAATGAAGGCATGTCTGTGTCATCCAGGGAGTGAGATGAACCAATGGATGGGAGGGATGTATCCATTGCCGGAAGCGAAGATATCACAGAGGACGTGGTGACATTTGGGGCAGGTGTCTCCTCTACAGAGGTGCCGGTGATTCCTTGCTGATTTGTATCCGTAGCCAGCGGCGACGGCGGTTCTGGCGGTGATAGCGATGGCTCTAGTGAAGGCTCAGCTGTCGACGTCGGAGCCTGGGTGGGCTCGGGCTGAGGCGGGCTGGTTTCTTCTGAAGGTTGCACATTCGACACAGGCGGCTCACTCGTCGCTGGAGCCGGCGCATTCGGTTCAGTTGGCAGGTTGGCCGATTCGCCAGGATTGGTTTCTGTTGGGTCTGCCATGTCTAATCGCCGAGCCCTCCAGGCGATATGTCGGGTTCGATCAGTACGTAGAAGCCGAGGGTGGGTGTCCGCAGTCCTGTTCAAGAATCACGGCGGCAGGAGGATCTTCGAGGTCAAAGGCTGTGCAGCTTGTGGCTGAGTGAAGGCACAACACCAGATTGATCGGGTTGGGATGCGTAAATCATTTATCACCTTTGGTCTGTTAAGAGCGCAATCTGTTAGCTAAGGTTCCCCTCCATCTCAAAGCACCAGCCCAGTCGCGCCCAGATTTCCACTGGGGAGTATTTCAAAGTGCAAAACAAACTCAATCTTCCCGGCAGCACTGGAGTTGACATAAGGCAATGGTTTCCACTGGAAGAGCTGATCCCGTCTCAGCCCGTTTGGCCGCTGACAGGTTACGGTGCAAGCCGCTCAACCAGTGGACAAGGCCAGAGCCTGCGACGCGAGCTCGAGCGCGCCCGAATCCTCGTGCAAGTGGGGGGTTTGACGAGAATTGGTATCTGCATAAGCCGCTCCCAGGTTCCATTTTGCATGTATCGGCCGATCACGGTCTGTGTCGCATTCTCTGTGCTGATAGCCCCGAGGACTCCTTCCCCGCCCGCGGTCTCAGGCCCTCATGGGTAGTATTCCGTGTCGCGACGACAGTGACGAAGACATCGGGAGCCCTTTTGCGGTATGCACTCGATTGTGAAGGCGCTGGGGAGGGGAATCCGGGGCTCTTTGCGGGTGCGAGAAGAGAAATGCGCCTCGACAGGACACGGCGGGCTGAATGGGCTGGAGAACTCGCGATTGCATCAAATAGGACGTACTAACCGGGTAAAGACACCTTGTGTCGGTACATATAGGGGAAAGGCGCGAGTCGCTGGGAAACTCGGCGTGTCTGTGGTTTGGTGGCAGTCGGAGAGAGATGCGCGAAGTTGGAGCGAACCAAGGAGCTTTCTTTTCCGGCGATCCAAGTCTCCGCTTCGACGCCGAAAAAAATTGGAGTGGCAACTCTATACCCCAGGTCTACCCTTTCCTCGTCTCTAGGGCTACACATTTATGAACTACATGTATATGAAATTCAATGAAAAGTAAAATTGAAAAAAAGGGAATATCTCCACATTGAGTTTCCTAGGCTGCGCAGCAGCTCTAGCATTCGGGCAATATTGTGCCTGCAAGATTCAGTGGAGCAGAGACATCTATGATCTCGCCGTGTCAATCCTAGCGGTGTCACACGCGTCTAAATCTGCATGGAAGAATCCAGGTTAAGGATTCTGATGTGTCTGGTGAACAGACAAATATTGCTGGATAACAGGTCGGTAACGCCGAGAAGCCGATGTATCATGGTAATCAATCATGAGCGCGGCTCTCGGGGGTGTACGAGCAGCTTGACCTAAAAGAGAAATTGGCTGGTACCGTTCTTGAAGATCATTTGGGGCAGCAACACTGGGAGGTTGCCTGCAGTGAGTCCTCTGCCTGTGAAAGGAAGACGGAAGACAAGCACTGGGAGCAGCGTATCGAGCATGGTCATCACACTGTAAAATTACAGCAGCCAGGCATGTTCTTGATCTGTAGGGCTCAGTTGTTCATATAGAAGCTGCGGCAGCGGCTTTTTCTGAGAATGATCGGACGTTTTTTGCTTGGTCCAGTTCATTTCCTCATGACCTTCGCCTTGCGCTTCTTAAAAATAGGCCCAGGGGCTTCTTCACTCGGCTTCTCGTCGGTCACTGTGGCGGGTGTATTGCCAATTTCTTCTGCCTTGACTTGAGCTAGGCTGTCCGTCTCCAGGGTCTTGGAATCGAGAGCTTCATCCTCCTTCTTCATGGATAGAGCAAGGTCCCACTTCTGTTCTTCAGATTTTAGCTCCTCTGATTCATCGTCCGCAACGGGGACCTTGGACCTCTTCAGGTCCTTAGTGGATGCAAATAGAGCATCCAGATCCTCGTCGTCGCCATCCTGGGCACCGGGGTAGGACCTCATCCTCGAGCCCCACCCTTTGCTCACAAGTTGCTCGGACGGATTCCCACCCTCCTCCTCTTCATCTTCCTCACCATCATGTTTGCGCTTGCGCACTCCGATGGACTTTGCAGCGCCTTCTAGTCCCGCCTGCGGGTCGATCTGGGTCTCCGAGAGCGTCTGCCATTCACCAGCCAGAGCCATGTCTCTGCGATACTCCTCTGGAATCGCCACACCCATTTCAGCCAATTGTGCCATCTGCTTCTTTCTTTCCTCTACACCGACCGGTCGTTCAGCGGGCATGGGTGCTGGCGCGGCGGTCTTCTTCCAAGGCGCAGAGGCGTTCCCGGTCTTGGAGGACCCGCCCGCCACGGCCTGTCGCAATCGTTCGACCTCACTCTTCGCTCGCTGTGACTCCCTTTCTTGTTGCTCATTGTTTCTGTGGATCTCACGGAGGAAGCGCCTGAGACTATTTTGGTGTTTTGGACTGGCTTCGTGCTGGGTCTTTTCGAAGGGTGTGTCGCGGATGAAGACCTTGCATTGTTTGCACCAGAAGCGAGGCTATAGGATAGAGACAATGTTAGAAAAGTCCGAGCCAGAAGGGACTGTAGGATAACTCACTGCGGACTTCCAGTACTCGGCCATGGTGGAGTTGTTGTGTTGAGTTGAAGCTCACGCTGAAGCTGAGCAGAACGGTTGATAAGATGGCCGCGATCGGGCTAGTCCCAAAGCAGAAGGCCGCAGGTGGAACTTACCACCACCCTTTTTGTAAGTCGTGCTGGACTTGATGTTTCTTTCTCTCCCGGGAGAAAAAATCAAATTCTCGAATTCAAAGTGGGCTCGAGTTTGTGTAAATTATATCATTGTCTATATAAGGCTAAAAGTATACTGACCGATATATTGGGCCAAATCTATGAAGGGAAAGATCTATGGACATGTACGACAGGTATCGAGCACCAGAGCTCCGATTTAGACAAGATCATTACAGATCAACCTGCTCCGCAACAGGACTCTTCAACTTGCCAGTGGTGAGAGCCAGGCTGATGTTCTCAATAGCCCACGCTTCCATCGCAGTAATAGTCTAGGATTCTGTTAGTCTCGCAACCTCGATACTTAGGGCATCTCCACAACTCACCTCGACGGTCCACGTGCCCATGTGTGGCACAAGAATAACATTCTGGTTGCGCAACAGTCCAGGATGGACCTTAGGCTCTTCCTCAAAGACATCAAGACCAGCGGAGAATACCTTGCCGCTGTCCAAAGCGTCCACCAGGGCTGCTTCGTCCATGACGGCACCCCGCGCGGTGTTGACCACAACCACTCCATCCTTCATCTTCGCAAACTCCGCCTTGCTGATAATATGACGGGTCTTTTTCTGCGCAAAGTCAGCATACAGAGATCTCGTACAACAAATCCCATCCACGTATTCTACTTACGTTCAATGGCAGGTTCAGGCTGAGCACATCGCTGGTCGACAAAAGCTCGTCGAAGGTCACGTACTGAGCTCCTCCGGATAGCTCTTCATCGAGTTGGCGACGGTTATGGTAGATAACCTTCATTCCAAAAGCCTCGGCCTTCTTCTTTAGGTTCCGCCCGATACCTCCCATTCCAAGGATTCCCAAAGTCTTGCCCTGAGGGTCGTGGCCGAGCGCTGGGCGTTCCTGGCCGAGCCAGTTGCCTTGACGAAGAGTGTGCATGCCAGTGTTGAAGTTTCGGAGCGCACCGAGGATTAGGAACATGTTCACATCTGCAGTAGCGTTGTCCACAACCGTGGGCACGTTTGAGACCCGGAGCGGAGGGTGACGGGCACTGCATGCGTGGACATCCACCTGGTCATAGCCAGCTCCTGATTTGGCGGTGATTGAAGTCAGCAACTGGCAACATCTTGGGATGAAATTATGTCGGGGCGTACCGCAGTGAGCAATATATTCCAATGACTTCGGCAGCGTGTTCACCAACTCCTCGTCCACTAGCCCGGTGATGCTAATAGAGGAGAATGTCCGATAGGCTGCCACAACCCCGTCAAGCTTTCCATCCCGGCATTCTTGAAGAAATTCTTCGCGATTGGTTGCGGTTGGTATCACAACTTCGGCAATTTCACCTAGCGTATTCCAAGCCTCATGCGCGCTATGCTCCAACCTATTAGTGCTCGATCAAGAATAAGCTTATTCACTGGATGAACCGACTAGCCAATATTTCCAAGAAGAAGAACCTTGGGTTTAGCGGCGTGAGAGCCCATACTGATGAAATGATGCTGCTGTGATCTGCACGGCAAGCCGTTAGTTCCCTGTCTTTCCAAACGACCTTTTAAGGTACGAAATCAGCGCAAGCATCTGCGGATACTCCGCAAAGCAAGAAAATGACAGTTTTTATCCCAGAACTCTTCCCCAACTGGAGGGACGCGCAATTGGGATCGTTGGAGGCCTTTAAAAGGAGCCCGCGGGGTGTCATCGGAAGGCGCGCAAACTTACAGATAAGGGCGAGGGGCTGGCCGGGGGCGTCTGATAGCGAGTCCAATTGATTTGGAAGATTCGGCGTAGCTTAGAGAGGGGATTCTAGGACAGGAGGGCCTGAGTATAGCGAAGGAAATATGAAAAGAAGATGATGAGCATTGGCGACCGCAAGAGTCATGAAAGATACGAGACATCGGCCGAGAAGAGAGGGCCCCACGGGAGACCTGGGTTTATCTCGGCGAGTTCTCCGCAGTCGCGAGATGCCGCCATTAGACGTTATCTTTACGAATATGATCCTGACTCTGAGTCGGTCCTATTAATCAGCAAAGCCTCACTGGCCTAGGCGGGTAGTGCAAGTCAGTATCTATCCCAAGTACCGATATTAAGCGTTCAAGTGTTCAAACGTGAGGTTAGATCTATACCGGGCTTCCGGACTTGGGACTTGGGGGAATCTGGGCCCCGGGGACCGAGTTATCAGGAAACGTGGAATATGCCTTACAATGGAATGCTTGAGGTTCAACTGCAAAGAGAATGTGCATCCGAGAAGCCTCGCGCTGGATTGATCCATAGCAGAGCCTTTTTGAGTGTTAACACGTAGGTTTTTGTTTTCAACAATCCTGTCCTATCCCTCGACCAGAATCCGCGTCCAGTCAAACTTCCTCCATCGCTTCTTGAACCCCTCGACCCTTGGATCACCACCCCGGTTCCAACGACCCTGGCGCTTTATAACGTCGGGAGCCACGTCGAGCATGCCGCCAATGACCTCGCGAGCGAATAGGTCTCCACGGGGCCAGCGGTGATCGTCTTCAACGATATGGCCTAGGCCCCCATCAAGCTCGAACCAGACATGGAAGTAGGGCATTTCCTTCACCAGAGTCCGGCGGAATGCAGACCTACCAAGCCCCTGCTTGGACTTGGCCAAGGTATCGATGAGCTTGCGGTGCTGTGACCATTCTGACTCGGCACTTAAAATCGCCTCCTTGAAGAACGCAGGCGAGGTCTCTCCAAGACTGTATGGTAGAGGGACGACTTCCATAGATGCATGACGCTTGCGTTGTGGCTGGGCCGCATTCTCGTAGAAGATAACATCCCGGCCTTGGTCGTGGTACATGCGTGTCAGGCTCTTCATGAAGTTACGGATCTCCTCCCATTCATCATCGTCACATTCCAGGAGATTGTTTCGATGCTGGATGGGCACGATAGTCGCTCCTCCTTCGCTAATTTCAGGCTCGGTGGGAAGGGTGAGATAGACTCTGGTTGCGAGGGAGACGATAGGCGCCACTGGAGGGGTGTTCGTATCTTCGTGATGGCAGAGTTGGCAGTTATCTAAAATGCGATTCATCTTGCGGAAGTCATTAATTGTAGCGCTCTTAATGTCGATTTCAGATCGGTGCACTCGTTTGGCCAGTTTGGAAGCCTGGTCGTCCATATACTCCAAGTCATTCTAGACGATTGTTAGGTTGCTGAGCCTAGCCCTGGAATAAAGGACGGAATCTTACCTCAAACTTCCCATCCCGCGCAATGCGCTCTGCTAGCCGCTGTCCTTCACCTCCCGCTTGGCCGCGGGTCTTGCGTTCCTCGCGAACCATGTCCTCAATGCTCATGTCTTCGTTGTCTTCCACTAGGCCTCTTTCACGGCCTCGCTTGGTATCAACCGGCTTGACCTCATTCCTTGAGCCGGCAAGCATGCGGTTCTGCTGGACACCAAGCACCACAACGTCCGCCTCCTTGCGATTTGACAGCGATGCAGCTGCGGCATTGTTGTATTGTTCTTCCAGCTCAGCCGCATTGGAAGCTTTTTTTAATTTTGCCTTCATCAGCTGAGCTTTGAGACGGTTCAATGCTGTCTGGTCAAGAGGTCTGGTCGTGTTCGATGGAGGGACTGTATCCATTCTCTTTCCCTGACCCTCCGCTTTGAGCTCCTCCGCAGGATCGCGAACATGCACGTGCGAGTCCCGGTGAGCTGCTTCTTGAAGCTTCCTCTCCTGGAATAGCTCTCCGCTTGGCTTGTCCTTGCCAACATAGGACTCGCCATACATCTTGCGACGGTCCATCTCGGTTTCTTCTTCTCGGGCGTCATCAAACGAGCGCAGATCACCAAACCGCTCTATGGCAACCTCTTCGACGCGTTTGCCACTCTCTTTAGCTTCTCTGTAGACGCCCTTGAGCTTGGTCATTCTCCACTGGGATCCTGAGTCCCCAAATGTGTAATCCACCTGATGCTGTGCAGGCAATTCATCGATATCATCAAGAGTCTTCCCTTCTTTAAGATCACGGAGGTGGCTGTTGAGCTCCTTGTCATGGATCTTGAGCTCATAATCCGCTTGGAGCATCTTTGGCTTCGTAGACTCTTCCAGGCGCTTAGGGTGCGGCCGATGAACATAGTCGATATCGAGGGCGGATGGTGCTTCCATCCAGGAGTCTCGCTTCAAAGGATTGGGCTCCTCCTGGACGACTGTCTTGGGTGCCACAGGTTCGATGTCTCTGTCGTCTTTGTGGCGGCGCTTATGTGAGTGCTCACGGTCGTCTCCATGGTCCGTCCCGTGGCGAGAACGCTTGTGTCTGTGGCTATCATCATCGCGGTGTCTGGAGTCGCGATCTCGTCTATTGTCACGCTCGCGAGATCGTGATGAATGCCGTCGGTGATGGTGGCTGGAATGACGGTGGTGACGGCCGGAATGATCTTTGCTCCGATCGCGGTCTGGATGGCGCCCCTTGTCGCTCTTCTCCTGACGTCGATCCTGGTCCTCCGCCAGCGACTTCTCGAAATCTTCCAAGGTCATCGTGTTTCTCCTTGAAGGTAGTTGCTCTGGAAGAGCGAGGAGCAAAAGGCTGGAGCGGAATGACGTTTGACGCGCGGGCGGTCCAGGCGCATTCGTCAGTTCCCCGCGACCAAAGAATTTCAGAAAAAAGAGCTCCCCGCGACTACACTTCTACAACCTCCCCGACGAGACCTCACTTTACCCAAATATTGATCGCGCTCATTGGAATCAAAGCTCAGATCATACTGAATTCTTGGTAACCTGAATACTGCTTCAACATGGCGTCTCCGGCGGTGTCCGTTGTCTGCGTGGGCATGGCAGGTAAGGATCAACTTTCTTCTCAAACCGCTTACCCTGGAATCAGAGATTTAACAGATATATTTTATAGGCTCTGGGAAGACGACTTTCATGCAAAGAATCAACTCTTATCTTCACTCGAAGAAAACTGTCCCCTATGTGATGAACCTTGACCCGGCGGTGCACTCGGTACCCTTCGACAGCAACATCGATATCCGGGATTCCATCAATTATAAAGAAGTGATGAAGCAGTATAATCTGGGTCCAAACGGCGGAATCCTGACATCTCTGAACCTGTTCGCCACCAAGGTCGATCAAATCATTTCTCTTCTCGAGAAGCGTACCGCCCCGAACCCCGACAATCCCTCCGCGAAGCCAATCGAGCACATCCTGGTCGATACCCCCGGTCAGATTGAGGTGTTCGTGTGGAGCGCATCGGGTAGCATTCTCCTGGAGACCCTGGCATCGTCGTTTCCGACTGTTATCGCATACGTCATTGACACTCCTCGTGCGAGCTCGACCAGCACGTTCATGAGCAACATGCTGTATGCATGCAGTATTCTTTACAAGACCAAGCTTCCGATGATTCTGGTCTTCAACAAGACAGATGTGAAGGATGCCGATTTCGCGAAGGAATGGATGACCGACTTCGACAAATTCCAACAGGCTCTGCGCCAGGAAGAGGAATCCGGGGCCTTCGGAACCGAGGGTGGCGTCGGCGGATTTGGCGCTGGAAGTGGATACATGGGATCGCTTCTGAACAGTATGAGTTTGATGCTTGAGGAGTTCTATCGACACTTGAGCGTCGTTGCCGTGAGCTCCATGACTGGTGATGGCGTTGACGAGTTCTTCGACGCCGTTGAGACGAAGCGTCAAGAATTTGAGCGTGATTATAAGCCCGAACTTGAGCGAAAGAAGCAGGAACGCGAAGAGAACAAGTCTTCTCAGCGGGAACTGGAGCTGGGCAAGCTTATGAAGGACATGAGTGTCTCTGGATCTGGTCGCAGAGAGCGAAAGGGTCCTGAGACCGGGCCAGAGACCGTCAGCGAGGCTGAAGATGAGGAGGAAGATGAGATCATCAAGAGAGGATTGGCTGATGGGGAAGACTTTAGCGATGAGGATTACGATTACGCCGGGCCCAGCGCAGGCGACGAACAAGGCCTCTCCGAACGATATAAGCAGGCTCTATCGGGTTCTCAGAGTGCCCCCTCGGACGCAGACAACAGCTTCACCAGGTACCTGCGTGCCAGCAACATTAATCAATGATTATGAGAATCCATGCGAGGAGTTGTTGTCTTGGGTTTCCATGGTTTCAAGGAGTTGGTGGTTATTGAATGCCAATTTTCTGCTGTCGCATTGAAAATCCACATATGTATTTTTCTCACCGGAGGATAGTTACAGGCTGTTGAAGTTTTGTATGTCTTCACCTCTATAGCTCTTAACTAGTCGATTTATCCTCTCCTAATCAAAAGTACGCTGCAAACGAGACAAATCCAATGACGTCACACGGTCCATAGCTTTAGCTTCCAGGCTGAAGCTTGAACATATTCTCACAACTCTCAAGCAAAACCACTATCACCATCTCGCCAAACTCAAAACTGCTAAGGTTCGGGACACTTTGACCGATGCGAAATGGATGTGAGTGAAAGAACCCAATGATCTACTCAGACGAGGCTCGCCTCGTGTCTGAGGCGAGACCATTTTGGCACAGCAGGCTGAAACTCAAAGTAAGGTCTTCCAGACCTATACCTACTCGACAGCGGCATGGCTTTCGCTGCAGAGTGTGCCATTAATGGTGGGCCCAAGCATGATAGTGGCCATGCTGCTGGACGAAACCCGACCAGCATCTTGTGCGTCACCCCGGCTCTTTATCCAAGGGTCTACTATGTTCCAGAGACTGTTCTAACCATGCTCGGTAGCTATTGAGATCTACTTCGCCCGGTGCCTTGGCTTTAGTCTGCTCACCATTGCCGTTTTGACCGTGATGTTGACTGGCTCAATCCCCTTAACATCTTCAATCTCAGAGCCTGTCACGACCGCGGACTCGGATCCAAAGGCACCCTATGCCCTGCCTACCCTCGTGGTGACCTCTCTATTCCATGCCATATCTGCCTTCTATGCATACACCTGGTATGTTACCCGAGGACAGGGGGTGTTCGCGGTCGCCGTTGGTGGAGGCTCCATCTTAGCATTCATCGGCCTGTGGTGCGTGCTCTTCGCGAGCAGCGGGGGCAAGATCAGTCGCAGAACAGGCGCTGACAAACGGACTACGGGGTTTCCTTTTGCTAACTCGGAGGCGGCTAAGAAGCATACGGGCAAGAAAATCCTCTGATTGTGATTTTTGTGGTTCACTTTTTTGATCAATTTTTTTTTTTCTTTCTTTTTTTAAAGTTGTCTCCAGGATCTGGGGTACATGAGACCGGGCATTTCACGTAGTGCAACTGTTCAGCGATTGTTGATTGACAGAAGCTCTTTTATTTCCCTCGTACATCTTAGGTCCAAAGCTTCTAGGGGGTAGGAGTGGAAGTCTTCCCCCCAAAGACTTTTTAAGCCGAAGGAACGGGCTATTGTCGCGTAGAATCAAGGCTCATGCCATGGCTGTGGGGAGAAATGCGGGTTCGTCCCCGCGGTCTAGTAATTAAGGTACAAACCGGGCAGTTTCCCTCGCCGCTTCAACCGCCGCTCCCCTTTCTTCTCCGCACCGCAAAGGCAGCGCACAGCTCCACTCCCAATGAATTCACAGCTGCAGCGGGTTTCCTCCGCTCGTATAGCTTCGTCCATCGGCGATGAAGCACTAGACCTGGCTCCTCAGCTCCGTCATGTCAACCCGGCGAACCCGTTCGCGACTTTCCGGCCCATTGAAGATATCCCTCCACCTCCTCCACCTCTCCAACCGCCGCAGGAACCTCTCCAGCAGTCGCAACAACCTATACCAATTCCGCGGCAGCATAGTACACCACCACAACCTCAGCTGCATCATCCACAACAACCTCCCCGGCCGCAGAGACCTATCCAACCACCGCAACAACCTCGCCCGCACGCGCAACAAGCTATACCACTGCTCCCTCAGCTTATCACACCACCACAGCATCATGTGCAAGATCCCCAACAACCTCGCCCATCGCGGAGGCCGATACAGCCACCGCTACATGCTTTCGAAGACGTGGCACGGTTCGGTAACGCCCCGGAGCAACCCCCTGTGGTAGATCTTGCCAACAATGCGCCGGCACCACCAAATGCTGACTTGGCCCTACTACTGCCGGCGCCATTATATCAGTCTTTCCCGCAGCATGATTATGCCGCGCTGGTAGCTGATGCACCGGACATGACGAGCTTTGTGGACGTTGTTCCTGGACAGCTGCAAGGCTTGAAGCTTATCCCAGATCCGCCTGACTTGGACTTGTGGAGAAACATATTGTTCTATGTAGACGAGATGATTACATTGAGCGAAGAACAGTATGTGATGTTTCTTCCTCGATCGAAACAATTGACTACTGACAAGTATGTAACCCCTAGATTTCAGATCTACTTCCCCCACATCGATAATGTTTACTCCCACCGCTCGACTCAGCGATACAAGCGCAACACATTCGCCTCCCACTATTGGGATTGTCGACTGAAAGGCCGACCGTCTGGGACACCCAAGTCTGATGATCCGAACAAGAAAAAGCGAAAGCGCAGAGCACGGGCAAAAGACCTCTGCGATGTCAAGATCAAGATCACCGAATATTTTCCTAGTAGCGGGGTATTAGATGATGTGCCCATACCGGGGGAGATGTTGCCCGAAATGCACTCTATGTTCCCACTTCAGGGTAGTAACGCGTTCAGTGTACTTTCCTCCCCTGGCCCTCGTCTTCCGGAAGACCATCCCGGATCAAGCGGCAGGAGATATTTCACCATCCAACGGGTGAATGGCACTGGCACCCACGGTCACGGACCGGGGTGTGGCCATAAACACTCCCTAGAGGAGAGTGATCAAGTCAAGAAAAATAGTGTTCAACGCATCCTTGTTAAGGAGGATAAGGAGCGAAGAAAGAAATCTGTATGTTTCTCCCTCTCCTTGCGCGATGTACGCGACTATGGAAGAACTCGGAATAGGCTTGGCGCCTTCCCGCAGAACTTTGGCTACGTCACAGTCCACATCTACTTCCACTAGCCGGTTACACTTCTTTGGTTCGACAAAGAGTTATTTGGACGGTTTTCGTCTTAAATCCTTTCTCTCATTTCATTTTGGGGCAGAATAAGTTCTAACCCTGTCCCTCTACCAGCGAAACATGCCCAAACAGAAGTCTTATCACACCAAAGCGACGGGCCAAGCCGCCGTTACGGCGTTTAAACACTCGGCGGAGTCAACCCTCAAGTTGTATGGAAGCTGTTTCTGGTGAGACCACCTTCATTTGAACAGATCAGGTTGAAATGGGTTCACGCTAATTCGATGGTTTTTCTGTGTGAAGCCCATTCGTGCAACGAGTATGGATAGCGCTGGAGATGAAGAAAATCCCATACCAGTACATCGAGGTCGATCCATATAAAAAGCCTCAGTCACTGCTTGACGTGAACCCACGGGGACTCGTGCCAGCACTGCGACACGGTGACTGGGGATGTTATGAAAGCACGGTGCTCTTAGAATATGTAAGAGGCCTATCACCCCTCTAGGGCATCACCCCTCGTTTTCCTTTTGTTCTAATACGGCCCCTCGTGCTAGCTCGAGGACCTGAAAATTGGCAACGCACTCCTTCCAGAAGATGCAAAGCTGCGTGCCCACTGCCGGCTTTGGGTCGACCATGTGAGCAAGCCCGTTGTGAGGCGATGACAATCGCTGACAAATCCATGCAGATCAACCGTCACATCGTGCCCAGCTTCTATCGGGTACTACAAGAGCAAACCCAGGAGAAGCAGGTGGCGAGTGCGAAAGAGCTTCGGGATGCTTTGGACAAGCTGATCGCGGCGGCAGATCCTACTGGACCATTTTTCATGGGATCGCAGTTATCGTTTGTGGATGTTCAAGCAGCTCCGTGGGTCATTCGACTCCGTCGGGTACTGACGCCTTATCGAGGCTGGCCAGATGCCGAGGAGGGAACTAGGTGGGCCTCCTGGGTGGACGCCATAGAGGCAAATGAGCATGTTCGAGCAACAACCAGCACGGATGAGCTCTATATGGACAGCTACGAGCGATACGCTGGTAAGTTCCATATGGATGACTTTGGCAGATAGGTCGAATATTGACCCGAACCGCAGAAAACCGTCCCAACACATCCCAGGTTGCAAATGCGATCAATTCGGGACGGAGCCTTCCCTAATGCCCCTTTTTGACTTTGCCGTCGAGCCTGGGGGTGGATGTTTGTGTCGGGAAGGGCCTTGTGATGAAGATCGGGCGCCACATGTTTTTAGCCTCCACGAGCACCTCTGTTGGCAAATCCAAAACCACCCCTTCCGCTTGCATCAGGACCCCGAGGGCTTCGTACTGGCTGCTGAGGTGTAGATTGCTTGTCGGCATCATGTCGATCCCCCTGCGGATGATCTCGCCTTGGTAGAGGCAGCCCATTCAACCTGTTTGGACTTGCTGGATCGTAAAGCTGCCTCGACTTACTTGAGGCAGACGAAGAATCCCTTTTCTCTCTGTAATCCCGCGGGCCGCCCCGGCCTTTGCCTTTCCCTCGGTTCTCGCCAGACTGGTTCTGACGGGGTGGGGTGGTACTCCCCGGAGACGAATTGCCAGAAGTGGTTGCGGACGGGCTTCCAAATAGCCTCTCTCGCGCCTCTTCGTACTTGCGTTGCCTCTCCTCTCGGTTCTTGAGTGCTATCGCTTGACGTTCTTCCGGGGTTGGCTGGGAACGTTTGCTGGAGTCTTCGTCTGAGTCGCCGTCATCGTCTAGGCCGAGTTGGACCAGGCCAGCTGTTACTCCATCGACTCTGCCGGAAGATGATGATTGGCGTGTCGCAATGGGAGGTCTCCTGCTAAGAAGTGTGACGGCCGGTTTAAAGTCTTGTTTGAGAGGCACATCGGCTCGAGCTTCGACATAGTGGAATGTCTGCGGAGATTCACTGCGACAAGTGTGCTGGTCAGAACCAAAGAAACCCCGTGTAAAAAATTCGATTCGAGGACATACGCTTCTGCCCATAGCTGCCGATTGAACTCCACTTGTTGTGCCCTGCGCTGGGCTTTTGTGACTTTCGCTGAGACTTTCTTCTCAGGCGGCGGGGTAGGCCTGTCCGCTAGTTTCTGTATATCCCAACGCATCAGTACCACGCCATGCAGAACTTATGGCCAAGGAATGGAAACAAGTAACTGAACACTTGTTCGTAGCCAAGCCGCCAGCCGGTATTCCTACATACATCCGCCTGGGATTCCCAGTCCTCCTCCCATGCGTCGGGGACTTCCAGTTTAGCGCTCATGGCCCACGAAAAGAGAGACGGACAAGCCGGACGAATGAAAATGTCAATTGAAGCAAAGATGTAGACGTTAAATGTAACGTTAAACACGACGCGATCTGTTCACCGTGCATATAATGGCCGAGGGATGTGAGAAAAGAAAATTCGCGGTGTCGGCCTTCAAAGCCCAGTGAGGCGGCCACCGCCCAGCCCGCTTCAAACGTCCTTCTCAGCTCTCCAGCCGCAGTCCGATTCGATCGGCTCGATCTGCACGGCTTACACACCTCCAGTATCCATTGTCTTCCTTGATTTATAGCTGTAATGGCTGTCGGTAAGCCATCGAGTCCCCCTTCACGCGTATTACGAAGCCCTGGAGCTTGATCTGTCTTCTCCAACTTCTATCGATAGCTGTTTACTCCCCCCGCGTTCTCTAGCCGACTCGCCTCGGCACAAGTTCCTCCACTAACTACGAATAGACTCAAGGGACCGAGACGGCGACTCTGAGATGGCCTCTTCTGTAGGCTCTCCCCACACGGATTCCGATCGCGTGGAAGCCGGTGCTTGCACGCCAACCCATCACGCCCAAATCGCCACAGCATCAGAGCTCTCCCCTCCTGGCTCCCAACCCCAACAAATACCCGATATCTCTACCACAACCGAGTTCAGGCATCTGGGTGAGGCGGACGTTGGCCAACCTCCCGACAAGAACACCGACCCGCCTATTGCGGCGTGGAAGAGCAAGCGTGCTCAGGATGAGTACCAGCGGGCGATGGAGCAGGTGATCGATAAGGACTTCAATTTGAGTATGTTGTGGACTGTCTGAGCTTGCGTGACTTAGGTGGTTGACTGACGTTCATGCAGATGAGTTCGGAGACCCATTCGATGAGCGCGACTTGGAGGAAAAACTCCTGTGATACAGCCGATGGCTTCTCGTGGCTGGCCTTGCTTCTTTAGACGCGGTAGATGATGATTTATGAAGACACGATTTGACATTCCTTTTCTATGGCTTTGGCTTCCTCTGGTATGACCGTCTGTGCACGGTTTCTGGTAGCTCCCGCTGATGTAGAGTAGGATTACGGCGCACTTCCTTTTGTCGGTTCAATATCAATATGCTTTACTCCCTCAACGACTTGACTCATACATGTCTCCCTCGGACTGTGTTCAGAAATGCATGGTAGAGGACAACATGGCTTGTTTCAGTATCTGATGCACCGACTGCATAGAATTCTGGAAAGTGTAACATGCATGAAAAATATCCGCTACATAATACAAGCTCTGTTTGCTTCCAGGCTGGAATGTGTTCTGGGAATTCGGATAAAAAACCGGGATGGTGGCCCTATACCACTATACTATTAGGTGAAGAAATTCCCACACAAAGCGTTTCACAAATGCAAGAAATCTCCCAAGTTCTGGCTCAGTGGTTCCCATGATCAAAGCCAACATGCCTCGTCGGGCCATCCAGAATCCCTGCCGAATTGCATGGAACCAAAATATGTCTCCCAAGACCTTTGTATCTTCTGTCTGCTCCCTTTCCAGCTCCTCCACACACTCAATATCTGACCGTGGGATCTGCGACAGGAAGTGGATATTGCACACAGCCCCGACGCCAGTGACTGTCATTCTAGTACCTCGGCATATCTCAAGCAAGTTTTGTCGAAACCTTTCGCCCATCGCGTTGAGATCAATACAGACTTGAGCGGTGTAGACCGTTGATAAGGTGGCGCAACCGACACTCATCGCCAAGGTGTTGTTGTTAAATGTGCCAGAGTGACTCATAGGTTGCAAAGATTCCTCACCATTGCGTGACTCCAAACCGAGTCGAGGGTCATACACCGAAAGCAAGTCCTTTCGCCCTCCAAAAGCGCCAATCGTCATCCCTCCGGCAATGTACTTGCCCAGTGTTGTCATGTCGGGTCTCAGAGCTGTCTGATGAATGGGGTCGAGGATTCTCGATTGAAGACCTCCTGGGCCAAGCCGGGAAGTCATGACCTCGTCCAAGATGAACAGGATCCCGGCTTCGTTGGCAGTGGTCTGGATTGCATGCAAAAAAGCGGGATTGCCTGGTATACAGCCCCCCGCTCCCTGCATACCTTCCACGAGGACGGCGGCAGCTTTGCCCTTGTTCTCAGAGATCAGCTTTCGGACGCCTTCGACATCATTGTAATTTCCCACAATCCAGTCATCCTGGTCGACGGTATTGGAAGCAACTCCATGAACAAACATCAGGACACCCCCATGGTAGCCACCGGAGAAAACAATGACCTTGGACAAGCCCGTTGCTTGCCGAGCAACGCTGAGGGCGTAGAGATTGGCCTCCGTCCCCGAATTGCAAAAACGCACTCGCTCTATTGATGGGAATCGGCGGCAAATTTCCTGTGCAAACTGAGACTCGATGGCAGTTGTCGCACCCAGGTTCAAGCCCGTTTTGTGAATGGTGGACAATATAGTCTCTTGAATCAACGGGTTGGAGTGGCCACAGAGACCGGCAGTCATCTCGCCAATAAGATCAAGGTATCTGCAGGCCAAATAGTGTTAGACTCAACGTGAAAGGGGAGCGAAGGCCATTGTGTTGGAGATAACCCACTCGTGCCCATCAACATCTACCAATCTATTCCCTTCGCCTCGGTCCATGTAAATGGGAAATGGATCGGTATGAAGCACCGAGCGAGTATTACCGCCTGGCAAGACTTCGAGGGCATCCTGGTGCAATCTGAGAGAGTTCGGATGACTCTTCTGGTATTCCTCTTTGGCATCATGTAACAAATCCAAATGCTGTTTGCGAAGAGCAGAAGAGTGTTTGGAAGTATTCGAGTCTGTGGCCTCGAAGGTTGGAGACTGGATGTCTGTTTGAGCGGAATCCATAAGTAGCAACTGCGCCGATAGATTGATAGAATCCTGGGTTTCTCGTCCACGTCGGTTACATGATCGTCTAAATATTCCCCGAATCCTATTTATTCTCTTCTTCTACTGACAAACTTGTCTTGTCGGCAATGCCATGCTCTTCCCTCGGCCACACCGGCATTGCCGTGTTGGACCCACATTTCAGGCGGCACTGCCGTTCATTTGTTCTTCAGTCGTGCGGGACAGTCTCAGCCCACGCGAATTCCCAAATCTCACCTCCGTAAAATCATTCTACGTCCCTCATTCTTGATGAAACCGGGTTAGAAAGTGATGCTGGGTAGGGAGTCAACCACAGACACGTTGTGGTTGTAGGCAGGATAGATGCTAGGTTTTCGATGTCGACACAATTCCTCATCGAGTTATAGTTCGATCCCATGGAACCAAGCGTCTTTTAGTCAGTTCTGCCCCTCTCTCCCGAGGACGGAGGGATGAACTCATTTTATCCTCCAAGTCATGTCTCACAGGCCCTTTGGCCCTTTTCAAGCATGAATTCAGAGCCGGTTGAACCGACAAGGAAGCGCCGCCGCCCGGCTCATCTGCCAGGTCAACGTGCACCCATTGCCTGTATTCCCTGCAGGTACGGATTTATAGAACTCCAAGTAATCGGTGATGTGGGTTAAAATACGTGAATTAGACAACGCAAGATCCGATGCACCAGTGGCTGGCCCTCCTGCAGGAGTTGCCTGAAGCGGTCGATTGAATGTCAATACGCCGGGCTATCCCCCAATCCTGCCATTGACCCGGCCATGAGAACAGGGACATTAGCCAGTCCGCCACCGCAAGATACCGAAAGACTGTGTGAAATATCCACAACGGAGCTGCTGCAGGCAGCTGAGTTCTTTCGCGACAATTTTGGTTCGACCTTGCTGTTTTTCTTTGATCCGCTCACGTTTTCAACCCGATTTAGCAATAGAGAGCTGTCTCCAAGTTTGACTTTCGCGGTACTTGCTCTGACTTCTCGATTTGGCCCTTGGAGCTCTGCAGACGAGTCGTGGAAATATTACAGCCATGCTCAAGCGCTGCTGCAGAGAACCGGCGATGATATATCACTTCACCGAGTCCAGACCTATCTTGTTCTGTGTGTCTATGAGGTCGGGTGTGGGCTTGAATTCAGAGCTTGGATCCATATAGGAAATGCAATCCGCGTGGCTCAAATCCTTCGCCTGCCAGTGATGGATCAGCGTCCTTCTCCATTTGACTGGGGCAAACCGGAACCAACCGTGAACGAGGACCGCGTGACTCAAGAACTTCAGCGTCGGACTTTTTGGAGTTGTTTTTTCCTCGATAAACTTCTTTCGAATGGCCGAGATCGACCAAGTGGAATTCAAGAGAAAGACATTTTCTGCGACCTTCCCGTCTCCGAGGAAGATCTCATCTTTCGAAAATTCGACCAGTCTTTGGCATTGGGTGACCCCGAGTTGTGTCAGAAAGGGCGGCAGAATCTTTACATCTTTCTAATCCGCATACTTCTCATACTGGGTGATATCACTGCTTGGCATGGCAGAGGTGGTCGGCATGCCGATGAACGAGCTCCGTGGGAAAAGGAAATGCCCTTTACGGTGCTTGACGACCAGTTGAACGAATGGGAAAAGCAAATGCCGACCCATTTTCATTATTCCCGGGAATGTTTCGCGGCCCTGTCCATGGTCAGCACCGCCCAATTGAAAATCTGGGGTTTGACTTATCTCTTCTTCTTTTTGGCGAAAGCCAGTCTTCATCGGGAATATTATCCTTTTGTTCCGGAAAAAGGCTACGCGCCTTGTGAGTGTCCCTTTGACCCGGTATCAACACCAAGCAACTGGGGAAATCCCCCGACAGGCTGGCGAAAAGAGTCTGTGAGAAAGCTTCTCAGCAGCTCTCAGTCAATCATTGAATTATATGGCTGGATGATGACGAAGCTGTCCCCTTTTCCTGGTGTCTACCCATTCATGGGTCTATGTCTGATGACATCGGCGAGTGTCAATTTGTTCTTTACATCTCTCGATGAGGATATCGCTGACCAATCTCGTTGCCAACGATCCACTGAGTCAAGTTTGAAAGAGGGCATCGATGCGATGCAGAGTCTGAAGCAATTTTGGGATCTCCCCAGATATTGGGTATGTGGAGTATATTAGGTGTTAATCTCTCTTTCTCTCTAACATCCTGCAAGATCAACCAAATCTCATTATATCGTGCCCTACTCGAGAGGTCCAAAGAAGTCGACGAGCCAATCTCAAAAGAAGGGTTCCGAAAACTCACCGATGGTATTATGAACTACCTGCGTGAATCTCGGGGCACGGGGGACAAGCAGGATGCCAATATGCCAGCCAGTCAACTGCCTGAAACAACACTCACTCTCCCCGGTGTTGGCGTTCAATTAAAGTAAGGGATCCATACATGGGTTGTGATCAGCACTAAAAAGGTCTGCAGTTCGGTCGATTTGAATCATATAACACTACCTCCCATGGACCAATGCAATACACCCAGTGAGGAAAGCCCCGGATTAGCTCGAGACGTCGAAGGGATAGGGCTAGCTGAACTGCCGATTGCGAGTGGTAATCAAGCTGGTCAGATCAATCCGTTTGCTCCCGTCCTGGACGATCTACTGGAGGATCAAATAAATTCATTAGCAAATTGGGAATATCTTCAACTTTCATGGCACTGAAGAATTCTCAGCAGCGATAACAAATTTTTCTAAATATTTTTCAAGGGGAAAACTCCATCGACTAACGCTAGGGCAGAATAGTCCAAGGCCTCTCGCGTTTGTCCGTTGATCCCGTGTAAAAGCCATGTACAGAGCATCGATGCGGGTTGACGAGTCGTATTAGAATGTAGAAGACCGTGCGGACAATCTGTATAGGTGAATGGAGAAATCTCCGTCACAACGAATGATGGCTCTATAGACGCGGTCATCAATCGACTTCTAAAAGACCTCGGCGCGACTCGTCAAGGATCGCATACTCTTGATTCAAGGCGAGAAATTCGGCAAGAGCTATCTCTGCAAGAACGGTATTTACCTCTCATTATATCAAACATGCTGGATTGGCATCGGATAGAATCCCATCGATGTTAGTAAACAGGCTCAACGCTTTGCTGGAAATTCTTGCATAGGTTGCCGATCGAAGATAATCCTGACACATCTGAGTACGCTCTGGCTTACAAAAACTATATTTTTTTCACACTACACCGAACAAGGCCCCATGCAAACCCCCCCTCCTCCTCCGGAGCCCGTTATCGAAGCACACCGCCATGAGGGCCGTTGACGGGGCAACAGGCGGGCCCATCCAAACGCCCGCCCCAAGCAAAACCAAGCAGAATTGGCGGCTTCACCACCTCCATTTACCCTCATCGGCACATCTTACGACGTATACATTAACAACAGCTCTCAGCGACCTGATGATTCTGAGACCTAGTTGCATCACTTATAGCGCACTCTCATTTTGACTCTGCGTACACCCTTGACCACCCGACGACAGATACCAGCGGACTTTTGACACATTCCACGCGCGTCAACACCAACAATGGGCACCGATTCTGCCCTTTCGCAGTCGCAATCATGGTGGGTCGGCTTTCCCTTTCGTTATACCAATTACCTCTATCTCCTTGAATTGCTTGAGTCCGGCCTATGGAATTGTTGGCATGAGCCCCTGGGCCAGGGGCTATTCCTCATATTGATCCCTTGAACAACCCCTCGTTTTCGCGCGGACATGCGCATAGACGTGCACATACCTTGACCTATCATCTTTTTTAACGCGCTGACTTCACGCGCGCTGGCGCACCGTCTCACTATAGCGACACCACCGAACCTCCCACCGACGAGAGTTCGTTCAGATTCACTCCTATCAAGGCCCTCCGCTCACTCCCCCGGCTGTGGGAGCGCAAACCCGCAACCCCGTTCCGGACTGGTCTCAAGCGAAAGCTGTGGAAGCGCTTCCAGTCCTCTTTCTCCAACATGCAGACTCTCGAGTCGTCGACCTCGTTGGACCACGACGCGTTGGAGACGGCGATCAACGCATCCAAGGATGCGGCGTATGCGCGTGGTGTGAAACGTCTGTGTGTTGGGGCTGGTGAATCTGCCAGTCACGCCGAGTCGGAAGTACCGCAACCTGGACGCTCTTTTCTGGAAACAAAATGGGAGTCAGAAGCATCGCGGAAACGACGTGAGTGTGGGAAATTCTGTTGACATTGGGTCGCCATGTGAATTCTGTGGTGGAAATTGATCGCTAACTGCGAATTTCAGGCAAATTGCCCGATGCGCCCTTTGATGTTTACGATGAAAGCTTGCCAAAGGCGTTGGGACAACCAACCACGGGAAAGCCTACTGAAAAGGATCTTCATTACGACCTGGATGTTGACGGAGACCTCGCCATGACTACTGAATCACCCATTCTCTTCAAGGCACCTTGGAGTCCTCCAAAAACAGCCGTCTTCCAGGCCACTATTACTACTGAGAATCTGAGTTCCCTCGCTTGTGACGACAGGGCGGTTGAGCAGCTTGAGTCTGCGCCGGCAGACCAAGAACAGTGCGAAATCATCGACGCAGGGCAGGGTGGAAATGGCAATATGGCCGCAACCCCTACGAAGATCATGCGGAATCTGACTACGGCACAAGAGGGGACGCTCGTGCGATCGGCGTTGCGCAGCTCGTTGGACGGAGAGGACGCAGAGCTTCTGAATGACTTTTTGTCCAAGGCCAAGGCCAAACGGGCAGCCAAAGCCGCCCTCGTTCGCTCTCAAGAGTCTGACGCCGCTGAGAAGTCATCCAGTCCGGAGGCATTATCAGATGCCGAGTGCGCGACCCCCCGGTCACGTCGGGCTCTTGAGGATCTGGATGCCAATTCACCCTCCCCGGTTAAAGTTCAAATCTCACCCTCCAAGGGGGATTTTATTCCCGGTGACGAATCTCGCGAGGACACCACTAGCAAGGACAGTCAAGATGAAGAGCCCGCCCCTGCAAGCCCTGCCTGTCGACGAAGCACCCGCGTCAAAGCTCCTCCCGCCAATGCTCCCGCCGTGCGCAACACCATCTCCCTGCGCCGGGCCAAGGGCACGGAGTTTGTGTTCCTCCAGCGCACTGAGGCCCAAGAGCTCTCATTGGTTACCAGACGTAACACCAAGCACAACAAGGGCAGCTCCATGATGCCCAAATACGCTCTCCAGGCCATGGCCCAGGAAGACTCCTTGACGACCGATAGTGACCGTCCGAGCCAGGGCCAAAGTCAGGGCCGGTCAGACCGCAAGGCATCCAGCAATCGCAAGGCTACATCTCCATCGCGCAAGAGCGTCACCTGGAACGAGGAGCGGATGGTCGCGTACGAAGGTGACCTCCCGACTCCAGCATCTTCCGACGCCGACGCCGAGACAGACGACACCAGCAAACATGATGTAGGCAGAGGCTCATCGCGTGCACGCTCCGGAGCCAAGCGTTCCGAGAAGAAACCATCCACCAGTCACCGCAGCTCCCGCCAGATGCAGCAGCAGGCGGACGGCGAGGTAGGCCCGAGCGCGCCGACGAGCGCAGCCGCAGTGCCGGCATCGACCCCGAAATCGCGGCGGGTGCGGCGCCTGGGCGACTCCACCATGACCTCGGGGACGCCCATGAAGACGGGCAGCGGGCGCGTCAGCAAAGGGCCCGTGTCGGCGTCCTCGGTGGTTCCCACTGCGGCGGCCGGCCCTTCGACGCCTACTAAGCCACGCCGCAAGCTGATTCCCAAGTCGCCGAGCTCGTCGCTGCTGTCAGCGCCGGTGTCCAAGGCGAACGACGGGAGTGAGCAGCCTTTTGTGAGTGGGATTCCGACGCGAAGTGCGGGGGGCCCGGAGGGGACGAAGCGGACGAGTATGCTGGCGGCCAGCGCCGGGTGCACGCCCATGCCTCGGCGGGTGCGGGCGCGGACATAAGGAGGTCGTGCTTTGGACGACTCGTGTAGGGCCGGGGGTGTTTACTCGTCGATGTCCACGGCATCGACTGGATACACCTTGGTCTGTTTGTTTCTTTTGTCCCCACGCATTGTCTTTGGGAGTTTTCTGTATTTGCTTGTTTCCAAGATACCACCTGCAGGCTGCTTGCCTGCTTCTTTTTTCTTGCGTCCTGTATTTCTGCCTTGCCTTAGGCTTTGTTTGGCTCTTGTTATTTTCTCCATACAGTTTCAGTTCCAAGAGTTTCACGTTGGTTCGATTGTCGTGTTGATCGTCTGTAACCAGACTGCCCGCTGCAGCGTGCAGGACGCGGGCCAGCCACGCTGCGGGATGACGTCTGTGCCGCTGTCGACGCACCCCACGCCTTGATCACGCCTATCTGATCATCAGTTCGATGGAGGCCTGGCTCGTCGGCGTGAGGCGATCCGGGAGGTGCTGCGCTCTTTATGCCTCGCTGTCTACTTGCCTAGGCCCTACAGGGCAATCCCGAGTTTTGTGCAGGGTTTGAAGGGGGTCGACCCGGTTGAACTGGAGCTGGCTATCCCGGGGGCCGCGCTGATGGTTGCACACTTCGAAGCTCGCCGTTGCTCTCCATCCGACGCGGCGAGACATTCGGTTGTGCCGGCTACTCCTTGGTTACTCCGACGTGATATGTGCTCCTTGCTGCACGTCTGCTTCTATCATGTATGTGACGAACCATAGGAAGTAGAACAGATGCACACTACCCCGAAGTCCGGGCAGTAAGGGTATACAGTACTCCGTAGAAAGCCAACTTAAAAGCTATCACGTTCATTCCTGTCACACCCTCTTCGGCTTCACGATCGGTCCCTTCCCCCGAAACACAACCACTGCGTACCCAACTATCCCGGACGCCAGCCCGAACCGAACCCACGGGCAGCATATTTACGGAGGGCGTTTGAGTTACACCTCCACCACCGTCCCGCCAATCTCCCGCCCCGTGAGGCATTAACAACGTCCAGGCCAACAGAAGTACAAGTAATCTCCGCCACCACGGGCCAGCCAGCCTTGCGACGAGGAACGGCCTCACCACCCGGGTGGCTGCACGCCACCCGAAGAGGGCAGCCGAGTGGCTTCTTGGCTTCTTGGCTTCTTGGCTTCTTGGACCGCGTTTACGGTCAGCCACTGCATACCCAGTCCATGCTGCAGCTTTGCATCCTGTACGGTGTAGGTGTACCGTAGGCATACGTGTGGTATGGGCACATAGTACGGTAAACATAATTTCATCCTGCAGGCCTACTCGTACTGGTCCGAACCGTATATTCAATACCTGGTCTCCGGTAGTACGTCCAGGCCAAACGCGGCTGAAACAGCCACCACCCGCGTACCAAATACCCTCATCTACCGTACCGTCCGGAGGGGTTGGTTCATGATCCTGCCTTAATTCCCTCCTCCATCCAACCATCCAACCATCCAATCCAACAAGCCCCAAGGCCACTGGCAACTTCGGCCCAGTCCACCCATGCCTCATTCGGCGTCTCGGTGTCGCGCCCTGGATTCCCGGATCTGCCCACCGCGCACCATTCCGGCATCGCCCGAGCCGCACCAGCCAGTCAGCGCCTTTACCAAACCCCGTCCGGATTAAGCACACGGCCACCGGCTGTAGGGTTACAAAGTCAAGTTCAAGTCCCCGCGCTAAGCCTGGAGTTCGGCTGGCCGTGGCGCAGGGGCTCCGAGCCACACGCGGGATGACATCTTGCTGCAGACCTCGGAGCAGAGTGCTCCTGGGCCCGTGCATAACACAGAGGACAGTATGCAGTACGGATAGGACAGGGTGTACGGAGTATACGGAGTACGTAGTGTTCCTTTGTCTATGGAGTACTCCGTACAGTGCGCGGTGATTGGTACCTCGATAACTGCGCGCTGCGTGTTTTCCCCGATAATGCGCTCTGGAAAGGAAAGTCCGTCGCACATCGGCGCACCCAAATCGGCATCCGATCATCATCGCCAGGCAATAACCATTGCAGAGATTTCCTCTCGCCTTTTACGTTCCCCGTCCAAGCGCGCGGAGCGTAACTATGTACACCTAGAGACCCCGGCCGCGCGGAGGGTCATGGCGGCTGCGCACTAACGTGGTAGATAGAGACGTTGCGGCGGAGGTGGGATTCTGGCGCTTCCGCCCCCCAATTGGCGGGGCAGTGTTCTCCCCCTGTCTGTGCACGTTGCATCCCTGCTTGATAGCGAGCGTTGGCCATTGGCACGTTTGCAAGTTGCAATTTTACGTACGGATTCACAGGGGTGTTTCAGCGTTTTGCACATGGGGGGCTATGGGAATGGCGTCAACAGTTCATCCTGGAGGGAGCTTTACGGAGTGGAGAGAGAGTTGGTAGGGGTGATGGAGATTATATCCAATTCATCTATTTCGTGAACACGTTCTGCCGGCCAAAAGATTTGCCATCCCCATTCCGGGTATATCGCTGCTTCTTCTTCGACTCCATAACTTTTGATTTACGCAGACAGGTTCTTGGCGGTCTCCTCGGGCCACACATCGTAGCCGAAGGTGTCCTTCATGTTGACGAAGCGGAAGTGGCGGCCCTCGGCGACCTTGTTGACGGCCTCGAAGTCGGCATCGCTCAGCTCGATGCTCTTGAAGTTGGACTCAATGCGCTTGGGGTTGGAGCTCTTGGGCAGGACGACGTAGCCACGGCGCAGGCCCCAAGCGATCAGCACCTGGGCCAGGGTGTTGCCGCCCTTCTCGGCAATCTCGAGCAGAGTTTTATTCTCGGCCACGCGCTCACCGGTGGTGGGCACCTGGTTCTGCGAGCCCAGCGGCGAGTAGGCCTCGGGCATGATGTTCTTGGAGAAGCAGTACTGCACCAACTCCTCGTTGGGCAGGAAGGGATGAATCTCGATCTGGTTGACCTGTGGCTGGACCTTGGCGAACTTGGCCATCTTCTCCAGCTGGGGAATGGTCCAGTTAGACACCCCGATGGCCCTGGCCTTGCCGTCCTCGTACAGCTTCTCCATGGCGCGCCATGTCTCCTCGGGGTTCTCGGTGAGGTCCTTCAGGATCACGTACTGTGGGCAATTTGCGTTAGCCAGGTTGGCCTGTCCCGCCTCACGCTGCTCGGCCGAAACATGCGGGGGAAACGGGGAAAGGCGGGGGGTCGCGTGTGCTCACCTTTCCATCCGGGCCAATCTTGGGCTTCTCCTGGCCGTCCTTCTCGGCGGCAATGGGCCAGTGCACCAGGAAGAGGTCGACGTAGTCGAGCTTGAGGCGCTTGAGGGAGTCCTCGAGGGACCAGATGACGTCGTCGTAGCGGTGCAGGTGGTTCCAGACCTTGGTGGTCACGAAGATGTCGGAGCGCTTGACGGAGGGGTTCTCCTTGAGGAAGTCATGGATAGCATCACCGACCTCATCCTCATTGAGGTAGTACCAAGCGCAGTCGAGGTGACGGTAGCCGGTCTTCAGGGCGACTGTGACGGCGGCGTAGGTCTCGCCCTTGGCGCCCTCGCTGGCAAAGGTGCCGAAGCCGACAGCAGGGATCTTAACCCCGTTGCTCAATGTGAAAGTCTTTCCGTTGGACATGATGGATGGTTTAATTGGTGTATGAAGAAGAATTAGAAAGGAAGCGAGGAAAGAAGTAGTCGAAGGTGGGGGGTGGTCAAGGGCCTGGCGATGACGCTGTTGAGGATGGAGTGGGGTGGAGGGGTAACTCTAGCTGTATGGGTAATTGCAGCCGGGTTTGCAGGATTTGCAGTACTATTCCCCGATGGAGGGGAGGAGGGGGTTTTTTTATTAAACGGGGGTCTTCTCCGGGCTCCAAACTACCCCCGTGTCGATCATAACGCCCATCCCGACTGGTCTCAGCAGGGCAGTATGTCGTCTGGTTGCATGCGTCCGTGGTGCCTAAAGAGGAGGACGGGGTAGGACCTAGGATCTACGTAGCATTGTATCCTGTGTACTTCGCACTCCGTCCTTCGTACTCCGGTACAGGTCGGGCAAAATTTCTGGTAATTTTCAAAAGCCCAAAACGATGCCGATGACATCACGCCGAAACGTCGCAGCGGTTGAGCCGATGACGATCGGCTCCATCGATCTCCTGCCGTTCCACGGGCGAACTGACTTCGTCGCCAATCAGCCCGCGAGGAACCCCACCTGCTGGCCACTGTCTTCCTTCCCGGCCCACTCATACTGCACTGCTGCACCCAGCGCATCCAATCACCTTGCCCCTGATTCAGCCGGCCGGTCGCCTAGTAGGGTCCTGAGGTACACGGCCCTGTACAGAGTACGGGAGAGAACCATAGTCGACGCCACGGTGACGCAGGTACCCTGTACTCCTCCCGTCCTTTCCCCTGGCAGACACTCCCGGCCACCACCACAGACCTCCAACAGCTCCACCCAGCTGTAATGGCATCCCGTTGCTAAATGATGACGATAATTCCTAGGGATGATGATACCCGAGTGGAGCCCGCCGTAATCTGGCACTGGATACCATTGATCAAAATTATTTATTTATTTATTCTTTTTTTCGGGAGGGGGGAGGGCAGGGGAGGGTCCCGTTTGTCAATTGAGGACGGTATCAGATAGCTTGGTCCTGTATATATACGCCGTCCCTTTCGTTTCCGTCGATTCCTCCTTATCACTCTGCTCCATTTTTCCAGCCCTCACACTTCCTCTCCTTCTCTTATCTCATTGGATCCTGGTATACTTCGCCAGTGACTTTCCCTAGCCAGACGATCCGACTATCCTCCTCTTGAATACCCACCCCCCGCCTTATCTCCACTTGACGACAGATTGGAACTTTCCATCATGCCTCGCTTCGAAGACGCTGACTTTGCGGTCGAATCTGCTCCGCGCAGCACTCGCCCTGGCCTCTCGCGTCAGGGCTCTGGCCTGCCCATTCCCGGCAATGGCGACAACACCATTGAGATCCCCGCCACCCGCAGCTCCATCAGCGATGCCGCAGCCCTCATGCACAATCTCAGCCTGTCCCCCTCCATGAAGGACCGCCGGGGCTCGCGCAACTCCTTTGGCACCTCTCTCCCCATCCCGCGCTCGCCGCGTCACTCCCGCTTGTCGCAGCAGCGCCCCCATCCCTCCGTCTCGCGGGACATTCTGGCCTCGCAGGTGCAGGACATGTCCAAGGAGAAGGTGGCCACTGCCAAGAACATGGCCTTCGCCTTCGACATTGACGGTGTGCTGGCCCACGGCAACGAGCCCATTGAGGAGGCCAAGGAGGCGTTGAAGATGCTCAATGGCGACAACGAGTTGGGTATCAAGATTCCCTACATTCTGCTCACCAACGGTGGTGGTAAGACCGAGGTCGCCCGCTGCGAGCAGCTCTCACAGATTCTGGAGGTCCCTATCTCCACCGACCAGTTCATCCAGTCGCACACCCCCATGCAGGCTCTGGCAGAGTACTACGAGACTGTTCTCGTGTGTGGTGGTGAGGACTACAAGGTCCGCGAGGTTGCCGAGACCTATGGCTTCAAGAATGTCGTGCATCCCAAGGACATCCTGGCCTGGGACCCCACGGTCTCGCCCTGGCGCTGCTTCACGGAGAAGGACCGCGCAGACGCGAAGCCTCGTGACTTCTCCAAGATGAAGTTCGACGCCATTTTGGTCTTTGCCGACTCCCGCGACTACGCCACTGACATGCAACTCATCATTGACTTGCTTCTGGCCGAGGACGGCAAGCTTTTGACCCGCGCGAAGGACCCCGTCGCCAGCCGTATCCCCATCTACTTCTCCCAGGGTGACCTGGTCTTCCCCACCGACCACAAGGGCCCGCCCCGTTTGACCCAGGGTGCCTTCCGCATCGCCATTGAAGCCCAGTACAAGGCCCTGACCGGCGTGGACCTGGAGCGTGTCGTCTACGGCAAGCCCGAGCGCGCCACCTACACCTACGCCGACGAGGTGCTCAAGTCGTGGATGGAGCAGATCCACAACGAGAACAAGCTGCCCCAGAACGTCTATATGGTCGGTGACAACCCGCAGTCCGACATTATCGGCGGTAACATGTACGGCTGGAACACCTGCCTGGTCCGCACCGGTGTCTTCCAGGGCAAGGAGGGCGAGAACGACGCCAACAACCCGGCCAACTTCGGTGTCTTCGACAACGTCTTGGAGGCTGTCAAGGCGGCTGTCTGCAAAGAGCTGGGCCAGGAGTTCAAGCTCAAGTGGAACCCGAAGGTCAACCCCGTCCTCAGCGGCGACGGTGCCTCGGCCGTTGAGTAAACGACCCATCACCAGAACACAAACCCAACCAAAAAAAAAATGTGATCACGAATTATGGGCACGCTATATGAATCTTGCTGGAAAGTTATACCTTTGAAGGGTGATCTCTGGGCTTGGAACGGGCTTTCCCTATGGCGTTTATGATGTTGGGTTCCAGTTCACTATGGAACTGCTAGACTTGTTTTCTTTTCCTGTTTATTATTACCTTTGCATCGTCCCCCTCAGTTTCCTGGTTGAAATTCGGGGTTGGTCGTCTGATATCCATTGTCATCTCATCGGTCCGGAATTCATGATTGACATGTCAGTAATTGCTCTTTTTTCTTTCCTTCTTGCGTTTCTTTTTCTTTTCGCAGTCTAGACTGGGTTCTTTTTTCGGCCTTTTTCCCTACTTTTTCCCGGGGTTGCTTGCTTGAACGCTTTATGTGCCATGAGGCGAACATGCCTTCTCCAATGTCTGCACGTGGGTACCCTACCTGCAGAACATACCAATCCCAATTACTGTTCCCATTCAACCTCCACTACCTAAGACTGTCTACCAGTCCTCTGAGTGTTTCTAGTAATTTCCCCTTCCCCTGGACCCTCCAACTGAAAGCAGTTCTCACAATCCGGGGAAGTCATTGACGACATCGTGATGGCACTCCCACGGATTTCCCCCACCTCTTATCGCGCTTATCGGCCGAACTATGTTTCGCAGCATCAAGTGACCTGTTCCTGTTTAGACGGCAACCACGGGTTCAGCTTGCTAGGAAATCAATAAATAACCTGTATAGTACTCTATGAACGTGGTTCCATTTCCGGCCTCTTTCAGCACGAATCCTGTAATTTTGACATGCCCTCGTAACCCGGCCAAGAAATATCTCGTTCAAGCCGCCATCGCGAGCGGTAGAAAAAGAAAAACCTTCGAAAGTTCTAGATCCCGGCATAGAAGACATATCCCTTCCTAGAACGCCCCAAGCGTGAAGGAAAAAAAGCAAAAATAATTAAATTTCATCATGTCTGACCGCGGGTGGCAAACAGCCCTACTTTCCCGGGCCAGATGTCTCGGCCTGCTTTTCCCCGGCCAAGCAGCACGGGTAGCGACGGTGGTTTGGGCTTGTGTTTACTAGCGGTGTCTCGGGTGGTTCTGGACAAACTGTAGTATCACACGGAGAGTTCTCTATAGGGGCACAGCGCATCCGTTTTCGATCCAGAGACTCGGCACTGGGTAGGCTACAAGGGTAGGCGCACGAGTCCCGGCTCCCGGGTGTTCGGGAAGATGTGAGGTGTCGCGGCAGATGTTTCTGCAGGCGTCGGGATGGGAGGTTGGGTGAAGATCCGCTAATGCAGGGGGTCCATCCGGATGGTGGCAAGAGGCGAGGGTGCAAATTTGGAGGTGGTAATTTTCAGAGGGTGGTTTTGGGCGCGGAGGTACTCCGTTTGTTAGTGTGTTACAGGGGGTTTTAAGTGGTAAGGTAGAGGGGGTGTGGCTGGGTGCTTGTGGATGGTGCAGGTGGAGGAGTTGTAGCGCGGTTCCTGTGTCATGATGAGAAGCGCGGTAAGAATGAGAGACAAGATGGGGATTTCAATCATGTGGCTCAGGCCTAGCTGTCTCCGAGATTAGAAAAATAGGATGATGCTATCGTGACAAGGCTGGTGGCTATTTGGGGGGTTCCACCTCAGTCCTTGAATCAATAATTGGGAAGCTGATTTGACTGAGTGATTGCATGGTTGGGGTTGGGTGGGATTGATGATGACTATTGACTCGTGACTCTTGACATCCTTAGCTGTCCTGCTTCTCTGCACCTCTCGGCGTTCGATGCTAACCGTATATTGGAAGCGAAGGCAAGTAGAGTTCAATAGTGGTACGAGAAAGTTGTTGATTGCTTTGATAGATGGTATGTAGATCCCAAGGATACCAAGTGGGACTTGACCCATTAGCCAAGTATAGGCTAACACAACTTTAACAGACGGGTTCCTTGAGATGATCGTGGAGACCTAGTACCACCTCGAGATCCTCTCAACGTCCCGCGATTCTTCGTCCACAACACAACTCGGCCAAGCCTTGTCGTGTCCGCAAAGCGAACTACGTGGACCAGCGGAGGATTCTCTCACCGACATTCGGCCCGCTCCCTTCAGGCTGGGTCATTCTTAATTGAGCCCCAATGAGGAGGCTTGTAATGTGCGCAGCAGCCGCGGTCCTCGGTAGGCCGGCATCTGCACCTCCGCAAACTATTGGTCTTGACTACGATGCTGGATCAAACACCGGCCGGGTGAGATCCCGCAAGGCAAGGAGAGATCCGCATCATCCACACGGTACTCCCTGGCTTGGCTTGCAATCCGGCGTCCTTGGCAGTACAGCCATGGAAGTGGACTCTGCCAGATCCTTTCATCCCCTCTCCGCGCTCGACGTGCGCGGTGGTTCTCTGATGGGAGCTTCGCTCCTCGAAGATATGGGCAGCTCGGGCCAACAATGGGATCACTCGAAATAGGATATCGTCATCTGGCATCGTAATCCCAATCCCGACTTGGGTTACCTGCTCGGACGGATCGCGAGGAACTAAGCTTTTGCCCATCTGGCGGAAGCCGTCACACCCGGTTGGAGGGGGTGCTGGTCAAGATCATCATAGAATACGGAGCTCGTCCAGGTAAGAGAAACCCTGGGAGAGGAATGCAGAACTATAGGCTGGGCAGGGGCCGATAAATTCCAGCTCCCTCATGGCGGGGAGAGGTGTGGCTGCGGCTGGTCCATAGGGAAGGAGGGGGATGTAGAGGTTGCTCGCGTGAATCAGCCGCTGTAGCTGTGTATGTCCTCCACAGGCGGGGGATATCCACATCGGCAGGATCAGATGATCAAAAAGGTCCCAAGCTAAAAACGGTTGTCTGAGGGGGTCAGGTGATTGTCATTAGGTAATGGATCGCCTTGCCCCCGCATGATCGGCCACGCCGGCGAATGGCGCGTGCAGGGCTAGTCGTAGCGGTTACCTAACGAGAACCCCCGTGGTCTGGGGTACAGCCTTTGTGTAAATGCCACGAGATTTATTAAATGTCCCCCTCGATCGGATTGGTCCGTGCAATAACACGAGGCTTTGTCGTGCTCCGGCTGACCTGCGCATGGTCCTGTCGGGCTCAACGTACGAAGCAGGTTTGGAGTGACCACGGACGGACGAACCTGGGCTCGCTGGTGAAAGGATGCCGAGAGGAGGCTAGTCCTGCGCGGACGACATGCCGCTAACTAGTCGATTCGGCTGTTCGGGGTCCCGTCGGCTCTTTTAGTTATGTCATAGAATGAGCCTCGACACGTCTGCTGGGCGCACGAACCGCAATTCCGCATCGTATGGTTGGAGAAAAGACATGTCCATTTTATACACCGCCTGATGTATTGGTCTTCCGATGATGCCTTCGATCACGAATATACCAACCGACCCCCTTCTTCGAACAAAGCGATAGTCGCGATGACGCCATGGAACTTCCGCTTGCATAAGCCGATGGAGAAAATAGAAAAACAAAAAAGAAAAGCATATCGGAGGCTGCAGGGGTAAGCTTGGATCGGGCTACCATAGAAAGTAGCTACTAACCATGCTTGTATGCACCTAACAGCCTGTTTCTCAACTCTCGTAGGCTGAAGCCCATCTCCGCCACCGTTCTTTTTTTCGCCATCCCGACGAGTCATCGCCCCCAGCAGTACGGGCAGAACTTAATTCTACGCCCTGCTCTTATACCATTCCATACTCCGTGGCGCTTGCCTTTCCTCATTCCTCCTCCCTTCTGTCACTGCCTCTTCCAGAACAGTGGCCCCCATTTCCCACGAGCTAAACCCGCTCAGTGGATCGAAGCTACTTGCGCTGGTCCACTTTTTTGCTTCGACCACCCCAACTAGGCGTCTGCGAGGCCGGTACGCCCTTTTCCGTGACTAACAACTTTGCCATTTTTTCCATTTTTCTCCCCGCCGCCCCTCCCATTTTTCCTCGACAAACTATAGCCCTAACCTCGACCCTCCTCGAACTTCCTTCCCCCTCGCTCGCCTCGCCTTTGTCGCTTGACCGGAAACTTTTTTGCGCTTGAAATCTGGGGAAGCTGCTCTGCCACTCGTCTAGTTCTCTTACCTTCTTTTTTTATTACCTTATTTTTTTTCTGTGTTCCCACTCTACCCCTACGGTAAACCTCCCGAGTCCACGCGCACTACTGGGGCCCTTTATAGAGGGCCCGTTCTCTCGCTCTCACCATGGCCTCTCTTTCTACTCCTCCGGCTGCTCCTGCACACACCAAGCCGACGATTCCTCGACTCTCGGCCTCCCCCGGTGCCGATCTGCACTCGCGCGACTCATCCCCATCGTCCTGCGGCACTCCCGACGGGTCCAGGTCCAGCAGCCGCCGGCGCCCGTCTTTCGGCTCCATCAAAGAAGACGTCGACGGTATGTGAGAGATGGCTTCAAGAGTATTCATGGTAAGGGATTGCTGACGAGATCTTTCTCCAGCAGGCATCGCGCAATCGTTCGTGGACACTCACCACGCACCCTCCCCCAAGGAGCCGCATAAGCCGCATCTCCCGGAGATGCAACAGACGCCAGACTTCTGCTGCCCATGCGGTGGATTCCTGGGTTGGAAGCAGATTCGTCTCGGTGGGAAGAGCCTGAGTCGCAGCTATGGCGACCTCCGCAACCTGGGCAACATGCAGGCGAAGGGTTGGGCGTGGGAGAGCACTGAATCAGGACAAGAGCTGGTCCCACCCAAGGCGGCCGTAGTGGACCATGCACAGCCGCCGCCGGGCACCTCGCCTCTGGAGAAGCTGCCGCCCGAGGTTCTGGGTATGAAAAGCCGTTGGAATGTGACTGTCTGCATATGATGTGCTAACCGTGTTCGCCAGATCAAATCATATCCCACCTGGCGATTGATGTGCCGCCCAATGGCTACACCCCGCGTAATGTTGACCTCGTCTCGTGCCTCCTCGCCTCCCGCACGTTGCACGCCGCGACGCTGAGCGTGTTGTACAGGAATATGACTTTCCCTCACTCAATAATCTTCTCCAAGGCCCTCAATCATATGTTGGCCTATCCGGCCCTCGGCACCTTGGTGCGCCGCCTGGACTTCTCCCACTTCACCTCGGTCGGCCTGGGTCGCACGAAGCAGATGAATGCCGAGATTCAGAATCTGACGTCGCGCACGCTCCTGCAGTGCCTGGACCTGCAGCCTAACCTGAAGGAATGCTTGCTGCAGGAACATCTCGAGGGTGACCTGAGCGTGGATGTGATACGGAAGCTGTTCATGGGTCTGCCAAACCTGCGCGCGGTGGACCTCTGCGGCTGTTCCACCCAGTCGTTCTCCCAAGTCTTCACGGAGGCTCTGACGGCGGGGCCTGCCATGCCTATGAGCCTCCCGAACATGAAACGACTATCGCTTCATGAGTGCAGCACGATTACGGCTCCGATCTTCGACCTGTTGCTTTCCCGGCTCATCAATCTGACGCACCTGGATCTCACCCACACCCAGGTGAATGACTCGGCTCTTTTCGCAATCCCCGAGACAGCTCGCATCACCCACCTGAGCGTGTCACGGTGCACGCGCCTGCGCAGCTCCGCTTTGGTGGAGTTCCTGACGACTCACCCCGCCGTCCGGGAGTCCTTGGTGTACTTGAACCTCCTGACCGACCCGACCCGTTTCCGCCTCTTGGAAGAGGACGACGTGACCGCGCTGCTGCCCAAGCTTCCCAATACCCTTCGTTCTCTGAATCTGGGTGGTGCCAAGGTGACCTCGGAGCATGTCCCGCTGCTGCTTCCTCTGACCAAGCACCTGGAGGAGCTGGGCCTGAGCTCGGCCGATCTGTCTGTGAAAGACGTGAACACGTTCTTCGCCCGGTCGCGTGAGAACGGCGCGGGCAAAGGTGCGGCTCCTAGCACTCTGTGCTACCTCGACCTGGCCAAGGTGCCACAAATGACCATTGGCGCCATCTTTAACACCAGCACGTGCCTCCTGCTGTCAGAGCACAGCTACCCACTGCAGGTGATTGAGTTCAGTGACAAGATCATCACACCTCTGCGCGAGCGGGCTAAGACTCAGCGCGTCTCGGTAGGCTGGACGGTGCGCGACCTCGGTCGCCGAGGCTGGTACGTCCGAGATCCTGCATCCTTGCCCAAGGAGCCCGTCGACGACGGCTCACGCTCTTGGAAGATGGGTGCGCGCTGGTGGGGCATGCGCAAGATTCCCATGGCCGTAGGCGACGTGGGTGGCATCTACGGCCACTACATGTTCAAGAAATGATAACAGGACGGCGCTCTTTTCTTTTCCCATGCGTTGCTCGGACAAAAGCATGCTGGTCGCTCCTAACGTCTTCCTTCTCTGTCTTGTTGCTGGTGCCGATACCCTTGTTCATTTCATTTTTCTGCTCCCCTCAAACGTTTCCTTTCTCATTGCCAACTTGCTATGTATTTTTTGGGCGGTATCTTTCTCCTTTTTTTGATGTTTACGAATGACGATATCCGGTCTATGCATGGCGGCGCGCAACATGGCTTACGAATTTCGGCATTCTGGCTCCTGGCTTCGGGTTCGTGCTCTTAGTTTGCGTCTGTTCTCTGGTTTTGCATAGCATTCAGAATCTCTCCAGCGGCTGTTTCCTTTTTTGCTTTCCGTGCTTGTTCATGCGCTCCATATGGCATTTGTGATTGTAACTGGCGTATTCGCATCACTCAGCTCAATTTCTGTTTATATTTTTTTATCCAAAAAATCTATCCTCCCAGAGTTTTCAGTAATAGCAAAGGAGGCAGAGCACACGAGCATGAAGATTGTGAGGCCTCAGAAACGCTAATCATCCTGTCGAGTTATAGTCCCAAAAATGGAGAATTGCGTTCCAGGCGACATATCACGTGACGATTAGATAAAAGAGCTGCGGCTCCGAACTGTTGCTTTCACTTCACCCGCCTGCCTCTGCACACTCAAAGGCTCCGGACCTTCGTCGCTTCGCTGAAGCCTCATCCCAGGGGATCTGCTCATCCCGATGGGTGGTTTCGTTGTCGCTGCCCAAACAGTGGAAGCTGTCGAGAGACGCGACGATGGCACCTCTGAGCGGAGCGGTCTCATACAAAAAGAAAGATGGCACCCTAACCCTGTCCAAAGATGAGCAGACACTCACCTGGACTCCAGCTGTCGCCGGTGTGGGGGGTGTGAATATTCCTGTGTCGACCATTACCAGTATGGCATTTATCCTTGTCCGCTCGAAGGCCCCTCGGCCATCTAACACAACGTTCAGATCTACAACAGACCCCCGCCACGAACCCTAAAGTGATGCTCAAGGTCTTTGTTCTTCCCCCGAATTCCCCGGCGTATAGCACACCGATCCAGTATGTCTTTTCGTTCACGGCTGGGCCGGACTCCGCCCGCCCGCAGGCCGATGCAATCAAAACCGCACTGAGCACCCGAATGAACGCGATCAAGACAGGAACACCCTCGCAGACGCCGACACCCGGCGGCGGTGGTGGGGGTGCGCCGATGTCTGCGGCAATGGCAATTGCCAGTGCAGTTACGTCGGCCGGGTTGTCGAAGAACCCGTGGGACGACGACAATAGGCTGAAGGGAGATGTGGAGCTGCAACAGTCACTGCTGAAAGCCGACCCCACGTTACAGCGGATGTTCATGGAGTCGATGCACACAAAGCCGGATAGCCTGACCTCGGGGCAGTTCATGTCCCAGTTCTGGTCGAGCCGCTGCCACCTCTTGCGCGCACATGCGATCGAGCGGACTCAGACTCGTGGCTCGTATAACGTTCTGTCATCGCTAAAGCCGCGCCAAGAGGAGAACGTGACCCGGATGAATATTAGCAAGGAGCAGATTTCGCTTATCTTTACTCAGCACCCGCTCGTCAAGCGCGTGTATGACCAGAATACCCCCAAGCTGAATGAGCAACAATTTTGGTCGCGGTTCTTCCAGAGCCGCCTGTTCAAGAAGCTGCGTGGAGAACGTATCACTGATAAGGATGCTACCGATGCTATTTTGGATAAGTATCTACAAGAAGAGAATACAGACGCTAACCGCGAGGCGTTCGTCCCACACTTTATGGACTTGGCTGGAAATGAAGGCCATCACAGCCAGCGCCGTGGAAACCGGCCGGATCTAGACATGCGGCCTTCTGGTGCAGACAAAGTGCCTATCATTCGGACACTCAACCATCTTAGTGAGAAGATCATGGCCAACGTTGCGCCAGCAGATGGCGACGTAACTGCTCCCATCGGTATAGATGAGGAGACTTGGCAGCAAATGCAGTTGCGAGATCTCCAGGGAGATGAGGAGCAGACCCGCGTCACCCTCAACATCCGCGATCAAAGCCGCTTCTTCGAGCAGACCCAGGAGGACGAGCAGACCCGGGCATTTGCCCGGCAAGATCCACACCAGATCTTGAAGACTCTTCGGACGGAGATCGCAGTGAGTCTTCCGCTTGGTGGTACTGCGCCACTTCAGAAAATTGTCGATCCAGGTGACGACGATGACGAGGAGATGGAAGGTGTACCGGCCGGCAAGCGTCCCGTCGGATCGTCTGCGGCCATGCACGATGCATTTGCTCAGATCCTGAGTGCCGTCCGAGAGCGGCGCGACCACCTGAATGAGGGGTCCACGTCCGATACCTACGGACTTTCCGTAGGGCTTTATGACCGGCTGATCCTAACACAGGCCACGTCAACCGAGTTCCTGAACCAGTTCTGGCAAGCCTTCCTCTCTGGAAACCCGGAACGCGCTGGCGAAGTTCAATCTCTATCCGAATCACTGGCGCGCTCAATGGAGCGCATCAAAGCCGTGGCCAATGACGCTGAAGCCGAACGCCAGGTTGAAGTCGACCGGCGCAAGCACGCCGCGCGCGAGTATTTCGAAAGAACCAAGCGCAAGCCCAGGCTGAACCTGGATGAGATTGAGGGCGGGCAGAAAGTGGTCAATCAGCTGCTTGGGCCGACATCGTCCGCGTTGCAGCTAGCAATGGCCCGGTACCAGACAGCGCTGGAGGCGGAGAAGGCGGAGGTGGCCAGAGAAGCAGCCTCGATGGCTGTTTAAAGATGAGATGCAGCGCCGCGCGACCAAAAAGGGGCACACCATTCCGGCGTTATTTTGAGATTGGGGCATGGGCGATCTGACCTGTATAATCTTGCATACCATTTCTGTTCTGCTTTCCTGCCTCTGTGTACAAAATTGTAGACGTAAGTGGAGGTCAATGCGGCCTCGTGTCCCGCGTCGCACTAACTCGGCATGCCGAGAGGTACCCCAGACTCTGTCCGACAGCCAATCTGGCCTCCCCAAGCTCTGCCCAAACTCTCCCCTCCCCACACGTCAACGCCAACCTCACCTCTCCAACAATTCCCCAACAACCACCGACCACGCGCCAATCTACCTCCCGAACCGCCTGAATGACCCCGTCACTTATCCAATCTCTCTAATTAGCACGCCACACATTCACACGGCCCAAAATGCTCACCTCGGGGCTTACCAACACCCCGCTCACCAAGTCCCTCCTCGTCTACACAATCGGCTCCTCGATCGTGCTCTCCATCCTCGACATCAAACACCTCGCCTCAATCTATGTATCGCCACACTTCTGGCCCTACGCACAGTTCTGGCGCGCACTCGCCTGGCAGGTTGCCGGGTTTACGAATTCCACAGAGGCGCTGTTCGCCGCCATGCTGGTGTACCATCTGAGGGTGGTCGAGCGCGCGTGGGGGAAGAGGAAGATGGCTGTAAGTTGGGTCGAGCCTTGAAACCTTGAACTGTGACAAAGACAGCTGTAGAAGAGGGAGTGGTTGGTTAACAATCTGGCATAGACTTTCGTTCTCACGACGCTGCCCTACACCACACTCCTCCCACCTCTGCTCCTGGCACTGCTCGTGCGGCCCCTGTCGTTTAACACACTGAATTATCTGCCCTCCGGCCCGACGGCGATGCTGTTCGCGCTGCTAGCTCAGTACTACGCGATGGTCCCGCATACATTCCGGTTCCGTATCGGCACAACGTCATCATCATCATCCACCCCCTCCAGCAACGACAACAATACCACCACTTCCTCCTCAACACCACCACCAGCCGCCAACGCCCCCAAACCCCCACCACCCAGCCTAACCGTCCTCCTCTCCGACAAAACAACAACCTACCTTGTAGCCGCCCAGCTCGCCCTCTCCCAATTCCCCGCCATGCTGCTCCCCTCCATAATCGGCTGGCTTGTCGGCATGGCCTGGCGCGCAGAGCTACTGCCAGGCCTGTCACCGGCTAGCAATGGGTTTCGCGTGCCTGCGTGGATTGTCGGGGAGCGGGAGCGGCGCGGCGATGGCGCGAATGGGGGCACGAGGAGTGCGGCGGAGAGGGAGCGGTTTGAGGATTTGAGAAGACGGTTAGAGGGGGGAGGCGGCTGCTTCGACGTCGGGCATGGAGAGTGCTGGGGGCCAGAGGAGGAGGGGTGGGGGGAGTGGGATTATGGAGAGGTTGAGGGGGGCTTGGTGATTTAGTTATACCTTCTGTTCCTGTTTTGATTTGCGATGGCTTGGTAGTATGAACCTCATAGCAGGGCTGATTTTGGGAGTTATTGACCAAGAGACACAGTACTATGTCGTCTGAGATAGATTGGGGTCAAGGATGGAGGGCATGTAGAATGCTGCGCTCACATTCTGAAGTAAATTGGTATTGTAGCATACTTGCACGTGTGGATATCAATATCGACCTCACATCAACAAACCCATTGACCACAGCCCAATCGAAGAGTTCCATACTCATTTGCCGCATAAACGCCATCCATGTCTATTCAACCATTCCATCGCACATACTGATAGTTACCCGTTTTACCGTCCATTGCGACTGCGCCGCATATTCTCTTTGCACTCATTACAGTACCATTTCACTGCTGTAGAGTTAGCATCTGACCCCCATACATACTTTTGAAAAAGGAAACGAGAACAAGGCTTACCATTCTTCCCAGGCGGCTTCGTCATCCCCACACACGACAGATGGAACCACTCGCGCGGACAAGCATCGTTATCACACGCCACCATCTCACCAAAGCTAACCTCATTACAGTAGCAGTACCGCGGCTCGTGGTCCTCGTCCTCGTCGTCGCCCTCATGAATAGACTCTTCGTCCGAGGGGAGTGTGCGTTGCGCGGGCGTTTTCTTGGTCGTCCGCTTGGGCGCAGAGTCATTGCTTCGTGTTGGCCGCGAGCGGGACTGGGTTGGTTCAGCGAGTGTAGAGAGAAGCGGGGTTGAGGTTTTGGAGCTGCGGCCCTTGCTTGTCGGCTCGGGTTCGGTTGCATCTGCTGGTCGGTCTAGGTCTTCGCGCTTGGCACCCGTTGGTGCAGAGGGTCGGCTGCCGGATTCGCCATCAAATTCACGGGCTTCTGCGTTGACAATTTCGTGTTTGACAGGCTCGCGCGGGGTAGCTCTGGGGTCTGCGGGTTTGGCTAGAACGAGGGTTGATTAGAAGGGGATGAAAGAGGGAGAGTCAATGGAAAGAGACGTACAGGAGTTTGGTTGGCCAATGCGATTGGATGCTGACGAAGAGGGCCGCTGTCGGGAAATACTCGTCTGCCCAGCATTCTGCTGGGCCCGAGAGGATTGGGGGCGCGATGTGTTCGGGCCTGGACTAGCAGCTCCTCGTGGCGTATTGTTAAAGGTGCCGATAAGAGGCGAGGGTGCAAGGATGGGTGATCCAGCGTTCGAAGCGGCATTGGTCCTAGGAAAGAACTGATTAATTGCAGGCAAAACGGGATCAGGGTGGACAGAACACACTTCTTGCGAGCCGCAACAGCGTTCGGATTCGGAGCACGAGATCGCTTCTTCTCGGCGCCATCTTTATTTGCAGCGCGCTGGCCGCCAGCACCACTAGCAGAGCGCTCCATCGGCGCGCCAACGTCCATTGCCGCAGGGCGTTCTACCTTCCGCCTCTTAGGCGCTGCGTTGTCACCTGTCGCATTATCACCACGAGACTTTCCAGCATTCGTCTTTCGAGGGGCCCGAGCCTCCTCATAGTCCGCGTCGGCATTCGGTCGTCGGGCCCGTGCCCGGACAGCTTCGCGCCGCGCCTCACTACGGCTAGCAGCTTCAGCCTCGTGGAGCACATGGGTGAGATCCTGTCGCTGGCCCACAGCTTCGCGGCGTGGTCGCTCGTTCGTTGCCGCCTTCGCGACGCTCTTGTTCGAGTAAGCCCAATGCGTCAGACTGCCCAATCGAGCTTCGTCGCTGATCTCGCCCGCAATGTACGGAAATACAGTATCCAGCCGGACAATCTGGCGATCCAGTTCCTCATTTGCATTGGAAATCACGTGGTTCTTTTCGTCAGCCGTCATCATAAGGTCGCCCAGGCTCTGGCGTACGCGATCGAAGAGGAGACGACGGTTTTTGCTCTCGGGTGACTCTGGGGACTGGGAGAGTTCCTAGAAATGAGGGGCAAGCCATCAGTACAGATTCCACCAGAATGACCAATTTCAGGCTCGAGTTGCTTACCTTGGGCAAGTAATCCTCCCGCACCAAGCCGCCGACAATAGGTGCTGGGTGCGATGGGTGCGGCACGGGTTGCGACTGCGACGAAATCTGCAGGAGCTGTAGCAAATTCTCCTCGAGAGCCCACGCCTTCGCATCAACCTCCTTCAACAACGAATTGTGTCTGCGGAACTCGCGCGGGAGAGCGGTGATCGCGTCGGTGAAATGCGTAAGCGCAGGGTAGAAGCCATGAGGAACAGGGGTCGTTGCGGGAGTCTCAGCTATCAAGCCACGACCGAAGCCAAACGAGGAGCGACCAATGGTCTTGGAGGTTCGAGAGGGATTGGTACGTGTCTGCCGAGCAGATTGGCGGAGCCCTTGGCCCTGGGGATTAATGGCTGACGAAGAGACGGCAGACATGGTGAGGACGAAGTCAGGCTGGGGGGTGCACCGCTCAAGAGAGTTTCTGGGCGCACCTGACCCGATTTGCTAGAAGGAATCGAGAATTAGAGGTGTCAATGGAGGTATAAAGATGGTCTGTTAACAGACAAGTTTTCCCAGGGCTTGTAAAAAGACAGGGACACGGCGAAGGAGGAGGAGCAGTCGGGAAGTTTGCGTGCGGAGAAGAGCATGCGGATCAGGTGAGTTTATGCCAGCTTTTCCAGGCATAAATATACTTAGTCATGATATCTATCAGTGACGTCATTCCAGGCACAGCTGCGGAGTCCATGGATGAGGAGCGTTGCTTGTCTTGTGTTTGATCGTGTCCGTTGTACGATGCACTATACAGAAGTACTCCTATTGTTCCTGCTATAATTCCTTACCGTTTTAGATGAGAAGAAAATCTATCGACGAACATGGCCAGATCACTAGTTTCATAACAAGGCTCTCTTATTAAGTATCGCGACGAGTCTCGACAATGATGTATGAGCAGTCAATGACAATGACCACAAATCTACAGGCGGTTTGAGATTCGACCTTCGTAGTATTGAAGTAGCCAATGCAACAAATAGAATAATTTTGTATTTTACAAAAATATGGATTCTAGGTGTAAACGGGCCCAAGGCCAGCCACAGCACAGACAGCTCGTGTCCACCAGGTCGAGAACAAAAGAACTCATGCGAATAAAGAGGTAATACAAAGGGAAAAGATAAAATCGGACGCTAGCTCCCAGCAGGACCCATGAACATAGAAAAGCAACGCAATCGAACAGTCAAATGCGTTATCCGTCCGAGGAAATGGCACATTTACTCGCCCTTCAGACGCTCCTGGTGAATGGAGAAAGCATCCTCAAGGAACTCCTGCTCTTCCTTAAGGTGAACGGCCTTGAGACCAGTGGCCACCGAGGCGCTAGGAGCACGACCAGCGTACAGGACGTGGCGGCGATTATGGTGCTCAGTGGAGTTCAGCATGGTCTCGATACGGGGCTGGGCGTACGACCAGGCGCCGGCATTCAGAGGCTCCTCCTGGCACCAGACGATGTCCTTAGCGTTGGGGTAGCTGTCCAGGTTCTCCTTCAGCTGATCCCAAGGGAAGGGGTGCAGCTGCTCAACACGAGTGATGGCAGTGTTGCGGATGCCATTAGCCTCACGGTGCTTGATGAGGGCGGCGTAGACCTGGCCAGAGCACATAATCACACGCTCAATCTTCTCGGGAGCATCGATGGCCTCGGTGTTGTGAGCCGTGTCACGGATGATCCACTGGAAGTGGGAGTCATCGGTGAATGCCTCGAGGTCAGAGCGAGCAATCGGGTGACGCAGGAGAGACTTGGAGAAGAAGATGACAAGAGCTGCGATACGGGTAATCAGTATATCAACTTGAAAGGGTCAAATTGGGATGAAAACATACGCTTGCGGAATTGGCGGTGGATCTGGCGACGGAGGACGTGGAACAGGTTCGAGGGCTCGGTCATGTAGACAATCTGCATGTTGCAGTCCTGGTGCTGGCGGTCCAGCTTGTCAGCGGCGGGGAACACGCGGGGCTCCTCGTTGCAAAGCTGCAGCCAGCGCTCCATACGGCCGGATGAGTGCTCAGGACCCTGGCCATCGTAACCGTGAGGCAGAGAGACAACCAGACCGGAGCGTTGCAGCCACTTGGATTCACCGGCAGCAATGAACTGATCGATGATACACTGAGCGTTGTTGGCGAAGTCACCGAACTGGGCCTCCCACATGACCAGAGCCTCGGGGGAGGTAAGAGAGTAACCGTACTCGAAGCCAAGACTAATATTAGAACAAGTTAGCATTGCGACTTCGATGGAAGGATTGTCAGTGTGATGAGTGACTTACGTGCCGAACTCGCTCAGGGAGGAGTTCGAGATGACGAAGCTGCCTTGCTTGCCACTGATATCCTGCAAAGGAGTGTAGGTAGCCTCATTCTCCTGGTCGTGCAGAACGGCGTGACGCTGGGAGAAGGTACCACGCTCAACATCCTGTCCAGAAATACGGACGTGGTAGCCCTCGTCAACGAGCGAACCGAAGGCAAGAGCCTCAGCAGTTGCCCAGTCAATGTTCTTACCCTCATCGACGCTCTTCTTGCGGTTGACCAGAATACGCTTCAGGTTACGGTGGAGGGTGAAGCCCTCAGGAGCACTGCCACCGCTGATCTTGTCGGCGATGTGCTTGAGGGAGTCGACGCCGACAGCAGTGGCAAGGTGAGGAAGAACCTCAGTGGCCAGCTCCTTGGGGGTCTTGAAGTTGTTCCAGGCCGAGGTCAGCCACTCCTTGCTAGTGGGCTGGTATTCCTTGCTGCGATCGAAGCTATCGTTCAGCATGCCCCAAACCCACTTCTTGTGCTCATCAATGTCCTCCTTGGTGAAGGAGCCCTCGTTGATCAGCTTCTCAATGTAGGTATCGAGCTGAGACTTCTGCGAGGCGATGCGCTTGTACATCAGAGGCTGGGTGAACGAGGGCTGGTCAGTCTCGTTGTGACCCTGCTTACGGTAGCAGACGATGTCAATGACAACATCAGTCTTGAACTCGGCACGCCAGTCAGCAGCGACCTGGCAGACGTAGTTGACAGCTTCAACATCGTCGGCGTTGACGTGGAAGACGGGGGCGTCAATCGATTTGGCAATGTCCGAGCAGTAGGGGGTGGAACGGGCAAAGCGGGGGTCCGTGGTGAAACCGATCTGGTTGTTCACAACGATGTGGATGGTACCACCGGTAGAGTAGGCGGGCAGAGAGTGGAAGCCCATGGTCTCGTAGACAACACCCTGAGCAGCAAAAGCAGCATCACCGTGGAGCAGAACACCCATGGCGCTGTCGAACCTGGTCTCGTCGTTGTTGTAGTGCTGAATAGCACGGGTCTTGCCTAGCACGACGGGGTCCTCAGCCTCCAAGTGAGAGGGGTTGGCGACCAGAGACAGCTGAACACGCTTGCCTGAGGGGGTGGGGCGCTCGAAGTTCATGCCCAAGTGGTACTTGACATCACCGGAGCCCTCATCGGAAGGCTCAGTGGAACCGGCGAACTCGCTGAAGATGGACTCGTTCGGCTTGCGGACGACGTTGGACAGGACGTTCAGACGACCACGGTGGGGCATACCGATGACGATATCCTTAATACCGTAGTCGACACTGCGGTCGATCAGGGCCTTCATACCAGGTACAAGGGTCTCGCAACCCTCCAGACCGAAACGCTTGTCGTTGGGGAACTTGGTAGCCAGGAAAGACTCGAAGCTGGAAGACCAGATAAGACGGTCGAGGATGCGGCGCTTGTCGTCAACCGAGTACTTGTAGGGCTCGGGGATCTCGAAGCGGTCACGGATCCACTCGCAGGGCTTGCGGTCCGGAATGTGGATATACTCGACACCGTACGAGCCACAATAGATCTTCTCGCAGGTGGCAATAATCTCGCGCAGCGTCATCTTCTTGCGGGACTCGGTCAAGAAACGGGGCAGGATACCGGGGCCCAGAGCAAACTCCTGGTCCAGATCGCGCTCAGTGAACCCGTAGTGGTCGAGCTCAAGCTCCTTAGGCTTGCTGTAACCGAAGGCCTCGGCGTCACCACGAATGCCCAGAGGGTCGATCTTGGCCTTGTGGTGACCACGAGCCTGGTAGGCGCGGCACAGCAGCTGGACCTTCAAGTGGTTCGTCACATCGGCGCCAGTGGAGAGGCCAGTACCGGGCATGTCCTGGGGCACGCCACCGGTAGGGGTCGGGACAAGGGTCGGGGGAGGAGTGAAGGCCTGGGAGATGGGCATGTTGCCCTCTTCCATGTTCTTGAAGTAGGTCTGCCATGAGATGTGGACACTGGAAGGATCCCGCTTCCAGGCGAGATACATCTCATCAATGTAGTTGGCAGTGCTGCCCTGCAGGAAAGAATCGTTGGGGTCCTATTCACGGGGAAAAAGAGTCGCGCCGTCGCGTTAGTCGAATGGTCGTTTTAGGTTTCTTCGCGTACTCGCGCGTCATCTTCATTCGGATCGCAAAAACGATCAGGAGGCTTGTATGGTGCTTACCACTCCAGGAGCGCTACCCTCCGCAGGCGAAGCATAGAGCCGGGCGCCATTGAAGGCACGGTCGACAACGGCAAGAGGACGGCGGGCAGTCAGGCCGAAAGTCGAGGTCTTCGAAGCACCGCGAGCAGTGGACGTGAGGTGGAGAGATCTCCGGCACGTTGTGGAGGCCGCAGCACGCAGCACGCCGCTGTTGGCGGCCTTCAAGGCAGTGTTTCTGAACATTGCGGGATTTTTGTGTCGATCAAGGAAACAGCCCTGAGTCGTTCACGTCAAGGGAAAAGGGGGAAATTAGGAATACGATGCTTTTTGACTCAAGGGAGCCACGTATCAGCGATCTAGAGGCAAGTTCACTATTCATGCGCAGGTCAGTCCAAGTTGCCAGATTGTTGTTTCTCTCCTGCCGAGGGTACCGAGCCACGGGGGAAAGGAAGGGCGAGAACGAACAGGTGTAAAAAATCGCGCAGAAAACAGGTGTCGACTAGGATTGCCGTAGCACCTGTATAGAAACGGAACTCATCAGAGAGCAGAAACTCTGCTAATCTCGTGTGTCAATAAAGGGGAGGAAAAGTGGAGAGCGAAGAGGAGGAAGCAGAGCAGAAGCAGAACAAGGTTGAGCTGAGCCTGCACGGCAGTGACGGAGGCTAGCCTGTAAGGCTCCAAGGCACCACTCCGAGCCGGCCAATGGAGAAGGGCTGGAATACGGCCAGTGAGCTGAGTCAGGCCGACGGATAGCCGACCCAGCCAGTTGTACGTGGCGGAATCGGCGCCGGCTAAGCGTTTCGGTGCTTTTGCGGGTGATTTCGGCCCAATCGGACACCCGTAGATTGCGTCTTACGGCATCTATATACATCCATCCATGACCACCGCAGACCCAATCTTGCCCATCTCGGCTCGAGATACCACCAGTTTGTTAACTGTGCAGAAGATCATGGGAGCGAAGGAGACAGCAGACAGTCAATGCGCAAAGAAAAAAGCCAATAGCAAGCAGACGCCCAGCCAGAAAGAAAACACGTCAATCCGCGGTCGGAGATTCATTAGATCGTAATATAGAAGGCCCTATCAACAACCGCAAAAGATCAGGTAGCCAGCATCAAAATTATTATATCCAGTGGAGAAAATAGAGAGGGGGCGTGCAATTTTTTACAGAATATTGGGGGGTGGTGGGGGTTGTTGGGTTCCGATGCTCGGCACTTGGTGCAGGTACTCTGCGTAGGTCGGCCCGTCCATTCCGCCCAGCGGGGGATCGCCGGGTGACCCCAGGCGGTTGGGCGGTGAGACCGCATATCCATGGCCATCGTCAGGGGCATAGCCCATGCCTGCCAGGCCCTCATCAGCAGAAGGCCGTGCTTCAGACGGACTGACTTCCGAGGCCCCAATGAAGCTGCCGCGGTTGGGGGACGAGAGCGCATGGGGCGGCGGACTGCCTGCACTGCTGCGCAGGCTACCGTTGCTTCCACCCCATGCGCCACGGCGCAGTTTCAGCAATGCGCTTAAAGACATCTCGTCGTCCAGGTTGCCCAGGTCGACCAGCTGCGCCAATCCGGGACTGGACAGGGACGGGTTGGAATGGGCGCCCCCGTGCGCCTTCAACGAGATGACGGAATTCCGTGTGCTCCATTCACTTCGCTCGGTGATGGGGGTCAGGCTGGGCTCCTGGAACTTCCCGCGACTGCTGTGGTTGCGAGTAATGCCCTCGACGCCGCGGGGGCCGAAGTATCCCCCATTTGTCATCTCGCCGCTACAGGTGCCGAGTGCCTGCGCGTAGAAGCCAAACTCCTGCCCATAGAAGCCTTCATCGTCGTTCTCAAGAGCTTCTGCATTGGCGGCAGCAACAATGGGATCATCGTAGTACGCATCATCATCGTAGTACATATCATCATCGTCGTAGATTTGATCTTCAAGGAAATCATCGAAGCGCACCATGTCTGCCCCTTGGCTGAGGCGGCTGTCATCAGACACAAGACCGGGTTGTGAATCGGCCGTGTGCGATGCCTGGGAGATACTCTCGTGTGCCAGAGACCGATCGCTCGTACTGAAAGTACGTTCGAAACGGCCTTGGGTCGCTGCTTCATTTGCAGCAAATGCCAGGGCATTATGCAGCACCTCCAGGTTTCGCTCCGTGAGCACTCCACCATGGGCCCGAGCAGGCCCCATGTTAGGGATTGGCTCACCAAGCGGGCCACGCTTGATAGAGGCAACTCCATATTCACTAGCAACACTGGGCATGTGCTTCAGACCTTGGCTGGCGGCCTCTTCAAGCAAGAATTCTCTTTCTAGAGCATCCCCACTGCGGATTGTACTCTGCGAAGGCTGGCGTGCTGGTGGTGGACCAGCCGGCTTCCGTTCATAGAGGTGACTGGTTTCGTCGTCGAAGACGGACTCGTCGAAATCTGCATCCTGATCATCGATGGTTAGATCCCCGAATTCTCCATCATCAAAATACAGATCATCGTCATCATTCGGTATCTGTGGCCCTTGCTTGGTGGCTTCTGGGAACTCGGGATTGGCTCCAACGATACCAATGTTCGCAGCAGGAGGCAATTGCACCTGTCGCGGCTCATCAATAACTGTGCCCTCCTGTTGCGGCGCTTCATCTTTATGAGGCGTATCACTCTGTTCTGCCAGAGCCATAGGAGCTGTATCTACCGGGTATATAGGAGCCTCAGGCGGCGCAGGAATAATCGGGCTCGCAACCACAGGCGACAATCCGGGGATAGCCCATGACTTGGCAATCGAGGGCACTGAGAGTTCATCATCATCCGCATCGGCATTGACACCGGGTATCTTTTCTTCGAGCCCGTCAATATCATCCAAAAGATCATGGTCAAACTCATCATCGAAATCATCAAAGTAACCATCCTCCAGCTTGCGCTGGGCTTCCTTTGCCTTATGTTTCTCTTCGAGCAGCTTCTCCTGGACAGACGATTCCACACCGCCCATGTCAAAACTAAATCTAGAAGCATTGCTCTTGAGATGTCTCGGTAAGCCAGAGCTTGATTGGGGCACATTTGGAATCGTATCCTGATCATGCTGGTGGGTGGGTGGACTCGCTTTCGGCGAACAGGAAGCAACTTCTGCGGGTATACCCACAGGTACCTCTGCAGGTAGCTCTGCGGGAGGAGATGCGCTCTGTCCAACAGTCTCAGGACTTTGATCTGGCAAATACGAAGGCAAATTTCGTGCGAATACCGGGATGGATTTCTCGTAGCCATGTTGGGTCGGGTTCGTCAACAGGCTAGACTGAAGATAACCCTTATTTTCCACCTGTAGCACATTTCGGTCGTCCTCAAAATGCTCCTTGAACACCGGCGAATGATCACTGTGCCGTTTTGCCTTGTCGTTCCATCGATTGTCCCGTGGGTTTAGGCTACTGCTGCCGTCGGATGCAGCAGCTGTATTTCCAGATACATTGCGGCGCGGCCGAGGAGCAGAGAAGTCATGGACAATATTTCCACGGATTCTCGGGTCGTAGTCATCAGGGATAGCGGGTATTAGATTGGGCGCGTTGATTTTCACCTCATCAACACGCGAAATTCCCATGTGAGAGGATCGCCTGCGAGCGAGGAGTGACATTGGGTTTAAAAGATGGAGCATCGCCTTGCCAGACTTGTGATGGGTGTGCTCTGCTGGGAGATCACGGTCACCCGCCCGTCGAGGAGGTAGGCCTTCCATCCTCAAGTCTCTCTGGGTCATATTCATCTTGTCGGCCGGCGTTTCATCGGGCGAGGTCTTCAATCGGAAATGGCTCTGGCCCGGTCCGGCGGTAGGCGAACGCCTCTGGGGTTCAAAGGGTGATGCCTGCAGGTTCCGCAACCCTTTACCAAACGACAGGCGGAATGGTGAAGTCGGCTTTGAGGTTGGTTCGCCGTCGCCCTGGTCATGCCGTAATCCAGAGACTGAGAGCAGCGAGTTGTTTGCCGGAGATATGAAGCTCAGTTCAGATTCGTGCTCCCCTGGGCTTGAATGCGGGCGGTTCTCTTTCTCGTCCGACGGGGACGGGACGGCCAGGCTAACGGAGGAGGATAATGGAGCTGCGGAGGTGTGGAAATTCAGCTTCGACGCGTCATTTTCCAACGGCGAGTCGCTCCATCCCGGGATATCAATTGACTGCAAGCCGTCGAATGGGGCGGTCAGAGTCGGGGTATCAGGGATCACGGGAAGTTGAGGGGGGCTGATTGGGCTTTCTGTTGTGCTCTTTGGACCTGGAGTCGGTGCGGGGAGAGACACTGGCGGCGCGCTCGAGCGGCGGTGGTCTCGGCGCCAGTAGGAGAAGACGGCGGATGGGGGCATGCTGGCCGCTGGGTCGGAGCCCGCGCAGCGATTGAATATGCGGTGGTGAGTGTTTACCGGATGTGAGACTCCATCGCGGTCAATCTAAAAGGTGGCGCGCTTGGTTTGGAGGCCCGCCAGGAAGATTGAGGGTCCGGTCTCACATACCAGACGCCAGTGGGGCTTGCAGGACGCTGCAAAGTTTGATTGGAGAAATTAAGAGCCGCAAGCAGCGTCCAGAAGTCAAATCAAGAGCTGGAAAGTCGGCTGGGGCCTATAAATCAGAATAGGGGAGCAGAGAGCCGAGCGGCTGGTGATCACAAAGATAAAAATGGGACCGGCGATCACCCCGAGGAGACGACGTAATCAGCTGCGGTCCCCTCTAGTCCCCTCCAGTACCACGGGCAGCGCCTGTGCCATCCCGCAGCCCGCAGCCCGCAGCCCGCAGCGTGGTACCCAACCAGGGCCGTGATGAACATTCCAACATCATGTTTTTCTATCTTCGCTATAATGGGATCAGGCATACTTGAGCCCTTTCAGTACTATGTTTCTCACATTGAGACGCCAAAGAGAACCGTGAGCAGGATGCCTACAACTATCAATGGTACAAGGTCTTTCCGAGAACCTTAATCGAATTAAATTGGCCCAGTAAACTAGCTAACTTCGTAGCACCATCAAACAAGCGTAGAATGTGCATGATACACCTATGATAGGTACGTACCTATACTGCACATGCATGGCATCTGAAACATGACATCAGAAGTACCATATCTCCAATAATTTTACTATCACTAGGAACAGAGCGCTCGAGCCTGGCCCCTTCCATACCTATACTTTTAGTTGTCTCTTGCCTATCCTCTCGGGCTAAGAGAACTCATCGGATACCAAAAAACCCTTAAATCGCAGAAGAACGGTGGCATTATGTATTAAGCTACCAACTGGGAAAAGGAATGAAAGTCATACTCATACACGAACCAGAAACCGGATTTTGCAAAAGGGGGAAATCATGGCCTAATCACAAAAGAACCTAAAAAACGACAAGCAAAACATCAAAAGCAATTACTGGGACCCAGGATAAATTTCGCAGAGTAGAGCAGCCCAACAGTCGTCGTTTACGCAAATACCGTTAAGGCTGTTATTTTCATATTTTCCCATTCAAGCCACCGAGGTCGAGCCATTGGTGACGTGGGTGGTGCCGTTAGTGCCGGTCTTGATGCCCCCACCAAGACCATTGGTCTTGTCGTTGACGAAGGCCTGGTCGACCTCGTCGGAGAAGCCCCGCGAAGGGTAACCGCTGTCCACTTTAGTGTGGCCGTTGGTTGCGGCGCCAGAGGCAGCGGCAACGCCATCAGCTCCAGCGGCACCACCGGCGCCGGCGGCGCCCGCAGCGCTAGAAGGACCAAGAGAGCTTTCAGCAGTGTGATGAGGCTTGCGGGTGGCCGTACCGGCGGCAGGGATGTTGCTTGACTCGGAGGCATGGCCGATGCTGAAGATAGGCGACTCCCACTTGTCACCCTTGGCGGCCAGCTCGGCGTACTCGGTGGCCTTGTTGGAGATGCCGCCGGGAAGCTTGATGTCCGGGAAGATGGAGTCGTGCAGGGTCATGACGGTCTGAACCTTTGTGTCACGCTGGGCGATGCGCTCGGCCTTCTGGGCCTTGGCCTGGGTGCGGGCGCGCATAGCGTCAGCGTAGCGTGAGAAGATGCTGGGAGCGTTCTCGGGATCCTCGCGGGCGGCCTCTTGGGCACGCAGGGCCTCGGTGTGGATCTCGTGGAAGAAGGCATCGCTGTCGGTGAATGCCTTCCGGATCTGGGCCTCGACAACCTTTTCCAGGGCCGGGCGGACAACGCGGAAGAGTATGGGCTTGAAGGTAGTGAACAGAACCTTATGCTTGGACTTCTTCAGCTTGATATCCATGTGCTTAATACTCACGGACACCTTGTCCAGCTTGACCAAGTGCTGCTTGTCTCCCTTCTGGGCAGTAGAGGCGGCAACCTTGAAACTGAAGCCCTCGCCGCCTAGGAAGATGTCCATAATACCAGTGTCGGTGACGGAGGGGAAACCCTGCTTCTTGTTGATGTAATAGCTGACATCACGAAGATCGGCTTGGATGCCAGACATGGCGATCATGAGCTTGTTGTCACGCTTGTTGCTGACCTTCTTGCGGCCCCAACGGAAGTAATTGTCGCTACCGAACTCGACAACGTTGGGCATCAGGTTATCACTCTCAATAGTAAGATTCTCAACAACCACATCGACCATGGGGTCCGAGACCTCAATCCGAGGAATAGGGATGTAGCGGACATTCTCGATGATGCCAGGCAGGATAACATCGCGAATATCCTTGAGCAAATGCTGCTTGAAAACGATCTTGCCGCCAGCATCGCGACCCAGATCCTTGAAAAGCTTCTGAATGGAGTCTGCGAGAGCCTTGTTCTGTGGGTCCTTGTCGAACTGATCCGCCAGGAACTTGGTCTCGTCCACAATGCGGTCGGTGTGGCTCCGGTACCGTTCGCGGAGTAGGTAACGGCCCTTGTCGTACAGCTCGTTCCATTCACGGTTGCACTCCTCCTGCATGATGTATCCCTGCTCACGCAGGCATTTGCGGATGTAGGTATCGACGTCTGAGAACCATCTCCGCAGCTCGGGATCCTTGTCCGCGTCACGGTAGATGTTGTTCAACGAGTCGAAGAAGTCAGACAGGGACGTGTTGTTGGCGAAGCGCTCAATGAGAGTGCGCAGGTCATGCTCAACAGCCTTGACGCTGTCGGTAGACCGAATGTCGCGGACAGCACTGCCGCTTTGCGTAGAGGCAGACTTGGTGTGACCAACGTACTTCTCAGCCATGGTCAGCAGGGTCTCAATGGCTTGCTGATCTGTACAATGCGTAAGTAATTCAAAGTTTTAGAACCAAAGCAAGTCGTAGGAACGCTTACAGTCAGCGTGGCCTTGAATCTCAATGATCATCTTCTTCAAACGCCAGATGGCCTGCTCGCGGCGCTCCTTCGGGATCTTTTCAGATAAATACTCCTGAGTCTGCTTGGCGTACTTCTTCCGGCGGCTCTCTGAAGGAGTCTCGGAAGCATTGTCGGCATTCGCACCCGGTTCGGTGATCTCACCAGTCTCGCCAGTGGGAGGGGAGGCAACGTTGTCCTTGTCCTGGACTCGGTGTTAGCTTATACATAATGTGTTCAAGGGGAGAAAAGGAGAACTTACACCCTTGTTCTTCTTGAGGCGATTCTTGAGGTCATCCTTGGAGATGTTGGGCTTCTCGTGCCAGGTGTTCTCCTCCGCAGGTTCATCAATCTGCGCCAGCTGGTCCTCCGACGGACGGACCGCGTTCGCGGCCTTCTGGGAGGCATCGGCAGCCATATCGCGAATCAGGACGACAGCATCGCTTACTGATAGCCGTTAGCGTGTACCGTCGACGGACAGCAACTCAGCTTGACTCACGAATCTTGCGGAACTCTCCATTGGTGATCAGAAGGGTGCCCAAAGTTTTGAGGCCCTCCAGAGCCCTGTTTGCATCCTGCTGGCCCGTCTCCTTGCTCACAGGCATATTGGGGGCCGTCGCACCACTCGTGCCGGCCTGCTGAGCATGCCAGATGAAGTCCTGCAGCAGCTCACCCTCGTTCTTCGTGAGGAGTAGCAGCTTCGCCTGCTCGATGACATTGCGCACGTCCTTGATGAGGACCTTACCCTCACTGGAAAGCTCCTTCGACGGCGACGAGAGGGCCTTAGAGGCCAGAGCACTGTTCAGGGCGACATCGCACTGCTTGTTCTGTGGGGGGGGAGGGGGGACAACGTTCAGTATGGGGTATCACAACAACGCGCGATAGGCGCGGCTGAGCGAAGCACTAACCGAGGGAAGCTTGTTGTTCTTGAAGGCTATATGAGAAGGGAGTTAGCGACTGGCCCGGAACTATCAAGGCATCGAGCATTGAACTTACCATGGAAGATTCCAAACAGCTGGAGCTTCTGGTTGATATCCTATACCGGAGCGATGCTCGTCAGCATGGTCCCCTCTGCGAAGACATTATGATCGGTTCGGCGCCTCGTTCCGCATACCTTCTCCTTCTGCTTGGTATCTGTAGGGACGTTCACAGCTTTCGATGGCATGATGACGACCGTGACAATCGTGTAGGGGATTGGATACCGGGACAAGGCAGAGTAGTATTAACTGGTGGACCCGGGTTAGCGTCCCTGGCTCAGCTGGGAGTATGCAATCGCGACAAACAGGGCGCCCTGGGAAAGATCGTACGCACTCGTCAAGGCGGGATGAAGATATTAGCACTAGCAATTACTCCGAGGGGACTCCTCGAAAAGAAACAAGGGGGGGTATGGGGGTATCACTGGAATGCAGGAAGGGGGAATAGGTAAAAGCAAAGTATGTGGAGGGTTGAGAAGGAAGGAGGAGGGAGGAGGGAAGGGAAGAAAAGAAAGAAGGGATGACGACTATTAAACCATTGGATCGTCGGATCAGGCAGGAAAGAGGGAGTCTTGCAGGTCGTTTCCAGTAGCAGCGGTGCTTAGCCACCCCTGCCCGAGCTAGCAGCTTCTGCTCGTACGACTATGCTGTACCTTGGGTACGAGTACCTCGCAAGACCGTTCATAAATTCCATAACCAGAGCAACAGCCACGGCCAGCTCTCCCCCAATTGACGCTCTCGTGACGTCATACTGGCGTGTTGCAGAACTGCGATTCCCCCAATTGCGCTCCGTGCCTGCCTTCTGTTTTCAACACTGTCACGGGCAATTCCGACGTCTTCCCTCCTTTGCCCCCCTCTGTCCAGGCGTCCAAGTGGAGGTTCAACCCGTGGAGGACGCTATGGCTGAACCCGAAGCTCCCCTCGCCCATAAAGCTGCTAGGTTCCAGGCTCCCGGAAGCTCCAGATTGAGTCGCGTACCCACGCTAGCCGTCGCCCCTCCACGGTAGACTGCATCGAGCGCCCTGATCTGCAAAACCTGCTGGTCCTTGCGCTTGGCACACGCGCACTCTCCATGGCCCACGCCCCCGGAGTGGGTCCCCTCCGCCGCGACCCCCCTAGCTCTGCTTGCCTGAAGCGAAATCAGGATGATCTCCAATACATCAACTTGACGTCAGTTGTACGAACTTCATCGATGACATGGCACCACTCCCCCCCCCCAAAATGATGGAGGCAAATAATGACTGCGCTGCAGGGCACAAATCATTGATTCCGGGCTGGGGCAGTGGGTGCGTCTTCTCCTGCTTCTATTCGGCTCTCGTCCCCTACACCAAACTAGTAATCTCCTGGTGTGGACCTGGCCCTGCTCCGGCTTCCAGCGATCAGCAACGCAAGACTTGCTTTCTGCGCGCGACGACAGCCACCGACGAGCGCATGAGTGGAGCCTTTTGAGAGCGCTCAATGTGGCTTGGGGGGGGGGGTTTGGGGCTTATGAAATTTCGAGGAACCCATCAGCTGTGGATCTGGGGGCGGCGCACTGCAAGCGGTGTTCTCCGCTGTCGGAGCTCACATCGGCCGCGACTCCCGGCGGGCCAAGCGCTAACTACAATTTGGTATGGCAACTTCTGGGGAGTGTATCCAAGGTGCCATGTGGTCGGTCGCTGCAGAAAGCTTTGCTTTTATCCACAGTGGAGTACGGAGATTCGACTGATTCCACAGTTCGGTTTGAGGAGAACATGACAGAATGCGGAAGAATTGTATCGCCTAGTAACGTGTAGGCCAATGAAGCCAGAGAGTGTGTATTGTAGAAAGCTAAGCTGCGCGTATAGAAATAGGGGGAAATGTGCCAAGGCGCTAATCAAAACAGGTTAGTAGCTAGCTGAATAATACTGTGGAGGCCATATGTCGACAGAACAGTCCCCGCCGAAGGGAGTGGGCTCCCCTTTCAGGTTCTCATGAAGCTGGGGAGACCATCTAGCTTGATACACCCCTCATCACTATTGGTCACCATCAAACCCTGGCACCTACACAGAAGGGTTCGCTTTCCACTTAGCTACATGGGGTGTGGCATTCGGGTCCACTCAGATCTTCGATCATTTTGTCGTAGTACCTCCCTGATTGGCTGGTTTATACCCCTGAAGTACAAGCCCCAAAACAGTAGAAAAACTACACGCGAAAAACGGCATACACTCTCAAGCCCTTTCGATCTACTCAATCTCATCTTTGACTCCCCATCCTCGATTATTTGCGGCTAATCTTGTACGGCTCAACGGGATCCGCTCGCCGTGCTCTCTGCAGCGAAGACACAGCGGTCATGGAGCTGGAAAATTGATCGTCATTATATTAGTAACAATAAATGTGGGACTCAATTGCGGATGCAGACGCCCTACAGTCGATGCACAAGAATTGTTGTGGAGCTCTGCAGTCGCATGAGTCTCGCCTCGATCTCCGTACGCCTCGATCTTCTATAATAGACTCTTTCGCGCTTGAGATCTCATGTCAAACCCTCATGACTGCCGATGTGTCGACCAATATCGCCCAGAGCGTCCTCAACCACCTTGTCCTCCCCTCCTTTGCCAATGGCCCGATCACCTCAACTTTGCTCTGACCGGCTGCGAAAAACCTGGTGACAAGGTAGGTCGAGCGTGAGATTTTCCGTATTACCCTCGTCGGTCAACTTCTGCAGCGTTTGCTCCGACGCCAGATACACCAGTCGCCCGATGTGCGACCAGTAGAGGGTGGCCGCACGCATGGCGCAGGGTTCCCAGGCTGATACCATGGTACATCCCGCAAGATAGTCCCAGCAATAGTTGTCCGCCGCATTGCGAGCCAGCTCACACTCGGCGTGACGGACATACGATAGGGATAACGACGACATCAACTGCGTTCCATTGTCTCGGGCCAGTAGCAGAGCTGCAGATGGCCTCCTGTCATGGCGATCTTGGCCAGACTTTTGAAGCGCCAGACATTTCGATGCCGCGTCGTCGATTTGTGCATCAGCGGGGAAAGTGTCATGGTGTAATGGGGTATCCGGGGGATAGTCTGTATTCTTTAGAGACGTGCTCCACACTCGGTGGATGCGACGCCAAGATATATGGACCGCCCCGTCGACAGCTCCACGGCGGATTCCGACGATAGAGAAGCGGGGGAGTCAAGGCCGCTCTCCCGACAGACGAGAGATAATGTATTAGGGTATGGGACATGATTATTTGCGAAACTCTATAAACCAAATCTATTATGTATGTACAGTCATTCTGGTATCACGCGATCTCGTCACTCGAACTGGGAGTGGCCAATTTATCTGATATCCGGGGATCATTGAAGGATTGCTTCGACGTGACTCGTGCTCGCTCGTTAAGATTAAAGTTAGGTGTGTCACAGATGCGCGCCTGGCTGTCGCTATCTGCCGGTTGTTGCTGGCGTTGGTGGAAGGAGAGATCCACGAAATCTGACAGGTCGGTAGGCGCCGAGTCGGTGCTGCCGCTCATCTCCGTGAAGTGGACCAGCTTGCCCAGGATGGCGTACTCGAGCTTAAGCTTGATGCTATATGCCAGGGCTTTGAGGGTAACGTGGATGTCGAAGAGACCCGAGTACTGGACGCCGATGATGGCGGCGTCCATGAGGATCATGGCCAGGTTGACGACCAGTAATTGCACAAGCGTGCCTCGGTAGTGGCCACGCGGGCGGAGGTTTAACAACCGCACTGCTTCCCACGAGTATATTGCGGATAGCACGGCCTCCTGCAGCGAGAAGGCGACCAGTTGAATGCGCTCGAAGATATTGAAGGCCGATGTAAAGAGCTCTGACTTGTTGGAGTGACTGCCGAGCTCGAGGACAGCGGCCGGGATGTGAAAGAGGATCGCGTCGATGATAATCATGGCGAGACAAGCGCGGAGGACTCTTGGACTGTGCACGACAAGGTGGAGTCGGGACCACAGCACGAGAGACTGGCCGGTCACCATGCCAACCCAGGCGATGAGCTCCATGGCGACGGGGAAGAGGTTCGAATAGATGTCGTAGATGATGAGGAGGTATCCGAGGCCGAAAGGAATGATGCTGAAGGAGGCGATGAGCAGGCACCAGAAGTAACACCCGCCATAGCGCTTAAAGGTAGCGAAGCAGAGGACAATTAACTCGAGAGCATTATACCACGCGATGCCGATGAGGCAAGCCACAGCGGTATGCTCAGCAAACTCATTGACCGACCGGTCGGAGAGGCCAAAGGTGCTTCCAGAGGCATCGGTGCTCGACATAAGGGCATATTCTTGGCGGCCGTCGAGAGGGCCGGAGTGGTCGTGTGAGGAATTCACGTAAGCATCAAACGCGAGCAACCAAGCGAATGGTGGAGTAGATAACGCAGATCAGACCAGCAAGAGAATGTCGGCTAGGAGATGGGTTCCATATGCACATGCAGGCAGTGATAGAACCCTAGGTGCATGGACACGAGGAAAAGAAATCGACTCGCATCCTCTCCATCGACGAGACGTGCGGAGAAAGATATGAGGCGAAAAAAGGTACAAGGAGGTGGCGGAGACAGCGAGATCGCGGGTCCCATTGTCGGCAATGTGTCGCGTGCCATTGGCCTATCCCGTGAATGATGTGGGGACGGTGGAAGGTATAGACTGAGGGATGCCCAATTATTCGCGCAGTCTGGCTGGCCGCCAAACGCTAATCGAAAATTTGGGCCGATAGCGGCCTTTCCAGGGGATGAACAGAGATAAGAGCCATTCCACCGGCATTACCCCCACGGCATTACCCACGCTGCGCAATATAAGTTCGGGCGCGACGGGAGAGAGGTCTACAGATAGTCCCTGGTATAATGAGATCATAGACTCGAGTGTACAGATCACATCACATGCAGGTCTGGTCGGTGCCGAATAGGTGGCCCTTCCGCGTGGATGTGATGGCGACGGGGCGTAGAGATAAGCCGGTTATTCGCACATGTTACTAACTTTACAGAGTTTCCTTAGTAATCTGTCCAACCACGCTCGGCCTTTCCCCTGCCTCCGATGCGTAAAGTTTGGATTAGTGTTTCCCCGTCCCGCTCTGACGATGGTGGTGGCGTTTCAAGCATTTAAGACCGAAGGGATTCGGAGCCCTCTCCCAGGGTTGAATCAAAGGCTAATTGTCGAACGGAACCCTAGCCATCTCTCGAAGAATGATGGCTATAGGTGCAGAGAGTTCTCTCGGATACTCAAAGCTACGCGCAAAAAGTATCATGGAACTCCACGCGCGCTTATGCCTACCTTCAGCAGGAAAACGTCAAATCTTTCACCATAGCAATACAGTTTCGTTACGAAAACATCTAACTTTTTGCCCGCCTGGCTTACGGGTATCAGCTGGGTCTAGATACACTAATTTGGAACGTCGAACATCAAAGGAAGGTTCAAGCGTCAATTTCCTGCACGGCATTCCCATGTTTGATTCGGCGATTTTGGGGCTAAGAGTTTCACTGCAACCTAAATGATGCATAGCTGAAACTTGCGACTCACCTAACTGGTAGCAGAATATATTCTACGTCTTGCCAAGTGTTCCCATGCGTAAGCGTACACGGGAAAAATAACAAACAAGCAGCTGAACTAACTTATCACATACAGTCGCACGGCTCTTTCAACCAAAATCAGCACCACAAATAGGTCCTCTCATGTGGAAAGTCTTTGGACATGAGACTCCATAGTGAGGTATCGAAAACACTGAACTGAAACAATCGAGATGCTTTCTTGCGATGATTACCTAATTTTGTGCCTGGCACTAGATTTGGTTGTCGATATATAATTATCGACCGCCTTCCATATTCCATCAATGCCAAGCCTTATAGGGCAGGTCTCATGGGATACCTACCCTAGGTATCTCCGGATATGCGGCACTGTTTTTTCTTGATTTCTCTCCTTTACGGGCCCTAATCTAGCAGACACTACTCGATGGAAAAGAGACGCATGGAAGCCACGAAGGAAGGCAAGAGGCAAGCAAAGCTAAAATCGGATTCGGATAGTGTAAGACTATCATAAGAAATTGATGATGAATGTGTGTGTGTGTGTCTGGTCTGTTCTGTTCTGTTCTGCTCTGCTCTTATGTCCAAGAGCTATTTTCTTTTTTCTAAGCCATGTGATCGCTAGTGACTAGTACTTCCACTCTGAAGTCTCGCCATTCCAATCAGGGTACAACCATAAATTATTAGGCGCTTTGACGAGATCGAATAGGGGCAACGCGAGATCTTTCCAGGGCGATGGCTTGGCATTGACATCGCAATCCCGAAATCCTACCCAGGTGCTATAGAGCATTAGTTGGCCCGCTCATGATCGTAGGAACACCAGACTATATACTCACAGAGTTTTAGTCTTCGAGTTCCAAACTAGATTGGGTGCACCAGCAGTATCCGGCCACACACGCATCGATGTAATTTTCCTAGTCTTTATCCGCACTATCCAATATTGAGTCTAGGTAACCAAGATCTGGGTAACTCACACGAAAGTATCCCGAAAAGCATCGCGAATTTCTTCTCGCTCTTTCTCATCCAAGGTCCAGAACAGAGAAGCCTTTCCGGTATCGTCACCTAGACGTATTCCAGGGACAACCTCCCAGGCATAGTAAGTAATATAGCCGCCAGGGACTAGCCCTGAGCGGTCTTGTCCATCCTCAAGATATCCGAGAAGGGGAGGTGTGAATGTCGACCCTTCTTTAGTGAAGGTCAAAAAGGCGCGAAATCCCGAGGTTCTCAAGCTCGTGGCTTCCTTCGCCCGAACAGTCGAGTTTTCGAGTTGTGTCTCGATAGACGGGATTTGCACAACGACACGCATCATAGACGGTCTTCTGGAGCCACCGATCTCATAACCGGATAGCAGAATAGAGGTGTAAGAGGGACGTGGAGCATTTTCGTGCCTCTGGAGGTCGTATTCATGAAGGACTTCGCAAATCCTCCACTTGCTAGGCTGTGGGTGTGAAAGTTTGATGACCTTGCCGACCTCGATGACTGGGCGCATAGGCCCCTGACGGAACCAGGATCTTGGAGGCGACATTCTGCGAGGCACTGTGAAGGGGTAGAGAAAGGTGAGGTTTAGGAAGAGGGTACCGTTCTAAGTTAGTTCCTTGCCGGATATGCCCAGCGTGAGCAGTGGGTCAATTCCGCCTACGTTGACATGACATGCACATGCCCTTTGGTAATACCGCAAGCGCAAGGCCGGACTTCTGGCGTTGTGTTGCAAATCTGCGTTGGAAAAAATTCGGCCAAGAACCTGCAGTCATGTCAGAGTCGAGGGGCTAGCAATTCCTCCAGTATAAGCTGTTCCGACTGATTCGGGATTGGGCCGCATCGAGGGTTCAGGATTGCGGTGAATTTCTGCCAATATCAATGATCACACGCTTCCGGCATTCGGCGTCTTGGCTATTTGAATGTGGTGAAGGACTGGCTCTCTATCATGTCATCGATGAGATGGAGCTTCGAATTAGGGAGCCTTGGAGCCATGTCATGCGCCCCAATCGTGGGTAGCCTTGGAAGAGACATGTCAGGATGATGAGTGAAGATGTCTTGCTGCTGCTCTAGACGGGCAGGGAGGGCAGGAACCTGTCTGGCACTGGCGACTGAGTGTCGACAATCAAAATCCTATCAGGACTCACTCACGCGAGCTGGAGTTAAGTCAAAAGAGTGTTGAAGTAAAGTTGAACTCGAAAACCACTGCAGGAGATCGTTTGATGTATGCTTGGTTTGGAGAGCTGATAACGCCGGATAAACAGAAGACGGTACTCGGACTACACCCTCACACCAGACCTCGTAACATGACTATCGCCACTATCTCCAGACAGCCGAGGTCAAAAAACTAGCGGTCAACTTCACTCGCTACCCTGCCGACCAGAGGCGACCACCGACCCGCCTCGGCAGTCTGAGGCGATTTGCAATCTACCACGATGGACCCATCCTGTCTCGCGGTGCAAGTCTCTCAAATATCCTAAGGCCTAAGAGCCCCAATCGGGCAGTGCACCACACTGTAGAAGATGGATTCACCCTGGCGGCGTGGATCCACCTGTGGGAGATTCACGGCACCGAACCTGAACCACAGGCCGCTGTCCAGCAAGTTTGGCCTTGGGGGCCATAACCGCGCACCTACCTGACACCCAAAAAAGTTGGAATTACTCCTGCCTTGGAATTACTCCTGCCTTCCTCTCAAAAATAGAATCGTTGTTTAATTCTGCGTTCCTTGGTCTGCGTGATTTGTCTTCATGGTTGAGATAATTTTCCATTTACGGCGATATCTCGAGGTTTGAAATTCTGCCCCTCTTCACAACTTGAAATCAGCCGTCACCATGAACACCACCCCGGAACAGATTCTCGACATCGAAGATGCTCTCGTTTCGGAGGATAACCCAGCGCGCGATGATGGCACCCTCGACTATGAACGCTGCGCGAGATTACACAACTACCTGGTCGCATATGCCTGGGATGGCCCGTAATGGAAGAGACACGCCCGACCTCGACGCACTTGCCAGCCAGTCATGGTTTTTCAACGAAGCAAAGGAAGATATTGATGCTATTCGCGAGCGCCTTGACCCGTCGCTGAATTCATTCCTGGATTTAATCTACGATCCAGAACCACAGTTCTTCTACTGGGTTAACAGGGTTGTAATGCGACTCTCCGACGAAGCATTCCTCCTCGAGGATAGTGATCTCGAGGATGAAGAGCGATTTGTTGTGATTTACGACACAGTTTCCGCTCTAGGCTCCCATTGTCTTGGTGTTCTCTATGACCAGCAGTACCACCGGGCCTCGTTCCCGTTGACCATCGAAAACCCAGACAGCGTGGAGCCTGTCGATGAACACGAGGGTATGTGGTTTCCCTTGGAGACCATTCTCACTCACTGGATTCAAATGCTCCATATGGGTAAAATTACTACCGATCCACGGAATGAGAGAGACGTGCCTGCCGACGAGGCTAAGTCGAGATCGGCAATCGGGTTATGGTTTTGGCATCCCTACTGTGTTGCCCAGGTCGATAGCACGGTTGCTGCGATGGATCGCTACACAGCTGCCATCGAATCTCATATACAGTCCCTTCTACCAATTGCTCGTGATACGCCATTGTTCACGGATGCAGAACTCGATATGGCCTCTGTGCCGAAGGAATGCTTTGTCCGCCCCGTCCTAACCAAAGTCAACACTCCGCGTTTCAAACTGATCGCGCCCGGGCTGGAGGTTCCGCACGATAAAGTAGCATTCGCAGCGCGTCAGAGATTCAACGAGGAGGGTCGAGGCAAGGACGTACCGTCGTTCCTACTCTTTGCTGCTTCAGATAGTACTCGTACAGCCTTTTTCAATGAGGAGATTCGGCGCTTATTCTTCGGAGCGAGGAATAATGTACCACTAAACGAAGATGATTCTGTTCCCACTGGATTATATAGTGAAACTTTCAATCGAGACGAATACGATGCCGAAGAATCGGGGTTTCGCCTCCTGCTCCCATTTGCTCTGAGGCCTAATCTTGCTGATGAGGATTGTGCAAGGAGGAGTGATGGAACGCGAGTATCCTCCGGATCCTTCACAGAGCTTTTTCAGCATGGTGTTTTCTACCCCTTTGGCGGAGAGCACCGAGCGCAACGATTAGAGAGGCTAATTGATCGGTGGACTGAGCTGATCGAAAGTGGTGTATGGACAGTGGGTAGAGAGGGCGTGGAAGGGGAAATCGATAAATTCCAGGATGCCGACAACGGAGCCTGGGAGGATTATTGGATCGCCCCATACTGGTGATAATACTGTGATCTATGTACCTGGCAACGATAGTCACGATGGATAGGTAGAAGAAGCAGAAAATGAATTCCAAGTATCAATGCATCTATTACGCACAAGCACCAATGTCATGTTCCCCTGCGAAATTTGGGACCACATCCGCCATTGGCACGAATATATCCTGATGTCAAGTCAGCACCCGAGTAGCAGTTCGGGGGACTGCAGTAATCATTTCCACTTCCACAGTAGCCGCTCGTCGAGCAGCAAGTACCAAATTGTGTTCTTATGCACGTCTTATTGCCAGCGAAGTTGGGTCCATTGACTCCCTTTAAGTCATTGATTTCCCGTCCTTCAAATGGAGCCGTAGTTAAATGGAAATGTTTGTAGAAGATGGGTTCACCCAGGCATTGGGGGAGGGGGGGCGTGGATCCACCTGTGGAAGTTCACAGCGGCACGCCGTGTATCGACCCATAGCATTAGATCGGGAGGGTCAGGAGGGGCCCTTTCTCAGCCAGATGGAGTCCGATCCCGTCCAGAAGGTTCCGCAGTGCATTGGGGTGGCGCACGGCAAAGAGGGCCCGAGGCCAGCCACGATCGACATCCCTACCTTCCTAGAACTATAGGGTATTCTGACGACCCAAGGCTCCATTTACCGCTCAATGACGCCACCGAGACAGATGAGCAGAGGGATCGTTGAATTACTATTTCATGGGCTATTCAATATTGGCATGCTTGCTAGTCCAGAATACTTGGCCATTTGCCCTCACTGGACGGCTATGCGCAAATCTATGGCATCATGTGGGTGCCATGCTTTGGCGGTGCAATAGCACACCCGCTACTCCGTAGTAGGCCTGTACATTTGTGTACGAGACCCACTGCCGCCACCCAGAGCTTGGAAGCCGCCTGTGGATATACAGCAGTAGCAGTACGGAGTAGGAGAGGTTCGTTCCTGACCTATACAAGCTCATCTCTATCGGACCACGAATCCGCGGAAATAAGCAGAGGGTGGAGCCGTCGTGAGATGGCGTAAGCCGCGGGGGCGTTCTCAGTGGGAGGCAACCCAGCTGAAGGTGTGATTTAGTTGAACTCAATCGTGGCCTCTGACTTATTCGTGCGGTCGAAAGGGGCCCAGTGGAGTGATGGGACCACTCCAGACTGGGGCGGCAGAGATTGGGATTGTCGGGCTGATATCGATTTAGTGCGCGGGGATTCCGGAGTCCTGCCAGGGTTTCGGGGATCCTCGTGCTGGTCCCACCGTTGTGGGAAGGGAACTGGAAAATTCTACGTGCGTTAAGAGAGCCACTACGGAGTAAAGGGGAATTTATGGAAAGGGTTCTGTGAGGCTACCGTTGTGGACGTTATTGTACGACATGATCGCCGGAGTAATTGGTACGCAGTCCATATGCACCTACTGGGCGTACATTGCCGCTATCGAAGAATATCAACAAAAGTCTGTTTTCGGGTATAGCCGACTCGATCGATGATGCAAATGGCTCGCCCAAGCTCGAGGCGATCGATCTGAGAAGTGCCGACTGGGTGGCTTGCTCCTAGCCGGAAAATTAACTAGGGCCGGTGCATCCACCGCTCGGGCTGAGTTTTCCCCTTGAAATGATTGAATTGGGCTCCCCTGCCCATCATCTGCCACTTGCCCCTGGAGCCAATGAGACTCCGCTGATTCTGGGACAGGGACCACCACGTTCGTACGGAACGTGGGCGGGCTGTGATGATCCGCAGAACAAGTAATGATAATCGGGGGAGCGGACCCTGGGATTTAAATTAAACGCGTTACCGGACTGGGGCTGGAGGCCCCTAAGGTCCCTTTCGAGTCCCCTTGACGCGCTTTCACTCGCAGGACGGGATAGAGTGGAGTCACGAGGGTACCCCGGCCCTAATTGGCCCCGGGGCTTTTCCCTGCCCAGCTCTTTGGCATCAAACCTTAACCATGAATCCTGTCGGCATTTCGCCTGGAGGGGCGATGGGAAGCGCCGATCTGTTTATGCACGCGTTTCTTTCTGAACCTGTTTGAATTGACCAGAGGAGGCCCTCCCCCAAGTTACTCGGCCAAGTTCTTCGAATCTCCTATCCTGACTGACACTCGCTCTGAGCGGGGGAATTCCCCTGCTGCCATGTGCGTAAACCCCTGATGGTCTCCACACCAAGCAGATCACGATATTCCTACTGTAACTCAGAGCTGCGGTGTCGACTTGCCCTCTACCGGCGGAGCGGAGCAGCGGAGCTCCTGCTATACCCTGAAGGCTCTGGCCTGAGCTGACGATCGGCGGCATTATTGAGTCGGAACGGAGATATTCGGTTCTGTTGGGCCCCATATAAGCTCGCGCGCCAGCCATAGCGCGCGATAGAATAGCGATAAACCTAGAGCCCCATTCACTGGGGTTCCACTTCGAGGGTGCGCCTGCAGATCATAATTTGGAGATCTACTCTTGGCCTGCGTTGACCGGCAGAAGGGCGGTGATATCCGGTTCGATCATGATGACATGGATCATTCCATCGATCCATGTCTTGTTTTTCTGCGGCGATTAACTTTGGCTGAGTCCGTGGTGATATGACCATCCGTTGTAAATCGTGTGGATAGGGCTGCTTCTGGGTGATATACATAACCTTCACGGACCAGAAACAGAAAGCATGCGCAGCATTGGGCCCATCTTGCTAGATAGCTTCACGGAGGTGCCTCGCAAAGTCCACTGGAGACCTTGTTATGGACTCCCGGGGCTCCAAATCGACGGATTAGGTTTGACACACTGGAGATAGTAGTCCCACCGAAGTTGCAAAACTGAGAAGCTAACTAGGAGGAATGGTGCGGCGCCTGCGACACGGTGATGACCCGCCGGGTCTATTGGATCATTGGCTAGCTCCAGAGAAACCGAAACTTGATCCCAAAGGGGCGACGTAGCAGTTGGTCATCAAAGGAGAAGGGTGGATGAGCTAGGAGAGGGCCTGTATAAATGCGACTGCTGCTGCTGCTGCTTCCATGATACATTCACTCTTTTACACACACCTCAGTCACTCCCTTGGATCATTCTCGCTCCAGTCATTCTTTTGAAATATCCTTTATATTTTATAATACCCTCACAATGAAGGTTTCCATTGCTACCCTCCTCACCCTGGCCGCTGCCGCCGCCGCCGCCCCTACCTCCTCCTCCTTCGCTGGTCTGTCCGGTGTGACCTCTGCTCTGACCAACGTTGAGGGCCTCGCCTCCAACCTGGGCCTCGGTGACATCACCAAGCAGCTGGACCTCTCCAACCTCCCCGTTGTCTCCAAGCTCGGTGACCTCACCTCCCTGCTCAACCTGGGCAGCTCCAGCACCGGCAAGGCCGGCACCCTCCCCATTGCCCAGAACGGCCACCTCGTCCAGGACCTCGGCCCTGAGCTCAACAACGTCCTGACCATCACTGGCCCCAACGTCCAGACTCTGCTCATCGAGCTGAGCCCTGAGGTCACTGCCCTCGTCTCCGGCCTGGGTCTGCCTGCCCTGGGTGTCCCTCTCGGCAGCATCGTCGCCTCCGCCAGCTCCCTTGGTGACCTCGTCACCGGCCTCGGCCCTCACGTTGACGGCCTCGTCACCGTCGTTGGTGCTGATGTTGGTGCCCTCCTGATCTCTCCTCCCCCGAGGTCGCTGGCCTCGTCTCCGGCCTTGGCCTCCCCACCGTCGGCATCCCCGTCGGCACCGTCGTTGCTACTCTCGGTACCTCCCTGAAGCGCAATGCCGCCCCCGGCGAGATCGTTCAGGACCTTGCCCCCACCGTCAAGTCCATCCTCACCGTCACCGGCCCCAACGCCAAGCAGCTCCTGATCAAGCTCTCCCCTTCGGTTGCCGCCCTTGTTGACGGCCTTGGCCTGACCTCCATTGGTGGCTCCGTTGGCTCCGTCATCAAGACCGCTGGCAACATCGGTGACCTCCTGACCGACATCTCCGCCCCCGTCGAGCAGCTCCTCACTGTCACCGGTAACGACGGCCAGAAGCTCCTGATCCAGCTCTCCCCCGAAGCTGCCGCCCTGGTCGTTGGCCTCGGTCTGCCCTCCGTCGGTGTCCCCGTCGGTGCTGTCGTTGCCACCCTCGGCAAGAACCTGTAAATTATAGATTAAGCATCGGCGCTTTTTCTTTTTGAACCAGGCCTTTATTTACGCAGCAATGGAGAGCGTTTTGGGAGCCTTGTGAATACCCCCCTCGCAATTATCTTGTGCAATTACTGGACACCTAGAAAGGTGATTTCTTATCATGAATTTCTGAAGACAAAAAAGTCTTCCGGTCTGCCGCCACCATTGACATTGATATCTCTGTTCGGTCAATGACATTATATCTTCTAATGTTCATAGAGATCCTGTGCTCTACAGCCTCAATACTCTTGATATATAATCTTCTTTCGTATAGACAATGACATGTAACTCTACCTAATATTCTTGCATTATGTCTTGCGCTCCTGTTACTGTATAATATTGATTAACACTACCGCCTCGTCGGGAACATTGGGTCTTTGACGCATAATATTCCGTGTTCTGCCGTATTCTATTGCTGGTAATCTTAAAAGCAATACAGGATTCAGGCCACCCAAACCCCACTACTGTTGAGTATTGCGATTCTTCTTCTACTCGGACAGAGCCCATTTCGCCATCCATTCAGATGCCAGAACCTGCTGAGCAGACGGAGGACTCTCCGACCTGAAGGAAATTTCGCATAGAGCACCACATAAAGGAAAGAGCATCTCGTTCGCTAGAGTCCAGCGGCAAAATCCCTGCCCCGATTTGCAGTTCCCTGCACGCATATTCCAAAGCGGTTCTTCCATGATTGATATAGGGATTGGGATCGGTTACTTGACTCTCTATGCTCGGTGGCCCTGTCTCGAACTGTTCTGATATTTTCCACCGTTCAGGTGGCAGCAGGCCCAGTGCACCAATTTGCTCACAAGCCATATCGTCTTCGTTTCTTAGAAAGTCTTCACTTAGTGATCTTTGGGCAATCAGATCCTAGCTTCTACAAGGGTGACATTTCCGCTTTGCTCCCCCAAGCTATATAGGTAAGATACTATATTGTGGGCCCCCAGCAGGAGCTTTGGCTGTCTAATCAGTGGACTGGCTCGACTACTCGCTCTTCATGTAGCTCATATAACATTTCAGTAGATCCATGATAAAAACCATCGTTCTGCGTATGTCCGATGATTGCTGTGGCTTCGACAGTTGGGACAACACGTTGACCTCCAGGGGCCTGGCCTAAGGAGCAAGGAGCATGGAGTTACCATGCTTGGCTTATCCTACACAAGGCCTTGTGACCATGGAATGAAAAATGAAGTTAGCATATAGAGGGTCTCTTAGCCTTGTCTGGCTGCTCAATACGTATGGAAAGGCCGGTGAAGGCCGGAAGGAGGTGCGGGAATGTTGACAGTGGTCTGCGGTGGACTTTCTTGCCGGCGCTCGGATCCTCATCAAGGTGGAACCCTCGCTAAATATACAAAGTCCCGCCGGTATGGATATAGAAATGGCGATAGGTAAAGAGCCAAGGAAAGTCACGGGCCATAGGAGACTAGCCTTTGGGCTGCTCAGTGAGCGCCTTGGAAGAGGAGGGCAATGTCTCTTGATCCAAGCCCGAGAGCTCCACCTCACTCTCAGGTTCTTGAACTTCCCCGGGGACATTTTTAGGAGGCCTCGGAACACGCATGCCAGAACCCGAATCGGTGCCAACTGTAACAGGTCAGAGATATTCGCCCAAACATGAACCGAACAGCTTGACTCACAAAACGTCCAATAACAATACTTGCTAATGACAGGAAACCAGATCGTGATCGCGACAATCTGGCCAAAGGACCAGGAGCCAAAATCAATAAAGCCATAGTAATAAAAAAAGGCGAAACAAACCACATCGAGGAACGTGCAGACAACCAACAATATCTCCACGGCAACAGTCAGTACCTTCGGCCCAACCCGCACGAAGAGGCGACTGCCCCATTTCGAGTCCATCACCCGTCTGATTTGTCGATGTGGCCGGGCCAGAAACAGCCGGCCCAAGGGCGTCTCCATCAGCGACAAGCGGACCACCACCCACCCTGCCCACGGACAAAGATAGACCAGGCAGGTGATGACAAACACCGCCAAGCAGAACGGGTTCAAAAAATGATAGAAAATGCCCACAGGCCCGTAAGCATCGTAGAAACTTGGGCTTGCGCACCAGATCAGCGGCGGCACATGGTGGCCGCAGCTCTCCGGCCAAGTGTGGTTCTCAATCGGCACAAGCTGCTTGATCGTCGGCGCGTGGATAGTCCACGACATGGCGACCTCGGCGAGAATCACCGTGCCAACCGATAACACAAAGATCCACCGTGGAGTGCTGTGCATTTTCTCCAGACTCCACATGCCCAGGACGATGGGGAAGACGCCCGCGGTCGACACCATGCCCGCAACGCCGTTATTGGCCCAGAGTTGATGCAGGGTCACCGCGTCGAAGACCTTGTTGGATGTCTTCGTCATGAGGATGGCGGCCTGAGAAGCGATCATGAAGAAGCACTGCGTTTCTTGGAATTCGACGAGCGTGTGCTTGAGCGCCACGTTATGCAGTGATAGGAAGGCTCGCGTGCGTGCCATGATGCCGTTGGCTGGGCGGCGGGCGCGGGATCCTGTGCGGTGCCGCTGGAGGAACGTGAGCAGGCGGGGGAAAGAGGCGGAAGGTGCGGAGGAGGATCCAGAAGTAGACGATGACGATGATTTGCATGATGTAGGAGATGAAGACCTGAGAAGCGTCAATTGGCGGGGAGAGATCATGGACGACTCGGGGATATGGGGCTTACTCCTGGGCCGGCGAGATCAGTGTTAACCGTGCTGCTGACTCCATCGCACACATCGCTGGCGAAGTACTCGTAGCCCCAATTTTCCAGGGTATAGACGGTGAAATTCAGCGTCGTCGATCCGTTATTGAAGCCCACGCACCCGCCAATATCGGGGTCCATATCCTTGCAGTAGTCCCTCAGACACGTCTGCACGACGCTGGTATAGTTACTGCCCGGGGCTTGGTGATAGCCATCGTAGCAAGAGCCGAAAGTAGTAAAGTTGGTGAAAATAAACTGCGGATCCTCGCACTGCGATGCAAGCATATTCGTTGCCATCGCGAGAAGATCGATCTCGCCGTATACCAGCGCACTCGGAGCAGAAAGAAAGAATCAACCTCGATCCTGCCGCCGAATCCTCATATGTCAAATATAAGCAGCATATTGATTTGATCCTCACCCTGGCGCCGAGCGGCTGATAAAACACGCTTACCCCACTGGGCGGAAGACCCTTGCCAACTCTCGTATTTCAGTCTTCTTAGGGCTGACAAAAGTGGCGGGTCCGCAAGGCTGCGTTGCGCCAGGCACGCTTGGGCATGCCTCCGTCAGCAAAGAAGGCTTTTGCAGAATGATGATTGGGTTTATCGAGCCGCACCCTGCCAAACCGCCCCCAATCGAGGCTCCACACCAGCCAGCCTGATCTCTTTTAAGTGATCGCAGGGCCAATGGGCGTGCTGTGGGAGGAACTAAACGTCCCGAGTTTGGAGGGGGGAAGAAACTATGTTGGGACCGGAGAGAGTCCGAGCTGGGAGGGCGCTTACCCTATGAAAGGACTTGGCGAGGGATCAGGGCGAGGGAATTCCCAATTTTGAGATTCAGTACAGAGTACTCCGGACAAGGCGTCGAAAGGAGATAGGATATGACCCCATTCAGCTGGGGAAAAGGGAAGCAGAGATGAGGTGAACAAGATATAAGCCGAACCATTTTTCCAAATCAACATCGCGGAGACAGGCATCCGCCGAAACGTCATGAGTACAAATTTATCCTAAGTGATATCCCGAATACCCATTGCCCGCCAGCGGTGCCTGGGAGTACGCCCCCTGATGTGTTACATAGCCCGCCGAGGCGGCGCGGAGCATCTTCGCGAGTGGCGCAGAGTCCCGCTCAAATTCGTCCAGCGGCGCTCGAAGATCCCATTTCCGCGCGGAGTACTGGAGGAGTTCTCGCACATAGGTGAGACAGCGGATCGCGCGGGGGCGACAGTTGATCCGGTCTTCCTCGGCCAGGATGGGCGGGTCGGGGGTGCCGGGTGGAACGGGAGGGGGACTCGGGAGGGTGGGGCTGAGGAGGAACTCAAAGTTCTCGATCAGAACCTCGACAAAACGGCGGCCCACTTGTTGGACGCGGGAGATATCCAAGAAGGTGAGGAAGGGCAGGACGCTCGGATTCTCCAGCACTTGGTGAATCTGGCTGATGTAGTCCATGCAGCGGTCGAAGAGGAGGGCTTTGTTATAATCGCAGAGGAGGGGGTATCGGTTCGAGGGCGACAAGAGGATAATGTTGGTATAGAGGAGTTCGAGGCGGTACAGGAGGGAGAAGTGGCTGGGGGCGTTCTTGGGGCATTCATGGAACCACTCGCGGGCTCGGAAGCAGAGCGTCCATATTTGGACGAGGGGTTGGGGGGCAGGTTCACGCGCGCTGTAATACATGTCCTGGTAGCCCGTTGATAGGATGTTGCGGATCTTGACGATATGCAGGGCCGGGATAGGGCTTCGCAAGAAGATATGACTTTGCTCTGTGGTCGAGGTCGATGCGCTGGTGGTGGGTAAGGTGACGTTCACGGAAGCATCGGAGAAGGAGAACGTGTAGTGGAGCGCAGTACTCATTCCTCTGGAAGCTTGTCAGCATACTTTCATCCGCCATATTGGAGGGCCCGGGAGCATACCGGTCCAGACAGTAGAGGCAGTGGAATACACGCCGTCGAACGTCGAGACGGTCGGGATTGGATAGCACTTCTGCGGGAGGGTCTTGGTGAAGACCCAGGTCGACCGCAACCCTCACGGCCATGCCCACCAGGTACCAGCTACGAAGCCGGCCTGGATCCACCAGCGCATACTGAGCCAGAAGCAGGATTGCCTGGATGCACGTGATAGAGCCCGGGCGCAGGACATCTTCGGCATAGGTCAACGCCTCCGATACCAGCCCCAGGGCTCGCTGGTGACTTTTATCATTGTTTCGATAGGAGACCGATGCGGAGGCAATCGCCAGAACCATGCGGACAGTCCAGTGGTCAAAGGGTTTGGCAAAACGACCACCGGACTGATAGACCGCATCTACCGAGGTCCAGAAGCTGGTTTCGATGAAGAAGGGCAATTGCACAAAGACGTTGTCAAAGTAGTACTGCAAAAGCGGCGTGGCCTCATGCCGCGCAGGCAGAGAGTTGAGGACAAGTGGTGGTGGATATCCCACCGTCGCGACCGCGAGCAGCAGGTTCGCAAAGGTGGTTTTGGATGTGATGCCATGGAAGTCGCGTGAGGTCGCATTGACGGACAAGAAGCCGAAGTCACCAACGAGATCATCAATATCAGAGACCTCCCGACGATGGGCTGGACCGACCGGTCCATCTGAGGCGGGCGAGGTGATGGACATTTCCCGCGCGATGCCATTGCCCTCGACCGACAGCGAGCTCTGGCGGTTCCGGAGCTGGGCGATCTTTTTCTCGAGCTTCTCACAATAGCCCTCGAGCGAGGCGACATAGCTCCGTTCCTTGCCCTTGGCAAACTCGTCGCTGGCGCCAGAGCAGGTGCTGGCCTTGCCGACCTTGTCACATGCCGAACAGGCGGGGAGCTTGCCGTCGCACTTGATTTTGGCGGTGCGACAGCGCGAGCAGGCGGCGACGGGCCGGCTGACTTTCAGCAGTGGGCTGTCCAGAAAGGTGGTGGCCGTCGCGGGCATCCTCACGGCTCGTCATCCACCCTGTTGATAGGGGGGGGGGAGACTGTAGGGGTGTTGGTCAGCGTGGGGTTGACTTCTCGACCGTTCCCGAGGAAATGATGACCCTTGCAGAAGACCGGCAGTGGAGGAGAGGGCCCCCACCGGATCGCCGAACCACAAAAGGACCGCACTCACATGATGAGGTCAAACAATCAAAAGGGCGTTAAAAGGTCACGACGTGGTCGAACACTCTACCACCTCAGCCTCTCCCAACGGTGAGGACCTGCATGAGCTGGGTCGTTAGCGACTGTCAATTGCGCGGCAATTCCACTTCGTCTCAGCCTTACCCGGCGGGATGGAGAGAAAGGGACAAAAATACGTAAAATCTGTCTTTGGCGCTGGACCCCGAAAGAACACAGACGAGGGGCAACGGCTGGAGAAAGTTGCCCGGTGAGGCCGTTCGGAGAGAGGAAATGAGAAGCAGGACCAAACTGCTCGTCCGTGGCACCGCACGGATGCGCGAATCAGTTGATCTCCGACTTGAGCGGCAAATAGTCGGCTCTGGCAAGTCATGTACCCTGTCGGGAGCGTCCACGGAATGATGGTTCTGGACTCAATTATCCCAGTTGAATTGATTCTGAAGGGACAAATGATGATTCCCCACCTCGGCTGGCGACCCGGTTAGCTGTGAGTCCGAAGTGCGCCCTGTAGCAGTGCGTGTCGGAATGTCGGAGTCGTCTGAAACGGTTTTCTGTTCGCAGCCCAAGCCGCCCGAGCTCGCGCCTAACTCGATACCGAGTCATTTGTTCACTAAGAACTTCCTGGACTAATCTGCGCTTCTCTCCTCCCTTTTCAGCTGGCATCGTCCCTGGCTCCGCGTACCTACCATGGATCGCCGCTGGCACTAGCACCTTCTGACCCTCCACTAAACCACACCACCGACAACCAACTATTGTGCCCGGCCGCCGAGCCCACCTTCTTTCCTTCCTTCCCCTCCTCCCCTCCACTTTGCCCCCCCCACACCCACGGCACGGCGCCCATCCGTCGCTTCCAAACTCCAAACTCCGTCGATCTAGATCTGGACCGAGGCTGGCCCCCCTTCATCCATCCTATCCAACTCGCCCAGTCTCTCCGCCTAGTCCGCGGTCCCTTCACTCCGTCTCAAGGTACTAGAGCTCTGGGGTCGCAGGTACCTATACTGTCGACGCCATCGACAGTGCGCCGACTTGCGCTAGTCTCCTCCACTGCCTCTGCCACTGCTGCTTCCCATTTCGGCTGTAACAGACGCATCAGCATGACTGCATTTTGATACGGCCTCGTCCTCCCCTCTCCACCCCCTTGCTCGCCTTTTTTTTTCTTTCTGATCAACCTGCTGCGACCGTGGAACTTCTCTGCTGCTCTCCTCGCTGGTCACCTCCCCGAGAGCCGCCTAACAAGACCATGTCGATAGCGCCAAGGGCACCTGGTGGACCGATCGAACGTGCTTTGGGTGGCATCATTCCGCAACGCCCGCGCATGTGACTTCCCCCTTCCTCTCTGATCTCGCTCCGGGCTTGGGGGTCTCCCACCCAGCCATGACCCAGAGCGTCCAGCCCTCCGTGGGGCAGCCCTCGCCGGAATCCTACTCCCTCGAAGCGCCCGACGGTCGCATCGCGCACACCCTGACGGCCTGCACGAGGTGTCGACAGGTATGATGCAATGAGCAACCCTAATCTCCCTCCCCCTCCATTCCCATGAGCTGTTACGCATGGGAGACCAGACGACCGACTGCGACAACGGAAATGTCGAAAACTGACTACCGGTCTTGTGTAGCGGAAATCTCGATGCGATCCCGGAATCCCTCGGTGTGCGCCCTGTGAACGAAGCAACGCCAAATGTGTATACTACGACTCGACCCGCGACACCACCATTCCACGCACCTATATTGTATCATTACGGGACAAAGCTCGTGCTCTTGAAAAGGAGCTGGCCAAGGCCGAAAAGGAAATCCAGCACACGGCCGATGCAGAGTTGATGGTGCGGGGCGCTGGGCGCATCCGCTTCTCAGACAATGACGAGCCGCGCTATCTGGGCGCCTCCAGCGGCATTGCCATGACCCGCCTGGTCATGGAGATCGCCAAGCAGAACACCGATTCGAAAAGCATCAAAGATGTCGTCCCCGAATTGACCGCCCACGAAATCAAAGCCGCCTTTGTGCAGGAGGATTCGAAACCCACCTCCAAAGTGTATCCCATGATCAGCTCGATCCCGCAGGATAGCCTCCCCCCACGAAACCTGACGTACAAATTGATCGATCTTTTCGTCGCAAAAGGTATATGCGAATACCTTCTCCAGCGCCGAAAGGGGCTGTCATGTGGGTTATACTAACTTGGATATTCAACCAGCACAAGCACTCCTCCCAACTTTACACATACCAAGTTTCCGACAAGAAGCCGAAGAGGTCTTCAATGGCTCCACCGATTCCTGTCACAACTTCCAACTGCGAATGGTCATTGCAATCAGCATGCAGAAACTGAGCCCGGACTATGCTGGCCTAGCCGATAGCTATTACTTGGCGGCTTTACCTTTCTTGGAGCCGACCCTGAAGCACATGGACTTGCGAGCGCTGCAGTGCCTGGTACTGATTGCTCAATATTCGATGCTGACTCCAACACGGACAGCTTCATTTTGGGTGGTCGGTACCGCAGTGAGAATGTGCCAGGAACTGGGCTTATGTGAAGAAGCCACCATTGCGCAATCATCCAACGGCCAGCCCCTCAATCCATTGGAGATTGATATGCGACGACGGCTCTTCTGGATTGTCACCTCCATGGAATTTGGCCTTTCCCATAGCTTGGGCCGTACCAGCTCCTATAGTGTCACCCACGACAACGTGAACGTCAAGTTCTTTGAGTTGGTGGACGATCGGTACATCACGGCGGAAGGCATCAACCCCGACGCAAAGCCCGTCCTCGCCAAATGTATTGCGATTCATTTCTTAAAGATGCGACTCCTCCAATTGGAGGTGCGACGTACACTTTACTTGAACCGATGCGAGACCCCAACGGACGATCAACATCCTTGGTTTGCCCAGATGTTGGGTAAGATCGACCGCTGGGTGGCGACTTGCCCCAAGAATGACGACGGCAGTGGCTTGAACGTGAAATGGTGCGTCCCTACCAGGACTACTGATGGTATGGTTGCTAACGAGATGCGTATCCTTACAGGTTCCAAGGCCGACGAAACACGATAGTCATTCTTATGTACCGACCATCGCCTCAAATCCCCGAGCCCTCGGTCCACGCGGCGAAGATTTGCTATGAAGCAGCGACCTTTAACATCGCCATGCACCAGGAGCAGACCATTACCGGATCTGTGGACTTGACTTGGATCTTCACCCAATCTCTCTTCATGGTGTTCAACACTGTTCTCTGGACTCTTTCGTATCCTGAGATTCGAAAAGAGCATCCGATCGAGGAGGTCCAATCTCATCTGGATATGGCTTTGGAGGTCATAGTATTCGCAGCTGAACGGTGGCCTGGTGTTCAATCTGCCCTGATCCTTTACAAGCGCCTCGTTGCGGCCTGTTTGAAGGCGTACAGTACCGAGGAGTCATTTGTGGTTCAGTCACCCTCCAACCATCCCACTCCCACTTCGTCTCAGGGCGTCACCACTCCTCCAGCCATGTCAAGTCCGTCCACGAGTACAACGGCCTCTTTCTACTCTCACAATTACCGTGGTGGTAACCCCTCGATTGGTGATAGTGCCTCGGCTGGTACTTTCTCACGAGGCCCTTCTGCCGACCCAACCGGCCCCCTCTCCCAGGTCTCTCAAGTGTCCACACCTTCGGCGTTTGCTCCGGACCCGCTGAAAACAAGTGGAATTTCTCCCGTCACCCCAGTATTTGGTATACAACCTACGGCTGCAGCTCCAGCCACCGCACCCCAGTATACATCACCCGCATACTGTGCCCCGTCCAATCTCTTCTCCGATGTTTCCATTGACCCCAACACTCCTTACAACGCGATGCCCTCTGTGGTCCCAGGCCTTCAGGGCTGGGATCCGCACTTCTCACTTGCTTCTACCACTGCCAGTCACCTGGCATACGTCGATGCTATTGTGGACCCGATGCAGTGGACATCCTCTATCGGTGACCAGTACTCTCAATACTTCAACGAGCCTTTCCCAGTACCTCCGTGGCGGGAACGTACCCTCAGTCAGCAGGAACAGATTGAGCTTCTGGCGTCTCTGGAGCAGAACATCCCTGACGTATCTGCACAATTGGTTCGTGAATCGAATGCTTGGTATCAGTCGTGAAGGATTGGGCGGATGTAACTGCTGACTGGGTTGGCACCTTCAAATCTTGACGGTAGCTGGGCCAACCGGAAAATTGGCAATTTGTGTTCCTCGTGCGCAAGGCAATCCGGCGAAATATGTTTTCCTTTGTTTGGAATACTTTGCTGTTTTAACTTAAAACTTGGATCGGCAGGTCTCATTTCGACGTATACCTCTTGAATGCTCATGTCCCGGGTACAGGACTAATATAATTTAGCCTTTTATATAAAAAAGACTCTACTAGTAGATCATATACCATGCTCCATTCCTGTCAACCGTTTCAATAGTTAGGTTTCGTCCTTAGAAAGAATTCTAGAAGCCACGTGACAATGAAGATGGTTAGCGATCACTCTTGATGAAGGATTGTGTTATGTTTGCTCTTCACGATGAAACATAAAGAGATAAATCCATTGCTGCAGGCTTAGTGACCATAGTCTAGTATGAACGCCTTTTGGGAACCTTCTACACCCCCGGGGTTTCGCTCAATGAAAGAGCCGGCCAATGCCGTTCTGTCGTGCTGCGGGTTGCATCACCGAAACAGCCGAGATCGAGGCCCGCGTCATGTGACCGACCCGTTTTGCCTCTCCATCTCAGCGCCGTCTTCAACCATTGTCTTGCCCATCCACCACTCACGCCCCCTCTCCTCCGCCATCCCCATCAGCCAACACGTCACGACCGCCAGGAAGGATCCTCTCTCCGTCTCTCTGGAATGCATATGAAGTAGGCCGGCTGTGGAACGACCTGCTCGCCCGCCGTGAGCGACTGTCGACCGTTCGGCTGGGACTTCCATCTCCCTCCCTCCCCTCCACACGCCCAGTGCTCAAGTCGAAAGCGTGCGATTCGGACTCGAACAACCGGTGGAACTGCGTTCCTTTGGTACTGCACGTCCTCGCGGATCACTCCCCGTGTCGTATAGGCGTATCTCATGTCTGATCGCACCCCTTCCACTTCCTTCCCAGCAGGACCGCTTTCACCCTCATCACCCGCTGCCGGGTCTCTTCCCAAAGAGAACCGCCAGCTCCCCGTCTCCTCGGATCACATCCCTCAGACCCCGACATCGCCTCCGTTGATGTCGGCCAGCGATCAAAACCATGTCTCCAACTTTGCATCCTCCCAAGCATTACCGAATCAAGCGACAATCCACCCTCCGCACACCTCCTCTCCTCCCTCTTCCACGCCCATGTCAACCCAGGTCTCTCAGCAGCCGACCATGAGTACGACAAATTCTTTCCCTACTCCTGAAAGCAGCGTGAGTGGCCATCTGGCGAATGCGACATCAGCGGAGGACGCAGATCACAAACCTTTCCACGCGGGAACACAGGACTCTCCGAGAAATATGGGGGACGGATCAGATCACCAAGCGACAGAACATAGACGAACCGACCATGACCGGGAGCCTTCAGCGACCGCTTCAGCAGCAGCCGGGGTACGCGACTTTGCGACTGGCCTTGGTCAAGACATGGACGCTATGGACGTGGACACAGAACGCGCTCCGCGGGGCGACACACGCAATCTTGGCTTAGATTCCCTTCAGAGGGAGTTTACTTCGGCTTTCCATCTTTGCAAAAGCTGTAAGAATTCCCCGACTCTGATCGTGGTTGCTATCATGGCAGCAGTGTGATTGCACTGATCTTGTTTGTTTTACTCTGGGAAATGAACCTTGTTAACACCATGTTCTTGATTGCTTCACAGCGCCTATTGCGACTGGTCCGGATCCCTCATGGGACCTCATTTCCCTTTACGGGCTTGGCTCGGTTGCGCAATCGGTTGCAAGAATCGACCCCGTGACGGGCGAGAAGATCAATCGGTTACGAAAATCATATGAGGGGAAAGCGAAGGCGCTGGGATTGGCAGGTAAAAACAAGCCTGTCAAGCAGGAGGTAGCCGCACCGGGCAGCTTGCGGTATCTTTCGCTGTGGCCGGAGGAGGAATGGCAGAACCAGAAGGTATTTGGGAAGCCGATCAAGATTGCAGACATGGACTCTGCGCTGCTCAGCCTTCAAACCAGTGCTATGCAACTGCAACCTGGGAGTGTTCCGAATAATGACTTCTGGGAGGACGTTCTCGGTCATGAGAAGCCCGCCAAGACCCCGGGCTCTGGCGATATTGCTAAGAAGGCTGGGCCCACTCCAAGTGGCCGATCTCCCATGCAGGCAGATATGCCTCTTGCGGCCTCTCAAGAACCCGCCGAGCGGGGACGATCCAGCCGCGGCCGTAAGAGGCACTACGATGATAACAGCTTTGTCGGCTATGGCGAAGGCTACGCGGATGACGATGATGACACCGGTTTCTACTCTAATGGCGAGGGCTCCGGGAAAAAGAAACGGAAGAAGGTTGGGTTCCACAAACTATTCTCGGTGATTCGAGAATTTCGCGAACTAACCGTTTCTTATCAGGACCATGTTTCCAAAGTCTCGACCCCGCTCTCCGAGCGAGGCGGTAGCTACGGGGTCGGTATGTTTGGCATCGGTGCCAGATAAGACCAATTCCCATGAGATCCAAAAAGCAGTTTATCTGTCCTTGACCTTTCTTTGAGGTTATGATGCGATCGATGGCGTCGGATTGGTTCATACCAGCTCAAGCCACAGGTCTTTCATACGCCCTTGTCTTGTTTCTTGACACTTGTTTTTTTCTCAGTACATGTTGCATCACGGTGCTGGATATACCCGGCTTCATCTATCGGACGGCGTTCAGGCGGGGGTGGGAAATAAGTATCTCGCCGCGGATACGACTTTATTTGCGCTTTCCCCATCATCACCCCCAGGTTTGTTTTATTTCACTGCTGCCTTTTCTTTGATGTGCTTTTTTCCGAGATTTCACTGCTGTAATGACCGGCCTCGTTTTTGTCGCCTTTTCTGCTACGGGTGTTTATGAGGCTTCTTCCCCTGTTGTTCTTGAGTAACACATCTTATGGCCAGATTCGGTTCTGGACTGGAGAGTGTGCATGTTTATTTTCCTTCTTCGTCCCGTTTTCACTCCATGGGAGGTAGGCTCGGGGAGCCTCGGTTGATAGTTCGCCCTTCTGTTCCATGATTTGTGGATGCTCGGCTTTGACGATGTCAAACCTGCTTCGGCATCTGCGGGCAGTCACCATGGGTTGATCAAATAGATGAAAATATGCAAACTGGTCCGTTCCCTATGCCGTAGGCTTCTGTCACAAGGGGTGTGGATATGTAGATGTGAAACTACCGAGTTCTCCAATGCCGTGGTGCTCAGCCAGCTGACTCTTTTCCATGCCCACATTATACCTAGATAGCTAGAGGCTGTCGCCAAGAAGGGAACTCTTATCAAAGTCAACTCACGTGGGATTCCAGTGGGACAATGTGTTGTGTGCAGCTATTCACACAATTAACGGATCGCGGATGACCATCAGCAACACCCTTCACCTTCTCCCCTCGCAGCGAGTGGAAAGAGACCGATATTGACCGGCTCGCATAGATCATCTCGATATCTCTTGACCGCTATGACTGACACTAATGCCTTTTAGCATACGCGGCAGACTCCACCCTCTCAGCCAAGCCCTACACCCTCCCAGGTACACACGAACCTCCTAGCTTAGGCTGCTAGTTCCTCCGGTGGCATAGCGAACCAAATAACGGCGACACCGATCAACGATGGCTTAACGCCACACTTTGGAGATGGCCCAGGTTCAGCTGCCATGGGCTTTCGTTCTCGCGTTGGCCAGACTTACGTGGCGTCTGGACCGACGAGGTGTCTGGACCGACGAGTCTTCAAGGCACGATGAGACCAAGACAAAGAACCCGACGAACGTCTGGACCCCGCCCAGGTCAGTCGAGAGCCGTGCCTGACTCGGTTCCAATGAGCCTGGACTTGGAACTACACAAGCCTTCTCCAACCGGCCGAGTCTGGGATCACCAGAAAAGCGCTCCCAACAAGCGACGCCGGTCACGCCAATCAACGCTCTGCGTATTCGGCAGCGGTCCGATGCGCCGCGAATCCAGTGGGTCTCCGCGCCCCGATTGGCCCTGTGCGCTCGGCGTTCAATGCCCGTTCATTGGCGCTCTGGCCTTCACTTGCTCGGCATTATTGGCCATTCGGTTGGTCCAGCGTTGCGCGAAGCACTTCGCATGGGAGCTACCGAGCACTGCGATATCAGCAGCCAGAACGGAGGTGGTGGGTAACACCGTCGACGTGTTGAGCCAAACGGAGGACATCGTATTGAAGGAGCACAATCACCATGACCACGGCGACGATGATGCAGTGGCGCTTATGGTGCTTATTTACCTAAAATTGACGGGTGGCAGCCGAGTGGATGTCCACTGTGCTCCTCAGAACAGCGAAGGACGAGCAGCATTACAACTAGACTTGGAAGGGGAATGCCCAGGATGGGATGGTCGGATAGGCTTCAGGCATCTCGACGGTTTCGAGGTAACATGAACCCGAGAAACCAGATCGAGATCTTGACTAGCACGAACACTCCAGTCCTTTAGCCTCTGTGCGCCGAGACCGGCACTTTAGGCACCGCAGCCCGTTTGAGGCTCGTACTCCGTCAATCTCAGCGCCACAAATGCCGACGCTAACATGCACCGCAAGCAACCGCATATCGACCGCGAGATCAAAGTAGGGTCGTCAATTCTAGCGCAATTACGCGTCGATTTGTTCTATCCTGTTTATCTTAGTCGGTGGTGGCTTTGTCTTAGCGTTCGAGGGTCGGGGTCCCCGACCACACTTGCGCTTCAGGATCGAGTGCGGTGGAAATGAGCAGTGATTTGGTTCTTGCCTGACCCAGAAATGGATCCTGTACCCATCTGAACATTCGACGTGGTGCTTGTGGGAGGGCTGACCGAGCAGCTGGGCTTGGAGGTATGCATGTCCTGGCATCTCCAGAACGGGGTCGCACGGCGCGCCCAATGACAGCATCGCTAAGTCCGAGAGGCATGAACTGGCCATATAGCTGGCCTCTTGGGACCGTCCAGGCACAGCCACCTATATCGTCTTTTTTGGTGTTAATTCGAGGACCCTGTTGTGAAAAGCTGCGGGCAGATGTGAATATAAAGTCGGTAAGGGCCGCCTTAGGTCTGAGTATGGACAAAGGAGGACAAAGGAGACTTGGCTCTCTTTTCTTCCTTTTCTTCCTTTTCTACTCTTTTCATTGGACGGAGATCCTACCACAGGACACCATGTCTCCTAAGGCCCAAGAAATGGAAGTTATGCCAGTGTGGAAACCGAGTTGGCAGCTCAAGTGTATATTTGCTGTCGTCGGATTATTGAACTTCGTTGCGGCTCTGGATGCGACGTCGATCTCGGTTTCCCTTCCGGTACGCTATCATTCTCTTCCCTGTTTTATCATCCCTCTTCAATCTCTGTATAGCTAACATCTTCTTTACAGACGATCTCTGATGATCTTGGCGGCACCGCAACGCAAGCCTTCTGGACAGGCACCTCTTTCTTAGTCGCATCCTGCGTCTTCCAACCAATCTTTTGTCTCGCATCTGACATCTTTGGTCGCAAATCTATCCTTCTGCTGGCCGTTGCCGCATTTACCCTCGGTTCAATACTAGCGGCTGTCGCAAATGCATTTACTCTACTGCTCGTCGGTCGATCGATCCAGGGTGTGGGCGGCGGAGGTATCATGGTCCTCACGGAGGTACTCATCGCAGATCTCATTCCCCTGCGGGAGAGAGGGAAGTGGTTCAGTATTCGGTCTGGAACATGGGCGCTGGGTACCGTCACCGGTCCCTTGATTGGCGGTGCTTTCACCCAGTCGGCTGCGTCGTGGAGGTGGATCTTTTGGATCAATCTGCCCTTCTGCGGATTGGGGCTGGTCCTGATTCCCATCTTCCTTAAGTTGCAGAAAAGTCCCGTTCCACTGCGAGAGAATCTTGCAAAGGTCGACTGTGTTGGATGCGTCCTGTTTGTGGCGTCCCTGACTTCATTCTTGATCCCGCTCACCTGGGGCGGCATCATGTACCCCTGGGACTCGTGGCATACTCTCGTTCCTCTTCTCCTGGGCGTGGCCGGACTGGTTGGGTTCGGTGTATATGAGACGCTGGGTGCAGCAAAACCTCTCGTGCCTCTCCTCATCTTCAACAATCAGACCCAGTCGGTCAGCTACGCGGGCACGTTCCTCCACGGCATGATCCTTTGGGCTATCGTCTACTACTTACCGCTCTACTACGAGGGGGTACTGGGATACGGCCCCGTCGTCGCCGGCTTGGCTGTCTTCCCCGAGTCCCTGACCGTCGCACCCATCTCAGTTATCACCGGCATCGTCGCCGCCAAAGTGAACAGCTACCGCTGGGCCATACGGTCGGGATGGCCAATATCTGCCCTGGGATTAGGTCTCATCTGCCTTTTGGATGAGAACTCCACCATCCCGAAATGGATATTCGTCAATCTTGTTGCTGGCATAGGTCTGGGCATTCTGTATCCCACGGTCATGCTCGCCGTCCAAGCCGCCGCAGACCCGGCATACCTCTCCATCTCTGTCACAATGACTCCCTTCTTCCGAGTTCTTGGCCAGGCGGTTGGCGTCGCAATCGGCGGTGTGGTCTTCCAGAACCGCATCAAGCACGAATTCAGTCACCACCCTCAGCTCGGTCAGACGGCAGGCGCCTATGCACAGGATGCGTCTAGCTTGGTGAAGTATATACACACTCTGCCGAAAGATGGTGCAGAGCGTCAATTGATTGAAAAACTGTACGCCAAGTCACTGACGATTGTCTGGGCTGTCATGTGCGGGATTGCCGGATTGGGAATTGTCACGGCTCTGTTCACGAAGGGATACACCTTGAACCAGGCGTTTAGCTCTAAGCAAGGGCTGGAGAAAGCGACGTTTAGTGATATTGAGTCACTTTCAGACCACAACGGTGAATAAGGAGGGCCAAGATGATGGGTAGATGGAGTTGTGATGGGTCAGTGTCTCGGTATCTAGAACGCCGAAATTGAATATATAATCTATGGCTTGTTAAGGTTGTGGGGGTATCTGGGGGCAGCTAGGGGGAGACTTTACTTTTGCCGACTATAATGCTTGGGACTCTTTAGGTTATTACGATACGGAGATACCATTTTTAGCAAATATACTATATACCACCTATTGATCTGCGCCTATTCACGAATCTGTAGTTCCCGTTCCTATTTTGAATCTTCTCTGGGTCTCACACCAACAACATAAGCCACATCAAGCGTTCGACATAATCTTATTAGGGAGTACCTCCCATGCCCCTCAGTATATCCTTCAACACGCCCCAGTGTCTTCTCAAATATCCTTCTTCGAATGCTCCGGCCGATGTGTCGTCTCGTAATCGATATGCACGGAGGGCCCTCTCCATCCATGGATATGGCACGTAGCAAATGCCCTTGGCAAGACGATCTCAAGCCTACATTCATGCTCTGCACTTCCAAACATCCTGGCGCACAAAAGACAACTGGCCGTGTGAGGTGTAGATCCGTCCATTGGGATTTTCTATTCTGTGCCGAGTACATCACGGGGCACCAGTGCAAAAAAATCCCCGTTTAGATACGCTCTGGCTCAATTGATTCTATATCCCAAGTAATAGAGTTGACTATACCACCGCGGATCAATATATTTTGTTGAGCCTGGCACTCAGCCCCGCGCTTTGTGCAGAGCCTCAGGAGACAGAACAACAAGACGCGGGGGTAAGTGATACATCATTTTCTCCAATCAGCGGCGCCTCACTCGCTGGTTACTCAATCACCCCCACCCGTCCGAGCCGCAGCTTCTTAGGTTCATCTGTCCCATCTCGTATCTTCTTTTCTCCCCGCCCTCATACCTTCCTAGCCTCAAATCCTCACTTCCCCGGCGCAACAAGGCCAACGGGCCCCCATTGAAACATAACGCAGAGACCCCGCATTGCTCCCACCCACCATGTCTTACGAGATTGCCCTACAGCGCATCGACGCCGCGCACAGCGACGACCCCAACACCATCACCATCAACGACCGCACCACCCCCTACGAACTCCACTACGCCCGCCAAATGACCCTCTACCTCGAGCGGCTCAATCCCACCGCCGGTCCCCTCCTCCGCCTCGCCATCCGCGCCCAACACCTCCGCCGCTGGGAAATCCCGCGCTCCTCCTACCCCGCCACCAAAATCGGGTACCACTCCTGGCGCGGCGAGCTCCAGCGACGCCAGGCAGCGTTGGCCGAGCAGATCTGCGTGGAGAGCGGGTACAGTGCCGCCGATGCGGCGCGGGTGGGAGCGTTGGTGCGCAAGGCAGATTTGAAGAAGGGGGATGCCGATACGCAGACGCTGGAGGATGTGGCTTGTTTGGTGTTTTTGGATGATCAGTTTGATCAGTTTGAGAGGCAGATAGCCGATGAGGAGAAGATCGTGGGGATTTTGAGGAAGACGTGGGCGAAGATGAGTGAAGCGGGGAGGGCGGAGGCATTGCGGATTGACTTGTCGGAGAAGGGCAAGGCGTTGGTGCAGCGGGCGTTGGCGGGGTAAATCAATCACTATGCGATATACGACGATCTTGTAGGAAGTGGTTCAGGCTAGGCATGGAGGTTATGAAGGCATTGGGTATCTCTGATGATCAGCATGGTTCGTTCTGCAACCACGGGTCTATGTGGAAATGCATGTCTCATTGGATATCGTAAAGAAAACGCCCGCTGATGAGTCCCCAAGCTGGGGACAGGGACAGATAGGCCGTCAGATCATTAAAGGCTGCAGAGTAGAGGAGAGCAAGAAGAAAGAAGAGAGAAAACAAGGCAACCAAACCACCCAAACTCCGGCTATGCTTTTTGGGCGTATAATTTCGCTCCCCCCGCAAATGCATCACGCGCTCCCCGTGTCAATCAGCCGCACCAATGCAATCGCCGCGCCGGCCGCAACGCCGCCGACAAAGCACATCTGCACACCACCCCAAATGCCGGCAACTACATTGTCACGGCCAGACCACCCGCGGACCACACACGTTTTCACATAGCCAAACACGAACAGCGTCACTCCCATCACCCCGATACTCCAGTACAGCGCGGCTATCACCCGCGACTCAATGAAGTACGGAATCAGCGGGATGAAGCCGCCGACGAAGTAGCCAATCGCCAGGGTGAGAGCGCTGATCCATGCCTGATTGCAGTCCGGCGCGGTCTCGCGGTGGTGGAAGGCGAGCAGGAACTCGAGGAGCCGCTCGTGCGAGGAGTGCAGGTCGCGTGTGATGTCGTCGATGGCGGTCGGTGAGAGGCGGTAGGGTGCGAAGGTGTCGCGGACGATGTTGCTGGTTTCCGAGGGATCGGAGTCAATGAGTGCTTGTGTTTCGCGAACGGTGGCTTCGTATGATTCACTGAGAGGGCAATTAGTTCCGGCTATGCTTTCAGATTGACGTGTTGGGGGTGCAGGGGGGCGCTTACGCTTCGCTCTTGGCTCCAACGTACCCACCCAAACCCATCGAGATGGCGCCCGCTGTGAGCTCGGCGAGGCCACCCAGGACCACGACCTTGGTGTTGCCCAGCGCCGACAAGCCTGCGGACAAGGCGAAGGGCACTGTCAGGCCATCAGAGAGGCCGAGGATGGCATCGGAAACAATGCGCGGGTTGATGCGTGAGCGCGTTGTGCTGCTGCTGCTGCTGCTCTCGCTTCTGGAATCGTCGTTGCTCACTACGCGGCCAAAGGTATTATAGGAGCATTGCGATTCCAAGTCTTGGTCCGAGTCCCCACGGATGGTCTCTTCGTCGTCGATGCGGGCGAGGAGCGGTTTGCCTATGGGAGGTATGTTAGCCTACATCATTGCAACTGCGGTGTACGAAGCCCGCAAAGCTGGGGCGACTCACTGTGCAGCTTGGTTTCCCGCTCTGGAAACAGCTTCTGCTTGAGGAAGAGAAGGGCCATAGTTGCTGCGGCTGGGCTGGTTCTGTGTTTCTCTGGCCCAGTGTTTCTGTTTTGCGATGTGGAGGAGTCCTTCTATGAACCTTCCACAGAGATGTTGCCGGAGATATCAGCCCGTTCAGACCCGTCGGAGCCGGAGAAAAGAGCACTACCACGCTACGCGTTGGGCTATCTCCGATTGGACAATTCGAGCAGTGGCGAGGCGAGGCTGACGGTCAGGTCGACGATGCACGCCGATATACAAGACAACGATGTAGGGATGGAAGAATAGAGCAAGAAAGGCCCCGGGGAAACCAGCCTTCTTTGCTGAAAAAAGAGGACACGTCTGGACGAGGTGGAAAAGGGGAGAGAGGATCTCTTGTCTCGAGGCCTGCGAAAGAGGACTGGATCAACAGTGGCGTCGTGGAACCGACCACTTCTGGAACTCAAGAGGGTACGGAGTATTGCGACAATCCAAGAATCGAAATTCAGCACTGTAACCCAAGAATAAGTCCCTCCACGTCCCCCCTGGCTCCCAGATCCTTTTAACTCCCACTACCTGCTCACCGGTCTCAGCAATTCCACCAGCAACAGAGCGTTCCCCATCACCTAGCGCAGGCAAAAACCACTCTGGTAAAGGAAAAAAACTGGAGATGATTGCATCCCGAGGGGGTCGTATCCAATCAGCGACTCTTCAAAGGTCAGCGCAGGCCCTCTGGCGAATAACAAGCACATCTTTGGCGGCGAGATGTTGCAGGTCACGACAAATACACCGGCCGCGATTGGGTGGGCGGGGGCTGCTGACCATTGGATCAGCGGTGATTGGATCGACACGCGATCGACGCGGGTGGAGCCCTGCGCGGCCGATGGAATCTGCACGATCCCATTGGAGGCGGTGAATGGCGCGACGCAAGACTCCGTAGGGCTCCCGCGGGGTCGTCACCGCGAATGTCCCGCCTTGGCGGGCTCCACTGCTCTTCTCTTCCACTCCGATGACTTCAGATGCTGTGGTCAATCCTGAATCTCCAATGGGCCAAAAGCTGCCTGTGTCCATCACGTTCAGACGCGACTAACATTCCCCCGGCCGGGGCCAATGGCCACAGTCGACCGTCCTCGTTTCGTGACACAGCAGATCTGGGACGAAATTGGCCGGTCGAGTTCTAGACTCGCACGAACGGCCTGGTTAAAATTTGCGCTGTGGAGACTCGCATGCAATAGCTTCGATCGTGGGTTCCGCGAGCCTGAAAATCTGGAAATCCACACGACGCGACGCTCTTGGCTCTGGAGCTAATTTACATTATCCAAATCTACCACATAATCAACGAAACAATCCACCGATGCAGCACTGAGTGGTTCACATACCAACACTATTTGTTCTGGCAGCATTGACTCCGTATCCCTACATGCCTACAGCGCAAGAACCGTCCCCAACGCACCCGCCACCCTTGCAACTCCCATCACGACGCCTCCCGTGGCCACAGCCCCGCCCCGTTGACGAACTCGTCGCCGTACTGCTACTGTCAGACGCAGAGCTCTCACTAGAGCTACTCGGCGCCGTCGCCGGTGTGATGCTCCTACTCGACGCCTCTGCTGACCTGGCTTCCGCCTGGGAAGGACGGCCGATAGCTCTTAAGTGTGGGCGGCAGGCCCTTGATCCACGCGCTGGACGTCGCGTACCCGCCGACGACCGAGAGGAGTAGGGCTGGGTTGCTCTGCAGCTCTTCCTGCACGGACTGGGGCAGGCGAGTGAAGAATCCGACCTGAACGCGTGCAGAAATGCCGGTGATGGTCCTCATCGACTCGGCTGTGTCGGTCCTCGTGCCCGTAACGAGGATCGAAGCGTCTGTTGCGGCGTCTGCTGCTGAATTCGCGTCCGTGCCGGATGATGTAGCTGCGGCTGCGGTTGCTGTTGCGATGCTCATCTCGCCTTCAGTTATGCCCGGCCTAGGGCTGCAAGAGCGAGACCCGAGGAGCCCGATAGTGGTGAGGGCTTCATGGATGGTGGGTGTAGTGCGTAGTGTACAGTGTAACCGAATGGGAAAGAGTATAGAAGACGGTATGGATTATTTAATTTTTCTTTTCAGAGAGTAGGATGTTGAGAGTGTACTCTATGTATTTCCCTGACAGACGCGCAGTGTCCTAGATCGAACCGGGCGGCAGCAGCACGGCATCAGGATGAGCCCAACCGCCATCATCTGAAATTATCCTCCGCGTTTTAATGAGGCTCAGGTCTTTCACTGCTTTCCCAGCTTTCACCTTTTCGGGGTTGCGTCCACAGCCAATGACGCTAGGCTGTGTTGCTGATCAGGGGATTGCTGGAGGCCATGTAATAAGTATGTTGCTCATACAGATATTCTTTCTGAGGCAGAGTCACCTTGTCCTAACACGCCCACGCCTCCTCCCCCACTATCTGGTCAAGTAATCACCCTGTCCTGCAATAGAAACAGCTGCACGGCTGTATAGCTCGGCAGTGGATCCCATCGACCAGGCTCTGTGGATCCCCTCAGCCCGAGGCCAGGCTCACAGTCGTCATACAGCGCTTAGATATAGTCGAAGTACATCGGAGTACAGAGAGAAAAATCATCATCGATAAGGGGAAGGGGTATATCTGATTTCTAACAATACATGTCCAAGGTGTATCTTTGGGCTCGATCTGTGTAAACTATCGCCCCTCGGCGCGCTCAACCAGGGAGTCTTCCAGGCCCATCGGCTCCCAGACATCCTTGGCCTTCTTATTCTGCACCCACACCACTTCGCCGTGCAAGTATGCCACCACTCCACCTTTGCCAGTGGCACTGGCCGTGATGCGGAATAGAGGATGTCCATTCTGCGGATGTGCCTCGCGCAAAGGCAGAATAATAAGGCCCTGCTCCACGCACCAGTTTTCCACAATGTCCTTGAATGCAATTTCCTCCACGATGGCAGGCTTCGCCTGAGGTGCGGGAGCCGCTGTGCTTGCCGCTGCAGCAGCTTCTGCCACGGCGTCTTCTCGGGTAGGAAGCGCGGTCCGCCCATTTACGGTAGGGCGTGGAAGCTCGGCGGCAGCGCGGCCGCCGAGTTCCGCGGCGAGGTTCATGGTCTGTAGACCCTTGTTCCACTCGTCCTCGACAATGGCCAGCTCGTTGACCCCCTTTGGGATCTGGGTCTGCCACCAGGAGAACCATTCGCCAACCTCCTCATAGTTGGGGTCGTTAGTGAGCCAAATGTATAGGATCTCATGCCACTTCGGGAAAAAGTCGGAGACCAGTAGCAGGCCCATCACGTTGGGTTTGAAGAAGTCCTTCCAACGAAGTACATCCTCGAGTGCTTTCAAGTCTTGGTCTTGAGGGTTCACGGTAAAGTCCTCGCGGAGGTGACGGGCCAGTCGTGGGAGCAGGTGATTGCGCAGACAAACGTCAAATTCACTGCCGAGTGCGTCCCGCCACAGCTCAATGCCGTTAATGAGACCTCGACGCAGACTCCATGTGTCTAATACCACGCGGAACTTCCTCTTAGTATCGGACATAAGACCCGTAGGCTGCTTAGAGTTGGTGTGCCGATCACCCAGATATGGCAGCCATGTGAAGAGCCACCAGGGAAACTTTCCATCCTGCTGAGATGGATGTCGTCGGCTGCTCCTCGGTTTCCACTTCCTCAGGGCTCCACTGAGCTTCGGGACCACCAATTGATCGATGAGGTTTGCAAATACAAAGGATGGAACAATGGGTTTCCAAGCAACGACCAGAGCGGTCGCTACGTTCGGGTCGTAGACATCCCAATCGTTGAGAAGTGCTGAGCGCACTCGTGGTAGCCAGAGAGTGTATATCATTGTTTCGTAAGGCGAGGTAGATGATCGCTGTTGAACTTCTCCGTTCTCGGGCCGGCGAGAAAGAATAGGTTGAAGACGGGTAAGATTGGGCACGAGAAAGCTTGGATCCTGGAGAGGCTCCCACTCTTCCATTGCCTGCCGGAAGAGCGGGTGCATAGCAGCGACTGCTGCTTCTGCTAGTCGGTATTTATCCCTGACGTCATGGTACTTGGACTCCATGGCTTCGATCTTTTCGGTCATCTCATTAAATTTGGATGCAATGTTTTCGTCGTGTTCGAAGATATCCAGCTCTTCCACGGCGGCGATCAGCCCGGTAAGATGATTGACTTGAGCTTGATATGCATCCAACTCGTCCACTACCTGGGCCTCCTCAATCTCGATGAATTTCTTCCTCTCGGTCAATCCCTTCCATTCGTCCGCAAAGGCTTCGAGGTCGGTCCGAGCACGCCGTGCAATTTTGATTGCATCTCCTTCTCCCTGGCTGACAAACTCCTGCGATGCCATCAAACCAGCCGTCGAAGTCAAGACACGTTGTTCCTTTCCAGTCGCATCGATGAGTGACTTGAGGACATTCGGCACTTCGAGCCCTTCCATATCATCCTCTATTTCCCGCGCGGTTCGGAATTTGGGCTTCGGTCGCGGTGCTGGAGTGCCAGTTCCACTCCGGCTTCCCGTCTTGCGCTCCAGCTTCTTCTTGCGCCGCCGTTCTTTCTCTTCATCGGAGCTGTCTTCGATCGACTCGCCTCGGCGCGCAGCTTCTCTTTTCTCTTCATTGCGTGCTTGCTTGGTCTTCTCCCGCACAGCACCTAAACCAGCACCTTGTGGTCGTGCCTGCGCTTCAATCGGGTTGACAATACCCTGGCCGCTCGTACCTAGACCTTGTCCCTCTTTGTACCCCATTTTCGCCATCATGCGCGCGGCGAACGAGTTTCCTCCTCTTCCACCACGGGATGCTCCACCATTTCGGGTAGGCGGCGCGGCGGCCGCTGCGTTGGCCATGTTATTCCAGGGGTTGCGGGCAGCGCTGCCCAAGCCACCCATCGCAGGAGGTGATTCGGAGCGCTCGCGGGCTCTAGCGAAGCCACGGAAGCTGGTGGTCGGGCGCGCTTCTTCATCGTCGGAGGAGCTCATATCGTCGACCTTGCGTTTCTGACCGGCTTGTGACGAGGGTGACTCCATGGTGTTGAAATTGTCACCATGAGTTTTGATCCCTGTCCAGAACAACTCCCTTCGTAGCTCGTAAGCTCCAAGTTGCTGCAAGTAAAGCTCAGTGAAATTCACGTGGGGACGGTCGGCGCGGAACAACCTTCACCCGAAGGACGAAAACAAGATGACGTTAAGCTCGGTTACTTCATAGCTCGAGGTCCCCTCTCTCCCTCTCCTCTCCTTCTAGGCATAATTGATATCACCTTTCACTCCGAGCTCCAATTCTTATCTGCTCACGTATACATCATGGCCGCTCTTCTCTCCACCTCCGCCCGTGTTGCCCTGCGCTCGGGAGCTTCAGCTTCCACCAAGGCTGGAGCTGCGGGCTTGACTTTTGCCCGTGGCAAGGCTACTCTGCCCGACCTAACCTGTAAGCCAGGGATAATCCAGTACCTCCGGGCCTATACCGGTGCAACATTTCATTAGAAAAAAATGTCAACTGACCAAATTCCAGACGACTATGGCGCCCTTGAGCCCTCCATCTCCGGCAAGATCATGGAAATCCACCACAAGAACCACCACAACACCTATGTCACCAACTACAACAACTCCATTGAGCAACTCCAGGAGGCCCAGGCAAAGGGCGATATCTCTGCCCAGATCGCCCTGAAGCCCGCCATCAACTTCAACGGCGGTGGTCACCTGAACCACTCCCTCTTCTGGGAGAACCTAGCCCCCAAGAGCGCCGGCGGTGGTGAGCCCCCTTCCGGCTCCCTCGCCCAGACCATCGACAGCACCTACGGCAGCCTCGATGAGTTCAAGAACAAGTTCAACACCGCTTTGGCCGGCATCCAGGGCAGCGGCTGGGCTTGGCTCGTGAAGGACAAGCAGACCGGCCAGATCGGCATCCGCACCTACGCTAACCAGGACCCTGTTGTTGGCCAGTTCCAGCCCCTTCTGGGTGTCGACGCCTGGGAGCACGCCTACTAGTAAGTCTACTAAAACAATTTGATCATTTGGAATTTCGTTGACAGTCTTTAGCCTCCAATACCAGAACCGCAAGGCCGAGTACTTCAAGGCCATCTGGGAGGTCATCAACTGGAAGGCCGTCGAGAAGCGCTTCACTTAAGTCTTGTACCACTAGAGCGATGGTCTGATTTCTTTGCCTGTATTGTAGTATGCGTCTGTCTATCTCAATGCAGACATCTTCTATGTATCAGTGGACTCTACTTGATTTTAACCACCAGTCATGCGACTGCAAACTTCAGTCATCTCCCTTTCTAGTCTTCTAGATTCTTCCTGCGGCGAGAAGCTAATCTGGAATCGGGATCTGTTTTGTGCGTCGGTATCCGGCAAATAGCACATCATAGGCAAAGTTGCTCGCGATACTTTGATCAAAGTGATCTTTCAGGAGGAAATCCTTCGCGGATGTACATCAACTGCGATTATAGTAGCTCCAGATTGGGAGAGGCTCCCAATTAAATCTTGAATGCTGAACAGCTCGAACCTCTCAATACGCCCCCCGCTCTGGCCGTTCGCTAACAATTGTTTGATTCAATTTACTGATAACAGAAACCAGGGCAAAGTCCAGTCGGCTACATTATTCCTAGGTAAGTCGACATGACAACATTTCAACAGGGTCTTTGACGATAAATCATTCCCCCAATGTATCTGGGCAAAAACTTGCACATCAGCCATCACCTCCGCTGGAATACCGTGCTGGGCACAGCAAAAGTCTGTTCCCTCGAACAAAGATAATCGACTTCTCTCTAGGTAATACCGAAGCTGTCGTTCAGGTAGGTTCTCTTCGCTTCTACAACGAGCCTTACCGCAAAATACGGCAACTCTTCCCGGTAGCCAGCCTTAGCAGAGACGCCCGATTTGGTCGCTAGCGGGACCGTGTGCCGTTTAATTTTGTAGATATGGTAGACCGAGTTGAGGTCTAAATGGTCAAACTTTGTTCAAAGAGTTATATCACCCGGATCAGAGTTATAGCGGTACCTTGCTTATATTTCATATAATAAGTCTCTGCATGTGTTTACAGTAACTTGGCCTTACTGGCCTGGACTGTCATGCATGTCAATGAAAAATGTGCTATTTAAATAAAAAACTGGTAAATGGAAATAAAGAATAGAGACCATGTTTCTTGTCGTGGTGACGTAGATCTCATGAAATTGTTAGTTTTGCTTGTGTTCAGATCAGGCCCACACTAGAGATAGTGCTGATCCGGCCACTATTCCATCAATGAGACAACACTACCCTGGTCCTTAATGAATTTAAATTATCAAGTCTAATATTCTATATATGCATCCTAAACCGGCTATAGGCAGCAAGAAGCCAGGGCTAAAGATGCTCTTAATGGTGAACGCTATGGGAATATTGCATAAATAACTACTCGATAAAAAATGTATATCTAATCAAAATTGTATGACTACCACAAGGGGGAAACCTGATGAATGGGGAAAATAAAAATGGATGGTAAAAACTTGCAAGCTACGATCGCGAGACGGAAGTTGGACCCTTATTGGGTGGCAACTCTATCCGCCACAAGATGCAGGGCCCATTCAATGGCACTTGCCATGCATCGGCTCCATACGACTTCCTCACCTTATTCTAAGATACTTCTTTGACTCAATCATACGTCAAACTGGTCTTGGCCGGTGGCTTTTCTAGTTAATCCGAGAATCGTTCCATTCGTTCTTCCAAGAAATGTCTGGTTATTAGGGTTGTAGTTCGATAGTGACGAAATAGTGGGTCTCTCTTCCAGGGTTACGAACCAAGCTTTGATAGTTCTAGAATTGTATATAAGATAGTGGTACATCTAAGCGGCAGTTTAATTTTCTATTCTGCAGTCTGTATTTCGCTCTTTTTTCTTTCCTGCGGCAATGGAGTCCTCGAACGGTGTTGGCCAGGACAACGAAGTCAAAGGTGCGCTAACGAGATGACGATACAAAATCCACCCCGAAAAGGATGCAAATACCAACTACAGAGCAGATTCAGTGGAGCCGCGTGAATATGAGCCACCGGAAGGCACTCAAGAAGCTGCCACCAAGAGCCACGGGTTGGGCAATAACCCTGACTTCAGTCTGGCGGGCTCTGGCGCCGAAAACCCAGCAAACAATGCATATGTCAGCGAGGATTATCAAGCCTACAATTCTCAATATGGCCAAGTGCAGGACACTCCCGTATGGAGTCTATCACAACCTCTCCCTCATATTGTGAGACCTGGCATGCGCCACGGTGCTCTGCCAGAGGATAGGAAAGAAGACAGGCAAGCTGGACAGGATCCATCCGCACGAGAGAGGCAGGATCAGCCCACAGATCCCAGAAATGATGGGTTCTTTAATACTTGGTCGAAGTTCCGATATCATCTGCGAGAGTCACTGGCTGAATGGCTTGGGGTAAGTGCTTGGACATGCATTCTATGGAAAGGCCTTTTCTAATATTTGCGACCGCAGACAACCCTCGCAATGACAATTGGTCTCTGTGCTAATTTCCCAGTCAGGCTGGATCATTTCCTGCGCAAAGTGCCGCCTGGGGATTCGGATTCATGGTAGCCATCTATACCACCGGTGGTATATCTGGTGGCCACCTCAACCCGGCGATTACAATAGCTCTATCTGTCTTTCGAGGATTCCCTGCTCGTCGGACTGTGATATATATTGCTGCGCAACTTCTTGGGGCCATCACCGCAGGTGGAATTGCGTATGCGATCTATCATGATGCTATTATTGAAGTCGCAGCTGCCGCGAAAGTATCTCAGAGTCAAAGTGTTGCTGCAGAGGCGCTCATTACTGCCCCAAAGCCATTCGTCCATCCAGCAACGGCGTTCTTTACCGAGTTTGTTGGAAGTGCCATCCTAGTCGGCGCCCTCATAGCCCTTGGAGATGATAACAACGCGCCCCCTGGGGCGGGAATGAACGCTTTCATTGTCGGGGTCCTTATTTCAATAATAATTCTAGCATTAGGCTACAATACTGGAGGGTATGCCAGCTCTTTCTCATGAAGTATCTTGATAACAACGCACTAACCGCGCCTCACCATAGTTGCTTCAATTGTGCTCGAGATTTCGGGCCGAGACTCGTTGCCCTCATGGCTGGATGGGGTGGCCAACTCTTCCGGGAATCGCACGCATGGTGGGTTTGGGGACCGTGGGGTGCAGATATCAGCGGAGCACTATTTGGGGCCTTGATTTACGACGCAGTTATTTTCACGGGTGGTGAAAGCCCGGTGAATTACCCTCGACGCCGACGAAAGCGGGCTTTACGTGCGAGGAAGGTAAATTTACGGAAGAAATTGGGAATCGGCCGCAAGAAGATTGAAGATCTTGAGAAATCTGTGGCAGAGCTCGAAGACTAATGGACAGGGTTAAAAGTGCGGGTGAACTTTTGAATTGCTATACATCGATAAATTTGACTCGTCTGCCTTTATATCAGACAGCCCTTCAAAGATCCTCACACCTGGTCGATTTTCCCGCAAAATCGATGTAATAACGGGCTGGAATGAAAGAGACGGGTCTCCAACTATGACAGGAATAAAAATTTCCACATAAAACGCGAGATATTGCTTCGTGATTGGCTTCGGAGGTTCCGACATTGTCCCAAAATCGGTCTCCTGGTTCCCCAAGCCTGCCAGAAGACAATATCACTGCGCAATACTTCTGCGCCAGCCAAATCAAGTGTGGCTCCGCATTTGAATGTGAGATTGAATATCCCTCCAAATGAACGACAAGTGGTCTGACTACAATTGCAAATTAGAATTACCCTGAACCGTCCTGTCTTCACGCCTCTCTACGAGGTAGAACAGACTATATTTTGGAGGTGTCCAGCTCATTAACATACCATTGGAATTCAATCAGGCGGCCGGTAGATACATACAAGTGGCTTCTTAACCGAGGATTAAGTTGGCAACAGAGATAGGTAGCAGCTGGGCCTCTATTGCTGCACTTGGAACCCCTTTACCAGGGCGGGCACAGTTTCTGGTTAGATCGACGCGGTGAGATCTTTTCACACACTGAATAGCATGTATATCATACAAGTCGACAGGGAGCCTGCTGCAGGGGTCGGAGTTGTCGGGAATACACTAGACGGGCGCACGAAGATCTCGCAATGCGCTTTCTGGAAGTCCAAGGAGATATTTGCCCCGGTGAGGGCTTAGAGTGACGTGCGGGATGATCGTTCTTGGCTGGCTGGCTTGGATTTGTATTGTATTATTCATTACATAGACTGTATAAACCTACATCCCTCCTACCAAAGCTGATCTACACCGATCCCAATGTATAAAACGCCACGGTCCCGCCACACATTGTGGCTCACCGGTCCGTGGCGGGCCGTCGACCAATGTGAGCGCGTCACCAAGGGTCCGCTTGGCAACGGCCGGGGGCCGGAGCCTCAATGTAAACCTCGTCCTCGAAAACACCTCGCTCTTCGACCACAGTCCGATCTCACCACCCACCATGTCCGCAGAGAGCCCTGGCCCGAAGCCGGGCTTCCGAGCCTTCTTATCAAGTGCCTTGCGGTCCAAGAAATCGCGCCAAACCCTGCGCAAGGCCAACCGCTCGACGACGGATCTACGGCTGGCCTCACGATCCAGCGCCGACGAGCCGCCGCCACCAATGCCCGCCTTGGCACCGTTGCAGGCCCACCGGCTCAAGTACGAGCAGGCACATGCGCATCTCGACTCGCAATTGGGAGAGTACCGCGACTTTACGACTATGATACACTCGCTGGGGTTGCTGGAGCCGGATGATACATATGGACCGGCGGAGATTGACAACGCGTATCGAAAGCCGGGCGAAGAGGACATTGCGAAGTTGTCGCCGGAGATGTGGAATTACATTGCTGGATTCTTGAACCCGACCGACGCGGCAAGCCTGGCGTTTGCCAGTATCACGTTGTATCGTCGCCTGGGCACACAGCCGTTCATGCTTCTGGAACGGCCGGAAAACTATAATTACAAGATTGACTTTCTCGTCGGGCTTGATCGGTCATTACCCCACCACCTCCTATGTTTTCCATGTGGACGATACCATCGGCGAACGCAAGAAGGCCAAGAGCGCATCAGACCGGCCCACGTCATCAACCTGCTCTACAACTGCCCGAACGCGCAGAACTCCCTCAACCCACCACCGAAGAACCGCATCACCCACGGGCGCATTATGCACTTCTCCTTCGTGCAGCTCACAATGCGCGCGCACCGCTTCGGCCGTGAATATGGCATACAAGCCGAAGACCTCGGCCGCCGCTGGCAACGCGACGGCTGGTCCTTCAGCTCGCGCTTCCTTATCTACGAAGGCCGGCTGCTCATGCGCGTCAAAAGCCAGACCTTCGCGGAGCCAGGCCTAGTTCCCTCAGCGCAGCGACTTCTCCTCTACTCGCGCGAAGACTACTGTCCCTACTTCTCGGCGTGCGCACACTGGCGTGACGGCGAGCTCATGCCCGCCTGCAAATGCGCGCTCGAACACATTCCGAAACCGCGGGACACGGGCGGGCTGCAAGGCCTCGAGCACAAGGTCAAGGACCGGTTGCAGGGCCGGCAATTTGATCCCCACGCGCTGACGTTGCTGTGCGGCTTCTGTCGGCCCATGCGGCGCTGCCCCGAGTGTCCGTCCGAATACTTGATCGAGGTCAAGATCTCCGAGGACAAGAGCAGCCCACGTGAGATTGTGTTCAGGCAGACGATTGTGGTGACCCGCTGGACAGATCTGGGCGATGGGACGACACCGGGTGGGCTGGAGTGGGGAGCCATCAATGGGAAGCGCGATGATTATGACTCATTTGCGCACTATGCGAAGCGTGGCATCGCAAGTATCTTTGAGGCGGCGTTTACGGCAGACACCTTGCCTGGGCAGCGGGTTATTTCGATGAATCCAAACAAGAAGAAGCTTGGGGAAGATGGACATGATTGGTATTAGCCCGTCTTACTCTTTGCTTTTTGGTGTGGGACCACGTGTATGATATCTATGTTTGTTTTTCGGCCTCTTTTGCGACGCGGCGTTTGACTGGTTAAACTGTGGAGTTAATGGGATTGGATGAGGGTGGGACCAGGAAGCAAAAGTATTACAAGCCCACGAAACGGAGGCATGAGAAAGAGACCCCAGGCGTGGTCTCGTGGTCTTTTAGAGCCTTGATTCAATGCGAAGGGGAATTCATTCAACCGGGAGCAAAAAGCAGGGTGCAAATTTAGAAAGCTAAAACTCTCTCGGTCATCCAAAACGTTAAATAATCATCCGAGTGAACAATCGCTTTTTTGAAGTAATCAATACAGAACGCATAGTTCCCTCCCTGAACCCGCAGGGCGACTCTCAATCGTAGTCCAAACTCATAAGCCCGGCCGCATATCAGCGTAACAAAGGAAAGGAGTGTATCAAAGCATCATAGCCGAGGCTTGGACGCGAGTAAAGAGCGACGTATAGTTGGAAACATTCGAATCAGTAACCCGCCCGCATAGGGCGAGTAGTATACAGGCGTGAAGAGGGTATCATATAGGTACAGTTTGTTTCGGGGGTCCCAAGTCACGGAGACTATGAAACAGCTCCGGCAACCAGTCAGTGAGCACGTCAGCCTCTTCGCGATCGCCGTCCCATATACCGCGGCTTCCGGGCCTGATCATCCGAGTGCATCGTCATCTCCGAGCGCGGACGCACGATCGGCGCATCAAACGAATCTGGCGTCTCCGCTCGCGGGAAACCATCCTGCACAAGCCGCGATGGCGCGCGGTTCTCCTTGTTGACGGTTTTCTCAGCCAGCGTGGGGCTCGCAGGCTCCGAACGCTTACCGCTCACGCCCTTCATCCACCCGAAGATACCCAGCGAGCTGCGGCGCTTGTGGTTCTCCATGCTGTGGGATGTGGAGGGGCGGCCGGAGATGGTGGCTGAGAAATTTGGAGGAGCATGGTTCTCCCGAGCTTCCATGAGGGATTGGTGCAGTGGTTTATGGTCTAAGGGAGCATCGAGGTCATTTGCTGTGGGCAGGCTGGAGGAGTAAACGTCTGCGGAGCTAGTGATGGTTTGGGACAAGGGGCGGCGAGGTTTGCCTGGAGTCCTGCTCTTTGGGATGACGGGTGAAGGGGCACCCTCTTCTTCGTCGTCGTCATCGGCGGCGAAGTCATTGATGACTGGGGAGGATTGGAGGCGTTTAGTGTTGTTGGATCGTAAGAAGGTGGGTAGGAAGCTGATGCGACGCCGGGCTTCAGGTGCAGGTACAGGCTGGGGCTGGGTGCCGTCTGCGATGGGGATCTCGACCATTGATTGTTCGAGGATGTCGAGCGTAGTCATGTCCAGGGTTGGGATTTCAGGTCCATCGGGTTCTGTCGGAATAGAGGCGATGCTGTGGTCGTCATGGAAGGCTGCCTTGCCAATGGTGCGTGGGGGTTTACGCTCTTTGCGAGAGCGAGGGCCTCGCTTCGCAGCTGCAACCCAGTCGTTTGGTGTCAGAGGAGGCGAGGGGGACTCCCATTCATCAAATCGCTCCAGTTCAGGAGCGACAACCATCGGGCGAGCCTTGGTAGGGGTTTTATGTTGCTTGACTGTTCGGGGTACGGCTTCGTTGCTATTTTGATGGAAGACGTCGCCAAAGGACTGGACGGATGGATTGTTCGGACTGCCCGGACCAAGCAGCGCACTCGCCTTGTTAGCAACAGTGTTGAAGGGGAAGAAAGTGGGTGAATCGTCATTTGTTGTTCCAAGACGAGGCGTGTCGCTCCAATTCGCCTGCATGCTTTCGCTGCCGTTGAAGCTGCCGTTGAAGCTGCTATTAAAGCTGTGTCTAACTGTGAGCTCATCTGCAGAACGATGACGTTCAAGGGGTCTCCCAGCCAACCACTGGTCTCGGTCTGGCTTGGGGCTTTTCTGAGCTGCAATGCTGCCGTCGGAACCGTTGTTGACCGGTGCGCGAGCCGTGCTCATTGTGTCAGGGGTCGGAGGCAGCCTTGCGCCCCCGAAAAGTGAGGCGTCTAAGCGCGGACGACCACGAGGTTTGTCCTGGTATAAGCCGCTTCCAAACGGCGAGCTTACAGTCTTCGACGCATCAGACATGGCCCGGGTTTGCCGCCTTCTGACAATGGTCTCGGACATGTCCGGCCGCGACTGCATCCAGCGGTCGATCTGGTCTTCCTTGCTCTCTTCGTGCTCGATTGGAGACATGTAGCTATGCAAGCTGCCTGTAGTGGATGGAGTCCGACGAACTGGAATATCCAGCTTGTCGAATTCATTCCAGCGTGTCGGGGTATCGAGTGGATTTAGCTCACTGCACTCGCTCAGGACACTGAGTCGGGGCGACTCTGGCACGTCGTCGATGGTATTGAAGCTTTGTGATTTGGTCAGGGCACTCAGGGCCGAGTGGGACGTATTGTTCTCCGGGGCATACAGACTGCGCAGAGTCGCTGTGCTCCGGTTGTCAGCGCGCAAGAACGATGGTGCCTTGCTGAGCTGACGCAGTTCAGAAGACTGCGGCTGGAGTGTATGAGACGACATTGTGGCCAAGTTGCGCTTGGACGAGGTCCTTTCAGGGATTTCAATGGCAGTTTGGCGTTTAGGTGTCGTTGCGTTGGGCTCATCGAGCACCGGTCGGCTCACGGACATCTGTGACGTCCGTCCACCCAACTCGAGCTCATCAATCTTAGCCTCAAGCTGGCAAATAAGCTGAACAGCCTCGGTGACGGCCACATTCCGCTTATCCAGCTCCTGGCGCAACAGCTCATTCGACTCGCGTAGACGCTGGTTGTGCTTTTCCGTGACCCGCAGCTCCACGACCTCTTCTTCCAATTTATGCATGCGCCGCAGCTCTTTCTCCATCTCCTCCATGCGCTGCACCTTCTCCCGGAGCTGCTGCATCTGCTCCGCGCGGTGGTGAATTTCGAGCTTGAGGTCGAAATTCAATTTGTTCATTTTTGAAACGTACTAGCACGGAGGGGTCAGTTCTGCGCCCAAATCTTGGTTCTACCGAGGGAGACCCACCTGATCCATCTCTCGCATGCCCATCTCCTTCGGTTGCCGCTGCCCGGCGGCGAACGCATCGTTAACTTTGCGTGCTTTCTCCGAGGCCGTGTCGTCCTGCAATCGTGATCCTTCGGGTGTTCGTGGGCCACTGTCATCCCAGTCCTCCGGTAAAGCTCCTCGTGAAATTCGGTGAGCTCGCTGTTCTTTGAGGAGGTCTTGCAGGAGTGTAGAGGCAGGATTCACGAGCGTAGGGGTGCCATTATCCGGTGTTTCTGGAGAATCATCGAGCATTAGTCCTGTCCAATTCACATCCAGGCCGTAGGGCCGGCAAAGAAGACATACTGCACTGCCGAGGAGGCGTTCTCGTCCCAACATGGACCGGCGATTCATCCCTCAGCCATGAAACCTCGCTTGTCAAGCGTGGCGGGGTATACATATTGCTTCTGCCCTTCACACGAGAAAGGGATGGGTGTTGTGGGCGATCGGAGGAACAATCGGGATCTTCTGTCACAGATGAGTTACAGTCAGTTCCATCGGGTTGTGAGTTGTAGGCTGATGAAGTGCAGATAGGAGGGGACAGCCAACATACGGCTTGGACGACGCTTCGACGAAACGCTGCGGGCCGAGGGCGCAGTGTCGGTATGATATAGTGGTTCGTGCGAGTGTTTCGACTGGCCGGAGGGCGCGGCCGGGGCGGCCGAGCTGCGCCTTTGAGTTTTCCTGTCCTTCATACCTGCATCCATAGCCGACTCTTGCGCATGCTTGATGCAGCGAAAATCACCCCGTTGAGCAGCGTGCGGATACGCCTACGCACTGAGAAATGAGAGTGGCGCAAATCAAGCCGATGGGAGTGGTTCCCCCACCGGCATCGGAAAATTAATTGACGGAAGTGCGCAGCCGGGAGCCGCTATTGGGCCAGCGCCAGACAATGTATTGGATTACCAGCGGTTGTGGAGGGTTGCCCCGTCACCGGTGCGTCGAAGGTTGACTGCGCGAAGCGAGGGATGCAGAATTGAAGGGAGGAGTAGCAATCAGGCCGACCTCGATCGCGGCGAAGCTGGAGTGGAGACAGTCGAAGGTTCAGGGCCACTAGTCCTTCTCAAGGGTATGAAGTGAAATGAGACCCTCTTTTAATCCACACGGGCGAGGCCGAGGCCAGTCATGGACTGCGACTGCAGGTTTGTCTGGTGCAGCGGAGAGCGCACCCTCAGGCAAGTGTATCCCTGGGTATTGGGGTAAAAAGGATAGGGATGGCGAAGTGAGGGGACCGCAGAAGGGGATTGTGACGAGTCAACCTCGGACGCTGCCCATCACATCAGTCACATCGAGTGGGATCGACAGGAACAACAGGAAGGATTGGGACGAGCAATTCTGCCCCGCTAAAACCCTCCGATTGTTGTTGTTGGGCGTTGTGATGGGCGGTAGTCCGGGGGGACGCCTGGAATGAGAGAATGGAAGAATGGAAAGGGGAAAGGACCTGATGCAGTCATGGGACTCTCTGGCTGGGTGGCATTACGGAGTATTAAAATCATGGAAATCTGAAACTCCAAACCCCCAAAGCCCCAAATCTATGAACGTCCAGCCTCCGCTAGGCTGAGCGATCCGCACACGCGAGTTGCTAGTTAGGGACTTAGTGGCTGTGCCTGACATCAAATGCTACCAACCGGATGGGCCCGGTGGACCCAGACCGTCTCAGCTGCCCTTACTCCGTACTGAGAGTCAATTGGTCTCGTTAGACCTCAAATTCGGCACAAATGAGACATGCCTCCCTTGCGAACACTATAGGATTTAGGGGAAAGTACATAGCGAGCACCGCAGTCCAGGACATTCTTTAGTAAAGTACTTTTTACGGTGGACGGAGGGCTTTCTACGGATAGAGTTTATACATCACCCGCCACGCACCGTTCTTTCTTACCCATCAACTCGACTATCAACCTTTCCGGCTTCCCGCGATCAGCTCTCTATCTTCTGGTAAACTCTATCCCCCTGTTCGTCCCCACTATTCCCGCGCTTCCACGCAATCCCGACCCATGGATGCCATGAACCGTCAATCGGCGGAAACACAGCCAAAAGCAACGGTCTCGTAGTGCGTCGCGTGGCGACGTGCCGCACAACCCCTACGGAGTGGACAATGACCTATCCGTAGCTCCGACCACCCACACCGCCCACCTGGTGTAGGTGGTCTTCACACCAACGATTTCTTCATACCAACGATTAACATATTGATATTTTTGACTACAACGATCTATCCCCTACAGTATCTATAACGAATAATGTGTCATCCTCTGCATCTTGCATTAAATTTGATGCCTGTGGTGTCAAATCAGGCTGATTAGGCTGATCTGGCTAATTATCCTACTTCTTAACGTTCGCCCGACGTATACGCTTTATCACCTACGCGTTTTCTTCGGCTGTACGCTCATGAATTTTGCGATTAGCGTCCCGAACGGTCAAAACCGAGGTCTTTGATAGCTAACGCTTCGATCGGCTATAGATTCTTTTAGTACGGACCTCCCGAAACGTCTTAATAATAGTGTCTTTAAGTGCGCCTTTCTTATACTCAATTGTAGTGAAACGCTCGATGCGTTCAAATCGTCTTCGAAGCTTATTAGGATTGATTGATATTGGCTACGCTAGCGATAGGAGATATCGCTCTAGCTTCTTAAAGCTTTTTTGAATACTTCGTAGCGTTTTTGGTTAGTCGATTAAGCTTGATAAGACGGTCGGAGCGTATACGGTAGATACTATATACGTTATTTCCGTCTAGGTCGAAGCTAGTGATCTCTTAATATAGTAATTTAGCGTCGATAAGAGGTTAAATAACGATATCTGGTCGAAATAGGACGATACTACGCTCTAAGAAGCTATTTCGAACGATATGTAGTGTAAATGTAATATCCCGAATGGGCTGAATTCTACTAAGAAATTTACCCTTTTCGACGGTTGAACCCCTCTAAAGTGTAGTCTGTCGATTCTATTAACGAAAATGTTACTTATAAGCTAGAAAGGGCTTACTATTAAGAGGTTATAGAAGGTATATAGCGTATAGGATAAACTGGAAGGGTATAATATACGCTTAGTAGTAATATTCGATGAATTCGGCTATAAGGTGTGTAATATAACCGTCGAAGAGTAGTAACCGTTGTTTATCTAGTTAAAATAAGGCGAATTAGCTTTAAGATCCTCTGGATTTACGGTATTTGAATAATACAAACTCTTTTTCGCGCGATCTTTAGTATATTAATCGAAGTGTTAAAGCTATTCGAATGCTAAGTCTAAGGTAATAAAGCTATTCGGAGCGACCGAGACTATCTAATCTGATGATTTTGACTATTCGAACTATCTCTTAAGTATTATTTATCTTTTAAAGATAAAGAAAGGTAGTAAAACGAAGCTATCCGCGGCGATATACTTAACCGCGGTAAAGCTCTCTTACGTAGTATCGGTCGCTGATTAGGCTGTTCTGCGCGAGATTACCTTCGTTTTCGATAGCTGTTGGCCTAAGATAAAGCCGGTCTCGTCGAAATTATAGATATTATAGTATTTTATCTTCTTAATTATTGGTTATAGGCCGTCGAACTAGTGTTGTAGTTAGGCTGGTGTAACGCTAGCTTGCGCTGTCTCGATTAGCCGCTCTGTCCTCGGTCGGAGATCTTGTGGTAATCGCTTGATGAAGCGATAGACCTATACGTTACTAACCTATAGTGGTTTTGGTAGGTTATCGTCGGTTGTAGCTAACGTTAACGCGGTCGACGCGGTCGGTAGGGTATCTAGTGGTAGATGGTCCCGTTCGAATTAGCGTCGGAGTGTTAAATTTGCAAGATCTTCGATATCTTTAGGCGTTGGAAAGATATATAATGCGTTTAGACGATCAATTATCTGTAGTAATACATCCTCTTAGGCCTTCGTAAGCGCTCGGTGGCTATTAGAATTACCAATCTTTGAAGAGGCCCCGTTGCGTCGACGTAGTAGCCGCTGGTAAGGCACGTCATATTAGCATGCTAACGCAGCTAAACTGGTGTTTTTGACGCGTTGATAGGCAGCGAGAGCTTCGGATATACGAATTTCAATAGATTCGGTCGAATTCTGCATGGTGGTGGTGAATTATAGGTGAAAATATCAATATGTTAATCGTTGGTGTGAAGAAATCGTTAGTGTGAAGACCACCCACACCAGGTGGGCGGTGTGGGTGGTCGGAGCTACGGATAGAAATATACTTAGCTAGAACTATGTACAAGATTGGCTAGAGGTAATAGTCTCGTCGGCTGGACAAGTTGCGTGCTCGGGCCCCTTTCTGGCGGCTGTCAATCTCCGAAACGCGGAGACCGCTGCGTCGACTTAAAAAAAAATAGCTTTGGAATATTCCACTTGGCCTTCTATACTGTAGCAATGTTATTCGGTATTACATATCCGGAATCTTCAGGAAACCATATTAGATCATATAGTATAGCATCGACTGGTCGGAATTGAAAATGATGTGCGCGTCATGTCGTTGATTCTTCGTTCCAATCTCCCGCACGATAGGTCTCATTAGGCAGCTGGTTGGTTCATCAGAACTCAAATCGACGAGCACAGCTCAGCCGGAGTTCGCCAGCCGCCATCCATGGACCTACATACTGCACATTTCACCCTCATTTCCTCTTCGCTTCTCCAGCCCAGATCCGCATCTGCTTGGCCCGATCGTGGGCCGCACGGAACACTGCGACCTGTCAGTAACCACAGCCGCCCAATCAGAGCATTAAATCATGTCACTTACACTGCCGTTCATTCTCATCGAGCCCACGGAGAAAGTCGACGCCCGAGCCCACCGCCCCCGTGGATTATGGGCTTGGTCGGAAATTTCAGCCGCCCGTTTCTTGAAGGTCTAGAGGTGGATGGCGGTCAGCAGATGATCGTTTTCTTTCGCGGGGTCTGTAGATGGGCATTACATCACTCAACACATCTACCATCTCTTCTTCCTCAAAGATTTCAAGGATCCGCTCGCTCAACGTGTAGAAGTGCGGTGCCAAAGCGCGCAAATCAACCGTCCGAGGATCGGCCTTCAGCGCATTCATCACCCGCTCAGCTAGGGCGTCCGGCATGTCGAGGGTGACTAGGCGAGATGTCCCTAGTCGCGCACTGCAAGCATCAATTGTCAGAAAATGGGGCTCTGAATCCCGCTTCTAGAACAGTCGCAAGATCGAGATCTCACCCGATTGACAGCATTTCACCCAGCCATAGTGGCAGGTCTATGCGGGTCCCCGCTTTGATCTGGTCTGCGTCAATGTTGGATCACACATGAGTCCGGCAGAATAAGAGAGTGGGCATACATCTTCGCCAGGGTTACCCTCCAGAATCCCTAAACCTGGGACTTCCAGCTCAAATGTGCAGGGTATTTTCTAGAGCCGAGCGCATTAGCATGTCACAGGCGGGTCTGGGCTCAAAGGCTCTGATCTCGAATTGAATTCACCTGGGCATCTGTCAAGATGGAATCAATGTCATAGTAGGACATATTGGCACACCGTCTGAATTGCGATCCCAGCACGGGCCGTAGTTCTTGGGTGATGATAGAATGCGGCGCTGAAACGCGTTCCTCGGCGCGTGGTCACGTGTGTGCCCCACGTCTCCGTGTTCTCTCCAAATTGGGAAACTAAGTGGATTATCACGTGATGTGGTTAATATTGTGACCAGGGAGATAGTACTTGTTGTAAAATCTTGGGCACTTGTTTTATCCTGATTCGTAATAAGAACAAATGTAAAAATTACATTCCATTATTCTTGTCTACGGTATCGAACTGTGCCAATGGGGGAATGGTACAGGGCATACCGAACGTAGAATTTCTTCTTATTGGTAACTTCCGCCTGCTCAACATCTTTGTCAACGGGTCATCGTCTGGACTGACTAATATATACACCACGGCTACTAATCTGTTAAAAGCAGAGGGGCCTATCGGTGAAAAAAATCAAAACCAGGCATTATCATTCACCATTTACCTATTGCGTATAGTTGACCTAACAGTAACCTATTCCGCACATGACCTATTTGAACAATAAACGCAACCAGCATAGCATAGCGAATCCCTGGTGGTATATTTGAACTACAGATAAGAATAACTATAATCAAGCCTGCAATAGCAAACAGTAGACAATTTACCCATTGATTATAAGTGATGTACCTATACAGTGGACAGTCCCCCACAGACATACTGCAACAAGTGGGGAAAGGTGGAGAAATTCGTATGGTTGTTCCTCAAAATAATTGAAAAGTTGATTATTTTTGTGAGCTCATGCCTAGGATATCGGCATACAGATACCGAGTTGCTAGAGAAGCGAATACCCCCAGCAGATGTAGTATGTCGAGATTATGCAGCCTGATCACTCATGCCTGTCATGGCATCTTCCGCCTGCGCCCTGTTTCTACCGGCGGTTGATTCTTGGCCTTTTCAGAGACTTGACTGCCACTCATAAGAGACGGCAGTGATACTCCCAACGCTGCTTTGAAACATTCCATGCAGTGCTATCAATCTTCGGAGTCTACTAGTGTTCGGAGCACGGGAAGTCCGGACCGCGCGTTCTGGGCCACTTTCATGGGGCAACTACGAAAGGCTTCATGAGGCGTTTGAACTTTTGGTCGATCAGTAATTTGTTGTAGTTTCTATTGGTTGTCTCGGTTTTCTTATTTCTAATGTCGTCGAGAAAAATTTGCAATGCTTTAGCTCTTTCCCCCCGCGGCGTTTGGGTTAATTTCTACACTCAGGGCTCTGCAGCTCTTATGCATCTGCACAAAATATATGAGGATGTAAGGCCGACACTGACAAGGAGGTAACTCAGCTAGATTTGTCGACTTCCCAATTTTCTTTCCATTTCTAACGTGGTATCTCCTCAAGGGCCTCGAAGCAATAGAGCACAGCAAATCCCACTGTCCCAAGGACTCCCTGCCAGCTTCCGGCGAATATAGAACCCCCGATGAGCAAATAGATTAGAAGCTTATGTCCATGGTTTTGCGACTTGCACGGCGTGGGGATCAAACGGTTTTGGGTGAGCATGGGCGATAGCGCTGATTAAAAGGGGCAAAACCCCCGTGGGTACTCCCATTCTTCAGGAGAAAGATTCTCCTTTAGCTTCCGACTAATGCAACTCTGGGCAAACCGGCCGGCGCACGCGGAAAATCTAGAGGAAATCTAAGACATTTCCGCCCTGCTGCCGACTCCTGACGATCCAATCGCCATTAAAAGATTCTCGGCAGGTGTGCGGGAGGAGTGACGTTATTGAAGCCGCGAACTTCGCTTCGGTTCGAAACAGTCAATCAATGCTTAAAAGAGAGGAACGTGTGATGGAGCGGGGAAGTCGTATATCTTGTGGTCCTGGCTTTAGTGCTAGGCAATGGAGAAATTGTCTCGCTTGCTGCCATGCGAAATTTGGCACAGAGCACCCAGGTATTCAACCACTCCGTAGCCTAAAAGCCCACCGATCAGGACTGGAGCTGGAGTGATTGCCAGAAGTTGTCCCTTTCCGATAAGTACTCGTCATTATGTTCATTCTGCAGTGGGTTTGTTTTGTGGGCCTTCTTGGGGCAGCCCTTGCCTCGCCACGCAAATCGCTCGCCAAAAAAAGCACTGTCAGTGAGATTCTGACGGATATCGAAGATGCGGCCACCTGTACAGCATGCGAGGTACGTACAGAGTCACTTGCCATATTATAATCACTCCCCGGGATAAAACAGACTAAATCTGGAGTATAGGCTCTTCTCGATGTGTTGCAGGCTTTGGCTCATTTGGGGAATGACGATTTTGTTGATGTGATTACTGAAGTCTGCATTTTGGCCGGGGTGAGTCGGCGTTTAGAAATTTGTTATGGAAATTTCTAACTTGGAATTGTAGGTGGAGGATGAAGATGTCTGTGAGGGTGCGATCTCGCGCGAAGGGCCCATCCTTGCTCATGATCTTCGCAATATGGACATACCATCTACGACCGCAACTCTTCTCTGTAGCACCGTCTTCGGGCTGTGCGACTACCCGGATGTTACGGAATATGCAGTGGAATTTCCGACCCCGAAGCCATCCAATGCGTCACGGCCGGCATCCAGTGGAGAAACTCCTATTCAAGTCGTCCATATCAGCGATATTCACGTTGACCTCTCGTATGAGACCGGTGCCAAGTATGTTGCTCTGTCCTCGGTCTTTTGCTCTGTTGCTTTAAAAGCTCTACTGACAACATGAAATAGTTACAACTGTACCAAAAATATTTGCTGTCGCCCGTACACATCCGCCGATGAACCCGGCAATACTAGCTACCCAGCTGGAGGGTACGGAAATCACAACTGCGATGCCCCCCTCACTCTAGAGGAGAGTATGTATGAAGCGATCGCAAGCTTGGTCCCCGATGCTTCGTTCACCATTTTCACGGGGGATGTTGTCGAAGGAGCAGTTTGGCTTGTCAATGAGACTGAAGTGACCAACGATTTAAACGATGCATACAACAAGCGAATGCCATCCTACCTCGATCTGGTCTATGGTGTGATTGGAAATCATGATGCCGCCCCGGTCAACTCTTTCCCGCCGTCGGACATCGACACTACCATCTCCAGTCAATGGGCATACGATACTCTTTCTTCTGACTGGACCCAGTGGATTGGATCGACTGCCGCTACCGCGGCTGATGATTATGGTGCCTACTCCGTCATGTACCCGAGTGGTAATCTGCGGATCATCTCATTCAATACCAACTTCTATTACAAGGAGAATTTCTGGCTTTACGAGAAGACCATGAAGTCAGATCCAAACGGGCAACTGGCTTGGCTAGTCACCGAGCTTGACGCTGCAGAAACTGCGGGCGAGCGTGTATGGCTTCTAGGACACATGCCTATGGGTGCTGGTGATGCATTCCACGATGGGTCCAACTATTTTAACCAGATCATTCAGCGCTATGACGCGACCATCGCTGCAGTTTTCTACGGTCACACTCACAAGGATGAGTTTGAGATTGCCTATTCAAACTATGCTGCCCAATCCGCTAACACTGCCACTATGATGTCCTACATTGCTCCGGCTTTGACCCCAACCTCCGGCAACCCGACCTTCCGTGTTTACTCGGTTGACCCGGTGACTTTCGGTGTGCTGGATTTCACTGTATACATTGCCAACATGTCAAGCTCAACGTACCAGACCAAGCCGACTTGGGAAAAATACTACTCTGCGAAGGAGACTTATGGTACACTCCTGAGCCCGGCTGTCACCGACAGCGCTGCCGAGCTCACGCCTGCATTCTGGCATAATGTCACCGCGATATTCGAGGATGACGATTCGGTTTTCCAGGATTACATTGCTCGCAAGAGCCGAGGATGGGATGTGTCATCTTGCACAGGCGACTGCAAGACAGAGGAAATTTGTCAACTTCGCGCAGCCGAGTCGCAGTACAACTGCGTGACAGTTTCACCAGGAATCAATTTCAAAAAGATGAAGCGTTCTTCCAGTGGTGCAGTGAAGCAGGAGACCGGATGCGGAGAGTCGGTCATTGGAGCCATGTTCTCAAATTTCGAAGCGAGCGTTTCGGCGCTCAAAACATCCGCATCGTCGAAGCTAGGACTGAGTTTCCTTAACAGCACGGTGAACACCACCGTCGCATAAGCTGTGATCTTTAGTTCTGGATAGCTTGAGAATATGAACTTGCCTAGCAGTGAATATCGAAATATAAGCCGATAGTTCTTCCGACGCAATTCATAGAGCACGTTTCATGGATCGCATCTAGCAATTGGCCTGTGGTTTACCCGTAATCTACGTAATCGCATTGGGATCGGACTAGAGCCCCGTTTCACCGAACGAACGGCGCAGGAGAACCTAAATAGATCAATTCTCCGTGCCACGCTCGAATTCATCTCGGTTAGATGTCGCCGACTGACACGTGGGCGGGCAACAGGCCCACGGACCTTACTGCCCGTTAACGCTAGTTGCGGCTAACTGATGGCTAGCGCAGGTCCCGGAGAATCGATCAATGCGGTAAAGAGTATATAGGATGCGTGGATCGCCGTGGACTTGACTGAATTGAAACTCGTTTCTTCTGGAAGATTGGAATCAGCCATGGTGAACTCCAAGACTGTCATTACCTCTTGGCTGTTGGCGGTCACTACCAGCCAGGCCGCGGTGCTGGCGCCCGCCAACGATATTGTGTTTCCATCCAGCAAGACGGCCCACAATCCGTTGCAGTTCGCTGGGGGTAATTCTCCGTACTTTGCTGGGCCCAACGTCAATGGTGTGGAAAATACCGTACCGAAAAAGTGCACAGCTCAGCAGGCTGCCTATATTGTGAGACACGGAAGCCGGTAAAGAATAGATTAAATGGCATGACTATGACATGTCACTGACTGTTCGGTCTTAGTTTCCCCGACACCGGTTCCTACAACTCTTGGGTTGACATTCAAGACAAGGTAAGTCCTCGTATCATGCGCAGGGAATCTACACCTACGCGGCTACAGCAGAAGAACTAATAGGTATAGATTCAAATCGCTGTCAATGGCGCAGCGTTTGACGCCCGTGGCTCGCTGGCCTTTATCAAGGACTGGAGCCCCGTTTTGACCAACCCAACCCTGCAAATAGCTCAGGAATCTATGACTGGCTGGAAAGAGGTATAGTTTCTAGATATTTTCTATTTCAAGATCCATACTGATGACTACCAGGCTACTGACCTCGGCTACCAACTCCGTGCTCGGTGTAAGTGGAGCAGCCTCTCGTCATCTATTCTCTTCAGATACTGACCACTCTTGTCAGATCCCGATTTCTACGAAGACGGTAACCCATTCTATGTTTGGGCCAACCAGTACAAAAACCCCATCAATGAGTCTCGTGTTGTTCAAACCGCCCGTGCCTTTGTCAACGGCTACCTGTACGAGTTTGCCGATACCTACGGCACCGTGGTCAGTGTGAACTCCACCGGCTCTGTCAACGCCATCGGCAACTCGCTCGGCCCCTCTGACGCCTGCCCGGAATTCGCTGCCGCCTCCAGTGGGGGCAACAATGTCACCGACTGTGAGTGTGAAGGGACATCAGCCGCATCTCTGAAATGAGCTGACTCCTGTTTACAGTTGATGCCACCTGGGCACCCAAGGCGCTCAAGCGCATCAACTCCTTGGTGAGCGGCAACCTGACCTTTGATGAGACCGACCTCCTGTTCTTTCCCTACCTGTGCGGGTACGAAAGTCAGATCACTGGCCGTGTGAGTGACTGGTGTGGCGTGTTTACTGAGGATGAGCTGCGCAACTATGCCTATTCGCAGGACCTGAGCTATTACTACAGTGTGGGACCCGGTTCAGATGGCCCTGCGAGCACGCTGTTCCTGCCTTTCCTCGAGAGCCTCATAACTCTTCTGAGCAAGGGTCCTGGTCAGACCGGCACTGCGGCTGATGGCGGTAGCTTCAATATTCCCAGTCTGATCATGGCTTTCTTGAACGACAACCAGATCGCTGAGATGACTTCGGCCATGGGCATCTTCGATAACGAGGCTGCTTTGCCTGACACCCACATCCCTGCTAACCGCCTGTACAGCGTCGCCCACTTTATCACAATGCGCGGCACCGTTGCCTTTGAGACTCTGAACTGCGAGGTTGGGTCTGGCCACCGGTTGTCCAACCAGACGTATATCCGTGTGTTGTTCAACGATGCCGTCTACCCAATTGCCAACTGCCAGACCGGGCCCGGCAAGAGCTGTCTCCTGTCCGACTACCTGGCGCTCATCAAGGAGAAGAGCAAGGCTGCCGGTGATTGGATTGACTACTGCAATGTGACTCAGTCTGGACACCCTGAAACTGTGGCTGGGGCCAGCTTCTTTAGTGACCTCTCGCTCGACTTCTTGACCTTTGTCAAGCCTTGATGGAACGGATCCCTGGAACCCCTGCTTGTTTCACGCGATCCTCTGCATCCCTCCCAAGTTAGCTTTTAATTTGTGATCTCATATGCCTGCCTCCTTGAATGTACTATCTTTTTCATTTCACAATTTCTTTGGCCCTCGTATGGGCCGTCTGATGTGTCTGTGTGGTTCGAGTGTTGAGTGTAGATACGCTTTGATCGAAGCTTAGCCTCTTTGGACCAGCTACGGCTTGCCAAGCATCACTTATCTCTGGCAGCCACGCGATTGGTTAGAATGTGGTGTATATCGCCCCCAGGTATGCGTGTGTGTGCCGCTGCTGACGTTCGGCGGTGGCCCTAGAGTCAACGATTTGAATACGTGGACTGCTAGCGAGACGCAACGGTTGGATTGACCGGCGGACGGCTTGTTCATGGTGGCCAGGTTTACAGTCACTGTGCAGTCATAGCTGCACTCGGTATTTGCTCCCCGGTCCTTCGGTCTGCCACAGCGTGCCGCTGTGCGACAGTTCTAGGGGAATTGAAGAGGCCAACTATCAATGGACCGATGGATTCATACCCCCATCGCTACGGACGTCCGTCAAGCTGGACGGAGAAGTCACTTTATTGGTTCTCATTTGCTTGGGGTTCAGTTCTGTTCGATTTTGGTACTTTTTCCAGTAGAAGCCTCAGAAGCAGTCTCCAACGTATAGTCCAAAAAACGAGGCTGCAAGATCGATAAAAGACCTGTTCCAAACGAGACTAAGGGATTAGTGTGAGTAGGCGTGTTTGATTATGCATCTGCAACGCCCCGAGCAGAAGAAAAGTAGAAAAAGAAAAGAAGAAAAAGGAAAGATCTGCATGGGATTTACCGCCAGCCAGCAGGCAAACTGGCCAAACCGGCCAAACTGGCCAGACCGTGCGCATCTTCGCCTTTCCCCCCACTCTCCGCCCCTCCCACCGGAGGCGTCTCGGCTGGTTCGAGACATGGGGTCTTTGCGCTAAACGTACAAACTGTGGCTTGGCCACTCGTGTGCCTTGTTTTGTGAAGGGGCCCGGTCAATGAGCCGGATTACGAGGCCTCGATGGCGCATTCCCATTTTCTTGGAAGGGGGCCATCTTGCTCTCAGTGGACCAGAACCAGGGCCAGGGCCAGCCGCGAACTAGGTCATTGAAATCGGTCTACCGGGGTCGAAGCTAGTCTAACGGGGACTGTCTTGCCTGGTCTCAACCGGTGGTAGCACGCCCAAAATTAGCAGCCCCAACCCGGCGAAAATTAATCCCATGGGGTGACACAAATGGAACCTCCAGTTCCGCAGTTCCTGGCTTCCTTTCCTCTGGTCCGTCCCTGGCCCACCACCCTTTCTCTCGATCTGAGTTTCGATTCATATGCGACCCGTCCCTTCCTCCCTGCCTTGAATTTGTGATCTCCGATCCCGACCGAGTCGAACCTACGGCCGTTGAACGCCGGCATCATGGCGTACAACGTTGTCGCTCAGGTCGACGAGGTGGCTTCGAACTCCGACTCCAACTCCGACCTCTCGCGCAGCGCCTCGCCTATTGCCGGCCATGCCTTTCAGCACCTGTGCGATGCCAACCACGGAGGAGCCCCGCTGGAAGCCGCCAGAAACGACGACAACCAAAGCCTCGGTCAACTCGGGTCGATGATCCGCTCGATGACTACCAACAGCTACGACGTTGTCGAGGCCGATGACTACGACGCCGATCCCTCCCCCGATGAGCTATCGAACAGACCAAGCAGTCTCCGCCGCATTCCTCCGCTCAATACGGCTGTCGCGCGACATTCCTCCTCCTCCTCCTCCCCTCTCGACCCCCCTTGCGCAGCGCCTCGAGCGACCTTCCCATCAACCACCCAATTCCCGACCTACAATCATCTCAGGGTGCCTACGTGGGCAATGTAGCGCGGTTGGAGCAGAGTGCCGAGCAGCTCAGCTCCAGTACAGCAGACATCGGCTGCGAAATCCGCAAAATGGATCAGGAGCAGAAGCGACGCTCTTGCAGCTCCGCGTCCAACTCGGCCGTCCTCCGGAATGGAGCATTCTCGCCGGCGACCATTGCTTCTCACGGATCGACCTTCTCCACGCGTCAGCGCTCCGTCTCGGGTGCATCACGGCTCACCCGACTCGCGGAGCCCGACGACGACCACGATGGCCAATTTTTGGATCGCATCTCCGCCCCCTCCGCCATTCCCCCGTCCCCACACGCCCCGATCTATACCCAACCTCACGACCTCTACCACAATCAATACAATGGACAAAACGATGCCGCGGGGGGAATCCAGCGGCCAGGGTCAGCCGCCTCAGGCGATACTTTCCTGCAGGCGCAGACGCTGTTCACCAATTTCGATGGTGTCCATTTCGCGCCCTTGGAGCTCGCGAATTCCGGGCGGCAGCTGTCCCTGAGCCAACCGCCCCTTGCAAGCAAGCCGCAATCATACAAAGAGCCACAGAGGGGCGAGAACATGGTGTACTACCCGGCCCCAGTCCCCCGCATGTTGAATCTCCCCCCAAAGCTCTCTCGCAAGCCCATCGCAGACCGCGAAAAGCGCCGTACCGAGCTTTTGACCAATATTGTGGCCGAAGATAGAAAATCCGGGTCCTGGTTGGCCGGGTTGGAGCAGGGAAAGCTGGGCGAGAGCCAGAAGGACAAGCGCCAATCGAAAATACCACCTCAGCTTCGTGCGAGCCTTTTCTTTGATAAACCGAGTACCACCCTCGAGGTGGACGTGAAGCAAGATTCTGCAGTTGCAACACTCGACAGCATCCTCGACGCTTCGGCGCATGCGCCTGTATCGGCCTTTACAGATCACCCGTACGCCGGCCAAGTTGGCTCGTACGTGTTCCACCAACCAAAGCGCAAGACACTTTATAAAGATCCTGCAAGGCAGAGGCCAGAGCGCCATTCGCAAGTCCCAATGGGTCAGCGTCACAGCACCAACCACGACAGTGACGAAGAAGGGTCGGTGAGTTCACGCGATAGACACCGGAACAAGTCTCACGATGAACATGATCGAGAGCAGTCCAGTGGTAGTGGCAGCGGCAGTGGCAGTGAGACGGAAGGCGATGAGCATTCGTCGGAAAGCGGAGAAGATGACGAGGAAGAGGAGGAGGAATATGTTGACTACATGGGTCCTCCGAACACGTTGCTGGCAGAACTAGAGCTGCGGAAGCAAGAATTGAAGCAGCGACAACGAACAGCACTTCCTACTCCCACTCAAGCGCGAGGCATGAAATCTACCCTTTTGGAGCTAGATGCACGGGCCCAGAAACAGAGTGACAAGCGACGGCGACGACCAGTAACTCTGGCCTGGAATAATCATGATACTGCAGACGACGATGATGTTCCTCTGGCCATGCTGTACCCTGATCAAATCAACAAGGACGACGAGGATCGTCCAGTGGGTCTGATGGAGAGACGGCAGCTAGATGAAAACGAGCCCTTGAGCACACGTCGGGCCAGGCTGCGCGGTGAACCAATTCCCGAGAAGCGTCCTGTCACAGTATACACCACCGAACCTCCTCGAGCTAACGCCGCCCAGGCGGAGGCCGAGAGCGGCGACGAAACCGAGACACTCGCAGAACGATTAAGACGACTGCGGGGGCAAAACCCCGCAGATAGCGAGTTTGCCAGTGATCTCTTTGCCGAATTTGACAATCGGGCTGGAGTTGTTCCCAAAGAACCCGAGACGGTCCCCAACGCACATGAGAACGAAACTCTCGCCCAAAGGCGCAATCGCCTGCAGAAACAGAACGGCCCCCCACAAGGCGCCGCAAAGAACCTGCACATGCGACGAAGCATGGCCGCCCTCCCGCAGTCTCGTCCGGTGCAGCAAATCGCCCGCCAATCTTCACACGATGTCCTCCCACACTCCAACATGATGTCTGGGCAATACGCCAATCGCATGTCTATGCAATCTCGTCCTCTCAATATGGGCCACCAAGTCCCCATGGGATATCAGATGGGCGCGCAGCCTTACGGGTATGGAGGAATGGGATACCCAGCCGCACATGCTTACAATAGCATGATGATGGGCGTGCCCGGTGGCATGGTCTATGCTATGCCCGCCGGCTGTGGACCGAACATGGCTGGGCAGCCTGTTGATCCGGTGCAGCAAGAATTTATTGATCGGTGGAGACAGAGCATTCGCTAGTTAAATCCTTTCTTTTGTTGTTTTTCATTGTTCCGTTCGTTTGTGACTTTCTTATCATTCCTTTGCTTGTTTCTTTTCATCGTCATAGCGCTGTCGTTTGGGTGTATCATTCTTTCTTTTGTTTCTTGGCTGGAGCGGCTGGCTATCCATGTAGAGTAGTGATCTTTTGTATAATGTATCAGAGGCGGTTCATTGTCTCCGGGCCCGGTGCTGGCTATTTGTTATTATTTATTTCCTCGAGCCAAGTTATAAGCGACATTCAAAGTCGTTGGTCAATAGTAGCCTTTGCGGAGAGCAGAGCTTGCTATATTTTGAACACGCTGAAAGGCCGGCCTTCAAAAACAATTAGTTGGCAGACATTCAAAGAAGCAACCATCTACCTACCACTACTGCGGCGGTGAAGCTAGTTCCATTAGCCTTGGTCACTCCCTTGGAAACAATATAACTTTCCATGTCCTCTCCTCGTACCCATACCGTCAATGAGCCTCCTATGTCGTTTGCATTAGGACCTTCTGGTCTGGCGTGTTGCCAAATTTGACCATTTTCTTTCACTGCCCCGACGGTAATGACTGTTTCAAGGGTCTGCGTAAGTCAGTCTGGAAGGATTGTTGTCCGCCGCCAATACACTGACCACATCTAGCTTCTCAAGTTGATCAATGAAATCCTGGAGGAGATTCGGTCGGTGTATGCTTGTTGAGCCCCCTTTCTTTGCGAAGAGCCTAAAGCTTGTCGTTTCCATTTCTTAGCGGAAATAGTTAGACTGAATACAGGATGGGCTGCTTGATCAGCCCTTTACTCAAGGAATTTATTTGATTTTGGACTGATAAGATTGTTAATTTGTCATTCATTTCGTCTAAGGTCTGATATAAAACGCCCCCCGCTGTATACAAGAAAAGGCAGCTGTCTGTGCCAATTCAAAAGGAGAATCCAGATATTTTTTGCGAGAATCCCTCCGAGTCATTTCATCGGTACATCGAACTATTGTTACATCTGCTCGAAGTACTTCTCCCAGCCCAGCTCGCGCATCTTGGTACCCTTCTTCTCCATGTTCTCGGCACGAGCGTCCTCAGCGTAGGCCTCGACCTTGCGCTGGATGGCAGGATCGAAGGATCCTAGAATGCGAGCAGCCAGAAGAGCGGCGTTGATGCTGTTGTTGATGCCGACGGTTGCAACCGGGACGCCTGGTAGATGAGTTAGTTCTGGTATAAGAGGCGAATGGAGATGGAGATCTATGGTATGAAACGTACCGCGGGGCATCTGCACAATGCTGTATAGACTGTCGACACCATCGAGCGAGCTGCCCTTAACGGGGACACCGATGACGGGGAGAGCGGTGTGGGCTGCTGCCATGCCAGGCAAGTGGGCGGCACCACCGGCGGCGGCGATGATCACCTTAATACCACGCGAGGCAGCCTCGGCGGCGTACTTGGCCATGTAGTCGGGCGTGCGGTGGGCAGAGGTAATCTCAACGGCGGGCTCAATGCCAAAGTTCTCGAGCAGCTTGAGACCGGGGACCAGAGTCTTGAGGTCACTGTCAGAGCCCATGACGACGGCCACCTGAGGCGCAGGCTTGGAGGGCCCAGATGGCTGGGCCTTGGTCTTGATATCGGCCCGCTGAGCGCGGATTTTATCGACCACATCGATCAAGGGCTGGATGATAGTCTCCGCCTCATGCATGGTGGCGGCAGTCACGGTGATATGGCCCATCTTGCGGCCAGGTTTGGCAGCACCCTTGCTGTACAGGTGGATAGCCGCATTAGGAATCGAAAGCGCGGCCTCGGCGGCCTTAAGGTGGGTGTCGGGGGCGGAACCACCGATAATGTTAAGCATGACAGAGGGCTGGCGGATCTCAAGGCTCTTTGCAGGGATCGGGAGGTCCAGGATGGCGCGGATGTGGCTGTCGAACTGGGAGAGTGCGCAGCCTTCGATGGTGTAGTGGCCAGAGTTGTGGATGCGGCTGGCAATCTCGCACAGCATGAGGTTGTTGTCCTCGAGAAGGAACATCTCGACACCAAATGCACCCTTGCCTTCAAATGCAGCTACAGCCTTCCGGGCGAGAGCCTGAGCCTCCTGGTTGATCTTGTCGGACACGTTCCGGGCTGGCGCGTAAACCAGCTTGCATATTGAGTCCTCCTGAACGGTCTCCACAGTGGGGTATGACAGCACTTCATCCTTGGTCTTGATGACCATGACAGCGAGCTCCTATGCAGAGAAACACGTTAGCTATATGGTTCCTTGCTAAAGAAAATCCCGAAGTTGTAGGATATAACGAACCGTCTTGAAGTAGGCCCACTTCTCCGCATACAGTGGCCGGTCCTTGAGAGCCTCGAGGGCCTCGGGAATGTCTGCTTTGGAGTTCACACGGAAATTGCCTGAGACGGGTATTTCAGCATATTGTCCAAATCCAAATTGGCTGTAAAACTAACCCCGCCCATCGTACGCCATCGTCTTCGACTTCAACATCATCGGGTAACCCAATTGCTCTCCAATCTCCGCCAATTCTTCCGGTGTGTTCTTCACCAACTCCCGGTGATCCGCCATGGGGATTCCATATTTGCGCAGGTGTTCCTTCTGGTTGAACTTGTTCTGAATAGTCCGAATCGCTTGCCAACTAGGCTCAACCTGAACGTCGGAGGCGACCTCTTCAAGGGCATAGGTGTCGACGTGCTCGATCTCCGCAGTCATTACATCGCAGGACTTGGCCAATTGGCGCACGGCTTCACGCTCCTTGAAGGAACCCGTCACATGGCCATCGTGAAAGCTGATCTGCTTGGCCGGAGAGTTCTCGGCGTCCAGGACATTGGCTTGAATGTTCAAACGGTTGCAGGACTCGACAAGCATGCGGCCCAGCTGGCCACCGCCGAGGATTCCAACCTTGCGCGAGTTCCACATAGTGAACGGCAAAAAAGCAATTGTAAAACTGTGAAATTATACAGCGGAACTGAAAGAGTCATTGCTGCCCCGCCGCCGAAAATTCGCGGAGAGTCACATGACCCTATCGATAAGCTCCGCTGCCGCCCAATCAGCAGCACGTGCCATCGCCGTCCCAGCTCGTAACTCGACCGTCGTCTTCTGCAGCTTGCAACACCTCGACCATGTCGCTAGGTAAGAAAGCTCCCTACCGATGCTGATGGGCATATCTGACTGAACATTTTGAACCAGATGAAGAAGCCCTCGAGGCAGTCGCCAATGGCGGCTCGATCGACCTGTATGTGTGAAGCTGTGATCTCAAGGTGGCCCTGAATCACTCGACGCTGATCGATGCTCTGATCTAGAGAAAAATGGACCGGCATAGTCGCGCCGCTGTTGGAACGGCTGGAACATGTGCGTGACACCCACACGATTTGAGCCCGCCTATCTCTGACAGGTTGTTCTAGATTGTCTACGAAGTGTTCCCGATGCCCCAGGCGCCTCCGAGCTCCTACAATGCGCAGCCGTTCCACCCACCGTCGGAGCCCATCGAAATTCCAGAGAGCAGTAATAAAGAGAATGCCGCCCCCGAAGAACCTCAAACTTTTCTTCGTCCACAAGCAACGACTGGCTCGCCGCCTTCGAGCGATCGCATACCGGACTCACAGCCTCAGCCTTCCTCGCAGCAGACAAATGACACCCTTCCACCTCCACTTGCCCTCCTCCTAGGCTCCATCCGCTCATCCATCCAATCCTTCTTTGTGGAGAAGCCCCCGCACACGGTTCAAAGACTTGCCGAGCTCATTCTTCGCCCGACTGCCCACTATCGAACCCTACCTGCGTATCTGCGAGCTGTGGATCGTGTTGTTTCTGTGACCAGCTGTGTTGATGTATTCCCTTTTAATGGCCCGTCTAGCGCCAGTGCGCAGCCAAACGGGCTCATGCATCCTACCAACAGTGCCGGGACATATCTGGCACCGGACTACACAAGTGGCCTGGGAAGTGATGAGTCGCTGGGGGGTGCTCTTCTTACTCCAATTCCGTGGTTGACTAACGCTTCCTTTACTGGCGAGGGCGCAAATATATTGGAAGGGCGTATGTTGTCGCTGAATGGCTTAAGAGTTAATTTATCAACTGGAGCTGACTGGTTTACAGAAGAACCCGCACCCATACAGCCACAGCAAGTCGAGACCACATCAACCGCCACAGCTGAGGGTGAAGAAGAGGCTAAGACGACTTCCGTGCCTTCCCCGCCAGCAGAGTCCCCTGATGAGGTCCCTCATGCCCGAGGCCCTCCCGTTCTGGGTGTCGAGGATTTGGGATTGCAAGATGGAAAGGGGGTAGAAATGAACTTGGGTGAGGAAGTTGTGCAGGATGGCGCATCGGAGCCGTCAGTCACGGAGGCCAACCAAGGAGCTGGCGAGTCAGGCCATGCCGACAAGGACGGTGACATCGTTCTTGATGACACCAAACCCAAGGAGGAAACCAAAACAGAAGACACGACAGCAGCATCATCTCAAGCGGGCGAGGAGACCTCTGAGGCAATTAGTGACCCTGAACCAGTGGAGGCTGAGAAGAAAGAGTAAAGTAACTAAGGCGCCGTGCGTCACTACTTATTTGGACTGTCTTATGCCAGTCTCCGACATCATGTGTTATGACCTGCGATACTTCTTGATAGCAGATCAGATCGTCATTGATCTGAAATTTTATTGTCACTTTCAAAGACTATCTCACATCGATGTAGAAGGATACATCGACGATTTCAGAATGGTGTTAACTAGATCCGATGCTGTGTAACAATGTTCCTGTCAGAATTCCTGGCTTGCATGGTTATCACACGCCTCAAGCAACTTTGCTCGGGTACCAGGCTCCTATGCAATGTAAGCCGGATTTCAGTACATACACCATAGCTATTCCAGGGTGGGGGATGGGCGTACCTGTGGGGTGTGACCAGCGTCAGGGATCCAAATCAGCCGTGACTTGGGCAGGGCTTTATGCAGCTCCCACGCCGTCTGCGGGGGGCAGACCATGTCGTACCGGCCCTGGATGATGGTAACTATATTCTCATTATTCTAGGTCTCCATGCCCACGGGTGTAGAGACATACCAGGAATATGCTGTATCTTCGCCAAGTTTTCGGCTTTCAAGATCTGACCATCTTCCAGCCAGAAATCATGCACTGAGTAATGCGCTTCCAGGACCGCATGAGGCAGCGACCAGCCCTCGTCGTCCAATTGCTGGAAGTCCACCTCGTCGATCTTCAATGATCCAATGCTCAGATCCCATCGGTTCCACTCTCTCGCTGCCGCAACCCGCGTCGCATGGTCCCCGGAAGTCAGCCTTTTATAGTAACTTCCCGTCAAATCGCCACGTTCCTCCGGGGAGAGGTGGTTGACAAATGCTTCAAATGCTTCAGGAAAGACTGAAGGCGCTCCAACGTGTCCTCGGGACCAATCTACTTCCGATTTGCGGGTTGTAAATACCCCCCACACAATGAGCGATCCAACCATTTCGGGATAGGTTTGCGCGTAGAGCAGCGCCAGCGTGGAGCCCCAGGAGCCGCCGTAGACCAAGTGCCATCTAGGTATACCGAGATGGACTCTGAGGGCCTCGATGTCGGAAACCAGCTCTGGCGTCGTGTTCTCCCTGATGTCCGGCGCGGGCTGGGATTTCCCGGTCCCACGCTGGTCCAAAAGGACTACGCGATAGATGTCTGGGTTGAAGTAGGAAGTATTGCTTCTCCTCGTGTGTCCTCCAGGGCCACCGTGTAGGTACACGACTATAAACCGGTAAATAAATAGGTTGCGCACCGACTTGGTAGGGCTTACTTGGCTTTCCGTCCGGCTTTCCATACTGTTCATAGTGGAGTTGATGGATGGAGCCGACGAGGAGCTTCCCCGCATCAAAGGGATCGGAATGCTCGTAGCCACTCATGCTGACGGAAAAAGTGGCCGGGGTTTAGGAATATACCCTGGATTTCTTCATGGAAAGCCCATGCGAGGGTATCAGATGGAGCATCTTTCAGAATCAACAGGTTCTGAGTCAGGCGTGGTATGCGCTTCCTAATTGTGTAACCATGCGAGAGCCCCCACGTCTAAACTAGCGGACAACGAATCTCGCTACAATGCTGACTGAAATTAATGCCTATGCTTTGTGGGCTGACCAAAATATAGCGATCATCAAGCCCCGTATCCATTGGATTAGGGAATCTCTCTGCAACATATCTAAACGGTAGTGTGCAGGCATACGCTGGTGACGCATTTTTCCACGGTTAAGGCTACTTTAGCGGAAGATCCCTTTGGTACTAGTACAGAGCACATTTAGGGATGGTACTACAGCTCATGGAACTTTCCTAAAAAACCTACTTCTACCCTGGTTGTATCGCACTCCCCATTGTGTCTCCATCGAGGTACTCTCCCAGCTAGCTAGTCGCCTTTGATTAGCCCAATCAATCAATCAGCTTAGCGGCCATCTCTGTCTGGGTCTGATTTGCCCAGATCGGTGCCATGCAACGTCCCATCCGGCTGTCGCCTCAGGTGCAGCGGATGCAGGCGAGTGCGCCATACGCGGACATTTACACAAACGCCCCTGTCAGGCCGCTTCGTTCGAGACCAATCGCGCCGCACCGAAGTCGGTTGCTCTCGCGAAGGCTGTTGAGCGCGCTGCTAATGCAATCCTGCGTCGAAACCCCCTACCGGACGAATATGTGCCTATGGGGAAAACCTGGGCATATCGCTTTTTAGCACGTTTACCACTAGATATCGTATAGCAGACGTAGAGGGAAATCGGCCGAAATTATCTAAATGTAGAGGATATTAGCGAGATTGCTAATTGGTATGATAAATTTGATCTAGTGATCAATGATCATCAGATTACACTAGCAAATCTCTATAATTCTGATGAAACTGGCTTCGCTTTAGGCTAGGGAAAGCCTCAAAAGGTCGCCACACAGTTCAGCGGGCAATATTAAGGTTAGCAACGCTAGATACCGCTGGTACCAGCGCTAGACTTTGCGCTATAGATGTATGAAGAAATTTCCAATCGGTTCATCAATATGCATCTGTACAGAAGAGGTATCAAACATCTAGAAAAAAAATAAAGAGAAAAAACCAAATGCGCCAGACGTAGCGTTAGATGTGCAACGCCCAGTAACCAAGGACCCAACTCAAACAAGCCAAGTCAATCAACTAAAATCCCATATCCCAGCAGAAGCGCAAGCAGGTTGAACTGTCCATTTCCAGGTACCACCAGTTCGAATTAGACAGGAGGCTCAACAGTCTGTAGCGGAACATACCCTTCATCCTCGCGAATAACAGTCCGCCTCCCAGTAGCCATGGACCACAGTGCTGAAACACTGTCCCTGACCCACAAGCGGATAGACCGAGGGTGGTCAGAAAGGATGGTAGCAGGGGCCCACCAGCCTGCCTTGTGCCCACGACGTGCACCACCACCGGTAGGGATAGCCCCCAAACTAAGCTCCTTCTCGAGCCGCTCGATCTCCATCCAGGACGGGCGATGCCAAAGTTTCAAAAGCAAGCTGCTGACAACAACCGAGACGCTCGAAGCTGCCATCGCAGCACCGGCGGCCATGGGCGGGAGCATGAACCCTGTGAAGGGGAGGAAAATGCCCATAGCAAAGGGCAGACCGATGATATTGTACAGGCACGCCCAGACTAGGTTCAGCTTGATACGGTTGAAGACCGAGCGCGAGAGCGACAGGCTGGCCGGTACGGAAAGGAGGTCATCGGGACGCATCAAGACAATGTCTGCTGCTTCCATGGCGACGTCGGTGCCTGAGGCTAAGGCGATGCCCACGGTGGCAGTTGCCAAAGCCGGAGAGTCGTTGATACCGTCGCCAACCATGGCGACGCGCTCGCCGTTCAGCTGGAGGGATGAAATGATGGCGCGTTTGTCGGATGGAGAGGCGGAAGCGTGGACGGCAGATGCCGGGATGCCGACGGCCGAGGCGATTGAGAGCGCTGTCGAGGAAGTGTCACCGGTTACCATGGAAGTGAAGATGCCCATGCGGTGAAGAGCTGCGATGGCTGCGGCTGCAGTATCTTTGACACTGTCGCGGAGTGAGATAGTTCCTGCGTAACGGTTGTCGATGGCAACATGGATCCTCGTGATGCCGGACGCGGCACCGGTAGGCTTCGGGACGGTTTGCTCCATGTCCTCATCAGATTCCGAAGTTTCAGGGTCCGCCGCCGCAGGCACAGGTACATCTCTTGATCGTAGAAAGTTTGCGTTGCCGAGAAGCACCTGATACCGGACACGCTCGACGCTGGATGTGGGCTCAACGACGGCAGAGATGCCCTTGCCGACACATGCATCGAAATCGCCGATACTGCCAGGCAAACCGTCTTCTCCTGGATGACCTGACTCGGACTTGGCTTCGAGCAGAATAGCGCGGCCAATGGGGTGTTCACTGCCCATCTCCGCGAGACCGACAATAAGCCACCACAATTGGCGGCGCCAGTCATTTACCGTCCACTGAGGCTCAATACGGACCTGAGCCACGCTCATCCGACCTGTAGTTAGGGTACCTGTCTTGTCAAAGACAACGTGGTTGATTGTTGTGGCGGCCTCGAGAATAGCACCACCCTTGATAAGAATGCCATGCTCGGCGCCAACTCCAGTTCCAACCATGACTGCGGTTGGTGTGCTAAGACCCAAGGCACAGGGGCAGGCGAAGACGATGACTGAAATGCAGAGCTTCAGGCAAACCATAACTCGGCCGCCACTATCTTCCGACTGAAAGATCTTGGGCGGATTCGCCAACACATGGCTAAGGAACATCCAACCGAAGAAAGTGATCAATCCGAGACCGATAATAGTTGGAATGAAATAGCCAGCCACAATGTCGGCCATGCGCTGGATTGGAGCTCGGCTTGTCTGTGCATCCTGGACCAGCTTTACGATTTGGCTCAGGTGGGTATCTTTGCTGGCCCGGATCACCTTGAAATCGACTGAGCTTGTGCCGTTGACAGTTCCAGCGACAACATGACTACCTTTCTTCTTGTGGATGGGCAGAGCTTCTCCAGTGATCATGCTTTCGTCGACATAACTTTCACCCCGAATTACAACCCCGTCCGCAGAGACCTTATCACCGGGACGGAGGATAACGATGTCACCAACTTGGATTAATTCGGTGGGGATAATCTTTTGATTCACCGAAGTATCGTCAGACAGTGTGGACTTCGGCGCATGTGGAGTACTCTGCGCCGTCCAACCGTCAGCCAACTTCTCGGCCGCAATAGGGTCTTCGTAGATAGTGGTCATGGATGGAGCCAAAGACATAAGACGGGAGAGGGCTGCAGATGTCTGTCCCTTCGCCCGGTTCTCCAACCATCTTCCCAATGTGATGAATGTGATAAGCATGGTACTAGTATCGAAAACAGTGCTCGGTCGCTTGTGCTGATCGCTGAAGATAGCCATGATCATGGTGAAGCAACTGTAAAAGAAGGCTGCAGACGTGCCCAACATGACAAGAACGTCCATGGTTGGGGACTTGTGCTTGAGTGATTTGTAGCTGGTAATGTAGAACCGTCGGCCAATGCCAAACTGTACAGGAATCGTGAGACCAAGACAAATCAGATCACCAAGATAAAGGCCCGGTAGCAGTTGGAACCTGCCAAAATCGACTGCGCGCAGGTACATCGGCAGGATCATGTTGATGACAAATACGGGAACAGCGAAGGAGATGGAGGTGATGAATGCGCGTCGCCATTCCTGGATTTCTTTGGTTTTGGCCAAGGACTCCAGCTGTGCGTTAGTGTCGTCGGTATCGGTTATCAGTGCATTGTAGCCGGCGGACTCAATCACTTCGAACACTGAACGGATTCCAATGACGGATGTGTCGAATGTAACAAGTAATCGGGAAGTTCCTAGTTTCATCGTGGCAGACTTGACCCCTGGCCGGCTAAGGAGCGCCTCCTCGAGCGCAGAGGCAGATGTCGGATCTCTTAGACCGTGAATGCTCAAGCTGATCTGCTGGGTTTTTCTTGAAAGCGGCTCTTGTGTTTCGGATGAAACGATTGATGCATCAAACCCAGCATCTTCCACCATCGTAACAATAGCGTTGGCCGAAAGAATTGATGAATCATGTACAATCACCGCACGCTCGGCCAGGAGACTGACGTTGAACTGAATCACGCCTTCCGCATTGGCGACGGCGTTCTGGACACTGGAAGTACAAGCGCCGCAAGTCATACCGCCGATTGCAACGGTTGTTACCATCTGTCCCGACTTATTCTCTGTCAGGTCGGCGAGCTTGGACAAGTCTTCCTGGCCGGCAGACGATGCTTTGGTTTCCAATACCCGAGCACCAAATCCTCGGTCCTCAACCAGCTCTGCGATCTGCTCCGGCGTGATGATCTCCGCATTGTGGTCTACTACCGCACGCTCCGAGAGAAGTGATACATTGACTGAGTTCACTCCAGCGACGCCTACGAGCCCAGTTTCCACTGCTGAAGTGCATGCGCCGCAGGTCATGCCCTCGATCGCGAGCGTCGTCGTCGAGGAATGTGTTGCCGGACCACCCAGAACATCGGTATCTGTCGTCGTGATATGTTCCTCCGTCGATAGAACCGCAGCATCAAATCCACAGTCTTCAATCATTTCCGCAACTTTGGCTGGCGGAAGTATGGATGGGTCGTGTTGGACAGCGGCGCGGCCCATGATCAGACTGACGGACACATCGCCAGCACCCTCGACCCCCTTGAATGCGCCCTCGACAGCAGAGGTACACGCTCCGCAGGTCATTCCATCCACTTTGACTGTTGTTGTAGCCATCGCGGGTAGGCGATCGGCGGGGGATGCGGCGTCCGCGCCGCGAGCTTCTGCAGGCATGGCAACAAGGAAAGGTAATCCGGATCGTGGACGGGGCGTGGCTATCGCATGGGGACGAAGTATTACGGGATGAGCGCTCCTTAGGCACGATGAGCGGAGGGGATAGCGTGATGAACGACGGATGCTCTCGGATTGACAAGGGCCGGTCAGATCATTCCCCGATTGGGGCGGATAGTGGAAAGGGTTAAAAGAGATCACAAAATAAGGAACAGAAGACGAGGAAGGGAGGATCAGCCCAAGAGGCCACGTCGGGGGAGATCGGGGGTATTAATCAGGAATTCGCAGATGCAACTAGAAAAGCCGCGCGGGAAGTGGGTGAGATTGATTACGCATGGGGTGGAGCGCGCCACGCTGAGGAATGCGACTCCTCAGGCCGCGAGCCGATCTGTCCCCAGTCTCTCCAACAAATCCGCTCTCTGCGGCCTATTTAGCCGATCCACCCGCAGTAGAGCAGTCATCCTGCACTCGCAATATTGGCAACCACCATCTAATAATGCAGGCGACTTTCCAATGATTGCGCCCTGCCTGATACTATCATCAATAGCTTCAAAGCGGAGCATATAGGCAATTCTGAAACGCGGAAGGCTATGTCAGAAGCTGTCAGTGGCCCGAAGCGTTTCAGGTCGGCCGACCGCAACGTTCAGTCAGGGCCAACTGATGTAGCCTGTACGACGTTGGGCAAGGGTAATTGGGGAACATTGATCGAGCTGCTACAGATAAAGAGACGTCCACGACACGAGGCGATGCGAGGATCACCCATGAACGCACTCAGGAACTACCTGGAGGGATTGATGTATATACCTCTCCAGAACTGCCAAGCCACGGATTAATTATCATCCGCATAACACGGTCCTACAAAGGCGGTCTGCATCTTGAAATGCCCCTTCTCATCGCCGCCCGATAAGATGTTTGCATAGAAGGCAAACCAGCTCCGCCGAACCACCGCCATCAACAGTCAATTCAATAGATATCGCAAGAATATCATCACTACTCAACTGAATCATTTCTTCCCAGCTCCATCGGAGTACCCTTCTTCTGGCAAAACGCACAACGCCTCAACACTCCACCCTCACCATCCCCTTGGCCAAACACTTCCACCATCCCCTCACCTCTTCCCCATTGACCGGATCTCATGGACCAAACACATGCCCGGGCCTTGGAGGCTCTGCAGCCCTTCGTCGCCCTAGCCACATCCAACAGTGCGACATCTCCGCGCTTCGTGGCCAACATTGTTACAAATGCCACGTCGAGCCCCCAAACGTACGTCTTCGCCGAGCTGCTAGAGACACCAACCATCCAGGCCCTGGCCGCCTCCGATACCCCCGCAGAGTACCAGAGCTACCTGAAGCTGCTAGAGATATTCGCATGGGGCACATGGCAGGAGTACCAAGGTATGCACAATTTCTACTCACCCTCCCTCAACCTCGCCAGCGGTTGATCCTCCATACACGATGACAACCTAATAATTTCCTTCCGCAACAGCAACCCCCAACCTCCCCAAGCTGAGCACCGAGCAAGCCCTTAAGCTCCGCCTCCTCTCCCTCCTCACCCTCGCCGCAACCACAAAGCCCCTCACCTATCAAGCCCTCATGAAAGCTCTCTCCCTCTCCACAACCGCTGAGCTCGAAGCCCTCGTCACAACCGCTATCTACGCCAATCTGATCTCCGCCCGTCTGTCCCCTGCCTCAACCCCACCCACTGTCAACGTCACATCCGTCGCACCCCTGCGCGATGTGCAATCTCAGTCTCTACCCAAGATGGTCTCCCTCCTCACCGAGTGGGAGGCCCGTTGCGGCAACGTAGTCACAGACCTGGAAGCGGAGATCGCGCGGGTGAAGGCCAATGCCCAGAAGCGCTATGACAAGGAGCAGGCGCACCAGGCCCTCCTGGATCATGCAGTGCAACGGCGGCAAGCCGAGACGGGCCGCGAGGGCGGTGGGAATGTCGGGAATGGGCGAGCAAGTAAGTCTGGGATTGGGCGACGGCTTGCGGGGCGGATGGGATTTGGGGTTGGAAGCAACAAGCGGGACGCTGATGATATTGATGTGGATGATGGCTTTGTCTCCGGAGATAACGGGGATTCCGGGTCACGCATGGACATCGACGAAGGCGCGGGCATGGGGCGCGGGGGGAGCAGGCAGTCGAAGCGGATACTGGGGCGGAAGGCTTAGGAAGGTGGGTGCTCATGACTATCACGATCTTGTCATCTCGCTTGGCTAGCTGCACGAAGCGGATTGCACACTACTGAAACTCCCATATATCCTTACATGAAATGACCACGAATGATATATGTGCGGGTAGCAAGCACCAAAGTAGGTTGCATTCGTAAGGCCCTAATGGCAACACTCATGGAGAACATACGTATAATACAAGTGACCAAAATCAGAAGGGGTATTGGTAGAAGAGAAAAAAGGGGGAGCGAAAACAAGTAGAGGTCGACAAGTCAGATATGGACACGGCAAGGAGAGAGGGTTGCAGGACCGCCAGTAAGGCGGGTGTGGAGGTAGGGGAAAGAGAAGAGCAAACGCCAAAGGGAAAGACGGAACGTGACAAGGATTATGGGCTGCAGACGTATTTCGGCGTTCAAAAGCTTTCCAACAATTGTGCTTCGCAGAAGCAGGATAGGACAGATGAATCTAGACACCGGGCTAGAAATCTCTCTGACAAATCGTATGAATGCAGGTATTGCGAGGAATGACCACACAATATCTTTCGAAATTCGACTCGCAAAAGGTGGGGATGGGAAACATGTTCAGAGCATTGTGCCAGGCACGAAAATGAACAAGATACTCAGGGCCGTGGCGGTCAGGAACGCGATGAGAGCGGTGACCACGGCGCGCTTGTTCAAGAGTTTGCGGACGTATGGCTCGCGGATGGGTGCCCAGTTCATGAACGTGTATTCGCTGTAGCCGATGAACGCCATCACGGGGTCGATCTTGTACTGGTACGAGATGATGAAGTAAGAGGCAACGACAAAGGGGAGGATAACCCAGCAGCGAATGTGCCGAGGCTTGTTGCGCAGAACCACATAGAAAGCGCCCCAGAAACCTCCACCAAAGCTGATCAGAGCAAAAGCCAGACGGGCAAGAATGCTTAGCGGCACGAGGTTACCCAGAGCCTTGGCCTGCAAGAATCCCGGAAATGCATCACGCTCCATAGCCTGGAACACATAGTCCTTCGCGGGGTCGAACACCTCGGGGTCGTCACGGCCGTCGTCCTCAATCAGGTTAATACAGGTCGAAACCATAGTCTCCGGCAGAATAATCTCTCGCTCGGAGCCAGGGAGCAGATAGGTGTAGAGAATCTTCTCGGCGCTCGCGCGGATATCATTGCGGCCCACAGTGTGTCCGGGGGAGTTCGAGTCGCCGCCATTGCCGTTGCCGGTGCTGGGGCGCGGATCATTGGACGGGGTCCGCTGAGCAGACTGCTGAGAGCCGACGCTGTTCTGGGGAGAGTGCGAAGAGATGTGGCCCTCAGAGCGCAGGAAAGCAGACAAGCGGTGGTCGGCGTCGCGGTCCTTTTCGTTGTGATGCAGGCGGGAAGGCCCAGCCTCCACCAGCGGAATATCGCCCAAGTTCTCTAGATTCTCTAGCATCGCAGACGAGCGCTCGTTGTCGGCTCTTTCCATATCGGGGGTCGCGACGAGGACGGAGCGGCGAAGCTCTCGGACATAGTGACGGCACAAGGACATATGTTGCGAGACATCGAGCCTGATCAGATGGGTAATACATTAAATCACCATCCCATGGTTATTGACGTGCAAAGATAGCTTACCAAAAATCCAAGTAGTCCACGGAACGCTGCTGGTCGCGCATGTAAATGTAGAATGAGAAGAGGTCAACTGGAGCCAGAGTGCGGCGACTGAGGACCTCGAAGAGCGTCGGGAGGCGATTCCGCTGCTCCATGTCCAGGAATGAATCAGGCGAAGCCATTTTGCCAGTAATTTATGTGTTGCAGTCACCGGTGGAAATTCCAGCACCGAGGAATCGAAGTTGAAGTCAAGGAGGGGTGATAAAGGGGTAATGAACGTGACGGGTCGCGAAAGGCCACACAAAGTGACTGAGGTAGCCTGCAATGAATAATAAATCGCAAATTGGATCTAAACGAAGATATATGCACCCTGTGGGTGCCAAAGAGAGGGGTTTGTGAAGATGATCGTGGGTGTTGTCGTAGTACACGCAACGCGATTGCCGCGAAAGGAGAGCCCCCTGGCGAACGCAGCAGCGGGACGAAAATTAGTCAACAGCTGCACCGCAGCAGCAGCAATAATCAGAATAAGACAAAACACGAAAGGCTCATCAAGCGAGGTCCTAACGAACGAGGCCAGGCTCTTGAGGCAAGGGTTGATGCAAAGTACGGAGTATATAGGAGTGACCAGCCTCTGCATTATCTCCAGGTCCTGAAACAACACCGCAATAACATTCCTCCGCGCCAGACCCACCTGTCATTTCTTCAAGCGTCACATTGCATTATCTCATTGGAGTTTCGAGGGATCTAGACGCGTGAGAGCAATTAAGATGATTTGCTTATTTTCTGACTTCACCAGAATAAATTACTGAAAGGCATCAATTCATGTTTTCATATAAATGAGGTCCGTGTACTCCGCTAAAATTATCCACAGGGTATTGGTAAATCCAGTCAGCTCCATAACGCCGTTCCGTGTAAACACCCACGCAGAGAAATACGCTTAGTGTCCATCGGCGAGATGCTAGAGGCACACAGATTAACCGGCAACTCAACCAGAATATAAGGTTTTTAAGGGTCAAACTTACCGACCACTCAGGGATATTCCGAATTTGTTGGTACATGAACTTCTCAAGCTTGTTGGCGCTCTTAGCGTACGGAGTGCTCTCGTTGTTGTACCGTCGGCAATTTTCAAAGATCAATGTCGCATCCTTGATGAAGTCCTGCGGAGTTGGATACATGTCCTTCTCATGCTTCTCCTCCATGGTTGACAGATCCATCGGTTCCATGATGACTTCGTAGTAATCGGGCACTTCATCACGGTTTACTGGCTGAGTAAATGGCCAGGCGGCACTGTGGTTTTGCATGTCATTCAGCAGATGCAGCAACTGGTTGTAATTAGGCCCGTGACGAGGCTGGCGAGCCAGCTCGTCCATATCAGGCGACCACCCTGACTCCTTGACAGCAGGAATAGTTAGTGGATCAATGTGAGATACACCATTCTTCCACTCCTTGGGAGCGGGGTGGATGATATGAGAACGGCTGAATGCGCGGATCTTGGCTTGAACAGCTTCTTTCTGCTTCAGAAGCATCCGACCCATTTCTAGGTACCGAATTTTAGGCAGCATGGTACATTGCATGATGGTACCGCCTTCATAATCCTTAATGTAGCCCATCCAGATCGACTTGTCGAGGGTGATTTCTTTCGTAAATCCTTGCTTTTTGAAATATCCGATGGCGTAGTTGTCGGCATAGGTGAGGAAATGCATTATGGGGGAGGTGGCTTTCACGTAGTCCTGTCGCAAATGCATCAGACTCGAAAAGCTGAAAGTCGCAACCACTTTTTCATACCTTGAGATGTGACATCAAATGCGCACCATAGCCCTTGACTTGCTGGTCGGAGGAAATAGCACAAAACACAATTTCCGCAAATGTGCGGCTATTGAATGGCCGGTAGGTGATCCCTCTGTTTGAGCTTATTAGCAAATCCCCCCAAGGTGACAATCTAGCCCCATTGGCCCTTTTGCACCTACCCAACAACTTCCAACGGATGCTTCACTATGGCGATAGACAAGTGTGACCGATCGTAGACAAGTCGCGCAATATAATCCTTAGGCATCTTTGGGAGTTGTTTCTGAAAGATACACTTCAGGCCCGTCAGGACGATAAAGCTATCGTGTGAACCATCGTTGTTCACCACTCGGAACTCAATATCACCACGGCGCTCTTCTAGGACAGCGGGCTTGGGGGATCATGTCAGCCTTTTTGAGGTTCCTGGCAGGGAGAGGAGAGGGGCAAGATGGAACGGGCGGAAGCTCACCTTCTCGGGGAACGGGACAATGCGCAATGGCGGCTTTCGTAGCGCTCCATACTCCTGCTTCACGTCAGTCAAGGTCTCAATTGCAATCAGTCGGAAAATCCAACCTCTTTCTCTGGGGAGTCGGTGCGCGCTTTCTTGCTGGCTTGCTGTTGAGAATCCGGGGAAGCTGCCTCCTCTGAGGCCTTCCTCTTGGCGCCTAGAAAGCATCAGTAACTGCTTCTTGGTGCAAATAGCGGGTCTCGTTGCAAGAAGGACTCACTCTGAGGGGTTTCAACAGCCATGGTGGGTGGTTGAAGCTAGCGATTAGCACCTGCGCGCGTTCTAGAGAGATGACGCTCCCCGGGAATCGGCTCCGGAACAACAATACTCCGTATCGGCCAGATCGACCAGTCGCGCATTGTATACTTCTCCAAGTCCCGCAACTCTCCTGTTCATCACAGATCCATTACCGGTTTCCCTATTTCTCGCGGATCCATCACTCATGTCTTTGAACGAAGTTTGGGAGGCAGCCTCTGCAACCCCTTTCCACCCCCTCGTCTCCAAGGACAGCCAGTTCTCCGTCGGCTTCAGCCTACTGGTACTTGGTAAGGATTGTTTGCTGCATCTCCAACCTGTGCTCCACTAACCATGGCTGATATAGCATTGATCTTCACGGTGCTTTTTGGACTTAGTAAGTACTCCTTGAGATGCACTGATGTCAACTGACAGTTGCTAACATTTCCCACCAGATCGGTCGTTCCTGAGCCTCGCGTCCCTTGGCCTGCCAGCATCATTACTGTTCGGGTGAGTGAAAGTGGCACTACAGCGAATTGAATGAATGATGCTAATGAAATGGATTTTGGTCAGATTCGGAGCCGTGTTCACAATCTGTGCTGCTGGAGTCTATGTTTAACGAGATACCCACACTTTGTTTCCTCCATGTACCATAAGCGGGGAATTTCAAGGGGCCTGTACTGCTAGAAGCTCCCAAGTTATCACACATTCTCGAAATTCTCTCCTCCCGCCTGACCGCATCCTATTCACGCCTCCGAAAGGCTCGGACTAGCAGCTATTTCCTCAACAATGGAGCCGCTGTTCACCGGTGTCTCGAATAATGCCCACCACCTCTACACTCTGCTCTCCTGCGTTGGCTTTGCTTCAAAAGCAACCGTCCAGATTACTCCGGATGGTCTGCGTTTCTCTGCGGAGGAAGGCCGCGTCGTCCAAGGATTAGCCTTCCTCGACAAATCTCTTTTTACCAGCTATACCTTCAAACCGTCGACCGAGCGCAGCACTCAAGCTGAAGAATTCAACCAAAATGCAGACTCATCGGACGAGGTGGAATATCCCCACTTTGTCATCTCTCTTTCCGCTCTCCTTGAAACACTGAAGATCTTCGGCATCAACGACCTGATGGAGCCCAATGGCTCCAGAGACACCAACCTCCCGCAAATCAAACCGGCCTCAAGTGCGTTCAATGCGCCGGCCTTGCTTATGGACCGATCCTGTACCCTCCAGTATACGCAACATGGTGCCCCTCTCAGCATCGCCATCACGGAAGCGGGAGTAAAGACGACTTGCGAGCTAGTGACCTACGAATCAGGTGATGCGGAAACCGACATACCGTTACAACGTGATGCTATTATCATGAAGATCATCATGCGTTCCGCCTGGCTGCATAATGCCATTGCTGAACTCGACTCATCCACTCCCACCATTCTCAAGATATCAGCCTGCGCCAAGCGGGAGCCGTACTTTGCTCTCTCAGGTGCTGGCGGGCCATTCAGCGAGTCCACTGTTGAGTTCTCTGTTGACCAACACAGTGAAAACGTTGGCGGCGCTACTCAAGGAGACCAGGCGTCACAAGCTCATAATATTCTCACGAATGATGGAACTTCGCGACCACGCGCAACCAGGAGAAAAGCAGCACCGACCGTGACAGAAACTTTTCAAGTATCCCCGCCATCTTCTATGGGTGAGCGAATTCAACAGAGCTATCGCTTTGCACTCATCCGGAAGGCGGCCCGCGCCATGGCTGTTGCCAACAAAGTCAGCATTCGGGGCGATCAGCAAGGTGTACTAAGCTTGCAATTCATGGTCGATCTAGATGACAATACCTCAACTGGCAGATCTGTTGGTGCTGGAGTAAGGGCACCAGCGGGCCCAAGATGTTTCGTGGATTTCCGTTTTGTGCCCCTTCTTGACGAAGAGGAGGCTGAAATGGACGTGCAAGATGATGAGGAATAGTTGAGCAAGTCTGGCTGTATTATAAAGATACCTTAATGTTATTTCCACATATTTCAATCGACAGACTTAACAAATGCATTGGAGGTATCAGTAAAACTAAATAGAAGGAGTCGCCCTTTTGTACGCCTAAAATAACATGCTATGAGAAGTAAGTGAGGGAGGCATTTCATGTTCATCGTGTGAAAGAAAACAAGCGAGTCGAGACCACGATAGCTCGAGGTGGGCGTTACAAGACCTAGGAGGAGATTAGCACAAGTGAATAAAATCGAGTACAATCAAAAACATACCTCAGCAATGGACTGCCTCTCAATGATCGACTTCTGTTTCTCATTCCGCGAGACGCGATAATAGTAATCGCTGAAGTCTCCGCACTGCATGTGGCGCAAAAATTCCTCATCGTGGGTGATGACAATCAACTGGAAATTCGCCTGCTGCTGGCGAGCCCGAATAATATCGTGCAACGATTCCGCTAGCGAGCGGATATTATCACGATCCAGATTCGTCGTTGGCTCATCCAGAGCGATGAGACCACAATTCACGCCGAAACATTCCGCCAGAGCAAGCCGAATGATGATACTAGCCAACACCTTCTGACCCGCGCTGCAGCGACCTCGCATGTCCATCTCTGCGCCTTGTTTGACCATGCAAACTCGATAGTTGTAGGATCTGTTTCCCTTCGCATTTTCGTTGTCGGAACGAATGAGAATCGTGTCCACGTCTGTTCCGCGGTACGTCTTTTGCCAGAGTTCACCGATGATGGAGTTGATTTCTTCCATCTTCAACCCGTGGTATCGCATGATAGCTTTGTCTAGGGCGCCGCCATAGCGAGCGAGATCTTCGACTGCGGCCTTGGTGGTCTCCACTTTGATATGCGCCTCTTTGTACTTAGAGGCTGCATCCTTGTAGTCCGTATTCCAGTCGGCCAGCAGTTGCATCAACTGGTCATCCTTGGACTTCATTTCGCCCATTTTGCTGGCCTGCTTGGCAGCCAAGGCATTATGCTCGCGGGTCCAGCGCTCCGACTCTTGCTTGAACCGGCTACGGTCAACTTCGGCGTTCTGCGCTTCCAGTTCCTCGACCTCTTGAAGAACTTTGTCCAGAGATCGTGTCGCTTGACGATAGGTCAGGTTGTCTGAGTACTGGCGCTTCGTATTCTCACTGTCCTTGAGCTGAGTGGAAATCTTGTTGATCTCTCTTGTAACCTCGCCTTGCTCGGCTTCAAACCGGCTAATCTCACTCTCGACTCCGGTAAGCTCTTGCTTGCTCCGCTCAAGCTGAGTCGGGCCTCCTCGCTCGATGTATGAATTAATATCCTCATTGGCAAGATCAAGTTGGTGTATACTCTCGGATATGCTGTTGATCTCGTGCTGCAAATCTCTTTCGTGTGTATCAGCCTTTTCACTAATATCGTCGTAGCTGGCTTGAGCCTTGAGCAATTCAGGTGAAAGGTTTTCTATATCCTGGTCTGCTTTCTGTATTGCCTCTCTCTGCTGAAGATTAAGCTTCTTGTACTCCTCGATGCGGACAAGCAGGTCGGCCTTCTTTTCTAGCTGGAACTTGGTGTTGTTGAGGTTGTCGCGTACATCTCTAAGTTGGAGTTCGAGCTTGTTCATCTCGGTTCGTGTCTGCTCCTTCTCATTCGTGAGTTTTGTGAGGGCTCTCTTTAATTCTCGAGACTTTTCGTTGGTAGCCGAGATCTCTTGCTGGATATCGTCCAAGGTACGTTCCATAGAGGTATCCTGCTGCTTCGCCGAAAGCTCCTGGATTTGAGACGTGATATTCTTGATTTCACCGTCGTGCCTCGAGATGGTATTAACAGTCTTCGCGAGAGTTTCAACATCTCTCTTACTTTCCAACTTGTCGCTAACCATCCTATCATGGGTCTCAAGCTTGTCCAGAAGCCGGTCTCGCTGAGATTCGCAGTCTTGCTCTTCTTTTTCCAACTCAGGAATATCAGTCTCGGAAAGACGAACCCATTGGTCATAAAATCCATTAGCTGCACGAGCGTTTTCGAGATCTTGTTCAAGGCCTTTTAAGGTCTCGTCCTCGGCGTCCAAGCCAGCCTTCTTCACCAAGGCCTCCAGCTTCTTTGTGAAAGTCTGGAGTTCCGCCTCGTTCCTGAAGGACCGCTGGCAAGTGCGGCACAACTTGGTGCGTTTTGCTGCATCCAGGCACTTGTTGAGGTACTCGCCCATGCCAGCATATTGATCAGCATCCTTGCGGGCAAGATCATATTGAGCCTGGCGTTCTTTGACAATCTCGGGATACTCCGATGGCTCAGCATCGACTACTTCATGAATCTCCTTCACGCAGTCGTCGAGATCCTTGCGTCGCTGTTTCAGGATTTTCTTTGCATTCTTCAGTTTGAATTCCACTTGCTCAAGCTCTCGGCTGACGCCGTCACGGCCCCGCTCTGCATCGGCGACCTGCTTTGTTTCACTATCAACAGCCTGTTGGAAATCCTTTTCCAGGCTATCAGGTTGCCAAGCGGAACCGAGAACTTTCACAAGACGATCTCCATGGGCACTCTTCATCGTCTGCAAACTGCGTTCTCTGTCTTTGAGCTCCTTCTTGAGGTGATCCAACCGAGCCAGGTCTCCTGCTTTCTTTGTGGACTCAATCAGCTCGGCATTGAGTTTCAAACTCTCATCCTCAAGGTGCTGGATTTGCACGTTGATATCTTGGATCTCTCGGTCCCATGAGGCAGTCTTCGCCCGCTCTTTTGCTTGATGAAGACTCGAAGTAATATCTTCAGTCTTAGCCTCTAGAACAGCTTGGACTCCTTCGTCAACGTCAATCTCATTGAGCCTCCCTTGGTAAGTTGCTGCCTCTTTTTCGTTCGCCGCAATCTGTCTCTTTGCAGCATTCTTGGTTTCCTGCAGGGCGGACTTCCGCTGGCCGATCTCGTTGAGAGTGTCTTGCACTACACGGAGTTCCTGCTGGGCCTCGCGCTTCACACGATCCAAGGCCTGGATTTGCTCTCGCAAAACGCGCCGAATCTTCTGCATGAAACCATCGATCTCTGTCTGATCCATGTTGTCGTCGATTCCACGGATGTTATTGTTGCGAGCAGCCTCGTTGATCATATTTTGGCGTCTTTGGACCTGACGCTCAAAATTGGCTTTATCATTTTCGAATTTGCCGTTCTCGGCCTGCTTCAAGCCTAGTCGGTGTCGAGCAGTCTCGATCCTCTCCTTTAGTTCCATATAGTTCTCCTTATGGGCTTCCTCCTGCTGTTGATACTCGATTTGTTTCGCCTCAAATTGCTCGAGCGTCGACTGCAGCCACTCATCCGACTCGTCGAGCTCAACCAGGTGCCTCTTGAGGTTTTCAATGGTGGTTTCGATACTTTTCGCTTCGATACGCTTTCCCTCCAGAGCACCGAGTACCTGAGCGTAACTTTCGGACTCTTTCCAGGCCTTGTCAGCCAGCTCAGCGACGCGCCGCAGATCCTTTGACATTTGCTGAGTCTCCTCTCTCAACGCCTCGATCTCATCCTGAAGCTTGACGGATCGTTTCTCTGCACGGTCGGCCTTGTCTTTATCCTCTTTGGCATGCTGTTCCATAATCTTGAATTTGCCAAGCTCTTCATTTTGCTTTTTGCGCAGCGCTTTGATATTGTCGATGGCCTTCGTGTACTTCATAGCTTCAAAGATTTCGTCAAATCTCTTTTTCAAAACCGACGGCTCACTCATCGGCCACAGACTCTCATCCTGGTGACAGAAAATAACGGAGTCCAAGACGGCTCTAGAAACACCCAAGTACTGTGGCATGATCTGGTCGAGCTCAGCCACCCGTGATGAGATAGATGCACGCTCGCCGTTTTTCACCATGACCAGCTGGCCCTCTAATGTCTTCTGCTGCCTTGTTGTTTTCTTGACTGTGAGCTGAAGGCTGCGTGTAGCCACCATCTTGGCGCCGGATGTGCCATTGAAGGAAAGCTTCACCTGGGCGAGCACCTCTTTCTCGCCGCATAACTTTGGATCATGAATAAAGGCACCACCTTTGCTGTTCGGAGGAAGGTCGCCAGTCGTGGCATATTTGAGACACTCGATGATGGTCTAGACTGTGTCAGTTTTCTTGATCGTGCTTCTGTGTTGGGAGCTCCGAATAGTCGAGCCCCTACCGTTTTCCCAGATCCATTGTAGCCGACGATCAATGTAAGAGGTGTATGGAATTGTATGGTTTCGCTGCGTGTGTTATCGAAGGAGCGAACCCTAAATTGGAGAACACGATTAGCTAGCCCGAGGAAACGGAGCACCTGGCAGAGTCGCGTCACGTAACCAGCCAGACTTACCCCAAAATCGAGAGCTTATCGATCTTCGCTGCCATCAATCATGTTATAGTTAGATCCAGTTACAGCACCTGGTGAGTCGTGCGAACACTTACACCTGCCGAGCTGTTAGCATGGTCATCTCCAGCAGCGGGACCTTCCGGTACTCACATTCTTGCGACAGCGGCGAGCAATCGCCTTTGCAGTCTTTTGGAGGTTCTTTTGCAGGTCTTCCTGGAGATCCCGTTGAATTTCCGTTCCGAGCGTCTCGCAGAACCTTGGGGTTATCCTGGCCCGTCCACTGGTGCAGTTGCAACCGAAGTGAGTGCTCAGATCGCCTGTTACTTCTGATGCATCAACTTTCTCCACTTCGCGCCGGTGCGACACGAAGTCACGTGCCTGTAATTGGGATGACATAAGCCACGCCCCAAAGGATCGGCCAGCGCTGTCAACCAGAGCGAAACGGCTGTGTTATCCTGCCTCTTGCGCCTTCCTCGTTAGAACCCAGACCGGTTTTGTGTGATAAGGCACAAGAAATGCTTGATACTTGGCGGGTTTCCACTAAACGAAACCTGTGCCTTTCAGCAGAGCAGGACCAGAGATGAGCGCTGTGGAATCAGGTTCAAATACCAGGCGTGTATCTGCCACTCGATTTCTGGGAATGCGCCCGCCGCCCAGTCTGGACCCGCCCGCCCTTCCGTGTGCGCATTGACAACTAAAGTACGAAATCTCCGGCGCGTAATCTCTCCCTCTCTTCGCTGGCTGCGGTGAGACTGCCAGTCTTCCTGACATGGCCTTGGCTCAAATGTCCTACAACAATATACACCTGCCTCCACAGTCACGACCCGGAGTCAACGAGGGGAACCAGGCCTACCTGGCTGATGAGCAGCAACAGCAGCAGCAGCAGAATATGACGGAGTCTTACGCACACTATGGCATGCAGGGGCAGCAGCAGGGAGGGTACCAACTTGTGCAAAATGAGTGGACGCAGCGGGTCTTGGAAGAGATGAAGGACTTGCTTCTTCTACTGAGTGCTCAGGGTCGGATTACTTATGCGTCGCCGTCGTCGAAATCGATTACCAGCCGTGTACCCAACCAGCTCGAGGGCAGCCTCTTTTCTCAATACATCCACGAAGACGACAAGCCTCTCTTCCTGCGGGATATGGATGAGTCGGTGGCGACAAGCAAACCATTTCGGACTCATGTGCGGTTGCAAAAGTCCAACAGCACTTACTCGCTGGTCGAAATTTACGGACATCCACACATAGCGAACCAGACAGGGACACAGGGGAGAAATACCTCCAGCCAGGACCGCTGCACGGGTTTCTTTATTATGTGTCGACCTTATCCCACGAAGAACTCCCTGCTTCTCGACTCCTTCCTGGAACACAAGATCGAAAACGCACGCTTGGTGCAGCAAATTGCCAAATTAAAGCAGGAAGAGGAGGAAGAGGCAAACCTGTCCCGACTGTCGTCCACCAAGATTGAAAATAGATCGCTTGAAATCCAGCCCTCCGCCCAAGGAAGTGGAAGCGGTAGCGGTAGTGATCAGGAGTCTACCGAAACCGTGGCGCCTAATTCTGATGAGTCTGACGCTGGCCCTCCGAAGGATTACTTCTCTGAGGGTGCCCCTCATGCTGGTGGTCTGTCCCACATTGATGGTATCGAAGTCATGACCGGTCTCTACTATGGCGATGGCGAGCGATCCCAGGGACTCAGTACTGGTATGCGCCGAGGCCGGTTGATCCAATGCGACATCGATATCACCACCGCGGCGGATCAAGCCCGTAATGTTCAAGAAGGCGACAGGCGCAAGAGGCTCAAAGGACAACATGTTTGCGGTGACTGTGGAACAGCAGACTCGCCTGAATGGAGGAAGGGTCCTGGTGGACCGAAGACCTTGTGTAATGCGTGCGGCTGTATGTTCTTGTGCCGGTATCAACTTCCTCTATGACTCTAAGCTAACTCTGTTCATCAACGCAGTGCGCTGGTCCAAAAAGGAGAAAAAACGCCAGGAGATTTGAGCCCCTTCATCGGACTGATAGCCACCCGCGACCGACGGAGAGTCCATATCTGGCTTCGTTCTGGCTCTGCAACTGTACCCTTTCCGTCCTCTTGGTCCTGCTTTCCCGGTCGGGGGGATAATTCCTGTTACGCTTGGCTCTTGAGATATCGCGATCGGAGTTTACCTATGTTTGGTATCTGGATAATCAACCAAATTCTTGAGATTCAGCATACTTTATGACGTTATGATCACTTTTCAAACCCCTTTCGTGCCTGGAATACTTGTGTTGTATATATTTCGCCATTCTCGGGTCTTCATTCTTGATTTATGGATGTGCTTCTTGCGAGTTAGGTATCAGCATACGTGATAGGTTTACCGAGGTTATCAATATTTTTGTTCCTTTGAATTGCTTCATGTATTCCAAAATTAGGTGATAGCTGCCAATGTAATGGCTGGAAACAATAGTTTCATCTTCAAACGCCATAGATGATAGTATGATATGTACTTGAGGGGGTGGTGTATTTTGATGCTTTGCCAGTCAAGGATAGCAATGGGGTAAGAGAGAAAGAATGACATAGCGCCATCCTGAGCCCCAGTCAAACCGTATGAATAAAAGATGGTATCGTAGGAAATGTGTCAAAAATAAAGCAACGCATTGGATCAAGCTTATTTCTTCGACGCTTTCTTGGGCGGTGGTGGGAAATACATAGGTGACCCTGGCCCTGACTGGGGCTCTGTCGTCTGTGGTTGAGGCTGCATTGGTGGAGTGGTGGGCATGATGGAGGCATCACGTAGTGGGAGGTCCGACGAGGTATTTATGCTGCCGAGTCGGTTAAAGCCTGGGGTACGCCCCGGGGTCGGCGGAGTAAACGGGGCATGGAGCGGCCCTCCGTGTGTTACAGGGCTTGTAGCAGCCATCGGTGGGTAACCGGGGGTTCGAGGCATCATGCCTTGTCCCTGGCCCATGAAGGCAGGCGTCATAGGGATCATGCTGGGCGACTTGAGGATCTCTTCCTCGAACTCTTTCTCGATGCGTTTCTCTTCTCTTTGGTCCAAGATCTCCTCGCGCTCCTCCTTGGTAATGAAGCAGGAGTGAACAACAACAACAAGTTCAACGAAGTAGAGAGCACTTCAGGCAACCGTTAATATGATATACTTGATAAACCAGGGAGCAGGAGTTCCTCATACATAATAACGACCGAGACGGCGAAGAGCGACTTTGCTTGCATGCAATAACCGATATTTGACTTGTGTGCAGCAACACTGCAGCTCTTCGCAATATACCATGGTGGCCCCGGCTGGGGGTGCTTCGGGTCCGACATATCGCTACCAGCCTGGTAACGTGCCGATACAATATAGAGTACCATGATGGCACCGTGAATGAAGGCTCCGAGCGGAGGGAAGAACAGGTGCATGCAGTGGATAGGAAATTTGACGATTAACATAAAGGTGCTGACAACTCCGATGACTAGGTTATAGTTGGTCATACTGTCTCAGGGTCAGCTACACTCGTCTTGACGTGGGCACGAGGAAGGCATACAAAGATGACCAAACCATGGGAGCTGTAAATGGCCGATAGTTGGCCGCAGCGTACAGCGCCGCATTGGGGGCGCTATTGAAGCCGTTGTCTGCGCCATCTTGCCATAGCAACGTCCGATACGTATTGTGCGAAGCAAGACCCGTCAGAATCAGGATAACGACTGTGATCGGAAACTCAACTACCATAAGGTAGAGGGTGAGCTTGTAGTGCCGATGCCTCCTTGGGAAGAAGAATTGCATGGTGGCCGTGGTAAATCGCGGTCAAACAATGCTGATTACTCTTAGTTTGTGCCGCGGAATCGCCGCTCACCCAAAGCAGATGCGACAGCAGAAAGAGTGGAAGACAATGCGATTCGGCCAGGCCGGCTGGCTGCGACATTCAGCGCTTCGCATGTAGAGGCTAGAGTCTGAAGATTTGGGGTATAAGTAATAGGATCAGAAAAGCACAAGTCTGGGCGATCCGGAGGGAAGGCGTTAGATATGAGCCCGCAGACAACCCCCCCGGGCCACCGTCACTTCAGTCGCCCAGGGCCGGCCTGCAGAGAGGGGAACGAATCAGCAGGGGATATTGGGCGCAGGAAGCTCTGGAGTGTTTTCGGGAGGTGCATCTGGCCAATGCGTGCTGGCAGCAAAGCGCCAGAGCGAGCACCAGTCCAGGGCCGTCGCACCAATAAGATGCTACAGACAGGGGCTTGGCTGCCGGTCGTCACACGCTAACGAGTGTGATGGGATGGCGGATCTGCACGAGGGAGCGCTCTGCAACACGGCGAGCTCACGGCACGACGACTCGGTCTTGCGGCCTGCATGACTAGTGCGAAACGGTTGACGAAACGATGTGATGGTCGTCTCTGTCACCTTGTCGGTGATATGGCATGCAGCGCTGCTCGGGTGCTCGGGTGCTCGTTGTATACTCTGCATTTCTGTCTCACCATCACACCCAAATACAAGCAGTGGGTAACTTAGCGTAGAGCAAATGATCATAACATCTCTAAAGAATAAAAGGTGACGTATTCCAAGAGGTGGAGTTGGGAAGAACTACTTCATTTACAAATCCGGATAACAAAAGTAGGTCATGTGGTCGGACAACACCCGCATCCAACTTCAGCTTCCTCACTGATCCAGTTGGAACAGAATCATACTCTGCTGTACTCAGCATTTAAACCTGCCCTGTTGAAGTCAACTCCATCTGATCTAGGCGCCTCGCTCTGCTGCATCCACTTATCCCATCAGCTCCGTTATCTAATGAGGGGGTTCAGACCGCCGTACCAACCAAGCCAACGCTTCGCACTTCCTATCCGAGGCTGGCACCGATCTTTGCAAACTATATATCCCATCACACCAGGTACAGTGCGTCGCCTGATGAGTTCCCAGCGCGAAGACTCGATTCCACACGAGCTGCGCACAGCAGCAGAACCCCGGCAAAACAGACTTTACCCAGTGCGCCTGTCGCATGTGGAGCAGGTCAACCCCTCCATCCGCCTGCTACAGTTTGCTATTCCAATCCGGGAGAGTAATGTACGTACGACTAAGATTGCTTTTTGAGGAAGGATGTGAGACCTGAAAAAAACGTATCTTTTTCTTCCATGCATTTTTGATTAGATACTCGGCATAATGTCTATGTTTATGTGCAAGCATGATGGCCGATGACGCACTCTGAGCTTATACATAAGAAAAGTTACACAACCTACCTAAGTACCTGGGCTGATGACTCGTTCTGCAGGATGGCAATCAGCTGGAACCATTTTCTTTCCTTCCGGGTCAATGGCTAGATGTTCACATACCATCCATCGCAACGGCTGGTGGGTTCACCATCACATCTACTCCAGCAGATGCACAAGCATTGCCGCCGCCTGAGTCACCAGTGGAGCCACTAGTTGGCGAGGAAGCCAGATCATCCACACCATCACAAGGGAGGGAACCATATGTGGAATTGGCAGTCCAAGACTCTCCTACAAACCCACCGGCCGCGTGGCTATGGAAACCAAAGCAGGAGATTGTCGGCAAGGAAGTGAATATCCGTGTCGGTGGAAGCTTTGTCTGGCCACCCACCGGAGTTGAAGTACAGAACATCAGAAATGTAGTCTTCATTGCCGGCGGCGTGGGCATCAAGTGAGTGATTCGTTAGCTACAGATTGAGGATGAATATCAGCGAAGCTGATACCATTATAGCCCTCTCATCTCGATTCTCTCTCACCTCAATAATCAAAGTCAACGCACTCAGCCCTTGAACATACATTTCCTATACTCTACTCGACTCCCACAAGGACACGAAACAACACCATCAGATACGCTTTTCAATCAAATCCTCTTCCTCCCACGCGTTCGTCAAATAATTCGCTCTCAAGAACAGTCCCACCGCCTCCGAATTTCTCTCGATCTCTTTCTCACGAATTTGAGCTCCTCTTGTCTCACCTCAGCTGATAATCCCGCTGATTTCACAATCCATCGAAAACGAATTGGAAAGCATGATCTTCGCTCGGCGGTCGTGGGCGGGGATGGCAAGCTGGACCCGCGTGAAAGCGTGGCCTACGTCTGTGGACCACCGCAGATGACGGATGAGATAGTCGAGATGCTAAAGGAGGTTCTTGGAGAGGGCGGGGGGCAGCGAGTCTTCTATGAGAAGTGGTGGTAAGAAATTATGTCAAGTGAATGATAGAAGATGGAAAACATACGGATATTCTTACGATCGGAGCATGAACAGACAAGAAAATGGTGGAATATTCGGTAAGAGATAGAAACCCTACGGACGCCGATCTTTTGCAGGCCAGGGAACAGGGAAAATCTATGTACAAGGGTGTAAGAAGGAAAATGAAAATAGATGGAGTCGCCCACAATGGAAACGACAGTAAGACAGGAGCAGAGAGGCAGATGGGCTCATGGTCGAAAAATAACAAAGAACAGAGAATGAAAAAGTCACATTGATAAAGAAAGGAAGGGTAGCCTCGTTAAGCCGATTCACCGGGGCCTTTGACAGCACCGCCGTCGACAATCATCATCTCGTCGATCTTGGCTTCTGTCTGTCCCCATTCTAGACGCTTGTAGGTCGTCACTCGGCCCGGGCCCATATCGAAATCGAAGAAGCGTACGCGCCGGACGTAGTCGTTGTAGCCACCGTAGCCACCCAGACCCACGCCACCGCCGTAGCACATCCACAGTGACGGTTTTTCATTTGGATCTTGCTCGAGCATGCAGTAGTCGTTGACGTGATCGCTGCAAAGAGAGAAATAAGTACCTGGTTAGGGTTGGATCATGGTAGTTCAGTACTTACTGTCCGCAGCTGACAAACAAGACGCCCTCTTCTTCGAGAGCTTCCTTGAAACCAGAGTTGAATCCGGGCGCGGTGGGCGCTTCAGTCCACTCCCCCTTCCAGTACTTGCCGTTGCTTCGATATTCGGGTAATGGGATGTGGATGAATGCCATATTCATGTGGATATGAGTGTATCCTTGATGTTTTCTCCTCAAACTTTGGGCAGTGTTTTTGAACCAGCGAATTTGACTAGGCTTGATCCAGTCGTAGCCACGGAACTGGCGCTCATCAGGGGAATAGGCGTGCGTGTCGAGGAGGTAGAAAGTGAGAGCAGAGTGCGTGCCACTGCCGCGGTCGAGAACCTCGACGATATAGTTACCGACTCCGTCAATATCTTCAGGGCCGGTGGTCGAAAGGGAATAAGGTAAGTCTTCGTAGATGGACATGAGCTGTGCTCGGTTCAGGTCACCTTCGTCGTCATGGTTGCCAAAGATGACAGCGTATGGGATCTTGCGGTCGACGAGCAGTTTCACGCCCTTAAAAACGGCACTTTGGGCATCAGGGGAAGTTTCTCCATTGACCTGGTCACCGCTCAGAACGACCATGTCAGGCTTCTCCTCGTCGAGGAGGCGCTCCACGAACTCCAATGTTCGGGGGTCGGCTTCACAGCTTTGTCCAGGCGCCAATTCAGCGGGGACGGGGTCACGGCAAGCACCAAGACCCGTGCTCAAATGCAAATCCGCAAGTTGCATCACCTTAAACCTTCCATTCTCATTGATCCTAGGCGTAGGCTTCTTGTTTTTCAGTGGGTTGCCACGCCGAATGCTGAGACGAGTCTCCAGCTTCTCTGTCCGCCCATCCAGCAACAAAGGGGTATCTTTGACCTCCCAATTGGGACGAGGATCAACAGCATCAGCGCCGAAAAGCACATCCACATATGTCACCGCCTTCTCCGAGTCGCTGGCGTGGCGTGAGGCCGTCCGCTTCAGCCAGATGCCACCTGGTCGGGGCTCCCACGCCTCCACCTCACCCTTGGGGCTATATTCGGTCGGTGGGGTAAGACGACTGATCTTGAGGTCGATGACCACCTTGTCATCCGGTCCCAACTCTTCTTCCTTCTTCCGCTTAAACTGAATATAGGCCGTCGAGGTCCAGCCCGAGCGCAGGTAGAGATCCTTGTCGATGCGGTACCAGGACTCCGGGTCCAGCTTGCAGCTCGAGAAGGGATTAATCGAAGAACATTGGGTGACTGTCACATCGGTGATCACAAAACCGGAATAGTGCATGGGAAGGTGGCCATGGATCGACGCGGGTAGGACACGGAACTTGTTGTCGAGGAAGACGATTATGAGGAGCGCAAACGTTACTAACAAGCCGAGCTGAACGCCCGTTCGGACCTAAAGGGATAAGATCGCATTAGCAAGCGCCGTCAGAGCTTCGAGGATGGAAACTTACGAGCCGGCGAGCCATGATGAAGCTGGTTTCACCCTGGCAAGGACTTTGAGAAGAGCAGGGTAGCGCACAGGCGCATGATGCCACCTATGACGGAAGGGGGTGCTTTGAACAGGCCAAGAGAAAAGCAACAAATTTAGGTCCATTCACAAGGCCATAGAGCCATAAGGGAGCAGATGGGGGAAAAGATGGGGTTGTTTTAGGAGGAGACTCCAGGAGACGCTTGGACTCGGAAGGCGGTCACTTTTCGACATTTGAAGCCTCTCCGCTTTGATCTCATGAAGGATTCATCTCTATTCATTGCAATTACCAGTACCTGAGGGATCTAAAATACTCAAAATGGTGGTGCAGTGAAGCACCAGTCCCCCTCGAGAAAAGATATATACACCAAATTTAATCTATATGTTCATCTAATCTAAGCGCTCTTCGCCCGGATGGCCACATCGCTCGGCGACTTCTTACCGGCGAGAATATCTTGGGTGGTGGAAAGAATGGTGGACCAGTCCTTGAAGGTAGTGTAAGGCATACCTCGGCGCTCGCAGAAAGTCACCAGGTCTGAGGATATGTTAGTTTCCGACCGAACAGATGTGATATTCTTGGGTAGATTCGGGCGTACCTTTGCCTTCCTTCGCGAACAGGAGGTTGGTCTCCGCAGCCGCGGACAAGTCGGACACACCGTCGCCAGCATACAGAAGGATCGGGCGCTCGTTGTCGGGAAGAGCAGCGTACGGCTTGATTTCGAGGGACTTGTCGTGGCCGAAGTGGCTAGAAACCGGTAGTCGTGAGTAGTGGTTCAAGTAGGAGCGCAATCCTACACAGGGCTTCACAATTACTCACCTCTCATCGTGATACTGAATCTGCCAGCCACCCTCGCTGTTAATGCCCTTGCCATCCCGCGAGATCACCTCGTTGCAGACAATAGTGAGGTGGCTCTTAGGCTCATGGCCAAGGAACTGCTCGAGCAGCGCGCTAATGATCGGGCGCATGCCGGAGGACAGAATGACGATGGGCACGTTGTTCTTCTCTGCCCAGTAATAGAACTCTTCAAAGTATGGGTCCAGCTTCATGTTCTTCTTCAGGGTCTCGATGCACTCGTCGTAGGGGGTCTTGATGCTCTCGAGCATTGCGCGGAAGGCATCACTGAACACAAACACAGCAGGATCAGCTCATGTACCGCGAAATGATCGGACAATTAATTCTTACCGGAAACTCATGGTCTCCTCCAGAACCGCATCGTTCAGCTTGCGGCGCTCCTCGCGGCCGAAGCCAAGGTTGTCAATCTGCGAACATCAGTCAGGGAGGGGCTTCGGATGGCGACAGGAATGGAGAATGCGAACCATGAAGTCATTGCCTGTAGCCCGCGTAAGCATTGGGTCATTCCAATCGTTTGATGGGTGGCGACTCACTGTCGTCTACGGTGATTGTACCGTCGAAGTCGGTGAAAAAGATCAACTTAGGCTTGGTCTCCATGTACGGAAGGACAGTGGACCCCATCTTGACGGGTGCAAGGCGCGAAGGTAGAAAGGAGCCGAAAATGAGTCGACTGCTGCCCTCGAGTAGGTAAGTGATTGGCGGAGGTAATGACAGAGCAATTGGACTGGAGATTAAGAAGAGTCAAAAAGATCTAAATGGAGGGGCGCCCTCCGGTGAACGGCGAGGGGAAGCCGGGGAGGGGATTGGCAAGTGGGTCTTCCAGGGCCGCCGAAGTGGGTTTGGGCGCTGATGGAGCAAGATTTTCCCATTCAGGACAATTTTAGCTCCGGATTGCAAACAGCTCGCTATGGCTCGTCTGCTGCATGCCTTGCGGCGAGTCCTCGGGCTGACCACCCCGTCGGCCACTGCCGGCCCGCAGGCTCGGTCGATCGACACCGACTTCTCAATCTTCAGGGGTGCGTCGTTCGTCGAGGCGGGTCCCCGACAACGTGAACGGCTGGGCTAACCAGACGCGCAGAGGGCGATCGGGCCGTGCTGCATCAGAAGCAGCCGCAATTGACGAAGCCATTGAAGGCGGGCGACAAGACACAACTCCGCCGCGGATACGTCGCGCATGATCGCATCATTGGGAGCCGGGTTTGGAATGCGGTGCAGGCGCATAAAGGCAGGACGCGATCAATGACCTCCCCGTGGCGACATGCACTAACGTGAGGCTTCATAACAGGCCCTGACATTCGATTGAGCCTCCCAACCTTAGAAGAATACGTCGCCTTGACTCCTCGCCTCGTGACGCCGGTATGCGCAAAGCCCGTGTGAACCACGATCTCCTCTGCAGGTGCTTACGCCAGTAGATCTATTCGCACGACGGAAACTTGATTGTCTCCCTCCTCGACATTCATGTGAATCCTCCTGCCGCAGCCGAGACCCAGCCTCCATTGGAAATCCTCGAATCCGGCACCGGCCACGGCTCCTTGACCCTCCACCTCGCGCGCGCCATTCATGCCGCTAATACCACTCCACCACCTCGCCCGTCGCAATCGCAGATTCAGTACTTAGAGGATCGAAATAAGAAGCCGGGGGAGGAGGACACGAATCAAGCAGCCGGAAACCAGACCGCGACGAGCGACGACACCACCCAGCAGGAATGGGATACATGGCGAATGGAGCGCAACGCCGTAATCCACACCGTGGATGTCTCGCCAAAGTTCTCTGCATTGGCAGAGCGGAATGTCAGAGGCTTTCGCCGTGGGATCTACGCTGGCGATGTTGACTTCTACGTCGGGCCCGTCGAGAACTGGATCGCCGAGCAGACCAAGCGGCGGACGAAGACCGGTGTGCTGTCTGCGTTGACCGGACCGTCCTTGGTGGAGCCCTTCTTGTCGCATGCCATTCTGGACATGCCATCGGCGCATCTGCGGATTCCACATGTTGCGCCCATCTTGAGGCGGGATGGCTACCTTGTTGTCTTCATGCCTAGCATCACTCAAATTGGTGAGTGTGTGCAGATAATCCGCAAGCAGCGCCTGCCCTTTGTGCAAGAACGCGTGGTTGAGCTTGGGCTCGGAATGACTAGTGGGCGGCATTGGGATGTCCGGCTCGCAATCAAGAAGTCCGGGGCCGATCCTTCATCTTGGGCGGCGTCCGCAGCTGAAGAGACTGCCCCGTCTGCTGATGCGGAGGAGGCAGCGTTTCCTGCCGAAGACAGTGTGGACGATGTCACTGTCCCAGAAGAGCCCGTCAAAGACGAGGAACCCGTCATGGTCTGCCGACCCAAGGTGGGCATCCGTACTGTGGGTGGTGGCTTCGTCGGCATCTGGCGGCGCATCGAAGATCCTTCTGGACGATGACCCCGTCTTTCTCTGTGATCGGACATGTTCTCACTGTATTATATACCATTTGCATTCACCTGTATACTAACCTGGACTGACAACATCTCAACAAGATCTTAAACATGTACCATGGACAGCGATATCAAAACAGAATACCAAAATCGATCCAATCAGATACCCTAACATACCTCAGAGCTTAGCTTTGTTTCCAACCTCTTCTTCGTTCTTCTGCTCAACCGACATGTGTGCACTAACCTCTCGGGCCCCATCAGTGGAAGCAGGGACAGGGCATCTCGCCAACATCCAGTCCAGCATGTCCTTCGCGAACCGAGGCTTCACGTCCCCCGGCTCCATATGCAGCCGGTGATACGCTCCCTCATACGAAGCAAAGCTCACATCCCCCTTCGCCTTCAACACACCAGCCAATCTCTTCGTCGCGTCCCAACTGGTAATTCGATCCGCATCACCATGTCCAAACCACATGGGCAATAACTCCGTCTTCCCAATATCCTTTCCCGATAACTTCTCCAACCACAATGCCCGATCTAACATACCCGCCAACTGCTCCAGCGTGCCGATATCATGACACAGTTCATCTTGGACATAATCCGCAACGACCGTCTCATCGCGGCACACATACGTGGGGTCGAGCGGGGAGTGTCGCTGCATACGTGGGAGTATGCGGGACACAAGTCTTCCAGCCACTACCGTCAAGCTTGCCGGACGAGAGTCTGGGTGGAGGGCAATAAATGGCGAATATGCCAGTACGCCGGCCAGTTGAGGACGAGCGCCGGATGAGTTGTACGGTGATTCTGGGTGCAGGGCGTAGGTGAGGACCTCGCCGCCGCCCATGCTGTGGCCCATGAGGAACAGCGGTGTGTTTGGTTGCTCGCTTAGGCTAAGTAGGAATGAATGAATGTCCGACAGAACTAGCGGGGTGCCACCCGTGTTGCCGCGGTCTTGGGGGCGTTTGAAGGTGCGGCCCCAGCCTCTGGTGGTGTATAAATATTTAGTTTATTTTTTGGAATCCACGTGAATGCCCATTTGAAGTGCATCGAAGAAGAGCAAACAGAGGTCTGGGCATTGCTCACCGTTGGTCAAAGGCCCTAACCTCGATGCCAGAGGTTGCGAGGTTCGGGAAGAAGTCGTAGTAAGCATTGCCTTTTAGCCCCGTAGTTAGTTCGCCCCTTGAACGAACTAGTTTCGCGATAGCTACTCAGTCAGAACTCACAGTGGTCACTGAAGCCGTGGACAAAGGCTAGGACGGCGCGGGTCGGTCCATCAGGCTGTATATTGAAGTTCTAGCACCCGTCTACTGTTTGACACGCGGGAAGAGACCAACCTTCCAAGTCTTGGTGTAGAGCTCGACCCCATCAGGGAGCACGTGTGTGCCTTCCTCGACGCTCATGGTTGATGATCTTTGTGTAAAGTAGAGTAATATCCAGTCGACGTTAGAAATAGGTGGAGGTGGAAGATCTATTTGATTGGCATGTGAATTTGTGGCGCAGCCCGCCTTTTTACTAGAGCACGGCCCACTTATTGTACGGAGTCCCGGATGTCTTTCGACGGTTCTTGGCTTATCCTTTCTGTTTTAGCCTTCAGCCTCTCGCCGCTTTTGCTCAGTGAGTGGAACTGAACACGGCCCTGAGCGCACGGATCGGATCAGTGAGCCTTACATAAGGTCATGGACATCTCACTGAGCCGAGGCTGACCAGTCTGATGCAAAGCCACCATCGCTTAAATAGCCCTGTCTGAGAAGTAAGGGCCTCTTCTGAATGGCCTCCAACCTCATAATTGGGCTATCGTTTGGTAGGACGGAACAAAGTGCGTTCCAATATTTGGCCTATCAGCTTCTCACAAGAATCTTTACTCCCCGGAACAGTCGCTTATGCTTGTCTGTCCCTCGCTACCCCTCAAGGGTTGATGTCTTAGGTACTGTTATCAGCCGTTACCAGGGACCAATTGGCTACAAGGCGTGAAATGAATCCTTCACCTTCATCAAAGCTCCATCAAAGCTCCCAGTAACAAATTAAATGCTCCGATCGAAATGAATTTGAGGCCTGTCACGTCAAGCCGAGGTCCTAGGATCTTACTGGATTCAATAATCAGATAACGCTTTAACGCTACTGATTGCTCCATCATCAATTCGGGCTCGGCACAGAATATTGAACTATCACTTCTAGTAATCAAAGAGTGATCATCTCCCATCGTCGGCGTCAATTGACCAACCCAATTCTATCCCTCGTTCCCCCCTTCGAGATCCTGACTCTTATTTAGAGCGCCTTCCATGCATTTAGCCAAACACACCGGGTTGGCAACTACTATGAGTCGATCGAGTCGATCGACAATCAAGATTGCAATAGAAGAAGGTCGCTGGGTTGGCGATATCACAACACCCGACAGTGTCCCACAGTAAATACACTGGGCCGATGAAATCAACCCTCAGAGGAGCGACGCTGTGAATCGCCTGAATATCCGCCTCTGTGGCTGTTACGCACTGTCATGCAATGAATCCGGCCTAGGTCTAGCCTTGATATGAGTGGGAGAAACCTGGAAGGTTCCATCTAGTCTCGTTCAACTTCCATTAAGAAAACCATGATTCTCGGCCTTGGATCTTCGAAGTGTAGAACCTAAGGGCTAATTGATCCCTAAAAGTAGATATTGGCAGTTGCGCCATTGTGGTCGGCCGTCCGCCGCAGCCAGTACATCTCACTCTCGCTTGTATGCCCGTCATATTCGTCGGCATCGGCCAATCTTATAAAGAACCTATCCCCAAGACAAGATATCCAAATCCTCGAGTTGCAGATGCTTGCCCTGCTCTACGCTGGCCCAAAATGGCATTCCCGACTAAGGAACAGAAGGTCGCCCTTCTTACAGCTCTCAAGCCACTTGCAAATATACGAGATCCTATATTTGCCAAACTGGACGATTGTGAAACTTGAGAGTGGAGATGGTCGTATCTAGGTATAAGTCGAGATCACCCCTCGGAACTGTCGCAGGTCGCACTACGCTTTATCACCACGAAGAAGCGCCGTTCTACATGGAAGTTGATGTCAAGGTGGTGGAGTCTCATTCCTGTGCGGAAATATATCTACCGCAGAACAGTGCAGTACTGCATAGGTTTAGCTAGTCCGCCAATCTTGTTTACAACCCCCCTCCTGCAGGTAATGTTCGGATTTAAATGTCATGCTCGCACTAAGCCCGCTCAATATACCTTCCCCGTTTCATAAATTGGGTATTCTTTTTTTGGTATCTCCCACTCTACAAAGACAGAGGCTTTGGCGACAAAAGAATGCGGGGATCTAATAGAGCGGTAGCAGTAGTGTATACCCAATCTACAATCTACATCTACAAGAACTGGGACGAATTCAAATGGCCACGCTCTATTCTCGACTGGACCTGAGCTATGACAGACAAGTACATGGATCAAAAAACTCCCTTCGCCAGGCAAAAACACAAAGAGCAACCTCACATGAAAGCCCTTCGGCCACCTGTTCCACCTGAACACCAACCACCCGCCCTAAGCGTCGTGAAGCCGTCTCAGATGACGTTAGAGATTAGGTGAGATGAAACCGAGAGATATCAGGAAACCCCCAACATGACGTGCAGCGGAGTAAACAAAAGTAGAAAGAAGAGGTAGGTGGGGAGCGGGAGAGAGCGAGACAACAGATAGCGAGACTGCGACGCCGTTGACTACTTCTCAAGAACACCGCCGAGGCGAGAGCCAGTTCGACTGGAAGACGCACGTTCCGAGTAGCGACAGAGGGATAGGGGGGAGCAAGACGGAAAGACAGAGAGACAGAGAGAAGAAAAGGAGAAACGACTTCATAATCACGGCGAGAAAGAAAAAAAAAAGAACACAACAAAGAAAAGGAAGGAGGAAAAAAGACATCAGAGGCAAAAGACAGCAGGCCAGTTAAGCCACCCGCCACCCCGAAGATTCCGAGGTAACAAACATGAAAAGAAAAGAGGAAACGTGAGTAAAAAGCAGAACCCGACTACACAAACACCCATCTCAAAAGACTCGAAATGCTCCGGTTCATCAGTGCCGTTGCGGTCCAAAATCCGCCTCCACAACCTTACCCTTTTTCCCCTTAACGGTAAACTCCGCAAACAATGCCACATGATCACTAGGAAAATGAAAATTCGGGAAGCCAGGCACCCGCCGAAGATACTCCTTATCCACCTCTCCGAGCAGCGCCGAGACATGCAGCGTATTGGACGAGAACCAGATGTAGTCTAAGATGTCCTTGAAATCTGGTGTGTAGTTGGTGAAGGACAATTCCCCGATGGAGCCGTACGCCGACTTCAGCTTGAAAGGGTGCGTCATGCCGACGCGGCTGAGGTTGCCGTACAGTCGCTTCTCCAGGTCGGGGTGCTCTTCAGGGAGGTGTCCATTGGCAATGAGATTGTATGCCGCAGACCCAGGATTGGAGTTGAAATCACCACACATGAGGAGCGGGATCTGGTCGCCACTGGTGTACTCCATCGATGGCGCAGGCTCGGCGACCGGCGTGTTCTCAGGGCCGCTTTCTGCCTCTGAGAAGCGGAATGCTGTCTTGTCCATGCACGCGGGCCACTTCGCATAGCCATCAGAAAGCTTGGTGATCTCCTCCATCAGAATGGCTGTTTGAATGAGCTTGACATCCTTAAACGCCGGGTCCCAATAGAGATGAGCATTCACGACCATGAAGCGCGCTCCCGTCTGTCGGTTCTCCAGGAAAACTACAACCGCAATGTGATCTTTTTGCCACAGGCGGTTGTAAATGTCGTCCTGACCCTTGGCATCGGGCCGGCGGACAGCGGTTTGACCGAAGTTGATGAGCTGCTTGTCCAGCAGAATGTACTTGCTGCCCTTGAAGAAGATAGCGCAACCATCCACCATCTTAGCATCTTCCTCCTGCATGCCCATGGCACGCCCTCGGGGCCAATAGACACCTTTGTAATCATTGTACGCAAGCTGCTCGCGGAAGAAGTTGTTATAGCTTCCTTGATCAACTTCCTGGAGACAGACGATGTCGGAGCTGTGGGATCGTAATTCGTTAAGGATGAGTTCGCGACGGAACTCCCAGGAGAGGACACGAGAGGGGGCGTAACCATAGTGGGACTGGGTGGCGGAGGAGTCGCATAGAGTATTGTACGAAAGGACGGTGATCTTCTCGGTGGGGCTGTTGGTTGAGCTCGCGGTCTCGTCGAGAATGACCCAGTCTCGATCTGGAGGAGGCAAGTGAACTGTACGGTTGAGAGGAAAAGAGGATTAGCGAAATCTACCCCGCAAAAACCGGCCACCAAGGGCCAAAAATCTGTCGCTTACCTGGCATCTCTTCCTTCAAGTACTTGATCAGAGATTTGGTTCCTTCCTTCATGATTTGAGACTTGAGAACGTCATTGAGGGGGCAGCCCTCAATGCCCAACGTTTCCAGCCGGTAGAGATAGCCCATTTCGTAGGGAAGCGTGCGAATGTTGTTATCGAAGAGGTAGAGCTTCTTGAGGTTTGTAAGCATGCCAATCTCCTCCGGAAGCTCGTTGAGATCATTGCCGGAAAGATCCAGATGAGTCAATTTTCGCAGCTGGCCGATTGCCGGAGGGAGCACTTTCAGCTTGTTGTGATTGAGGTAGAGCTTCTCAAGGAAGGTGTAGTTGAACAAGGAGGTAGCCATGGCCCGCAGGCCCTGTCCGCCAAAGTCCAAGGCGTTCCAACCTTGCCGAGAGGCCGCCTTACTTGCGACAATTCCATTCTGTCCATTGGCCTTCTGGTCGGGGGTGTCGGTTTGACTAGGCATGATCTGGATCCCCTTGGACTGCTGCGCCATGATCCGGGCGTAGTAGTGAGGGGAATTGGCCTGCCTGGACTCCGCCGCAAGCTGAAGTTGCTCCTGCCAGAATTCGTTCATCGATTCATCAATATCATCGTCCCCGGCGGTTGGCGCCCCATTCTGGAGGTGGTTGGAGGTGAAATGCGGAGTGGTGGTGGCAAGGGCGCCGGCCGGGAAGTGTTGTTGGTGGGCGAGGCCATGTTGGCTATGAGGTTGGTGTGCGTGGTGGTGTGCGGGTTGCGGAGCATGGTGAGGGTGGTGATTTTGCGACTGAAACTTGGGCATCTGCATTCCAAACCGCTGATGGGCCTGACCGCCATTCATCATGACATGCTGTCCTTGATGGCTCTGGCCATACATGGTGAATGGGTTGAGCGAGGCTGATTGGTTTACGGGAGGCGATCGAGAAGGGGAGGGGGTGTTGTGGTTGAACTTCAGTCGACCCGGCGAATTAGTCCCGTTTGGAAGGGTGTTTCTTTGGTGCGAGTGCTGCTGCTGCGGTTGTGTTTGGAAGTAGAACTGCCCGGCCCCAGGCTGCTGGAACCTGTAGGTACCATCTGCCATCTAACGGGGCAGACGAGACCGGAGCTTATTTCCCTGGCGAAAAACCGGGGGGCGGGCGAGTAGCAGGCGATTCGGAGTGGAGGTGGTGGTGAGGAGAGGAGTAGAGGATCGAGCACGGTCTCTTCTCTTCTTCCACATAGAGTCCTGAGGCAGAACCACCCCGTCTAGAAGAGCGCGATTGGGGTTTGGTTGGCCGCAAAAGACCTCGTGCGACGGCAGTGGTGGTGGAGGGGTAGGAGGCTGGCACTCCGTGGGCTGGTTTGGATCAAACGATACCGAAGGGCGGAAGGCGGGCGGAAGAGTCACAAGCACTCCGAGTCGCAGTCTAGCTAGTCGCAGGGGATCAAGTTAGAGGGGAGCTCATAAACACAAGGATGAGACAGTCATGATAGATCGCACAGTTGTTCACTTTGGAGGCTGATAGAGAGCGGCTGGGGTCGAGATGACAGTCTTGAAGGGTGGTTTGCATCGAAGGCGGGAGTTCGCCTCACGTGACACCGCCCAACCGGATATGATTCACGCCAAGCCCGCCGAACCCTCTCGCAGCTCCCCCAACTCCAACCGTTCCACGAGCATGATCAAATGCACCAGTGTGAACACTGACTAGCCACTTATTGAATCAGTCCTAGTATCTTGGGCATTGTATAGCTGCAATTCGACACGAAAATGGCCTGGTTCCATGAGTTGGCCGGCTGCCAGTCGTTGATCGCTTGATGGGATGAAACAATCGCCGGCCAGGGTCACTTGGGGTCGTAGTGGGGTTCCTGGCAATTGCTCCCATTTAGCATCAGTTGTCAACAAATATAGAAGGGAATGGAGGGGGCTGTTCTCACTCTATAGCCGTGAACTTGCGTAGTCCTCACCTCGGCCATGTCAATGAGCCACCTTCAGCAAGAATGCCAATTCACCGTGGCGGATTGGATCATGTCCGGATTTCCAACATTCAAAGGAAGTGAAAGTTGGATCATAGTTCAAAACCAATGGCATGGACATGTATCTTGCGAGAAGGAGAGATTCGTACCTGAGGCGGAATCGCGAAGGTGCGAGCACGTTGTGTTCCAAACGTCAACCTCACGATAAGGACGGGAGGAGATAATCTCTCATAGCGTCATGGGATAGCTCGCATCCATCGTGGCCCATACCACATATGCTTCCTTTGCTCTCTATTCTCTTTTGCTCCATTTCTAGGCACCACACCTTTCCAGAATTCCTCGGTCTGCAACGCTTACTCGCCCCCTCAGGTTTTCTAGGTATCTGTCCTGTACGATTTATATATCAGCGAGGCCGATGTAGGGTGCGTTACATTCTACATCGAATATACCTGGCCACTGTCGACTTGTTGAAATCTATACGGAGTTGGGTTTGAGCCTTTCCGGTTATGAGGACTTAAAGGATACCTAGTCAACTACGCCACGATGGACATGCTAAAAGAGGCACAAACAAAACACATAGAAAAAATCACAGGGAGGATTGGTATCACATTTGATGCGTTGCCTCACTGGATACGATCGAACTAGGTACCAGGGGGCCGTTACCTACGCATCTCAGGGAATAATCGAGTGTACGATGTGCAGAGTTCTGACATGCTACATGTAATAATCAATAGAAATTATTTACATGAAGTTAACCCAATTGGCATGGTATGAGCCCCCACTGCAAAGGCACAGTACACATGCTCAGAGATCGCTCTGCAGAGTGCACCCCGCTGCGCCTCTCATAACTGCACGGAGAATATAGGCTAGGGAGGGCGATACCTAATCTACAGTGGACCTCAATTTTCAGCCTACAGTAGCAGGGTGACACGCAGCCAATGGTCACCCCAAAAATCGGGGTCAGTTGGTGCTTAGTGGTGTGGCAAACCGCCAGGCCACCCAATCCCGCGACCCCTCGGTAAAAGCTGACCATGCTCGGAAGCATAAACACAGGCTATTAATCGACACTATCGATCTTAACCCAAACCCAAAATTCGGCATGCCAGGATGCGCTTCGTGCAGATCTGCTCAGTTGCAACGAGAGCCCCACCTGCATGCACTGCACGAAGCCGTCCTTGTGATGATACCTGGCAAGGTTGCCTCGAGGTACGGCGACTATGACCGTCAGGGCGATGAAGGCGGCACCCATCAGCTATCACCAGCCAGTAGAAACAGCAGACACATCCCAGACTCGTATTCCGTCTGCGAGGCCCGGGAACTTCAAAAGGACGACAACGAATATGATGAGTCCAGAGAATGAGGGGTGTTCAGTATGGTCACTCTGCTCCTCGCCTCAAAGTACGTGGCAGGGGCGTTATGGCGTCGATCCACGTACGGTCCAAGTCCTGCAGGTACCAGGCGGCGCATATTGTACCGATCACGGGGACACATCGAACCATTGGACTGGGCGACCGAAAGCGGGCTCCAGCATCGGAGCGCCAGGATAAGAGAGCCGACGTTGCCTGGGAACCCATCGCTTCTCCGTAGGGCTCCCAGGGAGGGGGAGGGGGAGGGGGAGGAGGAGGGGCCTGGTATCACATAAAACGGTAAGGCGGAGGCTAAAGTCTTTAACGATCGCCAGTGAAGCCCCGGGTACCTGACGCTTGGGACGGGGCCTGGCAGGGATCTCCGTGTACTCGTACTGTCCCCGCGAATACCGGTTGTACTGGACCTAGGCCTTGGCTGTACTTTTGTCCGGGTGCGCAATTCCTGCAGGAGAACCCGGGTATCCCGAATACACCGGAATGGACTCTCCGGCTCAAATCAAGTTTCTCCCCCTCGTGAGAGCCCAAACACAATTCTGCATGGAGACCTGCCTCCAGCCCCCCTCCAGCCTGCACGTGTGAAACGCACCGGCGGGAGATCCCTGCTGGAGGATTTGGGGACGTCAAGTATCGTCGGGTGGGGCCCCTCGGGGAGGGGCAGTGGCGAGGAGGCAAAATGGATTCGAAAGGGGGTTTATGGTTCACGATCTTCCCGTGCTTTCTCGTGTCTCATATGTCCGGAGTAGTTCGCTGTTGAGCGTACTACAGTGCGGGTCTCTTTCGGTTCAGACAGGTCGAGACAAACTATCAACAAGTTCCCCTTCCGGGGTATAGTTCGCGACAGGATCAGCCATTTGCCTGATCCGGCGAGTTACGAAAAGCTGGGACGAGTGGCACAAGCGCCCCGCGGTCCGTGGCACCGAGTCGACTCATGATGTCAACCATTCAGCTTCACCTTTTGTCCACCACAAACTCACATCCCATGGAGTACACGCGGAGGTCGCGGAGGTCGCGGAGGTCGCGGAGGTCGCGGAGGTCTCGGAGGTCCCTGATTCCAGTAGTCTCAAACTACGCAGTTCGCCTAGAGTCCACCTGTCCACAGTGTCGACGGCGTTCCCGTAATACCGGCCCCAGTTAGGAAGCTCCGGCCGGGACTCTGTTTTGCCTAGTGGAGGAATGTTTTCACGGCCGACGTCGCGTGCCCCCAGAGTGTTGCCCAGAGTGTGGCACCAGAGGCCAGTGGTGCAAGCCTCCAAACCACCTCCCCTGACACCTCTCAGACCAAGACGAGGACTCGAGGACTCTGCCATTCCTTCGCCGACTCTCCCGCAAAGCAGCTAGCCGAAACATACATGGCATTGGACCCTCTCCTGACCCCTAATTCCCAATGCAGCTCGTGCAGAACGATAGTCTCGACGCCAAACCGTCGACCCCCCGTCACCTACAGTATGTACTGTATCTCATGTATCCGATTGTATCCAATTGTATCCAACTGTATCCAACTGTACCCAATCAATATTACTGCGGTTAGTGAGTTCTTCGTTACGTGAACAAGCCCCCCTTCTGGACTCAAGTGGAGCCCGCGAAGTTCAATGCCACTTCGATCCAGGGGTCGCTGGGACCAGACGGCGGCTTCCTCTCCCCAGACCGGTTTCTTTTGCCTCCCCTCCTCCCACCTTCTCTCGAATCTCGTCGCTGAACCTCAAGTGCGATTGGGGAGTTTCTTGTGCAGATAACAGAACTCGTGAAGGACTCGAATGTAGCCTGCGTCCTGGTCGAAAACGCCCGTCGAAATTTTCTTCGCATCGTTGCGCCCGCCCTACACTACACTAACAAAGAATATTTTCCGACCCGCTTCGATCCCCTCCGGGAATTCGCCCTGCCATAGTTTTTATTTACCCTACGGAGACTCCTTCCTGGGGCGGTGACTGGACACCTTACGGACCTGCATGCGTTTCGGTTTCGATTCCAATTCCAATTTCATTGCCGACCAGCTCAGACAAAGCATGTCTCCCAGCTCATGAGCACCGACCCGTCGCGCTGAGAATGCCCCCGACCCGCAACCCGCTCTAAGCAGTACCGCCTGGGATCGATGCACCTGAAGTAATGGATATGATGTCGGCAGGCACGGCTTCATTCGTGGGCGCCACGACGTCCGCCTCGGACATTCACTCCAACCTCAGCTCGACCTTCGCGGCCGCCTCCTCCTCGTCCCTGGCCTCCCTCACGGACTATAACAATTACCCGCTCACGCACCAGGGTGACCGCACCTATCTCCGCGACCCCGAAAACATCTATCCGCTGCCATGCGACCTGCTCGAGATCCACCGCCAGAGCCTGCGCACGATGATGCTGCTGCGCATCTTTGATGGCCCGTTTTGCAATCCCCACTCGGCCCATCACCCGCCGAAACGCGTCCTGGATCTCGCCTGCGGGTCCGGGCTGTGGTCTGGCTTGTGCCACGACTTCTTTGTTCGCCGTGGGCACCCGAACGTGGCGTTCGTGGGGATCGACTTAGTCACGCTGGCTCCCGATCTGCGCAAGCAGGGCATGAACTGGCAGTTCAAACGACATGATCTGCGGAAGCCCCGCCTGCCGTTCCCGGACGACTACTTCGATCTGGTCTTTATCAAGGATGCCGGGATGACCCCGTCCAGTCCGGCCCAGCAGGCCTCGGGGTTGTCAGAGCCCCTGCGCGTCTTGAAATCGGGTGGAATCCTGGAAGTATGGGACTCCGACTGGGTATTCCGCTCGTTGCTCCCGAATCCGGCGCCGGCTCGGAAAGCCTCGTTGAGGGACCAAGAGGTTGCCGATTCGACCGCCACTTATACCTTCTCTCCCGCCACGCCGTTCACCCAAGCACAGAACAAATACCTGGTCGATTATAACTCCTGGGTCGAGAAGGCGTTCGATCGGCGCAAACTCACGGCCCTCCCATGCGCCACCACGGGCCTGGCCTTCAACTCCGAGGTGGATCTGTTGGAGAATGTCGACAGCCGCCGCATCGCTATTCCGCTGGGGGAGCCGCGCTGGGAGCGAGAAGGCCAAGGCCAAGATTCCAAGGGCTGCCGCGCCCGGAAGACCTTGACCGCGGACCAGCTCTCCCTCCGACGGACCGCCCTTCTCACCGTGGTCCAGATGATTGAGGGCATGGAACCCATGCTCATGGAGACCAGTGGGAAGGGTCGCGACGAGTGGGACCGATGGTGGGCAGCGATGACCACGGACTTCTTCCAAAGGGCGGTCTCGCCAGCGGCGAGTGTCTCGAAGTGAGTGCCTGGTGGGGTCAAAAGAGATAGACCCCCTCCAGGTCCATGAGTCAATTCTGGTGTTTTGGTGGGCGCAAAGAAAAAACATTGATCATTGAGTGCGCTTCGTAATGGTGATACCCCCAAATTTGTGATTTTCCATTTGTGTTTTTATATCTTTTTCTTTCTGGTCTTTTCCCGGTCTTTTTTTCATTTAGATTTTTTTTTCTTTTTCAGGATGCATGTCAATGGGGTTCTCTGCGTCGAGAAGGTTCGGGCTCGGTTTCCCTGGCAGCTTGGCTTTCAGCTACTCTCATACCGCTGCTTAAGTGTCCGATACCGCTTCAAGTAATACCTGGAGTTTGGTTCATTGTCAATGTTCATCCACGTCCAAAAATGTCTGTGCCGAGGGAGGAAAGTTGTGGTCGCATGATGCTATGATGTATGACAGAATGTGCGAATTGGTAAAGACGGAAGAAGTGCGCCCGGCTCCGTGCTGCCCACCGAGCGGGCGGCGGTTTATAGAAAAATGATATATGACCTCAATGAATGTCTCCCAGGCACGAGCCGCCTTTGAAGTCAAGTATTCTATGAGTACAAGAAGGTAGGCAAGGTAGTTCGGGAGAGCATAGCTCGGGTGTCCGTAGGAAGGAGGGGTAGGGGGTGGGATTGGAAGGGATGTTTTGCCCTTACAGTGCTTCGACCTCTAGGATGGAAGTCAGTAACTTCAGCAAACTCTCAATTTGATATAAGCGAGCTGCGGAGACAGAAGAGCTCACCTTTTTTCACAAACTCGGCCCTAGCGATTCCCTTCCGGATCTGCTCCTCGTCCGTAATATGTGCCTGGCCCACAAACGCACGATGGAGTCGATCTCTGAAATACTGGTAGCCTAGAGGATACTCGCGCCCTAACCATAGAAGCTCTGTTGCTCTCATCGCAACATTAGTATGCAGATGATCCTGTGTGGGCAGTCATGGATGTGCGCGTACCTTTGTAGACGTTGATGACCTGCCGACGCAGCTCAGCGTTGACCATGGTTACCGCATTTACAGACAGCCAATCTGCGCAGAATTGCCAGTCGGGGCTTGTGTTAGAGGGTTGGATAGTCTCCTTGAGGATAGTGCTATATAGCAGAGGGTGGGAGGAAGTTGGAGAAAAGCTCGGCGGTTATCGGTGACGTCGGGCAGTGCAGAGAGCTCGGGCCGCTGTTTATCAGCTGCAGGGCCAGCGCCGGAGGGAAAAAGAACTATGGAAAAGCGTGGCGAATTGCATCCAAGTCTGTGATGTGAATGTGGCACAGCTCAGATCGTACTTGGAAATAAACTGCCAGCTATGTTCTAGGAAGACGGAATTTGGTGCCAATCCCAGTCGCGGTCCGGATGTACTCTAACTCCGTATGGTCTCCAAAGATTCGAAAGGCTGCTGTCGCGTACCTGTTCAGTCCTTTATCTCCCTTCGGAAATCAAAAGTCCCCATGTAGAAAATCAGGCACCTCGCGAGTGAGTCATATAGACACCCTTTACGACGGGTAGCCATCTCAAGATTGATGGCAAAGCCTACCGCGCCTTTTGAGCACGCCACGGTTACTCGCGGGGTTCTAGCCGAGCTCTGGGCCCGAGCTTCGGGAATGTGCCTGGTCCGCGACTATCTGATTCAACTTCCCTCCCCACACCACCCACCCACCATGATACCCCGATTAGCTCTACGGAGGCCCCTGCCTGGCCCAATTATCTCCTTTTATGCCTCGTCGCCTCGCTTCTTCTCCGCAACCGTCCCTGTAAAGACAGGCGGCGCCACCACCCCGGAGAACCTCGGGACTAGACCCCATACTATCGATCCGCGATGGCTCACCATGATGAAGCGGCGAATCGGACGGTGCATGATGTTTGGTCTCAAACCAAATCAAATTGACGATGCCGGCAAGCTTTTGCAGCAATTGGCTCGGGACTGGCGCGAATTGATCGCAGGCAGTGAGGGATTCTTGACCGACGAGAGGAGGCGGAGCTTGTATCGACACAACGTGGTCTGGGGAGAGATGGTATGGACCCATAACTATCGGGCCGCCGTGTTCGCAGGAATAGGAAGAAGTGCCGCTGACATGTACGTGATCAGGATGTCATGGGTCATGTCAACAATGTCACCTATGTCCGATACGCCGAAACCGCCCGGGTGAATTGGACACGCAATATTGGCATCCACATCGACCCCGCAAACAAAAGTGAATGGATCAACCTGCTCAACTCCACAGGAATTGGGCTTATCTTGCGAAGCATTAAAGTTGATTATAAGTTTGTGGGTCACCACGAGACCACCTCTGCAACGAACTACTTTACTAACCAACTCCCTAAAGCCCATGACATGGCCAGACAAGATTACTGTGTACCAAAAACTCGTTCCTGATCCATCATCAGCTCTATCATCCCAGTCCGCATTTCAGCTACAAGTAATGATTCTGTCAGAAGCTCGTCAGCGCCCCGCGGCTCGTTGCCATGAGGACATTGTCACCTATGACTATAAGAAGAACCGCAAGACTCCAGAGCTACCACCATTTATCTTTGATCAATTCAAGACTATTTGGGAACTGCAGGAAAAAGCACAGAAAGATTGGCAAGACCGCATTTTGGAAATTGAGAGCGGTGTACGGACCCTGGAGGTTCAGAGTTGGGACCGTCCAGATGCGGTTGAGGATACAGGATCAGCATCATAAGAAGGGCGCATTGATGACACTTGATTTATATGATATCAATTCTGCTAGCACATATATGTATGCGCAATCAGTGTCATCTGGCTCGCATGTTATCTCAGGAAAGGAAATAGTGGGCAAAGTCTCAAGCATATTACTCAGAAAAAAAAGTATTATACAAACAACTCCAGAAAGCCATGGTCTCTCGCCGCCAGGAGCTTACCCATCGAGCCAAGAATGAGAGCATACAAAGTATACTGCAATGCGAAAATGACCATACTCACCGTTTCTACTGGCCGGAACCTGGGTGGGGCGGGACCGCCTTTGCCTTCTTTCTTGGTGAACTTATCCAACTGGGTAGGTAGGTGAACTCAGTCTATTTCCTTCTTCCAAAATCGAAGCCCCATGAATGTTGGTGAATACGAGGTCCTTACATTTCTGTCGTGAATCGTCAGCCGTCTCTCTTCCGGTAGATATTATTTGAGCGACGGCAGATACGTACTCTCATCATAACCTGATCGAAAACCAGTATCCATTGCTGAGGCGTTGGTATAGACCCTAACAAGTGGCTCGCCGACATGGAGGGTTACGTCTGTCTGCATTGTTTAGTCGATGTTGATTGGTAGCGTGTTATTTTCTTAGAATATTGAAATATAGACACTCCCAGTCTACCTCATTTCACCTGTGCACGAATCTTTCATCCTCGCGTTCGGCAATACAGCTTGATGTTCGTATCGTCAGAGATAGACTTGGAGACTTCGCTTTCGCCCTGACTTGATCTACATATTTCTCTCGAAAAGTGACTAGGCTTATATCGAATTATATATCAAATTACAACGCGACAATAATCTTGTCAATTCAAAGAGAAGGCCCAAACATAAAACTAACAAAAGAGGATCACCTGGCAAGTCCTTTTTGATAAGGAGCTGTCTCCTTATCACACCAGCCCCAGAAGCGTTCTGCAACGCTTGGTTCTCCTTCATTGGGGGGCTCCAAGGATTTCTCAATATGGGAAGGGATCGATCCAAATCGACCCCATGGAATAACAAATGATCCGTTCTGGGCAGAAGTCACCTGCGGAGAGAATCCAGCAAAGAGCTCAGTGTACGCCCCATATCGAGGAGCTTTGAAAACAACACCCTATGAACCTCAGACTCAGCTAGTTCTTACAAGGCAGGAGCATCAGAATAACACATACCATAATCATGCTTTGGATGGCGGGGCTGTTTCTCTGAAGCTCAGTCTTCATAAGTCCCGGGTTGACGCTCTGTTGGGTCTTGTCAGTGCCTGTTTCAATTTAAATCCTCTTTTAGAATGCTTAGCGTACCAAGTGAATAACTCTATCCTCGTTGTGCCGTCTTGCCATCTCACTGGCAAAGAAAAGATTGCCAACCTTACTTTGCATATAATTCTCCATGGCACTTTTGAGAACTTGTGGCTGGCCACTTTGTTTGTCAAGGATAATCCCTCCCGGTGGAACAGAAGCAACAACCATAGAAGAGAGCCATATGACGCGTACACTGTCAGCGGGCGCGTTTGCTGCGGTCCTTTTGAGTACTGGACGAAGCAGCGTGTTGAAGAGAAATGGTCCTAGGCAATTCGTTCCGATTTCGAGATCGTGACCCTATTATCAAAGGTGAGTACATTCGAGCATGTCATTAAATGTTTGTACACACCAGTTTAGTCTTGCTGCCTGCTGGGGGTGTCATTACCCCCGCATTTTGTATCAAAACATCTAGCCGGTTTTGTTGTGCAAGAAACTGATCCACGCTGCTTCTGATACTGCTCAGGTCCGAAAGGTCGAGTGGGAGATATGCCAGGTGACCTTGGCTGTTTGAGCATTCAGGGAGAAGTTTGATCAAGCTGATTGCCTTTTCAGCTTTTTCGGAGGAACGAGCAGCAATGTAGACGGTGGCGTTTTTTGAATAGAGGATACTGGCTGTTTCATAGCCCACGCCCGAGGTTGATCCGGTCACTATTACAACCTGAAGAAGGGGTCAATAATCTCGTGGTAACAGATCATTCGTTTTCTATTTTCTACTTACTTTACCTGCGAGGTCAGGAATGTCTTTCTCCACGAATGTTGGTGCCGGAGGAAAGATCTGGTTGATAGGGGTACACATTTTTGAATAGTAAATAGAAATATGAGCGTGAGATTGATTGACAAGGGTATTTCAAGAAACTATTTCCAAATACTTATATACCCTAGTACCTCTAAGTACAGCCGGAGATGAATGTCACAGCTCCGGCTATACTTCGCAGGCTGAGCTTGATAACGGACCCGAGCCGTCTCCGGCGCTAGCATCTCCGGGCCGGCGCTAAGGGGCTTTGCCCCAGTTCTGGTGCTCAGCTCTCGTGCAACTGCTGCAGCAGTAAGACAACAAAAACTATGCATACAAGAGTCAAGGCTAGAAGGCTTGAATTCCACTGGGTGAAAGCAGCTTGTTCATATTTAACGTTAGGTCTTGGCCTGCGTGATTACCACCTGTCACCAAATCAGTTGTGCAGATGATGGGAAATATGTCGCATACAGCCATTGAATTGAACCATACTCGATGTGTTAAATAGGACTTAAAAATTGTGGACAATAATTGGTACCTGACGAGGTTCTTATTCATCTACTTGCATTGCAGTTATCCCGTTGTGACAGGAACATCTTTAAGACAGATCAGCAGCGGGATCAAAGTTCCGCAGAAACAATATTACGCAAGTAAATATCAGGCTAACGAGTTACACGCATCTGTTATTCGATACACCGAATAGAAGAGAGTTCTAGTGCGGAGGTGCTGGTGGTTTGCTTTGAGGCACCTCAATTTGGTCTTTTTTCAACCCCACATGGTTGCCCCGCATTAGGTCGGCTATATGGCATCGCGCTCTCTGTTGGCTCCCCCAAGTTGGGGTGTCCTGGGTAAAAACGGCCACTTATACCCCACACAGTCGCCTTCTCGGCCTTTACCTCGGAAGGTGATGTTCCCGATGGATTAACTGGCCAACCTCGGAGATACCACTCACGTTCTACAAAGCATTCGGAACACCATCCATATCTTGGGTCGCTAGATTCCCGGAAAATCATATGATCATTCGGACCTTGACTGACCATGGCTGATACAACTCCTTCGCGGCTATCTGGCGGGACGCGGACTGAGCGCCTGGCGAGCTGGGCTGCGAATCTTGAATTTGAGGATCTCCCTGAAGATGTAATCCAGAAAACTAAGGATTTCTTTGTTGACTGGCTAGGATGTACTGTTGCAGGACGTCATCATCCAGCTGTCTCGGCCATTGTACGATTTGCATCTCAGATGGGTCCTTCCAGCGGGAAGAGTGAACTAGTGGATGGATCGTTGAAGTTCACAACCAGTCCGGCATTCGCTAGTTTGGTGAATGGTGCCTCCTCCCATGTCGTGGAACAGGATGATCTTCACAACCGAAGTATCATTCACCCTGTAGGTCTCGCTCAGTGGATTGGGCCCTAAGCCCTACAAGATGTGTTCTTCTGGCCCATCCATGCTGATTAATTTACAGGCCACTGTTATATATCCCGCTGCCCTCGCTGTAGCGCAAGAGGTAGATGCCACTGGTGAAGATTTTATTGTAGCCTGTGTTGTCGGCTATGAAGTCGGTTGTCGAGTAGGAGAATACTTGGGTAAAAGTCACTATGAGGTATGTTGCTGTTATTCAACATGTTGTAGTATGACTGGCTAAATTTCACGCAGCGCTTCCATTCTACCGCAACTGGTGGAGTTATCGGAGTTGCGGCTTGCACAGCACGCCTTTTGAAACTTGATGCAGACCAAACATTATCTGCAATTGGAACAGCTGGCACTCAGGCGGCAGGTCTTTGGCAGTTTTTGATGGACGCAACGCACTCAAAGCAAGTGCATACTGGCAAAGCCTGCTTTGATGGAATTTTTGCCGCTTATACTGCTCGTGATGGCCTTCTCGGCACTAGAGACATTCTAGAGGGACCACGGGCAATGGGTGTCGCACTGGTTCCGGGCACCACAAACCCCGAAGCTATTGACCGAGATCTTGGTACCAGCTATGAAGTCCTTCGCTCTAGCTTCAAATGGCATGCATCATGTCGGCATACTCATCCTAGTGCCGATGCGTTGCTAAATCTTATGAAGAAGAACGGGGTTGGGTTCCATGATATTGAGTCTGTAACCTCTCGCACCTACCAGGCTGCCATCAATGTACTCGGCATGACTGGAAGAGGAGAGACGGTGCATCAGAGCAAGTTCTCGATGGGGTTTGTGCTGGCTGTAACTGCCAAGAAAGGCCAGGCGATGATCACTGACTTCACAGAAGATGATCTGGAGGATTCCTCGCTGCGGAAGTTCCAACAACGTGTGAAAATGGAACTAGACCCGGAAATTGACCGAGCATTCCCTGAGAAGTGGCAGGGAACGGTCATCGTGACTACTCATTCTGGAAAGACGTACACCGAGTCGGTCCAGTTCGCGAAGGGAGACCCAGAACTCCCATTGACAAGGTAGGTTGCATTGGACGTTGACAGTATGTTTGAATATGAACTAACAGCAGTTATTCAAGGGATGAAATCAAAAGAAAAGCTCATACTCTCGCTCAGTTTGGCGGAGTCACAGATACCAAGAAAGTTGACCAGCTGATCGAAAGAGCATGGAATCTGGAAAAAGAGAAGAATGTCAATGGATTTGTTTTCTAAATTTTTGGCCGGGCGAGTGTCCGCTAACTTGGTGTATAAACCAGCTTCAAGGCAATTGTTGACCATCTAGCTGCATTTTGAGACTCCATGTAAAAATTCTGGCTGCACTTGTCAGGAGCCTAAAGCAATGGGTGATGGGAAATCCTTCTCGAGCTACCTTCAGTATTGTGGCAGTCAGAGAGATCTACGGCATGGTTTTTGAGGCAGAAAGGACCCCTTCCTGTGGCGTTTACCATTAATTGTGGCACAGAGGTTCATACGGCTTGCTCTTTCGAGTGGAAAGAATCAAGTGAAATTTTCTCTGAAAAATTCAGCAAATTCTCGATCATGGACGCTGCATAAGCTCAGCGGAAAATAGTTGCTGCGGTTGCGAAACCTCCGCCCCGAATCGTGCTTACTTCTGTCTTAATTGCTAGGACTCGGAGCGTTGACAAGATCCTCTAGATACAGGGAAGCTCACGTCGTTATGTCTATGCAGTCTACCAGCTCTGTGAATCGTTCTTCTCCCCGCATGATTTTATCGTGTACCTCCTGCAGACAGAAGAAGTATTGACCGTTCAGCCCCTGACGCGAAGGCAATGAAGGTCTTGCAGGGCTTCTGACTGATAAGCCATATAGACTAAGATGCGATCGCCTCCGTCCATGCAGCAGTTGTAATAAAAGGGGTCTCATCTGCACTTTTATACATCCAGAGCCATCTCAACGCTCCGGTCAGACCCGCTCGACGAAGCAACTAAAAGACCGCGTTCGTCAGCTAGAAGGCCTGGTTGCGTCGCTGGGTAGAGACGACAGCTTGCCTAGCCCAGAGAGTACTTCGAGGTCCAACACCAGTAGTGCTGAGTCAAGAAATACTGGTGATGATGTTGCCGGGGCCTTCGGGAGAATCCGAGTTGAGGATGCAGGGACGAGCTATGTCTCTGAGGCACACTGGGCCGCACTTCAACATAATGTATGAGAGATTACTAGCCGGTCTTGGACCCTATTTCTGCGCGCTGCTAACACTATATAAGATTGCGGAAATCAGAGAATGTATTGAATCCGATATCTTGGATTCAGACAGTGTATCGGCCTCTCCAGCAAGAGGGCCAGCCTTGTTGATCGGGTCTTCGGCACCGTTCAACAAAGACGACGCCATCGCTGTGATTCCGTCCAGACCAGTAGTAGATCGCTTAGTGTCTTTATTCTTCAACTCCATGGAGCCTGGAGTCCGTATGTTGACCTCTCATCTCTGGCGTTTACTCTGCTGAAAAAGAGCCCAGTTTTGATCCATGCGCCGACATTCCAAAGAGAAGTTTGTCGTAGATCTATTCCTGGCTTTTAGGATACTAACACTTGTTTGTCACAGTACGAGCAATGCTGGGAACAGCCGCAAACTGTGGGCTCCACATGGCTGGGCCTTCTATTCACTATTATGTGCTTGGCGATTCATCTTCACCACCGCTCAGAGGACAAACCGTCGGATTCAATCCGGCATATCCATCAAACCAGCGACACATTCCGGGTTCAAGCCGCTCGCTGTTTGGTTGATGCGAAATACACGACCCCCTCCAAATATACCATTGAAACTCTGATGCTGTACACGTACGCAGAATATTTCGAAAGCCAGGACCCCCAGCATGAAATTTGGATCTTGTTGGGCATCATTATGCGACTTGCTATGCGGATGGGCCTACATCGAGATCCAGCCCGATACCCGAAATTGTCATGCTTCCAAGGAGAAATGAGACGACGAGTCTGGACGTTTTTGGCCCAACTGGATACGCTTTTTTCGTTTCAGATGGGACTCCCGCGAATGCTGAAGAATGAGCTCACAGACACAGAGTTTCCTTGCAATTTGCTAGATGAGGACTTTGACGATGGTTCTACAACACTACCGCCACCCCGACCGGAGACTGAGTCCACACTGGTATCATACCTCGTCGCTAAGAGCCGCATTGTGGCTGTCTTTGGCATCATCACGGACCATGTCGCGTCTACACAACCGAACTCATATGAGTCCGTTCTCCAACTTGATAGACAACTCTGCGACGCTTGTGCATCTATTCCCCAGCATCTCCGGTTCCGCGGCATATCCCAGTCGATAATCGAGATGCCTCATATCATCATGCGACGGTATCAGCTGGAAATTGTCTCCCAAAAGGCCCGCTGTGTTTTACATCGCAAGTACCTGACGGAAGATATTGCGAAGCCGCTGCATCCCAATTCTCGGGCTATTTGCATTGATGCAGCGGTGAAGCTGTTGAAGTACCAAGCGGACATTGATACTCAGACTCAACCTGGAGGAGTGCTGGGCCAGAATCGGTGGTTTGTCACGTCCCTCAACAGTCATGACTTCATTTTGGCTGCCGTAATAGTTTGCCTCGAGCTTCACTTTTGTTCCAAGAACGTTCCCGAAGATGATTCTTTGAGTGGTTCCCGGCAGGAGAATATTTATGTTCAGGAGCTTGTTCATGCTCTCCAAATCTCGCACAGCATATGGGATGCTTCCAAAGACAAATCCAGAGAAGCAATGCAGGCCTTTAAAACTATCACTGTTATGTTAGAGAAAGCAAATGTGCCAAGGACGCAGTATACCAATTATCCGACAAATGATATGGTAACAGGGAGTGCCGGAATGACGAAGACCGCGGAGGGCGGATGTGGCTTGAATGGAAACTCAAATGGAGAAGAATACCAAGCCACCACTGCAGGTATGTTTGGCGTGCTATTGGCTTTTAAATTACTGCTTATCTCACACCCCAGATATCGACGAGGAAGAGTTGCTCCCTGCAGATAGATCTCTTCCTGGGTGTGGCCCCGTTGGCAACATACGCTCATTGTCTAGTCTGGGGCTTCCTAGTGAAGATATTACGATGCAAGATATCTGGGACTTCTCAGGCTCGTTTGACTGGGTATGTGTCTTGCATGGTCCACTTGAAATAATTCGCTGACTGACTCTTGTTCATAACAGAATGCTTGGGATGCAGCGATACAAACACCATTCACCTTAGAAACCCATGATTACACGTCTGGCTTCGAGAGCTTCCATTTGATATGAGTCTATACATTGTGTTGCTATTCATCCAGCTCCTCGCTTGTCTCCCAGGATATTTTTAGCTCAGAGGCCCCGACCCACCGTACCGGTCACACTCAAGCATAGTTGCCTGGGTCGGTGGCCTCCAGGAATTTCATCTGTACTGTAAGCTGTCCACCACAATCTCCAAAAACGCGTTACAATATCGGTAGCTCGTCATGGTCGGACATCTAAGCTGACGCGAGGAGAAGTCTGCGCCTCGGACAGCTCACCGCCAAAATCAGCGAGTGTCCATAGTGTAGACGTCCTTGTCGGAATGTAGCCGAAAGACTATCACGTTGAGAATCCTCTCGTTCTACAGTAGATTTCTTATGCAGTGAATATTACTAAATTTTCATATACAGTACGGAGTACGGAGTAGAGAGCCCGGAACAAGTAGGGCTAGCGAAGGGATCGGCGCCATAACCTTGTCTCGAACCGTTTTTCGGACCCAAGGAAAAATCCGGCCTCTCGTTCGGGATTAGGGGCTTCCGCAAAAACGCGGAAATAGGTCAAGGTTGAATAAAGGAAAAAAATTTGCGCAAGGCACGGATAAACTCACCGTGATGAATAGACAACTGTTGGAATGAGTTGTACATAATTTTCGGTCGACGATCGACCTGAAGAATCCCCGTCGCAAAGCAGGGTCTGCGCAGGCAAAGGTGGGCAGAGGCCAAGCCGCCACCAGCTGGCCGCGGGTGCTGATCCTTACTCGTTTTGTGGCGGATCGACGAGGGAACCTTGCAATGCCAAGTCGACTTAGCATTTGTTGTCATGGGGAGGGGTCGTTGGAATTGATGTCCTGATGGGCTAGCAGATTGTGTGCCGATTGCGAGATGCATTTCTCCACACACCTCCGGTTGTCGGAGATCTGCCCTGGGACTGTCTGTAGGTTAGAGAATTGTGTCGCTCCTCATGATCCACTCGAGTCTGCACAGGAGGGTGGATCGCATGTTAGCCATGGCTGAGCGGGGCCTCTCCAGGCACGAGATAGCCGAGCATGTGAAGACAGTGAGTAGCTACTTTGGTAGAACCCTAGGAGATATGACAAATTGTGCGATTCAAACTCGTTAAAGGTACTCGGCCGGTGTGATTGCGGATTTCCTGCAGCTGCGCTCATCACTGAGGAATCCCCTCCAATGAAAAAGGTCGATCTGGAGGACTCGTGTCGCCATGCATGCCCCAGAACTGGTGCAAGGACGACCCCGCAGCAGGCGGCCTAGAGAGCGGTAGATCGTCAGTGAAGGCTTGGTAGCAAATGGCGATTGTGGGTGCTGGATAGGATTCACCATCAGGTTAGTCTGGGCTCGTGGTTACGGTGGGCCCTAGTGGCTTCTCCGTGCCGAAAGGTGTATATATATTCATCTTGCGTCGCTGCGATGGGACGAAGTCCGATGCCGAAATCGCAATACAAACGGCGCCAGGACTTTGAGACGAAAATACATGTCGGTTAGGCCGTTTCCCTGCCGTTGAGGATTGGGTGAGAAGGCGTCGCTATCGCAGGTGTGCAGCAAGCAGGTGACCTGCGCCGAATGGGGGAAAAGTCCACGGTATAAAGATCGACCTGATTCAACCTAAATACTACAGTACTGTAGGTTTCCATGTACGTATGGGAACTGTTAAATACTAAGACACACCAAATCAATTGCTGATTACCCTAGGCTTTTATTGAGCAATCATCGAGGACTTCTGAGATATATACACGGTGTATATAGTGCGATCGAGATGCGTTTCATCTCTAGTCCGTCGGTTTCAAAAGTTTCATGGTGGACGCCATAAAAGCGGGTGGTACCGCCTGCCCAGAAAGGGCAGCCTGTATGATCGACAGCCCTGTTACCATACGATACCGCATTTTTGTTTCTTTCCTCTCTCCAACCAACTTCATACTGCCGCAGTTCCACCGGGACTTTTCCTTCTTTCCCCTTCTCGTATTACCGCATCGACTTCGACTTCTCTTTTTCCCTTTCCCCCTCCCTTCCCCTCGTCCCTCTCATCCTCATTCTTCCCGAACGGATCCTGGGTTCACATCGACCTCGATCCCTTCGCCCCCTCCCCCTTTCGCTCCTTCCAGCCTGGTCCCAGTCCTTGGCCTCATCCCGCCAAGCTGACTCGGACCTGGGTTTCGGCTCCCTCGTCCATGCCACGCTCATCCGCTGCGGGCAGGAAGAATCAGAGCAATCGACACGAGAATGGCCTCGTCGGTCCCGGCAAGAAAGTAACCAAGCAGAAGTCCAACAGCCATCTCAACGGCTCGCCCGGCAACGGCAACGCTCCCGGCTCGGGCGCCTCTGCTCCTTTCGACCTGCCCTCGTCTCGTTCCACTAGTGACCCCGCGGTCACCTCTCCGGCGGTCGTGTGCAAGGGTGTGGATGGGACCAAGCTCGATGGCAATGTGCGTGGGCTGGTGAATGGGCATAGTAAAGGTGTGGCGGACATGGCGTGCGGCGAAACCAACGGCGCCGTGCCGCATAATGGCGGCATGACAAGTTCGGCCTCTCGCAATGGCACTACCAAACGATCTGGTTCCAACGCTTCAATAAACCCGCTCCAACTCGCGTCCACGATACTCAAGTCGTGCCCCATGTACGACACGATTGCCATTCTGATTTTTCTGCTACAACTTCCGCCGATGGTCCTGACCCTGGTTCAATTCCTGTTCGCGTCCCTGACATTCATGCCTCCAAGTGGCGCCGCTGCTGGTTCCTTGTCGTCAAATTTTGACATCTTCCAAGGTCCGGCCGGGACGCCTTCTCTTGGGACTATGATCGCCATGGACGGGTTCTGCCTTCTCTTCTGGGGCCTGTTCATGTGGACGTGGGCACAAAACTTTGCAATCGACCTTGCCCACGTCCAAGTCGCCATTACTTTGGGCGGCGGAGGCTCCGGGAAGAACGGTGGGGTCAACGCTCTGTGCGTCGGAATTGTTCTGCTGCTTCATGTTATTCGCAGCAAAGGCATACAAGAATTTGTGATGGGGCATCTTGTTTCTGCCAAACTCATTAGCCCCGATCTTCTCTCGCAGTACTCGAATATTCTACCCGCCGAATTCCGACGATCCGAATCGCAAACCTCGCCGAGTTGGTTACGGAGTCTGCTCGCCGTTCATATATTAGCACAAGCCGGAACTGCGATGGCGAGACGTTCAATGGCTAAGAACCGGTCCCCGGCCCCACCGCGGACCGGCAAGCGTGGGGATACAGAAGCGTCCGCAGGCTCGCAGGGCCAGCCCGATTCTGCTCTGGAGTCTGCCGCTAGCCTTTCGTCTTCTTTCGTGGGGCCGGATGGTCAATTTGTCAAGGACAGCAAGGATCGTTTAACGTCAGCCAAGAAACGCAGGCGACAAGCCAATCAAGTTCGAAGCCGTCAACCATTTTGGGCCGCCCTTGCCAGTACAAAGGTTACAGTCATGCGGGAATACGAGCATTCGCGGGTGCTATCGAAGACTGCACGCGGGTTGACAATGGCCGAAGACGACTTGCAGGGAGTTCCCGTCGATGAAGGATTGGTATGGATTACAGATGTGGACGGTTCTACAATCAAATTTGCTGCCGGTGATCTTGCCGATGATTCTATGGCGCCGAGCTCTTGTGATGTTGGTCGTGTAGAAGGAGATATGGAGCCGTTCTATGTCTGTGTCAATGGGGCACTTTGGGCAACCGCGACGATTTGCAGGGTTTCTGATTCTTCTAAGGAACCCAGTATAGTCCATTGGAGGGGCGAGATCTCCGGACTTGCACCCAATTGCGCTTATACGTGTTCTTTCGTGCGCAGCGATACCAATGAAGAAATCTGTGTCATGAGTGTCAAAACGCCCGCGACGGCCGACACGGAACAAGGTAAGTTTCCATCGGACGGGAAGATGCCCCTTTGTTCATCAGACTCATCGATCCAGTAGCTGTTTCCTCGGTACCGACACCACCACAGCCACCCTATCGGCCCTCGTCCCCTACGACCACGCTCAAGAACTCCGTCATCAACGCCGAAGCCAAACTGAACGAGAAGCGCTCTCGATTGAAGAAGACGAAGAACGATCACAAACTTCTCATCTCGAAAATCCGGAGGGAGTTGGACAACTATAACCATCGACTTCAGAGTGGAACAGACGAGAATAGACAAAAGCAGCGCTCGCTCCAGCTTGAGCGAAACATTCGGCAAACAGAGGAGGCCACTGCGGTGTTGGAGATGCAACTAGACAACATGGAGAACGTGCCGGAGGAGGAGATGGAGCAATGGTCTGCGCACAAAGCTGATTTCGACCGTGAATTGGAGCTTTTCAATCAGACCAAGGAAGAGGTTGCTGAAGCTCGCCTTGCCTCAGCCCAACAAGTGTCATCCTTGGAGCAGGAGTTGAATCTGGCTGTCCAGAAGCGCGAGCGTCTTCAGAGCCGCCGTACTCGCGTCAACGAACAGTACGAGCGCATCATATCGGCCAATGCCCAAGGTTTGAACGAAAGAGAGCGTCGCGCAGCCGAACAGTTTGCCCGAGAGCAAGACCACGCCAAAATGGAGACCAACTTCCACGAGCAATTTGCAAGCATCAGCCAGTCTGTACAGGACTTCCAGTTACGTACTAGTCAACTTTGGCAGCAGGCTTCTGCGATCGAACAGTCCATACAGCAGCAGCAACAGCAAATGCTCCTCGACTCTGGTCCTTTGACTCCTGAGGGCAACTTGCCGGGCACCAACCCAATGGCCGAAATCATTACAACAACCTCCGCTCTTAATGGACGAGCGTTGCTGGGCCTCAGTTTTCCTCCCGCCAGGTCTAGCCCTCTCCAGACTGCATCTTCGCCTATCCATGCTTCATCGTCACATCCAACAAGCCCCGTACAAGATTCCACCTTTATGCCTCAGTTTTCGACCTCCCCGCTCGGCAACACCGGCTCCTACTTTGGGACGGGCATCACCAACCGGGACCGCTCCTTCTCCAACCGTTCCACTCGTAGCAGTCAATATGGTTCAGATTTCTTCGAGTCGAGTCGTCTTCCGTCGGTCCAGCTCGACCTGTCCGATATTCTCTCTGACAAGCAGCAACGCTTTGGGTCAGATGGGAACGGCTTTTTGCAACACGGTGGCCGACCTGTTCTGAGCCCTTTCCAGCGGGCAGCGAGCCGCGTTAGCGGAGCTGGTAGTGGCAGCGGTGGCAGCGGCAGCGGAAGTGGCAGTCCCAGATCGGCGCGCGAATGAGATATCCCAGGGCCTTTTAACTCCATCAGTCATACCACGGTTTTGCTGATCTAAGGCGTACCTTGATTGATGTCTTGATTCCACCCGTCCTCCGAAGTGGTTCGCCTGATACGTTCGCGCCTGTGCTTTCCAGTCCGTTCGGTAAAATCATCATTCCTTCGCCTTGACACGCTCTATCCGTTCTTTACAATCGAATCAATATGTCTTACCGGGTCGTGTCGTGATGGCTTTAAAATTGGCATTCTTTGGCCATCACGGCACGACTATTCCCTCGCGGTGAGTTACACGAGTGTGGATAGACCAGGATGAAGTGAGGTGAATTGCAGCTCTGTTCTTAAAGATAAAAAGCTTGTTCCATATTATCCCGGCTGCCCCCATACATCCTTTTCCGTAACAACTATTGTAAAAGATCGTCCTAGAAGCTGCCAATTGAAATCAATCTGTTTTGAGTCTGCACAGTCAGCTACGCTAACTATATATGTTGGCAAGCAATAAAAACACCTATAATAAATGGTCCTGCAGGTCCATGTCTAATGCTAATGAGAAGGCTATATGTACAAAGAATGCTAGCTCAGCCAATGGTATATATACAATAAACGCTCAACACGTCCACGCTGTGATCCGGAGTGCTTTCTTATCATGGCTTCTCCATGTAGAGTTCAGTTAAATCTCGCCTCCCATCTTCCAGAACCTTGTATTGGCGTATGTCAGACATAAGCTTTCGGGCGAATGCTCATCCGGGTTCTCCTCAGCATACCCCTGGCTCGAAATCTGGTTTTCCGAGCCTTCAATGGCCCGCAAAACTGTACCCAGTACAATTGAGTGATCATGCACATCAATTCTCTGTGGGTGAAGCCTGCATTCTAACACGAAAGGGAAATCCTTGCGGTTGTTGGAGTGTGGCCCTCGTCGCCTGAGGATCGGTAGAGGCCTCTCGGCTCCATCACCGAAGCTCTGCTCAGCATTCACTACCCCGAATTCAAACTCTCCATGCCCGCTCAACATTGAAGCGAGCGTTGTGTTTCCCTTGGAAAAGTCTCCGGCCAGGGTTGCGGTCGCAGGTCCCGGCGCGAGTAGATGGACTAGGAACCGGCCTGAGGCGAGCAGCGCATTGAGTGTCTCGGATGGTCGGCGCACGTTAAATGAGATTACTGGGTGCGGCGTGAGGGTTACTGTATTGAAGGAGGAGACGGTCATCCCGCGGAAGGAGGTGGTATCTGCCGGACCGGTTGGGTCGGTGGCTGTTATTATGGCGACCGGGTAGGGGACCCGGCGCATGAGGAGGCGGACATGTTCCGATATTGAGGATGCGGGGGAGGTTTGCGAGGGTTTCGATGCAGAGGAGAGAGTGCCTGTTCTATCGGAAGGTGAGGTCTGGCTTCCATTCGGGTTCTTTTGTTGGAGGGAAGCGGTAGTATTGCTGATATGTCGTGGTGAGCAATGTCGATGGTGTCGGGGGCACTCTGGTGCGAGAAGGTTTCCGATGGTAGAATTGCAGGGTCTTAGAGGAGGCAGTATGTAGGATAATGGCTCTAAGCAATGTTAGGAACATTTATCGGGCAAGGTATACTGTAAACAGCTCGAGAGACTCACCTCTGAGGCCTCTCCGGACCGCAAGTCGCGGAAGAGATAGCTTCATGCTGCCGGTCTCCACAAGCCGGAGCACTCGACAACGCTCTATGCCTGCGCAAAAGAATCGGAAAACAAAACGCAGACTGTGTTTCCGCTGATTTATGTCGAAGACGCAAAGCTGCGCGAACCACGCGCGAATTCTCAACCGGAGGACTGCCCGTGGAAAATCTCCGGCTGCTTACATAACCCGCGATAATTCCCAAAAGTTTCTCTGCGACGTGAGTTGCATAGCATCGACTTTACTCTGCGCTCCGCAATCTCCCGCCCCCAGCCCGCCTGACGATCTTTCTGTGGCTGCAGTCTCTTCAATTGCATAGAGCTCACCCCCAACGCTCTGCATTTCCCGTCTACAATGTCGATGCATACGTCTCTGCGCCGCGCTGCGGCCAGGATATCCAGCTCGACATCGACCATTCTTCCAACCGGGCTGCCAGCCTCCCAAGTCAAGACCACAACCTTCGTCTGCTCGCAATGCCGCCATGCCACACTTCTCCGCCGCCCTAAGCGGCCCTACACCTTCACCCAGCTCATCACCCTTTCCGACGGCAGCGCCTTCACCCACCGCACCACCTCGCCCGCACCCGTCTACCGTTCCACACGCGACACTCGCAATTCACTGCTCTGGAACCCGTCCAGCAGCAAACTGATGAACGTTGAGGATGATGAGGCTGGTCGACTGGCGGCTTTCCGTGCGCGCTTCGGTCGCAGCTGGGATGCCAATGCTCCGGCTGCCGAGCTTGCGTCGAGCGGTGATACGAAGGATGCTGCGACTACGAAGGCCGAGGAAGAGGCTGCTAAAGCCCAGGCCCAGGCTGAACAGGAGGAAGAGGATAATTTGTTGGATTTGATCAGCTCGTTCGGCCAGGAGGAGCCCCAGGTCTCGGGAAAGAAGAAGAAATAAGCGCTTCGACTGTGACTATACGTTATTGACCTATTGGAAAAGGAAGAAGGGGGGGGGGGCGGTGGTTGCTGTCCTCCTTCTATCTGGGTTGGGAGTTGTGTTCATGTTTCATTTGTCCTGTACAATATACATATGTTCTTTCTTACCGTGCATGGATGTTCATTTGCGAATTCTGTTACTTTCCACCTGGAATAATCCTACTGGTTTCAAATCCTTCGCATGTATGTCATATATCAGTCGGTAAATCTGAAGACACTCCCCGTATCAGCTGCTTATAAAGCAGAAAGGGTTGGCATCAGACTAAAAAACCAGAGCATTCACATTACTATCCAAAGCTGCTAGAGCGAACTAAGCGGTTTGGCGGTGCCACTAGTTGTGTAGCCGGTATCCAAGGCGCCTGGTTCCGGGGAGGTTTCGTCCAGATAACCTTGGCGGATTGCATCTCAAGATTCGGATTCCAAATTTTCGCTTATAAAATTCGTTTCTATCTGGCCACACCTCTTGGTGTCTTCTATCTCTTGAGTGCTGCGTTCATCTTTATCAAACAGCGGCGGGGTGACAAGTTTGCAGGCCCGGTACAAGACCGAAGTTTTTCACAGGGAGATACATCGAGACTTGCAGCTTCATGGACTGAAGTGGTGGTTCTGGGGTAGGAGGCTTCTCAGGTACGAGCGACGTCCGGTTTAAACGGCGAAAAATCTATTATACACAAGCGTGGAACATTACTAAGTTTACTCATCGAAAAGGCGTAGCCTGTCAGGCATTCACGCCAATATTTGAGCCTGTGTTTCGGGCGTATAAGAGCCTGATACAATTTTCATTGTGGCTAGAAAAGCTCCATATATGGACGTAAAGTTTCAATGTATTTGGGTGAATCAAGCTCAACGAACATGTACGGATCTAGTCTAAATCTTGCTTCCCTGAAGCCGGATGTTTTCATCAACCGCCTTGCCCTGTTTGCTTTCTTCTTTCACGGCTGATGCTTGTTCAGGATATCTCTCGGACGTACTCTGGTTAATCACGGCTGCAAAAGCAGTTTCGACGTCATGTTCTGATAGCCATTCGGTGTTAGGGCGAGTCTTCATCCTAGCAACAAGTGTAGCGTCTTCCTCTTCGAATGTCGCATCTTCTGGCGCTCTCTTTTTAATCTGGTTATGTATAATACGCAATAGACGCGCCGTGTGTGGTTGTCTCGTCTTGCTGTATAGTACCAGAGCCTTGTTTATACTATCAGATGACAGCGAAGGCCTTGAAGGTGAGTTGAAAACATGCTTGAAAGCAAGACCAAGAGCGAGAGAGTCATCGAGCGCCAAAGACCCACCTGCAGCAAAGGAGCCACCATGTGCATGTGCTGCATCACCGATAAGAGTGACCCGCGAACCAAATACCCAGGTTGAAAGAGCATCTCCGGCAAAGTTTGGATATAAATTGGTTGACGGAGTGAGCTGGGTAAGGGCTCGGATGGTGGGGTTCCAGTCCTAAAACTCTTAAAATGATGTGCTTCGTCAGGAAGTAGACCACGAAACATACTTTGTATCTTTCCCTCAAGAACTCCACATTTCCTTTTTGATCCCATGCGATGCTTTGTTCAACTTCCTCTGCGGTACGTGGATCATCGTAAGCGCCAACGGTAGTATATTGTCCCTTGCCTGCATGTAAATTAGATTAACCTGAGCCCCGAGTATATTCAGGGTCTTGACATACCAAGTCGGGATGCGAAGAAATTGTCTCGTGGCCCCCACTGTTTGATCATCAGTGTCATTGAATAAATAAGAAAGAAGAAGAAGAGAAAGAGCCTTGCTGGTATTACATACCCAATGCATCGCATCGATGGGCAAGTCAGGCACCTTGCCCTCGATCAATGATACATCGAAAGTTGATCTCATGAAGACCTTCCCACTGAATCGCAGCTTATAGTCCGGAATGAAAGATTGTCTCACTGGCTTCAATGGGTATTAGCAATATTGAAACGATGCCCTGATAAGTTGCAACCGACCGATCGAATCCCATCTGCCCCGATCAAAATATGACCATGAGCACTACTTCCATCCTCGAAGTGCAATGACACCCTATCCTGGCTAGCCTCTGCTCGTTTTATCTTTTTTCCCAAGTGGATAGACTCTCTTGGGACATGCTCTAGGAGAGCAGCATGCAGATGGCCTCGGTGGAAGCGAGTCGTATGGTGGCGAGGATCGGGAACATCATTGTGCGTGTCGACTGAGATAACTTGGTTGGTCTTCCAATGACTGCAGACACTCCTGTTAGCATGTAAAAAAACCGTGACTGATAAATTTACCGGAAAATTTGCGGTATTCCACTTGGTCCTCTATACCCAACCTCATCGGTGAGAGCATTGTTCACGCCGAGCTTCTCCAAGGTGCGCATACCCTGCTCATATGATCAATCAGTAAACAAATCTTAATGACTGCTAATAGACTTGACGCAGAATGGTACATTCGGACTTAGTGCAATACTGGCTCCAATCTCCAAGAGCTCCGGAGCCTGCTCGTAAATATGCACATCAAGATTGGCAAGATCGGATATGCGCCTGAGTGAAATTGACGTAGCAAGCCCCGCAATACCAGCGCCGGCAATCAATACTCGGAAGGTATCGTCTTTTACGACCATCTTGATAGAACGCTCTCAAATTCGATCCCGTAGCAAGAAGAGATTGAGGGGACCAATGGGTTTAAATTGAATCTCGATAAGCTCAAATCGCTATCGCGACCAGGTGCGGCAAGCACGTCAGCAGTGCAGCTTTGACACAACCCCGCGATGGCGACTTCAAGCGTGCTTTTGACAATTACTGACGCGCCTCCAAACTCATGCGTCAAGGCTCGGGAAACCTCAGGCCATTTTTTTTTACATACTATTAAGGATAAATATATCTAGTAGCTTCCGTGCCAGACGACGGCTCGTGGATGAATGGCGTAATAGTTGCCATTTGGATGGGTTCCGCAGTTCCGAAACAACTCCATCACATATCTCTTGAGAAGAGCACAGTAAATTTCCCGAACCTCCAGGTCCCCAATAATTTCTATTCTTTCGCGACGTGTCGCATGACCTGAGATTCTCCAGCTTTGAGCCTGAGGCCAGGACCTTGAACACTCTAATGCTTCCTTTAGAGCCACAATAGAGCTAGGACCGGCCATCTGAGCCAAAATTGTGCAAAAAGCGTCTGTTAACTTGCAATCTAGCTCTAGCAGACGATTGTGAATGTGAGGGCTGAAAAATGTTTCTCGTGGAGGGGGTTAGCCTCTGAGCGTTACATCGATCGGTGTCTCTTAGGATTGACGCTCGACAATAGTCACCGACTTCTTGTCTTTTGTTTTTTGGCTGTTCGGGGTGGTCAAGGGTATCAAGCGCTCTTTTCGCATGGGTGGGCGATGTGTTTGGATTTCTGCGCTCAGTAAAAGTGTCGAACACTTCGCCCATGACCGTCTGGGCTGGATATACCGGATGTTCTTCACTTAGGATTTGAAGAGAGACCAACAATGGAAACTCAGATGGGTCGTTAAAGTTCAACAACTCATAATCCAAATCAGCCGTTGCAGGCGGGAGGCTTTGTGCTGGTGGTTGGGGCACAAAACTGGACCTGAATCTGATTTCTCTGTCTTCGAACCCCGGCCTTTCGCCAACCGCCAATTATAAGGGTCTCGGTTCAATTATGGGGCCGGGGTGGGGACGCCGAGGTTTGGGGTGGGGAAACACATGGCGTAGAAGATTAGATATGTATGTAAGCAAAACTGAGCATCCATATCTACCGCTGCTACAACTATGTCAGAAATACTCAAACATATACTGCAAAGTTTGTATTATATCAGGACCAGAACATAACGGAGTTGCAGGAATTCTTAACCCAGGATACCCATTAACCTACTAGATATCTTTGAAAACAGAAAAAGTTGAGGAAGAAGAAAGAAAGTTACATCTAGTTCTATGAAACAGATCTAAAAGTACGTCTCTTTTATATCCAACTGGCCCTTGGTCTCCAAACTGTCTCCCAAGGAGTACCGGATCCTTGGATGAGAGCGAGAGTCCTGGACAACGATCTTCATAGGAACTGTTTTCGTGAGGGTCCCTGACAAGCCGGCACCCCGCAACTGATCGAGACTGTCTCTCCGGATGCTTGCCAAAACCGAGATCAAGCCGAATCCCGTTCCGACCGGGGTTTGGTAGCAGAAACAGATTGAAAGTAGCATCATCGTGCAAAGGATGGGGTGGATAGATAGTGTAAGGTACAGACCCCAATTCGCCTGGAGAGTTAACCGTGTCGACCGGATGATTTCTTCAGTCGGTGGGTAGTACATTTCAGGATACACGTTGTTCGTCGGATTCATGTAGATGATCCGAGCCCAGAACATGCTCGCAACGGAGGTCGTCAACGATGGGACCAGCCATGGCGACTGACTGTGAGAATTTGTGGGAGAGTACCGGCTCAGCCATTGGGACAATAGAGGCAGTGTGTCCGCGTAATATGGCGTGGTGCTGTTGAAAACCACTTGCTCGGCCCTTTCTCCGGTGCAGCTGCCACTGACGAGTTGTATGCTGCCGCGTGTCACTGTCCACTTTCCCTGACACCTTTCTCGCTGGATCTCGAACATATATGCGGCCTGTCTGAACGCGAGGCTAGTAGATTCGGTCATTTTACTATATATATGCAGCCCGTATGCATTTCCCTTGAAGAAGCCCATCAGGCAATACGGCCCCGGATTCTCGCTGTGTAGACTCTGCAGGCCATTGATCATCCCGATTTGATAGCCATTGTAGAGAGAAATCGTCGACAACCCGGTAGGGTTATAGGAGTGGTTGAGCGCACTCGTCCAGAAGGCGTCATTATCTCTGTAGGACGAGATCGATGCATTGTATCGAGCGATTGTCCCATCCACTGCCGCTGAGATGCTCCAGGATTCCCCGATAGTCAAATTTTGCTGAATGGAAGACAGAAAGTCCGGAGAAGGCAAGTCCAGCAACGCCGTGGAGGTATTGTCTAGGAGGATCGTGTTAAATCCGTACACTGCTGGAAATCGCGGAGTCGAACGAGCGCTCGAGGATGCTACCATATAAGGGACGCTTGCGTTGATCATATAATAGATCGAGTTGTTCATCACGTTAAGCGTTCCCAAGGGAAGCGGCACGAGGCCGTAGTACCGTGGAAACTGGCTCTGGATCTCCATCGTACTGCTTCCTCCAATGAGCTTTTTGTATGCCACGCTGAGCACCAGAGGGAGGAGGGTGAGAAGGAGGAAAGATGCACGCCATCGTACGTCCGCCTTATCCAAAAACACACTCTTCTTGATAATAGCCTCGTAGTTCTGCAGTGTCGGGGTCTTTCGCCGGGTCTCGACGATGAGGAAAAAGGTAGCTGCAAGAATACCAGTGCACTCATTCATCAAGCTCAACAACAAGCCTATAACGACCAGCTGGTTTGTCAATCCCAGTTTCCAAGACAGGCTCCATGCGGGTCCGATCATCGGCTGGATTGCAAGGATCGACAGCACGAAGCATGTCAAGCAGCCGAGCAGGGCGAGTAAATGACTCCTGTCGCAGTACCATCGTCGTTTTGGCACTCCAAGCGAGTTTGAACTTTCTGAGGGGATCTGGGAGTACATCATAGGGTCAAGGTCAAAGAGCACATTGACTTCTTTCTTTTGTGTAACTAAGCACGTGATTTCTTCCTAAAGACGCTGCGTGTTTGGCATCGTGATGGGATATTTGCACAAATGACAGTGGAATAGGTAAACAAGGCTTTTATGTCCCTTAGATTTTAGACCCTAGAAATTGACCAACATAGGAGACGCTTAGCTCGAACACGACTGAGGTGTGATTGGCCTTCAATTTTTCAGCGTTGAGCCGAAAATAGCTCTCCTAACTAAGCCCCTAAGATAGTCATATTACATTCTTAACTCAGCCTCCTGTACGGCCTGTCCACGTCTTGTGTTCTACACTCAAATTATGAGGCTGATTTCAATGCAGCCCGTCTCGCGCCGTCTAGCCTATGAGGCGGCGACACGTGGGGGCTGCATTGAAATCAGCCTCATAATTTGAGTGTAGAACAGTGCAATTAGCTAGAGGTCCTGCCTTCACCTTCCGCTAGGTGATGTGAGGCATATTTTATCAAGATCGATGCGATACGGCCCCGACTCCGGCATAGCAGTTGCCTAGAATGTGCTTCTTGCTACGTTAGGAGGCTTGATAATTAAGCTGATCAACTATTCCCGTACATACGACCATAGGGTGTGGAGAACAGGGCTTCCCGTCCGCTCAGCCGTACTTAAGCCACACGCCGGCCAGTTAGTAGTATGGTGGGTGACCACATGCGAATCCTGGCTGTTGTATGTTTTCGTTTATTTTTGGTTTTTGGTTTTTGTGATTTATTGAGGCGAGTACTCTTGCTACTTTACTCTTTTTTCGGGCTTCTCTACCTAAACGCCCTGAATATCCCTGCTGCACGGACGTGGCCCCTCGGTTAAACTTTCCATCTTTTTCATCCTCCGTCCCGCTCGCGTCCTAGCCTCCATTTTCTTTTTGCGGGAAGTTGAACTGACCATGATCGTAGTTACCCCTCCAGATCAAATGTAGGCACGACGCTCATCTAATCTGGTCGTGGTTATCTCTGCTCCTTGGATGTAGTGAACATTCTGAACGAAGAGGAGGTGAGGAAATAATTGGATCAGATCGCCCGGATGCTAAAAAATTGATTTAACCTCTCCGTAACCGAACCCTCTAGTCGGGCGCTGGAGGTCGCCCGATACCACGTTCTAGACCTGCCTGGCTTTCAGGTAGGAAATCATGAGACGCTCCCATGTAGCGTAGTTGTCGCCTCCTGTGGCAGGCACGATGGCCCTCGACGGCTCAGGCAGGGGAGTCATGGACGAGAGCCGACATGATGTTTGAGAAGGCGGGGTGATCTATCTCAAATCATTAGAGATGATTGGTTCTCGGTGCGAGTTGAAACGGCACCAACTAATTGCACTCGGGCTCATAACCTGTTGTACTGTAGATTAATAGGATGCTTAAATTGCGCATTTCCAGGTATGCAAAAAGCTATATGTACAACATGAAGACCAAGTTGATTGGCGGCCGGATTTATCTCCGACATTGTGGGTTCGTTCCTAAGCAGCAAATGCCTCTTCTCACAACACGAAGGCTCGCACTAAACCCAGGCTCGAAGAATAAGCATGATCATGCTGGTTTCCGAATTCTCTGCGATTCGCCATTGTTGACATCTGCATCACGTACAGAAGGAAAGTGAAACTTGGAGTGGGAGAATAACAATTACTAATTGCATTATGGGACAGGCCACTTAACTATGGAGCTCGCAAGCGAGCAACTTTGACTGGATGAGAGTCGTCCGCACAAGCAAGCCACCACTGGCTGTGCTTTTACAGGTCTTCCAACATAGAATATTAAGTGTCTGGCATAGCCTCCACTCGTATTGGAAGTAAACTGATCCTTGCAGGCCACCATCCAGTGGATTAGGAAGTAGAACCGACAGTCTGTGATTCAACCCCGGTGGGCCACTATAGCATAGAGCTTGCAAGCTCTCAATTTTGATTGGATGCGGGTCGTCTACGTAAGAAAGCCACCACCAGCTGTGCTCGTATTCGCCGTCCAACATTGAATACTTGAAAAGGGCTGGCCTTGTGCATTACGCCTCTGGTGGCTTGAGTCACCTGGGCTGTTAGCCGCTCTAGTTTGGCGGTCAGTATTTTTGACTGAGGCTGACTTATATAATGGTTCTCTCAGCATTTTGCTTGGTTTTGCGTCCCGCCAAGGTGTTCAGAACACCCGAACTCGCACATTTAACTGATTTTACCTCGCATTGCCCTTGTAGAGAAAAGATGGCTGTTGAACATATTCCGTCAATCATTTCCGCCTTTGGGGCACCAGACTATCGAGACTGGCTGCGATTGCCCGCACGAAAGTCAAATGAGGAAAAAGATCTCATATTTAGACGCGAAATCATTCCCTGTCTGAATGACTACGCTGAAGGCGGTTTGTTCACAAGATTTCAGGAAGCGCATGCATGGGTTACTGCTTTCATCGACCCAGCGTCAGATTTTGAGGACGCGCTCCTTGAACTTGAGAGGGATCCAAATGCAGCAACAATCACTCTAGCCGATTTTGTAAAACATCTGGCTGGCACGATAATTACAGTTGCTTGGCAAGAGAATATGCGCTCCTTTGTACAGATGTCGCAGTAAGTTTATGCTTATGAATCACTGTTTTATTAGTTAGTTACATATTGTACTGATTTACCTTAAGAAATTCGGGATCTAGGCTGGATGACAACTGGATGACGGAGGTACGGGACGCCTTCGAAGGAGCTCTTCCAAAGCTCGCGGAGCATCAGGCATGGTGGGTTTTGTGTGGACGACTGAGACTTTTCAGTCTCCAGGTCGGTTGCGCTTCTGCACAGCAAGATCCTTTGGACTGTATCTCGGGGGTGCGTGCCCATGTTAGTTCTAGCATCTCTGCGGCTGGGAGTACAAGCCTCCTTAAGAAAACCAGGGCTCAAGCACAAGGAAAGCGACAACATGAAAATTATCATATCGCATGGATCAGTCCGTTGGAAGTGGAGCAGATTGCTGCATTAGAAATGCTCGACGAACAGCATGGGCCGCTACCCCAGCCTCACACCGATAATAATGTCTACACTCTTGGCAGTATTAAGGGCCACAACGTGGTAATTGCAGGATTGCCTCAGACGGGCAATAACTCAGCTGCAGCGGTTATTACCCAAGCGAGAACAACATTTCCAAACTTAAGATTCTGTCTCTTAGTGGGAATTGGAGGCGGGGTACCAACAACAACTGACAACGGAATGATCCGACTCGGCGATGTTGTGGTCAGTAAGCCGTCAGGAGAGCACTCCGGTGTGCTGCAATACGACCATGGAAAAGCCGAAGTGGCTCGTTTTATTCGCACTGGTGCGCTTGCTCCACCGCCAGCATTACTTCTTAGCGCTGCTCAGGCCCTTGCCGCTCAACGCGCAAGGTCAGGGAAGGACTCTATATTGAGTAATATCCAACGGATCAACACCAATATCAGAGGGCTGCAGAGGTATACGCGCCCTATTTCAGCTCTAGACGCCCTGTACCGACCTGAATATACGCATCTTGATCGGGAGCGTCCTTGCACTCAGTGTGGATGTGATCCATCCCAGCGCGTGCAGCTCATCGATAATGGAGATGATAATCATTTTTTGGTTATTCACAGGGGCACAATTGCTTCTGGCGAGCTGGTTATCAAAGACGCTAGGCTGAGAGATGCTCTAGCCGAACAGTGTAACATCCTGTGTTTTGAAACAGAAGCTGCAGGCGTATTAGCAAATTTCCCCTGCCTTGTTATTCGTGGTATCTCAGACTATTGTGATAGTCATAAAAACGATTACTGGCACGGGTACGCTGCCGCCACTGCTGCTGGATATGCAAGAGAGCTTATCTCTTACATTCCAAAGGATATGTCAGCCTGAGAGTAAATATTACTGTTGCCACCATTTGAGAATTTTTTTATTTTTGAAGCTTATATTCCATCTATTTTTGCTGCAAAGGCTTACCAATTTTTCCTGTAGAGGAGACCATCACTTATCTAATTCAAAAATAAATGGACTGTTTCTTTCTCTCCCACCCAAACCTTAGTCTAGTAAATGGACAAGAAACGCGAGCATAATAGCCTAAATACATTTGGGCCCGTTCCCGGGAGGTGCGTCATAAGAAAGAGAATCTTGAGCCCCCGCCTCTCCCTTTAGTCAAATTTGGAGATTTTTTTCGATCAGATTTTCTTTGATGTTTTCATCTGATCTGCTAACCTAGCTAAGCATCAAAGAATATCCCAGCATAGTGCCGTAGAAGGGAGTTACTCTATGGTTTCATGTGACCCGAGCTCCGCATATCCGCGCATACCAGTGGCATGAACGACGTGAGAAAGTTCAGGAAAACGGATACATCCTCTCTGCAGGTTTCATAGAAAGCATATATGCCGTGCCTTGTTCCTCTGATACCCCTACCCCTTCACGAATTTTCACGTATAGGTAAGAACGAGCATCCTGGTTTATTTCAGAATTATCAAAGTCGCTTAGGTTCAGCATATTATAGGCGTAAACTAGCATCGAGTCGTTTTTATTCACTATTGCGGTCGATTAAAGGCAAGAGAGCAATGGCAGGAAGGTAGAAGAGAAGCGAATGAGGTATAGGAACGAGAGCGGCCGAGTAGGAGGAGCAGGAAGGAAAATAACAAGGTAGTGTCTGGTCTTAAATCACGGAATCTTTCCCTCTACCAAAAGGTGCCTTTGCGCATTTTGGGGTGGGGCTTCACCCTTCTGGATGAAGTGTATTCAGGTGGGTGAACTGCCTCCTAAAGCCGCCTGAAGCCCAGGTGCGTAGAGTGGCTGAGCCACGATAGAAAGCTAAGAGGATACCTAGATCCGTGTACGAATAATTGGCTGCGAAATTGGTTTCAGCATCAATGTCAAAAAATCCACAACGTATATCATTTCCGAGGAGTGCCCAGTCATAATTTACCCCCGTCTTGTAGCAGCCGTCAGGGGCTTTGGACACCTACAATATTAATTCTGAGACAGCCCTGAATAGCTGATGGTTTTTTGGGGGCTTCGGAGATGGACTCCGATCAGGTCCACACTCCGGCCCAAACCCGAAATATAGGTAGATGCACCCTACGCTAGATTTGAGATGGTGGCCCTGCTGCAGGTGACTTCCACGACGAGTCCGGATTTCGGAAGCAGACTCCGATTACCTTAATCCTCAAGGGTCCCAGGCAGTTTGCATAATTGATGCAGGCTATTAATGATCAGGAGAAATATCACTTATATATACACCATTTAGCATGATCTGAGGGTTTTCAAGTGCTGACACTAAAGCAGCACCACACGCCTTTCAGCCACAGCCCTTTCCAGATAAACAATGGCGGAGACGGCATCTTCTCTGGATGGGCCTCCCCCAGACGCGGCCGAAACTTGGCACAATCACTCAGTACAGAAGCAGGATGGTGCTGATAAGAGTCCCTCCAGCGAAGATGCAGACCTCAAGTACGAGTACCCTACGGGGCTCCCAGTCACCCTCATTCTGACTTCAGTTACCTTGGCCTATTTTCTCTTCTTCCTTGATCTTGCTGTCATTTCCACAGCCACTCCGGTTGTTACTTCCCAATTCAACTCTTTGGTGGACGTTGGCTGGTAAGTACAGTTTGACTGTCTACTATCGACATCGCAGATTACTCCTGAAAGACGCTGATTTATTCTGCTCAGGTATGGAGGTGCCTATCAGCTCGGAAGTGCAGCTTTCCAGCCTCTCAGCGGCAAAATTTATAGCCAGTTTCCGATCAAGGTAAGATTTAGTCTGCGGCTAAAACAGCCTGTCAGGTTGTGAATTAGAATCTGACGAAATGACAATGTAGTGGACCTTTCTAGTTTTCTTTTTTATCTTCGAAGCTGGATCTGCCATTTGCGGAGCAGCTCAGTCATCGCCCATGTTTATTGTTGGCCGTACAATCGCAGGAATCGGTTCTGCTGGGGTGGCTAATGCAGCTTTGACAACCATTTCTGCAGTGCCTCCAATCCAAAAACAGGCGCTTTTCATGGGACTTAACATGGGTATGGGCCAGCTGGGTCTTGCAACAGGACCGATTATCGGTGGAGCTTTTACCACCAACGTGTCTTGGCGATGGTGTATGTTATTCCATCACCCTCCAATTTTAGCGCTCCTTAGGCTAAAATCCATGGCTTAGGTTTTTACATCAACCTCCCGTTGGGCGCTATCGTCGGCGAATTCCTTCTCTTCAACAATGTCCCCGAACCAAAGGCCAAGAGTCCACCCATGGAAATTCTCGGGACTGCCATCAAGTCTCTAGATCTCCCAGGTTTCATGCTCATCTGCCCCACGGTTGTCATGTTCCTTTTGGGACTCCAATTAGGTGGTAATCAACACCCCTGGAACGGTTCGGTTGTGATTGGCTTGCTGGTTGGCGCTGCCGTCACTTTCGCTCTTTTCCTGGTCTGGGAGCATAGGCAGGGAGACAATGCCATGGTGCCATTTGCAATGCTTAAAAACAAGATCATCTGGTCAGCGGTAATGACGATGTTCTTCAGTCTTTCCAGTGTTCTCGTGGCCGACTTCTACATTGCGATCTAGTTCCAGGCTATCCACGATGACTCCCCCTTAATGAGTGGCGTGCATATGCTTCCAATCACATTCGGCTTGGTCCTGTTTACCGTGGTTTCGGGTGTTCTGAGTCAGTGTCTCTACTTTCGATCAGTTGTCTCCCATTAAGTTTCCATGCTAATCATTTGTTGCCCCCGACAAAGTCTCCGTTCTGGGATACTATCTCCCATTCTTGCTTGCAGGAGGCGCGATTTCAGCCGTTGGCTACGGTCTCTTATCAACACTCAGCCCCTCGACCTCGGCTGCAAAATGGATTGGGTATCAGATTCTGTACGGTGTTGCAAGCGGTTGCACGGCAGCTGCTGTAAGTTCTGCCCATCGAAAAGTATGGTTGGGCGGGCTGATGACGATAGCTAGAGCCCCGCTGATGAAACGCCCTATGAGTTATTGGAAAGGCAGCGGGCAGTACTGGCATGTTTTATACTAAGCTCCAAGTGCGTGTGCCCTCTGATTAGCTATCAAACTCAACAGGAGTCTTGTGCTCGGGGCTCAGCGTTACTAACATTTGATTTTCTCAGTATCTCGTCCCATCTTGGGCGCCAAGATGCTTTACGATGGACGCCGCAAATGGAGGAAGCGCTTCGACTCATTACCACGAATGAATTATGCGCCTCAGATGAGTTATTTGTCTCTCAAGTCCGCTTACAGTTGTTAAAGCAAAGAGCGGAGGATATCCGGCGGCAAGACGAAGCAGATTACCTTTCCACGGGAGCAACACCCTTGGCATCAGCTCCTCGTTTATTCTATCTTAAATCTCTGCGAAGACAATTGCAAGAGCTCCGCGCTTCACTCCGGCCAGATCTTCCCCAGATTGGTAAGTAGATTTACAGGCGAGGAGCTGGTCAAGTATCTTATGTGCCGAATCGCTAATTCTTTTTCTAACCGGGGTTATCCTCCGGCTTCCTATGCAGACATTCTTAATACACACACACAATATGTCGAAATATACATTAATCACCTAGCGTATTCCATAAATACTGACTCACTTTCCTTGTACCCATCTGGACAAAGAAATGACGGTGGGATCAACTTGGGATTCGAACGTCTCGAGTGTTTATGGCTGTCAGTTGAGAACATCAAGTCATGGCTGAAGAGTTTCTACAGAATCCCCTGCTCGAAACTTGTCGGCCAACCTTTTCATTTCTGGTCGCAAATGATTCTTAGTATCACACTCTTGAAATATCTCTCAACCCTGAAAGACCCAGAATGGGACTGCCAAGTGGTGCGCAGCACAGTCGATCTCATAACAACCATCGATTCCATGCTGCAGAGAATTGAATTGAGTAGCAAGGAGACGGAACTTCAGTGTAACGACCATCTACTAAAATATTTATCGAAGCTTTTGAGTAGATGTCGCATGTGGGCTGAAACTCGGTGGCACATCACCTCTTAGGTACAAGATGTGGAGACCAGGACTTCTCGGAGTGTCAACCCTGACACCATCTCTCACAATTACCATGTGCCTGATCTTGATCAAATGATCTGGATGCAATCGATGGACCTTGTAAATGAGCAGTGGTTTGAGGATGTACTAGGCATGCCTACGACAGTGTACTAATTTGCTGGAATTCCTATATAATGTATTTTTATGGTTCGGTACAATCCCACGAAGTTGAATGCAGAAAGATGTCCTTCAAGCCAGCAATCGTTGTGAGCGTAAGTACAGGTGAAAGTCCCACCGACCGGCCCCTTCCGGCACATTGAATACAGAGTCAGCCCCATGGCGTAAGATGTCCATTTTAGTGCAATGTTGGGCTCTCTGAAGAATCACTTAGTCTAGTTGTAGACCCTCTTGCTCAAGCCTTCCATTAGGAAGAGAACGACATCTCTCCACCTGTTACTCGATTCAAGTTTTAATCTTTGGACACATAACATCGACTGTGCTCTCCGATGTAGATCAATGAATCTCAAATAATCCATTAGCTAAACCAAAGGCTTTCCCCCTTGTGCAAAACTCATTCTAACTGTACTAAGTGGACGTGTCTGCACGACTAAGGCAACGAGACGACAATCTTCTTAGCCGAAACCCCCTTCTGATTGAGTTCCAAGGCCTCGTTGATCTTGTCCAGTCCCCGTCCGACAACATGCGGCTCCGGTGCCGGTACAAACTGCTTCTTAGCCAGTGCTGGCCCCAGGAAATTCATATACACTTGAGACACACAACTTTCGGGATCAACCAGCCCCGCAATCATTATGAACTTGATCTCAATGCCCGTCCGCAGCTTTTTTATGGCATTCTTGCCCATCATGGAAAACATCCCACCCATCAATCTGTAAGTCCCGAACAGTCCTCGAATCGAGTCGGGTTCCCTCCACGCACCACCCGCCAAGGCGATGAATCTCCCCGTCGGCAGCTCGGGCGCCTTAGCGAGCCGCTGTGTCATGACAGAAGCGCAGACCTCATCTGCGTTTTCTCCAACGGTATATGCGCCGACTAGCTCCCGGCCTTCAAGCGCAGACACAAGATCTGCGACAAGTGTCTTGCTATTGTAGTCGAAGACGTGAGAAGCGCCGAGACTTTTGACGAAGGCAAAGTTCCTTGGCGACGATGTTGATATAACTTCGTAGCCAGCTGCAACGGCGAGTTGAATAGCGCAACTGCCAACGCTTGACGCACCACCCGTGATAATAATAGCGCGGGGAATATGTTCCCCAGGTTGTGGATTAGGCGGCGGCGGTACCTGGGGGAGATCGAGGCCGAGATAATCTTCATGAAAGAGACCATAGGCCGCTGTGCCGATCCCGAGCCCAAGGACAGCGGCCTGCTCATCGGTGATATGGTCGGGAATCGGGGCGACCATATACTCGCGTAACACGGTGTACAGCTGAAACGCACCTTCGCATTGCCGGATTCTTTCGCAATAGAAACAGCGCAGCCAGCTACCCTGTCACCGAGCTTGAAGCGTGTCACGCCAGGGCCGACATCAAGGACGGTGCCAGCAACATCTATTCCGAGTACCATGGGGTACTTGAGATGGGACGCAAGAATAGAGCCCTGATATTGTAGTACCCAGTCAAAGGGGTTAATGCCGACTGCACCATTCTTGATCACTACTTGGCCAGGACCGGGGGTTATGTAGGGTGCGTCGCCGACTTGCAAGTGCACTGCACCTTTCGAGGGAATCCAAGCTGCTTGGTCTTTGGGAGTCATTTTGTTGAAACTGGACGAAAAGGGAATGCTTCGAAGGGGTCAGGCAATTGTAGAGATTGCGAGTTTTCGTGAACAGCCTTGAGAGCTTGATAATCATAGCGACATGGGGATGGAATTTAAGCACTAACACTAAGAATAAAGCGAGGCGGCTCCCGGACCTTGAATTCCGTGTCTACTCATTAGGACCTAGGAGAAAACTCCCACAACCTCCCCTGAACAACGCATCGGACGTATTTATGAAACACTCCGTATCGATTTTTCGATACGTTTCTGTGGTATGCCCAAGCCCCGTGCACCGTCCACTTGAACACCTGCCTACTAAGAATAACTGACTGTTCACGAGGTGAAAGCACTTTCTATATGCTGTATGTCTAATAATAATCCTTGGGATGGTGCATTACTCCCAAAGCCCACCGCATGATTTGAATCGGCCGACTCATTAGGCCGATAAGTCGCCCAGGACTTTGAGCGCATCCAACGATACCGATAGGAGGGTTAGAGCTCATGAACTTTTTTAACTTGCGTATAATGTGTGTGGTAGGCTACCTCAAACTCAAACTCGAAATTGCAATCTCGAATCCACCCTAGTTTCCTGTGTAGGGAGATTCCATTCATGAGAGGAGCCTTTCACTTGCCTGCCAGTGCTCGCTGGTACATCTCTGCCTCCTTCCGCTTGCCCTGATCTATGTAGAGAGTTCCAGTGTTGTGGACTCCAACGAGTGTGGACGTATGATCTCGACCTAGAGCCTTCTCATAACCTGCCAGTGCTTGCTCGGTCATTCTCTCCCATATAGCAGCAGCAGGTAACGTACTAAGCCCTAACAGGTCCGCTGTCGGACCGGGTTAGCTCCCATTTGGCATATAGCCACAACAACTTTATATCGCAATATTATCATTCACCACGACTTCTGCGATCTTCTAGCACTTACAGCAAGGCTTTGCAAAGATCGGTTGTACAGTATTCTTCGGAATGGTACTATATACACCGCGGCCCTCGTGATAAACCCTGCGACTCGTGTCCGGATGCTAACTGAACCTCAGGAGATTATCCGCCTGTGCTTCGAGGGTCCTCGCGAATTAAGATTGGGTTCCCTGAATCATTTTTGGCCCCAATGCTATGGCAATATAGTAACTTCTTAGCATGATCCACCTACTCTCAGGAATTGTTAACGCAGTTCCCAGGTTTCCAGGGAAACTAGAATCTCCCATGGGTAGAGCTTGTCATTCCGAGAACGGAAACAGTGACGAATCTATATGCATGAGTAACCAGCCAGTCTTTATGCGATATATTTTTCAGAGTAATTGTAGAACTACAATGATCAGCGTGTACGGACAAGGAATATCCCTATCTATGTCGGGAATAGAGCATTCAATTACAGTCCCAGGGAATCATCTATCGATGACAATGAGACGTAAAACCAGCTGTGTGTGCCCCAAGGCTGCGGCAGGCAGCACGGTTGGGCGTGGTTCAGCAAGTCTAGGGATTCCGGCGACACCAGGAAATCCAACTCGGGTTGACTTTACGGGGAGCCTCGAAGCATATCTTGGGGTTTGGTTTGATTTCCAGAAATGAGTCGCTGCACTGATTACTCCGGCAACAGTTTATTTCTGTCGTCGTCTATGAGGCTATTGTATCACACTTCTTCCATCCGGGACGGGGCGCCGTGGTCTGCAGAAATAGACCTGGTGGATCGACACCGGTTTGGGCGAATACGAATAATGAGTTGAAGAAAAGGTACGAATACAAATAAGCAGAATCCTTATTCTTGCACAGCCCGAATTGGTATTCACAAGACTTATTCCAAGAAGATCCGCCTACTAAACTTCGACCGAAAGTTGAAATCCATCGGTATATGGTCGTTAAGCCAGCCCCACAGATAAGCTGCATACACAGAAATGGCCCAATCTGGGATCTTCGCTGGCAACCGACCATGGCCCAAATGGATGGTCATGTTATCAACGAAGTTATCTGACAGCCTATCGCCCTCCAACAGTTTTGATGCCGCACTGGCTGCCAGCTTGTTTCTCACGTCTGTGAGGGGGAGCCTATATGCGTCGAAAACCATATTCATGGCCTTGAAGTACTGGCGGCAGGGACTGTTGGAAGCTGAAAAGAAGTCGGTCTTGATGTCTCCCATTTGAGAAAGTGCCATCGCCTGCTGATCAATAGTATCCCAACCAGCGAGCGGTTTCATTCTCATTTCACACATGCGCTCCTGGAGGACAGTCACAGTCTCTGAGCGCGAACCAACAAACGGAGCAATGAGTGGCTTAAACGCCCGGGCGAAGTGAGTCGGCAAAACAGGGAGTAAGCCCCATGGCTGCAAGGCAGCCAATGCATGAGCGACTAGCACTGTTTGATGGACCTTCTCCGTACTTAAGGAAAAGCCTGCATTGACTCTATCCACTGTCTCCCGTTCGTATACGATGTCTCCCGTTGTTTTAACCGAGTACACCAGTATGTCGGCACCTGAGATGGATAAAAATTGCTCCAGATTATATCTGATCTGATCGAGTTGAGCAGCAGAAGGCCAAGTCGTCCAGGCGCAGAGGCCAGCGGGGGAATCATCTTCAGCTGATGTTGCCGCAGGGATAATGAGGCGGCGGCCCCCACGCGTTGGCGTTCGCAGTATACCCAACGAATAGTCAATGCATCTCTGAACTGGCAGTTTGTTCACGTAGCGTTCAAGCTCCTCGGTAATATGTCTGCAGCCATCATGAGGATCAAAACGTCCAAGTTGTGAGAATGGTCCTCTATCAACCAGAGCCATAGTACCGAGAAATCCAGTAGAGGAAGTCAAACCGGAGATAGAGAACTCGGAGATTCGAAATCCACAAATAATGAGTAGTGCTGTAAATTCATTCCGGGTGAAGCCGTAACTGACCCTCCCATCTTCAAATATCATGTCAGCAAGTCGAGGAGCTTCACCAGGGCCGAGGTTACCACTGACAGCAGGGAATATCCGTGCGTCAGGGCCGCCATAATCGACCAGGTCTAGAGGGTTGATGCCGGCGTGTGCAAAAAGGTTGCTCCACCCACTGGTTCCGCCACCTTTCCTATAGTCCCAAGTCATTGAAATGGTCACGTTCTCTCGATATGCTCTTTGAAGCCACCCTTGAAAACACGGAGCGACACCTTCCACCAAGCCATGTTGGGGCATATTTCTCGTTGGAATGAGAATCGCCCAGTTCCCGGCAGATCTATCCATCAGAAACTTCCTCGACCTGACTAGGCTAATTGCGAGAGCTCGTATTTGAGAAAATATAGCTATTAAGCCGACTCCAGCGAATAGCGTCCCCAGCCACGTCCCAGCCACGGCTGCAATATTAACGCTGTCGCTCAGGAGGAGAGGTGCCATTGCGCTTTCGACAGTGTAACGTATGCCTATTCCTGGTTCCAGACGTTAGCTTTTTTAATCCGAATAAGGCCTATGACGAGACCAGTACGAGTAGAAGATCAACTACGTATAAGTGTCAAGGATGCGATGGCTGGAGTTGGTATCCCTCCCGTTTTGAGTTGGAAAATTTGGAGTTTGATGTGCAAAACATGTAATGCTGAGAGGCTGGCTGGGTAAGCTCGACGATAAATTCAGGCCGTAAATTTTCGATCAGCTGTCGTGACAACATGCAGCCTCTGCGGGTCTAGCTAGATTGAGGTGTCAACCCTGCGTTACCCCTCCTCCGTTGTCAATCCGCGCGTTATGGCGAAGTTCGTTTATTCAGACGATGAGACATCTTTATCAAATCCTTTATGATGCGGTCTAGGTGATATGTGCCGCGGCCTTCTGATTTATGACTGACAGAGACTGACAGCCGGCTGTTGGGTTAGAGGCAGAAAGGCCGTTGTGTGTCCATTCGGGATCGTCCCCACTCGAGCTTGAACCCCAGTCCGCATCACGTGCATTTCCTAATACCCTGGCGGGCCCTAGGACACTACCTCGAATTATCACGGCATTTGGGTAAAAATGCATATTAAAAATATCATGGGTAGTAGGATGCGCGACGTAAGCGGGAGGCACGTTAACTAACGTAATTCCCGCCCGACCGAGCCACCCGGCCGACCGAGCCACCCTACCCCATTAGGAAATTTTGAATCTTAATATCTTAACCAAAACGTATCAATTTAGCTATATCTAGCGGTTTTTACAATAATTAACCTTATGTCCGACCTGCCCACACCCACTACACTTCGGTGGAGCTTTTCTGATTAGCTGAGCTAGTTGAATAGCCTCATCGCCCTGCGGCTGCACTACTACTAGAGTGTCTTTAATTGGCTGATTTAGCTGCTGAACTAGCTATAGGCCCTCTTTGACCGTGAGGCCTCCTTCGTGCACTATCTGTTGTTTAGATCGTGTGCGTTTTTAGCGTATTTTCTGATTCGCTATATATAGATCGCTGTTTTCCTGCGCTAATAGCGCAGCCCCGTAAAGCGATACGTAAGTGCCTTTAATAATCTGATCTAGTATAGTTTTTGATGGGCTCGGAGGGCTATTTAACCGATATCTTAATAGATCCTTTAATATCGAAGCTGATTTTTGTAATTATACGACCGTCCTAGGTGTTTTTGGGCTAAATTGGCTGTAGCTAGTGGTTAGCCTGCTATTTAGTGGCGATGGCGTTCGGAGTAAGATATTAAGCTTCGAAAGCACTCGATCTGCGTCGACTGGAATAAGACCGGTAGCAGCGAAGCTATTTTGAATAATATAAGGTTGAAAGGCCTCCGTACACGCCCGGGCGTACTCTGCGAGGAAATCGAACTTATCGATATAGTTATACGACGTACGAGTAAGATCGCTTACGTAGCGACTGTATGTGCGTTTTAATATAGTAAAATACCTAATATTAAGCGGTTGTAAAAGATGCGAAGAGTGTAGAGGTATATAAAGTAGTATAATATGATTTTCTATGTAGATCTGGTCGAATTAAGGTATAAGATAGCTACCGTGGCCGTTAAGAATTAAGAGTCGATATTTCCCCTTCGTACGTATTATCGTCGCTGG